GAGTACCAGTAGCTGCTACTTGTGCATGGACTTGTGATTGGCGCCAGACTTATGATATCGACCGACGCAATGGCACGTACAGTACAGTTGCCCCCACTGCATGCATTTACATGGTGGCCACTTCGCGGCTTGTTCCATAGACGGCAATGGAGCTGCGTGGTCCACATGATTCATGTGGTGGGCCTGGCATGGCTCATGTGTGTGTCATCACGGCGATTCCAGGCAGGGAAACGGGGTCTTCTGTCATTCCTCCGTGGCACATCCTCCACAATCGGAGTTTTCAGGACCCCCAGTTCCGCTCGCCCTCAAATCCAGCCAATTTTAATCCCCATTGATTTTTCTGGGTTGCTCTAATCCCTGATCCGCTTCAAACTAACCGGATCTCACCGACGGAGATCGCAAGTGTAGTCCGGTGATCGGTTTGGGAAATATTCCATACCGCTGCTGCTCGTCGTTGCTTTTTGCGCGGTGCTTTTTCTGTCTGGGAAAAAGCAAGGAAAAAGCAACGACGATATTGTCTCTGTAGTTTGGAGTCGAAAACCTAGACCTGCAAACGGCGGACTGTACATGAAGGGAGAGCAGGAAGCAGGTAGCAGGGAGCAGGGAGAAGTGAAAAGAGAAAGGGAGAGCTGGGGTTCAAAAAAAAAAAATGGCCTGATTTTTTTTGGGCCACAATTAAAGTGTCCGATAATCCACAAGGGGAATCTCTGAAGGGTCCGATCATATGCAAAACGTATAATAGATTGTGTGGAGCATTTTAGACACGGGGGCGTTTCGTCTCGGGTACTGTACAGTACGAGTACAAGGGCGTACGTCAGCTAGAAATTTGATGAAGATTTCTTTATTACCGAGGAGATTTTGTTTGCTTTTACAAGTATTCCTTTTTGATTCCACCAGCAACTGGATTTTTAGGATTTTTTACTTTTTTGTTAATTTAATTTAATTTAATTTAATTTAAGTTAATATTATTGTATTTATTTATATTTATTTTTATATTTATTTTTCTATTTTCTATTTTCTATTTGATATTTTTATTTTCTATTTGTTACTGTTTGAAGCTCGCTTAAATTGTTTGTTCTTTCTTTTGACACTAATTATTCGTGCCGTTTGCCGGCGGGATATGAAAAAGAAATTCCTCAGAGGCGAGAGATAGCACAACAAAAAAAGCACTTGCAAATGCGCAAAACACCGACTATATGCGGACCCTGCAAATCACTATCGACCAAGATAAGCCACGTGATGTTATACGGGCTTGAATAATGATCCAAATGAGATGCCCAGAAAAAAAAATTAAAAAAAAAAAAAAAAAACCTCCCCCCCTGTCTAAAATGCTCCATTCCTTCACAGTACCGTTGGATAATTACAAGTTCAATCCCTCCCCTCCCTCTCATCAACAATATATCATATACAGTGCTCTCTCATACTCCTCGATCTTCAGTTTCAAAACGACCATCCCTGCACTGTTTTTGAACGCACGTATATATGTATAAAAGAGCAAAAAAAACCCCCCGGCTGCTTCGCCATGATTGCTCTATGATTTCAAATAATAAAAGAACCGGCGAAGGAAGCACATCCAGTGGAGACAGAGCGAGATTACCGCACCGAACCACAGCCTATCTGCTAAAAGCCGTCTAGGTTTGGCATGAAATGTCCAATTTATGGGCAATACGAACACAGACTAAGTCATTAGAATTGCATTAATCGGGCCAATCTGTTGATGTACTCGGTTGCTTTATTGCTTGCACACACAGTCGCTGCGCCATCCTATATCCGTGATTTTCAACCTGCAGCAAGACAAACCACCAATGTTAAACAACACAAGAGCGAAAAGGAATGGCAAAGGGATATCGTTTGATAAGTTGGCTAACAAGGCGTCTTAGAAAAAAGTGCGGATCTCAGTTCCGAAATCACCCTTGTTCCTTCCGTTCGGGAGCAGGTGCAGTAGGTTTCAATAGGAGGTGTCTCTGAAGATGGAGATTGGCTGCATTTTTATGGATTTCTGTATGCTGATGTTAGGAAGAATTGGACTATACCATTTTAATCTTTGAATCTGTGTGATTCCAATGGTGGTGTTTATATATTTCTGAGACCACCATGTCACTCATTCTCACGATTCCACCCCCTTTCAAGTTTACATTGAAAAAATAATTATTGATACAGGGCTACTAAAATAGATTCAATTAGCAACATAAGTACATCAAATGTCACTAATTTCAGAGACATTGGATTCCGTCAACTTTTCCCTTCTCCTGCATTGCTCTATTGTCCGTTCTGGAATGTGCGAAATTTCGCTATTTTCTGCATACTTTTGGAGTCGTCTCATTCTCGGAACCGGCTCTCAGAAACAATCGAAGAAGTTCTTCAATTCGATTTCGATCTCATCAGCTTCATTATCCATATGTCAGTGAGTACTTTTCCTTGATATTTGTCCATTTGGGGTAGGTTTTGTTTACTCACATTTTTTTTGTTCCCTCTTTTCTTTATATGTATAAAATGAAAAATAGAACACACTGATAAATACAGGAACACTTGACTGTTTGATTTTAACCAACTCCAAAAACTCTTTCGTTCATTTTGTCTTGTTATATGACACCAACTCGACATTCTACACTCATATCTTCCATTTCACCCGCCACCATGCATCATTGCAACTACATTTCACATCCTAGGGAGGTATAGACTTGTTCTCAAAGTTCTATACAGCAATATAAGCAACTTTTGCAGTTTTATTCGCCTTTAACTGATTTATTTCGGCCCTAGCCCAACACTATTCACATTGGAAAAGATGATCTTACAACAATCTGTGGCAATTTCTGTGGACACCAGCTCTCAACAACTATCACGACTTGTTCTTCTGTTCTTTGAGGCGTCTTCTAATCATATCTGATTATCCCTGCTTGTACTCTCAGTCGCCAAGAGAGTGGCTGCTCCCGCTGAACACACGAAGAAAACATTCTTTGGGCACTGAAAACTCCATGATGTTCAGAAGAGAGTTTCTTATTGTTGACTCGAGAATTATTGGAGGCGTATAAAACGTTTTCATGCGTCTCTAGAGGTTTCAAGACGGAATTGGCGCAATGAAGACAAGCAGCTTCGGTATACCTCCCACTTTTTGAAGGAATAAATGTAGGCTGGAGTCCTTATCTCCCTCATTAATGAGAGTTCCATTGTTTGTGCTTATGAATGTCAATATATTGTTGTTGGACTATAAGTAAAACCCGGTTATAACGCAACCATTAAAGTGCAGTTTTTGAAACCTCAACACTGGAATCACAAGATTGGAATCTATTGTAGAATTATTTGTGTGACATTAAGAGTTGATTTTGAGTACAAGAATTGATCTATTGGATACCTGTCAGCTTTTATTGACAGGTTGGAGGTTGGAAACACCAGATTATGGTCTTCCACTCACATTTCCCATTCGATTATTTTTAACTAAACAAGACAATTAATTTAATATAAATTGTTAAAGAGACTGTTACGAAAACGAGACTCTTGGCTCCAGTGGGCACTCACGTAATTACCCATCTGCCATTATCTGCCTTATCAATTAATATCAACTATATCGCTGACGATTGAGGGTGGCTCGATCCCTTGTATTAAAAGCCATGAGAAACAAGGGTGCAATCACTTGTCCACAAGTTTCCACGTCCCAGACATCTATTTATATTATAATTATAATTTTCGTTAGTTCTTTAAAAATGTCTCTTTCATCTACGGGATATCCGTTTGAGTCCGCTGTTGGCATTCTTCGCTCGACTAAAACGTCTTCGACAGTAAGAGTTAGTCAATCTTTATCTTCGAGCGTGCTACTGAATATTGACCAGGTTTATAATCTTTACTGGTTGCTATATATTGAATAACCATGGCTTGCTAGATGTTTGCTAGATATTGGAAGCTGTGACTTGAAGGTAGAAAAGAACCGCCGTCGAAGTTGAAATGGAGACATGAAGATATTAAGGAACTTATTGATTGGTTCCAGATGGCTTTTTATGACCACTGATCGAGTAACTGAAGTCCTCGTAACTGAAGCTGTACTACATCAGGTAACCCCATGTCAAGTCTCCGACTCCCTCCTGGGGAACCACGTCAATAGCAGACTACGGAGAAGCTAGAGTCCTCTCAAGGGTGTCCTGGGTGTCAGTAAGGACGCAACACTCCTGAGTATTGTCGAACCTGTACGCAAGCTGAGAATGGGACTCGAGTTCTCCTCGAATCTGATCTCTTAGTTGGACAGCTGAAGAGGTTTTGCTTTGGAAGACATCTGGATCTGGGTCCAGGTTGCAGATTTGCCGACCTTGCCAATCAGTCTGGACAGGGGGAAGCTGTTGTTCAATTTTTCAGTCTCTTACAATTGATGGTGATATATTTCCAAGACAGACTTCAAAAAAACCATACTGTCATGGTTATTGAATCAAGATAAACCATAGATGACAAATAAAACAACTTACACATCATAGCAAATGATTTTTCTGGTACAGTACCATACATCTCTAGGGCCCAAGGAGCGTTAGTCATTCTTTAGGGCTAGCCTGTAGGATCGAGAACAATTCCAGCTCTGAAAGACCCACTTATCTGAATTTGTTTCTTCCAGACTTTCTGTTCAGCAGTTGTGCATCAACTCGAGAAAAATGGGTGGCCACTCGAACTGTTTTGGTCAACTTCTGCTGGCTCACGAATCAACAAAACTGCCTTGACCAACTCGTCCCTCTGATATGCATTACAATACAGGATCGGATATCGCAACTCATTGAGATCATATGAGGGATTCTTCGTTTGTAAAGCATCAGAGCAAGTACATACTGTACCGTACAAGTATCCTGAATCGAGGTCAAAGCGTCTATTGAACCCTTCTAGCTAGTCCATAACTGCCATGGTTGTTCCAGACTGGCTCTCTAGAAACAATGTTTTACGAGATTCGGGTTGCAGATAGGTCGATGTGAGATTCTAAGGAAATTCGGTTCGTTGCGCACATTTCCGTGTTGTATTGACTGCCAATTTCATTGTCGCTTCATCTTGCTCTTTTCATGGTCATTCGGTAGTGATTGGGGCTGCTGCGACATCTGCTTTCTCTTCGGCGTCACTCTCTTCTCATCCTCCTCTTCAGCGTCTTCTTCATCATCATCTTCTTTATCTTCGTCCTCTTCTTCTCCCTCCTCAGATTCAGCCTCGACTTCAACTTCAGAATCAGACTCAGCTTCGACTTGGATACTCTCCCAAGAATCTTCAATTCCAACCTCCTTCTCCTTTTCCTTCTTCTCGTCATCGACAATTGCAACAGGATGAACACCTTCGGTCTCGGCTTCTACTCCAGCCTCCACATTGTTGTTATCGCCATCAACCACCTCCTCATAATCCTCCATCACCTCATAAGCGTCGTGAAACTCTTCAGGGGGATCCAGAAACATCCAAATCGGCTCCCTCGAAGACCTCAACAATCTGAGCGGTCTTGTCAGCAACTTCATTGATAACAACGTTCTCCACGACGTTTTCGACCATTCCGACCTTCTCGAGGATAGATCGGTTGCCGGTCTCGTCCACTTTGGCCTCGTCAGGTCTATCTCCACGTCCTGCTCCTCAGCCTCCTCCTTCTCGGGCTCATCTTGTTCACACTCGTGTTCAACCTAATGACCACAGCGCCAACATCAACAGAAACACCACCGTCAACCTCTTCAGGCTGCTCGACAGCGTGAACAACAAACTCCTCTACTTGTAGGGGGAAGACACTCATCTCCTGAGCTTCATCCCGAAGGGTCAGCTCGGAATGGGGAACAGCCCGAAGAGCTGTCACTCTTGGTAACATAGTAAGTCGAGTTATTGGCGTTCGATAAATCATACACTTGTTCGTTTTTCGTTTCGGTGTGCGCTGACTAATAACCCGGCCCATTGACCTTGCCAAAATAAACTTCGAGCAAGAAAATTGGTTTCTTGGTCTAGTTGGTCATGGCATCCGCTTTACACGCGGAACGTCGGCAGTTCGATCCTGTCAGAAATCATTTTTTGGATATTTCTTTTTTGCGAAATTCCGGGTCCAGAATCTCTGTTGTCCAAAGTTTGCTGGTAGACGACATACATGCGTGCATTTGAGAACGAAACCGGCATTGCTTGCACATTACATTGCATGACATCGCTTTCGGGGGTCTTGGAGAAGCAACCCAAAGGTTTTTCTGTCCGGGCAAAAAAAAATCAAAAAAAATGGAAACATTTGCCGACGGAATGGAGAAGGAAGAAGAGTACTGATTTTTTGATTTTTGATTTTTGATTTTTGATGTTTGATGTTTGATTTTTGAGTTTTAATTTTTGATTTTTTATCTTTTATTTTTGTTATTAATGAGAACAGACTGGGTCATGTGATCGAGTAAGCCGATATTTCTGCTTTTTTCATCGTATGAGTCGACATTCCGAGTCGACCCTTCGACTGTCGGTTTTTAACAGTCGATATTTCGACTTGACTGATAGCAAAAGCAGTCTTCTGACACCCTTTCTCTCTCAGAGCTCTTCCTCTACACACCTCAGACGCTCTTCATCGCATTCGCGTACCAATCCGGCGTCTTTGTGTGAACCAATGCCGTGCCTTGTATGTACAGTATTGGCTGCCATTGGTAGTATGCAGGTAAGCGCAATGGTGAGCAACAAGGCAGCTCGATATGTACGGGTACAAGGAAGTCCAAGGACAGACGGGTTTGAGAGCCAATGGAGAGGAGTGGTGAGCTAAGCGAGTGGTAGCTGATAAGCGAGCGGTAAGCGAGCGGTAAGCGAGTGGAAGCGGCAGCAAGCGAGTGGAAGCGGCAGTAAAAGGTTTGATTTGAGGTAGACCAGTGAGTAATATGGCGTATCGGGAGGGATCGAACATTCAAGGATTGTTAAGCGATCTAATCTGATTTTCAGCTGTCTCACACGGGTAGAAAATGTCTGCCATGTGGGTATTGTATGTACTATACGAGTACAATACGAATATGTACTGTATGTTCTTGTATTGCTACAACTTTGGCTGCTGTTGAGTACGACATGTGAACCTCCCTATTGGTGCGATAATGCCCTGCCGACCTGCCAGTCCAAACGCTCCGCTGTACATGTTCTACTTGTACCCATGCTCGGCCTACAGGTAATGGTGGAAAGTTCGAAAAGCCTTTGTGCGTGGACATTGAACGGAACAGTGGGGTCCGCAGGTTGTGTATGTACCAATGCAGGAAGGGCTTTAGTTTGTGACGAAATATGCAGATCTGGATCTTTATGGGAAGTCTTGTTGTGGGTTTGCTACGGGGTGAGTACCGGTATGTACTGTATTTACTGTGCCCGTCTCAGCTGTACAGTAATTGCAGTGTTGTTGAGAGTAAGCAGCAATGTCAACTGTCTTAGTCCTGCCATACTTGTACCACGCACTTGTTTGCACCACAGCTGCTGTCTACGTAGGTCGTGATTGACTCCATCAGCTCATGTCGAAGTTGCTGTTGAAGCATGACGAAAGGGTACCGAGGAATGTGACAATGGTGTTAAGACTGGAGAAGGACTAGAGTACCTGTACTAGGACTGAAGAAGATAACTGCAAAAACTATTTCTACTTTGAAACTGTATCTACTTTGTTCCAGTCTCCCGAATGGGTCTGGGTCTTATCGATTTAATAAGACAGCTGGAGGAAATGCTTTTGAAGACGCTCCAATCAGTTCAACGATCTAAACTGCCAGATTCACCTACCACCAGTCCAACTGCTCTGTATTCCAGGAACTTGTTGGATCCAAAGTACCTGGACATCTATTTCCAATGGTGAAAAAGCACAATCCTGTTCCTCAGACTTGACGTGCTATACCTGTGATCAACAGTATAAGATCGCGGCCTTACGCAATGGCAATGGGCCCTCTCGTCTAATGGGACTGCTCCCCAACTTGTCTGGGCGCTGAATCAGTTCTGAGATGATCACCGTATCTACATCCGACCTCTGCTTTATTGAGAGTGGATAATCCACCCGGTTCGAATTCTATTCAACTCTTCTATCTCCTGAAAGAACTGAAACTCAGGATCATATTGGCATCTGGGGAATGTAGTCTGCAATTGAAGTGTCTGTCTCCTGTCTGTATCTGACGTATTCTAGGGGTTAATTACAGCATGAATATCCAATCTCATTATTCATACCCTTGGAATCACATCTCCACTCGCCGGAAACCCGCTCACCAGGCCCGTTCGATTTCTCGGATTCTCCTCAAGTCGGTCTATTTCCCCAGAAAACGGGACTATTTCTTCAAAAACGGATCTATTGGACTGGCACAATTATCACCGAGAAAAAAGAAAAAAAACAAGTCTGGAACGAGCGACTGTCATGTGACTCCGAAATAAAACAAGGTTGTTATCGGTATCTTATCTCCTCTTATCGGAACCTAATTCGAAACCCGAGATATGCGGCGGCATGTTCATATTTCTTTATGAAATGATTTCGGGTGGACTCTCGTCATATCATGACTCTTTCCCCTCTGTATCTCCCAAGAGCTCGCCGCTTTAGCTCCAAAATTGCTGCTAGCTACGGCACTAATTGAGGATGTGGATATATCAATATTATGGCCCAGTACGACTGAGGCGGTAAATCAGTGATTGCAGTCGGTCATGTTTGATGCCCGAAGTCATCGATTTCATTGCACTATGAGCAACCTAGAGGTGGCGAGAATGATCAGCTTCCGGCGCCAAATTCGACGACAAAAGGACCAGTTGAAAGGGATCAGCGATATACAGAGCCAGGATCGAGACTTCTACAAGAACGTGCTCGAGAACAACTTTCTCAGAAACTGTTTGAAACGAATCAAAGAAAAACTGTCCCGCAGACCGACAACCGTCAGACCGATGAAGAGCAACAGGATCAACAGCCAGAAATCCTTGTCGAAGGGACTTGCACGGTGCAAAATACATACACGGTGGGCAGCAAACACTCACCCCAGCAACCGACATCATACACTACAAGTGGCGATAAAACAATCCACAAACTAGTTTCGAAAAAGCTCTCTGAAGTTTTGGTCGCTCTGGTTTCCATATTGGCGACGGAGACGTTGACATCTTCTCCAAAATGGACGGCTAATTTGTGAAAATTTATCGACAAAAAAAAATCTGCTGTTGGAAGCCGCTGAAGAGTCAGGTGAATCATGTAGTATTAGTGGAGTTTCTGAGAGTATTCCAGGCAGTTTATGTCCTGTACTTCCTGGTTGGAGATCCATTACCTGAGTCCCTGTAAGGATATCAATGGGAGACATATCCAGCATGTACGGTACGTACTGTACTGTAAACAACGAACTATTACTGTGGGTAAATGTCGAACTGTAGTGCTGGACTGCGATTGAAAGTGCACACTTATTCGTAGGCTGGCATGAGAAGAAGCGGAAAACGGGTCTGGTGATTCTAGCTTCAGGTTGACAGAGATCCGGCCACTTGTGACAATCAGTGTTGATGACAAGAATGCAATTGACTGAATATATCTTTTGCTGGTTGCTCCTTTCCTCTTGACTCGGCAGAATATTGTACGAGGAGTTTAGTGACTTGATACAGTGTAATGCAGTAATTAATTTCTTGTTAGGAATCTTATTTCTTCAATAAATTAGTAGCAATATCTCGGTTAATTAAATAGCTATATTGTTAATCGTTAAGTAACTTTCTATGAGTTCATCAGAAAATGTAATGCTCCAATTGGTGTCTATCTTGGATCCCTTTCATTGCGAATTCCACAATAATACAACACTACCAACTAAACCAACTACTCAGTTATCCCTTTCATAAAAATGTGGACTATATCCACTACCGTACATTCTAAAAAGACCGCACAGTACATACTGTACATACTGTACCCTGATTGTCAGGCTGAGAAGAACTGGTGGAAACAAATTGAAGGTTTACAGTCCCATAGATGATACTAATCTGGTTTTCATAATTTGGGTCTACTTGTCTCTCAACTTTTCGGAGTAATCTGAATATCTTGGAGGACGTTGCACTTTCTCGACATTGATATCAGATTTGAGAGATCTAAAAACAACCAAAAGACTTTGTAGTTGTAATTGAGATGCTTCTAGTAGCCGCTTTCAGGACTTCCGTCAACTTCTCTTGCTTCTGGTCCCTTCAAAACGTCCTACATCTGTACAGTGACAAAATGATGTTTCAGTACAGTACCGCACAATCAAAGAATCCAGAGCTGAGCAGAGCTGAACGAGGGGTTTATTGTCACTTAGAGACGTGGAAAAAGTCCAATGGCAAGTTTGTAGCTATCTTAAAGGCGTATAGATGGAGAGGTATAAAAATGACAGCCGAAAAATGACGAAAAACGGCCGTGAAGTGGCCAAAAGTGTATTCATGATACTTGGATTGAAGATCTGAACGGGATCAAAGTAATAATCTATTAAAAGGAGCCAACCACCCATATTTAGGGTCTTTTTCTGTAAAAAAAATTGCTCCAACGATTCCACTCATCTCATCTCATCTCATCTCTCCCTACCCTAACCCCCTGCACATGTATGCACAACACTGAACGTTAAGTGCGGATATTTATTTATTTTTCCGCATCACATCTCAGGACACGCAACATGTCTTCGTCCTCCTCCGACGACGATTTCGGCCCCACCTTGGCCGGGATCAAGCGACCAGGCTCCGATGAGGAGCCGCTCGAGCTTAAGAAGCCCAGCAAAAAATCGCGGCTGCGAAAAGTGCAGGAGAAAATGATCCTCAAGGGCTCTTTCCCACAAACCGGTCCAGACCACGCGCATTACAATCAGTCGTTCCAGCACCGGGCCCCCGTCACCGGAATAACCGACTGTAGCGGCTGCAAGAAAGATTTCGTCGTCACGTCTTCAATTGATGGAGTTGTCAAGTTCTGGCACAAAAAGGGCCCGCGCAAGGACTTTGCCGGAGACGATAACGCCGACGACGAATCCGAGGTGGTGGAAACGACTGGAATCGAGTTTGTTAAACAGTACCAGGCTCACGCAGGGGAGATTGTCGCCATCCAAGCCTCCAACAACGGCATGAACATGGTCTCTTGCGGAACCGACCAAAAAATCAAGGTCTTTGACGTGGCGGGATTCGACTTGGTCAACACGATCGACCTGGACTTTGTGGTTGGATGTGCTGCTTGGATTGACAATCGGGGAATTCCTCTATTGGCCGTGTCTAACGACCAGAAGGTGGTCATCTTGGACGTGCTGGGAGGAACTACACAGGAGCAGTGTCAGAAGGCTGTCTACACAACTGTCCATAGAACCGCCATCACCTGCATGTCTTACTCTGCCTCTCTCGATATCTGCATTTCTGTTGAGAGTAACGGAAACGTCGAGTATTGGCGTTATGACGGAGATGCAAGCAGACCTAAGGTTGAAGGACTCAACCCTCACGTGTTCGAGCTCAAGAGCAAGACCGACCTGTTTACTTTCCGGAAAAGAAAGTCAGTCCCTTCTTCCATCACAATTTCTCATGATGGACTCAAGTTTGCATGCTTCACTTTCCCCGACAGGCAGCTCTATGTCTTCTCAATATTAAGCGGCAAGATCATCAGCCAGTACGATGAGAGCCTTTCTACAATACGCGAGATGCAGGATGGAGAAACAGCATACTATGTGCCCGAACAGGGCGAATTTGAGGCGCGTTTCGCACTCGAACAGGAGGTTGGCTCGTGTGTACCCTCCTTTGACCCGTCTGATACGTTTCTTATCTATCCGTCGCTTTTGGGAATCAAGGTGGTGTCGATCCGAAACCACAAGATTGTTCGAATGTATGGCTTCAAGGACGATCTGCGGTTCTCTCAGGTGTTTCTGTTCCATACAAACTTTGAGAAGATGTCCATTGAGGCCGCGTCGGCCAAGAACCAGCTCCTGGACAAGTCATGGAACTCGGATGCAGTCTTGTTTGTTACGGCCCGTGACCAGGATAGATTCTACTTGTTCTCCAACACCACCAAGGACTTCTTGACCGGCAGAGATGCAAATAACGAGATTGAGGAGGGTTCCAAGGAGGTGAAAAAGGACGGAGAGTTCAAATCGGCGTCTAGAGTTGTCTTGCACACGAATCTTGGAGACATAACCGTTACCCTGTTCCCTCAAGCTGCGCCCAAAGCCTGTGCCAACTTTTCAGAATTGTGTCGAATTGGATACTACGACTCCACCATCTTCCACCGAGTCATCAAGAAGTTTATGATTCAGGGAGGAGATCCAGACGGAGATGGTACTGGTGGTCAGAGCATCTGGGGCAAGAACTTCGAGGATGAGTTCAGCAAGGAGTACACCCATGATCAACCCTTCACTCTCTCTATGGCCAATGCAGGAAAGAACACAAATGGCTCGCAGTTCTTCATCACTACCGAGCCCACTCCTTGGTTGGACAACAAGCATACTGTTTTTGGAAGGGTTACCGGAGGCAAGAGTGTCGTGAAGGATATTGAGGGGAAGAAGGTCGACAAGAGTGATAAGCCCGTGGACGAGGTGAGAATTCAGTCTGTGACCGTGGAGTAACAATATGCAGCATGTACTTGTAGCTATAATTTATCTGATTAATGTAACTGGCCAATGTTGTATTCTCCAAGTACTGTTTCTATTAGTCAGCTGAAAAATGAAATGAGTAGGTGCTGGCGCGAGCAAAAAAGAAGCCCGACGTGGGGCTTGAACCCACAGCCTTGAGATTTCTTGGAATAAGAGTCTCACGCTCTACCGATTGAGCTAGCCAGGCGTATTGTGAGGTTGTGACGAACCAGCTTCGGAGTTACTCAGTATTTTGCTTAGGTCAGCGCAGCTTCTTTGAATGCCATGCGCTCTTCTGAAAAAACGAATCCGAGTCTGATTAGCAGGTATAACATTGTTGATGGGTCAAAGTAGCTGACTTGTATTTTTCCTAGAATAAAAATAAAAAATAAAAATAAAAATAAAAATAAAAGTGAAAAGGTCATTAAAGATCCATTTGTATTATCATGAGGGAATTGTGAATGGTTAATTGACTTTTTGGTAGAGCCATTATATCTGTCTGTATACTATTTACTCTCATTTCGGTCACATAGATGTCTTGTTTGCAGTCTACACCGCAAGTTGGAGTTTCCAGATCAGAGCGGAGTATAATCGATGACTTTTAGTATTTTTCGCGTTTTTATGGCTCTAAACTTCTCTTGATGGGGGTTATAAATGTATATTTATCTTCATTGGCCTTTAATAGATCTTTTTCTTTAGTTTTCAAAAAGTTTCAGAATTTATTGAGTGTTTAAGAACACATGAAGTTCCAGAGTCAATCTCTCTCCTTCATTGGATTCTGTAGAGAAACAAAGACTTTATTAACGGATTTCCTGAGCTCTGATAATCAATTTGGTTCTTATGTTTTTTTTATTTGATATTTTTCCAGCGAGTTCTATGCTTGTTTAAAATGTAACTTTTTTTCTTTTTCTTTTTCTTTTTCTTGAATACCTCTCGCATCCAAAACCATTGGTTGAGGTACAGAATAATACTACACAGTATCCAATTAATATATTATAAGGGAAATAAAAGAGATTTGTATCTTCTCATTTCGAATTAACAGCTCCTTTAGCGTATCTAGCGTGAAACATACGACCGCATCCTCTGGATCAATTCTACCGAACTGTAATACTCAAATAAACAGATGTTTAGGATAAGTTCCTCGGTGTGATACACATCCTGGTACATTTTGGAATTTATTGCGTCATTTCTGGTTGTTTTAGTTTTATTGAATCACTTCTGCCAGTTTTGTGAGGGAGTCCCCATGATTTTTGCAATAAAATTGGTGAATACACGAAATGACCATCGCTAGTGACCCCAAATATATCAGATATATATTCAAATAAATAAAAGTATCTGAAAAATATTTGGATTCCATTTGAAGGTCCACTATGGACGTTTAATATCACTATGACACTGCTAGCGCTCAATTGAAATCCGTTCCTGGACCTCAAGTGTACTTTACAATTCATCTACCATGGCTCATCTACAAGTACAACGTATCACAACTACAATTTGCAATTTGGGTGGGACTCAGTGGTCCGAATATATTATCCCCAGAGGTTCAGCTGTTTGCTTACATCCTCTTTTCTATAGATTAAAGGTTCGGTCTTGTCTACATCCTCATGTCGAGGTTCGACTGCCTACATCCTTTCTGAATGCGAATCTTGGATCATGAAGATCAACTTCCGACTGCCTTTTGTGCTCGTGGCTCCTCTGTGGGGCTCAGACGCAAGCTCGTTGGCTCTGGTCCTCTCTGCTCTTAATGGCTCTGGCTTGTTTCAGCTCTGGCTCTCATTGGCAAGAAACACTTAGCTCTTATGGGCTCATTGGCACTCACTGGCTTATCGTCATGGCTTTGGCTCTTTCGCTCTGGCACATGTTCTCAAGGTGCTGGCCTTCTGCTCTCGCAGTTCACAGTTTCACCTTCGCGCTGTCGTCATCGTTTCACAGTGTCACTCTTGTGCTGGCATAACTTAACGTGTCTCAGTCGCTACAACGTCTCCTGCTCTGGTGGCTGGTGGAATTTCACCATCGTGCAGCTCCAGGCGGCTTTTCAGCGTTGTCTTAGTGTTCTGTTGTTGGCATTTGTCGGTCGGCGGCTCTAGTTCTGGCTCAATGCGGCTCGGACTGGCTCTTTGCTCTGGCGGTCTGGCAGGTTGGGCACAAACACTTTGCTCGGTGGCGGTCTTTGCAGACGCTTATGCTCAGGCGGAACCAGCTGGATCAGGTTCGGATCGTGTGTCAGCGGTTCTCTTTACCGTGATTCCTGGTGTGCTGATACCAAGTCGACAGCAGATGGAGGAGACATATGACTATTCAAACGAAAGTCCATCCCTCCAAAGCATTCAGGAGTTATTATCCATGCAGGGAGTTGCACCCAAGGGAGCTACCCATACCTTCGGAGAGCTCTTGGACAATGTTTCGTGTCCGTCACAGCTTCATATCCACGGAGACAGGATTCATGAGCGGCTTGCTAAGCCTCCAGCTCGTCATCACCCTGCGTCCTCTTAGTGCATGTACTGAGGGGTTTCCTTTCACTCGGCAGCTTCGTAGCTTACGCTCAGCTTCACGTCTTAGTTACTCGCTCATGCGTTCTTCACACATGGTTTTAATCAGTCTCAACAGTTACGTCGTAGCAGAGGCTTTGCAGCCTCCGCTCAGCAACTTCTGGAATACTGCCTTGCGACAGGACCAGTAGAGCAGACCCCAAAGTGTTTCTCATGCTGGGAATTTCACCCGTGGTTGCGAACCATCTGAGAGAAGGAGCTCCTGAGTAGATTGCGAATCTTTTGCTCGTCATAGCTCCATCCCGTAGATGCATGAAGAGAGGTGTGCTGACTCTCCAACTCGGCAACATAAGGAGAACTCAAGTTGCGTCATGGTAGGAGTGAACTGTGAATGTCTGCTCGCGCAAGACAAGTACTGCTTCCTTGCTTTCGCTCAGCAGTATCAGCATCTCTCGAGTGACCGAATCCTCTGCAGAAGCTGAGAGACGGTCGACTTCTGATGATGAACTAATGGGGTGACAGAGGGGCCTTTTATATTGTTGATATAGCCGGATTGAGTTTCGAAAGATCTCGTCAGAGTTGCATTAGTGGCAAATATCAATGTCGATCAGTGCATAAACGAAAGAGAGAGAGCACTGTCGAAGATTCGAGAAACGTCTCATCATGGGATTGGAAATTGAGATTAATACATAATAACTGGTGCAATATATCTTAGGTTATCCAATTGGTAGATGTATACCAGCATTTTTCTCAATGTGATTCTTTCGAGCTATCGAAGGTTGGCTCGCTTATTGAATAAGGTTCATCGTATCGAGTGGCAAATTGAACTCTAAATATCCTTTGTTATTTCAGAATATGAGAGAACAATTTCTTTTCACCGGACACAATAACAGACCTAACGGTTTTGCTAATCTCCATTTTGAGACAAGTGCAAGCACTGTACCCATAGCCATAGATCTTTCACCGAGGACGTCTCGATCTAGCCAGATCGTCTTGTCTGTCGCAGGTTTGTCAGACGAAGGACGGAAAAACAGCAGGTTTAACAGGAAGAATAGCCTCTGTATGAGGTGAAAAAGCCGGCGCTGGAGCCCGAGCAGATATATCCGTAGCTGAGGTTCGAGTGGAAGGGGCTTGAGAACGTCTGGTTTGGGTCACAAGGTTGACATACATGTAGATGTCATGAAGCGAAGTTGAAGGCGCAAAGATAGACCAGGCAATATCCAGGGTCTCTTGACTGATGTCCATATCATCCAGGATGTCGGGGATGGACTACTGGACATTTGCCATCATGTCTTCGGGCGTGGCCACGAGGGGAGCGCTGAAGTGAGGGGGTTGTGAGCAAGACCAGAGGACAGGGGGCGTTCCAGTGGTTACCGACAATGGCCTTGCAAGTCGAGACGAAGCCATCTGGAAACAAGTGGAATAGGCGACTACAGTACTGTACTGTACTGATCTCCGATTTATCTCCCAGTGTGATTCATACCCAAAGTGGCAATTAGGGTTAGGGGCCACCGACAGAAGCCTCTCATTGTGAAGGTAATCTTAGTAAGCAGATTTTTTAGAAGATTGGATGGTGGTCATGTGACTCGAAAGACTCACCTGAGAATACCTATTTTTTTTTTTTCTGCATATACATTCATTTAATTATAACTTTGCTGTGAAAGAATAACCTTTGAAATGAATGTACGCTTACACGAATATTACTAATTAAACACGTTTAGTGTCATGGTCCAACTTGGCACGTACCTATTTCCAGTAAAAAAATTCATAAAAAAACCTGGTTCAGTCCGTGTTGTATGTTGGTCCACATAGCTTCGCGTGTTTGTTCGTTCATCGGGAAAACGCCACTCCAGTCTCCAGTTCTCTAATCTCAATCCTTCCATTGCCCTCTTCGTTTGCATTGCCTTTGAAAACGTCTCCTTGTGGTTCTTCTTCGTCATTGGTTTGGTTCTGCGTCCCCTGTGGTGACTACGCGCCCTGTTACGCTGTTCTCTCGGTGGCCTCGGCCGCCTCGGCCGCCTTTTACGCTTGCTACTGTCTCTACTCTCGCTCATCGTGAAGTGCTGGCGGTTGTCCATCGTAGAAACACATCTGGGCTTCCTTCCTATTTCTTCAAGTGAGGGGAACCCAGATTAAGGTTACTCAACAAAATGTCATTAATCTGTTGAGTAATTTGACAGATTTAAATGAGAACGTTAAACTTCCCAATTAATTCTTCACAAACGACATGACACACAAACTGAGGATAATGTCCCACAGGTTGAAATAATTATATATAGAGTTAGTTGAATATTAGTAGATATACGCCCCATATATGATCTTTTCGAAGAAAGCTGTTGAGAATATTTAAGCTATAAACAAGCTGTTGAGTAACCTTAAATGTAGTGCCATAAACTTGCGGTGCCATAAACTTGCGGTGCCATAAACTTGTGGTGCCATAAACTTCCCCGATAATCAGGCCACTTTTTACAGAAAATCAGGCCATTTTCACGAAGCTTATTTCGTCGGGCATAAAACAACACCAGAGATATATATCTGGTGTTAGCGTTGATAATGCAGGGACTAATGAGATTAAAACTTTAGTATGTGTGAGAAAATAAAGTGCTTTGTGCGTACCAGGGATAGGGTAGGTAGTGAAATCTGAGTTAGTACATCAACTCTAGACGATGGGCGTCGCCTGTGTAGAAGAACAATAACTCACCCGGTAACTAACACTATTTCTCGGTGGTCAATGCGTCAGAAGATATCAAGACGGTCCGTTTTGCGTTTAAGCCGAGTGAATGTTGCCTGCCGTTAGTAAATTTATTATGAAAAACCCCACTATGAATACATCAGCCTATACTGATATACCAAGAAGTGCAAGGGAGGTGGTCCTGTTCCACCTGAACGCGGTTCCCGACAGGCGGCGGTACTGAAGGGCTTTGTGAGAGAGGTAACGCCGATTCTCTCTGCAGTCGTAAGACCCAGGTGGTGTGTCCGAGGCAGTATCGCTTTCCCAACTCTAGTAACCTCGGTAGTGTGAGACACACTACCCCTAACGGTAGGACAGCCGGACGACGATGGCGCAGCAATTGGCGAACGCTGTTATAAAACAATTCACTTACGTGCAATGAAAGTTGTTTGGGCAATAAACAATAAATGTATTAGAGCCAGACGATAGACAACAATCCAGCAGATGATGAGCAGGAAAATTGAGTAAGATCGACGTGGCAAGAAGAGTTACAGTTACGCAGAGTTAATAAGGTGTTGGGAGATTAGAGTTACCCTGTCGGATGACTAACTCTCCAGAGCGAGTGTTACATATGCACTACTTCGAACCAAAAAAAAGAACATCGTCAAAATTGGAGTTGAATGGAGTCGAATTCGTGGTTTTATATAATCCATCTTGATACGAACCCCGCACGTAAAAATCAGGCCATAATTTAAGGTGGCATATTGGCTATAGCTTAATTGTCTGTTTGTGTAATATAAATATACCCCCGATTTACAGATTCTCCAGAATCCTCTATTCATGTTAACCATCATCGCCAAGAATCCGCCAAGTACGTGTTTCGTCTCTAACACTGAAAAAGACGGCTTCTTTTTGTCGCCGGCTAAGAAAGAGGCGGCTTGAGTGAGTATTTATGCTTTCTTCCGTTCGACTGGCACCACTGGGGACTTTTTCGCGTCGTTGTGAAACAAGTCGTGTGTTTGTGACACAAACAGCGTGACACACAACATCACACAACATCAAACAACACTATGGAAGATCACGGTATCATTACAACAACCGATGACGCTTCAATTACAGTCACTGTCGCCATGACCGCCAACTTTTTTCTACGACTGATACCCACAGTCAATCCATGTGAAACAAACACAACACCAAGTGACACAAACGCGACACAAAAACGGCACAATAGTGACACAGGCAAACAACATACTACAGGTATCTATGTTTCCAGCACCTTGATCGCCGTTCAACCAAGTGTCTCAGCTCAAGAGGAGTCCCCACAGTTGCCATGTCTTCTCCATCACATTTTTTCAACTTACTAACACAGATGGGCGTCCTACGATCTAGTTACTACCATAGGTAGCACTAGTCATAGACGGGTGCTTCCCGAAGAGCTATGAGCCAAACGACTGCGTCATCCGAGGGTGTCGGATAGGCACCAGTCAGGCCAGAGTCTCCAGGGGGGCATCTCAATCCCAGGGAGGAATTTACTTTGTTTACAGGGAGGGTGTGCGTTAACCATGCCCAGGTTCCAAGCATGCTATGAACTCAGGGACAGAGTCTCATAGGGAGTGCCCCGGAAACCCCGTGTCTACTGACGATTTTCGTCTTTAGATACGACGCTACAACCCAGTCAGTTTCAAACCAACTTGCAATCACCCTTCGCGTCCCAAGAGGGGAGTCTGATTGTACAGAGACGAAACCAGACTAGCGTCACTCACGTTCTCGGCGGAACCGGTTTGTGAGATTTACTTTTTTACTTGCTATCGATGATAATTTTGGCACTGGTGATGTTGGAGCATAGACGTTGGTGCTCTTGGTGGTGGAAGGGAGGAGTGGATTCGGGGGGACTTGTTTGCAAGACAGGAGGTGTGGGGAGAGTGAGGGGTGGTGGGTGGTGGATGGTAGATGAGGGGAGTTGGAAGGGGGTGGTGGATGGTAGATGAGGGGAGTTGGAAGGTGACGAGGGCTGGAAGACGAGGGGAGTTGGAAGGTGATGAGCAGTGGAAGATGGGGGGTGGTGGGAGGCCGTCAGCCTTGGATTGTGGCTGCTTGGAGTGTGTGACGGAGAAATCAGCCGTGGATTGTGGCTGCTTGGAGTGTGTGACGGAGAAATCCTGGAACCTTCGGGTTGTTTGGCCTTCTAATCACATCCGTGTGTGGGGGAGAAAGCACTTGAACCTTCGGGTTGCGTGTCCTTCTCAATCACATCCGTGTGTGAGGGGAAAAGCTCTGGAACCCTCGTTCTCAATCACCTCTGTGTGCGAGGGAGAAAGTGCTCGAGTCTTCGGGTTGTGGTCTTCTCAATCACATCTTCCAGGGATGATGGAGGGGATGCCGGGAGAGGGATAGGGCATTCTATGGGGAAGTTGGGATGGTGTGGGTGGGATATATAATTAATGTATTAATTGTCTTGAAGCACTGTATCTTGTTTTCCAAGTATCAGATGTCGTAATAGTCACAATGCGGAGCAGCGTTTTTTAGACCTAATGTAAATCATCTACGATCCGTTCTCACGGTCATATACAACCCACGTATTGAACTCTTCGAAAGGCTTACTGACCTGAGTCATCCTTGCGGGATGGAAATAGGTAGGGGTCGTTTATGGAACAACGGCCAAGAGAACTGGCGCTGGCATCAGATAATGGGTACGCTCAGATACTACCAGATCCTAACACCAACCTACACCTTTTTCTCCTGTCCGATTCTTGGAAACAACATTCAACATTATTTACTTCCAGACACTATAACCAGCCTGAATAGTTTTTTCCAGACAGACCTCGAAACCACCGATAGTCATATTACGACAACTCGTATATCTGTAGTTGGTGCCAATTCACACGTCGATCAGTGCCAGAAGTTCTGATGTGGCTAATCTTATGCAGCAGAATAAAGCCCTCTGGATGGCATCGAACTTTGATCTCGTCATGTATCATCTCAGTCGCTCTTTTTGGGGAGGGGGTCTCTTTTTAGTCATTACGAGGTGGATTCCAAATACAGTACCTAAGAAAGTTGATTGATAACCGTGTAATGATTGGACCGGTAGATGTTTTTGGGAAAAGCCAGTACAAGTACAAGGGCTGGATCTGTTACTACTTGTCTCACATTATTTCCTTGATTTTTGGTTTTCGCAATGATAACTCTGCATCTAAAATTCTGACCACATGCTCAGGCAGATCAGGTCGCGTATTTTAAAGAACAATTCCCTAAATCCCTCAAAAATTACTGCAATTTGTTAATTTGTTTTACGAAGCTCTCAATAACACCATTATAGATACAGCAAATAATATAGATACAGCAAATAATATGTTACAATCATGAGAAATCTAATTAAATCACCAACAGCTCACTGCCCACATTCACAAAGTTTCATTTATATGCACTCCGTTGCATTATCTCAACCTTAAAATATATTGATAGTTGTGACATCTATTCAATACAATTAGAAATACATATAGGATAAGGGATTATATCCTGGGAATATACATCGTGTATATTTTATATTTTTTTCCTATTACGGTAAAACGACTAACAAAACATACAAATTAAGGTGAAGAGCCGCAACATTATACCACAATGTCTGAATGCATTCCCACCTTAGCTTATTCTGAAGATGTTTGTGGTCTTCTATTCTTCTTCCTTATCTCTCCTCACTTTACGAAATCATCTACTACATCATTCACGACACTTCTACGACTATATTACGACACATCTTCTACGACTAGATGAACGGGCATCGACTCGTTTCAGGTGGGCTTTTCGGTGAGTTTTCACGATCCCTAGCTCTTTGTGTCTGTGTCACTTCAAGTGAGCGGTCAACGAGCCATGTGCTGATTCCACGGAAGCCTTTGAAAACTCTAGAGCGATACTAACACAGCGGAAGGTAGCCTTGGCTCCCCTCCATTTGGCACATAGTGCCGGTGGAGGACCCACTCTGTAAGGAGGTTACAGAGCCAGGGCCGGAAAGCAGGTGATGCAGCGTTGGGGTGGTGGAAAGTTCCTCCCAAGGCCCTATAGAGCAGCCTCGTTTCCGTTCCTTGGAGTCTACCACGGATCAGGGTCGTCTCAGCTTCTTCTGGCAGTTTTGAATAGGAAGAAACGTCGTGAGACTCGATTGGGAAGGGGAGTCCCCATCCCTCTAGTGTCTCAATTTCCTTTACAGAAGATTGCCCGAGGCGGTGGATTCAGCCAGACCTCCGGAAACCGGAATCTCGCAGAGATGCCACTTTTCTTACCTTTTGACCACGCCCCCCAGCCTCACGTGGTCTAGGTCTGACGCTTCTTTCCAGTGATGCAAGTAAGTCTCGGGTGCCCCCCAGTGCTCTTTTTTTTTTCTTTCGGGTGTTGGCTCTATTAGCGGTGTTGGCTCTTTTTGCGGTGTTGGCTCTTGTTGGGATGTTGGCTCTTTTGCGGTGACGGCTCTTTTTCAGTGTACTAAACACAATGTCAGTTGTGTGGTGGGGTGTCGGATTATTGCGGTGTGGGCTCAGTGGATTTTTCACTACTTTTTTATTTGCGCGTCAAGCACAACGGGGGACTGGCTGCCCTGATGAGACCAAACCCATGACTAGCGTCGAAACATCAACAGTGGGGGCTGTTGGTGTCGGCAGCCACTAGTCATAAACTTCGACTATTTTCGAAGTATCAGTAGTGGGTGCTGCTTGGTACTTTGAAAATAGTTGTACAGTATATATATTAGGGAATTATATAGCAAAATAAGAATTTATGGAGTATAAAAGGAGGATTTTCCAAGTTTTTTCCCATAAGATGAGTAATATATTACCGAATCAGGAAATTTTCATTGTTGATATTGAAAAGTTTATATACTCTTTCGTATACCTTTAAAGAAGTGAAGCTACTTGCATTCCATGCCACTTATCTACAATTCAGCACAACTACTTTTACAGAAACACTACAGGCGATGATTTGGGTGGGACTTCATGGTCCATAATATATTAACCCCAGAGGTTCAGCTCAGTGCTTACATCCTCTTGTTGTATAATCTAAAGGTTCGGCAGGTGTACATCCTCGTAGCGAGGTTCCACGCCTACATCCTTTCTGAATGCGAATCTGATCGTTGGATCTCCGACTGCTCGAATGATTCTTACTGGCTTTGCAGCACTTACTGGCTCTTGGATGATCGTATGGCTCCGTAGCTCTCATCACATATTCTTGTTGCTCTTATTGGCTCAGGCTCAAAGGCTCTGGCTCTCATTGGCAAGAAACACTTAGCTCTTATGGGCTCATCGGCACTCACTGGCTTATCGCCATGGCTCGGGCTCTTACTGATTGGCTCTGGCCCATGCTATCAAGGTGCTGGCATTCTGCTCTCGCAGTTCACAGTTTCACCTTCGCGCTGTCGTCATCGTTTCACAGTGTCACTCTTGTGCTGGCATAACTTAACGTGTCTCAGTCGCTACAACGTCTCCTGCTCTGGTGGCTGGTGGAATTTCACCATCGTGCAGCTCCAGGCGGCTTTTCTGCGTTGTCCTAGTGTTCTGTTGTCGGCATTTGTCGGTCAGCGGCTCTAGTTCTGGCTCGTTGCGGCTCGGACTGGCTCTTTGCTCTGGCGGTCTGGCAGGTTAGGCACAAACGCTTTGCTCAATGGCGGTCTTCGCAGACGCTCATGCTCAGGCGGAACCAGCTGGATCAGGTTCGGATCGTGTGTCAGCGGTTCTCTTTACCGTGATTCCTGGTGTGTTGATACCAAGTCAACAGCAGATGGAGGAGACATATGACTGTTCAAACGAAAGTCCATCCCTCCAAAGCATTCAGAGTTATTATCCATGCAGGGAGTTACACCCAAGGGAGCTACCCATACCGTCGGAGAGCTCATGGACAATGTTTCATGTCCGTCACTGCTTCATATCCACGGAGACAGGATTCATGAGCGGCTTGCTAAGCCTCCAACTCGTCATCACCCTGCGTCCTCTTAGTGCATGTACTGAGGGGTTTTTCTTTCACTCGGCAGCTTCGTAGCTTACGCTCAGCTTCACGTCTTAGTTACTCGCTCATGCGTTCTTCACGCACGGTTTTAATCAGTTTCAACAATTGCGTCGTAGCAGAGACTTTGCTGCTTCCGCTCTGCAACTTCTGGAATACTATCCTGCGACAGGACCAGTAGAGCAGACCCCAAAGTGTTTCTCATGCTGGGAATTTCACCCGTGGTTGCGAACCATCTGAGAGAAGGAGCTCCTGAGTAGATTGCGAATCTTTTGCTCGTCATAGCTCCATCCCGTAGATGCATGAAGAGAGGTGTGCTGACTCTCCAACTCGACAACAAGAGAAAGCTCAAGTTGTGTCCTGATAGGAGTGAAGTGAATGTCCGCACGCGCAAGACACGTACAGTTTCATAGCTTCCGCTCGGCAGTGTCAGCAGCTCTCGAAGTGACCGAATCCCCTGCAAAAGCTGAGAGACTGGTCGATTTCTGATGATGAACAAACAGGGGGATGGAGGGGGTTAATATAGAGCTGGAGGAGAGTAATAAGTTTCGAAAGACCTCGTCAGAGTTGCATTAGTGGCAAATATTGCTGTCGATCACGGCATGGACGAAGGAAAGAGAACTTTGTCAAAAGACAGAGAACCTTGTCGAAAGAAAAATATGAGAAAGAAAACCAGAGATGATGTGAGACGGTGATGGGAGCGTACAATAGATGGTACACAGATGAATCACAAAAATATCAGAATATTTTGGTAGTATATAGACCGTAGCCATTGTAGAGATGAACCAAGACCTATGACGAAATTAAGGTTATGCGAATACGATGATGAAACTTTCTTTTTTACTCGAACATTCTGTCATTGAAGAACATTCCACAGGGTGAGAAGGCGATTGTAACATGAGTTTCGAAGATTTTCGATATTCATATGAAATTGGAAAGGATATCAAACTTCATTCTGTAGCCTTCTATCCTAGAATTCATGGTAGTTTTGGTTGGTTGGATGTGGTATTCCGTTTGTTTGTTTTTACTTGAAGAATACAAAAGGTCGAGGACAATATCTGACGTCTTAAGAGCAGAGAGGGAGGCTGGTAGACACTGTTTCAAATGACAAAAGTAAAGTCGCTGTATGGCAGCGGAAATTGAGTACCCAAGACACGAGGTGTATCCTACAGACCCACCCAACTGTGATCTCTCTGGAGCTTAGACTGAAGCTGATCGAACTAGAAGCCGTGTTTGCGCATAAATAGATGTCATATTTTCACCTGGACATATAAATGCTCGATTTGGTGACCTGCTGAGTCCATCGGTGGCAAGGTCAGCTGGTGCCCGTGCTCAGTGCGCGCCATCTTTTGCCGGTTTGAAGTTTGGGAAGAACTCACGGAGTAGAGCTTTCAAAGAACAGTTACATGCATCTCTCTAAGATGCCTCGGAATGTCTCTGTTCTACTAATTTGCTATTAAACTCAGCATATTGGAGTTGTAGTTGCACTCGTTGATAAGGAGTCCCGGGCTAGGTTACAATAGCGTTTCTCGATAGATGCCAACAGAAATACGAAGACCATCAAAAGTAAAAAGGAGGATTGTGTTGGTGGTTTCAATTATTTTGCATCAAACTGCTTATTTATATGTTTTTACCTACTGTACTGTACTGTACTGTACTTGTAATGCAATGTACAATAGTTCTGTCAAGTCCACCGGACATACAAAGACCAAAATACAACTCAATTCAATTCAATTAATTAATGTGGCTAGTAAACACCCTGCTTTCTAATCTAATTGTCCACCTTTGTGACCTGCACTCCTTCTTCGGACTCAACCTCCTCCCCCTGGAGTCTCTCAATGTGGGAAATTGTTCTAGTGACTCCATGAGCTGCCATCTGCTTATTCTCCGTCTGGCTCTGCCATCTTCGCAGCTTCCAAGTTTGTCCGGTACAGTCCCAGTACAAGCCTCGGAGGGTCTCGAAGATACCCTGTCGCGACTCCCACAGGGGGTAGATAATCACCATGATGGTTGAGAAGAAGATCCAGACAAAGCCGACTGCAACCCAGCCGGTGAAAAACTTCTTGGAAAAGACGTAGCCCGTTCCATACATTGTCATAGGCCAGAGGACCAGCAGACAAACTGCCATGACGATGGTAATAATTCGTGAGATTTTGGCGTACTTGTCGAGCAGCGCTTTCTCAGCAGGATCCAGTTCTTCGATATGGATGGGAGCTTCATCAGACAGAGAGTCATCGACTTCGTATTCGGCCACCATTCCGTTCTCAGGAGCGGAGGATTCCCCAGTAGACTTGTTGGGGGCATTTGCCTGCTTCTTTTCTCTGATGGAAGCGACTTCGTCTGATCCTCCAAGCTCTTCTACCGCATCCACCTTCCAGAACTCTGAATCGTCGGCTCGAGTGATTTGCTTGAACTTTTCAAAGTCGTAATTGTCCATTCCGAAGATGAGAGTGAATAGTGGGATGGTGATAGCTGGAGTCAATAGGGCCACAACGTTACCAGCAAGCATTGGGAGGTTGGTGCCGGCTGTTTCGACGTTGATTTCGCCCTCCAGACTCTTGGTAGTGACCAACCACGCGGTGATGGCAAAACAGAATCCCAGGGGAGGGGAGAGGACTGCGGCCCAGAAGTTGAGACCGCTCCATAGGAGAGTGAGGACGGCGGGAATTACCGCAGCCGAAATGATACTGCCCATGAGCAGATAGAGGAAGCCCATCGACACACCAATGTAGTAGAGTCCAATGGCGAAGCAAGCGGTGGCCACTCCAAAGACCACCACTGCGGCGTGAGATGCCATAATCAGTTTCTTACCGGTGGCCTTGGGGTTAATGTAGCCCTTGTAGATGTCGTAGGTGAAAATGGTGGAGACCGAGATGAGCTCCGAAGAATAGGCCGAGGTCACGGCCATGAACACCATAACCAGCGCACACCCGGCTCCGGCCTTGCCCAAAAGAGCAACGGCTGCTGCAGGGAGAGTCAAGCCGGCATTTACGTCTTCAGCAGATAGACGGCCAGGGTAGCCTGGGAAGGAAGGAGTGCCCTCGAGAGCAAGACAAGCCAGGCCCATGGTTGTAGCGCACAGCCATGGGATGGCAAACCAAGCCAGACCTCCAAGCACATATCCGGGAAGAGCAGCAGCGGGAGAGGCGGCAATGGCCTTGTTCCAGTATCCGTTGTCAAGAAAGACGGTTCCAAAACCTCCGATAATGTTCATGACAAAAAAGATGGCTCCATCATAAGACTTGATGGTCAGATAGGAGCCCTGCTCGTTGCCCTTGACAGGGAGCTGGAGAGCTCGTTCAACCAGAAGATCGTAGACTTTGCCGGGCGAACCAAGAACTTCGTGGTTTGAGTAGGTGGTGAAGGCAAAGAGAATGATCATTATCAACAGCACAATGTTGTTGATGTAATCGGTGATAAAGGTGGCCTTGATGCCTCCAAACAGAGTAAACAAAACCACTCCAAGAGGAAGAAGAATGCAAGCAGCCGCTACATGCATTCCGGTGAGATCGTTGACTACGGCGGAGCCGCCGGTCAGAAGCATCAGAGTCACCAGAGTGTTGGTCATGAGCGCAAATACCATGAAGACCGCATGTCCAGCAGGTCCGAACCGCATCTTGACTACTTCCAAATAAGTATGAGCTCCCGGAGCTCTTCGTTTGAGTTCAATAGCCAATGTGGCAAACAGTACAACCTGGGTAGTTGCTCCAGTAGCGTACCAAAGAGGTCCAGACACTCCATTCTTGTAGGCTTGAGAGGAGGACTGCAGAAGAGTGGCTGCCCAAGTCCATGAAGATACCACCGACGCGGCAATCAGACCAGCCTTGACCGATCGAGAGGCAGTAGAAAATTCCTCTGAAGACATGACTTCGCGCTGGTATCGTCGTAGTGCCCAGGTGATGAAGACCATCACCACGGAAAATCCTAGACCGGCGCCTAGAACGACTCCATAGCCTGTTCCTTGAGATAGAGGTACATCGATCATATTGTTGTAGTGTTTTTTATTTTCATTTTGTGCTCCAACACGCAAAATATATATACAGACGTGTCACGGATCGAGTCTCATTGATAGCAGATAAGCCCTGCAGGCCCGCGATACGGGCTACTGAGGAGGAAGAGAGCCAAGAACATTGTGACAGCCAATCGGATACGTTGGATAAACCGTTCAGATAAGAGTGATATTATTTGAAAGGACTCTGGTGATTACTTCAGTCGGTTTATAGCTCATTATCCTTGCACATTTTAGATGTACCGACTTTTTCCAACTGAAGATCAACATTGTAGACACCCACGACATCATCATGAACACTATCACGTACAGTAAACTCCCTGATCTTGATTGTAGTTAAAGTTAACTGTAACGGCGATAACTTACGACACGACGCGACATCTTGTGTTAATTGTCCCAAGACTTCTCGTTTTCCCCAAGCCCCGAGACTGCTTATCACAGCAGTCCATGCCGCAACTCAATGTTTATTAATGGGATCGGAAAAGTCGGAAAAATCGGGAAAATCGGAACAATCGGCAAAACAGACTTGGCCATTGTATAGCTCTCGTTTGTCAGTGTCCTGAATGGCTGTTTTCATATCCTCGACTCCATCAACAAATGCCAATATGGCTTATCTCTAACTGCACCAGTGATAGGCGAGCGATAAGCGTGCATCTATGGTGTGGTGCAGCTGCTTGTGTGATAAGGTTAAAGGTCGTTTTTAAAGATAAACAACAATGGACTTTTACGATACTATAATTGTAACAGCTTGGAAATAAATAAACGTTGATTAATTATCCCCAAAAAATGATCTATTAAAAGATAATCATCTCATACAGTTTACCGTATCTGGGTCCCTCGAGTACTGGTTCGAATAAGGTTTGATCTAACAGACACGATAATTATTAACACGTTTACTTGTGTTGATGCAGCTGTTACCGCGCGCCAAGAGTCATGGAGCAGTGGAGACCATGATAGCAGTTATCACTGTGTAACAGTGAGGTCGTTAAACATTTAATGTTTTAAATCTTTTAAATGTTTAATCTTTAAATGTTTTAATGTGTTAAATGTTTAATTTTATTTTTTTAATATTTAAATGTTTTTAAACGTCTTAAATCTCATAAATGTTTTAAACCTTTTAAACCTTTTAATGTTTTATATGTTTCAAAAGTTCTTGACATGTTTTTGCTACCAATATGGTAGAAGACCACGGAAGATCAGTACAGAGTACAGAGTACATACAGCACGTATCGTATTACTACCATCTGGTAAAAATAGAATATCACATTAGTTTTTCCCATTACTATCATTTGGTATAAATAGAATATAATCGGAGTTTCTCCCATTACTCGATAAAATCATAATGTTGATCCGGCAGATTGTGTATCTGAATCTCTTTCTGGTGTGTGCTACTATCGGAACGTGTCCCTATATGTCGGTTGCAAGAGGTGGCATCGGATCAGTTATACACTGGCTCCCAGACCTCCAAACCACCGCTAAATGGAGTGGAGCACGTTCTCAAGCAGTACATACTATACTGTAATGTTAACTATTACTTGCAATGAAGAAAATGGAGTAAAGGAGTCGGCTTTTCGATCATCATTGTGGTTTTTGAATACGATCACAGGTATGTATAACATGACGTTGTTTGTTGTTACATTATTTCGTTGTATATATCTCAACTCCAGACTCATTGTTCTCACTACAGTCAGATTTACTTTCGTTGTCATCCTCTCACTCACATCATCGTCGCCTCCACTGAGGTAGAGAACGACTCTCATTATCTATTCCATATTCAGCACTTAGTCGTACATCAGCCCCTTTGAACGAGACATTCGGGTCCTCCATGATGAATCGAATGGCTCTGGCCATGACGGACATTACTGACGAGAATAGCTCGTGACCCAACATCTGCTGAATATCAAGATGCCCAAGCAACAGACCCAGACAACTCGCGGAAACGATCACAACTCACGGAAACGATCACAACTCACGGAAACGGGCTTCTCGAAATTATTCTAGAGAGCTCACTACATCGTAAGTCTGGTTCCAACTCCCATCGATTCATGTGAGCTCTACAAGTACAATAGCGGCATGATCGAGACAGAAACGAGCTTGAACGATCCTGTAGAGGGTTCAAAAGAAAATGTAGTTGATAAAGCTCACATATCTTACAGTTTTCTCGCGAGCGGATATAGACAGTCGATCTCAGTAAAGAGCACATTGCCGTTTTAATATGTAATAGCATATCTTCTGCTGAAAATCGGATTTTTTTTCACTGATTGATTTAGACAGGCATGCTACGACTCACAGTGTGCGGTGTGCTTCCTGAATTGGGTGAGCCATTTCTGTTAAACTAAAGTCAATTGATTCGATTTCGAGAGAATATAACAGCCAGTTCGAAATGATGTGAAGGTCTTGTGGTAACATTATCTTGAACATTCTTTACAATGTTCACTTCTGACGATGTTCGACGCTAGTCATGGATTTGGTCAGGCTGGAGTGTTGAAGGATCCATCTGGGTAACACCTGACCAATTCATCATTGTATCTTCAGGCTGCTTTCCGGGTGTACTAGTCGATCCATCTGTGTGGCCACTGATTCCATCTCTTCCCCAAATTGGTTAGTTACCTCTGGTTCGTTCGGCCTTTGCCTTGCATCAGGTCCATTCGTTCTTCTTGACTGGCTGTCATTCCTAGTACCCCCGTGGCTAGTCTTATCCCGCTCTTGGACGATTTCTCGACTCAGTATTGTCATTCTGGACAGGAAGGCGTGGAGTTGGCCTCATCACCTCAAGAGTGGCTGGTTTCGGACATCCAAGACAACTTCAGACATGAATGGATGTTCCAGCAATGAATTCTTGCATAGGTCTATCGGCTCGATAACTAATCAGACCGCTCGAGGACTCATCATATCGCTCAATAACTCATGAGACCGCTCGACGAGAGGTCTCTCCATCGTCTTCTGATATTGGGGATATCAGTCTCCTTGTCAGAAGCATTAAGTAGCTCTCTCGTGCGCACTGAAGATGTATCACTAGTGGATGGACTTTCAAAACCTGGAGGGCGTCGTTGTTCTTGAAAAATACAGGTTCTGGTCTCAGATGATCAGGGACGATCATCGATAGGCAACAAGACTTCTACTTTCACAAACTTCCACGAGTGAGTTAGTAGGACATAACTCGAGCACTGGAGACTGGAAAGAGCGTTAGATCTTTACCACGTGACCTCATATGACCCAATTGTCATGTTCGCTAGTTCTGAAAGAACTCCTGCCCCGAAATATGCCGGCGTTATATATGTATATTGTGTTATATATATATATATATATATATATATATACTGCGATGGCTTTTTATAAGGTTGTGATAACGTCACCAGGAGCATAATCTAAACTCTGATTTATATATACCTACATATATATTTATATATATATATATATATACTGGGGCATCGCAGACACCTGACCTACAGTCATTTACATGTGAGCTCATACCATGATTTTTAGACTGCCAAGGGGTCTATAGGTTAAGCGAAACAAGTCTGGAAAGGGCCTCTTCGGTTGTTCCGACACTGCTGTTCAATAGTGATAATTGTACTCTGCAGTTTTCATTTCTGTTACTGTACTTTACTGTACTGTGTACATGATTATTGAGGGCTGGCTGGCTGCGGTGATTGAGAAAAGATTGCCGCTGGTGACATATGTCCTTCTCGCGCCTCCAAATCACCTGTGTTTATTCTGAAACCAGACGTTGTAGTGTTTTGTTGTCCGACAGACTAAGCGAAGATAATTACACATAGGTTGAAGACACAGCATGGAGAGAGAAGAAGCCAGCTTGGTAGGTAAATAGCTGTAATTAATCATTAGAGTAATAAAAATAAAAAATCTTTAGGTCATTTATTTTACCGATTACCGCTTCTTCGTTACTCAGCAGCCCTGTACCGATTATTTGCGTTGTTTGAAAGATTCTGGATATAAGGAGATTCTCCGTGAATAAAACACTCATTTAAGAACACACATCTTTTCCATAGTAGAGCAACAGACCTGATACGTGTATCACCGACATGATATCTTCAGTCGACCAACCTACAAGTATGTACAGGACCCTTGATTTTTATAGAAGTATATTCCCGAATATATTCAAATCGTTTGATACATTCCAGGTTTAGTTTATATACAATTCAAATCAAGAGCTGAACGATTGCACTCGTCCCTTGTTTTACAACCTCACAAAGTAATTGTAGTATGTGCTAAGCTGCAGCTCTTCTCAATAATTATTGCCTACAATTATCATTAGTTTTCTTTATACCATAGGTCGTAGCTTTCGCTCCACCTGAACCATTCTAACACAGTATCGACCTGAGATATTGGATAGCTCACAAGTTTTTGAGCTCTGTTTCTAGAGACCTCAGTATATCTGAACCTCTTACAGATGTCTCCACATATTCGCCAGTATACATTTGCTTACAGAGATGCTAAAAATTCCTGACTTTCGATACTGAATTAGTAGCCATAATGTGAGATCTATTGGAACGATTAATATCATCGATACAGTACCAATGATATCAGCATTCTTTCAATGAACTTCTTATGCTTCTATCGTGATAATCCGGCGAGTAATAGTCCTATGGAATGTTTACCACACAGAGAGACACATGAGCTCCACTGAGTCAGGATAGTTGTAGGACTCATGGTATCATATTCTAAATAATGACAACTTTTTGAATATTCTATTGTTGAGTATATCTCTTGCTTCTCCGTTTGGTCAATTACTTTTCAGTACAATTGGATAGTCACAACTGGCACAACAACTTTCCATCGGTCCAAACAACATCCATAATACCAAACTACAAAATGATTTTATATCAATATACAAGATTTTGGTGCTAATAAATTCTTTTCTTTGAGCAAGGGTCAGTGCTGTTCAGGTTGCTGTGGCCAAGTCAAGAAATTCACAGTTTCGAAAGTACACTCGGCACCATCGGTGTGAAAAACTTCTCAGCAGTATTATGGAGCATCTCATGATGATTTATTGGTCTCTGGTTATTGGTATAATTAATGTTTTGTATTTTTGTCAATTGATTCATTTCTTTATCATTAACTACGCGTATTTCACATTTAAATGAAATTTATTCAGTTTTTCCTCTCTCTTTCGTGGTGACTTTTTCGGCAGACTACAATGGAGTCATACTTGCTGAATATAATACCAGAAGATATGAGGAGCATATGGAGATGTTTATTACAAGTGTAGCTTTTTATTGATTATTGTCTTCAGCTTCTATCCAATTTATTGATGACTTTTCAACGGCATCTCATACCCTGAAAATCCCTGGATCTGTGGAGGCTTCAAAAGCGCAATAGGGGATCATAGCAGTAAGTGAGTACTGTCCAGAAGGAGTATAACATGTCCAAATATGTTTTTGGAACAAGTCTTGTTTTTGTAGGTAACTCATCAGTTTTTGTTTTTGTTTTTTTTGTGTTTTTTTTGTGTTTTTTTGTGTTTTTTTGTGTTTTTTTGTGTTTTTTTTCCAGTATTATCTCCATATATCGGATGTCGCATCACGTATGGACAAGACAGGTCGCAATAAAATCCAAATAGGACAAATTACTGTTCATTATAAGACGACTATCATTTATCGTGAGAGAATATTGTATTCATCTGGAATTTATTCTGAACATGAAGCCGTTTTATGATGTAGTAGTTGTTGTTAATACAGTTGCTCAACACGCCCAGGTCGACTTTTCACGAACTCCATCTTTTTCTCCCTCCACATCCATATCAAAACTACCATACCGTTTGTCGACATCAACCAACCCTTACCATCAACAAATTCCATCGTCAAAACACTCAGGGTATCAGTAGTTGAGCAGACTAGGTCTGGCTCGAGTCGGAGCTTCGGAAAGAGATCCATTCTTGTGATTCTCCTAATACTGAGACAGTAACTTACTAGTTCAAGTACGTACTATACTTGTAGACTCTCGTACTCTCGTACTCTCGTACTCTCGTATCGTAAAGTCACAGACTGGTTGGTTGTATTTGCAAACGCTTCTTCACCTGCTGTGAATCTTGGAACATCTTTCTTGAGCTCAAGTGTTTCCAATACAGTCCAGTTCCACGGGAGTAAGACATGTGCAGTTCATTGCAACCCCTTTACTTTTGTAACACTGAATGGTTCATCAATTCTTACAGATACTCGTCGTAGTCCACCGAGATTTACTTTCTTCGAATTGAGTCTAAATACCCTATAAATTGGTACCAAAATGACCGCCTTGTACTGCTGCTTACGAATCTGCAGGCTTAATGCCCACACAACGTACTTTACACTGGTATCTGTCCAATTTTTTCACCACCGCCAAATAAGCTCGGCAACCTTTCTCCCAATTGCCATCGGTCTGCATACAGCCTGTCCAGATCACACTGATTGTTACACCCGACAGAAATGAGCGAAGTGAGTATGAGCGGATGGAGGGAGCGGAAAAAAAAAGGCGTGGGAATGTCACGTGCCATGGGTGAGAGCCGCTTTTGAGTCACGTGCCCTGGGGTGGGGAGGGGGGTGGATCATGTACTTGTTCGGGCCACCACTAACACCAGTTCCAACTCGTGTCGACCGAGCTATCTTCCAAGTCTGCCGAGCAGCAGTCCGTCAAGGCCCAGATCGAGTCTGCCAACCGACAATTGCGACTCATTGACCTTTCGCGCCAGCAGCTGGAGACTGAGAAGTCCGACGTGGTGTGGCAAGGCGTCGGCAAGATGTTTGTCAAGAAGGACAAGACCAGCTACCTGGAGGAGCTGACCAAGGACAAGAAGAAGGGCGAGGAGGCTCTCGACACTCTCAAAAAGAAGCTGACCTACGTGGATGTTTCTGTGGAGAACGCCCGAAAGCGTCTAGAGCAGCTACTCAAGGCTGCTGGTCAGGAACAATGAACGGAACAGACGTGAGCCAGGAAAGACTTTGAGGGTGAGGCGAAAGAGGTGGATGAGTCATCTGGTTGGTTTTCATTGGTTCTTGTACCAATCAATGGGATTCACTGTTAGTTGCCATGCTGGTACTGAATTACGTCTGATTTGTGGCCATGAATGATCCTACAACAGCCCGTACCACGGCTCGACCTTGAAGGCCATAATGAATCAGGTTGAATAGAAATGAATGATGATGTTATGATTGCAACAGGTTTGGGTGGAATCGTAGCGAGGGATGAGTCGCACCCTGGTTAGGGAGTAGTGTTCCAAGCCACGCGGCGGTTAGATTGTAACTAAATCGAGTACACCGTCTAGGTCTAACACTCCTTCACTCGCAATACATTAATCTATACACCCCTATTTCAATGAGAACAGTCGTGGATTGCCCTCGTCGTGGCAATCAAAAGATCGATACGTAAGACCCATTCTTAGCAGATTGGGTGGTACCACGGGACTGGCCCTTTGTGTGACGGGTCACTAGTGGCTGCGTTCGCTTAAACGGCCGAGTAACCAGTTCGACTGCTGCCGGTAAAAGTACCCACCACCTTGGCAATCAGATCTCGGATCAGGTAGGGGACATCTCTTAGGGAATCGGCATGGGGAAGAAGGTCGACACCAGCGTTGCCGTATCGATCATAGTTGATCCAGGCGTTGCCAATGATGTATACCGCCACTCCCAGTACAATGATGATGAAGAGCCAGGTGAACCATCCCCACGATGGGTTTCCGTTGCTGGCGTCGTCCCCATCATTGGGGGTCTTTCCGGGCTCCTTGACGGGCTGCTTGGGCTTGGATCCGTCGTTGATGCAAGCTGCGGGAGTCTTCCAGTTGATTTCGTAGTAGTTGTTGAGACCCAATCCCACGTTCTCGAGCTTGGGGCCCTCCTCCTTATCCGAACAGATGTAGTTGACGTCGATATCCAGTTTCTCACTACCCCAGGGGTTTCCGTACGATGTAGAAAGGCCCTCTGTTCCCTCCGGGCCTGTTTTCAAAGGCTGGTACTGAGGAGCAGGACCGTTGCCGAACGGCATCACCTCAGACAGAACGAAATCCTTCTCCTTGGGCAGCAAGATGTAGCCCAACCCGCACACAATGGTGTTATCCGGACACTGCTCGTCCGCAGGTTTCTTCTTATCCTGTTTGAGAGACGCGCACGGATCGAGCACAAACTCCATCTTGCGCTTCGACGGAGGCGTCTCTATGGTGTATTCGACCGATTTGGGGCCGGAGATGGCGGACAGATCGTAGTTTTTGCTGTCGACAGTGAACTGACAGGAGGCTGCGGCCACAGCCACGGCCATGTATCCAATTATAGCGCTTTTCATGGTGGGGTGCAAAAGGTGAAGTTGGTTGTGGGATAAGATTATCAACGTGAGCACGAGGTTTATTTGGAGGGGTCGGCACGAGTCCGTCGAAAGTGATGTTTGCGACGAGTGAGGAAAAAATCGAGGCTCTTTGGGGGTTATTGGGGTCCTTTATATATCTTTATGCCTTTTCTTTTTTGGAAACCCGCCCAAACCCGCTTTTTCACACCAACTTTGTGTTTTTTGGCCTACTATCTGGGTCATGTGACCTTTATCGTGAAATGAAATGACCAACTGAAAAGGAAAGAAAGAAAAGTATTTAAATGATTTTAAAAAAATGGATAAAAAATGGATAAAAAAATTAAATTAAATTAAATTAAATTAAATTAAAGAAATGACAAAATAAATAAATGAAAAAACCGGAAAAAAACTGGGAGGGGGGGAGAAAAAAAACTGACCAAGTTGCTGCGCACGAGACATGTCTTAATAAATCAGCACTCGCTGATGAAGTCTCGACCATCTGAGTGTCTAATATATATACCTCCAACAGGTCGGAGATCATCAGTGGTGTGCTTTTCAAGAGGGTGGCAAACAAGATCGGGCAGTGCTACAGTACATTCCAAGTGTACTTGGCTTTAGTTGGCTTTAGTTGGCTTTAGTTGGCTTTAGTTGAAGAAACGAGCACTCTGAAAGAATATTCCCGATGTGATGGAGATCTGAAACTAGACCAAGTGAAACAAAAATGCCACTTTTACCATATGTATTAAAAATTCAACGTTTTCTGTTGAACTAAAAAAGAACTACAATCAATACAAACATCGTCGTCCACATTAGCTTAGTTAAGTATTTAGTTGAAATACACTTGGTTATTGTATGTTCGTGATTACTAAGCGATGCAAGTGGGATTATCCAAGTTTCGTATTCAGTCTGTCCAGTGTCAATTGCCACAGTCGAGCGCAAATACTTTGAACATGCGTCCAGTACAAGTAATTGTACTTGTATTACTCATCAACTCATTTTCTCTGATTCACATAATCCTCCAAAATGGCATGCATAATCTGCGTCCAATTGGAGTAGATCAACATTCGCACAATAGTGAGTCCGTGATCCGTGGTCTCGTGGTGCCCTGGCTCCCTGGTCCCACCCCATGTTCCCGTCGTACAAGTTCCTGTATCCATCCTACATGTCTCAATCAAAGTATACAATTATTATTTATATCCAATCTAGCACCCCATAGCCGCATCATCCTGTGGAAGACACTTATTTGTTAGCTCGAATGTACTTGCCAATAACAATGCAATGGTCTCGCTCGTAAGGCTCCAGGGTCAGCTGTTCCAGAGGCTTGATTCGCTCCTCTCGCAGCTTCTGAACCTCTCGGGCAAACACGGTCTCGGCCTCGACAGTGGAGTCGATACAGTTGGCCTTGATGGAGATGATGACTCCTCCCTGGTCCTTGAGGAACAGGTGTGCGTTCAGGGCGATAATTCGGGCCTGATCAGGCTGGGCAACATCGGCGAAGACAGCATCGACCATACCGACAAGCATTCGGTACTTCTGGGGGTGTCGAGCATCCTCAATGATGGGGATGACGTTAGGTCGCTTCTTGGCCATGCCTATCAGGTCTCGGCCGGATCTGTGGGAGAACTCAACGGCGTAGACGGTACCGGTGGGGCCCACGACATCGGCAACATGGGAAACGGAGGTTCCGGAAGCAGCACCAAGGTAAAGGACCTTGGATCCGGGGCCGATGAAGAGCTCATCGAGACCACCGAGAATACCTGCAGCCAGCTTGGATCGGAAGGGGTTCCACACTCGGTACTCGACCTTGGTGGCCTCGCCATCGGGGGTGGTGGCAGGAACATCGACCGAAACTCGCTTCTCGCCGTAGACAGACTCACCGGGGGTCAGGTTCTTGGTGACAAGGAGATCCTCCTTACCTCGGGCAATGAAGACACCGCCGTGTCGATGGGGCTCGACAATGACCTTGGCTCCGCCCTTGGCACCACCTCGAGCACCACCTCGGCCACCACGGGCACCGCCTCGGGCACCACCTCGGGCACCACCTCGGCCGCCCCGAGCGCCTCCTCGTCCTCCTCGGTCTCCGCCGAATCCACCTCGTCCACCACCTCGTCCGCCAAACCCTCCTCGGCCACCTCGTCCACCACGGTCTCCGCCGCCGAATCCTCCTCGGCCTCCGCCTCGTCCACCTCTAGGAGTAAAGCCCATTATGTGTATGTGTTGTGTTTCAAAGTCCTTTTTGTGTGGTGCAATATGGGTTATTGCACTGGTTGTGTGGTGATGAATGTCAAGATGCACTAAGGAATATTTTTTTGGTAGAAGATCTTTTTAGGCTTTCAAAAATTTTTCTGGGTTTGGGTAGCGGTTAGAGTTTGCCCGTTTGTGCACAGAAACAGTGGGTCTGATTTGGCCACTTGGGTCTGGTTGGAAACGGGGGGACGGGGTTGAGAAGAGAAAAGGTGGTGAATGGTGAAAATTAGAGAACGCGGTAGTATTATGGTGTTTTTTTCGTTTTGATTGGCGTTCTGTGGAGCGTTTCGGAGACAGGTTAGGTTTGGCCTTTAGTTGCCAACTAGGTTAGTTGGGAGTGGGAGTTTTAAGAACAAATATGGTTAGCAAGTAGTTGGGACTTTTGTTTAATGTTTAATGATTTAGGTATTAGTTGGTCCCTCCAAGCCACTCGAAATGGAGCAATTGGGCTGGAAGGGGGACTACTGGTTTTGCAATATCTCCATTGTCGGTGGGATTTGGTCACTGGAAATGCCCTATTCGTATTTCCTTATTTTATTTCACGCTCCAGTCACCATATATCTACCAGTGCTGGCTGTACCTCTGTTCAGACCCACCCAAATATTCGCAAAATATTTAATTACGCTTGAAAGTTTGTTTTTTTTTTTTTTTTTTTTTTTTTTTTTTTTTTTTTTTTTTTTTTTTTTTTTCTTTTTCACGAACGAACCAATGTGGTACTACGGCCACTAATATGGGCTTTGGGGTATCTTCAACAGACGCTAAAACCAAATGAGGGGCTAGACAGGATCAGAAGAGCTCATGATAGTTCCACGACTCCTAGTACCGTCATTCATAGATACACAATCGACCAAGGTCACGCACCAACTTTTTTTTTTATTTTTTTTATTATTATTATTCTACAAGTAGGGAACTTGCATCATGCACAGGTCCAATTTTTTTTGCTGATTGCGTCTCTCATGCTGCGATTAACCCTACCTTTGGCGCAGTGATCGGGATCTGAGTAGTGACAGAGTTTGTGGAGGGACGGTACGGTCCGGGGAGAGTGGATGAGATGGTTGACGCGATTACGAAGGGAGATTGTGTGTTGCTCTCACGGGTACCATATGGCTCTGTACTGAACATGTTTTTCAGAACGTCTCCAGGAGCCATGAGGGAGGTCTCTGACGACAGAGGTACAGAGTGAAATACTCCAGAGTGAGATACTCCAGAGTGACAACTGAGGGCCATCAGAGTGAGATACTCCAGAGTGATAACGAAGGGCCTTCAGAGTGAGATACTCCAGAGTGACAACGAAGGGCCTTCAGAGTGAGATACTCCAGAGCGCCGCTTTCAGGTGGTATGTATGTATGTACTGTACAGTATGTACGTGTACTCGTACCTGTAGCACGCTAGAGAAGAACCCGTGGAACCTACCAACCGTGGTCTCTCCGTGCTCTTACTCTCTCATGTGCCTTTTTCGAGACTGAAAGCTGCCAGATGCTCTATCCGGCGTGCTCGTTGAGGGGATATGAGTGACGAGGTTACAGAGACAAGGAGATCGCAATGGTACTGCTCGGACTAAGCCGCCGGGCTGAGCTGCCGCCAATCCAGGCAAGTGAAGCAGGACGGGGCAAGAAGACAAGACCAGGACGTCTTTGTTCAGAAAGAAGCAGACTCTCTCAGTCGGTTCTACATGAACTTGACTGGCTTGACCCGTACTTTAGCATGGATAACAGACATTGGACACATGCCAGTCTTTTCAGGACACAATTCTAGTCTACAAGTACAGTACAGTACACACCATACTTGCCTCCTGGTTACGTCGTACAATGCACGTTCGATCCGCACAGTTGACCACGATATTCTGACCACTTTCACCTGATCTCCACATCAGTACAAGTAGTCCCAGAGATCTTTCAGGTCGTGAGTCGACAATGGTGATGTCTGGGTGGAGCTCGTTCAGGAGGTTCTTGTGTTTCTATTGTTACCATGACTCGGATACCTCGCGCGGCTTGAGCTCCACTCCAAGGCTCAGTTGAAGACAACAAGTAGATCAATCATTGAGAGAATGCTTCTAGTCTGTACATACAGTACGGGTAGCACATATGGTACTTACACCTTTCCAGATGATCGGTAAGAACAATGGAGATCTTCAATCTGTTCGGCTCTCAAGTACGACTCCGATCCACTCGGATACATATGTCTGTAGTTGATTTTGTGTTCTATCCCGCCTCCCAAAGAGTGGTCATCATCTTCCTGGGTTGGAACAGCCGCTTTTGCAAGTCATGTGGGAATCGTTGATGTATTTGTTACATAAGATCCATCTATGTGAGTGGTGAAATTGGAGAATTACTTCATTGAGAGTACACATGGTCGTTTTTTCTATAAAGGAGGGCTTTTTCTGCTTCTCGTTCTGTCTGTTTCTGCTGTCTATCAAGTCCTGATTTGTCCAGGCCACTCTCAGCACTGTGGATTCGATCTTGGTCTTTTTGGGCCGTGATAAATGTCTCAATCCTTTGCCAAATCGCCTATGTAGAGAAATTCCAGCTACAGTACCCTGGATTCATCGTATTGACGGAGGACATATCAACAACCGTTGGCATAATTACTTGATGTGTAGCTAATAAACACTTGTTTGAGTCCAAAAATGGATTGAAATGTGCTCAAATACCACCCTCAAGACCACAAACCATTGTCTATCTTCCAGGAATCGCCATATTGATGGCCTACCTCTGTGCACTGAGTAACCTACAGTAAAGTACAGAACTGTGTACTGGTACAAGTCCTCGACATTGGTGATGATACCTAGAGTCGACAGATGCACGCATGGTTCCAAATCCTTCTTGTTTGTAATCTCAACAACCTCAATGCCGCTTTTTTTTCCTGGCTCTTGTCATTATCACGACGTTGTCTTCAAGAGCCCTCTGATGATAGAACACACGTAACCGATGCCAGTCTTCATTAATCAACTAACATCAATCCATTCCATCATCATATGGCAAAATATTGAGCTCGCGTCCTACAAATATTTGTGTTACCAGCAACACTCCACGTTTGCTGGACATGTAACCGTTTAGTTGGATTTAGTTCATACATATTGTTTTAGTTAACTTATTTGTGAAGCAAAAACGAAAATATGCACCTCTCAACGGCTGGAACCTTAAGCTGGTTCCCAAAATCGACGAAACAAATACTTGAACTTGCTAAAATACCTCTCAATCCACTCTCGACCCTACCTTGTCATATCTCTTTTTCATGCTCTAATTCTCCTGAACCCTTCCATACTGCCTGAATCCCCACAACATCAATATTTACTCTGTTGTAGCCTCTTTTGTCACCCGCTTGGCTGATCACGTGATTGCAACATTGAATCGGATTCTGTCCCTCTCTATTATAATCCACTGAACTTCTTTGTGCGTCTGTAGTTGACTACAAGTGACCCTATCTCCGTCAGTGCTGAAACAGGGGAGTTCTCCGGGCCAACAGACAACTTTTGAGGAAGCAAGCGTTCAAGTTTCGGTCACGTGATCTGATGATATGTTTTTTTCGGGGCTGTCACAAAATCTGTATGAATCCAGCTTGATTTTAGTTGGTTCCGTTGTGTGTTGGAGGGCAGCTGCTCTGGCTATCACTCTACAAGTATTGGAAGTTCAGTCGAGGTCAAAAATGTGAACTTTCAACGATATGGATGCTACCAAATCTGAGCTCGACTTTGAGTTGAGACCATAGGCTGGATTCTGCCGTAATACCGTGTGATATACACTTGTAGATGATACTTCAACTGGTGGTGAGCAGATCGGATCAGAACCCGAGTATTCTGAAGCTCTGATGCTGGGAATGGCAATGACGATGGGGGAGGCAATAACGAATGGTTATAGGTCCAGATGGATATCAAAAATCAAAGTGATGATAAAAGCTATTCATATCTCAATGGTTCTCAGTTGTACCGATCTACCAAGCCTGTGAGGAGTGAGAGATCACTGTCATTTGTGGAAACTGGTAACCTGCCAGCTTACTTCCACCAAGCCGTGGAGTGGACTACACACTCAATCCCACTCTTCATAAATCTGGTATGAATGCACCGACTAGGCGTCTAGGATATTGGTACTCGCACGGCAGCTGTACTGTAGTAGAAGTGGTGGACCGGTGGAGGACTAGATGAACGAGTACACGAGTTATATCCCTCGAGTATTCCTGTCCATCAAGTATCAACCCCGGTTCTATTCTGACCGAGTACACCTGAAAGCCGTCTTCTCGTCAACGGGTATGACCACCCAGAACCCCTTCGCACAAGACTGTATTCGCCATTAGTTTGTTTCAGTACGTTCTTGATGCTGCATCATGTCGGTGACTTGTCCACTCCGGCGGTATCTGGTTGACTCCATCTCGAAGGTGGTACTCTTTCCCCCGACTTGTGGTTGATATTAAAGACAAAATGGTTTGGGGAGCACAAGACAAGATGTGATTGGTGGGATTCCAGGAGTCCAGGGTCCACAAGAGTCCTCCCTGGAGTTCCGGACTCTTCCGAGTACTTTTGCAGCTCTCGTTATAACGGACTGGTGGCTAGGAGACCATACTGACGACTCCAAAGACCCACTGATCACGGGTGGTGTGGGAAAGTGGTATCAAGCCCGTAGTGTTTGTGGGCGGCTTCTCCAGCGAAAGAATGGACTTTGCTGTCTCACTCTCGGCCCACTATCTTGGTGTCGGCGTCAATTCCAAGCCGGTTCGGGTTCACAGGTGTATCAATATCATGGAATGATTTGAATAATTCATTGCAACTTCAGGAGAAGGGTGTGGATAGCGAGCGAACTAAGTCCGTCAAGGACGATATTCACCCCCTCAACGATGAAGATGTCTTGTTGCTAAGTTATCGTTCGATCAGGAATACCGTGATCTCTGGAAAAGGTGAAGAATCTGAACGATCAAGTGACGATGAGCTGTGGAGCTGGTTCGAGAAATCGGTCTTCGGTTTTGGTGTGAGGTCAGCTAATACGCGGTAGGATAATACCACTACTGAAACAGAGAACCGTGCAAGGAAACGGACAAGTACAGGCGTGCAGTACACAGTCCATCTGGCACTACAAGGGTTTCCTTCACAAATTGGTGAATCGGGCAACAACGACATCACGGCAACTTCAAACGGGATCTCTGAAACCTGGTGACAAAAGATCACATCTCATTCTGTCAAGATATCGTTTATGACAGAGATCTCTGCTAAAGACCGGCTTATAGACAACTTACGCCCAGTCAACTACGGCGGTCGGCCCAAAGAGCAACTCTGAGTAGAGCTGTATGTAAATCACACCTCACTGACGAAGTCAAGCTGATGGTTCACATCTCGTCATCAATGACTGTTTATCCATACAACTTGAATTGGTAATATCACAGATGTAGACCCAGTATCAAGATGAGAGGCAACTCACGTTAGTGCTCTAGTCGACTAGACTAGTTATGAGCTCATGGCCTGTGTATACCAAAAGAGACGCCCATGCTACTTGTAATACAAGTAATGCTCTAGTCGGGTCTTATCGGCGTCAAGGGTCGATTATTTGGATTCATTCCTGTAAGTGGGTATGGGTCATGGCAGTGTCGAGTATGAAGCAGAAGACAAGTTTACCAAGAACCACTGGAGTGGAAGTAATTGTTGCCATTTCAGACCTTTACCAATTCAAATATCTACCATGTTGTGTGGTCACGTGACCCGAAACGAAACGACTGTCCTTCTACACCTTTTGGGAGGTCACGTGACCAGAGACTCATCATCCTGTTGGAATGTACAGTAATTAATTCATTATGCGAAAGGTCTCGTGGCTGGAGCCCTCGGATCGCCATCATCTACGGTCACGTGATCCAAAACAACTGAACTCCAAAGTTATATGACCCGATATCACCCTTCACTCCCCACCGCTTTTTTTTGGGTCAATGAATTCCCCACCCCGTTGGAAGTGGTGAATTTGTTTATTTTTCTATTTTTTATTTTCCATTTTCTCTCCATTTTCCATTTTATTTATTTCATCTCCATTTTATTTCAAATATTTTCCATTTTAAATGGTTATTTTTCTACTCGAAAAGTCACATGACCCGAGGCCACAACACCATTTTATTTTACTTCCACATTTTACTACAATTATTCAATTTTTCAAGTTATTTCCACTTTAAATGGGAAATTTTTTTTGTTAAAAGTCACATGACCTGATCACGACCAGCACTTTATTTTACTTCCATTTTATTTCCATTTTTAATGCCATTTTAATTCCACTTTTTACTTCTATTTTATTTATTTATTTATTTTAAAGTTATTTCCACTGACAAACGCTAATTGTTCGGGGGAAAAACAGTCACATCACGTGCGCCTCTTACCGGATTGGATCCTCCCAACTCGCAACCGTGCATGATCCACTGCCGATAATACTTGTGTTTTTCCAGCTCTGTCAACCTTGCCTGCCAATATCGACAAACCGACATCATGACCCGATACTCCGTTCAGTCCGTCGACCCCACCAAGACCGCCTCTGCCCGAGGCGCCTACCTGCGAACCTCGTTCAAGAACACCTACGAGGTTGCCGGAGCCATCCGAGGCTGGAACCTGCAGAAGGCCCTGGCCTACCTGGACCAGGTCACCGACCACAAGCGAGCCATTCCCTTCCGAAAGCACGCCGGCTCCATTGGCCGAACCGGCCAGGGTAAGGAGTTTGGTGTCACCAAGGCCCGATGGCCCGTCAAGTCCATCAAGTTTGTCCAGGACCTGCTCCAGAACGCCCAGGCCAACGCCGAGACCAAGGGTCTTGACAAGGAGACTCTTGTCATCTCTCACATCCAGGTCAACCAGGCCCCCAAGCAGCGACGACGAACCTACCGAGCCCACGGTCGAATCAACGCCTACCAGTCTTCTCCTTCCCACATTGAGCTCATTCTCTCCGAGCCCGCCGAGGAGATTGCCAAGGCCAAGGAGACCTCTCTGGCCCATATCTCTTCTCGACAGCGAGGCCGAATCGCTGCCCAGAAGCGAATCTCCGCCTAAATGTACGGTAATAAAAAAGCATGTATTGGATGATGGAGCGGTTGCCTCGCAACAACCAGAGTCATAGCCGCGCACAAATACTGTCAAAATAGTGAATGAAGTTATTGATAACCTGATATGCGAGTGTTTGTGTTGATTTTACTGGTAGATATTTATTCTTGTACGTACCTGTTGTTTTTTCTTTCTTTTTTCTTTCTTTTTTCACTAGTATTTTCGAGAATAATAGCAGCGACGTTATATAAAAAAAATGTGAAAATTTCTCCCTCAGGATTCGGTCGTTGGTTCGGTTTTCGCTGAACATTAAAATCGGTTGGTTCGATTTTTGTCGATGCGATTTTGTCGGGTCCTAAAAGACAATTCCGACTACTTGTATGAATACGAATACAACTATCATGTTTTTGCTAGAAATTTCAACGTAACCATTAACCCGTTGATACATGCTGATAGGCCTCAGCTGTGTGTTATTTGTTTCTTTTTTTCTTTTTTTTTCTTTTTTTTCTTTTTTTTTTCTTTTCTTTTTCTTTTTCTTTCTTTTTTATCTGAAAACGCCCCCAACTGGTCTTGTGGAACAGCTTCAAGAATTCGGGGAAAGCCATATTGTAGAGAATGTATGGAAGTATCTTGTGTCCCTCTTTTTTTCACCCCTACTGCCCTACATCGGCCTGTTATGTGGCTCTGATATCTGCTCTGTCCTTGTCCATTCTTTTTAGTATTTTCATAGAAACAATATATATGTAATAAATAAATAAAAAATTAAATAAAAAAAACACTACACGACAACGACGACACACATACAAGCCATGACTAATTAATACCATTATATATAGGAAATAACTAATGTGACTAACTAATGTGACTCACGGGGGCCTAGTAGAATGTAGCTACTTGTAGATCACAGCCTGGGCAAGATAAACCCGTGCTGAATGAGCTAGGTGTCAGTTGGTGGTGAGTGCTCCTTGAGTTGACAGGAATATCCAAGACCTTGATCGTCTGAGTCATGTACTCAATAAATTGGTACGAGATCCTGATCCTTCATATACTACAACTGCATTGCCGAAATCCACCTAATGAGACAGCTGGATTACCACCACAACGAGAACAAGATCTCTCCGTTTAGCACTCGTTAAGTCGGATACCTCAGTGGAGTTGGCACCTGTTGTTTAACAGATGATGTGCCTCAGACTGGAGTAGCCAGATTGTTATCTTCCTGTCTGAACTTGGTTGGATTTCATGTAGATTCTAGTTCCAGCCCGGGACACCTGAACTAGGCCATAGACTTGTTGATCAGACGACTTGGAGGAATCCGATTCAACCGAATGTATTGAACGTCCGGTTGTAGAACCTCCACCAGGGCCCAGAGCCGCCAGCAGACAATGTCGACCATCTTACAACGCTAAGACAACGCTGAAAAGCCGCCTGGATCTACCACTGCAAGCTGTTTGAGACAATACCACAACATTTCGTATTCTCAGAAGATACCAGTACGTAACCCGATGGTTCCGATATCGACATTTTCATTGGTAAAGCAACCACTCGTGGAACAGAACGTCTAGGTTCGCACCAGCAGAGAGGTCTCCTGTCTTGATCATAATCAGGGGCTCTTCCAAGGTGTGGCAGCCATTATCACCGAAGCGAGTCATATCCATCAAAGTGGCATCTGCTTCAGAATGACTGCGCAAGTAACCACCAATGTGTGATGTTTTCTGCTTGAGACTTGAGGTCTCTCGCTTCCGTTTACTAGCACAGTGCCCCCCGATTCTCTAGCTAAATGGTATGGTGCCGACAAGGAGCCCCTCATCAAGTCGTGTTTCACCAAGGTCGATCATACCAACCAATTTCTGGAGTCATACATCACCCACGTGTCAAGTCACCGAGGACTCACATCACCCTCAGCTCGAGTGATCATTGCAGTGCGAAAGAATGTGGCCGAATGCACAAGGTCCAAGATAATGCCAATGGTACATTCCAGATTGGAAAGACGTCGAATCTGGAAGACCTCACGTCGGTAGAGAGGCACCTTCAGATTCCCTGTGGATTAACCATGCTCTCGGAAGTCCTGCTTTAAGACCGTCCCTGTGAGCTCGGCCATTCGAATTTACCGGTGAACAAAGTAGTCCGGTTCGGGGAAGTCACGGCAACCCCGAGAACATAGGCACCCCTCCTCTTGCTGGACAGCCCCCTTTGCATGCTTGTCAGTTCCCTTTACTACCTGGTCAGTCTATGGCCAGGGCCAGTCCATATGATGGGCGATTCTCGCAGTCCCAGTAAGACCTGAGGTCGATCCACGGCTGGGACCTCCATTCCTGGCCACGGTCGTCAAACCAGTGTGATTTCCATCGATGTCATCTGTTCCTCAGTCGCCAGTGCGATCCACATCGCAGTCTGCCAACAACGTTCCTTCAATGGAACAGACTGGTGTATCGCAGAGCAAGTCGCTGGACAATGTTACCGCAGACGCCTAGCCCATTCCAAACCTCGACAGCTGCGTCAGGCTGAGACAGGCTGAGTGACAGGGACAGCAAAGGCTCGCTGAATAATAGCAACGTGTCTAACAGCAACGTGTGGCAGAAACCACTCGAACAGCAGAGATAGGCAGAGCCGCCCCTTCGCAACATACAGGCCCCATCTAGTCATCTCTGGTTATGGAGTAGGTGGCAGACCATGCTTGCCTTCGCTCGCGACAGATGACTGATCGCCAGCAGTAGTAAAAGTACTCTTTAGCCCAGTCGTTCTTTCTTCTTCTGCGGTGTAACTAGGAGAGACGAGGTTCTTAGGCCGGAGATTGGGGTTAACCTGGCTTCTCCGAGGAGAATCCTTGCAGCTTTGAGCCCTGATCGCTGTCGCGGTTGTCACTTATCAGATCAACATCAGTAAAAGTGCTGAGACACTTGACAAACTCGTAGCACAAGACCTCCATCTTGTTTTACAGAAATGCCACCGATTAATAACCGGTACCGGTTTGCTCCTTTGTATCACGTGAAGGATCTACTCATGAAACCATTGACCATACTACTTGTAGTGCAACCACTCCGTCGATATTGTGATCCCTGATTGGCCACTATATAGTGAGATGCGATTGTAGCTATGAAAACATTAAACTAAATTACTTGTACTGTGCAAGTACAATTATAGTAAATTGCTTGTAAAAAAAAATTGAAGAAAATTTATTAAATATTAAACAAATCGATTAAAGATTTTAAAAAAAAACCTTCTCTCCTGTTGTTGTTGCTGTTGTAGTTGCAATAAACCACAACATCGCAGACTCCTGTTTTCGGTCACGTGATCCACACCTGGTGAGGATCCATTTTGATTATATAATCACACGCTAAATATCCCCGCCTAACGCACGTGGGATGACAGGGGGTAACGGCGGTGGTGAAAAACAGTCGACATCGAAGAAGAACGTCAGGTGAGCAAAAGTGGTCGTTTTTACGTCATCATCTTCATATATCTGTGCACGTTATCCAAAGTGTTGTTTTATTTGTATATTTTTTTTTTACAAATCATTTTTCTAATCATTTTTGTGTTATTAGTTTTATAGTTAATTTTTGTACAACTGTCGATTTCTGATTCCGTTTAAAAACTTTGAATTTTATGTTTTCATTTAAACTTCCAACAGAGCTTGTTCGAATTGGGTTGACAAAGCTTTTTTCAGCCGTAGTAATACAGTGCGACACGCACTGTATAATTATGGTCAGAATGGCAGGGTCTCATTTATGGGTCCTGAAACTCATGTGTATAGTTGAAACTATGTTGTAATTGTCATTAATATCCCTACCAGGCGTTGGTAGCGGTATTTTACGAATCGCACACTATTTTACACCCCATATGAGTGCTATAATTAGCTCATTTTCGGAATGCAAACATTAAGATTCACAAAAAACAGCGCATCTCCATTTTGGGATGCATATGCATATGCATACAAGTCCACATCTCTAAACAATGTGCGCAAATCGATGCATCTGCGCTGTGCGATTTATTCCATTTATGTGTATTTCTGAGTAATATTAATTGGAATAATGGAAATAATTAAGAGCTGAGATGGAATGGCGCTCTAATGAATTCGTCAAGTAAGCGAGGATGATATTAATTGGGCTCCATTGTTCGATAAAGTGGCGATCCAAACTACGAGTCTTAACTGTACGTACGTACATACGATGGCTACGGCTGGGTTCCTAATCCCAGCAATCTAAGACATTTTTATTTATTTATTTATAGCAGAAATGACATGTTTTTGATTGGAGTAGGAGTTGAAAAAGGGTTGTAGATAGCTCCAGAGACTGACTACAAGTATAATACTTGTACAAGTCCCAAAAGAGTCACATCGGAAAACAAGTGCGACTACTTATCTTTCTTCGTGTTCACTCAATTGTCTTCCCTCGTTTTCTCCCGTTTTTTTCCCGTTTTTTTCTCCTTTTTTTTTTGAAAATATGTATTTTTTTTCCGTAATCTCACCAAAAATAACTGATCCGACTGCCCACGGAACTTGCCAACTTCCAAATACACCATACTGTTTCACTCGTATATTAGTTGCTCGGAAAGGCCCCATCTCTAGATTGGGGCAGATAATCGCCCGATTGAGAATGTCCAAAAGGCTGAACCGAAGTGTTATATCTCAGATCATTTTTAATTTTAATTTTTTTTTTGATGAAAATAAATCCTGAGGTATTACTCAGTGGCGGAGATTATATTTGCAGGCGGCGGTATGGATTAATGAAGAGTTAATCGGTTTATCGAGAGTAATTGTGTATACTTAGCCCTCTATATTCGCCTTGTGGTTTTTCGCACTTTCTCAGATTGTCCTTGTGCCCATTTTCGCATTTATTTGCATTTTCTGAATAAATAACTAAAATATTAATATTGCATAATTCAAAAATACAAACATATTCGTAAAAACTCCCAGAAACCGCCAAAACTCCAAAAACTATCCACCCTCTATACTGTACCACCCCTGTATGCCACTGTATCAGCTGTCACTTGTTGTCTACTCGTACGCAGAGTGGGGTATTTGCAGGAGAATACAGATAAAAATAATAACAAAAAATAACAAAAATACTAAGAATAAAAAGAGCAAAAGTGTTCTAGTAAGGTCAAAAAGCTGCGAAAATCATTTAAAAAAAAAAAACCAAAAAGATATCCCCGGAATCGCAAAACCGCCCTCATCACACCCACATCACCACCTTCTCCCCTACTACTGTAATCTATTCAAATAACCGAGACCCCACCATCACCAGTGGACTTCCCCACTGTCTCGTTTTTAAAGTTCTCCATTGCCGCATTTGGATGCAGATGCAAGAGCCCTGTTTGCTATGCAGATTATGCGCATATATGCAGTTTGACTTTCAATGTGCGGCAAGAGCAATAAGCGAATAGGGGTGGGGCAGCACAAAAACAAGAGACGAGGTTGCCGGCAAAAAAGAGAGATGAGCAAAAGTGGCACGAGGAGCGAGGCAAACTAACGAGCTGCGGGTCGTTTTGTACAAGAGGCAATTGATACTTGTTAAGAGCCTGTCTAGAGCCCTCCGCTGGGTGTTCTTCTGCAGACGGCTGATGTTTTGAAGATCTACAAAGTACCTCTCATTCCAAGTCTAACTGTAGCTACAGTAGCTACTTGTAGAGGAACTGTTAATCCAACAATGTTACAGTGGTACGAGTACCGGTGGATCAGTTCAAGTCGTTCAAGCCTGTTCAGCGACGATTGAGATCCTGGCCTGTTCAAACATTACAATTTTAATTATTAAATAAGTCTCTGTCTACAGCAAAGCAAGAAGGGGAACAGCCAGAAGAGGGACAACAACCTGGAGGTTGCCGGCGCCGTTGGCCTGAGAAGGACCGGTGGTGGTGGGGACACCGCCGTTGTTAGGGGGCAGAATGGTGGAAGGAGAAGGAGCGGCAGTAGTGGGGGAGCCGGGGCATGGGCTCTCGCTGCAAGATGTGACGGTGACAACGGCGGTTCCGGTGACAACGGTGACGCCGGTGTTGGTGACAACGGGGGCGGTGGCCACGGGAGCCTGGGTAGACGAGGAGTCGCCGCCAAACAGACCGCCAATCCAGCCAAGAATGCCTCCTCCAGAAGAAGAAGAAGCTCCAGAGGAGGTGGGGATGGGGGATGCAACAAGAGTGATGACGGAGCCGGTGACCACGGGGGCGGGCAGATCGGAGCCGGTGGCAGTGGGCATGGGAATGATGTTGCCGCTGCTGTCAATGGTACCAGGAGAGCCGTGGTACAGGGTGTTCCAGTCCACGGTCTTGACAAAGAGCTCGGACCAAGACTGGGGGATGGCGATGGAGTTGGTACCGAAGAGGCCATCGAAGATGTTGCCGAGCTGGAAGCCGCCGGTGTTGGAGGGGGCGGAGGGAGAGTCCGACAGAGTCACGGCAGGGAAGGTGGGCAGGGTAAAGCCGGGGCCGGTGTTGGAGCCTCCAGAGCCGCCGGTGGGGGAGCCGGTGATGGTGGCCGAGGGAGAGGAGCCGGAGTCACCTCCGTCGGAGCCGCCGTTGGAGGCAGAGGGGGAGGCGTTTCCAGTGTTGGAGCCGGCGGTAGGGACCTCGAGGGTCACCGAGGTGCCGAGCAGGGCCTGGAGAGACGACTGGAAGCCAGGGCCGTTATCGACCAGAGACTGGGAGGGGCCCAGGCCACCGTTGTTGTTGTTGTTGGAGGGGGAGGCCTCGGGGGTGTTGGCGGCGGGGGCCTCAGAGGTGGGAGAGGCGGCCACGACAACGGAGGTGGGGGACGAGCCGCCCTGGGTGGACTCCTGGGCCAGCAGGCCGGACAGCTGGCCGAGGTCGAGGCCGTTGTTGGTGGACAGAGTCGCAAACATGGACGACAGCTGGTCCAGAGGCACGGTGGATCCGGGAGGGATGGAGTCGATATCGGGCAGAGACATAGCGAATGTTGTGTGTGTGTGAGAGGGAGAGATTAGATGTGTGGTGTGTGTATGGATGTCGGCTTGTCTGTGTCAACAACGTCCTCGATGATATGGCTATTGGTGCCTAATTAGCGGGTATAAAAGCGAATGTAATAGTTGGGTGTGAAGACAAGAGATGCGACCTGGTCGGGGGAGATCGACATTATATATATGGGGTCTATGGCTGTCTTTCTTTCTGTGTCTGTCTGTCTGTGTCTGTCTGTGTCTCTGTCTGTGTGAGAGAGTTCCTTTTGTGTACATACAACACAAACCCTGCCCATGTCGAACCATAACTAGAGTTTGCACGTCTCACTTGGGCTCTAGGTTACGCTTTGTACATATTGACGTGTGACAAGCTTCTTTGTTGGTGGGGGGGGTTGGTGCGGGGGCGGATATCTCGCGGTGGAGGACTGGCCGTGGGAAACAGGTTGCGGCATCGTCTTGTCGGCCTCGCTGGCTCCATCGTGGTGTATTTTTTGGCCCCATCGCGCGGCTGAGGCCCGAAATAAATAGTGCCCCGCTACTAGTAGCACCGCCCCAAGAGACCCGCCAAGTGCAAGGTGCGTCTGCGGGGAAGGCGATGTGAAATTTTGAGAGGGCCAGAATCGGGGGTTTGGGCGAGGTTTTCGTGCGGAAAATTCAATTGTCGGGGTATTTCCGTCAGTAGAGTTGATCTGACGTCTTTCCGGCGTCGAGTTCCGCCTATTACACCGCCGTTAGGCCCCCCTCACACACCCACCCGATTACTATTGTGGGTTTAGCGAGTAACAAGCTAACGGAACTTAGGCTTTTGGCACTCCAAGTAGCTCTGGAAATTGAATGTACTGGTGCAAACGGCATTTTCTGGATCAGGAGGAGAACAAATGACACTAACATTGGGGCCGGAAAGTCCAGGAGCAGTACCTGGTTCCTGAGGGGCTCAAGGGGCATGTCTGCAACCTCTGGATCTTGTTTGGGAGGGGGGTGGGGAGTGGGCTTACTCGGGGTGTAAAAAATAGAATTGGAAAGTTCACCAGACAAAAAAAGAAAGAAAAAAACGAAGCGACATTGGATTGGTAGATTGGTACTGGCAAACATAAACTCCATTGAATTGGTTTCTTTTCGCTTTTGTGTTTTTGTCAAACACTCCAGAAAAACTAGAGTCCACCTCGCTTTTTCCTCCGCACAGGTGAAACAGGAAATACGGAGGTTGTGACCCACACCGTGCCCGACCCCTGCAACTACGGGCTGTATACATCGTCAGAGTGCGTACGAGTACAAGAGGACTGCGTACAAGTGTCTTACGGTACATTCTTGGTGGGGTGGCATACACAACCACAACGGGACAGGCCTGTTGGCAATGCTGGCACCGCTGGAGTAAGTGTGGTCTTGTAGCAACCATTGTACAGCTGGTACCTACTTGTACCAGCACCTACTACAGTGTACCGCTTGGGTGGAGCAATTGAGGGACTCTGAGAGCAATAGATCCGAGTTTACTTGGGTCGGAAAGTGTTCATCGGATCGATTTTTGGGCACGGCAACTGCCTCCGTCGTATATTTTCCACGGTCGGTCGGTGGATTAGGCACATTGTCGTCCGTTCTGGTCATGTTTATACCACATGTGTCTCACACTTGTTCTCAAAGTAGACCTTTTTGACCGTCTCTGGCTTGCACCGGGAAGCAAGAGCCACTGAGCAGCGGCAATTACCACTCGACACAAGTCTCCGCCGGTGGTCAAACGTGCTCCTATTGCCTTTATTGCCTTTATTGCTCATTGTTGTTCCTCCTAAGACACAGTTAAAATTTCTGCACCGGGAAAATGTCGTAGCCACGCGTCGTCGTGTTGCGGGGAAATGACCATAGTGGGGGTTTGGGGGCTCGAACGGGTTGGAAATGACGGGAGTCGAAACCTGTGCCGTCGAGAACCCCAGTTTGCCCATTTTTAACGCTCGCCGGAATTTTTCCACAACTTTCAGAACCCCACAAACAGGCGTCTTTTTTGGGCAAAAACCGGACTTCGTGGCCAAGTTGGTTAAGGCGTACGACTGTTAGTCACCTAAATGGCCGCCATCGTAAGATCGAGAGTTCGACCCTCTCCGAGGTCGTCCGAGGTTTGCACGCAAGTGTAAATTTTTTTGGGCCAAATTACACCCTCGAGAAAACTCCATCCCAAATCCACCTATGTTGGATATCTCGGTGTCGTTTTTTAGTCCATTTTCCTGGTTTAGTCCATTATCGCATCTTTCACTTCTAGTTACCCTGTCGTCCTGCAATATGCCAATACCAATATCCAGCCATGTCTCACCCTGTTTGGCCATCGTATAGTGACACTTATACATGGTAAATTGAAAGTGTATAGCCGCTCCGCCAACGACCAGCCCTAACCCGCCACCTGCATGGCCAATTCCCACGGACATGTGCAAATGACGCAAAAAAATATGGCGCCGATCTGCCAATCCCAAGCGGGGTTATGTCTTATACGACAACCGACTCTGCACGTTCCATGTGGATCCAGACTCTAATGCGACAGTGGGACAGTGGGACGGAGCTGACGTTCCATGGAGTATGCGCAAGATGGACGGTGGTCCGCCATCAGGGGTTGAGTGGTGCGGAGTCCGTCATTCGCACCATTCCACTTCCACTGCACATGTCCAATGCGACGTTGCAACCGCCTGGCTCCGCAACAACACGTGCAACGCAGGAGAGTGCACTTCTGACGGGCCTTTCAGCATATTGGCAAGGGTGGCTGGTCTTCCCCACCGATCATCCCTAAACCGACTGGGGGTTGGGTGTAGAAACGTGGGGCAACGGGCAGAGTTGCGGTACGAGCGAGCGCCCGACGAACGGACCGGCGCGGAGCCAACCACGGCCACGGCAACCGACGTAGTCCACCCACGTGACCCCAAGGCGTATAGCGACGGCTCCACAATCTCCGGCTCCACTATCTCCGGCTCCACAATCTCCCGATACTAAACCTTAACAAAGTTGGAACTAAATCGTGCTGAAATTGTTAAGGTTGTGGGGAGAGCGAATGGGAGATAAAAAGACGGACATTTGGTGACGTTTGGCAGGCGGGGTTGAGAAAGGCGGGTTCCGGGGCCATTGGCGACGGCGATAAGTTAGCAGTGGAGCAGCAAACGTCTTTCCCAAACCCCTCGTTGGCCACAGTTAGCGTATGTATGGTGAGACATGCCCAGGGCTACACGAAGCTTGAGAGATGACTTGAGGCCGGAGGAGCACTGCCTGGGCCCGGGAGTTTGTTTGCAAGGTGACTCCGCCGAGTCACCGATCACTTTTTGGCGACTGTTGATGCATGGTGGACTCCCATATAGTGTTCACTTTGGTCATGCCAGGTACAGGCACAACGTACAAAAGAGGCTCTCAGGGTTGACAGCCAATTTAAATGCATGATCCACGTTGGGTTCTCGAGTGTCACGACTCCAGGGCTCGTTTCAACCGTCATTAGTGCACTTGTGCAGTACTGTACAGTGCGTAGTCAGACTGTATCTCTACTGTGGAGCCAGACCTACGAGTGTGTTGTATTAGGTAAGGGTGGCATCGGAGTGAAGAGCAGAAAGACGACTACAGCGTTAGTTTAGATGGTCGATTCAAGTAGCTAGTGGTGAACTGCCGATTCGAAGTACAGTACTCGAAGTATCTTCACAATCTTCTTCTGGTGTCACGTAGCTCACTTGAACTTGTACATAGTTGTACAATAAATAAATTTCTAAATACCTTGGACCCAGCAATCATTCGTTATCACCCTCCTCCTCCTCCTCCTCCTCCCCTTCTTCATCGCTCTCAAGTTGAGCTTCCAAAAGAGCATTCTTGACGCCAACATCCACCAGATCACCCAACAGACCCTTCCATCGCTTCTCCAAGTACTGCAGGGTATCTGCCACGTCATTTTGTCTGCGTTTCCGACTGACGTTGACCGTCTCCAATGTCTTTTTTGCCGTCAAAAGCCGCTGGTCTACAATCTTGAGCTCTCGATCAAGCTCATCATTGCCCACCAGCCACTGCACTCGTCCGTAATCCGACAGCGCTGCCACCGCGTCCCGGCGTCCTAGTGTGTATTCCAAAGCCGTGTATGCAGTTTTCAGGTCAATGTTGCCTTCCGTATCCTCCAGATTCGAATATCGCGAAATGTCAATTCCCTTGGGCCGTTTTCGGTCACTGACGTACTCTTCCATGGCCGCTGAAAGTAGCGACTTTTTCGACTCTGGAATGGATGTGTTCAATGGGCCCGTTTCCGCTGCAATCAAGGTCTCAGCAGCCTTAACCTGTTCATGGGAAGGCGTTTCGTCAATGTATGGCAGCGACGGGATCGTTATCGTCGCCATTTTTGCCGGTGAAAAGTCTCGTTTTCAGCCGTTTTTGAGGCGGTAATCAAGTTATGAGATGGTCCGAAAGCAACCGAAGAAAGAACCACGCCGAACGAAACCCTGATGTGCCGAATATCAGATGTTGTATAACACAAAAAGTGGTGATGCAAAACGTGGTGTTTTTTTGAGCATGCACGCAGGGAAATTATTAGGGTTTTGATGGTGGAAAATGGAGGTTTATTTCAGATATTTATTCCATGACGATGGAGAATCAGAGAGTGTTCTTTCTGTTGATAATGAGCTTCTAAACAGTGGTTAATCAGGGCCATTCGGTGTTAGTCAGAAGATATAACATGTTTGTCATGCAAAAAGTTGGTTGAACAGTTTTTTTTTTTTTTTTTTTTTTTTTTTCTTCTCCCTTGATTTTTTTTTTGACTGAAATTAAAAACCTTCAAGGAGGCACGTTGTTGGCCACTAAAGACACGATGGAGATCTAAAATCGGGATAAAAGTAATATAGAGAAAATTACCTACAGAATGATACCAAAATTGCCAAAATTGCCAAAATTGCTGCTTTCTACCATGCCTTTGTGTGTCGTTACAATGACGTCATGTACTCAACATGATGAGAGAGGTGATTTCAATAGAGAAGGGCATAGAACGATCAATACTGCAGCTGTAGGAGATAAAAAAGTACGACCATTTAGCTGCAATCACGAGAAGTTCAGAAATACGCTTTATTTCCGTCCAAGTCGAATCCCGACAGAGTTACCCCGACTCCTCCTCAAACAGCAAGATCGTTATCTAAAGTTATGGTGGCGACATTGGCAGCATTTGGGGAGGGCATATATTGGGATGTTAGAGGGGTATAAATGAGGTGGAATTTCTGATAGCTTTATGCTGAGGGGACCAACACAGACAAGGTAAATTTTCAGCTTGATCCAACAAGTATTTATATTTCCAATTAACTCTACCCAACCGGGAATCGAACCCGGACACACACATATCGCCACATTTGTGACCCTCAACATCACCACAAACATCACCATAATCATACAACAATGTGGGGATTCTTTGGAGGCGCGAAGAAACAGGATCCCAAGGACACCATCATCTCCTTGCGGCAGCAGATCATTGTGTTGAACAAGAAAAACGACAACCTCATTGTGCAGATCCAGGAGCAGGAGAACTTGGCCCGCAAACATGTCACCACCAACAAGCTGATGGCCAAAAATGCGCTCAAGAAGAAGAAGAACCTGGAGAAGCAGCAGGAGACGGTGCAGGGCTCCATAGACTCGCTGCAGACGTCTATCAACACTCTGGAGACCGCCAACCTCAACTTGGAGACTATGAAGGCCATGCAGGAGGGAGCCAAGGCCATGAAGCAGATTCACGGCAACATGAACATTGACAAGGTGGACAAGATCATGGACGAGACTCGTGACCAGGTGGCGTTGTCCGAGGAGGTTTCCGAAGCCATTTCCAGACCTTATGCCAATGCCTACGACGACGAGGAGCTGGAGGACGAGCTGGAGGCCCTGGAACAGGAGACTTTGGAGGGCGAGCTTACTAACGCTGGTCATGTTAAGCAGGATGGCGTCCAGGTGACCCCTCATGACCTGCCTGCGGCTCCTAACCAGGTGCCTGCTGAGGAGGAGGATGATGAGGAGGAGGAGCTGAGACGGTTGCAGAGAGAGATGGCTTTGTAAGGGAACTGGAACCAAGGATACCGAGCGTAGCGAGGTTTCGGGGTTATGAGCAGAGCACTGCAATCAAAGCGAGACTGTGAGGCTACACGAACCAGGACGTGGCTGGACACCACTACAATGCTCTGGCTAGGACTACAGGTGCTTCTGCTCTCATCGGTTAGAGTATACGATACGTACGTAGCATAATGAGTTTTTATTGACCTTTTGAAGTAGTGGATTGACATGCAAGTCATGTACAGCAGCCTACAGTACAGTACGTCTATACACCTGGAGGACGGCTGGAGAAACTGCGTCGGGACAGATTCTTGTAACATACACCTAGTCTGTGAGCTGTGGAATATCTGCAGGATGAGAAAAAGGCATTCATTCAGCTCAGTTGGTAGTTGAGTAGTTATTGTGACTGTCAAATGTGAGGTCGTTTATGTGACCATCTCGGTACAAGTACATCTTCTTGTACTCTCGCGGTTGTGTGTCAAAAGGGGTCTGTATCAGCTCAACAACACAATATCAAGTGTTTTGAATTACTGAAATGGGCGAATATCCTGAAGTTGTCGTATATATTCAACTCATGGTGATGTAGAACAGACGGTAGGGAGCCCGACTAACCTCCTGATCAGAAAAAAACATGCACTTTGGCCCCCTTTCAAACACCCATTTCTCCAGATCAGAGATATACCAGTGAGTTTCCCGTGTCTCAAGAAGTCGATTGAATGTTTGTATCCTTTCTGGTGGTTACGATCCATGTTCCTAAGACTAGAACCTGTGGAAACTGACCAGCTTCATGGAACAAAGCACTGTACAGTAAGTACCTACTGCTTCTGTATGGTGAGCACGTTGGTATGGCGTTTTTATCCCTGTTCCAAAGCGACGAGCTTTCGATGCGAGTCAGATAATCGAGAGAGATGGACAAGGTCTCACTCGTATCCGATCCATATTCCAGACCTTCAAACGTCGCCGCCGACTACCATTTCAAACTAGACCAAGACACCTAAATGGTATCTAAATGAATGAAACCAGTAGCTCAATCAGAGGGAGAAATTTGTCGAGCTGGAAAATTAATTGGTGAGCTTCCTTTGACTTCTTGGGGCACATTCCCAGACAACTGGCAGGCGAAGCAGTGTGGAGTGCAGGGAGTACTAGCCATGTAAGGATCCATCATCAGGTCCCTGTTAGACTTGGTAGGCTGGAGCTCTGGATAGCGTCCGTTTGAGGAGAGAGTTCCCCCCTGATCCTCCGGTTTCACGACCACAGCACCAACCTGAGCACTTGTACTTCACCAACTGACGTCGCATGTTAGACGCTGAAAAAAAACAAAAACAAAAAAAAAACAAAAGAAAAAAAAGGGGGACTTGTTTTCATCAATAACCGTTAACAAAAACGGCCCAGAGACAACCGAGTATCCCCAAAGTCGTTTCTTGAGCTTCACTCCCCGCCAAAAACACCAATTAAACCTCCCATTAAACCTCACTAGCGCCGTCCGATATGTCTCTCCCCACAGCGGCTATTGGCCAAGGTTCGTTCATGTGGGGTTCCGGGGAGAATATGCATGGGCTGCACGGGCTGCACATGTTGGGTATTTAAGAGGTGTGTGTTTTTCGTCCTCACTGTTCCGACTCGCACACCCGCACAAGTGGACAACAGAAACAGAACCAGCATCTGTACTCATATATTGTGGATATTCCCCAGAATATATAGTTGGCGACTCCCACCCACGACACACAAGACGACACACGACTAACTTTGCGACCCCCACACCCCCCACGCAACTCTGCTTACCAAGACCAAGATGACAATGGAACTCTACAGCTACGTTGGAAACTCGCGTTCTTACGCCATCTTCTACATTCTCGACAAGGCCGGCGTGAAGTTCACTCTTAAGGAGTCTCTCAAGGGAGGCGTGTTCCCTGAAGACATGGACGCGCGATTCCCTCTCAGAAAGATCCCCGATCTCGTGGACGGAGATTTCCACCTCAGAGAGACCATGGCCGTCACCACCTATCTGGGCGAGAAGTACGCCGACAAACTGGGCAACTTTGTGCCTCTGACTACCCTGGAGCACACCAAGGCCCTTGAATGGATGTCGTTTGCCAACACTGAACACATCCCCACCTGCTCCCTGGCCGGTCTCATGATCATGGGCCAGCGAGAGTACGTGCAGAAGGACTTTGCCCGGCTCGTGGGAATTGCCAACCGAAACGTCGACGTGGTGTTGGAGCCCTTTCTCAAGAACAACACCTTCCTGATTGGCGAGCGTCTCACCTACGTGGACGTGTTCGTGGCTGGCGCCACCCTGCGCGGCTTCACTCAGCTGTGGGACAAGAAGTGGCAGGCCGCCCACCCTCACTTTACCCGGTGGTTCAAGACCGTGGTCAACCAGCCCGAGTTTGTCAAGCTCTTCGGTGAGACCGAGCTTTGCCAAGTCTTCAAGGCCCCCAAGTAGGTATTGACCAGTGTATTTGATGACATGATGGATAATCTCAAGTGAGAAGTTCTACAAGACCAACACACAGCATCTCTTGTATTACTTGTATTATATATACAGTACATACAGCACTTGCATAGAGCTGTCGATATATATCTCATTTCAATTTTGGGGGTCTTCTACTGGGACTTGTTAAGTAAAGCACGAGCTTAATACAACACCCAAGTAAAGTCCGAGTAAAGTCCAACAAATTCACACCTTTTACTTGATTTGTTTCACGCATTAATCTGCACTGCAAACAAAACCTCCAACACCCTTCACCACATAGATCACCCTCTCCTCAACAGCATCTCATGTCTCAAGATTGATTTCACAAGTCTCGGAGATGTGTATTGGTGTGAAGAACCCATCTGTGAACTAATCTGTCCTGGACTATATCTACTTCTCCAAAAGGACGCTCTACTGTGTACATACTGTACTTTAGAACACCTAGACCTCTACAAGATACCTTTTTTACGTCAAAAAACAAGCCAAGACATTTACAAACATGAATATTTTGATATCGCTATTATATAAACAACTACCAGTATTACCAGCTCCAATCGTAGCCCTAAAGAGGACGACCCCGTCGCTTGTCGCTTGAGAGCGTAGACAACATCCAGGGGAGTGACAGTCTTTCGCTTGGCCTGCTCGGCGTAGGTGACAGTATCTTCAACGAGGTTTTCAAGAAACATTTTCAGCATGGTTCGGCCTTCCTCGTAGATCTGGGTGAAGATTCGCTCCACACCGCCATGGCGCGCAGGAGTCGGAGAGCAGACTTGGTACCACCCTGGGTGTTCTCTTTAAGAACGTTTCGGTGTCGCTTTGCGCCTCCTTTCCAAAGTCCGCTATCCCTTGAGTCGCTGGGGTTGTTACTGGGAAAATTGTCGTTGGGCTCCGTGGTTTTTGATGGGTTGAGCACTTGGGGTTCGCTCACAGTGTCAGTGCGTCCTCCGGAGCCGCGAGGTCTTCGACAACGAGATAACAGGTATGGTGGTCCTCCAAGATGTCTGAGCCCAACCCAGATCCAGTATGGGGTCCCTCATCGCTGTCTTGGTCGTCGAGCTCAATTCTTCGATGTTTCTGGGGTCTTCAGGATGACCCAGGTCGTTCTTCAGCAGCTGAAGAGCCAGCCGCAACCTTGGACGAGCATCCAAAGCACCCTGATTGAAGTACGCTGCGTCTCCAAGAAGACTGGTGTTGGGCTTTCTGTCGAGCGCATCAATTTGGCTCCAACCACAGCTTCTCCTTGAGCTTCGACGTCGGCTACAAGATCGGCATCGAATTCGGGATCGAACACGGCACTACGGTCTTCCAGTTGTCGAAACGCCTCATGTAGCACCGCAAGTCGTTCTTGGGAGTGCGATACTGTAGAGATCTCCTCGGGGCTGCGACACGCTGAATCGAGCCAAGTTTCAAAGTATTTCCAGCAAGACTTCCACCCACTCATGTGCAGATTCGATAGAAGAACGATGCAGCATGAAGTGCGGTCTTAGTACATAGGTATCATACTAGGTCCAAAGAAATGACAAGAGCGAGAAAGATAGAAAATCCAAGCCTCAACACATACAATTGAATTTATTCGGTATTTTTAAGCAACCCCCAAAACAAAGAGATTTCCGGCCGATTGGAAAAAATGCCTTTTAAATACCTTTGATGCGATTCGAACCCCGCGCGCGCTTTTGTCCTATGCAGTATCGTACGGTATCGTACAGTATCTACAGATCAAGGTTCGTTATCAGAGACACAGAGCGAGTCTAACGAAAAACTGCCGCCGTCGAAAATTATCTGATATGTCCCTAAAGAGTCTGAACGCTTCCCACGATTACGAAACTTCTCACACGATTATGAAACACCCCACATAATTCTGAAACAATTCTCATCCCGATACCTGCACCCTTTCCGCCCGTTTTCGCCCCTTTCCGCCCGTTTTCGCCCCTTTCCGCCCGTTTTCGCCTTGCATATCAACCGCCGCATTTCCAATCAGCTCACCGTTTCATCATGGTCAAGTTGTGGCAACAGAACCCTACAAACACGTTCTTCAGAGTCAGTCTGAGTCTTAGATAGCTAGGGGAACATTTTGATACCAAAAACACGTATTGTTGCAACACGTATAACACTCCCACAGTTCAACGTTAGTTTGTCTGCGTCTAGTTAGGCTGTGTGAAAAATATATTTTATATACCAAATACATAACTACTTATATATATTAACGACATATATCACAACGACTTGTATATCACAACGACTTATATACCACTAACGACTTATATACCACTAACGACTTATATACCACTAACGACTTATATACCACTAACGACTTATATATCACAACGACTTATATACCACTAACGACTTATATATCCCCAACGACTTATATACCACTAACGACTTAGATACCATTAACGGCTTATATATCACAACGACTTGTATATCACAACGACTTATATACCATTAACGACTTAAACATCACAACGACTTAAATAACACAACGACTTATATACCATTAACGACTTAAACATCACAACGACTTAAATAACACAACGACTTATATCAGATGTGACTCAGTGACTCAGAAGTGACTCGGACAGACTCAGAAATGCTTCAATTGGTGTATATCGTAATATTTCTCAGAACAATTCTGCCGTTCTGTCGTTTGATTCCTCGGATATTCATCGGGGGAATGTGGTAGGTGATTAGTACATACAGTTGAATACCTGTATCATGTATATACTGAAGTCAATGGGAACATATGACTGGGTCAATGTACTGTTGCAGAACACCTTCTCCTCAAACCACTGACCAAGTGAATGGTAGGGCTAACCTGGCTCATCAGATTCACGTCTACAGTTATGGAGGCTGACAAACAACTCTGCCTCCTCTCCCCTACACCGCGATGAGCAGAACTCGAACCCAGCGCAGAGGCAAGATATCTAAAGACGACTACTCATCTAAACAAGAGAATCAGCCGAGGCTTTGACGAGAATGATTGGTTTTTGTTTACAGGAACGAGCCGGTGAAGATTCCAGGCCAATTCCCGGTATTCCTTTTCGACGAGAAGCAATAGGTGCACTCTAGCCACCAGTCCCGTGTTTGGGCAAGAATGGGTTGGAAGGCCACCATAACCGAAATCAATCCAAGCAACTTTGCCATGCTCACCCAACGCGAATATTGATGCTAAGAGTCTCGCACGCCTTCGAAAAGGACCTGGAGCCGTCACAGCTTTGAAACCAAGGATGGAAACGACGAGGCAATCAAGGTACACAGAGCGTGATAATGGTAAACTGGCCGTTTTTCGAGTCCATGTTGGACCCAAGCTGACTCTACCAATGGCGTGAAGATTTTCGCCTGAAGCACTTGCTGAGTCTCTTGAAGCAAACAGTAACAACAAGATGATAGCTGGTGATGAACTATTGGGTCCGATTGCACTCACAAACAACACAAGCGGGATAAAGAACCTCTTGGAGCGGAAATAATCAAATGTCCCCTGCCGAGTACGAAGCGAACATCAGCGACGGCCAGGAGCTGCAGATACAGCTGTGTATTGACGACGCCGTCGGACTAAGGTCCTTCAGCCCAAATATGCTGCCGGAAATCCATGATATCTGCATCGGTAACATCAAAGCGTGTAGGCTGGACATCCATGGTGCCATATTTCTATGGCAGAGGAGTATGTACTCCAGCCGGCGAAACAGCGACGGTTGTCTACGCTGAAGATATTGTTAAGTTGGTGGCTACCTCAGCTAAATTGTCTAAAAATGAGAAGCTGGTTGTCCAGAAAATCCAAGTACATTGGTTCCCATAATACCACTGGGCTACTGCTTTGAGAACAAGACACTGACCTTCCTCGTACTGTAGCTAGAACGAGCACTCGTGCCATGGTGGCTGTTCCACATCGGGCTCCAAAAGGCATTTCCCTAGAACAAAAAAACTGCAGTCTTCATTCCGAGGTTCCGTGGAGTGGCTCATACCAGTATAGGTCTCAGCCCTGCTGTTTCCAACTAAATTCTTCGAACATGTGTACGACTATTCACCTTACACACGTCCGACACACTATCATGCTTCTACAGGACTAGGTACACGAACTCTTCCATATGTTACCAACAATCACTGCTCTTTCTGATCCGTTACCAACAGTCACAGTTCTTTCTGGATCCGTTACCAACCAGTCACACTACTAACCAGTATCAACTCATACCGTATGTACCGTGTCACTACAAACAATCCCTTTGTCGTTTAGAGCTCTGCTTTTACGCTCATCAGCCGTACATTCCAAGGTTGCAAGACAATAGCAGCGTGTGAACAACCTTCTGGGGAACCTGAGAATGTACAGACATCAATTGGTTCATTCCTGCCAGGTCTACTGTTGTCCAATACACCTGTACCTGCCATATCTCATTCTACCTTCACCTTTTGTACACCACGAGCCTTCAGTTAGACCTGCCAATACCAGGTACAAGTATCGAATGCGTACGATGTGTGCATTCCACTATCGCCGATCTGTCAATCGCAAATGATTAACGATGCTGTTCTCGACGCGGATTCAGTTATCCGCGGAGGCGAGCCAAGACACGGACAGGTGTATACGAGCTGTCGAGGAAGCTGTCTCAGTTCTTCTTTGCCTCCCATTCTATTGTCTTTTCACGTCCTTTGATGCCCCGCATCGCGCACCCCACTCTGCACGTCCACGCGACGTTTTCGTCTTGACAAACACTTTTCTGATGTGCGATGATGCACGTTCCTGAGTGAGACAGGTCGGGGGGTTGAAGTGGGGGTTTTTGTTAGGGAAGCATCGATTTTTGTATTTTTCAAAAAAGTGAGTATATTCAATTGTCTTAATGTTTCGAGTTTTTCAAATTTAACGAAAATTTCCAAGTTTTTAAAATCGTTTCAAAATCAGCCAGATGTGCGGAATGCATATCACCAAGTCCGAGATCTGTTTTGGGAGGAAGCGAGAAATAAGATTTTGGTTGGAATGTAGCGAAAAAAATAGGGGGTTCATAAAAATCGAGATATTGTAGTGCCACGATTCACGTTTAAAACGGAAATCTACACTTGTACGTTTCAGAAATTGATTCCAGGTCTCTCCCGCCCCATATCGCCACTCTAGCTTGCTTTCTACAGCAGTCGAAATTCGCTGTTGTTTTGGCGAGAGCTTAAATTTGAACCTAAAACCCAGATTGGGCCACACCTTAATCTTGTGAGAGGCAAGTGAACGAGACGGTTGTACTTGTAGGGGAGTTGCAAAAAGAGCGGGAAAAACGAGATGTTTGAAGACAAAACTGTTGTACTTGTACAAGTGGAATCTGGCACTTTTTGCGGCGGCGTCAATGTGTCAGTTGATGCTCACAATGGTTAGTTCCTGACAGTTGGAGTTGGCGGCAGTTGGGCGGTCTAACAGCGCCACTACAACAACTTGTAGACCAGTGAAGCTGTGTGGTTGATAGGTAGGTCCGTAGCCGTGCCGTTGTAGTGCGTGCTAGGGGACAAACGCAGTACAACGACTTATACAAGGGCTTGCACAAGTACTCGCACCAGTGCTCGATGTCTTGCTGGTCTCGTATGGTCCCACCAGTTGTACAGGTAAGCCTGCAAGCTGTCTAGGCCTTGCAAATACCGTGAAAAAAATATACACCCGGTCAATAGACACAGACTTAGTCCTTGTTCTGAGGGTCTTATTACGGTAGGTATTGCTGTTACCGTAGCGGGGTAGACACTATGAGTGCATTAAGGTCGGTCTAAGAAGCTCGATTTAGGAGGGGGAAAAGCTGATATTGGTGCTACAAGTCGATGGTCTCAGACACCCGCCATTTTGGGCGTCGATTGGGCGTCGATAGCACCATCGGGCCTTCTACAGCGAGTTTTCGCCTCGATTTCCACCGTCACATTCCTTATTATACCTCCAACTCTATAGGCGAAATGGGTTAGCCTCGGCGCACATACAAAGAAAGTAGACTTTGGATATACATGTCTCAGGCAGACAGTGGCATGGGATGGTGCGGAGACTGAGAGCTTGGTGGGAGCAGAAAAAGGAAAAGCGGTGGCAGAAAAAAGCCGACACTAATACTCTTCACGATCTCTGGCTACGCGGTGACAACCTGACTTCTGCCTCCGACAGCATCAAGACAACAGACAGTTGTGCGAACAGACAGGTTGTGCAAGACAGTTGCTCTACAAATCACTCCAGCTGAGACAACCTAGTGTCATCTGAAAACGACCGGCGATAGAGTATCCACTTGTACCATCATCCTCTTCATTCGACAGACCGATTTGGCAGTCTAGCTCCAGCTTTAGAGGCGACCCACTCACGATATATACCAACCGCAGTCACCGCCACCAGCAAGTGACCCAGCAACTAATAACTTCAGCAGTCAGATTTGCTGTTTGACACGCTTCCCACTCACATTCAACAGTCACAGCATCTAATCCGACGACCCTTCCTCGTTTCAATCTCACTAATACTACCACCACAATGAGACTCATCCCTCTACTTCTCACAGGCGCCTACGGCCTCTCCATTCCCATTGCAGAGGTCCAGAACTCCCCCGAGGATCTCAGCTCTCTCGACAAGCGACAGACCCCTCCGGAGGTGTCCCAGATTGTCGACGCAACTAAAGACCTCACCCAGGACCCTGCCTGGCAGGCCATTGGCCAAATGCTGAACGGAGGCAACGCTGCCACCATGGATACGGAACAAAAGTCCAGCGAGGCTGCTGCTGCTCAGACCGAGATTCAGAGCTTGCTCACAAAGTACTACTCGTCCATCCCCAACTGGCAGAGCATTGTGAGCACTGCCACCGCCGGTCTTAACCAGGGCAGTGCAAACGGGCCGGCCGGAGGTAACGGCGGAAACCCTGTAAACGGGGGTCCTCAACAGTCCGGCAACAACCTCATGGACCAGCTCATGTCCGCACAAGCAGCGGCATCTCGACAGCTCGCTTCTGCATCGGCAGCCTCTGCTGCTCGCTCTTCAGCGCAGTCCCAGCCTCCTGCCCCCGCCACAGCCGTGGTTGTTCCTGCCAACACCATCCCCACTAGAGAGCCCGACGGAATCGCAGGCACCATGCCCGGCATTGTGGTCCAGAGCCAGTCTCAAAACTCACAGTCTTCGAGCTCCCCCAACACTGCCCCTGCTGGTAACATTGCAGGTACACGAACCGGTCTCGTGGTGTTGCAGGGCCCCACCTCGACATTGACCCCTAGCAGCACACCCCCCGCAGGCAACATTGCCGGTACTCGATCTGGACTCATTGTGTTGCAGAACACAAACACAGCATCTTCTTCTGCGTCTTCCAGACCACCGGCACCCTCCACGGTCACTGTGAGCCCCAGCAGCCCCGAAAACATTGCTGGAACCAGATCTGGTTTTGTTGTTGTTGGAAACACTGCCTCAAGCAGCAGCAGCAGCAGCAGCAGCAGCAGCAGCAGCAGCAGCAGCAGTCCCAGCGGTCCCTCCACCGTGACGCAAACCGCAGCTACCCCTACAGATGCCACTGGAGCTCTTCTTCAGGGCATTGCTGGTCTTTTGGGTGGAGGAGCGCTCGGAAACCTCGGCAACCTGGTCGGAGGAAGTTCCATCGCTACTCCTACCGGTGGCACTCTTCCTACTGCTCCTGCTTCTGGTTCCCAGAGCGACCATCCACAACCCGGACCTGATGGAGTCGTGACCATCACCATTACCCCCGGCGCCATGTTCCCCAAGGCCACCACCTTTGTCAGCGGCGCAGTTCCCAAGGGCGCCGCTCCTCTACTCGCTGTATCTCTCGCTGCCCTCATCCCTCTTTTGTTGTAAAACCGAGGTAGCAGCAAAGTTATAGCCGGCGTTGTCATTCGAGAATGGCAACACCATTCGTGACCATTGTCACTCACGACGCCTCAAAGGCCGACTGAAAATATTTATGAGGAGCTACCTTGGTAGACCACCGTGTTAGTAATGTAATGTATATTTTATGACAAGACGTAGCGAGAGGCAGACGAGACTCCGGAACCATCATCAATGTCAGTAGGAGTAGGAGAAGTCAAGTGGCTTCAGACAACATCTCTGTGCAATTCCACGAGTTGTACAACCATCGTACAAGGCGGAAAATCCAGAAATGTTCCAATCTGCGTAAAATCATTTTACTCAAACCTGAGATCTTTTGTGATTCGCCCGAACTCCACTCAGTCAAGGGTCTGGCTGCTGCACCCACTCGAGGAGATGCACCAACATGGGTTAGACCACAATCTAAAGCCATGTTCCTGATCTTAGTAAACCAACTGTCGGCTAGTTTACTAAGATCAACAAGTCACATGACGTCCCAGGAATTGCTGCCGTACCATCTGTATGGCAAAGATAGATTCGAAGCACAGGTTATGACAGGATTTCGACTGCACAAAGAAGGACCCTTCAACACAAACGTGCAAGTACCTTACCCGTATCCGTACCCGTACAGTACCCAAACATGTTCTTCTGTCACGTGACCTTCTCTCCTCTTATCCTGCCTGAGTTTCGCTAATACTCGTAATCTCATCATCATCCACCACTGATCGACATGGGAGCGAACCTAGAGGCCGTTAGTGTGTGGTTTGTTGCATGTGGGTCGCCGTGTGGGGTTTGTGTGTTTGTGTCTGTGTTTGCAGGGTATATAAGGGTCGTGATGTCGTCTCCCACGGGATCTTTTCTTCTTCACTCAGTTGGCCGGCTATTTCCTCTCCAGAGCTCGCTCACAGGGCCACGTCATTCATGTTTTTTGTCTCTGGCAGGTGAGTACCAAACCTTATTCCGCGTGCATCTAAAACTTATCTTGAACCCTTCCTCCACATAGCTTCCTGTGATAGCACTAACGAGGGGTACAGGAAAGTACACAAAACGGACGCAAAAAGGACGCCAAACGGACGCCAAACGGACGAAAAAAGGACGCCAGAAACACATACACATCACGTGATACGACACGGCTGATTCGGAAACTCAGACGACTCTTTCTTCAGCCGATTTTCCAATCTCAGACACTACCAAGACCACATTCGTTAGAGTCACGCAAACACAATGAAGGCGTTCTCGACACTCACAGCAGTCTTGTTGGCACTAGTGGCGCTTCTCAGCTTCGCCTCGGCTGAGTCTTTCGACATCAAATACTCGGTCCAAGACAAGGCCCTCATCACCCCCAAGTCACACCCCTCTCTGTTCTCCTTCACAGGCCGGTGGTACAAGCGAAGAGACACATTCATTGCCTCTAACTGGCCCGGCACCTATGTGTCAGCTCTTGTCTATGGCAAGAACGTGACGCTCATTCTCAAGCCCCTCAATACCGGTAAGGTGACTAATCACAAGTTCTCCTACTCCATCGACAAGGGCCGCATCCAGGAGGCTGCCATTCAGGAGTACGACTCTGGCATTTCGTCTACCCTGGAACTCACTCTATCCGTGCCTGAAACTAGCCAGCCCGATAAGAATGTGTTGGTGCCCCGTCTGCTGACCATCTACTCGCACGCCGAAACGCCCCTGCGTCTGCACGGCCTCTACATGGGCAATGTAGTGATTAACGAGGGCAAGAACTGGGCCGAGACGCAGCACGATATTCCCCGAATTGAGTTCGTGTCCAACTACAACACTTCTCTCGCCACTCCCAACATCTTCAAGGAGCTGGCATTTACTGTCCCCGAGCAGCTGGGGGTGCACCATTCGCACGTGACCGCCGACATTTGTCTCGCCCCCGACTGCTATCCCAACAAGTACGCCATGATGGAGCAGTACTTCTACTTCCATTACTTTGACGGCGTACGGCCCAAGCGGGGAGTGGATCCCAAACCCGCGTTTTTCCAATTTGACCGGGAGGACGTGTTTTTGCCGCTCAACGAGCCCCAAGTAATTGTGGTGGACATTGGAGACATGGACATGAAGAAGAACATTGATCTGGTCACATTTGGCGAAGATTTCAAGAAGTTCCTCGCCTCAATCATGGTTCAGGCCTACCACAACATCAACCACATTTTTGTGCTGGTCAAGCCTGGCCGTTACGAGCAGGCCACCTACAAGGCCATTGAGGAGATTCCCTCAAGCCGAATCACCCCCGTGTACTACGCCCGAGAGACCCCCGACTGGTGGAAGGGCTTCATGTGCTCCAACGTGATCCCCGCCACCGGCAAGCCGTTCCCCTACGACTCGCTGTGTGGCAACAAGAGCTTTACCTTTTCCACCAAGGGTGTGCTTGGCCACTCCAACGTGTGGATCATGCTTGCAGGCATTATTGCTATTTCCGGTGGTGGATTTTACTTCATCAAGAAGCGGGGAGGCATTTACCAAGGTCTTCCTGTTTCCAAGCAGGATAAGTAAGCAGAGTGGAGAGAGCGTAGCTCAAGATACGTACGTGTGCACGGGCCCAACACCTGTTTAAGTGCGACAGCATTGCATAATAATGGATGGTTTTGAAAGATGGTCACTTTATGACGCCACCTGCCACCTCGATTTATTTGCCACTTCACTTTGAAGTATGATGGCGATTATCTTCTGAGAAAAAAAGGAACCAAGCGATATCAAGAATGCCTATCTTTGGGCTTCTCTGGAGTGGTGGCGTGGTGGCTTTGAATAATGTATGAGTATCGATGTTCTTGTAGTGTGGCGACCGTAGCATAGCACAAACTGGTCCCGGGGTAGATCGGAAGTACAGTAAGTGAGTAGCAGGCCATGTCAAACACAGCTCGGTTTATTGTGATATGTACACACGTCTAGATTGTGCTGTGATCGCATTTTGCGTCGTAAATGTAAGGAGACCAGATTTATCATACCCTAGCCCTCAAATTGAGTTTTTTGGAAAAAAAATATATTAGACTACATGCCGGTAGTGAGCACAATTTAGCCAAAGCACAACTCTTCACACCATGAGCAAACGAGCCGCTGAAGACAAGCAGACGCCCACCAAGGCGACCAAGACGTCCGAATCCGCCGACGCAGCCTCCACCGCGACCTCTGGCACTCCCCAGGAGCTGTCTGAGATGGAGCAACTGGAGCTCAAGTACGGAGGCATGGAGGATCGATATGACGATGACGGAGAGTCTGAGGAGGAAATCTTTGAGGCTGGGGACGAAAATGATGAGGAAATGGATGATGTGACGGAGGAGGAGGCCAAAACCCGGGCCATGGAGGCTATTGCCAAAGACAATGCTGTCAAGACGGCAAAGTCTGTGTTTGTGCCACAATTGCATGAGCTGACTCCCGACATGGTGATGGAGCCGGACATGTCTGTTTACGAGATGATTCACAGCTGCCGGCTCAAGTGGCCCTGTTTGTCGTTTGACATTCTGCCCGATTCTCTGGGTTCCGACAGATCCACCTACCCTCACACTACCTACCTGGCCTGCGGTACTCAGGCCCAGAAGCCCAAGGATAACGAGATTTTGGTTCTCAAGATTTCGCAGCTCGGCAAGACGCAGTTTAACGAGGATGACGACGAGTCTGAGGATGAGGAAGACGATTCCGACCCCGTCATGATCAGCAAACACATTCCTACCAACTCGACTGTTAACCGAGTCCGAACTTCTCCTTTTGGAAACAAGACGGGCGAGTACCTTACTGCATCCATGATGGAGTCGTCCGAGTGCCACATCTGGGACCTGTCTCCTCAGATCAAGTCGTTTGACGTGCCTGGATCCACAATCTCCAAGCAGCAGCTCAAGCCTCTCTACACCATCAAGCAGCACAAGACCGAAGGCTACGCGGTTGACTGGAGCCCCCTTGTTACTGGTGGCGAACTTCTGACGGGAGATTGTGACGGAAACATCTACCAGACCTCTCGAGGCCAGTCAGGATTCACCACTTCCGAGAACCCCTACTCTGTGGGCTCTTCCGTGGAAGACCTGCAGTGGTCGACTTCGGAAAAGACAGTTTTCGCCTCTGGAGGCGTTGACGGACTCATTCGAATCTGGGACACTCGACAGAAGCAGAACAAGGCCGCTCTGGAGGTCCGAGCTACCAACACGGACATTAACGTCATGTCTTGGAACCACAAGGTGAGCTATCTGCTCGCGTCTGGACACGATGATGGTACCTGGGGAGTTTGGGATCTGCGTTCGTTCCAGAAGCCCAACCCCAAGCCAGTGGCTGCTTTTGATTTCCACAAGAAGCCCGTCACCTCCATCGAGTTCCATCCTACCGAGGACTCTGTGGTTGCTGTGGCTTCTGAGGATTCTACTGTTACTCTGTGGGATCTGGCTGTGGAGGCTGATGATGACGAGGTCAAGCAGCAGCTCAAGGACAACGGCGATATCGCCCAGATTCCTCCCCAGCTGCTGTTTGTGCACTGGCAGGCCAACCCCAAGGAGGTGCGATGGAACAAGCAGATCCCCGGCCAGCTGGTTTCCACCGGCTCCGATGGCCTGAACCTGTGGAAGTCCATTTCGGTCTAGACAAGCACGAGCTGAGAGAGTGCTTGTTTTACACCGCATTTGTACCTCCACATCGCATAACATCTTCCAGAACCACACACTCACATTACATTATTCCTCCATATAGTCCATTAATAGATTGCTATACTTAACCGGAGGAGTTGGCTGGAGCCAGTACTTCTAGCAAAGCAAAGAGGTAGAAACGAAGCTTGCCATGAAGGGTTAATACAGGTTCTTGTCGTAGATTTGAAGTACTCTACGAGTGTGGTTGAATCGATCAGGCACTACACTATCCCCTTTCAAGATCCCAATAGTTTTGGATTACATACCAACTTCCCCAGTCTCTCAATGAAAACCCATCAACTCATCTATTTCTTCAGCTTTTCTTCCTGACCTTTGCAAGAGCCGAAATGGGGGTCTTCCAACTTCTCAGATGGACTCTCACTCAGCTCCGTATCGCTTTGGGATCTCACTTCAATTCTGTAGTCGTCAGGCTCGATATCTTCTCCCTCATCCACGCTAACACTGCCTTGTTCCTTGAAGTCAACAGAAGGGTAGCACAAGACTGCGAGGAACATCATGGCGGCGCAGGCAAAGGTGCCATAGAGCATGTGTTTCATGGTTTCATCGAAGGCGCGGTTGATCTCGTTTCGCACCGGGGAGCCAATGGGGAACTTGGTGGCCTTCTTGATCTTGTTGATGATCAGGTTGAGGTCCTTCTGGGGGATATCGGGTGCGTACTTGTGGATGTATTGCGGGTAGACCTCTTTGTAGATGGCTCCGAGAATGGCGTCTCCAACAAGCTGTCCGATTCCCCCCATGGTGAAGTAGACTGCGGTGACCTTGGCGACCTTGTGCTTGTCAAACATGGCCTGGGCAATGGTTCCACAGGGAATGTAGAGGGTTCCTCGTCCGATACCCTCAATCACCTGGGAAATTATCAGGATACCCAGTCCCGAGTGTTGTCGTCGGAACCGGTAGGTGAGACCAGTTCCAACAAGATAGAGGCAGGTTCCCAGCACCATCATGTGCTTGGGTTTTCCGCTCCACAGCAGGTATGGCGCCGCAAAGAGAATACCAAAGGCGTTGTTGGCCACCGTCACGGCACTATTGATATTGGTGGTGGCCTTTGGGCTGTATCCTCGGACCACCAGCAGCCATGAGGTGTAGTAGGGCACCGACAGCTTGTTGGACATACTTGAGAAGAAGAGAATGGTACAGGAGCAGATCATGGCTCTGTTTCTGAACAGTTTCCACGATATGAGCGGAGATTGCGCCCCGTAAATCTCCCATAGCGGGAAAGCCGCCAACAGGAAACTGCCGATGGTGAGCATGGCGATGAAACCGGGCCTGGACCATTTGTCTGTGCCTTCTGCCAGAGTGATGGGGAAGAATAGGAGAATGGTTCCGGCGCAGAGCATGACCAGTCCCACGATATCGAATGACAAGAGAAACCGCTTGAAGCCGCCGGGAGTGTAAAAGTCTCCGCGGGCTCCAAGTCTGAATTCCTTGACTCGCATCACCGAGAACAAGAAGAGAACGCCCAGAGAGCAAACAGGAATCACTATGGCAAACATTCCGTAGCCCCATCTCCAGGTGGCCACATCGAGGATAGCACCTACGATGGGCGCCGCCGCGTAGGGTCCCCAAATGTTGGGCGACTGGATGAACGACGAGAAGATGATTCGGGTGTTGATTGTCGAGGTGTCTGAGGCGTACAATTCGGTCATCATATGGCCTCCAACCGTGGCCACTTCCCAAAAGACAATACCTGCAAAGTAACAGCCAGTGTTTGGAGCACTGGCAAACAGTACTGAGCCAACCAGGTGACACAGAACAACGATAACCCATCCCTCCAGACGTCCGATATGGTCGCAGACTTTTGCAAACGCCGGCCGGGTGACAATGAAGATGGAAGACTGGACCACAGCCTTACTGGACAGCAGCGAAAGACCGGCGAAATGAGAGGTGGCCAGGGGAGCCATAGTTGGGTGGACCTTTTCGGCAAGCTCTTTGCTGGCCGCGTACAAGTAGACGAAGATCCAGCCGACAATAATGATGGGCCGGGTCCATCCTCGCTCTTTGGCGTTGGTGCTTGATCCCCTTTTGGGATAGTGCTTGATCTGGGCCTTGGAGAAGAAGATGGCTCTGACCCAAGGGTGGAAACAGATCAACTTTTCGAGTCTTTCTCCCCATATCTTCTGCTTGTGACCTATCTTTTCCATGTTGAATGCCCATTTGATCCTGGCTCTTCATTCCTTTTATACTGCCTGAGAGTGGCTACATAAGCGGATAGATCTGGGCCGGTAGGGTCTCATTAGTACGCCGTCACGTTGAAAGGACACTAGTGGGCTCAAATACGGTGCTAAAAACCTGTAGTACTTGTGGTATTATCCATTTATCAGATCCGTAATGGTGGAACAGTATGTACTGTACTGTACCCTCAAGCCCTGGCACATTGCCGTGATAGCTAGAAGGTTGTCAATGGGAAACAGACAGTATTGTAACAGTAAAAACAGATGAATTGTTGTCTTGGAGACTGCTCAGACAATGAATTTGACCATAGTCACCATAACTGACGGTTTAATCCCGGGAGTCCATCTAATCTGAAGCATCAGACGTACGTAGAAAAAATGTTCGCACTAAAATCTGTTCTCGATCGCACTAAACTAAACTTGCAATGAGAAGTTTGTGAATACGTGGATGATGACCTTCTTCAGTTCCGGGAGACCCGGATAACCGAAGAAGGAGTGGGCATCACCACCTCAAGGTGTAGCTGTGCAAACCCACTTCCAACTCAATTGAAGGCTCCTCTTGGAGCACGGGCGAAAAAACAGGACAGCAGGGCTGAAGTTGAACACCAACCAACTTGATGACTTATCAATCTACTTTTTATAGGACAGACCCAGCTTTTTATTAGCTCGTTATAGGCCCAACGGTCATTGAACGCGAAGACAAAGCAAAAGCTTGGCCTGCATTGCCGTCTTGGCAACAGTGTTATACGACATGTCTGTCACGGTGGCTGGAGAGACTTCTGGATATGAAAAAGGAGACCAGAAAAGAAAAAACTGGAGAAAAATGCCGAAATAAATGCCGAAACAACACTTTTCATAACTTTGTGACTTTGTTACCACATCAGAACCTGTGACGGCAGATACGTACATAATTGTAGTGTCCTTCGCTGCATGTACTTGTTTCTGACAGTGAAGAAATTTTACAGACACCAAATTCACAAGCGACTTTACCCTTCGGAACATGGCCATTAGCGTGGACCTTGACTTTGACAGCAGGCTACTTGTAGTCTAGAAACTGTGCAGTGCAGGTTGTCCTTCCCTCCCCTTGTTGGCTCACTAGCGGAACGTGTTGGAGCGTCTTCTACGCTATTTTGGACTTTTAGACTGCTATCCCTTTAGACAACCCAACAGTGCTGTTTTGCAACAAACAAAGTAGTTTTCTCCACAATTGCCAGGTGTTGGAAAACCTCAACATGAGTGACTCCCCAATAGTCTCCATTCTAAGCGGCCAATTCACCCAGCTGAATTTGTCAACCTGATGGCGTGCCCAGCCGAATCCTCCACCAGAGTCCGGAGATTGCCCTGAGGAGGTTTTCTGTGAGAGAGAAGAGTCTGGTGTATCGGAGCGTCTTACAGCAAGTGATAGGTTACCTACCTGCTTACTAAGAGTTTCCACTTCCTACTTGCTTACTAAGAATACCCACCTGCTTACTAAAAGTACCTTCACCCTAACCCCGCCAGCAAAACGCTAGAGCACACAAACAGTACACGGACACACGAATGAAACGCGAACGACATTGACGAACGCACAAAAACAATGGGGAGAGACATGTTTATTGACCTCCAAGAATAACTCTACCTCCCGGACAATCGAGATACCAATGCATTGTTCGTGGAGACACTGAACAGATGACACGGGCGAATGCCGCACATTCATACCCATACTCCAATGACTTGGTGGTACCAGCTGAAGTAGTGACAAGCTCCTACAGTACTGTACCAGTACTCGTACTCGTATTGTACTCGTACTCGTATTGTACTTGTACTCGTGTTGTACTGCCACGTTAACCCACAACCCCTGGCTCAGACCACGTGGAGCAAGAAGTTCTGTGACCAATTCGGTTAGATCATCAAGAGCTAGTCGAGACTACTTTTAACGCCTACAGTCAAAACAACCTATGGTGGATATATGGCGCTAGACATGGCGCTAGATGATACGGCGCTACACATGCGGTATTTCGTGACAGTAGCGCGAAAAGTTTTACTTCTGAGATATATAATCCCTTAGTGCAACACACTTCTAGCCGATATCTTAACCTCTGACACCAATCTGGTTCATACTAAGGGTAGTCGTGCTGGAGTACATTCTGCTTCATCATCATCTGCTCTCTGTCTGTCCTGTCTGTGACCTAGATTCATCTATCATTTGTCTACTACGCGTAGACCACTTGGGTCTTCCACTGACATCTACTTGACTCGCCAAGTATGCTTCTCCGATCACTTCTATTTGCGTCGTTGCAAATCTCAGCAGCTCTCGCCCAGACTGCTCTGACAAGTCCCATCACCTCTCTGGAAGTACATATCGCTCGAAAGCCGACCGTCAAAAAAGCGTTCCAGTGGAACACCTGGGAGGCTGAGATGGGCTTCGCATTTGATAATGTCACTGCTTCAGCCATCCAAAGTGGAGACTACTTTGACTTCACCATCAAAGGCCCTCTCGCCCCTTACTCCGAGTCTTCTGAGGTTCCTCTGACCTACGATTTTTACATTGAGACCGACAACAAGGAGCAGTTGTTCCACGTGACTGCTACTGACGACAACCACTCCTTTCGAGCCACCGCAACCGACTTTTTTGACTCCCCCCCAGGTGAGACTTTCAACCTTGCTGGAACTTTCAGTGTGGACTTTTTAATTCCCGCGTCTGCGCCCCTTGTGGACAGCGTCTTTACCGTCGGCCCTTTCAAAAGCACCATTTCTTTTATTCTGCCTACTCCTTTGACCACGCAAGCCAAGGGTGAGAAGGTGAAAGTCCAAATGACACGCAAGGGCACTTACCTCATTGCCGAGATCTTCTCTTTGGTGTACCAGTCTGCTGGTCAACCTGCCCTTCCCAAAGATGGTAGGTTCAACAGACTACAGGCCACCTCTGGGGCTACATTTGAGCGGGAACCGAGCCATCCCTGGGGCTTTGTTGATGCGTACTATATCGATGTCAACTTGAAGAGATACGATGGTGCAGGGTCCCCGATTGATGCAGACTTTGCTCCTCCGGGAAACAGTTTTGTCAATGCGTCGGAGATGTATTCTCATCTAGACTGGTACAAAATGCCTGCTAACCCCTCCAAGGCGGTTGGACTGTATGTGTCAGCCCGTAGTAAAATGAGCGGGTCCGATGATAGCTCTTGTTTTTACTACACTGGTAACTACCGATACGTTTTTTCATTGAGTCCCATCTGTGTTGCCCAGGGTCGAGGAGCCGAGGGCTTGCCCAACGGAGAGGGTTTGATAGCAGTTGACGTTGTTGTTCCGTTGGCTACAAGTTCTGAGGTCACCACAAGTAGTGCCGAGGCTACTTCTGAGGTGACCACCAGTGCTGATATCTTTTCTGAGGTGACTTCCAGTACTGAAGCTACTCCTGAGGCGACTTCCAGTGCTGAGGCTACTACTGAGGCGACTTCCAGTGCCGAGGCTACTCCTGAGGTGACTTCCAGTGCCGATGCCTTTTCTAATGTGACTTCCAGTGCCGAGGCTACTCCTGAGGTGACCACTAGTGCTGATCCCTTTTCCAATATGACTTCCAGTGCTGTTCCCTTTTCTAATGTGACTTCCAGTGCTGATAGCTCTTCTGTGGTGACCACTAGTGCTGATCCCTTTTCCAATGTGACTTCCAGTGCTGTTCCCTTTTCTAATGTGACTTCCAGTGCTGATAGCTCTTCTGTGGTGACCACTAGTGCTGATCCCTTTTCCAATGTGACTTCCAGTGCTGTTCCCTTTTCTAATGTGACTTCCAGTGCTGATAGCTCTTCTGTGGTGACCACTAGTGCTGGTCCCTTTTCCAATATGACTTCCAGTGCTGTTCCCATTTCTAATGTGACTTCCAGTGCTCACAGCTCTTCCGAGATGACGACCAGTGCCGAGGCTACTCCTGAGGCGACCACCAGTGCTGATAGCTCTTCTGTGGTGACTACTAGTGCTGGTCCCTTTTCCAATGTGACTTCCAGTGCTGATCCCTTTTCTAATGTGACTTCCAGTGCTAACAGCTCTTCTGATGTGACTTCCAGTGATGATGTCTCTTCTGAGGTGACCACCAGTGCTGATATCTCTTCTGAGGCGACTTCCAGTGCCGAGGCTACTTCTGAGGTGACCACAAGTGCTGATAGCTCTTCTGTGGTGACCACTAGTGCTGGTCCCTTTTCCAATGTGACTTCCAGTGCTGATCCCTTTTCTAATGTGACTTCCAGTGCTAACAGCTCTTCTGATGTGACTTCCAGCGCTGATGTCTCTTCTGAGGTGACCACCAGTGCTGATATCCCTTCTGAGGCGACTTCCAGTGCCGAGACTACTCCTGAGGTGACTTCCAGTGCCGAGGCTACTTCTGAGGTGACCACCAGTGCTGATATCTCTTCCGAGGTGACCGCCAGTGCCGAGGCTACTCCTGAGGCGACTTCCAGTGCTGAGGCTACTCCTGAAGTGACTTCCAGTGCTGAGGCTACTCCTGATCCTCCCAGTAGTGTCGAGACTTCCAGTACATCTGAGAGTGCATCTGATGATGAGACTACTAGTGCTTCGACTACCTCTGAGGAAGCTTTAACCGTGTTTGTGACCGAGCAAGCAATAACCGTGTCTGTGATCGAGCAAACAACTACCGTCTCTTCGTCTGAACCAACCGCATCTGCGTCTGAACGAGAACCAACCGTGTCTGCTACCAACTCGTCTACTGCCGCTCCCAGACCCTCATCTAGCACCAAGGTCTTCATAAACATCAATAGCACTGATCCTGTCACTGGGAAGGTCACCAGAGCGCCCGTGACTAGTGCTTTGACCACCTCTGAGGAAGCTGCAACCATGTCTGCGACCGAGCAAACAACAGCCGTCCCTTTATCTAAACCAACCGCATTTGCGTCTGAACAAGAATCAACTGTGTCTGCCACCAACTCGTCTACAGCTTCCGGACCCTCATCCAGCGCCAAGGTCTTCATAAACATCAATAGCACTGGTCCTGTCTCTGATAAGGCCACCAGAGCGCCTACGTTGCTTTTAGGATACAACACTACTGCCGCAGACAGCGGTAATCATGTGACTGCTACCATCACTGTTACTAGCACTTGTGCCACCGCCACTGCCACCGTAACAACCGGCTGCATCACTGTTGTCGACGGCGTCACCTCTTCCTTCACTGTCGTAGTTGTCCCTAGCAAAGCTGGTTCTGGGTCTGATGGTTCTTCCAAGGCTGATTCTACTGCCTCAGGAATACATTCTGGAGTGATTGACTCCGAGTCTGGGGAGAGGCCCAATGCCGAGCCCTGGTCAGCAGAGAGCAAATCCGAGTCTCATTTTGGATCTACCAGCACAGAAAAGAGCGATTCTCAGCTCGGAGACATTTCTGACTCCTCTGATGTTGCTCCAGACGTTTCTGATGTTGCTCCAGACTCCTCTGTGGTTGCTTCCGACTTCTCTGAAGCTGCTTACGACTCAGCAGATGTTGGATATTCCTCTCGTGAGTCTATTGGCCTGTATTTGCCTGGATCTTCCTCTCGACCTTCCTCTGGACCTTTCTCGGGCCCCAACAACTCCTCCTCCATCAGACCCACTCCCTCTACTGATCAGGCCAACACTGCGTCTTCCCTTACTGTCGGTGCTGCTGCAGTCCTTTTATTAGCTGCCATGGTGGTCTAGACATTGATACCCATGGTAGACTGTATTCATTCTATGTACTAATACCTGTAACTTCACACAAGTCTCAAAGCACATTTGTAGAATGGCTGTAGAGCAAATTGTATCATATCAGTATGTACCGTATCGAACAGATCACTAAATGTCAAGTACTGTACCCAACTAGAGTAATCCAGCAATTTCCGAAAGAATGCACTTTTCAGATTTGTGATAACCCGCCTCGTTGACGAGCTGTACAGGTCTATATCTGAATATCGTTATCTGGATATTTACTGCGGGTAACGATAGGCGAAACAAAAAGGGCTGGCAAGTTGGGAGTCTGGTATAATTGGGCATTCGGAATTGATTACAACTTTCAGAAATGTAATTACTCATCTACAGCGCGTGTGTTATGTCAAATGTTTGGATGTGCAAACCCGTTCCTCAGACAATCTTTCTGTAGACAGTGCTAGAACTTTGGGGACGAAAGAGAACTCTCCAACTCGGCGAGTAAAACTCCGATTAGGAAGTAAAGGCTTTCCATCAATTGGAACCCCTGTTTGTCTAGTCTGAATTGAACCATCTTTCGGTATGGACTGCTCAGGAAGTGGTTCTGGTGCGGTTAACATGGGAACTACCGGTTTACAGAATGGTGAATAAATTACTAATCACTGGAAAGGTAAGAAGAAGACTTTCTAATCTACAAACTTGTCCAGTGGTATGATCGACCATTACCCAAGTTCAACATGTTGAAGGGAAAACGTCGACGTAGGCGACAAACATAGACTGACTCCTGTATCGTCTTTCTGTTAAATGTTCTTGTGTACTCACTGGAGTCTCGTCGCTTTGGGCTGGGATTTACCTACAAGTACTGTAGCTAACCGCCAGTCTCACAAAGAAGTCCCCGTGAGCAATTCTGAACCGACTGTCATACAACTATTGCTTTGATCTTCGTAGTCCCACGATCAATGGCAATAGTTGCACCATATGGTGGAACAGCGGTTTGTCAAGATTGAGGAGCTGCGAGCCATGCTGACCATCATGGCTCAGAATATGAAGAGACATGGTGCTGAGACTCAGACAATATCAAATGTATATGGTAACCGTTTTTCAAAGAGTTGACAGTCCAAGTCTTTCGATTTCTGGGTCCTCGCTGACTGCAACCCTCACAGATCTCTGCCACAGGTACTGCCACAGACTATACAAGTACGGTACATACTGAGCAGCATGTTGGTTCTCTATAGTCCATAGAGACCTATGAAACTCACAAATCAGTTGAAGAAAGCCTCGGTAGAGTGATTCTTGGAGGTTGCTTCAAGGAGACTGAGCTTCACGTCTCTGAAGTCTGAAGTCAGTCAAGGTGGACTAGTTGTGATTCAAGGAGGACTAGCTGATGCTCGACGTTGCAAATCATTCTTCCGTAAATGTCTCAGACCAGCTTGGTCAATTATGTATTTCAAAATGCAGCATTTTTGAGGGCATGGCGGGTGACATGACCAAGTTCCTAGACATGCATGTGGAGAGGGATGGCAAGAGTGGATCTTTCACGATTGACATGGAGCGAGGCTTGAAGATAACAGCGGAAAGCCGAGCTGATACTCCTTCTACTAAAGTACTGACGAAGAACTGTTGACTACAAGAGTCTACAAGTACAGTGGATGCCACTCATTACCGTCAATGCATTGGCAAACTGAGCTTGACATACTCCAGAACCAGTGTCCTACAATTCACACAGATAACTTCGGAATTGTGACAAGAAACACAAAGGAATGGTGGTGATGATGTGTGGCGAACCAACCTGTTGGAGATTGGCCAAACAGAAGTCCATTTCTCTGTCTACAGCTGAAGCAGAGTATCAGGCCAGTGGCTAAGACAGGAGTTGGAGGAGTGCAATTTCAAGTTGCCAGATGACCAAGCTCTCGTTTTTTTCACTGACAATCAGCAAATTACTACTCCTCCCGCATTTTATCCTCGAACAATGCACATTGAGCGTGGTACCATCACTGTTCACAGTACAATCCCACCGAGAACCAACGGACATCTTCACTAAGACCCTTACAGTAACAATGAGAGCTCTGGGTATCTGAGTGATTAGGCAGCTTATGGAAGCCGAATTGCTGGGGGAGTTTGATTACGTGATACTTGTGCAAGCTGTGTATCTGTAGTACTTGAGGTCTCTCTTACAAGTACAAGTACAAGTACAGTACATTCTGGTATATCCCACAATGAGCAACTATACAGGTAGGACCGCCCAGATCCATTACAGGCTTACTAACTACTGAAAAATGTTTTCGTCCCCACTAACTGTCAATAGGATCGTTCAAGTTTGTTGTCTCAGCCATGCCATTATTGTACTTGTAACTTGCTAGTTACGATGTGGAACATTTTCGAGACGCCTGTTTCCGCGAGTGGTCTGGTTCTGTTGCTTGGTCTCTTGATATTCAGCATGTTGGGTCACGAGCCGTTCTCGCCAGTAATGTCCATCATTATTAGCCATTAATCTCATGATGGAGGACCCGAATGTCTCGTTATAGAGGCAGATGTACGACAAAGGGCTGAGTATGAATTGATGAGAGTCCTCCACTACCTCAGTGGAGATGACGATGAGTGTTCAAGAGATGATGAACGCCTAAGTGACGATTGAAATGAGAGTGAGAGTGCGGATGAGAACGAAAGCTGAAACAGACTGGGTGAGAGCAAGAGATACTGTAGTTGAGATACACCGTCGAATCGATGAAAGAACTTGTTGACAAGGTCAAGTTGAAGGCACCAAGAATAAGAAGTCCCTCAGTGGCATCAACTCCAACAAACGTCTCATGTTCCACGGCAGTGCGACATCAGATGTGGCGTCTGTTCCGAGAGTAACCAAGGAGCTGCGGTTATGCCAGCTTTCGTACCTTTCTACTGCCATAAGGTAGACGGCCCAAGGAGGCGTGCTCAACAAGAGGACGTATCTTGCACTAGTTTTAGTATGGTCGCTTCGAATGGATGGCCGATGGTCTTTGGTTCGGCTGCGCTTCATCGGAACGGTCGTCATACTCGGCTACGACGCATCGAGGCCACATTTGCGGATCTGGCATGTGCCACAATGGCGTCACCGGGCTCCAACATTCGGATGACCTTTCTGTTGTCCGCGTCAGGCAAATCATCAATATGATCGAAGTCATCAAGAGCCTCGAACGACTCCTCATCGAACGGCTCCTTGAGACTGATTGGTTCGTCACCAATGGCAGTACCAACAGGGCGGTAGGAGTAATATAATTGCTACCAGCCACAGCATTGGGTTCATCTCTCTCGCCCTTGTCAAGCTCAGCATCCCCACTGTCGTTTAGATGCCTGTCCATGTAGCCTTGAATCCACTCAGACTCATCAGAGACCACGGTACCGTTTTGTTCTTCCGGACACGACCTTTCCGGGTCCAGAATAGACAGCTGCCAGTCGACCATGTTGTTCGATAAATCTGGTACGCCATAGTCACCATGGAATGAGGAGTGCAGTACATACCATGCGCCTCCAGCTTGAGCTCTGAAGCAAACTCCTCACAAGCCAGAGTCTTCTTGTCTCGTTCATAGACCGTGGAAAGGATGAAAGAGTCGAAATCAAGTCGAACCTCAGCAACCCATCCGACAGCCTCGTCGTTGGTCGTCACGGTCAGTCCGGACAGAAAGCTGCAGATCTCACCACCATGGTTACAACTGAACTGGTGACAGGACATTGTCAGCCCTCACAACGAGTACTTCTGAAGAAACCAAACAGAGAGTGTTGATCAATGTCGGGAATGGCCGGCAGCCGACACTCCTGAAAATCCATGCACATTAGACAATCGATCCAATGGTGAATAGTGCCTCCTTCATCTCCGTAGCAGCGCCAGTCTCAATATGGAACTTTCTGTACTGAGACAAGAAGAGTCTGCGTTGGTGAAAGACCGAGGGCCGACGAGAATACTAGACCCACAGTCAACAGCAAGCAGCTAGAATGTTTTCACCACAGACAGCGTAGTTACGTTCAGGTTCAACAAGGTCCCAAAACTCCCCCAAACCCCGTCTTCTCCATACCACATCCAAGAGGATGTTTCGTAAACGGGTCATCATCAGATTGTCAGGCGGCCGGACTTGTGACCAAACTTATCATAGTCGTTGAACAACGCGGAGAGCTTGCAGAAGTCAACATTGGTATGTTCAAGTTCGTCATAGCTGCTCAATGTATTTCTCCACATTGTTGGAATCTTGCGAACCTGGATCCAACTGCGATATGCCTAACCCGCAAACGCCATCTCATGGGTGGAGCAAGGACAGACGGAGAGTCCAGACTTTTGACACTGCGACCATCTTTTCAGCTGAGCTGTCATGAGTGCAACTCATAGTAGCCCATTGAATTGGTCTTGAAGGCAGGAGAGTACCGGAAACAGGAGACGGGGCTGTGAACAACCTCGGGGTTCTGGTCATCGAGAGGCGCTGGAGTAGTGGCACCTTCCGCAGACAGAAACCAGATGCACTTGAGACACTAAGCTACGATGAAGACACTAGGCCACGATAAAGAGCTGGTTATAGCAATGGTAGGACGTCCTTGCAAACATATTCAAACATATACAAACCTAGCTGATACTGTGCTCACCAATACTGACGCTGACGATGCGTTGATGGATAAGTACAGGTAGATCTTCTATCAGACTCGCAGGAAGATCAGATGGCGTGGGAATGAGGATGAACATGAATTTGATCCTGAAGTACTTGTACTTTCAGTCTTTGGATATATGTGAAAACGACAGCTTCTTGATTTCTTTCGCTTCTTCCTGTTTCGCAAAGCACTATATGTTCTAGTTAGCATGGGTGGTTTTTAGTAAAAAGTTGCTGACAAAGTTATTGAAGATCTAAGTATTTTTCTTTAGGTATAGTTATTGCGACTTACAACTCACTTGTAGGAACACGTTTCGACAGTAGCACACACCAGAATGTGCTTACTCATTCACAGACTGCCGTTACACCGGGAAATCTACTATTAAGACACCCCAGGTGGTTACGGGCAATTCGACATTGGATGTGATCACATGTGATACCATTCTTCACCTGGTGATATCCTCAAAGGACTACAAACATGCGGTCGTAAAGGAGCAGTACACAGGTAGTGGTTGACTTGACCGAGCCGAGCAAGTACGTCACCAAGTTTCTCCAGTGGGCTATCATGCTTTCGAGACGCCGGCGGGCCTCGCGGAATTCTCCTCGATCAAGGAGGAGAATTTACTGTCCTGCGCAGATATGCTGAAGCTGAAGGGATCGAGGTTGAGACAAGGCATACCAATGATCACGTTTCACCGCATCCGAACCTCTCACGTCTTCCGACTTTCGGATCGGTGTGTTATGTGTGCACCCTGATGTTCAGCGGGACTAAGCTGCAAGAGACGGCGCTTATAGGGATCTGTGTGGCCATGTCCAATATGGCAAGCACTACCTAGTCTGGGATCGACTCGTTCCTGAATGACGACTTGGAAACACATCAACCCCACTGGCAGTGGCTACTGATGGGATTCTCCCTGCCGAGGAGACCATACCCGAGAAGTTCCTTACATACTAATGTGAAAATCGGCAACCCCCAGACAAGCCCGCTCTACGTGGCAAATGCTCCAGCACCAGACCCCAACGCGAAGTGTTGCCGATGGCGTCCCCGTACAGGCCTGTCTACCCAGCATGACGAGTTACTCACCAGAAAGGTGTGGGCTCGCTCATTCACCCATTCACCAGAGAGACTCTCGATCAGTGGATAAATATCTACAAAGTCCATCCATCTGCGACAAAGCTGGTTCCTCTAATCATTAATGAGGATTTCTCATCAACGTATTAGTCAGGTATTACCCTACCGGCTTACATAACAGGTTTAGACCACGCCAAATGTCTGTCTTTAACCCTGCTCTAGGCGAAAATTCAGAATAGAGTTTGTCAATAACACGTTGAGGGACGCGCGGATGAAGGGAAAAAACCGCGTTTACGGGGGTTTTTGGGAGGTTTGGTCACGTTATCAGGGTAATCACGTGACAAAACCTCCATCCGCGGGCGTCCCACCAACGTTCTGCGTACGCCAAAGTGCATTTACGACGCATTTACGACGCTTGGCGGGCTATACCCTAACCCCAATGCAGCAGTGTAGACGCGTCACGAACTAGTTGCGAGTTTCAGTCTCACCCAGCACGCCTAAAAGTAGTGACGAGACTGCGATAATGAATCAGGAGAAGATGAAGGAGGAGAGTGAGTAACCACAAGAGAAGAGAAATGAGTGAAGCCCGCGGCATGTCGGGTTTGGCGGGACCTGATAAGGTGGGTTTGGTGATTTGAGACGGTGGGGTGTGGGATGAAGATGGAACGAGTTGGCAAGCGATTGTTCGTCATGTTGAGCAGTTTAATAAGGTCCATGGTTTGTGCACGGCTTCCTTTTGTGTGGTATGCTACTGGAGTGGCGTGTTCTTACCGTGTCAATGTCTTGCTCTGGATCCAAGTTATGGATCGTAATGCTACAATTTCTGAAAGATGACCTGGCTCCATCTTTTTCTACGGGATACCAAAAGGACCGTGTCTTGGGAACAGTGCGACCGGCAAAATCACAGTCATCAAACCCGCAGTCTCTACCTGTCTTCCTCAATCTCACAATACCGGTGTTCCCACCAACGCGATCAGAATGCTGCCAGTTCCACCACTCGCACGCATGACCTACTTGTCACCGTCTCAGCATATCAAGCGAACCTCTTTTGGGTTGTGTCAGAGCAGTCAATCATCAAAGCGCCCCGAGAGCGGGCTCATGGCAATGCCAACTGTGTGAACTTGCTGCCAATTACAACGGTTCTATTATACAAACTTGGCGCTGAACGGTTACAAACGTGTCATGGACAACTACCAACTCTTGCAGCCGACTCGTTTATCCTGCCAAATCTGTTCACCTTCCCGCGTGCTGCTCTTCTGCTTCCTTTCTTTGCTAACCCAGGTCTCTCCCTTCCCATCTCAACCCCGTCAGCAGATGTGATCATCATCGATTGCAACTCGCTATGCGACTCAAAGCTCTACACAAACCCGTCCGTCATCTCGACCGCCGTCTATATGGTCGGCACGGACCCGCTATTCGGCCCTATTCTCGGCATCGTTTACAAAACGGACAAATCACATTCCTGCGTCATCATCTCGCGCCACGGAGCTTCCGGGTTCGTCGACATGACCCTCAGCCACAAGAGCCGATACTACGGCGCAGTCAAAAACCTCGAGGACAAGTCCTCGGCTGTGTCACGCGCTCTAGGTATCGCCCTCCTGCGTGCCTATGTCACCATGGACAAGAACATCCGTACATATCTCGCCAAAAACGCTCTCCAAACGTCCTTCCTTTACGATTACGATGAGACATGTGCAGGAAAAACGGCCTCTCAGCTTGTTGTGGGGGATGGACATGGTCCCGAGGAGATTGGTAAGCTGGTATTAGAATCTGGTGTTGTCGAACCCAAGTTTGTGCGTTCCAGTGCGGTGGATATCGTCTACGAAGACAGCGACGAGACTATTGAGGATAACAACCGGCTCGTGTACCTGCTTGGCGAGCAGCTCGAGCAGCTGTTTGACCCACTGAGTGAGTACTCGCCCGAGGGTGTTGAGGAGGTTTACGAGCCCCCTAGAGACGAAGATACAGACAGACGCGGTGCTGGCGGTGATGTCGACCAGGAGGACGACGAGAACGGTCGCGAACCAAGTCCCACATCGTCCAACTTTTCCGATTCGGCTACACTCACGTCCGTGTGCTATGAGCTCATCACCATCCAGAACAATTTCCGCGACGCGCTTATCTCGTTTTTGCAGTCGTATCTCATTCCGCTGCGAATCCAGGTCATCAATGGCGCCATCCCCTCGCTAAACATGACAAAGTTGAATTCCATCTTCCCACCCACCATTGACGAGATTGCTCGAATTCACAACCTATTCCAGACCGCGCTCAAGGCTGCGACGCCGTTTGGCTCGTCGGAAATCGTCAGAGCCACAGGAATGACTCTTCCTTACTTTTACAAGCCGTGCATGCGCCACGAGGCTGCACTGAGGTCTTTTTCCGATCTCTATGGCGACTACTCTGCGCTGATTGCCGAGTCTGGCTTTGTGCCTCCAGTTCCCTACTCCCAGCAGCGGATCCAGTCAGTTCTGGCCGCTTCTCAAAACCTCACCAAGATCAAGCTGCTGCTGGATCGTATTGTAAAGCTCAGCAACTGGGGCGACAAGCATGATGCGACCATGATGTACTACCATGCAGCTGTCAACACAATTGAGAGTTTTGCGCGGGTGGAAAACCACGTGGTCTACGACAAGCGAGTCTTTACACCAACTGGTAAGATTCTCGTTGAGTTTGCCTCCGGCTGGCCGAGAGAGCTACAGTACGGGTGGATTAACCGAAGAGTTGTGAGCATTTTCGACGTCACGAGTGTGTTTGAGACGCGTGAAATGCGAACCGAATCGCGTAACACACAACAACACAATGGTTCCTCTCCTTCGTCCTCAAAAGACTCAATTCTCATCATCTTCACCGATCACATTCTTCTGCTGGAAGTCGAGCCCTCATACTCGTCGACGATTCAGACACAGGCGCAGAAAAGAATCGCGTCGGGTGTTTCTTTCCACTCGGTGTCCATCGCCGACATGCTAATGCATTCGCTGATCAACGAGGTTGCCGTACCACAAATTCCGCCTCTAAGAGTCAAGTTCTGGGCACCCATATCACACGTTTTTGCTTCCGAATACAACTTTGGCCACAACCTGTCGCTGTTTGCAGTCGGAGGGTTCAACACAGCCGAATATGGCAACGAAGGTATTGTCCCCAACAGCCTGGAGAACGCCACTGGAGGTTCTGGAAGCTCCACCACGACACTACTGTTCACCCTCAAGACTCCGGTTGCACCCAAGATTGTAGAGCTCTGCACTAAGGCGAAGATCATGTCGAAGACACAACCGTTCCATCTCTTTCACCACCAGAAGACTCACGGTCTGAATCTGTTTATGACGGTGCATGAAATGCAGGGCTATCTGTCTGAGCAACGAAAGTCTCCCATTGCCATCTTTCTGAACATGGACGGGTCCGATGGCAAGCAGCTCGCACGTGAACTTACAAAGCGCCACGAGCTGGACGCAGCCTTTTCCATCTCGCTGCTGTCCAACGAGAGTGCCCATGTGACGCTGCACTCCAAGTTTGCCTACACCCTCGACCGCCAGGTGAGTCTGGACTCGCTCGCCAACTTCATCAACACCGAGGTCTCCAATCTGTACACGCTGTATCTGTCTCCGGCCAACCCCGAGATGGTCGAGAGCATTGTGCAGGGAAACGAAATGGTGGCACAGCAGCTGATGGATTTTGCGACGCGCCAGGCCCACACAAAGCCTACCAAACCCGTGCAGAGCAAAAGCATGATTGACGATGCGGCGCTGGTGGTTACGGGCGTGAGCAAGCCCGTCCAGGGAGTGCACGCGAAGCCGCCTGTCCCTGCCAAGGATGTCAAGAGTGCGAAGCCCAGTGCGAAGCCTTCTGCCAAGGCTCCTACCAAGGCATCTCCCTCGTTGAAATCAAAAAAGTCGGTGTTGTCGCTGCTCGGCAAGTCACCCAAGAACAGTCCCAATCCCGAGCTCAACCGGAAAGACAGCATGTGGATGAAACTCAAGGGCAAGTTGCGATCACCCAGTTTGAGAGAGGAAGATGAAGATGAAGATGTGGTTGAGAGCGGTAGAGTGCCTGACGTACCCCAAAAGATCAACGTGCCCCCTCCTGTGCCCGTGGTGCCTCCTACGGGCGAGATGCATGGTCTTGGTATTTCTGCCAAGACTCCTGAGATGGACGGTGGGAAGTTTGGAGCGGCGGAGACTCCTCGGCCAACGCTTGAGAACGACCCCGATGTCACTCCCAAGGTTGTTCGTCGCAAGAAGTCGTTTGCGGCTCTCCGGCGTGGAATTCAGACCAACAGTGACGATGAGGATGGTGCTGAGGTGGATGATATCGGGTATGGAGACGTGGATAACCCGAGAGTGAACTCGGAATCCACTTATGGCGGTGAATCAGGGGCGCACGGGGCCGATAGAGCCGTATCTGGCGTTTCTGACGCTACCAGGGCAGTGTCATCTGATTACGGAGCAGTTTCAGAAGCTACCCGAAACTTCTCCGGCATTCAAGGTGTCACTGGAGACCCGAGGGCGGCTGAGTTACGTGCAGCATCCGGTGTCCGATCCGTGTCTCGACCCCTACCAGTCCCGAATGCTGATAGAACCCCCTCCACAGCTACCGCCATTTACTCTGGAAACGATACGTCAGCTTTCAACTCAAGCTCTGGCTACAATTCCAGTTCGGTCGCTGCAAACACCACCTCTTCAGGTGTCTACGATCCCACGGGAGTGTATGCCAACACCACTAATGGTACCACCTCTGGTGTCTACCCTGACGCCAGTACTCGAGCTGTGTTCAACAACACTACGACCAACTCCTCAGGATACAACACCACCAACCCAGTGGATGCTCTCGGGGTGTTTGGCGCCCCCGCTGCTTCTGGTGTAGTTGGTACAGGATCCATTGTCGTTACTGACTCTTCTGGCGTAGACACATCAGCCAGCCAGCCAGGAATCACCTCTAGCGGCTCAATTCGACCAATCAAGAAGGAACCCAGCCATCCAGTGTTCGACTCCAACCATCAATTACCCACATCACATTCCCACTACTACACGTACTCTGGATCGGAGTCTGAAGACAATGTGGCCAACCAAAGACACACCTGGAACGACTCGTACGACTCGGAGCTAATGGGTGGGGGCCATGGACGAAACATGAGCTCGCTGGAGAGCCTGGACTGCGGCGAATCACGTGACGCCAGCGTTTCCCACGCGTCACGTGACTCCCGCAACGACGTGAAGCTGTTTGATTTCATCAAGACCAATCGGTCTTCAGCAGCTGACCCCGACTGCGTTGATGACGTCAGCGAGTTTTCCTCGTTCCACTCGAGTGAAGAGTCGTCGTCACGTGGTAGCGACTTTAATGACTCGCGTCGGTTTGAGGACTCCCGGCGGTTTGATGAGAGCCGGGACTTCATGGCCGAGTCACGTGACCAATCTCGTGTGTATCCGTCGCAGGCTCAATCGCGTGACCAATCGCAGTACTACGACCAGTCACGCGACTTTATGGCCGACTCGACGTCGGACCTGCAGGCGGCTCGAAACTATCTGGCGTCGCGCGACTCGGACGAGTCCCGTGATTTCATGGTTGACTCATCCCGGGACTTTCTGGCTGGTTCATCACGAGACATTCTGCCTCCCGGTACGTCGCGTGACGACTCTGCGCGCCAATTGCGACACATGAAGTCTTCCTCCATGGCGCAGTTCAAGTATCCTCCTCCTCTTCCTCCTATTTCTTCCGAGAACCCGGCCGAAGACGAGTTTTCGTCCTTTTCCTATCTTGCTGGTATTTTGCAGGGTAAGGTTGCGCTTGGTGAAGAAGACGGCAAGTCTTTGGAGAGTGCCCATGCACGACGGACGTCCAAGAGTGCCCGGGTGTACTCTCGAAATCCCGTTGACACCTCCCAGGTCCCTCAGTCGGAGTCTTTCACCTCTTCCATCGAGAGCGGGTCGACTGGAGGAGCTTTGTACCCTGATTTGCGAGACTCGTCCATTATGTTTCTCGGCAAGTATGTGAGGGATCGAAGTCCGGCAAAGGGACAGACGAGGGTGAAGAAGGAGTGGGTGGACGAATACGAGTAAGGCCAAACTGTGGAGATGGCAATGGCGATACGCGTACTATGAGTAACAATTCAACGGTGCAAGCACAATAGATAATAATGCATAAATTGGTTGATAAACTGCTGTGGGCGAGTTTAACACAAGTAGATGTACAAGTATTGCAAATGTTCTTGGTGTTTCTCATGGGGTCGACAGGACAGGTGCAACGTCTCCATGTGGACGTCCGTTATATTGTTAATCTGACACTCAACTAATTTGTTGAAGAGCCTCACCACAAATCGAACCCACGGTCTCATATGCCGAAAAAAAAAACAAGGTCTGATATTATTAAGCGATATGCATGATGCTGCAGTACACTGATCTCATCACCACATCTGCAAAAAAACACAACCAAATCAACCCCCGAATGAAGTGAGTATGAGATAATGGAGGGGACTCAGAGGGGAGGGAGAAAGTCAAATCAAAATCATTAGGCCAGAATACAGGGCGCGATTTGGCGATCATCAATGGCTCGCGGCATGGTTGAGCATGTTCGGAATGTGCCCTGGTGGTGCGTGTTCCACTTTTGTGCCATAACCATTCATTCCATTTCCACTACCAGACTAACCTAGCGCGATACGCAAAACGACACAAATCAACAACCAGGAGCTGGCAGAGGGAACATCTATCTCAGCGTCGTGGCACAACGACTACAATGACACGGCATACATTTACATTGGAGGACTGGAATCCAAACTGACGGAAATGGACATTGCAACAGTGTTTTCTCAGTTTGGAAACCCGACGCACGTGAAGCTATCACGTGACCAAAAGACCGGCAAGTCGCGTGGCTTCGCTTGGCTCAAATACGAAGATCAGCGAAGTACGGTTCTGGCAGTTGACAACTTCAATGGCGTGGAGCTGCTGGGAAGAACAATGAGAGTGGACCACACGTACTACGAGTCACGTGACGAGGAGGGCGACGCCAAGGAGGTGGAAATGTTGAACAAGGCCCGCAACCAGCGTCTGGGTCGGCAGAGTGGTGATGGTGGTGGTGATGAGAGGAATGATCATGAAGACAGATCTCGTGATGAACGTGATAGAAGATCTCACCACTCATCACGTGACAGATCACCAAATGCACGTGACACAAGAGAGAGACGGTCTCATCGCTCTTCACGAGACAGATCGCCGGGCGATCGTCAAAGGTCTCATCGAAGATCCAGGAGATCGCGGGACGACGATAATAAGGATGGAGAGGAGATTGAGCGCTCTAGACGGTCACTTGATGACATGGGAAGAATTGGCGGAGAGCGGAATAGGCGAGGTGGAGATTCGAAGAACGACGGAGAGAGAAGCTCGAGGAGGTCGCGTGATGACGGAAGTTCCAGACGCTCCAGACGGTCTCGGGGCGATGGCTCTCGTGAACGGTCTCGGAAACAGAGCCGGAGAGATCGGTCTACGTCACGCGATAGATCAGGTGAGCGCGAGTCTGAGACTGCACGCGGATCCACCAAGCTTGAAAGCACTGCCAACCAGGATCCTGATCTAGTGGATCCTATGGCTGCTTACTTTGCCGATAAGAAGTGAGTATTGACCAATTGTTTCTAGTTATTGCATGCCATTGCGTTATGTGACTGCTCAATATGGCTGCGATTCGTTTGTCTTCCAAGTTTCTGGCATGGAACAAGGCTTTCTCACATCCGTGGTGATTTCGGAGATTATCTTTGTTGAGATCAATAAGAGATTGTCAGGTGCGCCCGTCAAAGGTCAGAACGAAACTCCGTTTGTACAAGCCACCAGATAACTCCCTTGTGTGATGATACTGGTTTGACAAGCTGTTGAACAAAAAGGCGAGTCTCTACCTGTCAACTAGAATGTTCTCAACGTAGACCATGTTTCAAGCCTTTGTTGACTTCTACGAATGTGTTCGTTAAAGTCTGGAAGTCGAGACAAAGTACTCAGACAAAAGTACATACTGTAGATGTGAACATCATGATCCAGTAACTGAACCGGGAATATAAAAGACCGATAATAAACCTCACTGTTTATTACACTGTGTACAGTATATCAATCGACTTTACGAGTTTGAGACCAACATTTTGGAGCCATATGGAGCCATCAAAAGAGTTATAGAAGAGAGATGCAAACCCAAGCGCACTGCTTGTACCGCCCAAGCACGAATATACAGGTGAAGAAGGCCATATCCTAGGCAAATACGTCCGAGAACACCCAGAGGAGGATCCCAAGATGTCGTCGAAAAACCTTGTGTCCAAATTCAAGGGGAAATATATCTTGAGAAAGGGTCAGTTCTGGAGACAGGACCCCCTTCCAACCTATAGCTATGATCTATATTCGGGAATAAATTACTATACATAAATACATTTTCAACTCTTGACCTCCTCCTTTACCTCCACCTTGACCTCCTTCTTGGCCTCCTTCTCCTTCTTCTTCTTGCCCTGCGTCTTACTGTGCTTGACCACCTCCAGAGCCGGAGTAGGAGGCTTGGAGCCGACAGGATCCTTCGTCCAAATCACCTGACGGAAATAGTCCACCATTTTGGGAATCACAAGCTCCAGACCCTCCAGCCGGCGCAAATAGTAGCGCGCCTCGTCAGCGGGAATATCGCTCGTGTCGGCCGCCTGGCCCCGAATCACCTGCGTCTGCAGCTTTTCCTGCACTTCACTGGCCTTCTGAATCACGTGTTGCAACAGCACCACCTCGGGACACTGCAGCGGCAGCCAATGCGACTGTTGAAACACCTCCTCAATCTCCTCGAGACTGGGCTTGTAGTCCTTCCACTGTGTGGGCACATGACTGTCACAGATATGACAGATAAACTCCTCCTGAGACCGTGTCTTAACGCCGGCATTCTTGAGACACTTGGAGTGATACCACTCGGCGCACTTGTCACATCCCACCATGACTCCGGACTCCCGCTGTCGACAGAAGCAAAATAGCTTGGCCTCAGATGGCTCCAACGGCTCTCCCTTTTCCTCAGCAGCCAAGGCCTTAACGTCTCGCTCATATGTGTCTTCTTCCGAGCAGCACAAATTGAGTGACTTGTAAATGGCTTTGAGACGTGTCATCATGGCTCGGTTTGCACCAGAACGTCTGTAGAAGGTCGCCTTGCCCCGTTTGAGCCATTCCTCATTTGTCTTCATGCACGTTTGGAGAGTGGGGAGAGACACATCGTCCTCCGCCTCGGCTAGAGCAAGCAGCTCAGCGGCAGTCTTGAGATCAGGGCGCTTGTCGACCGACTCACTGCCCAGCTGAATGACCATCTCGGAGTAGTCAATGGACAGGGAGCCATCTCCCGCAGTCTCGAGCTCCGTGGACTCCTCTAGAGCGGCTGCAGTGTCCACAGGCTTTTGGGAGGGCAAGTGCGATGCAGGACGGGGGATAATTTCAGCAGGGGGCAGAGGATCTGACACAAACGACACGGGAATGGAAATCTCCGGGGGCTCAATATGTGCTACCAGTTGCATCTCCACACGTGCGTCTTCTGTGTCTGCGGTTCCTGTGCTGGGAGACGTACTTCGGGTATCAACGTCCACAGTCACATCTTCTACCGCATGCTCCATCACCACATCCAGATCTTTTTCCTTCTTTTGTCCCTCTTCGACTTTCAAGAAATGAATGTTTTTCTCCTTCGGTCTTAGCGGAGGCACATAGTCATGTCCCTGGTTGATGACATGTTGAAGGTGCGCCATGAGTTCTCGGTACGCAACTTCAGACATGTTGAAACCTATCAAATCGCCCTCTCGGAGCGTGGCCTGAATCGTTTCCGCACACGCCCGGTCAATCAGACCCAGTGCCTTTTCACACCATCGCAGCTTGGTACACAATTGGTACAGCTGGTCGGCATAAGGAATTGCTACAGAAGCATGCCGGACTTCGTGAACCAGCCGAATGTACTCGATGGGGGTATAAGTGCACGAGGGATCATGCAGAGCATACTGCACGTCAGACGCCAGCTGTTCCAAGTTCCGCAGGCACTCGAAAAAGTCGTCGGCCTCAGAACACGAAAACGGCATCTGATTGTACCCTTCAACAAGCAGCGTAATCTCCTCTCTGGACACTTGAGGTACTTCGGGCTCTTTATCCACGGGTCCCTCCCGCTCTTTTCGTTCGTAGGAGCGCTTACCCTGGTCCAAGAATGCCCGGGCACGTGTCACCCAGTGCTCACAAGTAGCCACAAACTGATGCAAATAGTACAACTCGGTCATCTTAGGGTTGATGTTCTGGCCGTCATATAGGAGCTCGCGACAGTGCAGAAGAGAGGGAGCAGGCGACTCCATGGTCTCTGCCAATCGACGCATCCACGATGTTTCTCCATAGTCTTTGGTGGCTGAAATGTACTTGGCAGTCTCGTACATTCGGTCCAGCTCCTTGTCTGAGATCAGTACTTTGAGAGTCTTCTTCGAAGCGACTTCTTTCGAGGCTGACAGGGCATATGTCGTTTCCCAAGGGCCAATTTCGTCGTCGGAGAGCACAGAAACGTACGAAAAGATGAGAGGCTGTAAAGTGGAGTCGCAGAAGATGAGCTCCTCAGATTCAGCCTTCTCTTCAGAAACACCGCTGTCTCTGACAACCTTTCGTAATTCTTGTTCCCGTTCAATAACCTCGATGAAACGAGCAGCAGTGGCCTGCTTCTCGCTCAGGCGGCCTCTTTTGGCAATGTTCAGAAGCACCCGTTCGTATGAAAAGGCAGGCAGCTGAGAGTACTTGGAGTACAATGAAGCACACTCCTGGGCAGGACCATCAAGCCAGGACAACGGACACAAATTGACACTCTCGCTCATGTTGAAACCATGGCAAAAATGCGACCTGTACGACTGAGGGAAGGAAAGGACATAATCCCCGGGCCGCTGGTCGCAGATATACACGTCGATGCCTTCGTCTCTCAACACCTGCGGCGAAATCATCAAATCAGGTTCAAGCACGAACTTGGGTCCGATTTTCCGCTCGCCCTTGGAGATGTACTGCTCGATGAGATTCTGAAACTTGCCGTAATGAGCGGGAGAGACGGAGTACCACGTGCGAGTGCTGCCAAAGTGCATGTAGTCCAATGACCACAGCATCATGTCCTCCACAGACCAGGACTGCGTCGAAAACATCATGCCGACATGTAGCCATGGCATAGTGATCTGCAGCGCTGCAGAATCGTCCACGTATTGGAACATCCCATCGCGCATGTGAGGCGCAACGTTCAAGTTCCACTGGTCATTGACATTGCGCAGGGAGTTTTGCTCAGGCATGGCATTCGTTGATCCGTGGATGGCAGAATGGATGTTGCTGCCATACTCTACCTCCACCGCGAGCTCCGAATCGCCAAGAGCCTCCCAGTACTCGTTCTCGACAAAATTTTCACCCTCTTGGCCCGACGGCTTTTTGCGTGTGCCGAGATAGCTCTCGTCAAACCTCTCACACTTTTGCTGAAACTGCCGGAGATTATATGACGCTGCGTTCTTCGAGTCTGCGGGTGTGAGTTCGATTCCCGAGTAACCCACCTTGTGGGGCACCTTTGAACATTGGACGGCAAACTCGTCGATCTCGTCGTCCATTGCAGCAGAGATGGAGACGTCTGGAGGCTGATACTTTCCTTCACGAAGGAGTAGCAAATTGGAGCCCACGACAGGCGAGTTGCGCTGGTCCACAGCAGAAGATTCCTTGGAAGCAGGATCTTTATGATCAGCAGTTGAAGAGAGCTGGTAGTTGGCGAGAGGCATCACCGGACGGTATTTTTTGGGGCCTTGACTGCTTTCCAAGTACTGGTCAAAGGGGTGCAAAATCTTCTGATACGACGATTTGAGAGAGGTACTCAAAGAAGTCATGATTTTGCCGCTGTAGCCGAGTTCACGACCCACTTGAGCCCACAACTTGCGTCGGCACACTTCCACAAACCCGCCTCTGAGGTGCACACAGTGAAAGAGATGGTAGACGTCGATGGGCCGCTTGTCTATGCTGGGAAGCTTGAAAATGGGCGTCTTATGTTTGAAATGGAACTGAAAGAGGTCGCTGACAAAAGACTGTTCGGCGGTGCGACCTTGCAGGGACGAGTTGAGATCTTGTCGGCGGGTTTTGAACCAGAACATCTGAGTTAGTATGGACATCATCTTCGTATTGAAAAAACAACCTGCTTGATAATAAGGCGAATTGGTAAAACGGAAAATAACGGCATTTGGAAAGAGCTCTAACCTGTCTTTAGAAGTACACAGCCCTCACCAAGCTCATAATGCTGTAGTCATTTTTCCAAGACCGAAAATGTTGTCTCATCATCGTTGAGTATTCCACGTACCATCCCCCCATATATCTCCCCTCTCTCATACTCACCTCAGTGTCCAGTCGAAAAGGAATATTCCATCGCTCCGGCGGCACAATTTTCACCATGCCATACTTGCCATAGTACTTGTGCAACATCTCCATGTATTTGGGTCGGTTCTGAAAGTCCTCCATGGTCGGATACACCGTGGGGATGTGTTCGAGCTTGAACTTGTCGTTACGAATCGAGCTGCCCTCCTCGCTCTCCAGTAGCTGTCGTGTCGTGGCACGGCTGTCCACAGTGCCCATATCCAGAGGCGGGTTAGCCCGCGATCTGCTCTGGGGGTACAGAAACGGATTGTGTGGTTGTTGTGGCTGTCCCTGGGGCGGCTGTGTCTGTGGCGGCTGATCGTTGTACACAAACGCTACGTGGTTGTGGGTGTGGTGGTGGGGTGTCTGATTCTGGGTCTGCTGGTGTGTAGCATGGCCATTACGCTGGTTCGCTCGGGGATGCGTATGCTGTTCCATTCTAGCCACCTTGGTCGGGGTGTGCACGGGCTCGTCGGTGGACCGTTTTTGCGGCACAGAAGATCCGCTGCTGGAAACACTCCGTGGCGAGGTGTCGTCTGATCTGGGGCCGGGTGTGTCACCAGGTTGCAGGTCCGCTGGCTTTGTGTCGTTTGTGTCGCTCTCTGCGAACTGCGGATCGAGCATCGGGTCGATGGGTGGCGTGCTGGTTGTGACTGTGCTTGCGTCTGTCCCTGGCGGTGGCTGTGTCATGGTTGTGCCGCTGGGCTCTTGTGTTGGGGTCTGGGTCTGTATCGAGCCGGTGTCCGTGTCTGTTGGTTCAGCGTCTGCCACTGAGGGCCGTGGAGCAGAGTTTGTGCTACTCTCTTGCGTCCGCTCGACGCGGTTCATGCTTGTAAAGCCGCTCATGGTGGATCTGTAGACTGTTGCAAAAGACAAGTGCCAGATGATAAGATTTTGCAAATGCCGTCTGGGGAAGCACCAAGGGAGAGGGGCCTATGGGGCGGTGGAGAAGGGGTGGGGGCATATCAATTATATGGTTGTATTTGTTGCGACGGGGCGAATCCAATGGTGTTGTTTTTTTCTCGATTCCAGAGCTTTTTTGTGCAGGTTGGTTTCTGCTTCATGCACCGCACGTCCCGGGTCTCAGTACTATATTTGAGACTTATTCGTCATGTTCGACGAAGGTAGATTTGGCAGTGAACTTTGGACGGAAAAATGGGAATAAAAAATAAAAGAAATAAAAACTGAATGGGGAAAATGGGGAAAATGGAGGAAATGGGGAAAAAAAGAAGAAAAAAGGAGAAAAAAGGGAGAAAAAAAGGAGAAAAAAAGGAGAAAAAAGGGAGAAAAAGGGAGAAAAAGGGAGAAAAATGGGGAAAAAAGGAGAAAAAAAAAAACAGAAAAAAAGGAGAAAAAAAGAGAAAAAATAGAAATGCAGAAAAAAAAAAAGAAAAAAAATGCAGAAAAAAAAAAAAAAGAAAGAAAAAAAGAAAGAAAATACCCGAAAGATTCTTCAACTAGAAAACTCACAATGATGGGAACTAAGACCGCTATCAACTCAGGTCCTCATTCTCCATCCTCTGCTACAAGTAAAAGTCTCAACATGACCTGAGCAACTGTCAGACGAGTTGATCAGTGTTCTTCGTCAGGAACGGCAGTTACGAACTATTGTACAAGTACAAGATAATGCTATGAAAAGCACAGTTGTCTTATTCAAGATGATGGTCATATATCCACTCGAACAGAGCCCAGAAGATGATAGGGAATATTGTCTTGGTTCGCAGAAAGCAACTCTTCGACGCTGAGACAGTACTTGTACTTGTCATAACGACCCAGCACCTGTCTCTCTGTTCAGAGGTACTCGTACAGTGGATAGAGAATGCTCTGAACAGTCTCAAAGAGACAGAGAGTATCCTGTATCCTTTAGCTAACCAATCGGTACGCTCACAATGTCGCTCCAACCACTCAGTGAGTTCACGTGAATTTACCCACCTGCCTCTGAGCATTCTTCAATCTCGCTCCTGTCAACTCCACCTCTCCATTCAACTCGTCGAGCTGCTCATTCTGCAGATCCACCTCCTGCCGGATCGCCTCTCCAAGCTCCTTTTGCCGCTGAATCGTGCCCAGCATCTGCCTCAGACTCTCATCCTGCTCCTGGAACGAGTCCTTTTGCAGCTGCACCAGGCCCGAGTTGTTGAGCTGTCTGGTCTTGTCAGTTTCACCCAAAACTCGTCCTTTGCGTCCGGAGCCCCGCTGGCTGCTGCGCACAGTCCCCGTGAGAGGCGTGGAGGTACCCGAAGATGTCTCCGAGCCCGCCTGTGCACTCAACTGCGCCACCACCTGTTTCAGCAGCTTCTGGAGGTCCATCAACAGCGTTCTTCGGCGCCGGTGCTCGTTGTCGGACGTCTTCTCGCCCGCAGGCTCATTCAGCGATTTTTCCAACTGCGCAAACCGAGTCTGGGCAGTCAGAACCAGCTTCTGATTCTCGTACCGCTCTGCAGTACCTGCAACGACATTGCTGCGAGCGGTCTTGAGCATCTGAGTAATGCTAGCAACCTGGTCGTCCCACGACACTGGCGCTGTCACCCCAGAGCCCCCAGCTCCCCCCTTGCAAGGCCCCACCTTTTGTAGCTGCAAGAACTCTAGCAGCGCAGCCGACGAGTAAAAATGAGGAATCTTGACCAGTCGACGCAGAAAGACCTCGAGACCACGTCGCCGGTCGTCCAGAAACTCGACGTTTTTGCTCTTGAACCACGACTTTGGCGGCAGAGCAACCTCCACCGTTCGTCCCACCTCGTCTTCCAGCTGGGACACCAGAGCCACAAAGTCCGAGTACCGCTTAGTCAACGTATACTTGTTCTCTTCGCCCCGATGCCGCACGTCGCCACCGCCTTCCAGATCAACCTGCACAGTGAAGCTCGTCGGAGACGAGACTGTGTATGTCGGTATCGAAATATCCATCTTGTGTATTTTGGTGGTGGCGGGTCGTTGGTGTGGTGCACCTTGGTGCATTTAAATATGCATGCTGCAAGTATGCTGCATACAGCGGAGACAGCGGTTTGAGGGTGGTCTTGCTGATGTTCAAATATGATAGAAAACTTGTCTAAACGGAGTAGAAGTGGTACAGGCTGTTTTTTTGAGACGGAACTTGTGTTCTGCCTTGGTTCTTGTCACGTGAAAGGAATATTGGTGGAGTTAACTGCTTCGAAGTGCCACTTTAAGTGCTAATGGCAAACCTCAACTAATATCAAACTAAACACACAACTATTGTTAGGTGGATAGAGAACAGGGTGACAGACAGATATGTGTTGGTTTGGGCCGTGACAAGGAGGAAACCGGGGAAATCCAGAAAAACTAATAATATCTTCAAAAATACTCCATATCCTCCTAAACTCTCTCATAACCTGAACTCAGCTCCAATACTGTAGTCGAACAAGTCAATGATACAGTATGTGAAGTAAAAGTCAACTAAAGCGCTAATGACACCACCCTAACCTACCTAACCATCACAACACCACAATCCAGCGCAAAACTCATGCGGCTTCTGTACGAGACCGGGCTGACCCGACTCACGTGGATATCTCTCACTTGCTCCCAATCGCCGTCTCCCGATACATATATATAACTTTGTGTATCGACTTTACGACGCTAAACGAGACAAGCCCAAACTTCCAGCATTATCCATAACCGCGACTCAAAACCATCACAGAAACGACCCTGCAACCCTGCTCAACGCTCAATTCATTCCACAATGCTTCTGCGATCACGTCTTACCTCTCTATCACCGGTTGTGAACACGTCATCGAGGTCTTTACTCGTCCGGTTTGTGTCACGACAGCCATTGTCTCTGGTCCATGCAAAGTCAAACTTTTTCTCAACTTCACGACACGCACAAAACACCTCTGCCGTCCAGCACAAAATGAGCAATCTCGCACCCATCGTCATCTCGGGCCCCAGTGGAACCGGCAAGTCCACTCTTCTCAAGCGACTGCTGGCCGAATACCCCGACCGGTTCGGCTTCTCCATTTCCTACACCACCCGAAAGCCCCGAGACGGAGAAGTCGACGGCAAGGACTACAACTTTGTGACTGTGGACCAGTTCAAAAAGCTGATTGAGGATGGAGCCTTCATCGAATGGGCCCAGTTCGGAGGCAACTACTACGGCACCGCCGTCGCCGGAGTCAAGAAGGTGGCCGACAACAACCAGCAGTGCATTCTCGACATTGATATGCAGGGAGTCAAGGCCGTCAAGAAGTCCGATCTCAAGGCCCGATACCTTTTTGTCGCTCCTCCTTCCATCGAGGAGCTGCGATCTCGACTCACCGGCCGAGGAACGGAGACCGACGAGTCTCTGGAGAAGCGTCTGGCTGCTGCCGAGGGAGAGCTCGCCTACTCCAAGGAGCCTGGAGCCCATGATCTTGTCATTGTTAACGATGATCTCGACAAGGCCTACAAGCAGTTCAAGCAGTTTATTGTTGGAGAGTAATTTTTTCCCCGCTACGAACCCATGAGTCATGTTTGGAGACCTCGGCGAAGGTCTTTCCAGACGTGATCAGATTTTTTATTTGTATAATACAGCACATCATATTATCAGTGGGTGGGCTGTAGCTTGAGTACAGTGCGAGAAAAAGTGTATATTTCTCCGTAGTGATTTTATTACAATTTATTTAAATTTTAAATAAATTAAATATATATATATATAAATAAATTGTTTTTTCCTTATTTTCCTATTTTCCTATTTTCCTATTTATAATTAATTATTTATCACCACCTAATTAAGCTCCAGGTTAGGGCTTGAAAATAAAGTTGTCACTAAGTTTGATGTCTTTTCGTCACCGCCACAAGTCTATTTTCCAGCCACGACACCAGCCACAAGACTACATATGGCACTATAATTGACGGAAAATTGGCCGCGAGTTGAGATGGAGCACCGTTGTGGAATCTGTTGCGCCAATCTCTGGAAGCGAAAAGGGCGATTACGTAATATAGGAAGGGGAAACTTGCTCAATGCCCGGAAACGTTACCCGCTCCCAGTCACCCTTGCTGCCCTCAAATGTCTCCACTTTGTCCCTATAAATTTTCCCGTGGGCTCTCCCATCCAACTTTCACCTCTCCACACCACATAACCACACAACCACATACTCGCACAACACTCACAACATGTCCGACCTTCCTTCCAGTTTCGATAACGGTAACAGCATTGAGTGAGTAAGAAATAAAGTGGGGATTTTCGGGGGGGATTCGGGGGTATTTATATTGAGGGTGGCGAATTACGCAAATTACACCGGGCGTGTGACGCAACTTTGAACCAGGCGGTAAAACGACAAAACCAGGAAGAATGGGCAGCGACACACAGACGGAGAGATACATGGAGGTGGGAAAAACGATACGAGCGGGTCCGACTTGTCAAATTGGCCACTGTTGCGAAGGAGAATATTCAATGGCAATATCTTGCTACAAGGGGTGAACAGTGAAGAGCAATGTTTGGGTAGTTATCCTACAGCGAGACCCATAGCGGTCTTATCTTATGATTCGGTCTGGGGTGTTGGCCTGTGTCATTTGATATCGTCAAGCTCTTTTTCGAATGGAGTCCTGGTCATTGAACCAACCGCAAGTACCGTGCTTCGGTGATAGGATGAGACCACTCCAAACGATAGGGACTTCTCCGACGTCAGAAAAAAAACACCCAGCAGCTCACGATACCTTCTTAAGCCGCGGTGGTCTTTGACAGTTGACTCAGCCTTTCTCCTTCTACCTCGCTACCAAAACCTGTACCTGCTCTATTCTCGCTGACTGGGCTGTCAAGCAGCTCTCATCATATTGCAGCCAAGCACCCTCCCCAGCCCCTCTATTTGAGCGTTGCACGACCTTCTCGACTGAGCATTCTATGGTGTGATGCTTTCCATTGACTCACTTCATTGTACTAACCCAGCGAAAACGAAAAGTCTCCCGGATACTACAAGATTCTCGAGCGATGCAAGGAGCAGCCCCTTGTCCCCCTTGGCTGTCTTGCTACCTGTGGAGCTCTGATCCTCTCTGCGCGAGCCCTGCGAGTGGGTAACAAGCGCCAGGCCAACCGAATGTTCTTTGCTCGAGTGGCGTTCCAGGGTCTGACTGTGGCCGCCCTTATTGGAGGAGCTATGTACTACGGCCAGGACCCCAAGCAGAAGCTGGAGCAAAAGGAGCGTGAAAAGATGCTTGCTCGACACCGAGAGAAGCTGTGGATCGAGGAGCTCGAGCGACGAGACCTGGAGGTCCAGGAGCGACGAAAGCGAGCTGCTGCTTTCCGTCAGCAGGAGGAGGAGAAGTAGAGGGCGTGATTATTGCATAGCAATTGCACCCCGGCCAGAAACGTGTTTCACTGGCGAGAATTTCCTAGTGTGTCCTTCCAGGGAAACATTTCTGAGTCGCACAGTATCGCATGCAAGTAAGCGATACCAGAGTTTAGTTTTGTGTATATAGTTAACGTCATGATTGAGGCGCGTGGAGTGTAGCGACGCGGTTGTACTATAGAGCGGTTCTTGATACGAATGTGCACTCCATTGCGAGATTACTCTCAGTTCCGTTCCTTCTAAGAGCAGTACCACTCTACAGATCTGCGGGTAAAACCGATAACAGAAGGACTTGCGCCGATGGTTACTACTGCAATCTTCTATGCCTCCGTTTGCACTCGTTATGATGTGTGACCAGGAGCTGACTTGTCTCTATACGAATCCTGTGCACAACGGGCTGTCCGTACGAGGCTTGGAGTCATTTCGTCATTGAGAAGCAACTCCATGACCCTCACCGCTGTCCTAGGTCTCCAGCCCCTCACCAGTGCCCTAGGTCTCCAGCTGCCTCATTCAAACTCCCGCACTGGTGTCTCACTCTCAATCAATCAATCATACCTTTTGCTATGTACATTTTATCCTAGTGGTGGGACCATCTGTGGGGTTGTGTAACGTCCTGTTGTGTTGGTGTCCACCACTACTTCTTCACCTCGGCCTTCCACTCAGACTGCCAGATTTTGTTGGGGGGAGTCTCGGTAGGCACTCGCATTTCGATGGGGAACTTGTTGCCCTTGACTCGCAGCACGGCGGCGTTGAACAGGAATCCGTCCACCTTTCGCAGTTCCTCGCACGTGTCTTGCAGCATCTCATACTGCTGTCTGTGTTGCTGCTCTCGGGCCAGCTTTTCGGCCAGCCGCTCCTCTCGCCACGCCACCTGCACGATTCGGTGTCGAATCAGATCCTCCTGGCTGAGCTCGAGCTTCTTGGGAGCCATTCGCTTGGGTGACATGGCCGACATCTGGTTCACGAGCTTTCGCGCTCCAGGGTCCAGATCGTTGGCCGTCTTGGTTCGCTTGGTTCGCAGGGCCAGCTGGGGCACCCGCCGAGCCACACAGGTCGTTCGCACGGTTCCAAACATTGTGGTCTTGTGTGTGGTGTGGTGTGGTGTTGCACAGATCAGGTATTTTTTCAGCTGGCAGAAGGGGACATGCAGCGGCCGTAAGTTCGATTTGCACCTGGCAACTTTTAAAATTGAAATTGAAGTTGTTGGGGGTTCGATTCCGAGGGAGGTCGTTCCAGGAAAAGAGATACAGCAACAGTCACTCCGCGATTCTTCCTCAATACAAACATGAATTCTGACATTCAAACAGCCTGTACCTGTCCCCATACTAATACAGTACAGTATGTACTACACATTACTAGGTTGTGATTGGTAAGCAGAGCTTGCTGTCGCTCACTCGTACTCGTATAATACAATAAATAATCTACTTTTTTCTAGTAATAAATATCGAGCTGGGTTTCTGTCGCCGAGGCGGAGGAGAAGCTCTGGTTAGTGGTGGTACAGATGGCGGGGGAGGCGCTTGCGCGGGTGGCAGAGGCGGGGAAACGTGCCGATTGATTGGGGGAGGAGATTGTGGTGGAGTGGTCGAAGTGACGACTGGCGCAGTCTCGGGTCCAGGCCCACGCCTGAAAATACCCATATCTGTCCGCTGCACCTTGGTAGGCGAGGCGCTGCCGCTCGAGTGTCCAATGGCGTTTGTTTTGGGCATGGGAGTGGGCCGTTTGAGAGGTCGCTTCAAGGATGTGGTGCTCATGGCTTCAACAGGAACCGGAATGGACGAAATGCGGTGGTCCGAATTGAAGCCTCCATTGACGCGGACGGTATCACGACCCGCAGAGGGCTGGGGGTCACGTGTAGGGTCACGTGGTTGGTTTCTGTTTGTGCGGTCGAAAAACGACTTGCGGTTCGTTTCCAGAAATGTGGGGTTGCTGGGGGAAAACATGCTGCCCTTGGAACGCATTTCCAGTCGCAATCGACCCACAACAGACGACTTTGCTCGCTGAATGTATTGTCGTCGCTGAGATGACTCAGCCCGCGGGTCCACGTCCAACTGGGTGATCATGATTTCCGACTTGCGTTGTTGTTCACGTGCAATGTTTCGTTTGAGCCGATTACTGCTCTCGCGCAAACGAGTCTCCTTTTCCTCCTGGTAGCGCAGGTATGTTTCCTTGAAGTTCTTTTTTGGTAATGGGCGGTCAGAAAAGTCGCGACCGATGAAGTGCTTCCATACTGGTTCCGAGTCGCGTGCAATATGTGGAGAGATGGACTCAATGTGGAGCATTTGGCGGCACTTGAACTTGCGGAGAATGGGCTCCACCAAGTGGTAGGGCGTATCGCCGATATCTTGGATTTCTGAGTTAGTAACCGTGATGAGTGTGGTCGGAGGTACGGGGTAACGAGTGGACAACACCCTACAGGGTGTTAGGAGGTTGGAAAGAGCCCATGGAGCAGTTCTGGCCGTGGCATAGTTCAGAGGCGCCAAGGGTAACAGTCTGAGGTGCTGTCTATCGAAGCATACCGACATTTGAGCTGAATCCCGGTCATTTTTCCGCTTATTGTTGCAGCTCAGACACACTGACAGCGAGATTAGTTGAGAACATGGCTTGGTTTGAAGCAACTAGTTCTGAACACCCTGGCCGGTGGCACAGAGACAACCTCAGAACCTGTCTTCACAGCCAGAGCCAGTCACAGGACCAAGAACGGAGGTCGGTTCAACTCAGTCTGTGTCACAAGGATGACACAAATGAGCATATAATGGCCAATAGCGTCGACAGACACACAAAATGACACGGCGTCATGCTCGCGAGACTCAGTCTCGGCCTCCACGTTTCCATTCTCTTCTCACCTAGCAAAGGTTAACCAAATCGTCCCTGACTCCTGAATGACGTGTCCATAACCTGTGTTCAAATCAGGAGTCCCCAAGGGGTCTTGCTGAACGCTCTGACCTGCTTTACACGCACAACCTCGAGCTCCCGTTTGTGTCTTTTCCGACTGTGTACTCACGATGACTGTGCCTCTGGCATGTTTTGCGGGCCAACTCGACCAGGGAGGGGACTCCCTTGGATGATCGAGCTTCCAGCTCCGATAACGACAGCATGAGAAGGTGTTTACAGCCTCGGGCAAGTGATTGGCGAGATATAGAGGATTTCAAGTCGTTTCGGGCTGGTACCTAGCTGTGGTCAGCCAGATATAAATATGCACTATAGAGTTTGCACGTGACGCAATCAAAACATGGTGGCGGATGAGTGGCGATATTGGTGGCCGACGGAGAGGATTTGGAAGAGGGGGAAATGTTACTAAGAAGTCTTGAGAATATGAGTTTGTTTTTGTTTTTGTTTTTGTTTGTTTTTTCTGATTCTTGCAGATTTTTTCTGATTCTTGCAGATTTTTTCTGATTTTTTTTTTTTTTTTTGCTATTCTCGCCTTTTTCTCATAAAGTCACCCATGATGAGTACAAGTAAATGCTCCATTTAGGGGGAAAAAGGGGAAATATATATATTTAAAAGAAATTAAAAAAATTAAAAAATTATTGTGGACTTTAGATGGATTTTAGGTGAATTTAGGTGAATTTAGGTGATTTTAGGGGAATTTAGGTGAATTTAGGTGGATTTTAGATAAATTTTAGGTGAATATAGGAGGATTATGAGTGAACTTTAGATGGAATAGATATTTATTCCAGGAAATTCAGAAAAAAGAAATAGTTGAGAATAATTGAAAGAAATTGAGGATAAAAAGTAGCAATGGGGTTAGATATCTTTGCATGGACCAATATAATCCATAGAACCCTTTTACGGGTCCGTATAAGCCGTGTATTAAAGCTCAAGCTATTTCAATCAGCGATATCTTGAAGTACAGCCAGTTCAAGTGCAACTTTCAGTTCTTGAGTCATACGAGAGTCGTATATCTATTAATCCTTGCTAAGATTGATTTTATCTTCTATATTGTGTTTTTTGTCCTATCGTGTCACGCTTTGTAGGACTGGAACATGTTCACAACTCCAGATCTGGAAGATAGCTTCTTTGCGTTTTTGCCATTATCATATTGCAAATCTCAAAAAGTCTGTCTCTCTGTTCAAGGAAGACCTTACTGTACGTCTGGAAAGCTGACAGTTCCACAAATGAAGGTCCCATATCCGGTCTCAAGTAGTTAATGTTACTTTGATATTAGTATCTACCTGGAATTCCTAGTGATGAGATCTATAATGCATCTTCATCATTGGAACCCACTAGACGTATACAATGTCTACTCGACAGGAGTCAACACAAGTCTCCCGATATCTCCTCTGGCCGATCGTATCCAAGTCGGGTGAAACAGACCCCATATCCTCTCTACGCTATTCCCAGTCCCTACTGCAAAAGAGTTGCTCTACGTCATCAGTCATGGGCCATGGCTAACGTTTAGATCCATCTCCAAGCAGCCCAGTGTCTCAGGGTAGGACAACAAGCCGAAAAGGGATACCGAGGATACCGAAAGATGACAAAGTCTTGCTCAACCGATTGAAGTGACAATATGTGATCACCCGGGGCCAGGGCATGTGGTGTAGTATCGTTCCACGTGATATTCTCACTATCCTCTTTCTCTGTGGATGTCATATCATTGGGAAGACGGCTGCGGTGGTTCATACCGTTGGAATGTTTCACTTTTCAGGGTTCAAATCACGTCCCGGAGAATGTCGGTTGTTCCGAATGACTGATGGTGACGAAAAGATCGGGTGGGGTTACTTCCGACAAAGAGAGCGTACGTACTGGTGCTTAGAGAGGCTTGAACTTGAAATCGTACCCTGAGACAAGACACGGCACGTTCCGTACGTATCGAACTGTCGATACAATTGCCCAGTCACAGCAACATTCGACTGCGTCTTGGGGAGTCGGCCGGGCCCGATTTGGAAGCCTTCAATGCCTTCAAGCTTAGAAACTGCGGGGAAGTGGATCTTGTGGGGGGTCCACGCCACTGAGTTCTGTGGGGTGTACTTGTACCTGGACTGGGTTTATGTACAGGCGGACGAGGGTTGGAGGGTTCGAGGGTTGGAGTGAGAGACCATGAACATATTCCGAACATATTCCGAAAATAATCCAAATATATACTGGACAAATACAGAACATATACCGAACATATACCAAACATATACCGAACATATACTCATATACTGAACATTTTTCTGTCCGGGTTGTATCGCTCAAATTCGTCTCTGTTGTTCTCGCTTATGCAGGTTTCAGCTGCTTTTGCAGATGCGCACAGGAGCCAAGCCTCACACGGCTTTGTATGGGGGACGAGTGTTTCATTTAACCGAACTTTGTTTTTTCGGCGAACAAGACCAAACAAGGGAAATAATAAATCCTATTTATTCGGGTTTAATAGGCGGAGGAAGTCATCATTGTGCGGGAGGGGAGAGATAGTAAGCTCAAAAATAGATGAGACTTGGGAGCAAAAAAAGATGACTTGATCCAGGCCTAGGTCGTTCAAACACACCTCCTAAAGGCCCTCTCTCCCTCGTATTACCCCAGACAACTCTGAGATAACCGCGAAGTAAACCTGGGATCGTCGCAGTGTAGAATGTAAACCTAGTGAGACGTGCGGGAGACCTTCCACGGTTTCATACGGTATGTACAAGTTGTATCGTTCTCTTGGAAGACCCTCTCATCATGTCAACAATACAACACATTCTGTACTTGTACCACAAACTACAACCCCTACTGTACTTGTTGACCCCTACAGCACTCGTTGATGAGGCCACCCAAAGTCTCAGCCTCGGCTCTTTTAAAGCCCCATTTGGCCATGTCTCTAACTCCAACAGACTTCCCCAACTCACCGCCCCTTCCATCTCATCCGCCGGAAGTCTCAATGGGGACCCGTACAATAACTCAGCAGAGCTAGCCACGGGGTGGTTTCAATGAGTAGCTCATATCATTGAGCACTGCAGCAGCAGCGGCGGGTTTCTATCACGTGTTTCGATTCCTGATGGATACACCCGTAAGCCGTGCCTTCCAACACTTTGTATACGGTATCAAGGTCACTGCTTCTCTGTCGGTCTCTTTCCGATCACGCTTTCCCAAAACAGAAGCCGTCAACGGCTGTACCTCGTCCTTCGGTCGGGATAGAATTCGGAAAAACCTTCCCCACAGATCTCTCAGGTGGACATGTATATAAGGGAGAGGGAGGCAGCGATGAGTCTGCTATCGACTGTCTTCACCCAGTCGCAACTACTCTCCCCTCAGTCTTAACTTGGCTGTTCACTCAACTCTTCATTCAACTCTCCAACTGGAGCATTCTCTTCTCTAATCGTGAAACGCGTCTCAATTTCAGACTCCATCATGAAGCTACAAGTACCCGCGTTTGCGCGGTCGTCTTCTGACGTGAAAACGTCATTCATGGGAGCCCGGGGCCAGAAACTGCACAATCTCGTGGCAGCAATTGCAGGATTGGGATTCTTGCTGTTTGGATACGACCAGGGAGTTATGGGCGGTCTTCTAACTCTCGACACGTTCATCCAACAGTTTCCCAAAATGGACACCTCCGACTACCTGCCTCCAAAGGTCAAGACCTTCAACACCACCATTCAAGGCACAGCCGTGGGCATCTACGAAATCGGATGCATGATTGGAGCTCTGTTCACCATGTGGGCTGGAGACAAGCTTGGAAGACGCTACATGATCTTCTTTGGCTCCATCATCATGACGATTGGAGCGATTCTGCAATGTGCTTCCTACTCTCTGGGACAGTTCATTGCCGGAAGAGTCATTTCTGGAATTGGAAACGGCTTCATCACAGCCACAGTCCCCATGCTCCAGTCGGAATGCGCCAAACCCGAACGTCGAGGAAAGTTGGTCATGCTGGAGGGAGCTCTCATCACCGCTGGAATTGCTCTTTCGTATTGGATCGACTTTGGCTTCTATTGGGTGCGGACCAACGACGCCGACTGGCGTTTCCCTATCGCCTTCCAGATTGTCTTCTCTCTGGTTCTCACCTTCACCATCATGTCTCTTCCCGAGTCTCCCCGATGGCTCGTGAAGAAACAGAGATTCGAAGAAGCGGCAGGAGTTTTTGCTGCTCTCGAGGATGTGCCTCTGGACGACCCCTACGTGATTAACCAGATCACCTCCGTCAAAGAATCGATCATGATGGAGCAGCTGGCCCAGTTGGGTGTCGATGGTGTCGATGCTCGGCGGAAAATCCAGTCGGGCGAGTTCCAAATGGGCCAGGAGCTGTCTTTCATCGGTCAAATGAAACTCATGTTCACCTTTGGCAAAAAGAAAAACTTCCACCGAACAATGCTGGCCTACTGGAACCAGGTGATGCAGCAGGTGACCGGCATCAACCTCATCACCTACTACGCAGCTTACATTTACCAAACCAGCGTGGGAATGAATGCCACAGACTCGCGAATTCTGGCCGCCTGCAACGGAACAGAGTACTTTATGGCTTCCTGGGTCGCCTTCTACACAATTGAGCGATTTGGACGCCGAAAACTCATGCTGTTTGGAGCCGTAGGCCAAGCATGCACTATGGCCATTCTCACCGGATGTGTTTACGCAGCTTCAAAGCCCGAAGATGGAGGCTTGGACATGCAGGGGGCGGGAATCGCTGCGGCCGTCTTTCTGTTTGTGTTCAACACTTTCTTCGCCATTGGCTGGCTCGGTATGACCTGGCTCTACCCTGCGGAAATCTCGTCTTTGGAGATCAGAGCTCCGGCAAACGGTCTTTCCACCTCGGGCAACTGGGCCTTCAACTTCATGGTGGTAATGATCACCCCCGTGGCTTTCAACTCCATCAAGTGGAAGACGTATATCATTTTTGCCTGCATCAACGCCTTCATGGTCCCCATGGTGTACTTTTTCTACCCCGAGACCGCCGGACGAAGCTTGGAAGAGATTGATATGATCTTTGCCGAGTCCAACCCTCGAACTCCCTGGGACGTGGTTGGTATTGCCAACCGTCTGCCCAAGAACTCCGTGGCAACTTATGATGACTACGAGGCTGGTGAACAGGAGGAGAAGGCCATTGTTGAGACAGCGGAAAGTGTCTCTCATGATTCGGCCGAGTTTCAGTGATGACGAGGCGGCACAAGGTCGTGGGTGGATATGAGTGGATATTTATCTCTCACGGGGATATATAATCAATAGTTTTATTTTATTTTATTTTATTTTATTTATTCAATGTAGACACATTCTTTTTTTTTAATAAAATAATAAATTAAAATCAATCTCAAAGAAATCATCCAGAATCCAATTATCCCAGTTCTCAACTGGAACCACTTCATTTGCTCCGCCAGATGAGTTGTGACGACATTGAGAGGAGGCGACCAGCGGCCCTACCTCCAAACAGAGTCCATCCCTCTCCCCCAGATCGCTTGGCCACCAGAACCTAGCACGGGACTCATCTTGAGCAGCCTCGGTCCTGGTCTTGAAAGGAGTCTTTTCGTACTCAATTCCATGGCAGTTTTTGATTCAAGACGTCTGGGATATGTCAGAATGAGTTCTTGATGGTGCATGTGTGTGTTTATGGAGAAGTCGGCGTCCAATGCTGATGGGCCAGCCCTCCAAAAGCAGCTCTGGCGAGGAAAACAGCAGGAATAAACCCACCGACGACAGCAACAATAGTGACAGCGACAATAGTGACAGCTCCATTTCCCAGGGACACGTCAATGATACCACCAAAGAGCTGAGTGGGGATTCTCAGCCTGAGCAAACCACCCCTGATTTGCCTGGTCCTCTCATTGTCGACGATCTCCGCGGCTCCGGCTTGTCCTTGGTACCCCGACTGACCAGAACACTGTGATCTTTCGCTCTGCAAGATTGGAGAGAGAACTCAAGTCGCTTCAACCACCACAAATCCCCAAGCCCAAGGACCAAAACTCTGGTAACACCGGCAAAGGAAGCGGGAAAGGAGGCACCAAGAGACACCGAAAGGTCTTTAAAGATACCATTAAGTAAGCCTTCCTGAAGACAAATTGCGCGACGTGGCGGTTTTAAACGACTTTCCCGCCAGATATACGATGAGGGCCGAGACCTTGTCAAATATCTGGTTAGACAGACCCTTGGAGATGTGGAAGTGGAGCGTACGTTGACCACGCCAAACGACTGACTCTCACTGCTGGTGATGCCATATGCTCTCAAGCAACTGGGACGTCCGCTTTATGGCTACAGGTGGAACATGTAATGCCATGTAACGAGAATCTCGTTCTGTCAGCAGGTAAGTGCTATTGGCGCGGTTCTTCCGTGTTCATGACTGGATGTAAGCAAGTAGAGTCATTAGATGAATCATTAGATGAATCATTGGGTAGTGTCATCTCTGTACCCAGATGAACACCAGAAGTACAGCACATACTGTACTGAGCTCTGACGGGTATTCCAGACACTTTTACGAGCTCTGACGGGTATTCCAGACACTTGGGGAGAGGACTAGTAAGCAGCTCGCACAGTGTTGTTTCAATCATGAAGAGCACAACTCAGTTGTTAATGAGATGACGTGTTATTGTGAGTTCCAATCATGAAGAGCAGTGTGAGATTCATTCCTAGATCTGTAGAGGTATCCTGGTTAGTCGCTGTGTTTAAGTGTTTTCTCCGAGCGGATGAGTGGGAGTCACAGTCTTTCGGTCACATCGATTCCACACGCCCAACCCTGGAATTAATCTCGAGTTTCGATACGTTGTTGGTGTGGTGAGTGGTGATACCTCTGGCGGAGGTTAGTCGTTCAGTGCCTCGTATATGCAGTGTCAAGCGTAAGTAATATGGCGAGCTTAGTTGTGACAGCCTAAGTAAATACCTTTGAGTGTGTACCGAACTGTACTTCCACGCCTCGAGTACATCTCAGCGAACACCAGCAATGTCCCCCAGTCTTGGGAACATTATGTTTCACTGGAATTCAGACTCCTTTCGTACATTTTCGGCTGATTATTGTCCGACATGATCAACAAGACTGTCTTTGTTTATTATGGTACTGAACAGTACATACTTGAAGTACTGTACTCACTGAAGTTCCTTACAAGAGAAAGTCTTCTGTCCACATTCCATCGGATCCCCAAGTCGTTCACATCATGTCAAGTGACCCAAACAGGTCAAACACACCACCACCGTCTCAAACATGTCGAGTCACAGCCGGCTTCCTACGTCTTCTTCCCCAATCGAGAGAAAACGGTATCTTGTCTGAAGGAAGAGTTTGAGCAATACTTTCCTCATCAATTCAACAACTACTACGGTTGATCACCCCTATCCAAGTTGTCTTTCCAGCGACGAGGTTTCGGTTCAAACCTGCTTACAAAGAATGTGGTGGTCAGGAAACCGGCCTCCAGTTGTCTGTCTTGACTATTCAAGCGACTTGCCAACAAGATCAAGATTTTTGCTGCTGTGAGGTTGGCTGACCGCCCTGGAACACTTGAACAGTCCTCTGCTGGGGACAGAATGTCAAAGGAAGTGGCATTTGTCATCTTTTCATTGTGTGATGCAGAGAGCTGTCTAACTCTTCGATCAACATCCTCTCAACGGCTCAGAAACGGCTCAGAAGCTTCAACGACGCCAGTCATGTGCTCAAGCCCATCGTCAACGCCCGCAACCGCTAGATCATCTCTGGAGGCCAGCTCAAATCCCGGACAGACTGTCTGTTCCAATTCGAGTCACGGCTGAGAAGCAACCAGTGACGCCATGGTCAAAGATCTTCCCGTGCCCCCATAGCTTCCAGAGATTGCCAGTGAGCTTCAATTCAAAGAGGCGACTCCTTCCGAGCCGGCCTTTGATTGTCGCACTCTTGAACAAGACCTGGGGATTCATCTCACTGCTCTGGCACCTCTGGTTTTCCCTGAAACACATTTCTTGTGCTCCAGCCGATATCGAACACGATGGCCACCTCATCACTTTTCCTCCACGAGTCCTAATCCCCAGTTTCGTCTCATGGACAACGTGGACTGGATTATTATCCAGGTGCGCTATCGAGATTCAGGCATGGTAGTAGAGGTGGATCCGTTTTTCGCGATGAAGAGAGAATCAACAGACATGGAAAGCGAAGAATAACTGTCACCCTTACTCCTCTCCTCACAAGGCGCTCCGATATGGACCTGCTACACGGAAAGGAACCATCCCCTTTGCAGCCCACCATGGACTTGTCTGATTTTTTCAGAAGAACCTGGTGCCTACTTTCATGGATATGGAGAACCCCGGCATGGTGTACTACAGAAAAGAGTATGTCGACGATTGCAAAAGCGTTAGTACCTGCCTTTGTCGCTCTTTTGCGAGCAGGAAGACCGGTTCCTCTTCGCCAATTGTCATGTCCTGAGGAAACACACGTGGCGGATCTTGAGATGTTTGCGGTCGCACTCATGCAGATCCGACCCACGTTCGAGGAAGACTTGACTGATTTTCCGCTTTTTTTCTTGCCTGGATTTGTCAATGTCAAATTCCAGGTTCTGTCTATCACCCTCGAGACTGGGTGTCTACACTCCTCAGAACTGAAGAACAGCAGGTGGAATCGCCTACACGTACCCTGTGTCGTTGCCAAGTTTTCAAGCCATACCATGATTGGTGTACATTATTTCGGTTCGTTGGGCCCTAGTTAGTGCTCGGGACCATGAGCAAGATGCACAGTGAACGGCTTGAAAATCAGTCCTGGTTTTCTTCAAGACTCCACCTTTCCTTTCTAAACATTAAGTAATTGTCAGTTAAATAGTTGGACATTACTCTGTTCCTAACTACAGTACATAGAGATTAGTAGGTCGCCCAAATCACACTCGACAAAGGGCACCAAACCCGCGAGAAAAGTCGCAAACTACAGAGGCCTGAATCAATCAATCATAACATTATTTTCTGCTTATTTTATGGTTTAGTAGTAATACATCTAAGAACCCCTCATTTCATCAACAAAAATCCTTTCCAATCAACACTGAAATCACTTCTTCTCCTTATCCTTGCTGTCACCAGAGCCAGGAGAGTAGCTAGGACTGGTAGGAGAGTAGCTAGGACTGGTAGGCGAGTAGCTAGGGCTAGTGGGAGAGTAACTAGGACTAGTAGGGCTGTACGAAGTCGAGGCGCCGGCATTGAACTTGGGAGACGAGGGGCTGTACGAGGGCGACGTCGGCGAGTAGGACGGCGAAGTGGGGCTGTACGAGGGCGAGGTGGGGCTGTAGCTTGGCGAAGTAGGCGAGTACGACGTGGGGCTGTAGCTGGGGGAGGTGGGTGAGTACGAGGGAGACGTAGGCGAGTACGAGGGAGACGTAGGCGAGTACGAAGGCGACGTGGGGCTGTACGACGGCGACGTAGGGCTGTACGAAGGGCTCGTGGGGCTGTACGAAGGGCTCGTGGGGCTGTAAGAAGGGCTCGTGGGAGAGTACGAAGGCGACGTAGGAGAGTACGACGGCGACGAGGGAGAGTAACTCGGGGAGGTCGCGGCAAACGCAGGAGACGACGGAGAGAACGACGGAGAGGCCGCTCCAAGACCCATACCAGGCGACGAGGGGCTGTAGCTAGGGCTGGTGGCAGCAAATCCAGGCGAAGCAGCTCCAAACGACGAGAACGGAGAAGTGGGGGTGTATGCACTTCCGCTGCCATCGCCTCCATGGCCAAATCCACCGTACTCGGAGAAGCCTCCGGACATTTCGGGTGCTCCAGAGGTACCGATGGGTGAGAAGATGACGTCGCCGCCGCCTCGAGCCTGAAGAGCGTCGTATGCAGGAGAAGACGAGTCGTAAGGAGTAGCAGCTCCGTCGGCAGAGCCCATCTCGCCATGGCCGGCAGCGATGCCGGCAGTCTTGGAGTAGTCTGCTGGCAGAGTAGACAGCTGGTCCTCGTCGAGCATGACGCCAAAGTTACCAGTTCCAAGGGGAGCCAGTTGGCCCAGCATGATGTTCTCAGAGACACCTCGGCAGTCATCCAGTTCAGCGACAGCAGCAGCCTCAAGCAGAATCTCGACGGTCTCCTCGAAGGAACATCGCATAAGCGCTCCAGTATCGGCTCGGTTGATACCGTGTCGAGTGATGGCCATAAGGTAACCTCGAGAAGTCATGACGTCGACCAGCAGAGCCATGTGTCGGTAGTTGACATATGAACCATCAAAGGCAATAACGTTGAGAATCTCTCGGTAGAGAGCAGAGCGGGTGGCCTCAATACCAAGCACAGAAAGAACCTCGACAAAGGAGTTGGAGTAGGTTCTGTAGGGGTCGACTCCGTCAACGGCCATGACCTCAGCCAGGTTGATACCATCGGTTTCAAGCACCCACTCCATCTTGGTTTTGTAGTCGCCAGTGACCTCATCAGGAACAGACATCTTGTGCTCCATCATGAAAACTCGGTCAATACCCTCAATACCTCTAAGAGAAATGGAGTCGAGCATGTGACCCTCAATTCGTTTGAGCATCTGGTCCTCCTCGGCGTCCACATCCTCCTCAAGAGTCTTGGGGTCTCGAACAACTCGACATCGGATAATCAGCTTGTCAGCGTTATCTTCAGACCACATGACAAACAAATCTTCTCCATAGGAAGAGGAGATCTTCTGAGCAACCTGAGACATGGTCAATTGCTTATCAAGCATCTTAGCTCGGTCCAACTCCAGACGCAGCAGCCAGGGCGACTGGTTGTCCAGTGTAGCCTCGACGGTCTCATCGGGAATCGAGAAGTAGGCGTCGACGGTATCGATATCCTCCTCAATTACTGTGGTTCGCGGATCGGGATCGTAGTAGATCTCGGTTGCGGCAGTGACGTTCTTGAGCGATGTGTGCTCAATGGCTGACTGCACCACCTTGGCTTTTTCAATATCCGCAGCAACAGAAGGCTCCAGGTAGACGGTCAACGCAGGCGTCTTGATGTTCTTGGCCACGTTGAGAATCTCCTTGAGACGGGGCACACCGAGCGTCACGTTCTTGGACGACACACCAGCGTAATGGAAGGTGTTCAGTGTCATCTGAGTAGCGGGCTCTCCAATGGACTGGGCAGCAATAACACCAACCATTTCTCCAGGATGGACCACAGACTTGGCAAACTGAGTCTCAATCTCACCCATGACCCACTCAAAAGCAGCTCGGTTGAGTCGGTACTCCTCAATGACACGCTTGGTAGGGAACCGAGATCGCACCAGACATTGGAACAGCATGGTGGCGTTCTCCTGGGCCTCCTTGGCGAGCGAGGAGTCACCTCGAACAATAGTGAGACGCTTGCACAGCGACTGCACACCCTCGACAATCTCGGGGATGGTCAAGTCACTGACCTTGGATTTGTCCACGTTGAAAATTCGCTGCGAGTTTTGCACCACTCGACGAATGTTCACGGGCAGAGGCCAGTTGTGGTCACCATTGGTGAAAACCTCCTCTCGCAGAAGACGTCGGTCGGTGAGCAGCTGGTTGTACTCCTCGTCGAGCACACGCTGAACCTCAACGTCACCCACAATATCGTTTCCAGACTCAATGTTGAGAGGTTTGGTCTTGGGGTTCATGAGATCAATCTTGTACCGTCGCTCAAACGACTCGTCAGAACCTGGAATGGTGTCCACGGTCTGTTTCTCCACCTGAGCTCCATCCAATCCGTCCTCTCCATAGACAAACTGAATAACGTCACCAAGCGAGTTTCGAACAGTACCGTCATACTGCACCATAACGTCCTCCAGGGCCTTGACCAGACGTCGCTGAATGTATCCAGTCTCGGCAGTCTTGACGGCCGTATCAATCAGACCCTCTCGACCGGCCATGGCGTGGAAAAAGAATTCCTGAGGAGTCAGACCTCGCAGATACGAGTTTTCAATAAATCCCTTGGACTCGGGCGAGTAATCATCCTTGCAGAAATGGGGGAGTGTTCGGTCGGCGAATCCAAAAGGAACTCGCTTACCCTCTACCATCTGCTGACCGACACACGCCGACATTTGCGAAATGTTAATGAACGATCCCTTGGATCCAGCCACCACCATCTGCTTGACGTTGTTGAGGTCCTTGAGCGACATTTCGGCCGATCGACCTGCAGTATCTCGAGCCTGGTTAAGAACTCGCGACACATTGTGTTCGAACGATTCTCGCATGGTCATACCGGCCTCGGCGGTGAGAGTGTTGGCGTGTGCCTCGAGAATGATCTCCTTGACCTTCTTCTTGGCCTCCTCAATGGTCTCTGTGACATCTCGCATGGTTGCTGAATCAGCAATGGTATCACCAATACCAATGGAGAAACCGTAGTGCAGCAGCCAGAAGTTTACCACCTTCTGGATCGTTCCAAAGAAGTTGCAACACACGGCAGAGCCCTTTTCTCGCATAATGGTATGCACAAGACCACCACCAGTAGCACCAATGGTCTTCTTGTCAACCACACCCCACATGATCTGGCCGTCGATAATGTACATACCGTTATCCTTGGGGCATGTGATGGGGTTCTGGTCGTCAAACCGCTGCAGATGGATGCCCTTGGGGATGCACATGGACACCATCTGCTTACCGGTCCACAGTGGCTTGGGCTTAAGAATAGCGGGTGTGGGCACCACGCCGTCCCAGTTGGGGATCCAGAACAGAATATTCATCACCATGTCGTAGTCAATGAACGAGTCTCGGATCGTCATCTTTCGAACACCACAAAGGGTATCCTGCACAATACCCATGACGGGCTTGTTGGACTGGGGAGACACAATCTGCAAAGGAACCATGCACAGCTGCGACAGCTCAGCTCGAGTTTCCTCGGACTGAGGCACATGCAAGTTCATTTCGTCACCATCGAAATCAGCGTTGTAGGGGGATGTTACCGACAGGTTGAGTCGAAAGGTGGAGTAGGGCATGACTCGCACTCGATGTGCCATCATGGACATTTTATGCAGCGAGGGCTGTCGGTTGAACAGCACAGGATCGTTGTCCATCAGGTGCCGCTCCACCTTCCAGCCGTACTGCAGAGCAATATCGCCAGCTCGCTTGTGGTATCGCAGATCGATTCGCTCGCCAGTGTCTCGAATCACGTACTTGGCGCCTGGATGCTCGTTGGGGCCATTTCGCACATACTCGGTGAGCTTGTGGATGTTGAAGGGAGTCACAATCTCGGGATAGGTGAGCGTTCGAGCAATAGAACGAGGCACACCGACCTGGTCAAGCTCCAGATTGGGGTCTCCAGTAATGACGGTTCGTGCAGAGAAGTCCACTCGCTTACCCATCAGGTTACCTCGCAGACGACCCTCCTTACCCTTAAGACGTGCTCGGATCGACTTGACCGGTCGTCCGGACTTTTGTAGAGCCTGGGGCTGGCCAGCAATATCGTTGTCCATGTAAGTAGCCACATGATACTGCAGCAGCGACTCAAACTCGTTGACAACGTGGGCAGGAGCTCCTTCTTGCTCGCATCGCTGCACGTTGGCGTTGGCCTTGAGAATGTCGGCCAGCTTGTATGTCAGATCATCCTCTCCTCGGGCAGTGTCGTTGATGGCAATAGACGGTCGCACGGGAGGAGGAGGCACAGGCAGGGTGGTGATGATGAGCCACTCAGGTCGGGCATAGTCCTCGTTGAGACCCAGCCGCTGACAGTCCTCGGAAGAAATGTGCTTGAACACGTTAAGAATCTCGGCAGGAGTCAGCAGACGCTTCTCGGGCGAGTCACCCATGTCGTCGCCATTCTTGCCACGTTTCCACGTGCCCCACAGCTTGAGACCGTCCCTTCGAACGGTGGGCTGGATGTTGCCGCAGCCTCCATGGGAGTGCTTGACAACACCGCTGCCGTCGTCCTCGGTGGGCACGTCGGTCTCGCAGACCATCTTGGTCTTACAGAGAGACCAGACGGCGTTGAAACGACGCTTGGGGTCTCGAATTCGGATCGCCTGAGCAAACTGCTTGTTGTTTTCGTCCAGCAGCACCTTTCCACAGTGGAAACAAACGGATTCACAGATTTTTTTGATTTTGGCAATGAATCCAATGTGGAACACGGGCTTGGCGAGCTCGATATGGCCGAAATGGCCGGGGCATTCTGCCATGCCTTCGCCACACTGGGTTAGTACTAGAACCGAGAGTCGCAGGTCGTGTAAACAACTTGTAACGAGGGGTGGGGAAAAACAGGTGTGATCACGCAGGCACACCAAATCTGGCACTGCCTGTCGCGCATCACAGGCCGTGCAAGCAATGGTAGTGAAACTTTGCACAGCATTACTGATCTAACCACTTTTTCACCAGTTGTAGTAAGACGATCAGGGCTCGTGTGATCAGTTTGTCCCGGAAAACCCCCGATCCAGAGCTGGCCAAATGAAAAAACAGCTGATCGCGTCGCTGTCAGTCTCGAACTTCCGTTTCCACCTTTCTCCATGTTCGCCACAATACTCACAGTCTGACACTTGAAGTTTCGGTCGATGGTACCTAGTCGGGGATCGTTGAGACCTCCAACTCGGGGACGCTGTCGGGTTTCGTCCATCGTCTCAGGGAACTCGATTTTCGCGACACTCATGGCTTTCTGTGTTAGTATTGTCGTAGAGGACCATCGTATCGTTTGTGGAATGATCACATCAGTGTCGAATCACGTAGTGTCGCCAGCGGATCAAATGGTGTCCTAATAAAGCCGTGGAAAACCGCATCCGTATCCGTATCGTGGCGCCGTCGTCTGATGTGTCCGTGTCCGTGTCCGTGTCGCTTGCTCATATCACTCTGTTGTACTCACAACTTCCTCGGGCGAAAGAAGACCAAATTGGACCTGGGTTAGTATGTGCGACAAATAAAAGCAGATGTCGTCGTCAAGTCGTTGATTCTCACCTCCTCCACTGTCCGCAAGGGGGCAGACGAGTACGGGAACTGCGCGCCACTCATGTTGGTTCCAATCTTTTCCTAAGACCCAGTAAACAGAAAAAAAGTGGCGGTTGCCTCGATCAGTCGGTCGAAAAAAGAAGAAGCGAAAAGAAGAAAGAAGGGCAGTAACTCGGGTTATCGACACTCAACAAAAAGAAATACCGGGGTTCTGGATCGCAAAACCGGGGTACACACAGATGTATGAATGAAGATGGACGATGTTGGGGGGTGGTGTTGTATGCCTGAACGCGCCGTCTGAGCAGTGAATAAACGATATTTGTCACCCTCCCAATGGGGGTTACCCGGCCCACCACCACTCTAGTGAAGGTTCTGCACTCACTTTTCACACAGAGTTCGACTCTCACTCGGGAACGAAGATTGTCCATAATAGTGAAGATTTTGACTGTTTAATCTGATTTTATCTACAAGCAATATGAATTAAAATAAAAAGCTGTAATACAATTAAAATAAAAGGCTGTAATACAATTAAATAAAAGCTTTAATACAATTAAAATAAAAAGCTGCAATACAATTAAAATAAATAATACAATAAAAATAAAAATAAAAAGCAATAATACAATTAAAATAAAAAGCAGTAATAGAGATAATAAAAAAAATCCAGATAAAAATTAAAAAAAAAAAAGAGTATACTTGTACACAGAATGAAAATATACCCCATGGTTGGACTCAACCCCAATTTTTCCCGATTTATTCCAAATTTATTCGCGGACCAGAAAAATCTTCCCACCTCAAGACTATGAGGGTATGCTGGTTCTCATGTTGGCGATCGAGCAAAGAAAAGTCGATTGCACTGTCCACTGCTGAAGCCGAGTACATGGCTCTATCTGAGGGTACCAAGACTGTTATGTGGCTAACTGAGGTCTATGAAGACTTCGGTATTGCCACCCTCCATGAGAGCCAATCTTACTAAGATGTAAGTATGTACATACGTAGTGTAGGACATTTTACTGGAGGCTGGAGGCAGGAGGGAGAAAATGGATCACGTGACCAAAAATACGACGGGCGTTGTTGTTGTCGTGCCACGTGGCAGTACACGTGACTTTTGGCCCTCTGCTGGCCCGCCTGGTCTCCAAGCGGCTGATTGTAGGGCTGAATTGAAATGCTGTACAACGGTCGACTGTATCATGGAGACTCGGAGTTATTAAGGTACCGGCAATTAATTAAGATGCGCATTGAACTTAATCTCCGGAAATAAAAACTAAATAAAAACTAAATAAAAATTAAATAAAAAAACACAAAACATGCTTGGCTAGAGCGACATGATTGCAGCAGTGATGGGTTTGTACGGTCGGTGGGGAATTTTGGTTTTTCCTGGTAAATAGTCATATCTGGGTTCTCGTATCCATGAAAAGAGGCGCTCCAGGTTGAACTCGAGATAAGTGAAGAGTATTAGTGAAGAGTATAAGTGAAACTGTTGGTCTTGGGGTCACCATAGATGGATGTACTGGTACTCATATGATACCTTTTAACTCCTGAGAGTGTCTTGCAAGATTCTCAAGACTTTACAAGCCTTCTCATCTCCCATACATACAGTATTGACAGGTATGTACGACTTAGTATGTACTATATTTCGTCAGTAATGGTTGAATAAGTATCAAATAACTGTACTAACAAAATCTCTCTTCATTTCAAGCTCATTTAATTATTATATCGTATACTATTGGGCTCGTTTCTGCCAGCTTACTTACTGGTAATCTCGGAAGGGCTTAGTACTTGGCCAGAGGTCGCTGGGCCCACTGTTTCTCGGCAAAGTCCCAGTTGAGCACCTCCCAGAGGTTGTCAAAGTAGGCGGCCTTGTTGTTGTAGTACTGGATGTAGTAGGCGTGCTCCCAAAAGTCGATTCCCAGCAGAGTGACGGCTCCGGGGGCCGAAATAGCGTCCTGGTTGCTGGTGACCTCGATCTTGAGAGTTCCGTCGGGGTAAGACACGAGCCAAGCCCAACCAGAGCCCTGGAGAGCCAGAAGATCAGCCTTGAGCTTGGCTTTGAACTCATCCAGAGAGCCAAACTGCTTGGCAATCTCCTCCTTGAGTTTCGCGCCTCCCTTGGCTCCGTCGGAAGACGAGGGGGTCAGTGACTTCCAGAAAATGGAGTGGTTGACATGGCCTCCTCCGTTGAAGTTGATGGCCTTCTGCAGAGCAATTTGTCTGACCACGTCGTTGGCGGCGACAGCCTCCTGCAGCTGCTTGGTGGCAGCATTGAGGTTGTTCACGTAGGTCTGGTGGTGCTTGGAGTGATGGATCTCCATGATCTGGGCGGAGATCTGGGGCTCGAGGGCCTAGGTTAGTACGAGAGCAGAGGCAGAGTGATTGACGGGATCTAAACCAGGGAGAGCAGACCCGATAGTTGACAGGGCTAGACACGTCGAGTCCCGGGAATCACTTAGGGACTCGATTAGTTTAGACAGAGACCCGGTTAACAGACGGACTAGGCACCACGTGAATCAATTGAGTCGGGTGAGTCAATCAAGTTGCTCTTCCAATAGATTTGTACCATATTTGGTCATGTCTGGTCACACAGAGACAAGGGACTATTCCAGGTACTGTACCGACCTCCATCCACTTAGACCGGAGCATTGATGCTGACTGATTGAGACCATGCATGAGACGGTTGCCTAGGGGTAGTTGCTTTAGCCAATGAGGACTGACCCATTGGCAACTGTCTGTCCATCTGTCATTATCTTCAGGGCCCGTCGAAAAATCTATGTCTGTCGGGTCTGACCCTGATCGTGTCCGACCATGTCTGACCCTGACCGTGTCCGGCCGTGTCCTCCATGTTCTGTATCCTCAACAATACTCACATCATAGGCGTAGGGGAGAGGGGGCAGGACGTAGGACATTTTGGTGTTGACGAGAGCAAATTGGGGTCTTGGACTAAGAAAGAGAAAGCTGATTCCTGGGGTTGTAGCTTGGGGTTTAAGAGAACCCTGGTGGTTATGAGGATAGTGGAAGGTACAAGGAACTGAGGGGACGGAAGCAAGCCACGATGAGCAAATTGCAGCTTTGAAAACGTGCAAATCAGGCTAGACTTGTTGTTTCCGCAGACTAAATCTGCTCAATTGATTACATATATGCTCATTACGCCGTTCTAAATGCTCATTATTTGCTCACTGGATAGAGACATGGGGTCCGAAGCCACATGGACGTGTGACTTTTGGTAAACTGAAAGGTCTTGTTTGTTTTTGTGGATAACACGTGAGATACCGACTATTCGGCTCACAGACGGATATTTCTCAATTTTTCCTCGATTTAATCCGATTTTCAATTGTGTATTTCGTCTCATGCTCCCCACATTAACGGACTTGCGCCATTCATGTACCGTTGATGACTCGGTAAATTGAAAAAGGAAATTCAGAAAATTCGCACTAGTCAGAAAATTCCAAACAAGTCAGAAAGTTCCAAGATAATTCAGAAAATTCCAAGATAATTCAGTAAATCGGAAGAAAAAAAACCATATGCTTCAAAAAACACCAATATTCATCAACAATCTCACTTTTTCGCCTCTCAGTGCGAAAAGCAAAAACACTAAATTACTGGAGGTGTATTTGTCAGCATCTCTGACTGTCACCCAACAGGACTTACTGTACCGGTAGGAAAGAAATAAGACTCTACATGGGTGTCATGGGTGTTTCTATGCCTTTCTCTGTCAGATAACAGACCCAATCATCTCCTAACTACTCTTATAAGTCGCTGGCATCGACCTCATGATTCTTCCTCCAACGGTGGAAACACGACGGCGTTCCCTCATGTGATTATTGGAGGTTTTCCCGTATATATGATCCTTCTGGCTTGATTTATCGGCTCAGAGTGAAGTTGCCCAAGGATATCAATGGTTTATCACCCTTATTTCTCCATATTTTTGTTTCCTGCCTGCTCAAAAAAAAAAAAAAAAAAAAAAAAAAAAAAAAAAAAAAAACCTAATTTATTTTTCTGATTTTCGCCACAAAAATTTTAGGTTACGATTAACCTCGATGAACATGTACGCTGTCTGTTAATTAATTTTTTCCATTATATTGACTAGCGCAACATTGATGGACGAGTTATCACGGCTTTCGGTGGACGTGGTCGACCAGGGCACGCTGGAGAACCAGATCACCAATGAGGCAGACTCGATTCTCAAGAAGCGCGAGTTTGAGATCGACACCAAACGGCTCTCCAAGGCGCAGGATGCTGAAAAGACGTTTCTCAGTAAACTGCGGTCCATGGAGCGAAAGATCAATGATCCCGCCACCAAGATCAGCGAGCGCGAGAAGCTGAAGCGCGACGTGGCCACTCTCAAGCGCACCGAGCTCGCCACGGTCCAGCAGGACATTTCTGACATCAGACAGCGACTACAAGAGAACGACACCAGCAGTGCAACTACAGAGCTACAGGCGTCGGATCGACATGAAGGCGAGTCGGAACAGGAGTACCTTGTTCGAACCGGAAAAATCACCCCGTTCGCCAACACCAGGGGGTTTACTAGAGGAAAAGGAGATGTGACTCAGAACATTGATACCAGCAAGCCATATACTTCGAGCACTATTACTGAACTCGGTGATATCAAAGAGGACGACGACGATGACGGAGAGGATGAAATCAAGGACGAAGAAGATGCTGAAGACGACGCGGACGCTTACTCATCTGGATACACTACGGACGAGATTGAACCTGAAGATATGGAGCTTGTGGAGCTGAAAAAGAAGCGGAGACGTACCGAACGACCAGAGACGGAAGCTATCGACGACGGAGACGAGTGGTCTTATCAGCAACGGCTTAATTGGTGGGTGGAAAAGCGCCAAAAGGCTAGGGCCAGAGCCGGAGTCATCGTTCCTGCCAGTGACTATGCCAAGGAGGAATGGCTTTTAGACGGACCTGAGGCCGATGCTATTCTTGAGGGCAACTTCAAGGTGCCTGGAGAAATCTTCAATGCTCTATTTGACTATCAGAAGACGTGTGTTCAGTGGTTGTGGGAGCTGCATACGCAAAAGACGGGAGGTATCATTGGAGACGAGATGGGTCTGGGCAAAACTATTCAAATTATCAGTTTCCTGGCCGGTCTGCATCATTCTGGTCTGCTTACCAAACCCGTCATTGTCGTGTGTCCTGCCACAGTCATGAAACAGTGGGTTGAGGAGTTCCATAAGTGGTGGCCGGCTCTGAGAGTGGTGATTTTGCATAGTATGGGCGAGGGGAGCAAGGGCAAAAAGAAGCGCAAAGGTGAGATTGACTCTGATGACGATGATGATGAAATGATTAGACCCACTCCTTCAAGCACCAAGAATCTCGTTGAGACTATTGACAAGGTGTTTAAGGACGGCCACGTGGTTGTCACGACCTATGCAGGTCTCAAATCGTATCGCTCGCTGCTTCTGGACCGTGAATGGGGCTATTGCATTCTTGATGAGGGTCACAAGATTCGAAATCCTGACTCTCAAATCACTCTCGACTGCAAGCAGCTCAAGACGGTGCATCGGCTGATTCTGTCAGGAACACCTATTCAGAACAACCTCACCGAGCTGTGGAGTTTGTTGGATTTTGTTTGTCCCGGTCGACTGGGTACCCTGCCTGTCTTTCACTCGCAGTTTGCTGTTCCTATCAACGTTGGAGGGTACGCCAATGCTACTAACATCCAGGTCCAGACTGCCTACAAGTGTGCCGTTGTACTTCGAGACCTGATCGCACCGTATCTCTTGCGTCGAATGAAGACTGATGTGGCCACTGATCTGCCCAAGAAGGAGGAGAAGGTGCTCTTCTGCAAACTGACGGACTCGCAAAGGCTGCATTACAAGGGTTTCCTCAAGTCCGAAGAACTCAAATCGATTCTGGCCGGAAAACGGCAGTCACTATTTGGTATCGACATCCTACGTAAGATTTGCAACCACCCTGACCTCGCGTCTCGAGAGATCCTCAAGAAGACAGCGGATTACTACTACGGAGACCCTGCCAAATCAGGAAAGATGCAGGTGGTCAAGGCTCTTGTGGATCTGTGGAAGAAGCAGGGTCACAGGACGCTTCTTTTCTGCCAGACTCGTCAGATGTTGGAGATCCTGGAAGACTTCTTTGCTAACATGCCTGACATCAAGTATCTTCGAATGGACGGCACCACACCCATTTCCAAGCGGCAGGATATGGTAGACACATACAACAAGGACACGTCGTACGATTTGTTTTTGTTGACAACTCGAGTGGGAGGGCTTGGTGTGAACCTCACTGGAGCAAATCGTGTCATCATTTTTGACCCTGATTGGAACCCCAGTACGGATCTGCAAGCTCGAGAACGATCCTGGCGTCTGGGACAGAAACGAAATGTTGTTGTCTACCGCTTGATGACGGCAGGTACGATTGAAGAGAAAATCTATCATCGGCAGATCTTCAAGCAGTTTCTGACCAACAAGATTCTCAAGGATGCCAAGCAGCGTCGTTTCTTCAAGATGAACGACATTCACGATCTGTTTTCGCTTGACGACGGAGAAGGAGACACCACCGAGACGGGTATGATTTTCTCCGGTTCCGAAAAGAAGATTGAGAACAAGAAACCCGAGAAGAAGATGAAGGACGACGACGACTTCTACCAGGTGGTCGGTCTCAATGGAGTGTCCAAGCTTGAGAAGTTTGAGAACGGCGAGGAGGAACGAGCCGAGAGTAATGACGGAGATAACGATGACAACATTCTCAACGACATCTTCTCTCAGACCGGTGTGCATTCTGCACTTGAACACGACGCTATCATGGATGCGTCTCGTCCAGAGACCGTTATCATCGAACGAGAGGCTAAGAGAGTTGCTGAAGTAGCTGCCAAAGCTCTCAGAGACTCGCGGAAGAAGGCACAGGCCAACGACATTGGAACTGTGACTTGGACGGGCAAGTTTGGCAGTGCCGGAAAGTTTGGCAAGAAGAAGCAGTCGGCTGGTAAAGTCGGAGTGCCGAAATTTGGGTCAGACAAGTTCTCTTCGTCCTCCATTCTGCAAAACATTAAGGCGAAGAAATCCCTGGAGGAGTCTACTAATGCATACACTGGTCTGATCAACATGAGCGATCTGGACAAGGTCAAGCTGCTGGAGAAGATCAGCGAGAGTCTCAAACTGGCCGGAGCAGGAGGCTTGTCGTCGAAAGACATTGCCAACGAGTTTGCTCTCAAGTTGACTAATCAGGAGGAGGTGGCAGTCATGAGACAGCTACTGAGACAGGCTGGAGAGTGGAATGGAGCCACGAAGAAGTGGAGGTATAAGGCCGTCGAGGATGTGGGAGATGAGGACGAGGAGATACAGGAGGTGGTCCCCGTGGATGAAATGGGAAATAAACTGTAGATAGATATTTATAATGCATGCTTCAACATGAATCTGATTATTGTCATCAGGCACGACAACTATTACTCGGACAACGAAAAGGAAAACCAATCTTGCCTTGCCTACAGTACCAGTTATGGGATAAAAATATGTAAATCCATTTATACATGATGCAAAGATTCTTCTAGTAGTTGAGCTGGTTAATCACAGCATTACGTCTTCCGTTGACCGGCCTCCTTCGCACTCGACGATAGCGCACTCGGACAACGTCCTCAACTGTACTACCTCCGACTCATCAAATGTACTACCACCGACTCATCAACCCATTCTCCAACTTTCTCACCACCTCACCATACTCGTTTCCCTGTCCCTGGTGATTCCTGGTCAGCTCTGATGGAGGAATGTACGCGGGACTGGGTTGGGCCTGGATATGGTCCGCAGGATTAACCATAGCCGTTGCTCTCTGAATAGGCGGCGGAATGGGATCCATGGATCCATATGTCAACGCTCGCGGTCGTCTCGAACCCGAACCCGAGTTCTGCTGCTTCAGACCGGTGCTCCAGTTGGCAGGAGGCTGCATGTGTGCATACTGCGCCGCCTCAGCAGACGTCTGAGCTGCGGAGGAGCCTGCAGCTGGGCCGGGGGGGACCATGGCATTGGCGTTCTGGCCCTGAGCGTGTAGAGGCTGGGACTGCGAAATGGGCTGGGCTGTCGGTGTGGGGTGGAAGACGTCCTTTTCTTCCTTGGGATGTGGCACAAAGGGACCTGTGAACTTGGACTCGGTGATGAACGGATGAGATGCCGCCTGTTGAGGAGTCCACCGCTCAAAGGGATTGTAGTTGAGCAAACCCATGAGGAAATCATACAGCGCCTCGCGGTTGAGCATCTCCTTGTCAATATCCGCCCGCTTCATATCCTTCTTATGCAAGGGGTACTCCATGATAATGGTTTTGAGATTTGCAGATGTGAAGTACTGCTTGGACTCCTTTTCATCCACGTTAAACTCACGGGAGTATCGCTCCCGCGACTTGAGCCGGTATCGCTTGCGGCCCTGGTCGTCCACAATCTTTTCCATGAACTTGCCGCTGTTCTTGCCCATCTCAACCATCCAATTAGGAGGGTCACCCAGAGATGCCACTATTCGAGACAGCTGGTTGTACTCAGACGCTCCAGGGAAGATGGGAAGACCGAGGAATAGCTCGGCAATGATGCAGCCCATGGACCACATGTCGATGGAGGTGGTATATGGGATACCGAGCAACACCTCGGGCGATCGGTAAAACCGCGATTGGATATATGTGTAGACAGTTTTTCTTTCGTGGCAAGCAGACCCAAAGTCAATCACCTTGATAATGGGACTATCGAGGTTTTTGAGCAAAATGTTTTCGGGCTTGAGATCACAATGGATGAGTTTGGCGTTTTTCAGCACTGTGAGAGAGTCCAGAAGCTGGCGAGAAAACACCCTGACGAGATTGATAGACAAGCCCCGGAACTGGTTCTGTTTGAGAAGTTCGTAGAGGTTAGAACTCAGCAGCTCAAACACGAGACAGTAATGTTGCTTATGCAAAAACTTGTCCTTGAGCCGCAAAATGTGGTGCTCGTCCTTGTTGTCGACCGAGTTATTCAGGTACTCAAGAATCGACACCTCCATCATGCTCTGGTTTAAGAACGCTGGGTTGTTCTTAATCACCTTGACCGCCACAATATCCTTAGTCTTCATGTTCTGGCACTTGACCACTTGCCCAAACGTACCCTGACCCAAAATATCTAGTACCAGATAGCGCTTGTTTTCGTCAGTACCCAGGACGTCATTAACGTACAGAATGTAGTCGTTGTCTCTGTTGTCGTGGCCATTGTTAAGCTTCGGCTCACTGGGCTTGGTGAGCACCCTGCGTGGGTTCTTGGACGACTCGTAGTTGAAGCCCGAGTTGCAGATCTGGTACGTGGCTGACAGCTGCAACGTCAGACACATGAGAGGCGACATGTAGCCGCCCTCGGGGATTGCCCGACGATTCTGGGGTCTTGGGTTGACCTGGGGATTGAGGTCAGAAGCCCGTTCAACCGGTCGGAAGGATGGAGGAGGAATTGACGCAGGCGGCTCCTGCGGTTGCGGCTGAGGCTGTATCGGTGGCTGTGGTGGAGCTGCATGAATGGGCTGAGGAGCCACGTGTACCGCTTGAGGGGCCGACTGAGGAGCTGTGATGGGAGGTGGTTGTGTTTGAGGTGTTTGTTGTGCCTGTTGCGTCCAATAGTATGGCTTTGTTGCCGGCATGGCGGGATTGTAATGCTGCTGGGGTGTCTGTTGATGCTGCTGCTGCTGCTGCTGCTGGGGTTGTTGAGATGGTTGGCCTTTGCGCACCGGTGACACCCGCGATCGGGCGTAGTTGCCTGCGGGGGTGCTGTGAGGGGACGCCCAGGGGTTGTAAGAAGCCGATTGGGGCGTTACAGGTGAAGAGGACATTTGCACTGATCCCAGAGGAGTGCCGGGCTGCATCTGAGGTGCCAGTGGCGTGCCGGGTTGCGACCTATACAGCGGTTCATGTGGCGACGAATGTTGTTGATGCTGGAGCCCGGGGGGCAGGCCGTACTGTGTCTGCGTCGGGGGATAGTGGCTGGGTTCGTGTGAGGGTCTGCGGGTCGACACAGGCGACGAGGGCTCGTATTGGTGCATGAGCTGCGGGTGGGGCAGCTGTTGGGTCGACAGGGCGTTGGACATGGACGTCTGGAACTGCGGATGCGGTTGCGAGGGCGAAAAAGGACCCATCTGCTGTTGGTGGTAGTACAGACTGCGTTGTGAGTGGGACATGTGCGGAGATCCCATTCCTGCTGAAGTTGAAGAGGCAGCGGCTGCCGAGCTCGAGGCCGACACGTTGGGCGCGCTCTCAAAGCTCTTACGGTAGTAGTCTGTCGGGTACGGTGGCTGTTGTTGTTGCTGTTGTTGCTGCTGCTGATGCTGCTGCTGCTGTTTGTGTCCGATCAGCGACGGCATCAGGTGCCCGTTGGACGACATTTTGCGGTGATGCGGCGACGGCGAATGGTCCATCACGGTCACGGCGGCGGTCGGTGTCAGGCTTGCACTCCGATCGACAAGCGAATGTTGAGCGAGCAGTGGCACAGAGTGTTTGCGGAGCGCGATCGAGCCGAATGACGTGGCCTCGTGAGAAGGATAGGGTGCAGACGCAATCTCGGCGTGGTCCGAGGCGGAAGAGTCCCAATGGCAGAGATACAAGTGCAGATACACTTGGTGATGTGGAGTGTCAGTGTAGCCCAAACCAAAGTCTAATTCATAACATGGGGGGGACCACAGTGGAAAACGTCAAACAAGGAAGTGGAAGCAATCTCTTGGCGTGTTTGAAGGGGGTAACATAATAAATGCCCCCCGGTGAACAGGTGGACCAGAAAAGGCCATCAGTAGGTCCGTCGCCGCCATCGCATTCGTCCCGGTCACGTGACCTCCCACCTCCCACCTCCCATTCGATACACTTCCTGCTGCACTACATGCGGTGACGTGTGAGCACATATTGTAGCATCAGTTGTTTCATGCGGCGGCGGCGGAATGCTTACTAATGCGCTTGAGCGGGGTGTTCTGGGGGGAGGGTGCTCTTGGTCGTCGCATCGGTTACCCTACCGTGGTACTCTCGGTCCTGTCATACTGCTACCAGAAACTCGCGCTCGAGCCCCCTATCACTACTGTGCCAGTATATCTATGACGCATTCTACTGAGGGTAATTGCGGGCACAGCAGGGGTCTGTCAAGCTTTTTTTACCCGTTGGGTTATTATTAGTATTTCCACTTCTCTTCCAAACCTTTCAACTAGCTTTCCAACTAATCTGCATAACTACGCTGCAGTACAGACAGTACAATACACACACATGAGCCACCAAGAAGAACACTACGCGTGGCGACAGACGCTCCAGGACATCACAATCACCTTCCCCGTGCCTCCAGGCACTCGTGGCAAGCAGATGGATATCAAATTCACCCCCACGACCATCTCGGCAGGTGTCGTGGGCCAGCCTCCCGTTCTTCAAGGCGATCTGTTTGGCAAAATCGCCCCTGAAGAGTCAACGTGGACTGTGGAGGACCAGAGAGAAGTCACCATCAGCATTGAGAAGGTCCACAACCAGGAATGGTGGCCACACGTGGTTACCACGGCCCCCAAGATTGACGTTTCCCAGATCGAGCCAGAGAAGTCCAACCTCAGTGATCTGGACGGAGAAACACGAGCCATGGTGGAAAAGATGATGTACGACCAGCGGCAGAAGGAAATGGGCCAGCCCACGTCGGACGAGCAGCGCAAGCAGCAGCTCCTGGAGAATTTCAAAAAACAGCACCCGGAAATGGACTTCTCAAAGGCAAAGATCAACGAGGGCTTTGGAAACATGCCTCAATAAGCGAACCAACCAGCTCATCGAAGCTGTCGGTTGCAGTAGCAATCATCTAGGCGTGGTTCCATTCTTGTGGTGTAATTCTGTCTGTCACGGACAAGTCCACGATACATTATTGGTCTAAATAAGTTATTTTCATTCATATAGTTATGCGATTGTATTTGTAATTCAATGTATCAGAATCCAAAGGAGAAGGCGCTCATGTCGGGCTCCTGGAACTGGCTCGGGGGAGCTGGTTTTTTGCCATTTCTTTCCTTCTTAGTCTTGTCACCGTTCTCAGTGTTGTCTTCGGGCTTATCCGCCTTTGGTTTGTCCTCCTCCTCCTTCTTCGCAGCATTGACACCATTCTTTTCAGTGCCGCTCTTTGGTTTGTCCTCTGTCTTCGGAGAATCATGGAAACTGTCCAGCATCGAGGGAGGTTCACTGGACGTTTTTTCTTTCTTGGGCTCCTCATATCCACTCAGCATGGAAGGTGGCTCCTGGAAACTATCCAACATAGAAGGAGGATGACTAGCGTTGGTCTTGGACTCCTTCTTTGGCTCATGGAACCCATCCAACATCGAAGGAGCTCCTTTCCCACCACCACCCATGTCAAATCCCTCCAACATGGAAGGACCCTCGCTAGCAGGAATGGGGGCCGGTTTGGATTTGAAGTCCCTGAACGCAGCAAGGGAGTCCGCGTCAGGCTTCTGGTTCTCCTGGACGTCCTCATCAGCCTTCTCAGGAACCTCGTCCTTCTTGAATTTCCAGTTTCGGACAAGATTCAAGGCAATGACCTCGCAGCCCATTCGAGAGTATAGCTTGGCAGTAGTGAACACACTTTGCAGCTCGGTGGCTGATGTGACGCCGTTGTTGGAGCTCACCACCTTAAACTTGGAGTCTCGCAGGAACTGGTACAGAATCAACAGAGCTGGGTCGTTGGAAAGGAACGACCGCGAGTTGGACACGATATGTGCAGAGCCCCGCTTCTTATCCTGATACTCGTGGGAAACCAGTGATCGAACGGCATCGCCTCGTCGGTCCTGGCTCCAAAGACACCAGTAAATGACCCACTGGTCACCCATCTTTAGAGCTTCAGGAAGAATCTCGTTCTTGATCAACTCGTTGAGAACAGGACCGTTGTCGCCCTCGTAGACACGACAGACGGCAATGGCCAGCCCGGTATCGTTGAGTTTACGCGTAATGACGTTGACACAGTCCTTGAGCGAGTCTCCAAGAAGGAAAAAGGATGCAGCGTAAGCATATCTGTGCTTGGACAGCAAGGCAAAGGCGTTCTTGAGAGCGGCTGTTCTCCACCGAGGCTCGGAAAAGTCGTTCTTCAGAAACTTTACCATCTTTGTCTGTTCGGGATGAGTAGACGCAGATCGCCAGAGAGCCTGAAGAACTTGTTTCTTGCGTAGAGCCAGGTAAAACAATGACGCCTCACTGGGGTCCTGACGCTCTGTTGCCATAAACTGGTTCTTGGCTAGCACGTCAAATAATTCAACCAACTTGTGGTGCTCGAGCCAGTATCCGACTCCAGCGGCCTGAGCATCGGGCCACACAAGTTTTGGGCCATCAATCTGCTCAAGCAACATTGCCTGAGACTCGGAGTTAAGTGCCCAGCAGAAATCTCGCACTGTCATCTGCTTCTGTGTCTTTCGATGCATTCGATATAGCTTATAGCCGAGATAGAAGCGGATTGCCATGATATCGGACCATCCTGCCACCTCAGCCACCACTTCACACAGACTAGCAAGTGTGACCTGCTGATGCTGGGTAATAAAAGGCAGAGACACTTGCTGCAGTTTCTCGGTCAAGTTGCTGTACTCATCAGGAAGCAGCTTGGAACCCGACTTGTCACCATCTTCGTAATCACTAGGATCCATCCCTAGAGTTGAGTCCATGTCCTGAACCAACTCCTGATTGGCATATTGAAGCTCCTTGTACAATCGGTAGAGAGTATCACGAACAACAGTCAGCTGTCCAGCAAGAATACACTGCACCAAAAGCTGGGGATGGTATGCAGGAAGAGGACCGTTTACAATCGAGCAAATCTCAAACAAATGGTGAATATGGAACGCTCGGGAAGAATGCAACATGTCGGAGAAGTCCCGCACGCCAGCCTCCTCTTCGTGGACACAGTTGTCGTCCACAAACAGCTGATTACCGGCAGCAACCACCAGCACACCAGTGTTCATCCAGATAGAGTCTCCAATGGCATGGTTGGTAAACGGCTTGATGTCCACCTGCTTCAGCAGACCCCAACAGGGCGAGATATTGGTGTAGTCGAATCGCAACTGACCCCAGAGCTGCACGTGAGTGCCGAAGCCAATAGCTAAGACAGACTGGTTATCGGGGGTACAAGCCCAATCCAGATCACAGATTTTGGTGTCAAACTTCTTGGTCTGCTCCAGGAAGCCATGACGAGTGTCCCAAATACTCAACTCCAGGCGATCCTCGGAAACAATAGCCACTTTGTTTAGAGAAGACTGAGACATGAGCGGCGAGTTGATGACGTTGGTTGCGACGGTCGACAGCAAAGACCACTCGACCGTAGAGTTGTCGGAGCTAATTTCAGACACCCAGGTGGAGAACTCGCCAGTTTTGGAAATGGCACTGAGCTGATCAGTCGAGAGAGACTTTCTTCCAGCAGACCACGAGACGGGGTACACAGGAACACACTTGTAGAAAGAGTTCAGGAAAGAGGGCTTGGTGGAGGTCACCGAAGATATGCTCATAATTGAATCCGAGGATTCCCCAGCATCTTGAGCCGCCTTGAACGCCTTTTTATCGCCGGAAATCTGCCAACATCGAGACTGGCCTCCGTTGATCACAGCAAACACGTGAAAACACGAGCACTGGTCTTTTCTGTCAACCTCTAGCACACAGTCAACTGTGCTTATAGTGTCCTCCGAAGTGATATCCAAAATGGCTACTCTTTTGGCAGTCTTGGACTCGCCCAAAAGAAAGAACAGCTCAATGCATGATTTTTCGAGAGCCAGAAAGAACTGATCTGAGGAGCCCAACAGCACACCTCCTAGAACAGCCGTGCTTGTATCGATGATGGACTGTTTTCGCAGTGTAGTTCGGTCCTCTAGCTTTTGAGTCACCCAAGCTGTGTTCTCAGTGAATCGACTCTGACTGACAACAAGATGACCTCTGGCAGATCGGATAAGCCGCTGAACACTCTTGTTGTGACCCGTGAATAGTTGTTGTAGCTTGAGCGGGAAATCTGGCTTCACTGTTCCATACCGGGTGAGAGCATCGCATCTGAACGCCACCACTCTGCCCTGTAGATGAATCAACAACACTGCTTCACCCTTTTCGTGATTCAGAATTCCCCTGACCGCCACAATGGACCCGGGCTTGACAGGCCGTTCCTTGGGAAAGATGCCCGAACAAGCATGAACAACGGTCGATGTCACGGCTAGACTTCCTCGGCCATTGGTAAAGGCCCAAACGTCAATTCCGTTATCCTGGAGCGTAACAATGGCCTCGGGGTGCTCTCGCTCACTCAGGGACGATTGCACAATCTCGCTGTCGACCATGATACTCTGTCCCCTGTCTACCACTGCGTCGACCTGGAAGTTGAGCGAGTCATGGGGGTCTAACGAGCGCCACCGACGTACCACGCCGTCCTCCGTTTGTGTGTACAGATGCGCTAGGCCAGTTTTGACTGGTGACGAGTCCTGCAGCCAGTGCAGAGCTCTAACTTTGGAGGGGTGTTCGGCAAACACGTAGTCAAAGGCCGCCGAGACATCTGACGACGATAGACGTCTGAAAACAGTGACAATCGAGTCGTCGTGCGGCGTGCAGACCGCCAGAAACTGTCCCTCGGCCGTGGAGCTCACAAAGGAGCATTTCTGCGGTAGTGATCGGGTCCACATGTTGATTGGCTGGGCGTCGGGTTTGTCGGTGAGCACGTTCCATAAAGCGATTTCGTCGTCCACGCCGCACAATTCTGTGTATGAGCACCAGGTGAGCGACTGGGCGCTTGTGTTGATCTCCTTGATTTTCGTCCATTGTGTTTTGCGGCCGTACTCGACTGTGGGCTTGAGGATCCACACCACGTCTCCTAGAGACAATGCCAGGTGGCCTGTTTCGGGGTTGATTACCACAGCCACTCCGTCGCATGGCAGGTAGATGGTTTGCAGCAGCACCGACGGGTACTGGACAATGATCAGGTTGTTTCCCGAGCAGTATGTCTGTGTTAGTGGCGAGCGTGCTTTCAGCGGGGACGTCTGATACTCACGAATATCGTGCGGCCCTTCCAGAAGGCCAGGGAGGTGGCATTTTCGCTGGAATTGGGCTCTCCGGCCAGAAAAGACACGGACATTGTTGTAGTGATGGCGTGGCCAGGTTGCGTCCCCTAGGTGGTCTTGTTGGACATGCGCCCTGTATGCATACTAAGAGTTTGCTCCGGTTGTGAGTGTGAGAGAGAGATGAGTGGTTAGTAGAGGAGAGGTTGGGAGGGTCGATCGGGGGTATTTATGTTGTTGGTGCGGGTTTGTGTCACTTGGTTTCAACGCTCGTGTCGAGACTAGGAGGTGGAATGTGGAGTATATATCGTGCCTGATTTCCGTCTGTCGATAAACTGCCTGAACAATAAAGTTACAGAAGTGCTAGTTAGCGGTGCTCACACTATGATAATTTGGCGTATGGATTTCTGACCACACCCAATTGCACACACACACACACACACACACACACGACATGGGATCAAGGTGAGTAGGAGAGAGGAGAGAAGCAAGAGGAGAGGCGAGAAGCAAAGAGGGAGAAGAGACGAGACAGAGACAAGACGGAAGGGTCGTCACGTGTGATTTTGAGCTCATCTACTTGCACTACAGTGTGTCCCCTTTGGCGTCACATCATGTCGGTCTAGACTAACCCAGTTGCAAAGATATTCGAACAAACGTGGCGATATGCCTGCAACGGTCGCCATGCGTCATGGTCCAGAGAAACACGCCCAAGGACTGTCTCACCAAGCCCGAGCTCGTCAAAGATATGCCCGAAGAGTGTGTCTTGCTCATGAACTCGTTTCTGGCCTGTAGACGAGGCATGGTGGACATGACCAAGAGATTCCGAGGAAACGCCCCGCTATCGACCGGCCAGTTTGATGAGAAATACGAGAAAATGTCCACCGGCCATTTCCAGCCCGATGAGGAGCTCATCACCTCGGGACCCGCTCCCCAGCAGGATGAGAAGCAGAAGGAGCTTGCCCGGCTTAGTGGAGGACGATAGCCGTCTATTTATCTGTACATAGTGTAAATATCTGACCAACAAAGTGCGAGCACGACTAGGATCAACGATAAGTGCTGTTTCCACAGCAGCACCAAGTGCCAGCTGGTACGTATTGTGCTCTAACAGAATGGCACTACCAATACAGTACGAAATGTAGAATGCTTGTACCCGGGCATTCAGTGGTGGCGGAATGGTGACTACAGTATGTACGCCTACTTTCGGTGGATTTTCTATCGTTTCTCCTTCTTTACTCGTTAAAGTCAGTAATCAATATATTTGTCAAATGTCTCTAGTCTATCTACTCTGTTGGTGTGTATCTACTTCTTGGTGTACTCCTTACCCAGTCTCTCAACCTCGTTGAGCAGGTCGTCAACGGTCTTGGAGCTCACGGTAGGAGCGTTAATGACGACTCGGAAGAACTCGCCTCGGCCGCCCTCACCCTGCTCGGGAGCATAGTCGACCAGGAACTTGCCCGAGTCATACAGCTTCTTGGCCATGAACCGGGTAGCGTCCGAGTTTGCACTTGCCTCAGAAGCCAGAGAGCCGCTAGGAGCGTAGTAGAAGCACGTCTGGAGACAAGGAGGAGGAAACTGGGACACAAGCTCAAATCCAGGCCGGTTCTGGACCTGCTCGGCAAGGTACTTGGTCAGCTCGAACGCGTGGTCCACTCGCTTGCCGTAGCCCTCGGTTCCAAACCACTGCCAGCCGAGGTACAGCTTGAGGGCGTCGGGTCGTCGCCCACAACCCAGGGTGCCGTCGGCAAGATCAAAGTTCTCCTCTTCGTTAGAGCCGTGGAACAGGTAAGGAGCCTGCAGGGCGTTTGCGGTCTTGAAAGCGTTCTCGTCGGGAACAAGCAGGAAAGAGCATGTGGTGGGGACACCTAGCATTTTGTGAGGGTTGACGGTGATGGAATCTGCCTTCTCGGAACCATCAAGCTTGTATCTGTACTTGTCAGAGAAACAAACGTTTCCTCCCCACGATCCGTCGATATGGAACCACAGGTTGTTCTTCTGGGCAATCTCGGCAATCTGGTGGAAGGGATCGTAGGAACCAAAAACGGTGGTTCCGGCGGTCGCGTTGATGTACAGAGGAGTGTAGCCCTTGGTCTTGGCGGTCTCGATCTTTGCAGCGAGATCGGAGGCAATCATTCGGCCCTCCTTGTCAACATCGATAGACAGAACCTGCGACTGGCCAATACCAAGCAGGATGGCGGCCTTCTTGACGGAGTAGTGGCAGTGGGAAGAGGCGAAGACGGCAAACTTATAGTCGCTGTTGCCCTCGGTCTTGGTGTCGGGATACTTGATGGCTCGGGCCATGGCCATGGAGGTGATGTTGGAGTACGATCCGCCCGGGAAGGTGAGGCCACCAGCCCGGGGGCCGTTGAAACCAAACAGGCCGGCATACTGCTTGGCCACGGACTTTTCGATCAGAGTCAGGATGGGTGACACGGTGTACACGTGCGAGTTTGTGTTGAGAACAGACAGAATGATGTCCGAAGCCACTCCGACGGGGTTGGTGGAGGCGTACAGCTTATCGAGAAAGCCCGGGTGCCAGGTGTTGACCGATTTGGACAGCACGTGTTCCACCGACTCGAACAGACCGTCGATGCCCTCTCCCTTCTCGGGGAGCGTCAGATCGACCTGCTTTCGAATCTCCTGGGGGGTTTCTGACGGCCCCACCTTGGATCCTTCTTTGGTAGCCGAGTCAATGTACTCGATGACTCTGGGCACGAGGCGGTCGAGAATCTCCTTGGCGTCCTGGACCCGGTTGGCCTCTTGCGGTAGCGGTTTGATTTCGTTGGAAACAGTCATTTTTGGTGTGGTTAGAGAAAGAGAGAAAAGATCCGGTTAAGGTCTCTACATGATTATGGATTGGGGGGGTGGTAGATTACTGAGAAATAAGGTTTCAAGCCACTGTGAGAAATACGTCATTGATGTTGAACTAGTGCGGTGGTTTAAACGGCGTAAAAATGGAGCTAACAGAGAGGCGAACCCCGGAATCAAGTGGTTCGTGCACGAAGAATTGATTTGCCGCCTCAACCCCCGAAAATACCAACCACAACAGCCCCAAATAACCATCCTCCACAAACAAAGCCGATCCACTCGCCACGCACGCCACCTCCAAACGTCTATCCAAAACAAGCTTTTTTTGTGGCGCAGGGATCGGGGCTTCGAAGAGGGGAAACTCAGGGCAATCTTAGAACCACACCAAACCACATGTATAGCGGCGCTCTTATAGTGTCTTAGACATAGTTGCTCTTGGTGCGATCGGTCGGTTTGGGTCACGTGATCGGCGCTCTTCTCGGCTCGACTCGGCTCCTCTCCTCGTAATGCTCGTATCTCTGTCGTATCCTGCCGAATTCCGTCTTGCAGCCGTTAAGCGGCTCCAGCCTGCAAAATGAAAGTCTGCAGGTTCAGGTATGTACTGTAGGCATTTTCGCGGGCCGTTGGATGCAGCATACACTGGAGTGGGGCCGTTAATGCACAGTTTCATTGCCACATTTGAGTACGAACGTATGTACAAGTACCTGTTTCTGTCTTTTCTGCTCGTGTCACCTCCATTTTCGGCCAAGTATCGTATCCAAAGACCTGAATCGTGACTGTACTTGTCCAGAATAACTGCACATCATTTGCCTCGGTTACATCATCGGTATATTGTCGGCGTAGGCCACAGCCAACATATCAGTATTCGTCTTATGCATGCTCATGGTGTTCAGACTTGGGAAACGGGACTCTGAAGTCTAGGAGATACAAGTGCTACTTGTACAAGTGCCAATATTTGTAGTAGTTCTCGTACTTGTCCAAGTTCTGAACAGCATGGCTTGCATTACAAGTAGTGGATACCCACTGATGTATCAGTTTCTTGTACAATAGTTTTTGTCTCATGCTGAATCATCAATTGTTCAAGCCATTGCTAGCCACTGAGGCTAGTTGAGAGTACCTGTATTGTACTACAGTCCACATCACCAAACAAATACTTTTATTGCACGTACTGTACAAACAAGTTTCCATGTCATCATCGTTACTATATACCCTTGTGCTATCACACCACCAAGCACTGTCCAGCCAATCAAACAATCGCTCTGCTTATTTGCCTCCAAAGAAACCAGCATACTTCTTCTTCTCCGCCTCCCGTCGTCTCTGCGCAGCCTGTTTGACCTCCTCAATCTTGTTCTTGATGGCCCCATCAGCGGGCTCGAGCTCCAGAGCAGCATTCAGATCCTTGAGAGCGTCGGTCTCGTTCTTGAGAGCGGCGTATCCAGATCCCCGTCGGAACAAAGCCTTGGCCTTCTCCTTGTTGGCCACAGTCTCGTCATCAAGAGCAGAAGTCGCGGCCTTGATGGCAACCTTGGGCTGGTTGACCTTAAGAGCCATGAGAGCCACGTTGAGGTAGCACGAGATTCGCAGAGCATGCACCTTGGCAATGTTCTCCTCGGACAAATCATCGGGAAGATAGTCCTCCAGGTAGGTGGTGGCCTTGAGGTACTTCTTGAGCGCTCCCTCGGCGTTTCCCTCCTTGAACAGCTTGGTTCCGATCGACTTGAGCTTCTCAATGGCTCCCAGCACAGAGGCAGGGTCGTTCACGTCCACATTGTCGTTATCCTTGAGGAAGTCCTCGTAGTCGTCTCCAGTGCCGTCGTCGACGTTTCCAACAGGCACCTGGAAGTCTGCGGGCAGCTCTCCGCAGTCCACAATGGTGACGGGCTGCTTGGGTCGGTCCTGCTCGCCTGTCTCAGTTCGCTCGATCTGTCGCACAATACCCTTGCCGCTGAGCAACTTGCCAAATACCACATGCTTGTTGTCGAGATGGGGGGTTTCGGTGGTGGTGATGAAGAACTGCGAGCCGTTGGTGTTGGGCCCGGCGTTGGCCATTGACAGCAAGAAGGGCTGATCATGGGGGTAAGGGAACGCCTCGTCAGGGAACTTCTCCCCGTAGATGGACTCTCCTCCGGTACCGTTGCCAGCGGTGAAGTCTCCTCCCTGCACCATAAAGTCCTTGATGACTCGGTGGAAAGACGAGCCCTTGAAATGCAGAGGGATTCCGGCCTGGGTGTTGCCCTTCTCGCCAGTGCACAGAGCTCGGAAGTTCTCGGCGGTCTTGGGCACCTTGTCGGCAAACAGCTCAAAGTAGATCTTGCCGATGGTCTTGCCGCCAATTGCGACCTCGAAAAACACTCGGGGGTTGGTCATTGTGTATGTGTGTGATGTGTAACGGGTTGGGTTGTGTTCGTGGGGGCGTTAGGCACGCCCGTACCTTTGGCCATATATGCATCTTTGGGAGGTTTGACGCATGTGCAGAAGGTAAGCTGTAGAAGGTTCGAGAATGAATCTCCCCCAGAATCGGGGTCAGCAGCTCTTTGTGTTGGTTCTGGGAGGCCCGGTTGCGACTGCTTGTGTGTCATTTCAGTCTCTACCCCTCCCTTTCATTTCCACCGTCTTTCCGGCTCCCTATCTCTGGGCTACATTTTTCACACTGCAGGCGTCAAGATCAGCGCCCAACCCAGCAAGTCAAATTGGATCAGGATCGAACTGTCTCAGTGGCTGAATGAGAAGCTGGAAGAAGGGTTGATGACGGCTAATTGTAACTTATGGAGCTATACAAGGCAAGATGACTGTACAGAGACAAAATTCCTCACTCCAGTACAAGTACTTGTACGGCCGGCGATTGTTGAGCAACTAATCATGCTAACAAGATCCCAACAAAACTACTAACTAAATTTGGAACTGATGAGATGAAAAGCTGAGATAACTTCAGCACAGGACACAAACTGCTATTATAACTGAAAAGTTGCTTAGAATGCATCAATTGAGGGTAAAATGGTACTGTTTTCTCAACGATTCCGACTCTGGAACATCGAAAAGAGACCCCCAGCCTGATTTTGATTGTAACTATATCCAACTAATTTTAAAATACAAGTCAAACGGTTTAGATGACTTCTAATGGTGGAAATTAGTTTTGACAAACTCTACTTGCTCAGCGCCATTGGCGATATCATTGTCAATCATTCACTATATACTAACTTAAAGCTTGGCGCCAACAGCCTTGTGGACCTTGAGGGCCTGTCGCATGGCCAGATCCAGCATAATCTCCTCGGATCCACCGGGGATGGCGTAGGCTCGGACCTCTCGGTACAGTCGCTCAACCTTACCTCCGAGACCGCCTCGGGTGTAGGAAAGACCACCAAAGATCTGGGAAGCCTCTCGGGCACACAGCTCGAGGGTCTGGGTGGCCTGGGCCTTGCAACCAGCAATGGCACCACCAAGTCGAAGCATGGCCTCCTCCTCGGGGAACATCTGGCACTGGAAGACCAGGTTCTCGAGCCAGGCGTGGGTGGACTCGATTCGAATGGCCATGTTGGCGAGCTTGGCTCGGATGACGGGGTGCTCAATCAGAGGCTTGCCGAAAGTCTTTCGCTTGTGGGCGTACTTGCAGGCCTCCTCGTAGCAAACTCGAGAAGCTCGGTTTGCCTGGATGATGATACCAACTCGCTCGTGGTTGAAGTTGGTCATGATGACCTTGAAACCCTTGTTCTCCTTGCCGAGCAGGTTCTCCACGGGGACCTTGACATCCTCCATGGTGACCCAGGTAGAGCCGGAAGACAGCATACCCTGAGTGTTCATTCGTCGGGTCTCAAGACCCTCCATGCCTCGCTCGAGCAGCAGAACAGAGATACCGTTCATGCCAGAGCCGGGGCCACCGGTTCGGACGGCAACAGTGAAGTAGTCAGCCCAGATACCGTTGGTGATCCACTTCTTGATACCGTTGACAATGTAGAACTTTCCGTCGGGGGTCTTCTCGGCGGTAGTGGTGATGTTGGCAACATCGGAGCCAGCGTCGGGCTCAGTGATACACAGACAGATTCGCTTGGAACCGTCGAGCAGGCCGGGGAGGATTCGCTCCTTAAGGGGCTCCTTGGCGAACTTGATCACGGGAGGCAGACCAATACAGTAGCCACCAAGCAGGTTCCAGGTGAGACCTCCGGAGCCAGCTCGCATGATCTCGTCGGTGATGATGAGCTCGTGGAACATGTCGTACTCCTCAATGGGCACAGAGGCGGGCTTGACGTTGGTGTACTTGGCCAGCTCCTTGTAGGGGGTGCCGAGAGAGCCGGCAAGGTAACCTCGCTTGCCCATCTCCTGGAAGATCTCCTTGGGAACCTCCTTCTCCTCATCCCATTCCTCAACGAAGGGCTCAATCTTCTCCTCAACCCACTGTCGGACCTCGTCACGCAGCTTGGCGTGGGACTCCTTGTAGTAGGGGTTGTGGTAGCCGTGGTACCAGTTGGGGTCGGCGTAGGGGACAAGGTCTCCGTAGGGCTCGAGGGCGGTGGTCTTGTTAGGGGCAATCATGGCTCGAGTGGGGTTTGCTTCAGCGTCTTTAAGGGTTCCGATCTTGAACTTGTGTCCAACCTTTCGCATAATCTTGGGGGCGTCGTGGTATTTGTGGAAAAACTTGGTAGCGTCTTTTCCTGCGACTCGTTTGAGAATCTTTTTTCCGCCGGGGTGTTCTTTCTGGAATTCAGTGAGGTCGAAAACGTTACCGTCAATGATGATCCACAGAGATTCGGGAGAGTTGTGCTCCGCAACTTGCTGTCGTTAGCGCTGTATATATACACATGAGTGGTGCAATAGGCTTTAGGCACATTAATGCACATGTACCGAGGGAAGGTTGGAAGGTTGGTTTGTGTGGGGAGGTTATGCAACGTGGCGGCGGTGGTGGCGGTGGCAACACCAAGCGGCGGTGGGTGGGTCAATCGATCGATTGGGTGATTCGTTCGATTGATTGCCGCAGTCCCGGTCCATGTTCACTATCTACCTCAATTCCTATCACACTACCGCAGTGGCTAGTGTGTACCCCAGATGTCACACCACCTAAGGGGCCGAATAGAGTTCATCGGCTTTGGGGGGTTAAGGTTGTTTCTGTGGGGAACGTGATTTTCAGAGCAGTCAGGGCAAGAGACGTTGGAGGCTACCAATTGCTGCAGAACCATTGGTGGTGGGTTCGGCTCAGTTTCCGGAGCTCCGAAAGCGACTCTCCAAGTCTCCCACCTCCTGTTCACCTCACCTGACGTCACTAGCCCACATCCACCGCAATACCTCGGCACATGCAACCAAACCTAAAATTATCCCCAGCACATGTCACATTATGGAGGCAATCTGACCATTGCGGAAAGAAACGGAGCAAGTGGCAGTGGTCGCTGATCGCCGGGAAAGGCCCAGCCTGAGAAAGACAGAGGAAGAGACAAACACAAACACAGACACAAACACAAAGCCTGACTCAGCAAGTGAAAGGGAGAGGGCGATCTAGACCGTCCAATCCGACTGGGAAGAGATGGACGGTCCAGATAGACAGAGCGTCTAGAGAGAGCCGTCTAAGCAATGTGTCTAGGGGCTGTGTCCAAACAATCTGTCTAAACGATCTGTGTAAAACAACCCGTCTAGATGGCATTTTCCCTGGCGGCGGCGCGTGACCAAGTTGCTCTAGAAGCCCTGTCCCAGTTACAAAGCCCGACTCTGAGATCCAGAATCTCTCCTGGCCATCTGTGTCGCCCAACCAATTCCGTTTGTCACCGCTGTCACCACCGTTTGTGTCTGTGTCGATACTGCCATCCCGCTACAACATGTCCCGTCTTCAGACTTGTGTCTGCTGTCGTGACCTGACCTGACCCGACCCCGTTGCACCATCTGCACTCTCACCGCCTCTGGCGCCTCTCTTTACCTCTGCCACGTTCGCCAAAACGTCCGCCAATCTCCCAGATCGCTCATACTCACTTCGGGGGTGTACTGCTCGCTCATGTTGTTGTGCTTCAGGTGTTATACCGTGTGAGTCTGGGGTTCTGGAGTCCGCGTGGGATTTATATCCAACCTAGGCCAAACTAGGTTTTCCCTTGTGTCAGCAAGTGGAGACCGGGCCAATCAGCGGCCAGCCAAAGTAAGATGGGGGCCGAATACTGCGTTTGAGACGCTTCTCCGGTCTACGATAAGGTCTGCCGAATCTGGTGGGGCGGTACGCATCCACATTTAGCCCAAATCTAGGTTCGTTTTGGACCTTTTTTGGTAACGTGATTGTGAGTATGTACGCAGTCTACATTGTAGCATTTGACATGTTGAACAAGTGCGAGTATGGTACATACAGAACTTGCAACTACCGAGTGCAACCACCAAGTACCGTACCGTACACCATCTCATATACATGTGTCTGAGGCTGTTGCAACGGTTCGCTCGATTCTCCATCCCGCCTCGAGCAGGACTAAAGAGCATACCAGGCAAGTCCGGTGTGAAGTAGCAACTTGACCTACTTATGACGGGGTTAGGGTTCCCGCAAGAGGGAGCTGGACGGTGGAGAGTGTGGGCAATTGGTGGAGGTGGCAAAGTCGGTTGGTGTGGGTGACTATGACTACGACGACGATTACGAGTATGAATTCGACTACGACTACAGTACTTGTGGTTATGTGTGTCCTGATCTGTTGGCTGTCGATGCACATACCACATTCATCTGGGGGACATGAACCTCGGCTGTACCTTACAGATGAGGTGCCGAGTGCTTAGTAAGCGGTAGGTGAACTTGTCGGAATGGCCAGAGAGAGGGATGTTGCATTGCAGAGACGGCATTTTATTCCTCAGAAGGTGTTTATTCCTTAGAAGGCGTTTATTCCTCAGAAGGCGTTTATTCCTCAGAAGGCGTTTATTCCTTTAATTCGGCCCTTTCTGTCAATACCGAATCGGACCCACACACTTCCAAAGTGGGGTTTAAACCAGATTTGATAATCGTCTGATCGGAAATCTGAAAAAAGCAAGCGATTCCCCTTGCCATTTTGCGTCGTTTCATCCCATTTCAAGTCCTCTCTGACCCAGATAGACCCGTCCAGCATGCACTCTATCGATGTCGATCTTTTTGCATACGGCTTCTGCATGCCCCGCCCCGCCCCACCAATGGCGAAGTTTTAACCTCACGAAAAACAAATTGCGGTCAATTTGCAGGTCCGAACACGCCACCTGTGGCTCAGTCGCCGCCGCTTGGACTCGTATTTTTGTGGCAGTGCAGAACAAAGTGGCCGAAAATTACACACAAGCCTGGAAGTGTATGGCATAACATTCGGAGGCGTGTTTGAGCGTTGTCGGGTTTGAGGTGTGATCGCATGGCATACTATACAGACACCACTATGCATTAGGAGGTACCCGTGTTGGAGTGTTCGAGGAATGTCAGGCTGTCAGTTTGCTCCATAGCAAAGCCTTCCAGAGTACTGTACTTGTACAGAACCCTTTCAGCCAGTCTGCAGGCGATCGACAACTTGGTGAACGTCTGTCGCGGTCCATTTCGCCAATTCTGACTAAGCCGGTAGTGTCCATGTCCATGATGAAAACGGTGGACAAGAGACATCCCCAAGAGGGTTGGCAGTAATAAATTGGACAATGGCCACGGCTACACGCTTCATATACGAAACGTCAACTAATATTCAACTAACCAACAGCTAATCAACAACTAACCAACAGCTAATCGACAACTAAACAACTATGTTAACTAATTCCCAACTAATCTCAGCTATGTTAACTAATTTTCAACTACAAGCAACTAACCACTTCACATTCAAACGAAAAGTGGATGACATGTGAGACTGTTTGTACACAAGATATGGATGATTGGTTCGGGATCGTTAAATCCAACGCACATCTTTCCTTGTCATTGAAAACCTGCTACTGCACATTGTTGTTCTCGGACTCCGTTCAACGGTCCGGCGATAGGAGCAGTTGTATCAAACGGAAATGTTGCGTTTTGCAACCAAGACGAAAAGTGGCAGATCAGAACGGTCTGGTTCACGTGAACCTTCGACTCCTTGTTTTTGGGCCTCTTGACTGACACAACGTGAATGGCTACTTGTTCTCGTAGTAGTGTATGTATGGTGGTGTACCTACCTATCTACAGCTGAGGACTCCCCAACCGTACATGCCTACATAGCAACGAATGCGCAACATGTCAGGTCACCCATATTCCTTGTTCATGGCTGTGCCTGTTCTGTAACAAAGACCTTTAGTGTCTACTATGGTGTGTTTCGGTTCACTAGTGGTACGTACTGGCACTATAAGTAGATCATGTCGGGTTATTTTTTTGGACTGGTTCTCCCATTTAGGAGAAGCACAGCCAACCCCCCTTTTGGCACTTTGCCGATTTTACCGCCGTTTTACAATTTTGGTAGTGGTTTGGGAACCACTCAGATCCTGTTAGAGAGGACATATTGAGACCAGAAAAGACGCAACGATGGAAACCCCGCGCAAATAAATCGATTTATCCACTCGGAAACCCGATTCCTCCGCTCCCCGCCGTTCCACCCATACATTTCCTGCCCCCCATCTCCTCCAATTAAGCTCACGTGCAACTTTACATGCATCCAAATATGAACACCTCACAGTTCCAACACGCCAGAGTGACACTGTCCGACTCAACCTCCCACAACAACAGCACAGTCCCCAGTTCGCGATGCTCTCTGTGCAGAACCGGACCCAGGAATTCAAAAGCGCGGTCGCGGCGCAGGCGCGGCTGCGGCAAAACGCCGTGCCGGCGCCACAAACCCGATCTGCAAAGTCGCAGTTTGCCCAGGACGCGTCGAAAATCGCCGCCGAAATCGCCGACACCACACAGATGCTGCAACGGCTAGCACAGCTGGCGCAGCGCAAGACGCTGTTCGACGACCGCCCCGTGGAGATCAACGAACTGACGCACGTGATCAAACAGAAGGTGTCGCGGGTTAACGAGCAGCTGACCCAGCTCCAGCAACGGGCCAAGCAGTCGACGGGCCAGAAGCAGACCATGGAGCACTCGAAAAACGTGGTGGTGTTGCTGCAAGAAAAGCTGTCGACAGTCACGGCAGGGTTTGCCGATGTTCTGGAGGAGAGAACTCGAAACATCCAGGCATCCAAATCTCGACATGAACAGTTCATTTCCGCCACGTCGGCTTCCACACAACAAGCGGCTTCCAGCCCGCTCTACGGCTCGGGAACAGCTTCGTCCAACCCTTACGATATGCAGATGCAACAGCAGGATCAACTGAGTGGAGCAGACCCAGAAACATCAGACCTGTTGACCCTCCCCCAGCAGGACACGTTACTGCTTGACCAACAAGACATGTACGTGCAGCAGCGGTCGACAGCCGTGGAGGCCATCGAAAGCACCATCCAAGAACTTGGAGGCATGTTTTCGCAATTGGCCACTATGGTGGCGGAACAGAGAGAAACTGTGGCCCGAATCGACCAGAACACCGATGATATCTCGTTGAACGTGAGTGGAGCGCAGAGAGAACTCATGAAGTACTACGCTCGAATCTCGTCGAATCGGTGGTTGATGGTCAAGGTGTTTGGTATTGTTATTGCGTTTTTCATGTTGTGGGTGTTGATTTCGTAAGGCGGCATGTGAACTAGAGAAGACGAATGGAGCAGGGTTTTTCTCGCCAACATTCCATCTTGGTTTGAGGACTAACAGTTGGTTGAAATGTGGTGAAATGGTGTTTTCTTGGTTGAGTGTTTCACTGAACTCCTCATCTCTCTATCCAGTCTTTTGAAAGAACTCTGTCATACCTCTGTCAACAACATGGACTCGGACGCACAGGTGTGGGTTTGCATATACAACCGGGGCACGGGAGAGGAAGGGCAGGCAGGATACATAGTGGAATAGATGGTGTTTGAATGTGCTGGATGTGTCTGGTATCTGGTTCTTGCAGCCACGCGTGGTGTTAGAAGATGGTCTTGTTGAGGACTGTTTGATAATGTGTCTTTTCAATGGACTTGGTTCGCACCGGGCAACCAACTGGATACTTACAACTCCAATCTTGGTGGTGTTTTGCATTGCAACTGTCAATAGCAATAGCTCATTTCTCTGTCAATGGTGCTGGGAAAGGGTGCTGGACCTCTTCTACACGCCCGTTGGATGGCTCGCTGAGGGTCGCAAAGTCCGTGCGAAATGACCTACTTAGAAAATACCTCCGTAAAGAAGACACCTCAGCTCCTCCGTGGCAACACAGACCTGTTGATCTAGAACAAGTCACCCCAGAGACCTCCCGGAGCCCTCCTGGTTCTGATTCTATGACCCTTCAATATTGTATTTCGGCCTACTTCATGGAGACTACCAGAGCGGGTAAAACAGCTCTCATGTTTAGGATGTTCAACATATAAAAATGTAGCTGCTGATCTCACCATTCTCATGGTACCATCAAAATCTCAGTATCTCATGTAAATATAGAAATACTGCGAAACTTGAAATTTGGACCCCCCCCAACCAGAACCCGATCACGTGACCGTAATACCCTGCCACAACCCTCTATGCGGCTTATTTCCCCATGTTTGGGAGCAGCCCATGCACACACACATATGCACACACATATGCAAGTTACGTTTAAAACCACAGGTGCAGCCTTGATGACTAAGCGCATAATACATTCCACTGTTTCATCTGTGTTTCACGGTCGTGCCGAGGGGAGAGTCCATTGGAGATCACGTGTCCAATACTGGGGCATGTGTGTTGGTCACGTGATCTACAATATTGTGAGATTGGTCGCTTTATTGGGTTTTTCCAGGTGTTTTCAGGTGTATTTTTAACATGTTCGTAGAATCAACCGGATTCTCATCTTTGAAAATTGGAGATTTATTGTGGATTTGTGGATTTTAGCATTTTAAAGGATATCATTGGATTTGTGGCAATGAGGACTATACAATGGTGCCATTTATATCTGTCTCTCATTACTCCTTCCTGTTGTGTTCTCTTTTTTTTATACGACCACCCCTATGATGAGCAGTATGTGAGACAACCATAACACTGTATTTTTTCAGGGGTTTCTGAAAAGCTGAAAAATGATCATTTCTGAATTACGGAATATCTATTCTGGTCAAAATTGTTCAAGGAGTTGTTTCCCGCAGTCAAAATCCTTCTATCTTCTCTCAATGATCCCCTATTATCGAATCGGTTATTTATAAAGTTCTTTTCTGCCGCAGCATTTAAGGTTGCTGGCATGCATGATGTTCAAATATAGGCAATCTTGGAGTATCATTTTATCCGACACTATTACAGCTTGAAAGTGAGTATGGCCCGTCTGCGGGGGTGTTTGCAAGTGTCTGGGGCACGTGTGTGGGTCATGTGATGTACACGTGTCGCGTTGCCGCGTGTTTTTGGCCCCACGCTACCACGACTACCCCTCCTCATCGTCCTTGCTACTAACACAGACGACCCCATGGGTCTGCTAGAAAAGACGCTATTTGCGGAAGGAGAGCCGTTTTCCTACGATGGCAACAACCGGGGCAAGCGCAAACTCCGGCCGATGGACGGGTCGAGTTTGCCGCTTGAAAACACTGACTTTTCGGCCGAAACCCTCGATCGACTAGTTGGAAGGAACGTGGTGTCTCCTGCTTCGGACTATTTCCATCTTGGAGAGAGTGGTGAGGTTTCAGAAGAGGTACGCGCAAGACGGGAGCTTCGGGACCGTAGGCTTGCTGCCGAAGAGGAACGTGAGAGGGGAGCGAGAGCCGCAAGAAAGAGAGCTGAAAAGGAAACCTGGAAGGAGATCGAGCAGAAGTACGGCGAGGGGAAGGAGCCTGTGGTTGGAGATTTGCGGCGGCATGTTTCGAAGGATGAAGACGGAAATGCAAAGGAATATGTCCCCTTTGATGAACCGTCGACTTCAATCATTCCTCCTGAAACCAGTCAGGATGGCAATAAGGATTGCAAGCCTCCGAAGGGGGCGTTTGAGAGAGAGACGCCGTCGTACAAGACTGCGTTGCCTATTGGTGAGTACTACCGAGGAAAAGTGGGACCGTTTGATCTATATGGGTACTGTACTGCATTACCCATACTTAACGGAAGACAGGGCTCAGGCCATGGGACCACTGATTGTAGTTGCCTAGTCACTAACACAGCATCATCATCTACCTCATCCAAATCCCGCACGTCCACGTCACCACCATCACCAACATCTTCTTCGTCATCCAACTCGGATACCAAAGAAACACACCATGGACACCAACACGACTACACATACCACGACACGACATCCAACGATTCGTTCAAGGACGCTCTTGAAGAGCTGGATGAACCCAGTGACGACGGAAGCTTCCAGGAGCCGTCGACAGCAAAAAGCACACACAATTTGCATTCCTGGAAAGATGGAGATACCGACACACTGAGAGGAGAGCATGCTGATATCGGCACAGCAGAAATCAGCACTTTGGGCAAGCCAAACCTTAGCATGGGCCACGTGATGGGCCGAACACACTCGCCGTCCATAGCGTCACGTGACTCATCTGCTTACGTGCAGGAGCCTATCTCTATTGTTGAAGATAGTGCGAGTATCGAGGAGGAAGAAAGTATTACAACCACCCGGTCACGTGTATCTTCCCACTCGCGTGACAAAACTGTGTCTCCCTCGCGCCCAGGGTCTCTATCACGTGTTGCATCACGTGACCGAACGGTTTCTCCAGGTGGATCACGCCCCTCGTCTCCTGTTCGATCAAAATCCCCTCCTCTGCCTGCATTTACATCAGCTCGTCACAAGTCGCCACAACGAGTTCCAACACTGGAGTTGCCCGAGGGCGATGGAGGCAATCAGGTGACTAGACATGAGGACGATGCTGTGATTATTGACGACTCAGAGTCCTCCGTCTCAGAATACGAGGTGGAAGCGGATCTTCCTACGATTGACGCAGCCATGGACTCGTCTGAGGAGCAGCTAGAGAACGACATTGATCATCTCGGGATTGGAGACTCGTCACGACTAGACTTGCCGATCCTGCACTCTCTAGAGTCCCATTTGCTGCCTCATATTGAGGGTCATCATCATCATCATCATCATGGCCATGTTCGCAAGAAGCTGATTCGACGACTGTCCAACAGCCGTAAATCGTCCGAGTCGTCCTTGTCGTCGATTGACTCACGTGACTTTTCCCGTCCCGTCCAGTTCTGCAATGAGGTTGGAGTGCCTGATCCCTCCTGGCAGTCCCACGACGTTTCCGATCCAGAGGAGATTTCAGCTCCCATTTTGCCCCGGTTCGAGAGTCTCAAGAAATCGACCAAGGGTAAGAAGATTGGAGGTGGAAGAAAGGGAAGGAGGAGAGCTGCCATTGAGGAGGAGGCCAACAATGGAGGAGAACGCAGTGAGAAGAGGAGTGTCCTTAGCAGCAGAAGGAACAAGGGTAAGGAGGTGGATGATGGATACGAGTCGACTGCGACAGGTAAGTCTAGAAGACCGTCTGTGGCTACTAATGCGACTCTGTCTCCTTCTTTTGGAGCAGTTTCTGATTTTTCGGATATGGACTCGGATGTTGAAGGTATTTGTGGTTTGGAGAGCGGAATGGCAAGCAGGAACAGATCGTCTGTTAGTGTCAACAGCAAACACGCTAGCCTTCTTAGTAAAGCTAGTGCAAAGTCGAAGGCTGCTAGTTTCAAATCTACCACCGGCAACCCCTCTACTGGTAAACCAGCATACGTGTCAAAGATCATTTCGGAAGAGGAATACATCAACGACTACTATCGGAAAAACTACGGCCACGATGCTCCAAAGGTGGAGGAGCCTGTTGCTGAAGAAACAGGTTTGCACCACGTCAAGTCGACCAAGTCTATTAAAATCGACGAGCCAGAGTCCGTGATTGAGAAACGTCAGTCCCAGGTCGATCCTCTTTACAGACCTAAACCTCTTCCGGAGCCTAGAAAGTCTGGCGAGAGCTCCAGAAGTGTGAAATCGAACAAGTCCGGAAAATCAGGTCTGCCCCACATTTCTCGAGGAGTGGCTATGATGATGACAGGTTTGAGTCCCACGAACTCCACTCCTGCATCGATGAGAGACAGCATCAGCCCGGAGGGGTCGGAAGGCTGGCGGTCACGTGAGTCGCTGGTATCGAGGTCGAGAGCCGCATCACTGGCACCATCCATCAATCGCGATTCATGGTCACGTGCGCCGTCAACGAACCGTGGGTCTGTATCGCGTGCACCATCGCTGTCACGTGATGACTCGCGAACACAATCGTTTATGTCACGTGACCATCCACATCTGTCCCGGCTCAGGTCTTCCTTTCGGCACTCCTCGGATGATTCTTCAGCCTACCCTGCTTCCATGGACTTGAATCTCCCTCAAGGGCGCACAATTTCGAACCCCGATATCAGCATCCATCACCCACTCTTCCACCAGCAACAGCGGCAGCATGAGCTTGAAGATCATGAAGGCGGCTGGTCAGCTACCTGGAGAAGTTGTTTTCGAGGAGTCTGTGTTCCGTGGAATGTTAAGAGATGGCACACGGAAGCAGACTGGAATTCCACATGGGGTATCTCGTGGCCCTGGTCTAGCAAAAAGTGTGCTCCTAAAGACAATGAGCTGGGAGGCGATCTTCACCGAGACAGCACCTCTTTACCTTGTATTCGGGTGCGTGGAGATCCTGGTCCACGAAGTACGAACCTTGAAACCATGGACCATGCCACTCTCAACACTTCTGCCTGTGATGTGGCGGCTGTTCATTCTCTGGCTTCTCGTCTGGGAGATCCTGCTGACTCATTGTACGATCTGGCAGACGAAGAAGCCGACATGTTTGATCAAGGTCAGTATTGGGGTGTTTCCGGCGATAACCCTGAAGTTAGACCTCTCTCCGAAGCTGCTAGTCAAAAGGGTTATGTTCTGGACGTGATTTACGAGAACCAGAGAGGAATGTTTGTCTTTGGACACCCTTTCTTCTCCTCCAACTCGCTGCTCAACTTTGACAGAAAGCCCTGGACCACTCTGGACAACAAGGCTGCTCCTGGCGATCCCCAGAGCTACCCCCTGCCGAACACAAACTGGCAGTGGGCGTGGAAGTACTGGTACATTGATATGAGTGGTGACGTGGACGACCACGGATGGTCGTATTCGTGGTTTTTCCGATCGAGGAGATGGCACGGCAGTCATGTGTGGTTCCATTCATGGGTCAGACGAAGACGGTGGATTCGGGTGCGTAAAACTCGTGAATTCAACAAGTCCGAGGCGATCACTGGTCGACTTGAACGACCCATCAGGATCCACGATTCACTGCTGGAGGCTAAACAGAGAGGGGATGCCAATAGAGCTGCTCACAAGGCGTCTTCGGGTGCTGTGGTGACCAATTCTGCGGCCCACGACTTTATGCACGCCAAGTACTCTGTGCTGGTCGAGTCTGCAGCTTCAGCAGCTACCTGGGGCGACTTCTGGGAGGTTTTCACAGCCTGTCGTCTTGACCGAGAGCGTACTGCGGTGATAATCACGTGTATTCGAAACCCCGTGAACACGGGTGCTTTGACAAGGCTCGCCCAGAACCCCAACGAGGCTATTGACCAGTACCAGTTTTCCGAAAACATTGACAAGCTATGTGCTCGAGTTGGACAGCTGGTGAACGATGTGGAGATGACCCAGGGTACAGACATGTCCAAGAAGGTGTATGAGATTGAGACCGGTAAGGAGAAGGAAGGACACAAGCCTGTGGAGCCAGGAGAGCATCTGGAGCTGCTCCAGGAGTTTCTTGATGGCATTAGGGAGCATGTTGCTGGAGCAGCAGGTTTCTATTCCAGGTTGGAGCAGGCGGAGCTGGAGATGCCCCAGACCGCCAGTAGTGAAGGTAGTGAGCCGAAGACGGCTAAGAAGGGGACGATTGATGAGAGAATTGGGTGAGTGTTGAGTGTGAGCCACTCGCGTCGAACAACTCTCAAATGCATAAAATTACAAGTGCAAGTACTGTACATATTTAATTACATGGTTGGGTTTATCAAGAGATCGGGGTATTGTATGTAGAAGTAGTTGGTGAGGTGGGTAAAGCACCCTGTAGACGCTTGTCTGAATACTGTCGCGTAGCCTACATCTCACTGCTCTTTCAATCAATAAATTACTGTGTATAAATAACCAGACTCAAGTCTAGGGATTGTGGGAGGGATAGTGGTATAGGTAACAGAAGAGTTACTGGCAAACTGTGTGTCCACTCACTGCAATGGTGGTTGCAGTTTCCGCTTGCTAGTTGGACGTTGGTTACATATACAACGGTTGGGGGATACCCTGCTGTCTATCTCCCTCCTCCGGGTTAGGAGGCGGCATCATTCCTCCAGCCTGCATAGCGATGCCCATCATCTGTGTTCCATCCTGCGCACCGCCAACGGGACCATGTTCTATAGGTTGGCCCATCATCATTGGCTGATGGTGGTTGGCGTGGGCGTTCTGCGGGACGTTCTGCATACCATCCAGAGGCATTTGTTGTTGCTGGGGAACCTGCTGAGGCACTTGCTGAGACATTTGCTGAGGCACCTGCTGAGGTGGCATTTGCTGCTGCTGCTGCTGCTGGGGAACTTGCTGTTGAGGAGGAACCTGTTGCTGAGACATCTGCTGCTGGGCCATCTGCTGTTGAGCCATTTGCTGCTGAGCCATCTGTTGTTGGGGGACTTGCTGCTGCGGGACCTGTTGTTGGGGAGGCATCTGTTGGACCTGCTGAACCCCAGGTTGAGGAATTGTAGGGACTTGGGGAATGGGTACAGGAGCAGGAACATTATTAATGACAATGTTTGTGTTCAGCACCTCATCGAGCGTTGCAGCCGGAATTTTGGCTCCATTGCCATTCTTAAAGTCCAAAACGATGCTCTTCAGGCCCTTGACCTGGTCTCTGAGTCGTGCAATCTGCTGGTTCAAGTTGTCGTTTTCACTGGCATAGAACTCCACCTTTGCCTCCAGGTTTGCCAGCCACTGCTTCTTTCGCTGTCGGCACTTGAGAGCAGCCACCCGGTTTCGCTCCAGGAAACATTTTCGTTTTTCCTCCTCGTCCATGGGCTCTCCGTCGGGCCCAGTTTCGGAGGCTGCCATAGCAGCGGCCTCCTCTTCCTCCTGTTTGATTTCTGTCTTTGTCTTCTTTCGCTTCTTAGCGGGTGGCAAAGGTTCCTTTGGCTCGTCAGGGGAAGCCTTGTCCTTTTTCTCTCGTTTCTTTCCTCCCTTTTTGCCCTTGGCAGCTGGAGCAGTGGAGGCAGCAGCAGCAGCAGCCTGGACTCCTTGCGATGGTTGAGGAGGTTGGGCAGCCTGTGCTCCCTGAGGGGGTTGTTGTGAAGGGACTGTCTGAGCCGGGGCGGTCTGAGCAGGAACAGGTTTGGCTTTCTGCTCTTCAGGGGTATCGAGATTGAAGAGCGCAGAGAGGCCCCCTGGGGTAGTTTTGCCGTCCTGTTGGGCTGCAACTGCTGCGGCAGCCGAAATAGGAGTCAGTTGGCCTCCAGGGGTCAGACCTGACCGAATGCCGCTCTCGGCAAAGCTTCTATGTCTGAGGGACGACACGAGTGATGAGAACGCACCTGGAGATTGTGCTCCGGGTGTGCCAGCATTCCATCCGGGGAATCCTGCTGGGGTGCCTCCATTTTGTGGTTTTTGCAGGAAAATTGCTGGCGACAGAGGGCCTGTTTCGAATCCAGAAATGCCCGCAGAAGGGGTGTTGGTGCCAGATCCGCTCTGGGCAATCTCGGAGAGCGGAGGCAGGATCCGGTTGCCTCCCGGGGTGAATACTCTAGCCAGAGGAGTCAGTTTAGGCGACTTGTGGGGGTTGTTGTCCATAGACGCATTTCGGGAGTGCGAGAGTCGAGGAGCTCCATGGCGTTTCTTGTCATCGTCGGGCGCCGCAAACGACTGCTCGAACGGATTGGGTTCAAGGTCAAAGGTCGTTTTGCGAGTGCCAACCGAGTCCTGCGAAGACACTGACGTTTTTCGGGCCGTAGGAGAGGTGGAGTCTGCTTTGGACATGGTGTGACGTGTGTGTGTGTGTGTGTGTGTGTGTACGGCGGCTTTATCTTGGATTCTTTGGGTTCGATTTGTGTTGGGGATGTCGAGGGAGTCCGTGCGCGCCTTGAGTTCGCGTCCTGTCGCGTCCGCTTTTTTTTGGCGTATTAATGAGTGTGCTGAGATAGGCACGTACAGTTGTACTATGGGTTGCGTGATGACGTAGTTCTTCTTGGGACAAGGTGGTTTTGGATTTTAGCTTTTGGGGGGTGAGGGAGTTGGGTTTGGCGGGTACATTTGGGTCCGGTACATTGGGGACCGGTGGGGAAGAGGAGCAGCTGTTTGGGGGCAACTGGAGACGGCGTAGGGAGCTGTGGGGGGGGGCTCCGGCGGGTCTTGGAACTGTCGAGAGTTGATTCGCAGCTTCCTATTTCGCCCCAGCCCTCTCCAACACCCATCTTATAGCCATCTCGATTCCCCCCACAAGTTTACACACGCTATGACGTAATTTCGGTGGCTTATGTGTTTTCTGCGCCGTCCAGAACCGCTACAATGCGGTTGACGCAAGTTCGAGTACAGTACGAGTATAACTAGAAGTCGTTATTCCATTCAGACACATGTCCTCGACCTCACCTCTGCTCGCAGCATTACTCATAGCTACAGCTACCGCAGCTCGCTCTCTCCAAATGTGGGGGAGGCTTTAACTGGCCCGATTGACACGTGAGAACGGTATGCATCATAATCCCGAGCTATGTATGTTGGTGCAAGGCGTGGCGGTAGGTGATACGGTGGTGATACGGTGGTGATACGGTGGTGATACGGTGGTGATACGATGGTTGTAGGTAATATGAACGGGTCACGTGATGCAACAGGCTCACGTGATGCTGTGCTCGGACCATATCTGTCGTTCGGTGCATGTACATGTTCCCCACGTTAACCTCGGCTATTTTTATTAGTCTCGAAAATAGGGTTCCGAAATTGGAGACGATATTGCATCTTCAGAAACGGGTGGGTATATCTGAGTGGAGTAGCTGACAAATTATGACGAGTCTTTGTACAAGTAGGCAGTTTCGAAAACGTGACTGGCGACCAGTTAATGATTTGGCCAACCATGTCTCCAGAATCATTCCATTTGATGTGGATCTACGAGTCTCTCTTGCCAGTACCAAATATCGGTGGATGTAAGGCACTGAGAACGAGTATGTACATACTAATACAACCATACTGTCCTCGTTCCATGCTCGAGACACATCTACTTGTAGATCGTCCAGTGAATATCAATGCATGTACAGTACAGTATGTACTCGTACAAGACTCGTACAAGACCCCTTATGGATCTTTGACGCTCCAGGGCAGAAAGTCTCGGCTGACAGCTCCCCAAGCCTGACAAGCACAAGTCCGAATTGAAGTCCGGATTGCAGGTCCGAATCGCAGTCCGAATTGCACGAGCAGTATGTAGACTTGTAGGAACCGCTCCAATCACTGGCAGTTACTCCTCGAGATGGACATACTTGTATCGTCGCCCTATGTACTCGTAATGCAAGGGATTCCACCAGACATTCCTGCCACAATGGCAGGGTCCGTGAAAACGCCGACCACTGACAAGATGCCTTGTTCGTCTTGACCACGGACTAACTGGCACAAGCGAGATTAACGTCGTCGGAGACTATTCGGCACACAAGGCCAGACTGTGTGGCACGTCTCATCTCTCGTACCGACCTCTGTCAACAGTCTAACCGATTTTTAATGCTCGATATTACCAATGTTTCTTTGTGTCTTTTAACCAGAACAACCGAGCAGACCCGAACAGGTGCCGAACATGTGAATAGCAGTGCTGGAGCTCCATCAGTAAGCATAATAACACAGCTGCCCAGCGACCTCCGCCCAGCGACCTCTACCCAGCGACCTCGGGCACGTGACTATCTGCTCCGTTCCTCGCGGTCGCTGGCACGCTGGCAAATCTGGGGTCTCCACATTTTCCCCCGGATGTCTTGTTCCGTAGCGTGACTCATGCGGAATGACGTGAATGTAGGAGGGGCTGAGAATGGGGTCCGCAGTTGATAACCGGGGATTATTGGCCGGCGGCATTGTCAACCAGGTGTTTTCACTGGCGTTCCTAGAATAAAAAGAAATAGGCGACCCCCTTGAGCGAGTTCAGCGGCGGCAAAAATGCCTGTTGAAACACCTACTTTGTTCCCAGCACCCCCATCGGATAAATGGAGACGCATACATCGGCTATGTTTGGATACGATCTTGGGCCGGTGTGCGTGGTGTGCGCGGTCATTTTGTTCTCCTTTTGGACCCACGCAAGGTTCAACCGAACCCCGGATTCGACTGTGAAAACGAACAACGGTTTAGTGCGGTTTAAAAAGTATCAAGTTCAGGGAGGGAAGCGATCCAGGCCAACAGCCATGACCAAGAAACCAAGCGACCAAGACATCTGAAGACCAACAAAACCAATAATCGCTCACCAGATGCTCCCCAAACACTAACGGCAGACTCTACTCCAGATTTGCACTTGTAGGACCCCGATATCGGGTTGCAGATCATGGTGTCATAATCTCTGAACGTGAAGGTTAGGTGGAGGGGATGTTTTGGCCAGAAATGAGCGGTTTTGTGAGCTTGGAGACGGTAAATCGGACACGCCCAGCGTGAGGATTCCATAGACCCCCTCCTTTTGCCAGTATATCCACCGCAGCACCCACCATGAGCGACATCTGATATCGTGCCGCGACCACTACCCCAAATAAGCTCCAACTAATATGCCGAGGCAGGTGGGAAACTATGCACTCCAGTTGACGCTGTAGAAGCACATGGAAGGTGCGGAGGCGGTGGCAACGAGGGGCATGAGCCATCAACGAGGAACCACAGACAAGGCAAGGGGGGAAACGCGACCGGAATCTCTCGCGGTCACGTGACCCGCCCGGGTTCACTCGTCCATGTTGTGTCTCTGGTGTCTTCGGCCGACTCGCATTGGTTAAACTTCCACCACCGCAATCACGTCCCACTGGCCAAACTTTTTCTGCTTTCTCTGACTTTTTCTGGCCAAAAGGCAACGTCGGAAAGGGTCGGGAGGATTCGGAACCGACGAAAATCGGCCGGCTCCAGCGGGGGTAGTTCGGCAGTCCTGGTGGGAGCTCTAGGGGAGCTGTGGTCTGTGTAGGGCGCGGGTCCGGGTTTGTTGGGTGTCAAATCACGTGTTTTTGCCCCCCCGCTGAGCCGGACTCCGACAACCGTGTCTCCAACGGCCTGACTAAGCTGCTCCCAGCACTCTGCCGTAGCGTTGGTCTGTCCTGTCGCACTCTGTTCAAAGACAGAAGAAAGAAAAAGCTAACCTCCACGTCAGAGACAATGGTAGAAGGCTTGTTCCTTGCAACCGAGGAGAGTGAGTGTTCTCGGCACGAGCATCATGGGCGATCTGGAGGGTATTTTTGAGGGGAAAAAACGGGATCAGGACAAACAGAGGCCACAGACCGGGAATCTGGGCCCCAAAACGGCCTTTTCCCGTCGCAAAACCGGTCTACATACACCCCTTCGGCCCGCCACAGGCCGGTGTGAAAAACCCTAAAGCTTGCTTCAAACCAGACGGACGCACAGCAAGACACATCATGAAGAGTCACCTGCAGTATATATAGATCTGGGGATCCCCAGTAGACTGACCAAGCATACAAAAAGTGAGTATCCAACAGCGACACGTGAGATGGCAGAGACACAGAGACGTGTCTACATGGTTGGACAAGTCTCCACATTCGCCAGAGACGTATCCACATACAAACACAATCTCACAGCTGATCTGCTCCTGTGACAGCACAGTACATGTTAGTGGATGAGGTGTTGTGTGGTGGGTTAAATGGGTGGACTGATTCAGTGGCATCGGTGGCGACACCCTCTACTCTTCATGTCGTCACCTACCGTTCGGAATCCCAAAAATCTGATGAACTAAACGATTTCTGGCCAAAACACAATTTTGCCAAAGAAGTCGGTCTCACCAATGCAAGTGTCACATCAAACATCTGTCCCGTACTAACCCAGTGTCCGAACAGCAGCGATTCAACAACGAAGTCGAGGAGATCAAGAAGTGGTGGTCTTCCCCCCGATGGAAGCACACCAAGCGTGTCTACTCTCCCGAGGACATTGCCTCCCGACGAGGAACCATCAAGGTCCCCCAGGCCTCTTCTCAGCAGGCTGACAAGCTCTTCAAGCTGCTCCAGGAGCACGAGAAGAACCACACCGCCTCCTTCACCTACGGTGCCCTCGACCCCGTCCAGGTGACCCAGATGGCCAAGTACCTCGACTCCATCTACGTTTCCGGATGGCAGTCTTCTTCTACCGCCTCCACCTCCAACGAGCCCTCTCCCGATCTGGCTGACTACCCCATGGACACCGTCCCCAACAAGGTCGAGCACCTGTGGTTTGCCCAGCTCTTCCACGACCGAAAGCAGAACGAGGAGCGACTGTCTCTGCCTGAGTCCGAGCGATCCAAGCTCCCCGCCCCCGTCGACTACCTGCGACCCATCATCGCCGATGCCGACACCGGTCACGGAGGTCTTACTGCCGTCGTCAAGCTCACCAAGATGTTCATCGAGCGAGGTGCCGCCGGTATCCACATTGAGGACCAGGCTCCCGGTACCAAGAAGTGCGGTCACATGGCCGGTAAGGTTCTTGTCCCTATCCAGGAGCACATCAACCGACTGATTGCCATCCGAGCTTCTGCCGATATCTTCGGCTCTGACCTCCTGGCCATTGCCCGAACCGATTCCGAGGCTGCTACTCTTATCACCTCTTCCATCGACTACCGAGACCATTACTTCATTGCTGGTGCCACCAACAAGGATGCTGGCCACCTCGTCGACGTCATGGTCGCCGCCGAGCTCGAGGGCAAGCAGGGCGCCGCCCTCCAGGCCGTTGAGGACGAGTGGAACCGAAAGGCCGGTGTCAAGCTCTTCCACGAGGCTTTCGCCGATGAGGTCAACGCCGGCTCTTACTCCAACAAGGCTGAGCTCATCGCCGAGTTCAACAAGAAGGTCACCCCTCTGTCTAACACCCCCGCTCTTGAGGCCCGAGCTCTGGCTGCTCGACTCCTCGGCAAGGACATCTACTTCAACTGGGAGGCTGCCCGAGTCCGAGAGGGCTACTACCGATACCAGGGAGGAACCCAGTGTGCCGTCAACCGAGGTATTGCTTACGCTCCCTACGCTGACCTCATCTGGATGGAGTCCAAGCTGCCCGACTACGCTCAGGCCAAGGAGTTCGCCGAGGGTGTCAAGAACGCCGTCCCCCACCAGTGGCTGGCTTACAACCTGTCTCCCTCTTTCAACTGGACCACCGCCATGTCGCCCGAGGACCAGGAGACCTACATCAGCCGACTGGCCAAGCTCGGCTACGTGTGGCAGTTCATCACTCTGGCCGGTCTGCACACCAACGCTCTCATCTCCGACAAGTTCGCCAAGGCTTACTCTGAGCGAGGCATGAAGGCTTACGGTGGTGAGATCCAGCAGCCCGAGATTGACCAGGGTTGTGAGGTTGTCAAGCACCAGAAGTGGTCCGGTGCTGAGTACATTGACGGTATCCTGCGAATGGTTACCGGAGGTATCACCTCTACCGCCGCCATGGGTGCCGGTGTCACTGAGGACCAGTTCAAGTCCAAGCTTTAAGCAGTTTGTTTAGCAAAATATATTTAACGAGTTTGATAGAGGCGCTGGACTACATAATTACTGAATCACGCGTACATGTTTCAGCTCAAATTGTATCACGGTTTCTTTGTAGCAATGGAGGGGGAGAGTTGACAAGGCATTAGAGAAGAGAGCGAGAGGAGAAGACAAGTGGATAGACGACTGCAATCATATGATCTGCACAAACTGCGATGTTTTCCTGTCAGATCATGTTCTTTTGCTCATAGTTAAGCTATCGTGACTTTACGGATCCGCCGAGCATCTTAGTAGCGAGGTTTGCGGTCTGGGCTGATCGGCTTTTGTTGATCGGGTTCGGAACGAATTAGAAGTGGGTCGATAGCAATGATCAATTCGGGGTGAGTGAGTGCGGTTAGTGGGAAACCGGGGAGATACTGTGGGGATTTAGGGGACAGTGTTAAGAAGAGGAAGGGGTGAGGGAGGTGAGGTGAGGGAGAGGGAATTATAGAGGTTTATGTAGTAACTGATATTTTGTTAGTTTGGTCACCTCAATGTGTCCATATTGAGACGGAGAGGCTCTATTGTATGATCTAGGGGTCAGATTAGGAGTGTTATCGTGTAGAGTTGCCCTGAAAAAGAAACCCGAATAATGTTGGTGCTGATAGTTGGAGACTGTACTTCGGATGGTCTTTTTTGGTCGACAGAGCTGTTTTATTGGACTCATAACCGTTGGATCAGCCTCAAAAACAGAGTCATCTGTGATTATCTGTTGCTTTGGGCGCAGGGCTGAACCAGTGATGCAGGCCTGGCTACAGAATGAGTTACATATATATCCATTGGCGTGATCAGTCCCGTAACATTCCACATATCCACCATTGACCAGCTCGTGCGTCTCTTATCGTTCATTTGTTATTCAGAAATGGATTATCTCGCATAATCTCGCATAAGCGAGACTTGGCGTTGGACGTATCGCATGAGCCGCAGGAAAAGCCAGACAACCTACTCCCCCCCCCCCCCCCCCCCGTTCAGTTGAACCCCAGGAAGTTCCAAGGATGACACATGCATCGAAATTCCCAACAAAAAAACGCTTACCACTACTACTGCTGCTGCTCTGATCACACATAGATTCTAATACAGACTCTGGACTCCCTGCTCCCTCTCCACACGACTTTTTTTCGATCCTCAAACAGCATATCGGAAATACCGATTCTGCTTATCTGTCAAATCCATCAATTGGACCCGCTCCAACTCCTCCGGGGTGGGTGTCGGCTCGTTCTTATCTCTCCACCGGTTCTCAACGATATTGACCCACAGCAGAATGCCGTTGAGACCCATGGCGACACAAAAGAGAACCACCATCGATACCTTGGCAGGCACATACATGGGGGCATCTTTGGCCCGGAAGGTCTGGGGTCCAATAATGTTGCCTACACAGTATCCAATCAGCAGAATGGCGTTAACCGTCACTTTCTTAGTGTGTCCCGCGGTGTTGGAGGCCACAGAAGAGAGCATACAGATGAATCCCAGGGGGTAAAGAATGAGCAGGTAGAGACCGGCGAGACCGGCTGATTGGTTGTGGGGCATAAAAGCCAGCAAACAAATGGCCATGAACGCTATCGCTTGAGCTACCAGGCTGACAATGAGTCGTTGTTGAGTGTATTGGGCAATGATTCCAAACAGAATACAGCCCACAAACTCGGTGGCTCCCTGGGGGGTTTGCAGAAGCAGTCCTCTGACCGGTCCGAGTCCCAGAGTCTCGGAGAACAGGATGGTGTTGAAGTTCGTGATTCCTCCGTTTGGAATGTTCTGGCAGAGACAGAAGAAGAAGTAGATCCAGGTTCGGTAATCTCTGAAGGCTTCGAAGAACTGGTCTTTTTTGAACTTTTTGTTTTCAAAGCCCTGCTGGTTGTCTCTGATTCGAATCAGCACCAGCTTGCGTTCTTCCTCGGTCAGAAACCAGGCCTTCGAAGGGTCGTCAGGGACATGGACAGAGAAAACGATTCCCACCACGATGGTGATAACTCCAGTGATGATGAAAATGAGTCTCCACCCCGCAATGGGCACGTGATGGTTCACAGCCAGGCCATAGGCCATGAAAGAGCCCACCAAAAGCCCTAGACCATTAGATCCCAGCCAGATGGCGGTTCGCAGAAACTGTTCCTCTCGTTTGTACCACTGGGCAGTCAAAACTACAAAGGCCGGGGTCACTGCGGACTCTAGCATACCCAGAATGGTTCGCAGAGCAATGAAGCCGGGATAGTTTGGCGCAGCGTGAAGACACAAGACAATACCCCAAAGGATGATGAATCCAGAAAGAGTCTTGGACAGAGGGAAATGTTGCAGCAGATATACCGAGGGGAACTCGAAAATGAGATAGCCAAGGTAAAAGGCCGTTCCTGACCACGAGTAGTCGTCTCCTTCCATTCCGAGATCGTCTCGTAGACCCATTACAGAGGCCGTACTGTTGGTGCTCTTGTCCATGTACTGGACCGCATAAATCATCATCATGATGGGCATCATGTACATGTCAATCTTGCGGAGAAGTCGACGATCAGTTGCTTTGTCTAAGGTGTACGGGACTTCAATGATTTGGGCTTCCGAAGAGGACTTGGGCGAGTCGTCAGGTAGAGGCTTTTCCAACTGGACAGTGTCCAAATTTTCCTTGTGAGACGACGAAGTCACATTCTCAGGTGACTCAGTTCTCTCGGTGTCGTCGTTGATGGAAGTTCTCACCTCATTCACTGCCGTAATATCTCCTTCACCCCCGTCAACAGAGGGGAGCTTCTCAATGTCGATGTTGTTGTTGGAAGTCATTACTGACAGACCACAACCAACCCCGGATCTCTCTTATATATACCACCGACTGGAGGTTTTGTCTCCGCAACACACCCCACAAAAGGTCTGCTCGATGTGGGGCACCTATAGACACATCTAGCTAACATCTAGTGTCGTGCGCGTCCAGTGTCTGCATTGAGATGTGGGGTAGGGATTCCTAGCATGAAAAGGACCGATTCGGAGCTCATGTTGATGGCAGAATCATTCACAGAGTCATTATGAAGATGCACAAACTCTTCCAGCCGCCATTCTGTCACCTCAAGCACCGTTTTCAGGTCGCTTCTGCACGTCCACCAAATCCGCCAGCTAGACTAGCCCCCAAACCAGCAGTCTAGCGGATTATTCAGGCAGTTGCAGACGTGGGCTGTCTATTATAGCTTCCAGATCAGGCAAAGATTTTTGGACCGTAGTGGGCGAGAAGACATGTTGCCTATTTTAGCAGTTGCAACAGCAGAGGGGGCGGTATATTTCTTTCACATGAGGGAAAGGTATAAATTTTGGTATCAAAATGCTGACACTGACGAGGCGAGTTTGGTGGTAGCATTTATATTTTGGTGGCACTGTCATTTGGTGACTTTTTGGAAGATTGTGTTTTAAGGTGGGGTTGATGTAGAGTGAGGAGATATTGTCGAGCAATACGACATTGTAAGTAGGAGGTATTTTTGTTCATTTGTCTGTGTCACTTTCCATTTTTCCATTTTCCATTTTCCATTTTCCATTTTCCATTTTCCCCATTTTTTTATTGTTTTATTGTTTTTATTGTTTTATTGTTTTATATTTTATTCTACAGAAATTCCACTTAACACTATCTCATAATCTCTTGCCCCACTTAATCCTGTTCTCGGCTCTAGCTCAAGATTCGAAACACACCAGCGTTTGGCACGTGACGTGGAGGTTTTTTGGTGACAAGCGAGGTCGTCTGCTGGGCACGTGACGTGGTTTTTTTTTTGGTGACGTGCAAGCGAGGTCGTCTGTCTTTTTGGCGACTTTGGCGGCTTTGGCAGTTTGGCAGTTTGGCGGCTTCGGTGAGTCAGACAAGCCACTGTCTCACTTGGAGAACTGTTAAGACAGACAGACAGACAGACAGAGACAGAGACAGACGTGCTGAGACAAACAGAACATGTACTTGTGCTGATACTCGTACTGTACTGAGATTTCGTTGCTGCGACCCCTGCAATGGTGCGGGGGAAGAGAACGGGCAATTGTAGTAATTGTTGCGATGGCATCCAAGGGAGAAATTTCTCAATTGATCAATTGCAATTAATATTCTGCGGTGGACACTCTTGACTGCAAGCCATTGTGGTACTATCGTACCCCGGCACCCCAATCAATGCCATCTACTCGATCACTAGATGACCATCGACACGCATCGGCCTGAGTTAATGCCGACTCCGAGACCCGACAACCCAATCCGAGGCTCCGACCGTCTCCTCCCCGCTGCGACTGCCTACTCGTACGCCATCCCTCCATATCACCTCACTGGAACCCTGTTGAAGACAGTCTTAGGCCAGGCTTTGCGCGAAATAATGGCCCAGAGTAACCGCCAGCACCTTTCCACAACAAGAGCCAAAGCCAGAAGGTCTCCAACCGTGCGTCTACAATGCGATATCCGATACGAGCAGAGGACGCTAACTTGTGTCTCCAGCAGTCGAGCACCGAGGGTTTGTCTTGGCTCCAACGCTGAGGCTGTTTGCTGATGCCAAGTCAAGTGGGGCGACCAAGTCTTGGTCATAAATCACCGGTGCAACCTTTTCGTGACAATAGACGTTTTTCTGGTGGTGTGAGCATTCAAGTGCCTTCTCCCCCCACCATTAACTTCAAACCAGAAGACTTTGGACCCCCACTGGGCCCCCACGAGCCCGGGGACAGGTTTCCGAGCCCATCGTCACCCGTGTACAGCAGTTACTCCGTGGAAAATGCTCCTCCAGGACCCAGCCAGCTGCCATTTATCATATGCCATTTCCGTGCTATCGACCCCGCTGTCTCACAGAAGAACCCAGTCTCACTTATTCCTGCTCAGGGTCGTGCTTCTGGACGAGTCTATTGGTGTCCACGTGGGGATATAAGAGGTGTGTGTTTGTCCTGGTTGCGATCGACGCTAGGCATACGCGATACGGATGTTAAAACCGGGAAAGCAAAGTGGCCAGCGAAATTAGTAACAATTAGATCCAGATGCGAAGACACGGCAAGACTATGGATCCGGTAGCGCCAGTAGTGCCAACGTGCCGGCCATTCTAGCTAGTGGCTAGTGAGCTATGTTACACGTTGGTGGACTGGTAAAGGTCGCTAGTCGACTTCTCAACCCCATCCGCCACCGATCAACGTTACCGTTGTACCTACTTGCACGTTGATTGTCCACCCATCGGATCCACGTTGATTGTTCTGTCCTTGTTCGTCTGTTCCTTTTCTTTTCCAGCCCAAATCGTGGTTTAATGTCGACAATAGAGTTATCTACTAGTGCGCATCTGGCGCCTACCGAGTCTTGGGCCGTACCTGGCACCGTCTACGGGCACTTGTCTGGGTCTTTGACACATTTCCAAGTTTTACCAATGTTTGACCAAGCCCCCGGCCAATTACAGACGCCGCAGTATCGGTGGTTCCCCTCCTAAGCCAGAAGGTTTGAGACAGCCAGCAATACAATGTGCTTGAACAATTCTTCGAGGTCAACTTGATCTACAGCATCTACTTGCCCTGCCGAGTACAAGAAACCAGGCTGCATACACACTCTCTTTCACGGCACACATGGAATCGCGGAATCGTGGGTCTTAAAAGTATTTTCTCACTACTGGCAAGTTAGCCATTGGTCGCGTGAGTCTAGACTTATCTAGGTTCCGTGTTTATGGGGAGGCTGAGAAAGCCAGGACACGGCATGTCTACAGCCGCCGCAGAGTGGAGGCCATGGTCTTCTGTCGTCGACTCGGGCCAAAAGACCACAGCTCCCCGTTGAAAGGAACCAAATCGCACCCACCCATCATCTCCGTGGATTTATAACCCATAACCCACTGCTAAAGGTTTGTCAACCACTTCCTGAACATGTATATATAGACTCTCTGCATCTTTTGCAAAAGCCAATGTCCACATGGGTGCTGTGAGTCCATGTATTGGCTGATAGATAAGGTCTATTAACTTTGATTTTGCGGTAGTCTGGGACAAGGTGGATCAATGTACAAGTCTCGGTGCGATTTCGCTCACGGTCAGCTGTCACCGGGCTGGACGCCTGCTTCTCTCACGCCTGATAAGTCGCGCAATATACACAAGGCAGGGCTTGGCGTCTTGGCATGTGCACGACACCATCGCCGTGCATCCCATTAGGTTCAGTGGGTGGTGAGACGGCATTCAAACTTTAAGGCCCTATTTGGAGCACGTGGATAAGTCGGCCACCGCTTTTTCTCAACTCTGTGCAATCTTTTTTCCAACTTTGACCGTATCCAGCATTGGCGTTTTTTCACCGACGCTAATTTTCTCGTTATAACCATGGACGGATCCACTGACGCTCCAATTCACCATCCAACACCGCCCGCAATGAGCTGGAAACGCCATTTCAACGGATCTGTCATCCGAGACGAGCTGTACTTCCCCTGGTCGGCTCGAGACAAGGCCCGAGACCAACAATCCAAAGATCCCGTCTACCAGGACGCCGAGGCGGCCGAGGGTCTGCCTGGAACCCATTATGACGCCCATGTGGAGGATGTCAACGAAGACGGCACCCCTCGAACTGTGTGGGGCAAAAACGGAAAGGCCTGGCCCGTCATGACCGCCGGAGCAGGTCTTTTCTCCGACGGATACGTCAACAACTCCATGGGAACTGTCACCACCGTTCTCAAGCGAATCTACGGCAAAGAGTACTCTGCAAGCCGAAAGTCGCAGATTCTGCCGGCCATTGTGTTTGTGGGAACCGTGGTGGGCATGCTGGTGTTTGGCTACGTTGCTGACTACCATTCCCGAAAGCTGGGCATGGTAATCTCCACCATGATCCTCATCATCTTCACCATTCTATGCTCGGGCTCGTGGGGAGCTGGAGGCAAAAAGAACATGGACGGAATGTTGGCGGCACTCATCACCTACCGATTCTTCATGGGTATCGGTCTGGGAGGAGAATACCCGGCCGGATCAGTGGCCTGTGCAGAAGCCTCGGCCATCATGGGTCGAGGTACCCGAAACCGATGGTTCATTCTCTTCACCAACTTTATGATTGATTTCGGCTTTGTATGCTCGGCGTTTGTTCCCTGTGTTCTGTGGTGGATCTTCCACGACCGACATTTGCAGGCCGTGTGGCGTCTGACCCTCGGACTGGGCGCCATTCCTCCTCTGGGTCTCTTCTACCTGCGAACCAAGTTCAAGGAGAACCCGTCGTTCATGAAAAACAACTTCAAGCGAACCCGATTCCCCTACTGGCTGGCCATCAAGTACTACGGAGTCCGTCTGGCCTGTGTGTCGCTCATTTGGTTCATCTACGACTGGGCCTCGTACTCCTACGGACTCTATGCGTCCAGTATTTTGGACAACCTGAACCCCAACCAGTCGCTAATCAAGAACTTTGGATACACCACCATCATCAACCTGTGGTATCTACCCGGCTCGTTCCTCGGAGCCATCTGCGCCGACTACCTGGGTCCCCGTCTGACCCTGATCATCGGAGTAGTTGCACAGGCCGTGGTTGGATATATCATGGCCGGTATTTACACCCATCTGAGTAAGCCCGAGAACGTGGCGGGCTTCATTTGTATGTATGGCGTGTTTCTGGCGCTTGGAGAGTTTGGTCCCGGAGACCAGATTGGTCTGATTGCCTCCAAGACCTGTGCCACTCCCATCCGAGGCCAATACTACGCCATTGCTGCCGCCATTGGCAAGATTGGTGCCTTTGTGGGAACCTATTGTTTCCCTGCCATCCAGAAGTCGGTGGGACACGGCGACCCCGACTCCGTCGAGGGTCAGCAGGGCCCCTTTTGGGTCTCGTGTTCCATGAACATTCTCTCGGCCGTTCTGGCCTACTTCCTGCTGCCCTCCATCACCCAGGAGACCATCCAGGACGAGGACCGGCTCTTCCGAGAGTACCTGGTGGGCCACGGCTTCGACGTGACTCTCATGGGCGACGCTGAGTTTGCCGATGGCGCCAACGCCTCCTCCGAGGACCAGACCGAGTTCAAGGAGGGCCACGAGCCCCAGCATAGCAGCGACGAGCAGGAGCATCTTCCTTCCAAGTTGGAGGCTATTCAGTAGACTGGATGAGCTCGACAAAAAAAACTCGGAGAAATAACGTGCCTACCACAGGCCCCCTTTTTATAAGTAATCAGTAATCTTGTGTTTGAATGACGGGAAGAGTACGAGTACATCTAGACGGGAAGGTGATTCTGGTCTATCAGGTATTGGTCGCATCGTAGAGGTCGCGGATGGGAGTTTCACCTTTCTAGATGATATCACCGCAACGTATCTGTTGGATATCAGATGGAGTATCACCAGTTGGACAACAGAGTCGCTGCCGAGTCTTTGATTGCCGCCGAATCTTTGATTGCCGCCGAGTCTTGGATTGACACTAGTGTAAACAACCCATGACGAGGCTCTGAGTGAGGCATGATGGGAGGAGGTCGGACGATCGACCCAATTGGTTATTGAACATTGTTGATTGGTTGGAGGTAATAACCATTCTCATTACCACCTCACAAGTCCGCCAATCGGACGATGGCTTGGGACAGTTACAAGTGTGTACTCGTACCATAGTCAGACAAGATTGGAAACCGTGTAAACAACTAGCATGAGTGCGTGGGTCACGTGGGTCACGTGAGTTGAAACTCAACTCCACAGCACGCGGCGTAGCTGCCCCTGAGTCAGGACAGTCACGTGAATGGGTGAGGACGGGGATGTCTATGGATCTGTATCGCCGCTGGAGACCGTGTTACCGTCACCATAGGTGTGTCCTAAAGCTCTCAGTAGCCAATATCTGCCGAGATCCCGGCTCGTGACTGGTCTCCATCATTCCATTGGCCAGGACTTGTTGCCGAGGTGTTGTCTATGTCATCGCACTATCTGTTGCCAGTGTCGTCTCATATCGTTGGTCTGTTGACGACACGTGTTGGCGATATCAATATCTGGTGCCAAGCAAACAGATATGAAGGGTGGCATGAACGTATTCGGACTGCTCTGCACAGAATCGGCATGGAAACGTCATGTGTCAGTGGGCTGGTGTGAAGGAATGTCAGACGACATGTTCGATACCTGTAGGCGTCACTGCAAGGAAGACTACCGTACTCGGCTTGCCATGAATATACCGTCCAGTACAGTAGTCGACATATTCCTATCGCGTTGTGGTATCTGTCTAACGCCATCGTGGTATCCGTCTAACATGGTAGGGGTATCTGTCTGTTGTTTTGCACGGTCATGACTCAGGAATGACTCAAGAGACTCGCTGATCGCGATTGACACTGACACTGACACTGACGCGGAAAACAAACCAGCAATGTTGCTCCCGGTCGTTTCCGGCCGTTATCGCCATCTCCGCCATCTCCACGGGACTTATCTCGGTCCCTGGCAGCCATAACAGCAATGCTCCTGCCGCCAAGGCGCCACCAAGTTAACCACCAAGGCAGCCAAGAGCATTAGACCGGCCACGATTGCCAAGTGGGCTACTGTAGCTGCTTTTCATGGCTTCCTAGACGCAGATGGTGGGCCAGTCGACTGTGATCGGAAAAAAGTGGAATGAGCAAAAAGTGGAATGAGAAAAAAGCAGCAGTGGTGAAAGCAGAATGCGACGAGTCTGGGGGACAAAGGAGTATGTACGAGAACGAGACTCATGTGCCTTCAGCGTCCTATACGAGCTTCTCGTATGAAAAAATAAACACGGCTCTTTTGCTCGTAAACTCGACAATCTAAACATGAGTCAAAAACTGAGAGCATCTGTCGGAGATCCGTCTTTGAGAATGTTGCAGAGATCCATACAAGTTGAAAAGTCGCCTGTGGATATAATTGACTACGTGCAATTGATTTATTTTTTCAGAATCGCACAATCTCTTCTGCTCGACGAGATAGGCTGGTGTCGCCGCCCTCCCCAAAACACAATCTGTTTACAGACGTCTCTCAGAGTTGGGAGATGGGGGCTAATGAAGAGGGACACTGTAGCCCTTCATACCAGGTACGCGGCTAGGGAAACTAGTTCATTAGAACCCCCAAACGTGGCTGTTTCCGACTATATGAAAATATTCCCAGGTTGCCACTCAAACATCTGTCCAAAATCCTCATTTCTCAAAATATCAGGTTTTTTTTGCTCCCCTGGCTCAAACTCCCATCACGAACCTTGCCTGGCCGGTTCCACATGTAAAAAATGATCAAATGTAAGTTGAATGAGTCGGAGACATGACTAACAAGTACGAGGTACCAGTTGCTCCGTTGGAATTCACTTTTTCCCTGACTTATCTTCTCCTCCTATACATCTATAACTCAGTCTATTTTTGTATCCACGTGCGTCCAACCACGTGGGCTTCTAGTGGAGCTGTCTCCAGACGACTGTTGTCCAGCCATTGTCCACGTCTGTCGGCTGTTTGGTCACTTGGCGGCCGCCAACGGGTATGCACTTTGTGACGTCAACGGTTGTGCATAGATGAATATGATCTGAGATAGAGGAGATGGGTTCAGGGTCCCGGGTCCTGAGTCCCGGAGTGATCTGCTCTGCCCACACTGGTACGTTTCGGCGGAGGCACGGCTATGCTCCAGTACGAGTACCGTACCTCTCACGCGACCACCGCGAAAGAAATGTTGACGGGCCAGCTACTGTAGGGTCAAAGCAGGTGCGGTCTGTGTCCCTTTCGTCTTTTTTTAGCGTCGTTCTACGTGCATGCATTTTAGCGCCGGCATAACGGCCATCAGACAGATCAGGCAGATTACGGACGGGATATACGAGGATAGGTAGCTGAATGGCGATAGATACATGGTTTTCTTGCGTCTTCCGGCGACCGGGGATCATCAGATTACTTTGGCCAACCTTTTTGCTTTTTTGCCGCCAAAATTCGTCAATCAATCGACTTTTTCAACGCCAAGTCCTAAGCGAAGGCAAGCGAGGGGCGCCAAGAAAAGTCTTGCGTAATCACCAGAGCCGTATACGAGATACAGGATAGCGGTTGGGGATTTGGCGGGATCTGGCGGATCTGGTGGGAATCTGGTGGGAATCTCGCGGGAATCTGCACACTGTAGAACTACTGTACTTGTAGTGCTACTGTACATACTTGTGGACAACCGTCTGACCTCCCTAAACGGTCTCTACAGGCTTTCGTGTCCGCGGAAGTTGCAAAAAAGAAACAGAGGCTCTAATGGGAGAAAACGTGTTTGGAGTATAGGATGGCAGCCCGTGAATTATAGATGTGGTGTGTTATAGGCTGGTTTTGGGCCGTTGCTAGTGAATGTTGTACTTATGATAGGGGGAGTGGAGGGGAGGGGTATACGGGAGTGGGGCATTTTCTTCGATTGCCGTTATCGTAGCCATATTGCAACCCCTCAATGAATCCAGTCACATGACAGCCCCTCTAGGAGGAGGTCAATGTCTCACTCTCATCTCTATCTGCCCTGTCTCACCGGCTTGTTCCTGCCAGCCTTACCTCATCTCCAAGAGCTTGGGAGTCTAAAAAAATGCACGTCTGAAAAACACGTGGGGGAGACGAGAAGGGTGATAGGAAAGAGGGGAGATGATGAAGGGTCTGACGGAGGGTTGCATGGTCAAGAAGAAAAGTGATAAACCGAAAAAAACGACGCCATTGCATTAGTAGTCTAGGATTATGCACTTTTTTGGTTTTTTTTTTTTACCATACAACAAGGGTCAGACAAACAACGACTATCAACCCTCATACCGACAGTCGACGGCTGTTCGAATCCCGCCCGCAACGCAACCGGGGTTTGATCGCAGACGCGCTACCCCGCTTTGTTTCCCCCACACGGGATTTCCCGTTCCCGTCGCCGTACAGATTTTCTGCCCAAAGAAAGAAACAAGTGCATTGACAAAAAGTTGCAAAAAAATGAAGAAAAAAAAATTAAAAATTGAACATTAAAAAACTTGGAGGGGGATGCCACGGCTCATAGAGTTTGGCGCATATGAAGTTTGTCCGAGGGAATGGGGTCCGGTTCAACTTTTGCTACAGGCGTTGCTGGACGAACTAAACCACATTAACGGACTCCCCGGAACTTGACGAGTCCACTGGCATTCTCAGATTTCGCCTCCGACGCCGCTGTGGAAAGTTGACCTCGTCTGAATACACTGTCGCATTACAAAGTTACACTACTTTTTAGACTCGTGAGACATGTTCATGGACAGAAGACAAAAGAAAGCTCGCTGTGTTTTTAACCACCGGCGACGGGACCCATTGCAGCAGTCGAGCGCATGTGGCCACGTCTGGGGCGTTTCGTGGAGTGACACAATGGCGGGGTGTAGATTGCGGCGACTCCTGTTTGTGTTTGCGGCGACTTCTGCTTGTGTTCACGTCAAGCTGTCGCTGTCATTCAGTACACCAACTTGTACATCACCAATCCGTCAGCACTAGCTCCAAAAGTGCTAGTGTCACTTGAACTTTTCGTTTCCAGCAACCATCAAACTCTATGTGCCAGTTGAGAAGTGTCAGGGAGTGCAAGTCCAGCGGCAAACGTATAAGTAGTTGGGGTTTCCCATAAACCTCACCTCACCAACCCGCCTCCCTCTCTCTCTGTCAACATGCCCCAAATCTTCTTCAACAAGGTGTATCCTGGAGAAATGGCTCTTCCCGGTCGAACCAAGACGGCGGAAGAGCTGGAGGCTCTAGAGGCCGAAAAGAACGACCCCCAAATGCAACGGCCAATGTTTGGCAAAAACGGCCGAGCCTGGCCCGTCATCACCGCCGGAGCAGGTCTCTTCTCCGACGGATATGTCAACAACTCCATGGGAACCGTCAACACCTGCCTGTCCATCCTCTATGGCGATTACTACTCCAAGTCCACCTACTCTCGAACCGTGTCGTCAATTGTCTTTGCCGGAACCGTGCTGGGTATGATTGTGTTTGGATTTGTGGCCGACTACCACTCGCGAAAAATGGGCATGATTGCCTCCACTCTGATTCTCATCGTCTTCACCATTCTGTGTTCCGCAGCCTGGGGAGCCGGAGGAAAGGACGACATTGGCGGAATGCTGAGCGCCCTCATTGCATACCGATTCCTCGTCGGTATCGGTATCGGAGGAGAGTACCCTGCCGGCTCTGTGGCCTGCTCCGAGGCCTCGGCCCTGATGGGAAATGGAACCCGAAACCGATGGTTCATCTTCTTTACCGGATTCATGATTGATTTCGGCTTCGTGGTCGCCGCCTTTGTACCCCTCATCCTCCTGTGGATCTGTGGAGATGACAACCTGACTCCCGTGTGGCGAATCACCATTGGCCTGGGAGCCATCCCCCCTCTGTCGCTCTTCTACTTCCGAACCCGATTCAAGGAGCCCGACACCTTCCGAAAGAACAACTTCAAGCGAACCCGACCCCCCTACATTCTGGCTCTGCGCTACTACGGCCCCCGACTGGTTGTCATCTGTATCGTCTGGATGCTCTACAACTTCATCTCCTTCCCCTTTGGAATCTACGGCTCTCAGATCATCAACTTGCTGGTCAAGGATGGAGATCTGTACAAGACCTTTGGCTGGAACGTGCTTCTCACTGCCTTCTACCTGCCCGGAGCCTTCCTTGGAGCCATCTTCTCCGATTGGTTTGGTCCCCGAATCACTCTGGCTGGTGCCCTGATTCTCCAGGGTATTGTCGGTTTCATCATGGCTGGTGTCTACGAGTCCATGATCAAGAACATTGCCGGCTTTGTCATTGCCTACGGTATCTTCCAGGCTCTGGGAGAAATGGGTCCCGGAGGAAACATTGGTCTTCTGGCCTCCAAGAACTCCCCCACAGCCATCCGAGGTGTCTTCTACTGCATTGCCTCGTCCATGGGTAAGATTGGTGCCTTCATCGGTACCCAGTGCTTCCCTCTCATTATCAAGGGCTTTGAGAAGGGCGGCGACGAAATCAAGGGTGTCCAGGGTCCCTTCTGGATTTCCTCGGCGCTCTGTATTTTCTCCGCCCTCATCACCTTCTTCTTCCTGCCTCCTGTGACCCAGACCTCTGTTCAGGATGAGGACAGAAAGTTTTTCGAGTACATCCGGGCCCATGGTTTTGATGTCTCCAAGATGGGAGACGAGGGCTTTGAGCCAGAGTCCGAGGAGTCCATGGAGACCGAGCTCTACGAGCAGAAGGGTTCCAACGAGGAGCTCTATGTTAACACCCACGAAGTCAAGAACTAGTGGATCCAAAAGTAAGTATGTAGTAATTGATTAATTATTTATTGTGACACTTTGGGGGGGAGTGGCGACAAGATAAACTGTCAAAACAAGGCTCAAACCAGCAGCTGTAGGTGCAACAGGTGATTACAACAAAACGCAGTCCTGCACTTTGTCCACGACTCCTGCACTATCGGTGCATGATACACTCTATCGAGTTCGAAGCAAGTTGAGCTACGAGTTGTAATTGTGACGAGTGGCTAGTTTTTGGTGTTATAACTTGCATTCTATGGAGTTCCGAGGGTTTCGATTGTCCCTGTCCGTGTTTTACATCTGTTTTATGGACTTTCCGATCAATTTTGAAAGAAGAAGAAGAAGAAGAAGAAGAAAAAAAGAAAAAAAAAAAAAAAAAACTTAGATTCGAACCTTCAACACACGAAAAATAGCCATAGAGAGGAAGAGTCGGACAGCTTAGACATATCTTGTTGTAATGATTCTACAGCAGTCTACAAGGATCACTCGTTTCGATATCTTGCCGAAAAGTTGCTCCACAGTTTTCGTCCTGCAACTGTAGATGACTGCAATACTTGTACCATCTTGGGCGTATGTTGTGTAGTTGAGATGCGAGGGATCTTCATGTCTACTTGAAGCGACTTAGATGCCATAAGTAGCATGCTGGACTTCCGGGAAACCTACAACAGCCCCGAGTGGATCATCATGGTGGTGGACAAGGATTCCTGCCGAGAGTCATGAAGACGACCGTTGTCATCGGCGGGAGACTCGGCGTCATCGGTGAGTGTGAAGAGTCGGGAACGGCAACAAAGCGTGGCAACTTCATCAGTATTGTAAGTGCATGTGATATTCTCACAGTCATCAGCTCTTGGAAGGAGTGTTTGAACAAGAAAATGCCGTTCGCAATGAACCACGAGTTGCTCATGTTGCACCTGTGCCTTGCCTCCCCACCCTCATTTTGAACAGGATTCAACTCCTTCATCTACAGACCCACTTCAACCTGTCACTTTTGCTTCCACATGATCAGAATGGAGAGCATATGTCTCGGTAGACAGGTACCCCCTCTTGCCTCTACAAGTAGTAGTGATCCACTACTCGCCTCATGACAGCTCTACTACCACACCTCCCACGGCTTCGCAGCTCGTGCTGTTCTCATCCATTATTACTGATTATATACTCATTGCCTCGACTCAAGGCCTTACATCATTCAAGTTGTCGAGCAAACGGAATGCAGCGTGGCATATCGGAGCCACGACTAACCCACTCGCACACTCGCTGGGCTTGTTGCGCTACTTGTAGTTGTCCGTGGTGGCTTAAGAAATAAAAGTAGCCTCGCAGAAAATCTGACCCTTATCCTGAATCTTCTCTCCGTCAATCTCCAGCTCCAGCTCCATCTCGTTTCGGAACTGGTAGATGTAGGGCTTTGTGCCAGAAACAGTGGAGGCCAGAGACTTGAGGAAAGCGGGGATCTCGGCCATGACGTCCATTCGCTCGAGATGGGTCAGGTTGCCCTGCAGCACGGCCTTGCCTCGGTTCTCGGGCTTGTCAACGTCCTCGTCAGCAACGTCAACCTTGGGACCCTCACACTCAAACTTGATGAGTGTGGGAACCTGCCAGCCCACCTCCTCGTCCTCCTTGGTCTCGACGTGCTCGACGGTGGCGTTGGCCGAGGTGAAAAGCAGCTTCTCGGCCGAGGCGACTCCGCCAATGGTCACCCGCGAGCTTCCGTACGAAGGAGGGGTGGTGTAGTCCATGACCACAGCCGAGTACTTGGGCGACTGGTAGGTGATGAAGTTCCACTTGGAGGCGGCGTGGTGGGGCTTCATGCCCTGGGTGGCGTGCACAAAGAAGCCAAAGTCGTTGTCGAGCTCCATCTTGTCCTTGTTGGCCACCTCAATGGTGCCGGACACCGACGCTCGGGGCCAGAACGAGTGTCGCATGGCTCCCCAGGGGTTGTTGAGGTCCTCGCCGTACTTGGACTGGCCGGTGGGTCCAATCTTGAAGCCCTCGACAGATCGGGTGAAGGTGAGGTCCAGCTTGACCTCGTCGGATACGTGGATCTTGACGTGGAAGGCCTCGGTGGTCTTTCCGTCGTCATCCACAGACGGCACCAGCTTGATGTTGACGCCGTCCATGGGGCCCTTGGCGGTGAAGTTGGGGCCCACGGGCTCAAACTCCTCCACGTTGGTGGAGCTCCACACGTTCTCCTCGGGCTTGTCGGCGTTGGACAGCCGGAAGGTGAACTGGGCGGTGTTCTGGATTCCCAGCGGGTTGGAATGGATGATCTGCACGTGGCCAAACTGCTTGCCGTCCTTGGAGAAGAAGTAGAAGGTCTGCGTCTCCACGTTGGAGCCCGCAGGCTTGAGCCAGTTGAGCTCGGGAAGGGTCAGAGACCCGTAGGGGTTTTTGCCGTCCACAGACTTGGACACAGACTCAAAGGCCTCGGCGCCGTACTCGGGCTCGGCCGATCCGGTCAGGGCAGAAACGCCTCCTTGCACCCACTTGAGCATTGTCGGGTTGGGTGTGTGTGGTGGCAAGTGTGTTTTTTACTTGGAGGGTGTGAGAGTCTGAGAGTTACAGACCTGGAAAAAAAACGGTGCGAGCGGGGGGGGGAGGATCGAAAAATAGGAGCCGAAAAGACTGGTTTTCCGAATGCGGAAAAAGAAACAAAAAGCGGCTGAAACGGAGAGATGCCTCGATGACCAGGATGTGCGTGTCCCAGACAATTAGTGTAGTAGTAGAGATGGCTGAAGAGGGTATCAACAAGCCTGCAGCAAAGTTTTGTGTTTGCCTTCCCAGCTTAGTCAGCGTGATGGATGGGGTTGCGCGAGGAGACATGGTAGAGACCAGACGGGAATACCATCGGATAGATAACAGCGAGACGGTTCGAATCATGTCATTTATATTTCCATTGAATGTAATTCAGCAAAGTTGAGTGGGATTGTACAGGTACCAGTAATAGTCGTCAAACAGGAGATATTCAAGAGATAGGGAGTTGAAAAGATGACAAGCGGGGCTTCTGTAGCCCTCGTGAATCAAACAGACCCGTTTTTGTCTCTCCAACTCCAGTCATTATCTCTCAATGGTGGTTTCAAGTTTTTGGTCAGATTGCGACTTGTCAAGATACTAGTCAGATTACGACTATATTGATATTGAAATGTAGCTCTTTGTTTTCTGGTTCCAATTATATTGTTTTCTTCGCTCTATATTTATATTGTATCTTTCTATGTTCATTTCCGTCTAATTTCCTCCCTAACTTGATATATATCGATTCTACTCGGATAAAATTTGCACCATTCGACTCCTACACTTGTCCCAAATCTACAGGTCTCATTTAAACCTTATTTGGGCCATCCAAACACAGGGTATGTCCTAATGTTAGGAGTGTCCCTTTGTTTGGATAAAATAAAAAATTAAATAAAAATAAAAGGTTCCTGAAACCACGGTAACCACGACGCATACGGACAATGGAAATAATACTGTGCTGGCTGGACTGGGCCTGGGCAGGGAGGCGTATTGCTGATTAAGCGGTTCAGGGGAGGGTTGTTTTGGCCGACAAAATCACGTGCCAACAATTCACGTGCCAAAAAAATATCGCAGGCCGACATGTCCGCCTGACAGTTCACTTTTAGTCTCATGTTGCTGTCCCGTGATGGATGTTTTAAATTAGTCCGGCTAAAAAAGAAATACAAAAAGAGATGGTGATTGTGGGCTGAGGAGTGGAGATGTCGGAAATATGACGGTACCAGCGTGTTCGTTGGGCCTCTGGCGAGCGTTTCGTGCAGTCGGATTTGCGATCGGACCACTTTTGGCGCTGCTGGATGCGGCCAAAACCTCACGAGGCTGAGTCTTCTATTTTCAGCTACAAAAGTCACACGAGCCCGGCAAGTTAATTGATTCGGTGGCAAATCTGAAGGGGTCAGATTACGAGTGTTCGAGGGGGCGGAGTGGCAAATGACATGTTAAGAGGTTACGAGCAATGCCGTAATAGGACGTGGGCCGTTGCAGTCATAATCTGTGCTTTTCGGTAGAGCTGTAGGACTGTTTGGGTCTGGTGATCGACTTCGAAAACACCGTCGACCGCCTCTAAAACATGTCTGAGAGGAGATGGAGAAAAAGTGGTATAGAAAGAAGGGTTTCTTTTTGTAGGGATAGTGTCATTCTTCAGACGATGGGAAGAGATGGAAAGATGGATGTTGTAATGCTCGTTTCCAGGGGAGGACAAGCTCATTAGCTCCACATGGTCTCTGACAGGGTAAAGATACAATGGAGATAGATAGGCCCGAATTTATATACATAACTGTGGTTATTTTCTGCTGTTTTCTTACGGAACTTTTGTCCGTTTCCTGGTAGCTCTTCTCTGGAGTCATCTGTCACATGATTATGTTGATGAAAAAAATTATCCCAACGGAATCAACCCACGTAAATTAATAAAGGTTGCATCATAATCGAACCCACGATCAGAATTAACCAGAAAAAAATTGAAACTAAAATTGAAACAAAATTGAAACAAAATTGAAACAAAATTGAAACAAAATTGAAACAAAATTAAAACTGGAAAAAAGGATGAAAAAAATTGAAAAAATTAAGAAAATTGAAAAAAATAGGAAAATTGAAGAAAAAAATTAAAAAAATTGTACAAAACATTACTCATACAAGTATATTCAAGCACTCATATGTATTGTATGTACTCGTACAATACCATACTTAATGGAGAACGGTATTTACCTTCTGACCCTTGGTGAGCCCATTGAATGTTCTTTACTGTCTCACTGAAGATATAATCTTCTATTTCCTGAACTGGAAGGGAAAACCTGAGAACTGACCAGAGGAGATAATTTCAAACAATATCGGCCATATTTGGTACCGTTGTCTTCTCTGTGATCGGAAGAGTCCATTGGAGCTCTCCAATTCCCGGCTACTGTACTCTACTGTGTCCCATTGTGCCCATGTCCACTTGTACGTGTATCCAACAGTACACGCGGGAAATTGCAATCACGTGACCATTCACCCTACTCCGATTATGCTGCCGGCGCAAGCGCGTTGAATCTAATTTCGTTATCGTTGCCCGCCTGCTCGCGTTTTTCGCTAATATCTCCGCGAAAACGGGATCCGTCGCTTTTCTATCTTGCCCACCTCGTATATGGCCTCTCAAGCTCCCTTTAGGTACCAAATACCCCTGGATTCCGTTATCTCTCTCCACCTGAAGCTTCTCCACCAGCATCTTAGACTTAAGGGTGGATCCACTGATGTTCATAGATTGACAAGGGGAGTTTTGGAGCTTTCCGAGCTTTTGGAGCGATTTTATATGGTATCTCAGGCACAATCACCGTTGTTATCAACTTCAAGTATTCATGTAGTTCATGTGATTCATGTAACTCATGTAAGGTTAAGCAATATCAACTAATTTCAACTAATGTCCTAATGTCCTAATGTCAACCAATGTCAACTAATGTCAACTAATGTCAACTAATGTTACCAAAGATCCAGTACTGAAAGGTCCATCTAACTCAGCCTGTTGATATCCTACAGATAGGCAGGTTGTGCCAGTGTGTTTCTCTGTATCACGTGAGTCGCTTGGTATCAGGTCCTCCTCGAAAATATCTCTATTTCTGTCCCCAATATTGCATCTTCATATTGACCTTCGTATAGCTTACAACACGATCTTTGCATGTGATAGCAACACGCGACAATTGAGAGTGCATTCTTGATGTGCCATTTATGCGAAAATTATGCAGCATTTATGGGCGATTAAATCATACCTAAATTCTGAAATTCAGTAAAATTCAGTGAAAATCAGTGAAAATTGAGATTTTTCGGGAAATTTTGGAAAAACACATAGAAGCAAACTAATTCCAAAATGAAACTCCCAAAAGTGCCCCAAACAGTACCCAAACACCCCCCCATTCAATTCTCTACCCATTCTATATTCTATTACATTCACCTCTTTCCCATACGCCAACCGAACCACCTCCGACAAACCTTATTAAACCCGAAGGTTAGGGTTTTCTATTTTGACTCGGCTCTCGAAAAATGCGCATTCCCTGATCTTCACGATAAACAGAAATTGGGCAGTTCAAGCTCGGTTACATGTGCAACGCTACTTGTAACCCGACCGCGGGTATTTCAGTGTCTTAACAGAGCTGGTCACATGGGGAGGGGGGAATTCGACCGTTATTTTGTATAATGTTTTATGATTTTTCTAGTATTTATTTTAAACCTCGGTCATCGTGCGGCTCTGATTCAATTCAATTCAAAAATAAAATGTATAACCGACTTTTTTAGGTCACGTGATTAAAATTAACGCTCCCCGAAATCGTTGCCACGTGTAGAAACATGTGGAGAATATTTAGACAATTTCAGAATTGCGAAAAGGTGTGTGTTTTGATTTTTATCAATTTTTTCCATTTTCAAGATTTTCCCGAATTCCCGAATTTCTATTTTCGATTTTCGATTCTGCGACTTTCCGGCTTTCCCGACGTTCCCGACTTTCCCGACTATGCTGATTATTTATTTATTTATTTAATTTAATTTTATTTCCACGATAATTATCATTATCGCCTTGCACGTGCCGATAAAGGATTGCATGAAAAAATAGCCAGCACGACAACGCACGGGAAAACGCAACAGACAGGGAGTCACGTGACTCAATGTCCCGCGCACGAAAACTCTGACTAATCAGCTCAACGAAAAACTGCCCACAATTGTTCCGCTAACGCCGTTTTTCAACGAGTTTGGCCGGGGTCCGATTTTCCACATTTGGTGCAAACCTTATGTTGGCCGAGGTCGGGACAAAAAGGTGACGATAATTAACCGGGTGGGGTTAGGGCAGAGTTTAAAGCGGTAGGTTGCCAAAAGGAGTCAACGAGGGGTAGCGAGGTGCAGAATAAATAAGGAAAAGAAAAGAAAAGAAAAGAAAATAAAACGAGATAAAATAAGGATAAATATTAAAAATGGAAAATATTAAAAATGGAAAATACGGAATCCAAAATACGGAATCAAAACCGATCCCAAAAAACAACGACCACGCAAAAACGTCGGATAATTAGTGCACGGCGCCACGGACCCTTCTGTTGACTCTAGACAGCCCTACCCCAACGTTTTGTGTGTGGGGAACTAAACTAAAAGAACGAAAAAAAAAATTAAAATAAAGAGATTAAAATAAAGATTTTTTTTATAGGGTCGCTCGTTTGGGGTTTTCAGACGATTTGGAGGGAGGAAAGATATCAGATTTTTTTCTCTATCCCGGGCTTTCCGATGATACTTCTCTTTCGTAATTGTGGTTTCAATTGCGTTGTTTGGAAGGTTTTTCTCTTCTTTTATTTTTTATTTTTTATTTTTTATTTTATTTAGTCTGATATTCCTTGCATATTCCTCGTATGTGGTCAGCCCCATTGTCTATACATGTGTCAACTAAGGTTGAATTTGGGGGCGGAGTTTAGTTTGGGCTGCTGAGGAGATATGGAGAGACAGATTGCACCAAAATAGAGCTTGGGATGTGACGAGAATTTTGCGCCTTCCGTAGTTCAAATCGGTTCATTTTTCCGCTGTCTGAGACGCGTTGTAGTTTACCCCAACCCGCGGACCTAACTAAACTCTTAACACATTGCATTAGCGTCTTTCAAGTAATATCCCGCGCTAATGCAGGAGATGTTCCGACGCGACAAAAGTCGGAGGTTGTAGGAGGTGGGAGGTGGTGGAAGAGGAGGGTTTTCGTGGTTTTTTATGTGTTTTTTTTTAGTCTATTTTCAGAAAAGAGAAAGTCGGAAAAAATCTGAAAAAATCTGAAAAATATAATTTTTTAAAAAAAATTACGAAAAAATTCTGAAGAGAAAAGAAAACGATTCAAACAACACAATCATTGCACCCCTCTAATAGCAAAAGCCATTCCATTCCATTCCAAATCCAACAGCAACCAACAAAAATGCGAAAATGATGGGCCAAAACGACAAAGCCAATTCGGTCTTTTTGGGGCGGCTTGCTGTGGATTTAAGGGATTTTATTTTAGATTTGTTTTAGATTTATTTTTGAAATAAGTAAAATTCTTGAAAATTCTTTAAAATTCCTGGAAATGCCCAAAAAGTAGTTTCAAACGAAGACTCCTGCAACCACAGACACATACCTCACATTTTCAAGTCACGTGACCCCAACAACACCCCCAACACTCCACCTCCGACACTCCACCTCCTCGGCTCAGTTTTTTTCGGGAAGTTTCGGCATGTTCGGAAGGGCCGGAATGCTCGGAATAAGTCGGAACGAAAAGTGCTGCGGGCGGGTTTTCTCGTTTCGACGCAAATGACCATAGAGTTGGTACTGAAGGGGCCACCAACTCGACGAAAAACAATACCACAAAAATTAAGAAAAGTGCATAATAGTGCTGATTATGCGACAAACACATTGGTATTTTTTCCGGTGAAATTGGTCCACTTCTCGGCGATCTGCGGCCACTTTTGTGTCCCGCCCAAAAAACACAAAAATCACAAAACCAACCGCGCCAAACCCAATTTTTTTCTGGCCTACCACTTTACATGTTTTACATTGGCTTACATGTGGGGTATGTGGGGTTGATTTGGAGGTCATTTCTTGAGCTGAAGGAACTACTTGGGCAGGTAACTACGTATACCATTGGATAGCTGGTGTTAAGAGCTACAAAATGGTACAAGTATTGTGTTTCTAGCGGTTTCCACTGTCCTTCTGAGTCGATCCTCGTTTTCCATACATCGGTAGTATCACTAAAGTCAAATCCACACCTTCCGCCAAACCTTGCACTGTTGCCCATTTTATCGACAATATATATACCCTTGGGTCCCCCCCTATTTGGAGCTGTTTTTTTCTTCTCTATCCACATCCACATCTTCACCATGTCTCCCCCCGTCAACCAGACCCAACTTCACCCCAAGGGCGTCGAGCCCACTCCCGCCGCTGAGGAGATTGAGAAGGAACTCTACGACATTGCTCACATCGAGTACGAGCGAGTCAACATTGACCACAACCCCTCGGTGGCCTCCCTGTACGAGGACGCCCTGGTGCAGGAGTCTGGCTCTGCCATCAACTCCACCGGCGCTCTGGTCGCCTCGTCCGGAAAGAAGACCGGCCGATCTCCCAAGGACAAGCGAATTGTGGAGGAGCCCGGTTCCGTCGAGCACATCTGGTGGGGCCCCGTCAACAAGAAGCTGTCTGAGCAGTCGTGGCTCATCAACCGAGAGCGAGCTGTCGACTACCTCAACACCCGAAAGCGAATCTACGTTGTGGACGCCTACGCCGGCTGGGACCCCAAGTACCGAATCAAGGTGCGAATTGTCTGTGCCCGAGCCTACCACGCTCTGTTCATGCGAAACATGCTGATCCGACCCACCGCCGAGGAGCTCAAGAACTTTGGCAAGCCCGACTTCACCATCTACAACGCTGGCGCCTTCCCCGCCAACCGATACACCTCGGGAATGACCTCCAACACCTCGATCGACATCAACTTCAAGTCCATGGAGATGCTCATTCTGGGAACTGAGTACGCCGGTGAGATGAAGAAGGGTATCTTCACTGTCATGTTCTACCTCATGCCCGTCAAGCACCAGGTGCTTACTCTGCACTCTTCTGCCAACGAGGGCAAGGATGGCGATGTCACTCTTTTCTTTGGCCTGTCCGGAACCGGAAAGACTACTCTGTCTGCCGACCCCAACCGACTTCTGATCGGAGACGACGAGCACTGCTGGTCCGACACCGGCGTCTTCAACATTGAGGGCGGCTGCTACGCCAAGTGCCTGGGTCTCTCTCGAGAGAAGGAGCCCGATATTTTCGACGCCATCAAGTTTGGCTCTGTTCTGGAGAACGTTGTCTTCGACCCCATTACCCGAGAGGTCGACTACGACGACGCTACCCTCACCGAGAACACCCGATGCTCCTACCCCATCGAGTACATTCCCAACGCCAAGCTGCCCTGTGTCACTGAGTCCCACCCCACCAACATCATTCTGCTCACCTGTGATGCCCGAGGTGTCATTCCCCCCATCTCCAAGCTCACCAACGAGCAGGTCATGTACCACTTCATTTCCGGTTACACCTCCAAGATGGCCGGAACCGAGGAGGGTGTCACTGAGCCCGAGGCCACTTTCTCTGCATGCTTTGGCCAGCCCTTCCTGGTTCTGCACCCCATGCAGTACGCCAAGATGCTGTCTGATAAGATGACCCAGCACAACGCCAACGCCTGGCTGCTCAACACCGGATGGACCGGCCAGTCTTACACCAACGGAGGCAAGCGATGCCCTCTCAAGTACACTCGATCCATTCTGGACGCCATCCACTCTGGTGAGCTCGCCAAGGTCGAGTACGAGAACTTTGACGTTTTCAACCTCCAGGTTCCCAAGACCGCCCCCAACGTGCCTTCTGAGATCCTCAACCCCGCCCGAGCCTGGTCCGGAGGAAAGGAGCAGTTCACCGAGGAGGTCACCAAGCTCGGCAAGCTGTTCAACGAGAACTTTGAGAAGTACAAGGACATGGCTATCCCCGAGGTCATTGCTGCCGGCCCTAAGGCTTAGGCAGTGAATGTCGACATCCGACGATATGCGCCTAGCGAGTATTGTCATCAGTAAAAGAATATTTATGATTGAACACAAGCGAGTACAAGTAGAAGCGTAGCGACTGACAAGTTTGAGCGTAGCGATGCTGGTAGGGTACCTGGAGTACGATACCAGTAGTACATAAGTTGAGCACTCACTCAATTGATACTAAATACGCTCCCTCCGGCTGACTAAACCGGGCTATTGATGTTCAGTGACGAGCGTGACGTCCCAAGTGCCGTAGTCCTGGAATAGTTAACAAAGTCAAAATAGTTGGGAGTTTAGTTGAGCCAAAAATCGGTGCTGGGGGTGTCAATTCGAGGATGCAGAGGCGGTAGAGATATACAGAGAAGAGTAGTGTGTTGAGAATTTTGGTTTTTCTAAGTAAAATCGGGCCAATGAAACGTTTGTTCATACAGAATTCTGAGATATTGGGATTTGAGCGACCCAGTAGAGTTCAGTTTAGCTTAGAGCAGTGGAGCAAGGAAGCTCAGAGCAGTCTGTAGAGCCAATGTCGCCAATCAGAGCTGGTCAGAGCTGACCATGGTCGAATCGTCGGATCAGATGATGCAAATGTTACACAGGATGACCTAAGAGAGCGCCGCCAGCTCAATGGCAAGGTTTCAACATGCCAAACTTCTGTTGAGTCAATCAAGTTCTGTCGAGTTCTATCGAGTTCTGTTGAGTTCTGTCGAAGCTCAATACTCCATTGAAGCGAGAGTGATGTAGATCAGATAGATGACAGCCCGGGAAGAAATCTGCAATTGATTTTCGGTGGTTCCTACTAAGAGTGTAGCTGTAATGAGCCGTTGTAGAATCCATCATCCCCCATCAACATCACCCAAACTCTCTCCACAAGACGCATGCACGATTATGCACGATTATGCACTACACTTCGCTGTTCTTAGTCTGGGGCTTGGGCAGAAACTGGGATATCTGTACGATTTTTGAGGCAAAAATTTGCATCTCAGACGTCAGAAACATCTCTCAAGTAGCCACATCAGTCTCCATAGCAATTTGCAGCTCCCAAAACCGACAACTTTGGCCTCTCTCAGACCAATCCCTTTTTTTATATTTTTTTTTATACTATTTTTGCTTTTCTTTCCAGCCCCAAATTTCACCCGACCAGTCGCATCTTCAATGTCAAAAAAGGGTCTTTAGCCAAAACCGTGGCCAGTTAAAAAAGAGATATGGGCAAAATCAACTCTTCCTCTTATTCATACGTCAAGAGCTACTACACATATCCTCAACCAAGCTCAGCCTCAAGGCAACTTCAACAACAACCATTCAGAATTAACAAATTCATAATCAGTGAGTATCTGGTAACAATTTTGGTCGGTTATCTTACAATCAATGGGTATAATTCTTGTCTGGCACCTGACTTTTTCGGTCTGTTGCCTTGTACTCTCCAGTAACGATTTCATCAGCTATTACCCGCTCCTACCATTATTCACACTGAAACTATGCCTTATGGGGACCGCACAGTTGCAACTCCAACTCGTCACCTCCAACTAACTCATTCTTCAGTAGTGCACACTAACCGCTTCCACGTGATCAGCCCTTACTACTTTTTTTCCGCTGTGTGATTTCTCCACATTTCCTCTGTGACTACAAACCTAGCTCTGTTAGCATGAAAGAAACATTCAACTTTGGAAACGACTACTCCGACGTGTTCTTACACACGCAGCACACGCTCCCCCAGAGCCACGTTCAGAACGCGGCCAAGCCCCTCGAAGGCTACCCCCGTCTGCAAGAGCTTCACCGTCTCAAGGCAGAGCAAGTAGCCCTCTCTGCATGCAAGCGTTTCGGCTCTCGCACTCCTCAGCCTCAGATCCAGCCCAAACTCGAAGAGTGGGTCAAGCAGGGCCTGGAATTTGACGTAGTGATGGTAGGGGGCTGTCCCGGCGACTCCAACCAGTGCAGCCTTGGAAACGGAGTCCGATTGCCCACCAGAGACGAGCTGAAGGGTCTGCCGATTGGCAAGCTCACTCCACGGCCCAGTATTGCGTTTCTGTGGGTCCCAGGCTCGCAGGTTGACATGGGTCGCAAAGTCATGGAGTCCTGGGGTTTCCGAAGGTCCGAAGATGTGGTGTTTTTCCCGTCATCCATGTCCTCCGTGTACTACCCTCCCAGGGCTGAGTCCCTCAGCGAGTCCTGCCCCATCCCCATTGTACAGGCGTCCACCTGGCACTGCATTATGGGATTGAAGGGCACGGTGCGACGCAGTGAAGACGTGCATCTAATCAACTGCAACGTGGACACAGACGTGATTGTGGAGTCGCCCGACCATGTCATCCAGGGCATTGTTCCGCAGTCGATTTTCCAGGTGATTGAGAACTTTGCGCTCATGAACCGACGATTGCACATTGTGCCCATCTGTCAGAAACAAGCTGAAAAGCCCCTGCCTGTCATGACTCGCCCGGGGTGGGTAATTCTTTCTCCCGACGTGCTTCTGAACAACTTCAGCCCGAAGGAATACAACGAGGAGATTGCCAAAGTCGGCAAGCTGGTCAGTATCACGGAAGAGATTGACAAGTTGCGTCCCAAGAGTCCCAAGAACGAGTAATCGGGATAGCCAGGGTAGCCAAGTGATAATCCGAAGCTCTACAATTGAAGTGTCCTATTTGTGTGTATCAGCCCATTTTTTGTCCCAGCCATGGTCTGCAGTAAACTTGAGCCATTGAGAGGTCTGTGATGAGACATTGGCAGTGGTGAGTGTGTGGTAATTCTATGGACACGTTTCTTTATGGATCAGTGTTGTGGGTGTCTTTGGGGCTGTTTTGTGCAGTATTTTTTACACCTCCTATTGACACAGTAGAATAGGGATACTGGCGGGCGCGTTCAAGATCGGTGGACATTGACCTGGCGATATTGGGATGGGGCCATGACTTCATGGTTTGATATTTTGCAGCTCGCGAAACAGCATAAAAGCCACCAGTCCCTTGCAGTAGACAATAACAAAAACGACAAAACAAAAGCACCACCACTACTACCACTACAAGACAATATGGCACATTACGACCCCAGCTGGACCCACGAGCAAAAGGTTCAGGAAGTCAGTAAGTATCGTGCAGATTCAAGTCTTCGACTACGGCTAATACTAACGATAGAGAGACGACAGAGCCAGTCCTTCAGGCTGTGCGTCATTGCCTAAGAGGCGAGACGGGCAGATTGAGAGTTTGTAATCCAATGGATTTATTACTATCAGGCATCTGGGAGAGATGGACCCCCTTTGGGAGGATATTCAACCAAGTAGGAGAACTGTAAGGTGCAAGGTGATTTGGCCGCAGAGCGCACCAGACCGTAGACAGTTATGCACCAGCTCTCCTTGTGACACGGCAATTAGTACCTGTGGAATGCTGTGTCCCCGGAAACAGTAGCAGAAAGGAGCGCCACGAGCTTTACTTGGCCGCTGATGGAAGGAGACCTTGAACAGACCTTGCTCGAGTGTCCATGCTGTCGTCTTGTTTTTGTGGTTCGTTATGGCCGTAATCACGTAGCGTGGATGGTGGATGTGGATTCTCATTCCTCCTGACCCACAGCTCCCTTTGCCACCTCGCCAGCAACCCAGTTGACAATCTGGGGGATCTCAGCCTCGGGAACCCCCCCTTCACACACGCCCACGGTGATGGGAAACTTGTAAGCTCCCTTCTTGACAATGAGTCGAGCCAGACGGTCCACCGTGTCGATTGTGTCTTCGGACTGAAGCAGCTTGGTCAGCAGCACCTCCTGGCCTTTGGGGACCGCGTAGACAAGACTGCTCACCTTGCCGGGGCCCCCTGTCTGTTCATCTTCGGTTCCGGAGGGAATCGGCTCGTGCTTGTTAGATCGAGTGATGAACAAGGTCACAGACTTCTTGTCAGCTTCGCCGTAGGCCAGGTGGCAGTAGCTCTGGCCCGTTCGCGATGTGGTTTGCAGCATTGGAGTGGTGATGTTTCGGGGAGGCTTGATCTGGCTGATGCAACTTTATTTTGAGACCGAAAAAAGTGGCATGTGTGAAAATGACTAGAAAATGCCGTACAAAGCTTGGTGATTTTAGTGAGTTGAATCGCACACAATCTATACGAGGTAATCACCCATTATATCCTCTGAAAGCTTCGAATATCGCTTGGTGCATCTCCTCAGGTACCGTACTTTGGTTTCAACTAAAACCCAAGTAAACTCCCAACAGAAGGAACTTATTTTCTCAACAATATTTGGTCTGAAACACCGCGTTAAACCAGGTATGTATATGCAGAAAAAAAAAAAGTAGAGAAGCCCCCAAGAGAACAAAATCGATATATAAAATCCCAATTTTTCCACCATAGGAGCTTTTTTTGACCCATTTCCCCCTCCTTTTTCCTTTTTCCCTCCTTTTTTCTTTTTCCCTCCTTTTTCCTTTTTTCCCTCCTTTTTCTTCTCTTTTAAATGCCATTGGACTATGCACTTGTAGCCCAATGACGTCATTGGATGATCATAGTCGGATTCTCAACAAACCACCAATGGACCGTTTTCGACCACCTTCATATTATCTAGTCACATGACCACCACAGATCTCATAATACATCACGTGACCGCATCCCATGGCTATTTCCTCGCTGCTGTCTGTTCGCCCAGGTGCCGATTATTGGCTCAAGGATGTCCGGGGGTTGGAACGGAGGCACGTCAGAGACGCAGGTGGGGTACTTTTGGAAATAGGTATAATCGGACTGAATAGTGAAGATATGGGCGTAAAAAGCACATTTTTGGACTCCTCGAACTCTGGAGATTCGAATGGTATCATTTATGTATCTTTTAAAGGCCCCGCTAACAAAGTCTACGCCGGTCCTGTCAGCCGCATCATCATGCATCTCATGGGTGCATCCATAACATGCCAAGATGTGTTTGTATAAATGTGGAGGCTACTTGTAGAACATAAAGGACAAATAAAACCAACAAAAACACATAATTTTTGACATCTGTTCATTTCCAACAACCACGAGTACCGCACCACCGACCAATTGACCGCCGCCATGTCGACCCAACAAATGCTGATCATGTTTGACACCAAGGCTAACTGCAACAAGTTCTACCATGCCAAACTTCTGGACGATCTGGACACGGTGGAGGTTCGGTATGGGCGAGTTGGCAACGAAGGAGTCAAGCACACGTATGTTGGTGGGCAGCGCAAATACGACCAGATGCTACGGCAGAAGCGCAACAAGGGCTACAAGGACGCGTTGATTGCCGCGGATGTGGAGGATGATGGTGGGGTGACGGTGCGCAGTAATGTGATTGACACTGCTCTGGAGGAGATCAAGTATCTCGACGACATGAGTCGGGTTCTGGTGACGACGATTTCGCAGCAAAACATCCATCGTATCACCGCTTCGACTTCGATCAAGTTTGACTCGGACGACGGTCTGTTCAAGACTCCTCTGGGGGTCATTCAGCAGCATGGAGTCGAGGAAGCTATCCGGCTGCTGGGCGAGATTGAGACCCATGTTGTCAATTTCGAGGCCCTGGTGGCCAAGGAGGGCGTCTCTTTTGACACTCCGGTTGCCAAGAAGGGTCCTAAGAAGCGCAAGAGGGCTGATGAGGAGGTGCAACAAGGACCGATTGGTACCCCTGAGGATGGAGTCAAGCCCGAAGGTGAAGGTGAAGGTGAAGGTGAAGGTGAAGTAGTAGCTGAAACCAAGACTGAACCTGAACCCGAACCCGAACCTGAACCTGAACCTGCTGAACCCTCATCTCCCCCCTCCAAACGACGCCGAACAAGAGCCCGTGCTACCAAGACCAAGGCCCAGAGAGACGCCGAGGAAGCCGCCCAGAGAGAGGCGGAGGAGCAAGCTGAAAAGGCAGAAAGAGCCCGGAAGGCGGCCGAACGAAAAGCCAAGGCAGCTGAGAAGAAGGCAGCCGAGAAGGCAACCAAAGAAGCCATCGAAAAGGCAGCAGCCGAAAATGAACCCGCCGAAGAAGAACCAAACGCCGCCGTGAAACCCTCTGCCGAGCTGGAAGTCATCATGTCCACTTTGTACACCCTCAACGAGCAGTACTTTGTCATCATCCCCAACAAGGTGAAAAACGCCCGCGAAATCAGACACCTGCTGTTCAACCAGACCGCCATTGACGAGCAAAAGGCCACCTGTGACGCTCTGCTGGAAACCCTTAAACTGATTGAAGACCTCAAAAAGAAGGCAGCCGAGGAATCGGAAAAGAAACCCACCAAGAAGAAGACGGACGCCGAAAAGACCTTCAACGTCGAGGTCAAGCACGTGACCGACAAACGCAGCTTCAACAGAATCAACACCATGTTTGAATCGTCGAAAAACCAGATCCACGGCTACACTGCCAAATGTGCAAAGGTAAAGAACATCTACAAGATCAAGTTGGGTTCCCAACAGGCCCCTTTTGCCGCCACCTCCAAGAAAATCAAGTGCGTGCAGGAACTGTGGCACGGAACCCGTCTCCAGAACATTCTGTCTATTCTGGGAAAGGGCCTGCTTCTTCCTAAACTGTCTCCGGGTCAAAAGGTGGGTGCCATGTTTGGGGACGGTCTGTATTTCGCCAACCAGTCGTCCAAATCGCTCAATTACTGCGACGGCATGCTCTGGACCTCAGATGGAAGCGGAAAACCAGAGACCATCTACATGTTTCTGGCGTCGGTGGCTCTGGGAAACTACTTTACACCCGAGGGGCCTGTCAGTACCAACCCCCCCGAAGGTTACCACAGTTATTGGGCCAAGGCTGGTCAAAGCGGAGTCATGAACGACGAGATTATTGTGTTTGACGCGTCTCAAATCCGACTCGATTACTTGCTTGAGATTGAATTGAGAGCTAGCGACGAGTAACTACAGTGTATTGATGAAATTACAAGTACAAATGAGCTGAGAGAAAGCACCAGTATTGCAACCCTGTCATCCACTCACAAAAGACGTAGATAGTTTGGTTTCTCAGACGAGTTGCGGGACTCGGAGTGTGAATCAGCAAGGGAAACAGACCCAACTTGCTCCTGGGTCGTAGTAATCACCTTCTTGTCGGTCTCATGAACTCCGTTGTTGCTAGCAATAGAAGCAGTTGCTTTGGAGGGCTTTTCGCTTTCGTCCTGACGTTCCATCATAAAATGAGGCCCCGAAAACAGCAACGGAGCCCTACTTATAGTAAGCTGGTTTATGGCACTTGCTACTCCCGTTCTAAACTCAAGATTCAAAGCCCAACTATCCACTTCTCTCAACCCTAGGAGAACACCAAGATGCACTTTATGGTACCAAAATGATGCTGGGGATCTCCTGGTCGTGGCTGTGCTACTATCCTATATTTCATCCATACAAATTTTGCCACTTTGAGAGTCCGGCATTAGTGTGACTCCAATCGGCGCGGAATGCGAGCATCGGGGACCGGGGAAAAGGGGAAAAAGGAAGCTGTTCGAGTCTGGACCTGATTGGACCACAGACGGCTCTGCGACCTCCACCCTTCATTATCTGCTACATGCACTGCACTTGTCTGGCCAATTCTCGCCATAGCGAGGACATGATGCAGAAGTCCAAAGTCTAACTATAAAAAATTCGACTATCTGCACAATCTGAAATTTTCAAGTTTCATTTTTCAATTTTCATTTGCAAATCAGCTATCGTCACCATATCACCAGAGAGCGAAATGCCACCCAAGGGAAACAAGGAGAGAAAGACCGTGAGCGACGACCCGCGATTTGCGGGAGTGCATTCGGACCCGCGGTTCTACATGCCGCGAAAGAAGGACATGAAGGTGACAGTGGACTCGCGGTTCAAGAAGGAGCTGCTCCACAACAAGGACTTTCACAAGGGCGCCAAGGTCGACAAGTATGGTCGAAAGCTGGAGCAGCAGGACGCGCAGCTGCAGCGGCTGTATAACCTGAGCGACGATGAGGAGGAGTCCGGTGAAGAGGGAGACTCCGAGGAGCCCGAGACCAAGGCTCAGAAGAAGCCTCTGTCTGCTTTGGACCGAGCGCGGGGAGAAGGAGTCGATTCTGACGCCTCTTCGGGCGACGATTCAGACTCGGACGACGACTCGGACTCGGACTCGGAGGTGGAGATGGAGGAAGAGGTGGTGCTGGCGGACTCGCAGGACATTGCCACCGGCGACGAGAGCACCACTCTTGCGGCGGTCAATTTGGACTGGGATCACGTGCGGTCGGTCGACCTGATGGCCACCTTTTCTGGCTTCATCCCCCCTAAGGGCGAGATCAAGTCTGTGGCCATTTATCCCAGTGAATACGGCAAGGAGAAGATGGCCGAGGAGGAGCTCAATGGACCGGACGCGCAGCTGTTTGAGGAGAAGAAGAAGCGGGCTGGCGACTCGGACGACGACTCGGACGACGACGAAAAAATCAAACAGGAGTTGCTCAACAACGACGACGGCGAGGAAATCAACTCCAAGAGCTTCCGAAAGTACCAGTTGCAGCGAATGCGGTACTACTACGCGGTTATTGTGTGTTCGGATGTCGCCACGGCCCGAAACATCTATCAGAACTGCGACGGGACCGAGTACGAGTCGACCGCCAACTTTTTCGACTTGCGATACGTGCCTTCGGACATGACTTTTGACGACGAGCCTCGAGACAAGTGCACACGGGTTCCCACCAACTACAAGCCGTCTGATTTCGAGACTGCCGCTCTTCAGCACTCCAAGGTGAAGCTCACGTGGGATGAGACTCCGGCCGAACGAAAGAACGTGACTCTGCGGGCGTTCAACAAGAAGGAAATGGATAATGAGGAGCTCAAGGCCTACCTAGCATCCGACAGCGAGTCTGACGAGGAGGGGCGGGCCGATCTCAAGGCAAAGTACCAGAGCTTGTTGGAGGGCACCGGCATCAACAAGGGCGAGGACGAGGATGGAGAGGAGGATGTGGATATGGAAATCACCTTCACCCCCGGACTGGACGAGTCCAAGAAGAGTGCTGCTGAGCCCAAGGAGGAGGGTGAGGAAACCACGCTGGAGAAGTACAAGCGAAAGGAGAAGGAGAGACGAACGGCCCGAATCCAAAAGTGGCAGGAATCCAAGGAGGCCAAGGAGGATGAGGAGCATGAGAAGGAGGCCAAGAAGCCCAAGAACAAGGGCAAGAAGGAGCGGGAAAAGAAAAAGAAGGAGATGGAGCAGTTAGCGTTGCTGGTGGACGAGGAGACCGACGCCAAGCACTTTGATATGAAGGAGATCATCAAGGCCGAGAAAAACGCCAAGAAGAAGTCCAAGTACAGACAGCAGGGTCTTGTGGAGGACAAGTTCGAGATGCCGGTCGACGATCCTCGATTTTCGGCTCTTTACGACGACCACGAGTTTGCCATTGATCCGTCCAAGCCTGGATTCACTCGAACCAAGGCCATGGACAAGCTGCTAGATGAGCGCCGAAAGCGGCAGGACCGAGGTCAGGGAGGTGTCAAGCGAAAGGGCGAATCTGGAGAGCCTGCCAAGAAGAAGAAGCGAAAGGGAGACCAGACCGGCGAGGGTGTGGAGAGTCTGGTTGAGCGAATCAAGCGAAAGCACCAAAAGGATAACCAGTAGGGGGACTAAACCAAGCAGTTAGGTGATTGTTGCGGTTGGTATATAGATAATGGAGGTAAGATATTGGTGGTACGGTACATACAGTAGTAGTAGTAGTAGTACATATTACTACACTACAGTACAGTACTTTAGGCAATCTGACAGTGGGTAAACCGTTGTGGTAATTTTTCCCGCCGCCGAGTCACCATGACTCCGTGGATACATTTCGACTGATAGATGTAGAGTTTCGGCCCGACAGGAGTCACAGCCGTCGGGATGGGTTCAAGGTCTCAGTTTTTCATCATCAAAACAGTTGTTCCAGTCAAACTGCCGGCATAGAACTCTTCCATGTACCTCAGACGAAAAAAAAAAAAAAAGCTCCCTCTAGCGACTTCTGGTGACCGTTTGGATGCAGCCATTTCGGGCTAGGTTAGCGCTAACAAGGGGGAGGACAGGAGGACAATAGTAGGGGAGTATCGGTGTAATGAGACGTAGAATGTAGTTGAAATGACGGGCAAGTACTTGAAAGTGCATTCACTTTTCGAAATCACTGGTCCTCAACTTGTATCCAAACTGGTGGATCCAAACTGGTGGATCCAAACTGGTATTTAATCTGCGTCTTATCAGCGATGGACATAAGAAGGAGGTGTTGAATGGAAACTAGTGGTTTTCACCCGAGGTGGAGAAGAAAAGGACCAGATTTTTATAATCATCGAAAGAAATCTCGAGCTCATCTTTTGGCCCGATTTGGCCCGATTTGGCCCGATTTTGGCCCGAACCTGCTGTTATTTCAGCCCTTGAATGTCTCACATGGCATACAAGGTCTTTTTTGGGAAGCAAGATAAGACCCTGCGGCCATGATAGCGGATCAATGGAGTTAAAAAAGTCGATCTAGCCCTACTTGTTGGTATATATACCCTGGACGCGCTGCGGGGTCGCCATTGCACGAAAAAAGACTCCACGAAAATGTCGCACGAACCGCCGGGAACCACCATCTTGGAAAACCATGCTTCCGATGCTATCATTCTCCAGCCCACTCCGACAGCCGATCCCAACGAGCCGCTCAACTGGTCCAAGTGGAGAAAACACACAAACTTGTTCATTGTCTGTTTCTTTACGCTCATGGCGTTCACCGCCAACTGTGTATCGACGGTTTTCTGGACGCCTCAAAATCAGGAGTTGGGATGGACTCTGGACCAGCAGAACAACGGATACGCGCTGTCGGTGGCGGGTCTGGGTCTGGGATGTCCACTAATGATCCCGTTTGCGGAAAAGTTTGGAAAACGGCCCGTTTATTTGGTATCTTCGGCGATAGCTCTAGCATGTGCGGCTTGGATGGCCAAAATGACGACCGTGGGCGAGTTGTACGGCTCCAGCTTGCTCCAAGGTATGGCCACCAGTGTCACTGAGACCATAATTCAAATGACGGTGGCCGATCTCTACTTTGTGCACCAAAGAGGCACCTGTAACGGCATCTACATGGTGGTGGTGGACGTTGGCAACTTTCTCATCATGGTGCCGGCGGGATATATCACCATGAGTCTGGGGTGGAGATGGGTCTACGGAATCATTGCTGTCATAACCGGAGCCCAGTTTCTTTCCACGTTGCTCTTCTTTGAAGAAACAAAATACACAGCCGGAACAGAGACCCTGGTGGGGGTCGGAGAAGACGAAGAAGACAGGCCAGAGGAGAATCTGAGCAACAAGGACGCAAAAGACATAGTCCGCAACTTGGAGTCTCCTTCGACGGAGTCTGTCATCATGGATTTCTCCGATTCAGCCTCCTCCAGAAACGCCTACCAGTACCAGAAGAACCCTCTGTCCAAACGCCTGGCTCTGGTCACCTATACCCCAGGAAGCTGGAGAGAATTTGGTCGGAAAATGTACACCCCGTTTATAACGCTGTTTGCCTACCCAATCGTCACCTTTGTGGCCATCCAATACGGCTTCATGCTCACGTGGTTGGCCATGGCAGCTACTACGGTGGCATCTGCGTTTGCCGAACCTCCCTACAGCTTTTCCTCCGCCGCCCTGGGAAACATCAACATTGCTCCCTTCATTGGAATGGCACTAGGGTCTGTCTACGGAGGCTGGTTCAACGACAAGACAATCATTTGGCTGTCCAGACGCAACGGAGGGCAGTACGAACCCGAAATGCGACTGTATGGGCTGATTCCTGCAAACCTGACTCTCACAATCGGACTGTTTCTGTTTGGACTTCCCATTGCCCACGGGGTCCACTGGATGGTGCCCACTCTCGGATTCGCCATCATCATGTTCGGATTCGGCTCTTCCGGAGCCATTGTACTGACATATCTGCTGGACAGCTACAAAAACATTGTTGCTGATGCATTTATCGGTGTGATTGTGGTCAGAAACGTGTTTGGAATGATAATGGTGTTTGCCCAGACGCCCTGGATCGAAAAAGTCGGTCTTCAGAACGTCTACATCACCGTGGGATGCATTTCTCTGGTCCCTCTAGCCCTGACCGTTCCTCTTATCTACCACGGCAAACATCTGAGACGAAAAAGTGAAGCTAGGTACCTGAGAGAATCCACTAGACGTTAGAGACTACGACAGGTTGACGCTTTATTTATTCAATTATATATTCACTTGAGCAGCCCAACACACCAAATTAGACCAAGAAGTTATCCAGTTGGCTATAAAACTATCAAAATTTCATTAGAATACTCCAAATACCAAAAACACCCAAATTAGCCGGGTTTTGCCGTTTTTTTGCCGTTTTTTCCGGTTTTTTCGCCGGTTCAAAGTTCCATAACTGCCCTCACAATGTCCCACCAATCCCGGAATACATCCATGGCATCCTGGCCGAGCGGTTAAGGCGAGAGATTAGAAATCTCTTGGGGTTTCCCCGCGTAGGTTCGAATCCTGCGGATGTCGCCATTTCATTTTTTTACATCCTCTTGTATCAGCTCCGTAACGAGTTTTACTTTCGATTTTTATTCATTTATATTCTTTTTTATGACTAAGCAAACTTATGGTGCTGTAGGTCTAGCTTTTCGAAAAACCCATCGCCAAAATTGCCTGGCTAGCTCAATCGGTAGAGCGTGAGACTCTTATTCCAAGGTCATCTCAAGGCTGTGGGTTCAAGCCCCACGTCGGGCTTGTTTTTGGACCATATTTTTCCCGGCTTAGTCATATGGCGTAGAATGGACCTGGGTCCTCGATTTTTACACTGTAGAAACTTGAGAGGAACAGACGAATCCTCCAAAGCTATTTTTGTTGATTATTAAGCCACACACGACTCATTAACAAAATAGCCCGTCTGAATCGGAGTCTCCTCATGTCTCTGTGCTTGCTATTATACATTACTCAACGTAGTTGGGTCTTTCGGCGTCGTTGTCGTCATGCCTCAAGTCTTTGGAGTCCAATTTCCGCTTCTTCCTGGCCGCCGTTCGCTTCATCTCGAAAATCAGACCCGAAACTCGACGGTTTGTGATTGCTTCGTTCCCTCGCTGTTTCAGAACTTGTGCAATCTGAGTAGGGGTCATTCCCTGCTCAGTAGACTCCTTGATGTACTGTCGTTCTTCGGAAGAAAGACGCCGATGAACCATCACGCTCCACTTGGAGTCCGCTGGAGCATGATTATGGCCGGTGACATTGTCTTGATAGGGCGCATGACGCAGGTGCCAAACGCCGTCAACGTCTTTGTAAACGTTGACCTTGACGGGACACTCCGTTCCAACACAGGGACGAAGCTTGGTGGGCTTTCTGTACCGACTGCAAGCGTAGGTGATGGTCTCTGTGGGAGTTCCGCCAGAATCAGCACCCGATTTGCTGGTGTTGGTGTCCTTTTTGACCCATCCAAAGTAAAATGGCACTCCATCAGACTTGTAATTAAGACTAAAGTCGTTGAGATACCTTTCAAGATCCTCACGATGGCGAAACGACCTTTTAGCAGGCAAGTAGTCTGGGCAGTATTGTGGATCCAGCTGTAGAATGCGTTTTTCAATGTCGTAGATCAGATTCCGTTGGTCCCGTGATAACTGGTCAATCGGACATAAGCTGTGATTGTGGACAGACAAGTTCCTGGTCTGATTGACCGTCCAGTTGGTATCTCCATGTTTGGTCACACTGATGTTGTATCCACAAGCCTGGCCATCTTCACCGGAGCGGCAGCAAACAAAGCGCAGATACTGCTTGTTGTTCTTCTTTTTGCCACCTATAGACTTGTACCTGAAGACAAAACCGTCCTTTTTTGCCCAGTCGTTGATCATTTTCCACAGGTGCAGCTTGGAGTTTTGAACAGTGCCTGGAGGCAAGTTTTCGTCCTCGAAGTCTGGGTTTTTCTTTTGTCGACCTCTCTCTACTTTATCAATGAGTGCCGAAACCCCCTCGGTCACATCTGAGCCGTCCGTCTTGTGATTGTGTTCGTTCCGGCTGCTGGAGTCGTACACCAAATCAGCCCTGCCTCCTCCATAGTCGCGGATATCCACCTTGTACGTGCAATCGGGCCGACAACAGCGCATGATTTTGCGCACGAACGGGTCCGAGCCATTGTTGCTGCCTCTGGAGCGGTACAGCGCAAACACAAACCCCTGGTCGATGGAAAACCGGTTCAGAGCACCCCAGACGTTGGCGAACGATGTGCCGGTCGTAATGGATGGGATCAACGGCGGCAGAAGCGGCGGATGCGACGCTGCGGCCTCGATTTCTGCCACGTGTGTTTCGGGGTCGATTCCCGCCATTTTTTGACCCACTTTGACCAATGTCGCAAGATGGCGATTGGTGTCGTAACGCAAGGGAGAAACGTACCAATGGGCCGTCTCACTGGATAAACGACGTCGTGAAAAGATTACGCAAAAGTTTAATTGTTTCACTCTTTTTTTTTTTTTTTTTTTTTTTTTTTCTTTTTTTTCCTTGTTGCGAAAAAGTGACGGTCGTGCAATAAATACCAGAGCTAGAGAGTGGAAATGGGGACAATCCCGGGAGTACTTTGCCAAACTGGTGATTCACCAATCATATGTCCTAATCGGTCTTCTGATCAGCTCGTGTTCCATGAGGTCCTGTTGATGAGGCTGGCCACCAAAGAACAAAGTGCTCGGCGTGAAAACTGATCTGACTGCAGGGATCCTGCCTCATGGAATTGGGGCAGTTTCACCAGACTGAGTAAGTGAACTTGAGACAATGGTTGGTGATTGCTGAAGTGGATCGGTGATTTCTGGAGTGGATGCGTCGATGCTATATTTCAAATATCTCAACTCTCTCTCCAATATGCCTAACCAAGTGCTGATGTGGAGATGTGGAGATACTTGATCGGACCTGCTGTACCAAAGCTCATCACCTCATGCATGGCCGTGGTCTCGTCTATCGCATCTGGGGCTTAGTTTCAGCCCTAAGAGCTCGAGAGTCGGCTACAAGCGGTATAAAACCCCATTTGCGGGCTCTTTGATGACCGACAAAAACCCCCTCCATCATCTCCGACCATGTGGCCTTCAAAACGGTTGTTTTTGGACTGGTACAAGACCCTGGGCCCCAAATCTCTGCAAGAAATGAAGATTGAGTACCTGAAATATCTTGCCGCGGACAAGTCGCTGAATCTCCAGCGCTTGTCTGCCGCGTGGCTTGAGATTTGCAAGGGAGTCCACGGCACCGTCCAGGCCTTTTTACACAACTACAAGGACAATCGCACCGTTCCGGCTTTCTTCAGTCACGGATATGCGGTTCGCGGTCTTGTGGATCTCTCCGACGAGATTCAGCTGATCGAGCTCTGCTTCGGCCTGCATCAAAAACAGCGGCTGTTTACTGAAGACTCTGAGTTGTATGAATACACCCAGGAACAAGTGGTTGCTGAGGTGAACTCGTTTTTGCGGCAGCTTAAAGACTTACAACCGAGAGATCAACATCAACAAGATGGCCGAGCAGCCTCTACCTCACCTAAAGAGGCCCCTTTTGTCAAGAGACCCTGTGAGGAAGATTCCACCGAGGAGCTTGGTTCTCCTAAAAAGAAGCGTAAGATGGAGTCAGAGGGGGAACCATTGGAGACTGAGCAGTATGAAGAGATTGAGCAGTATCAAGTAGAGACTGAGCAGTATCAAGAGTCTGAGCAGTATCAAGAGTCTGAAGCCGATCAAGAGTCCGAAGCCGATCATGAGTCCGAAGCCGATCAAGAGTCCGAAGCCGATCAAGAGTTCGAAGCCGATCAAGAAGAGCCTGAGGGTCCCCCTCATTCCCTCCAGGAAATTTGCCAGAATGGGCTACGAAGGCGATTCCGATCATCCCACTCCACCCAAGACATTAACGTCTCACCATACAAAGCTAGCACGCCAAAATCAATCTCAACTCCACCAGCGCCCAGAAAGAAGCCCAATCGAACCCATTTGTTAGACACTAGCACCGAAAGCAACGACTCCACTTTGATTGAGACTCCGACAGCAACCCCACGGAATCGAGCCGCCAGAAAACACAACACCCTCCAGTACAAGCTTCTGGCTAAACGTCTGTCCAGCCGCACTTCTCCAAAAAGTGCCAGAAGCAGCACAGGCAGTGCACGAACATGCAACACCACCATCGGAGATGAACAGAGTGATGGAAAAGTCTTCGACGCCGGCGGTAACGATGGAGATTATGTCATCGACGCCCGCGACACCTGTGTCGAAGGGGATGTCGATTATGTCATTGAAATTGGCGACACTTCTGACGAAGTGGATGTCCATTATGTCATTGAAATTCGCAACTCAAGTACCACTCCTAGACGTAATCAGCCCAGAAACACTCCTCGCCAAAAAGATAACAAGATGGTGGGATGGCAGAATCTGGGGTCGGATGTGGACTTTTCGGACGCCGAGTCGATTTTGTCGATGGTAGGAGATCCAGAAGATGTTGATTTCTTGCCTGGAATGCCTTTGGATTAGACCAAGAAACAATTCGGTGTGTATTTATTTAACAGTAATGAGATGAGAATAATGAAGCAGTTCAAGGGGTTAGATCGATAAAGACAAGACTTGGAGCTTTGATGGAAGTTGTTAGGTCCATTGAGAGAAAAAAAAAACTAGCTTGGTGTTCAACGGAAGCGATTTCTAGATGTTTTTCTAATATTTATAATAACATAGTTTCCCAATGAAAAATGTATCAACAATCCACACATATTACTTGGTATGTTTGTTGAAATGTGGGTAAAATCAAGTAAACCAGGTAAACAGTAAACCAGGTAAACCAAGTAAACCAAGTAAACCAAGTAAACCAAGTAAACCAAGTAAACCAAGTAAACCAGGTAAAAGAAAGTAAAAGACTGTATTCTTTGCAAGACAGAAAAGAGAGAACAGAGCTTCGAACCACACAAAAAGATGAAAAGAGAGCTCCTTTGATTTCAATATAAAACAATGTTAAATAATACCTTTTTCTACAGCCTTTTTCTACAGCCTTTTTCTACACAATCTGAGAGATATTCCCGACGGTATAAAAAGTCCATTCACGTGATAGGGAATATATAGAGTGGCTCCAAACATAAATGCGTTCCTGAGAGATACAGTGAATCCCCATGGACTTCAGTCATCTCTCTAGGGATGTCTATCTGTTCCCCATTTGACATGGAATAGTACATATTGTCTATGAGAAGTCGTTTGTTCAGAAAAGCCGACAAAGTCACAAACAGAGGACTGTCTTTGGACTCGAGTCTCATCATTCAGTTCTCCTGTGTCATTTCAGTGTTTTGGTGCACATTGTGTCACAGGTCTCGGCATGAAGAACACAGCTCGAGGACAATTGGAGATGATCCAAGGACATTCCTCATACGCTCTCCGAGTTTCTATCTCAATTTCACCAACTGTAGGCGATTATAATCATTACACTCCCGATATATCAAACACCAATAGTATATTCTTGTCCTTTTACTGGTATCGTTGTACAAGTACTCGTATACTCGAAATTCACCTTCATCTGTCAACGTCAAATCTCTGGGCGTGCTTGGCAGATTGTGGTTCCACTTTTCTGAGAGTCGACAGGTGAAGTGCACTCGAGTCGTTATCAGCGACGAAGGCAATCAGAGTTATCGGATGGCTGTTTTTTAGACCCGCCGAAGCTGCTTGTTTAGTACGAGGAGCTCTTTGGTGTCTGCCAAGCCGCTTGATCGGGGATCAGTAACTTCCGGCCGAGGCGTTTTAGAAATATTTTTGGAGGCTGATTGGGCGGGCGAAAAAACCAAAACCAAGCCGAGTTGGACCCACAGACGCAACCGCCGACAGATGGGGTCGTATCCACTATAGATTTACGCAAAGGTGCTTTTATCACGTCGCTTTCTGCAACCAATAAGAGCTGGGTAGAGGATGATAATGGTGAGACAATGGATGGGGGGGGGGGGGGGAGAACAAAAAAGTGATGGAATGAGCAAAATGACGACATAAGGACGGTGAAAAACAAGGGAATCAAACCTGGAGACGTAATTTTTGACACATATATGCATAAATAGTGGTAAAATCCCCGAAAATGTCACTCTCGGGGGACTCCACAACGGACCCACCGAGGAGATAAAGTTCCATCTCATGGCCATTAAACTTCTTGGCAACGGCGCCATTGATAAGGTCCGTAGTTGGGGTTGCAGACACGGTAGCGATAAATGGGATGCAGATTTCGAATTGCGTGATATTAAGAATTCCGCTGGTATGTTTTTTCTTACCATATCTTTTCTGGAGCGTGGTTCAGAGTGACTTATTCGGTAAGCCGTGTATCAAATAAAGTTTTACAGCCATGTGGGGTGGTGTAAATAGACCGCTAAACAGGGCCAGAAATATCTCGGTTGATTTTGGTTTTTTTTGGATTTTGATGGCAGAAATCGATTTTATAGCATTTACTTTCCATTATTCCCGATTTTCCCCGTGAAAACCCGACTTTCGGCTCCTTTTGCTACTCTCCCACGCACCCTTATCTAGGATGCAAATGCTCAACCGAACAAGGAAGGGATCCGGGCTGCACGGCTCTGATCGGTGGCTTGTATATAAGTCGAAGCTGGGGGACCGTTGTGGGCAGTCACTGCGTCTTCATTACTCCATCAGCATGGAAAAAGACTATTCAGATACGCCAGAAAGTGCCGAGTTCACCGAGACTCATACCGGGCAGGTGGAGACGGCCCATATGAGCAAATGGCAGCGGTTCAAGTACGGATTTGGCCCTGCGGACATCAGCCATATTGACACCGAGGGTCTGACTCCGATGGAGATCACAGCTCTCAAGACAGCCAACTCTCCTCTTCAACGGGGACTCAAGGGCAGACATCTCCAGATGATTGCTATTGGCGGGTCTATTGGCACGGGTTTGTTTGTTGGTTCGGGCAGCACACTTGCCAACGGTGGTCCTGCCGCTCTTCTCATTGCCTACGGCATTATCGGAATCATGTTGCTGCTGACCATGCACGCTCTAGGAGAGCTGGCGGTGTGTTTCCCCGTGTCGGGAGGGTTCTGCACCTACTTTACGCGGTTCATCGACACGGCGTGGGGCTTTGCCATGGCGTGGAACTACGTCATGAACTGGTTTGTGGTGCTACCTCTGGAGCTGGTGGCTGCGTCAATGACGGTCAACTTCTGGAACGAGATGAACGGCACCCACATCAACGCCGCCGCCTGGGTCTCCGTGTTTTGGGCCGTCATCACCTGCATTAATCTGTTTGGAGTCAAGGGCTATGGAGAGGCCGAGTTCGTCTTCTCCATCATCAAGGTGGTGGCTATCGTGGGCTTTGTCATTTTCGGAATCGTCATGGCCTGTGGAGGAGGACCTGAACGCGGAGACTTCCATCATTACATGGGCGGAACCCTATGGCAACACCCCGGTGCCTTTGCCCACGGATTTAAAGGCGTTTGTGCCGTGTTTGTCACTGCTGCCTTTGCTTTTGCCGGCACCGAACTGTGCGGTCTGGCGGCGGCGGAGACCGAAAACCCCCGGAAAATGCTGCCCCGAGCCACCAAACAGGTCTTCTGGCGAATCTGTCTCTTCTACATTGTGTCTCTGACCATTGTGGGTCTGTTGGTGCCGTGGAACAACGACCAGCTGCTCAACGGCTCTTCTTCTGCCGACGCCGCCGCCTCGCCATTTGTCATTGCCATTCGGCTGGCCGGAGTCAAGGGTCTGCCGTCGGTGATGAACGTGGTAATCATGATTTCGGTCCTGTCGGTCGGAAACGCCTCCGTCTACGGCTTTTCGCGAACCATGGCCGCCATGGGCGAGTCCGGACAGGCCCCCAAGATCTTCGCTTACATTGACCGCGAGGGCCGGCCCATCTTCGGTATTCTGGTGGTCCTGGCGTTCGGACTCTTCTCCTTCATTGCCGCCGCCGGCGCCGAAACCAGAAACGAGGTCTTCAACTGGCTGCTGGCGCTCTCGGGTCTCTCCTCCGTGTTTGTGTGGGGCTCCATCTGTCTCGCCCACATCCGGTTCCGCTTGGCCCTCAAATACCGGGGCCGAGGAACCGACGAACTCACCTTCCGCGCAGCGTTTGGAGTCTGGGGAAGCGTGTTGGGCCTGATTCTCAACTGTCTAGTGCTCATGGCCCAGTTTTGGATCGCCCTGTATCCCCTGGGAGCAAAGACCCCCAACGCGTCCGACTTCTTCCAGGCCTACCTGGCAGCGCCGGTGGTCATTGCCTTCTGGATCTTCTGGAAGGTGTGGAAGCGCGACGGCTTTCTGGGTCTCAAGGACCTGGACATTGACACCGGCCGGCGCGAAATGGATCTCGACAAGGTGCGAGCCGAAATGGCCATCGAGGACGAGGAGCTGTCCCGACGCTCCTTCCTTTATCGAACATACAATTTCTGGTGTTAGTTTGTAATTAATTTATATGTTGACGAATATAGGAGCAGGTGGTTCGTCTCTATATTTTATCTACAGCACTAAGTGTTTGACTCTATACTCCTCCAGGTTCATATCTGTTCATCTCATTCACTTTCTCTCGTGTTCCTGACGCCGGAAGTTGAGTCTCCGAAGGGCCGTCTGATAACGGTCCAGAGTCGAACATCATTCTAAGATCAGATCGCCCAAGGACAAGCAAAGTCCTTAGGATCGTTTGATGCAAAGATTGTGTACATCGGAGATACTTTACGTGTACTGAACAGCACTTGTATGGGTATTGTACTCATACTACCAGACATAACAATCAAGTCTGCAGGTTTGATCCATGGCATTCAGTTACGTTTCATTTACAATCAACTCAGTCTCAGTATACTCAGACTACAAGTAGCAGATTTGATAGATGCTAAGATTCTCTGTTTTATCACACCCAGCGGTCTTTCTGGGCTATAAGCAATTGTGTATAGTGAATCAAACATCAAACATTGGTCTCCAGGGACTCAAAACCAACCGAGTAATCAATCTGAATCACGGGACTGTGGGATTGGCCAATCTATGTCGGGTGTCTAGCCTCGCTTCTCTTCTCTTCTCTGTCCTGTCTACAGAACATGTGAGTGAAGTAATGGTCTATAGACCCCCACGATTGACTCCCTGAAGACCGAGACGGAGACGAGACAACAGAGACAACAACGAGACACAGGCTAGAGCCAAGACGACGACGACGACGAGAAGGAAACGACCGATGGCAACCGGTTTCAAGTTCAGCAGAGTCCATAAATTCGTTCCGGCAGTCTTTCCGAAGATTTTAACAGAAAAGCCTTTGTCAATTGCTGCTTCTTCTGATCACATTCGAAGACACGGATTCGAAAACTACAAAGTAGGTAGATGCATTGGTTCATAACTACTGGAATTCCCCGACTCTGGCAATTCCAACGGTACCAATAACTACCTTTCAGGTAACTTTTCGGCCAAATTTTATATATATATTTTATATTTTATATATATAGTTTTTTATTCTTTTGGTTTTTTTTTAATTCTAATGACTAATCAAGCGTCTAAATGATAGCCGCCAACATACCTCAGAAACCCATCTAGAATAGGGCGTCTGGTGTAGTTGGTTATCACATGCGCTTAGCATGCGCGAGGTCCCCGGTTCGATTCCGGTGTCGTCCATTTTTGTCCTGTGACGGGAAATGCGTTGGTATTTTTTTGTTTTGGCCGAACTTCGGAGGGGTTTTTTATGATTTTATGTAAGTATTTTTGTTGTGGTGTTGATGGTTACAACTACTAGTTGGGAAATGGTTGGGACATTATTCAACATTTCCAACACTTTTAACTGGATATGTCAACAGAAAAGCTGACCTTTTAGTCCGACGATATCAGCCACTATATGATAGTTTCAAGCCCTAATGCGAAGCCACAATGGAGACCTTCAAACGAACAGTCCATCATTGAAATATTGTCCCTCTTGTAGTCTGAGACCTACCTACGAGTAGACAAGATATACCCAAGTAGACAAGATACACCGGAGTAGACCGACATATACGATAGTCCACCAACTTTTGTCGTGCTAAGACAACAATTGACGACCTGAAACTCTTGCTTATCTCTGGATGTACTATTTTTGGGATATATATAAGTGTGGCTTGACCGCGTGGACGCAAAAACATCACTGTAATACCAAAAAGTAGAGAATTCACCTCGAAAACAAGTCTGTGGAGCAAGCTTGAGCTCATTCGGAGTTCCAAGTCGCCATTTGCAAGGTTCAGCCACATCTGAAAGTTGGATGTGCAAGTACAGTAGTAGTGGAAGTACACGAACAAGTAGACACAAGTTCGAGATGGGGAGTTGGAAAACAGTGATAGAATGTCGAATTGTAATTGTTTACAAACTTCCGGTCAAATTCCGTTCGCATCCCGTCTTAATTGTGTAGTTATGGTGAAGTACGAGTGGGTATGGAACTCCGTTTTCCACTAATTGTAGGTAAAACGAAAGCAGTGACGAAAGCAGTGACGAAGCAGTGACGAAAGAAGTGACGAAAGCAGTGACGAAATAAATGACTTTGACAACTGATAGCAGGTTTCTGAAAACACTGTTGACCATAATTTTGAGCTTCCATCGCTTTCATCGAAGGTTCAAGCCTCCTTTCCCACATCTCTGATATGAAACCTTGGAAACAAGTTTGACTGTGTCTGGCGCGATATCTAGCAAAGCAACCGTTGGATATTTTTATGTACTTGGAATCATGTGGTTTCTTTGATTCTTTTGGTACAAACAAATACTATATATATGTTATCCCCGACGGGAATAGAAAGTCTCCCTGCCTACGTAGCTATTCGTAGCCCAACTCTGTCTTGTCGATCTCCATTATCTCCATTGTGGCTGCTATCGAACCCCCCGGTATCGACTGTGGCTGCCACTCGCTTCAACCCGGTCTTCCGTGGCTAATTTATAGATATCAACGAGATGCTCATTCACTCAGTTCAACACACGATGGAAAAACTCGGAAAAATTAAAAACCTCCTTCCAAAGGTCAAGGAACCCTCACCCGAGGTGTACCAAGCTGTTCTTGAAAAGTATCCCAAATTCCGGGAAGAAGAGAAGAAACAGACACTGGAATACAGAGACGAAGTCCACCGATCGAAGTGGGCCTTCTTTGATGAGTACGAGTACCGGCAAACTGTGTCGAAATCAGTCAAACGATTCGGATGGTTTGATCCTGACGACAGTCCTGCTGAACGTCGTCTTATCATCAAGTTGGACGTGATTCTCACCTTCTACTGTTTTGTCATTTATTGGATCAAGTATCTAGATCAATCCAATATCAACAATGCCTATGTTTCCGGTCTCAAGGAAGATCTGGGATTCAAGGGCAATGACCTGGTCACTACTCAGGCAATGTACTCCGCAGGAGCCATCATCTTCCAGCTACCCTTTCTCTACATCATTCCAAAGTTCCCCAACAACTACATTTTGCCGGTTATGGACTTTGGTTGGGGTATCATGACCCTGTTGCTCTACAAAACGTCCAATCCCGGTGGAGTCAAGGCCCTCCGATTTTTCGTAGGAGCCTTCGAGGCTGCCTGGTACCCCCTGATGCACTACATGCTCGGATCCTGGCTCAAGCCAAGGGAAATCAACCGACGAGCAGGTTTTGTTTACTGTGCTCAGTTCCTGGGGACTACAACCTCGGGTCTCTTGGCAGCAGCCGCAACCACCCATCTGGATGGATATCTAGGACACAAGGGCTGGCAATGGCTGTTCATCCTAGACGGAATTGTCTCTATGCCAGTTGGTCTTTTGGGTATCTGGATCCTCCCTGGAACTCCTCATAGATGTACATCTCTGTTTCTCACAGACGAAGAGATTGTAATTGCCAGAGAACGGCTCAAGAGAGGCCCTAGAGACACCCACCAGCTACAGTTGCTTGACAAACAGCTGTGGAAAAGAATTCTCACCTCCTGGAAGTTGTGGATCCCGATGGCAACAGGTATTGCCTTTTGGTGCTCCTGCAACATTCCTTCCAATGGCGCCTATCTGCTGTGGCTGCACTCGTTGGGTCGGTACAACTCAGCTCAGGTCAACAACATGTCCACTATAGCCCCCGCTCTGGGCATTGCTTGGGTCGCTATAGTTGTCACAATTGCTGACTATGGTAACCGCTGGATGGCCATTGTTTTTGCCGAGCTGTGGGTCATCATTGGAGCGGTGATTCTGGCGGTGTGGTACGTTCCCGAGTCCGCCAAATGGTTAGCCTGGTGCACGTCGTACTTTGCCCTGAGTATGTCGGCCTCGCTGTATTCCTGGATCAACGACATTTGCCGTCACAACTCACAAGAACGGGCCATCATCTTGCTTCTGGTGAACACCATCTCTCAGACTTGTCAGACTTGGACTTCGGTGCTGGTGTTCAAGACGGTCGAGTCGCCGCGGTATCTGAAGGGGTATTGTTTTTCCGCCGCCTTTTCGTTTCTGTTGATTTGCATGGTTTTTATTCTGCTGTCGTTCTACAAGAGCCAGGAACGAAAAGACGCCAGGTTGAACGGAATTGTGCTGTACAATTCTGGTTTGGCTGACACCGCGGAGGCAGAGGGGGGGACCGACACATCGGAGAGTGATGATAAGCTGGCTGTCGGATCCGAAAGAAAAGAAAAACATAGAAGTTAATGGGGTTTCAGAAACACGCAGTAACGGGACAGGTAGAGTTGAGTTGGAGTCGAGACTCCTAGCTCCAGATGGTCCTCTCCGACGGCAGTGATAGAGCAGGATCTCAAATGCTCTAGACTCAACCGGTTTTCGAACTGAAGTTCACATCTAGCTAGGAGATTCTAAGACGCGGTATAATCATTTCAACTAAATACTATACTTATCTACCTTGAAATCGGTCTTACCATCACTCTCAGAGACCTCTGCCGTGTCCATAGACTCAACAAGAGTCGAATTATACAGGACAATACCGTTCAGTCTGGCATCCTTCCGCTCCTGTCTCTTGTAGAAGAAGAGCATGACAAAAACCATACCCACAAGAATGAGGGAGAAGGCGGCACAGAAGCAGTAGCCCTTGAGGAACCTGGGCGACTCCACCGTCTTGAAAACCAGCACCGAAGTCCAAGTCTGACAGGTCTGCGCCACTGTGTTGACCAGCAGCAATATTATGGCCCGTTCCTGGGCATTATGACGACAAATGTCGTTGATCCAGGAATACAGCGAGGCCAACATACTCAGGGCAAAGTACGACGTGCACCAGGCTAGCCATTTGGCGGACTCGGGAACGTACCACACCGCCAGAATCACCGCTCCAATGATGACCCACAGCTCGGCAAAAACAATGGCCATCCAGCGGTTGCCATAGTCGGCAATTGTGACAACTATAGCGACCCAAGCAATGCCCAAAGCGGGGGCAATAGTTGACATGTTGTTGACCTGGGCCGAGTTGTACCGACCCAGAGAGTGTAGCCACAGAATGAAGGCTCCACTGGATGGAATCTGGCAGCAGCACCAAAAGGCGATACCTGTTGCCAGGGGGATCCACAGCTTCCAAGAGTTGAGAATGTTTTTCCACAGCTGTTTGTCAAACAGTTGCAGCTGGTGGGTATCATTGGGCCCTCTTCTCAGTCGTTCTCTAGCCAGCACGATTTCCTCTTCGGTCAGGAAGATGGAGGTGCATCTATGAGGAGTGCCGGGGAGAATCCAGATTCCCAGAAGACCCACGGGAAGCGTAATGATGCCGTCCAAAATGAACAGCCATTGCCAGCCCTTGTGGCCCAGATACTCGTGCAAATGAGTGGTTGCAGCTGCTGCCAAAAGACCCGAAGTTGTGGTTCCAAGAAACTGAGCACAGTAAACAAAACCTGCTCGCCGGTTGATTTCCCTCGGCTTGAGCCAGGATCCGAGCATATAGTGCATCAGCGGATACCATGCGGCCTCAAAAGCCCCCACAAAAAACCTCAGCGCTTGCACTCCACCTGGACTCTTGGCTTTGTAAAGCAGTAGAGTCATTAGACCCCAACCAAAGTCCATAACCGGCAAAATGTAGTTGTTGGGAAACTTGGGAATGATGTAAAGGAATGGTAGCTGGAAGATGATGGCCCCTGCCGAGTACATGGCTTGAGTTGTCACCAGATCATTACCTTTGAAATCGAGATCTTCTTTCATACCAGAAACATAGGCATTGTTGATGTTGGATTGATCCAGGTACTTGATCCAGTAGACTACGAAGCAGAATGCTGTGAGAATCACGTCCAACTTGAGAATCAGACGTCGTTCAGCAGGCGTATCTTCGGGATCAAACCATCCAAACCGTTTTAGAGACTTGACTGGCGTCTGTCTGTACTCGTACTCGTCGAAGAAGGCCCATTTGGATCGCTTTGCCTCGTCTCTGTATTCCAACGTCTGTTCTTTCTCTTCTTCTCGGTATTTCGGGTACTTTTGAAGCACAGCTTGGTACACTTTGGCCGAGGGTTCTTTGACTGGCGGCAGAAAAGAGAATTTTCTGAGATTTTCGAGCATTTTGGGTAGCGAAATCGACAGAAATCTGCCGCTATATACAATAAACGAGCCACTGGTGAAGAACTGGATCAACAGCAGCCACATATAAGTGAGCAATAGGAGCCACAATGGAGATACCGGAGATCATCAACATAGAGTTTTACAAAGTGGCAGATTGATTCGGAACAAGTCATCGTGATGGGTTGCAAAAGGTATTAGGAGAACAGTAATAGGTTACAATTTGAGAACATGCAATTATATCTTCTTCTTTACATACAAAAAAGCTCATCTACAGTCAACAGAAACCTCCGACGAAGATAACCTTTCATATAAGGTTTGGGGAAATAGCTAAAAAATAATATATATATTTTTGAACCATGGATCGTGAATGATTTTGTAAGACAACTAGAGGAGATATTGGTACCAATTGCATCTGCCAAGCCAGGGGAATTGATTCAAACAGTCTTGGCATATTGTCGTCATACAAAGTGGTCGATTTGAGCAGCGTGGAAGTTCCGAGGCACGCCTGAAATTAAGCTCTCGTGTAATTGGTGTATATAAACTGGCAATTGAGACGAGCCGTACCTCCCCCATTTCTACCGTGTGTATTCCAGGACTATTTCCAGTCACGCCCACAATTATGAGACATGTTTTCATGTGGCTGAAGTTTATGTATTGTGAATCTTGCAAGTCGTGGAAAGTCCGCCACAATTGGGGTACGAGATTGGTGTTCTGAGATGAACCAGAGTTCTGTTAGTGACTGGACCGACTCCAATGCTTCTTTAAGCGGTCCGGGGACTGCAGTCCAGATTCTTGCCTTGTCTTGTCATCTGTGTCTGTACAGAACCATTGCAATTCAGACGGAGCCTCGCAGTTGGCTCTACCATGGTGCATCAGCACCAAATCGGAGTCTCCACTGTGGCTTAAGCTACGATATAGAGTGGCTGATCACGTAGAACTGAGATGACTTTGGACTTACTGTAGATGGAATAGAGAGACCGCAGAGATGTGAGACTGTGTTGTATGGAGTTGGGCCAGGTGATATGGAGACGATTTTATCCATTAGATGCCTTTGACTCTCCTCTAGAAAATCTCAACCAATGGTTCTGTATTTATCCCTCTTTTTTTCTTCTTTTTTTCCCATTTTATTTATTTATTTATTATTATTTATTTATTTTCCCTTTCCCTAATGATTCATTTTTCCCATTTTGTTATTATTTTCCTAATAAATATAATTAGTCGTAACGCACCGCAGTTCGAATCCCCATCTCCACCAACCTTAATTCGCCGTCCCAAGATTCGCCACAGTCGTAAAGGTACGCCATCAGCACAGCATCCAGCACACAACATTTACATCTACAGCAACCAGACACAATGGTGAGTATTCCGAGCGTCAATTCTCCGGCAACATCGCACTAACCCAGTTTCGAAACTCGTACGACAACGATTCCGTCACCTACTCGCCAACAGGACGACTATTCCAGGTGGAGTACGCCCTTGAGGCCATCAAACAGGGATCAGCAGTGGTAGGCCTGGTGTCCAAGACCCACGCCGTGGTTGTTGCTCTCAAACGAAACGCCGAGGAGCTGGGCTCGTACCAGAAGAAGATCATCAAGGTCGACAACCATCTCGGAGTTGCTCTTGCTGGCCTGGCCCCCGATGCCCGTGTGCTGTCCAACTTCCTGCGTCAGCAGGCCATGTCTTCTCAGATGGTGTACAAGCGGCCCCTCGCCGTCTCGCGTGCCGTCTACGCCATTGCCGACAAGGCCCAGGGAAACACCCAGCAGTATGGACGACGACCCTACGGCGTGGGTCTGCTGATCATCGGCCACGACGAAGCCGGCCCCCACCTGTACGAGTTCCTGCCCTCCGGATCGGCTCTGGAGTACCGGGGAGCTGCCATTGGAGCCCGATCGCAGGCCGCACGAACGTACCTGGAAAAGAAGTTTGACACGTTTCCCGATCTGTCGCTGGAGGAGCTCATTGTTGAGGGTCTCAACGCTCTGCGAGACACGCTAGCCCAGGACAAGGAGCTGACGCTCAAGAACACGTCCATTGCCTACGTCGGCAAGGACACTCCCTTCACACTGTTGGACGACGACAAGGTGGTGGACTGGCTGGCCAAGCTGGACGGAGTTTCCAGAAAGTCCAACCCAAGACCCACCGGAGGGGAAGAGGCTGCTGAGGGAACCACGACTGAAGGTGAGCCCGCCGCTGCCGGCACTACGGCTGCTGCTACCGATGCCCCTGCCGACGCTGCTCCCGACGCCGATACTATGGACACCACTGAGTAGATGACTACGTATCAAGTGGTTGAGCATTAAGTGGTTAGAAGAGGGATGGTTCTAGACTTGTTCTGTGACAAGAAAACATCCTGTGGAATAGTTTAGGGTGGTTATGTAAGAATGAGGTTATGTAATAATGGAGGATTGTTGGATAGAGCGATGGTTGCGAAGCACGGATCGCGAGTAATGTGGCGGCAGAAGTAGTTGTAAGTATCTACAGAGTAGCCCGCTGTAGACCTCTTTGCCGTCACTGTGACAACAGAGAGATGAGTTTTATCACTGTCAGGAATGTCTGCTGGAAACTGCGTATTTCCGGCTGACTCCCTAGCCACAGACATATCCTCTCCACAGATACCATCCCCGCAGATACATCCACTCTTCCTGCTACCTGCATCTTGGTGACTTTCAGGCAGCACCTGAAGACCCATAACAGTTGGTGCTTTGGGTCCAGCTCCGTTCGGGCTCCTTCACCAGGAATTTGAAGTTGCTGAGGGGATATCTGCTCTCGTCTGGTGGGCCCCGTATCACTCTGAAGGAAGTAGGAGGTGGATCAACGGCGGAGGATGGACCCGCAAACTTGAATACGGCTAGTTTGGAAGGCCAAACCCCGGTCTTTGACTTCTGAGGAGGTTTGGAGAGCTCAGACGATGCTCTGGAGCCGCACAGTGTCGAATCGTCGTTGGTTTCTTTCTTACGAGAGAATCGTAGAAAGCCCATGTTGATGATGGTGAGATGAAGAAAAGGTGTTGTTGGTTGTAGCGAGAGAGCAATTGAATCGTGTAATTGTGTCTCAATATTGCTGGCCAAGAGTTGATAGTAAGGCACTGCAAGTCTTGTGTGGGACGGTACGGTATTTGACCCCACAAGCTGTAGATTCCTCCTGACTCACTGGAGCCATGAAACGACAAGACCAAGTCACGTGAAAGAAGCAAAAAGTGGTCAACTACCAAAGAAACAACAGAGCGATCCAATCACGGCGCCTCCAGCCCGTTATCTGTGGTATTAATCCGGCCTAGAACGTGACTCCAGTGTCTCAAAAGAGACATACATGCTTCAACTTATGCATATCTATGCGGCTCAAAGCTTGGCAGTTGGCACATATAGTGACGATAGAACCAGATTGAATGTAGATATGGGGGTTTAAAGGGCTTCTTTTGGTCAATAATGGAAGATAAATGTAATTTTCTCTTTTCTTCCGTTCAAAATGGGCAATTTGACGTGTTTTAGCTCCATCTACATGACGTCACTACCCCACCCAAAAAGCTTGGCTCACGTATAACAGCCGGCTTTCGGCCCAATCGTACTCAACATCGAGTGATTACTGTATGTACGGTACCTGTTTGTTTAACCGGATCTAAGTTGATTCATGGACTGATTCCGTCGGGGTTCAATCGGATACTACTTGTAGCAAGCACACTTGCCAATACTTGGCCGTACTCACTATTTCGAACTAGAGGAGCCGGGTGAACTCGAGGCTTAGTCTCGACATGGTATCTACAACATTCCACTTGTAGAAATCATTAACAGAGCAAGTTCAGCAGCTAGAGGACAGTCATCGACTTGCCTAGCTCTCAATATTGAGAGGACCATGTATGATCTTCAACAGAAATTTTTGATGATTCGGCGACAAATCTCGTACCAAACTCGTAGACTCTGAAGAGCTAACTATTTTGAACTTGAGAATACTCGGACTATGGCTTCAACCCTTGGCATCCCTTGCAGTTCTTTTAGCAGCTACAAGTAGTTTCACCATGCTCAAATGTCTGGCCACGATTTAACTGATCTACAGTGTCCGTCTACAGTGTCCGTCTACAGTGTCCGTCTACAGTGTCCGTCTACAATACTACACCGTCGCCATGTCATCAAGTCAAATCAACTCATATATTCATCATATGTACAATATTTACAAACACTCCGCTTACTCCTTCTTCTCGTCGTTCTCAGAGTTGTTGGCGGCCTTGTCCTTGTAGACCTTCTCGAAGAGCTTGAGAGAAGCCTCCTGGAGAGCATCAGTCTTGGTCTTGAGGTCAGTGGGGTTGACATCCTCACCACCCTGGATTCGAGCAACGGACTCTCGGAGCTCAGCAATCTGGGCCTTGACCTTCTCGGCCTCGGCCTTGTCAATCTGGGCCTCGAACTCGTTCATGGAAGACTCGGTGTCGTTGCAGATCTGGTCGGTTCGGTTAGCAGCCTCAACGGACTCTCGTCGAGCCTTATCCTGCTCCTTGTACTTCTCGGCATCGTTGACCATCTTCTCAATCTCGGTATCAGAGAGACCGGAAGATCCGGCAACGGTGATGGAGGAGTCCTTGTTGGTGGCCTTGTCTCGGGCAGAGACGTTGATGATTCCATCGGCATCAATGTCGAAAGAAACCTCAATCTGGGGGACACCCTTGGGGGCGGGGGGGATACCGGCAAGAGTGAAGTTACCGATCAGCTTGTTGTCTCGAACAAGCTCTCGCTCACCCTGGAAAACTCGGATCTCGACGGAAGTCTGACCCTGAGCGGCGGTAGAGAAGATCTGGGACTTCTTGGTGGGGATAGGAGAGTTTCGGTTGATGAGTCGAGTGAAGACACCACCGAGAGTCTCGATACCAAGAGACAGAGGAGTAACATCAAGCAGGAGGACATCAGTGACCTCACCGGCAAGAACAGCACCCTGGATAGAAGCACCAATGGCAACAGCCTCATCGGGGTTGACGGACTTGTTGGGCTCCTTGCCAAAGATGGACTTGACAGTCTCAATGACCTTGGGCATTCGGGTCATACCTCCAACGAGGATAACCTCATCAATCTGGGAAGAGGTGACACCGGCATCCTTGAGGGCCTTCTCGACGGGCTCGACGGTTCGCTTAATAAGAGGACCGACAAGAGTCTCGAGCTGGGATCGGGACAGCTTGGTGTTGATGTGCTTAGGGCCGGAGGCGTCAGCAGTGATGAAAGGAAGGTTGATCTCGGTGTTGGAGGTGGAAGACAGCTCGGTCTTGGCCTTCTCAACGGCCTCTCGGATTCGCTGGATGGCCATTCGGTCACCAGAGAGGTCAATGCCGTTGTCCTTCTTGAACTGGTCAACAAGGTGTCGGACAAGAACGATATCGAAATCCTCACCACCAAGGTGAGTGTCACCGTTGGTAGACTTGACCTCGAAGACACCCTTCTGGATCTCGAGAATGGAGATATCGAAAGTACCTCCACCAAGATCGAAGACGGCAACAACCTTGTCGTCGTTCTTCTCAAGACCGTAAGCGAGAGCGGCGGCGGTAGGCTCGTTGACAACTCGCAGAACGTTCAGGCCAACAATCTGACCAGCGTCCTTGGTGGCCTGTCGCTGGGAATCGTTGAAGTAGGCGGGGACGGTGACCACGGCGTTCTTGATGGTCTTTCCGAGGTAGCCCTCGGCGGTCTCCTTCATCTTGTTGAGGACGAAACCTCCAATCTGGGCGGGGGAGTAAGTCTCGCCCTGGGCCTCAAGCCAAGCGTCACCGTTAGAGTGCTTGACAATCTTGAAGGGCACCTGCTTGATGTCGTTCTGGACCTCGGGGTCCTCGAATCGTCGACCAATCAGACGCTTGGTGGCGAACAGGGTGTTCTCGGGGTTGACAACGGCCTGTCGCTTGGCGGGGACACCGACAAGTCGCTCGCCGTCCTTGGTGAAGGCAACGACGGAGGGGGTGGTTCGGTTACCCTCAGCGTTCTCAATCACCTTGGGGGTCTTACCCTCCATGATGGCGACGGCGGAGTTGGTGGTACCGAGATCGATACCGATGACGGCACCCTGGACCTTTCCAGAGTTGAATCGCTGCTGGAAGGCGGGGAGTCGGGACTGGGTTAGTACGATGCGGAGGGTGTGGGTGGATGGTGTTGATCGATCACCGATTGATTGAGAGCCATGGCTCACTGAGGTGGCACATTATAGGGGAAAATTTGCAGACAAGACATCAAGCATGTCGCGGGGGCAAGCACAACACAAATGCACAATTGTCATTGTCTGTGTGTCCATCGTCTGTCGCATGCCATCTTGTCGTTTGTGTGTTCCGCAGAAATCCGGATCGTAAGCCCAAGGTGAAAAAGCCCCCCTCAGTATGTTCCATCAATCGCTCAATTCGCCGCGGGATCCTCCCGGTCGCATACTCACGGTTCTCAGAGCAGAACGGGCAAATCTAGAAGCCAACATTGTGTGTAGTTCTTTTTTATCGACCTAGCAAAGATGGAGAAAAAGAGAAACAAAAAAGTCGTGGAGAAGGAAATGCACTCTGCCTTTAACTGAAAATTTGATTTTCCACCGTCTTCTCTGAGCGCTGCCCTAGCCTCCAAACCCTAACTCTAAAAGCCTTGTACCCCGACTTCCCAAACCCAACCTCTCCGCCTCTATCCGTCTAGAAGGTTCCATCGAGCGACAGCAACCGGTCGATAAGCGGTCCATGGAGGCGGCGGTGAGCTGAGACATGAGTTCCATTTGCCAGACAGACGACCATGGATGAGTGGGTGAGTGCTGGTGAGCGCTGGTGAGTGCTGGCGAGTGCTGACGTGGCTTATGATTTGTATTATTGCTCTGCATAGTACATTTGTTTGGCACCCTTACAATAATTGTGACTGCTCACATGCTACCTCCCTCTCGTGTCCACCATCACAATTGTCAATGCCAATTGCCACAATACATGCAAAACAGCGCCATTTCCACTCATTCGGCGGCCATCCTCGCTCCAACACCTCGATTGCTCTCAACCATAATGCACCGTGACTCCGAGCTGTCCTGCAACTCTTTTTTCGCCACTATCGTGGGTCGCACATTTGGTGGGAGACCACCGTCAGGTACGGCAACCGGAGGCGGACCAGTAGCGGTAGCTGTTGAACGGCGAACACAGGTGACTGAACACAGACATATATAGATGCAGATATAACAAACGGTGGTGGTGTTCAGAGTCCTTACTCTATGGACTCGCTGAGGTTGGTTTTTTTTTCTGGTTTTTTTCCTGGTTTTCTGGATTTCCTGGTTTTTCTGTTTTTTTCTGGTTTTTCGTTCTTGTAACAAGTAAACTCTTTTTGCCGCCAAGTGTGTGGCAATTACCGCGGAATAATTAGTGGATCGTGGGTTGTGGATCTCGGGTTGAGGACTTACTCTTCAGAGATATTTCTGGAACTATTCTGGAGCTATTCTGAAGCTATTCTGGAGCTATTCTCCTAGCTTGTCAGAATACTGTTCTATCTGGAATGATGATAAATGGCGTTTGATCTGTAGGCTGATGGTATTGTCATATCAGGAAAATGCAGTTATGCTGTAATACATGTAATTACACCATCATCAATACATGCATGCTCAGATCATACTCATCTACCCTGCTGACCAGGTCCTACTCTGGACGACGAGTAGAAGTCTCGTCTGGTGGCGTCTGTTTCCACCCAGAAATTTAAGTAGTTATCCTTGATTTTCTTTTTTACATTTTTCCCAATTTTCATTTTTCATTTTTCATTTTTCATTTTTTATTTTTATTTTTATTTTTATTTTTATTTTTATTTTTATTTTTATTTTTATTTTTATTTTTATTTTTATTTTTATTTTTATTTTTATTTTTATTTTTATTTTTATTTTTATTTTTATTTTTATTTTTATTTTTATTTTTATTTTTATTTTTATTTTTATTTTTATTTTATTAACTTTTCATTATTTTTTCATTATTTTTTCATTTTCAATTTTCAATTTATTCTTATTCCAACTCCATCTCCCCACCTCCATATCACTATGACGATCCCTGATCTCCTCCCACCCTAATCCCTGCAACACTGTGGCTTGAAAACGTCAATAACGCACCGTCCCAACCATTAAAGCTTCATGTGCAGCACCACTGCCATTGACACTACACCATCGCCCCAGGATCCACTGATCCGAATATCGACAGATTTGAGACATTGACTGATACAACCTACGTGACATTTACGTGATACTGCAGATCCCACCACTGGTTTATCTGCGATTGATACTCTTGTGATCTCAATTCAATCCGTGTTGAACCGTACAGTAGTACGATATCATACGACACTCCAGTTGAATACCGGTTACTCGCACATCCACGACGACTAAACGTGTGATATACAACTGTTCGCTGTTCGTTCGTTGGTAACTGTTCATCCGCTGCCATGTTCACGTCCATCCCCATCATCGACCTGTCAGAGGACACCCCAACCATCCTCGCTAAACTGCGACCAGCTCTTTTCAACGTGGGTTTCTGCTACATCAAAAACTATGGAGTGGACCCTGGTCTCATCCAACGAGTGACCGAGCTCGGGAAACAACTCTTTGATCTTCCCCAAACCGAGAAACAACGTATCGACATGTCCAACTCGCCCCATTTCCTCGGATACTCGCGTCTCGGAGACGAAATCACCAAAAACCAGACAGACTGGCGCGAACAAATGGATCTGGCCACCGAACTGCCTGCCCCCAAGGACGACGAACCGCTCTACAGACGCCTGCGAGGCCCCAACCAATGGCCTGATGAAAAGCTCATTCCTGGCTTCAGACAGGCCTTTGAGGCGTACATTGAACAAATGGGCCCCGTGTCGATCCACTTTGTGTCTCTGATTGCACAAGCTCTGGGTTTGGAGGCGGATGCCTTCGCGCACCTGTTTGAGCAACACCAGCAGCACAAGCTCAAGGTGGTGCGGTATCCCGATGTGGACGAGGTCAAGGTGAAGGTTGAGGGAGAGACAAAGGTCAAGGGAGGTGTCAAGAAAGAAGATCCAGTTGATATTGATGTCAAGCTGGAGCCTCAGGAGTCCTCCCTACATGCAGACGAGACTAAGGTGAAACTGGAGGATGAGCCTGTTGAGATCAAACAAGATGATGATTCCATCGAACGAAAGGCATCCGTCAAGCAGGAGTGCCATGCCGAACGCTCCATCTACACTCAAGGAGTGGGGCCTCACAAGGACTCGGAACTGACATCTTACCTGCTGCAATGCACTCCACATAGAGGTCTCCAGGTGCTCAATTCCAACAACGAATGGATCGATGTGCCACCGATTGAAGGCACCTTGGTGGTGGCTATGGGTCAAGCCATGGAGGCTCTGACTCGGGGATACTGTGTGAGCACCACTCATCGAGTTCTAGCGCCCGAGGCTGGGTCTGGTTCCCGATTCTCAATTCCCTTCTTCCAGGGAATTTCCTATGATGCCAACTTCCGAGACTTCAAACTGCCTTCTGAGGTAGAAGAGAGTCTCAAGAAGAACAAGGTGGTGACTGAAGACACGGGTCAGTACAGACACGACATGTTCAGCAATATTGGAGAAGCCACGTTCATGAACCGGATCAGAAGTCATCCTACAGTTGCCAAACGATGGTATAAAGACGTGATTGATGTCACCAAGCTGGACACCTTGCCCAGAGTGCTCAGCCGTCTCAGCCGCATCTTCGCAGGAGCTGAGAAAACAATGATGTTCCACAACTCGCCTCTTCCTCTCAGTTTCGACGACTTTGCCAGATCGGTTCTTGAGTACTCGCACGAGAAGGTGACTCGAGATGATCTTTCACAGCTCTTCGCTCTCTGGCCCAATTTGTACAGAACCGAGGTTCGACGCGATGGAATGCTCATGTTGTCTCTTGAGAATATCACCTCTGTGGCTCTTACGCAGACAAGAGACGCTCGTCAGAAGCAGTTTGACGACCTGTGTTGGAAATGGCTCAGACAACATCCGGTCACGTGGTCCAAAGGTCCAGAAATTGATCAGAAGAAGCAGTCATCTTTTACGAAGAAGAGAGGCATTTCTGAAACTGCAGAGTCGCTCAGAAAGACTCCGGTCACGAAGCAGCGCATTTTCAAACTGGCTAAGCCCGATACCAAGCTTGGAGGCACGGTGTTGGAGCGGATCAAGGCCCGGAAAGCGGCTTCGGCGCATCTTAACAAGAAGTCCGAACAGGAGGAGAAGTCTGAGTCCCAACAGCGGTTCCTCGACTCCAATATCCCACGAGTGGTAGATGTGCTTGTGGGGGCTGGTAAGGGTAACAGTACATCTATTCCCATGGATAGGGCTATTCGAATGGTGAATGACTCTGTGAGAAGGAACTTGTCGGAGAAGGAGGCAAGAGCCATTCTGGTGAGAGTCAGCCAAGTTGTTCCCAGTTTCTGTAAGCTGGTAGAGGTAGGAGACCAGGCGGTGTTGAGACTTGGTAAGAAGACGAGAGGAGCGGTTCAGGCGGAGTTGAGGGAGTTTGAGGAGTCTGAACATTCAAAGTAATACTATATAGCATTCAAAACGAGATCATGTCCAAAAATAAAACAGACACTTTTTACTACATACAGTACAGATAGAGACATAGAGTGAGTGACTAAAAGAGCGCGGCTCTACAACTAATCGTTAATGTTACTATATACATATTTACAAGAGACCTGGGAGTGGACTTAGATGTCGAAACCAAAGCCCTTCATGCACTCCTTGTAGGCGGAGATGAGAGGCTTGCATTTGTCGGAGTCGACGCCGTTAAAGAGCAGACACTCGTCTCGAGCGGCCTTCTCGTCCTTGCACACGCAGCAGGGCTTGGGCTTGTCGCCGGAAGGGATGGTGGTGTTCTTTCCGTCCTTGGTTTCAGATGCTAAGTTAGTATGGGTTCATGGAGGAGTGTTGACTTGGACGTCAGCGGCCCTAGACCACGCGTCGCAAACAATCTGAACATGCACCGGTCTGGAGCTGGCTGGCTTTGTAGCATGGGAATGTCATTTTGTACAAAACGGCACGACACAGCCGTCTCGACCTGCGTAGCTCTGAACACCTATCTGAACTGTTTGAGCTGTCTGAACTGTCTGAACTGTCTAAATTGTCTGAATTGTCTTAACTGTCTGAACTGTCGGAACTGTCTGAACAACTGTCTGGATTCTCCCCATATTTGTCCGGTACTCCGTGCAACTACGGTCCTGTGTCTGTGCTTTTGTGATCCGTTTGGGTCTGTGACGCTCTCCGCTGGTCTCGCTGGTCTCGCTGGTCTCGCTGGTCACCCCTCACCAGATATACTCACTGTTGGCAATAAGAGGCATGTGGAATGTAGTGTGTGTGTGATGAGATGAGGTGATTTGGTCCACAGATTTGTGCACGGTTACCGCTCAAACGGCCAAACTTTATTTCTGTCAAATAACGTTTGGATGACTAATGGATTCACCCTAAAGTGAGCAAATTGAAAAAAGACGCCACAGTTGAATGCGTCCCATATGCACGTGTTTGGAAGCACCAGCCACATTCGCCACCCAGATTCTTCCGTTTAGCTCCGGCAGTTATGGTGGCACCTCACGTGATGTCACGGAGAGGATATGGAGATTTGCAAGGCTGAAATGGACGTCGGCCAGTGATTGTGTGGTTCGATTGTCGATGTGTCAAAAGGAAGCTAGATCAAAAGAAGTTGATCAAAAGACGGCGAACGGGCGACGCCACGGGCCCACATACTGGTCGGTATCCTTATAACGAGCACAATATGAGAAGATTGTATGCAGAGTGAAGAGTGCACTCCCGTGCTGTAAAGGAGCCGTGTTGTAAAGGAGCCGTGTTGTAAAGGAGTCGTGTTGTGTTCACTGCGGATTCGAAGACAACGGATTTACTGTACTTGTCGGAATACTCTTGCCGCTGGTCTCGCAGTTGTACCACAGCTAGAGACGGAGAAAAGAACAGATGCTTGGATTATACTGTAGTTAGATGGAAGAGTTTTCATCTGGAGCTTCATAATGACCCTTTTTGGTTCAAGACCTTCCGGGAGAGAAAAGATATTGCTCGACTAGAACCCCTCGAGTGCGATCACATGGTTTACGCAGTCATCAAGACGCCTGATGAAGCGTTTAGAGAAGATGACAATGCCAAACAGTCGATCCAGACTCTACGGATCTCTTCCCGGACCGTTTCCGAAATGGGATTCAAGAATCTCATCCCTCGAACAGGCGAATACAAAGTGTTTCCTCCAGGACACTTCACCAAGGACCTCACCAAGGACCTAGCTCGGTACGTGCGGTTCTCCAGTGCCTCTTATGGGCAGTCGTTCATGAGACTTCTAGGTATTGGCCTTTTCGATGTGCCCTTCAGCACCACCGCAGTTCATCATTCCGAGCATCATACCTTTGCCCACCATGCCAGGGTCAGTCTCGATCAGATTTTGTTATCCAAAAAATGCTATAGCGACAAAAGACGGTGTATACTTCCAGTGGCATTCTGCTGGACCATTCATTGTTGTGGACCACGATCCCAAAGCGGTAGTTCTGACAAACAGAGGAACCTGGGGTCTAGACGACGTGCTCACCTATATGTCCTGTCGGTTCGTCATACAAGGCCCACCACGGCATTTCGAGACGTGCCCGCAGCATAATTCGCAAGAACAGCCGTGTTCTCCACACCATCAAAACCGCCATGGACGGAATGGGTCCCGAGTATGACCATTCTTTTGGTAGAGTTGGGGGCGAGACCAAGAAACGGCTGTTTGTCCAGCTGGCCACCAGAGTGTCGTGCATGTACCGGCAGGATGACGATCTGTTGACTCTGGAAAAGACTCGGCGGGGCCAGATTTAGAGAGCTTGTTCCTCCTGAACGAGTGATCAATGTGTTGCTAGAAGTTCACCAGGGCCGAGCCAAGAAGGCGAATCGCGAGGTTGGCAACTTGTGTTGGATGTGGAGCGGCTGTTCGGGGAGCTTGGTCTTCAGAAATGTGTATATTAATGATTACTCACCGATTTATTATGAGCAGGCCTTGAATACCTTGGAGCCCCCAGGTAGATTCCGAACTCAAGCTGTTGAAGGGGGTGGTCAAGTACGACTACTAGTTAGACGTCATTATAAGAGTTGAAGAGAGAGCTCACGGCTGGAAATTGAATGTTTGTAGAGCAGCATCGTGGTTCTCGGTCGTTTGCAGCCTATTAGTAGAGGCTATGGTATGTACAGGTAGGTACTCGAGACCCTAACAAGAGGGTATCCTGGTTAAAAAATGTATATAAAGCCTGGATATCTCTGCCCCCAATCCCAATAACGACAACCAGAGATCACACCCGACGTGAAATAATGCACTGGAACGTTTCATTCACATATTTACACACGTTTCCCATCGTCCTGTCTCTAGAACCCCCATTGTAACATCGCCATAGAAGCCCGAAGCAGACTACAAGAAGCAGACTAAAAGGAAACTGACAGACATTCCGAACGAGGCGAATCAGAATGTAGCAAAAAAGTCACGGCGTTTTAAACCGTTGACTCCCCCACAGGGGCTCGAACCCTGGACATTTCGGTTACGATGCTCTTAGGGTTACTAAAAGCCGAACGCTCTACCAACTGAGCTATAGGGGAAATAAACTTTTTAAACCCGGAAAAGTTGCCTTGTACTATTTGAAATCTGTTGAAAAAAAGGGGATTCTGCAATCAAAAAAAAAAAAAAAAAAAAAAAAAAAAAAAAAAAAACCACGCCGAAATTGGGGTCTTGTCACACAGTTTTATGATATTTAGAACAACGCTCACATTCAAAACTGCAGAAGCTATTCCATAAATGCCCATTGTTCAAATCAGATCGAAATTGAAAGATTTCCGTTTGATTCACATCCGACCTTCTGCGTAGTTCAACTGCTTCTAGGACATCTACTACATACGATACCGGTAGATTTTATCAAACAAGCGAGGCTCAAAATTCGATACAGATATCATAAACCCTAATATGACAATCGTTCCAACTTCTTATTACGAACATGTCAAGATCTCGAGCATCACCGGCGCAGTACCTGGGGTCGATGAGCCACAGGACGTTGCTGAACCTGTGTCTGAAGACAAGAGGAGTACAGCTTCCACCTCCAAAGATGGGGGGGGGAAAACTGGATCTCACTTGTCAGAGGTGTCATCACAGCCTCGTACGAGGGCCCGACCAAGAAGTGACATGTAAGTCGTCAATGTGTTTGTTATATAAATGTCACTTTATTCAACATTAATGAATAAGTATATGGAGTACCGTTGGTGTTTAAATACATTCTATCTACAGTTTTTGCCTCTTGTAAGCCTTCTGCTCCTCTCCAACTCTCTTGAGAGACTTCATGGTGACATAGAAGAAGTCTCGGAGACCTTTCAGGCCGTATTTGTTGGCAGCAAAGTCCAACAGTCCCTGCTTGTACTGCTGATTAGTAAGTTTCAGCCCTCCTCTGTACTCGTTATCAACCAGAGATTGGGCAGTAACTGGACCCTCGTGTCTTCGCTCAATGTCTGCTTCCTCCTCAAGACTCCACAGATATACCGCTGCAATGTGCGACATTGCTGAGGACATTGTCAGTCCGAAAACAGTATCTATCGTCGCCGGGAATCGTAGCAGGGAAGACAAGGATTCGAGGAACTGTGAATCCAACTGTAGGTGTCTGTGGCTCCATAGAGCACAGCTAAGTTCAGTGACAGCTGTTTTGTAGCTCTCGGAAGACAAAGACACGTCTCTGAGAAGAAATAGCACACGTGCAAGTCGCGATAACACGGAGGGATCTGCCTGTGCAGTGTAATACTGGGTGACTGAGAGCGAAGGGATTAACGGACGTGTAGGGGTAGTCTTCACGGTGAAGTAAGCTGCTGTTTCGTAGTAAGACAGGGTCGCAGATACTGGAACCTTGTAGACGAGACTGGAAACTGTCGAGTGGATTTCTCGTGCACATGATTCACGTCCAGGACCCTCAGTGTGCAGTGTGGACCAGTTGTTCAGCAGCTTGGTGAGACACTCGACCAGTTCAGTGGGATGGTTAGTTAGTTTTTCCAGAATGGCCTGTCTGAAGGTGATGGGGTTGAGTAGAGGCAGTTGGGCAAGAAGTGTCCAGGTGGTTGGTGGGAGAGTGTCGCTATTCTTTATATGTTTGACTAGACAGCTCACCACAGCCAGTGGCATGGTCTTTGTGTATTGCATGTATTCCAGCACTTTCTTTTCGTCCATGTTTTGCGTGAGCCATCGGTTGAGACGCTGGTCATCTAGCTGGGTGGCTTTAAGGTGAAACACTCGTGCCAGAGTCGAGTTTCCAACCACATTAGGAAGTTGCTTCGGTATGGGTTTATCGATTGCAGCAACTATTTCTCGCAACTGGGCCGTGCTCTGATACAAGATGGGTTTGTTTGTGTTTCCAAACACGTGAATGACCTTCTCCAGCAGCTTTTCGTCAGGTGAGACTGTGCTGTGTTTGCTTTCGCTCCATTTCATGTCATTTGGAGCCTGTAGGAACGGCTTGAACTGCGAGTACAAGGTCAGTAATGCATCCACGTAGCCAGACGTGCGAGGATCTCGGTTCTTGTTCTTGATCTGGAGCAGGGTATCGTATCTCCATGGTTGTACGGACTCGGAGGTGGTGCTGATAAACAGCAAGGAACAGAGGTAGGGGCGCAAAGACTCGTAGTTGAGGTAGTTGAATAGCACCGTGTACAGCGAGTTGATGATCTGGCTGTCTTCCAGGAACGGGTGCACGGTGCAGAGCCATTTCATGAGTGCTATTTGGGTCTTGAGACTCGGTTTCGAAGGTGACAATCCGAGATTGGAAGAGATGCGAATGACCGTGCGGGAGAGAACCGGTTTGTTGGGGATCAAGAGGCTGGGAAGCTGGTTGGTGAGAAACCCGGGGCAGGAAGGAGATACCAGCTTCTTGACCACCGAGTCGATCTGTTCGGGTGACAGCCCATTGTTGCTGATTTCAAGGGTGAGGGTGGGGATAATCGCGTTGCAAATTTCCCTGTCGGTTGAATCAAGCAGATCCGACAGGCTCATGGTGTTCCTGGCCGATAGACACGCGTTTGACGCGTTATTGTAAGTGTTGTTGTGGTGGAAAATAGCTGCATGTGCTCGCAGATAAGAGGTGATGAGGAAGTTTATTGGGTCTTTGTTTAAAATATAAAAAGACGTAAATACAGAGAAAATTTATACAAAATTAGTATCAAACTGATGACTAAAAGGAAGATAATACAATGGTGTTAACGGTAATTCTTTGGCTCTTATCATACCTATGTTCAAAGCGTTATTAACGGCATAAGGTTGCTGTCGTTTTTTTTTTGTTTTGTTTTTTGTTTTGTTTTTTTGTTGTTTTTTGTTTTTTTTTGTTGTTTTTTTGTTGTTTTTTGTTTTTTCGATGAAAAATGATCCGAAAGCTTTCACACTTGAAATGGGGCAGAAATGGAGTGCTTTTAAGACTTTTTCGAACATTTATCGTTAATTTAACAATAGTTATGCGGTATTTGGGTCTCTTTGAACCGATTATATAAGCTGGATCTTAGGCAGACGGCGGACAAGAGAAAGTCTGTACGTTCTATTGAAGATCATAAGTATTATTGATGTGATATAGTTAATTAACAACTTACAACCCACTTCTAGGGACACGACGCTCCGATAGTAGCACACACCCTTCTGGTGTGTGCTTGCTCATTCACCAGAAAAGAGATTCTAGATCAGTGGATACTATCTACAGGATGGAAATCTCGTCTACGACCCAGCTGATTCCTCTCATTACTATGTGGTTACATTTGAGGAATTAGCCAGGTATTACCCTACCGGGTATTACCTTCAACACGTTCCAGCTATAAGCACGAGTGCCGGTACGAGTACAAGTACAAGTAGAGATTTTGGTGACGTGTAGAATTGATGACTTGTTCTTTTTGTGCATTCATTTTATGTTAACAAGCTGTTTGGCGAATCCAGCTAAAATAAATCAACAAACAGTGCTGTTGTTTAGGCCGGCGTTTCGCCAACAATACCAGTTGGAGATCCAACTAAGTTCAACTAAAAAGTGTGGATACTCAGGCTAACTAAAAAGTGTTGATACTCCCCAGGAAACGCCCGGAAGCAAGGCCAAGGTGAATAAAATGCCAATTCCTCGCTAAACCCTTGTCTGGGTAAATCTACTTTCGCCCCGTCTACCCTGCTTCTGGTGCTGTCTTGTTCTCATCATGTCTTACGTCAGATAATGCCCCACAAACCACTGTCAGACACCCGGAGACACAGGTGACATGGGAGGGGTTTTAAGCGGCGACTGTGACGTCAGGTTCAGGTGGAGGAGCGGTGTTTGTGATGCTTGTCACATCTCCAGCGTCCTCCAGCGGTGATTAATTACGTCACTTTGCGTGCCTTAATTCCGGTTAATTCCGAGGCCGAGAAAAACAACATCCTGTCCACGAGCGCAATTTTCGGGGAGACTGCGGACTTGGCCCGCTATAGGTACAAATACCCTCTTGGGGTCGCTCAAGCCGCCCTCAATCCGTCGATTCTCGTTCTCTGTCTGCCAATGGAGCGGGATACTTGTCGCTGTAGGACAAACAAGTGCAGTATGTAGCTCATTTCAACTCTCGATAATTCGCCAGAGCTTGAGCTTGAGGTTGAGGTTCGCATTAGATGCTTAACGTCATTTGACATTGCCGCCAGGGAAGCGCTGTGGACCGAAATGGCCCCGGCACCTGGGTCTCCACCCTGGTGCATGCGACAGACATGTTTCAAACATGTGCCAAAACCGCACCAGAGTGTCAGACTCGCTCTCCAACGTCCCAGGGTATATCTCTCGGTTGCTGCGACGCACAGCCCGCGTCAGATGTCGATCCCCGCATGGTTTCTGGGGAAGAGTGCAAGGTTGCAAATGCACATGTCACATGTTGATGGAGAGCCAACGATAGACGAGTACGAGTACACGAAACCCGAACATCCACGTGGAGTTAGCGGAAGCACTACTGTAGAATGGATCCGGTGGGATTGCAGTAGTGCAAGGGTAAACGTTTCCTACTTGCCTGTTTCGGTAGCGGCGGCGGTCGGTGTCAGTACCTGATGGTATGCAGTACATACACGCGCACCGGAGCACCCGCCAGAAGCAGACGCACTTATTCCAATGGGGGAAAAAGTCGCTATGTACGAGCACAAGTACCATGGACAATGAACACCCACCTCCTATCCTGTTGTATTCTCAGAACTGGAGTGCGAGGAATCTGTGCAAAACGCTGACCATCCCTAGTTCACCCCTGTCACTAACCTGCTACCGGTATTTTACTACTACACATTTTGTATGCACAGTTGACACCAAGGTGGACATCTGCCACAAGTCCACCAATGTGGACCCCAGTCTTAGTAATACCTGCCGATCACCGTAGATCTAGGCGGTCACAGGTGTTGCTTCCATCTTGGCGGTCTGGATTGTGCCCTAGCCGACACAGCACCACCTTCCAAACTGCACCGGGCCAAACCAGCATCAACCCAGCAACTAATTAGTGGCTCTATAACTACAAGTAGCAGAGCGACTAAAGCCCCTGACTCAACAAAGTTGTTTGGATAAGGCTGGTGCAGTAGCGGTGCTAAAATGGCCGATGCGAAAACAACAATAGTCCAAGACACCCTAAAGAGCGGCCACAAACAGCTGCCGGCGGCTTGGCGACAAACACAAACAAGCCAGACCAAGACAGCGGTCTCACCAGAAAAAATGTGTCCGTGTCGGTCATCTATTTTAGCTCCCAATGCCACGTACATTTTTTTGGAATTGAGTTTCGCTTGTTTGTCTGGGGTTTGGGGGGAGAGGAGTCTGTAGATTTCGCCACAGAAGATATATCAAGATGAATATAACGGGAATCGAACAAGCTACCCGACAATGATCCATTTATATCATTAAATGATGGTCTCGTCATACAAATTCCGCCCGTTTTGGGCGTCACAATTTCAACAACCCCACCTTCAGGCTACCCCACTCTAACCTTGCTTGTGCATAAGCGGTACCTAACCTCTGCAAAGTCAAACTTGGGTGGGACAGTACAAGTAGCAACTGAGAGTATTACAAGCAGCCAATAAAAGCGTTGGCAGTGTGTGCGAAATCGACTACTGTATCGTACTTGCCCTTGTACTTGGTCGTACTTGGTCGTACTTGGTCGTGCTCATGTCCTTTCATGTATATATAATCAATAAATCTACTTGTGGATCAACCACTAAACCCTCATCTAAGCGTAAGTAATTTCTCCGAGACGGTCGAGAATGGAAGGAGCTCGGAGATAAGGATCAATCTGCCAGTACTGAGATCGCAGCTTCTTGGTGAGCTCAGATCGCTCCTGCAGAAGAGGACCCTCGGTCTGCTTGGTGGACTTGATCCAGTCAATGGTGTTCTTCTCCAGGCCCGAGTAGATCTGGATTCGGTCCTGCAGCATCTTGTTTCGAGTGGCCTCGTCCTGAAGTCGGTCGCCCTCGCCCTCCTTGGGCTCAATGTACTCGTAGACAAACGGATCGTCTCCACCGAGCTCCTTGGGGATGTATTTCTTGGGGATGTACTTCTCGAGGTCCGAGGTGTTCTTGGTGAAGTGGATCTTGGAAGCCACCACGGGGTCCAGCCAGTTTTTGATGATGTTCCAGATTCCAGAGAAGATCCAAGGAGCCTTGTGGATGAGCAGAACTCCCAGACACTCGGGGTAGTGGGCCTCGAAGCACTTGATGATGAACTTGACGGCGGCGTAGTCCATGTTGGAGAGAGCAAAGCCGGAAAGATCGAAGAGCACGGCGGCGGTGTCAACAGGGTCGTTGAGGGTCAGTCGAGCGGTCTCGATGATGTGGACGGTGAAGTTCTCAATGCACTTCTCCTTCTGGGCCTTGGGGTTGTGGAATCGAGGTCGCACGTAGACAATGGGTCGGCCCTCGAGGTCTCGGCCGTGGATGTAGGCCTTCTTAGATCGCAATTGAAGCAGGAACTCCTCGTCGTTCTCCTTTAGGGCTCCCAGCTCGCCCTTAAACTCAATCTCCTCAACGTCGCCCTCCTGGAGACGCCACTTGAAGGTGGCGGCCATCATGGACAGGGCCTTGGGCACGTCCCACTTTCGGGCTCGCAGGAATCGCAGCAGCAGGTTGTCGGGGTTGTCGCATCGCACCATGTTCCAGAAAGCCAGTCGCAGCTGCTCAATGGAGATTGTGCCCAGCACGTCCTTGAACGAGGCCTGGTTAGACAGATCCTCCTCCGGCTCGGGGGCTGCCTTCTTTCGGCCAAACAGGCCTCCTCCAGACTTCTTGGGGGCCGGAGCCTCAGAGGCGGCCGCGCCTCCGGTGTGCACAGAAGCAGACAGCTGCTTGGCGGTGGTCTCGTCCAGAACTCCCATGGCGCCCAGAAGATGGGCCCACATGTCCTTGAGCTTGAGGGTCTGTTCGGGGGTCAGGTTGCCGTATCGTCCTGCTTGTGTGGCTACTGTCATTGTTGCTGTTGTTGTAAGATAAAGGTGGTTGAATGTGTCTAGAACCCACGAGCTCCCAGCTCCTATATATACCCACCGAGTCGCTGTACCCGTGCCCCTCCCACAGAGTCTATGTCTCCCAGGGTTTGTACGCTAAACTGGCTTTTTTCTGGCCACAGGAGTGACAAAAGGGCCCCCAAAAAAAAAAAAAAAAAAAAACTGAGACACAAGGACAGAGCTTATCAAATCCGGGGTGGGGGGAGCATGTGATGGTGGCTGGGATGGACACAACTCGACGAGTAGTGAAGATAATCGGATTCTGGGACCGGAAATCGACTCCCAGCGCCCAATTCACTCGGATCCAGTTCTCTCACGTGCAAATGGGCCCACCAGGATCCCACCAGCACCCCCTGCCCACAGTAGCTCCCCACAATTAGGGAAATGTAAAATGCGCCAAAAATAAGAGGAAAAAAAGGGAAAAAAAAAAGAAAAAAAAGAAAGACAGTTTGCAAACTCCGGATATGTCCGGGGACCAAACACACACCAAAACCACAGCAACTGAACACAGCGATTGGTGAAACAAGGAGCAACGGACGCGTGGAGCGGTCGAGGGGGGCGGACACAACTCGCAAAACCCGTTTCGGGAACGGTCCCACCTCCGCTCCTCCACGTCACGTGACTCACCCTCCACCCCGGGTCGTCCAAGTACAACATTCACATGCACTCAACATTTTGGGCGGGGAGTAAGCGAGTCTCCAGACAAAGCATATTTTTTATCAGCAGCATTTTAGAGTTGCGATGTGATTTGGGACAGGGCTGGGGGGGTTGGGGCGACTACAGAACGGCAAGGGGCTGGGGGAGTGTGGAATCTGGTTGGATTTTTTGGACCGGCAGGTTGAGGCAAGTTGATTGCACTTTTCAGATTCGCCATAGTCCCCATATCCACCCAGATACACACACCCTATGGTTCTCTCTCATCTTACGTCATGTCTCATTCGGAGATACGATCTGCATTCCGGGGTAATAGTGGGGTACACCGGTGGGAATTATTTTCGCTGTGGCCAGTGTGGTCTGGAACCCCACTCTACTTGAGCGACGCTACCAACCTTGTTGATACAATGGACGCTCATTGCAACATGGAACAAGGATACAGAAGAGCACATAGAAGACAATACGAGCCCCTCTTCTGTGAGACACCCACCCCCCTGTCCCCAACCAGACATGGTCGTGGGAGTGCGTGAATGTGTGTGTATCGTGTGTGTGTGTGTGTGTGTGTGTGTATGGCGAACGTGATTGTGATTGCGTCCTACACGCCTAGGTGGCCACGCAGAGCCCCAATGCACTCGCTCCAGTGGAGCTCTCAAGTCCGATAAATGATTAGTGGAGAGCGCAAAGTTGCGGAGCGTGTCATGCGCTTATACTACTTGTAGTTGCAAAAAGACTTGTGAGCGGGAAATGTCGGAGCTCTGAGACACCTCTGAGGGGCCGCCGTTGATATTCTTGAGATCGGCATGATTCTGGGGTACGAGTCTCTAGGTGAAACGAAAAATAAGACTGCGGGCCATGGGCCGGGAAAGTAGCGTGTACGAGCTTGGACCATCCAGTAGATGAAACAGAATAGCGGGGTAGATTAAACTGCCACTATAGATAGAGGCCGTTGAAAGATGTGGATGGTGGGGTGCACCAGCATTGTATTGGATTGATGGTGGGGCATTGTTTGACTGAGGGTGCAGTGTAGAGTTGCAAAAACCAATTATTACACACCCTCCAGACCCGGATATTACATGTACTGACGTGGAGTGGCTCCCTGAAGAAGTGTGAAACTGCAGATCTCGTTGTATACAGCTTTTTGTGGGGACTTTTCCTACAGGGTGTGCGAAAATAGCACCACACCTGTTCCTAGAACGCAGGGGTGTCAAGTAGTATCACGCCAAGATGGAGCTTGAGCGGAGTCCATGAGAGCTGACTGTAGTGTCCATGTTGGGTGCTTTGTTATTAGTTGGAGATAGTCTTGAGCAGTACTACCACTACGAACAACAGAGAACTCAGCATGCATGGAATGGGCCAGGAAAAGGTCGTGTGAGTATACGCGAGTGTACAAGGAGCCAAAGCAGCAGCCCTTGCATCGATTTGAGACCCCGCTTGACGCATCTGGAGACAGTTCCTGGTTCAGTTGTCACTAGCACGCGTTACATCAGCCGCATGATTATTGATCAAATATTAAGCGTCCACCGACGACTGACATTCTGACTGTTTCTTTGTACATTCTGGCGGTAGTGCACTTTGTCCGTCTGACACCAGACTACTGTTGTGCGCGACCTCGCTTAAATACATCATTGTGCATTATCTTGCGGTGATAGTGCAGTAGTCTTGGTGGGGTAGTGGGGTTTTGGGAGGTGAATTTTTGCCAATGTGAAACTGTTTGAAACGGAACTGAAAACGATGCTGAATGGCTGGCTAGAACATACTGGGCTCTAACTTCTGTCATTAGATGACATGGAGGACTGTTGAACATTGACAGACGTCTTTGGGCAAGTACAAGTAGCAGTCACCTATGGCAATCTCGAACTTACTGGTGTAGCCAGACAATCTGTAGCTAGACAATCTGTTTGACTAATGGTCGGACGGTGGCCATTAGAGAGATGAAGATGGATCCAGAAGTCGACCCGGTTCTGAGTTGCCGTCTGGAATGACTAATGGGTACAATACTGGAGAAGAAGAGACAGTTCAAGACCATTTGGTGCTAAATATAGATGGTAAGACAGACACATGAACGACTTGTGCAACCTTGTAAAGGGTGTTGCGCCGATGCCATGCCCTTCGGTGTAATCAGGGAGATTCCCGGGGAATTGTTCGTTCACCATTCGTAGAGGAATAAGACAACTCTAGATACCGTCATATCTGTTAAACGTGAGGTTTCCACCCACGGTTCTTCGGTCAGCATTAGATGGTGCTACAGATACAGTAACGACGAGCTCCAGGGGAACATGACAATCTCCTTCATACTCTCCCCCTCCAATTTAATCAGGTTTCCATTAGTATCTCGTCGTATATCTCTCCATAAGTGTCACTTATGCTCCGTTCCGAAAGCAGCATGTGCAGTACAATTGCGAATACGACGGCTTTTACGGGGTTTTTGAGAGATTGATTCGGATATGTACACTAACTGTACTCGCTTGGATTATAATAAACATCATCATATTCAATAATATACTACACTAGGCGCTTACTACGACAGACTTAGTAGTCATCGTTGTTGTAAGAGTCGTTGTTTCGGCCAGAAGAGCCGTAAGAGTCGTTGTTTCGACCGGAAGAGCCGTACGAGTCAGAGTTGGAGGATCCGTACGAGTCGTTGTTTCGACCGGAAGATCCAAAGGAGTCAGAGTTGGAGGATCCAAAGGAGTCAGAGTTGTTCTTTCGGCCAGAGGAGCCGAAGGAGTCCGAGTTGGAAGAGCCGTACGAGTCCGAGTTATCTCGTCCAGAAGAGCCGTAAGAGTCAGAGTTGTTGTTTCGTCCGGAAGAGCCGAAGGAGTCCGAGTTGGAAGAGCCGTACGAGTCAGAGTTGTTGTTTCGTCCGGAAGAGCCGAAGGAGTCCGAGTTGGAGGAGCCGTACGAGTCCGAGTTGTTGTTTCGTCCGGAAGAGCCGAAGGAGTCCGAGTTGGAAGATCCGTAAGAGTCGTTGTTAGAGGATCCGTACGAGTCGGACTTCTTGTTGGAAGATCCGTACGAGTCGTTGTTGGAGGAGCCGTAGGAGTCGGATTTCTTGTTGGAAGATCCATACGAGTCGTCGTTGGAGGAGCCGTACGAGTCATTGTTGGAGGAGCCGTAGGAGTCGGATTTCTTGTTAGACGAGCCGTACGAGTCGTCGTTGTTGTTTCGGCCAGAAGATCCGTACGAGTCGTTGTTAGAAGATCCATACGAGTCGTTGTTGGAAGATCCGTACGAGTCGTTGTTGTTTCGGTTGTTGTTGTTGCCGAAGTTGTCAGCGGCCTGGTTGACCTTGTCCTTAACGAAATCTCCGAGTCCCATTGTGAGTGATTGGTTTGTGTGTAGGTGGTAGTGGTTGAGTGTGGATGTGTGTGTGCGAGAAGCTGAGAGGGCCCAATTGGGCGAGCCCCTCCGTATTTATACACGAGCCCCCAGCTTGACACGACCACCCTGTGGTCTCGGTCGAGAGTATCCGCCCTTTACGCTTTCTTTGTGTGCCATTGACGTGCTCTGGTGGCCGGCCATTGAGTTTGGGCTCCCACACACTCCCACATATTTCGTCATCAGCGATTCTTGGCGCAGAAAAGGCGCATGGCGATTAGATAAGCGAGCCTGGGAAGCCGGGGCTCCAAACGGCAACCTGTGGGCTCAATTGGGCCCCAAAACCACCTCCGCGCCCACAAAACCACCTCCGTGCCCTCGCAATCGAACCGGTGATGTGTAACTCACGGAACGGCACGTATTCCCGCGGCAAACCTACCTGGGAATGCAGACTCAGGTGGGTCTTTGTGTGGAGGGGCCAATCGGGCCCGGGGCGGCGTAGAAGCTGTCAAACGGAACTGGGAAAGTGCAAGGGGCCAACCAGGGCGCCCCACGTTGCAGTATTACAGGCCCCGCCGCTCTCCTGACTGACACAGTCCATTGTTGGCGCAAGCCTCGTGCAGCCAACAATGACGCGCAGAAAATGGAAGCCGACAAATCAAACCCAAACCGGATGCGAAAAAAATGTAAAATAAAATGGAACGTTGGCCCCAAGTTGGCCATGAGGGAAAAAAAAGCGGAAACAGTGGGAAAAAGTAGAAAAAAGAGGAAATTGACCAGAAACCGGCTTTTCCGGCCACCTCCAACCTCCCCCCACCCCCAAATAAGTGCCTTGGCATCCCAGGTCCTCAAACATCAATGCATTCCCGTGCAGCTCCTCTGGCTAAATCGGAACCGGGCCCCTTTGTCAAAACTCTGACAATCACATTGTCTCTGCAGCTCGCACAGCCCCCATTGTCAGCTGTCTGAAACGCCAGGGGCCACCGTGTGGAGACACGATGGTGGCGGGGAGCGCCGGCGACAGTAGCAACACCAACAGCCGGCCCAACCAGCCAAACAAGCCACTTTGGACCGAGTCTCCTGGCCAATTGATCACCACAAACTATAGCCTCGAACAATGGAGAGTCTCGCCCACCAGAAACAGCGCTAAACCGGCTGCAACTACCAACAGTTACAATTAGCTACCGGCTGTATCCCTCTCTGTCCCCATCCCCTGCATGCAACGCTCACAGACTCTGTCTTCTAACTGGTCAACGGTTATCAAAGTGGAGAGTTTGAGTGTGGAACCGCATGGAAGCCCGTCGTCTGTCCGGTTTACTGATGTACGAGTATGATACTGACACTGTTCGGATATACACCCATGTGTGCCGTTCAAGATCGTCATTGTGAACCTCAGATCTCCATCCACATACCGATAGTCGCTCAATTGACGGCCATTACTGCACATTCCTGTCCCACTCCATTCAATGACCTTCCCGTCTTGCACTTTCCCATACAAGTACCAGGTACTCTCCTGCTGCTGCTGCTGCTGCCGCCGCCGCCTCCTCACGCATCTCCCTCACGTCCGCTTGTTTCACACGCCGGTCTCACCGCCCGTATCCGGAGGGGCAGACGTGGCCTCTCGACTAAAGCGGAGAATGGGCCAAGTTAATAATAGAAGCGTCTTTTGCCGCGTATAACTTAGCAAGCTCCCCCAAAACTCAGACGCGACTCCTATCTCGACTAGTAATGTCCAGTCAGCATGTCTTCGTCAACCCACTTTGGCGCAGGCTTTCTCTCTATTACTAAGCATTGGATGGTGGATGGAAACTGTCCCGACTCGCATTTAGTCCCCCTGTCACGTGACCTCCCAGAATCGTCCACAAGCCGTGTTGTTTTCAGACGGGACTACTGTGCCACCAGGTTTAGGTAAATAGCGATTACGACCAGACAAAGAGTACTTGTATGACAGGTCACGTGAACATGACGTGGTATGACGTATGCTCAGAAGTCCAAGATGCTCTTTGTAGACAATGTAGACGAGATGAGCATCGTGCAACAAGGGTGGGGTGGTTTTCACGGTTCGCGGCGATCTCGGGAAACCAAATTTGGCTTCATACAGGGTGGTAGGAAGTGTTTTACCGTATGAAGAGAAACATTGGTCTTTTTTGTGAGATATTGAAATACAAGCCCTTGTACTTGTACATGGATGGATTCTCCAGCTGACTCTGATCACAATGATATATTAAATGGGTACAATTGGTCACGTTTATGTCAATCCATACCCATGTTCAATTTCATGTATGAATGATGAAGAGACGTACTCATGATGACCAAATTAATTCCGCGTAATTCCGTGTAAATTCACGGGAAATGGTTTAAAATCAGTAGAAATACATTGGTTGGAGGCATTGGTTCGTCATCATACCGACGCAATCACTTTTTCCTCCCACTATCCATCATAATCATTCATTATTCGTCGTAAATCTATGCTATTATCATAACTTCATAAATCGTGTAAAAATGCGTACAAGCCGCTCATAACTTCTTCTCACAGGTGGCAGGAGTATTGTTAAGCGTCCTTGTGAAGTCAACATACTCGTTCCTCTCCATTCTACCCTCCAGGTAGGCCTTGGAGAAGGTGTACACTTCCAGCTGTCCGTTTGAAATGCCGGGAATAGCAACCGTCTCTCCCTTGGTCTCGTGTCTCAGATTCATGGTAAGTCTGTTCTTCAGATCGACCACGTGGCTTCGGAATCCATAGTTATCGTAAAACACGGCAAACTGGGGGTACAGAGGGTCCTGGCACACTGGAGAACAACTGGACTTGTTATTGGACCAACAACACGAGTCTACCACCCAGTAAGAAGCGTCATAACACACCAATCCAACGTTTTTCGACCCGGAAACGTCCAAAAGCTCTAGCTCGCCATGTCGAACAACTTGAGTATGGATTTGACCATCCACCTCGGTCTGAACAAACACACACCCTCCCACAGTGTACACGGTTGGTTCCGAGTCGTATCCAGAGGGAAACTCTGAGAAAATGACGGCGTCTGGTTCTTCGGAAGGAGAATCACTGTACTTGACGTACAGATACATTCCATCCACTTCACGACCGTCAAAGGGCTCGTCCATGATAACCACGGCCGTGGCTAGAACCTCGGGCGTGCTGGAATGAATTGCCATCTCCAAATCAGGTCCAACTTCCATGCTGATTCCATATGGGCTCGCTACCCTGTTTCCAAGTACAGATATACCAGTCGGGCCCTGCTCGCTCTGAGACTGCGATAGCGACACAAAAACGCCCTGCCCGCCTGTTCCAACGTGTACGAATCCGGAGTCGCAAAACGTGATCTGCGTGCCCAACAGCGGCTGTTTACACAGGACGTAAAAGTCGTCTGGCAGAGCGACATCCTGGCGCACGGGGAAAGAGTAGTGCAGAAACGACCGCTTGAAGGACTCGAGCGAGCTGGTCGGATCACGTGACCTCCGTTCTGCTCCGACAGCCTCGAGGGCGCATTTTTTCCAGCAGCATTTTGTCGAGTTTTGCAGTTGTATCCATGGGCGATCGTGTTGCAGCACCTGTTTGAAATCGCGCTCGCTGAGCACCTGTCTCCAGCTCCGACACGTCTGGTAGAGCGCCACCAGCGACGGAGTGTCCAGATACCGACACAGAACCGGCGTGAGTTCCGGTGGGATCATTGGTGATGCAGATAGAGGGAGACAACTGGGAACTGGAAAATCGGGTTGAAAAAGTTTGACTTTCTCGACGCGAGTGCGGAAAAAAATTGAAATGTATTTTTCTCAAGATGTGTAGGTTCTGGGCAGATTCTGAAAAGGTCAGTCTTCTCCGTGTGTCTTCTTCATTGGATTGCTTTCCTTTTTTTGTCTCCATCGCCTCTAGAACCCCTCCATATATGGACGTCTTATTCTTCACTGCATAATTAGTTGGAGTTTATTTCTATGATTAGATTATCTGATTGATAGTGCGTGATTGTTTCCAGCATGTGTGCTGTTCTCAGAGACAACTGACAATGGGAATTCGGTTGCCGTCTCTTGTAAGCATCACGTGGCTCCGGTTTTGCGGATTCTGCTCGAATTCGACAATTTTCACTTTTTATTTTTTTTATAATTATTCTCAACAAACTCCCAACTACTAATAGTTGGTGCTAGTTGAGAGGTTTTGACAGGCGTTGAACAGTCCCCCGGAGTCAGTGTATTGAGTGTGTCAGATTCTGGATGATATCTGGCTTGTATTGTCTTTCCTCGCGAGAGGACACAGCAACCATTCATCTATGAATCTTTTAAGACTTTTTCCTATACCCATCCCGAATAGGTCGCTTTTGAGCAAGCAACTGCAAATCTTCAAGGACATGTTGCACCGTCGATGGATCCAGATCGACTGTACTTTTACTTTTACATATTTTAAAACAACAAGAAACAGAAAAATACTTGCAGGTTCACGCTGCTCTGGTCTCTAGAATTTCATTTCTCTGCGCATTTGAGGTCAGATTACATAATTCCCGTTCACCTAGCAACTCCAGCTGGAGTCTTTTTCTCGAAAATCGCGCCGATGGTTTAGTGGTAAAATCCATCGTTGCCATCGATGGGCCCCCGGTTCGATTCCGGGTCGGCGCAATTCGGTTACGGCCATATCCTGGTGAAAATACGGCTTCCCGTCCGATCAGCCATAGTCAAGCACCAGAGAGCCCAGTTAGTATTGTAGTGGGAGACCATACGAGAATCCTGGGTGCTGTAATCTTTTTGTCCAGGAGTGTGGCGAGTGGGCCTTTTGTTTGTCGGATGTTTCACCCAGTTTTCTCATCCTGCCATCGATTTGTTTTTTCCAGTCAGATTTTAAATTGATCAGTGGTGAATCTCAAGGTCAGAAATCATGTCTTTTTTTGGGGTGGGATAATGACTGAGAGCGGTACTTGTTTTGTCTTCTGAGCTCGACCCATACTTGACAGATTGCTCTACTGCTTGCAAGAGACATGAACTGTTTGAGACACTGTTCTTGAATTGCTCCGACTCAGGATTGCAAAGGCGCGGCTAAAAACCACAATATTCGTACTTGAACAGATGCAGTTCTGAGGGAACGTCTCCATTATCAGAAACATGGCTGATAATCTCGTAAACTCCAGTCTTCTAGCTAGTTGTCCTGGTCGAGAGCATAGATCATCGCAACTAACGGCTCCGAAGCGACGAGGAGTTCAAGGAGAAGTTCAATGTGAAGGAGGAGTCCAATGTCAAAGAGGAGTTCAAAATGAAACCAAAGTAGGGACAAATTCGCAAGTGGCAAAGCCACAAAAGGACAACCGCGAGTCTGCTTCAATCGTCGGACCATCTCTTCCAACTGCGAGAGCTCCATTCCCTCGGTCTTTCCAAAACGCATTGCTCATGAGATCGCAAGAGCACAACAGGTACACAGAAAGACAGTCGAGAACTAAAACAAATGCTCACCATAGGGCCTACCACAGCCTTCCATTTCTAGACCCTCCTCCAAGGTTGAGTCCATGGGCCTGCACTTCAATGCAAATAGGACCAGCCAACCACAAGTGTCAAACCCTCCAAGTTGTCAGTACTAGCCAAGAGCATTCAATTCCACAAGCTAGCCAACCAGTCGCAAGTAACGGACGATTACCTGTATCAGACGGCCCGTTTTTCGAGCACAGTAGCATCATGTCGAGGGTTCTGAGCTTAAGAGAGCGTATCAGAGTGTATGGAGAGCAAGGGTGAACAACAAAATGATGTTCAGAATTAAAAGCCGTATACTTTTCATCTGGATTTTTTTTTGTTATATATATATGATTTTTTTTGATTTGATTTTTTTTGATTTGAAATAAAAAAAAATTCTGAAAAAACCTACTTTTTAAAATATAGATCTTTGGCGGTCACGTGATCCGACCGTCATAGTTTGCCTGCAGATGTCTGTTAAAAAAACGGGACAACACGCAGAGGAGGAGATATTGACATTGAGCGAATCAGCACTGCACGAAACCACGTCGCCTCTGCTGCTTCCCGTGCATTCACATCTAATTTGCCATTTGTTGGTAACGCCTCGTTGACAGCAGATCAGAGTGTTTACATGACATGAGACGGATCACCGTGGCCGTTCGTACCGTGTGTATGGGCCCTCGGCCCCGGTATGACTACAAAGCATTGGTTTTATCGATAAAGATGCCCGGGGTGTCCAGTTTGCCGCCTGGTAGGGCATTTAATGGTCTTCAGGCGCCTCAGAGAGGGCTGCAATTCCCGGTGGACTCTCTCATGGCCAAAGAGCCGACTTTTTTGCATTTAGTTCAGGAGGTGATTGAACAGCCGATGCGGGAGGGCGAAAAGAATCTCAAGGGCGCGTTACGCAAGCTGCAGATGCAAAAGCTGCGTGTTCTGGCCCGGATCAAACAGCTGAACCTGGGGTTGGAGGAGCAGGTGAGAAAGGTGGCGGCTAACAGACTCATAGATCATTCCAGCCTGCTGAAGTTCTTGGAAACGTGTTCTATGGGCGATGGAGGAGATGCGCAGCTATCGCTGTCTACAACTATGTTACTGAGTCAACAGATGGTGGCTGATGGGGAATTCGAGCTGGTGGCCGACTTTCTAGCCAACCAGTTCTCGTTCGGAGACATTCTCAAGCTGGGGGGCCAGATTATTGCCGACGGAGGGCCTAAAATCAAACAGAAGCAAGTGGTCACGGCATTCGAGCTGTGCAGGGCGTTCGATAAGCATGGGTTTGCCCAACAACTGGCCCGAGGGCTATGGATCGGAGAGATGAACCGAGGAATACAGTTTTGTCTGGGGCTGGATGACTGTGCGACAGAACAACAGCTTCAAGATTTTCTGTACCACAATGACCGGATCAACTACCGCTTGTCCAGGTACAATAGTGGGGCATTCATATTGGACGACGCCCTTAAGCCCTATGAGAAGATGAGGCTGCTGGAAAAGTACGTGCAATTGGGAAACACGGAAATTCTGCGCAACTTGTTTTTCAACCAGGCTGCGGAAAAACACCATGAATGGATCCATGTATGCATCGAGAGGGTGGTTCAAATGGCTATCAGTGACCCTCGACTTTTAGGAGTTGTCAAGGTCGTTTTGGAGAAGAAGAAGGACCTTCCAGTATGGTGTACTGCTAGAATAACGGCTCTAGTGACCGACCAGAAGTCTCTCCGAGGTCTCTGGGCGAGATACAGTGCCCAATACTCCCATTTGGTTGAAGATGAGACCGCCAAACAGAACATGGTCGCGTTTCTGGAGAAGGCTGTGGCTTTGGGAGACATTTATTCGGCCAGCAAAATTACCAAGGTGCTTGGAGAGAACACTCCAATTCCGCTAGTTAAGCAGTACCTGCACTTGCTGTTTGGCAACCGTCTACACAAGCGTGAATCTAACAAGTTTGATCTGATTACTCGCCTTTTGGATGCCAATTCGAGCGATCCTTCGGGGGTAATGAAAGCCGTGGGTGCAGTGTGGCCTCATAAACGGTACCATATGTCGGAGGTGCTTCTATGGGACCTGATACGTGCCTTTGAGGCCAGTAAGCTGACCCATTGGTCTGAGCTTCTAGAGGAACATTTTGCTCGGGCTATTTTTACTCGTCCTCCAGTCGAAAAGGTTGAGTACTACTTCTTACCCAAGGTTTCTGTGAGAGCCATCTGGCTGTGTATTCAGACAGAACTGACTAAAGCCATGCATGCTAAGAAGGGTGATGTGGATCGAAGCGGAAGTCTGCAGTTGATCACTATTGCTCTTATGGCTATCAGAATGAAGTCCAGCAGGACGCGGTTCCAACGGCGCGAGATCTCGAAAGCTGAGAAAGAGGGACCCGAAGAAGAGAACCGTCAACAGCCAGACACCAGTATGGTCATTTCCAACCCCTACTCTGACCTCGATTTGAGTCTACTGCCTCCTCGGGCTCAGCTCGAACGGCTTCGGGTCCCCAGTGAGTATCTGGAGATTCGGGATATGGACATGCTCTTACTACAGCAAATTGGCAAACAAGTGAAGCCATTTTAACAACAGGTAGACATTGACCAGTGGATCTGCGACGTTTGCAATGTGGGAATTTGTCGAGCTTTTTATTTTTATTTTTTATTCTAGGGAAATACATTCAAGGCATATAAACCATGCTAAACTTGCAGATAGGACTCGGGTTCGGACATTCGGAAGAGCGTAAGACAATAATACTCGTAGATTTCGTCATGTTCTTCTTCGAGGTCACTTTAGCAGCCTTCCCGCTCTTGACCTCAACCACACCCCTGGACGCCAGGAGCCTTCGTGGCCAAGTGGTAAGGCGCAGCACTAGTAATGCTGAGATCATCAGTTCAAATCTGGTCGAAGGCAGCTCTTTTTTTGCACCTATTATAAGCACACTCCGCGGAAACGTCTTGCATCTCGGGTTGGAGACACCATAACGACAAGGAATCAATAGCTTGAGTACGACCCCCGCATTCTAGATACGGGACCTCCGCTATGGATTTTATACATATGAAGTGATATAGCAAGCAAATTCTAACTCTGGCAATTACTGGTATCCATTCCTACTGTTTATAGAAGAGCCCACACTCGTGTTCTTCTTGCAAAGTGTGCATACTCTGATATACATACAAGTATGGTTCAGAGAAGGGTCAGAATTTGTTCCAGTTATATTTAAGAGATATTCCATACAGCGTACTCTAGCTAGATATATTTCTCGTTTTTTTATTTGTTTTTACGCCGACTAACCAGTCTATCTTACTATCCTCCACCTCCGACCGCCTAACTCATTCATGGCATCCTGGCCGAGCGGTTAAGGCGAGAGATTAGAAATCTCTTGGGGTTTCCCCGCGTAGGTTCGAATCCTGCGGATGTCGCCATCTTTTTGCTCTCCAAATGTCAATATGACTCGCGGAATTGGCTTGTATTTTAGTTACGTCTTTGCGGTGGGTGCACTTGAACATTCTCTACAGGTGCAATATTGGTACTTTTTTGGGCCCAGAGTTAAAAAAGCTAATTCAATAGGTTTAAATAAGATAATGTCGAACTCTCTGTTCATTTGTAACCAATACCAACGATTCCGTGTTGTGATGTGCTCTCGTAACTCCACCTCATTTCAGTTTTTCGAGTCAGAAATGCCCTCTATATAGATAATGAAATTGGGAGTTCTAAATATCATTTAAATAACTTGACACAACTTAACGGTCCACACCGTATTACTGATATCTCGCATTTAGCATTTGTATGGCAGAATTCCGTGCCTGAACACACGACAGGACACAGTCTGTGCTATGTGTTATGATAGAGCAAAAAAGGAGAAGCCACCGCTTCGTTTCGGCGGTAAAAATGGACGACACCGGAATCGAACCGGGGACCTCGCGCATGCTAAGCGCATGTGATAACCAACTACACCAGACGCCCAAGATGGAGTTCGGAGGTAGGCATGACGCACGGGCTGTGAAAAGAGTCATTTTGCCTGAGAGAAAAACCCACACCCGTTGCGAATATAGGTATTTGAAAATAAAATAAAATATATAAATACAGTACCTGCTACTGACTCAGACGCATCACTCCACGGTATCTTTCTAAATATTTCTCAAACAGCGGATGATGATGTTCCCCTCTCAGTGCTTTCCATATCTTGGAAAGTGAGTAGTTCGGAAACAAATCAGGACATAAATTCGGAAAGGTTCGATAACATGGGAATTATTGTTTTCCCTCTATAGTGCTGGAAATACCAGTAAGTGCATTGAGCATTCTCTCTCTACTTATCCTTTCTCAAGTGTGGTCGCAAGGGTCGCCAAGTAGAGCAGAAGGGAAAAAACACATGTACGATTACACAAAAAGAAAGACTGTCTCATACCAAAGCTACTTAAAAGAGCATAGAAAAGTTTTCATTCTGAAAATCGGCTCCAGGAATCTTCATATCCTAAAAAGAGTAGATGATGATGTTATAGAGGAACAAAGTCCGTCCCTGAAACGACTACAGAGGAGGTCACTAGAATATTACAGGGTTAGCCAGTAGACGACAACATTTAGAACCCACTCAAACTCTTATTGATTCAATATCTCTTAGATTGATCGAAAAAATTTGCCGTGATTAATCTCAAATTTGCAGATAGTAGTGGCTACGAATGTTACTTTACAACAAGTTGGCATTCTGGCCGAGTGGTCTAAGGCGCCAGGTTCAGGTGACTGAATCAATATCCTGGTCTCTCCGGAGGCGAGAGTTCGAATCTCTCGGATGTCATTCTTTTTGTGGATGGTTTCGGCGACGAAGTTTAAAAATACGAGTTGTAGAGGATATACTGGCTGATTTTTGTAGTCCAGTTGAGTTGTAATATAAACCATTTCTTTTATTCAGTTCACAATATCAAAATAATATACAGAAGGGTATATATTTGTTTGAATTTGAACGATTTTGTTGAATTTTGTGTTTTTCAACAAACCCACGTTAATTTTATTTTTCTGTTTTTTTTTCTGTTTTATTTTTCTGTTTTATTTTTCTGTTTTATTTTTTTCTGTTTTTTATTTTTATTTTTTTTCTTCTTGCAATGCAAGAAATCCCTATATGGAGTGTAATACAGCAATGTAGTATGTACATGAAGCATTCGTTTTCCCCCCCGTTTTTCCATTTCCCCCCGTTTTCTGTTTTTCCGCTTTTCCCCCTCATTTTCCTTTTATTAATTTTTAATTTTTACTTTTATTCTAGGGAAAATACATTTCAGCTACTTCTAAAAAAAACTTTTTTTTTTTATTCTAATGATTCATTACAACTATTTTATTTTTATTTTTTAATTCTAATGATTCATTACAGCTATATACCTAGTAAGCCGGGTTATTGGCGTTCAATAAATCATACACTTCTGAATCTTTGCGATGTGCGCTGCGGGGCGCTGTCGGTTGGTTTGTCAACGCTTCGTCTAGTTGATGTCATTGTCGTGGTCTCGTGGTAGTGAATCATGGCTAACAGATCAAGAAATCATATCAATCGTTTCATGTCTTATCCAGACTCGAGGTTGGTGTAGTTTGTTCTCATAATAGATCGTAGACGGTGTAATTCGGATAGGGATCATGAATATGATTCGTGTGTGTGTCGTGTTTGAGTCTTTGCGCCATCGGGGAGTTGAAGCTGGGGTAGCTCGGTGTTTGGTTTTTTTTTTTTTTTTTTTTTTCCATAATTTCATTAATCTGAGACGTCAACGTGTATATTTAGCACTATTCAAACAAAGCAATTCAACGTCAAAGATACCTTTTTCTCCTGGAGCAACATCTCCGGTCCCTTGGCCCAGTTGGTTAAGGCGTCGTGCTAATAAGAATAGCAGCTTTGCAACGCGAAGATCAGCAGTTCGATCCTGCTAGGGACCATCGACCCTTTGGGTCTTCTTTTTTGCCGGGAAAACAACTGCTGGTGGTGGGCACAGTCATGTGCCATGTGCAACAGTATCAAAACCTATGCTTAACTAGACCGCAACTTGCCATAAACGCCAATGTAGCACTCCTATTGAAATTCCACCTCGTTACTGGAAGTATTGGAACTTTTCTGATCTTTTGGTACCACTTATGGCACTGTTGATATGGACTAGAAGAGGAGCAGCATTTGTGCACAGTCCCTCTTCTCAATGAATACAATATGTCAAACGAACAGAACCGCCAAAATTAAATTCGTTATCTGGCTTATCGTGCAGCTAACGATAATTTAATCTTTCGCTCGCCATGAACTCGGACTAAGAAATGGCGTTCCTGTCTGATCACGGTCCCCTTTTATCGGGACCCCACTGACCCCGGTCATCCTACTCATGACTCTCCGTCACCAGAACAGGACACTTCGAGTATGTACTGTACCATCACGACCAATATGGGTATAACACAACATATTCTTCATATAACCGTCGGGACAAGCACCCGTCTTCTCAAACTGGTGTTCTCGGGCGTTTCACAACTCCTGGACGATCTGAATGTCTCTCTCGAGACACTTTTAGTTTGTTGATGCTCTCCTGTCATCGACGAGCCCGAACATCAATGACCTTGAATGCTTCCCTGGACGAGAGGCTCATCTAATACGTGATACACAGCTGCGAAAGTGGTCGCGATTGCGATCAGTAGCGTTTTGACAACTCTGCAGAATAACGGTGATCTACGTATATATATGGCACATCTGCAGAGGGGGAGCCCAAATGCATTGTAACAGGCACCGAAGGTAATGTACAGGCCCCAGATAGTGGACCTACAATCTCTTCATCTGTCTGTAGCCTTTTGTGAACAAATCATACGCTCTCATGCTCTCAAATAACATGATTGTACTGTACTGTATGTACTGAACCACACCTTATCTATCTAATCCACAAGGTAAACACCATCAATGCAGCCAAAACCGGCAGCAACGCCTCCCTCGTTACTGGACTCCAGCTTGGTTCTGAGCAGCCAGCCGGTGGTGTCGTTATGCAGAATCTCGCCGTTCTCAGAGTTCCACAGCACAGTTCCAAAAACACCGAGCTCGGAAAGAGTGTCTCCGGTGAAAAGCTCGCCCTTTCGCAAAATGTGGTTCTGGATCACAGGAGGATTAATGAGCTCCATGAGAATGTAAGCGGACCACTCGTTTTTGGGCAGCTTTTCCAGGAACCCGGGAATGTCCTGCTTGTAGATGTTGTTTCCTCCTCCCTCTCGCTGTGGCTTGAGCACAAACCGTTCAGGTTCAGTCCTGGCCAGCTGCTCCGCGCGCTTACCGCCCTCAGAATCCTCTCCAAGAGGCAGAATTTCAACAAACGTGTTCACCAGAGGCCCAATGTCCTTTTCGGACACGAATTTGAGCAGCTCGGACTTGTCTGTGAGAATCTGCTGCACCTTCTTGGCGCCAGCAAGCTGGGTGTACACAGAAGGACATTTGATGGCCCTGTTCTTCTCCAGATACAATCTGGCGTCCCAATGAGCCTGGGTAGGGAAGTGGTCAGGCGAGTAGCCCTCCCGGAAGTAGACCACAGAGACCTCGGCGTCGTTGTAGTAGAGTCTAGAAACTCCATCCAGATCCCTGATTTCAGTCACCTTGGTGGCCTCCAACATGCTGACTCGATGGGTGACAATGCCGTGGTTGTCCCAAAGCTGGTACTCTAGATGCCGCTGATCGATGGCATTCTTCTCGTGCTTCTCCACGACCGCCAGCACTGCGGTTTTTGATTTCTGCGCGCCGTTTTGTGCAACATATGCCTTGTGGGCTTGAGCCAGACCGTTTGCAAGCTCAGAAATCGAGTTAGAGCGAGGAATGTCGTCCAGATCAAACTTGGCATCGTCTCCGTAAGCCCCCGTGGCTGCCAGGTATCTGTGCAGGTCAGCCACCTTGCTGGTCAGACCTCCGAATGAGACAGACACGGTGTTGAACTCGACCTGCTTGGGGGTCAGGTTGCCGTCCTTCTGGTCAATCATGTAGTCGGACCGGAACAGACCTAGGGTCAGGGGTTGGATGGGCTTGCCGTCCACCAGAGACAGCTTGTGGGTCTCCCACAGCTTACCAGTGAAATCGGGGTCCGAAGGAGCAAGTTTGTCGATGATCTTGTCGAGCCAGTTGTTGTTGGTGAAGGAGGAAATCTTGGAGTACAAAGTGTTGAATCCTCGCTGGGCCTCAATGCTCTCGTCGAACACAGATCGGGGGAATGGAGAGGGGTGGAGGGTGACTGGAGCATGGACAGCAGTAGCAGGATCGTCAGTGAGCATGGTAAGACCGTTGCTGAACGCCCAATCCTGCACAGACTTGAGCAGTGGCCCCTGGCTAGCAGGCAGAGTCACGGGATACTCTTTGATTTTCTCTTGGAACGTCATTGGTTGTTTCGGAGACGCTGGTGTGGAGGAGAAGACTGGTTGTGCATGACATTGTTAGAGGTGGGTTTGACGGAGTTGATTTGTCAGCAGTACATGAGGACATGGAACAAGAAAGCGACCCGGTGCAATTGCCAGTAAATTTCAACATACAGAGCAGAAAACAGCCCACAATTTTATCGTATTTATTCAATTTTCTACCGTACGCGCCCTCACTAAATCAATTAGATATATATAATGGTGCAATCGAGCCTATTATGATCACATCACGTCAGTTGTGAAGGTTGTGGGTTCGATTCCCCGATATTCCACCATATTTAAACTTCATCCATGCGTCAACTTTAATAAATTTGTATGCATGAACATTGTGAAATTGAAACCGTCTACACTAGTCCACGAGAACAACGAAATGGTCAAACGAAAGAGAGAAAACCTGCTGGGTAAGCTGGACAAGCTGCAAGCTGCCGGAGACCCCGAAAAGGCCCGGCTGGGCGCCACAAAGGAGTACCTGGAGGGCATGCAGATTGTCAAGAAGGCCAAGCTTCATCAGAACCCCGATCTTCAGCTGGAGGAGGAAAAAGTGGATGAAAATGCCGTTCTGGAAGTCCAGCGGAAGATTGCCAGCAACAAGCTGCATTTCGGCGACAAGGAGCTGGTGAGAGCGCTGAAAATCGCGCAGAAGAGCGAGGTGCAGAAGAACTCCAAGAAAATTTCGGCTTTGGAGAGCGGAGAGGAGCTCAAGGGTCGTGGATCGAAGGATGTGACGGTTGAAAGTCTGCAGAGCGAGATTGATATGCTCAACAAGATGGAACTGGAGCAGCTAGCCAAGATTGTGGCTATTCGAACGCTGCAAAAGGTGTACACTGGAGAGGACAAGAAGACTCCTCAGTGGCTTCCCGAGTGGTTCTTGGATGAGTCTAGCGATCGAATGGCGGAGTTTAAGACATTCCGAGAGGCTGCTACTCGCGAGGAGATTAATTTGCATACTCGAATGACTGCCCAAAAGGGCGTTCGAACTGCTGTTGAGCAGTACACCAAGCGTCTTGACAAGGCTCTCGGAGATATTGACGAGAAGGAGGTGAAAAGAGATGCTGCCGAGAAGAGAGAAAGAGCAGTTGAAAAGGGGGATAAAAAGGCCGACAAGAAAGAAGGCAAGATTGAGAAGCCCAAGGATGAGAAGACCAAGGCTGAGAAGACCAAGGCTGAGAAGACCAAGGCTGAGAAGACCAAGACTGAGACCGACGAGTATGGACAAGAGAAGCTCGCAAATATGGACGTCTCCGACGCCGAGTCCGACGACGGGTTCTTTGAGAACTCCGCAGCCCAGTTTTCTGACGACGATGAGGAGACCTTCCCGCAGATGTCAATGGCTACAGGTTACATTTCAGGCTCGGACGACGAGGATATCGACAACGACAAGGTGGTCAAGGGAGCAACCAAGAAGGAGCGAAAGAACCGACGAGGTCAGGCCGCGCGACAGCGAATCTGGGAGCTCAAATACGGCTCGCAGGCCAACCATCTTAAAAAGCAGCGCCAGGAGCGGTACGAAAAGAGCCAGCAGCTGCAGAGAGAGTGGGAGGAGCGAGAAGCCAAGCGTCAGGAGCGACGGAACAAAATGTCACAAGAGGAGCGAGATGCCGAGGACGAGCGACAACGACGCAAGAAGCTGGGTCTCCGTCCCGAGCCCAAGCAGCATAGAGACGACTCTGGCCCCTTGCATCCCTCCTGGCAAGCCAAGAAGGCACAGTCCAACGTGTCTTTTGCAGGTAAGAAGGTTGTGTTTGGCGAAGATACGTCTTCTGCTGCTCCTGCCAAGCCCAAGGGTCCCGCCAAGGACGACGAGGGTCCTCTGCATCCTTCGTGGGCTGCTAAGAAGGCCCAGTCGGCCTCAACCGCCTTCGCAGGCAAGAAAATGACCTTTTAAGTGTAGTATTCTCCGGTAATAGATCTAACGTATTGAATGGGAGGGATACACTGTAGCTGGGCCAGTATGTCGGATAGTACGGGAAGGAGAAGACAAGTGTCTGCGATACATCCAGGGACAAGCATCTAGAAACATAACTGTCGGCACTGACGACCATGAAGAGGTCTCGTCCACCGGAATACAAGAGGTGGAGATAGGGGTACCCAGCAAAAGTCGTTGAACTGTCCTCATATGAGATCAACATGGGTGTTACGATTTGGTACTCAATAGAACCACGGAGAATCTATGCTAGCACACTCTTGAGATAGTCAGTAATGGTTACTCTATCTTGAAACAGTCCTTCTCTGTGTCCACTTGTTGTGGGCTAGACTGTCGCTAGTGACACTATGTACACCATGTGCACGATAGACAATAAAGAGTGTGCGTGGATTTGCGTCCTATCTCCATTAGGAAAGCGCACCAAGACGCCTCCATGAGATAACTATCTACCCGACTGAGACCAGCTGAATTCGTCATTTGCCATTCGCCATTCACAACAATGAGTCCGGCTCTGCTCATCCTTGTCCTTGTTGCGCTCGTGTCAGCCCTGGCGCCTCCCGCGTGTCTGTTGGCCTGTGTGGGCAGAGAGACCCAGAAACAGACCCAGTGCTCTTCTCTCAACCAAATCCGCTGCATCTGTCGAACACTGTCTTCTCAAATCGGTTCTTGTCTGCACGAGCTTTGCTCTTCCCACGTCCACAAGGCAGTAGACAGGTTCACAGGCACTTGCCATGAGTTTGGAGTGACAGAGGCGATTCAAGAGGAGATAGTTGATGGTAACATGGGACATGGCGGAGCTGATATGAACTACAGTTCAGCATTCTCTAGTTCTGCAGATTACGGCTCAACTACTCGCCACGAGCCCGACCCAAGCCCTACAATCATGCCTTCAACTACAAATGAACCAACTATCACCCCGACGGCTGAAGTCACCGCGGAGGCCACAATGGGAAATACAACCACCCACCAAGACTTCAGTCACTCGTCTTTAGTCCGCGGCACAACTACAACAACGACATTCCTACCCACCGTGAGAGTCACGTCGTACGTCGAAACTACAGAGACACTGGCAGCAGTAACCGTGACTCCTAGTCCTCGAGTTATCGCCACCACTCGGCCTTCTGCTTCAAACCAAGCTCTCGTGCTCAGCTCCGTGTCGCCCGTGTATATCCTGTTTTGTGTCATTATCATTATCTATAAATAATACCAGTTAGTATGAATGCGTTGCACCTTCGTTAAACGATGTGCTATGGGTCTGACTCGCCTAGGCAAACTCGAAAGACTGGAAACAAAGCGGCCCGTCGACCGGACTGAGACTCAGCTCCTGGAACTTGACGGCGCTATCGTGATAGTACAGACCGTTAATCTTGCCCTCGACCTGGTTGAAGCAAATGTAGTAGAATCCGGCGTAGGACGCCTGGATGGTCTGCTCCTCGGGCACCAGAAAACACTCCTTCCACCGCATGTAAATGTGGTCCAGCTTGTCAAAGTCCTCATGCACGTAGTCCGGGTCCATGGCCTGTTTTTGAATGTGTCTCCAGGGCGGGAACCGACCCCAGTGGGTCAGGTCTGTTTTTTCCTTGGCTCCCCACTCGGGTCGGCGGGTGTAGAAGGAGTACTTGGGCCCGATTATTTCTCCCTCAAAGTATGTGGTGAGGTCTGTATTTGCTCCGTCCAGACCCTGGATCCGGAAGTAGCCACACAGAAAGTAGTTGGCCATGTCCACGTACTTGATTTCCACGTTGACCGCATGCTTCTGGCTCTTGGACACCTGGGTGCCCACAAACTGCGATCCTGCTCGGAGGTACGAAGACATGACACTGGGGATGACTCGCTGGGTGAAAAACGTTGTGTGGTTATTGCTGTCGTAGGTGCACATGACGGCGGTATCTTCGTCTGCGTCCTCGTCCGTGTCCGCCGTTGCTGCCGTTGCTGCCGTCGGTAAGCTGGTCTCTTGGACTTGGGTGACCCCGCGCCTTTCTCGTTTGGACGACTTGGGGTGCTCGACCGCCCAGTCTCGTTTGTAGTTGGAGGGCATCAGGGGAGGTGAACAGGTGAAGCGCTGGTTGTGCTTGTATTCAAAATATCTGTCGAGAATCGGGGGGACTGGAAATCGTGGCTCACGGCTTTTGGGTGGTGTAGTGGTCAACTGCAGCTAGCTCCAACTGCTTGTAGACAATTGTCGTATCGATAAAGTTGCACCGGTTTGGGTTTGGTCTCGTGGGAGTTGCTGCATGCTACTACATGACATTGGGCCAGTGGGATGGGGAAGAGGCTGTGGAAAGGGAGTGGAAAGGGAGTGGAAAAGAGTACAAAAAAGAGACTAGGTCGTCGGAGCCTTGGTAATCCGGTTGTGGTCTGCACGAGACTTTTTATACGTGCTGTGGAGACAAGTGAAGATGTGAAGACGTGAAGACGTAAAGAGAGGTTTGACTGATGTTTGATGACTGACTTATTTACTTGGTATTGCACCAAGTCCTTGTTCAATGCTTGGTGCATCTTGTTGTACACGCTGTGTCCATGCATGCTCCACTACAGATCACCATGGACTACAAATACGGCAGTTACAGTATGTAGTTGTAATCGCACTTGGGTTGCATCGAACATGTCGCCCATTAGTCACCGGTCACATGACACCAACATGTTCCGCAGAAACTATTCCCGCGCCCTTCCCGCGCCCTTTCCACACCATTCCCGCACCCTTCTCTGTGGCTTGAACCAATCCGAAACGTCCACATTTTGCCTTCTACTCTCGACTCTCTCTTTCTATACTTTATCGACGCTTCCTCGGCCCGCAAAACTGGTCTGCCATCACCGCAAACTCTGAAGGCCAGATAGCGCACTGAGTGCATGGGAGGGGAGACGCTCCTCATTAGGCGCAATGAGGGGTGGAGATCCAGAGGAGGAGGAGGAGGGTGTGTAGAGCCACGTTGAGCACGCTGCTGAACTGGAACCGAGCGGGCCACGGCCAGAGATGTTAGCCCAACTACGAGGCAGTCACGGGCCAGCCACGAGTCAGACAGAGTCATCCTGTCGTGTCGTGTGATTTTTCTCACAGCCACAGTGGGTGCTCCTACAGTGTACAGTACTGTACTCGTGCCGGTGCTGTACCTGGATTTGATGATACGATACGATTGATAACTAGTCGTGATCGCGTGACAGAGACAAGCAAGAAGCGAAAACGAGATTAGCAGCCTCCAACTCACCGAGACACGCAGCCTCCAACTCACCGAGACATGCACCAAGACGCGCACCGAAACGTGCACCAAGACGCGCACGGAAACGATATCATGTGTATTATTGAACGCCAGTAACCCGGCTTACTAGATATACAGCTGTAATGGATCATTAGAATAAAATAAATAAATAATGCTTCTTTTTCTTCCACTTATAACAATTTTTTTTCTGCATATACAATTTTTTTCTGCATATACATTTTTTTTTTTTTTTCATATTACCCCGTACTTGTATCTACTTGTTGAAGATCAAGTAGTATTGATTAGATATAGTTAACAACTTACAAGCCACTTCTAGGGACACAACGTTCCGATAACACACCCTTCTGGTGTGTGCTTGCTCATTCAGAAAGAGATGTGGATAAAACTATCTACGGGATGGACATCTCGTCTGCGACCAAGCTGGTTCCTCTCATCACTATGTGAGGAATTAGCCAGGTAGCACCCTACCGGGTATCACCTTCACCACACTCAGGCCTCACGAATAACAAGAAATCACGCGACTGTCAAATTGCAGGTGACTAAAAATCGAGGTTGGCAAACAACCGTGTGTCACTCTTGGGGCCATTGTCCAGAATCGAACTGAGGTTCCACGGCTATCACTGGCTAAATATAGACCGGGAGGACGACAGACGGGAAACTCGACAGTCGCAGACTCAACGGCAGACTCAACAAAGGGCTTCTTAGGAACCTTGGTACTTCTGCTTCTGGGACTTAGCTCTGGAACTTAACTCTGGAACTTGTTAGCTCTTGAACTTGTCAGGTCAGCTCTACCAACGACGAGGCCACGACGCGTCGCAAACCGCCTCAAAAATCATATCAAACACTGTCCCTACAGATCACGCCCTGGCATAGGCTTTCCTTCCAACGCGTGGTTGTTACAGAAAGTGTAACCAACCCTTTAAGTTTGATGATGAAGAAAAAAAAAGTTTGAAAATTCAAAATGTTAAAATGTCAAAATGTCAGATTTGATTTATTTTCAACGTGTCCTTAATGGCGTCTGTAGAACGGCCTCAAAAGGCCAAAAAGTGAGCGATATAGACACAGAAACAGCAGAGAAGAGCCAGGGGACTCTTATACGCCGCCCCATAACCCCGATTACCTGGCCTGCGACCCTTGTCGACCCATTCTCCCATTGTCCCATTCTCATCTCCGTGGTTTTTTGAGCTTGCTCCCAAAGTTCACGTGATGCAGCTCCATCACGGTGTATATCGCCGAAACACGTCTGGTTGCACGCCATGCCGTCCTACTTCAAATTCAGCGATTTGGAGCAAAACAACAACAAACGGGACGACGACTTCAAACCCCGTAAAGACGCCATGTCTTCGCCTCTCTCCATGTTCAACCAGGTGCCCACCCGAATTCTCAGACTCGTGGGTCTGTCCGTGTGCGCTCTGGTGTTTGTCTTCCTGTTTCTGAGAAACACCGATAGCAACACAGTGGTGGTCAACGACACCACCAAGGCCGCCGCTTCCGGAAATGTCAAGTCCGCGCCCGAGGCCACCCCCCAGGACCCCCTCACGTGCACAAAGTCCTTCGACGGCGTCACCCCCATCACCCAGTACGTCGTCATGATCGATGCCGGCTCGTCGGGCTCGCGAATCCACGTCTACAAGTTCAACAACTGTCAGTCCACCCCCCGACTGCTCGACGAGCACTTTGTCATGGACAAGCCCGGTCTGTCTGCCTTCACCGACCCCGAGGAGGCCGCCCAGTCCCTCGACAAGTACCTTGACAGCGCTCTCGAGTACATCCCCGAGGAGTACCACTCGTGCTCTCCTCTGCAGGTCAAGGCCACCGCTGGTCTGCGAATGGTCGGCGAGCAAAAGTCCAAGGAGATCCTGCAGGCCGTCCGGGACCGAATCCAGGCCAAGTACCCCTTCCCCATTGCTGGAGACGACGGTGTGGGCATGATGTCCGACTCTGACGAGGGAGTCTACGCCTGGATCACCATCAACTACCTGCTGGGAAAGATTGGTTCGCCCGAGAAGAAGCCCACCGTTGCTGCCTTTGATCTTGGAGGAGGCTCCACCCAGATTGTGTTTGAGCCCGAGCTCAAGGGAGACAAGAAGCCCACCGCTAAGCAGATCCAGTCGGCCATGCAGCCCGGAGACCACGTCTACGACCTCAAGTTTGGCGATCTGTCTTACTCGCTTTACCAGAAATCGCATCTTGGATACGGCCTCAATGCTGCCAAGGACCAGATGTACAAGCAGGTTGTCATGAACCACATCAACTCTGATGACAGCGTTGTTGAGGACGGTGCCACTCTTGTCAACCCTTGTGTGCCCAGCGGTCTGGAGATCAAAAACGTCAAGGTCAAAATCAACGCCGAGAAGACCTACACAGTCAACTTCCGAGGCCCCTCCAAGCCCCAGACCTCTGCTCAGTGCAGAAAGATCGCCGAAGACATTCTTCACAAGGATCATGAGTGTACCGTCGAGCCCTGTGCATTCAACGGTGTCTACATGCCTTCTCTGGCTGAGACCTTTCTCCGAGAGTACAAGCTGTACATCATCTCCTTCTTCTACGACCGAACCGCTCCCCTCGGTATGCCCTCCGACTTTTCTGTTGAGGAGCTGCAGGATCTGACCCAGCGTGTGTGCCAGGGCGAGTACGACGGCTTCAAGGCCATCCCCGGCGCCATCAGTGAGCTCAAGGAGAACCCCGCCTGGTGCATGGAGTTGACATACATGGTGTCTCTGCTGCACCAGGGTTACGAGATCCCTGTGGGCCGAGAGGTGACCATCGCCAAGAAAATTAAGGATTACGAGCTGGGATGGTGCCTGGGTGCTTCTCTTCCTCTGCTCCACAAGAATGGTAAGGATGGATGGACTTGCAAGCTCAAGAAGCAGTAAGATTAGGAAAACAAGTACGCTATAAGTACAGTATCATAGATTGTTGTATATTTGTATATATTTGGAACCGTAGTGAAGTACACTTGTAGTTCTCATCATTCGTGCGTGGTATGCGGCAAGTTTTTGCATACAATAGGAAATACAACCCCTCTATACTACAGTCTACTTCTACAGACACGACTTTGGCATACAAGAACTTCAATTTTTCCTCCTAATCCCTCTCCTTTATAATTTAAACGGTTACTCTTCGTCATCATCACCACCAGCAATGATATCGGGCCAGTCCTCAAAGCCATCTTCCCAGGCGGTATTGAGCTTGGCCTCGGTCTTGATCACGTCGCCGTTGAATCGTTTCATGATTCGCTCAAACTTTCGCATCTCTGTGGGGGTCAGAAGACAATGGTCCAGAGCCTTGGTGAGCTTCTCGGTGTCAATGTTCTCTCCGATGAAGACGATTTCGTTTCGTCGGTCGCCGTAGATGCCCTGGAAGTCCTTCTTGATGTAGGCTCTGACTGTCTCGTCGTCGGGCCACGAGTTTTCACTCATGACGCAGAACCAGGGCTGCCCAGGCTTGATGGTGAGAATGGCGCCGGCCTGCGACCACTCTCCCTGCAGAATGTGACGGGTGGCGAGCCAGAAGTATCCCTTGGACCGTAGCAGGTTGCCAAACACTGAGTTCTTCTTGTTCTCCAACACAACCTTCTCGTCAATGAGCTCGACAGATTCATCGTCGGAGTCCTCCTCATCTTCCCATTCTTCCTGGGACATGGGAGAGTCGCCGTCTTCGTCCACAGGCTCCAGCTGCTGGTCATCGTCCTCAGCCTCCTGGGTGGCGTTCTCGTGACCATCGTGAACGTCGGCTCCGGAGGGAGTGTTGTACTCCATAACGAGGAACTTGTCTCTGATGAGCTCGTGCAGCCTGAGAGGATGGAAAGGAGTTCGTGCTCTGTACACAAAGTTGTTGATGTTGTACTCCTCGGTCTCGGGCTTGGGTGCAAGCTTACTACCAGCAGCAACATCTCGAACAGTCATCTCATGGATACTTTGGAGCCAGCCGGCAGAGGTGGCTGCCTTATCGAACTGAAAAAGGCCCGTGTTGATGATCTCCTTTAGATCGACCTTGCAGAAGTTGGTGGTAATGACCTTGGCAACCGGGTTGAGCTTTCGTACCAGAGCCTTGATCTTATTCTGCTTTTTGGTGGAAATGGTGTCTGTCTTGTTGAGAATGATAACGTCGGAGAACTCGATCTGGTCAACCAGCAGGTCGGAGATGGTTCGTTCATCCTCAGGCATACCAATCTCCCACCGGTCCTTGAGTAGATCAAAGGTCTCAAAGTTGGGCAGGAAGTTGAAGGAGTCAATGACAGTCACGGCGGTATCCAGAGCCGTGAGTTTGGCAAGCCCTCCATGCTCGGCAATCTGTCGAAGCACCTTCTCGTCCATACCAAGGTCCACCTTGTCCTCAGCATCTAGCATAGCAGTGGTGAACTCTTGAGTGAAGGTCTCAGCCACCTGCATGGGCTCAGAAATACCGGTTGACTCAATCACAATGTAGTCAAACTTGCCAGAAAAAGCGAGCTGAGCCATCTCCTCGAGAAGGTCACCTCGAAGGGTGCAACAGATACACCCGTTCTGGAGCTGCACCATAGACTCCTTCTTCTGGCTGACCTTGTGGTTGACCAGCAGAGAAGCGTCAATGTTCAGCGCAGACATGTCGTTGACAACAACAGCAATCTTGTAGCCATGATTGGCCTTGAGGATGTTCTCAAGCAGAGTGGTCTTACCGGCTCCAAGGAAGCCACTGAGAAGAGTCACAGGGATGGGTTTCTGAATGGAAGGCATGGTCGGATAATATGAAAAGGAGTTGAGATTGGAGCCGCTCTCAGTATTTATATTAGCATGGCTGGTGAAAAAAAATTGTTCTCAGAGCCAGCATGGAACCACCAAGGTGAAATGGACCACGCTAAAGTTCATGTGGGGAGCCAGGTCACAAGATCAGCTCTGGAAACACATTTTGTATGGGTCCATGGGATTATGAGTGGATAGATGTATTTGCGTAGCTGAGAGAATAAAAATGCTACCAATATCTCTTGTCAAATCTGTTGACTAATACTCATTATAATGAGGTACTGCTGCAAGTACTATATAATGAAGATGAGATCTCCCGTCAAGTTTGGTGCGCTCCAACTTGTGATCCACCGAGGCAAAGAACACAGTACGCACACGAATAGAATCCTTGAGACTCGAAAATTTCATCTAAACTATCAAAATGGAAATCTGATAAAATCAAGGCCGTTAAATGAAGCCTTGTCGGCACGTGGTTTCGTGTCACCATCCCCCCCCATTAGCATTTGCGCGTATGCATTCACATGCATAACCCTGCATATTGTTACCTTGAATACGCACATACCTTGGCAGTTATTTGTTACTCTACTTTTCTCATTGGTGGCTGGGACATTAAAGTCGCGAGTACAGTAGCGGTTACGAAAGCGAAAAGTCACCTAGAAATGTGAATATATATACAATTTGTCTACAATGGGTTGGAACCTGATTCAGCCCGTTTTTACGAATCCACCCAATTTTTCAGCTTTCAAAACGGACCAAAAACAGTCGGGCTTAGGACAAATCGGTCCTTTTCATGACCATAGTTACAGGTTAGCCAATAAGACTCTTTTCAATGTCACTGGGGGGATAAATGAGAGTACTGCACGCGAAGTTGCGTTTGTGAGAGATATTTGATCAATCTGTAGCAGACACAAACCACATCCGCCCGTTATATCGAGTTTTATTTCGTCATTTTTGATTCTACGAGTAGGAACTCTGCTCACAAGTTTAGGACTTTTGGTCAAAGGTTGTAATGATTATTTTTCAGTCGTGAGACTACAGTAAACTTGTTCTCCTGTCTCTGCTAACTCCACACATTTGAACACACATTTGAACTAACCAGGGGGTTCCTGCCAAGCGTATCTGCATTCTGAATACATAGTATACCGTACGAGCACTGCTTACCAAACAATTGTTATACCACGAATACTGCGTACTTGGAAAGTAGAACTACTGCTGCTGCTGTAACCCATCCTGTGCACATTCCTCTCTTGAGAACCGCCTACAAGCAGCACGTCTTAGACATCTGTCGAAAGAAGGCCTGTTCTTGAAAAAGTCAGTCCACGTCGTGAAAGATGACGATACGATACGATCTCGACGATGCGTATGACTATGACCGATTGAATCTCACCGTTAAACAGTTCAGATACAAGCGTGTTCAGGCGACTGGTACAATAGATGCCGTTACACGCATCAAAAGAACTACAGCACGTTTACTTGTAATACAACTGGCTCTTAGTCGACATGAAACACCCGTACTTCTTTTCACCCCAATGTATAACCTGTTGGTGGGCTGTGGGTGTGTACCCTGGTGGTCATGCAGGAACGTGTGATGTGCAAAAATGGTCATCACAAGTAATTGGACACTATTGGCCACGTGCAACAAGTTGTTGACAGACTTATCGATCTAACTCCGGGCACATATACATCATCGTTTCCTCTCCAGATCACGTGAGATTTGTCAGTCGTCGGAGTCTGTTGATACCTGAGGAAGTGTTTACCGTACGGCAAGTCTCTGGACCCGTAATATGAATTTTGATAGGAGAGGATAGTCATGGTCAAAAATAAAGCTTTGCGATCAGTATAAGTGCAGCTGATTTCCCCCTATATCCTGAAGCCGTTCCGTTGGTTGTAAGAAAGGATATACATAATACCAGAGTCCCCGGACGCCGCCATTGATGCCTCAAACGCGCGATATTGCATTTGTGCACGTAAAAAACATTTTTATAACGTTATTTGGGACTTTAAAAGACACACAGAATTGTCATATATCCTCTTACTTCTTCTTTTTCGCGTTTTTGTCCGCCGCGTGACTAATCACGATTCTGATTGTGAGGGCCAAAAAACTGTGTTTTTCACGAATAAAATTGGTATCCTGGCCGAGCGGTCTAAGGCGCCAGGTTAAGGCTAATACCTTAACGAATTTCCTGGTCTCTTCGGAGGCGTGAGTTCGAATCTCACGGATATCATTTTTTAATTTTGCCCTTGTTGGACATCCTAAACGAGTATCTCGAGTGTTCACAGAGTTTCATTAAATTGGAAAGCCGTGATTTGCTGACATTTTTTCTACATTTTTCACTGTGCTGAAACAGACGGGCACCAGAATAACGTGCCGACTTGTACCGTTCCCGGATGTGGACTTTCTACAAGAGCCCCACTCGTCTCATTGCATGATGGCCGTCATTCACACATCAGGGCTTCACCTCAGGGCTTCACATCAGAGTGTCACATCAGAGCGTCACATCAGAGCGTCACATCAGAGCTTCACCCGGCTCGCTTACTTTGCCACTTCTCCACGATATAGACACAGCTCTGCGGATTCCGGCTCGCAAAAACCCTGGACAGCGTGCTCCACATCCGTGGATCGCCACATACTTTGGATCGGCCGCTGTTTCTGGCGGTTTCCCCGTCCTTGCGCTCACGATATCCCACGGAACGGCCCACGGAGGTCCAGCTTCCGACTGTGCAGTTGTACATGGTGAGACATGATAATTATGTGGATATGTACATACTGTACATAAATTCTACGGCTCATACAAAGAGCACAATTCGGCAATACGCTTAGCCGAAAGAGTAAGAGCAGTACGCCACGTCCGTCGTTTCCTCTATCGCCATATTTCACTGAGAAGTTACCTGCGATACAATTAGTCGCACAAATCTACGATAGCTGAAACCTCCTTGTACATGTACTGTACCTACCACAGTACCCTTAGCCCCCACTCGTGATAGAGTTTATCACTATCAAGCCTTCGCCTAAGACACCTATCCGAGCACGCCTTACATTGGCTGTCGTACTGTGTACCAGGTACAACACATGTAAAAGTACAGTACCGATGGATACAAGACATCTACAGAACAAAAACAGTATCGACATTGGTACAATCATTTATACAGCTACATTTCGCTGTTTGCAGCCAGCTCCGGACACTCCTATGCTCGCGTGGTGCACCGTAAAACTCGCTAGAGTGACCCGATCGGTGATGAAACTTTTCCACCTGGTCCGCAAACTTCACACAAGAGACCCGACCCTACATCCGGTAAAGTGACCTGATCTCACCACACGCTACGGTGAGGGTCTGCATAACATGTGTCCTGTGGAGGTTGCACACGGTCGGATCCCCTGTTCCGGGGGCTATACGGAGTTTGACGAGGGTATAGATGAACAGAAGGACGCTGCAAGCGGTACATGTACAGTAGTTGTTTGATTAAATGAGATGCCAAAGTACTTTTTCGCGCTCAAACTTGAACCCAACTAGACTAAAACGAGTGCGGTATGTGTTTTCCCAGTTTTACCACCTCCTTCGGTCCCTTTTTCCTCTGACGGATTAAATGTACCCCCAACTTTTTTTCCCTTCCCCCCTCCATGCGGCGCCCTAATAACGTTACATAAGACGAAGGATTTTGTTGCTTAGTCAATTATCCTTGTCCCAATCGGGTTATCTTAGCCTGGATGCATGCTGCTGCAGAAGCCAAACAACATGTGGAGAAAAACGAGCGGGCAAACGACACCTGAAACAAGCCGGCAGGGCGCACGTGGGAACAATGATGCAAACGGGAAGCCACGGGAGTCACGGGAGTCACGGGAGGCACGTGAGTGCACGCACCCCTTCACCAATGGCACGCTCGTAAGATGGGTTGGTTGTTACAACAGCATAAATGGAAAGATCAATCAAACTTTAAGCAACAGTCCGACAGGAGGAGCTCGTTTGGGCAGGTGGAAATTTGGTCAGTCTGCGGACCCGTAGCAGGCCAAATTTGCATTCATTTGGATCCCCGAAAGCCACAGATTCGATTCGTACAACTATTTTTAGTTTTTGTCCCCCTGCTTCCGCACTATTGGCCCCTCAAACTCTACAGCCTACGGCCGGATCCGAGACTTCAGAGTTTTCCACAATGTGTCTTGGCCCGATAGTTTTATATGTGCGATGGTGGCCACGCGATTCAAGACGGTTGATAACCTTGGGATTCTCGTTTAGGCAACTGCTCTTTGTCGTGCACGACTTTTGGCGATTGTCTGTTCGAAGCACCATCTCCCCGTCGCATCACACAACCCATCTAAACGACACTCCCCACACAAGTTCATCTATACGAATACGACATGCTTGGCCTCGATACCAACCCAGATTGTGCTCCCGTGCTGTTAAAAAGCTCGACGGAGCTGCCCGAGTATCTTGTTGGAGGAACATTGTACCGAACCGGCCCTGGCGGAGTGGGCGACTCTGCCGACAAGATGAAGATCAAACACTTCTTTGACGGCTTCACCCAGAACCACAGATTTCACATAAAGGATACAAGCACCGTCGAATACGCTTGCAGGTCGTCATGCAACGCTCTCAAGCAAATGTACAAGGAGGGAAGCCCCGATATGGCCCGAGTGACGAGTTTCGGACCTCGAGATCCCTGTCAGACGTACTTTCAAAAGTTCATGAGCGTGGTCAAGATGCCTCTATCTGAGTCCAATGTCAAGACCGACGACGGCTTGCCGGCAGATATTGTCAACGTTGGAGTTACCATTAAAAGAGATATCACGGGTTTGGTTGCGCGTACCGACTCCAACGTTTTCCAGATCCTTGATCCAGTTACTCTGGAACCCCTTACCAAGTACAACTACTCCAAGTTTAGTGGACAGAGTCTTGATGGCCAGTTGACAGCCAGCCATGTGGAGTTCTCTGCTGACGGTAAGACGGAGTACAACTACAATCTGAAGCTCGGTAAGATGCCTGAGTACGTGGTCTTTTCGAAAACCGACGGTCACATCACAGAGCTGGCTCGTTTCCAGGCCCCAGGCACATATTTGCATTCGTTCTGGACGACAGACAAGTACGTGGTGCTTGCTCTTTGGCAGGCCGAGTTTTGGGGAGGAGGAATTGGTGTTCCGTTGAACAAGAACGTTCTCCAGGGCATCACACAGGAATGGAACTCGGAACGCGAAACGGTCTTCTACGTTATTGACAAGGACCCGTCCAAGTCTCGTGACTTCAAGACGTACAAGGGCCCAGCGTTTTTTGCATTCCACACAATCAACGCTTTCGAACAGGACGGAGAGCCGGTTCTGGATGTGTGCACGTATGACAACAATCGAGTTCTGTTTGATTTCATGCTGGACAAGTTCAAGAATGATATGGCCGGGGTGCAAAAGAACAAGGCGTTTGTGACCCGGTTCAAATTACACGACGGGTTGGCTCAGACGGTATTCTGCTACGACACTCCTTTGGCCAATCTGGAGCTGCCCACCATCAACCCGAGATTTCAAAACAAGGAGCACAGATACGTGTACGGGGTGAACATGCAAGATAAGGGCCAGTTTTTATTTGAAGCCATTATTCGGATGGACTTGAAAACAGGAGAGACCTTGTACTTCATAGAAGAAGACGAGACTCCTGGAGAGGCTCTTTTTGTGCCAGATCCAGAGTCTGACGAAGACGACGAGCTTGCCGGTGTCCTGCTTTCGGTCTCGCTAAACCTCAAGACAGGCAAGAGTGCGTTGCTGGTTCTTGACCCGGCAACCATGACAGTCACGGCCAGGGTCCAGATGGACTCTAAGGTCAACTACGGCTTCCATGGCAGTTGGGCTATGTAAGCAATGCATCCGTTAGACAGAAGTACACATTGCACAACATGACTTGTAGGTGGCAAAAACGATAAACGAATTAGTAGCTGACTTCTGTTCATATTTTCCACGCAAACTATGTAGATTTTCCGACGTACGTACCAGCGGTATTGCTATGGATACATCATCACTTCTCTGAAACGCTTCCCCAAAACGCTGATTTCAGTCACGTGATGCAAAAAAACAAAACAAACCAACCAATGGAGGATTTTCTCCGCCCACACTTTCACTAGTGGCCTCTTATCTCCTCACCCAATAACAAGCCCGTCAGTTAGCTTAGTCATAACCCATCGCCCATGCTCACAGTTAAGGTTACCAACATGCATAATTCAATGTCGAGAGATGTCTATCGCCGTTTGTTGCATCCCGATACCAAACTCCACACAAATCAGCATGCTCTTTCGCTGTACGAATCCAGAAGGCTGGAGACTGGTGACCTGGTACTACGATCTCAGTCCTTGTGTCACACAGACAGCCATCTTTGTGCTGCCAAGTATAGTGGCTTTCACCTTAGGCAGTCACACTCTCTACCATTTCAGCAAGTACAGCAAACGAGACCGGCCCTACCGATGGCAGTACTCGATCACCTGGGACTACTACACCAAGCAAGTGAGTACTCTTATGACAACCGCCACTGACGATCGATTTCTTGTCCCCCCCCCCCACTAACACAGTCATTAACAGTCCTACAACAAGTCATTGCATTGATCATTCCATTGATCTCACCCTTTGCATCTGGGGATATTCGAAACTGGGCGCCACTGGCCCTTCTAGTCGCCACATACATCACCTTTCTCACCCAAAAATACGAATCGGAACTTGGGAAACCCGCATCGACCTCAGTGCTACTGTTCTGGCTGTTTGAAGCCGCCTTTGTGATCCTCTCTTGCTACGGATGGGTGATTCGACGGATCTACGGCGCCAAACAGGCTGGAAGCTCGTTTATTCTCATTATCGCTCTCCTAGGAGTCATTTCAACTGTCATGATCTACCTGGAATCTCAGGTCTACGAGCCTGTCACAACTAAACTGGAAGATGAAGAAATGGAAGATGAAGAGGAGGCTGCCGAATCGGAACCCCGTGAATCATTCTCACGAGTATCCCCATACGACTCGGCCCACATCTTGTCACGGGCCTACTGCTCCTGGATCTCTCCATTCCTCAAACTGGGAAACAAGAGACCCCTCAAACTGACTGATCTGCCTCCACCCCCAGAGTTTGTCAAGGCTGAGGGCCTGTACAAGGAATGGGTGTCTAGAGGATGGTCCCGTGATGGATCACTCCTATACGCGCTGATTGTCCAGTTCTTCCCCACTTACCTCACATGTGCAATGTTCTACCTCATCAGCACATTCACTCCCTTCATCCAACCCTTCTTGCTGCGATCACTCATTATATTTGTGGGGGAGTATCTCGAGGAGGGAAGTATTGTTCCTCTTTCTCGTGGAATTTCTCTCATCTTTGTCATGATTCTCACCCAGCTCATGTCATCTCTTCTCTCGATCAAGGGCTTTCTGTTGACCCAAGCTTTGCAGACAAAACTCAACTCCACCATGACTTCTCTGATCCATGCCAAGGCTCTGTCTTTGAGTGCCGAATCCGTGTCCGAGCACTCCATCGGTGAGATCCTGACTCTCATGACCACCGATATCTATCGGATTTCAGCAGCTATCGAGTCCTTCGATACCATCTGGAAGGCCCCCCTTGAAGTCTTTCTGTGTTGGTCTTCAATGTACTTCCTCATTGGAAATGCCATGTGGCTCGGAATTATTGTCATGTGCGCGCTTTTACCCATTACAGCAATCATCTCAAAGGTCCGGTTCCGACTACTTAAGCAACTACGTAAAGTTCGTGCAAAGAGATATGATGCAACTAACGACTCTATCATCAACATCAAGTCTATCAAACTCTACTCTTGGGAAGCGCTGTTTGCTGACAAGGTCTTAGCATTGAGATCGGGCCAGGAAGTGGCCAAGCTCAGACAAATTGTGCTTATTAAGAACATTGAAAAGTTCATCTGGAAGACCGCCACGAGCTTTTCCTCGGCAGCGGCCTTTGCATGGTATGTCCTCGTGATGCATAAGGATCTCACCACTGAGATTGCATTCCCTGCCTTGTCGCTTTTTGGCATCTTGCTGGGCCCCTTTGGAGAACTTCCTTATGTTCTAAATCAGTTTAGTGAAGCCAAGATTGCTCTGGACAGAATTGAAGAATATCTGAGAGCTGGAGAGGTGCAGAAAGGGTTGATTGAGGATGATGGGTCTGAGTCTCACGACCAAACTGTCACCACCACGCCAGAAGTGGTGCTTAAAAATTGTTCCTTCACGTGGGACCGAAAGCATGAAATTCCCCTTCTGAAAGACATCTCCATGAACTGTTCTCCTGCTACTCTCACTTGCATTGTTGGACGAGTTGGTTCGGGTAAGACTGGTCTACTCATGTCCATCTTGGGTGAGACTTTCAAGAAAAGTGGAACACTCACTACCTCCGGATCAATGGCATACGTATCTCAGCAGCCGTGGATTTTTAACGCAACCGTTCGAGACAACATTCTATTTGGCAGCAAATATGACCAGGAGGTGTACGAACATGTCATCGACGCATGTGCGTTGTCACATGATTTGGAACTGTTGCCCGATGGAGACTTGACTGAGGTTGGTGAGAAAGGTATCTCGCTTTCAGGAGGCCAGAAGGCTCGTCTAGCTCTGGCAAGAGCCGTTTACTCTCGTGCCGATATCATCATCCTTGACGATGTCCTTGCTGCTGTCGATGAGCACGTTCAGAGTCATCTGATTCGCAACGTGGTTGGCCAAAATGGCTTGCTGAGCGGAAAGACTCGAATCCTCGCAACCAACACGGTTGGTGTGTTGAAACAGGCAGATCACGTGATCTGGCTCGACGATGGTCACTTGGTGGAAGAGGGTAAGTACGATGATCTGATGAAGTCCAACGGACGGCTGACTAAGCTGGTGGATGAGTATCATCGAGAGTCTCCTGGCACCGAGGCCACTGCGGTCGAGGCTATCGACTCTACTGTCGAGGTTGAAGAGTTGAAGGATGATGGTGACGAGGATGATGAAGAGCCCAAGGAAGTGACGGAAGAGCCTGTGTCCAGAGATTCTCCTACTCCATTCAACTTTATGCTTCGGCGCGCTTCCACCTTGTCTCATTTCTCTACCGACAACATTCCTCTGAGAGAAGATGTGCGACGAACTCGTATCTCAGACGAAGTTACAGCTTTTGGAAAGGTCAAATCAAGTGTATTCTACAAGTTCTTTGCTGCCTGTGGTCTACATAACGTTGCACTGTTCCTCTTCTTCACTGTTCTAGCCAACATGGCTGGAGTCGGATCAACTTTGTGGCTGAAGAAATGGGGAGAAGAAGGTAGTGCCCACCTTGGACATATGGTGAGAATGACTTCCCAGTTTTTCAGTCATACTGTTTGGAAAGAGAGCAAACCAGAACAGCAGCTCATGGAAATGTCTCATAGCTTGTCATTCACGTTCCCTGCGCTGTCTCAGGCTAACTTTGCTCTTGTCTATTTCCTTCTTGGACTAACGTCTGGTCTGTTCACTTTGATTGGCTCGGTTGTATGGTTCTCATATGGCTCAATTGCCGCTTCGCAGAACTTGTTCAAGACCATGCTAGCTGCTGTTCTGGCGTCTCCAATGTCCTTCTTCGAGAGCACTCCTATTGGCCGTATCACAAACAGATTTTCCAGTGACATCTCTACTCTGGACCACGTGATTCCCTTCCAGATTGAGGCATTCATTGGAGGTGCCTTCGGGGCCCTGGCTTCTATTCTCGTCATTGCATGGACTACACCAGTGTCTTTGTGCATAATTCTCCCTACACTTATCATCTATCGACGAACACAACTGTATTATGTCAGCAGTGCTCGGCAGGTGCGTCGAATCGCCTCGTCGGCAGGCAGCCCTGTGATCAGTCATTTCCAGGAGTGTCTCACTGGTCTCAGTAATGTCCGTGCCTTTGGCAAAAGCTCGTGGTTCAAGACCAAAATTACGAGTCTTATGGACACCAAGACCAAAACGCAGTTCATCTCGTACTCATTGTCTTCGTGGCTTACTCTGCGACTTGGATTGGTTGGAGCTCTGGTTGTGGGAAGTGTTGGACTCGGCCTGATTGGAGGAGTGCGTCTTTCTCGTGACACGGATGGACCCAAGTGGACTCCTTCGGGCCATGTGACAGCTGGAACAGTGGGTTTGGCTATGACGTATGCTCTACGAGTTGCCTCTTCTCTTAGTCGGTTGGTACGACTCTTGATTCGAATGGAAACCCAGAGTGTTGCTGTCGAGCGGGTCATTGAGTATTGTGAGCTTCCCCCCGAGGGTCTTACCGAGGGTTCTTCCACTGAACAATCTCTAGCTCCCAATTCAGAAGCCCATATTACGTTCGACAACTACTCCACACGGTACAGGCCCCATCTAGATCTCATTCTCAAGGACCTTTCTTTCTCCATTGCGCGTCAGGAGAAAATCGGCGTGGTTGGACGAACAGGAGCTGGAAAAAGCTCCCTTACCCTCGCACTCTTTCGAATCATCGAGGCGGCTGGAGGAGCCATCAAGATTGACCAAGGAGACATCTCGTTACGCAAACTGGAGTCTCTTCGATCCGGTCTCTCTATCATTCCTCAAGATGCTCAAATATTTGAGGGCTCGCTGAGAGACAATTTGGATCCCAGACAGGAGTATGACGACCAGCAGTTGTGGTCTGTGTTGAAGCTCTCCCTTCTGGAGGAATTTGTGTCTCGATCATCTGAAGGGTTAGACATGAAGGTTGCGGGTGGCGAGGCCGGCGGAGGAGGAAACCTTTCTGTAGGCCAGAAGCAGCTCATTTGTTTGGCTCGGGCGCTGCTCAACCCCAGTCCTATTCTTGTGCTTGATGAGGCAACTGCTTCGGTTGACATTGAGACTGACGCACACATTCAACGGACCATCAGAACCGAATTCAAGCACAAGACGATCATAACCATTGCCCACAGACTCAACACAGTCATTGACAGTGACAAGATTCTGGTGCTTGATCAGGGACGGGTGGTGGAGTTTGATTCGCCTCAGAACCTGCTGGAGAAGGAAGGAGGACATTTTTGGAAACTCTGCAAGCAAGCAGGTTTGGCATGATGTATATATATATCTATTCTAATTGATTGTATTATGGTGTAGGCGTACAGCTTCAATGCACGCCCAATTGGTCGGTATTGGAGCTCGTGATTTGGCGAGCTCGTGATTTGGCGAGCTCATGATTTGATACGCTCGTGATATGCTTTCTTTTCTCTGTTTTTTTTTTTTCAGTTTTCTTTCATTCTTATTTTTACGCACATTTCACAACTAATTTCACGTATCCAATAATTCAAGCAACAGCAAGTGTCTCCAATTTAACGTTTGGAGGAGTCGATTTGGGACACGTAATAAGGTTCAGGATTTGGGGAAGGTCGAGTTGTAGGACTGGAATGATTTGAATTGGGGGAAGGATTGGGGAGAGTCACGTGACAAAAATCGAGAGGAAACAGACGGTATTATAGATGTCTACGGTTTGTCACGTGACCCGCAGCCACCACGTGACCCAGAAGCCGCCATCGAGCCACCAGACCTTCTGCTCCCCTTCCACCCTCTCTATTTTCTCACGTGAAATGGCAACCTTAATTGTAATATCCCACTCCTGCCACGTCCGTCTTTTAACACGCGATCCAAACTCTCCTTCCACACACAAGACGGAATCCACGACGCAATGTTCAAGTATCTGGTTTCGATTCTGCTGCTTGTCAGTCAGGTGGCTGCCCTGCACTTCTACCTCGAGGGCGATCAGCAGCGATGTTTCTACGAGGAGCTGCCCAAGGGCACTCTTGTTGTTGGTGAGTATCAGCGTGGGCTAGACGGAGTCACACACAAGGAACAATACCGCGCGAGAAGCGACACAGAAGGAGACGCGGCTACAGAAGGCGGGAATGACGCGACGTGGCGCGACGATGTTTGAGACTTGTGTTGCTAGTTTGCAGCCTTGTGAATGCCACATGGATGACACAGGTTGTGGTTGATCTATCGCGACAGTTTTACCAAAAACGTGATCTGGAAACAAAAACGGCTCCACCATCAATACTAACGCAGGCAAGTACGACGCGTGGGAGTACCAGCCTGAGTCTGGCCAGTGGATCAAGCCCCACAACCTGGCTATCCTGACCACCATCGAGGAGACTTTTGACAACGACCACATGGTGCGATCCCACCGAGGAGAGATGGCCGGCGACATCCACTACATTACTGCCGATCACGGCGAGCACAAGATCTGTTTCCGAGCCGCCACCAAGGACCGAGGATGGTTCAAGAACAGCCGAGTCAAGATCACCTTCGACATGAGCTTTGGCGAGGGCTCTCTGCTCGACTCCAAGAACGAGGTCAAGGTTCAGGGTATTGTTGCCCGACTCCAGCAGGTTCGACAGCGAGTTCTTGAGATCCGACGAGAGCAGGTCTACATGCGAGAGCGAGAGGCCCAGTTCCGAGACCAGTCCGAGTCCACAAACTCTCGAGTTGTCCGATGGATCATCATCCAGGCCATTGTTCTGGGAGCCACCTGTGCTTGGCAGCTCAACCATCTGCGAGGTTTCTTCACCAAGCAGAAGCTGGTTTAAAAATAGATTAAGGAAGATGTTATTGTTGAGAGTGGGTAGACTAGAGATACGCCTTGGATACGTCACGTGATGCGAGGCAATGAGACAGACAGATTTTCGTGTACCCGCACGTTAGTAGACGTAGGAAACGTCGACGAATATGACAGTGTGATCCATTCTATACAACGACCTTGTTTTCAGACTACAGTACAGTACAGTAATCAACAGTTTCATTATCTATTCACTGTCGAAACTCTAAGCTCGCGATAGCTGCAAGTTAGTTTATAAAAAATGGAGTTTCAAATTTCAAGACACTCTACACAACTTGTTTGAGGGTGCAAGTACAAGAAAGTTGATACGGTGCGGGTTCGGTTCACAATATCCGCCCTTCAATAAATCAAGTGACATAGACCTCGACAGCTGCACGGTACACGCCAATATGGACAGATCGGACTCTGAGAAAACGGACGTTCTTCCAATGTTCAAACAGGAGTATGGCAGATATGGGCGACAGATGCTGGTGCCTGAGTTTGGAATATCCGGCCAGTTGGATTTGCGATCGAAACGGATCCTGGTGGTTGGAGCTGGAGGTCTGGGGTCTCCAGCAATTCAGTATCTGGCTGGAGCAGGGATAGGACATATCACCATCATTGACGATGATACGGTGGAGGAGTCTAATTTGCATAGACAGACGATTCATGCTGGAAACGTGAATGTGCCCAAATCTGAGAGTGCGGCCGAGTTTGTTGGAAAGCTCAACCCTTGCATTTCCGTGACCCCCATGGTTGTTCGTCTCTCTCCATCCAACTCCTTCAGCGTCTTCGAGGGTCATGATCTCGTCTTGGACTGCACCGATGGCCCGGCTGTTAGGTACCTGATCAACGACACAGCTGTGCTTTCGGGAATTCCTGTGGTTTCTGCATCTGCTCTCAAAACCGAGGGTCAGCTCAGTATATACAACTACAATGGAGGGCCTTGCTACCGATGTCTGTTTCCCATTCCTCCACCTGCTGACGCGGTTCAAACGTGTGGAGATGGGGGTATCATGGGGCCGGTGGTGGGAATGATGGGTATGAGTCAGGCTATGGAAGCCATCAAACTGCTCACAGGAGTATACAGCGAGTCTTTCACTCCCTTTCTCATGCTTTATTCTGCATACAACTTTCCTCCATGGAAATCTGTCAAGGTGCGGAAACGACAGAAGACATGTGCAGCCTGTGGAGACGTGCCCCGCATTTCCAGACAACTTATAGAGACGGGACAAGTGGATTACTCTGAGTTCTGCGGATCTCCTAGCCAGGTGTTGCTTGGCGAGGAGCATAGAATCACACCCGAAGAGTATAGCAAGATTGTGTCTACCAAACATATACTGTTGGATGTTCGAGAGAGACCTCAGTTCGACATCACGTCTTTTCCTAGGTCCATAAACATTCCGTGGTCTGAGCTCAAACACAAGGAGGAGTTGGATGTTCAAGTGGATGGCTCTCCAGTATATGTTGTCTGTCGGTACGGAAACGACTCTCAGAACGCGGTTGACAAGCTGCAAAAACTCGGCATTCCATCCAAGGATATCAAGGGTGGACTCTATGCATGGGCTAAGAATGTGGACGAGAAGTTCCCCATCTACTAATTCCCAGTTAGGCACAATAATAAAATTACATATATAACTACTTAAACAACACAATCAACGCGCACAAGCCCTGAAGTGAGACCAGCAGCATACCATCCTCCAGTAGCGGCGTTGTTGTTCCATTGGACGGATGTGACGGTGACGTTTTCAGGGAAAGTCACCCTGTTCTTCGAGTTTGTGGCCTTGACAAACCCGTCCGAGCGCAGTCCATCGAACAATCGATACCTATTCTCCTTCTTGGAGTACTCGAATCGCCACAGAATGGTAAAGGCGTACGAGTGCGTGTATCGAGCGCCCACCATGACTCTTCTGACACAGTTACCCATAGCCACAGTTCCGTCCGAGCCTCCAGAAATGACAAACGGATGGTTGATGGAGGTACCCACACTCATAGCGTGCGTCTGGTGTCGTGTGACAGAAGTCAGAGACTTGTACAGGTTCAGCTGTCGAGTGGGCAAGACTCGAACAGTCTCGGAATCCTCCAAACACGTGAACGAAGACACATGGCTCTGGTACGCCACCGCAGGTGTGTAGTCAATGACTCGTAGGTTGATAGCCCGAGTGTGACGAGCATCAGAGACGTCTGTGAGTTTACAGAAACCGTCTGGCGACGAGGAAAACACCAAATGTGAGTCGACGGGGTAGCCACAGGCAATGGAGGCTACGTAGGTGGAGTGGATGGGCAGAAAGTACGACGGTATCAGTGCGGTTTCATCGTCTGTGTCTGAGATATCGAACTCGGCAATCTTTCCGTCTGTGTATCCGACCACAATGACTGTGGGTCCTCTCCAACACAAGCAGGTGGCTTTTGAGCTGGCCAACATAAATGTTCTGTAGGGAGCCTTGAGAGTCATGTGCACGGGTTCGTCGTTATTGTTGTAGGGCACTTCAAAAACACGCACAGAGCCGTCTTGGAAAACAGAGGCCAGTAGTCCTACACTGTCTCGAGCATCATCCTGGTTTCTGGGTTGGAAGGCCATTTCCGAAGCGAAGCCGAAATCAAACGTGAATACCTGGTTCAGTGATGGCTGTGGGCTAAACTTCCATATTTGAATCGTTCCAGGTCCAGTATTGCAGGCAAAGGCCTTGAACGTCGGGTCTGTGGATTCTGGCAGACCGGTGGTGGAGTCTGACAGAGAACTGTTGAGAGTGGAGACCGCCAGGTACTGGGCCACGGTGTGTCCGTAGGCCCAGGCGACAGACGAAACAGGAGCTCCAGCGTTAATTACCGAAGCTGGGTTAGGTGCATCCTGATCGCCTCCACTGGCTTTCCAGGAAGAGCTAGTCTTGGGGGCCAGAGTGGTCTCTTCACCGGTGCTATTCAAAAGAGACATTGAAGGACCAAGGGTGGTGAGATCATCGCCCTTTTCGGCAGTTCCAAACTGCTCAGCCACGTTGACTTTGAGGTCAGGAGGCGTCTCGAACGTCACATTGGGCGTCATGATATTCTTGCCCCACGCGTAGGTCACGTTACCCCAGGTTTGACGGATAGCATTACCCTTGACCCGCGAAGCCTCATCAAAGCCGTAGAACAGGTTGAACCGGTCTTTGAGAGCCACCTTTCGGTCCTCTCCATTCTCCTTGTTGGCAGCCGCCGCCTTTGTCGTCGGAATCTTTTTCACAGGCATTTTTCGCGGCGTGTTTTTGAGAGTCGGCTTGACGGCCTTGGTCTTGGATTTGCTGGACTTGCTGGGCACGTAGTCCACCTCCATCTCGTCACCGTAGTTGCCATCTTCCTCCTCAGCCTTGACCTCGTTCACATCCACGTCCATGTCGTCATCTTCCACGGTCGGTTCAATGCCGGGGTTGAAGTCCGAGTCCGAGTCGTCACCCGCAAAGTCGTCGCCCTCCATCACGTAGGAGGGCCGAGGACGCCTTGATCGTGTCATTGTGGGTTGCTGGTGGAAAAAAGTCGCGTTCCTGTGTTTTTTTCAGGTCCGTAATTTTCGAACGTTATTGCATATCTCGCATAAACCTTGGCTGGGTAGTGTGAGGATGCTGAGTACGAAATAGAATATATATCCTGGTGAATAGTACGTGTTTGTGAAGAAACCGTGTTTCAGTTGGCAGATAATGTCTCTCAAACAACCTCTTTGGTCTCTAATTTGGATCCAGTACCGAGAATATAGCGCACGAGTACACAGGTCCAACGTCGTAAAAAAGGAGTCATACGACCTATGATCCAGCTTGCAATGGCATCACAAGTACAGTATTGTACAGTATGTGCCGGTATATACTGAGATATCGATATACCCCATAGTAACACCTTGGTTTGCACTTTACAACGTCTAGCAAACAACAGAGATTGCTCACCCTTCCGATTCGTAACTCTTCACTGGAACCAAGGTTTCGTCACTGTACTGGCGCGTTTGTTGATACAAGTCTTCTACACACATCTACATTTCACACTCTCAATATCAAATATGTTACTATATACATTTATCGTCGTCGGTACTTGACAAACTCCTCCTTCTTGGAGTCCTCCAGGGCCTGGAACCGCTTGGTGGGGTTCTCGGACATCTCCTGCAGGTAGTTTCGGGGGGTGGCCTCGGGGACCTCCTGGGAGCCAACAACAGGCAGATCGCCCTTCTTGATCACCTCCCATCGGCCCGGCAGACGCCTGGAAGCTCGCTTGAAGGCCTCCTTGACAACCTGGTCGTGCATCTGGCCTCCAACCTCAAATACCACCTTTCCAGTGGGCCATCGGGTGGCCATGTTCTCGATATCTCCCTTACCCTTACCCATTCGGATATTGACACCCTTTCGAGTGACGGGGGTGGAGAGCAGAAACCGTCGGTAGAGCTGAGAGCCGGGAGCGGCCTTTCGAATCAGCTGAGCAATGGCTCCGTCAGCGGCCTTGAGCTGCTTGTCAAACAGCCGCACACCCTCAGAAACAAGACGCAGGCCCCACTGGCCAAACTCGACCGTGGAGCCTCGAGTGGATCCTCCGGTTCGGACAGTGATTCGGCCTCGCTGGGCCTTTCGTAGGTTCTTGAATCGAGGTGCATACTCGTGCTTGTGTCGAATGGAGCCCAGAGTGGGAACAGCAAAAGGAGACACGACAGTAGGGCGGGTAGCTGAGTTAGTACGGCCGTCAGAGGAGCACGGTATTGAGGGTGGTCGACTCGGATAGACCTGTTGGAATGACAGGGATTCCTTATTCCCTAGGTTCCTTAAGTTGTGCAGTCATTCGTGAACTTCCGATCCGAAATTTTTCACTCTCACCGTGTCGTTTGGCACGGTCGTATTGTCGCTGAGAATCGATCTGCTGATTGCATGGCTTCGCTGAATGCCTTCCAAGTCTCTTCCTTCCCCATTTCTAGCGTTACTCACCCCGTAGTCCGTTTACCAGTCGAGCCAGCATTTTGGTGATTGTGAAAAAATTAGCTCGTGTATTTGTTCAGATGGCTGATGAGTAAGCTGCACGAAGTTTATTCGACAGCAGGACATGCAGTACTTAGCCTTTAGTTGAACATGCTAAGTAACTCCCAACTGCTCAAGTACACCACACAAGGGCATCAGACAGGGGATGGGGACCGGAAAAAACATGAGCACTTGCTTAACATACAGTCATGTGACCTTAATATACCCCTCAACCACCACAAGCCCTTCCAACCCCTCTCTAACTCAGCGTATCAGTACATTCGTCGACGTTCGAACTGCCGGGTAACTGGGCCAATCTCATATCGTCACGTGATTCAGGATTCTGAAAATATTAATCCCAACCTAACCAAAAATTGCAGCATAGAGCAAATCGACCACTACAAGTAATCCAGCATGGCCAAATTCGACATCAAAGAGACATATCTGCGCTTTCTGCGGGACGACCCCGACATCACCATGCCTGTCGCGGCCATTGAGGCCCTGGTCCAGCTGCTCAGTGAGACCGAAACCAGCACATCAGCCGAGCTGATTCAGACTCTCAAGGAGGCGAGCGCGGAGCTCAAGACGTCTGTGGACAACTCTATGTCGCTTTCTGCAGGCTGTGATCTGTTTATGCGATTTGTGTTGCGAAATATCCGGGAATATGGCGACTGGGAGGCCTGCAAGGGCCATTTGGTAAAGAACGGAAGGCTGTTTGCCGAGCGAAGTAAGGCTGCTCGAAAGACCATTTCGGAAAAGGGTCTAGCATTTGTGCGGGATGACGATGTCATTCTGGTCCACTCTTTCTCGCGAACGGTACTGGCCCTTCTGGAACATGCTGCTAAGAACTTGGTGCGTTTCAGAGTGTTTGTCACAGAGGCTGCTCCTAGTGATCAGGGTAAGCGAATGGCCAAGGCATTGAGGGAGAGAGGCATTCCCGTGAGTCTAATTGTGGACAACGCCGTCGGATCTGTGATTGACGAGGTGTCCAAGGTGTTTTGTGGTGCCGAGGGAGTGGCGGAGTCTGGAGGAGTCATCAACCACGTCGGATCATATCAGATTGCCGTGCTAGCCAAGAACGCAAATAAGCCCTTCTACGTGGTCACCGAGAGTCACAAGTTTGTGCGAATCTTCCCTCTGGCCCAGGCCGATCTGCCAGACACCAAAAAGATGTTCCACTTCACTGTTGAGGAGCCCGAGGAGCAGAATGCCGACAAGGGTCTGTCGCCAGTCGTCGACTTTACGCCTCACGATTACATCACTGCACTTATCACAGATCTGGGAGTTCTCACTCCAAGTGGCGTTTCTGAGGAGCTGATTAAAATGTGGTATGAGTAAGACTGACGGGAGTGGCACAGTGCGTGGAGTATATAGATAATGGAAAGGTATGCAATGGTTCATTGGATAATGGAGGTGCGGTCAGGGGAATGATTACAACAAGATAATCATGTATAATTTATTCGTACACAATTGTACTTTTACAAGTGCCCTCACAACGGACGGACTAGCCAATTCTAGTCGACTTCTACTTATAGTCTGCGACTTCTTCAACGTCACCAGGGATTTTCGCGACATCTTCGACATGTTTAGGGATTCCAACAGCCTTGGCTTCCTTTTCCTTGAGAGCCACTTCCTCCTCCTCAATCTGCTCGGTGAACTTCTTCACTCGCTGATTCCACCAGTCGGACTTGCCCAGATGGTCGAGAGAGCTCTCGGCCTTGTCCTCCTCCTCCTCGGGCTGCACCAGCTTGATGGCAAACGTTCGGAAAGCGTCCTTGACGGTGTATTTGCCGCCTTCAACTAGATCCTTAGCCACCAGCTCTCGGGTTCGACCAAGAGACTCGATAGCAGATACTCGGTCGGCAGTCTCTTCGAGAAAATCATCAAACCCAGGCATGTCTGCAATTTCGTGAAAGGCCTGCATCATGGGAACAGAGTCGGCTCGTACTCGTGACAAGGAGTCAATGGTGAAAATGTTCAGGTTGTCGTAGACTTGAATGTAGTCGGGACGGGTCATGACCTGTCTGGCTCTCCATAGAGGCAACTCGGGCAGTTTGTGGTCGCTCAGATGCAAGGTGTTGTAGATAGACACGTCCTTGAGCCGTCGTCTATCCATCTCCACCAGTTCTCGCATCAGAAACATGGCGGAGGTGCTAAACTTACCACTTTCCATGACATCGTCATCCATATCTTCTCCAAGCAGACCACACTGGTTGAGAAACCAAGTCTTTTCTCGGTCAATCAGCTCCTGGCAAGCCTTGAGAATGTTCCTGTGTCCTGCGACATGAGCCAGATGTTGGGGTCTACCCCCAACAAGATCGTACACCCGGTTGGCTGTCTCCACGTCGCAAGAGATACCTCGAGCTCTCAGTCGAGCAAGCTGGAAAGCCTGAACGGACTGAGCTCGATCCAAATCCTTGATAGTGACAACCTCCAGGCGAGTTCCCAGCTTCTTGAGTCGTTCGTACAGCCAGTAGTCATCCGAGTTGAAAATCATAGTCACCAGACCAGCTCCAGAAAGAGCCTCGGCCTTCTGCTGGAGCAGCTCGACCAAATTGTTTCCGTCAGCATCGTCTCGAATCAGATGGGCATTGTTGATCACCATAACCAGAGGTCGGCCAGTCTTTCGGACCTTGCCCACAGCAACCTCCTCGAGTTTGTTAAAGGCTCGCTCAATGTCCAGCAGCGCGGTGGTATCACGGGGCCCCCGGATGGAAAACAGAGATCCAATGTAGTCTTCGTGGAATTCGAAATCCAGAGCCTTACCTAGTCGGATTCGAAAGATTTCTGGGTCAGCATGGGCATCAAGAATGGTACAGCACGAGCCAGAGCACTTTCGCATGGCCTCCAGAATCATGCTGGTCTTTCCGGTTCCCTTTTCTCCAATCAGTAGGTAGTATCGTCCGCTGATTCGTCCGGCAATGATGTCATCCAGCAGCTTCTGATGACTTCTCTCCACCCAGCCCTCCATCTCGCTTGTTCGTCGATGCATGGTCAATTCGAACGCCGGGTCTCCGTCCTCGAACGCCTCGTCCATCTTCTTGACCACATGGCGCTTATAGTAGTAGTGGTACGTCATTCCGGCGATGCCCAGAATGGCGATACTGGCGAACGTGATACCTGCGGATTCGGCCATTTTCGTGAGGATCTCCTTGGTGCGTTCCCAGCCGCTTCGCGACTGTTTGTTCTCCTCGCCGTCGCCTCCAATCTCGGGGATCTGCAGCATACTGGATACCCTGGAGCTGTGGAAGGATCGGATTCGGCCATGGTTGCTGATTCGCAGTCGTGCAGCAGTGGAGCTCGAGACCCTTGGCTGTCTGGCCACGTGGCGACTCAGGGCTCGTGGCAACATGATGCTGGATGAGTTGGTGGTTTGCTGCAGAGGTAGGATCACACTGGCAGCACACGCTCGATGGAAACGACGCCGAGGAGAGTTGCGTCAGTATTTGCAGCTCATATGCGCTTCAGCCGTGGCAGTGCACGTCAAGCAGGTTTTCGGTGGGTCCACGGGGGTATGGAGACCAAGTTAGACCCTTGATATTATGTAATATACCTGTAAATCGGTTGAGCGTCTTGATTTCGTATTTTTTACCGCTTCTATGCCGTTTTCCGAAGTCGTCACTGTTCGTGTTAATCAGGCTAATGTGACGTTTTTCAAATTTCAAATTTCAAATTTCAAATTATTAGACAAATAGGAGAACGTTGGACTGTGCATATATGACCATGCTCTAGCACGTGATTTATTTGAAATTCGTCCTGTTTGAGATGTGCGAGTACAAGTACAGTATGATACACCGATTGACGTGTCTTAAATTCGCGTGACAGATCGCCCTGTCACTATTTATAGACACTCTCCAACTGGCTATCGAGTTACTTGATAATCTAACAAAAGACATGCTTTAGTTGACATCTAAACTAACCTGTCCCACCATCATCTGGAACCACCATCAAAGAAGATAAATCTGAACCGAATTCCTTTATGATCTTTCCTACACCTTCTCCACAACACCCTCTCTACCACACCCCATTCATACTCCAGTCAAATTAGTTAACTATTTACACGCATCAGCCCTCTTCTGCTTACAACTTGACTCCGATATGCACTGCAGCAACACCAAAGGTCAGGTTCTTGTAACCGTCGCCGGCCAGGGTGAAGCCAGCGTCCTGGATCATCTGCGCAAACTTCTCCTGGGTGGGGAACCGCACAATCGACTCGACCAAATACTGGTACGAGTCTCGGTCGCCAGCGACAATCTGGCCCATCATGGGGATCACATTGAAGGAGTACTGGGTGTACACCTGATCGAGGATGAAGTTGTCCACCTTGGAGAACTCCAGACAGGCAAACACTCCTCCGGGCTTGAGCACTCGATGGGCAGTCTCCAAAGCCTTGGGGATGTTGGTGAAGTTTCGAATGCCAAATGCAACTGTGTACAGGTCCTGGGACTCGTCGGGGATCTGGTCGAGGGTTTCAGCGTTCTGGACCAGGAACTTGATTCGAGGATCATTGGCGTACTCGGGATGTGCTGCTGCCCGCTTCTCGCCCTCAGCAAGCATGTTGGGGTTGATGTCGACAACAGTCATGTTAGAAGAGACGTCACCGTGTCGTCGCTTGGCGTTGTCGAGAATTCGGAAGGCAATGTCTCCCGAGCCACCAGCAACGTCCAGGAAGGACAGCTGCTCGTTGGATCCGGCTCGTCGGCCGGGGTTCAGAGTGTTGACAAACTCGTCCTTCCACAGCCGATGGATACCAAACGACATGACGTCGTTCATTATGTCGTACTTAGAGGCCACCGACGAGAAAACCTGGCCCACAAGAGATTCCTTGGAGTCCTTATCGACAGTCTTGAATCCAAAGTGCGTGGACTTGTCGTCGTTGAGACACGATCCGGAGGTCGAGAAGGCTCGCAGACGGTGCAATTGCGATCGTGTGGCGGAAAGACCGCGGGTGAGTCTCTGGGCTGCTCCAAGTCGGTTCATGGTTATGTGTTTTGAAGGAGACGATTTGGCGGATTCCAAGTGGTAAAAAATTTGGGTTCTTTTCCATGTACGATAAATGCGCGAGTTGCTTGCTTAGTCAGATGGGAGTGATATGGGCCGAGGTAACTGCACGTGTCGGATGAAGTGAGACATTTATTTATTCCAATTGAACCACCCAGACGAGTCCGTTTATTTATTGCCTGCTTCGAATACAAATAGTGAACTCCTCTAAGTTGGTTGCTTTTCCCCGTTGGTTCTAGTGTGATGTTGATCGTGTTTGGGTTGGAGTATATTTGGTGGAATCGGTTTGGCGGCGGTTGGAGAATCTGGCGTGTTTGTGTGTCACGTGGTGTGTCACGTGGTATGTCACGTGACGGGATGTGATGATGAGAACCTGTGTGGTACCATGTGGTATCGTGTGGTTGATCTGTTATTCAGCATGATCTTGTGTGTATCGTAGACCTACTCGTACCAATACTCTCACAGCTAGGTGCGTGGTACTTGTTGTGCTCTTTTAATCAATTATATACATTGTCTACTGCAGCTTACTCTTGGCAGCAACGTTCTCCTTCTCCTCCTTCTGTCGACGCTCTTCACTGAGTCGGTGCATCTCCGCCTCCTGCTCCTTGGTCAATGGCTCGTACTCGCTCCAGGGATCGATGAAAGTAGAGTGACCTACAGCAAAGTCTCGATCGCTGGTCTTCTCAAATAGATAGAGCTGGGCCCGAACGTAGCCAACCACTCGCTTGATATGCTCCACGTCAACGTTGGGGTCTCCGTCAAACAAGTTTCTCCAGAGCGCAGCAGCCAGAACCGCATCGCCCTTGATGAGACCCTCGTCGTAACTGAGCATGGCTCCTCGCAGCTGCAGGTTGAAGTCCTTCATGTAATTTTGGATGATTCGGTTGCTGAGAATTCGAATCTCTGTGCTCAGCCGCTTCTCAATGTCGACAAACATGGCGTCCACTAGCAGCTGCTGGTACTCCTGGGCAACGGCAGGTGGCAGAGCTCGCATCCGCACAAACAGCATCCATTCGTGCAGAACGACAATCTGGAACCATCGCGCAAAGGTCATAGGCATTCCAAGCTCCTCGTACCAAAACTTGGCGGTCTCGGACAGCACCGGTGGCTTGACGGGCTTGACGGGCTTACGTCGATCCTTCTTGTTTTCCTCCTTGGAAAGCGGGTCTCCGAGATCCACAAGAGCCTGGGCCTTGCACAGGTTGTAGTAGTAGCCTCCGGCCACGGGAGCGGCTCGGAACTTGTCCATGTTGATGTTGAACAGAGACACAATGCCCTCTCCCACCTTTTGCTTCCATGTGTTGGGGGTGGGCGAAGCATCCTCGGTGAAAAAGGGCAGAGGGGCGTTCTCCTTCTTGCTGTAGCATCGCGCGGTCAGTGGTCGCGCCACACCAACCCGAACTGCTTGTCGAATAGCAGGTCTCAGCATTTTAATGATGGAATGTCCGACGGTGAGAATTTCAAAATTAGGTTCGTCTCCTACAACGAGTCAATATGCAGCAAATGGGAGATCAGTTGTTGTCGGGGCTTAGTCAGCGAAGATCTGGAACGGAACAAGTCATCGGAGCAAAGTTGTGGACAACAGGCAATTGTCTCAGTGGTGTTTATTTACAGAGTTTCAAGGTCTCAGGGTGTCCAGGAGGCTGTCGGGGGACGAGTCTTTCAACTGTATGAAAAGTACAGTATGTACATACATAGTGTCCATAGTCGTAAGAGAGTGTTTCAAATCGGTCATGTATGGATGTTTTTTCCGACAAAAAAGACCAAAATCTAAAGTGACACTCGCAAAACCTCCATTTAGCTATTTTTCGCAACTAAAACCCTTCCGCTTGACGAGTTGTAGTGCTCCTGTTCCGATGCTCGTTATTCTTAAGTTATTCTTAGGTCACGTGCACCTCGGAGTATGAAGAACTCTATATAGCTTCCCCGAGAAGAGCTCCAGGAATGTGGGACCTACTTGTACTGTACCACTGTATTCTATCGATCTTTAAACGGTGATGTACTAGGATACAAGTACACTACTCGTACCGGTACGACCAATGTTGCTCGAAATCACAGCTCCAAAGACACGTTTGTTTTAGACCAACTATAGCGACCCCCCCCCCCCCCCCCCCCATCCCAATTCTTGAGACTTGTTGATTTGGTGTATCCTCGGTGGTATCAGATTGTGCAGAGGCTTACTACGGTTTTCACAATCTTCTGTCAGTCGAATTTGACGTCTTTTACTTGCCAACATATCATTTTACAAGAGCAACTTGTACAGTGCAATATGCCATGTCCAGCTTCGAATACGAATACGAGCACGCAAATAAGGACCGTGTTGTGTACGATGAAATACTTACTCTTTAATTCTACAGTATCATCTAGATAAAAAATACAATACAGTACCGTAATAACCTAACACCATTCACCGTTCGGTTTCGAATTCACACTCCAAAATACACCAAGATGTCGCATACAATCTGGGATGCCCGGACTGCATCACGACGACTTTGGCGCTGTGGTGGCCGACCCATCATACCATCATGTCAGGCTCGCTCCTTTATATCGTAACCATATGTTCACCCCATTTCTATTTCTGCCCCAATGTACAATGCCCAAAGTGCGGACCCGACGCAACCGCAAGATCACCGTCAACAAAAAGAGCCCCGTGGTGCCCTTGGTCGCCCCAGATTCTGCTCCTGCCCCCACCCAAACGGCCCGGCCCATGTCTCTGGCCGAGTACAGCGTGCGAATCGGAGCCCAAAGACTGCGAGAACAAAAGGCCCAAGCGCGAGCAGATGCGGCGGCGGCGGCGGCGGCTAAAGAGGTTGTACAGCCGTCTGTCTCAGAGTCGACCAGCGCAACCACAGACTACATCACGCCTGTCTCAAGTCAAGACCCTGGAGCAGATCCTCCTCCAACACAAAGAGGACCTCCCCAGCCACTAACTTACTTCCGGCAACTGTTTGACGCAAAAACTCCATATTTCGATGGCCCCCACATTCCCAACGCCCTTCGGCAACGAGCGCCTTGGATAGCCCGGGATCCACCCAAACCTGAATCTTCCCAGCGCCACCGTCCTGGCCGCCCCCGAAACTCGGCTCGCAAGAAACCCCCCAGGCCCCAGCTCACGCTCTGTGAGAGCCACAAAAGCTGCAGCCACAGCTACTGTTACTACCGAAACCTGCATGAAAGCGAGTCTGAGTCTTTTTACTGATCGCTTTCCAAAAGTCCGCTCGTTCCGTCGCTCGCTCCCCTGGCACCCCCTTGATGCTGTAATCAAATGCATTTAATTACACTCGGATTTTCGTGATAAGCAAAATAGGGTTCGCTCTATATTAGGCTTCTGGTCGCCTTGCATAATCGCTCCGCGTGATGGAAGCACCTTTGAGGGGGTATCCAAACAGCCTGTCTAGAGATCCCTTGTATCGATGCTTCCGGTAGAGCGCCCGCAAAAATACCTCACACCGACAAAAGAAATTCAAATCACCCGCCTGCCGCTCCACTTTCCGTTCTTTCCCACGCCAGAGGCGTCTCTACACCTGCCACTCTGGGGTGGCAAAAGAACGGACGCTAAAAGCTTAACTCTCACCACGTGAACAGACACTTCCCCCAGAGAGCCACAAAAGACTTGATAACCTCTTTTATTAAAAAAAACATATCAGACATCTTTTTCCGGTCCAGAACCCGGTATTTGTGCTTCTAACATCTCTTTCCACACAGCCCCCAAACAAGCTACCGTACCCACCAAGTACTACAGCCACAAGCCTGAAACCCACTTATCAAGCCTCATATCTTGTGCTACGGACACCCACCCACACTGAACCACCTTCCGTGTCTCTCTGCATCCTTTTCAGCCTCAGAAATGACAGATAAAAAGGGAAAACTTGTGGAGTCTGGGCAGACACCCATGGACAACTCCGACACGGACTACGACGTGCTATCCATCTCGTCCCGCTGTGTCTCCAGTGATGATAATGACCTAAAAGGTAGCTGGTATGGCGTTGGCCAGCTTGACGACGACACTGACGACCCCGAATGCATCACATTCTCAAATGATGGAGACGGAGACACCGGCTCGTCGCCCCCTCTTTCCCCCCAGTCGCTCAAAATGCCCACCCTAGCCTTTTCCATCGACTCCCTCAGTGAGTCCACCCCTACACCAAGCAAGTACTTCTTCAAGGACGACCTCAAACTCGAATGGGACGTGGTAGCTCATAAGATTGCTCGAAACCCCCCTAGGTACCGAGACGGCCACAACCTACCCCCTCTGGGAGCCCCTGTTGACAGAGTATGCCTTCTTAACCTCTGCGGTACCCCCTCCCCAGCAGTGCAAAAGTTCTTTGTGCACTATTATGGATTCAAGACCGAAGTTGAAATGATACACCTAGCCAACATTGACAACTTGGACTTTCACCCTGCAACCTGCTACGTGGGGTTCGTCACTCTCACTAGTGAAGAGTCCATCTCTTCTGCGCTTCTCAAGATTGACGCCGCCCTCAGTGCCCGTTCTCGGGGCATCTACGTCACCTGTTGGGCCCCTTCTCAGCTGAGTACTACCAGTCTCATCAACACTTCGGTGTACGCAGCTCTCAAGCCTCTGCAAGACACGTCTGTCCTGAGCCTCCCTCTTGCGCTGGACTCATTTGACCCCCTCGACATTCAGCTCATCGAGTGGGAGGAACACAGTGTACGAAGAAAGAGATCTTCTACTCTAATGTTCCAGTTTGACCAGAAGACCATCTGGAAGGCTATAGTCGGATTCCTTGTACTCGCCATCACGGCCCAGATTGCTCAGTATGTCTTACTTTACAGTATTGGAGACGTCAACATTGTTGCTCCAGAAATTGCTCCTGCCGTGAGCACGACTGGTAAGTCTTCTGCTGTGACCCTCGGCGTGACATCTTCTGCTACAGTCGTCCCCAAGTTGCTCACCAAAAAGTGTTGTATGGAGAGGGCTCGAAGCAATTCTGCCATCATCGTGCCGCCTTCTCCGTTGGAGACTAACCCTACAGAGTTCGATCATTGTGTGATGAAACAATATAATGAGCAGCAACGCCTGATGCCATCGCCTGACAAAGCTACTATCGACGAAGACAAATCCAAACGCTGGGTCCACATGGACATGCAGCTAATGAAGGATTCAATTCGGAAGACCATCAAACGAGCCCAACGACACAAGCTTGTTCGATTCAGTGAGTACTGTGTGTTAAATTTCGGATTGTGTATTAAATATGTTACTGGGTTTGGAATGCAGTTATCTACTTTTCAAAACACTCCATTTTAGATTGAGTCTTTCAATTACAGAAGCTAACTTCAGCTCGCTCGTGCGGGTTAGAATTCCGTCAGAAAGTGGAGGATGCTCACTTTCCCGAAAGAATTCAAGAGGCGGTAACGAACTGCGTTTCCGCACAGGCATCATTCCAGACCTCTGTCAGCAGTCTAGTCAACGAACGCTACCGCCGACTCAAGGACGAAATAGCCGAAGTTGATGTTTCTAACACTGTTCTTCACCTGAAGAAGAGGGTCTCTCAACGTCTCGGAGGTTTCGAAAAAGACCTAAAGGCAAGAATCAATTACAGGGACATAATCCGTCGGGCGCAAGCCAATGTCCCTATTGTACGGGCAAAGTCTGCGTCTCTGTGGCTGGATGTCTGTGATAGAAGCAGGAGGTGGGCCAAGGCAACAGAGCATGGCATTGAAGCAGCCCTCAGTAGGACTCGGAATGGCATGCATGACTGGAGGGAGCACTTGAAACAATCTTGGGGCCCAACTACAGATAATACTAGGTCATTTTCGTGGAGATTGAAAGCATTTTGGGGTTCGAAGCTACCTGAGTCGTTCAGTCGGTTCGATATTTGGACATTTTGGAGCCCACCCGTCAAGAAGGCTGAGGAAGAGCAGTCGGCTTGGGCAAAGTTACTTGACCACAAGTGGAAGCTGGGGTGGTCAAAGTAGTAAGTAATCATGTTAGAGAGGTACATCATGGTGGAGCTGCGGTACTAACTCAGAGAATGATTATATAACTGCCAACGGGCAAATAGTCAATAAAGATTTATGAGTGTGTCTTATTGTGCCGATAGCCATGGAACTGGGCTGACTCCTGTGTGTCAGAATAGGAAGACCCGCATCTAATGGGGTGATGGTTATGCAGCAGCGAGTGTGATTTGAACCTCATACAGCAGGTCAGGTCTCTGTGACTCTGTTGTCTCGGATATTTCCTTGACTTCTATTGTTTTGGTGGTTGCTTTTGGCGAGGCAGGGCCTCATGCATTAGCCGGCTCGTGCTGTCGTAACTCTGTAACAAATAAGTGATTGCGGAGTTAAGATGGTTTACCCGAAGTACAGATATTAATAGAACATGTCATGCAATGTTCATTTATCTGAGGGAATGTGATGTCAGTACGTTGTACAGTAGTTTTTTTCTGTCTATTACTTTCAAATTCCAGGTTGAGGAGATATTGGATGTGAAATCAGTTGCTCTTGGAACCCCTCTAAACAACAAATAGTTGGAGGAATCGAGAGATGCTACTATCAACCCCTATAGCTTTAATATGGCTTGTTTCAAGTTGAGCTAAGCTCATTTGTCTCAAGAGGGCTAACTCGCTCCTTACAGAACGTGTAACGTATCCCTGCTTCTACTTCCACTGATGCAGGGTTTCTGAGCGGCGACTTGGTGTAGTGTGAGGGTTGTAGGCAAGTTAAGAGTGGGGATAAGGGAATGCAGATAAAGGATGGGGATAAAGGAATGGAGATAAAGAAATGGAGATAAAGAAATGGGGATAAAGGGAGTGTCAGTTGATTTGTTTCGAGAATGGAGAGAAGGTGGGCCGTGTAATAGAATGAGCAAATATGGGTTACTAACATTGAGGTTTGTATGTTTGTTTGGAGAGTGTTATACATTCACCACTGGAGTTCTCTATAGTTTTTTGAGACTAATACTGTGATTGAGGTTACTTAGCCGCTTTATCTTCATATGCTAGAACTTCTTGTGATTGTATTATCAGATCATAGTACGTAAGAGTACTTTTCATGTTCTGTGTCTGGTCAACTAGTTGTAGGGTTAGCATCCAACTTCAGTGTCACGTTCGGATACAAGACAGCATGAGGCAGGTTTCCTTTAGACGCCTGTTGTATATACTAAACGGACTTCATATGCTTGTATTTGTACTTTTTTACAAGTACAGTACATGTACAGGTACAGTACCTGTTCCTTTTCACAAGAGAGGCTCGCAAGGGGCTGTGGAAAGCTGCACGATCAATGCAGGTTGAGAAACCAGACAGCACTACAAGTAGCGCAATGAAGACTCGAGAATCACATGGAGTTCTCCTGATCCAACCTGTTGGAGCACTCCTTGTCATTTGATGATTAGGTAATACTTCAATGGCTTGCATATCCCTCGTGGATCGACAGCGACGGGACGATCGAACTGCAAATAGTGTCGATCATTGGCACTTCAAACAATACTTGAAACCACTGCGTCGGAAGTTGCTCACTTATCGGAGACGGGTAGTATGAGTAGGTTTGGGGCGTGGAACAATAATAGTCAAACACTTCACGTTACGCGTTCCTGTACGAGGGCTGCGCTCGTAAGCGCGTAGAAAAAGCAATGATAGCCAACCCCCTATCAACCCCAGCAAAGTTTTGAAAAGCTGCAGTCGCCAGAGGTAAAAGAGAATGTTAAAAAAGGAGATGCGCACAAAGAAGATATGTCCCAGTACACACCCTTCCTCTCTAGCTGTGTGTTTTGGACACTATGGGGCTTAGCCAGTAAGGAGCTACTGGTACTGATTGTTAGAGAAGGGGTACATGGTACATGAGTGGACGAGTGCGAGTGGACGAGTGCGAGTGCGAGTGGGGAGTGTGTAATTACAAGCTTGGGTTTGTCTATTCAGAAGCCCATCTTTTTCTTTTCCTTCCCAAGTAGCGGCCCGTCAATGTCGCAACCATGACACAATTGGACGTGGGGCAGCTTGATCTGCTTGTTGTTGCGGCTTGCAAGCTCTTCCAAAATGGGCCTAATATTTCCTCATGTGGCATTACATGCTGTCTACCGCGTTTCTTACTTCGGCCTACTCGCTTTCCGTGCGTCTGTCTTGTCGCTACTTGCCCCGCTGTCTCAGTTTTTGAAACAGTCATGCAGCAGCAGGCCTCAACGGCGGCGAGTGATCCACAACTATAACTAATATGGAGGTTTTTTTTCTTCAGCTGGTTTGATATTCTCTGGTAACGTGCGCAATTGAGAATACACGTCACGCTGTTGGGCCGTGCAACGTAGTGGCTGCCTGGTGGCTCCGGGGAGAAGACGACTTTTAAGTGCAATGCCGCAGAGATGTCTTCTAGAACCCAATCTCGAAGCCGCCGCTAGTGCATTCGCTTGATAAACCCTAAGTGGATCAACTGTCCCGAAAGGTTGAATACCGCCAAGGGGTGTTTCAAAAAGGCCGTTTTGGACGGTAACCTGCTAGAAATGGTCTTTAGAATATCGGCCTGCGCTACAGCCATTGTTAGGAGTCTTGGGGCCCGGTCTCTTGCTACCGTTGGCACTCTAAATGGCACTACGGCTAACATCCAACTGCAGGCGGGCCCTCTGCGGTGATCTAATCAGCCTTCTTTGTCAGAAATGACAGCCCTACAAAACTTGTTTCATCTCTGTATTCAGCAGCACTCTGTCTGCCCAGCACGTCAAGGGGCTGCAGGTGGCGGCCTGTCGGCTCTTGCCTGTCGGGTTGCAAAAGATGCATACAGGGCTCAACCTAGGACACAGCTGCCATGCAGAAATACCAACGATCGTGAACGGGGGAACTTCTTTTTAGTAAGCGCATTCTTGGCGCTCAGTGGCTTTCTCTTTTCGGGTATATTCCCATGGAGCTATCACCCCGCCTGACTTGTTTTGCAGGGTGTGTGCACTCGTCTCTCCGTGTTGGCTCCCAACCCCCTTGCTAGGTTCGTTTCTGAAGCAAACGTGAGTAACAGGGTCGTCTCTGAAACCAAACAGTTTCAAACTTGCAGGGCGACACCTGAGGTGGCCGTATTAGAGGGTCATTCCACTCCGTGCTGCACGTTTATTATTTCCATAATTAGTCTCTTTCCTGGGGAGCATTTGCTTCTTGCAACGATTTTGTCATTTCCAGTACTTGACATATTTTGGGTTTCGAAAAGCGAGCCTCCTATTTTTTTTTCGGCGATTTTGACAGAAGCTGTTTATGCTGCCAAGAAACGGCATTGACGCCAAAATAGAGGTGAATGAAGATAAAAAATCGATCCGCAATGTGTTCAGAGACTCGATTATTTTAATCTACTCACAATTCTCCGCTTTCTATGCTTTCCTCACACCACCAGTTGGGTTGTTACATATTCACCGAATAATATTATCGGTAATTAGGGTATTAGGTTTTTCAGGTTCCATCTGCATCATGCAGCTTTCACGTACCTGCTCTCTCACACCCTACATGTCACACAACAGCACTCTCACAAAAATGCATCCGCACCGAGTCGCAAAAAGAAACGATAACCAGAGACGATACCAAACCACAAAAATAAAAACTCCTGCAAGACGGCCGATGCGGTCTTCGGCATGAATCAATGAATCGGTCGACTGCCTGACACAGACCCTACAGGTTGCGATCAGTTCAAACTTGCTGGAAAAGCTGGAAAAGCTGGAAAAGCTGGAAAAGCTGGAAAAGCTGGAAAAGCTGGGAATACGAGCCCGGCGATGACTAGAAAATACCACAATATTTTCCATGTGACTCAATTGATTTGAATTCATGGATTATTCGCACTTTCTGGTCACCCAAAACTCACCCGAACGATGCGCGTTTCAGCACGGCAACCAAATAAACTACTCGCATCGGTTTGAGACAAGGCATGGCGACGTGCGTGTGATGGCATGGAAAAGGTAACAATGGACTTCACTCCACGTTATATAACACCCTGGGCCACCTTGGATTCAATCCACACACATTCGCTACTGTCCTTCATCTTGTGCTCTACGACTGCGCAATGAAGTATTCAATCATTCTATCAGCAGCTGTGGCTCTGGTGGCAGCCGCACCCAGTCCCCAGCCTGCTGCCAACGATGAACTAGTACCTGTTGTTGAGCAGCAGGGACGAAACATCCGACTGTTTGGCCGAACCTTCTGTGCCCGAACTTATGGCTACGGCTCCCACTGGGGTCACTGCCCTGAGCATACCAAGTGGAAGCCCAAACCTTCTGGAGGCGGTGGTTCTCAAAAGACCTGTCCCGCCGACCAACAGACTCTCATTACAACCACTACTACTCGATACAAGGGCTACGATTGCCTCACTGATACCATTGTCGTCACCTCTTGTCTTCCTACTCCTACTCCTGCCAAGACAACTAAAGTTCCTCCTCCCAAGCCTACTAAGCCTGTGGCCAGTGGTTCCGGTGATTGCACTACTAGATATTCTACTTCTACCCGATACGAGGGCTGGAAGTGCGTCACTGATACCATCACACAGGTGGATTGCTCCCCCTCTGCACCCACTCCCCCTCCCAAGACCAAGCCCGTGTCCAGCAGCTCTCTTGACTGTCCTCCTGAGTCCCAGACTACTAGCTACTCCACCAAGACACGATATGAAGGCAGGAAGTGTATCACAGATACTGCCACAATTGTTAGCTGTATTCCTCCCGCTCCCACCCCTCCCCCTCAGACTAGTGTCAAGACCACTCCTTCTGGATCGCTGACTTGTCCTCCTGAGCAGCAGACCACCATTGTGACCACATCTACTCGTTACAAGGGTTGGGACTGCCTCACTGACACTGTCACTCTGACACAATGTGTGCCTGGATCTTCCACCAAACCTGAGAGTGTTGTGTCTACTGCCACCCCTCCTGTTACCACTACAAAGGTCAAGCCTACTCCTTCAGGTTCTCTGACCTGCCCTCCTGAGGAGCAGACCACAATTGTGACCACCTCTACTCGTTACAAGGGTTGGGATTGTCTCACTGACACTGTCACTCTGACACAGTGTGTGCCCAGATCTTCCACCAAGCCTGAGAGTGCTGTGTCTACTGGCACCCCTCCTGGTACCACTACAAAGGTCAAGCCTACTCCTTCAGGTTCTCTGACCTGCCCTCCTGAGGAGCAGACCACAATTGTTACTACCTCTACACGCTACAAGGGCGGGGACTGTTTCACTGACACCATCACTCTGACCCAGTGTGTGCCTGGCACATCTACCAAGCCTGAGAGCATTATCAGTACTTCTGTTCCCGGTTCTTCTATTCCCGGCTCGTCTGTTCCTACTAGCTCAGTAGACAGTACTAGTGAGTATTTTTCCACATCACAGAATTTCATCCTTAACTAACATAGCACCTGCGACCATTCCTGGCTCTTCTTCCACTCCCGATATTCCCACTTCTGGAGTTGAGACTGGTTCCACTGGATCTGTCACAATCCTTACTCCTTCTGACTCCAGCACGGAGACATCCCAGAAGCCTACCGACTCTTTGCCCCCTCATTTGACTACTTCTTGGGTGACTAAAACAACTACATTCACTACTGGAACTACCGTCTACACTACTGAGTACACAACTCTTACCACTTGCGAGATTACTCCCTCGTCTACTCCTGCCACTGAGACCACCCCTGTTGATCGTGCCACCTCCAGTGTTCCCGTCGAGTCTTCTTCCGTCCCGGTTGAGTCTTCGGTCCCCATCACTGAGTCGCAGCCCACTCCTACCTCTGAGACTCCTGGAACTTCTTCGGCCCCCGTGGAGACTTGTCCTACTGGTGAAACTATGAGCACCATCACTGTGCCTCATACCAAGACCGTGACTGAGGGAGGATCTACTATCACTACCGTTGTGACCAAGACCAAGACCACTTGTGCTCCCCCTGGATCTGAGACCCTCCCTATTGTCTCCACTGGAAGTACATCTGTGTCTCCTGTCTCTTCTGGACCTGCACTTTCCACTGCAAGCGAGTCTGTACCTGTCTCGTCAGGTCCTTCTCCTTCTACTTCTCCTGATACCACTATTGAGCCCACTGTTGAGCCCACTGGCAGCGCTACTACTGAATCCCTGCCTCCTCACCTTACCACAACCGTCATCACCGTCACTGATACAGTCACTACTGGCTCTACTTTCTACACCACTGAGTACACTACAATCAGCACATGCCCCATTACTGATGTGGAGTCGACCGTGAGCAAGACTACCCCTGTGAATACTGAGCCTACTCAATCTGAGTCTTCTCAGCCCGGACCTTCGCCTTCTACTGGCGTGGTTCCTCCTGAGTCGTCTGGTCCTTCTCCTTCTACAGGATCTGTTCAGACTACTGGTTCTATCGTCACAACCTCAGGTTCTGTGTCCCCTGAGTCTTCGCAGCCTGGCCCTTCTCCTTCTACTGGTTCTGATGTTGAGTCTGTCACTCCCACCACCCTGGAGCCTACAGCCAGTGCCACTACCCAGACTGGTTCCGAGAGCAAGCCCTCCCCCACTGACTCCGGTGACATCACCTCTTATGTTCCCTCTGTTACACCCACCGGCCCTATTACTGTGACATCTCCTGGCATCTCATCCCCTGTGACATGTCCCCCTGACCAGAGCACCTCTATCGTGACGAAGACAATTACAGGACTAACTACAGAGAGTGGCTACACAGTTGAGTGTCTCACTATTATGACCGAGGCCGTCTGTGTCACAGGTGAGGCCACCACTACCAACTGGATTACCTACCAGCCCACTCCTTCTGCCGAGTCTTCTGTGATCCAGTCTTCACCTTCTGGGTCAGTTCCTCCCGTTGATACTACCCCTGTTCAGACTACCGGTGCTGTCGAGTCTTCAGGATCAGTTCCTCCTGTTGAGAGTACTCCCGCTGAGTCAACAGGACCAGTTCTGCCCGAAACCTCCGCCTCTGCTCCTTCCTCGCTTCCCTTCCCCGTGACGTACGTCACCACTGAGGTTGTCACCACCGAGGTTGACCAGACTACCGTGTTTACCACCCAAACTCGAACTATTGTCTCTTGTACCCACGAGGCTGGCTGTGTTGGTAGTTATGCTACTGGAGAGGCTGCCCCTGAGCCCACTATTCCTGCTGGAGCTCATGAGAAGCCAGCCATGCCCGAGGTCTCTCAGGCTGTTGATGTTCCTAACACCACTCTCAAGCCTGTTGGTGTCGTCCCTGAAGAGTCTGGAACCTCTCCTACTCCAGCTGGATCGGCTGCTCCTGGCGAGCACGGTGAGTCTACTCCTGGTGAGCACGGTGAGCACGGTGAGCACGGTGAGCACGGTGAGTCTACTCCTGGTGAGCACGGTGTGCACGGTGAGTCTACTCCTGGTGAGCACGGTGTGCACAGTGAGTCTACTCCTGGTGCCCCTGGCACCCCTGCCGAGTCGGCTCCTACCCAGGCTGGAACTCCTGGCCAGGCATCTTCTGCCCCCTCTGCCCCTGAGCAGGCCAACGGTGGCGTGTCTCTCGGACTCCCTCTCGGTGGTCTCTTCCTGGCTGCCCTCCCCTTGCTCATTTAAGCTGGGTAAACTATTTTATTAACTCTCATAAATTGTAATTGGTACCTCTCAAAAAAGTTGGAAATTGTAGGTACAATACGCCGTATCTGCTGTAGTTAGTTACTCGTCTCTTCCTGCACCTCCCTGTAGTCCATGAAAGCTCAACTACTACGTACATGTAGGGTAAAGAAACCCAGGTGGTTTATTATTGACAGTTAAACAGAAGACATCAAATTTTTCCAATCTTGCTCTAAAGCTCTTCAAAGGCTGCTCAAAAACTGCTCAAAAACTGCTCAATACCTTCTCAAAACTGCTCAAGAGACTGCTAGGTTGGTAAAAATGCTCAAATACTAAATTCATTACTCATAATATATATGTTTTCTCAAATAGAGACCGGCCCTACAAGACTCTCTCTCTTACATCTTGCAAGATCGGCAGTCCTTGACCTCGACAGATCGGTTGAAAGTCTGATTAGACTTGGGGACATCGACAGAGGGGTTACCGGTGAAGAAGTCGTTGGGGGAGAGGTGGACCTTCATGATCTCACAAGGCATTACGGGAAAGTCCTCAACTCGCGGGTGGTGAGTGAGGCCGAAAGAGTGCCAGAGGACAACGTCGTCGTTTCGGACGTTCTCGTTTCGGGCAACAGCATCCTGAACACCACCGATCTCGTTGGCAGATTGGTTGGTCCAGACACCGCCGGCGAAGAACTCCTGGTCCTTGTACTTGGTGACCCAGTAATGGTGGGTAGCGAAGGCAGCCCGGGATCGAGCAATGGAGCCGGGTTGGGCGTATAGCATGGCAGTGGCGAGACCTCCAACCTTGTATCCGACGGGGTTGCCAGAGATAGGGTTGATCTTGTTTTCGTTACAGATCTTGAGATATCGGTTCTTCTGGATGTCCGAGTCGAGGTAACAAGACTTCTCGATGGGTGTCTTGGTGTTCTCAAATGCGATACCATGGGGGTTCTTCTCGTCCCAGGGCAGAGAAACGGTGTCGTTGACATAGATGGTGTTCTTGTGTCCGTCAATGGCAGGGTCCATTCGCATGTTGAAAATGTGCTGATGAGAAGCGGCGAGAACACCAGGAGAGACAATGTTTCCGAACTTGGACTTCTTGCCGGCATCAATGAGCTGGGTGGATACAATACCAGTGGCTCGAATCTCCAGCTGGATACCAGCAGACTGGTCAAAGTGCCAGGCGAAGATGTACTCGTAGTTACCAACGGTCAGAATGGTTTGGAGAACCAAGATTCGTCGTCGGGTGATGGCAACCACGTCGGTTCGGTAGTTGGTGTGCTTCCAGCCAATACCATCATCTTGTTCGTGCATGCAAATGACGTTCTTTCGGGTGAAGACGTTACCCTCGGGGTCGCAGACGTTGCCGTCAAAGTACTTGATAGTACCGAGACAGTCGCAGCCCAGAGTCAACTCGTTGGCGCACTTTCCTCCACCACAGTCACCAAAGTCAAAGGCCATCTTTCGGTGGAGAGGAGGTCGGGGATCGGCATAGGGAACAGCCATTTCGGACATGGAGAGTCGGTAGAATGTGGATCGGCCGTCGTAGTGCACGTCGTGAATGACGAGACCCTCTCGAGGAGTGAATCCGACTTTGAACTGCCACTTCTGCCAGTTGACATAGCCGTCCTTGTCAATGTTGTAAGAAGGTCCGTCGGGCTGGATCACGTTGTAAGGCTTGAGGTCGGTTCGCATCTTGTCCTGCAGCTCAGGCAGGTAGTCGTTGGCGACACAGTGCTCGATGCAGTTCTTGCCCTCGGTTCGGGTGTCGTAGTTTCCGACGCCCTTGACAGCGGCATCGTCGTCGTCGCCACCGGTGGCGCAGAAGTCGACTCGAACCAGCTTCTTCTCGAGCACGTCGTAGACAGGCACGAAAGGAACGGGGAAGGCGTACATGTTGGAGTCCTGGTGGTTGGTCTTGGGGTCTCGGCAGTAGACCAGCATCTGCATGAATCGGGGCATCTCCAGCTCGGAGTCACAGCCATACATCCATCCATCAATGGTCAGGTTGTCGATGAGGTGCTCAAGACCACACTTCTTGATGGCGTCCTTGACCAGAGGATGGGCGAAAGCGGCCTCGAAGGCCTCGTTGGCCTCCCAGGGGTCGATGGGAGGATGGATACCCTTCTTGATGACCTCGTTCTTGATGACGGTGCCTTGGGTCACGTCGATCCAGCACTGGTTGACGAGCTTGTCCTGGAGAACGTAGAAGATGCAGTGGGCCACTCGGGGAGGAGGAGTGGGGTTCTTGCCGGCTCGCTTAGCAGCCAGGAAGGGGGCCATGAGGGCCTTGGGGGGTTCCTCGGTGCCAATGGACTTGAGGTGGAGGGTTTTGCCGTTGTGGGCCTTCTTGACCACGGTCACAACCTTCTCCATCTCCGGCACGGAGAGTTGATCGAAAGGGTGGGGAGTCATTGTGTTGATGTGTGAGTTGAGAAGCTCGATGCTAAGATATGGCATCCAGAGGGAGCAGATCGGGGGTTTAAATATATCGGTCTACACGCGGTCCTTTTTGTGATTTTTCAAATCTTAGGGCCCTCGTTTTTGCGGAACATAAGCTAAACTTTCCGCGCCTCTGCAGAATTCCTGCATTAGTCTATGCAAGAGGATGGTGGTTCTTATCAAAACGCCAACATCTGAGCGGCGATTGCCTAATTAGGAAGGTGTAGCAGTCGAGCGACACCCACGCAAGAGTCTTGACAACAGGTCTACTCCGCACCCAAGGCCGCTGTTGGGGGATTGTTGGCATTGCACAAACCAGTAGTGTCTTCTGGGGCCGGTTTCATGTCATTTTTGTGACAGATGGGCAATTTTTGCCCGTCCAGTGTGCCGTCTGTTGCCACAGTCTCACAGTCTCCCACCCAGCTAAGCGCACGTATCTCTCTACCCCAGAATTGGGATAAGGGTAGGGGCTGCGAAGCCTTAAATTAAGCTGATAGTAAAGTCCGGTGTTCGAAACCTGGACAGGACCAAATTATTTGGAGCTATTGAGGTTGGGTTTTGGGCCGGGAACTGCAGATAGGAGTCGCCACACGTTATTTCTACAATGTGTCCGGTTTCTGGTCTTATCTGCTCACTCCATCTGGAGATACAGGTCCTCTTGTTTTTCGATTACACTATCATTTATTCGTCCTGAGGCTCAGCATTAGCTGCATTCTAATGCACTATTGAAACCCAAACCAACAGCCATGACTGATTAAACGTTTCCCCACAAATCGCAGACAAGCAGTGTGTGGACAAAACCAGTAGGGTAACGTCCCGGCCGATGTAACAAGTGGGTAGGACGCCCGATTTACGACCGGCGAGAGGGGAGTGTGGAGAAGCGGTGATATAGCAGAGCGAGCCAGGGGTCCGGTGACGGGTTCAGCAATGGACACAGTGACCCAGTTCGGCTGACAGCAGTAATAAGCCATTAGATCGGACAGAGTCTGTCTGTCTTTCTTGGGCGTATCAATAACCACCGCATCTGTCAGCACCCTGTTGAGGTAGCTGGGACTATCTCGACTCGAGTCTGGTCAAGGTACTGTACGCACTTGTGTCATTGCGTTATGGTGAGTGCCGGGCGTCTGTATGTATTTGGAGGTGGTTGTGGTTCTCAAGACGTTCAGAGGGCACTTTGACGCGGCACTCCGAGGACGTCAGAGGACTGAGGACTCGAGCTACAGTACGAGTACTTATAGAAACCGATATTTGCTCGTCGAGCTGGCTCGTTGAGCTATGGTCTGAGATCTTGAGTAGTCTTACCCTGATACAGCAACCCACAGCCCAACATGTCATTGTTCAGCACCATTCCAAGATGAAGACCAATTCACGGATACGACTGAAATGTGTGTCTCATAGTTCATGGCACACTTTATTCATGGATCTCGTAATCAGAATGGTACACTTTGTTCGTGAATCTCTTCATTTTTCCATTCGTGCGCCGCATTCTTACTCACTTGTCTGTACCGACCACCATTGGATATCTCGTTATCTAGCTTTCAACTCTACCAGTGCCAAAAACGACGATCGGACGTTGAGGCAGGAATTGCAACTCCGACACCTCCGAAAACGTCCTGCTAAGCGCCCTAATCGCAGACCTGATAACTAGGCTGACACGTCTTGGCAATCTAATCGCATTACATAAACCGTTGGTCACACCTTGGTCATGATCGACACCATTTGTCATCTATCTACACGTCCAGACACACCATTTGTCTTGTTTCTTGTTTCCGCGGTGAACCTACTTGCAGGCCCTTGCACTACCAACGCCCACCGCGCTTATCTCGGAACAGCCATCCTCAATAGGCAACACTAAGTGTTTCGGAGGCGGCAAACTCTACCCAAATCGGGCAGTGCTATGCGAAACCCGGACTCACACTGTGAAAACAGTGGCCTCATATTTGGCCCTTCCATAACCGAGTCTGGGAGGCAGAAACGAGATATCAGGGCGAGTAACTGCTGGTTCGAGTTTTTGTGTGTACTTGTACCTGTACAGATATCACACGCAAAAATCGCGCAAAAATGAGCCTCTTTCTTTTTTATTAAGTCACATTCTTGACTCGAACCTGCAACAAGTGAGGTCCTGTTTATGGACACTGTTTGGGTGATATATGCAGTGAGGGGCTACTTGTACAGTAAATCGCGATTTTCATTATTTGTGGAAAAAATAAATAAAAACCAAAAATAATAAAATAATTGAAAAATATGGACACATTACGACTGCTCAAACTTGTATCATGTTGCACTTGCATCAAGTATTGGACCCCAAGAGTATGTACTGTGTTGTACTGTATGTACATACTATCCACATGGTCGTCTATCTAAAGACACGCAATTTGGCTTGTATCAATAATATCATTCTATCAGTTCATTATGTACTAAATCATTGCGCAAGAGAAGCCCAGATAGAGAGCAAACCACTCTTATCAACGCCTATCAGGCGTCAATCTGGATAAACATATCAGGCGTCAATCTGGATAAACACATCCTTGACGTGATCCTGCTGCATCCGCTGTAGAATGGTCTGTTTCACCTGCTTGGAACTGGCATCCTGCTGCAACTTGACGTGAATTGTGCCTCGAACGGCTCCTCCATCGCTCCAGAACCGAGGCTCATCGTATGAAGCAACTCCCGGCATGACAGAAATGTCGTTCAGGATGTTTCGAATCGTGTACTCCTGCGAGTCTGTCAGAGACAGAAGCAGAGTCTTGGCTGCCGTGCTCACAAGAGGTAGAGCAGACAGGAAAATCAAAATAGCAATAAGCATAGAAGCCAGAGGATCGAAACCCGACCAGCCAAAATACCACGTGAGGATAGTTGAGATAATCACTCCAACCGATCCAAGAGTGTCGGCCATAATATGCAGGTAGATACCATAGGTGTTGGAGTTGTGCTCAGAATGGTCATGTCCTCCATGGCTGTGCCCGTGGGAGCACTCCTCACCTGGGGCATGACCGTGATTGAACACAACAATGCCAACAATGTTCACTAGCAGACCCAGTGCAGAGACAACAAGGAGCTCGGCAGTTCTCTCAAGCTCAACGGGATTGTAAATACGCCCAAGGGCCTCGATACACACTCCTCCAGCAATAGCCACCAGAAGGCAGCCGTTTGTGAATCCGCTGACAGTCTCCACCTTGCCCAGACCGTAAGGGAAACGGGACGAGGGGGGCAGCTTGGACAGAATCGAGGCAACAAGACCCACCATGAGAGCGAGACAGTCGAAGAACATGTGGATGGAGTCGGACAGGAGACCCAGAGAGTGCGAGAGGATGGAGTAGAGAAGCTGGATCAACATGAAGGAGAAATTGAGCAGCAGAAAGTAGAAAATGTTTCGTGTATCGCTGTGACTGATTATCGAGTCGATTAATCCTGGTCGCTTTTTGATAGACTTATCGGAAGCGTCCTCTCCATCTTCCGAAACCAGAGTGGGAACGAAGATGGACAATCCACAAACAAGAGCCTCGGAGGGAGTTGCACGGGACTTGATGGACAGATCCAGAGTGAAGCCAATAAGGGACGAAAAGACACCGTTAATTCGGTTGGGCTGCAAGTCTCGCTTGGCAATAAGAAACACACCACAAGAGCCACAAGCGACAACAAGCAGGATGATCTGCTCGATTGTAAGAGACACAAAGAGAGCGGTGGGAATTGTGATGAGCAGACCCAGAGGGATAGCCTGAGAGCTTGGAGTCTCAAGGTTCTGCTGAAGAACAAAGACAGCCACACCAAGAGCGAGATATCCGATTGCAAAGTCCAGGAGAGGGCCTCCCTCCACGACGACATCGTGCGCAATCGAAATGAGCAGATACACCAGGTACTGCCAGGACGATCTCCACTCTGGGACCTTCTTGAGAGGGACGTTCAAGGACACGAAAACAATGGCAGTGACTCGAGTGGTTCCTAGAAAGATGGCCGAAATGACAAGAGCAAAGATCCCCGCCGTCAGGACCACGGTATTTCGAGCTCCCTTCCTTGTGCCGATAGTATGCTTGATTCCAAAGAGACGGAACACACCCGCCCAAAAAGTCGTGCATCCTGCCACCAGCAGTGCAGAAACAATAGGCGAGAGCACATTGAGCTGGAGACAAAGAAGCGAGGTTGCCAACAACGAGGTCGGCAGCGAGATGAACGACGGAATTGACTGTAGTAATGATGACAGTGGCGGAATGTGGATTTGCAGATCGGGTATCTCTCTGGGATCATGGCTGTGGCTGTGTCCATGACCGTGAGAACAACTTCCATGGTCGTGAGTATGTGTATGTGTATTGGTGAGGTTGTGATCGTGAGAATGATCGTGACCATCATGGGTATGCTTGTGGTCGTGTGTATGAGCATGGGCATGGCTGTGATCATGAATGTGGTCCTGAGTATGGTCGTGAATGTGGTCGTGAATGTGGTCGTGAATGTGGTCGTGAGTGTGGTCGTGAGTATGGTCATGGATATGACCCAGAGGATCGTAAACCGGAATTCTGGGTTCGTTCAAATCACAGTCGTGGTTGTGGATAACGTGATCGCACTCCTGTTTCAACGTGTCCAGCTCCACAGCCGCTTCTTCTCGGTCCTCAGAGTTGCGGATCTCTCCATTCACCAAAGTTCTTCTCCGACTCCGCATCGGCAGAGCCTCATCATAGCCCTCCTTTACCGGGTCCAGCTTGCTCTCAAGTGTGTGGTGGTGGAAGTCGTTCAGCAGCTCGGGCACATTGAGAATACCCCATGAAGGCGTTCTCATAGGCCCTGCAGACGACGGTCCACTGGAATTGGCGCCGAGATTGCCGTACTTTTTCGCTTTGGCCATCTGGTCGGAAAATGACTCCGGCATGTCGATCTTAAGCCCCGTCGGTCTTTGGCTCATGCTGGTTGCTGTGTAGGAAGTTGTCGTGTTATATAGTCAAGTCTCGTTGTCGAGGTGATGATACATGTGTGTGGTTATGCACTATTGGTAACCTTAAAACGTGTATGACGTAGGAGATTTAGATTCGAAGGAGATTCAGATTCGAAGGAGATTGCAGACCGCGCAAAAAGAGTGATAAATGCACTGTACACTGAATAACCAAGCCATTTCATTACATGTCACGTGAATCTATGGAACAAAACGGACTATGTCCGTGTTTTGGCCGCACAACGGTTTCTGTTCTAGCCCGCCCTTAGTTTTTTTTTTTCTGCATATACATTCATTTAATTATAACTTTGCCGTGAAAGAATAACCTTTGAAATGAGGTGTTCTATTGTTGCGTGTTGAACTCGCACTAAAAAGTTAAAACCAGACTTGATTTGTAGGGAGTGCTTCCTTCGATATGCCGTGTTTAGACAAATTTGCAACCGGCTTTGAGAAAGTCAGAAAAAAAATCGGAGAAAACTAGAAAATGAACGAAAAAACAACAGAAATCATCTCCATGTAAATATATTCCGATCAAACCTCCCAGATATTCACAACTCCGTCATCGCCAGAAGTAACCAACTTGTCGTCCAACCAAACGACATCGTTCACTTCATAGACACCATGAGCGTTCTCGACCTCAGACTCAACCACCCACTGGCCAGGACCGTTCTCCTTGTAGACCACAAGCTTACCGTCGGCACCGGTGGAGGCGATTCGTCCGTTCTTGTTCCATGCAACAGAGTAGATGGCTCGAGTGTGTGCTTCAGGCAGAGTAGCCTGCTGAATCCACTCCTCAGAGAGAGGATCAGCCCGGAAAGCAGGTCGGATGCCGGAGTGGTCACCTGTACCTCCAACCTGTCCCTCCTTTTTCCACACAATGCATGTTTTGTCGTCCGAACAGCTGACTAGTCTGAGATCAGAACCCTCAGAGGGCTCAAAAGCACACCCCCAAACAGTGGACTCATGTCCTCCGAGGTCGGCAACACAGATCCAATCGTCGTCGTCCTCGCGCCATAGCCGCACGGTATCGTCGTAACTGGCACTGGCAAACACCATCTCTGAAGGGTGCCAGGCGACATGCTTCACGTCTTGAGTGTGGTCCTGCAGCACAGATATACACTCGAACTCGTCATTCATGTCGTCAGCCTCCCACACCCATATACTCTTGTCTCGGGAACATGTGGCGAGCAGCTGGCCGTCACATGACCAGCTGACTCCCTTGACCTCGTTTTCGTGGCCCTCAATAGCCGCCAAAAACTGCCACTCGTCGTCCTCTTTGCCCCAGATGCTGACTGTGGAGTCGAAGCTTCCGAGCGCCAGCGACGGGGACGAGCCGCTGGGCTTCCAGGCCACTGAGCGCACAGATCGGTTGTGGCCCTCGGTGATGGTCGTCACCAGCTCCCAGTTGTTTGTGTTGTAGATTCGCACAGTTTTGTCGCCCGAGCACGTGGCCAGAAGAGGCAGGTTGGGGTGGACGGACGCTGCCCACGCCCGGTCCGTGTGTCCTTTCAGTGCCTTGATCAGCTGCATTTGGTGGTGATGTCAAGATGATGGTAGTGAGTAATAGCCTGCAGGCTTGCACTAGAAAGTTAAACTGATGGCGTCGAGACCTGGCAGTGAGGACAGTCGAGACCGTCAAGAGCCTGAGATCGGAGGGTGTTTGAATATTGGTTCAACTGGATTTTCCGCGGTATATATTTTGAAACTATTTTCGTTTTCTCTTGCACTTCTTCGTCGCCTTTCGTAGGGAGTGGTGTATCATGTTCAGGGAAAAAAGTGAAATAAAGGCTGAACAACATTCTGTAAATGCGTCAAAAATCGGGGAAAAATATGAAAAAATGAAAAGAAGTCAACAAGAGCTTTATGAAATTACCGAATAAACACATAATTTCAACGACTTTGTCAAATATCTAGCCTCTAGAACTCCCGTTTTATCACCGTCGTCTAACTTCTGTCCTCTAAAGTTCACATTTGGTAAACTTAATCAACGCACGGTAGAAACGAAACTGCAGCATCTGAAAAACTCCACAGACTCCGCAACTCACACAAATGTTCCGCATAGGACTAATTGGACTCCGGGCCAGCCGGCCTGTGCTACTGAAGCCGATCCAAAGACCCCAGCTTCTGTTTCGGCCGGTGTCTCCCTTCACAACTGGACGACATCTGTTCCAGAAAGATGCTCACAACGACCACCCCAAGAAGGATGCTGAAAACAAGCCCGAAAACGACAAGGAGCAGTCCAACGAGATGGTAAAGAAAGACACCACGTTTGATCAGCTCCCCCACATCCCTGATCCCAAGGCCGAGGCTTTGGCGAAGAAAAACGGCTACGTCCCCGCCAAAGAGTGGGTCCGAGAGTCGTTTGAGATGCCTAAAACTGACGTGCGACGGCCCCATATGCTGAAATGGAAGGCCCTAGACGGCCATGGACCCAAACTGTTTGCCCTCGCGGTCATTCTGTGGATCATTTGGTGTGCTTACATGGTTACTGGACGAGGAGGTAACGAGGGAGGAGAGACTACTCTGGCAAACAACGCCTTTGTCAAGTACAAGATTGTCAAGAAGATGAAGATCAGCGACGACGTGGAGCTGATTGAATTTAAGGGACCGGAACGATCCATGCTCCAGCCCAAGTATGCAGAGTACTGGGATGGTCACAGAATGTTTTCTGTTCACATTAGACAGCCTGACGTGCAGGTTGTACGATCCTACACTCCTCTACCCGTTTACATGATGCAGGATGTTGATGGAAAGGATCCTTTGGTCAAGATCATCAGTTGGGATACCGACTACAATGGCTTTTGCATGATCATCAAGAAGTACGAGAACGGAGAAGTCGCAAAGTGGATCCAATCCCTGCCAATTGGCACCGATGTGGACATTCGAGGTCCATTTATTGATGCTGTCATTCCGGAAATTCCTGCTGACGTTAAGCCTCCCAGAGCTCCCATGGAGGATATGCCCAGTCGAATCCCGGCTGACTGGAAGTACCTGGACGTTCCCAAACCCGACAACCTGGTCTTCTTTGCTGGAGGAACCGGAATCGCCTCTGTTTTGCAGGCCCTTTTGTCTACCAATCCTCCTCGAGGCTGCGTCGACATTCACTACTCTGTGCGAACCCGTGATGAGGTCCCCTTTGAACGTCTTCTCTACTTTCTGCAAAAGCTCGGTCGAATCCGACTCTTCATGTACGTGGACAAGGAAAACAAGTTCATCTCGAGTAAGGACATTCCCCAACCTGCTCCTTTGAACATCAAGCCCAACACTGATACCACCGACTACAACAACGCTCTGGAGCAGGCAGCGGCCCAGAAGAAGGACAAGAACCGCCAGGGACCTGTCTATGCATACGTTTGTGGCCCTGACGGTTACGTCAACTACATGGCTGGTCCTCGAACCTATGATGGTCAGGGACCTGTCAAGGGTCTGCTTGGACAAAAGGGATGGACCAATGACAATGTTCGAAAGATGTAGAATGTAAATAGCAAATAGAAGTAACGATGAAAATGATGAAAACGATGAAACGACGGAAACGATGAAACGACGGAAACAATAAAAACCCTCTTAGTATAAATATTCACGATTAGAATACAATTGTATATAATACTGTGCGATCCATTTCCTACAATCATGCATATTATCTAAGTTTCGGTGTGACATGATTTAGTCTTGGAATTTTCAGACCCAACATTCTCCATCCAATGTCGACAGTTGTCAACGCTGCGGCGTCGCTGAGCCTGGCCCTGCCCAAGGCCTCGACCATATTCTCCATGATCCAGCCCACCGGCGTTTTCCACCTCGGAAACTACCTCGGAGCTGTCCGAGGATGGGCTGATGTTGCAAAGGCCAACCCCGACCCTACAACCGAGATTTTCTTTGGAGCCGCCGACCTGCACGCAATCACCATGCCCAAGGACCCCAAACAGCTGCAGGAGTGGCGACACGACGCCCTGGCGTCTATTCTGGCTGCAGGAATCGACCCCGACCGATGCTCCGTCTTCTTCCAGTCAGCTATCCCCGAACACACCCAGCTCTACTGGGTGCTCTCCAACAGCATTGGAATGGGCTACCTGAACCGAATGGTGCAATGGAAAAGCAAAGCGGGAGTGGCAGAGTCCGCCTCTTTCTTCGAAGACTCAGAGCTACTCTCACAGCTCAAGCACGGCTTGTTTTCTTACCCTGCTCTGCAAGCAGCCGACATTCTCATGTACAAGTCCACCCATGTGCCTGTTGGAGAAGACCAGAGCCAGCATCTGGAGCTCACCCGAGCCGCAGCCCAGTCCTTCAACGCCCAGTACGCCTCCAAAAAGAAACCCTTCTTCCCCATCCCTACTACACTATTTGCGCCTACCAAGAAGATTGCTTCTCTCAGAGACCCCTCCAAAAAGATGTCCAAGAGCGATCCCAACAAAATGGCCTCCATTTTCATCACAGAGAGCCCCGAGCAGATCTACAAGAAGTTCAAGTCTGCAGTTAGTGACTCTGACCCGGCTCCTTTCCTCTACGACCCTGAGAATAGACCGGGCCTGTCTAACCTCATGACTATCATGGCAGGTGTACAGAGAGTCTCTATTGAGGACGTGGAAAAGAACATTGCCGATATCAAGACATTTGGAGAACTCAAGAAAACCGTGTCCGATATCGTGGTCGAGGATCTGGCTCCCGTTCGATCCGAGTTCGACAGACTCAAGAACGATAGAGCCTACCTCGAAAGCATTGTCAATAAGGGCAACCTCAAGGCCAGAGAAAAGGCCTCCAAAACCCTCAAGGAGGTCTACGACCTGATCGGATTCGGTAACGTGCCCACCAAATAACCAAGCGAAACCAACTGCATTAAAGCTATTTAAACTGTATAAATATATAGACTACATAATTAACATCTCCACAGAAGCAATATTAGACGAAAGCTCTCTGGTAGTTTTCTAGCCCTTGCTGGCAACCCGCTCACGACTAGCAGTCTCGTGACGAACACGATCCTCGGTTCGGAGTCGCTCAGTCAGCTCCTTGAGCTGGGCCTCCTGTCGCATCAAGTCACGCTTCTTGGCTTCAATCTCCCGCTGGACGGTGGCCTCGATTTCCTTGAGTCTCTTGCGCTCCACGTACTGGTGGTTCAAGGCAGTGGGGAAGCTGTTGCCACTGGAAGGCAGCCGCTCTTCCGTCGACAGGGTATTCTCGTCGTGACCATTGGACAACTTCTTGGTTCGGTACTTTTCATAAAAGTAGTCGTGGGTGATCTCCTTGAGATCATGCATATGCGACCCGAACAGCACGTTTCGGAGCTGCGCAAAGTCAGAGTGCGAGTCATCGTCAACCTCCACGATCCCCCAAGGGTATTGCCGAGCTCGGCAGGTCCGACCGTTGATTTTATACTCGGTATTGCTGCTGACGACGGCGAAAGGGGTCATCTCGCGCAACATCATGTTCTCCTCGATGGTCTCATCGTCATCACCGGTGTAGGGGAAGAAGTAGATGGGGATCTTGTACTCCCTGATGTCCTCCATGATGAGCCTCTTGTTGAGGTGCAACTCGTCGGCAGTGAGGGTGTCTGCCTTGCTGATGACAGGAATGACGTTGGCTCGCGTGGCAAGAGCCTGCATCGTCTCAATGTCGCATTCTTGGAGACCATGGCTAGTGGGGGTGATGAAATACAGCACGGCATGGACCCGATTGTCCAGAAACTTGGGGTTTCGCTTGACCCGGGTTTCCTCACGGAGAATGTCGTCAAACTGGGCTTCCAGGTAGTCGATCAGAGTCTGACAGCATGCGGTGTTGTCTATGTTCTCGCCAAAACCGGGTCCTTCAACGACGTTAAGCTTAATGACCGTGCCATCCTCTTCAAACTCCGTCTTGGTTTCCTGGATGTGGAAACCTGAGTCTTGGTCCAGCAGCTCGGGAGCCACCTGGGACGCGCCGGCGGGGAAGATGGTCTTGTTGCAGAGGCTGTTGATGAAGGTAGACTTACCGGAGCCACTGGCACCACAAAGCATGATGGAAAGGTTGAAACCTCGCTTGACGATCTTTTTCCGTCTCATTTGTTCGGGCGAGAGCTGTGTTAGTAGGTATCCAGAGAAGTACAGAACGAGTACCTCTCGTTCTTGGTATTTGAGTATCAATGGTGGTATAACGCGCAGGCCGCTCACGGATACACATTCGTCGTATCACATGTGTGTCAAGATATTAAGCTGTTTATATGTCATGGTATATCAGTCCTCTGAATCATAGTCCACGTGGTATCACTTAATGTGTGTCACTTACCGTTCCAAAGCCCTGCAAGAATTTGCTGGCTTCAAACGTCTCATTGGATTTGCTGGTATCTCCGCTGGTTGGTGTAAGACTCATAGTTTCGTGGTTTCCCGTTTTTCGCTTCGAAAAAATCAGATTTTCGTTTTTCCGGTGATGGTGATGTGATAAACACAAGACAGAGTAAGTTGCTGAGGTCGCAGCGATTAGGCTTCAGTGAACCTTATGAGTGAAAACAGTTGGGGGTACCGGCCGGGTAACCTCATCCCAAAACAGATTTTGGGCCTAAACCCAAAAGCAACCACAGCATAATAATATATCACCACACTACGATACATTACAGGGCGCACATATATACCCGAGGAAGGCGAGCATTGGTAATTGTGTGATATTCAGCAACCACACAAGTGTGCGAGCAGTAGGGTACCGAGCAAAAGATAGCATTCAATCCACACCCGTACAGATCCGTACATCCCCCTGCCCCTGTCCCCCACAAATACAAGCCTCAGCAACTCCCACACACCACACTCACGAGACATACACATACACCAGACAGACAGATGAGAAAGTTACACAAAGACTTGGAAGACGAGTTTCCAGTCTTGCCGTCGTCTCCAAAACCGAATCTCGACCCCTCGAAAAGATCACGGTCGCCCAATCGTCGAGACCTGCCTGGAGGAGGAGGTAGCAGATCACCCGTGAGAAGTCCCATCAGAAGCCCCGTAAGAAGTCCCGCACGGTCTCCGGAGCGTCAGAGCTCGCAACCAGTCGCAACACCAGTCACTACGCCGACCAGATCCACCCCGCGACCCCGTGCAACTCTTGATGCGCATTCGCCCTCAAGAACCCTCGGCTCACCTTCTCGGGGAGGCCCCAGCCATGCATCTCCGTCATCTTCGCCACGCAGAAAGACGTACACAGACCGGTACATCCCCAGTCGGACCGGTGTGAATCTGCAGGCAGCCTTCTCGCTTCTTCACAATGATCCAGTGCCTTCAGCTTCTTCGCGACCCCAGGAAATCGAGCAACAGAAACAACAGGAGGCAAACCAAACATTTTCGCAGCTCTTAAAGGCTGAGCTGTTTGGTGACGACGTCCCCAATGTCATTCCATCACCAATTAGTGACAGAAACCAATCGGCACAGACAGGAAACACAGCTCAACAACACAACTCTAACGACGACACAGGCAGTTCGGAAAACGAACCCATTGGATTCCATGGCAACAATCAGAATACAAACAGCGAGATATTCCCCCAACGAACTCCCTTTGATCTCAACTCCCTACCCTCGGGAAACAATACGCCTCCCAGAAACTCATCTAGCCGCTCAGTACCAACCACACCAACTAGAAATTTATTTTCATACCGATCCAACATCGAACGACTCACCAGCGGTGGAAGTGGCAGAAAAGCAGCATTGGATAGTCTTTACTCCCTGTCTCCAGTACGCCCAGAGTCGCAACAACTTCTTCTCTCACCCAGAAAAAGCCCTCGACCAGTGGCAAAGATTCCATACAAGGTCCTGGACGCCCCTGAGCTCGCAGACGACTTTTATCTTAATCTGCTTGACTGGGGGTCCAACAATGTTCTTGGTGTGGGCTTGAATTCTTGTGTGTACCTTTGGCAAGCTCGAACCGGAGGAGTTTCTAAACTTTTGGACTTGTCTCAGGAAGGAGACAAGGTGACCTCTCTTCAATGGATCACGCGTGGAAACCACCTGGCTGTGGGTACAGAGAGAGGTTTGGTGCAGATTTGGGACGCTGAACACAATAAAAAGGTGCGAACCATGAGCGGCCATCAGTTGCGGGTCGGCTGTCTGGCCTGGAAGGATCATATTCTGTCTTCGGGCAGTAGAGACAGATGCATTGCCCACAGAGATGTGCGCGTGGCTGACCATTACGTGGAGAAGTTTTATGCGCATCGTCAGGAGGTGTGTGGACTCAAATGGTCATTTGATGATAACCAGCTGGCATCGGGCGGTAACGACAACAAACTGGTGGTGTGGGACGGTATCACAGACAAGCCTATTTACCGGTACTCGGACCATGAGGCTGCTGTCAAGGCCATTGCATGGTCTCCTCATCAACGGGGACTGCTGGCTTCTGGAGGAGGTACAGCCGACAAGCGAATCCGGTTTTGGAACACCACCACCGGTGCGCTACTCAATGAAATCGACACGGGCTCGCAGGTGTGCAATCTCATGTGGAGTAAGAACTCCAACGAGGTGGTGTCGACTCATGGATACAGCCAGAACCAGATTATCATTTGGAAGTACCCCTCAATGCAGCAGGTGGCGCAGCTCAAGGGCCACACGTATCGGGTCTTGTACCTGAGTATGAATCCCGATGGTCGTACCATTGTCACTGGGGCTGGCGATGAGACTCTGCGGTTCTGGAATGCTTTTAACAAAAACCCTACCGACGACCAAGGTAGCAGCGGCGTTCTGGACATGTATCAGCATTTGCGATAGAAGACGAAGCTTCATGTCCGGCTTATTTATTTATATTGTACTATGTATATTAGGATACGTGTGTTAAGCTGTAGTGGTCGCATCTCCATCTGTTTTCTTCATTAGTCTTTTTTCCATCTGGGACATGCTTGTGCGTGTGTGTGTGTGTCGTCAAAACGAGGGGGGCTGTTATGGTGAGATTGGCCGGGGAATCCCGTTGGCGGTTTATTAGCTATGATTGAGCTCTATGACATTTTCCCAGCTCAATATTCCAGCTGGAAGGCCTCGTCAAAGTGGCTGGTTTACATGTATGTTCTGCAAGTTTGATATATAACGATTAAGTGGAAGTTCGTTTTACGCGTTTCAGCCTCCTTCACCATGGCCAAATCGAAATCGAAATGCAGGATACTACGCTGTTAGAAAGGGCCTAAAAAAAGTTGTGTTGACATCGTGGAGCCAGGTGCAGCCGCTGGTCGACAATTTCCCCGGCGCCCAGCAGAAGAGATTCAAATCAAAAGCCCAAGCGGAGCCATGGGTTTGCACAGCCGTTTGCGTCTCTCCTCCAAAGAGCACACCGCGGTCCAGTGCTGGTTATAACGGGACACAGAATCCTCGCCTCCACAGCAGTCCTTGTAAACCGCTGTGGTCCCCGCGCCCCGTCGCAATCGTTGGGATTGAAGGGGTCCAAGCCGAGGATGGTGAAGTACACGACCAAGGTGAGCCATGAGAAGATGAAACTTGCAACAGTGGCGACGAATCTGGCAAATTAGACAAACTCGACGGGAAAAAAGGAGACAACATGGTGTCCTACGACCAGTGAGATAGAAATGACTATTTTCGGGTTAAGTATGGTTCAGTCTGATCTGTGGAACAAGGTGGAGCAATCCGGAGCAATCTGCACACACATTGTTTGAGATTCATTTCAACGAAAACACTTCCCAGAATGTTGTGCGTCCTGTTGTGGTTGATAAATGCCTCACTGAGGAGGAACAGATTGATAGGTCTATGAAGCACACAAGCTAATACACGCTCGCAACGATGGACTCAAGTACGATATACAGTACAGACCACGTCCATGTTTGCCATTGAGTGCTACTATCGACGGTGTTCCACGTGACAGATTAATGGTTGGGTGGATACGGACAATACTCGGGTACCTCACCGAGATGTGATTGAGCCATGGAGTTGTTGCAGCAGTTGATAGGAAAGGTCGGATTTGGGAAGTTGAAGGTGGTGGAGCAACGAACTCGGAATGAGCGGAAGATGGACCTGGAGGTTGATCCAGCTACAGCTGAATTCCTCAGACGGCAGCGATTTGCTGCCAGAAGAACCCTGGAATGATACAGATGGTTCTTCGAGCTCCATTGCTACCCAGAGTCCGTTCTTTACCCCAAGCAGATAGTGCGACAGATCTATGTGATGAAGTCGAGATTCGGACCGGCGATTACTATCAAGACTGCCGGTATTGGTACCAGTAGCACCGATTTTGTCGTCGTACTACAAAAGACTTATTAACATTCATACTCTTCAGAACAAATGTGCAATTTATTCAGCTATCAATAAATACATGTTCCTAGGTGAGCTAACACTTGCAGGTTTTGCAACCGCACTTGGTGCAAGCACAGGAGGCGGGCATACTGCTCTCTGAAGTTGACGACGAGCAGCAGCAGTTGTTGACCAAGTTGTGCTTGGATTGGGTGGAGGTAGTGGAGATGAGAGAAGCTCCAAGCATAGCAGTAGTGAATTCCATTGTGGTTGTGGTTGTGTGTGTGTGTGTGTGTGTGAGAGAGAGAGACAAACCATGGACCTCATCTCCTATTTATATCTACTGCTGCTGTTGCGACGAGCACATTTTGCCATCTGATAACTTTTCACTTTTTTTACTAATTATTTCAGTTGCAGCGACAATCTCGCATCTCGCATACAAGCGAAACCTTAGCAGCATATACCGCTCGAATGTTCCAGTGATGCACCATAAAATACTATTGAAATGGACCTAAATTGGATCAAGCGGTATAATAATGACAGATCTGACAATAATATCACCTTCAAGTGTTTCGGAGTCCAAATGGCTGGCATCATGTGGACTTTATCGTGCGTTTTTCGAGTCTCACATGTTCACTTTCAACTTTGACGAGAGATCTACGATGCACCTGATACAGACGTTGGAAGAATGGAGAAGGATAGGGACTTGAGTGGAACGCTCATTATGAAATGTGTTCAAATCGAGTGTCAAAAGTAGGTGAATCGAATCCACATAGTCCAAGTTGAAATGGTTCTCGTACACCCTTATACACAGTCTATGCTTTACATGTTTATACACACCATACTCTTTCAGACCCTTCTAGCAAGTTCCACAAAGACATTGTATACCTTAGCGCCACCTAAATCTAAGTCAATCACTGGTGATATGCGAGGTTTGTGCCACGGCTGTGCCATTTTCTTTGTCTAACCCCATTATTTGCGACATTAGTGCTACTGCTGATGCAGATGCGTGCGTTGTGCTGCGGCTGAATAAAACTGTATCTTGTAAATCTAGGAACTGAAAAAATCTATAAATAGGGCCACATCTCCCTCCTTTTCTCAGTACACAGAAACAAATCATCTCATCTACCACTCTCCACACTTGCAAACTCACATTTCACAATGGAATTCCTCAACGCCAACTTCGGAGCTTCTCTCATCCAATCCAAGCACAAGACCACCAAGAAGCACAACTTGGTCAACTCCTGCTGCTGCTCCAAGCCCGCTGAGAAGCCCACAAACTCCTGCACTTGCTCCAAGTGTGCCTGCGATTCTTGCAAGTGTTAACTTGTTGAGTCATTAGAAGAATTGTCGTTAATACATTTTGCTAATAAATTATTTAAGCTTTGCGAAATTTCAAGTAAATATATACCAAGGACAGGCGTGTTTACAGTATGAATTTTCACAACAATAGCCATTTAAGTGGTTCTAAAGTAGACAGAAAGGACATCCAGTGCCTGGTTAAACGATGGTAGGGGAATATATCAGATCACGTGCTTCTCCTAGAAGAACCTGTGGTTTAGTTTCTCCTTGTGTCCAAAAGAATGTTAGAACAAGAAAGTTCGTCATGCAGCTTATCGTTGGCGATAATGCACCAGGGATGCTTACACGCAGCAACAGTTTGGTGAGGGTGGGCGATATTGGGGCCTGGCTGGCCCATTTGAGGCCACATTAGAGCATTTATGTGGTTCGAATGACTATGGAACACATCACTACAACCATCGTCAATGCGTTAAGACAGCGGTATCGGCATAATTCAGCATTCAGAATACCAAAAGGGCTGGTTCATGTGATCCTCACGTGTTCAAGACCGTTTCGATGAACACCGGAGCCTGAGCCGCCAAAACTTGGGAGATTGAGTCCGGCTCTTTCTAAGATATATAGTCACACAACAGGTAATAACTACCCGAAACTTCTTTGACCACTCCTCTTGGATGCACTCGATTAGTGTCAGACGACAGAGTTGAAATGCTCGAAATAAAGCCCAGAATGCCACCAGTCCACGGGATTACCCGGGAATAGACGTGAGAAGCTACAGAGCTCTCTCGTTCTTCTGTGCAACACATGAGAGAACACTCAGAAACGAGATATGGCCATCCAGGAGAGCGTCGTGAAGAGCAACAAAGTGAACATGTCACGGCTATTTACAAACAGAAGTCAAAGGTTTGAGATATCTCAGTTCAAGAGTTTCTCTTTGAAGGATTGAGTCAGCTGCCCAGTTACTGTACTGCACTGTACTGTATGTACTGTGCGGTTGAATGACTGGGTGAGATTGAATCATGGATAGACACGTAATGAACCCCTCAGCGCCTCTCGCTGGCCACAAACCACTCGATCTTGCACAGAGCAAACATTCACACGACAATGGGCACGGCAGCCAGGGTACCTGTGGTCATTTGATGACGCTGCATCATGATAGCGACTGAGACACGGCTATCAACAACAGTGTGTAATTCAAGGCAGACTCTTGGTCAATCGAGATGGTACAATACGTCAAACACAAAGAGCAACAGCTACCGCACTTACAGCTCTCTCCTCACCAATAGCAGTCCAATCAGGTGCTTTGTCCACGAGCAATATGCAGCGGACCCCATATTCGGCCCAACAAAGAAGGACACGGCACCAATGACTGACGTCGAGAGAGAAGCGATAGAAGCAGGCGGTGGAGGTTTGACCAGGCTTAACTCATGTGCGAGAGAGAGACAAACAGATTCCATACACCGTGCATGAAGTACCGCAATTGCAATGCAAGTACAGTACAGTAGCTACCGCGCTCCGAGATCAATGATGGCAAATGAATGAACGTCAAACACCCTAATCATTTCGACGCACATGCTTTTTCTGACGTATGTAACTACACAAAAGTCCTTCTATAACACCCTGCCATTACTCAGCCTCGGCTGCACTCGTCTGCCAAGCCAGTTATCTCTACAGAACATCCAGCCTGGAGCTATCATGAGAGAGGAGGGTGACTCATTGTGTGGTACTGATTAGAGCCGTGTGAGCCTAGCCAAGTCGGGTACTGAGACATTGTGAGGCCCCAGCAGGAGCCGTGTGTTCCTTGCTTCTGTGCACACGCTCAAAGGCCGATGTGCCAATCGCCAAAGGCCGATTATTGCCCTGGTGCGTCCTTGTTCAACGCACGGCTTTGACGTCTCTAAATTAAGCATGATGCTAATGTACGACAATACAACCAAGACAGGTGTGGATGTGTGTCACGTAGACCGAGTTTCCCCTTTTGACGCAGTACTACTTCGAATTCTCCTTTTCTCGACGCCCGTCAAACCCATCTGGCAGCCATTTTTCACGTTGCTGTTCCTAGATCGATAATCGGGACGTTTGCCTAAGCTGTGTCAAAAGTCGAGCAAATATCTCAGAGACTCGCACGAGAGTGGCTTTCTCCTTATCTTGGCCAAGACCAGAAGACACGGTCGGTTGGTGTGTGAAGGATACGATGATTGCACACTTTTCCATATCTGGAGGGTTGGAGCCGTGCGTCTTGGCGTTATCAGACAGCAGAAATGCAGGGTGGGCCAATAGAAGGGCGTACGGAGGACCATACGGTTGGCGGCGGGTGCAAAAACCGAGTCGAAAATCGCCAAAAGAAACCTTTGCCCGGTATCCATTCGTTTCCACACGTTTCCACTTGTTTTTAGCGGTTTCTACAGACTTTGGGCCCTCTTCATCACCGTCCTTATAGGGCCAAAAAATTATGTGAAGCTAAGTTTCAGATCGAGAAGTGACGGTAACTGACCATGATCTAGGTTCCTACTTGGCTTGGTACATTCCTGTAAGTAGAGCATGAGGGCATGAGGGGTAGCTATTTTATGGGAGAAAAAAAAGCCTGAGAGAGGCGGAGTGATTGCAGAGAGTGCAACAAGCCCGGCTATACAAAAATAACGCGAGAAAACCTCGTAAATAAAGCCATTTTCTCCCCCCAAACACCGCTGGTAACTCCCTCACGTGCTAATATCTCAACTCCCGCAGATGTCATGCGCCGGCCCCTCCACACTTGTTGTTGCGAACGTCACAACCATCTCTCTTGGCACAGCGCCGTGTCATGCGAAAAGTAAGGGTCAAGAGGCATAATCTGCATTTGCCGGAGGAGCACAATGGCAGAGTGCCATTCCCTGGACGCGCCCATGGCTTAGCAGGCCATATACATATAGACCGGGGTGCCGGAGGATCAGACTCCATACCGCTTCTGGAAGAACAAGACGAGTCTCTGGCTGGACCTTCCCACGATCCCATAGACGACTCTTTTTCTATAAGCGCAGAGGACCCGTACAACAGCTACCACAGCACTCCGTCTGACTTCCTCAATAACTACAACGACTACCCCGACGAGCCCGGCATCCCACTACTACCAATGGAGAAAGACCACACCCACGAAAAGGGCCACTCGGATGAGCACGTCATCATCGACACCGCCGAGGTGCTCGAAGACACGTGCTTCTACGTGGCTTACAAGCTCGGCATTGCCACCGTTGACGACGAACCCTTCCCGGAGTCCGTTTCCTACATTGCCCTCAAGGTTGACGAGATGGGCGATGAAGAGGCGCTAGCCATCCTCAAACGCCACGTGGAGTACCACAAGGACGACCGAAACATCCCCGAGTCGTCCATGCTGCTCTGGCGGTCGCTGATCCGCCATTCTGAAGAGTATGCCCAAGGAAACATCTCCGAGTCTGGAGAAGCTAATCCCTCTCTTTCGGCCAAGAAGAACACTGAGTCCACAGTCGACAGAGTGGCCACCCGAGCGACCTACGAAGACGGATCTGCCGATCTCGACCCCGCTAACATGTCTCCCAACGAACTGAGCCTGGCTATTCGATACCATGCTGCCATTTTCCACTACTGGTCTCCCTACATCGAGGTACGATCAGTCACAGACCCCTTTGACGACCCCAACCTGCCTGTGGAGACCATCCGAGCGTACCTGGCTGGAATTATCTGGCTCATTGTTGGTGCTGGAGTCAACCAGTTTTTCTCTGTGCGAATGCCTGCCATTTCCATCTCTACCATGGTCTGCCAGCTGCTGCTCTACCCCACTGGCAAGGCACTGGAGTATATTCTGCCCGATAAGGGCTTCACATTCCGTGGTACCCGACACTCGCTCAACCCTGGGCCCTGGAACAACAAAGAACAGATGCTGGCCACCATGTTCATCTCCGTCGCCATCGGAGGCACCTACATCACCTCCTACAACCTGTTTGTGCAGATTCTGCCCATGTACTACGGAGTCGACTACGCCCGACAGTTTGGTTACACTCTGACCCTGACTCTTGCGTCGCAGTTTATGGGTTTTGGTTTTGCGGGTCTGCTCCGAAAGTTTGTCGTCTACCCTACCAAGGCCATGTGGCCAACTCTGATGCCCACTCTGGCTCTCAACCGAGCCCTGCTGGTCAAGCAGAAGCGAGAGAAGGTGCACTCCTGGACCATTTCGCCCTACAAGTTCTTCTTTGTTGTTGTCGCATGCGCGTTTGTCTACTTCTGGTTCCCCAGCTATATTTTCCAGGCTCTGTCAACCTTCAACTGGATCACCTGGATTGCTCCTGACAACCTCAACATCAACATCGTCACTGGTGCTCAGGGTATGGGTGTCAACCCCTGGCCTACCTTTGATACCAACAACATGTTTGCGCTGTTTGATCCTTTGGTTCTGCCACAGTTCACCGTTCTTAACACATACGCTGGAATGATCCTTGGTGCCTCTGTTATCCTCGGACTCTACTACACTAACACCAAGGGCACTGCTCACCTGCCCATCAACTCCAACCGAATCTTTGACAACACTGGAAAGTCATACAATGTTTCTCGAGTGCTTACTGATGGAACCTTTGATGACACCAAGTACCGAACCTACTCGCCCCCCTTCTACACTGCTGCTAACCTCATGGTATACTCCAGTTTCTTCGCCATTTACACTCTTGGTTTTGTCTACATTGGCCTATCCGAGTGGTTTACCATGGTCGAGTCTTTCCGAGATGTGAAGCAGGCCTTCATCGACATCTTCATGACCACGAAGTTCTACATCATGCGAATAACCAACCGCAAGGCCACCCGACACGATATGGACAGTTCCCAGTTCACCAACCGACAGGACGAGCCCTTCTCACGAATGATTGCTGCCTACCCCGAGGTCCAGAACTGGGTCTTTATTGGTCTCCTGGTGGTATCTTTTGTCCTGGCGGTCATTGCCATTCGAGTGTGGCCCACAGACACTCCCATCTGGGGTCTCTTCTTCTGCCTGGGTATCAACCTCGTCTTCCTGATTCCCTTGACTCTCATTCTTGCATACACTGGATTCGGATTCGGTCTCAACGTGCTCGTCCAGCTCATTGTTGGTTACGCTCTCCCAGGTCATCCTCAGGCCATGATGATCCTTAAGGCCATTGGCTACCAGGTTGATGGACAGGCCCAAAACTTCATCACCGACCAAAAGGTGTCTTACTACACTCACATGCCCCCACGAGCTTTGATGCGATCTCAACTCATTGGTACTCTGGTTGGAGCATTTGTTTGTCTCGGTGTGCTCTACTACCAGCTTGAGATTGAAGGTATCTGCACTCCCGAGCAGGCCACCACAACCAAGTTCACCTGTGTGTCTCAGAACACCTTCTTCTCGGCCTCTGTCATCTGGGGAGCTCTCGGTCCAGCCAAGATGTTCCAGATCTACCCTGCCATGAAGTACATGTTTCTGCTTGGTGCCGTCGTTGGTCTCATCTTCTGGGCCGTGCAGTACCCTCTGCCCACTTTTCTGGCCAAGAAGTTCCCCCAGCACCGAGAGCGAATTCTGTCTTTGCAGTCTACCCTGAAATTGTTCAACCCCGTCATCTTTGTTGGCGGTGTTCTCAACTTTGCTCCTTACAACCTGTCCTATGCTACTGGCGGTCTGTACGTCTCCTTGCTCTTTTCCTGGATCAAGCGACGATATTCTGCCTGGTGGCGTAAGTACACCTACGTTCTTGATGCTGGTCTCATCACCGGAATTGCATTCTCGGCCATCATCATCTTCTTTGCAGTCCAATACAAGGGAGTGGAGCTCGAGTGGTGGGGAAACACTGTGTCTTACGACAACCTGGACTTTAAGGGTGCCATTCTGAAACCCCTGGCCGCTGGAGAGACCTTTGGTCCTTCGCCTGAGAACTTCCCTTAGTTTATTTTATTTAATTGATATGACCTGAACATGACTGTTAGTAGTTGTATGAGTGCATAGGGCTGACAGATGATCAGCATACTGTAAATGACACCTGGAGCAGTGACATTTCATTGGAGCTGGATCTCGAGCTGAAGAACGTGCAACTACAGACAACCAGAACGACTATCTGTTGTAGTTGTATGTTTTTGTGGTCAGATACAAATCCTCTAATCACACACACTCCAAGCTATTCGATTCAATTCGATATCTCTTGTGCCATACTGGGGCGATATGTAACCGTAGACGTCTAGCTCTTAGGTGGAGGGGTTGCAGTGCACTGAAGTGGGCGGTGAATTTTTTTCCAAACATCGGACAGTATTTGAGATGGATGCTGTTGATCGATCTCCATAAAAATTATATCATTACACTCCCCACGATCGAGAGAACAAGATAAGCCATCAACAATGCAAATCCAACAATTATTCACCCTGAAATTCTTTATCCTTTCCCGGATACATCGTCTCCGAGATGCGGCTCGCATTTGGGTCGGACAAAATATCATGTTTTCATGCGGCTGGAAAATCCAATGAGGAATACTGGAGAAGGGTTTGTCGGTTTTGGGCCAGATAACAGGGTCTGATATCAGTGCAAAAGATCCGTGTGTATCCGGAAGATGCCTTTCGACGCTCCAGATGCATGTGTTTTATTCTATCTCGTTCGGACAGGGCAATTGGCATGTCCACTTTTCAACTTGATCTGAGGAGACTGTTCACTGTGGAGGGAAACAGTGCCCTGATGAGTTAACTACCAGTGAATCCCTCTCTGCAAATGTCATCTGTCTTATCAGTGCTTGTGTCACCGCAAACATTAGTCTGTGCTGAAACATCGGTACTCGTCAGTACTCGCTCTCGTAGTACTCGCTCTCGTCAATACGGGTACCGTACTCGCACTTGTATCATAAGTACAAGTATGTACTATCTTCCGATCGCTCCATTTTTGCGGGGAAGATAGCTACCCCAAATCTCCGTGCATTCCTTTTCCTGTATTCGATATCTGGCCAGGATCGGGATTGGCCGCGAAGAGCCATGCAGTGCCGGAAGACTATGTACCAGTTGCAGACTAGCGAGACATGACTTTGCTACCACAACCCCTTGAAGTAGATAGTCTTCCCTGTGAGAGACCTTTCCTGAGAGAATGGTTTGAGTCGTTCTTTCACAGCCTTGATGTGACGTTCTGCCGCTCCGTCAGCTTCGGGATGGCCCACATTTGCTATTCGAAATGACACTCTCGGCCATTTCTGGAACCAACTGTTCTGAAACAGTGGGTCTTGGTCGGACACAATGCTGATCTGTTGATTGTCATTGATCCTGTCCCCGCGATGCACATCGTTGTCATGTTTTCGCTTGTGCGGTTGTGGAGCAGGGTGGGTACATCCTTCTTTCACCCAGACAACAGGTTATTCACTGATCAGTATGATGCGATGATAACACTCTTTTTCAGATAGCTTCGAGTGTTGCAATTGAAGTTCCGTCCTTGTCTATCTCAGGGACTGACCAGAGCTATGACGGTACACTTCAATTACGGCAATGGCGGCAACTATGAACCTCACAATCATAATTGGCGAGATGGTACGTGAGTCTCAACTAACACACTTATCATCAACACCACTAGACTACACATCGCCATCCAACGACAAATACGCAAAGCTCAAAAATCCAACCAATCAAACAGTCGCCGATTGCAACGCCAAACATAGCGTGGTTTCACAACTTTTTCCCACCACCCCCGCGGAAGATTTCGCGTGTCTAGCCGCACTCTGTTTTACAGCTTTTGGCATGACCATGCATGATCTCATCACCATCTCATCTGGAGCATGTGGTGTAGAGGGCGGCTATGGACGATATAGTCGCATATTTTGCATATTTTGGATCCAGACAGAGACAATTGCGGGCATTAGTCACTCGCACGCTGACTAACCCATCGATTCAGGCCACACGAATGTGACGCCTTTCCCCAGCGGTGGCAATTGTTCCGCCCCTTTCTCCGGGTTGGTCACGTGGTCTGCGGTGCAAGTCTAAGTGAGGGGGGGGGGGAAATGAAGGAGAAATTGGTCATGGGTCTCGGTAGTAGTCAATTCACGTGCTTTCGCGGCCTAAGACATATGCCTGAGACAGGGCAACCCATTGTTGCTGGTTCGCACGCCTTGCTTAACTTATGACGCCTGACCTTGAGCCAACCGCTGTCAGATGGATTCTCCCAACTCCTACTCCAACCTTCGCTAAGCTTCCACTTCAAGGGCAACTGTGGGTTCAAAGTTAATTTTGGGGAATTGAATTTTCCATTCTTCGAGACTAACAACACCTCTTCATCCTCCCCCAAACACCGCCCGAAATACACACACAAAATGATCTCTCGAATTGCCCGTGTCCAGCGGTCGGCCGCCGTCCGATCCACCGTCCGATCCGCCATGCGACCCGCCACCGTGGCCCCCATGGCCTCCTTCAACCTCCGATCCCGATTTTACTCCGACAAGGCTGAAACCAAGGCTGAGGACCCTGAGGCCGCTGCTGAGGCTGCTGGTCCCGCGGCCAACGCCGCCGACGCCTCCGCTTCTGGTGCGTCCGCTGCCGAGACCAAGACCGCCCCCACCGCCGAGGAGTACGAGGCTCTGCTGGCCAAGTTCGAGAAGAAGGACAAGGAGTGCGCCCAGTTCAAGGAGCACTACCAGCGAGCCATCACCGACTTCCGACACCTGCAGGAGACCACCAAGCGAGAAATCAAGAAGGCACACGACTTTGCCCTGGCCAAGTTCGCCAAAGACCTGCTGGACTCGGTCGACAACTTTGATCGAGCCCTGGGCGTTGTCCCCGACGAGATCAAGAACGACCGAGAGAACAACAAGGAGATCATGAACTTCTACGACGGCATCAAGATGACCCAGGATATCTTCGAGAAGACTCTGGGTAAGCACGGCATGAAGAAGCTCGAGCCCGTCGGCGAGGTCTTCGACCCCAACATGCATGAGGCCGTCTTCGAGGCCCCCCAGCCCGACAAGGAGGCCGGCACCGTCTTCTTTGTCCAGCAGACCGGCTTCACTCTTAACGACCGAATTCTGCGAGCCGCCAAGGTCGGAGTTGTTAAGGGCGAGTAATTCCACCACAAATTATCCAATATGTATATAGTAATGAGTAATGTTTCAGAAAATGTCACCTGTAGATAAAATCAATACCCAAAAAGGTGATCGGATGATGAGTTGTACTAAAGATTCAGATTCTAAGGACTCAATGGCCTTATTCAACATCAATTGTTCATACATGCTCGCAAAACGTGATAAAACATGGATCGTTTACTATTTACATATACATTTACAAGCACTTGTACTTGTACTTGTACTTGTGCGTGACACTGTTCGGCACACTATCGTACTATCTCAGCTTAACGCCGTATCGGTCAACAAGCATCTCCTTGAAAGCGTCGAGCATCTGGTTGATTTCCTGGTTCTCGAGATTTCGCTCCATGGACTGGAAATTGATTCGGTAGCACTGCGAGGTCAGACCGGTCTTGGGGTTGGTGAAGGTATCGGTGAGAGCCACGTTCTCGACCAGATCGCCGGCGGTGGCTCGGATTAGCTCCATGATGTCGTTCTCGTGGATGGAGTCCAGAGCAGCGCCCTCGGGCAGCCAGAAGGCCACATCTCGGTCGGTGCCGGGGTACTTGGACCAGGATTTGAAAGCGGTGATCTCGTTAGGCTTGAACTGCGACAGGAATCGCTGGTCAAGAGACCAGAAGAGTCGAATATCGGGGATACCGAACAGAATCATGGCCAGGCGCTCCAGACCAAGACCAAAGGCCCAGCCGAAATGGGTGTGCTTGTCAAGACCTGAGGCCGAGTACACGTGATCACGAACAAGACCACATCCGCAGCACTCGAGCCAGTCACCCTTCCACCACACCTCAATCTCCCATGAAGGAGTGGTCCAGGGGAAAGTAGTCTCGACCCATCGAACCTTGAGGGGCTTCTCGAGATCGGGATCAGTAGACCCAGCAACCTTAGCAGCTACCTTGGCACGCTCGAAAATATCTCCAACAAGCAGCTCAATGGACTTCTTGAGATGGGCAGCGACAAGCTCGGTTTCGGTATCAGACATGTAGGGGGACTTGGGGTTCTCGGGGTGCGAAACCTGGTCGACGTCCTCGACAATGAGGTTGGTAGCGGGGATTGCGGCCACGTCAGCTCGGAGCTTCTCAATCAGAGCCTCCTCGGAGGGGTAGTCTTCTCGCTTCCAGGTTCGAGCTCCCTCCATCTGATGGAACGCAGGGTAATGAGTTCGGTCAATGGTGTCTCGACGGTAAACGTCGGCAGTGACGAAGAAACCGGGCGTCTTGGTGTGCTGGAAACAGTGGACCTCATGGGCACTAGTGTGAGTTCGAAGAAGGGTGTCGTGGTTGATATAGTAGGTGTCAGTCTTGGCTCGTCCCGGATGGTCCTCGGGGAATCCGAGCTGGTCAAAGTTCTCGTGTTTGCTGACGACTGGATGAAAGTTGTTGTAGGCAGTGTAGCCCATACCCTCGAATCGCTTCTCAATGATAGATCGGATGATTCCAACAGGATGGGAGTCCTGAAGGTGCAGGTTTCGACCAATCAGAGACGAGATGGTCGGTGTGATGTTGGTCCATTCGTCAACAGCATGCTTCTTGCCGTCCACCAGAGTCGATTGGTGTCGAATAGCGCCCCGAAAAGAGGTCAACAGACGTCGTGACATGGTTGTGCGCGTGGTTGGAGGAGTGATACAACCTGCAGGAATATTGACGAGTTTTAAGTTCGGCTACATGATGGGAGAAATCTCGAGCGGGTTACTGGGGGGAGCGTTTGAAGCTGATAGTGACGAACTTTCCATTGCTGATTTGTCACTGTGCGATTTGGAACTGATTAGCCCTTTTATATTCTCATAAATACTCCTGGAACGTGTATTATTGAACAGGTATGAGATTTTTCGTATGCATATTCAAGTCGACTTATTTGAGTTCAGAATGTTCAACCTGAGAACCGAGCGGAGAGGCACTATGCCTCGTGTTTTTGGCTGCAATTTTTGGCTGACTAATCTTAAATTTGCAACATCTTCACTTTATTGACGATTTTGTAATGATTCTTTTCTCAATCACTTGTACTTGAAAGGTCACATACGCCTATTGCTCGGTTCTCCAACCATACTAAACCATGTTCCAGAGTCAAGTAAAAAGTGCATCTCGGATCATTTTCTTAGTTGTGAACTGAGCACCGCGTTGTGCAACTAGGGAGATGTATATTTAATTATTTTGCTGAAAAATCCTATACATACCCCGTATGACAATGTACTGATCTCTTTTTTCTTTCTTCTTCGAGTATTGTTCTGATCATTTCATCGCTTCCATAATCACAGGATTCCTGCACCTACAGTAATCCACCTGCAGCACTTTCAGATCTCTCCAGACCACCACACTATGTTTACGAGGACGCTGAGGGCGCTACGGCCTCTGTCAGCCGTGCAGCCGCTGAAGATGGCGAGTCGCCATTACTCGGCAAAAAACACAACCAAGAAGATCAGAAATATCGGAATCATCGCTCATATCGATGCAGGAAAAACCACCACCACGGAACGAATCCTGTACCTGTCTGGCACCATCAAGCACCTCGGAAATGTCGATGAGGGAGACACCACGATGGATTTCCTGCCTGCTGAGCGGGAGCGGGGTATCACCATTGCCTCGGCCGCCACCAGTTTCAACTGGAACAACCATACCGTCAATCTGATCGATACTCCGGGGCACGCTGATTTCACCTTTGAGGTGATCCGATCAATTCGTGTGCTGGACGGAGCTGTTTGTATTCTCGACGGAGTGGCTGGAGTTGAGGCACAAACCGAAAAGGTGTGGAAACAGGCCTCGGAGATGGGCATTCCCAAAATTGCATTTGTCAACAAGATGGATCGAGCTGGAGCTGGCTTTGGACGTACTGTCAAGGAGATTGTGAGCAAGTTGAGAACACGTGTCGCGCTTCTGACCGTTCCCGTGTTTTCCAAGTCGTCAGATCAGGTGTTTGAGGGCGTTGTTGACATTTTGAACGGATGTGTCATCACATGGACTACTGGAGGAGACGGAAAACAGACTGTGGTTGTTCCTGTTTCCGAAGCGTCCGCCGAGGTGCAGGAAGAGTATCAAAAGGCCCGTACTGCACTGGTTGAAACGCTCACTGAACTCGATGAAGAGCTGGTTGAAAAGTTTCTGGAATCTGAAGATTACATGCAAATCACTACTGAAGACATTAAACGGGCCCTGAGAACCGCCACCATCAACAACGACATTGTTCCAGTTCTGTGCGGTGCATCTTTTCGAAACATTGGCGTCCAGCCCCTCATGGATGCAGTTGTCGACTTCCTCCCTTCTCCGGCAGAACGTCCTCCTACTGACGCTTTAATTGCCAAGTCGTACACTGGAGGTAAGAAGTCCAAGGTCATTCCGGAACGGGCCATCACTCTCGACGATTCGATGAAGAACCTGTGCTGTGCTCTGTGTTTCAAGGTTGTCCAGGATCCCCAAAAGGGCACACTTGTCTACGTGAGAGTATACAAGGGCGAGTTGAAGCAGAACAGTGTCCTATACAACACTACATCTGGAACCAAGGACCGTGTTTCTCGTCTGCTCAAGGTTCATGCTGATACCACCTCAGAGGTCACGTCTATCACTGAGGGTAACATTGGAGTCATTTTGGGTTCCCAGGGACTCGCTACTGGTGATACCATTGTCTGCCACAGTATCAAGAAGGACGGTGTAATGAAACTTCCCCCGGATAACCGTTTGATTCAGCTCAAGCCCATCGCTGTCCCTCCTCCGGTGTTCTTTGTTCGAATTGACCCTGCGTCCATTGGCGACACTCGACCCATGAATGAGGCTCTTGAACTGCTTCTTCGCGAAGATCCCTCTCTCAACGTTTCGTTTGATGATGAGACCAACCAGACCACACTCTCTGGTATGGGAGAACTTCATCTTGAGATTGCTCAGAACCGACTGATTGAGGACTTCAAGGCCAACATCGTCATCGGTCCTATCATCATTTCTTACAAAGAGACTCTTAATGAACCTACCAAAAGTATCACCAAGACCGTCGAGCCCGAACCTGGAGCTGTCAGCACTGTTCGACTTCGATTGGAGCCCATCACTGAGATGGATGAAGCTTGTGAAAACGAGAATGTGATTGATCATGAACAAAACACAGTTTCTTTCCCTTACGAGCTGTCTGATGCCGACCTTGAGTCCGTTGGAGAAGGAAACCAGCGCATCTCGTTTGAACGAGATACAAAGGAACTTACCCCCGAAATCATGGAAGAGTGTTTCCGAGTGGGATCTATTCCCCCTCTTGTGTCCTGCGGCCCTGTTTGCAGACTCCCTCTTCGAAGTGTACGAGTTGTAATCGAAGCCTGGCATATCGCGCAGCATATTAACAATACAGCTTCTCTCAAGACAGCAACCCGTCTGGCTATCATGGAGGCTCTGTCTACTGCCAACGCCACTCTCATGGAGCCTATCATGAACGTCTACGTGTCTGTCAACGAGGCTGACATCGGTCTAGTGGTCAAGGATCTTAGTGGATCACGAAACGGACAAATTGTGAGCATTATGGACCCCTCTCAGTTGAACGAAGGAGATATCCACTCGGAGGAGTACGTTGCAATGGCGACCAACACCTACGTTCCTGCTGATTACACCATGTACCTTTCTAAGCATCAGGATCAGACTCGAACCCAACAGTCGGTGGTGCATGCTCGGGTTCCTCTCCGAGAGATGGTTGGCTACCTAAAGACTCTGCGATCCATGACCCAGGGTCGGGGTAGCTTCACAATGGAGGTGGATCAGTACGAGGCAGTTACTCCCGACAAGATCCAGCCCATTGTCGACAGCATTTTTGCTTAGTCATGGAATGAGCTGTTTGAGGACAGAGACATAGTCGATTGGTGTATATAGAGATTGGATTGTATATATGAATTTTTAATAGGAACAAAAAAACCTGTGAGTACACAACTACGCTTATGTACTTGTACAATATTCAAAAAAAACACGCAAAAAAAACCATACCGTCGCAATCCGAGAGGACAAAAAGTTGTTGATCAGCTTTGAGAAGCCACCGGAATCAAACCGGCTAATGTTCCTCCACTGTCATTAACATGACATGGACAGGAATTGAACCTGCAACCCTTCGATTACAACCAAGTTGACTGGAGTCGAAAGCTCTACCATTGAGCCACCACATCAACAACTTTAAAAACGGTGTTTTTTTGGGTCTGGTCTACGTTGTATGATTAGTAATATGGGAAAACGGTGGGAAAAAAAAGAGGTTGAAATGAGATTTTGAGCAGATATAGATGTCCAAATGGTGCCAAATTACTCTTCTATTGCCTTAATAATTGGTATTTGTTCCCTTTTAACGTTCTAGCGATCACCGTTAAGAAACAAATGTACTTCCTTGCTTCAATGATAAAGGCAGTCCAGCATCGGCTTTTTTTCCCTAACATGTGTCGATCGACTGATACCGTTGTATTATGACGGCTATCCAACACATATCTTATCTTTCGGGATGAATATTATCGTTATACGTGCCTTGAGTATCTGTAAACTACTGTATATAGTCAAGTTGTTGCGTTCATACGCTCAGTTCATGTCTCAAATTGCGCCTCTGACATGTGCTACGGGCGTGTTAACGCTGCGTCTTTATTCCGGCTGCGTTAGCTCCGCCTGGCTCATGTATAGAATGAGCGAGTACGAGAATGGAGGGGTTGTGGACCGACCGTGAGTGGAGAAACATGTGTCACGTGAGTCAAGCTGCCGAGCTTGGTACGACTACGAGTGCAAGTGCGACAAGTCGCGGCTGGAATGCTCCAAATATATTGGTGCACATTTTTCCACCTTGCTCATGCATGTCAGAGTTACTTATGTGAGGCGGTTATCTCCATCTGGGCCGCTACAAGACGGAGTGAAACAGCGTCGACGCAAGAATTGGGAGCTGGAAAACTTTGGAGCGAATTCTAACCAACTGGCAGTCGCCAGAAACGCGTCGAAACACCAGACAGGTGTCAAATCTGGTTCTCAAAAGACACATGGCTGGCTTTGACCAACCTTCAACTTTATCAGACGGGCCCATCCGAAGCAAGTTTAGGATAGAGCAAGGAGGGCGGGGGATATGTTAAACGGGGTGTTGGGGACACTTTTGACGGAATTGGAGCGGATAGAAGTAATCTCCATAGCTCAATGAATTGATTCCGACTCTTGCGAGCAAAATCCGCCCGCTACTTCCCGCAGTAACGGGCCCCCTTATTTTCACCCCTGCGTAAGGCACGTGATGGAAATTCGCGCTTAGGTTAACGTTGCCGAGCTGCGTGTCGTGTAAATAGAGAGAGCTGAAATTATCTCACCACGGCCTGTTCAACCACCATGGAGGAAATCAAAAACCTGAAAAACATTGGGCGAAAAATCCGGCCCAAGGAGAGCCAGCAGAAGCTCGGCGAGCTGATTCGGCCCAAAGAGAAGGATATGAAGGGTGAGTAGGCGTCCGTAGACGCTGAGAGGGTAGGAAGATATTGAGAACAATATATCAAGACCTGGATGTCAGTCATTCGCCATATTAACCCAGGATTGACACAATTCATTGCGGATCTGAGAAATGCACGGGCTCGGGAAATGGAAGAGAAACGAGTGAACCAGGAGCTGGCCAACATCCGACAAAAGTTCACGGACCCCAATCTCAGCGGCTACCAAAAGAAAAAGTACGTGGGCAAGCTGCTGTACATTTACATTTTGGGCTACAAGGTGGACTTTGGCCACCTGGAGTGTGTCAAGCTCATCAACTCGACGAAATTGAGCGAGAAACAAATGGGATACATTGCGCTGTCGGTGCTCATCAATGAGGATCACGAACTGGTGCATATGGTGATCAACTCTGTGCAGAAAGACCTGGATGGTATGGACGAGATGCACAACTGTCTGGCGCTTCATCTGGTGGCTACGGTGGGTAGCGAGATGATGGGCAGCGAGCTAAACCACGACGTGTACAAACTGCTGATTTCGCCTACCAGTTCGACCTTTGTGAGGAAGAAGGCTTCTTTGGCGCTGCTACGACTGTTCCGAAAGAACCCCAATATTGTGGAGCCCCAATGGTACGACCGAATCATTGCTCTGATTGACGATCCGGACCTTGGAGTGGCTACCTCAGTCTGTTCTCTGGCTATTGCTTTGGTTCAACACGACCCAGAGGCCTGTGCAACTTCCCATATCCGAGTAGTCAGACGACTCTACGACCTGTGTGTCAACAACCAGGCGCCCAGAGACTATATTTATTACGGAGTCCAGTCGCCGTGGTTGCTAGTGAAGATGCTCAAGCTCCTGCAATATTACCCTCCTCCGGATGCTGCAAACGAGACTACCACCGACATGCTGCGCCAGACTGTGCTCGAAACTGTGGATAAGTGCTCCCAACCCGCCCAGAGCTCGCAACAAAGTAACGCCCAGCATGCCGTCTTGTTTGAGGCTATCAACCTGTGTATTCATATGGACATGGCTCCCGATGCAAAGCTGCTGTCTATCCTAGGCGATTTTATTTCGTCAAAGGAGACAAACTTAAGATACCTGGCCCTCACAGCCCTGGCCCGTCTGGCTGCTCGATACGAGGTCTCGTCGCAAATGTCGGAAAACAGTGCACTTCCTGTCAAAAAGTTTCTCATTACGGTGCTTGGAAACCTCAAGGACAAGGACATTTCTATCCGACGAAAGTCTCTGGATGTGCTCTACTGTGTCTGTGACTCGTCCAACGTCAAGACTATCGTCGCCGAGCTGCTTAGATACCTTGTTACTGCTGACTTCGCCATCAGAGAAGAAATGGTCATCAAGATTGCCGTTCTGGTTGAAAAATATGCAACTGAATACAAGTGGTATGTGGACATTTCGCTCAAGCTGATTGCTGTTGCCGGGGCACACGTGTCCGAAGAAGTTTGGCAGCGAGTCGTTCAGATTGTCGTCAACAACGAGTCTCTCCAGCAGTACGCCAGTCAGACTCTCAACACTTATCTCGCGCAGCCCCAGTGTCAGGAATGCATGGTCAAGACCGGAGCATACGTCTTGGGCGAGTATGGAGACCTGCTAACAGAAGTCCAGCCCATCCAGCTCTTCTACAACCTGCATTCGCATTTCAGACAGGTGTCTGCGCCCACCAAGGCTATGTTGCTGTCTACCTACATCAAGCTGGCTAACATGTTCCCAGACATCAAACCGCATATCTCACGAGTTCTCACGGCGTACACTTCCAGTGCGGACTCTGAGATTCAACAACGAGCCATTGAGTACGTGTCAATCATCCAGAAACCGGAGCTTCTGAAGACTATCTGCGATGAGATGCCTCCATTCGAAGGCCGAACGTCTGCTTTGCTTTCTAGATTGCATGCTCGAGAACTTACCTCTCAGGACCAGCGTTCCTGGGGTCTGGGCAAGTCTGGAAAGTCCGAGGTTGACGCCATTCGGTCCAAGAGCATCATGCGAAAGAACAGCCAGATTTCTTCGTCCAACAGATCGGATTCTGCGTCTCCCTTTGGTGACGAAAATAACGTGACTACCGGAAACAAGACCACCCCCCCTCCCCCTCCTTCAAGAGGCGTTTCCCACTCCGGCCTGTCGCCCAACTGGGATCTGGGCTTCTACGATCTGTGCATCAAGGACGAAGGCACCTTCTTCAAGGACCCTGTCATGCAGGTGGGTCTCAAGTCCGAATACAGAAAGAACCTGGGTTGTGTAATTCTGTACTTTGTCAACAACTCGGGCACCAAGATCTCATCTCTGTCGTGTGAAATCACAAACAAGGAGCCTGACAACCTGACGGTGTCCACCAAGAACTTCCCGGACTCGTCCATCGAGCCCAACAAGCAGACCCAGCAGGTTATTATCCTCAACTGCCACAAACCCTTCACCTCGTCGCCCACCATCAAGATTACGTACATGGCTGGAACCCTCAAGGTGCTGCATCTCAAGCTGCCTATTGTCATTTCCAAGTTCATGACCGCCAGCCAGGTGTCCACAGGTGACTTCCAGAACCGATGGAACCAGCTGGCAGACAAGGAAAGTCGGCGTATCTTCAAGCCCCAGGATATCTCCAAGTCTGCCAACCCTGCTCATAACCTCAAGGTCATGAAGGGCTTTGGATGGTCCATTGATGCTCAGCAGAGCACTCGGGACGCCATCTACGGCGCAGGAGTACTCTACACATCTGTCAGTGGCAACTTTGGACTGCTGGGGTGTCTTCAAAAGCTGCAGGGCAATCAGTTTAGCATCACCATTCGAGGCACCAATGCGGTCTTGCCCGCCATTGTGGGCAAGTGTATGAGCGATTATTACCAGGACATTATGTAGGCATAGGGAAATAACACAGCGTAATATAGAATGAATGAATGAATGATTTATTAATGATATCGTGAGTGTTATACCTGGAAGCAGTGGTTGTATGTACTGCTGTGTCACATGGCCTAACCGTCCCAGAAGAGGTTGAATTCCCGGCACTGGCACTGGGATGAACTGAACAGGAGGAGTACATCGGAGTGCACATTCTGTCAGGGCTGTACAAGTACAGTACACCCATACTTAGTTACTGTACTTTGACTCTATTTGTACTCGTACTACCGATGTATGTACTTGCAGTCAAGTGAGCAGGGGCTCATTGAGTGTTTCTACTGTACGGGTACCGCACATACAGTACAATTGACAATTGCCCCAGAAACACCCCAACACCACCACTATGAAGTGTGCTCCATCTACCTCGGCTACTGGTAACTGCCATGCATCTAAGCGTCGTGGAGCACTAATTTCACAGCAGCAAGTCGCTTGTCTTACTCGTGTTGAGTGAACACCCTCATCACCTGTCTCAGCTCGAAAGCTAAAAGATGGCGACAAGAGAGGGACGTTGGACACACAAGGAGATGATCACTGTGAGAGTGAGAACTTAGCTGAATGGGTGGTGATTACGTCCAAGTGGCACGGTGTCACAAAGGTGTCTCCCATTGCTTTCAAAGCAGTCATTTCTACTGTTATTGTACCAGTACTGTACTCTGGATCACCCAGCACTGTACATTTACAGTGCACACCTCAGCTGTAAGAAGCCCCACACAGACGGCACTACTGCACATGTTAGTTGAGACCCAACAGATTAGTCTGGAGGAAAGTGGGACTGGATGTTGGAGGGAGGAGGGGCGGAAAACAACAATCAAACGAGAGTGTGACGATTTTCAAAGGGAAGATTGCCCCAGGTTTATCATGTGACTTGCAGACCCACGTCGAATTATCTATGCTGCTTTTTTTTATCCTTTTTTTTTTGCACTCCCTTTTATATACAGTCCTGCATTCCCCACCGCCTCTTTTACGAGACCCTACGGCATTTATGTAGGCTTCCCCAGACCGGTGATAGCTAACAGTAACTCACAGCGAGAGTTAAACTGTGGTTTGGAGAGAGACGGGGATGGGTGGGCACAGTACTGTACATACTTGTCCAAAGTAGCTGCTTATGGCTGAATTATATTGTGCTTGTACCTATAGAATGTAGCTCCAACGTCAAATAAATGTGGAGCTTACTGTACAATACGATACGAGGTTTCGTCCAGTTTCAGTGTCTGCCAAAACGATCCAGAAGGGGACCCATATTTTCTTATTTTTCTATGTTCTAATTTTCTCTTTTCTAATGTTCCAATTTTATATTTTATATTTTCCAAATTTCCACATTTCGATTTTATATTCTAATTTTCTGCCAACAGGGCCAGTTTTTTCCCCCCCTTCTGTTCCTTCTGTTTTGCCTTTCTTTTCAAACCTTAAAATGTAGCCTCTTCTCCGCCCCCATTGTATGGACATTAAAAAGTATCAACCAGACACGTCTTTGGAAATTGACAAAATCCGCCACCTCACACCCCACTACGAGCACCAGTCGTGTGTGCGAGTCTTCTGAGCTACATCCAACCAGCCCACGCGAGCCCCACGCGAGACCCATCATCGTCTTTCTACGCAACTCGGCTCCTCGGTTATTACCCCGCCTATATTCTTCTCGGTTATCGGTTGGCACATCACCACAACACCTCGAGCTGTGGATCACGGAAAAAGGAGTTTGAAAGCGGAAAAACGGAAAAACACACGAGATAGTAGCGGTCTAGATCCAACCCGACCGATTTAGCGATCGCTCTTTGCCCTATTGTTGCTTCACCATGTTCAACTCAGTCAACAAGGAGGAGGACCAGGATATCATCATTGACGAAAGTCAAGTGTCGATGCAAGAGGGTTCGGAGGAACCTGAGGGCTCTGGAACCGTGGAATACGACTCGGACGGCGCGCCCGTCAACTCGGACGACGAACTGGCCGCCATTTCGTCCTCCAAGCGGCAAAAGGCGCAAAACGTGTTCCGACGGTCCTACAAGGCCTGTCTCAACTGCCGCAAGCGCAAAATCAAGTGCGACCTGGGAGACCTTTCCAACCCGTCAAAGCCGCCCTGTGCCCGCTGCAGACGCGAGGGCAAGCAGTGCGTGTTTGTCGAAAGCAAACGAGGAGGAGTGGCCAATGTGCGTGCTGGCAAGGAGAAGAAGCGCAAGCTGGAGAGTCCTAGTCCCCCGGTACTCATGAGAAATTTGCTAGGGGTTCCCCAACCGCGCGATCAGCATTTTAAACAGCATCAACAACCACAGCCCTATGAACCTGTACCTCCTTCTGCTACCCCTCTTAGTGCCCCCAACTCAGCTCCTGCCCCTGGACCTCCCAAAACAGTTCCCTTTACTCGCTTCCAGGGAGCTCCTCGAGGCCAGCCCCTCCCTCAGCCGCTTCCTCCTCAGCCCTCTTCTGTGGCCCATGAGCCGTACAGACAGCCCACGACTTTTTCGACAGACTTTGACCCGGAGTACCCGGGCTTCCAGGGTGTCCAGGGAGAGTACAAGCAGGGCTTTGCGGGTCACCAGCAGCAGAACCAGATTTCCGGCGTGCCCAGATCTATGAGTGACGTTAGTCAGCATCAACAGCAGCATGTTCATGGTTTCTATCAGGACCCTCAACAGCAGCAACAACATAACGTTCAACAGCATCACCAGCAGCAGCAACATCAGCATCTGGCCCATACTGTCCAACAACAACAGCTGCATCAACAACAACCGCAGCAAACACCTCAGCCGACACAGGAACCGACTGGAGACGAGTACATTGCAAAGAAGGAAATGTACAACACTTCGGATGCTCTGGACATTCTTGCACACGCTGCACGATCATTTCCCAAAATTGACTCCCCTGCTACTCCTAATGCGGCTTCTCCTTCACCTCCTTCAGTCAGACCACTGGCTTCTTTGGGAGACATGGAGTTGATTCGGACACGCAAGATTCTCACAGAGGAAGAAGCTCTCAACCTGATTGATTTCTTCTTCCACACAATGCACCCCTTCTACCCGTTCATTCCCAAGGAACTGCATTCCGGATCTGTTCTGGCAGACTACCCTATTTTGCTGGCAGCTATTCTCACCATCGCTTCACGGTACCATTCTCTTCCCGAACCTGTTGTTGTTCATGAGAACCCCGGCAACAAAAAGAAAGCGTCTAGAGCGGCCCAGATCCACTCCAAAATGTGGATCTACTGCCAGCAGATGATTTCTCGAAGTATTTGGGGAGAAGCTAGCAGCAGATCCCTCGGTACAGTCTATGCCTTTTTGCTCTTCTCTGAATGGAACCCCCGAGCTATTCATTGGAGATGGTTTGACTACGCCAACCCCAGATTTGATACTACCGACTCAGAGGTATATCATGATGTCGAGTTGTCCGTAGGGGCTTCTCCCGACTCTGCCAGACGAAATACGCCTGGATCTAGCGGGTTCTCGATTCAGAATGAGTCTGATTGCAAAGAGGTGGACGAGAAGGGAGGCCTTGGAGCCTCCAGACGGTCTGATCGTCTGGCTTGGATGATGATTGGAACAGCTATTCGTCTGGCTCAGGAGATTGATATTCTTGAAACCAACCCCAAGGTGTTCATTGCTACGCACCTGAGTGAGCTGGTGCTGGCAATTCGAGTTGGCAGAAAGTCCATTCTGGCTCGATCTGTCAACGAAATCACTCCTTCTACGCTCAAATTCACTCCCTTCGAGGCCGCAAAGCTGGGTTTGCTTCAGATCATGGCTCTATCACATGAGACGCTGTACATGTCACGTGAGACGACCCGAGAGATGCTTAAGGACGGCAAGTATCTTCGGTTTCTGGCGCTGTTCACGCCTCATTTGCAAAACTGGGAAGAGAAGCATTTCAAGAACATTTCACTTCCTGTGGATGCTCCTGAGAACGACAAATTGGATGCTCTGTCGATCAAATTTGACTACTACTACACCCGACTGTACATTTTCTCGCTGGCGTTGTTCACAGCTGACAAGCAGGGTCTGTCTGTGGAAGAGCTGATACCTCAGAGTCGATATGTGGCTATGGCTACAGATGCTGCTCGAGAGATGCTGGCGGTGGCCAACTCGGTGCATCGAATGGAGGCTCTCAAGTATGCTCCTGTTCGATGGGTGGTTCGAATTGTGCATGCTACCGTCTTCTTGTTCAAGGCTCTGGCTGTCACTTCGTACATTACCAAATACTCCAAGCAGGACATTATTTCTGTGATTCAGGAAATCTCTGTGACTCTGCGGGACGCTTCTCCTGATGACCTGCACCTTGCTTCCCGTTACTCGGGTATTCTGATGCATCTCTGTGTGGACATCTTGGCCAAGGAGAAGGAAGCCAACAGTACTCCTGCCAGTAACGCTTCTCAGCCGACTCCGACAGATTACTACCAGTTTCACTCTCCCTCGTCAGCCACTGGACACCATCACAATGTTGTTCCTCCTACTCGGTCTCATTCCTTGTCAGGAGTGGCGGGTGCACATACCCCTGTCGCCCACGGGTCTGTGCACAGTAGCAATAGCAATGCTGCCCCTACTTCGAGCCACCGGAAGAAGAAGGAGACAGAAGAAGATCCGTCGCAGCTGCTTCGCGATTTCGGATTTGGACTGCTGGATATGGACTTTGACTTCTTCACGGAGGGAACGGAGGGTTTGGGATTTGTGGATCCTCTGATTGAGGGCATTGAGCAGCATCAGCAGAAGATGCAGAAGAAGAACGGTAGTTGAAATGGGGAGGGTAAATGGAAGGCAAAAACAGTCAGGGATCTTGGAGACTAATAAGTAAATACTAATGTGAATATGTAAATATGTGATTTCAACCGCTGTAGAAGAATCCAGTTGCAGACTATAAGAACCCGGTTGCACAGACCATCTGGTCAACCACAAATATGAGCGTGTTTTCTTTAGTTGGAAGACAACCCCCGGTTTCCTGGTCTCCGATATCAGTTGTGGTTATTTTGAATTAAATCAAACTAGTAATTTTAGACCTATATGTTATATATCAGTAAATGCTACATCTGATCTACGATTAACATGACATTCTTGTATTACACCAGCAATTGTTTTCGCAATTCAGGTTACTTGTACTTATAAAAGGGACTGCCCCCTTCTCACACGATTATTCACTCTATAGGAAAACTGAAGTGAACGTATTCTCATCAATAATGTTGAAAAGTCTGCCTTTTTGAAGCATCAAGGACAACTTTTTAGGTCTACACACCATGGGTGCACTTTTCTCATTAAATATATATATATATAAGTATATACCACTATTTGTAATTTAGTATTCTAAACCGGACCAGGTTGATCAATCATGTGCATGAGATCGTCCCACTCGGAGTCGAACTTTTGGGGAATAGCGTAGTCCTTGTTGGGCACACTGGGCGTGGCATCGGGAACCATTCGCATATCGGGAGGCAGATCAAAGACCTGACTCGGGTACTGATCCAGATCCAAAAAGACAGTGTTCTGGTTAGCGGCCGCATAGGGAGAAGCCGTAGTGTGAGAGTAGGGAGACGAGCCGTTAGTAGAGCCCACAGAAGGAGCATCAGTGGGGGAAGCGTCCTTTGTGTCGGCCTTGGGAGGCTCGTTCTCGACATTGAGAACCTTTTTGTATAGCATCTGGCACACTTGGAACTGCTTCTCGAGCTTGAGATGGATCTTGGCCTGGTTCGCCATGACGGAAATGGAGTCCAAAAGAACAGCCTTTTGCTTTTCTCGCTCCGTGTACTCCAAATTGTGAATGTTCCGAATGAGGGAGATGGTCACAAACAGGTGAGAATGGATGACCGTGGGAAAGATGAAGGCGGAGAAGAACCATCGATATAGACACCGCGCCTTTTCGGTGGTTCCAGCTGTGAAGAACCAGACAGAAAGCTGCAAGATTCGGAGGGATGCGGTGACACACTCCTCGCGGGACTTTCTGTATCGAGGAGATCGTAATCCCTGAGAAGCAAACACTCGATGAATGGCAATGATCATCTTGAGATGGTCGATTTCGAAAATCAGGCCCTTCATGATGTTCAGCGTGCTGTCTTCAGTGTCTGTAAGAACTCCCTCCTTGTTCTGTTCATACACCTTTTTAATCTTAGCCCCGAGAAGCAAGACCTGATCGTATGGCATGGTTCGAACACTGGCTATGCTGTAGTTTTGCATGAAGATCTGGTGGATGATTCCTCGGGCCTTGAGGAACGCACTGCCACCAAGAGGAGGTCGGACGTCTGTAGAGTCCTTGTGGATCGCCTGGGGAAGACCTTCCACGAGAGAATAATGCACATCCATGGCAGTTATCAAAGCCCATACTCCTCGTCGCTTTTCCTGATGTTCGCTCGTCATTCGGAACCATGCTGGATCTCGATGTAGACCCATAGATTGAGCCACACGAACCAGTGCTCCAAATGTCGTCCAAGACACATCTGCGAACTCAGCCTCCGAGTTACCCATAGACTGGACGCACACCCAAAGAACAAGAGCCTGAATGTTGACCATGGATGCTCGCACACACACCATAGCCTGTTCAAGGCAATGATCAATGCCCTTGAGCCACTCTGTCCATGCTGTAGTGAGTCTCTGGAGAGCAGCATCATCCAATCGGTAATCCAAAGAAGACTGCAGAGCCAAAGACAGCACACCCAACAGTAGTCCCAGCCACAGAATCTGGGTATCTTCTGGAGTTTCCCAGAATTGGTTGTAGTCCACCATGAACGCTTCTTCGTCAATAATGTTGAGAAGAGGTTCACAGGCCTCAAAGTATCGCTTGACGAGTTTGTCGCTGTTTGGTCGAGCTGGAAGCAACTGTAGGATTTGAGCCAGTCGATTGGATCCTTCCTGTTCAGCTGCACTCAGTGCACTGAGGTTCTTCTTATGTCTTTGAGTCGCTGGGTCAACACACGAAGTTGACCATCCGTCCTGTTTTCTAACCTCATCGAAAAAGTCTGTCACCTCGGCGGCCTCAGAGAACAGAGATCCCCAATGCGATTCTCCATGGTAGATGGCATTTCCTCGACTTCCGAGTTTCATCATTCCCAGAGACTGTCTCAGAGACTCCACTTCTGAAGTGTCCTCCACCAGGTCCATGTTAAGCTTGGAAATGGTTTCGTTGAGTCCGGACTTTTCCATCTTCTGAGCAAACGCCTGGTCCTTATACATGTCCACCGTGACGGGAATACCAAGTCGCTGTCCTCCACTGATGATCGTGTTTTCTGCGGTAACAGGCTTTGCGGGCGTTTGTTGCGCGTCCAATCCATTTTCCAGCAGGTCTTTGCTCTTGGCTACTCGTCCTCCAATGGTGTTAGTTTTGTTGGTGTAGAAACACATGTGTCCCCGTTTCTTCTTGACACAGGTTGAGCAAGGATCTTGTCGATCGCATTTGAGCTTGCGTTGTCGGCAGAACTGACAGTTGAGCGGTTTCCGGCGTCGTCGCTGCTTGGTTTCGTTGTCCTCTGGCGAGGTGGTTTTCTCGCTCTCGACAGGACTGCCAAATTTGTGAGGATACTGAGTCGCAGTCTGAGTGCTTGGGGTGGGCAGACTGGGGTTGGCTGGCTGCTGCTGTGTGAAGTCGTTGGTGGTGCTCTCAATGGAAGGCGCCGCGGTTTGTGTCGTCGGAGCCGTCGGAAGATTCGAGTCCGTCATTCCATTCTGAGGAAGAAGATCTGCCAGGTCCTGAGCAAAATACCCCAGGGTATCAGTTCCCAGAGAGCCACCAAAGCCGTCGTCGCCTCCGAGATCGCCGAGGAAAAAGTTGGGTTCGTTGGAAAAGTCGGTGTCCGCCATGCTGACAGTCGTCACAGTCACAGTCGGTGTGTGGTTTGGTTAGTAAAACTGAGGTGAGCTTTTCGACTCGAGCTTTCAGAATAAAGAGTTTGAAGTGGTGTGCCTCTGGCCTGCAGGCCCGGTTGAGTTGAGCGTCTTGTACGGTGCGCTGACAAAGTTTGATGGACCACGGCGGACTTAACAGACGGGCGGGGATGGCAGAAGAGACGTCTGAATTACGTAATACAGGCCTTCAGGAGCTGGTGATCCACGGGACCAGGTTCTTTTTCTCACTCGGCTCTCCTACACATGCTGTATTCCGACCACTGTTGCCTCCCGTTGACTGCATGTCCTACTATGGAAACTTACCTTTGATCCCAGCCCACAGTTTCCGTTGAAGTTGCTGGACTGGTGGCAGCGACATGGCAGGGTGGAATTGGGGGTTCGAAAAAGCAATTCCTGAACCGAGGCGACATTGAACGTGCGCCGTCAGTCCTCTTACGTGTCCTCTTACAGGATAGATATGGCTCTCCGAGTGCACGTAATTATTACTCGTACTGTATGCGCTAATAGTACACAGTACGTACGATACATACTCCGCCGTATTCAACGCTCTGTGGGATCGAACCATGCAAGTTCTCAAGATTCGCCACCCTCGATGATCCACTACTTGTAGATGGAGACCGTTGATAGAAAAGTCGGTAGAAAGGTGTCGATTATATTTTGGTCGTGATTGGAAAGATTTTGTCCGGTGGTTTTTTCTTCATCCCCAATTTCAACACGACAGCACAAGCACGAGTACAGTTCACTGCTCAATATCATCACTCCTATCTCCGTCATGCAGTCGCCCCCACTTTTGCAGTCCGATTACTGTAATTTTGGGGCATCTCAGATGCACTAAGGAACGAGACATTTTTCCTATAATCCAAATATTTATAAAAAGTTAAAAAAAAATTAATATAAAAAACATAAAAAAACATAAAAACCAGTACGAGTAGTTGCGTGAGCCAAGCAGATTGTACTGTGAGAATATAATTTCTCTTATCGGTGTAAATAATCAAGTTTTGGTGGTCTTCCTACTCCAGTATTTGAGCAATGTCATAATTATCACGTAATATATTTATACAAATCCACCCATCATCCCTCGTCTGTTCATTTCTTGCCTCCCTCAAATTGCTGTCTCAGCTTGAGATAGTGTTGCAGCTCCTCCGCCGAAACAGATGGACTCAGCTCGTCCTTGGCCTTCTCAAAATCCTGCTGAGCAACCTCAACCTCAATGTCACTCTTGGTAGCCTCGTGGTCAAACCACCATCTGATGGAGACGGGCTCCTCTCCGGCCTCCTCCCTGTTCTTGTTGAGCAGCTTGATCTTGGCATCAACCTCGTTGGCAGTTCGAGTCATGGCATTTAGCATGGCATCTGAACACAGAGCGTAGAAATCGGCGCCGGTGAAAGTAAACGGACATCGTTTGGAGATGGCCTCAAGAGACACATCGGCAGCAAGTCGGAACTTTCGAGTAAGAGCCTCCATAATAGTCTGCTGCTTCTCGTGGGTATCAGAGATACCCAAGTACAGCATCTTATCGAATCGTCCAGGTCGCAGAAGAGCCTCGTCCAACAGATCAGGACGGTTAGTAGCTCCCACAACGAAAACACCCTCTCCTCCCGCAGTAGACATTCCATCGAGCTCAGCTAGCAGCTGCGACACAATTCGGTCCATGACTCCTCCAGAGTCTCCCTGGTTGCCTCTCTGAGGCGCCACGGAATCCAACTCGTCAAAGAAGACAACACAGGGCTTGGCATCTCGGGCCTTTTGGAATACTCGTCGCACGTTGGCCTCGGATTCACCAATGTACATGTTGAGCAGCTCGGGACCCTTGACGGAGAAGAAGTTGAGCGAGAAAGTCGTGGCAATGGCTTTCGCGAGAAGAGTCTTACCAGTACCGGGAGGACCGTAAAACAGAATACCCGATCGCTTCTTTACACCGTCAGAGAACCAGTGGGGGTACTTTAGAGGAGTCTCGATAGTGTCCAGAATATCCTTCTTGACACCCTCCATGCCTCCAACATCGTCCCATCCGACATTGGGGATTCGGGGAGCTCCAATGGAGTCGGAGTACTTTTGTCGAGCATCAGCAATAGCGTCATCAAAGTCGGAGGGAGTCAGCTGGAGAGTACCATGCGAAAGGGTCAGGAGATCGTCTAGAGTGGTATCGGAGTCCTTGGTGAGCTTGTTAAGTCGATCAATGGCTCTCAGACGGGTAGTCTGGACAATGGCTGTGAGATCAGGAGGGGTCAGACCGGCAGATTGGAGCGCAAGGTTCTCAACAGAGACATCAGAACGCAGAGAAATGGGTGCATTTCTGATTGAATCGCCCCCAGGACCGGATTTCGTCAGATGAGAAAAGATCTGACGTCTTTGGGGCTCAGAGGGCACTCCGATCTCAATTTCAAACTGAAATCGAGATCGAATGGCCTCGGAAATCTTGTCGGGATCGTTAGACGTAGCTGCCAGCAGCACTCCGTGTCCGGAGTAGTCCGCAAGAACGTCCACAAGCTTTGAAACTATTCCCTCATCCTTTCCGTCCTGGTCGCTCTTCTTTGCAATCGACTCGAGATGCTGCAGAACGACCACGCAAGGAGAGCAGCCATAGGCCCGGTCTAGCTTGGCTCGCAGAGTTCCCAGTGTCTGGGCCTCATTGTCTCCAATAAGTCCAAAACACGAGATTTCGAACACAGAAATTCCGCACTGGGCAGCCACGGAACGAAGAACAGTTGACTTTCCGACGCCTCGCTTGGCGGAATGCAAAAGTACCGAGGTGTTGAGTTTGGCGTGCGAGAGAGCCGAGGTCGAGATCTGAACCAGGTTGCGGATCTTGTCGGCGTATGCAAACTCGGATCCAAACTTGGGCAAGGTATCCAGACCGAGATATTCGCGCCATGGAACACTGGTGGGGATTACAGCAGAAGAAGTAGTTCCTCCCTCGATCAACTTTGTCTGAGAGGAGTCCACAAGGTACTGTTTGGAGGCAGGGTCTTCACTTCCGTTGAGAGAAGTGACCTGAAACCACGCCACGGAGTCGGGCTTGACTGCCAGAGCTTCCAGAGGAATGTGGCTCATTTCAGGATCTTCGCCAATAGTTCGAGCGAGAATAGAGTCAAAGGGAATGGGGATCAGATCACCTACTCGAACGGCTCTCTTTACGGGCTTAAAGTAGGCCTGCAGACCTGCGTGGTAGGCTGTTTGGAAGGTTCTGTCTGTGGTAGTAGGACCAAGCACTCTTGCCAGCTTGACTTCCTCAGCAGCTTCAAGCACGGAATCCAGCGCCTCTCCTACAGACTTATGTGTCTCACCGTTGGGAGTCACCTCAATCTCCTTGTCGCCAATGTTGTGGTACAAAATGGGCGAGACGTAGACCACGTCGTACTTGACTGTGTTTGGTTCGGGGTATGCAAACAGTCGGAGCACCCGTTCGGCTCCGTTTTTGGTCTTGATGGACACAATGTCGCCGGAAAAGACTCCGAGTTTCGACATGGTTTCAGACTTGACGAAGCCTCGGCTTTCGCAGTCGTCAAACCGGTCCGAGAGAGGAGTAGGGATGGCTCCTTCAAGAGGTGCCACTTGGAGGTTTGTGGATTCACGGGTCTTGGCAACAGATGTGTCAAAGTCGAGAAACTCTGCAATGTCAAAGGCCACGTCGGCAGCTTCGTCGGCCGGTTGGATGGTTTCCTGCTCTTTGGCGACCGTCAGCTTGGTGGTTCCCTTGACCACCTTGCCCTGGTTTACAGGCTCGCACAGACGCACTCTGCATCCGTTGAGCAGCACGTCGCCCTGTCGGATTACCGGTCGGTCCTTGTCGAGTTGCGGCTCGAGAGCCTTGAGCACTTGTTCGGGTGTGTTAAGCGTTTCGTACTGGCTGGCAGGCACGGTCACGATGGCATGCTCAATCGTGACAGGGTTGACCCGTTTGAGCACCACGGGCATGAACTTTTTGAGACTGCCTGCCACGTGGCGAATGTCGGCCTTGCAAGTGTACTGCGGCAGAGATCGGTCCTCAGAAGCAGGATACAGAGCCCACTTGATTCCAGGAGCTTCGAACGCAACATATGGCTCGGCTGGCTTGTCGGAAAAGAGCTGCTGGTACAGGTAGGACGAGAGCTCGAGCTTGGTGGCATCCGGGGCAGCCACCAGCTTGGCTGTGATGGGTTTGTGGCTGATCGACGGCATGCTCGATGTGGTGGTGTTGTAGAGAAGAATGACTATGATCTGTCGGCCGAGGTTAAGGGAGCGTGCAGAAAAGAGAGTTTGGCGGACATCAAGGTTAATGTGAAAAGTGGGGTGTGGGGAAGAGCCAGAATAACGGTATGAATGAAGCACGTGATAGACGTCAAGGTGGGTGTTTTTTATGTTGGTGAAGATTCCCAGTAGTGACTGGAATAATGGGAAATTCAATTCTTTTTGTTTCTGTTCAAATTTCGGCTCTGAATGATGAGTACAAGTTGTTCCGTGATGATGTTAGCCTGGGCGCGCGTTATGTACTGTAGCTAACTAGTATGAATACTGTACATACGGTACTAGAAAAAACAACACCTTCGGAGATGCTTCTACTGGTAGTTCTATATGAATCAGTCAATTGAGAGAGACTTTACAATGTAATGGTTTTGAAATCATAATACGGATAATATATACACACAGGACTTGAGGTACGGTACTTGTAGTGCCCGGAGGAGTAAGTAACCGAGTCCAATCTCATTGACAATAAACACACAAGTCGTCAGCACCAGTGACAGTTCCAATACAGTAGTTCCTTCTTAGTCGAGGATGTTGGAAAGCTGAACCATTGGGTATTGCCAGAACAGTACACAGTACATAGTATGCGGTACATTCCTGCGTGAGTCGTGTGGCATCACTTGTTTGGCGGTTTGGTTATAGTAATTCGTTGCTTAATCAGTCTTGACCTTTCTCAGCTCTCCCTGCAACCGCTGGAATACGTCAATGACAATGTAGCCAGAAATGAAGAAAAAGGGGGCGTAGACAGCGAGCAGGTTGTATCGAAGGGCATCGGTAAGACCGGCTCGAGCCCACACCTCCGCGAGACATGCCAGAGTCGTTAGGCTGGCATTGACACCGTACACCAGCATCCACAGGTATGTCGTGGGAGTGGCGGTCTTGGTTAGCAGCTTGTAGGCTCCATAAACAAAGAAGGGCAGCTGGAAGAGGATCTCGATCCAGATGAAGGACATGAACCACGCTGGTTTTTCGAGCACAATGAAATCCTTGTTGGATGCCACGTGGAAGTCTTCCATGAACTGTTGCCCGGGTAGTTTGTACGCCGCAGGAATGGCAAAGCCTCCATCGACCATCAGGGTGATGACAAAGTGGATGGCACTATGTTAGCAGGGAGCGGAGCGTAGATAGTCTGCGGTAGACCGTGTGTTCGCCGTGTTGTACTCACAAATACCACCCGTAAAAGGTGTCTCGCGTGGACATGTTATGTGGTGTATCGTGTTGAAAGATGAAAGTTGATGATGAACAACTTAGTTGTAGTAGATGCATGTGCAGTAGTTCTGTTAGAGGGCAATTTAGAGGGGCCTTGTGGTTTTGATTTACACGAAATTGAATAGAATGGGGACAAAAAATTGAAAGCTAGGACAACTCCTGAGACATAGTCCTTCTCTTTTTATACCAAAACCCATCTCGTACGCCCTATCTCAGTGTCTTTTGGTCGACACTTTACCGCATCTATAGACCGCACTCCTAGGTCATAAAATAGTTAAATATATACAATTAAAAGTGGACAACACGTCTATGGTGATGCTGGCTGTCCACCGATGAAGATTCTGTCGCGTGCTCACTTTTTTACCTCCTTTTCCAGCATATCCTTGGCCTCGTTGATTTTCTTGGCCATGAACGGTGATCCGCCTCGATCGGGGTGATTCAGCATCATCACCTTTCGATGCTTGTCCTTGAGCATGTTGAGCGTCACCGAGCCGTGTTCCCGGGCAAACCCCAGGATCAACAGCGCCTCCTTGCGACTCATATTATGCTGGAATCCGCCCAGATAATGCCTGCTGTTGAGCAGCGTCTCAGGAACCCCGCTGTATCGGGCTCGCGCACGTAATCCGGCCCGCAGCTGTAGTTAGTACACATGTCGTGGTTGTTTGTCCGTCTTTCACTCACCCCTAACGCCACCAACGTGACTCCCACTCCGATGACAATCGGTAGCACCATAGTGTAGTTGATCAGATACAACTGAGTTTGCCTGCACAATGAGATGTAGTGTACTTGTAGGTGATTAGTAATGGGCGGAGGCGAATCAGAAAAGTGACAAGAAATGGTGTTTGTAACTTGTTGGAATATATCCTGTAAAGAAATTTCTCGAAATAATGTCCAACTACTCATCTGCTTGTGCTCTATCCCCTATCCTGAGTGTGTAGATCGAGTGATCTGACAGAGTATAGTAAATTTCAGGAGCATGCTGTATCACTAAAGTACAAGTACAATTACAGTAGTAGATATAATATCAATCTATCACCTAGTTACTACTTTGCGTTGAAGTACAACTCACCACTGGTCCTCGTCTTCTACACCATGCTACCCAACCTCTACTAGCTACACTGTGGTAGTACCGTACTCACCGTCTTGTAACTACAGTAGAGCTGCGTCCTCTCCCATCCTCCTGTCCTGCTTTTCAATCTATGCTCTATATACATTACTTGCTTCGGTTCATCATCTTCATGGTGAGGTTTCTCAGAGCCTCTCTGCTCTCAGAGTAGGGAAGCAGGTCCAAGTTGGCGACAGCCTCGTCGCAGTACTTTTGGGCCAGCTCTCGGGTTCGCGACAGACCGTCTGCCTGCTGAACCAGGAATCGGGCCCGCTCCACGTCGCCGGGACCGTCAAACTTTCGCTTGATCATGTCTCCGAGCTCGGGGTACTTTTCCCAGGCAAACAGAACGGGCGCAGTGGCAAGACCAAGTTTGAGATCGGCTCCAGCGGGCTTACCAAGATGAGACTCGCCCTCGGAGTAGTCCAGCATATCATCGACAACCTGGAAACACAGGCCGAGGTTCTTTCCAAACTTGTAAGAGGCATCGACAATGGGGTTTCGAGCTCCAGAGAGCACTGCAGCGGCTCGGCAACTCTTGGACATGAGCGACGCGGTCTTCAGGTATGTCTTGTGGATGTAGTACTCAAAGGTGGCCTTGTTGGCAATCTCCGAGTTGTCCACAATTGTGTTTTTGAGCTGCATGAACTCGCCCTCCACCAAGTTGGCAATGGTGGTGGACAGCAGCTCAATGACCTCGGCGTTTCTGAGCCGGGCAATGGCCACAGAGGCCCGTCCGAGCAGGAAATCACCGGCCAGAATTGCCATCTTGTTTCCAAAGGCCACGTTGCCTGTAGGAGAGCCTCGCCGGGTAGCGGAGTTGTCGATAACATCGTCATGGAGCAGTGAAGCGGTGTGGATCATCTCGACAATCTCGGCCAGACGTCGCTGCTTGGGTAGAATGCCGTTGCTCTCGTAAGGCAAGGGGTCGGAAGGTCGGCTGAGCGGGTTGAGCACAATGTCGGGATTGATGCCATGGAGAATCTCAATGGGTGAAAGAGGGTCGTTGATAGAGGGCTCGGGGTTCAATTCGCCCACGTTTTCGGTCACGTCCGAGGCGTCAAAGGTGCCTCGGTCTCGCTCCGACTCGGGGATCGCACTCAGCGCTCGGGACAGCAGCAGAACAATCAGAGGACGGACATGCTTGCCCTCGGACTGGAAGTAGTAGGTGGCCACCTTGTTGAGTGTAGGGTGCCCAGAGCCAATCAGAGAACCAATGTTGTTGGCCAAAGTGGACATTTCTTGCGACACAATGGAAAACGGGTCTCGGATCGGAGTGTCGGTCTCCACCAGACGAGATGCCTGCTTGACGGCTCCAGACCACTCGGGGTTTTGGGGCGTGGTTTTCAGCAGCCCTGTGGTCTCCAGCACGGCCTCGGTGAGCGTGGATTTGGGCCGAGCACCTGCCACGAAACGCAGGCTGCTGCTGGCTAGGGTCTTGGTGCCAATTCGTCCGACTCTCAGCATTTTCGTCTGTGGTGCTGTGGTGGTCTGTGGTTGCTGGAGTTGATGTTCCACGCTGAAGGTTTGATGTCTGCGGATGAGTGGGTGATTCGAAACAGTCCATTATAATGTGAATAAAATCGCAAAAAAATTGAGGAAAATAGTAGTAAATATAATTTGGAGTAAAAACTGGATTTCATATTTAATCCACCTGAAAACTCCCCTAAATTCGCCTCTTCACACCTCCCTCACTAACTGCCTCAGTTGAATAATCCAAACTCTAAATTATTTGAGCCCGAAACCGACGGCAATGGAGCCAATTTTTTTCCCCGAACCTAATCAATCCGGGATGATTGGGGCTAACCGCAATGCTCGCTGCAAATTAGCTACTTGTTAATGTAACGCAAACGGGCATTTCTCTGGCAAAACGGGACTTTAGGTTGCGAAGATGACGCTTCGTGTCTCATACGCAGACTTGTTATGGCGGCGGTTTGGATGTGCTCTGAATATGCCTAAAATTGGTATCAGAAGAATGTGGGAACTGTGGCGGTTTTGGTGGTGTTGGTCCCGTCGCTGTAGTGCTGTCATGGCGGGAGTTAAAGGCGAACCTCAAAATAAGGTGGAGTGACAGAAACTGGAGAAGAAACGGAACAATACCACGAGCAAAGTACGAGTACGAGTACGATCAGTCTACACTCGCACTTGTGCCTATACCGGTGCTGTACCTACAAATTTCCACTAGTTGATTGTCATTTCTCCTCGTGTATTTGCCATCCTATTTTTCAAGGTTCAGTTTCAGCTTGTTAATGAAATATCTTGGCTGGCATTGATGCAACCCAATGTAAACACCAGCCAGTTACAGGACAAGACAAGTCAGGACAAGACGGATTCTTGACCTCATGGACCACATGGAGATATTGGGGCTTCTAATCCCAAAGAGAATGGGTCAATGGAGTGCAATGTGTTCCTTCAGACCTATATAAATGAACCCAGCAACGTCAATGGCTTGTGTACAGATAATCATGTCTTCTCACTTCTCCTATGCTGGTTCTATGGAGGCCCAGGACAACTACGACATGTTCGACATTGATTTCGACAGACCTTACCGACGGTGGTTCTATCTGGGCTTTCTGGTTCCTGTTTTGTGGGTCTATCTCGCTCTCAAGGGTGGAATTGAACTGTGGAAGCTGTCGAGAACCAACATTTCTCCCCATGCTCCAACCGCTATCGAGTTGCATGCTCAAAAGCTCTCTTGTGTTGGTTCTTGGGTGACCAATTCCGTATGTGGGTTGGTTTTTTACGCCGTCTGCGGCTGGACCCTTTATATGATGGTGATGAGTCGGTGGTAGAAGATGAGAGGGTATGATTTATACGAATTTATTTGAAATATCGGGAATAAATCGAGCTAAATTGAGTTGAATTAAATAAATAGGACAGCCGGCCGATTCTACAGTCCTCCTCCACTGACACAAACAAAATTAATATTATATCATACTTGTAGAACCCGTACGACACATTTCCCCAACTTGTTCAACTCGTTCAAGTCATCAAAAATGACACTATCACACTCAACCGTTTTTTCCCCTCATGTGCTAGACATCCCTCAACGGGACTGACGTGCTACAGTAGCTTACTGCAGCCAAAGGGTATCCGGGCCAACTTCATACCACTTGGACGGAGAGACAGCTCGTCAGACACGTGACCTCTCCCTCTCCCTCTTCTGTCACGTGACCCCACACTCCACCTCTCGGCCTCTCTGCTTGGAGTTTTATGCCTGCGCCTATCGTAATTATCTTATTTCTCACCATTACCCAACCTTGTCACATGACGGTGCATAAACCTCCAACATAGAAGTCTAAAAGTGACAGGTGGAATATTCGCCATTTTCCACAACCGAAACAACAACCACACAGATACAGCCATGTTGAGCACTTTACCGGGCATCCAGGGGTTTCTGTCGTGGGGAAAAACCTGTGTGGCTCGCATCCTTGCCACGGGGCCGGTGCCTCGGCATGTGGCCTTTGTCATGGATGGCAACCGACGATATGCGCGAGAACGACAGCTGGAAACTCGTGAGGGCCACTCCAAGGGCTTCGAGTCACTCGCCCAGATTCTCGAGCTGTGTTATGATGCGGGCGTGGAAGACGTGACTGTTTTTGCATTTTCGATCGAGAACTTCAAACGGACTCCTCGAGAGGTGGAATCGCTGATGGAGATTGCCAAGGAGCGGCTCACACAGATCTGCGAAAGTGGCGAGCTGGCAGAGCAGTACGGGATCCGAATCCGGGTGCTGGGCAACCGATCCTTGTTGAGAAAGGATGTTGCGGAGCTCTTTGACAAGGCACAGACCATGACCAAGGGACACACTCGAGCCACCCTCAACATCTGTTTCCCTTACACGTCGCGAGACGATATCGCCCATGGCATCCGCGGGGTCGTCAGAGACGCTGAGAAGGGAGAAATCGAGCCTGCAGACATCACCGAGCAGACTCTGGCATCTCACATGTACACGGGCAACTCTCCTCCTTTGGACATTCTCATTCGAACGTCCGGGGTGTGTCGATTCTCCGACTTTATGCTGTGGGAGAGTCATCAGGGCGCTCATATCGAGTTTGTGGACACGCTGTGGCCCGACTTTGGTGTGTGGAGAATGCTGGCGATTTTGTTGAAGTGGAGTTGGAGAAAAGCATACCTGGCTGACCAGGCCGAACAGGGAAATTACTAGAGCAGGAGACAAAGAAAAGCACATTAATTAATTGATTTGAGAATCAGCTGGGGTGTATGGGTTGGTAACGAAGGATACCCTGTCTTGGAATGTAAAGTATCGGGCTGTTTGGTCTGACCAACAAGTACAATACAGTACGACGACAGGAATAGGCAGAGACATATAAGTCTTTGATGGTATGATCATGACCTTTGCATTATATACTTGATCCAGCTGAGTATTTACTGAAACTTCTTCTCATCTTGTAGTGCTTTCACTTTTTCTTTAGTTTTTTTATCCGCTTCAACTGACAGGGAAGTTTTTACTTAATACTTGACTTTTACTTAATGCTAGACCTACAACCCAACTACAGTACTTGGTGAAATAATGGGGGCATCACAGGATGCTTCAAATGCCCATTAAACCTAGAGATGGCTCCATATAGAAGCCCCTGAGAGGTCAATTTCAATCACTCTGGTTCAGTTTATGGCAAACAACAGAAAAATACCACCCAAAATCTCCAAATATTGCCTACCTCGCTCCCTCATATCCATCTCGTATCTGAACCTTGTTGCCTCCCAACCTCCGAAAATAGGAATGGCATGCATATCATGTTCACCATCTGCCACGTATAAACGCCAGCACTGTGAGGTGGTAAACAAGCGTGAAAATGGAAGACAAATTCGAAGCTGCAATCCAAAAGTGGACGGAGATTGATCTGCTGGGGCTGCAGAAACAGCTGGATAAGGAGGGCGAGACCATTGTGGAGGCACAGACGGACTCCGTGGCGAGCCGAAAAGAGTTGGCCTCCAAAACCAGAGATTTCAAGAAGCTGGAGGACAACGACAAGTTGGAGGGCATCAAGACACTGCTCAAGGCGTACCAGGGCGAGATTGATCGGCTGACTCAACGAGCTCGCAACTCGGAAACCGCCTTCCTCAACGTCTACAAGCTGCTAGCCGAAGCTCCGGACCCAAGACCGCTGCTGGAAGCCTCTAGTGACGCTGTGGGTGTAGCGTCAAGCCAGAGTCGGCTCATTGCTGAGAATGCCAAGCTCAGCGAACAGGTTGCCCGATATGCCGACTACGACACTCTCAAACAAAAGGTGCTGCGGCTGGAAATGTCCAATGCCGAGACTGTGGCGGCAAAGGTCAAGGCCAAACAACAGGAGATGGAGGCCGCCTTTGACGAGGAGCGACGGACGTGGAAGTCTCGAGAAACCGAGCTCACAGAGCAGGTCAACGAGTCCCGTGAAATGGGCAAGGAACTGAGACGTAAGGTCGAGACTTACGAAGAGAAGCTCGGTGAGGAAGTGGAGGTTCCTAAGACCTCCGCCACCACTGCCATTTCGTCTGCAGAGATGGAGATTGTCACTTCTGACCTGGAGAAGGCCCAGAGGCGACTTTTGGACCTTGAGGCTCGAAACCTCGATCTCAGAAAGCAGATTGAGGACAAGCCCGATGCTGTGGTTGACTCGTCGCTTGAGGAGGAAAACAAGGGTCTGCTTGCCCGTCTGGAGGCTGCCAAGCAGCAGCTTCAGTCGGCTTCAGCCTCTGCCCAGGAGGAGGCTGAGCAATTGAGGAAGACGGTCCAGAGAAGAGAAGACGAGACTGCGGCTCTCAAGGCCCGTCTGGCGGCTCAGACTGACTACGACGAGCTGAAGCGGGAATTGGAGGTGTTCCGGTCGGTGGAGTTTTCGCAGGAGTCCGAAGACCGAGAGTCCCTGGAGCACATGCTGCTTCAGAAGAACAAAAAACAGCAGTCTGATCTGACAGTACTTCGAAACAAAACAAAGGAGTATGAGGAGACGATCGCCAAGCTCACCAAGTCACTACAGGATGCCAAGACTTCTTACGATAAGGCATCTACGTTGAATGCTCGTCTTGAGTCCGACTTGACTACAACTTCTCTTGGATCAGTTGCTGGATCCATCGCACCCTCCCGTCGAACCACCAGAGGAGGCCCCAGTGGACGTCTTTCGCCCACTTCGTCGATCATTGGAGGTTATGATCGATCTGTGCAGTCCGGAGGAGGAGGCTCGGATCTGCTTCCCATCATCACCCAGCAGCGAGACCGTTTCAAGGAGCGAATCGCGCAGCTGGAAGACGAGCTGAGAAAGAACTTTGCCCTCGTGTCCGAGCTTCGTCAAGAGGCTGCAGTACTCAAGTCAGACAACCTCGAGCTCTACGAGAAGACTCGATACATGGCATCTCATGCTGCCAGTGGCACAAAGGCGCCCACCACCACAAATACCGCATCCAAGTACAGAGATGCCTACGAAGAAGGTCTGACGCCATTCCAACAGTTCAGAGGCAGAGAGACAGATAGAATGTATTCGAGACTGACTCCGATTGAGCGGGTCACGCTGGCGTTGGCCAAGGGCATTTTGAGAAACAGAATCACCCGAAACTGCTTCTCAGCGTATGTTTTGGCGTTGCATATTGTTACCGTGATGCTTGTGGCAGCATAGATGGGGAGGTAGAAAAGTGAGATAACCGGTAAACAGGAAGCGGTAACCCTGGAGTGCCACTGGGTGGTGGCTGTATGTATTGATTGTATACTTGACTGACATGGAGTGTAAGTAGTGTGCGGAGGAGGTGTATATATTAAGGAGGCTACAATGGAAAGCTTGCTGCCGGTTGATATGGTCTGTAGCTACTTGCAGCGTAGTGCACACTGTGTTGGCGTTGTATGGTCTTCTTGAAGAGAGGTGTCACTGTATTATCGCCATAAGCCATACCAGTTCTGAGTACAAGTACAATGAGTACAGGTCTGAGAATAATGTCCAAGTAGGGCTATATTGTCCAAATTTGCTTTCCAAATTTGCCGCCCAGACAATCAGATTGTCTCTCTCCATCGTCTAGCAGAGTTGAGCCAGTATCCAGCAGAATGATTCTAGATTTGAGATACATAATTACTCAATCCAGAGGAACAATACATATATATCTAGAGATAAGCACATGGTCGTACACCCTTTTTTGAGTGTTCCGTGTATCCCTTCGGTACATTATTGCTAGTGTATGTACTGTATGCACAGGAGAGCAAGTAGGAGAGCCCGTGAGCAGAGTTCAGAGCCGTGAGCCGAGCCGAGCCGAGCCGTGAACAAAGGGGAACTCATACCAAACCAAGTGTCAACATTAGCTTACTTGAGAAGTTGGTGATAATGATGACCAAGAATGCTTATGATTCTCATTGCACGCAGTCTTTTGATTCACACCATGTCATTTGAGTTCAGATAATGCACCGCTTGCAACCTTATCGCAACACCATCTAGTGGACTTATTTGAGTGTCTCTTCTTCCAACGAGATTAGTGATTGTTTTGAGTCTTCTTGTCGTCTTTATCTCTTCTCTATCAATCTTTACCAGTCTCAACAAACAAGAGTATGACGACAAATGATACTTTTCTCCAATAACTAAGTTTTTACAGATTGTTATCCGATATCTAAAACATACCGTAGCTGTTCCTATGCCCATGATCTCTTCGTCAGAACCCAAGACAGTCATCAAGTCAATTGAATGTTCGGATACTTCAGTTTACATCAAATTTAGACAGCTAACTTTAGATGTTGGTCGATGAACGGTGTATATTAGAGAGATCTTAGCAATTACTGTGATCCTGATGCTAACTGTACTTGAATAAAAGAACTCCACCATAAGGTTGACCATTCTGAGAAGCAAAAAGAATTGCAGCACCAAGGATTCTCGTATGGTCTCCCACTACAATACTAACTGGGCTCTCTGGTGCTTGACTATGGCTGATCGGACGGGAAGCCGTATTTTCACCAGGATATGGCCGCAACTGAAAATGTTAGGAAACGATCTTCTTTTGGTATTTCTTGTGTCTACGGCACGCGCACCATCGACCATCGTCGGAGCTCAGTTGCTGTCTCCTGCATCAACTGTCAGTCCTGCACCTCTCGATCACCGTCTGTCGGTATGACGTCCGGGCGTCGCGATGATGGCGACTACGGACATCCAGCAGCGTTGACGTTTGCCTGTCAACTCTCGAGAGTGGATCCCGCCAGTGCCCTTCGGGCAAGGATCCACTATTGTGGGGGTCTGTCGAGTCCCCCAGGGCTCGACCGTCACCTTACGGCCCCGTCGGTTGGTCCGGTGCCATTATTATAAATAGCTCTCATTTACCATGTATTGAATACAACAGTTATCTCTCCAGCAGTTTAATCAGTAGCTTCTTTACTCTATAAGAAGCCCGTTCAGTGAGTACTTACGACGAAGGGCCAGTGGGCCTGTGTTCTAACAGAAAATATTAGATGTTGAAGTCACTTGAAAGGTGGAGACGTGTCACGTGACCGCAATCTAGAATGAAGAAAAAAACCGTTATTTTGGGGTCATTTTGGGCTTTCCATACCAGAGATTCTTGTATGTACTGTGATTTAGTAACTTGTCTCTATCAGTGTTCCATCAGACTAGACAGACGGTGGGATACACATGCAAAAAGATATCTCTCTGTGATACTGGCAAAAAAGAAACTGACACCAGGTCACGTGCTCCGATACGGGGAATCGAACCCCGGTCTCCACGGTTCTCAACCTGAGAGCGTGATGTGATAGCCCCTACACTATATCGGACTGGTGAAGGTCGGGCTTCGTTGGGCGTAGTTCAGAAAGGAGAAGCGTGCGGGAGGCAGAGAAAAATTCGAGATATAAACAGTCATTTAATGATTTGAGATTATGGGTGAGTGTATGGATTATTTCGGTTGGTGGATAATCTGAAAACAGCGTCAGAGCATTGCAGATGACGTTCTGAGTTACTTAACCCCTTTTTGTTAAGTTTGTTAAGTTGTAGTTGGATACTTTAAGGAAGTTCAACGGATACAATGTGACCAGCATTGTTGTCGTACAGGCCTATGTGTCACGTGATTGTAGGATTCAATTGTTCTTATTTCATAGAAGTGTCTCGACAGCCTTTTTTTGGTTTTAATTTAATCAATATTTGTCAGTTCAACCGTTGTAATCGGTTCATACAGCTGAGTTCACATGTTGGAATAATGCTGAAAGTTTCGGCGGTGTTTTTTTTAACAGAGGCACGCAAAAATACGACACCGTCTGGGGTGCGATATAATAGAAGCACCAAAATCAGGGAAATTAAAAAAAATTAATAAAATAAAAATAAAAATAAAAAAACCTCTCGTTTTCAAAAAAGTAACACCGACAACTGCAGGATTCGAACCTGCGCGGGCAAAGCCCAACAGATAGTACGGTTATTCGAATCTGTCCCGTTAACCACTCCGGCAAGTTGCCTGGATGTTGGAATCGGCGCGACGAATACCACCAATATCTGTAAAAACGCTGCAAAACCCACCCAAAAAGAATGAGCGGTAGGGGAATTGAACCCCTGGCACCTGCTAGCAATCAAATTGTTAATGGAAGGCAGATATGTTACCACTACACCAACCGCCCGAATTTTCTTGACATTTTTAGCGTTGGAGACTTAAGACGCGTGCAAGATCAACAAACCGCAGCGCACATCGCAAAGATTTAGAAGTGTATGGTTTATTGAACGCCAATAACCCGGCTTACTAGGTATATAGCTGTAATGAATCATTAGAATAAAAAAAAATATCGGTAAAAAAAAATTCAGTGAAATTTTGCTTAAAAACCGTTTCAGAGATTTTTCAACTGTTTAATTTGGGGCTCTTGATATGTTTGACGTCTTTTATGGCTCAAAAAAACGATCTTCTTACCAAGTTCTCGTCCTATGAAAGGCAGAACACGCACTGGCATGTGACATTTTAGAGAGCAGTTCATCGCAGACTGGGTCCACAGAGGTGTCGCAGGATCTAATGGAAATCTATTTCATGTTCAATCAATGAGTCTTCCCTTCAATCCTTCTTGCGCAAGTGATACTGTCGTTTCTCGATTGTTGCACTGTTGTTACTTGACCCACACCACCGTACTTGAGTGTTTAGTTAAGTATCAACAACCTGTGTGACCATCTGTTAGGTTACTAGGGGTTATACTTATTTTGCCATCACTGAATTTAAGTAATCAAATCACGTGACATGGACATCTCACGTGCCTGAAACCAACTGCAATCCACCGACACTCGTACCAGTACAAGTATTCGTACAAGTACATAGTATTCATAACCGTTCGGACAGATCTGAACTCTAAATATACGCGTGCATGAGTGAGATGAGACCAACAGAAATGAATCTCTGTATCACACAACATGTCAGTGCGGGATTCATTACTGGGGCTCAAGGAGTCGATGGAAACGCCGTTGGCACAGGATCCCCGAGAGCGCGAGGATCAGCTGCAGAAGGAATTGCGACAACTGCAAGAGCTGAACCTGGTGATTGAAAACACTCGTGAAGCAGTGCGAGCAGCCACGCTACATGTCGAGACCGTCCAGGCCAATGTCAACTCGTCGCACCTACTGGCAGATAAATGGAACACCATCATGGCGCAAACCAGCCACACATACTCGCTTCTCAACGACTCCACGTGGCATGGGCGTATGGCGGAACAGGAACAACACGAGCAACGAATGCGAGAACTGGAGCTCCAACATCAACGAGAAGAGGAGGACAGACTGCAACGAGAAGCCCAGATGGCGGAACAGGCCCAGATCCAGGCAAAACAGGAGGAAGAGAAACGGGAGAGACAGGAACGAATGAAGAGGAGGTTGTATAGAGGAGGATCAGTCAGAGGAGGAGGGATCCGAAGAGGGGGGGTCAGACGTGGCTAATGTTATCGGCCGCAAATATTTATTTATTAATGTCATTTTAATCAACAGTTTGTTGTTCCTTATACTGTGTATACTGATCTAGTTCTTGAACGGACGTGTATTCATCTTACAATGAGACGCTGTCATACAGCGGCGAGATTACGGATTACGAGTGATTGAGCGTCTACATTAATGAGTAATGTCATAACTAATGCCCATTTAACGTCATAAATCAGTTCAGTATTTTTGCTAACTCATCCCAGCTACTTCCGTCTACTTACACGACCTATGGTCGCTTGTAAGAGCTGCCTGAGAAGCCATCCAAAGGTCCACGGATAGTTTGTCTCTCCGTCAGATAAATTGAGAAGCTCAACTTGGACTCAGGGCGATCAATTTGTGAAGAAAAAGTACCCAAGTCGTCGTTTTCCATGTCACATCTTTGTTCTTCTGCCACATATCAATAGTCTGGCCTGAACCGACAACCCCATTATTCCATTATTGACTGCTTCAATCAACTGCCAGGCCACTCAAGATATCTAAGCAGAGAAACAGAAGTTCGCGGTACCAAAGAACGTGAATGCTGACTCCTCCACTAGAAGAATTCAAGGTGGACTATCTTGAGGCAGACTGCAGCGAGCTAGACTGGGCTCTCCTCCGTGTTCGATACTGTCCCAAGAAGGTCATATTCCCGGATTGGTTAGAGAGTACACTGCCACAGTCTCTCCTTGCCTGCACCAAAGAGTATTCGTTAGCAAAATCTGGAACATTTTTCATCTTATCGCCAGTTTATCTGATCCACAGCTTCCCTCAGGTGATTCAAACGCAAAGGGCAAGTTCAAGATAGTAACTCGTTGTTTATTACTCAGAAGTATGCACTATTTGCTTCATAGCACTGAGGAATTTCAATGCCCTATATTGAGCGCTCTCTCGTAGAACGAATTCTGCATCATCCAGTGTAGGTACTGTACTACCGAATCACCTTTCTCTACTACAAGTACTGCATCCAGCATCTCTGAAGTCCAAAGCCCAGAGCCACTTGCTTGAGCTATATATTTTCCTACTACATATGTATATTCCTGTCTCCTTACTTTCGGAAAAGTCCGCCCAAAAATCCACTCTTCTTAGTCTTCTGCTCCTCGCCGCCCTTGGCAGTCTCCACGGCCTGCACCTCGGCCGGGTAATCGACGTAGTTGTAGGCAATGTCGAAGAAGACGGGCTTGACCAACACGGGTTTCAGCCGCTGGTCAAACTCCACAATGTTGTGAGCCGTGTCCGAGGCAGTTGCCATGGGATACGAGTCCATGTTATCTGAAACGGGGTGGTTAAGGGGCTTCTCCGTCAGTCTCTGGGCAATTGTTTCCAGCGCCTGCAGTCGTGCGGTGTTTGCAACGAGCTGGGCGTTCTTTGGAACCTGGATTCCAGTGACAGCAGCATGATCAGCGTCACCGACAGTCTGTTGCAGCTGAAGAGCCTTGCTATTGAGAGCAAGGGCGTTCTTGTAGTCTCCAACCAGGTCGTAAGACGCACCGATGGCAGCAAGCTTCTGGGCTCTGTAAGCAGCCTTGGTGGCTGTAAGAGCAGAAACGAGGGAGGAGTCGTTGGAGACACCGGCCAGATTGAGAATTTCATCGACAGACTGCACAATGTTGCCTAGCAGACGCACCGAGTCCTTGAGCTGCAACAGTCGGGTGTGGGTGGAGATTTTCAGCGCACTGGGAAGCTTCTCCTTGTTGGTTTTGGCGTGGTCCTTTCGGTCGACCGTCTTAAGCTGTGACACCTCGCTCAGAAGCAGCAGGTCTCGCTCGATTCGCTGCTGCAGCATGTGGAAGTTGATGAAGGTCAGCACAATGTGGGCGTTTTGGGTGGTGTCGTCGTGGGCAGCGATTCCGGCCAGCTCAAATCGCTCCAGCTCCTCCTTGACAAGATCGTTGGCAGACTGCCACAGCGACAGCAGAGTATCGTAGTCAGAGATGGTCTTCTCCTCGGCCTTGGTCTGGGTCAGGGCGTTGCTGACGGTTCGGGCCACGTCGGGGTCGGTAATTTTAGCCTGGTGGCCTCTCCACTCAATCTCGTCCAGTCCGTGGGCCTCGTCCACCTCCAGAGCGTGGGGATTGATCTTCTCGACCAACTTTCCAAAGTCGGATCCGGCATCAACGTAGCCCTTGGAGGCGTTTTCGAGATCGAGCTTTCGGTCAGGAGAAACCTTGAGCAGGGCGACACCGAGAGCAGGGTCGATCTGGGTGGAAATGACGTCGGCCAGCAGCTCGGCCTCCTCAGCGTCCTTGGCCAGAGTGATGAGAGCAGACAGACCCACTCGAGCCGCAGAGTAGGGCTGCACCAGCTTCTGCCACTGTTTTTTGTGTGCGTACAGAGCGCCCTCCAGCAGCAGACGATACGTGGCGATCTGCAGACGCACCTCGTCGCTCTGTGTGTCGGAGACAGACTGCTCCAGGGCCATGGCATACTGCACGGCCTTAGTCAGCTTGGATGCCACCCGTTTCCGCTTGCCGGCTGATCCGTTGGTCTCGAGAATAGATGCCGTCTCCTGAGACACGGCCCAGGCCCGCTCGGCTTGCAGCAGCAGCAGTTGTGCGAATCGAGCGTCCTGAACTACATCTTCGGTGGACACTTGCTTGGGCGAGTACTCCTTTGTGTTTTTGGTCTGGACGCCGAGCCGACGCTTGAGGGTCGCCAGACGCTTAGTGACGACTCCCCGGTACTCGATTCCCGCGGTTCGGTGCGAAAGAACAGTCAAAAGCGGGTTCTCCATTCTGCTGTTTGTGATGGGGGTATAATGCTGGCTGTGGTGATGTGGTAATTGAAAAACCTAGAATCGCCAGGTCATGTGACAAGCTGGGACTATGGTACGAAAGTTTATGTGGAGACAAGGGGACTGGAGGATGGGAGATAGGGGCGGTTGTAGAGAAGATATAGAGACAAGCCTTTAAGAGGAATCAGTTCGCTGGACCTAATTTGGTCAGCGCACAAAAATTCAGCTTTAATGACATGTTACTATGTGTTGTTGAAGTGTCTTGAATGTTCCTCTGTTGTATTTACTCTTCGTTTGTTAAGCGAAAACCTTTTTTTTTAGCTGATAATCGTAATGTAGGCTGGTAACGAAGACTTTGACATTATGGCATATCTTTTTGGGCGATTTGGAAAGCAAAATGATGAAAGAAACGATTTATGTTGGTGAATTCTTTGTGGTATTTCGGATCTGAGTTAGTTATCGGGTTATAGCGCATTATCTTGATATACGAGTATGTGGTATGTATGATAGTAGCATAAAAGTTCAAGGTCGTTCTGAGCGTTCTGGATATCTATTCCGTAGCCGTAAAAGATAACCATAGAAACTCTAGTTCTCTTGCCGTCTTATCAATTCTATTATCTGTACATTTCCTTCCTCTAAAACTGGCGTAATGTGATATCATTTACATGACTTCTCTCAGCTCTGTTTTGCGCCCTTCCATTATGCCCATAACCATGTTTACTGAAGATCCAGAATCCCTTCTTCTCCATACCATAAACAGGCTAGATACAAAACACAGATATATCGCTCGAAATGGCTCACAAGTTTTCTATCAACAAGCACGATCCCTTCAACAAGATGATGTCAAGCTTCTCCAGTAAACATGACGGCCCAATCGACCTCCAAGGCTGTGTCACCTACCTCAAAATCCAGCTAAACAGGCTGGGAGCCCTGGCACAATACTACGACGTGGTTCACTTGCAGTACGACCAAATGCCCGAGCCTGCCCGAACTGAGCTGGGCTCTATTGCCCGGAAGATTATGATCCTTGGCCAGCATCTGGTGAACGTGCTGGGTCCTGATCATCCTCTGACCGAAGAGCTCTGTAACATGATTCACATGGTTGGACCGAGAGTTATGTGTCTGTGAAACGCTCCTGTATCAATTTGTGCGACCAACTGAACTACAAGGAATGCTCTCATTACATGCAAACCGCAAACCTGAGCCAAGTACACGGCTGTGAAGTACAAGTATATAGACGACAATACCATGCGTAAACGGATGGCAACCATGAACTCGGAAGTCTTATAGTGCAGAATTATTACATAACCTATTGATCTACAGCTTTACTGATGTATATCTACAGTACAGACCATCTGTTCGACGATTTACAACTTTCGAAGCACGATGGACGCATGTTGTGCAGTGTTGCTAGTTGTGCTGAGAGACTGCACTATGAGACAAACTGACAAAAACCGAGATACCTGACCATATTTGATTGTAAAAACTAACACAACTTGCCAAATACAACAATAATACACTTGGAAGCCCGACTGAGCGTCCCTTCAAAGGCCGACCCCCCACCCAACTCTTTCAAACTTTGATTCACTTTGAGTTACACGATCTCTTTTGTTTTGGTCTGTGAATGACGATATACGCGAAGTTGAAAAGGGAAAATGGATACGTAGATAGCCTTTTCTTGTGCTTTCGACATGATTTTTTCAAAGAGATGTGTTTTTCGAGTACTCCCCATCGAGATATATGCTTGCCAATCTGCGGAGAAATCCAACGGCAACTCAAAACGACGACAAAGAAAACGGTTGAAACAAGCAAGCAACTGTAGCTTGGTGCACATGTGGGTGAACAAACTGGCTGTGAAACTGAACCCCAGCTTGTTTGCTACTTGCAGCCGATTCATATGATCACGTGACTACTATTTCCTGCCCACACGTCAATATCTCAAGATGGCATGCGCCGGTGAGTGGCCGAGAATATGCATGGTTAGATGGGGTGCGTTGTATCGATGAGAGGGATTCCATCTCCGGCTCGGAAGTATATTTGAGTCATGATTGACTCTGCAACTTGTCTCGGTTCGAATCCTGTGGAAGACGCTCGAGTACTCACACTGTTCTGTACGTTCTGTACAGAATGTTCGTTAACATAGCAACGAAGAGGTGTTTCAAGGGCATAACCCAATCAAACCAAATACAAGCATCTATATCACCGCTCGTCTAGTCAGTACTCGTGCCAATGGCTCTCTATGACATCTCTCCGACCCCAGAACTCAGTTTATTGCCGGATACGCCCTGCGACTTTCGGCTATTATTGGTCTTTGCTTCTCTTGGATCACCTGCATGGAAATATCTCCGCCTACATTAATATTTTTCTGCATCCGAGTTTCACGCGGAGGGTGTGTAGCAGGGGAGGGGGTAAAAGGAGTCTTCTCAGTCGACTTTTAAACACGTGTTTTTGTTCCAGTCTGGTCATAGGACGTATAAATCTCGCATCACGTGCTCAGACCGTCGATACCACGTCTAGACCACTCCCCAGGTATGCACTTCACGAGGCTTACCAATCAACCCCCACTAACCTCTTCTTGCATAACTCTATCTATTGGCTGGAACATACATGTCCTGTGGGTGTTGATTTCAGATGTCGAAAAAAGAAGGCACAATCTACACGATGGAAAGACAAAAACAGCCTTGTTTTACTCTAAATTCTCCCCTCTTCAGAATAAGCTCTCTATCTGTCCCGTGACCCACTTGCTCTCTACTATTCTTCGCCACCGTCCAGTATCTCGTTTACACGTGCCGTGATTTACACCTCCCAAAATTGGCTTCCCCAGAGAAAACGGTGCACCTACAACTGTCTACCTCCACCCACACAAGACTACACACACGCAATGACCCTCCGACTTGCGTTTCGAAGCGTGGGCCGTGCAATGGCCACCAGGACCGCGTACCCCTCGCTGGCCCGATCCCTGGCCACCCACGCGCCCTCCACAGAGACCTTCACCGCTTCTGCGCCTGAGGGATCTCTGGTGGCCAAGGCCGTCGAGGCTGTCCAGAACGCTCCTGCCGGCGATGAGCGACCCATCTACCTGGACATGCAGGCCACTACCCCCACGGACCCCCGTGTGCTGGACGTGATGCTCAACTACTATACGGACATGTATGGCAACCCCCATTCGCGAACACACTCGTACGGATGGGAGACCGACACCGCTGTCGAAAAGGCGCGAGAGGAGATTGCCGCCCTAATCGGAGCCGACCCCAAGGAGATCATCTTCACCTCCGGCGCCACCGAGTCCAACAACATGGTCATCAAGGGTATTGCCCGGTTCTACAAGGGCCGAAAGCGACACATCATCACCACCCAGACCGAGCACAAGTGCATTCTGGACTCGTGCCGATACCTGCAGGATGAGGGCTTCGAGGTCACTTACCTGCCCGTTCTGTCCTCCGGTCTCATTGACATGAAGCAGCTGGAGGCCGCCATTCGACCCGACACTGCTCTGGTGTCCATCATGGCCGTCAACAACGAGATTGGTGTGATCCAGCCCATTGCTGAGATTGGCGCTCTGTGTCGATCCAAGAAGGTCTTCTTCCACACCGATGCTGCCCAGGCCGTCGGAAAGATCCCCATCGACGTCAACGCCGACAAGATTGATGTTATGAGCATAAGTGGACACAAGCTTTACGGCCCCATGGGTATCGGTGCCTGCTACGTGCGACGACGACCCCGAGTGCGTCTCGAGCCCATCATTACCGGTGGAGGTCAGGAGCGAGGTCTTCGATCTGGAACTCTGGCTGCCCCCCTCGTTGCTGGCTTTGGAGAGGCTGCCCGTCTGTGTCGACAGGAGATGCCCTACGACACCGCCCACATTAAGAAGCTGTCTGACAAGCTCAAGAACGGTCTCCTGGCCATGGAGCACACTTCTCTGAACGGAGACGCTGAGCACCACTACCCCGGTTGTGTCAACATCTCTTTTGCTTACGTTGAGGGAGAGTCTCTGCTGATGGCTCTCAAGGACATTGCTCTTTCTTCTGGATCCGCCTGCACCTCTGCCTCTCTCGAGCCCTCTTACGTGCTCCGGGCTCTTGGTGCCGATGACGCTCTTGCCCACTCCTCCATTCGATTTGGTATTGGTCGATTCACCACTGAGGCCGAGGTCGACTACGTGCTTAAGGCCGTGCAGGAGCGAGTCAACTTCCTGCGAGAGCTGTCTCCTCTGTGGGAGATGGTCCAGGAGGGTATTGATTTGGATTCTATTGAGTGGTCTCAGCATTAAGCGAACATGGCAGCCAGCAAAAACATTGCGCAACCATGATAAGCGGTATGAACTGTTCTAGACAAGTGTACGAATCAGGTGCAACTAGATCCGCAACAATAAACAAAAAACTGATGAGCCGTGATATATAGGCATGGCATGTGATGAATAGTGAATGATAGTAAGGTAGAGATATGAGTTGAGAAAGAGTGGACGTGAAGAATATGGCTTATCATTGGCTACTTGTAGTCTGCGTTCCAACCAGTATTCCTACGGACGACTCCAATATGCTCCAGCAGCCAATGGGTAGTTGATGACACCACGATTGGCTTGTATCCGTGTAGTACCTGAAGATGGTGGTTGGCGTAGTGTTGTATTGTCATGTGCTATCCTAGTGGTAAAATGCAGCTAACCATAGTGCAGAATCACTAAGGGTGCAGTAGCTGATACGAGATATAGCCCAGTTTCAAGGATTAGGGCAAGAGAGTCCACTTCTACTCGAGGAAACGAAGAGTTACATACCGAACTAATCGTCTTGGGGGGGTCTTAGTGAAGGTCAGTTCAACTCCTTTCTCTTTGTCGTTCCAATTCCGTGTAAGGAGTCAAACATACGACACCGATAAACACCTGGAAGGTCGCCGGTGCGAGTACATGCTGTGCGAATCGTTTGGCACATACCGCAACAGACATTCGAGGGGGGCGTTAGCCGACATGGCCCGTAGCTCAAGCAGTTGCTAGGGTTTGAGCTGAAATGTGACCTGGTCTCGATACGGCTTACACCAGACATGCCTAATGGTCTTTAGTGCAAGCATAACTCTCCAGTCTCCACTTTTGAGCTTGGTGCTTGGATCTCTGAGCTTGGTTGGTCCAGTACATACTGTAGTCCAACTCTGAGCTTAGCTGTGAAGGCTGCGGAGGTGCCGGTAGCGGCAGTAGCATCTTTGCGATAGGCGTAAGGGACGAAAGGCGTTCGTTTATGGCATGCTTATGGGTGTAGAAGGATTTCCAAAGAGAGCAGTTGCAAGTATGTGTGTAGTTCTCCACATATGACGAGGGTTGTTGGACCTGACCAGACGGTTGAGTAGCTGGATTGTAGATAGCCTGGCTGAGCAACATACAGCATGGTAACGGGCACTCGGGCTCTGCAGACTAACGTCCTTTATTCCGATGTCATCTCCAGCATCTGTTCTCTCTTTAGTTCCAGTCTCTAGGGTAACGGATCGGTTCGTTGCGGGACTCTTGTATGGATCTCACTCACACGATCTATAAGATGGGCAAAAAATCAAAGGTTGCATTAGTTTGGGGTTATTTTGGAAGTCGATGTAGTTTCCGTGAGCACCCAAACGGGTAACACAACATCCCGAGGTCTGTTGGGGGCTCTTGCTCGACGCTTTGCTGTCAGATGGAGTTACAGTAGATGCGTGAGCTGGCAGCTGTCAGATGTCTGACTACCAAGGGGGTTTTCGAGCCGTGACAGCAAAGGGTCGAGGAAGAGGTCAATTTTCCAACCTACCTGTTGTTTTTTCCCGCTACAAACCCCTCGCTTACAAGCTCACAAGTGGTTTGTGCCATTAGTGGTTGGTGTACAAGACGCTTGTTCGTGGTGAGGTTCGGTTTGGCTTTTCTGCACATGGGAAATGAAGAACTTTAGGCACATCTCTCATCCTTGCAGGGAGCACCACCACACATGGTGCAAGTGCAGGGCTTGCGAATGAGACGGACGACAATGGTGTCTGGAGCCGGTACTTTGACGTGGCGGGACCGCGAGAGAGCAGGAAAAGTCGCCAGTGTACAATTAGAGGGCCCCATCTCTTTCCCTCGCGCTTCTATTAGCTTCCTGCTGGACTTGCCTGTTTTGTCGAATATGCAAAACTCTCCATTCCCCTGCACCTGTGTACCAATGCAGTGGAAATGGCGGGCGTTGGAGGGAGTTCATTAGTGAAGATTTATAGGGTGTAATGTAGTGTAATAATTAGACAATAGGTGAAGACAAAGACTGACATAAGTCGAGGGATTTCTCGACGACCGCGAGTAAGGGCACCTGTAGGGGAGATGGTGGTTCGGGTAGATACGTCGTCATTATGAAACGTTGGCGGGAAGAGCAGCCAAAAAAGCAAGCTGAGATTAATACTCTATCTTGAGACAATCAAAAAAGCAACTTGGATGCAACTCGGGTCCGAAGGTACAGTGTGCTAGTGGTTCAACCTGGTGAACTAGCGATCCAATGGGTATTGAGACGGTTTAAGCCTGGTGTGGTGTACATGGCATGTATATACAGTATTTACTGGTGCTTCTTGTTTGATATACCTCCTCCCTGTCAAAGAGCAGAGCAAATGACATACATGGACGGTTCATAAGTAAACGCTTGGTGGAAATTTACATTAGACTGTTTGTTCGTCTCCAAGGCCAGTCTGCTTCTTTGCAAGGTCTTCTTTGGAGCTATCGTCCAACTGAGACCCAGCTTCTGGCACGCTAGATACGGTCATCATCGCTAGGGGAACCCGGCTACGGACAACAATACCCACCACCGCCATACGGCCCGATCTACAGTCTCGTATACCTGCAAACCTAAGCGTCCATTGTCTGAGCGTCGGCTGAGTGCTTCTGGAACACGTCGTTAGGGTTGGGCTGGTTTTTCAGGCTGACTTTTGCTTTTGTCCCTACTTGCTTGTAGCTTCTTGCACACGCTTTTCACACTCAAGAGGCTGGTGACAACGGCTGAGAGTCAGGTGGTGACTGAGTTACGGCTCGGACGGAGTCGTTAAAAGAAACTGACTCGGACCGGAGGTTCTCCAAAAGATGCTTCCTGTTCCGACCGAGCTTCCCCAGGGCGGATTACAGTCGAAAATAAACATCCACGAGTGCACGTCGTCTTGGACAACTCAACCCCGACTCTTCTGTAACATGGAACCGGCGCATATGCCACATGTATGCTTTACCGTGCTTGGCTGTGTCTTACCTATAGGCAGGGCAGGGATTAGGTTGTAAAAAGGGCGAGCGTGTTGACACTGGCACCTTGGACTCGGTTGTGTGCCCGCACTTGAGTCTGAGGTCCAATGAAGGAATCACACCTGTTGGATTACGAGACGTGGCCGACGAGACTACCCACAGACGCTCGCGGGAGTGTACACTACGAACGCACCATTATGGGCCAATCAACCCCCTTCTTGCTGTCACTCCTCACCGTCGCTTGTCTGATTCATCATGACGTCTCAACCACATCTGGGTGGGAAGCATCCGACGGATGTCCCTGAACAAACAAGGCACAAGTGTGTACTGTAGCATATACACTACAAAGTAAGCACTCGTAGGGGTTTTTTGACAGGTCGGAGAAGTCGGAGGAAACGGTGTGACTGAAGACTCCAGAGTGTTGCTTTTGGGCTGGGGGTACATGTCTTCTCAGATGCTGTCCAACCGCACCCACCTCCACACGACGACATGGACCGTTAGCAAGACTCTTTTCAGGATTTCAGTTCTTTCTGCATACCCCATCTTGGAGACTGCAGCTTGGCAGAGATGAAAATGTCCAAGTCGGAGGTGCATTAGCAGCGAGCTAGTGGGACTATCTGAGCGTCTGGTTGATCTGAAAAAGATTAAGCGAAGGCCAACCTCGAACGGTGCAAGATGAGAGACCCTGAGAGAGCATTGCCGTGTGCAAGTTTCTCTCCCACCAACCTCCTCTCCGTCTCTACAAGTAGCACATCCTTGTGAAATTACAAACGCGATACTTGCACCAGTACAAGTAGGCTACTCTATCAACAACCTCGCCTATGCATTCCGATACACAGCTCCATCACCGCCACCATCACCACCTTCGGAGTTGGGGCTCCGGGAGAAGACTTTTCAGACCATTGTTCTTGACAGTAGCCGCCATTTCCACACTTGCCGGAGCCGTGTCTGTGTTTGTCTGTCGGACTTGTGGTGTTAGGGATCTGCTTGTGGTCTGAAAAAGAGTTTGATTCACATGGCAACAGGCCAGTTTGTTGTGCCAACCTACTGTACAAGTCGAACTCTAACGCTGCTGGACGAAATATTTTGAACTTGACTTGTATATTTTTTAAAAAAAAAAATTTGAGCTGGGCTATATAAAAAAGGCTAAAATGGGAGTTAACGAGTAGAGCAAAGTTTAAGCAGTGCATGAATAAATACATGCCAGAAGACAGAGAAGAGACAGAAACCACAGCAGATATACCGCGTTGCACGTTGCCAGACACGTCAAGGGCCATGAAGAAATCGAGAAACGGATGCTTGCGGTGCAAACAGCTTAAGCGCAAGTGCGACGAGGAAAAACCCGCGTGTGAACGGTGTGTCAAGGCGGGAGCCGCGTGCGAGTACAAAAAAGTGCTAACCTGGGGCAATGGAGTGGCGTCCAGGGGAATCCACAAGGGCGCCACCTTCATCAGCGATGTGGGATCCCGAGCCCACGTGGAGGCGGCGGTGCGAAACTTCAGAGTCGACATTGAATCATCTCCGTCTTCCATGAGCACCCCAAGCTCGGATGGAGGAGCAGGATCCGGAACCTGTATGGCGCACGGAGGCCTGGAGCTTCTGCCCGTCTCGTCCATCCCCGGATTTGCTGACCAAATCAGCTCCATACTCACCCACATGGAACAACCTACACACATGCCTGTGATAAACCCAGTGAATGAACAGGGAGGAAGGATACAATCGCTGTCCGCAGACGCATACCCACCGGGCTTTCTACTGGACCTGGAAGATTCGCTGCCCAAAGAAGACTACATTTTGCTGCGCAAGTTCTTCTACGAGGACCATTGGCGCTTGGTGGCCCACAACCGCAACGACGGACCGCTGAAACGATACATTGTGCCTTTGGTGAGCAAAAGTCCTGCCTTGGCCGAGGTGATTATTGTGTTTGAGGCGCTGTGTACCGGCCAGAGCTACGAGGCGTCTCTGCGACGTTTTGGAGGAGCTATTGAGCTGTTTTTGAAAGAGTTGAGCCCGGAAAAGCCTCCTGAGACGGCGTTTGCAGTGGGAGTGTTCATTTGTTTATTCTCCCTGTCGGTCGGATATAAATGGACTTCGCATATTCAACTTTTGTACTCTCTGGTTGAAGCTAAGCCTGCCACCATCTTCTCAGGAGACTTTCATTCAGACATTATCGCCAATCTGGGAGTTTTCGACCTCGACAACTTCATTGCAGGCCGAACCTCGCCCAGACTCAACATCTGGCTCAAGTATTGCATGGGCAGAAGTGGATTTGACCCCATTACTGGTTTGCCTTACTCCATGATTGATATGATTGCAAAAGCATCGGATGGGCAGAACATTATGCATGAGCTGCTGACCTTCCGACGTCCGCTGCAGGAGGTGCGACCGGAACCATTGCCGACATCGACCCCTGGACCTGCTCATATTGTGTCTCTTGTACAGATGCCCTTTTGTGAGGCGTCCATGCATGTGTGGGAGGCCTATCGACACGCATTGATGCTCTACGTGTACATGTTCAATGGAGGCCATGTGGATAACTTGGCTGCAACCTGTGAAGACGCATATATGCATTCGGATGCTGTTTTCAACTGTTCGGGCGAACTGCCTTTGTTTCTGTGCATTTGGCCTCTATTCATGGTTGGACTAATGACGGACAGTCTCACCTTGAGACAGCGAATTGCCAGACAGTTTGAGAGACTCATTTCGCCTCTCAACTATCTGCCCATACGTATGGCTCACAAGCTGATGCTGGAGTTCTGGAAGCGAAAGGAGACTCAGCCCAATGTCAGCTACCACGACATTGCTAGAGAGTGGAATATGGAGGTGTGTTTGTTCTAACTGGGAATGTGAGGTTGGTAGATATGGTGCATCCCAGGTGGTATAGACGTGGCTATGTCGGAAGGGCTAGGGGTATTTATTGTTCTGGTGTTCGTCATCAGTGTCTATTAGTATGTAAGTACAAATATACGATATTTATTGAGTTCCAGAGGAGTGAGAATAGCGGGCGAAAGGAGAAGGGGCGGCTGAGCCTTTGGCCAATGGCTTTGTGCTTTGTGTGGTATCCCTTGTGTCGACTTGTAGTAACATCTTCCGCCCATTCTCACGAGAGCAGTTCCTTGTTTACCAGCCACGTGCGGTAGGGCTACTTGTATCTCTTCTGCTCGGATCTTTTGGTTCATGAATGTCACTAACGCAGCTGCCGATTTAACCCGCCTTCAGGGCCTAGACAAAGCGCCAGGAGTGCAGTAGTTCCACTTTTAGTGTGGGGAGGTGGGCAAAGTCAGTGTAGCTGATGTGGTGAGATGTTGACTATCAGTGTAGCAAATCCCGGATCGCGACTTGCACGGAGAAAGTAATGGAACACAGCCCGTCGGCAGGGCGTTTTGTTTCCGAACTGTCGAAACACGAGGACTCCAGAGAAGCCACTGTAGGCTGTGATCTACAGATAGCTGGCACGTATCCAAGCATAATGGAATAACACAAGTGCCGGTAGATAAAGGGGCATGGGCAACGCAGGGAGATGTGGTCAGCAGCACAGAAACATAAGAGGCCGGCTATGGTTCTAAAAGTAGCACTGCTTCCCAATCAAAGGGTATAGATACAACCTCTGCAAGTGCGTGCACAAGTAGGTCACATTTTGCGGTTGTGTTCTCCGCCGTCGTCAGTACAAGTATGAGTACTTTGGCTTATGGTTCTCCATGTTGGCGATATCCGAACGACGGGCCTTTTATCATGGGCTAGATGACATGGCTATGTGCTTGGATGCTGCGTGGTGTTTGAGAAACGGCTCAAGTCGTTGAAAGCACGCTAAACACCCTTGTTCCACGGTGCGATTGAAAATGACAGCTGCTGCTCAGAGTTCCATTCAAGGATATGCCAAGCACGAAAGCGGCTCATGTTGCGTGAAACCTGTGAAGCTGTGAGTGGGGAGCTATTGGGCATGTTCCTGTCACTGCCATTTAGACCCACCTTTACAAGTATAGCTCCTCGGAGACATTACAAACCATGTGGTAAGACAGTGAGGCTACGAGTGGGCTAGAAAGATATCCGTCTCAACTAAATGCTGCCTTAGTTCGCTGCTTGCTCCAGTGTTGGGCCGATCTGGAACTAGAATGTGCGTGATACGAGCGCATCGGCGGTAGCTGTGGGTTTGGAACGGCTATTGTGCTTAGTCAAAGTTGGCACCGTAGGGTATGTAGTTACATAGAAAGGTCCGAGTGACTACTAATCAGATATGTACATACATGATCCCGTGTCTGGGCTGGTCCTTACTACTCTTATCACGATGATCTGTATCTCAGGTGACCAAGTCTTGGGGATGAGCAAGACCACTGCCAGCTTGGGTCGTCCTCCCTGGGGAACAGTAAAGATGTATCTATATAGTAACACTTGTCCACGTCAGTCGTAAGTTCCAAAGTCATCAGGCAGGACTTTGGCCCACATTTATCCGGACATGATGGACTCTTCATTGTATTCGTCCTGAGGAATGCGTTAAGATTGTCGTCTCGGTCGTATTTGGCAATGTCCAGGTCTCAGTATTAGACGCCGTTCATACTGTAGTGCTCTTGACCTTGTCTCTCCAGAAGATGGCAATGTGCCCCGACTTGGTCAGAGCGCTCTCAAATGGTTCCAAGAGTTGAGGAGGATAGACTGTCGGCGATATTGATGGTGATTTTGAAGTCTTTTACTTGTGCCGTCCTCTGACGTTTCGTTCTTTCTCGGACTTGCACAGTGTTACTGATGCACTAGTGTAGTTCTTCCGGACACCTGGGACAGAGAGTCAGGATAGAAGGAGCTCATCACCTTCTAACGAAGTCATCTCTCTTCAATGACGGCTCGTCTAGGTGCCGTACACTTCACCCAACAGTAACCTCGTCAGCAAGTTACCGAGGCATCTCAACAAAGACTTCTTGCACCCACTTGGAACGACACTCCCAAGTTGCTGCTCCGACATTGCGGTGACGTTCACAATTGCGGCGGTCAAGATGAGCTGTATATACACGAATTAATCGCCACCCAATTGGACTGTCGCTGTTCATCGAAGCCACGCCTTGAATGGTCGTACTCCTGGTCACAATCCCTCGATAACTCCCCAGATCTGATGGATTTGTTGACCACCTTTCAAGAAACATATTCGAACATGAACGGCAACCAAACGGATATTGTAGAGACTCAGTTGCCAATGACATCTACCAGAACCCTCCCTAAAAGAATCTCACTGTCGAGGTGAGCATACACTTAGGTGTTCCCATATTTCCGGCTACAGCATCAGTTGATGATCTCTACAGCCCTCCCCATTGCACCAAATAATTTAACCACGAGCATCGTCTAATACTCATACGTCTACATAGATGACCATTTGGTTCATACTCAAGCATGTCATCTGCTTCTCGGAACTCACTGTTACCGGTATCCTGCATCTCCTTCTCTAACAAGCTCTACTCCAACATGAGAAAAATCTCACCTTCTACAAGTAACTTGGCATGTACCGACAACCAATCCCATCCACCAACGCTACATCTACATCCATGTCATATCATGTATTTTTTCTCACCTATTCAGCCTGGGGTTTGCCTTCTTCCCTCATCGTGTTGTGTGTGTGTGTGCGTGTGTGTGTGTTGTGTGCTCAGTTTAGGTCCATTATGCAAGCGCGATCTCCAGTCGACCTTTATGCGTCACTCTTTTTTTCCTGCTCGGAGTTCGACTCATCCTCCTTCTCCTTCTTGGGGGTTACCAGCATTTTGTACTCCTTCTTTGTCACAAACGAGTTTTTGAGCGCGTCGTTGTCCACAAACCAGCTGACCTTGCCAGCGCATGCCTCGTTAACCAATGAACTAGGCAGACCCTTCTCCGGCCGCTCGAAAATCGTCTTGATGATGGGCGCCTTGGTGGCTCCCTCCACCACAAAGGTGACTCGGTGTGCGTGTCGGATTACGGGCAGAGTCAGCGTGATTCGTCGGGGCGGGGGCTTGGGAGCATCTTCGATGGGCGCAACCCAAGCAAGAGACTCTCGCAGAAGAGGATGGCTGGGGAACAGCGAGCAGATGTGGCCATCCGGAGCACATCCGAGCAGCAGCAGGTCGAACATGGGCAGCTTGACGGAGTCCTTGGCTGCAAAGCCCTTGATGAGCACCTTTTCGTAGGCGTCGGCGGCCTCCTGGGCGTCGTCCAGCAACGACTCATCGACGTGGAACACCCGTGGTTTCGGCGTGCCCTCAGGAATCTTGTCGTAGATCTCGCGCTTGAAGAGTCCGTAATTGGACTGCTCATCGTCAAAGGGCACCAGGCGCTCGTCGGCAAAATAAATATCCCACTGATCCCATCGCACATCGTCACGTGCCAGCAGCCCCTCGTTGAGCACGTGGATCAGCGAGCCGCCGGAAATGCCGATTCGGAACCGACGTGGAGGAGGCGAGGTGGGCGTCTGTGTTCCGCTGTTGGCCCCAGAGCCTGCCCCGGCATTGGCGGGACGCTTGTTATCTACCGCCCGTTTGGCATCCAGCACATTGTTCTGCTGCGCCACCACATGATCGGCCAGCGCCTCAGCCACCCGGTGGCTCTCGGGCCATGCGTACACTGCAGGCACCTGTGTAGTCATCTTTGTGTCTTGTTGAGTCGTGTCTTGACAAGAGGTGTGGTGAGGGTGTGAGAGTGTGTGTGTGAGTGTGTTTAGTGAGTGGTGATGTTTGTCTATCTTTGTGGTGCAGATAAGAAGTTTATTTTCAGCTTGACTAAGATGGTAACAATACTGTATTAAGAGATGTTGTTAAAAATTGTATTGCTGTGGAGACGGTGCGTCAATATGGGGCTTGCCACAGTGTCTTTGTGTCAGTGTGTTTGTGTCGCCTATCCTCCACTATAAATACCCCCCTCGTTCCTCCCCCCCCGCCACGTCTCCTTGACTCTTGTTGCACCGACTTCCGCTACTTGTTGCTCTGTGGGGCTTTGTGGGGCACTATGTCTCCATATGTATGCGGTTACAGTTTGGGAGATTACCCGTAAAAGACAATATCATGTGACCGCATGCCAGCGGGCTGGTTGGGTTGTCACACGGACAGATACTTGTGCAAACCCTACACATATGCAGATTGCAGCTTGCTTGGTGGAGTCTGGGTATTTCGCGTCTCGGCCTCTTGTGGCCAATCAAAAAAAAATAACCCACCTCAAGCGAAAACGAACCGGTCAAAGATCTTTTAAGCTCCGGTCAGTTCCGTATTTTACAAGCACGCAGACATGCATGCAAAAAGCATTTTTTTTCGCTCGTGTGGTGTCCTCTATTCGGTAGGGTAACCAGCGATGTCCACAAGCAAGCGAAGGGGAGGGTTTCCACATGTAACGACATGTATGAGACTGGACAGAAAGTATTTGCATTTCCTCATAAATTCTCCGTGCATTATCCAGCAGTTGCCATGGAAACTAAACAGGCAACTTCCTGATAGGGTTGGGGTCGCTAGGTTAGGGTTGGCTTAATGAATGGTGGCGTCTAGTTAATCTCAGAGGTAATTGATCGGTATGGGATTTGTTGGAATTAGGAAATTTGAGTATTCAGAATTTGTGAGAAATTCAACAAAAAAAAAAAAGAAGAAAAAAGAAACAAGCAGAAAAAAAAATTAAGAAGAAAAAAATAGAACGGTATATAATGATTATTATGTTCAAAAAAGATCTTGATGACTAATGGCAACGGAATATGAAGTATTTCGCGTGGCACCCGTGTGATCCTGCGGCTGTGATCTGAGCATATATGGAATGTTAGACAATGGGTAGAAGGGTAGTAGGTAATATATAAGATGATTCTGGTGAGATGACAGTTGACCCTTCTAATAAGAGTGGTCGATATTATCGATTTTGATCATGAGAGCGGTTGAGTTGTAATTTTTCGGTGGAAAATGATCCGCTATCTGGACTCGTTTTGTGGTGTGCAACAGGACATGATTGTGTGCTTTCTACTGACGCTTCTGATTCGGTTCAAATTTGTAGAGCTTCATGGCAGTTCTATTACATACAAACAGTAACATTGACAAGTGTATTGTATTGTACGAGTCCTGTAAGTGCACTAATACCGGTATGAGCTCGAGATGTGCAGTGACTACAAGAGAACAGACTCAATAGACAGAGACACACGGCTTTACCGTTGTTTTCTCGGTCATCGGAGTGATACCGAGTGGTCTGGTTATTGCATGTTCATGTTGGAGTTCGCTCTGGTACAAGTTGAGTATCGTACCATAGACAATGGCATCCACTTGCAGACTTCACCACACAGGATCGATATAGATAATTGTCTATTTTCCAGATATGAAACATCCTTGTTAAGTAATGTATATACCACACTGTTCGAAGTGATTCCGGGGGCGGTTGGTGCCTTCAGTGAAAAGGTAGAGCTCATCTCGTACGCCAAAGGGATGTCCCGATAAGGCATTTCTAATAGGCAGTACTCTGAGATAAATTCTGTAAAAACTGGGGTCGAAAGCAATAGTATCCAGCCCAAAATTATACACCAAGTTTTGCTCTCTTAAATTCTCGTAACACAAACACTTACATCTGAATATAGACGTTGTTGGGCACCATTTTCATCCCCATTGAGTGACAATGAGATAAATTTATAAAACTAACACCTTTTGGTATTGCAATGTGGATACGGTGAACCAATGGTTTTCTTTTATAGGCTCTATGGTCTCTATTGTCGTTATCACCACAAGTATGGGAGAATCATGGCCTCCAGGAAGCTCCCTCGCCAACTCACCTCCTTGGAAAGGTGATAATCTTCTTGGGGGGCTACTGTACTTGTAGAGTTGTATGTCGGATCAAATGTATTCAGATTTAGTCGCTTGGCTACTCTTCCTTTTCAAATTTACACTGCGTATTTTACGGTAATTAAATGTGTTATTTGTGAATTAATTAGAGGTATTATTGGGATACAGTGACGGTAGATTAGGATGAAGTATGAGCTGTACAGTGGGTGCATTGTTGATCAGACATGAGACTTACGGCTGCTCTCAGTCAGAGCAGTATCTGCGCTAGTCTTTGGATCGGCAATTCGAGGAGCGCTCAATCGCGGCCAAAACTTTTCGGCTTGGGGATCATAGAGTAGACCTCCTATTCGGCATCTTGAAGCAGCGAGACGATTGTTTTTTATTAAAGGCCATGCAGAAACAAATAAGAGACTGGTTGTGACCATAAACAAAACTGAAGAACCAATTGCAAGTCCCAGATTTGTCCAGTAGAGGAATAGTCTGGTTGAGAGGCATTGTGGGACACTGAAGTACGATAGACACCGTCTAAAATTGTTGGTTTGGCGTGAGAAAGCTCACTCTGTTTTGAGCAGTAGACTAGGCCCTCAGCAAGCACCCAGGCCAGCATTCCAAGCCAGATAATGGTCATGATGACCTCACAAACCAGAGTTACATCTCCCCTGGTCTTTCTCGGGCCCGGTGGGGTTCGATCATGATATAGCTGAGCCACATGCAAGTGCTGACAAACATGAATGTCACCAGTCCCCAAGAATAGCTAAGAATGTCAGTGCGTGATTCAATGATGATGTCGAGGACCCTTACTAGATAAAATCCCCATGACACTCCACAGAGTGGAATTTGAAAGCTTCTGATATTGACCATGAGTGTTTGTAAAGTCATGTTGAGTGTTGATAACACCTTGCACCTTGGCGACGCAATATATCACGAATGAGAAGAGGCTCATTATACCCCCTCTCTCAAAAATAGAATCAAATGATATATATGTATATATATATATATAGATATATATAGATCATTATGTAAAACTCAAAAAACAAGTTGCCAGACAGCAGTTGGTGAGATTTGGATGCGGCTAACGAGTCTCACTTCACAAAGAACGGGCTGTGTTTTGATGCAACGAAGGACACTGTTGATGTAGAGCGAGTAGTTGACGAATGCTGCAGATCCTACACTGTCCAAAGGCTTGATTGATCAGTACCTTTGCCGCTACAGATTTCCCATCCGCCCCGGCATCGCTATCATAAATTCTATTAACTATCTCCACTTGCAAAATTAGAGTCTGTAAGCGAATGCATAAAGGTGCGGATACGATTATATAAATAAGTCTTAAAACCTTGGCAGAAACTCCCAGGCATTTCAAAGGGAAGACTCCAGAGACATTTCGAAAAGACGTGATACCAATATACACGTCATATTAAGGCGCTGTCAAAAAAATCAGTTGATTGAGGTCATTATTGGATGATTTATAATGGTCTCGACACCTTCAGTAATGTCAAGTAAATTTATAACTAACTCAGAAAGAGTCGGATAAATAGACCCAAGTATTGGGTCAGATTGCTCCGTAACGGCATGACCAGGTCCAAGGAACAAGTCACTAGATGAATTGACTGTAATTTTTCTCAAAATACACTGTTGTGGAAAGTGTCCTGTCAGTCATGCAACTTGCAGCTTCTGTGGGTGGTGGATCAGTGCCGTCCTGTCCTGGTGGGAAGCACTGATTCACATGACTTTAAGACGATCAACGAAAACATTTGCTTGGAGTTAAAGGTACACTAATGTACTGTATATAAAGGTTGTAGCGTATGTGACATATTCTTCATGTCTATAGACATACTCATACTCTTCAAGTCCAGGGCAGGGTCTGCAATCCTAGCCAGTATGCCAGAAATCAGGTCGTATTGAGGCTGTTGTAAAGTGGGTTAAATTTTCAGAAATCTGCTTACTTACTGATGATTCTACTGAAAACATGTCTTCTCTAGCTTGGAAATTGATTATTCAAAGTACAGTATCAAATTATGACTAGCTGCAGCACCAAGGACCAAAATGAATCAGTCTACTGAAGTTCCTGAAGTTCCAGGGACTCGGAGTTGTCCAATGCCATTAAATCAACATCAACAAGTTCTCAAGAACGGGTATTGCTTCGGCAATCGCTCTTCTCTAGTGTCCCTAAACATGGTACACACGACGACTGCGCATTATTCTACCGATCAGAGTCGAAACTTGCCCTAGAGCTCAATAAGTGTCCGTTTATTAATATTTCAGAAGGTATTGAGCCCAGTTCGAAAGAAAAAAAGGTCACGAGAGTGAGAGAGAGGTGCATAGGCCCTTAGAACCAACTGCTGCTGCTCTTCATGTAATTTCAACGATGCTGACAATAAGACCGCCACAGTATATATCCACCGTAAATATCCATTTTAATCACGTCACAGTCCATTTTTCACATGACCATCGACTTTATTCACGTGACCATTGACTTTTCCACCTGCTTCCTAATCGAGCAAACTTTTTGTCCGCATCTGTCAGCTTGTTTACAGTTCGCTATCTGAGGGCGGATGTTGCGATAAGCCATATTGGGAAGGGGGTTGGTGATGGGTGAAATTTTGACATGATCAGGATTAAAACTGAACCAGTGGACTTTTCTCAGTCTGTCAATTACCCTGATATGTTCAAGATCCAAATTGGGATCTTTTTGCTTACTAAAACAATCAAAATATCACCACAGTGAGTGGACGATCCACAGCAACATTTAGAGGTGGCTACCACTGCTGTTGTAGCAACTAAAAAGAAGCCATATAAGCAACAGGAGCACTCCGTATCGCCAGCGTGCGCGCTCGAATCGAATACACAACCATCCCATTCATAACACAGTTGTATTACTAACCAGGCACTAAAAGTACATACTGTACCGCTGCTACTCGTACAGCTACACTCAGAGTGATTCCACAGTTCAAAATGACACAGATGCAACTACTAGGGCACAGTACGAAATGGACGGTTCGTCATTGCCCACCGTCCGGCACCTCACCCGTCCTGCGTCTAGTCTAATAAATTAATGTACATATGCTCCAAGTTAACCCTTGAACTTCTTCTGAACAGTCTTTTTAGTAGACTCCTTCTTGATGATTTCAGCCTCGGCAGCCTCCTGGGCCTCTCGCTCGGCTCGCTTTCGCGCCTGCTCGGCCTTCTTGGCCTCTGCCTGGGCCTTTTTGGAGTTGTCTGCGGCTCCCTCTGCCCAAAGAGCGTCTTCAGCTCGGGCGGCGGCGTCTCGCTCCTTCTGAATCTCCTTGAACTCCTTGGCTCGTTTTCGTGCCTGGCCGGCCTCCTTTTTGGCCAGCGATTTGTCGGTAAATGTTTTTCCCATGCTTAGTGGTGGATATGTAGCAATGCGGTGGTGGGTGGTGGAAAGATAAAAGATGGATGTCTGTGTGGATTAGGGTTGGTCACGGTATCACTGGATTAAGTGGTTCTCAACTATAAGGGCCAAGGTTCAATTGTTTCACTGTGATTGAACGAGTGTGTTTTGTCGTGTGTAAGAAGACAAGAGGTAAAGACGGAAGTCGCGCTCTTATATACTCAACGCAGATACAGTTATGACGGCAAATTTCTTCTCGTATCCTCCATCACCCTCACAGCATATATCATACTCACATGTCAGACGCGAACATTGACTTCCCACCAAAACGAGTTGGGAATAAAATGAGTCTGGAACCTTCTCGTATGTTATGGCGAGTAGCAGAGATAAGACTGATTATTAATATACTTTGCGAGTACGAGTATTTACCCGATGGTGACATAAGCGGGACGGGTTTAGATCGATCTTGATTCAGTTCTTCCGCCGCATTCTATACACTTCCGAATTACCCTCCCCAATCTTGAAACTGAACCTTCTAAAAGTGGCGATAAGTAGATGGGATGCACATGAGATGACATGACATGAGCAGTCGAGTTCAAAACGACTACGCAGATGCAAGGGTCAGGAACTGGATAATATTGTTGCATAGATTTGACGAATACGGAGCATCTTGTCCATAAAAGAAGAAGGCATAGAGTGTGGATGTTATGTTATGGTATGTGTGGAGCTGAGGGGGGGTGAAGGGAGGTCGCATTATGAGGGCGTAAAGAAGCTAATTACGTTCAATATTTCCTGAAGAGAGTCTGATGGACCATATTCAAGGGGGATTAGGGGTTCTATCAACCCCTGTAGCTCTAAAATCTACCTTGGTCGTTCTTCCACACCTGACGGTTCTATTTTTCGGAGTTTTTATATATAACATTACTAAGGATATCCGTAGGATCATTTTGATACCATTAGTGTACAAAATCAGACTGGTAGTTGATGTTTTGATCCAATAACACTACAATGTCGAATGTAGGATATATAGTAAGTTCATTGCATAGGTGCGACCGCCATGGTATTTGCGAAAGTGGCCTACAGAGACAAAGTCTGGCATACATCCGTCCTAGAAATTTGACGTCAAGGAGAGATCCAGGACCCCTGGAGATTACGAGTAGTTACAACAAGTAGACAGGATTGCTACATAGCTCAGCTTTTGCGTTGATAATTGATGGTCAGTAGCAGACTTTCCGACATCGCTGTGTCTGGTCATGAGCGAGCGTTCGCTGGAAGAGAGCCGTTGTCCCGATAATACCCATAGATAGAATTAATAATGATTTACAGAACACTGAAATTTTACGCTGATTAACGTGAGTTTGACTTTTATCAGAGACAGCGAAGGGCAATACTACTCCTAGCAAACAATAATGAGTCCGCAATATCCTCTACCGTGTCTTTAAAACATACCGTTCATCCTATGACTGTACTCATAACTCGTCATCATCTGAACCCTGAGCGCCGTAAATTGTCGCATTCTCACGTGAATTAACGGATAACCAGTGAACTCGCCAGATTCCAGATAAAGAGGAAAGAGCCGTTTGATGATATTACGAGTGAAGGAGGAACGCATGGACAAAACGTCAGCCACCAGTACATGCCATCTCCCTCATACTTACTTTGGATTCTCCAACCTGTCTCCACTCTGCTAATGGCACCAATCACTTCACCTATGGTATTATTGGCATTGTCATCAGTGACCCATCATAATGGTTAACTACAAGTAGCTTTGTGCCACTACGGACCTCTTCTACCCTACCTCTATCAAATACCTCAGATCAGTTATAGAGCCTCATGCCGGAACGATCCTTCAGAACCCTCTCTGCCTCTGTCTCTTCGCGTCACGACTCTGACACTAATTAAGACACACTTTGACTGAGACCGGCGGTCAAATCATGGGCCTTTGGCTCCAACAAACTGTGTGACTTCATCCGTAATCTTGTACAAGCCACCAACTAATTATGAGACATATTTTCTATCCTAGTACGATAGCCGCAGACAGACTACTGTAGCGAATGGCGATTGACGAACTGCTATTATGCCTCCATGATTGTTGGTCCACCAATTGACTCTCTTGGTTCGTCGGAATTATGCACCCGGAACATTCAATCCGTCGAGCATGCTATACCTCACTTGGTGGCTCGGTTTCTGCAGGACTTGTAACTCCGGCAACTAATTGAAGACCACCATCCTTTTTCTCTCCCCTAAACCACAAGAGCCGACCCCTGAAGCCCCTTGGGCCCGCTAAGACCCCTTCCAAAACGCTATCTCTCTGGCTTCCATTGGCCAACCTTGGACTGAGTCTTTCCAGACGTGAAACTCGGATCAAAGACTACACAAGGAAGGCTATCACCGGTTAAATCGATAATACGAAAAGCCGAGCTTAGTTTATTTCCAACGTCGTTCCTGCAGCCGCCTGGACTACGGTGCAAGAGTTGGTGCGTTCTGAGGAAGAAGTGGAGACGTCTAGACCTCGTGGATCGACTGTACATTCACTGGTAGAGTCAATTGCGAGTCTTTCCAGACCACTCCACCCCCCTACATTTACCCAACATTCATCTCCGCCCTCTTTTAACCGCTCTTCCTCTCGGAAAGCTGCTCCCTCTTTAGGAGATACGCGCAGTTTCCGATTTGGACTGGAAACTCTGGTGTGAGCCATATGTAACTAAATGGAAGTCGGAAATAGAATACTGTAGACAACGAGTAGGACTGTACAGTACGAGTATAGAGCAGTGTTCTCCAAAGTGACTCGCTACTAGAACCGTCTCCACGTGACCCCCTCATTCCACCTATATATAAAGATTTACCCTACCTACAAGTAGCACTCGTGCCTACCATCATATCTTACAGCCAGGTATACGGCTCCCATGGTTCCGAGCAAGTTGAGTGTATTTAATACACAACAAACAGGACCGTGTACGGCGTAAAGATATATTCTAAGCGATTTCTATTGCGATTGGCGAGAAAATGCCACCAGATGATTTCCCAGAGAATACTGGATTTTATGGTGTATTTCTCCGTTTTTTCCTCATTTTACCCGAATTTCTACCCTATTCTCCCCGCCGCCACAAGACTGTATACACGCTCCATCCACCAACCAAAACCCCCCAATATCTGCATCTGGTCGCCCGACCCAAAAGAGGGCTGTTGACAAACGTTCCATTTCGGGATGTTGTACATTGCCCGATCAAGAGCACATAAATCTTATCTCAGTGTTTATGCGTTTATGAGACACTCTATCCAAGGGATAACTAGCATGGACCGTAGGCTTACAGCTCTCTGTAGACTTGCGGTGCAAATTGCTGTACAATTGTGGCTCTCTATACAAGATTAATTACTCCAATATTGAACCGCCGCCCGTATCCTGCACACGTACATGGACACCCTACATACAAGCGGGTTTGGCACAGATGGCGGTCCTTGTGAACATGTACGTCACCAGAATGTGTTTGTTTGTCTGCCTTGGCCCTCACTTGTCTGTAAGCGAACGAGACCCGCCAAGCATGTGTCCTAGATGAGCTACAGAACAAGGCGGATGGTGAGGGATATTATGTCAATTCACGTTGTGCCATTGTCTGATAGCAGGGGACTTGGAGAATCATTTCGCATCCCCTTCAATCATCTCCTCCACATCTGTAACCATTGGCTTCATTTGCATATTACCGTTTTGGTTGAGTGTGAGGTGATTAAAATTTTTCCCCTACACATATCCGACAGGTGCATGATGTCACTTTTTTGCGGGAAAAGGGGTTGTGTGGGACGTAGGAGAGCTCTGGAGAAGCGGGGAGTTGGAAAGTGGCTGTTTTAGAGGCTGTACAATTCGCTCCAGTTGCAATTTCCCCTCAATCTCTTCTCGTTCGCGTCTTGTTGCACGCGCTCTTCTTTATCCACCACCATATGTGTGTTTTTTTTTTTCCGCGTGCACGCACTCCGTTATCTTGTCCCAAGCTGCTAAAGTGCGGGAAATGGATCCGGCGGAAATAAGCCAAGACTGAAAGCTGTCAGAAGCGATGAGATGGACCTAACAATGACGTATAACGGCTGTCTGGGCCGCACCAAGACGGCGACAGGGCCATACACCCGGGTATGTTGGACCACCACCCTACAGCTCGTACACAAACATCTTTTCCGACTGTAAACACACTATGTTACAGTTTGGGGTGATAGCTAAGTCCGTGTGCTTTTACAAACAAGGACTGGGACGAGGCTACGGTGTAAAAGGCAAAAGGGAGAGCCTAAAATAATTCCGGGAATATATATCGGCGCCAACATGAGAGGTATGGGGGGTGTGTAAGGCAAAAGAGTGGGTAAATCGACTCTTGAGACGCTGGAGATTCTTTTGATCAACTCCCGGTATTCATTGGGATCTCCACAACGTCTACAGTGGGCCCCCATTATACAGCACCAATTGGAGCCAAACCTAGAGGTCTGCACGTTGAACAACCTTGTTGTTGGCCTGCACTCAAAGCGTGATTAAACCGGAAGTGTATATATACTGTGTTGGTCCCTCTGGTCGGTCCTCACTCTGTGAACACCCCCTCCGTCGCCATGAAGTTCAGCATCATTGTCATCCTCGCTTGCATCTACCTCGTCCAGGCTGCCTCCCTCTTTGAGCGATACGTTGGCAACAAGGTCAACTACAAGTACTCCGCCAAGGTGGACCTGTTTGACATGTCCAAGGAGTGCAACGGTGCCCGAATCAAGTCCATCAACGTCAAGCCCAACAAGTACACCCAGTGCCACCACCTGACCCGAATCAACTCCGCCTTCATTGCTCCCTCTTACGACTGCACCGTCACCGTGTGGAAGGACCGAAAGTGCCGAGGCACCCCCGACTACAACGCCACCGTGAACCACGACGATAAGGTCTGTGCTGCTCACATCCCCGAGGGTAACTCCATGGTTATCTCTTGTGACGACAACTCCAACCCCGCTGTTGCCCAGTACCGAGCTGAGCACGGCAAGAAGAAGAAGGGCAAGAAGGAGAAGAAGAACTAGATTCGCCGCACTTAATACTCTTCTTTTTTTCTCTTCATCTCTCACTGAAAATACAAGATATTTAATAGACCTAATTAATACCCAGTCTAACGAGACATGTATTTTCCACTGGTCATTCAGTAATTCATTCTTATTATTACAAGTACTTGCGTCTGTAGCATTTCATTCTCTTGGTATTCATTTCGCTACGGTACTCGGCCACTTTGCCTTTGCTTTTTTTCGCCCTTTGTATAAAACGCGATCATTTTCACTTAAGCCTTTGTTCTCCAGCCAATCAGAGGCTCGCTTTCACGATTTGAGCGATTTACCAGAATACAATCTTCCGTTTTGGGACGGCTTATGCCCCATTTGGTTTGTTTACATCGAAATAAGCTCATCCTCGGGCATATAAACTTCCGATCCTTCCGCCACTGCGTAGATGCGTCTGCCTGCAGTTCTGCACCACATTGTATATACCGGCTTTGTGGGTCGGTCCAGACGTCGAAATATCCGGTTGCTGGCCCAACTGCTCAATTGAGGTATTTCCGCCCCGCGCACCGGCCGCTGTTCTTGCTATACACGAAATAAACCCGTTTCAGTGTGAACTTTAAGTCCGGAAGGTAAAATATTGACGTCAATCCTCAGTGAAAGGGAGCTGAAAGGGAGTACTGAGACACCAAGACGTATCAGGACACACTCAGCCAATGGTTCTTCAGCTTGGAGTGCTGAGACCAGTACTTGCACGACTTGCCTTAGAACTGCTTGTTGCAACATGGTACTTGTACTTGTACACGTAGTCGAGCTTGTAGCGTACAGTACTCGTACACGTAGTCGAGCTTGTAGCGTACAGTACTCGTACACGTAGTCGAGCTCGTACCGTACTCATACCCTGCCTCTGCTCCACTCGCACCGCCAACTGCTCCATCACTCATACCTACATAGCTACCCCGAACCGTTACCATGGAGACTGGCGATCCCAATATACCCTGACGGTCCACATTCCACGCTAAACCAAACTGGATTCCTATTATTCTCACTGTACAAAGTCACATGACGGTGGATGGATGACAAGGACGTCGGATGTACGTGCTGTAGAGATAACAGCCTGGATTCATCTCGGGTGCAGAATTGCTGTGCCAAGCGGTCTGCCAGGTGGGTTCTTTGCGTGGTATTATTTCCTTGTCCAAGAGTTGTTATTGTTGTGCTTGCTAGATGTATGGTGCATATCAAGTGCTGAGAGTGTATCGGAGAGTCGAATTCAGGAGACCGAGTACAGTACAAGTACAAGTACAGGTACGAGCACAACAACATGCCAATGGTTAACGGCTGCGTTCCGGACTCACTTTTCTTTTCCAACGACCTCAGCCGTTCACGCTAATCCCACGCTTAACGCTGAGTTTGGAGCATCGTGGGCGTGCCAGTGGCTTAATAAGCAGATAAACGAGGGGATGTAACGGTAGAAGGCTCAATGCGGCGGCTCCGACTGTTTTTATGACTCGGTGTTTTGTGGATTTCGTCATCTTAGCAAAGATCCCTAGTACGATTACATAATCAACAGGAGCACACTACTTAATGATGGTACTGTAGACAGTGGACGCGATTCATCTGAATATAACCGGAGCTGGTTTGACAACGATCCATATCAACGACCCATATCGATGGATGCGCACGCACAAACAGAACATCCATACATCTCGCGACAAGAGCACCAGAACACCTCAGTTTGCCAATCCCGCAGCGTACGCTACAACTTCTCGTGCATTAGCGAGCTTCCGAGCAGATGTAAGAGTAATACTCGAGATAATATGTCAGTTACAATTGTACTAACCAACACATCCACTTTTACTGTGAATGTTCGACAAGCCAACTCTCATCTTGTGCTTCCTACAGTAATCAACCATACATTTTCAAAGTAGGACTCAATAGACAGTTTCCAGCCACAGGATTTCTTGATGTCAGACTTGCGACCATACCACTATCAAATTCCGATCCAATTCCCATACTCGTACTAATGAACACATCTGGAAACGTTTTCCAAACCCCCCAATCTCCTCCACAGTCGACCCCATAACTGTCACTATCAGATCCAGCCGCACTGCTTGTACATACGGTACCTCGTGAACTGTTTGTACAAGTACAAGCCGCTGAAACACGAAAAAAACCTATAAATACCACCAAAAGCAACTCTTCATCCATTCACCGTTCTTGCTCCATTTTTCCCATACTTGAACTCGTAGTCGTACGTAATCGCACCCATTCCTACTCTCCCACATTTGACACACTGTGAAGACCCCACTCTTCCAGTCGAAAAAAATATACAGCAAAAAAAGTACAGTATTGACCCTTGTGGGACGACCCTGAAACTGTAGTAAACCAGAGGTATATCACACTTGTAGTAATACTTGTAGTAATACTTCTGCAAACCACGTGACCAAAACATTCACTTCGTACACCCATCCACCGACACCAAGCATGCTTCCCCCTCCACCAGCTCGTGTTGCCAGGACAACCAGGGTTAGGGTTTCACTTCCTGTCTCGGACGCGTATTGTATATTGGGTAAACAGAGGTTGACGCGTCTGTCAGAAAAGTACATCTACAATCTTTCCACCACATCGACACACATTTCCACATTCAAATGGCCCGACTCAGCAGTGCGCCTTCCAAGCGGTACTCGGCCTCGCACCGCAGCTCGATCTCGCGCGTGGAGATTGAGCAGCAGTTTTCAGAGGAGGATTCGGATGATTTGGCGGTGGCCACCAAGAAGAACTTGAAACGGTCTTCTCGACCCAGAGCACACAAGGTGGTTGAGAGTGAAGACGAGAGTGAAGGGGAGGAGGAGGAGGGAGAGGAAGAGGAAGGAAGTGATACCGCAAACGCCAACAACACAAACATTACCCATGATTCTGCAGATGTATCTATTGATCATGATGAGGATGAGGATGAGGATGAGGATGAGGATGAGGAGGAAGAGTCAGAAGACGAATTGGTGGCTTCCAAAACCGCCAAGCGAGTTATTGAAGACGAGGAGGAAGAGCAGGAGGACATTGACATGGAGGGCGATATGAGCGTGGATCATGAGGGTGACATTAACATTGCTATGGGTGATGAGAATGTGGGTGGGGGTGATATTGAAGGTGAAGTGGCAGCCATGGAGTCGTCACCCGTGAAGAGAAGCCCTCTTGCAACCCGTACATCCATCTCGGCCAACAATGCCTCTCCTAACACCTCCAACATTGTGTCCAATCCCAGCCCCAGTCAAAAGGAAAACGTCATTGTAAAGAAACGTGACATGACACCTGATATGGACACCAACGCCGCTACAGAAGATGCCACCACGCCAAACACGCCCTCCAGAGCTCCTCCCTCGTCCATGCCTGTTCCTTCCCCCATGCAGGCCAATCTGACTATTGATGATGGAGCCCCCGATGGCCTGCCTCTCCCCAGGGCATCCGAAGAGCCCGACGAGGTCAAACAGGAGGAGCAGCTGAGCCACGGCATCCATGCGCGGTCGCTCATGCAGCAGCGCGCCACGTCCATGCAGCAGCATGTGATCAAGACACCCGACGAGCCCACTCAGCGGCTGACCATTAGCAACTTGGTCCTTACAAACTTCAAATCCTATGCCGGACGACAGGAAGTTGGTCCTTTCCACAGTGTGAGTATAGTGGAGCAAGCTGAGCGATCCGAAGGATTGCCTGGCTTTTTTTGTGGTCACTTGGTTTAAATGACTGGACTCGGGTGCTTATTGGTTTCAAGTGTCTACTTTATTCAATAGCAACTTGCGTTTCATGATTTCAAGTGCTATTTCGATCTCAAAAGCCTTTTATTAACATGGCTTCGCATGCTTGTCCCGAACCGCCATGCTGAACCACAATGTGGTCCGTCCTGAAAGCCATACTAACCCAGTCATTCTCCGCCGTAGTTGGCCCCAACGGTTCCGGCAAGTCCAACGTGATCGACTCGCTTCTCTTCGTGTTCGGTTTCCGAGCTTCCAAAATGCGACAAGGCAAATTGTCCGCTCTCATTCACAACTCTTCCAACCACCCCAATCTCACGTTTTGTTCCGTCGAAGTCCACTTTCAGGACGTGATCGACGAGCTGGACGGTACCACCTCTGTGGTACCAGACTCGACGTTGGTTGTGGCGCGAAAGGCCTACAGCAACAACACGTCTGTGTACACAATCAATGGTCGAACGTCATCCTTCACTGAGGTGACCACACTATTAAAGGGCCGAGGAATCGATCTGGACCACAAACGGTTCCTCATTCTGCAGGGAGAAGTCGAAAGTATTGCCCAGATGAAGGCGAAGGCTGAGGGCGACCACGACGACGGCTTACTGGAGTACCTGGAGGACATTATTGGTACGTCGCAATACAAGACGCCAATCGACGAGGCACAAGTTCAGATCGACTCGCTCAATGAGGTGTGTTTGGAAAAGAAGGGTCGTATGGAAATTGTGGAGAAGGAACTGAACGGTCTGTCATCCGAACGTGACGAGATTGTCGGCTACTTGCGTCTCCAGAACGAGCTGACTCACAAGCAGTCTCTGTACTTCCAGATTCATGCTCAAAAGTGCCAGAAGGTGATCACTATGAGCGAGCAGGTTATGGCTGAGATTGAGACGCAGTTGGCGGCAGAGGAGGAGAGAAATGCCGCTAACAGAGTCGAAATCAAGACTCTAGAGGACGGCGTCAAGTCCGAGGAATCTGTGCTTAAGGGTCTGAAGAAGGCCCAGTCCAAGCTGGCCTCTATTCTGGCCTCTCACGAGAAAGAAAAAGTGCAACTGGAGGAGCGCAAGAAGCACATGGAGGCTAAGGCGAAGAAGTTAGAGAAGACAATTGCTTCAGCTGAGTTGTCGCTATCCTCTTCTGAGTCCTGGATCGAGGAGTACGACAACGAGAACTCCGGCAACATTGAGCAGCTCAAGGTATACGGCGAAGAACTTGCCGAGGCCGAGGCTCTCATGGTTGAGATTCAACGGGATCTGGGAGACAAAACACGCCCTTTCTCCGAGAAGATTGACCTGCTCAAGCAAAAACTCGATCCCTGGAAGCAGAAGATTGTTGCCAAAGAGGGAGAGGTCAAGTCTGCGCTCAACAAGGTCGAGCTCGAGGAGGAGCGACTTTCCCGGGCTGAGAAAGCTGTCAAGGACTCCGAGGCGTCTATTCAGGGCATCAAGCTGGAGGGAAGGAGTCTGGAGAAGAAGGTGGCTCACTCGGAGAAGGAGAAGGAGCACGTTCAGAACCAGATTGAGCTAGGAGAGCAGGAATGCGAGCACGCCAAGGGAAAGCTAGCAGACATGAAGCAGCGCCTGGACGACATGCGTGCTCAGTACAACGACGCCAAGGAGTCGCAATCATCTTTGCAGTCTCGTGGACGGGTTGTAGGTGCTCTGATGAAGCTCAAGGACTCTGGACGACTCCCTGGCATTCATGGCCGGCTTGGAGATCTCGGTACGATTGATGCAGAGTATGATACTGCCGTATCTGTGGCGTGTCCCAAGCTCGACAACATTGTGGTTGACACGATTCAGACAGGTCAAGCCTGCGTGGAGTATCTGCGAAAGAACAATCTAGGTACAGGTGTGTTTCAGCTAATGGACAAAATTGGCAATCGACGTCCCAAGAACTTTAACACTCCAGAAGGTGTTCCTCGGCTAATCGATCTAGTGAAATGCGACCCCCAGTTCATTCCAGTCTTTTATGCAGCCATGGGTGAGACTCTGGTTGCGAAAGATCTGGACCAGGCAAACAGAATTGCCTATTCGGGTGGCCGGTACCGAGTCGTGACTCTGCAGGGCCAGCTTATCGCGCGAAGTGGAACCATGGCTGGCGGAGGACATGTCAAGCGGGTTGGTCTGATGGCAATCACCGGTTCAGAGCGATCTACCGCCAAGGCTCTTTCGGCAGATGAAATGCGAGCTCTGGAGAACGAGATGGAGAACGAGGAGAAGCGGTATGGCGTGGCCAATACCACCTATCACCAGATGGTAGCTTCTTTGCGGGACTTGAAGGAGCGGCTTCCTCAGGTCGAGGTCGAGATTTCCAAGGTGGGTCTTGAGATTGAAGCACTCGCTCAAAACTACAAGTCTTCCGACCGACAACATAAGGAGCTGCTTGTGGAGTTGGAGGGTGTGCAGAAGAGTTCTGTACTTGCAGAGGCACGTGATCATGTTGCCACTCTTGAGGCAGAGGTTGAGGAACTTAAGTCACAGTGTTCTTCAATTGACGAGGAAATTGCATCTCTCGAGGAGAAGATTATGGAGACTGGTGGTCTCAAGCTGCGAATGCAAAAGTCCAAGGTCGACGGACTGGTTCAGAAGATTGAGATTGTGCAGGGCAAGATGAAGACCGGTAACAAGGACCGGTCCAAGGCCCAGCACAATGTTACTAAGCAACAGCGGGTCATTTCCGAGTCGCAGAAGGAGCTGCAGTCATTCCAGGAGGAGTGCGCTCCTTTCCAGTCCAAATTTGATGCTCTGGAGCAAAAGGTGGCTGAGTGTGAGACCGAGTCCGAGGAGGCCACCAAGGCCATGTACGAGCAGGAGGAGCGGGTATCTGCGCTACGAAATGAGCTCCAGGAAAAACAGGCAGAGATTTCGGAGCTGCGAAAGGCAGAAGTCGAGCTAAAAAACTCGCTGCTGCAACACAAGACCAAGGTTGAGGAGGAGGGAGCCAAGAAGGCACAGTGGGTCAAGCGACTGCAAGGCTTGGCTATTCACAACATTGGCGAAATGTGTGGCCAGCCAGATGAGCCAGAAGAGACGTCCACGCCTCTCGTGGAGTACTCTGAGGACGAGCTCCAGGGTTACAGTGTCTCCGAGCTCAAGGAAGAGATTGTCGGTTTGGAAAACTCGGTCGAGGGCATCGACATCGACTTTGCCATTCTTGAGGAATATGCTCGACGGGCACGCGACTACGAGACTCGTCGTTCTGCGCTCAATGAGGCTGTGGAGGAGCGAGAGCAGTCGTCCAAGCGACTGGAGGATCTCAAGTCCAAACGACTGTCTGAGTTCATGTCTGGTTTCAACACCATCTCCATGAAGCTGAAGGAGATGTACCAGATGATCACCATGGGCGGCAATGCCGAGCTGGAGCTTGTGGACTCTCTGGATCCTTTCTCCGAGGGTATTCTCTTCTCGGTCATGCCTCCCAAGAAGTCGTGGCGTAACATCTCTAACCTTTCCGGCGGAGAAAAGACGCTGTCTTCTCTGGCTCTCGTCTTTGCACTCCATCATTACAAGCCTACGCCTCTGTACGTGATGGACGAGATTGATGCTGCTCTGGACTTCCGAAACGTGTCCATCGTGGCCAACTACATCAAGGAGCGTACCAAGAACGCCCAGTTCATTGTCATTTCGCTGCGAAACAACATGTTCGAGCTAGCTCAGCGGTTGGTTGGTATCTTCAAGGTCAACAACATGACCAAGAGTGTCACCATCAAGAACGTGGAGGCCGTGGAGGCTGCTGCCGCAGCGGCAGCAGCAGCGAAGATCCCTCCCATGACACCAGGTCCCGGAGGACGTGGAGTTCCAATGACTCCGGGGCTGCACAGGACGCCAGGAACTCTACACAGAACTCCCGGGCACCTGAGAGCTCCACCCCCGAAGTTTGGAGCTGGAATGGGTGTTTCTTCGACGCCTCGAGTTCCCCAGACTCCCCGAGTGCCTCACAAGGCTACTCAGGCGGGATTCGTTGAGGGATAGTGTATGAATATTTATGATAATTAATGGATGTATATTAGTGAACAGTGGAGAGAACGGTGGGGGAGTTAGTGATGTATATGATGGTGTAGGTCTATATGAAGGCGAATTGCTTGAACAAGTTAGGGTATTAGAACGGTAACACGATGTTACTACGGTACGGTACGATACGATGTGCTCTTACACGACGTCATTAACAACCACTGTTGGTACAACTGGTGATTGTGATATTACAGACTCACAATTCCAAGTACTCACTCTATACCATGTGTCTATAAGTACAGCACATATTCTACTATAGCTACCGAAAAGCATCGTATGTATGTTGATGGTCACAATGTTGAGCCATTCTGTATACCACGGGTTACTATTTGTAGCGTGTATGACACTGGTTGTAAATCACGTATATGACGATCTTGCTCCAAGTGCCAAGTACATACTCGCACGGGAAAGTTCCATATAACCGAGTATGTGAAACAGTCTTGCTGGACCTGTTTCTTTCTTTGTGAGACAGAAGGAGGAAGATCAAGTGAATGACGTAGAACAATGGGGGGAGGGCAGTTGAGTAGAATGTTCAAAAACGGAAGCTGTCCAAATCAGAAGCGTCTGCACTCAATCATGTGGTATTGTTGAGTTCGTTATCGTCCGTTCGTCCAGCACGCAGGGCTCATGTACGGTACAGGGGGCTTTATCATTACATGTGCAGCTATCTCCTGTTATGTTACCGCAATGAGAGTAAGCGGCAGTGTTTTGATGTAAGCGGAGTAAGCGATATTACAGCGAAGTCGCTTGGGCGTTTGGTGCGGCACGGGCCCATTTGGTGTCTAAACGGAGATGTTGACCCTGGCTCTAGTATAAGGGATATTGACATACGACTACCGTATATATCCGAGTCTACAGTGTACTATCACAGCACATGTCGTTCTGAACCTCGAGGAATGTCGCTGGTGGTGACACTCTTCAGAACAGAACACATTGGTGTTCTTTTACTGTGGCAAAAGATCTCCACTTGCACTTTTTCGTTTTTACGGTGTAGAGATCTGCCCTGTGTATATGCATCATGTCTTGCTACCCCACACCATGTCGGACATGAATGGAGATTCAAATGTTGAGTGTGTCATGTGTTTGTGTCTCAATAGCAGCCGTCGTCGGAGGTTGACGATATCCATCTCCACTTATTCCTTTTGCCTAACAAGACAGCTTGACCAACATTACTAAGCTTGTAGCTACACGGCTAACTGGTTGGCGGCGTATCGCATGAGCGCTAGCGCGTCTTACTTGATCACCAGATGCTGGGACATGGTCTCCCATCCACCGCTTATTTAGGGTACGTTCCGTTTACCGTGTCTGAGGAATCCACATTCGAGTTTCTGCCCGCAAACTTTTTCTCATCATCTTTCCGCTTGTTTGTCCTGTCTTGTCAGTCGGACCGAACAACGGAAAACGGACTTAAAGCTGCTCCCCCACGATAAGGCGTGCATGGTGGGGGTGCGTGTACGGAGCGGATGCGAAATGGGTGGCTGAGACGGTGGGTATGAGAAGGAGAAGGGTTTTTGGGGGGTAAATCCGGTGGAAATTAATGACAGAAGAGGCACTTCATCTGTCGACCTACCTAGAGTCATAATATCACTCTATTCGCCTCGCTTACTGAGCCAGTAGTGGTGACTGATGTTAGACAATGGGAGAGTATGAGCTACGGCTCCCCAAGTAAAACATCCACGCTCGCACTACCCATACACTCCAACAGCTGAATTTGGCCAGGCACAAGGAGAAGCACTGAGCCCGCTGTATGTACGCCACTCTTACTATACAATGATGCACACAGTCATCTTTCGGGAACCACGGTGAATGCCGGCATGCCGTTTCAAATGCCGCGAGTGGACCAATACAATAGAATAGTGCGCCCAGCGCCCGCTACAGCAAGTACAATGTTGGTGGTTGTACAGTAGCTTATTCAGCCGTGGATCTCAAGTCCGAAGTAGGAGTATGAGTAGAATACTTTTGTCCATTCGTCAGAGACTCTCCACCACTCTGTATATTATCACGGACATAATTTGTACGGGGTTCGGGCCGGTACAGTACGAGTACAACCCTTATACTCGTATCGTAATACATACACGGCTTGTAATCCACGGTTTCTACTTGGCTCTCTCTCATTTTTGCCCAAGACGGATTCCGCTCCAAGCCACAGCCCGCAAACAAAGCGCCCTAGACACTCAACTCCAAGTCCAGTGTCTCTGACTTGCACTCTCCTGCACCGCAAATGCGTGCCAAACTTGGTCTGGGAGACAGCGACCGTGCAAATTCTGGAGGTTTGGCCTTTGTTTGCGGTGGCGGTTTCATGCGCCGCAGTCTGTGCTTGTCCATGGCTGCGTGTTGGTTATCGACTCTCGCTCACAGCTCAGCGCTATTATGATCCGTTGCTATCAAACTGTCAGGGTTAGCTACTGGTCAGTCTGGACACGGGCCAGGAGCTTGTAGATTCGATTCCGGGTTTCGGATCAACGGATATTTTAGATTCGGAATCTGGGGAAGACAGGTAAAAAAAGAAAATATCCAAAAGAAAATATCCAAAAGTAAAATCTCCAAAAGGAAAATATCCAAAAAAACCGAAAAACGCAAACTTCAGAAAAACGCAAACTTCAGCCCGACACCCCAAAGTCAGTCTTTTCGTCTGAGGACGCCCGATTTAGAAGAGCGTCGAAAACGCGCCTTCGGTCAGGTAGAGAAGAACCGCATCAGCAGCGTATCTGTACGGAACGAGTTGCTTTTGCGCTTTTCGCACCCGGTGAGTGCAGTGCAGGCACGGCAATGGGTGGTCAGGGGAAGCGGAGCGGCGATTGAGACGGAAGCAAGCAGTTTGAGGCCGGTTTCGACAGCGTCCAATCCAAGCTACAGTTGTTTCTGCTCGTGCGACTCTCCGATTCAGACACTGAAGAGCCCAACTTGTAACCATGCTGAGGTTGAGAGCGCCATTACCCTCCCTAGGCTAAAACTGCCCAATCGGCACATTTGGGTTTGGATCAGAATCCTGCCCACGACGTCATGACCAAGAAACCCCAGACAAAGAGTGCCGGCACTAGGAATTAGTGAAAAATAGTCAAGCGATGAAAAAAAAAAAACAGGTATTATTAGACTACAAGACGGGCGGGGTATCAACCACAGCCACTAGCGAGGGTGACGGGGCGATTATTATGGCATGATTGGAACAGCATTCCCGACCAAAGACCCCAAAGCCCGGTTGCACGTAGCTCTACTGACAACCACATGTAAAATCACTCGTTTTACAGTCTCAGAGTCTCCCTTAAGGCTGTCTCACTTATTACAGTAAAAAGACAAGAGCCTGCTTCTCCGGTCGGAAATAAACAATCAGCGATGTGTGGCTAATGATGTGGTTTGCAACAAAGACCTCACAAGACCCAGACTGGCATGGTTTCTGATTGGATGAATACTGTGGGGTATAGATATAGGCAACAAGAGCAGTATTGTATCGTACATCCCGTACTGTACTTGCTTGTACTTGTACTTGTACAGTGATACGTCGACGGTGTAAATGTGTAATCATGTGCAGTACAGTTCCTCGTCTATTGTCAAATTATCGATAGTCAGTCATTCCCAAATTGACAATGGCCAAATACACTAACGCACGTCATCGCTTTTTGAAACGTTTATGGAGCACTAACTTGTGGGAGGTGCGCCATGCCGTATGACCGAGCATGTCAGCGACGCGACGAGTGGGTAGACCACTTGTTTTCCCGCCTCTCTAGCCACAAATGGGCTCTGGTCGTCTCTCTTGTTCTCCTGTCGTCTCCACCAGCCACAGCATTGTGTGGTGCGGCTAATAGGTTTGCCCACTTCTCCGTGCCCTAACCCCCATGTGCCCCACAGATTGACATTGCATGGACCAGACAAAGAGATAGAGCAAAAAGGGTTTGTTGACCCCAGGAAAAAGCGGATGCCCAAAAGTTAATTTGGACTGGTAGTGTCATTCATTTAAATACGTCCAGGGTCACAGGGGAAGCTCATATCACACGACTGCTAACGACTGCTAACGACTGCTAACGACTGCTAACAAACTGCTCTTTGACTGAGCGTAGAGACCCCCAGGAGACTCAACACAAACACCAACGACCACACAAACACGACACATTAAATTCCACATTCCCACAAACCACACTTGTCGCAACTCACTCTCACATACAACAAGGTCTCAACAAAATGCCTGACGGAGCTCAAGCTTGGTGAGTAATATAGGTTCATGGAGAGGCGATAGTTGGGCCTCACGGTTATGAGCGCCGTTGGCGTCATTTGCTGTTTGGCTCAGATTATCGCCACCTGCGGCCACCCGTTACGGTTCTAACCCAGGAAAATCATCAAAACCCCCGGAAGCCACACGGACAGAATCGCACAAGCATGCGACCGGTGCCGGTCCAAGAAAATCAAATGCGACGGAAAACGACCCCATTGCTCACACTGTGTCAGTGTAGGGTTCGAGTGCAAAACCTCGGACAAGCTGACCCGAAGAGCCTTCCCCAGAGGCTACACAGAGGCCCTGGAGGACCGGATTCGACAACTGGAGGCCGAGAACAACAAGCTGCTCGGCATTCTCGATCTCAAGGACGAACAAATGGAAATGATCAACCGCGTCTCCAGTGTAATGGACAGAAAGAGCTCGACTTCTAGTGCTTCCCCCACACCCACCCCTACAGACACCAAGAGCACAACTAACAATACCAAGACCATCACCAACTCGAAAGCCACAAGCCAAAACACAGCCACGACATCACCAGCATCCCCAACCGCGGACAGCTCAGACGACGATTGCGAGCCCTACACTGTGCGACAAGCCAAGGTCATTTCTTCCGACGGCTCTTTTCGAGGAGCGTCAGCTGGCGGCGCCTTTCTCAAGGTGCTTTCGGACCGTTTCCGACCCAAGAACCCCAAGGTCGTGCCTCTTATTCAGCAGCTTTTCACCAACCTGTCCCGCTCGTCCGACTACGACAGATACACTGACGCCACCGCTCCCACTAAGCGCATTGCGTTTGTCGAGGCCCAGTCCACGCTGTCGTTCCTCAACCAGCTCTACCTCCCTCCAATGGTCATCACCGACAGGCTTGTGAGCACCTACTTCTCCGAGTGGCACGCTATGTTCCCGGTGTTGGACCACTGCCAGTTTCTGGCTGACTACCGGCTCTTCAACGAGCTCATGGCCGCTTCTTCTATGGACAAGACCCCCGCTACATTCCGACGACACGAACAGAATTATGCCGCCAAGATGTCTGTTGACATCAAGTACTTTGCCACCACTCTCTTGCTGGTATGTTCTTTGGCTGCCCACTTCATTGCCCCCCAGATTGCTGACGTGGTTTCTATCCCCGAGCTGGAGCGAAACTGGAGATCGCTGTTAGAGATGCCCCATGTAATCCTCCCCCTCGCTTCCACCACAGCTTCCACTCGGTTGTTGGCAGCCTACAACCTCGCTCTGACCTATTCGCTGCATGTCAACGCCATCGATGACATCTGGAAGTACCGATCGTTGGTGTCTGCCACATGCCATCGGATGGGTCTCAACCGATGCCAGGATGGTCTGCGGTATGAGAACGGCACTGCCCTGACTCCCTACGACCAGGAGATTCGACAGCGGCTGTTCTGGGTGACGTACATCCAGGACACCTTTGTGGCCTCCTTCATGGGCACCAACCAGAGCTTCATCTTGGAGGAGGTCAAATGTGGACTCCCCTCTGTGGATGATGAGGGTCTCCAGCACCTGCGAGATAGCGATTCATCCGATTCGGAAGAGAGCAAGAACACACCCCATTGCTTCCGAGCCTTGATCTCCTTCTCGCAGGTGCTTTCCGAGGTGATTTCGGCGCTCTACACCCTATCTAAGACGTCGCAGTCATACAAGGTGATTATCGAGCTTGAAAACAAGTTGCAAAAGTGGCACCGTGAGCTCCCCAGCGACCTCAAGTTTGAGTTTGCCAACGGAATGCCCGTGCCCACTTGCGGAGGTGTGCACCAAAAATCGCCTTTGTTGTATCTGATGTACAACTATGCCAAGATTCTGATCCATCTTCCTGCTCTGTGCGGGGAGTCACGCAACAACACGACCCAGAACGCAGCTTCTATTGCGGTCATCCAATCTGCTAAGAGCTACGTGCAAGTGAGCAACTACCTGAGGGTTCGAAATGTGCTGCCCACGCTGTGTCTGAACCCTTCTGGAGTGTCTGCCCAACTTATGCTCGTCATTCTGTATGGTTCGGTGGATTACTCCAAGGGCGGCAGTCTGTTACAGGAGGTGCGTCAGATGGTGCCCCAATGTATCGAGGGTCTCAACTCGGACATGAAGCTGCAGATTCCTGGCAGCATCAATCTCGACAGCTACGACCTATTGGAGGAGATTTCCACAATAATTCTGGCCTTCCCTGCGAGAAAGAAGTCCACGAATGAGGTTAAGCGGCGCGGAAGTCGAGTGGTTGACTCTACCACTGAGAAAATCACTGCTCCTCTTCCAAACCCTGTCTCTGCTGCTCCTCTGCCTATCCCGGTCAAGGAGGAGGTTCTCTTCAAGGATGAAGGACTTTTCAGTGATATCCACGTCAAGATAGAGAACTCGCCTCCAGAGCCTCACGATTCGCTGGAGCACTTCCTTGGCACGAATGCCATGGTCACTCCTGCTCACACGGCCTCTGCTCCTTCTTCTACCAACGGCGAGGACGACTTCAAGGGTGCCACCACCTTTAGTCAGGCCAATTCTGCGTGCGGACAGCTTGAGCAAACTCAGGAGTCGTGGGATGTCATTGACGACTCGTTCAAGACCCTGATGATGCCAAGTATGTCTACTGGAGGAGCTGCTCACTGCAACATGCGTTCTCTGAGTGTTGGCAATCATAGCATGGCTCTGGATTACACTCACAACAATCAGCACCAGGGGCATAACCACCACGGCCAGAACCACAATCAGCACCACCACAACAGTATTCCCGCGGACCTGTTTGCTCCTCCTCCTCTGCACCCTCAACAGTTGACTGCTACTGGGTTCACGGACATTGACAGGGTGCGGCCAGTTACTGGAGACAATTTTGACTGGGGAGTGAACGGTATTTTGGACTGGGATTGGAAGTAAGGTACTGAAACACTGTACTGTAAAGGAGTGAAGATGACGAAGGGGTGTTTGTACATAAGTGCATGTTTATTTATTTTTATTTTATTGTTTGATTCTACAAAGTGGATATTTTGTTATATTCATATTCAGTGTGCAATTGTATGGAGATGATGACCCAGCCAATTTGGGGCATATCCAGAAGTATATGACGTTGGTAGCAGTGTATGGCAGTGATGATGTATATCATAAGACAAAGACCCGCCACATTCTTCAGTCAAGTATATAGACATGTAGTGTTTCTATCAGCAAACTTGGTGCTGGTTCTTCAAGCACGCCAATGTTACCGACGATCGACTCGAAGGCCATTTTTGCGAGGTTCGTCACTATCATACAGGGCACAGCACAGCAGTTATCTCCACAACCGCCGAAAACACATTATGGATATTGTTATCTGTGTCGAGAGTCTCTCCAACAGCCTCCGACGTACACGGGGGCTTCGAACGGGGAACACATTCAAGTGTGTCTTACGCCTGATGCTATAACCCAGCTTCCGAACTGTGGGCACAGTTTCCACCACAAGTGTTTTCATCTCGACCAGCATCTTTCCTGTCCCGTTTGTTTCCGTCCTTTCCTCGTTATTCGAATCTCTCAAGCCACCGATTCTTGGATATATCAATGTCCTCCTCATTTCGTTCGCTGGCTCAGTTTTTGGTCCATGGTTCTCGAAAGAAGGAAACGGATCCCCTCGTATTCGCCCTGGAGACTGGCAGCCAAGATACGGGATCCAAAATGTTCATTCTTTATGCCGGGGGAGGTGTTTATGCAGTTCCAGCGGTGATGGTGTACTGGAGGTCTATGGGGGTCTCGTTTATGGCAGAAGTGGCAGAAGGGCCATACTGTCCAAAAAAGTCGCGCCAGTGCGGTAAGACTGTTATTTATTGTAATTGACGTTTGTTTGTTTGTGGATGGAGGTGCGTGAGAGGAGGTTCTCTGGGGAGTGCGCCTGTAATTCTTGAAAAACGTAATATAACAAGGTAAAATTAAATAATTACTTCAGAATAAACAAATATTGTCGCCATTTATTTAACAAACAAAAAATCCATACTTGACCTGCAATTAATATCAACTAATATCAACTAAACCCAAATTTTTCCCGCTGGATAACTCTATGCGCCCTGACGAAAACCACCAAAAAATAGACGACGATAACACCAGATGTAGTGGGCAAAAGCTCAGCAAAAAGGATGGCGACAACCGCAGGATTCGAACCTACGCGGGGAAACCCCAAGAGATTTCTAATCTCTCGCCTTAACCGCTCGGCCAGGTTGCCTAGAAAATTCGTGATTTTGCCGGAAAAATGGCAAACGCTAGGGGGAGTCTGGGTCACGTGATCGGCGAGAGTTCTAAGCCATTTGACAATGTACCTGAAGAGGAAAGACATTGTGAGTTGTATACAAAGAACGATAATCGAACGGAGAACATGATAAACGGGTTTATATTTTCGCAGCTATTCTCAACAGTTGGAGATCAATGGTGTTGCTACTGTCGAAGGTATGCTGTAGCTCTGTTTCAGTTAATGCTGCATATCTAAACAATTTCCAACAATCGGTGAGTTTTAGATCGATAATATCAACCCAGTAGTGCAACAATTATCCCGTAAACACGTGTCCTCCACCCAACATCTCACATTTCCCCCTACCGTCCCTCCCCAACAGATGACTCAATTGAGTCATCCAAACCTTACTTCCGTTCCCAAGGCCACGAGCGAAAAATCCACTGGATGGAAAAATTCACCCGCACTTTGCATCGTCAAACGGCATCCTGGAGCGTTACAAATGAGTGAAAACCTGGCGCTGATTTCTTTACTTGTGAGTAATTGTGGACGAGGGTTTACGGGGGGGCGATAATCGGCATTTTAGTGGCTTTTACAAGGACATCTTGACACACCCTACTGTAACTACGGACACTCAACCACCCCCTCAACAACACTAACAAAGTCCGGAGGAATTGCGGGAACTTGCACAGATCTGTGTTTCTTCCCCATTGACACGCTCAAGACCCGTCTGCAGGCCAAGGGTGGCTTTTTTGTCAACGGAGGATGGCATGGAGTGTACCGAGGAGTCGGATCGGCTATCGTGGCCTCGGCACCAGGAGCTTCTCTCTTCTTCCTGACCTACGAGTACACCAAGACGCATCTTACTCCCCATGTGCGTGCTCTCATTCTCAACGATGACGTGGCACAAGGTGTCACTCACATGATTGGAGCTTCTCTTGGAGAAGTTGCTGCCTGTATGGTTCGAGTGCCCTCAGAGGTGATCAAGCAGAGAGCCCAGACTGGTCACTACAAGTCGTCCATGGAGGCCCTCAAGTCGATCCTCAATAACTCTAGCGGCGAGGGAGTGCTGCGAGGTCTGTACCGAGGCTACGCTACCACCATTGTGCGAGAAATCCCCTTCACCATGATCCAGTTTCCTCTGTACGAGTTTCTCAAGAAGAAGTGGGCTCGGGCCACCGAAAGAGATGTGGTCACTTCCAAGGAGGCTGCCGTATGTGGATCTTTCTCTGGAGGTGTTGCTGCTGCTCTGACCACTCCTCTGGATGTGATCAAAACCCGTCTGATGCTCCACAAGCAGAGACAGACCTTTTTCCAGACGTACCGGCAGATAGTCCAGACCGAGGGATACAGTGCTCTGCTCAAAGGCATTGGTCCTCGAACCATGTGGATCTCTGCCGGAGGAGCCATTTTCCTTGGAGTCTACGAGACCGCCAAGAAGAGTCTGACTGGTGTGCTCGATAAGCCCAAGTTGGACTAGGACAACCACGCATGATGTATGACTGACGAATGTAACAGTAATGAATTATGAATATGAATTGGGAAGGAGACGGGTTGTTCTTCGTGAGGATGACTTGGTGCCGCTGAAGTACTGCACTTCAACTTGCCTCATGATTCAGAACGGTTAGCGAGCACACACGAAGAAAGGTAAGACAATTTACACCACCAGATTGCCACGTCTCTTGATACCTACAAGTAATTGTCAACAACATGTTCACAGGCAATATCAGAAAGTCATCAGATTGAGGAAATATGAACAATGTCAGATCAACCTTCCCTCTCCAATACCTCCTTCCACACTATCCTCTCTTCGTATACTCTCTTCTGTATGTATCGATTGAAACTCCTAGATAAACTACTATATAAAGACGAACTTCAAAACACACAGTCAACATGCTCCCACTCCCATCGACATCTCCAACCATGTATATTACCATGTGGACTGTACTTCCTTCGTCAAAAAGACGCACTTCGTCAAAAAGACGCAAGTATGTCAACTATGGAGGTACTGTCCCTGATCAATGAAGTTGACTTCAGAAAGACCGTTCTCACCCACAACCCTCTCCTCGCCCGTGAAGTGGCCGACAGAAGTAGATGACACATGAGTGTGTCTTGCATAAGAGTTCCAGAGACTGTGAGAACAATGTATAAAAACTAGTCATCATCCAGTTTCTTTCAGGGTATCGGGACGAAATCTCTCTCAAGATTTCGGCACAATTGGCCGTAGAGGACGGGCTACGTCCCAGGATACTGGCTCACTTCTTTTGGTAGGCGAGATTCCGTCTAATGCTACCATGCGACTGACCCCTTCTCCTTCAAAGCTGCACATATCTTACAAGGACCAGCGACACTCTGGAGGTTCCCACATTTCGTTCATGGACGGAAACGTCAATGATGACTACAAACTGTTTGCTCTGAAGCACATTGTATTTTCTTAGAATCGTTCCCAATTCAGAGGAGAGCCTCCAGGAGAGGTTTGTATACCATCATGTGGGACGGACTGCGACTTTCAGCAAAAAAAGAAATGAAGCAAAAGTTGCAACGCATGCCAGTCCTTCGAATCGACAGCGTACCCAGTCCCAGAGTTCTCAATTACAGGGTTCTCAGACTGGGGTTACTTATTGACATCTGTACTTGCAATTCAATATAATCCCACTGTGTTTGTTCCTTTTGTGTTCTTTGTCGTCGTTTCTTCACTCTCGACAAACCATCACCTTGCCGCCGATCTTTCTCTTCTTAGCGTACTTGAGCACAAAGTTCTCCGTCTTGGTGCTCTTGTTCATCTTGATGGGTTCAATGAACGGTGTGATTTCGTCCAGTTCCCACTTGTCCTTGATCTGGAACAGTCGAGCAAACCGCTCCTTGGGGTCACGCGGCAAATCACTTTCGCTGAGCTTGTGAATCATAGTCTCACAAAGAGCATAGGAGCCTTTGATGAGGTCCAGGGAGACCATATCCTCGTCAAAGATCATGGGAATCGAGTTTTTCCACATGATCATAAACTGTTCGATCTGCACCGGCTCGCCAAGGGCGTTTTTGCCAATCCAGCTGATGATGTGCGCGAGATCGAGATTGTAGGGCTCAATGGGCGTTGTAGCAAACATCTTCAACACTGCCGTAACTACTGCTGGAGAAGTATCAGACACCACGTCAGATGCACTCACCAGGTTAAGCTGCTGCTTCTGTGATGCTAGCGAGGTCAGAATATCGTCTATTGTCTCCTTGATCAGACTATCAGCCAGCACACATGCCACTCCATCGACTTCCACTCCTCCAATTTGCGCCCAAACCTGGTCGAATTGCACTCCAGACATGCTGCTGCGGTTCCTTAACGAGTCCAGATCGTGCTTGGCGATGCGCGGGTCTCCCATGATACTGTCTCCGTCGTAACAGGGCAGATCAGAGGTGTCCAACTGAGGCGATTCACTCAAAGTGCACTCCAAAATGGGCTGGGTGATGCAAATGCTGGCGAGACCATCGTCACGTGTCTCCACCAGATGAAGGGTGTTGCTTTGGCTCCGTTGCTTGACGTTCCACGTCGTGTTTTTGTTGCACAGAACGAGCCGATCCTTGCCTCTCAGAGTCAGTGAGTAATGTTGCAGTTCCTTGGTTTTTTTGTACTCCTCCTCTTCCTCCCGTAGCTCGCCGATAATCTGCTCGGGCAGCTCGATCAGCCGATAAATGTGTCGCTTGTCGTACTCTTCGTAAAAATTGAGCTTCATGATGGTGGTGTTGAAGAGATGCACACGTTTCAATTAATTTAGACGCGTCGTGCATGAGAAAGGTGGATGGAGGGAGCTGGACAGTGTAAAAGAGACAGTAAAATCGGATAAAATGGATAGCGACGATTTATTTATATTCAAACATGGGAACAAAAATCGAGTAATATCCAATATAGCCAGATGGTATACCAAATATTCTTTAGCGATCAAGACAATAAGCCCATTGCGTTGGCTCGAGTGAGATAAGTGGGATCGACAATACATATACAGCACATGTATGTATAGATGATTGTACTTGTTCTGTATAGACGATTGTACCTCTCTCTGTATCCATACTCGGATACCCCTCCACAAACCGATAACCAGCTCCGATCATGTGATATCTACCCAGTCCCACCTTTGAAGACCACTATCCGCCTCGGGATGGTGTCGATTAGTTACATACTGTAGCAACATTTCAAGAAGTATCAGACCACTGTCATCTCGGCTTGGAGGCAAGGGGAGAGACTGCTAGCGACAAAGCGTTAGCGAATCCATCTCCATGTTGAAATCTGAACCTCTTGCGGAGATGGTTAATGGAAAACTTCCAGATCCCAAGAGAGCCCTTGGACATTCCAACCATGACGAGGTATTCTTCACACGATATCGAGCTGTAGTTTCTGGCCACAAATCCAGTTCCTGGTGCGGAAAAGACTTCTGTCTGCTGGTTGTCCAAGTCAATTAGCCCTATTATAATTCCTGTGGGCTTGTAAACGAGGCAGAACTGTGAATATTCTTCATCCTGATACACCTTGTACGGCTCATTTAGTTGTGGATCGGAGTCCAAGCTATGTAGAGACTTGCACACCCGGAGTCGGTATCGGGTTTGAAAATCAATGTTGAAGAAGGTGTCGTTGTAGTGAACGATACCAGCAGGAGCAGCTTTCCGGGGTCGACACCTCTGAGTATGTACTTTTCCACCTGGGGACACACAAATCACTTCAGAGGTCTTATAATCGCAGGCTCGAGCGTGCAAAAGAACACTTTTTCCGTTGACCTGCAGTCTGAAAGGCAGAGAAAGTCCATCCAAGTTGACAATTCCTCTCGTCTGGGGAATACCAGAGTAGATCAGATTTATAACACTCACACCAGCCAACATCTTTGAAGAATGTCTTGTCTGGATCACAGGTGCTCCTCCAAACGCATATGTGCTTCCGTAGTAACGTCCCATCGTGAGTCCTTTCTTGGGCTTCCCTTGGCCCATTTCGGGATGCTCCGTCAAATCCAAGAGTTTCTCGTCGAAAGAAATCCCGTTGTCGTGGTACTCCCAGGGAAAGATCTCGTCCACCTCTTTGCAGAGACAGTAAAAGTCGCGTGGAAGCGGCTGATCAATGTAGACAGGGCACTTGACCTGATCTGAGAACTCTACCCGCGAATTGTTCAGCTTGTGCGGAGCCTGGCAAGTATCGTCGTTCGATCTGCTGTACTCAATATTGCAGCAATCCCACACAGAGAGAAGACATCCGAGGATGAAAGACCCGGGAATATCGCGGCTGAGTTGCTGACAAGTTTCACGAAGAGCACAAAGATCTCTTGGTGAAACAAGTTCGCAGATTACCACCAGAATATCGTGTGGTAACCGGAGTATCATGGCTATGACAATGGGGAAGAAGAGGAGATAATAATATAGATATTCACTGTGCATATACGTTCAGCCTCAAAGAGAATTTAAGACAGTGGGCTGTAAAACACTGGATACCGAACTGGGCTATCAAAAAGACAGTACAGCAGTGCACAAGTGCTTATATAGCTGTGTCGTGTGTACGAATAAATATATGCATTTCATTATGTAGCTAGCGTGGCGAAGCCTTCCTTCCTGCGTCAACCAATGACTTATCGCCCTCCATTGGCCCCGTCAGGCTGTCGTCCAGGTGACCCATACGGAGGCAACACTCCCGTGGCCCGCAGCTCGTTGATGATATCCAAGGCCCCTGGGCTCAAGTCAAACTGACCAGTCTCCCGATTCAACGTCAGCGGCCCACCGCCCCCACTGTCTGGATCAATGTAGTTCATGGGGTTCATAAAGTCTTCAACTTCAAGACCTCCCACAAACACTCGTCCCAATTCATCCTCATATACATCGTCATCGTATTCATTTCCGTCATCATAATTGCCATACTCATCCACACCATACTCTTCATCCTCACCATACTCGTCCTCGTCTTCTTCCCAGCCATCCTCATCATCTTCGTCACTGTCGCCATCGCCTTCCTCTTCATGGGCATGATCACCATATCCGTCCTCCGGAGGCAGTCCAACGGGGTAGATCACCTGTCGTCCTCCACACGCACAGTTGGGGCTAGCGCACCCCTCAACATTCTCATCATCTACACAATCTCCCAGGTAGTGTTCAGGATTGTTTTCTCCTCGAGGCAGCTCACGCTCCGAACACGTATCCTCCTCAGACGTATATGTGTCGTCAACAGGAGCAGTTGGAGGAACAGGAACGTTGGGAATAGCCACAGCAGGCACACGTGGTAATGCAGATCCATATTCCTCATCTGTATCGTCACTTTCAGTTCCATTTTGAATCTCTCTTTCAGCTCGTCTTACCGAATCGTAGTAGTTGTCGTAGAAGAAGACGAGGAAGTCTCGAGCAGCGGAAAGAGACTCTTCAGGAGTCTCAAACTGAGGCATCTCATTCATTCTAGACTCGTAGAACTGAGTCAGGAACTCCCGAGTAGCCATTAGTTGCTCTTCAGAACGAGAAAAGTCGTCTCCAGAGCCTCCGAGCTTCTCAACAAGTCCCTCGATCGTCGATTCCATCTGGTAGTCGGCGATAATGACGTCTTGGAGCACGTGGTACGTGTATGGGAAGCGAGAAGTCTTATTCTGGACATCTCGAATGTTGGGAATCATTCCCGGTTTCCACACGCGGTCACTGAAGGGTGCAATTTTGTTCCACTTGTAGCACAGATCCACAAATCCGTAGAGACACAGCTGGTGAGCCGGGTGCAAATGCCGAGCATCTTCACACAACTGGGTGAGAATGGAAATGTAGTTCATGAACAGAGCCAAGTTTCTCGAAAATGCAACCGGGTCCTCCTTGTCGTTCTCCTTCAGCTCCTTGAGCGTATCCAGACACTTGTCGAATCCCAGAACCAAGCCATACATTATTGGGTATGACGACAGATCAGCTCGTCCTTGAGATACTCGGAGCAGGTAAAAGAGCATGAAATCAGTGGAGAATTCGCGATCTTCAATCTTGTCGCTGCTGAGCATCATTGACAGTCGTTTGAGAGCCACCGGGTTCACCGCCAGTTCCCGAATGATCAGGCGTGTAGCTACTCTTTCAAGCTCTCCTTCTTCGTAGTAAGCCACCAGCCCGAGCTCGGCCAAGGGTGGGATCACTTCTTCGCTCAATGCCGATTTGGGGACCGTTTTGCGGCCCGCATGGTTGTTTTTGTTCTTCTGTCGCAGCACATTCAGCTTTTTGCGTCTTCGATCGAGATGACGTCTGCGAAACTGCACGTCCGAGGCCGATGCATGGTACACGATGAGTGTGATGGCCGAGAAGGTGGCGAGCGTGGATCCGAAGATCACACAGCAGTCGCGTAACGTGTTCATCTTGTGGGTGAATCTGTTATGTGTGCTTGTATGTACAAGTAGTCAGGCCGATGTGGTGATGCACAGTTAGGTTCGGGGAGATGGTTCGAGAGCTTAAATGGGGTCTCGGGGTTGAAACCAAACTGGTATCGTGGATTTTCGGGACTACTTGTATGGCGAGCGTGAGTGTTTAGAGCAGATCTGAATTTACCGATGAATGGATAATGCTTATATCTGTTTTGTTTTCGAAAATATGTCGAAAACGGGCGGTTTGAAGGCACGCTGAGATGCATCTAATTGGGCTAAACAGTACAGTACATACAGTACTGTATTTCGTCTTTTTGTTGGGATATTAGATAAGAAAAAGGGATGGTTAGCCGAACCAACTGATACAGCCAACAAGAAGTTCTTGTCGACAACAGATGTTTCACTCGGCTGTAATTCTCTGTTTGCCTAGCTCTTGTCTCTTCAGGAACAGCGACTAAGCGGACAAGCCAGAGAAAGCTCCTTCCTCATGACCATTTGAAAGCTCGTTCAGATTCAAAAGCAGAGCTCGAAATCCTGAAATTGGTCCTTTCTTGGTCATGCACACAGATATGCGAAGATGTAGTTCGTTAGACCCAGGCATGAGCGCCGATATTGAGGGCGAAAGTACCTCTTGACACCAAAACAGGGAGATCAATATACAACGGAGGTTGTCAAAAAGAGGAAGCCATCATCCAACTGTCCATTCTTGGCAATAACGACGGACTCTCCTCCATCCCATATGTCGACACAAGACCGTTTCAACGTAGCGGCTACATGAAAACATTCATCATGGAGTAACTAGTAAAGACCATCCACAGAATCTGAACGACGGCCCAACACATGGGGATCCATGTAGATATCGAACACAGCCCTGCGCGGTAAACCCCGGTCAAAATCAGACCGACAATGGAGCCACTGACCACAGCCTCGATTCCTCCAATGACAACATACACAGCAAAAATGGCCAGAGCGTCTCTCAGGTTCCGCTTGACCACTCCTGCCCACGTGGCGGCTATCATGTGAAACCCCATAAAAAATATCAGGGTCCAGATCACCGTGAACCGCCAAATGTCGTATGTGTAGTACAGATTTGCAATGTCGTAGTGGGGTTTTGTTGATCCCACGGGCCAGTAGAGCGATGGAAAGTCGGGAACCACGTATCCGATGGGAACGGTGAACCGTGGGATTTTGCTGGACATTCTGTCGACTTTTGGGCGCTTTCAAGTCTGCAGTGTTGTCATAAAGGGGCAACAATGAAATTTACAACGACGGAGATCGACGATCAGTTCGCCGATCGAAGTAGTTGTTGAACCTGATGGACTAAACCGAGCCGGAGATGGCAGATCGATGGTTAGTTTTGTGTTCGCACCGGCTGCTCTGGTGATACTCAGGATGCGGGAGATTTTCGGGTGTCCAATGTGTTGGTCAGGTCAATGCAATGGGCGAGTATCTAACTTGTCAAGTGTGTGGATGACTGTTGAAACTACCTCCTCGAACCGACCCCAAACTGACAGAATGATTCATAAGGAAAGTAGAAGGAGGTTGGTTCAATGGAGTGACACATTGCTGCGCCTGCCAAGGTTTCAGCATGTGATCCGATTTAGTTAGACTCTACTTGAAACTCTAACCTAGACATCGGGAGATTAATTGACGGAGGGGTTGGTAGCAGAGGGTGTGTGAGAGGCGATGGGGAGGAGATGTTTGTGAGTTTTTCGTGGTTTCCGCCCGATTTTGATTGTTTTGCACCAAATGTACAGCTTCACTTTTATAATTACCTTCTTCAGAGACTGCTACTGGTAGTAGGGTGTCAAATTTGGGACCCCTCAGTGTCAAGTTTAAGCGGCAACCTACAGTAGAGTGTGAGAGAGATTAACTGATGACATAACATACCGAATATAATACACCAGGACCATACGGAATTGAACGGAATTAAGAGCCGATGTAATACGACTTCAAGAAGGCGATAGATAGGCGTTTGGACGGGTGAAGAAGTTCTTATTATGTCAGCAGTACATACGGTGCAGTGTACCGGAGGGATCTACTTGAACAGGTATGACAAGCTCAGGGTATCGATTAGTATCGTCAAGTAGTAGTTATAGATAGCTACTTGTAGTTGTTAAAGAGCAAGAAACGACAACCCAGTGTTTTCCAGTTGAAGATGATTCTTCAAACAGTCTCGAGGGGCTGGAGAGCTCCCGGTTACCTTCTTTTTTTTTTTTTTCTGCATATACATTCATTTAATTATAACTTTGCCGTGAAAGAATAACCTTTGAAATGAATGTACGCTTACACGAATATTACTAATTAAACACGTTTAGTGTCATGGTCCAACTTGGCACGTACCTATTTCCAGTAAAAAAATCATAAAAAAACCTGGTTCAGTCCGTGTTGTATGTTGGTCCACATAGCTTCGCGTGTTTGTTCGTTCATCGGGAAAACGCCACTCCAGTCTCCAGTTCTCTAATCTCAATCCTTCCATTGCCCTCTTCATTTGCATTGCCTTTGAAAACTTCTCCTTGTGGTTCTTCTTCGTCATTGGTTTGGTTCTGCGTCCCCTGTGGTGACTACGCGCCCTGCTACGCTGTTCTCTCGGTGGCCTCGGCCGCCTTTTACGCTTGCTACTGTGTCTACTCTCGCTCATCGTGAAGTGCTGGCGGTTGTCCATCGTAGAAACACATCTGGGCTTCCTTCAGGAATTGAAGCAAACCCTGTTGGACATGTCCCAGGGTGGCGTCGTCCCCTGAGTACCGGAGGGATCTCTCCATCTTCCAGATCCCATAAGCCAATTCCCGCAGATATTTGCGTGTCTTGACTTGTTGATGTTTCCGGGGGGCGTCACTGTTCACATGCCCTGGGAAAGAGGGGAGTACTCCACATTTCGACTCGGTAAAGATCCAGTCCTTTAGAGAGTCCACTGACGGAATCTTCATCCTGGTCAACATGGAAAGAAGAACTTCGCACTTGCAGAAGATATGCTCGTGCAGATCCTGAATGATGGCCTTATCACAGAGCCCGCATCCTGGATTCTTCTTGGTGAAAACGTGGTCGTCAGGGTATCTCCATTTCACGAGCGGAAGTCGAGATATCCGCATGAGGTGAAGAACTTGTGCTTTGTTGGCGTCGGCGATGTAGTGTTTTCGAAGGTCATGCATTACCTCCTGCCAGACCATGTCGTCAGAGATGCCCCCGTAGTCGCTTCGTTGAGTCCACTTCTTCGGTCGTGCAAGTGTGTGTGGGAAGTTTGGCAAGTCGGGAGACGAGGTCTTGTGAAACATGAAGTTCTCTAGAGTAAGTGGTCCCATGCTCCACCGGAGGTGGTCGATTTCCGCTGTGGACACCATTCTGACCGGATGGTATCGTCTCGCGGCTGCGATGTCGACGTGTGCTTCCCGGAAAGATTCTGCTGCTCTCACGTTCACCTGGTTTCGTTCCCAGATTCTGTGATTAACTGTGTCTGTTGTAGAGGGCTCGTGATCTTCTCGAGGGTTGGCATGTTCCGCGGTGAGGGGCTTGTTGAGCTCGAAAGAAGCTCTGATTGCGTCTCGCATGGTGGGGGAGGCTGCGTAGCCCCAAGCTTGGCCTGTCGGAAAGCGGCAGTCGACGCGCTGGTGTGGCTTTTCCTGTGTGAGACTGTGAGTTCTGCTGTAGAACTGGAAGGTGCAGTCCCAAAGGGCCGGCGATGAGCCATGGAAGAACCTGTAAGCCCGAGCGGCCTTCAGGCACACCATGAAACGTCCCATGTCCCGCAGGTTCAGTCCTCCTCTGCCTACCGGAGTTTGGATGAAACCATTGCTGAAGGTTTTGCGTGTTTTGTCGGGTGATAATTTGTTGATCTTGTCGCACGCTAGTTCGTTCAGCTCTCGGATGAAGGTGTTGTCGATCTGGCTGACGTAGGGTCCAAGGAAATTCAGTTTCGAGAAGAAGTAGATGTTGATCATCCACGCCTTGCTGTAATAGGGGAGACCCCATAGTGAAAGGCGTCGCAGCGACTCCTTGAGGTCCTCCTTGATCTGAGCGTAGTGCGTGTCCAACCTTTCGCGATTTCCGAAGTGTACTCCGAGGTACCGGAAAATGTTGTCAGATGTCCGGAGCGTCGGGGCCTGTCGTGTGTTGTTGTCGGTTGGCCAGGTGGCGTCAATTGTTCGCTGCCATTCTGCGTCAATAAAGGTTAGTGGAACAAAACAATCGGGGGGGCCGATCTTCTGAAGCACCGTCTTTGACGGGTTTAGTGTGAGGCCTGAGACCCGTTGGAAGAGGCAGAGCACTCTACCAACCGTGGCCACGTCCTGGATGTTGTTGAGGAACACCGCTATGTCGTCCGCGAAAGCCGACACCTTCATGTGTCCAGCTGCCACTGCCTCCGGGTGAGTAGGGGGTTGTGGCGGCCTGTGCCCAGTGGTGTGGTGGTGGGATAGTGGCAGGCCTGGGGCCAGTCCAAACATCTCTCGGTCCAGACGACGCACAAGTGCGTCTACTGCGATGATGAAGAGGGTTGGAGAGAGAGGGCATCCTTGTCTCACTCCGATCTTGATGCGGACTGGGCGAGATAGGACACCTCTGATGTTGATTCTCGTTACTGCGTTCTGTTGTACAGCTAGGATACGGTTGATCATCAGTTCCGAGACACCCACATTTCGAAGCGTCTTTATCACCCAACTCTGGCTGATAGTGTCGTAGGCTTTCCGGAAGTCCAGTGATCCTACGACCCAACCCATGTTCAGCTGGGAGTAGGCGTTGCAAAAATGATCCATGGTGTCGAGATTGTTAGTGATGTGTCGACCCGGTACGAAACCGTTTTGGGCGCCGTGAATGCTGTCCGGAAGAATGTTCTGGATGGCTTTGTTAATGAGCTGTGTGTAGATCTTCACCTCTGTGTTGATCAAAGAAATAGGCCTGTAGTTGGAGATGTCGGCCTGATCTCCCGACTTGTACAGTAGTTTGATGATAGCGGTGTTGCGTTCGGTGCTGATGGGCGAGTCGGCTCCAGCTTCGTTGTAGACGTCCGTCATCAAGTCCCCCAGCTCATCCCAGCAGTCGCGGTAGAACCTGTACGGGATGCCGTCTGGCCCTGGCGCGCTGTTGTGCGTAGACGCCTTGATGGTATCGAAGATCTCCTCCTTGGTAAAAGACGAGTCCAGGCTTGGGTTAGCTGTATTCACCCTCCGGGTTTCTTCGGGGAAGAGGTCTAAAAAGGCGCTGTCGTCGGTGTCGTTGATATCGGCAGCTCTGTCGAAGATGTTGTCAAAGTATCGAGCTGAGATGTCGCAGAGAGAGGAGGTGTCGGTCTTCACTCGGCCTTGGTGGTTCCGTAGGGAGTGGATCTCCATCTGTTGCTTGGATTGTTCGACCCGAGCATGGAGCATCGGGTATGGCTCGTTAGCTGGGTAGGCTTGCCAGTCTGAGGCTGTTGCCATGAGGGCCTCGCGGCGTCTGTTGTCTGGGTGGTTGGAATCTCGAAGTGCGCGGTTTTTGGCTTCCTGTTGGATGGTGACCTTAATGTTTTCTTTCAGGCATTGCAGCTTCAGGCTGGGCTTCAAAGGACCATATCGCTTCAGAATGGATTTGACGTGGAACTTGAGCCAAGCAATGTACTCTGTATCAAAAACCCACCAGGGCATCCTCCAGGTGCCTGGGCCTCTGTCTTGTCGCTGGGTGAGGTTGCCAAAGTTAAAGACGAATTGGACCGCGTGGTGAGAGGACTTCGTGATGTTGTGACCCTGCTTGTTGGTTACCAGTTGTGTGGATTTGATCCACTGTGAGAGTGTCGAAGAGATGTGCAGCTGATCCAGGCGCCTGCCAGCTCCGCGGCTGTTGTTGGTGTGAGTGTAGAGGCCTTTTCTGTGTTTGCTGATTAGAGTGTAGGTGTCTAGTAAGTCCCAGTTAGCTAAGAAGTCCTTAAGGTGAGTCGTCACTTTTTCGCCAATCCTGCCGTCGTTGGAGGCGACCGCGTTCCAATCGCCTGCCGCTATCAGGGGGTATTGGCAGGGATGGAGGCGTAGATAGTCGTCTAGTGACTGGTAGAACTGCCGGTTAGTGAAGGGGGAGGCTCCCTGCTCGTTTGGTGCGTATACGTTGATCAGCGATAGGTGTCTGTCGGTGCCTTTGATGTGCACGTCGGCCAAACACAGTCTGTTGTCTAGGGCTGGGAAGTATTCAAAAACTGTTGTAAAGTTTGTGATGGTGACGTTGTCGGAATAGACTAGCCCCACGCCGACGCTTCTATTAGAAACACCAGCTGTGGAGCCGAGGAGGGTGTAGTGTCTGCCCCCCGGGTAGGGCGAGTTTGAAATGATTTGTTGAGCGGTTTGTAGGGAGGAGTCCACCCAGTTCGTCTCTTGAAGAAGGACGAGATCGGGGTAGTGAGTAGTTCGAATAATGTTTACAATGGTGTCGGGTAATCGGTTAAGCGCTTCCGCCATCTTAAAACCGCCGATGTTAGCCGTGATGACTTTAACATTCGGAGATTTCATTTTGGCCTGGGTGCTCTTACATGGGGCTTTAGAAGGGGTGGTAGTAGAGGTGAAAGACATGCTTACTGGTTCTGCCCCGGTCGGAGCATTGTGTCCACCTCATGGAGAGTGGTCACCCTAGGGGGGTTCGGGGGACTGTTCGGGGGTTCTACAATCTCGTCTACCGAGCTGAGTGTCGCACCGTCGTGGAAAACTTTGAAGTGGCATGTAGACAGGAATGTCGGGCACCTCCCGTCAATGAACTTTGCTACCTCCTGAGAAGGCAGCCAGCAGAGTCTGTTCTCCGACCTGTCCGGGTTCAGGATTTGCACCGGAACCTCGCTCGAGGCGGTCTGGAAGACCGCAATGTGCTTCTTGCCGAGCGTGGTGTGAGAGGGCTCGCCAGAGAAACTGGAGGTGGTGTGCCCTCCTCGGGGTCGGCCCTCGTGGATACTTCCGGGGGGGGGTTGTGTTTGGTTGGTCGTGTTGGGACTGGTGTGGTCGTGGGGAAGGCCGTTGTTGGTGGCCTCGGTGTTAAGCGGGGTAGCGGGGGGAAGAAACTGGGTGACATCAGGGGCTACTTCAGGGTGAGCAAGTGCGTCAGGCTGGGTGTCAAAGCCGTTCATGGATACGTCAGCCTGTTCCGTTTCCTGGTCGTCGGGAACTGTGTCTTCCTCGGAGGCGGGGATGTTGATGGGTAGATTCTGAGTTCCATGCTGCTGGTTCGTAGAGGGCAGCTGGTTAGTTTGCTCGGTCTCTTCGGGTGTGTCCTCTCCGGTTTTGTCGCTCAAGACTTCAAAGTTGTAGTAAGATCGGAGGGGCTTCTGACCGGTGGGTTGGGGGGACGTGTCTCGAGTCCGTCTATGTCTAGGGGACTTAGTGCCGACGGTCTCCCACTGGTGAGTAGCAGGCGTGTGGTGGAACTTGCGAGTTTGGACCGGGGGCTCCACGGTGGATGGGGCATGGATGGAAGCAAGGGCTTTACCTCTCTGTGGGAGGGTACCCTGGTGAGCGCGGGTGCGGAAGATCTTGGGAGTGACCATGTCTTTCTCGGGGCAGGCCTCCCGGATGTGCTTAGTGCTCTTGCACTTAACACAGATGTTATCGCCGTTGGCGAAGTGCATCTTGATCAACTTTGAGCCGGTAAGCCTAGCCTTGGTGGGATCCAGGTTGACGAAGAAGTCGGGGATGGTCTGGGGCAGGGTGGAGCCTAGGAGAGCACGAACTGCGATCACAGGACCCGAGATGTTCTGATGGTTGGCAGAGGTCATCAGAAGGGTGCCACTCAAGAGGGAGGAACCTGGAATGGCCTGATCAATGTCTACGTCGAACTGGTTGAGAATAGCGTTGAGGTGGATCTTGAAAGCATCCTCCGTCTGACGCTCCATCTTCATGTACGAGGGTAGGTTGAAGTAGTAAAGTACTCTTCGTCCAGCAGGGTTAGCCGAGCCCTTCCTCATGATGCGATAATCTTGAGTATTGGCCTCAACAATGAGACTAACTGTCTCCAGAATGACAGCCATTCGTTGTTCGTGGGGGTCAGTGAGGGCGTCCGACGTCAGGTAGTGCCAACCATTTCCCACTTGGTAGCAGTCTTCAGGGTCCTGTTCTAAGTTAATCTGGTCGATCAGGTGGGGGACGATGTCTAGGTTGTGCCTGGACAGGTCAAACTCCGCCAGACCAACCTGACCCTTGATCTCGTCGAACTTTTCGATGACGCCCTCGAGGACACTGATGGTGTCCTTCTCGTCGACTTCAGCGGCGTTATCGAGGTGCTCGAGGAACATGGAGATAGGAAGATTCCAATCAGGGGTGGCGGAGCGGTCAAGAGCTCTTCGGAAGAAGTTTTCCTTGCTGGCTACATAGGACACGTTGAAACGGCCGGAGGTATGCCTACCATTCGGCGCCGCAAGGGGCTCCGAAATTCGCTCCTTGTTGAGGTTGAATTTGAGTGTGGAGGGGTTCGATGTCAGGAGAGCCTTGACTTCGGCCTTGCTCTTCCAGGCGTTGAGGGTGATATTGTTGTCGTTTTTTTTGTCGTTTTTGTCGTTTTTGTCGTTTTTTTTGTTGTTTTCATCGTTTTTGTCGTTTTTTTGGATTTTTTCAATGTCGGTTTGGTTGGGGGTTTCGGTTGAGGTGGCTCCATCACCTCGCGATAAATCAGGAGGTGGGGGGTTCGGAGCGCCCAAGGAGTTACCCGCCGAAGCTTGGGCTTGCGCTGTTTCCATGGTGAACGTTTTTTCTGGTCGCGCTCGATTAATAGCTCTTGATGAACGAACAAACACGCGAAGCTATGTGGACCAACATACAACACGGACTGAACCAGGTTTTTTTATGATTTTATTACCATGTTAGAGCTGAACTGGAAAAGTTACCTAAGGATTCATCACACTTGAGAATTTGTTTAAGTAGTATAATTGAACTCCAGTTGGTTTGAAGGAGAGAAGCATTGTTTAGATATTGATATAGGATAAAATAGAAGAAGACACATTAAGAGAATATATACGGGAGACAGCTGGGGAGAGTTGAATGGCCTTTTTTCAGGACTTTATGTATTGTTGTTGGCGTAATTGGCTGACGATTCAGTGACTGAAAAAAACAGATGTTATTTTTTTTGGCTATTTGGGAATCTTTGTTAGTTGATAACTATGACAGCAATATATAGAGTCATGAGAAGTGGAAAATTCAATTTATAGAACATTTAGCTGACGATTGAGAGAATTGTAGTGGTTCTTGTTGTGGAGCTAAGGGTGGGATTATTAGTTCAGTTACTTGGATTTAAAATTAAATAGTTGAGATTTTAGTTGATGAATAAAAGTTGGTAAAAGTCGTTGAGTCTTTACTGCAAGTGGGTCCAATTCTTCCAAGGACGTTTTATTAAAGTATGGATTGTACTAAGTAGTTTCGAAGTTATCTCCCGCTTTGACCGGACCCCAAATGCCTCCTTCTAGATGACCTGTCTGCCCTTTGCTGTTCAAATGGTGACTAGTGAATGGACGGATAATCTGACTGATTAATTGTTAAATTGGCGAGGTTCATCAGCTGAATTGGAATGATCAATCTCGGGAAATTGAGACATCTATATATATTTATATCTATATATATACAAGTGTTATTGATAATTTAACCTCTGTCATTGTTTGAGAAGGTAAGTCATTTATTGCAAAAAGTTCAGGTTCGGCAATAATATATTTAGTTGGGATTCTCAGCATTAGTTTGAATTTCATGACCCAACTTGTTAGAAAGTTGGTTCCAAAACCTGCGACAGATTCCTTTTTTTCGACATCATACCGTCAGCTTTCCACCCATCAAGGATATACTCTCCAGGGGACCAACAAAAGACCCCCACAGACTCGCAATTCGCCGTCCCTGTCACGTGATAACATTGTTATTCAGCATCCGGTTAGTGATGACAATATATTTGGCGTTCAGGTTTCCCAAAAAGGAAGTCTAAAATGGAAAAGGTTGTGGCTATTTTGGGACAGGAGGGCTGGCGGGTCACGTAAGAGAGGGGCGGCGGGTAGGAGGGAGGGGGAGCTTATCACGTGGTCTCTCATTAACGCGCCGGTCCTGTATTTTCCGTGACGGCCCCGTGTTTTTCTGCCGATTCCGCTCCATCACGTGATCGGAGGTTTTCGCAGACACTGCCCGATCATGTGAGATAGGTTGGGATGTGCGTCTGACATGCGTGCTAAAACGATAAGCCTCCCAGCAAGGGTGAATGCAAGGAAAGTCCCACTACCAAGGCATCTACGGAAGAGCGAGTTGCTAGAGAAGGAGTACGATACGGTCTAACGACAGTGTTACGAGCACCAAATACTTGAGGCAGCGAAACCCATCGACAGACGACCCAAACACAGGCAACCTTTCCGTGTTCTCCACACATTCGGCACACTATATATCGTCATAGGTTTGGTCTCATTTCCTTTGGCGCCAGTGTTGAAATCGACTACAAGTAGTTGGATTGACACGACTGAGGAGCGTTTCTGAGCAAGTTGGTATCGGCAGAATCCTTGCAGTAACAACCTGGTGGCTCTCAACACAACGACTGGATACCGAATCTGTATTTCTTACAGAACAGTGAGTAGCTACTGTATCTATCACTGATAATGTGATATTGAAGTGGAAACATGGTGTATCACATCATGTTATTAAATCTCAAGTTCTCTCGGAAACATGTCAATTCCGCTAACACAGACGAAGCTGACAAGCCATCCCCACACACATATCCCACTCGTTTACTTCAGTGAGTACCCTACTGTACGGCCTTTACACAGCCACACCCTTGTGCCGCGGCTTTCAGACTGGGATCTAACACAGGAACAGGCAAAACACAACTATCACCGCGCACAGACAACTGACAACAGCACGGCCTCCTAACCTAAGACGACCAACCAAAAACACCATCTACTAACATATATTTCACCCCACCATCACCATCTAATACCATTTACACAATCATGCTTCTACAGCTACCCCCAGAACTTCTAATTCTGTGCCTGGTGCACATTTCCGACCAGGACCTCGTCTCACTGTCACACACATGCAAGACCCTGTACTTTTTATCTCACGACCGAAATCTGTCCCATCTCAGATTCATGGTCGTTCTGGAAACTATGCACTGGCGCCTGATTCCCATCAACAGCAATATTTCCGACCGTCACGAAATCGCTCTGACGCTTGTCCAACGGCACGTGATTCCCAAAGCCCACCACATGTTTCTGAGTCCGCATCCCGTTCAGGGTGCGCTAAATTTCCGCAGTTTGCTCAGTACCAGTTTCAGAAAGGCCCTACTCAGCCGAGAGCTCAAGAACCAGCTCCCACGTGACCATCTCATCAAAACAGGCATCATGAAACCAGGTGACAAGGTTAGTGCAAAGGTTCATCGACTCCAGTTCAACAGAGTGGTTTCAGTCATCAACGAGTTCTTCAAGCACTCTTTCAAACGTCCGTCATTCCACACTGCCTGGAAGAAGGGTTTGTTGCGGTACTACGACGATGAGCTCAACTTTGAAAGTGTCGGAGTAGAATTGCTGGCTAAAATGTTTGAAGGATGTCAGATTGGCAAAGACGAGGAGCCAGAGCCCAATTACTTCAAGGTAGCTAGGAATCCACCAGCTAGGGCCAAGGTACTCAAGCTGAAAAGATACTACGAGGAGCTAGACAGGACTGTCTGTGTTTAGTGGAAGTACTGACATACAAAATATGATATTAATTACATTTCTATTATGACAATGCTCTGGTTCAATTACTGACTGGCCATTTGTAGAACCCAGGGCTATTCATATCGTCACGTGCGAAAAATGGAGCCATCTGATAAGAATGATCTTCTAGACTCTGTTTAAACGTTTCTCCACAGTACGACACACCTGTGAGTAGGTCCCCGATCCAGGAGAGCTTCTGATAAGGGAGCACAAAATATCTATCTAGGCCACTAGTTTTGTTTCCCCGAACGTGTGTCGACATTTGGGGATTCATTTTACTGCAACGAATGGCTGGGAAATTGGAGTTCACGGCAAGAACAAAATCTCCTTCGGCGTCAGTGGCTTCCAAATCAATCCACAATCTCAACCAGAGACCTGATTGTACCATAGCGTAAAAGAATCCGTTATAGATCATGCCGAAACTGACGGTGGTGTGGTAGTAGTAGGAGTCTCCGAGTTCCAGGTACATCTTGGGTCCGATGCGTGTGGCTACATCTTGCCATTCTAGAGAGTCCAAAGATGACGCTGGGACAGCTGACGAAGGGACATGATACACTTGAACACATAGAGGCGTATTAATCCCTATGTGTGCATCTTCATGGAAACGGTATGACATAAAGAAGGCACCTGCACCGTTGGGCAGCAGAGTCACCTGGATGAAATCCCACAGGAACTCTTTGTTGGATACCACCCAGGTTCCGTCTTCGTCTTGAGTACATAGACTCTTGTTTGCAATTTGATGTTCGGACATGTCGTGTGTGTCTGCAAAGTGTAGAAAGACGTCGTTCTCTTCTAGAAAAGTGACAGAGATGGAGGGGTCTGAGTGACGAACTTTTGTTTCCCTCGGAGACTTCTCTGGGATCACATCGGTTCCGTAGAGTATGCGTGGTTTGATCAAACTCTTCTCTTTGACTGGTTCTTTGAACCGGCTATCTTCTGGCACACGGATCTGTTCTCTGACAGCCCCTTCTTTGATGGCACTCCATCCACGAAAGGAGTTTTTCGTCGCACGAGTTCGTGAAACTATAGCCAATGCACATCTGGTCCACGTTGTCAGACCGGTTCCGGACTCGTTGAGAGTAAACCAAGGTACCCGTTCAAGCACCAGTGGTTGTGCAAGGCTAACATCCAGGTCGCACCAGGTGGACCAAGTTGCTCGATTCGTCTGGCTGAGAGCCACAGCGGTTTCGAGATTGCAGAAACAGTAAATCCGAGCTAGAATCTCAACAGGGAGGGTGTCCATGGTGATGAGGAGGTGTCAGAGAGTACCAATTAGAGAGTCATCTCACATGCATGCATCATGTGTTAAGCCGCGTTTCATTCGTTTCAGGAGAAAATCTGAAAAAGAGGCCCTAGAAGCAAGAGTCGTCAGAACGTTGGATTACAAAGAGAGAGGGACTCGTAATCTGATTGTCAAGCTCATTCAACGTAGGAGTGAAACTGATGACTAAGATGAATTGTCTTCCGTACTGTACAACACATATCGTACGTACAGTGAGTGTACATGCTGTAGCATTTTAAACACACTATTTATTGTTCAAGCTTATCAAGAAGCATCCCCACGAAACAGAATAAGACTCCCAGCTGCACCTCTCTTCAAACAGTACAGTGCTGTAATCAACTAATCCAACTCGTTCTCAACTAAATCACCCCTCAACGAATCAACTGCAACTGCTGTTATCGAGAGTGGATACGACAGATGAATCCGGGATGGAATTTGACATTAACCGGAAACAGGTCTGTTTAAATTGATACGGTACTCATTGATTCCTGACCACTAAATCCAAAGATATCCCGATTCCGGATACCGCCACTCATACCAGTGTCCACAAGTTCAATTAGACCCTCTTACATCAATTGAAACTTATCGCAAGCACTTGACCTACTAAAACCTATACCCCACAACGGTTGACTCGACCATCCACCCTTGACCACCGCTTCGACCATGTCTTACCAAACATCCCCATGGTATAGACTGCCCAGAAAGTCTTGCTGAAACAACAGTCATATCACTGGAAATGTATCGGCCGATTATGCCAATCATCTGAAACCGATACCGGTGGTAAACCACTCCCATTGCCGGACCTACACACGAACACAGGTCGAGGAAGAGAACACCAGGGATCAGAGGCCACGAAAACCATCTCCGTATGATTTCTTACGTCCCTCATACCTTCCTCCTTCAATTCCTCACCCCCTTATCGGTCGGATCTAAGCTTACATAATCAACATAACCAGATCGACGGATCAATCAAAAGCCATCGCTCTATCCAACTCAATTAACCTCCCCTACACCCCCGTAAACTCCGCCAATATCCATCATACGTCAATTACAATATATACATGCTTCCGTGGGTTTACGTGTCTTCACGTGCCTTCACATGTCATGTCTACTCGTCATCCTCCTCCTTGCCCAGACCGCTGTCCTTGAGCAGCTGGTCAATCTGGTCGGGTTGCCAGATTCGATGCACGACGTGGTCCTTGGCGTCCTTGCTAACGGTGGCAAACTCGAGCTTCTCGCTGGTCAGATTAGTGTTGTCCATGGTCTTGGACAGAATCTTGACGGCGAGCTCGCATGCCTCGGCCAGCGTCATGTCGTCCTTGTAATCCTGTCTCAGTAGGGTCTGTGCACTGGCCTTGTTGGCGCCCATGGAAGTAGCCTTCCAGCCGGAATAGTTACCCGAGGGGTTGGACTGGTAGAGCTGGAACTGTCGGATGTCGTCGTAGCCGGCGTAGATGAACGACACACCAAAGGGACGTAGACCTCCATGCTGGGTGTATCCCTGCTTGACGTTGCACACGTGCTTGACGAGCTGCTCGCAAGGGATCTCCTCGTTGTATGTTCGCAAGTAATCCTGGGCGGACTTTCGGGCGTTTTGAACAAGAATGCCTGCATCTGAGTTGAGACCGGCGACCGCACACACCATGGATTCGTTCAGAGTGTACATCTTTTCGGCCGAGGTGTCCTGCTCCAGCAGCTTGGAGGTGACCTTTCGCTCGGCGGCCAGCACAATGCCATCCTTGGCCAGAATGCCAATGGCTGTGCCTGCGTGTGAGATGGCTTCCTGCGCATACTCGACCTGGTACAATCGTCCCTCTGGCGAAAAGATTGTCGTTCTACTGTCGTATCTTCGGGATCCCATTGTCGTGTCTTTTTGTGTGTGAGTAGAGCTGTCTGTGATGTGCTGTGCTGTGCTGTGATCAGTGGCGAAACTTTGTTGTCGCGGTTGGGAGGACTGGTGGGTGGTTTAGTTGGGAATTGTGAGTGTGGTTGAAGAAGAGTCTATTTGTTGGGAGTTTACAAGGGTTCCGAAAAGTGCGACAAGTAGCTCTTATATAATTACTGCAGCCTCCGCGCAACACGGAAACGGAAACGGAAACAGGCGTCCAGGAATCATGTCATTTAATGTCATTTAATGGTGTGATCGGAGATAACGTTGTTATTGCCGGGAGAGAAGAGGGCCATAATCGGGGTAGTAATACACGAATTGAGGCCGGAGAAGTTGCACACCCACAAACAGACACCCACAAGTTCTGCAGCTACTTATTTAAACCCACCCGCCATGGTTACTTTTTACACCAAACAACTCTCATGGAATCGAAGTTCGCCACCTCGGCTAAGAGATCAAAGTCAATTGATATGCTGCGAAATATCGATATGCAAAGATAATCCGGAGCAGCATGCTCACGTGAGAATATAAAAAAAGAAGTGAGCCACCGTGGAGAGGTTTGGAGGCAACATGACAAGACCTTTTTCAATTCCTCACTCGCTCCTTCTACTGTAACCTCAAATTAGTCGCTATTATCTCTCAAAATTTCTGCCTGACTGGTCTTATTGGAAATCAGACTCGAAGGGCAGCACTCGATCCGGTTCGAAAAAAACAACCAAATCACGTGATAAAAGTCAAAAGGAGGGAATTCAATGCGTACTGTATGTACGGAAGAATACTCTGACTCAACTTTGAGCTCAATTTGCCCCAGGCGTACAACTACATGGACTCTGATGACATAAGCAGAACCTTCATTCTGTACATTACAGCATACACCATAAACATCATCTAGAGAGACCAAAATGTATATTTTACTGGCATTGACAGATAGAATGCAAACCATACTATACTGTTTATATGTTTGGATTGCCCATGTTGGCATTAGTGGAGATCTGGGTGCCTACAGTTTGTCTGAGACACTGTGTTTCCCAAGTCCAAAGCTCTAAATCTGTTGGAGAGTCAGTCTGGAATATTTACCTTTGCATTACTAATACCATTGGATTACAAAGTTCATGGGTACTTTTCCTTCCCCTCTTGTTTTCCTTCACCTCTTGTTTTCCACATCTTGAATACTTCTCTATCATTCTCCACCATTATCGCACCATCAACCATACATGCGCCCAACCATGCATGATAAATGCATGCCAAAACACCATACAAAATTCCATCCTCATCACTAACCATCACAGCATCGAGCGCCATGAGCAAGCGCCAGAATGACTCCAATCTGCCGAAAAAAGGCCCACATCGACCTCACAAACGACACAAGCCCGGCGAGTCACGTGACAGACCGCGATTCAAGATCCCACTCATTGAAAATTGGCTGCTGATTTTCTTGCGGTCTGGAAAGCACTTCTTTTACAACAAGGAGACGAAACAATCGGCGTGGGAGGCACCGGACCACGTGGATGACTTTCTCTACAATAATGTAGATCAGAATTTGGTTCTTGTGCTTCTAGCGCGTGCCAGAGGATTACGGAAGAAGGATGATGTTTACTGGCGTGTTGGAGAGGATACTCTCTACCAGCGACTGAGGCTTTCTGGGGTCGACAATGCAATGTCGAAAGTTGTTTCCGCCAAGATTGAGACACCGTCCCAAACTTCCCAACTGGAAACTTCAACTGTGGAGAGTGCCGAAGGTGCAGCAGAGTCAGCATCTGTTGGTATGGAGGCACATGAATCGGATTCAGAGGAGTTTTCTTCATCGGACGAATCTGAAGGAGAAAACAACGGTATTGATTTCTCTGCTCTTCTGAGTGAGGATGAGGAGGGAATGGAAATCAATGGGGATGTGGGACCTTCGGAAGGTGCCAAAACCACTTTCAAGGAGTTGCTGAACGCTTACAATGTCAATCCATTTTCTACTTGGGACAAGGAGTTGGATAAACTGGTTGATGACGACCGGTATGAGGTCTTGGAGACTCGATTGGATAGAGAGAATGTGTTCAACGAGTGGGCCAAGGATGTGATTCGGCAGAGGAAGGAGGCCAAGGAGGCCGAGGCCGGCGGTGAAGATGAGCTTGAAGTTGACATTTCTGCAGCCGAGGAGTTTGTGATGCTTCTGAAGGACACATTCAGAAAGGGCAAGTTTTACGTGGAGTATCGGCGAAAGAACAAGGGAGATGAGCGGTTCAAGGCGATTGATATCACCGACAAAGAGCGAGAGTCTGTCTACCGAGCATACTCCAAGGTAGCTCCCACAAAAAAAAAGGAGCGGGTTACTGCTTTTAAGAAGCTTCTGGAGGACAACAAGGCGTTGATCAATGCGGAGACAAACCTCGGAAACCTGCACACCACCATTTCCAATGACATAGCATGCATGGTGCTTGACATTGAAGAGCGAGCTGAGATTCTGGACGAGTTTGTGTCCAAGCTTACCAGAGGTCAGATTGAGTCGGTGGAAGAGGCCAAGAAGAAGCGACAGGAGAGATTGCTATACGAAAAGAGCAAGGCTGCGCATATCGAACGGAAGAAGGCAGAATGGGGCATTGAAAAGGGCAAGAAGAGGCTGGACAAGCAAAATAGGGATCTGGATAGAGAGGTCCAGAAGCTCGGTATGGGAGGGCTCAAGAGCCAGTTGAAATAGTATTTATAGTAGAACATGGAACCTATTGACGGTGCTTCGTATACGTATAAGTTAACACAAACAGTATTACTTGTACCAATTTTTATTTCAGTTAATTGCGACACTACCCAAAATCGAACTTCTCTCCACGGCAGTTGGGAAACTCTCGTCCACTTCATTCATGCACGGCGGGGTGCACCTCTTATTTTCATCATCACCCACCCTTGGATACATACCAAATGCCGCCTAAACTGTCCTTTCTGGACATGCCTGCGCCGGCCGGGTACGTTCCCGGTCTTGGACGAGGCGCCACAGGATTTTCTACGCGTGCTGATCTCGGTTCAGCCCACCGAGCGACAGATACCGATATCCCAGATGATCCTGAGCGGTTCAGAGACCCTGATGATGCCGGTATTTTGGGCAGAGAGAGCGCGGATGCCGACGACGAACTCGCCGACGAAATTTACGCCCAGATCGATGCTCGAATGGAGGAACGAAACAAGAAACGGCGCGAAATCAGAGAGGAGAAGGAGCGCCAGGAGGAAGAGAAACAGGCCACAATTGGAGGGATGTTTGCGGACGCGAAACGGGCGCTGTCAGAGGTGAGTCACGACGAGTGGCTGAATCTGCCTGAGAGTGGTGACCAGACTCGAAAGAACAAACGAGCTAGAATCGAAGCGAGGGAAGGGCTTAGAAGCTACAACATGAGTGATTCAGTACTGGAAGGACTGAGAGGACGAGCGGAGATTGGCGCTCATGTGACTGAAACAGACGATGGAAGCGTTACTCATATCAAGGCGATCTCAGATGCTCGTGACAAGATTTTGGATCTCAAGCTGAGTGGAAGAGAAACATCTACCAGCATTGATCCGAGTGGATACCTCACATCTCTGAACTCGGAGAACTCGCAGTCAACTTCAGAGCTGGCAGATATAAAAAAGATGACACCGTTTGTTGAATCGCTCATTCGAAGTAACCCCAAAAACGCTGCTGGATGGATTGCAGGTGTGAGATTAGCAGAGCTCAAAAAGAAGCCTTCTCAGGCAATTCAACTTGCTGCTCAAGGATGTGAGAACTGTCCCACTAACGAGGATGTCTGGCTGGAAAGTATTCGAGTCAATGATATGGTGAATGCTCGTATCATTGCTGCACAAGCTGTCAAACGTCTCCCCGAATCGGTGCGTATCTGGGAGGCTGCAGCTGACTTGGAAACTACTGAGGAGGCCAAGAAACGAGTACTTCGAAAAGCTCTCACATCCGTACCGCAATCTGTGCAGCTGTGGAAGCAACTGGTCAACTTGGAGGACGAGGAACATGCCAGATTGCTTCTTAGACAAGCTGTGGTGAGTGTTCCTCTCAGCGTGGACCTGTGGCTGGCTTTGGCTCGTTTGGAGGACCACAAGGCTGCTGAAAAGGTGCTCAATCGCGCCAGAAAGGCTGTTAGAACTGCTCCTGAAATATGGATTGCAGCAGCTCGTCTGAGAGAACAGGTCAATGGAGCACAAAAGGAGGTGGACAAAATCATGAAGAAGGGGGTTTCGGAGCTGGAGTATCATGGACGAGTGCTGTCCCGTGAAGAGTGGCTCACTCAAGCTCATATATGTGAGAAAGAGGATGCTCCGTTGGCATGCGGAGCTATCATTCGCGCTACTGTGGCCCAGGGAATTGATAAGGAGCCAGAACATGTTCAGATTGACACATTATTGGAAAGTTCACGCGATCTTAGCTACCCCGTTACTAGCAGATCGGTCTTGGAATTGGCAACTGAAATGTTCCCTTTTTCCGAAAAGATTTGGCTCACCTGGACTGCCCTGGAGAGGCGTCTCAACAGTGGCGATCAGCTGTGGAGTGTTCTCGAGAAGGCAGTGACCAGCTGCAAAAAGTCTACTCAACTCTGGCTCTACTATATTCGGGAAAAGTGGCACCATGGCAAGTTCAAGGAGTCACGTGAGATTGTGTCACGTGCTTTTGAGGAGGTTGGCCATGCGCAGGAGATTTGGCTGGAGGCAGTCCAACTGGAACTTGAAGTCGGGCAGCCAGACAGAGCTAGAGATCTGCTAGAGAAGGCACGTGACGTTGGTGTCGCACGCGAGACATTATGGGTCCGGGCTGTTCGTCTAGAGCGAGAGCTTGGAAAAGCACCTGCCGCCATTTCTTTGGCTGAGAAGGCTTTGGAGGAGTTTGTTGAATGCGATGGATTGTGGATTGAGCTCGGCAAGGCTAAAACCGAATCATCAGGTGTGCCGGAAGCACGTGATACGTACATCCAGGGCACCAAGAACTGTCCCAAATCTGTGGCCCTGTGGATCTTGCTTGCTGCTGCTGAAGAATCCCGTGGTGTTCAAATCCGAGCTCGGTCTGTGCTTGAACAGGCTGCTCTGATCAACCCTTACAATGAAGAGCTCTGGCTGGCGCGTGTTAGACTGGAATTGCGAGCTGGAAATATTGCGCAGGTTAAGGTCCTCCTCTCTCGAGCTTTGCAGGAGTGTCCCCAAAGTGGACGTCTCATAGTGGAGAGCATTGGACTCGAACCTCGGTCTCACCGAAAGTCCAAACTTGTCGAGGCAGTCAGCAAGAATGAGAACGACGGCTATATTCTCGTGCTCCTGGCCAAATCTCTCTGGTTGCGTAACCAGTTCGACAAGGCATCCAAGTGGCTTACCACGGCTCTGGAGATGGATTCTAACAATGGAGATGTCTGGCTATGGGCCTACAAGTTCTTCTCTGAGCGTGGAGAAGGCGTGGATGAGGTGATTGAGGGTTTCAAACAAGCCGAGCCAACCGAAGGAGAAGTTTGGAGTAGTCTCAAAGATGATATTGGCAACTTTGGTAAGACAGAAGTGGATCTTCTGAAGGAGGGAAGTTCCAAGCTTGACCTTGGAAGTAAGTAACAAAGGCTATGGTAAGGTCACAAGTAGTCATTATTGCATCATAAAACGAATCTTTATTGTGAACATCTCGATTGTATGCTTCTGGGTGTGTCATCTAGATTCGGTGTTTACCGGGTGGACTGAGGGCATATTGTGGAACAATTCTACATTATTTCAATGGGATTTGAACCCTGAATCTAGTCAAATACACCAAATAACGACGATCAATCGAGTTCTTGTTGACTCAAGTGAGTGTTCCACTGTACGCTACATACTGTACTGATAGCTCGTAGTGGTATGAAAGTTCAAGGTCTAGATGGTACAAGTAGGTGTATCATCTTCCACGAGAGCCTAGGTGGTCAGAAGAGTCTCTGCCGTCTCAATGGATACCGCATATCAGACTCAGCAGAAAGCTCCACCTGTGGTAATGACGTCTTAGAGCTCAAACTATGGCGAAAGATTCTTCAGAAGAGATATTGGACCCCGCAGCGGGTGTGAAGAAAATGGTCGACAAAGAGAGTCGACGAATCCTTAGAAACTACAACAGAAGAATACTGATCTACTTGACGTCATCTCTGAATCAATAGTAGACTCTTGCGCAGCGGGGGTGTCAACCGAGGTCCATCGGGTAACAGCATCATAGCGACTCCATTTTCTGTACTGAATCACATGAAACCCACACAGCCCATGCCCACATCTATCATCAACTATATATACATGTTATTCCAAGGTGACGGTGATCTGACCAACTCAGTCACTTGTCACCGGCATCAGGCTTAGCCCGCTGAACGATTGCAACATGCCAATCAATTCAACAATCCATCTGATCCGTAGGCTTGTCAAATTGCCTCCTCAATTACATTCGAGCGAGCAACGAACAAGATGCCAAATGTCTTCGGATGTCGCAAAAGTCCACGTCGTGGGTATCCTCGACCTCTCCCCATCGCTCGACCTGGAACTTGGTTTCCAGACCCACCAGCTCGGCCACCTGGGTGGGGGTGAGCTTGCCCGAAATCAAAAAGGCTCCACAAATAAAGGACTTAGAGGTCAGGGTGGCTCGCTCCAGAGCAGCCAGCTGCCACGGGCTCAGGGTGTAGGCCCACTGTTTCACGGCCTCCTTGTCCTCGGCAGTCTGCCGGTTGCCAAGCAGCCCCTTGTCCGAGTCCATGGACTTGAGGGTCACGCCCCAGAACTTCTCGGCGTCGGCAATTACAGGTCGGAAGTCGTTTTCCTGAGCAGCTCGCAGACGGCCCTGGTAGCTGTCGGAGGGCTCGAAGATGAGGAGAGCGTCGGTGTCAATATAAGGCATAATATCCTTGATGGCGGCGTCTCGCACAGCGGGAGACTTGGAAATGTCAATTGCTCGCGACACCAGCGACGTCAGCGGCACAGAGTGGTTTTTGAGCTTGAGAGAGGGCAGAACCTGCCACTCGTGCATGAGTAGGTGGGCGAGCGGCTTCTTGGTAGCAGGAAGAATCAGATCGTGCTGTCCCATGGTTCGCAGAGACTTGCCCCCGAGAGTCACGGTGATGTTGCCGTTTTCGAGGTCCTTGACAGCCAGCTCTTCCCAGAACCGCTTCAGTCCCTTGACCTGGATCGGAGACACCTTCTCCTTCTTGTCGGGCTGAACCACTCGAGCCAGGCCGCTCATCAGAGGGCCGGCGTTTTCCAGAGACAGGTTGGAGGCGTGCCGAACGGCTTGCTTGGAGATATGTCGCGCCAGCATTTTTTGTAGGCTGTCGTGTATGTGAGAGTGGATGTGTAAGGCGACAGGGTTAGTTTTCGGCCCAAAGTTTATTATGGAAGTAGAAGTGGCAGAAGTTGGTTAGAGGGTCAACTAAATGATAATGATGAGAATTTGGAGAGGATGCTAATCATTGTATGAGTTGCGGAGAATTCTACCCATGAAAATGAGACCAAATTGCTATTAAAAAGACACAAGGAGAAACACAAATAAAGAGCAAGTTTTTCGGGGTGTATTTCAACATCGATTGTCTATCTATTTCCGTAACTTCACTTCAATGCGAGTATCTGAAGAATTTTGCGTGGAGAGAGGATGTGAAAGTAGACTGAAGTCTCAACTATATTCCAAGTATTAAAAGTACAAATATGTAAATAAATAAATAAGCCTAAAAAAACAACAAATACTGCTGATAGGCTCACTCTACATAACTTCTTCATTCAACCAATTGATATCAACCCCAACCAGCATTACATGTATTGAGGAACAGGCAGACAATATCAAGGACGAAAATTCCACTCGTGAAATGCGATACCATTTACAATACCAGGCAGCATAAGAACCCAACCACATACAACGCCGTTTTGATTGAATGATATCGTCTATACGGTCCAGTCTCTCCGGGCTAAACATCATTACATGCTCATGAAGTTATTTGGAGTTGATAGAAGGCATTTCAATACTATCCAGACTCGTTCCTCTCTTCTACACGCTCAACTCGAGCCTTCACCAACGAGAAGGGAGTTGAAAGATCCGGGGTTCTCTACATGTCCATTCTGGTCCTACCCAGGTCCTCCTACCCAAGCTGGTAGGAAACAAAACATAAATGTGTTGGGGAAGACAGAAAAAGTCCATGAAGAGCAAACAAAGGCCTTACACGCCCAAGATCATTAAATTCGGCGGTTTGAATAGTCAAACCTCGTCTTTACTAACTATTCAGCACCGCTGAAAAACAATCGGTCCCTTGGCCCAGTTGGTTAAGGCGTCGTGCTAATAAGAAATAGCAATGCTTTGCAACGCGAAGATCAGCAGTTCGATCCTGCTAGGGACCAGTTATTTTTGGGAACCATCTTTCCAGTCACGTGATGCTCCCCACGTCTGTAGACCTCATTTCCATGCCCCGGAAACATCGCCGGCGGATTTAGCTCAGTTGGGAGAGCGCCAGACTGAAGTCATAATCGGTCTCTACAAGTAATCTGGAGGTCCTGTGTTCAATCCACAGAATTCGCAGTGTTCAGAATGTTCTCGTGAACATTCTTCCTTTTTCACCCGTACTTCTAGGGTGTTTTTTATCACAATTTGTGAATGGACCACCGGCACCATCTTCCAAACCGGAACAACGAGCAAAGCAGGTACCGTAGGGTCCTTGTGAGAGGGGATATACTCTTTCTGAATGTCTTATTCATATATATTACATGAACAAAGTTGTATTACGAACTGCTCGTTCTCTATACAGCACCCCAATGGGATTTGAACATTTCCCTCTGCATAGCTGAGGTCTTGGTCGGGGATTGTAATGTTGTGAGAAATGTGTTTCTAAGAGATAATGGAGGAGTTATACGGTATAAAAAGATGAATTTCTACAATCCTCTTGTGTTAAATAGATTGTAAATGCTCTTTTTCTTGCAGCTATCTCTCAACTGTCAAAATCCAGAATGGGTGAAAAACATACTCTGATTATCTGTTGAAAAGCTTAGAACGGAGCCCTCCGTTACAAGCAGGAATGGGAAAGCTGTCACCGTGAACAAAATAACCCCAAAAACAATTTCAAAGAGAATTGCAGCACCCAGGATTCTCGTATGGTCTCCCACTACAATACTAACTGGGCTCTCTGGTGCTTGACTATGGCTGATCGGACGGGAAGCCGTATTTTCACCAGGATATGGCCGCAACTGGACTCCACGAGGATGATGCGTCTCTTGCAAAAAATATATATGTCACGTGACCTAGAATGAAAAAAAAGTCACTGTCATGGATCATTAAACCACTTGGAAGAACCGAATGAACATGGTGGTCATGTCGTCAATGCAGCAATCGTCTACTTGTAGAATGTTCAACGGTGCCTAGGTCGATTAGTTTACCAGGAATAGTCGAGAAAAGCTGTGTACAGTATGAACTATCACCCGTTATTCTAGGCGTTATCCAACTACAGTATGTACAGTATGTACTCATTTACCATGTGGTAAGTCGACTTGAAGCAACACCAAGCTATCAGTTTCTATCTTTGGTGATTCAAATAACATGCTCAGTTCAAATGAAAATGAAAGAAAAAAAAGTTTCCCGATCAGATTTTCGGAGAATCGGATTTTTGAGTTGAAGAATCGAGTTTTAGGAGAATCCGGTTTTTGAAGAATCAAATTTTGGAGAATCGAAATTTTGAACTTTTTTTCTTGATTTTTTTTGTTCTTGATTTTTTTTTTTCTTGATTTTTTTCTTCCTTGTGACCAAAGGGTAATAGGACTCTAGTCCACTTCTCTTCAAAACCATTTTTTAATCCAGAGCGCCTACTTTTTCTCGAAGCACCACTCGGACAATGACTACAGTAATCTCCACCCACTTCAGGGTGTCTATGGACTGTCTATGGACCCTTGTTTTGCCCATGTGCCTTGACATAATAATCTGTTTTTCCCAATCCGGAAAAAACATAAGCATATGTAACGATAAGGGAGTCAGGGAGATGAGAGAGGGTGGATGGGATGTGTTTGAACAGGTTCAGTTGAATAGGAGGAATTCCATTCATTTGTACCATCTCCATTCGATTCTTGAAGCCCATGAACAAGTCGTACTGCAACATTCCCACAATTGAGGCGTGAACAAGAACCTCGTAGGGCCATATAAACAGCGCTACTACCATCTTAAACTGGTCTAAAAGCGCACTAAACTCAAGTAGGACCCCTTCTTATGCTAAGGAAATTAAGTCTTTGTCAATAGGGGTATCGTGCTATTGTTCCTGAGTGCCTGAGTGCCTGCGTGAATGAGTTGGGCGTATACTGAGCTGTATCCTGGAGTAGGATGGGTAAGGGACCAAAGTTGTACTTTGAGAGATCAAACATCAGCAGAAGACGAAAAGGTTTATATATAGCGACACTTGTCCCTTCATCGATCTCCCCGCCTGGGTTGACAAGGCTACCATGACTTCCGCATCTGGTGAAGGACCCTGCAAGGACCCACGTTGTAAATACAGGAGGCGTTAATTTTAGCCAGCTGATACGGAGATTTGGGTGATATTGAGAGAAGAGGAGAAGAGAACACTGCTGTAAATTCGATTTCCAAGTCTGTACGTTTTTCAACAGACAATATCAACCCACCCTGAATCTTTCGTAGGGCCCCCTCGCATCATCTTAAGTTAACATCTCCGATGCGTGTCTATCACCAGCGCAAATCTCCACCAAATGCTGTCAGATACGGTTTCGTTCATGCTTCGGCAAGGTATGGTATCCTCCGAGCTAGCCACAAACGTCTCGCTGGGGTCTGTAACTCGTGGAGATATATAACCGGGGCTCTCGTCCTCAGGTTGAGCAGATACAATACAGTACAAGCAAGTGGCAATGCGCTTTTTGGTCACGGCTGAACAGGCCAACACGGTTCTGGTCAAGAAAGGAGAGACGGTTCGTCGTTTGGAAACATCTCTCAACGTCAAGCTGAGTCTGTCGTCGTTCAAGGGCCAGTCGGATCGAGTTCTCTACATCACAGGAACCGCTGAAAACAGTAGCAGGGCAATAGGAGCTCTGGTACGGATTTGGAGTGACGATACAACACCATTTGCAGTTCGAATGCTCATTCCAGAGCCACTGATGATCAAAGTGGTCGGGTTTCGAGGAACATCCCTTCAAAGACTTCACATGAAAAGTGGAGCCAAACTGGAGGCCCAAAAAAGACGCCTGCCTGGCTCGACTGATAGATTGCTGGTCGCTACAGGCGTGGCAGACACTTTGCATCGAGCTGTGTACTTCACTGCCCTGATATTCGAAGACTACAAGTTTCTACTTCATCGAAAATACCCATCTTTGAGAAACTACGTGCCTGCTGGTAAGGTCGTGGAAGAGAAGCCCTTTCGGCAAATGATGGTGCTAGTCTGCGATTCGGACTACCTGGAGAGGCTGAAGAAAGGCGAGCTGAAGGTGGACGTTAACAAGTTGCAGGTAGTTGGTTAGTTCTACGAGCATATCAAGAGTCATAGTTATAAATTAGTCATTGAGTGTCCCGTTGGCAGTAGTAGCAGTGCAGTGTACCGACATAGGTGCAATTGGCGATATTGCAACCCTAGAGCGATTTAAGAGCTACGGGAGGTTTTAGAGGATTCTGATACGACAATAGGTCTGAAAGTCACATGTCTCCCTGCCAGTTCACGTGTTTCTAGCGCTTATGACCAACCAGTGTAGCTCGTCCATGTGCTTCGGACAAAACCACAAGAACGACGCATTCCACAGTCTCAATGTCATTGTTTGGTTTTTTCGTTACAAACGTGAGTAGAGAAAGATCGTGCAGCGTTACTGTCATCTTTTCTTACGTTCACTCTTCTAGAGTCCATCTCTCTATCTTACATTAGTCCGAACCTCCACCACGACTACTCGTCATAGAGAACAGAAATAAGAGTTGAATTCGGCACAATAGCGGGCTCGATCACAACATAACCAGCTCTATGGCTTCCATCGTCCAGTTACTCGGCCTGGCTCATCTTGCTCAGTGTTTGCATTTTTCAACCAATCATTCTGATTATTAATCCATGGGTTCCCTGTGTTGAACAATGACCCTGGAAGCGGATCAACATACCGAAGTGGGGGTGGCGAGATGGAGGGGTACAAGAACAGTACATACTGCACCACCTTAGTGGAGAAATACCCCGGACGACCGAGGGCGAGTTACTAAGCGCATCACGTGACCAGAACTGGGCCATGATTCAGGTGACACACACCCATTTTCGACGCGCTAGTTTCTCATAGGTGTCAATGTAACGGTTACAATGGTTAATAGAAAAAAAGGTGGGGGCTTCCCTTTTAAGCCTGTGGGGTAATGAAGGCTAATTTGAGTGTGAAAAATGGCTGTCGGGTGTAACACGAAATCTCCGAAATGGCGTTTCGAAACATCCGAGAGGTGAAAGACAAAAGTTTTCGAAAATGGTGAGTGATTCTTAGCCGATTTGTATACTTTTGCCGTTTTCCTTTCTGGCGATTTTCTCAATTGCGCACATTACTCGGAATAGCATGGGGTGCTCCTCATGTTTGGCTCAACAGCTAACTCGCACAATCATATGCAGTTATCTCCGCGTTCTGCAGGTCCTTATAAAAGTGACTACATATATACAGACACGTACACTCCCATCACCACCAGGCTATCTCAGCTCAGCTTGCGCACCATGGAATCACTCGTCGAGGCTCGAAAAACAATTGGAAAATGGGCGCTGACGTCCTTCTTTGAGGGTCTGTCGGCTGCTGGAAAACTGCACCCTCAGAGTGATCCCAAAAAGCACGGAGTGGAGGTTGTGAGTAACATCCGGTACCGCGAGACCTCGCCACCGCAAAAGTCGCACTACCACCTGCTGGACGTCTACCGACCCATCAAGCGAGACGGACCTCTACCCGTGGTTCTCTATGTCCACGGAGGAGCCTTTCGAATTCTCTCAAAGGACACGCACTGGATCATGGCCCTGGCGTTTGCCCGAAGAGGATACGTGGTGGCCAACATTAACTATCGACTGGCTCCCGAACGCCCCTTTCCCGCCGCCCTCGAGGACTCGTGCTACGCCTTTAAGTGGGTCATCGACAACATTGCAGACTACGGAGGAGACGTGTCACAGCTGGTGCTGGCTGGAGAATCGGCTGGAGCCAATCTTGTGACTGCTCTGTCCATCTGTGCCACCTACGCGCGACCTGAACCGTACGCTCAGATGGTCTTCAACACCAACGTTGCTCCCAAAGTCGTTCTTCCCGCATGTGGAGTGCTGCAAGTGTCAGACGTGGACCGGTTTGCACGTCAGAAGGATATCCCCACCTGGGTCGTGGACCGACTCGAAGAGGTGGCGTTTGGATACATTGGACGCAAGGCCACAGCTAACGTCGGAGACAGGGACACAGAATTGGCCAACCCGCTATTGATTCTTGAGTCGGACGTGGAACCAGTACGACCCCTGCCTGCGTACTTTGCCACCTGTGGAACGAAGGATGTTCTTATCTACGACACCAAGCGGCTCATCCCCGCACTGGAGAAGCATGGAGCAGTTGCAGAGGCCATCTATTACCCCGGAGAGATCCACGCCTTCCATGCCTTGTTGTTTAGAAAGGCCGCAAAGAAATGTTGGGTTGACCAGCTGCGTTTCACCAAGCGAATTCTCAACAAGGACAAGGAGAAGGCAAAGTTGTAGACAGAACAAGTGAATCACTTGTAGGTATCTATCTAATATGACTAACATGCTTTATAAGACATTTAATAAGAGTCGGGTAACGTTTTTACACAGCTACTCAACAGTGCTAATACTACAGTCACAACTGAAATACAGTACTAAAAGATACACCATCAAGGTGCTATAAATAAATAAATCTCTATGAACACAATCAAAAGTGATCCTGCACTCAGGGACAGCATTATCACAGAGTCATCCTCTGAATCTCTTCGCTGGTATCTTGAACCTGTCGGTTGCTCCTTTTGGCTCCTGTGGGACTAGCAGACATTATGGGAGAGCTCAGACCAGGAGAAACAGCTCGCCTCTTCAACACAGGGTCGTAATCACCAGCTACTCGCTTCCGCTTAGGCCGAGCGGTATCAGAATCCGAGTGCTCATCAATCACATGTTCAAAGTAATCAACGTAATTTGGATAGGGAACGTCACGTGCAGGAAAGGCAGCTGTATCGCGGGACATGCCACTCTCCTCTACGGCATCCTCACGCAGCGCACACGTGATTGCTGACTCGTGGCGCATTTCCGAGTCCAAAGGTGCATTTTCCTCGACTAGATCACGTGAGATACGCAGAAACGACTTGGGTTTGGGCTTCATGTTCTTGCGGTTGTTGGCGGAAACCATTCGGATGGCCATTTCAGGCAGCAAAGGTGACTCGGCAGGAGAAGTTGCTGCTAAAGAGGGAGAGCCAATAGAGGGAGTGATGGGGGGATCACGAGGATGAAAGTTGTCACGTGAGTGGAACGGTGAATGCGAGTCACGCGATGCAAAGGGGGAGTTTGAGTCACGAGGTGCCTGGAAGTCGCCCCGGGAAAAGGAGTCTCTTCGTAGCCCTGGATGAATGGTCTCACCATTGGTGTTGATGCGAGAAAGGAACGGGTCACGAGACAAGTCACGTGGGCTCGGTTGAACCAGTGCGTCTCGTGACGGCGTACTTAGTAGGCTTGGTCTTCGGCTTCTCCCACCTGTTCCTCCACCCCATTCCTCCATAGTTGGACTTTTTGCAAAGCCCACTTCTGAGATGCTCGATCTTCTGCTTGACGATGCACTGAGCGATGATCGTCGTCGTAAAAGTGTTGGAAGCACCGGAGTAGGGTTTCTGCCCCGGGTGTCGTTTTCACTCTCGTAGTAGATGCTGGTGGATGCGTTTGTATCGTCACTGCTATCACTGCTGTCGCTACTTGAGTCGTGTAACGCCTGGGGCGTTTTTGTGTTTCCCAGAGAAGACACGGACGACGAAGACGTGTGTCCAAATAGTTTCCCGTGCAGAGGGGTGTTTTGGCGGCTGGGTATAGCTGGGGTCGGTACTGGAGTCGAGGCTCTGTCCATTTCTATGGGGAGTTGGTTTGCGGAAAAAAGAAGTCGATGGACGTATTTGTGGCGCTAATTTCAGTCGGGCTAAAGGCGGTATGGTTGGTTTTGAGGACTGGCTGCGGTTTTTGAAGCTGCTGGAGAAATGGGTCTGCTACGTAAGAAACGTGATGTTGCACTGATATTTAATATGCATGTGGGGCATTTAAGGTTGGTAGCATTTAGTGGGGGAAATAGTAGGAGAAATAGTGGGGGTGCACGATAGTGTCTGAAGAACAGTTCAAAGAGATGCTAGAGAAACTGTAGACGTTTAATATTGTAATTATTGAGTCTAGTTATCTCTAAATGACCAAATTCCAGCTGGATAAGTTGTATTTTCGAACAGAAACATAGACATACAAAGGCACCCTCATATGTATATTTAGTTAGCTTTGTCCAATCATTTAGGAGTTTTGTTAATAGCGTACTAGGTCATGAAGTAGAATTGTCATGTCCAACAGGGTTTGCTTCAATTCCTGAAGGAAGCCCAGATGTGTTTCTACGATGGACAACCGCCAGCACTTCACGATGAGCGAGAGTAGCGACAGTAGCAAGCGTAAAAGGCGGCCGAGGCCACCGAGAGAACAGCGTAGCAGGGCGCGTAGTCACCACAGGGGACGCAGAACCAAACCAATGACGAAGAAGAACCACAAGGAGACGTTTTCAAAGGCAATGCAAACGAAGAGGGCAATGGAAGGATTGAGATTAGAGAACTGGAGACTGGAGTGGCGTTTTCCCGATGAACGAACAAACACGCGAAGCTATGTGGACCAACATACAACACGGACTGAACCAGGTTTTTTTATGATTTTTTTACTGGAAATAGGTACGTGCCAAGTTGGACCATGACACTAAACGTGTTTAATTAGTAATATTCGTGTAAGCGTACATTCATTTCAAAGGTTATTCTTTCACAGCAAAGTTATAATTAAATGAATGTTTATGCAGAAAAAAAAAAAAAAAAATTGTCGACTATTGACTGGACAATTACCATAAAACATCTACAACTAGTAATTGTTGCTACCTGGCCAGTGTAAGACAACTGCTATGGAACTTCATAGAGTATTTCAATCAGTATATTTAATTTATATTCTATGAATGAAGCGGCTGTATCACAATAGGACACTGTAGATAGGTGTGCATGGTATGTACCTGGAGACAGGTGATGTTACAAGTCTTCCCTTAGGTCACAGTCGTGTCGTTTCTGCCTTCCTTTCGTAGAGGTTATCTGAAGGCGACGTTTCTTATCACGATTGCACGTCTAGTACTCCACCCACTGAACCAGCTGCTTCTTACCTCCGCCCTTCTGAGCCTTTCCAAGGGCGTCCAAAAACTCGGACAGAACAACGTCGTTACCCTTGCTGAAGTCCAGAGTCGAAATGTTAACGGGAGGAGCCACAAACTTCTTTTCTCGGTAGAACTTGAAGATGTTCTCAATGGTCTTAGCCTTCTCTTCAGGGTGCTTATCGGCCCATCGAGTCAGCCAGTAGCCCTTGGCAGTGATGTCCTTGAAGATAAAAGGGCCAGTGGGGAACGTAAGAGGCTTCTTAGACATGCCTCCGTAAGTGACAATGGATCCTCCGGCTCCCAGCTGTCGCATGATGGAAGTGGCGCTCTTTCCTCCAATACAGTTGAGAGCCAGCTTAATCTTTCCGCCGGTCCAGGACTTGATCTGCTTGGAAAACAACTTATCCGAGGCCTCCTCCTCAGTGATTACGTGGGTGGCGCCCAGATCGGTGAGTTCCTTCTTGAGCACTTCGAGATCAGGACGATCTCTGACCACAGAGATGCTCTTGAGACCTCGGATGTGGCCAATCTGAATAGCTGCTCGCCCAACACCGCTGTTACCACCGTTCTGAATGAACCAGTCGCCCTCCTTGAGGTCCTTGAGCATCTCGTAAGCAGTAGAGGGGTTAACAGACACAGTGGTAGCCTGCACCTTGGTGAGATCAGTGTTGTCAATCTTCACAACGGTGTCAGCCTCCACCAGAGCATGTGATCGCCAGGTTCCAAAGCATGTCTTTCGAGGAAGAACCCAGTCGCCCTTCTTCAGTCCAGACTTGGCACCGGGATCAAGCACCTGGAACAGACCCTCGTTGCCTCCAATAGCAGCGTCTTCGTTGTTGATCTGGACGGATTTGGGAGGCACAGAGGGATAAACGCCCTCCAATTGGTTAATGTCAGCCGGGTTGATAGTGAATCCGAGCGACTTAAGCAGCACCTGGTTCTCCAGAGGCTTCTCAATGGGATACTCCAGCACCTGGATCACGTCCTTGGGCTCGCCAGTTTGGGAGAAGACAAACGCCCGGCCAACGGAGTTAAATCGCAGACCAAAAGAGGGCGTTCCAAAGCCGGATCGTGCCAATTGAGAGGTTCGAAGTGTTCGTAGCATGTCGTTTGAGTAGAAGTTGTAACCAGCTTGCTCGTTGCGGAAATTTAAAAGTGGATAAGAGATTGAGTTACCCTTTTCCAAATGAGTGATGAAAGATGAAGACGAGTGTATAATGGGGTATAGAATCGAAGATGAATTTCTGAATAAACCATTTTGTTGTAAATTTCGTCATAAATTGATTTGTTTGTTTTTCCCGCCAAAATAACTCCTTTTTTTACCCTTTTTAACTGACCGCCTGACCCATAAGGTTCTCAATATAATGGTTGGGGTACATGCAGAATTGTGGAGTGAGCAGCCAGGTGGTTTTGTCGTTTCTCAGAAGAAGAAATGAGCACCTGAACAGGCCAAATAGACAAATAAATTACTGGTCGCAATTTCTGCCATTTTTTTCGACTTTATTCTATATACCAATCCATATCTCTCCATTCGCAACATCACCAAATGTCAACGTTCGGAGCAAAGCCGGAACTCTATTTTTAGACTGAATCTTTGGGTGAAAAAATCAGCTGGTTATGTAAGCAAAGGTACAGTAATGCACTGGCAATTTGAGACGATGAGCTGCTCTTTGTCTCAAGGAGCTGTGCTAGTGAGTCAATCAAATCATCAGCTGATATGTGCTGATATAACGTTATAAACTGAGCAAGACCCCGTTGAAAAGTTCCCAAGTGAACCCTGTGCCGACTGCAACTACGCCTTGTATCGAAGACCCCTTAGATCTATAAGTAGAGTGGCGTGTTTGACCGGTTCTGAAACATTATTGCTGCAGCGCTCGTATTCGCTACCCGAGACAATGGGTTTACAAGGGGAGACAGTAGTGTAACTTTCCTCGAGGAGGAGGCTAGCGCAGTGAGTGGTGTTCGGGTAAGTATTCAGAGAAGAGGTTGGTTTTTTGGATATTGAGCAATTGGGTTAATTGTGTAGTATATACTGTAGTTAACTGTTGACTCGGTATTGACCTCTGAACGCAGTTGCCAAACATAATCTCCTCTTGACGGAAGTCTCAATGTGAGACAGACAATCATAGAAGTGTATATATGTTAATTGGAGAGCAGAGTTGAGCGTCGAATCAAGGGTTTATATCCTGATCGAAACCATCAGGGCCATGGGTCTTTTCCAAACTAGAACAGTCGTACGGTACGTCTCTGTACAGTCACTATCAGATCACATTGTAAAAGTAGGCTTCTTGTCAGCTCAACGTTATTGTCCGAGTTCAAGAACTGAGACTTGCAACCACAATTAATTGTGATACTCTCCTTCGTTCCTGTGCACTCACTCTACCAAGTATCTACATTCGCCTAGAGCTTCTGAATACAACAATAAATCATTACTCAACGTTAGACAAAGGTCACTCTAGCGACTTCGTATGCAGCTCTGGGGGGACATTTTAAAACTTGACCTTGGAAACGGTCTCGTAGAAAGCCTTGCCCTGGCCCTCGTGCATGTCGAGCTCGAGCTTGGAAGGCTGTCGAGAACCATCAGAAGCTGCGTAGGCTCCAGCTCCCCAAGGAGAGCCACCGTGGACCTCCTGGAGGTTGGTCTGTAGGGCAAAGGTGTTCTTGTAGCCCAGAGGAACGTAGATGAGGCCGTGGTGAGCCACAACAGACAGGCAGTTGAGAACAGTCACCTCCTGTCCTCCTCCGGGGGTTCCGGTGGAGACAAAGAAGCCAGCATACTTGCCGTGGAGGGCGCCGGAGGCCCAGAGACCACCGGTAGCGTCCCAGAAGGACTTCCACTGGGCAGGCATGTTTCCAAATCGAGTGGGAACGCCAAACAGGAAGGCGTCGTAGGTTGCCAGAACCTCGGGGGTCATGACGGGGTCATTGGCAGGGCCGGGGGCGTGGAGAGCCTTGAGGGTGGCCTCGTCAAGGGTCTCGGGGATTCGGAAGATGTCAGCCTGGCCACCGGCGGCAACAATGCCTCGCTTGATGGCCTCGGCGAGGGTTCGGACGTGGCCCCAGGTGGAGTAGTAGATGATAGCGATCTTGACCATGTTTGTGTTTGTAGTGAGGATTATGGGAGATGATGGAGGGGCACTACTAGGGTGACAGGTGGTCTATATATGTCTTTTGGAGCTCCATGACGTTTGTGTTATTACCAATTATTGGTGGTTAGGTTGGGTTGCATTTTGGGAGACTTTCGAGAAGGGGCAAAAGTGGTCGGATCTGGGCGGGAAAAGGCGGAATTTGGGCAGAATCTGTCCAGGAATCGATTGGTGATATCAATTCCCGCGCCAGCCGGCTTTTCACACTCGTTTTCACCTTCCCATAGTGACACGTTGAGACGTTGAAAATAAGCTCCCACCCCAAACCCCGTTTGGGTCGCTCTTAGCATGTCTGACTAAAGGTGCATTAGTGGTGATAAATAGAAACAAAAAAGAAAGGCGGGTTTGGGGGAAACGATAGGAGAGCTGCCGCAGCGACTCTGGGTTAGGTCTTGCAACGCCCACTTGTAGTAGGGTGGTAATTGTATAGTCGGGGTAGGGTTAGGTGTTTCACTTGAAGGAAACGTGCCCAATGTGCCATGTTGAGGAGGTCTACTATCGTCGGATTCGTTAGGTCTGTATAGTCGTGTTGGCGATGCGGGAGTTCGGCACGATTAGCGAAAAGAAAAAGGCCCGAGGCTTTGTCTGGTACAGTAACTCGTAGTTTCACCGTTGGTAGATTGCGCCATCGGACGTTGTACGGTTTACAGGGGTACAGTTTGGTGACGACGACTCCCACCGGCCGTCAATTATCATCATGACCAAATCTGTAGTCAGCTTGAATTTGGGTTCGGATGCAACGGGCAGACGCGATGATAAAAGTGGATGATATCATGGACATGGACCAATCTGGCACTGTATCAGCCGTCAATCTGATGGACTAAATGTCAGTCTGGCTGGACCTGACTATTTGAGATGTAGATAAGACTAGCATTGACAAACTAAGCGCATGTGATGATTGTGTTGATTGTGGGATCGATACGGGTGCACAACGCTTGTGTATGCATCACCATGTATACTGGATGAGGCTGAGCATTTGTCAGGGTCACGGCCAGATATCAACCATTAGTAATGTTTCTGCATTAGTAAATCGGAGCAATTGTGATTAATCCCCAGAACCAAACCAAAACGCCATCTCTAACTTTCTCACAGTACGTACTTGTACGAACTTGTACACAAGTGCATACGCCGTTATTACGACCGGGCGACTACCACACCCGATCATGAACAAGGTATCCCGTGTGCTGGATTAGGTGCACACCACACGGCAGATTTATGTTTAGGCACTTGTATAACTATAGGGCGAATGGTGTGATATCATGTGACTTGGGAGCTGGGGATGATACGAGACACGGAGTTGGCACAGGCGGCGATTGTGCAGAGCCAAGCGCCGACCTATCTGGTTCCCGCACGTCACGCCTCTACCAGTCGAGATTCTTGGTCTCGCTAATTTTTAAGGTTCCAGAGTCGACTTTGTATATTGGTAATGCGCTGGTAATCAAAAGTCAAAGTTGAAATAAGCTCACAGCCCAGCAACATAAAGACACTGGTGATTGTCGCTGAGTCGGACAGCTCGACAAACCGACCTTTATAATTAACCATGCCCAAAATCGCAATTCTCATCTACTCCACATACGGCCACATTGCCGAATTGGCCCGCAAGGAGGCCGAGGGAGTCAAGGCCGCCGGAGGCCAGGTCGACCTCTACCAGGTGGAGGAGACGCTGTCGGAGGAGATTCTCAAGTACATGAAGGCTCCCGGCCAGCCTCACGATTTCAAGGTTCTGACCCCCGCCGACGTGGAGGTGCTCACGGGCTACGACGGGTTTCTGTTTGGAATCCCCAGCAGATTCGGTTCGTTCCCTGCCCAGTGGAAGACCTTCTGGGACGCTACCGGCGGTCTGTGGGCCACCGGAGGCCTCCACGGCAAGTACGTGGGTCAATTCGTCAGCAGTGGCACCCAGGGAGGAGGCCAGGAGGTACTTCCCCGAAACACCCTCTCCATCTATGTCCACCACGGCATGAACTACGTGCCTCTGGGCTACAAGGACACCTTTGCCGAGCAGACCAACCTCGAGGAGGTACATGGAGGCTCTCCCTGGGGAGCAGGCACATTTGCCGATTCGGACGGCTCGCGAACCCCCTCTCCTCTTGAGGAGAAGGTCGCCTTCACCCAGGGTAAGGTTTTCACCGAGGTGCTGATCAAGGCTGAGGGAGGAGCTGCCGGTGCTACTAACGGCGTCCAGAACGGCGCCCAGCAGAAGACTCTCGACCCCAAGGCTGGAGGAGCCACTGGAAACGATGTCACTGGAGGAGAGGCTGCCGCCGCCGCTGGTGTGGGAGCTGGAGCTGGAGCTGTCGGAGCTGGAGCTGGAGCTGTCGGAGCTGGAGCTGCACCCGCTGCCGGAGCTGGAGCTGCACCCCCTGCTGATGCTGCCACTGCTACAAACACAGGTACCACCGCGGCCACCGGCGCGGCCACTACCGAGAAGGGTGCTGCAGGCACCGCGGGTGCTTCGACCGGTGCCGCTGCCAACACCACTACCGCCAAGCCCACCGCAGCAGCATCTAAGCCTGCCACAACCGAGAAGGCTGCTGGTGCCAAGAAGACCAACCCGGCCAAGGACGTTAAGGAGGAGAAGAGCAAGTGCTGTGGAATCTGCACTATTATGTAGAGGTACTTGTACCGGGAAGGACAGTTGTATAGTGTAATTTTATTATTAATGATGATCATAGCCGTCGAAATCGCGGAGCGAAGCGCAAAGGGATTCCAGCGAGACGCGTACAAGAATTAGGGGTCAATTGAGCTGAGATTAGCATGGCCAGTACCAGATACCAGCCTATATCGATGCGCCCCACCCTCAAACAAGAATACACACCGCAGAGTTTTGTTAGTAAATGAATGAACTTGGCTACTTGTCAATTGTGTCGGAAATGAATATTCGTACTACACAACTTGTCTCCAGATCCTTCAAATAACTCATCCATGTAACTGAGTGATATCTGGACCGTGGAGTTTAACTCTACAAAAGACCATTCTGTTGGGGATATGTACAGGACTTGTGTAAGTACAAGAAATTGAGAGTGTTGTGATTCACTGGAGACATATATAGATGTTTCAATTCTCCTCTTCATCATCCGGCGGTTGACTCATCATCCACGAGTTGCTTCAGCTCTTCGGATCACCCATCGAAAGTTAGCCTTTCCCCGCCTCACTTAGATGTCTTAATGAGGGTTAAATAGATGTCTCATAATGACCCTTCAAAACAGGTTATGAGCAGGTTTGAAAAGCAGAATTCTGATACAAGTACAAGGTACGAGGAGAGTGTCGATATCGTAACTTATTGCGTTTCTTACGTTCCGTACAGTTTTCGCATACAGTTTTTGACCATTGGTCACTACTCCTAACATTAAGTATCCAAGTAACGCCCAACTAAACCCTAACAATGCTTCATCAGTTTGTAAGACGAAGCCCCTGGCTTGAACAAAAACACACGATGCCAGGCAGGAGAAATACAACTTCCTAACATGTCATTACCTATATACAGTTTTCTGGAGCGTGTGGTGATCTGGACTGAGCCTTCAGTAAGAGATGCTGAAAATGGAGACTGTGAATGCATCTCACTCGCTCGCTCCTCACTCTCGATTGAGCTATGTTCCCCTGAGGTACTGTACTCCCGAAGACACACATTTGTTGTCTCTCTTAAGCAAAACCAAAACTAAATCCCATGTCTTTGTCCTCAGTCAGCTCCTGCCAGACATTCTTCTTCTCCTCCTTTTTCTTAGGCAGCTTCTCCAATGCACTCTCCAAGTCTCCCTTGTACTCAGACTCCTCCAACACTTTGACAAACAGGTCGTAAATAGGAGCATCTGGAACGCCTAGCTTGTCAGCCCACAACGCCACCTTCTCACATTGGAAACCAGAGATCTGGTCAGGTTTGTCTCTAAGGAACTTGAGTGCTTCCACGAGCTTCTGACCCCGAGGAATGAAGTTCTGAGTCACAGCAACACACTCTGCATCGCAAACATTGACCACCATATGCCACCAGCCTGCAGGGACATACATGGTCTCTCCTTCCTGACACATACCATGCAGAAAAGGAGGAGAGAAGTTCCCTGTTCCATCATCTTGCTGAGTCAGTCCTTCCATGACGACATCATTGTAAAAGCCTCCCAGAAACCACTCAGCCAGAGAACAAGGAGAAGTCACCTCTGATTCTTCTCCATCAGTGTAAATTCCAGGAGGAGTGACATTTGGAGGAAACATGACCCAATACTTGGCGCCCTTAAGAATCGAGTTCCAAGCACAGGTCGAGTTGGGGTCTTTGTGGAAGGTGGAGCCGGAATTTCGAGGCCCAATGATCATCCACGAGTAGTCCGGGCGAGCAGATCCACATAGAGTGAACAGATCAGTCTTGAAAATGGAGGGAATATAGGGGTCAATATATGTCGATCGGAAGGGCTTCTTCTCAGCAGTATCACCATCAGCTTCCCCTAACTTGCCCTTCATAACCTGAGAGCGACAATCAAACAGATACAAAGGAGACTCATCAACATTGTCCTTCATATAACCCTCATAGACCCCAAGAGGCCAGTCGACGCACTCCTGACGGAAAATCACGTGGCCAAACTTCTCCACGAGTTTCGCCACACTGAACAAATCACGTGACTCCGTCCACGAGCACTGTTCGTTGCCGTCTCCTCGAGGATATTCCTCAGTAAGGATAAACGGTTGGTCTGACTTGGCTTGGAACTGTTCCTCAGTTAATGGTTCACTAATACGTTCAATGTCGAGATTTGTGTGTTTCTTGAGTTGACTAAGACCTCTCTTGATGTACGATTCAAAGTCCACTTGTGAGCACTGGAATGGTCGGTAGAGAAGATCAGAGTAAAGATACGTCTTGATAGAGTCACCAGACGCTGTAGAACCAGGCTCAATGATAGAGCACTTGACACGAGCCTCCTGGTCACGTGAAAGACCCCAATAGCTTCGTCTCCAGGTCCCCTTCCATTCCTTGATCTGTCGTTCATCCTCCACAAACAGCTCCTTCCACAGCTCGTCCTGCCAGGCAAAGGCGTAGCAGAATTTAGAGGCAAAGCCGAAATTTCGAATGGATTCGGCGTCTCCAATTTCACCGACAATGGAGTAAAGTAGAGTGTCAGGAAAGACTACCAGTGCACCCAGGCTGTTTTTGCGCGCTTCAAAAGCTCGTTTTCGTTCTTCGTTAGTTAATAAGAGCACATTTCCCTCGGGACGGATCTCCAGGGGATGTGGAGAGGTCACCAGAGTGTTGTCCAGCTTTCGTTTCTTCGGTAGCTGCATTTCTCGACAAGTTGTGTGTGACGGGGAAGTCTGAAAATTCGAGGTCAAAAAAAATTAAAAAACCAAAAAAAAACTGAAACTTTTAAAGTTTGGATTATGCAGAGAGCTGTAGGGTGATGGGACGGTGATGAGATGGGGTTGGAGAAGTAGAATACGAATATGATCGAGGAAAATCTACGCAGGGAGAAACCAGTGTCATGTGACTGCATTTAAGCTGCACAGATTTCTTCTATCACGAGATGATGTGTGGTTATGTTATGATTTACAGTTCATCTGAATATCAGACCATACAAACGGCATAAAAATACTGGAAGAATGCGTTTGTAGTGAAAGAACTGTGCGATAGGAATACTGTAGAATATATGAGTGTGTACAGTACATTACGTTGATAGTTCACCATTTCAACACGACTTCCCTTGAATAATTCACATTTATCAGCCCTCATTCCTTCACCAACATCAGCAGAGGAAACCCACCTACCCAAGTGGGTTTACATCACCAACGGAAGGTTTCTCCGTTCAGCACCAAAAAGTTGTCTCCATATCTGCCCTTGATAGGTTTGACACGTGGTTGTAGAATTTGTCTCAAGAGAGGTCTCGAAGCTGAGTTTGGAGGCGCACGGAGACAGATGTGAGATGGATGTGCCAGTTCATTTGGACTTGGGAAGGCACATCCTGTCTGCTGTGGAGTAACCATATCACGAATCTGGCAGCTGAGGGCTCGGCAGTTCTTGATAGATGGAGGGAAAATGGCGAGTTTTGCCGAAATGTTCTTTATCTATCCGTCGCTTTTGGGAATCAAGATGGTGTCGATCCGAAACAACAAGATTGTTCGAATGTATGGCTACACGGACGATCTGCGGTTCTCTCAGGTGTTTCTGTTGCATACCAACTTTGAGGTGTCCATTGAAGCCTCTTCGGCGAAGAACCAGCTCCTGGATGAGTTATGGAACTCGGATGCAGTCTTGTTTGTTTCAGCACGTGACCAGGATAGATTCTACTAGTTCTCCTACACCACCGAGGACTTCTTGACCGGCAGAGATGCAAATAACGAGATGGAGGAAAGTTCCAAGAAGGAGGAAAAAGACGGAGAGCTCAAATCGGCATCTAGAGTTGTCTTGCACACGAATCTGGGACACCGCCGCTACCCTGTTCCCTCAAGCTGCGCCCAAAACCTGTGCCAACTTCTCAGAGTTGTGTCCAATTGAATTGGACACTCGACTCCTCTACCTTCCACCGAATCATCAAGAAGTTTATGAGCCAAGGAGGAGATCCAGACGGAAATTGTACTGGTAGTCAGCATCTGGGGCTAGAACTTCGAGGATGAGGGAAGCAAGGATCGATAATAGACTGGCTGAAGAGAGAAAATGCACTTCTTTTGAACTCGGAGACTCTTCGTTATGGAGCTGAAGCATTGTAAGTGCTTTTCTCTGCTAGTCTCTTCATGATCGAGTTCAATAACGGTGAGGTTGGTGTAATTGAGAGCAGTGAGAATATCAATATCACCGGTTACGGATACATACTTCCTACTAAACTCCTTTTCACCTTCGCCTTAATCATTCTGAGAATGTCCGCCCCGGTATGTGTGACATTAGCAGAGACAGCATCCCCAGAAGTCAGTCCATCTCGAACCTGAAACACACTGCAATATTGCTATGCGAGATCCTGAGGCCCTTTGTGGAAGTAGAGCTACGCGCTCTGACTGAAATGACGTTACGTACTTCAGACTCTTCCTTGGACCTTGCACAGAAATGAGCTCTGGACAACCGCAATAGACAAATTGTTAACGCAGATGTCTTCAAGAAAGAGCAAGACTAGACTGTTCCGAAGCTTGCGTCCTACGACCTGTTCTTCACACACCTCCGATAGTCTGCGAACTCCGTTAGAACATTAATCATTGTGCTTCTGGGCGTGTACTGCAGTTATTTGCCTTCTGAAAGTAGATGAAGAGAGAAGAGAGAAAGAGTCACGACGACAGCTATACTGGCTCTTTTACTCTTCGGATCTCTGCTTTGAAAGGTACTTTGAGTGGTTTGGTATGCCCAGATCGTTATCAAACATCCCGGCCAGCACAGATTGTATGCACGATAACATTTTATCGGGGGTTTACCGAACTCATCTGGAAGCTACTGCCACCCAAGTAACAGCTACTGACGACAGATGCATTGGTTGAAGAGAGACGAAAACACGAGACCGTGTCATATCTCACGCGACTACTCTCAATCATGTGAACAAACTCACTGTGCTGCAGCCGTAGTATCGTACATATCATGTTGAGACACGCCGCCATTTTATACGCTCGAGATCAACTGTAGTGTAAATTTCCTGAATGAGATACTAGCCGAGACTCTCTTTATGTGCCACTGTCCAAATTGCTTGCCCACGCACCCATCAAGCATTTCTGGTACCAAGGCCCCAAAGCAGGTTTCGGGGAACGTGTTTTGAGACTGGCAATGCGTGACGTTCGGAACACTCGGAAAGAAAGAAGGTGATGTGTCAAAAAAGTGCAAATAATGGGGTGAAAATATGGGGCATCAAGGGGTTTATATATTCGTCGAGTGACACAAAAACGCAGGAACAAATCACACATCGGCATCATTATTACAAGACACCAAACTCCAACCACACAATACTACAAACAGAAGACAACTATGGCCAACCCCGATTGCCCCATCTGCCACACCCCCATTCCTGCAGAGTTGATCAAAGACCACATCAAGAAATGCATAATTTCGTATGGCAAACGGGTGGCGGGACAAAAGTAATTTATTTGTCAATATATCGTTCAAATGAGTATCGAGATGGTGATAGCTACTCGTACTACCATCACAGTGTCTCTTGTGTTCGAAAGCACAGGTTACACGTGTTAGTAGGTCTTCTGCTGCGGAGACACCTCTGTAGATAACTCCTTCGTAAATCAATTTGCTAATGTCAGTATTTACATGCGTAAGTATGCTTACTCCGCAAGTCTAGTGGCAGAAGAGCTTCTACTAGGAGCCCTACTGTTCATTCCAAGACCCTTGAATCGCCCTGTGGTAGGAATGTTGATGCTGGATTGTGAAGTCTGCAGCCGTGGAGTATTGCTTCTCATCTCAGAAAGGTCCAGAGCCGACGACGATCGACATGTAGGGGGCACAACAGGACCACTCTCAAGATCGACACTCTCGAGCGTCTTCTTCCATCGCAGTCGCTGTGTAAGGCGAGAGAACTGATTGATAATGCCTCCAGTGACCTTGGTTTTGCCAAGTAGGAAGTACACGACTCCGAAAGCTATCACCAACAGAAACACGAGAGGCAGAGACAAGAAACCAATGTCTTCAGAAGTTCGCCCTTCGCCACCAGGAATCACAATAGTGCTTCCATCCAGCATGCTAGGCACGTATCCTACCCCAACCTCTCGATCGTCGGAGTTCTTGGCGGGAGGAACCTGTGAGGACGAGTAAAGAACCATTTTTCCTAGTGTCCACGACAATTCTTGGTCATCAAAGGTCTCCAAGCTCTTGAACGGCGACACAAATGGCGTGTCTGTGGGATCCTCAGATTCCTCGCCAATCATGGGACCGATAGGAACACCAAATCCCTCGTGCAAAATCGTCAGAACCCAAGTAGCCTTGAAACAGGCCACCTGTAGCTTGTCACGAGAGATCTTGTTAAATCCTCCCTCTTCACTCTCAGCAACAATGTCGTCCCAGTCTCGTGAACAATACTCCTGAGTCTTGTGGGAGAAGACGTGGAAGTTGTAGTCCTCTTCTCTGAGTCCAAAAATATCTGCAGAGGTATACCAATACTCGGAAATACCAATGAATTTGGTCATGGAGAAATCCAGAGCGGGGGCATGCACACCGTTAAACAAACAAGGATGGTCTGTACATGGCAAATGTTTCATCAACAGAGGGGAGGCATTAGCCATACACGCTGAGAAGTCACCTCCTCCAATAACCTTGAAATCTCCGTAGTTCATTGTCAGTCCCTTCATCAAACAAGGGTCGGAAATGATCCCTTCAACGGCCGGTAACGTCTCAAGGTACCGTCTACGAGCTTCATTAGCTCCAAAACCAAGCCAGGTCGATACAAACACGTTCCACTCTTGCAGCTGGCCGTTGACACTGCGTAATCTGACCTGATACAAGTCATCCAGATGCCGAGCGGTTTCTGTTGCGTTCGGAACAAAGGCAATCTGAGCTGAAGCTCCTCCCATATCCATGAACCCGAGGGTGGACGATTCAGACAACCGAGACTCGTCATGAGGGTTCTTGACGTCAGCCAGCTCGTCACGTGACTGCAGAGAGGCCAGGTCCTGTGATTCACCTAACGGCAACCTCAGATCACGTGACTTTAGCCCTTCCACCTTGGACACCAAACTACCTGCGAGGTAGTTCAAACCCAGCCATCCATAAAGCCCTTCCACTTCTCCGTCAATGATTTCCACGTTGGGACGCTTAGCACAGCCACCGGCACCAAGATAAAAGCCCGTGTTTGTCGCCAACAGCTCGCACACTGTGTTTAGTAGATGTTCTCGAACAGGCTCATCCAAAAGTCGCATGCCCGCAGTAGCCAGAAAGAAGATGGGTGTAGAAGGAATAGCAGACTTGGGGACATGATCCATCACATGATCCACGAGAGGTTTGACGTGCTCGCTCCACAGCTCGTCACGCGATCTCCCAGCGAAACTGCTGACTCCAGGGAAGATCTTCTTCTTCCATTCCTTTTCCGAGTGCAACTTTGTCACGCTGTTCTGTTCCAGAAGCGACAGCTGGCCGAGGTTTTTCTGCTGCAAAAGCGCGTCTTCCCACGAGTAGATAAAGACTCTTGATCCGGACGAGCCCGCGTCCACAACAACTCCATATCGTCTTTTCGAGGGGGCCATGTTGAAACTGTGTGGTGAGAGTGTACTCCGTTAGAGCCCTTTTTCCTATGATTTATCAGAGCAAAATCAAGTGTCGCTTACTCAAAGTGCTCACTCGTCTTGCAGATCAACGAGTTAATGAGATTGATCCTGCTGGAAGAGAGAGTCGCAAAAGTCGTCGAGATCTACGAAATTTCGTGACGCCGAAGATGAAATGATACTGCTGAAGATGTCTCCTCTTGTACAGTCCGAGATATCGTTCCTGCGGCCTTGGTCACGTGTATGTGTCGTGTACTGTACTGTACAATGGTTCGTATCGTGCCGTGCTGCAGACTGTCGAGTATGCTATGTTATGCTGCCGTGCTAGTTGAAAGTCACGTGATCCGGTCGGTGGTGTCTCACGTGAAATCGTTTGTGTGCGTTCACGTGATCTTAATTTGGCGGCTCCGGTCACGTTGCGCTGTCGTTGGAGGCTCTCACAATGTCGCAGTGTGGAGTGTCAAGCGCAGAAGCTCTCGATATGCAGGAGAGCATGTGTTGCGTGTTTAAAATAAACAGAGTTTCCGTCACGTGACTTTCTCGGAGATGCACGGGGTGCCAAGCTATTGTTTTCGGGTCGCGGTGGTTTCTTTCAATTTCGGCAAGAGAAAAGTGCAAGTACGATATTCTGGGATTATGGGCCATGTTCCATTTTTACATGGACGCTTTTTTTAGTCTCATGTAGCATTGAACCTTAAACGAGGACGTGTATAATTAGAATATTCTGGGACTTGTGGGACAGTATATATATACTCATAATACTGTAGGTATGGAATTGTTAGTTAAGCCAGTCTGGAAGTACAAGTAATTGTACCACTCTAGAGTTCGTTTCAGGGGATCATTTGATAGCTCTTCGCGTGTATAATTCGTTACTTTTACTTGTACAAACAAGTACATACTGTAGCTGGTCTTGCACGGATCGGCTCCACTGGTTGTCGAACAGAAATGGGCAGAATCGGCATTAATCTGAGCCGAAATACAAGCTGAATTGACTGGGAAGTCCCCGAAAAAGAACATTATAATCTTCGTCTAGTGGTGTTGATTATAGACGAGTTGAACTCGTTTTGACAGACTCACACGGTTTCAAGTCCGAGTCCCAGTTTCACATTTAATACGACTCGTGCACTTTTTTTCATGTATTTTATATATATATACATATATATGTATTTCATTGCCCGTTTGACTTCTGACAGCTCGTTTCACGTCGTTTTTCACTCCAACTAAGCTTTAGTAAAAGCGTCACTAATGCACTGCAGTCCTTCCCCCTCCACACATCGCGAGTCTTGCCCTCAGCGAGCTATCGTACCACAGACACAGACAAGCAAGTGGCAGAGAAGAGCAAGTCACGTGACACAAAACAGCCCACAAGTCTTGCAACCACCATACATGTCTCCGACATTGCGTTCGTACCTGCTTTCGATCCCGCCCTATTCAACAGTCGGCTATGGAGGGCCTCGAGCTCAACTCGCCAAGCAGTGGACACAGGAAGGTGGCCATTTATCTGCTTCCGAGTACCGACATTTGCAGTCGATCAAAATCGTCTTTCTCAGCAAGTGCACGCCAATGAATCCAAAACTTGGCGATCCTCCAATCACTCACTTGTACCTGCCGTCACTATGTAACGATGCTCTGCTACCAATAGACGCTCATTTGATCAACCAGCGTCTTTACTCACTTCTGGCGTTTCAGAAAAGCCCTGCCATTGATATCCATGTGCCTGGAGCCGACCTAGATCACGTGATACCTATTCTCGCCACGGAGAAGGAACAGGGCATGACCAACTTGAGACAGGTCTTTGAGAGATGGACAAGAGTGAGACATAGCCAGGTGGAGATTCCCAGCTCACCGGAATTTGGAGGAGATAGTGGATTTCCACATGACTTACCTAGTTCTCCACCGGACATGTGAGTGAGCCTGTGCGGTCAGAACGCGATGAACATGAAGGCATACAGAAGGCCATACAGCTGCTATAAGGCGGAATGTCGCGTGAAAATCAAGTGGGGGACACAGTCTCCCGCTTCATTGTGCGTCATGACTATCGCATACTTCACCTAGCACTTTCACTTGGTGAGCAGGAAGTTTGGCTACCTCATGTGGGCTTCTCTCACAAGCGACTTGTTTACAAGTACGAGAAAAGGTACTGTTTCAGTCTAGTATAGATCTTGGGAAACGGCCTCGCTACTATAATGGGAAGCACAGGAATTTCACAACTGGTTCACATGGCATAGCCTACCACCATCTATGAAAATGACAGAGAGTTTACTTGGTCTTCTTTGAGCCACGTCGTGTGCCACCTCAACCTATGATAGCTGAACCAAACAGGGCGATTACACCCTCCGAACTCGATATTTATTAATTCATTTATTTATTTCAGCAACCCACCTCGGCCTCTCAGCTGGTCAAGCCCGTGGAACGTCTCACATTGGATCTGCAAATAGATTTACATCCAACGAGCTGCATTCCATCTGTTTTGCGTCATCTATAGACAGGAACAATCCCATCTGTTCACTGTAAGAGACTTCGTCAACCAGTCCGACCCGCTACCGCAACAATTGAAGCTACTGGAGTCCGTGGCATCTTCAAGGGTCGTCCAAGGTATTGGAGTCTGGAAAGAAGACTCTGAGGAAATCTCATCTCAGACATGCTCCCACAAGATATTGTTGATGTGATAAACCAACATGAAGACGATCCGAAAACCCAAGGATCGCCCAACCCTGTCTGATCCCGAACTCTGGTCCGTGAGATATACGACTTGACGGTAAACATTGTTTTCGGCTTCAAGTGCTCTCGGATCCCCGCTCTCCATCGATTGGAAGTCAGATTGAGGTCAGTGGAGCGAATGACGACCCAGGACCTTGGAAGAAGGCGCAACTAACTCCCCAGAACACTCAAGTATAGTAGACATGGAGCCCTACTCAACCTCGAGAAACGCGAGCAAGGAGCCAACTGCAACGTAACCCACGTGACGCCGAAAGCAATGACCAAAAGGAGCTGAAGAACGAGCTCAAGATGTCAACACGAACGAATTGCCAAACTGTCTGAGAAAATGGAGAGTAGAGATGATACCAAGACAGGTGCGGCAGTTGCCATCCACAGCAAGCACCACTACAACAGACACGGCTCCAACCTCGATTCAGACTTGTGAATGGGTACGAGAAGCTGGCTGCATGACTGTCAAGCTCATCATAAGTGTGACTACAGACCGGACTACTGTACCGCAGACATGCCAACAATAGACGTACCATGGATAGTGGAGATGATATAAGACTAGGACTTTCTAGACCAACATAGCTACATGCGCGCTCCTAGACACTGATACTCACCCAACTTACTTAGCACGAAATAACCAATAAATTACATTACAAAATCAAACCTGTAGTCTGAAGAGCGACCCTCCCTGATTTCTCCTGAAGCTCCTGGGTCGAAATTAAACACAATCCTTCACGTTAGTCCTCGTCACGACCGCCTAGAACGTCAGCAAGCTCGATCTCGGGGTCCTGACTGTCTCCACTGGCCTCGCTCTGTTCACTCATGCTCTTATCGAAGCTGTCTTCAGCTACCTCTTCAAAGTTGAGTTCAAAGTCGTCAATAGCAGCAAACTTGGCAGCCTGTTCTTCCTCGAACATCTTCAGCTTCTCGGCCCGCTCCTTATCAGATTCACGTGATCGATGTGTGACACGATCGGACTCTTCCTCAGATTCAGACTCCTCGGGCTCTTCGCTGTCAGACTCGCCGTCTTGCCGGTTCCGTTTTCTAGCCTCCGGAAGTAACATGAGATCCTTCTCAATCTGGTCTGTCGACGACGAAGTGTTTGATTTGTCGTCGCTTTGCTCATCACTCACGTGATCCTCCGCGACCTCAGTATATACCACAGTCTTTCGTTGTCGAGAACTGGACCGCCGGGAGGTGGTCTGGTTTTCAACATTGGTGATCGTGGACAGGGGAGTTCGAATCTCGGTGTTGGCGACGACATTTTCGGCCAATTTTTGCTCCACAAGACTGTTTTCGTCCGTAGCAACAGCCTTGCGTTTTCGGGCGGGTCGAGGCATGTTTCTAGCGTGTTTTATCAAGTGTTGTGCAGTGGAGATAGTTGTAGGTGAAAATCACGAGACGCGTTTCAATTAAGTTGGTGTTTTGGGTTTGACTAAATGGCACTGAGCGCGAGCTATCAGGGGGAAATACCAGCCGGGATGTTGAATGAATGGCACCATCGGACTCCCCCGTATCAGGGCTACAACTTGGTATTACTTTTGCAATTTCGATTTTCGGATGCGTCATCATAATTTTCGGATTTTGCCCAGCAAAAGACTTTGACTAAACTTTCAACTATCGGCTTCAGATTAGCTAACTAAGTAGGAAAGAAAACACTCGAAACCACATCCTTGATAATACCTCAGGAAAGAGCTTCACTGGCATGAAAATGGAAAAAAGCCTAGAAATGCTATCTTCAAACACATGTGTAACAATTTGGTTCAATCAGAACGTTTCCATATCTTGATATTTGAATCTCAAAACTGTTCAGTCATCGGAACCCTAATCCACTGAGTCACCATGGTGAGAAAACGGGCAACAGTAGCATGTAACTCAACGTATAACTACGCTAGAGAGATTTTCGAAGAAGGAATCAGGTATATACAGAGCTCCAGATAAATTACCGGCTTTATCCGTGCAATATCTGTCTTGGGGGTCCCACAAGAACCTGTCCAGATGCCAACAGCCAGATTATATCATCACCCGTGAACTTTATGCGGGACATACATACCTCGGTTGATTGAGAATGATGGTAACTAGGTCCATTTTTTGGTCCAAATTGAAATGTTGCAATGCGAGGAGGGTTATAGTCACCTGTATAGCGAGTTTTACAAACCTCACAGCCCTGCACCCCCCACATCACCCCCTACTACAACCCCCACTTTGGCCGTTGAACCTTACTTGTCACTTCTACATAAAGCACAGGCTTCCCCACTTAACATGTCTCACAACACCCCGTCCAACAGGTCTACAATGGTGTCTGAAACGAAACACATGATCCCTGTGGGATCCCAAGGTGCGGAGCTCGCTGGAATTCTCAACGAACCGCCCTCGGCCGTCGACAACCCCAATTTCAAGACCATTTTTCCCCCCAAGGTGGTTCTGATTCTCCATGGCCAAGGAGGACACAAGGACTACTGCTACCAACGCATGTTGGGACAGGAGCTTCCCGGAGAGAATGGCATGTGGACCTTCCGACTCGATTTCCGAGGTTGTGGCGAGTCTACGGAGGATGATCACCACAAACTGAAGGACGTGAACTGGCCCGAGTACAAGGTGACTAAGCCGATCCGAACCATCAAACGGGACGCTGAGGATATCGAGGCGGCCGTGACGTGGCTCCAAAAACGTGGTCTCACCGTTTGTGCTTTGGTGGCACACTCCAGAGGCTGTTTGGCAGCAATGGAGTGGTTCCACAACGGCATCAACGCCAATAAGTTTATTGGTAGTGGCGGAAACACGGTGCTGCCGGCCTTTGTCAATTGCTCGGGACGATACAAGACCCACGAAATTTGGGACAAGCTCAGAGAGGGCTATGGATACACGTGGAAGGAACACAAGCAGTACCGGTCTGTGGAGAACTTTGAGGGCAAGTACACTAAAATGCTAGTGAGCATTGAGGAGCCTACGTCGATTGCAAACACAGACATTCCAGGTCACTGCAAGGCGTTTAAGAACGCAGGAGGACACACACTGACCGTGTTTGGGTCGCGCGATCAGGTGGTCAATGTGGAGGATGCTGGACACTTTGCGAACGCCCTTCAGCCCCGACACCATCTTTCCATCATTCGAGATGCTGACCATAACTTTTACGGTGACGAGTTGCCTGCCGAGAAAGGCGCCGAGCCTGGAAAGCGACCCAAGAAGGTCAATTACAATCCTCGAGTAACCAAGATCATCATCGACTGGCTCAAATCCGAGGCTTTCCACGCCAGAGCTCTCAATGACATGGCCACTATCGGAACTGTGACTCGGTTTAAGGATGTGGATGGTATCGACAACTTTAGAGATTATGGAGGGTTCCAGCTCGATTCGAAAACATCAATCATCCAGGGAGTTCTATACCGATGTGCTGACTTGCGAAGCGTGACCTCTGCTGGCGTGGCTACCATCAACCAGCTTGGAATCAAGGCTGTGTTTGATTTCCGATCGGAGATTGAAGTCACTAGAAACGGTTTTGGCAAGGTAGATGGCACCGAGCGTGTCCATACCCCTGTCTTCAAGAGCAAGGATCTGTCTCCTGAAGCTCTTGCTGAGCGGTACAGAAACTTTCTGGATCCCATTGAGGGCTTCAAGCGTGCCTACGACGAGATTCTGACTGTCGGAGGCCCCTCTTACGAAAAGCCGTTGCGGTTTTTGCTTGAGAACCCCGGTACACCGATGATTGTGCATTGCACCGCTGGCAAGGACCGAACTGGTGTCTTTTGTGCTCTGGTTCTGCGTCTACTTGGTCTGGATCACGACACAATTTCTCGGGAGTACGAGCTGACTACTTTTGGACTCAGAGAAGCTGTTCCTCGACTGATTGAGGCTCTTTCTACCGAACGGGCCGAGTGGAGCGATCCTGCCATGGCGGAGAAAATGGCTAACATGCTGTCTTCTCGGTACGATTGTATGATGCAGGCACTGGATCTGCTTGAAAACAAGTTTGGAGGAGCGGAGAAGTGGATCATGGACAACTGTGGATTCACAAAGGAGGATATCGAGACGCTGAAGAAGAATCTCATTTCTCCTGTGGAGCCTGGGTGGGAGTTGAGCTATAAGATGTAGCAAGGAGGTCCTTCTGAGCGAGTATCTCAGCCCCGTCAGGCATCCCCTTTCACAGCACCTGTATGAAGGTGTACTGTGGTTTAGACGTATACATATATATAATACAGTTGTTAGATGTTAGATGACCGAATTCAGTAGACAATAGATGCGCGATATTGTCCCAGTGTAGTATAGTCTGGGTATAGCCTGTACCCTACGTTATCACAATGCGTCTCACTTCCATCAGCATCGAAAATTACAGTGTAGAAAAAAATTGACATTTCTGACACTTTCAAAAGAGATACTGTAAAAGATGGTACGTACTTGTACCAGAACGACATCATCTACATCAACCACTCTCAACCACGGAAAACGATCGCATAGACGTCTCAAGCCAAGGTTAGGGCTTTGAATGCCACGGAATCGCGCTGTGTAGCGCCACCAAAACGCCCTCAGCACCCAGCACAGACGCCGCACCATGCACCAAGCGCAAATACTCGATCAGTCATTGGAGCAATGCCCAATGGGGCGGCAGTAGATTTGGGCCGTTTCGATCTTGTACGTTTTGGTTGGCTTCGTATTTCACGGGTGATCGACATCCAGTTGAACATTGCTTGAGGCAATTTCCCTTAAACAAGTGACAATTTTTGCACAGATAATTTTTCGTCTTTTCACACCCACTAAATTACCCATCACTGTATTGTACGGTACAGTACGGTGATTATAATTAGTGTGCCTGTGTCAGTGTGAGATTTAAGGTTTTCCAAGTGTCGTGTTTTTCGACTGTCTTGAAGTGGACATTTGGGTTGACTGAAAAGGTCGAAAATTCGAACAGAAGGTTGTAAGTTGGTCGTGAGTATAAATACCACGTTTAATCCCAATCTGGAAGCTGTATCCCGACGTACAGCTCCTCCAGTTTCCAGCCATTCGCCCCCCGAAGTCTATCCTGAACAAACCTCCCGTTCTGTTTAGGTTTGTGCACAAGGTTACCGGGGAAACGGTTGCAAGTGGATACGAGATGTGTGGAGAATCAGGGCGGGTGGGGATGAGGCGGAGGTGATGGTGTTGGCAGAATGGGTATGGTGGTGGGATGGTCACGTATGGGCTGTTATCGGAACGGTGTCAGTCTATTTGACTCGGCTCTGGGCCATCCCACCACCACATCCACGCACTGTACACATTGCTGTACAGAGGTGACCTGCAGTCCGCAAAATATCTGCAAGAGGAAAAGGAGGGGGATATATATATATGTATATATATACAGATCCGAATTGTTTGTGTCATTTGCAAGTCACGACACTGATAATATCACCAGAGCACGACAAACCAAAAATGATCATCACATACGAATGTCAGACGCCAGACAAGCCGTCCACGGTGCAGTTGGCAGGCGACTTTTGCGACTGGCAGCCCCAGAACATGACTCCTGAAGAGGATGGAAACAAGTACACGTACGATTTCGACCCCGAAAGTGGCAAGAAGTACCTGTACAAGTTTGTGGTAGATGGCGAATGGGTGCTTCAGGACGGCGTTGCGACGGCTACCACCGAAGATGGTGCTGTCAACCATGTCATTACAGAGGCCGAGTCCTCTGCTGCTGTTGCCAAGCGCAAGAAGAACCAGAAGAAGAAGGCCAAGAAGAAGGCCAAGGCTGCTGCCGCAAAGGTCAATTCGGATTCCCGTTCGTCCTCGGAACCCTCCTTCACTCCTCCTCCCACTGCCTCGTCCGAGACCACTTCCATGAACGCTTCTATGGCTCTGGATGATCCTCGGTGGGTCATGGTTGATCAGGCAGGCGCCATGGTCATGGATCTGAACAAGGCCAGCGGTGAGTTTGATGATTTGGATGCATTGATCTCTAGTGGAATCGCCAATGGAAGTATCGGTAATGACCCTGTTCCTGTGGTGGATAAGGGAGCCAAAATTGAGGAGGTTGTTGAGAAGGTTGAGCCGAAGGCCGAGGAGGTTACTACTGAGATCGAGGCTGATACCAAGGGGGAGGATGAGGAGGAGGTCAAGGAGGCAACTGCCGTGGATGAAGAGCCTGAGATCAAGACTGATGAAGTTGAGTCTGCTGAAGCCAAGCAAGCAGAGGTTGAGTCTGCGGCCAAGGAAGAGTTTGAGGTTGAGAACACCATCATTGAGTCTGTTGAGCCTGCTAAGAAGGTCAAGGCTGAGCCTGAAGTTGAGGAGGCAAAAACTGAGGTTGAGGAATCTAAGCCCACTGACAATGAAACCGAGGTTGCTGAGATTGAGACTAAGAGTGAAGAGTCTGTCGGGGAGTCTGTCAAGGAGTCTGTCGAGGAGACTACTGAGGACAACTCTAAGAACTTTACTGAATCCGACCAGGTTCTTACTGATGAGTCCACTAAACCTACCGAGATCGAGGTAGCTAACCCTGAGTCCACTGACACTCTTGATACTGAGACCGCTGAGTCTGAACCAGCTCGAACTGAGGAGCCTCAAACAGATGAGACTGAAGTTGAGCCCGAGCTTGAGACTGGAGTCGTGGCTGATCCTATCGAGGAGAATGCTGCTGAGGTCGCCGAGGCCATTAAGGTTAAGGACGATGAGTCGGAGGTTCTGTCTAAGGACATCTCTGAACCTGTCGAGGAGGTTGCATCGGAGCCAGTCTCTGAGGAGCCAGTCTCTGAGGAGGACGATGAGTCGCAGGTTCTGTCTAAGGACATCTCTGAACCTGTCGAGGAGGTTGCATCGGAGCCTGTCGAAGAGGAGCCTGTCGAAGAGGTCATCTCTGAGGAGCCTGTCGAAGAGGTCACCTCTGAGGAGGCATCCGAGCCTGTCGTCGAGGAGGCTACTCTTCACGAGACCCCTATTGAGGAGGCTGCCCCTGGGGTTGAGTCTGAGGAGCCTATCGCTGAGATTGAGTCTGTCACTAAAGAGGCCGAGGCTAGCGCTGATATCGAGACTGAGACTGAGGCCACTCCCGCTGAGACCGAATCCGAATCGACTGCACCCATCGCAGCCAACGAGCAGGTCTCCGAGGTTGCTGAGGTTGCTGAGGTTTCCGAGAAGGTTACTCTCATTGAGGAGGAAGCTGAGACTGTTCAGTCTAGCGAGACTGCTGATAATTCGCCTCACAACTCTGGCGAGCCTACTCCCGAGCCTACCGAGACTGCTGAGGCTATCGAAATCGCTGAGAAGGAGGTAGCTTCAGAATCGGCGCCTATGGATAAGCCTGAAACCGAAGAAATTCTCGAGTCCGAGCCCGTTGATGAAGCACCCGTTGTGACCGAGACTGCCAGCAACATCATTGACGAGACTGAAGCTCCCGGCCAGGAGTCTGAGGCTGCAGGTGAGTCTGAGGCAGTGGAGGAGCCCAAGGCTGTTGAGGAGACTCGCGAGGAGACTCCTAGTGAGTCCCATGAGACTACCGAGCCTGTCGCTGAGGTCGCGGAGAAGTTTGTGGAGCCCAAGGTTGAATCTGAGGAAGTTGAGCAGACCGAGGAGGTTAAGGAGACTGTCCCCGTGGTCGTTACAGAGGAGACAGTCTCCGTTGAACCGGTTTCTGAGTCTCCCACTAACCCCGAAAAGGATGAGGTACCTACCGAGGCGCTCGTTGAGACTTCTACGGAGCCCTCTGTGCCTAAGATCAACGAGACTGAGATTGTCGACGTGGCCGTTGATGAGTCTGTTCAGGTTGCTGACGCCACTGCTGACGAAGCTGAGGTGATTGAGCCTGTTTCTGTAGCCCAGCCCGTGATCAAGTCTGCTCTCGTCCAGGCTGGGCCTGAGGTTGAGTCTGTAACTGAGGTCACTGCACCCGAGCCTGAGGTTGAGACTATTGGCGACAAGTCTTCTTCGGAATCTGCTGTCAAGGTCACCCCCGGTATTGCTGCAGCTGTGCCTGCAATTGCAGCGGCCGCCGTGTCTGCAGGAGCCGCAGTTGCCGCCGTGCCTTTTAGCAAGAATGAGCCTTCTGTTGATTCCGACGCTGTTCAGCCTGTTCCCCCGTCTTCTGCAGGATCCGAACGCATGGTCACCGCAATGTCCGAGCCTGTGACCACTGATGAGGCTTCCAAGGCTAACCCTGAACAGACCCCCCGAGCCAGAAATGTGTCATATGGCTCGATCGCCGAGGCCGAATCCGACGCTGGTTCCGACGTTGAGGTGCCATCTAACCAAAAGGCCGTAAGCGAACACCGGGGTATCTTTGTGTGGCTTTACGAGGTCATTCTCGCTGGTATTTTCAGCAAGTTGACTTCTCTTTTTCGGCGACCAGAACCCAGCAACTAAGCAGCCGACAAAACTGTAACTAAGCGCGCCGATAGACCTAAGCACCGGCGTACAGAAGCAGCCAGCCAAATCATATAATCTGAATGAATGATATCCAATGAGTGATGTAAGATATGTCTACAGTGTTCGTGGGTGCATGAGACAGCGTATGAATGCACGGTTGGTACATTCTTACTGTACTTGTATAGCTATTGATTATGTATGAATTAGCATAGTATCTGGACGAACTGGAGGAGGAATCTACAGAATGTACTCACACCTGTATGAATTGGTACAAAAGGCCTTGTAAATGGGTGCTGCCACCTCCATGAACCTCTTCACTTTTGTGTTTCTACAAGTTCAATTCATCGCGTATAGTATGCTTTTTCTAGATTGAAATTTCAGCTGGTGCAGTAGCCCCTTTTTCCGCATTCCCGTTTATGACGAGGCTTCCTGCCAGGCCCGTACCTGTATTTACTTTTGCGATTTACTTTTTCATTCTATGGAGATATTTGAGGGGAATTGATGAGCCGCACGGCTGGGGGTGGTGCTAAAACACGCTGGAGCGGCGCTATTGGAATTCTGAAAGCGGGATTTTGTTTGGAGCAGCCAAATTGGCACCATTGAACTTTTATATCTCCATGTTTACCTATATATCCTCTGGTGATTGTGTGGTGCTCCATTTTTACATGTACGTTGTTCTCGCGACCTGTCTCGTGGCGTGAAAGTTTATTTTTGATGTCCGAAAAAGCCCCTCCTTTGGTGTTCTCCCATTGGCCAATAATCTCGGACATTCCTCCCTGCGGCGTTTAGCGTCCCAAAACAGCACCGTCGGTGTTTATTACCCCCGTTGGGACTTTTTCGGAGCCAATTTAGCTTAGCTCCCTCATTCCAAAGTTCCTATCATGCACCGATAAAGTATAGACGTTGGGTGCATCGAGCTAGAGACACGATCGGTGAAATATCGCTCAACGATATAAATACCGGCTCCAGCCGTCCATATTCGACATCAGTTCTCTGACACACACTCACACAAACTCACAAACACTCACACTCACACACATCCCTCTTGAACAATGTCTGACGTTGAATCCATGCACTCTGCCCACTCCGAGGAGGAGTCCTTCGACCACTCCAAGGACGAGGCCCCCGAGCACCATGAGGCTGCTGCCGCCGAGGAAGCCCCCAAGCCCGCCGAGGAGGATGACGACATTGTTGTCAAGCCCGAGCGACTGTCTCGAGACGAGTGGCTCAATTCTCTGGATGCCACCTTCCACTTTGGCTCCAAGAAGCACCAGTCCATTCCCGATGACCTCAAGATCCCCATTGCCATCTGCTGTCTTCCCAAGGACAAGCGGCGATTTGTTATGGCCAAGCTTGCAAAGTGCCGACGACAGGTCCCTGTTGATGAGGAGGAGGTCAAGGCTCCCGTCGAAGAGAAGAAGGAGAAGAAGCACGCCGCTGGCCCTGAGTAATCAAGGGCGTTTAGATTGCATTAACATAGAATAGAATACAGGTTGGGTTTTAAATATAAAAGCGAAGCAGTAGAAGCGGAATTGGACGAATGCAATATGAACAGACTGTAGATATTCTGAATGAATTGCACAGCGAGGATACGACCATCATGTTCAAGAGGACCACTTCGACTGCACTCCTACTTTTGGATAGATGTATCTCCTGGACCAGGACCCTAAGACTGTTCACCTTGATTTACTCGGTGACTGTACTTGTACATTTCTCTTTGGTGAAGATGAGCTTCATTCAAAACACTTCTGTCGTGACGACACGGCTAAGACGCTAAATCGTCCTAGTGCGAAACTCTCTGGCTAAGATCTTACAGGTAAATACTTTTAGTGAGACAGATGATCTTATGAGTATTGCTTTTAGTGAGTCTCAAGATATGCAGTTAGCCGTGTGCTGAAAGAAGCCGCTAGTGGTGTTGAAATTAATAGCAAGTCGATTTTTATGGGCTTGTCAGGGAAGAAAAGCTCTCTCTTGCTACTTGTAGTGTGATTGACATACCTCCATCTGTATTGTATGTTCTACCTTTTGTGGACATCTGTCGGGGCTGGCTGCTAGCAGTGTCACCTCAGCTAGTCCGACCAAGGACATACAGCAACAACACTTGTATAGGTTGATGTCTTCTGAACCATTTTCAGGATGACACGTTCCTCACTCAATGCTGCTTCTCTCAGACTTGATCCCTTGTCATTTTAATGGTGGATGACGGGTGTCTTACTCACAACCAACTGGTGTATAACAAGGACTGCAAAAATTCGCCAAGAATCATCTGATCTAAACATGGGCATTCTCCATCTATTGTCTATGGGGACTGTAGTGTGACTCATGCCATGATTAACGGGAACGCGTGATAAATGGGTGGCTAACAAAAGTGAGTGGATATCGCGGAAACAGGGAGATAATAGAGACAACACATGCGATTGGGAGAAACATTTCGTATAGATCTAGAATCGGTCCTAGCAAACGATCTCCAACTATCACCGCCAGACTATTTGTCATGGAGCTAAACACTCCTGTCTCTGGTGCCAAACCATAACCATGTACTCATCCGAATATGTAACCCATGACTGACGGATCAAAGGCTGTTTTATCGTAGACGAGCTCTTGGGTCTCGAGGGCGTTAGACATGTTTCCGATCGGTGTCCGAGATGCTAGATGTGCCGCCTCTAGCCGCCGGAGAGTGGGGTTTGCACCATATCTGTAGGTATGTACAGCTCCAGTTGTTGCTGTCACCAACTTCTTCATCTAAAAACCCGATCCTGGTGTTATGGTACCCCAATTCGGCTGGACTAGACACCCGCAGCAAGTGTCTACGCCCATTATGGCTTCAATTAGACTACCGAATAAGAATATCATAGATTCTTGTGTTATTACTACGTTCCATAGACAAACCCATTCTGCCAAGAAAAAAACCATATGCAGCTGACCAATTGCCGAGGTCTGGGGTAGACACAGTGCATGTCGATTATGGGAGGCAAATCTGTGCTCAAAACACTTTCAATCGGACCTCAAGGATATTGACATACTACAGCTCGCTTCTAGGGCCGATTAGTCATCAGGAACACCCCTAACAGCCAACCTAACCACCGTTGAGTCCAAATTTGTGCTTGAACTTTAATAAATTTCATGCGGCGTACAACTTGCATCTGAGACGCTTCCTGCACTTCACGCAACCTGCATTAACGCGCGCCCCGAACTCAAATACGCGGAGTTAAGAATGGGGGTGACAAGAGAAAATACCGTCATTTTGAGGACTTTGTGGATATTTTACAATATCGGTCGGTTATTACCGACCCACTGAGTATAATTATCTAGTTTAAATTCTAATAAATGCACTAATCCCCGACTTGAGCGCATATCGCTCATCTCGTCTTTCCGTCTACAATGGCCGGAGATGCAAAGTAGATTTTTCAACGGTGTCTGCGAGTAAGGAAGAGGGATTCCGTGTGACTCAGCTCTTGGCTCACCGTAGCGCCGTACACTGGCTCGCCCATAGATTGTCCCGTATATATATTGCACTCTAAGACCTCTTGGTACACAGCCGCACTTAGTCAGAGAGAGTAAAACACCTCACCCAAGGATTAACCATCAATCCCTTATCTACAGTACAAGTACTGATACACCAACACCACAGCCATGTTTGTGCTCACCAACTCCAAAGCGGTGTTGCCATATCTGGGCGACTCGGAGGTCGTCGAGGACAATGTGGAGGGTCTCCATCTCCCCCCTCCAGAGGACGAACTACCCTCCTTCACACAGGCGATCCAACAACTAGCGCATGAGTCAACGCCGTTCTACCCGGCCATCAAAACCACAGACACAGACCTGCTGCAACTGGAGGAGCCGTTGACGATTGAGCTCGTGCAGAAATGTCCCCTGGGGTCCGGCACGCAGTCCACCTCCATCTGGTCCACCCAGGTGCTCAGCCCAGGCACCCATATGCCAGACATGGTCAGTTCGACACTCCGAGACGTGTGCATTCCCATCCAAAACTCCACTCCAGAATCGGTCCATGGCTACCTGTCGTACTCGATACGAGTGTCCTATGTGGCCAGGCCCAAGAGCCGCTTTTTGAAGAAACCACAGAAAACCTCGGCTTTACTGCCTCTCACGATCCTCAGAAACGCCCCACAAAGTGATACAGATACAGACCGAGGAGCGCGCTATCTATGGCCCCAAAGAGCAGATGTGACCTTGCAATTGCAACACTCGAAACTCGTCAATGATATCATCAACCTCAAAATGCACGTGACTCCCCTCCAGGATTATCTCCCTGAAAAGAACGCCATCAAACTGAAAGGAGTCGAGGTGATTCTGACTCAACAAACAGGTTCAACCACAAGCACATATCCTCTGTTACGAGACATGAATCCGCCCAAGACTCTCGATTACTCACTAACCGTCAAAAATCTGCCTCTCAACTCATCCACATCTCCCCAGCATCCCTACCCGGTATCTCACCTGGTATCTACAACGCTTCGGTTCCAGTTTTGGGAAAACAACAAGGTCAAATATTACGATGTGCGATTCAAGACCAAGGTGTCTCTCAACCTCAATGGCGACGCTCCTCCTATTTATGCCACTTAACTAATTATCTTTTTATGAAATGAGAAAACTGAGAAGCTGCCGTAGAGATCATGTAACGCCCCCTACGTAGAGCTTTGGATATGGCGATCGTTAATTATACAGAATCTAAATGGTATCGTGAGTTGTCATACGTCGTAGGTATGATCACTTTCGTCCCGGGAAGGAGCCGTAACCAGTGGGAGCAAAAGTGACCAGGTTTCGGTTCAGATACTGAACCTCGGCAGCCACACCACCAGGAGCATCGTAGTCAGCAGTGATGACAGAAATAGAAGAGTAGCAGCCCCACTTGGTGACCACATCTGTCTCATCAGGCAAGAAGCAGTCACCGTTGAAACATGCCCGCAGAGCGTCAGTCTTGAGGTTCTCGTCTTCATCAAAGACTCCACTGGTCTCGTTGAAGATAAGCTTGTAGGTGGCCGCTCCTCGTCCGGTCTGACGGGTGAAGATGGGCTTGGGGTCCACACACTTGCCAGTGGGATCAATATCTCCAACGTTGGGGAGGTTGACAGAAATGCCGACTCCGATGGGAAGCACAGAGGGTCGGCCCTTGGCGTTCTCCAGCAGGTTCTTGACAATGGCAGTGGAGGCCTTGGCGTAGATCTTGTGGGCAGAAGTTTCGGAGTTGGAAGCGTTGGCGTAGTAGGTGTGGTCGTTGTTTCCGGAGAAGGCCACTGCAGGAACTCCTCGAAGAATAGAGGTGTACATGGCTCCCTCGGTTCCAGACAGAGTGTAGACGAAGGGGCCGAGGTTCCAGCCCTCGTTGGGTCCGGAGACAACGAGATCAACAGTAGTGTTGGGGTAGAACTTGGGCAGAGCGTAGTCAAAACCGAACGACACGGCGGCTCCAGGAGTGCCGTCAAAGTACCAGATGTGATCGTCTTTTTCGTCGTGAGCCCAAGAGGGAGCGCCAGCGGGGGCAGTCTGCCACTCGGCTCCCTTGGCCAGAGTAGCATTGGTAGGCAGGTTGAAGGTACCTCCAGTTCCGGACTGTTGCACAGCAGGAGCAAACATGAACACGTTGTAGCCCTCCTTCTTGAGAGCATCGTAGAAGGCCCGAATGTTGGCAGAGGCCCAGGAATCGTCGTTGGTAACGACGATGGTGGTCTTGGAGTTCTCGTGGGGAACCGTGCTGTTGTGGGCAGTAGCGTTGGTCTGGGCCAGGGCCAGAGAAGCCAGACAGGGAACAATGAGAGAAGACAACTTCATTTTAGGAGGAGTAGGCGCTTTGTTGATTGGGCGGCAGTTAGTAGCCATCCAGTGGGGTTTATATACAGTTTCACGGTCCATTTATTGTCCATATCCGGAACCCATCAGGACATCCTATTTGATTAGGCCATCGATTGGTTTCTTTGTCTCGTTTAGTCTCTCTGGTCTCACCGACTAATCTTTTTCATCTTCAGGTCCACCTGCATGTGTGCGTTTTATCTGATCGGATCGTGAAAAGGCATTGACAGAGACAAGACATTGACACAGTAGGGTGGTAGATAGAAATGACTGTTGTCGCCTTTCTATTCATCAATTGAAGTCCAACACGCCCCACTGATCCTGTATTTGCCTACATGCCTCCCAGAGCGAACTAACTCAAGCTCTTCGGAGCTAGAGCCGCAGATTATCAGATCAATCTGCCGGAACTGAGACATGACTCGAGAGAATAAGAGGTGGTTGGGAGCAGAGCAGTGAATCATGGCCCGGAAACTTGGCACGTGTGCAGCTGAGACATTATTGCATCCGTGGGGCCCAGGAACATGCTGTGGTTAGACGCCGTTCCCTATCCACTACGGGCACTGGACGTCGGTGGAGATTCTAGTGAAGGAGGTGTCATTGTTGAGACCTACATCCAAGGTGCATTGAGGTGAGATATGGACATTAGTGGCCTTCAAGTTTCTCCACTCGAGGCGAGGTACTGACCGACACCCAACTCACCCCCGCCCGAGCCCCCGTGTAGCCGGACGCAGAAAAGTTAGGCCATGTCGATCCTCGACTGTTCCAGACCATCTGATTACAATCTCACAAAGTCAATGCCGCATTAGCCGCCGTTGAAAATTAGGCGTTAACTGAATTGGTCGGGCGTGGACTGGGATGGTCGTTGCAAAGCAGTCTTGGACAGCAGCACTGGGGGCATCAGTCAGTCAAATTACCGGCTGAGACGGCCTTTGTATCAATTGCCAAAGGAGGAGTTGACCTCCCTTTCGTCTTCGCAACAAGTAATATCTTGCAATTAGTACTCACACTTGGTGAGACAGACTAGATGGCAGGCGTATTCAATCTTCGGGACAGTCAACAAGCTAAAAGTAGGCCGAAAGGAGTATCGAAATGACCGCAACAACTCGGTGATCCGAATCTGCTCGTTCTACCTGGTGCGGACATCTACCATCTAACACCATGGAACCGATTAGACATTCGCATAAGAGACAATGTGCATCTATAGACGAAATCGCCTTGTTTTTTGATTGAAAAACAGATGAACAACAACAATGCCAGTCAACAGAAGACGTTATGAAGGGCTAAAGATCGGCAATAGCTACATTTTATGTACTGCAAAGTATCCAAAAGTGGTCTGCGTCGAGGTTTTCACAACAGAGTACTGGTGAACTGCCCAACAGTATGTACATTTTTTTTTTTTTTCTGCATATACATTCATTTAATTATAACTTTGCCGTGAAAGAATAACCTTTGAAATGAATGTACGCTTACACGAATATTACTAATTAAACACGTTTAGTGTCATGGTCCAACTTGGCACGTACCTATTTCCAGTAAAAAAATCATAAAAAAACCTGGTTCAGTCCGTGTTGTATGTTGGTCCACATAGCTTCGCGTGTTTGTTCGTTCATCGGGAAAACGCCACTCCAGTCTCCAGTTCTCTAATCTCAATCCTTCCATTGCCCTCTTCATTTGCATTGCCTTTGAAAACTTCTCCTTGTGGTTCTTCTTCGTCATTGGTTTGGTTCTGCGTCCCCTGTGGTGACTACGCGCCCTGCTACGCTGTTCTCTCGGTGGCCTCGGCCGCCTTTTACGCTTGCTACTGTGTCTACTCTCGCTCATCGTGAAGTGCTGGCGGTTGTCCATCGTAGAAACACATCTGGGCTTCCTTCAGGAATTGAAGCAAACCCTGTTGGACATGTCCCAGGGTGGCGTCGTCCCCTGAGTACCGGAGGGATCTCTCCATCTTCCAGATCCCATAAGCCAATTCCCGCAGATATTTGCGTGTCTTGACTTGTTGATGTTTCCGGGGGGCGTCACTGTTCACATGCCCTGGGAAAGAGGGGAGTACTCCACATTTCGACTCGGTAAAGATCCAGTCCTTTAGAGAGTCCACTGACGGAATCTTCATCCTGGTCAACATGGAAAGAAGAACTTCGCACTTGCAGAAGATATGCTCGTGCAGATCCTGAATGATGGCCTTATCACAGAGCCCGCATCCTGGATTCTTCTTGGTGAAAACGTGGTCGTCAGGGTATCTCCATTTCACGAGCGGAAGTCGAGATATCCGCATGAGGTGAAGAACTTGTGCTTTGTTGGCGTCGGCGATGTAGTGTTTTCGAAGGTCATGCATTACCTCCTGCCAGACCATGTCGTCAGAGATGCCCCCGTAGTCGCTTCGTTGAGTCCACTTCTTCGGTCGTGCAAGTGTGTGTGGGAAGTTTGGCAAGTCGGGAGACGAGGTCTTGTGAAACATGAAGTTCTCTAGAGTAAGTGGTCCCATGCTCCACCGGAGGTGGTCGATTTCCGCTGTGGACACCATTCTGACCGGATGGTATCGTCTCGCGGCTGCGATGTCGACGTGTGCTTCCCGGAAAGATTCTGCTGCTCTCACGTTCACCTGGTTTCGTTCCCAGATTCTGTGATTAACTGTGTCTGTTGTAGAGGGCTCGTGATCTTCTCGAGGGTTGGCATGTTCCGCGGTGAGGGGCTTGTTGAGCTCGAAAGAAGCTCTGATTGCGTCTCGCATGGTGGGGGAGGCTGCGTAGCCCCAAGCTTGGCCTGTCGGAAAGCGGCAGTCGACGCGCTGGTGTGGCTTTTCCTGTGTGAGACTGTGAGTTCTGCTGTAGAACTGGAAGGTGCAGTCCCAAAGGGCCGGCGATGAGCCATGGAAGAACCTGTAAGCCCGAGCGGCCTTCAGGCACACCATGAAACGTCCCATGTCCCGCAGGTTCAGTCCTCCTCTGCCTACCGGAGTTTGGATGAAACCATTGCTGAAGGTTTTGCGTGTTTTGTCGGGTGATAATTTGTTGATCTTGTCGCACGCTAGTTCGTTCAGCTCTCGGATGAAGGTGTTGTCGATCTGGCTGACGTAGGGTCCAAGGAAATTCAGTTTCGAGAAGAAGTAGATGTTGATCATCCACGCCTTGCTGTAATAGGGGAGACCCCATAGTGAAAGGCGTCGCAGCGACTCCTTGAGGTCCTCCTTGATCTGAGCGTAGTGCGTGTCCAACCTTTCGCGATTTCCGAAGTGTACTCCGAGGTACCGGAAAATGTTGTCAGATGTCCGGAGCGTCGGGGCCTGTCGTGTGTTGTTGTCGGTTGGCCAGGTGGCGTCAATTGTTCGCTGCCATTCTGCGTCAATAAAGGTTAGTGGAACAAAACAATCGGGGGGGCCGATCTTCTGAAGCACCGTCTTTGACGGGTTTAGTGTGAGGCCTGAGACCCGTTGGAAGAGGCAGAGCACTCTACCAACCGTGGCCACGTCCTGGATGTTGTTGAGGAACACCGCTATGTCGTCCGCGAAAGCCGACACCTTCATGTGTCCAGCTGCCACTGCCTCCGGGTGAGTAGGGGGTTGTGGCGGCCTGTGCCCAGTGGTGTGGTGGTGGGATAGTGGCAGGCCTGGGGCCAGTCCAAACATCTCTCGGTCCAGACGACGCACAAGTGCGTCTACTGCGATGATGAAGAGGGTTGGAGAGAGAGGGCATCCTTGTCTCACTCCGATCTTGATGCGGACTGGGCGAGATAGGACACCTCTGATGTTGATTCTCGTTACTGCGTTCTGTTGTACAGCTAGGATACGGTTGATCATCAGTTCCGAGACACCCACATTTCGAAGCGTCTTTATCACCCAACTCTGGCTGATAGTGTCGTAGGCTTTCCGGAAGTCCAGTGATCCTACGACCCAACCCATGTTCAGCTGGGAGTAGGCGTTGCAAAAATGATCCATGGTGTCGAGATTGTTAGTGATGTGTCGACCCGGTACGAAACCGTTTTGGGCGCCGTGAATGCTGTCCGGAAGAATGTTCTGGATGGCTTTGTTAATGAGCTGTGTGTAGATCTTCACCTCTGTGTTGATCAAAGAAATAGGCCTGTAGTTGGAGATGTCGGCCTGATCTCCCGACTTGTACAGTAGTTTGATGATAGCGGTGTTGCGTTCGGTGCTGATGGGCGAGTCGGCTCCAGCTTCGTTGTAGACGTCCGTCATCAAGTCCCCCAGCTCATCCCAGCAGTCGCGGTAGAACCTGTACGGGATGCCGTCTGGCCCTGGCGCGCTGTTGTGCGTAGACGCCTTGATGGTATCGAAGATCTCCTCCTTGGTAAAAGACGAGTCCAGGCTTGGGTTAGCTGTATTCACCCTCCGGGTTTCTTCGGGGAAGAGGTCTAAAAAGGCGCTGTCGTCGGTGTCGTTGATATCGGCAGCTCTGTCGAAGATGTTGTCAAAGTATCGAGCTGAGATGTCGCAGAGAGAGGAGGTGTCGGTCTTCACTCGGCCTTGGTGGTTCCGTAGGGAGTGGATCTCCATCTGTTGCTTGGATTGTTCGACCCGAGCATGGAGCATCGGGTATGGCTCGTTAGCTGGGTAGGCTTGCCAGTCTGAGGCTGTTGCCATGAGGGCCTCGCGGCGTCTGTTGTCTGGGTGGTTGGAATCTCGAAGTGCGCGGTTTTTGGCTTCCTGTTGGATGGTGACCTTAATGTTTTCTTTCAGGCATTGCAGCTTCAGGCTGGGCTTCAAAGGACCATATCGCTTCAGAATGGATTTGACGTGGAACTTGAGCCAAGCAATGTACTCTGTATCAAAAACCCACCAGGGCATCCTCCAGGTGCCTGGGCCTCTGTCTTGTCGCTGGGTGAGGTTGCCAAAGTTAAAGACGAATTGGACCGCGTGGTGAGAGGACTTCGTGATGTTGTGACCCTGCTTGTTGGTTACCAGTTGTGTGGATTTGATCCACTGTGAGAGTGTCGAAGAGATGTGCAGCTGATCCAGGCGCCTGCCAGCTCCGCGGCTGTTGTTGGTGTGAGTGTAGAGGCCTTTTCTGTGTTTGCTGATTAGAGTGTAGGTGTCTAGTAAGTCCCAGTTAGCTAAGAAGTCCTTAAGGTGAGTCGTCACTTTTTCGCCAATCCTGCCGTCGTTGGAGGCGACCGCGTTCCAATCGCCTGCCGCTATCAGGGGGTATTGGCAGGGATGGAGGCGTAGATAGTCGTCTAGTGACTGGTAGAACTGCCGGTTAGTGAAGGGGGAGGCTCCCTGCTCGTTTGGTGCGTATACGTTGATCAGCGATAGGTGTCTGTCGGTGCCTTTGATGTGCACGTCGGCCAAACACAGTCTGTTGTCTAGGGCTGGGAAGTATTCAAAAACTGTTGTAAAGTTTGTGATGGTGACGTTGTCGGAATAGACTAGCCCCACGCCGACGCTTCTATTAGAAACACCAGCTGTGGAGCCGAGGAGGGTGTAGTGTCTGCCCCCCGGGTAGGGCGAGTTTGAAATGATTTGTTGAGCGGTTTGTAGGGAGGAGTCCACCCAGTTCGTCTCTTGAAGAAGGACGAGATCGGGGTAGTGAGTAGTTCGAATAATGTTTACAATGGTGTCGGGTAATCGGTTAAGCGCTTCCGCCATCTTAAAACCGCCGATGTTAGCCGTGATGACTTTAACATTCGGAGATTTCATTTTGGCCTGGGTGCTCTTACATGGGGCTTTAGAAGGGGTGGTAGTAGAGGTGAAAGACATGCTTACTGGTTCTGCCCCGGTCGGAGCATTGTGTCCACCTCATGGAGAGTGGTCACCCTAGGGGGGTTCGGGGGACTGTTCGGGGGTTCTACAATCTCGTCTACCGAGCTGAGTGTCGCACCGTCGTGGAAAACTTTGAAGTGGCATGTAGACAGGAATGTCGGGCACCTCCCGTCAATGAACTTTGCTACCTCCTGAGAAGGCAGCCAGCAGAGTCTGTTCTCCGACCTGTCCGGGTTCAGGATTTGCACCGGAACCTCGCTCGAGGCGGTCTGGAAGACCGCAATGTGCTTCTTGCCGAGCGTGGTGTGAGAGGGCTCGCCAGAGAAACTGGAGGTGGTGTGCCCTCCTCGGGGTCGGCCCTCGTGGATACTTCCGGGGGGGGGTTGTGTTTGGTTGGTCGTGTTGGGACTGGTGTGGTCGTGGGGAAGGCCGTTGTTGGTGGCCTCGGTGTTAAGCGGGGTAGCGGGGGGAAGAAACTGGGTGACATCAGGGGCTACTTCAGGGTGAGCAAGTGCGTCAGGCTGGGTGTCAAAGCCGTTCATGGATACGTCAGCCTGTTCCGTTTCCTGGTCGTCGGGAACTGTGTCTTCCTCGGAGGCGGGGATGTTGATGGGTAGATTCTGAGTTCCATGCTGCTGGTTCGTAGAGGGCAGCTGGTTAGTTTGCTCGGTCTCTTCGGGTGTGTCCTCTCCGGTTTTGTCGCTCAAGACTTCAAAGTTGTAGTAAGATCGGAGGGGCTTCTGACCGGTGGGTTGGGGGGACGTGTCTCGAGTCCGTCTATGTCTAGGGGACTTAGTGCCGACGGTCTCCCACTGGTGAGTAGCAGGCGTGTGGTGGAACTTGCGAGTTTGGACCGGGGGCTCCACGGTGGATGGGGCATGGATGGAAGCAAGGGCTTTACCTCTCTGTGGGAGGGTACCCTGGTGAGCGCGGGTGCGGAAGATCTTGGGAGTGACCATGTCTTTCTCGGGGCAGGCCTCCCGGATGTGCTTAGTGCTCTTGCACTTAACACAGATGTTATCGCCGTTGGCGAAGTGCATCTTGATCAACTTTGAGCCGGTAAGCCTAGCCTTGGTGGGATCCAGGTTGACGAAGAAGTCGGGGATGGTCTGGGGCAGGGTGGAGCCTAGGAGAGCACGAACTGCGATCACAGGACCCGAGATGTTCTGATGGTTGGCAGAGGTCATCAGAAGGGTGCCACTCAAGAGGGAGGAACCTGGAATGGCCTGATCAATGTCTACGTCGAACTGGTTGAGAATAGCGTTGAGGTGGATCTTGAAAGCATCCTCCGTCTGACGCTCCATCTTCATGTACGAGGGTAGGTTGAAGTAGTAAAGTACTCTTCGTCCAGCAGGGTTAGCCGAGCCCTTCCTCATGATGCGATAATCTTGAGTATTGGCCTCAACAATGAGACTAACTGTCTCCAGAATGACAGCCATTCGTTGTTCGTGGGGGTCAGTGAGGGCGTCCGACGTCAGGTAGTGCCAACCATTTCCCACTTGGTAGCAGTCTTCAGGGTCCTGTTCTAAGTTAATCTGGTCGATCAGGTGGGGGACGATGTCTAGGTTGTGCCTGGACAGGTCAAACTCCGCCAGACCAACCTGACCCTTGATCTCGTCGAACTTTTCGATGACGCCCTCGAGGACACTGATGGTGTCCTTCTCGTCGACTTCAGCGGCGTTATCGAGGTGCTCGAGGAACATGGAGATAGGAAGATTCCAATCAGGGGTGGCGGAGCGGTCAAGAGCTCTTCGGAAGAAGTTTTCCTTGCTGGCTACATAGGACACGTTGAAACGGCCGGAGGTATGCCTACCATTCGGCGCCGCAAGGGGCTCCGAAATTCGCTCCTTGTTGAGGTTGAATTTGAGTGTGGAGGGGTTCGATGTCAGGAGAGCCTTGACTTCGGCCTTGCTCTTCCAGGCGTTGAGGGTGATATTGTTGTCGTTTTTTTTGTCGTTTTTGTCGTTTTTGTCGTTTTTTTTGTTGTTTTCATCGTTTTTGTCGTTTTTTTGGATTTTTTCAATGTCGGTTTGGTTGGGGGTTTCGGTTGAGGTGGCTCCATCACCTCGCGATAAATCAGGAGGTGGGGGGTTCGGAGCGCCCAAGGAGTTACCCGCCGAAGCTTGGGCTTGCGCTGTTTCCATGGTGAACGTTTTTTCTGGTCGCGCTCGATTAATAGCTCTGTTTTGTAAACAAACACGTACATACTGCATACTGTACAGTACATACAGTTACATGCAACTAAAAAGTGATCTAAATAAGACCTCAATAGATGAAGCCGTTGCATCGGACATATACAACAACAACACCGTTCAAATCACCATATGTCTCCAAGAGAGGATCATTTCTGCTGATTCCAATACATCTGCCCATTGTTCTTCAGACTCCGCTTAATTCCCTCCACAGATTCCGACGTTTCCGATAGTTCCCGAATTACATCCCTTTCTTACTCCAAAACACCCTTACATCCCACAGCTTCCCAATTTATGACATTCCCTCATCAAAATAGACGTAAAGCAATGATATTCGTAATTATGTGAAAAGCACCATCCAGCAATCCCTCAGACATCTCATCCAATCATCATCTGCTGGGCCCGGGCACGCGCGTTGTTGAGAGAAGGCCGGGCTGTGTCACGCATCCGTCTCTCAATGGCCACGGCCCAAAGAGCTCCGCCAGTACAGTTGGTGAACGCAAAAAGAAGTCCAAGGAACGGAATCGACTCCAGAGCGCCAGCAACCATACCAAACCCGAGGTACTGGCCCCGTCGCACCCGTGTGAACTGTTCCACGTCGGCTTTGGGCATCATCTTGAGCTCAAAGTACCGAGCGTGTGCGTTTCGACCTCGTCGGGGAGCGTTGACCAAAATTGCAACAAAGGGACCGATGATGGGAATGAAGTGTAGAAGTACAGTGACTGTCAGTCGGACCAACCATGTAGGAAATACCAGGGTGAGTGGTAGATGTTTGAGCAAGACCTTGACTCGCGTCTGGGGCGGAGGCACCGGAGTGGGTCTTCTCTGTTTTCCAGCAACGACAATGTCGTCAAGTCCTTCACGGGACATGATCTGCGTTAGTGGGTATCAGGGGTGGTGAGTGAGGGGTATACATAGACCAGCCCGTGATGCAATATGGTGTTTCAGAGACAGGGGGTGTATATATCAGAAGAAATCAACAGGGTATCGTAACTAGTAAGGTTATCATTGGTGCTGGTATCACATGCTGTCATTGTCGTCGTGTCGTTGTGTCGTTGAGTCGTTGAGTCGTTGTGTTGCCTCTGTTGGTTTCCAGTTCACATCATGGTATCTCACTCGGCTGGTATCTTTTTTGCATCATCAGGTATACTCACGCTGTCAAACAGCATCTTCATTGGGGTGGGTAACAAGAACATATCGCCCAGAATGCCAGCGATTACAGTAGACTGCTGAAGAAGGGCAATCCACGCGGTGAACAGCCCTGTGGGACCGTTGAAAAGGAAGGCAAACGCGGCCGAAATGGGGTAGAAGAACAGGTACATGAAGAAGAACACGACCATGGTCAGCACTATCTGTGGCAGGAAAATGGTGAACAGGTAGGCCCACAGAATGGGATGAGTAAAAAAGTAGTAGATCCCCATGAAGGGGTACATGAAGGTGCCGCTGATGATCATTCGCGCAGGTATCAAGATGGGCGACGCGGCGATTCGAATTAGTCGAGAAGACGCAAACCAAGTTTTCGAGAGGTTGGTGCGGATCATGAGATGAGGAAGAAAGATGTAGGTTAAGTATTTTGAGTGGGACAAACACAAACAAGTGCAATGGGGGTGGATGAGGGTGGACTTTAATGCAACTGAAAATGACATAATAAATACAGAAAAATGATGTTGGGTAATTTTGGACTTTTTAAAAATTATCAATATTTTTATATATTTTTCTGTCATTTTTCTCACCCACCAGAAAGACCTTTCATGTCCACAAAACTCTCATCAAGCTTTTCGAGGATCAACTGTTACTATTAAGTATTACTTAGAAGCGTGATAAGGAAACACGAAGATCCAATTAGCAGCACAATTTGTACCGCATAATAACTAAATAAGAAAGTAAAACGTATTTTTGGTCCGTCAGTAAGCAGATTATATAATCAGGTACACAGTCTGTCACATAACTTCCCCATTTTAACACTCCTCAATACCCTCCGGCTTTCCTCAGTTCTACCCCAGAAAGTTTATACTCAGAGCTTCTTCCTCCTCATCTCGCTCCATCCACCACCACAACATGTTCTTGAGACCGCTACAGAACTCCCAGAGAGTGATAAACCCACTCGTTCGAAAGTACTCAATATCCGCGTCTTCTCTCTCTGGAAAAACCGCTCTGGTGACCGGCGGTTCGGGAGGAATCGGGCTAGTCATTGCTAAGAAGCTGGCAGCAAACGGAGCTCGAGTGATCCTGCTTGCTAGAGATGAAACCAAGTTGAATGGAGCTCTGGAGGAGCTGACACACACTCTTAAGGATGAGCAGACACAAAGGGATATCACACAGACCGCCCACAGCACGATATCTTACGACATTGCTAAAGCAACGACACCACCAGAAATCGACTTCAAGATGGTAGATCTGCTCGTCAACTGTGCCGGAGTCACGCAAACATCGCTGCTTATGACCACCAAAAACATTGACCAGATCATCGGCACAAATCTCGCCGGAGCCATTAAAATGAGCCAGTATGCCATGCGTCCGTGGATGAAACGAAAGTCGGGCTGTATTGTCAACATCTCCTCGGTTTTGGGATTACGTGGCCTTACAGGCGGGTCTACGGTCTACAGTGCAGCCAAGGCTGGTCTTGTGGGCTTCACGAAGGCTCTCGCGGTCGAAGTGGGCGCTAGAGGTATCCGTGTCAATTGCGTGTGTCCTGGACTGGTCGAGACGGAAATGACACAGAACGTGACTGTCCAGAATGGGTTTGCGACACCTCTTCAGGGCATGGGAAAGGATAATTACGTATCTGCTGACTCGGTGGCCGACGCTGTCCTCTACCTTGCTGCTAGTGAGGAGCAGACCGGAAGCATTCTCACCATAGACAAGGGCTTGTCTGCGGTATAGAAGGTAGATACCTATTAATTGCACGTCTTCGAAAAAGTATTAACCGTCATTGATATAAGCTACAGTGTTATATACATTGATCCACCATTCTACTTATCACATACTTCAGACCTCTGTCGCCTCTCTTCGCCTCTAGCAGCATCGCTGATCGATCTCCCCATTCACAAATCCAACCAGTATTCTTCCCGGGGATCTCATTATTGAACAACTCCACTCCTTGGGATCCCGAATGCCTAGCTTTTCAAAGTCGCCAGGGTCCAGCAAAAATAGATGACGCAGATCTACAACCGTTCTTTTTCTCTCCTTCAGGTCCACCAACTGCATGCCCTTGACAGACGTCCTGTAGACGCACATCTTCTGGCATCTCGAGAGCCAGTGCATTGTTGGAAGCGACTAGCATGCTTGGTCTTGATGGACAACACTTTGAACTGGCAAGAGTATGCAAAGCTGGGACTCCAGAACTACTGCATCATCATGAGCACCATAATCGGAAGAAATTTAGAATCTAAGTGTTCAGATCTTGAACTGGGCCAGACAATTCTTCGGCCTAATCACCACAGCCAGTGATTTCTTACGACAAGATAATCCTCATCCTCCTTTTCCACTGTATCAGTGAGAGTGTTGCAACTTTTAAATGTCAAATGAGTCATTCTAAGGTCACTAGAGACTATAACTGTTGATTACACTGGTTGAGAATTGCACTAGATCCAATGTGGAGAATAGTACAGCTACAGTCAATTGTGTGATGATCGAGTAGGAACGGATTCAGCTAATGTAAATATCCCAATATAACTGGTCTAATGATTCGAGTAGGGCTGTTGGCCTTCTTACATTGACAAAGCAAGTACTGTGGTCTTCTTGTTACTGTACTGCTTGGACTACTTCCTCTTCACATAGCCTACCAGCTCTAGCCAGAAGAGTTGAAGATACGTCGGTGCAAAATAACCCGTTTGGCAGAAACCTCCAAGAGAGGCTGTTGGAAACAATGATGTATCTTTACATTGGTGCCTTCTGTTGACTACCTTCCGAGGTCGTTCTTTTAGACCTACTTCATGTCGAAAGACAGTGCCGTCTAGAAGGAAGACAAGAAAGAGTTCGTGGAAAGTAAATGGAACGTTTTCAGATCTATATACTATATTCATTCACTGTTCGATTGATCAAAGTGGTCTGAGATGATGATTTGTATCTGGTTTTTGTTCTAGTAGTATGGGTTATATATTTTGCTAGTTAGGACTATACTTCACCTTTATATAAGTCTCGGTTGTATATCTAACAAAATCTAATAAATCTGAGCTACTAAACGCCCAGCACGTGTGTATATGAAGCTCCCCAATCAGTTAAGGTTCAGTAGGAGTGTCCGCGAATGTTGTTCAAATTGCTTCCAGAATAGTAGGTAGAGGAATTCATTTTTTCGAATCAGAGATTTGGCACGCGGATATTCTCCAATACGAATATCCAACCGTTTGGGCAATTTCTCACCCACGTTATGACGTATCGTGTCGTACTCGTTTAACCATTAAACTTCCAGCTTGCAGATTGTTCAACATTGTCTGCGATCTAATTTCCTCATCCTCATTCCTCAAACACATCAAGCGACATGGAAGAGCTGCTTGCACGACATCGAAAGGAGAAGAAAGACCTTGCCGGCGAGCTGACAACGCTCAAAAAACAGGTTTCTGGCGACAAAAAGAAGAAGAAGGAGGTCACAAGACAGTGTGAGGACAAGGAGCGGGAGCTCAAGGAACGACATCAGCAGGAGATCGCCGAGCTGGAAAGCGGTGGGGCAGTGGATCAGATCAAGGAGGAGGTTGTAGAGGACGAAGGAGAAGACGAATTCTCGCCCGAAAAACTGCTGGCTCAATTGGAGCTCGCCAAGGAGCAGGAAGAAGCCACCACTAAAAAGAAGAAGGGTCCTGCTGCTGAACCCGTCGGAAGCCAAGCCCCCTCGGGCCACAAGCCCAAGAAAAACCGACAGAAGGAGCGGGCGGCTCGAAAGGCTGCGGAGCAGGAGGCTATCAGACAACAGGCTCTTGATGAGGCAGCCCTACAGCCTGATCTGCGAAAGATTGAGATGGAAAACATTGAGTCGTTGACCAAGCTCAATGGAACTACGGTCCATGATATTGTGCCCGACGGTCACTGTCTGTACTCATCCATTGCCGACCAGCTGGCTGTTCGACATGAGGTTGATGTTGACGTTCAGACCCTTCGAACCAAATGCGCTGCGGAAATCAGACGAGATCGAAATAGTTACATCCCGTTCCTGTTCGATGAAGCGACCATGTCTATCAAGGACGTGGATTCGTACACCAAGGAGCTGGAGGAGACTGCTATTTGGGGAGGAGATCTGGAGATCCTGGCCCTGGCTAGAGTGTATGACTGCCCCATCTCTGTGCTCATGAGTGGCCGCCCTGTTCACCGCGTCAATGAGGAGGGAAATAAGGAGGAGCTGAAATTGGTGTATTACAAGCACAGTTATGGTCTCGGAGAGCATTACAATTCGTTGAGAGGATAGACAACTAATTGGGGGCACGAAAGAAACGGAAGCGCGTGGTTCGAGTTGTCTATGAAGATGACTACTGTAGCAGAAAGTTCCTGCTGCTAAAACTGAAGGAGACACATCGACACTATCGGTCCCGCCTGCATAAATAATCGCTGTGAAGAGTTGAAGAGTGACTAGCTAGATGGGACTAGTACTGAGACTGAGGAAAGACTAGTTAGAACAATGTGTTATTGAAAAGTGCCATCAGGACGCGCGGTCTCTGTATCTGCTGATTCAAATGGGTTGCAGTGCATAGTATGATGTCACGCTGTAAGAGACGCACTGTGTATCTTGCACGACAAAAGCATAGATTTAATGACTTGTTAGTGAAGCTGGTTATGCTTGGAACGGGTCTTAGTGATACATTACATTTTTGAGACATCTTGGCGAGTTGTGATTTGATAAGCTGGAGACATTGTGCGAGAATGACCGAGCAGAACTGACAATGGGTTATTCTGTCTATGGTATGTCCTGAAACTGATGAACATACCATGACGAGTCCCTCCTACAACGCCATAACCAAGCGCTCAAGAACAGAACTAAAGAAGACTCCACTTCCTGAACCTTGGAAACCGGCATTTGAGGTTGATTCTGTGAAATTCCTACAACGTCTATGGGAAAGACTGACAAGAAGTAGTCAGAGGTCATATTATGTGAAGTTCCGGGTTTGAATGCGAAGACTCCATCAGCTCTCAGTGATGGCTTCCTTGATCATGTCCAAATGTCTAGGGGTAAAGGCATTGTACCTATCAGTACGACATGTGGCAAGGTGTTTATATAGTCATACGACTTAGGAGAAATTGGGGTCAAAAAAATAAGGTCGTGCCCGGGTTCGAACTGGGGTTCTCAGAAAGTTAATCGGACCAATCAAAATCTGACGTGATGACCACTACACTACACAACCGTCGGTTCCAAAATGGGAAAATGTGGCCACGACCATGTGGTTGGTAATTACGTCATCGGAAAATTCGACACGGGGAAATGTCGAAGCAACAAAGAGGGAACAAGTGAATGAAAAAGTGTTTGTTTAAGATTTATTTGAAGTTTGAGGTTTACATGCTTTTGGCTGTCTCAGAACAATAAATTAGTGGACACATGATTTTTCTATGTGTGCCATATTGAGACGCAGTTCAAGTACGAAATAACCCGGCTTGCTTACTACTTGTAGATAGAGTTGTGATGAGTCATTAGAATAGAAAATAAATAAATAAAAAAGCAAAGCGATCTCTCCATCGGTTACTGTCTTTCATGTGAACGTTTTTATGAATGCTTTTTGGCCCCCTTTCTTCATTTGTAACACCGTCCGTGACCCAAAATTACGTAGAAGAAAAATCTCAACTGGCAAACCAAGAAAGTCGAGAGATTAGTAGGTGGTCTCAAGTACAGTATGCATCTACTAGCATGTAGCATGGGAGAACGGACGTGCGGAACACACTCAGAGGACAGAAGGTGCTTTCTGTGAATCTCGATGTTTGTTGCAACCAACAATACATGTCCCCTTACAGCTCTATATGCCCCATAACGACTTCGGAAACTCTTCCTTCCTCCTGTATTTGCTTGATGGGGCATCGTAAACATTCAGAAACAAAGGGTCTACTGCTCTCCTTTAATATCGAGAAGTTCACCAAGAAAATTGCATAGAAGCAACTCTCTCGTTCCGGTGACTCCAACCGTATAAATATTCTTGCCATCTGACCACCATCTACCCCTTCTGATCCTCTTATCAATTTGATCTACCAAAGTAAACATCTAAAGTTAAAAAATATATTAGGACGATGGGATATCAACTGAAACAGAACCATCCAAGATTGTCACACATAGTAAACGGCAAATGACAGAACGACACCGACATAACCACAAATAACATACGATACAAACACGGTGTCTATGCCAGACGTTTGTTTACCCAGAGGGCGTTATTCATGCACAAGTGCGAGCCCCTTAATTCCACCGAATATTATTCTTTGTACGATTCGTACCTGCTGTTGTTCCTGGGCGCTGTGTTTTTGCCCCATCTCTTTTTGCTCTTTTTGATGTTTGTTTCTCCACCTTTTTTTTTCGGGCCTCCCTTTGAAACGCGTCCTAAAATTAGCCGACTGTCTCAGCTGAATGACATCACGGGATATCGAGACGGAAGCGTCGCGACAGCAGGCGAATCACGTGACTGAGACAACCACCGGTCCTCCCGCTGGGCCAAACTGGATATTTCACCTCTGCCCCCTCTGCTGATGACGTGTTGTTTACGCCTTACAGCCCTCCTCCACCTCTCAAACTCCAGACAGTTCCCCACACAATGGCTTATCAGTGTTATGGTTTGTAAACATGACGTCATGGAAGATATGGAAAGGGTCAAGGTGGCCTGTGATCTTCCCCACAAGCGGGAAAATGTATATAGAGCCTCTCTCGCGCGGTTGCAAAGTACCCCTATGTACCTCCGCCCCTTATTTTTTTTGCTGCAACTCCATTGGAGTGAATAATTCACACTTCCCCAGCTTGTTTATGTTACATTCTATCTGGCCGCCGTTAGGGTTTTAGTGTGGTGCGGAGCTAATGTACAAGTCAGATGATGTTAGCTAACCTATATTTGCAACTTGTCCGCGACTATATATCGTGCCGTCTTTCGCGCCTTACGCATCACTCGTCGGTCTATTGCCACACACTGCAGTCCGTCCTCTCCACAGACCGACTTACCCTACTGCTGCACCCTTCCTGCGGCTCTCTATCAACGTTGGTAGCATGCATAAAGTTATCTAACGCCCCTGGACATCTGACTTTGGCCTAATCAAACCAAACAACTCCACTCTCATTATTACACTCGTTTGACTCCACTTGCAAGAACCAACACAAAATGGACAGCGACCACGGCGGCTACCACGACCCGCATGACTCGCACGCAGACTCCTCGGACGTGACGGACTCTGATAACCGGCCCCAGAACCTGCGCATCAACAAGATCAAGAAGCCTCTGTTCCGCCGGTTCCAGAGCGAACAGACTGTCACAACATCTTCGGCATCGGGCTGGGATGCAAACGACACAAACGACACAAACGACTCGGAAAACGACTCTGCCACGTCGCCGGCAAAGCACAAACGCCGACCGAGCACACGAGCACAGCTCAAAGCGCCACAGACACAGTCGCAGCCACAGAGCCCCGTGCTCAAATCCAAACACCATGGGCCTCAACATAACTCGCTCCGGGCAGTCAGCAATGGCACTAAACGACTAGCTTCCCGGTTCCATCTGGGCAACTTCTCCCTGCGTTCGCCCAAGATCCAACGCAAACATTCCTCCTACTTTACAGACAATGAAGACAGTGACGATGAACGCCTGGTCTGGGGAGACAGAGACGACACACAGCCACTTATGTCACAAAGCGATTATGGTGGCCAGTTCTCCTACGGGTCGGTGGAATTCCCAAACCCTCCCACGCTCAAACTGCCTCCTGCAGACCACACAAACCATGGCATAGTGCACAAAGCCTCGCAGTTCATGCAGTCACGTGTGGGAATTCAGTCCATGATGTCAGACACGGGACCCGAGCGCCGCTTCTACGACGACTTCACCACCGTCGACTGGGTCAGAGATACCATCAACGACTCTTCTCGTGTCAAGTACATCCAGTCGATTCCAGGATTCCGAGGTCGACTTATCCGGTCGTTTGACTCCCTGCAAGACTGGATTCTCATTTCGGTTGTGGCAGCCTCATTTGCGCTCATTGCGTACAGCATTGATAGGGTGGAAGAAACGCTGTTTGACTTCAAGTTCGGCTACTGCTCGTCATCGTGGCTCAGTCCCAGAGGCGAATGTGAAGGTGAATGGATGCTCTGGAGTGATCTTACAAGCTTTGAGATTCCTTATCTGAGTGCTCACCACTTTAATTTCCTTGTATACCTCCTGATCATGCTGCTTCTGGCCTTCCTGGCTGTCCGACTCACTCTCAGAACCAAGACTTCGTCGCCAATCTCGCTCAAAGACAACAAACCGAGGGTGTTTTATACAGCTTACGGCAGTGGAGTGGCTGAGGTGAAGACAATTCTGTCTGGCTTCGTTATTCGACGTTTTCTTGGCACTCACACCCTAGTCTACAAGTCTGTAGGTCTAGTTCTAGCCGTGTCCTCGGGCCTCTGCCTCGGAAAGGAAGGTCCTTACGTCCATCTGGCTACCTGTGTGGGAAACATTGCTTGCCGTTTGTTCACCAAGTTTTCTCATAATGATCTGCGACGAAGACAGATTCTGGCGGCTGCAGCGTCCGCAGGTGTGGCTCTTGCCTTTGGGTCTCCTCTCGGTGGAGTTCTCTTTTCGCTCGAGGAGGTGTCCTACATGTTCATGCCTGCCCAGCTGTTCCGAGTCTTCTTTTGTGCCATGACCTCAGCTTTGTTTCTGAAGCTCTTGGATCCCTATAAGACTGGAAAGATTGTCCTTTTCGAGGTCAAGTACACCCAGGACTGGCACTCTCCCGAAATTTTCGTTTTTGTGATTCTTGGCATTTGTGGCGGCATTTTTGGCGCTCTCTTCTGCAAGTTCAGTGCCTGGTGGCCTCAGAAAGTGCGTGCACCGGGAAAGATCTTCCACGGACATCACACAATCGAGGTTCTTGTTGTGACACTCATCACCGGCTTGACTTCGTTCTCTAGTCCATTCACACGTCAATCAGTGGCTGAGCTTTTGTACCAGCTTGCATCTCCTTGTGATCCTGACAACCCCGCTCTCAGCAAGTTGTGTCCCACTTCTATCAGCGAGATCCCCGGTGTTGCCAAGGCTCTATCCTGGGTGCTGGTGCTCAAGATATTCCTCACATGCATCACCTTCGGTATCAAGGTTCCAGCGGGCATTTATGTTCCTTCCATGATCATTGGAGCGTTGTTTGGCCGAGTTCTGGGGCTTGGAACTCAGCTGCTGTACCACCAAATGCTGAATGAGAAGGAGAGCGGCGTTCTCTCAATATTTGCGACACCCTTTCTTGGAACTCTCGCCACGTGTCCGGGCGGTGCTCTTCAGTGCATTACCCCCGGTACATATGCTATGATTGGTGCCGGAGCGTTCATGGCAGGTGTTACTCGAATGAATGTGACTCTGGCAGTCATTCTATTTGAGCTCACTGGTTCATTGGACTACGTACTGCCGTTCTCTATTGCCATTCTAGTGGCCAACTGGGTGGCGAACCTGATTGAGCCAAAGTCTGTGTACGAGCTGCAGATCAAGAAGAACGACTACCCGTTCCTGGACAACCGGAAGACTCTTGCCTTTGATTCCTCGTTGGCCGATCTAGTGTCTCATTTCCCTCGAAAGCTGTGTATTGAAATGGATGAGGGAGACGAAGATGGAAGCGCCAAGGTAACGGTTGGTCAGTTGAAGGAAATGCTGGCGCAGGTGCAGGTGCGCAACGGAATTGACGGGTCGATTCCGCTGGTGCGCAATGACAATGTAGTGGGTCTGCTTCCAGCCCTGGAGCTGGAGGTGGCTCTTGATAGGATCAGTCAGTGGTACGAGGAGGTTGCGGGCGTGGTTGTTGCTGAATCGGAGGCTTCTGGGCTTAGATCTCCCACTTCCACCGAGACTACTGGCCTGAAACTGAGTCTCCCCATTCCTCCAACCTTTCCTCCTACCACCATTGTGCCTCCTTCGTCACTGGACTCTATTGTGTGCACGGTCTCTGTCAAGGATGTTGACATTACAAAGTTCCACCACTACTACGTTGGGGTGAAAGCTCGCGAAACGTGCGAGACGGACCCGGAGGAGACGTCCAACTCCAGTTCATGTGAGGATGGACTACTGCCTTTTGAGGCCACAGATCTGACGCAGTTTGTCGACCGTGCCCCTCTGGCTCTGGATGTCCATTCTCCCCTGACTTTAGTGCAGATGATGTTCTCCAAGCTAGGAGTGAGACAGATCTGTGTTGTGGAAGACGGTCAATTTGTGGGAGTTTTGCACAAGAAGAAGTTCATTGACTTTTGCAACAACCAAGAGAAGTGAGGAGGTTGGGATCTTGGAACTAACTACAAGTACAGTACTAACATACTGCCATTTCTGGTAGAACCACTCCTTTCGATTGGCCATCTGTATGATCTCTTTGTAGAGTTTTTTTGTTTTTTTTTTGGTAAATATTGTATTTTCTATTCTTTCCTTGTGTCTGTATCTCTTCAGAAATAATGTTGGTTATGTCAGCGATAAATTAATATATATTGTAGTGTACTAGACTGTAGTATCAATGATCTAACACTTACAAGTCTTGCAACTGCACTTGGTGCAGGCACAAGTGGAAGGCATGTTGTTAGATGAACAGCAGCAGTTGTTGACCAAGTCGTGCTTGTTGGTCTTGGTGAAGGTAGAGGAGAGTAGAGAAGCTCCGAACATGGCAGATGTGAATTCCATTGTGGTTGTGTGTGAGTGTTTGTGAGTGTTTGTGAGTGTTTGTATTTGTGATTGAATTGAACGGCGGATTCCATCTTCTATTTATATTGTCCAGTGCTGGCATTCGTCTTGGGCGCACTCTTCGCCATATCATGAACTTTCACATTTTGAGTTTCTTCAGCCGCAGCGATAATCTCGCACCTTGCATACAATGGAAACCTTAGCAGCACAATCCGCTCGAATATTCCAGAACCCATCAAGGAGCTGAAAGGGATTTAAAGAGAGAATTGGTGTTAATATGTATTGAATCAGACAAAAATGGCGATTGTTTAGTGTTTCGGAGTCCGACAGCCTCATATTAGAGTATATTGCGTTTTTTCGGAGTCCGACTGGAATGTACTTTGAGCTTGGAGTAGGTACTGGGGGTGATCTGCGAAGCAGAAGAGCTGGTAGATGTGAAGTGAGCTCGTTTCCGATAGGAGGATCAAGGAGGGATCTGGAAGCAAGTGAGTCTCGTGTATATGGGTCAGTTGAGGTCACTTTTGGTGCGGCGTTGGCTACAGTCTTCCCCCATCTTCTTTCCCCATTCCATAAAGACATTGTTTACATAGCGCCATCTAATCTGTTACGAATGTTCTAGATATGAGATCATTGTGCCACAGCCGCGTCTCTCTCTTTGTTTGACCCCATTCTTTGCGACATTAGTGCTACTGCCATGCCCATGCGTGCATTGTGCTGCGGCTGAATACAACTGTATCTTGTAGATCTAGGAACGGGAAAATCTATAAATACGGCCCGTTATCCCTCCTTTTCTCAGTACACAGACACACCATCTCATCTCCAACACCACCTACACACAAACACACTATCACAATGGAATTCACTAGCGCCCTGTTCGGAGCTTCGCTCATCCAGTCCAAGCACAAGACCGTCAAGAAGCACAACCTGGTCAACAGCTGCTGTTGCTCCAAGCCCGCAGAGAAGCCTACCAACTCCTGCACTTGCTCAAAGTGTGCTTGCGAATCTTGCAAGTGTTAATTTATTGGAACAAGTACCATTACCAGCACTGGCTGTCTAATACATTTTCTTAACTAATTATTTTAAATGTTGTAGAGAGTCAAGTAAATAGTGTCCGAGAAGTAACATCAACAACCTTCCTCAATAACAACATGGTGAAAGGAGCAATGCAACCACATTGCTGAAATATCATAATGAGTAGAATAATAGGCTGGATCAAATGGAATTGTATCAGTTTACCCTATAGAACCCTCTAGAGCAGAGGAGCATGTTGAGCTGTTCTAATCTCTGGACTATCGATAATGCAGATGGATGATTGCATGCAGGAGTATGTAATGTATGTACTGTAGCCACTGCATTGAAAGCTCATTACAAAGTACAGTACTGTAGGTGATTTTTTTTGGGGATATTACAGTAAACCTCTTTTACACCCATCCTTACCTCATTACCGGACCCTGCCCGACACTGTCCTTGGTTCTTGATAACTTTGGACACTGGAGTCACGAAGCTCTTCACAGAGCTGAAGAAAGAGGAGGTTGAGGATCTACATATGGAATAATGCTGCTGGGGGGAACATTGCGGTAAAAACTTAACCCGGTGTGATTTTTACCCTGACTTAACTGTCTTTTGCTCCACTCATGTATATGACTCTCCTTTTACCCTCGAATGAAGATGCAGAGTCTGCTGAAGCTCCTACTCCATCTTCAGGCTCACCCTTTAATGGACCCTTTCACTAATCCCACCTCGCCCCGGACCATTAACATACAATCAAATACATTATATACATAGATACATACAAGCAAGCAAGCAAACAAACAAAACGTTCCTAACCCTCCTTTCAATCACCCCGGAACATGGGCAAGGAAACAGAGGAAGAGTAATAAGTAGACGGGTTAACATCCATGTGAGGATGGGAGGTAGAGTGGTTGAGTGAAGGAGCCGATCCAGACATCATCTGCTGGATGATGGACGCCTCCTGACGCAGGTTTTCCACTCCCTTGGCCATCTTATTGATGTTGGACGAAAACTCATTCTCCATAGCCTGACGCTTGGCTTGTCGTTTTCCTCGCTCAGCCATGAGTCGCTGCAGACAGTTGTCGAGCTCCCCGCGGTACGTGAAGCCCAGCAAGATACTAGTGATTCTTCCGCTCCCTTTTTGTCGGCAGCAGCACACTTCAAATCCATCTCATTCTGCGCAGCTGAATGATGTAAATTTCTCAGAAACGGCACAGCTGAAGTACATACAGCTACCCTACTGTACGTTCGAGATGAGATGGAGAGACAGGGGGCTCGCTCTTATCGCAGCTTTTGATTGCCCTGCGGTAGCGACAGCTGAAGGAAATGTCTTGTTTGAGACCCACTGCGTAGGGGCTATTGCGTCTGAGGTCCTCGTATGAACATCCCGAGCGTCTTCAGGACGAAACATTGCACTAGCCTTTCCCCTTTAAAACAAGGAGTCTTGCGAAATCTCAGATATCCAATATTCACCTTCGCAGACATCCCATATTTACCTTCGCAGACATCCCATGTTCACCTTCTTAGCCGTTGTGCTATGAAGGTGGCCATGGGGTGACGATGAAAGTCGCATGTTGTACACAAACTCGAATAGTTTCGTCTAGTGTATCGTATCAACTTTTCTACCTCTTCGATTAACACCAATATGATCCTTGTAGCACTCAATGGTCTATCTGAAATGATATGATATCAGATCAGATGCTGTACCAGAAAGTATACTGATCAGAAGCACACTATTAACGGTCTCTCCTTTTTATTTCACACAATTCTAAACTTTATTTTATAACACTCGAACTCGCTGAATTCAGCCGCATTCACTGAAAATAGCTCGCGAAAACGAATATTTTCCAGCTCGTAACCTATATGAAATCCTCCACTCATCACAAAATGCTCTCAAACTCGTTTGATGCTCTTTCTTAAGTTCTCATTAACGTCTCAAAATCTTAACCTTCCATTCAATATACACCTCCAAATCAACAATCGTGAACGAGATATCTTTGATTACATAATCCAACGAGTAATTACGTGACCAAAAGCATGGATATCGCAAATAAATCTCACTGCGCGAAATAACTTCAATCTTGTCCTTTGCTCCACCTCTCGCACAGCTTACGCCTACCGCTCACAGTCTATGCTTAGTAACAAACCTTGTCAAAATATTTTAATTTTGTATGCAGGAATTTTCGCCTCCATCTTCAACTTTGCAACACAACATGAACAAGGAATCGTTTTCTCCTTCGCTTGATTCGCAGAACCTGTCTGCCTCCGCCTCCGGAGTGGCCAACAACAAGTCGTACGCCGTCAAGTACCTGTGTGCCAACTGTTCGTCCAAGGTGGTTCTCATCCGAGGCGATCCAGTTCGATGCAAGGAATGCGGTCATCGAGTTTTGTACAAGGAGCGGGCCAACTACACTGGTGAGTAAAGCGGGTGTGCTATAGATGCCGTGGCGACGTCGCGGTGGGTGCTACCTCCAGCGTTTGATGGTGTGATGGTGGCAAGCTGGGTCACAGTGTGTCATGAGAGAGAGAGTGAAGAGGGGATACACTGCGCGTGACACGGAGAGTGTGATGAAGGAGAAGCGTCACAGGTGGCAGTGAAGAATCGACAGGAAGAGATTGGACTCAACGATTCGTTTATGGGGTGATGGGCTTATTTGGAGATATGAAACATTACGAATCGACACAGGACAGAATATGGGCCACGGACGAATCCGTGGTTGAGGGCTGAAGGGCAGCATCATGAAAAGTGATGGAAACGTAGCTACTGGATCTGGATGTTGGTTTGATGCAGCAGATTCAACAGTTCCGTTCAGACAACAAATTCCAGTGAAGCGATACGTGGATAAGGTCGAAAAGTTGTAGGTCATCCGTGGCGACAGCAAGAGTGACCTATAATGTTTCTTCTGGACCATGGATAGTGCTCCAAACCCAGTGTGCAGTGTTTGGTATCATAAGACTTCTGCCTGAGCGACGATAGCTCTACCTGATAGCTCTGCCTGAAGTCGGGATTGTCCGCCTGTTCTGGTTGTGTCTGTGTCTGAATCCATCCGAGCCTGAATGTGTCTGATTCTGCCTCTCTGTTGTATATATCCGTCACTAACTGGGTATCTGTGATTCTGCCCGTGTTTCACTCTGCTTCCTGTTTGCTTCAATCTGATCGTCTGTTCGATTCAGCTCGATGTCTCAGCTCCGAGTTCCCAAACGCCTTATTGGTGCCCTCTGCCTTATCTGGATACCCTGTCCCACTGCTTACCGCCTCTTGCCTCTCACATCACTATGGTGCCTTGATCGCAAGCTCCACCAATTCAATCCAGCCCAATCAACCAATACTAACGCAGTCCAATTCTCCGCCAGATAGTTTAGTTATTTATATATTGTATACTAGAGCAGAAATACAGCAGCATTGGTTTGGAACACTGAGAATCGTTGAGGGAGTTACTAAGCAGATTGTTCAGCACAAGTGTAAACTCATTTCGAGAGAGCTGGTACGAAATGGAGACAGTGCTAGAGTCATTGAATCAGAAGAAATTACCGTTAAATGAGGGGTTGACTCTTCCATGACACCTGCTTCCAGACAGACGCAATCTATTGACGATGAAATGCCTCGACACAGCTTATGAACCACTAGTATACAAGTACTTGAACTGGTTGAATTGGAAGCTGCGGGGAGACAGACGGATGTTTAGTACGCGTAATTTGTAGATCTATGGAGTTATCTTATGTACATAGACATCATTACGCTGAGGAGAGGCCGCCTTACTCTGCAGTTGGTGTAATAGACCCCTACTTAGTTTATTGACACTTTTTGTTGGTATAATTGTAGCTTGAAGTTCAAACCGGGAGAACTGTGCGGATAAAAGCCTCATGAACATAAACAGATTTGAAATTGACCATTGTTATCTTCTAGAATGCCCTCAAATCATCAAATTAACCTTAGTAATCAGCAAGTTGAGGTCTCTTCAGTTCAGCTTCGTTTGGAAGTTACTTAGAAGTTTAGTTAAAACTGTTCTCTAAGTAACTATAGTCGGTCGTGAACCTCACCTGAAATCTAGACCTGACACTCGAGCAGACAAAAACAAGACATCGACTTCTTTCTCACAATCGAGTCTGTCGAGCCTTCACAACAAAATCAACATACTACCCTCCAGTCCAGTCTTTCCCACCGTATCATCTCTTTACTTGGTTCACCCAACCAAATGATTGCTTCTTAACATACCCTTGTTCCTCCACCTTTTCCAATTGCTTTTTTACTCCGCACCGATAGTCTCTGTAGCAACCTGCCTCAGCAACTCTGTACGAGGATCAGTACGGGGAAGAGTACGGGGAAGAGTACGAGCACTGAATTGCACCACAGAGGGAGTATGATCGTCTAAGACATTTATACTTGTGATTTTTTACTGATGTATAGTCAAGATACAAGTATGTACTGTAGCATACTTTGACTACAAGCACACTCTTGCAACAAACTACACTCCAAGTAATCATGTTTTCACATGTACTCGTTCTCGTACTCGTACGATGTTTGATACTGTAGAACCGTCCACATTGCTCTGCTTTGCTTTGCTTTGCTTCGCGAACTCGCTGTTCGCTCGCTCATTGGCTCTCTGGTTGGGTCTCTGATGCATTAAGTGTGAAATAAATAACCGCCGGGCGCTTTCCGGCTATGTGCAGCGCTGTTACTAAGCCAGGGCTTCAAGGAGGGTGATCTGGGGCTCGGGCCATTGCATGCTGTCCGTAGTTTCCCAGTATGGTTCTTTGGACTCCGTCCAGAAGGGTTGTTTGAAAGAGTGCACCGGGTCCAGCATCGGGTCCAGCACCGAAGGAGGGTAGGTGTTGTCGGTCTTCTTTCGCTCCTGCTCTGCCCGCTTCTCCTCCTCCAGTCTCAGCTCCTCTCTCTTTCGCTCCTTCTGCTTCTTGCGTTCCTCCTCCATCTCTTTCAACTCGTCCAGGGTAGTCAGGGGGTCCACCTCATCGTTGTCATACTCCTTGTGGGAATCAAAAGAGAACTCTCTGAAAAGCGACTGTCGGGGCTTTGCCACAGGCAGTGGAAGCTCCTTCTCATCACTCTCAACCTCCTTGCTCTCGGTGATAATGTCGTGTAGCACATATGAGCACACAAACAACATGCAGCACAAGGTGCCGATGATGATTGGCATGTTGTGGGTGTAGTGGTTGGCCACGTAGGTCGCCAGAGCCTCCAGATCCCGCGATCGATCGTAGTAATGTTCGTAGTATTGTATCACCTTGTCTGTCATTTTGGTGTAGCGAATCGGGCAAGTGGGTCTTCAGCTGTTCATGTAGTGTGGGACTTGTCTTTCGTTGTGTATGACTGTGTGGATGACTGGATGTGTGTGTAGCGAGCGCGGATGCGTGTGTGTCGGGTCGTAGAAGAAGTGAGTTGTGTTTAGTATCGTAGCTGAGGAAGACTGTCTGTTGTATCGTAGCCAGTTGTTTCCGTCACTGTGTGTGCGGCACTGTACCGTGTTTGTGTTTGGTGTTTGAGTATCGTGTCTGTAGCTAACGTCTGTAGCTGCTGAGTATCGCTGTGGTTGTTTGTGACGAGTTGGACCTAAGGGACTATAAATCCATGGCGGTTTTAGAGATGCGGTATATTGACTAAAAAGCAAAAAGAAGAGCGCTGAGAGTGTGGAGTATCTGCCCAAAGCCAAAGGTCGATAGACATTAGCAAGACAGATGGGTAGCAAAGGAGGAGACAAAAGAGAAGACCTGGAGCAATAAAGGGGGGGCTGGGGAGCGGCAAAATTATACTCAGCCACTCGCGTCCCCGTCCGCCCTGCTCCGGGGTTATTTGCACAAAAAACAACGTCGGTTGTAGCCCCTTTCAATCTCGCCTGATTACCATCCCTCCTTCCCCCCTCATAAACAAATGGCCCAATATTGAGGCATTTCAGACTCTCCGAGATATACAATTAACGTTCGGGTTCCAAGCTCCGAACCTTCTGCAACATAACTTTTCAATTGTCTCAATCGGGCCAGTGTAGAGTGGCAGTCAGCCGTGCCAGTGGAGACGTTTGGCCACGATTGGGGCGGAATAAAACGTGTAGAGAGAGATGAAACACGGGCAGAAAAGGTCGCAGAATGTATTGGCCCACCCATTGACCCTCCATAGCCAGTTCGGGTCCCGCTGGAGCGTACATTCCTCTTGGTGCCCAACCCGCCCAAAGCAGACATAAGCTTTTCAACATGCGGAAATTTCTTTCTTTTAGAAGCAAAGTCTATGACGTAGTAAATGCCTCGATCGAGAGATGAGAAGAGGTGGTGGTGCGAATAAATGCTAAAAAGCAGGGAAAAATGTGACAAAAAAAACAAAAGAGCAATAGGACTAGTAGAGCAGCGCGGTGGGGCACCATAGATAGACTGCTACTTGGCCTCAGGTGGAGAAGACGGACATTGAAGGGTTCTCTCTATGCACGCAGATGCAGTATAATACGAGGGGGAAGTATTATTTTGCAGTGAGCTAAATAATGGGGGGGGGGGGGGGAATTGCTATAACAGGGAGACCTTGACAGTAGTTGGTAATAACTTGTACAAAAGCAGATGTCTTGATTAAATGATTTCAGAAGCCCCTATCAACAACAAAATACACAACATCCACAACCTCCACCAACGCTCCACGGCCCATACAGCTTTATTTACAAGATGCAGAGGGTCATGTGTATTCTGTCGATCATGTATGCAAAATTTCCAAGACCTTACTCACGAGGATGATGACAATGCAACACTTGTACCATTGTAGTAGGAAAAAACCGGCACTAAAATCACAACAAAAAAGCCCAAAATTTCTCCACTATCCCACCTGTCACTGTCACCTTTATTCCCGACGTTTAGCGCCATCATTGAGGGGTAATCCAGCTAGTCTAAGTGCTGTCAGTCCTGTATCGACGCTGTACAGAGATGAGTTTATCTGCAGAGATTGGCATAATGGCATGCTTGAACTTTTTTTGTTCGTTGGTTTTAGAACAGCCTGAATCTCCGTATCAAGGCAATCTCCCATTCGGGGCGGTCAAGGAGCTCGTTTCCTCTTGTCTCAGCGATATTCCGCCTCAAACCTGCTTTATGGCACCACACAATCTAGCTTACTCGCCGAGATAGCATTTATTGCCCATGTGCCTGCCTCCAACATGTATGCGAGTTTAACCAAAGAGGAAGTCCAAGGGGTTGCGGGAGAAGAAGTCAAGATTGGTCGATGAACAATGAGTAGCGGTTAGGAGTTGCTGTCTGGGGAATCTTCTGACGCTGAAGACGAAGGGTTTGAAGTCTCTGACGCCATAGAGCCGTTTTTGCGTCCCACCAAAGGACCCTTTTGTGGCGCGTCCAATTACTCGGACTTCAGGAACCTCATGACTGACATAGACTCAAACACCTCAAGTGACGCGATTGCAGAGCTCAGTCAAGTGACCGGGAGATGAAAATCGTTTGACACCCGTCCCTACGTGGGCGGAAATCATGCACCTCTGCTTCTGCTTATCTCTGCAGTGTGGATTACCGTACGTGCCTGCTAAGACCGATGACGGCACGAAATGAAGTGTCAACCATTATTAGAACCCCATAGGGAAATCCAAGCCCTCCCAATAGCTGTTATAACACTTTAGAACGACGCTAAGATGCCGTCACAGGTTACCGGGTCCGCTGACATGAATTGAAAGATCCACTATTAGAGTCAACACTGGGTTTAACGGTGTCGAGAGATTACATACAACTTAGCTGCAATTAGCTGTAGAGGAAACTCGACGGTGAGTGGAGCCGTGTCACAGAGCAGATTTGGAGCTGTCTGTCAAGTCTACGGGCAGAAACTTCCATGTCCCTCCGAGTTGCCGTACGTGGTTATACGGCCGGGGTTATGGCATTATGTCAACCACCAATAAGCTGGGACTATAATGTGAGGCCATTTGTGATGGACACAGGGTGAGTTGTCAATGTGAAGGTCGTGGAGAATGTCAGGGTGCATATGGAAATGCCGGGATGTCTCGACAACGCACAGACGTAAATTGGTTTGATAGTGGAGGCGTTTTGTCTGTCCCTACAATCGACGATGCACTGTAGAAGTAGTGGGAATAATACAATCAATATCATCTACTAGTGTATGGTCACATTTATTACGAGTAGGTACACACTGTATATTTTATCTGTTATTTTCCCCTTATTTCATCATTAAATAGATTATCCCATAAACGCGTATAGCTGTCCCCTTCCATTCTGCTCTGATCCCTCTACTATAGGGAGACCTAGAAATGAAGCAAAAAAGATGCTTAACGGAACCAGACTTAGCTCAACTAAACTCGCAACTCTCTCCACTCAGGGCTGGAGCAAAACCGCGACTAAAATGCAAAGACCGACAGAGTTGAAGGTCGGAGATTTTCGAGTCATCTGAACTCGTCATGTGGAAAAAGTCGTAACAAGGGCCAGACTGGGGGGTCATTGGTATTAGAGGGAAGCTCCTGGCTAGACAAATACACCCAACTACTCCATACTCCAGTAAGACCCTTGGATTCAGCTACGTGAAGAGAAGTATGTTCAAGAGCGCGTTTATGAAATGATAAACTCCAGTCGAAATATCCACAGCAAATTAGCAAGGCAATGACATCTTACCTCACAAGTGAGCTTCTGATGTATTAGAACTGGTCAGGAGTCTTTCAGCTGCTCTCAAAGTCGAAGATGAGCTTGTGTTGTGAGGTCATGTGCCAGATGAGAGAATGCCCAACAGTTGGACATCAAAGAAGCCTCATTCAGATAGTTGAGGTTGTATAAAATTGATTCACATGCTGGAATAGCTACATTTCCCACTCCTCCTCGCTACCTTCGCCCTCTCCAAAGTCCAGCTCATCCACACCTCTCTGCAGCTCAGCTAAACCACACAGCTCCTCCACAAACCCTCTCTCATTAAGAGCCTTCTTGACAAACCCCCACGTCTTGTCCTTCCACTCCTGGACAATGACTGGACTGCAAGCGGAACAACACTTGAACCGTTGACCAGTGATCTTGACAGTAGAAAAGTTGTGCAGAAAGCCTCGCAGCTGATGAGGGGCTGAGGGCTCGTCTTGACACATGGCCTGCAAAATCTCTACTCCGTATCCAGAAACAATAGGAGCAATTCCAGGCCGGGTCACTGTACATTGTTGGTCCAACGTTCTGTCGTTCATAGAATCTGTAGGAGCAACAACATCATTACAAAAGTAACAGCCCAGATCATTCACTCCCTCCACTCCATGCCGCATCACCACAAACGAGTCAAAACCAATGGCAGCCGTGATACACTTCTTCTTGAGAGCTGCACATATAACAGTAGGCAACCATCTCGACTCTCGTGAGTCCATGAGCAGAAACACAGCATCATGAGACTTAATGAGAGACACCAGCTCGTCATACTGCTGGTGGACTCGCTTCTCACTGCTGGAAGTGGTGCTATGACCAATCATAGGCACCTCAAGAGTTATTCCCGATGTCTTGACTGCAGGATATATCTCCTTGAGAGCTTCAGCAGCAGTCTCAGCCTTGGGTTTGCCTCCATCCAAACAATCTACATACTTGTATAGAGGCTGGCGAACAGGATTGCTAAATGAGACAGTTCCATTGTCCACAAACGTGACCTGTTCAACTCCCCAAGCTAACAGAGAGCGGGAGACATAGCTTCCGAGCGTTCCGGCACCCAGAAGGAGGCACCTGGTGTGTTTGATGGTATCCAGATCCAACTCAGGCGCAATTCTCCACTTCATCAGCTTCAGATTGAGATCCACAGCTTGAGAGGCCAGCTGTAGAGGGTTCAACAGAGGCCCCAAGTTGGTCTGCTTAGGTAACAGCTTTCCCGCACTGTTTTTTTCCCAGCCAGTCCATGCACCAAGCTCCCCGTCTCCCCGCTTCCACTCGAGAAACCGGTTTTTCTCACGCCCAACTAAGATCATGGTCGCAGACTTGAACCCTAGGATATGCAGCATTAGACAAATGTTTCGGACGGTCCAGGGTGTGTTCTCAGGAGATGTCGGTGATAGAAATGCAATCGTAGGGTCCTCGGATCGCTCCACATACTCCAACTCACTGAAGGGAGTGACGTTGTCATCGGGATCAATAACAACAAACGATTCTCCGAGAGCCGGGATGCGCGTACTAAGATTCGTGTAGTTTCCCTCATCTGCCACCTCCTGCAGGTCCCACTTTGTGTTCAGGCAGGGCACTCCCATCCAGTAGACGAAGATGTACTTTTTAAGATCGCAGAAGGTGATAAGAAGAAAAGAGTTGAGAATCTCGGGATTCCGGAAAATAGATCCATTCATAATTGCACCCGACAACATCTTGTCACCCCATTCCGCCAGTAGCGCCTTTTTGTCTGCTCCTTTGAACTCCTCTATCGTGTTGTAGTTGAGTAGAGTTCCGGGACACTCAACAACGCCCTTGCAGTGCGAATCTCGGTCCGAAAACGAGTCGCTGTCGAAAACGAGCCGACCTTGTTGCCATGTGTATTCTGCGGAGACCCTCTTAGGCGAATCGTCGAGTTTGTACTCATTGAGTTTTTTGGCAGCCAGAGTCTGGAAGAAAGACGCTTCCAAAAACGACGAAAACGGCGTGAAACTCATGGTGGGAACGAGAGTGTGTTTGTGTAAGGTGTAACGATTGTGATTTGTGTTTGTTTTGACGATATCGCGTCTCGGCGTGTATCTGTGTACTGTACAGTACAGTACTTGTGTGTGTGTCGTGCTGGTGCTTTGGCAACATGCAGCGTATGCAAGATAACGAGTTAGAAAAGGTAGGGTAAGTGACAAATCAGGGTTTACGGAGACGATGAAAATAATTTGGCCATGGGATAAATTGACAGAAAATGGAGTAAATTAGGGAGAAATACAAGAGCCTGAAATAGTCAGCTGACCATTTGTTTTTTTCTTTCTTCTTTACATTTAATACATTTAAATCTAGAGCCCTTGCGCGTCTACAATGCCAACATTTTTGAGCCCACCCATCTCGCTCTCTCTTGAGATGAGATGGAACTCTGTGAGGGCTGTGGATCCAGTTGGTGGCGGACAGAGGATCCAAGGTATTGTGGGAGTGGGGTCTAGGAATTCTGAGACCTGGTCAAATCTCCAAAGAACATGTCCCAGACGGACTTGATGTTGAGATCTTTTCAACCCTTTGACGGAGAGTCTGAGAGCTGCTTGGACGACCAGATAGCCAGGTATCGCAGAAACTCTTCGCACTTAAGATCATGTCGATATTCTCCTCGTTGTATCCCCTTCTTCAACAACTCTACAAGTACGATACAAGTAGCACAGGATCAACACCAGATTTTAGTGTAGTTGGTCCCGCATTAAGTAAGAGAGTCTCGCTTTTACCACGAGTTTAGATGGACCAAAATTGAAGACTCGGAGCACTTGAACTGTCAAAAAACTCGGCCGATCTGGTTTATTTCTAAACTCCAGAAATTTGGCGCAATTTATTCATGATATTTGTACCTCGGCTACTGTACTACTCGCTCGTACACTGTCGATGCACTCAAATACTCAAATACTCAAATTTACCCAACCAGAAGGTCATCAATAACGCTGAAATGAAGGTCAAATGAGTGACATGACGTTTGAATCAATCCTTTAGAATGCAGTAAAAATATCGATTTATTCCAGGATTTCCCCCGATTTTCCTCGAATTCTTCCAAGTTTCTCCATTTATTGGCATTATTCCAACCCAAATCCGCCAGCCTACCTGAACTCACTCCACAATGTCACTCCACACGGCTGTAACGCATTGCATGTCCGAGTCGGCAGTGTCAGGTGGTGTAAAAAGTGGTATCAACGGTAGCTAAGAAGGAGATTTGAGAGCTGGAAATCACACAGGTTTTACCCAAAGTGGGGGTTTATCTGGTCCCCACAATTATTTCCATTTTATCCCATTTTCCCCGATTATTTTCCAGCGCCCTCATCGACTTTAAAATTCTCACCCAAATCTCACGGCCAAATTTTCCCACAACCGGAATACAGACACCGACTCCCGCCACAGAAAACCGCAGAAACGAAACAACACGCGCAAAGCCGCATGTGTAGACGTCACGTGGCCCTAAATAAATAATTGCCCCGTAGTCGTGTCTCGCCCTTTCCCCTCGGTCACGTGACCAAAACATCGCCAAACACGTCAAGGAGTCACCACCCAATCACACCCAAGCTTATATCCCTCGTGAATTGCACCTCGTGTTGGTCGGCTTTAACTCGGACCGAGATTTTTTAGCTTGCAGGAAGGGACTTCTGGGGCGGAGGGAACATGTCTAGAAGAGAGCAAAGAGGACATTTGATGGAGTAGAAATTTGAAAGGGGGGGCACTACGGCATGTATCAGCTGATTCACCAAATTTCTGCCCATTTCGATCGAAACTGAGCTTTCCAGAGCCACCCTCTTCCCCAGTTTAGCTTTACCGTTGAATTCTACCTTGCGTAAAAGAACCACCTCTGCAGATCAATCTTACCATCCTACACATCACTACCTCCAGTGTAAACAGGCAACACGTATCGAAAATGGTCAAGTTCTTCCAGTCCAGCCATTCCTACGAGTGAGTATTCGAGATGAAGAAGGCATAAACAGACTGGCATACCCAATGTGCCACGAAGACTCAAACAGCAACCTCAGATTGTTGCACAGGCCAGGTTTACGAGCAACAGCAGATGAAACAAGAAGATGAAGGACACAGCCGCTTGTGATGGGCTCGGATGGAATGGGAGTTCAAGTCGGAAACTGCCGTGATGGAACTTCATTGGACCTAGCCTCTGTGACATCGCAGAAGTGATTTGGAGACCACTACAGCATTGCGCACTTGTCGCTTGTGATCAATGCTTCGAAAAGAGGTTTGTAGACACAACTATTGGCATGGACGTTAATGTTTGTGTTGTAAATCATCTTTTGGATCCTTACTGTCCGTGGCACCATGCCTGCAGGATACAGCCAAGGCTTGCAACTATCACGCCATGTGGTAGTTGATGCACCATGCATCTACTATCCACATTTGGCAGATGCCTGCTTGCAGTGACTTCCTTACATCAGGTCTCTATTGAGGTGTTTTTCAGCGGATATCGGTATCTACAACCTTGTCTTACTACGGGAACATCAATTGGGGTACATCTAACACCCTGCTCAAGGTTTGATAACGGTCGTTGTATGCCTGGCACAACTGCTACTCGTTTCTCTATTATCCGTTACTAACTCAGCCACGACTTTTCCACCGTCTCCCTGGCTTTTTTCAACCGGTACCCCAACCCGTACGCCTCGCACGTGCTTGCCGCCGACACAATTGAGCGATATGTGGACACAGATGGAAATCTGCACACCACGCGTCTAATTCTCAAGCAGGGCCGGCTGCCTAGGTTCGTCAAGCCTTTCCTCAAGCACATTTCTGAGTCTTGGATTATCGAGAAGTCTGTTGTCGACCCCAAGCAGATGGAGATGGAGACCTGGAGCTCGAATCTCGAGCACCGATACATCCTCAAGGTCGAGGAGCGAACCACGTATCGACGTGAGGGCGCCGGAACCTGGTCGCAGAACCAGGTCTCCTTTGTTAGCAACTTTGCCGGCTGGGGAGTCAAGGACCGAATCGAAAAGTGGTCCCTCGACCGATTTGGGGAGAACACCGCTAAGAGCCGACAGGGCATGGCCTTTGTCATGGACCTGCTCAAGGAGAAGGGTCTGATGCATTTCCAGCGAGTTCAGCTTGGACATGACTTCAAGTAAACAGTGGGCGGAGCGACTGTTTGACCCAATTAGAACCCTCGAGACCTACGGAGGACATGCAACAATCGAGAGCATCACACTCGTGGCACACAACAAAACCCTACGGTCTACAGAGTCGAATTTTGAAAAGCAATCAAGAGAAACGGATATCAGAGAACCGACGGAAAGGCCAGGACAGTCATGCAGGACTCGATGGATTTTGAAGGACTTTTTGTTTTTGGAGCGCTGAATTTTGAAAGACAAAAAAAAAGGGACACCACAAGATGACTGAATATTTATATAGATGAAATACAAAACACTGAATTGACGTTGTGGCAGTACGAGCATGAGCAGTCCAGCAGGGAGAATGATGAGAGGAAGAGGTGAAGTGAAGGATACATACAGTACATAGTGTAGGTCAGAATTGCTTCTAAATCGGTCAAGTCTGTTTGTAACTTAGTCCCACAATTTAATGTCGATGGCATCCAATATATATTCAACGGGGTTGGGCCGAGGGGGGGTTAATTTTATGTAATGCATTTTTTTTTATTCTAATGATTCATTACAGCTATATACTTACAAGTAGTAAGCCGAGTTATTGGCGTTCAATAAATCATACACTTCTGAATCTTTGCGATGTGCGCTGCGGGTCGCTGTCGGTTGGTTTGTCGACGCTTCGTCTAGTTGATGTCATTGTCGTGGTCTCGTGGTGGTGAATCATGGTTAACAGATCAAGAAATCATATCAATCGTTATTTTTTTTTTATTCTAATGATTCATTACAGCTACGTTACGTTATTTTTATAGCTGAATTTCACACCCTACACGAAATATGCAGGCCGGATCTCACCATCCGCAATAGTTTAGTGGCTAGAATTTCCGCCTGTCAGGTATTAACCAGCACGCGGGGGACCGGAGTTCAATTCTCCGTTGCGGAGAGTATATGAGATTACTTCTTTTTTCTCTATATATTTGATTTGGTTTGTTCTGATTTTCACGGCTGAATTCACAAAAGTTCGTCGCTATGAAAATTACCGTGATACTTCTGCAGAAGTCTATATACTAACATTGGAGACTGGCATATTTGGTTCAGGAGGAGTAGGGAATCTGAGGTCTGAGGATGTGTAAGGGCGCTAAGGAGCAGATTGTTCCAGAATTCAGCCCCTCCGGTGGATTTCTGAGTCTTTTTTATACTAGTACTTGCTGTTGACCTGCAACACTTTTCGGCAAAACTGATTCCGACCTCAACATTCACAAGAGATATGGGAGAATCCGTTGTTTTTGATTACGAGCGAGTCCAAGGACGACGTCGATTTGCCGATTCAACGACTTTGATTGACACACAAAGTCCTAATTTATCCAACAGCAGGTCCAGCTTCGACTCAACGAGACCGAAATGACACTACAGTAACACGCCATCACCACGGCCATTCGTCCATCAAGGATGTGCAAGTTCTACTAGATCTACAATACTAGAGAGATATTCCACAATCATATGTTAGCTGCTTGTAGCTACATCATCTTGTTTGAGTGCCTATAATATAATAAACATGCATTACCATCCTATATCTGTTATCGTTCCTATCCAACATAACAACCACCCTTCCGTCATCAACTAACAAACAACACACTTTTCGTCTCTGTACTGTTTGAACTCCCTGTCTTCCTCATCCAGAGAAGAACGGGCAGTGTCGCTAGCCCGTCCTTTGCCCTTATCGCGCATCTCCTTTTGCATCTCCTTCTGCTGCCGTTTGCGCTCTTTCTTTTCACGCTTCTCGGCCTTCTCCAGCTCCCGTTTCCCCTCCTTCTCCCTTCTGTGCTCCTCCTTGCGATCATCCTTCTTGTGATCTGCGTCATCCTCAGATGAATGCGAAGCCAGCTTCTTGAGGAAGAACCGCTTCTTGGAAGCTGATATGGTGCCCGCTGCTCCACCGGCTAAGGAGCCCTCCGTGGGAGTCACAGTGCCGGTGGCAGCACCGGATCTGGGGAGCTCTGCATGCTCAGGAACAGGGGCCACGTACGACTCACGCCGCAGGAACGACATGATCGACGAATAACTCTTGGATTTGTTGAGATGCGGCTCGGCGTCGGACTCCGAATCGAGAGGATGCGTCGACATGGACGAAGCTGTTGATTCAGAGCCAAAACGAGACTCGGGGGAGTCAACTGTGATGGGAGGAGGAGGCTGCACCTGAACCAGATTGCTTCGAGTCGACACATTGTCAGAAGAGTCGTGAGCAGGATACACGGTTGGAAGAGGAGGGGCCCGAGTGTTAGTGGGGGAGACTTCATACGATGGAATAGACTCGTAAGAAGGGGCAGCTCCAAGGGTGGACACGTGGGTGTCAACAGCGAGATTTGGAGTATGAGTATCTTCAGAAAATACCTCAACGGTACTGCCTGTAACTTCTCCAGTGTGGCCCTCAAAAATAGACTCCGTATCAAGCCCATTGATGGTCGTACCACCCACACCTTCCGTCACATGATTCACACGTACAGTGTCGTACTCGTCGTCTTCACTGCCTTCGGAATCGCAAGAAACCTCTGTCACACCAACAGAAGTGTTTCCTGCATTACCTCCAATGCCAAAATTCGCCCGCAGACGACCCAGACCCCGTCCATTGTCCATGTCGATGTTTCCAATTGACGGCTTATGTCCCTGGGCTACTGCCGGCTTGTGGGCGTTCATAGGGTCCGTGTCGAACTCACGGGACTCGAGTGAATCCGGAATCGGCTGCACGTACTCCGACTTGGGATCATCGTCTTCGTCATCGGCAACCATACGGTAAAAGAGTAGGTACGGCGACTCCTGTGTGAAGGCATCTTCAAAGTCGATCTCCTGAAACTTTTTGTCTCGAGGCTGAAAGTCGTCGAACCGCAGCCACTTGCGCCGTGCCGCTTCGTTGGTAGCTGAGATCTTGGACGAAACGGTGCCTGATCGGGTTCGGAACTGATGTCGAGCGCCAGCAACATCAAAATCGTCCTCGGAAGCACTCTTGGTAGGGCGCTCGGCAGTAGTGTAGACTCCGCCAACGGTATCACGTGACGCCTGCTCAGAAACGAGCGTAATGTAATGTCCAGAGTGAACAGAAGTACCTCTGTGACACACAGCAGACTCCAGCACGAGCTTAAACGCGCCAGGATGCTTGGGTTGCTCGTAGTCTTCGTCAGAAACGGCCTCCTCGCTGTCCTCGTAGTCCATGTCGAGATTCTGGTCGGCCACAAACGAGGGGAAGTGAATAGTATCGGGGATCACAACAGTACGGTTGTTCTTCTTTGCCACCCCAGATTCCGTCCAACAGAACCGCTTGAGACAAATCACAAGCACAGGTTTAGACTTTGCAAAGTACACGGCGGCAGGAGAGTCGGTATCCCCCTTGGTATTGGAGTAGAATGGCAACAGCTGAAGAAACATCCATGCAGGAAGCGTGATCTCACTGTTTTCGTTCCACAGAGACGAGCGGGTCGACTGGCCGCCAATAGAGCCCTTTCGAATAAGCTCAGACACGCGTGGGTTCTTGACCATGGTGGACACGGATGCTGTGTCTGGTAAAACAGGTGAGTCGACGGCGGAGTCTACGGCGGAGTCAGTGACCGAGGAAGATGACTCTGCGTTTGAATCATCGTTCTCATCTCCTACCTCAACCACTCCTCCCGTTTCACCTTCTCCCCTGTCCTCCTCATTATCGTACCTGTGCCATCTGTTCTGGTCCACAAACTGCAACTCTCGCAGAGTATTGATATCCTTCTTATCTCCCTCTTCCACTGAACTCACAGACGTCCTTCTGGAGGCAAGTGTACTGGGGCTGCCCCCTTCTCCGTCCAACATCTCCACTGTCTCGACGTGAACATGGTACTTTTTAGACTTTGTGGAGTAGGATCGAGGGCGTTTGAACGCGACCGCATCCAGCTGGTCCAGGGTCTTGCGCCGTTCAATCTGACGACGGACATTCACTGAGTTCGAAAAGTATTGCTCCAGACATTGCTCCAACAGAATGGGAGGGTCGTTATCATCGCCAGGAACAGGAATGTGAAGCATTCGTTCATTTACCAACTTGTGGTCGTCCTCTCTTACCTCCTTGCCTCCATGTGCAATATCCACCTTGAGCGTCAACAACGGCATGTCCATTTTGTCGCAAATAAACTGAAACAGTTCAGACACATCCTGCTGCCTGTGTAGTGTCTGCCCGTCGCACCAATCCGCTTCCATCAGCGACTCCATCAGCTTGTGCGTCATGTCTGTGGTGATGTAGCATCCCTGGCGAAGCAGAGTCACGTAAAATCTGAGCAATGTGGCCAGCGACTCTCGCCGCTCGTCGAACTCAAAGTTCTTGTACAGCATGGGCTCGAAGTTGTCCATTCGAGCAAACATTGCCACCATGAGTGAGTCAAAGTAGCATGACACTCCGTTCCAATTGTCTGCTCCCACAAGGCGGGTATACTCCCCTTGAGGGGAGACGTATGGATGCATGAGACCCGCAGCGGCCTTCCGGAACGCCACAATGAGCTGAACGGCCTTTTGAGTGTCGTTTTGCGTGAACTTGGACGCCAGCACAAATCTGATATTTTCCAAATCAATCGTTTCAGCCGGAATTTTGTACTCCTCCATGAGCGTGGTTCTGACGTGTTCTTCAGGGGAAAGAATCATCGAACTTGGTCGTGACGACGTTGGTGTCAGCCCCAGGGTGTTCAACTTGCTGACAATGTCATCACTCGTTGTGTTTGTGTTTGTGGTTGTGTCGCCTGTATTTCTTACCGATGACGTTCCCCTGGATGTAGGAACAGCGGAACCCGCTCTGGAGGTCACCCGACTACCGATCCTGGAGCTCCGTCCTCTCCTCAGCTTCAACCATCCCTCATTATCCTTCTCGTCGTCTGTTGTGTTTGTGTCGCTCTTGTTGCCGTCGCTTTTGTGCCCATCTTTTCCGTCCTTGTCTTTGCGCTCGAAAATGGACCGAAACAGCTTCCGATTCCGCGACGCCTTGGGAGCAGAGATCTGCGCCCAGTCCTTGGAGCCGCTCATGGTGTCTGTGTGGTATCGTGGTGCACAAGAGGAGACGTCGTCATGTGGAGATGATGCATGATAGAGTTGTGGTTGCGGTAGGAGGGTGGTCTACTGTATGGCGTACAATGAGCGTGGTGACAACGAAAACAGAGCGAATCAAAGCGCATCATCCTACATATATATATCCCCCCTATAAATGATACAAAACGACTCCCCACAACCCCTTCCATGATACACAATGTCTTGTTCCAATACCATCATACACCTCTATCAATACCCCAAAAGTATAATTTACACATTGGGGATCCAAGATAATAATAAATGGGCTATTATTGCAAATATACAAGCACCGAAAAATCGCCAGGAGGCGCTAGACATCCCAAACGGCCCAGGAAACGCCGAAAAAATCACATATTCACACAAAACCACCATTATATCGTCGTTCTCCACAAGACGACAAAAACCCAATTTTTCAATACGGTTTCGACTGATTTACACAACCTCACCAAGGACTGAAACGGACCAAAAAGCAAGTTCTACCAAAACTACTGTGCAGTAACTTTTTACCGCCGTCTGCCAGGTCAGACAAAAACCAATTTTCCCCTTACCCAGAAAATACATAGACTCCAGACCAGCCCAGATCTCCACAGACCCTTCTCCATTCCCGACCCTCTCCACACGGACTAAACCGCTCGACACGTGATAGACTTTAGCCCATCCGTGGATCGCAAAAGTCCAACCCTAACCCCAAACATGCATACACGATGAGTTTTGCTTTGCCGCCGTGGACAAAATATATCGGGATGCAAAACAGGCATTTTTGGGTGCTATTACTGGGCTATCCGTGCTAAAGTTGTCGGAGCAACCCTAGCCCTGCTTCTCCAATCCAACTACTTGTAGCTAACCGTCCGGCCTTGTCCTACCTGGCTCTCTTGATCGCACTCATCTTGAACGATGGTTAACACAGTAACAAGAAATCGCAACCCTGCACACATCTGATAAACGGGGTTAGGGTATTAAACGCCAGGTTAAGAATGAATATAAGCCACTGCTTTCCAGAATAATGCTCTTGACACGTGTCTTACACGTCTTGCAATGACTCAAAGATGAGACGTGTGGAGACTTTTGTCGATACATAGCATTTCATGCACAGTCATGTGATTTGGCGAATCGCTTAGGAATGCCTATCAGAGTTAGACTTCTGGGAAGCCATTTGGGTTTATTTCAGGGTTTGAGTTGGAGGATTAAATGAGTGGATTAAATGGATTAAATGGATTAAATGGATTAAATGGATTAAATGGTGAAATAAAGAAATGGAGAAATGTAGTGAAAATTGGGCTCGAGTTGTATTTATTCATCTGGCTAGTGTCAATCGTCTGTACAACTACTTATTAAATGCTTGTAATTAATTATAGGATGTGAAATGGAATGGGCGTGAAAATAAAGAGTAAAAAAAATCATTTAAATCAGAATGGATGTACAAGACTATAGAGCTGTTTGACTGTACAGAACTTGTAATTAGGAACATTTTGGAGACGGGGGGTTTCAATAGTGCCTTTCCAGGATAGGCAAACGTCGAAGGGGCCCCTTGAGTGGCGTCTCCTCTGTCCTGAGCGGGTCCATTTCGGCAGTCGCAGCCAGGCAGGACTAGAAGTCTTTTCATAAATGTTAGTATGTCATACATACACCAGAGACACGGAGGTGATGAGATACGCATCAATGTTTTCGGCTACAATTACTCGGCGTGAAATCTCCATCCGAACATGGTGTCCCAGAGTCCGTTGTAACTGTCTGTAGTAGTTGGCCACTTCTGAAGAGGCCTTCGAAGGTATTCGATAGTTCGATTCTATTTGGGGGGAGAAGCAGCCGCCTTGGGGTTACACTAAATCACAAGAGCTCCAAGTACAGCCAGGGTGTATCGTTCGAGTGCCGTGTCAACATCTCGCAAGAACCGCAGTCCCCAGAACTTTGGGTGTGCGTGAATGAACAGGTCTTTGAGAACGTTATAGTTGTTGTGGAGTGCTTCAACGATATTATCCTGATTTTTTTTAAGAATGGGCAGTTATTGAACCAGATTGACATTTGTAAAAGTACTTTTCCTTCTCCTCCCTCATCAATATCTTCAGGCTGACCTGAATCCTGGTACAGTATATGTACTTAAAACACTGTGCATAGATGTGCCAAAGGGCAAAAAGCTATATCGATAGCGTCAAATAATGGCATAGAAAGCACTTGTACTCATATACATACCTTACAGACTATATATATATCTTATACTGACAGCAGACTTAGACCTCATCACTCGTGTAAATATCTTCCTATGAAGTGAAAACTGGTGCAGTGGGATCTGCCTCTCTACCATACCTTTTGTCTCGTAGCACTATTCGTAGAGTCCGTCCTTAAACGGAGGTCAAATTCACGTACATGGCAGTATGTACTTTCTACTTGTACACTACTTATGCTGCTCGTACCACTGGTTGGCAAAATCCTCGACAGTCTTGTTGAAGGGAATCCAGTCGATATCAAGCAGCTTCTTGGAGTAGCTAGCGTCGCACTGGGAAGCGTGGTTTAGCTCCTTCTCCCGGTTGGCGGGGTTTCCAATTGCAATCTTGCCATGGAACTCGGGGATCTTGTTGGCGATATCCTCAATGTCCTGGGTGCAGAACTTGGCGGTGGCCAGCAGGAGTCGTTCTCCGTCAAGCTCGGGCTTGAGAGCAACAACGTGGGCCCGAGCACAGTCTCGGACATCGACAAACCAGCCGGCAACTCCCTCGGGGTCCTGGCCCTTCTTGGACCCGAGAACGTTTGCAAGGACCTCGTTCGAGGTGTTGAGAGCGCTCATGTCGAGAGCAACACCGGGCCCCAGAATGTAGGTGGGGTTGATCCAGGTTATGGAGAACTGGGGCTTCTCCTTGTCACGGAACTCAATGCCGGCCTTCTCAGCATACAGCTTGGAGCCCATGTAGTTGGCGAACGGGTTGCCCTTCTCAGCCGCTTGCTCCCAGGTCATGGGGTTCCAGCTCTTCTCGGTGTAAGTGGTGTTAGGGTCGTAGAAGGTGGCAACATCGAGGTTGCTGGCCACAGAAGAGGTGATGACAATCTTCTTTACGTTGGGAGCATGGGCCTTAGCGGTCTTGAGCACGGAGAGAGTACCCTGAATTGCCGGCTTGAGCATTTCTTCCTCGGGGTCCTCGGCAGTGAAGTTGAACGGAGAGGCCGTATGAAGAATGTAGTCAAGCTTGGGGTGCTTCTTGAACAGTGCCTCAAACTCGGCCTCGTTCTGGATATCCTTGACGGTCTCCAGGGTGAGTTTTCCCGAGTCCACAGAGCTCTGCAGAGCCTGTGTCAGTCGCTCGGCCTTTGCAGGGTTTCGAACCGTGCCAATGACATTGTGGCCGGCCTTGAGCAGTTGGTCGACGCAGTGGCCGGCAAGAAATCCGGTGGCTCCAGTGACGAGTGTAGTGGGCATGATTGTATGTGATTGGTTGAGTTGTAGTTCTGTCAGCTGGTCGGCTTGCTTCTGTTACGACTCCTGTGTTACAACTGTGGTGTTGTTGATCTGTTTGTGGTACATTTTTGTTGCTACTGGCGCCTTCTTTATACCTTGAATGCGTGCGCCCATCGCTGCCGTGTTGCGTGTTGCTGCGCTTGCTAAGTCCGTATGGAACGGAGAATGACAAACCTAATCAATATCAGCTCCGTTAGTGACGGAGATAGTGGTAGCGAAAACCTTGAATATGCATGACGAACGTTGCTGCTTTGTTTTTACAATGACATTACGCGACAACCCCTTAGGATATGCGCAATTGAGGAGGGGGTGTTCTAAGGAATCAATTGAACGCCTGAATGGGTTGCGAGGAAAGCCACTGGACTGTTTGCGAGTTTCTAAGTGGGTGCTGAAGTTATAGAAATATTCGACGCAAAAGGGTCTCGAACTCGCGTTGGCTGCATGGAAAAAAGCAAGGAACGCTGCAATGCATCTTTAGAATTAAAATTAAAATCAAGATAAAAACATAAATTCCTAAATACAAAAGATTCGAAAAAGATTCGAAAAAAAATAAAAACCCAACATTTTTTGAATTGAACAAAAGAGAATGTAATAAACACGTCGTGGGCCGATTGTTTATTGAAAGTGGTATGATCCTTGTTCACAATTTGAGCAGATGGCTGCATTATTAGTATGTATGGTTGTTGTTCAGTGGTGCAACTACTTGATGTTTTCTCATATATTTTCAATACATTTCAATATATGACAAAAAAACAAATCTCAATTTGACTACGACTAACCCTACAAGTAGGTGAGTCCCCTTGGTGAAGAAATGGATCATGCTGAATGATGTTATAATGAATTGATACTCCCACCCTATTTGATTACGACCAACCCTAGTAGCCCTCCCTAGCTACTTTCCTTACTCTCAATGGTGAAAGAGGGAGGGAACTATTGAAGATCATAAGTATTATTGATTAGATATAGTTAATGTAACGGTTTACAATTCACTTCTAGGGACACCACGTTCCGATAGTAGCACATACTAGAAGGATGTGGGCTTGCTCATCACAAGAAAGAGATTCTCGATCAGTGGACAAAACTATCTACGAGATGGACTTCTCGTCTACGACCAAGCTGGTTCCTCTCACCACTATGTGATGATATCTAATCTTTATGTGAGGAATTAGCCAGGTATTCTTGTACTGGGTATCACCTTCAACAGTAACAGAGCAAGCTACGTGCTACACCACATTGTTATATCATTAGACACGGTGCTGCTCGAGCGATTTTCGGGAAATATGGCCCTACACAACCGGTGAACCTGTACACAGAAAGGTGCCCACTATCAAACTACTTGTAGGGGAAGTTGTTGAGTCTTATTTCTTATTTTTTTATAATAACAACCTTGGATAAAATGGAGCTAGCTGGACCAAAAGATTCTCCTGATGGGCAAATGGGTACTTTGACATATCATGGATTTGTTCTCGACTTGTCGGTTACAGAAAATGGATATTGGTCATAATATGTGCAATATATAACAATAACTGAACAGTAATCGCTATTAAACAAAGCATTTCCACAGCTTTGAAAGTACCCCTTTCCTATTATTACGCTATATACTGTATATAGATGAAGTTGGTACACAGCATAAATGAGTATCTGAATGCTTGGGGACTCCAAACTCCAACTCTGATTATCAATAACTGTATACCATATCGCTAAACTGACAATTATTTCCAAATGCATATCGTTCTGGAGTTTTCCGTGTACTCGCTCTGTTCCACGCAGCCGTACGATAATCCTGCTGTCGTCATGTTGTTTCAAGGATCTATAACAACAGAAACAAGAAGTCAACCCAATGGTGGACGTTCAATATAGTAATCTCCACTTCAAGTCTTCATGAATGTATCATTCCAATTTTCAACAGAAATAAGTGCTTAGGTGTCTATACTTGCCCTGCCAACGTCGTTAACACTGGCATTCAGAGCCACCTCTGTTTCCCACGGGACACGACAATAGAGGTAATACACGGTCATTGACTTCTTTGACTGATCTTGACATCCCGCGAGTACGTCCAGAACTCATCGGTCCGTCTCTTTCAGCAGTAGGTCTAGTTTCATCATACGAAAGAGGAACGACTAGGTAACACTCACTGGCACGGTTGCTGGTATGACCAAAACGTCTATTGATCATTATAATATCACATTGATCTGCCAGTAATCAAGTAGACGCAGAATGTGTGTTCAGGTAGATCCAAAGATACCATTTAAAACTGTGGGAGGAGTATTAGTATCCTCTATATATACTTCATACGGCAGTCTACTTTTAGTCAAGTAGGATGGCCCTCAAAGGTTCAACAAGACTTCAAGTGACGATCTGCTAAGAGTCAGACACTTGACATAGATCCGGGACAAAGATAACGGATGAGCAGATCCATCATGGGAGGAGCGGAGGAGGGATTACTGTACATTCTACCAACTTCACTATCTTGTAGTAAATGACACTGTATCATTTCACAGGGACTGTTCTTGTTTCGCATTGAGCACAGGACATTGGTGCGATGCAGCAGGTGTACTCATCATCATGACAGGTAGGGGCGGGCCGACCAGGAACTCAGCCGCTTCTCGGGTGGCGATTTTGGCTGTCCAAGTGGCGTGAAAAGTTGGGCGTGCTAAATCCTCCACCCACGGAGTTAACATTAATATGGAGGTTAAATCAGCCGCACTAATGCCCCGATTACGAACAAGATTTGCTCATCAGATGAACTGGGGTCTTGGTGGAGATCAATAACAGAATCATTTGACGGTGTTAATGAGGTGAATTGGTTAAAGTGGCTCTAGTGGGTTCCCTATGTTGATACACACCTGTTGGAGTTTTCCATTTTGACATCTGCTTCGGCCATCTTACAGCATGTACTGTACTCGATGTCGTACTTGTACCCCCCGTACAGTGCCAGGCTGTGCTATGATGCAGCTCTCTCTTGCAGACGATCACCAGTGACCGCTTTCATGTCGATATTATTTCATATACGTCAATCTCCAACGCTAACGACGGCTGCAGCGACTACAGTCGGACCGGATTCAGGTTCACATTCAGCACATCCGATCGATACAAAGTTCGAGGGACGAATTTTAATGGCAATGGGACAAGACAAAAAAAGCAAAGCGAAAGGCTGCAGATGAGCAAACCAATGTCAAAATCTCCGGCCTATTATGGACGGCAATGCTTGAAATGATGTTAAAAGTGTGACCAGATACAAATTGAGAGCAAGCGTTTTTCATCAAAGATATACGTTCTCTGATTGGCGCAATATCTGGTAGTTTTGTGCTTCTACGAATACTCTCTAGCTGCACGTCTCCTGAAAATTAAAAAATAAAAAAGAAAAATAATTAGAGTTGAGTCCAGTAAACGGCGGGGACATGGCAGCGGGGACATGGTAGTGATAGAGTTGAAGTGATTGAGGTGATGTCGTTCTGGAAATCTTGCCACCCCGTAGAATCGACTTGTGCCATAATGGACTTTGTAGCGTGTATATTGCGCGTTCTAAAGCAACTCTTGGACACACCAGGATTTGGTCTGTTGTTATACTATCCTAATCCAACAAAGTCCAACTAAACAACACAACTCCAAGTAAAATCGACTATATAGTCTCCCACTTTGATCTCATCAAACGGTGGCTGCAAACCCTGGTTGCCACACCATTGAACAGTGACGAGTTAAAAATGGACTTGCATCTCCTCCCTCTACGACTCTAAGACAACTGCTTCATAGGCGGCCCATTTCCGCGCTTTTCCACCCTTTCCTGCTTTTCCACTCCAGATTCTGCCTTGCCCTTAATCCTTCCAGATGCGCACTTTTCCGCAATGCTCGCTGCAACAGTGCACAGCCGTACGTCTGAAACGCAAGTGAACGACCTATACGAGATGTTAGTTTGCACTAGTGAACAACTGCCGCTATTATAGCGCCAATCTAAAACCAAGCTTACCAATCAACTCCGCCTAGGGTGGCGATAATTGTGGTATTTTTTGTATCATTTTCACATTTTTATTCGCATTTTCTACTCAATTATTTGCCCCATGCCATTACCGTATCTGCCTTTGTTTTGATGCTGTCACGACTCTCTGCGCGGGCCCATATTGCTCCGTATCCGCATTCGCTGTTCCTCAGTCGACTATAATTGGTCGTAAAGGCGGTTCTTCTTCGTTTCCTCTTTTACCGCAGCCCGGATCATCCTCCAGCACGTCCCATTCCTGTCTCTGGATGGTCTGGTTATTTCCGTCATCCATCTTTTTCGTCGTTCGGATCGGAACATGTTGGCCGGCTCGGCATGTTCCGAAAAAATTAACATCCGAACCGACCCTGACCTAAGAAATTAACGTTTGTAACATGTACGGCTTAACCGTCTGGATCTGGGGAAAAAGAGAATAGAGGCATTTTTGAGGGTAATAATAGACATACCGAGATGAAAATTATATTTGATTTTATAACGACTTTTGGCTACAAAATGAACCACTTTTTGTGCCTTTTGAATTGGTGTAACCCAGCATTTTTCATTTTTCATTTAAAACCTTAACCCATTTAAACTACCTGTTTATGCACCGTGTGTCACCACCACAAGATAAATATATAAAAAGGAAGGGTCCTGGATGTTTTTAGACAGAAAAAAATTGTTAACTACAGACAACAATAACGATGGAACAAACACCTCCAGACTACACTGGTCTGGACAAGAACATTGACGCCGAAGTGCGGTCAATCGCCGAGTCCATGTACCAGACCCGACGAGAAGGTGTGAATGACTCCGATACAGATGAAGAGCTGCAGCGAACTAACACTATCCAGCCCAACCTCAACGTGAACCCCTTCCTGGACACCTCCGATCCCCAGCTGGACCCCCTCTCTAAGGAGTTTAACTCTCGAAAGTGGATCAAGACCATTCTCGGCCTCAAGGCGCGGTTTGGAAACAGCAGATCCATTTCGGCTGGTGTCTCTTTTAAGAACCTCAGTGCGTTTGGATATGGTGGAGGAAACGACTACCAGAAGACTTTCACCAACTCTGTGATGGCTATTGGGCCCATGATCAAGAAGGTCCTGGGTGGCAACAAGGGCTCTGAGGTGCAGATTTTGCGACACTTTGACGGCCTGGTGCGTGCTGGTGAGACTTGCGTTGTTCTTGGACGACCTGGTTCTGGATGCACCACTTTCCTGAAGAGTGTTGCCTGTGAGACTTATGGATTTCATCTGGGAGAGAAGTCTGAATGGAATTATCAGGGTGAGTAAGACTGTTGCGTGGAAGACGCAGAGACGGACTAATAGCACCACCGGATGTGCGTGCGTGGTTGCCGTTTGATTGAGTGTTTGTACTCTTGACCTACATGCGTGTTACTGCGATTGTCGCGAGTTGCAATAATCCAATTGACATTATGCCAGGATGATGTCACCTCGGCATGTTCGGCAGCCTCGGGTTTCCAAGTTACATACATTTCCGAACTAACACAGGTGTCCCCCGAGATGTCATGCAAAAGAATGCACGTGGCGAAATCGTCTACAACGCCGAAGTTGATGTCCACTTTCCCCATCTAACTGTCGGAGACACTCTTCTCTTCGCTGCTCTCGCGAGAACTCCACAGAACCGTCTGGAGGGTGTCAGCCGAGAGCAGCACGCCACCCATGTGCGTGATGTGTCCATGGCAATGCTCGGTCTGACCCACACCATGGATACCAAGGTCGGAAACGACTTTGTGCGAGGTGTTTCCGGAGGAGAGCGAAAGCGAGTCTCTATCGCCGAGTCTGTTGTCTGCGGTGCCCCTCTGCAGTGCTGGGACAACTCCACTCGAGGTCTTGATGCCGCCAACGCCACTGAGTTCATCCGATCCCTGCGCCTTTCGGCTGAGATGACCGACGCCTCCATGTTTGTCTCTCTCTACCAGGCCTCTCAGGAGGCCTATGACATGTTCGACAAGGTCTGCGTGCTCTACGAGGGCCGACAGATCTACTTTGGCAAGACCACTGAGGCGAAGCAGTTCTTCCTGGACCTGGGTTTCGACTGTGCTGACCGACAAACCACAGGCGACTTCCTCACCTCTCTAACTAACCCCATTGAGCGAATCATCCGACCTGGCTGGGAATCTCGAGTGCCCCGAACTCCTGACGACTTTGAGAAGTGCTGGCTTGAGTCCGAGGCCCGACAGTTGCTGCTCCAAGACATTGACGAGTTCAACAACGAGTTCGTCCTTGGAGGTCCTGCTCTCGACAACTTCATGGGTCTCCGAAAGGACGCCCAGGCCAAGCATACCCGTGTTCAGTCGCCCTACACCATCTCGTGGCCCATGCAGACCCGTCTGTGTCTATGGAGAGGTTTCCTTCGAATTAAGGGAGACATGTCTACCGATATCGCAACAGTTTTCGGTAACTTTGTTATGGCTCTCGTTTTGTCATCCATGTTCTACAACATGCCCCAGACTACTGAATCGTTTTTCTCTCGAGGAGCTCTCCTCTTCTTTGCTATTCTCATCAACGCCTTTGCATCTATCTTGGAAATTCTGTCTCTTTACGAACAGCGACCCATTGTTGACAAGCAGAATCGCTATGCCATGTACCATCCCGCGGCTGACGCGCTAGCGGCCATTATCACGACTTTCCCCACAAAGACGCTTACTCTTGTGTCTGTCAATCTGACCATTTACTTCATGACCAACCTGCGACGAGAAGTCGGTCCCTTCTTCATCTTTTTCCTCTTCTCGCTACTGTGTACCATGGCGATGTCGATGATTTTCCGAACCATTGGATCTGTCACCAAGACTCTTGAACAGGCTCTAGCCCCCGCATCGATCATCATTCTTGCCCTCGTCATCTACACCGGTTTCTCTCTGCCCATCTCCTACATGCATGGATGGGCTCGATGGATCAACTGGCTCAATCCCGTAGCCTATGGTTTTGAAGCTGTGATGGTCAACGAGTTCCGAAACCGGGAGTACGAGTGCTCCATGTTTGTTCCCTCTGGAGGCGCCTACGAGAATGTGTCTCTCGACTACCGATCATGTGCTGCTGTTGGTGCTGAGCCCGGTCTTAGATTTGTTAACGGAGACGCGTTCATTAACCAGTCCTACGAGTACTACAATGCTCATCTGTGGCGAAACATGGGAATTCTGTTTGGTTTCATCATCTTTTTCGGAGCCTTCTACCTGTTTGCCGTCGAGTACATTCAGGGAGCCAAGTCCAAGGGTGAGGTTCTTGTGTTCCGAAAGGAGCACATTAAGAAGCAGCGAAAGGAGAAGAACGGTGACATTGAGTCTGGCGTGACCATGGCCGGCGAGAAGGGTACCCAGGAGTCCGAGTCCTCCAACACCTCTATCAACCTGCAGGCCCAGCGAGGAATCTACCAGTGGAAGGATGTTTGTTATGATATCAAGGTCAAGGATGGTGAGCGACGTCTTCTGGACCACGTTGATGGTTTTGTCAAACCCGGAACCCTGACTGCACTCATGGGTGCCTCTGGTGCTGGAAAGACCACTCTTCTGGATGTTCTTGCTGACCGAAAGTCCACGGGTGTTGTTACTGGTGAGATGCTTGTCAACGGTGAGCACCGAGACGGCTCCTTCCAGCGAAAGACCGGTTACGTTCAGCAGCAAGATCTTCATACTGCTACTGCCACTGTTCGAGAGTCTCTGGAGTTCTCTGCTCTGCTGCGACAGCCTTCTAGTATTCCTGAGTCCGAGAAGCTTGCTTACGTCGATGAAGTCATTCGAATTCTTGAGATGGAGACCTATGCTGATGCCGTTGTTGGTGTGCCTGGTGAAGGTCTTAACGTCGAGCAGCGAAAGCGACTTACTATTGGAGTCGAGCTTGCCGCCAAGCCCGAGCTTCTGCTGTTCCTGGATGAGCCTACTTCCGGTCTTGATTCCCAGACAGCCTGGTCCATTGTCAAACTGCTAAAGAAGCTGGCTGCCAACGGCCAGGCTATTCTGTGTACCATTCATCAGCCCTCTGCAATTCTGTTCCAGGAGTTTGACCGTCTACTTTTCCTTGCCTCTGGAGGCCGAACCGTCTACTATGGCGACATTGGACCCCAGTCCTCTATTCTGACCGAGTACTTTGAGCGAAACGGCGCTGACCCTTGTCCCAAGCAGGGTAACCCTGCCGAGTGGATGCTGGAGGTGATTGGAGCTGCTCCTGGCTCTACTGCCAAGAGAGACTGGCCTGTTGTGTGGGCTGAGTCTCCTGAGCGAGCTGCCAAGCGAGAGGAGCTCGATGAGATGGCCCGGACCGTTGAGCGAGTGCAGACGAACACTACCGAGCGAGATTCTACCGGATACTCTGACTCGGACCAGTTTGCAGTTGGATGGTGGACCCAGTTCAAGATTGTCAGCAAGCGACAATTCCAGGCTCTGTGGCGAACCCCTTCGTATCTGTGGTCCAAGGTCTTCCTGTGTGCTGCTTCTGCTATTTTCATCGGTTTCTCTTTCTTCAAGGCCCCCAACGACATGCAGGGTCTTCAGAACAAGATGTTTTCTTTCTTCATGCTGTTTCTTATCTTCAACACTGTCGTTGAGCAGATCATTCCCCAGTTTGACAAGATGCGAGAACTGTATGAGGCACGTGAGCGGTCTTCCAAGACTTACTCGTGGCAGGTGTTTATGGGCTCCAACATGGTGGTCGAGCTCATCTGGCAGTTCTTCATGGGTGTGATTGTCTTCTTCTGCTTCTACTACCCCGTTGGCTTCCAGTGGACCGCTGAGTATAACGACTCCGTTCACGAGCGAGGAGGACTCTTCTTCCTGTACGTTCTCCTGCTGTTCCTCTACAACTCGACTTTTGCTCACATGCTGATTGCCGGTATTGACAACAAGGACACTGCCGCCCAGATTGGAACTCTCTTGTTTACTCTGATGCTGCTGTTCTGTGGTGTTCTGGCCACAAAGGAGCAGATGCCCGGCTTCTGGGTCTTCATGTATCGAGTGTCTCCTCTGACCTACTTTGTGGGCGGTATGATGGCCACCGGCATGGGTCGAGCTCCGGTCACTTGTTCTCCTCACGAGCTTGTCCGGTTCCCTGCTGTTCCTGGAAAGTCCTGTGGCGAGTACATGGACGGCTTCATCTCTGCTCTTGGTGACTCTGCCGGCTACCTTGTCAGCTCTTCCGCTGATATGTGTGAGTACTGCCCCATGAAGTCCTCCGACCAGTTCCTCGACTCCGTCGACATCTCTTACACTCAGCGATGGCGAAACTGGGGTATTCTTTGGGCTTACCCCTTGTTCAACATCTTTGCTGCCTTTGCACTTTACTACTTCTTCCGAGTCCCCAAGAAGTCCAAGGCTCAGAAGGCTTGATAACTTGATAAACCATTAATTATACTTAAACCATAGACTATATATATAATATACATTTTGATACACTGATTGTTCTGTAGAGGAGATGGTGAAGTAGGTACAGATCTGAGGAGTACTACTGGTGCCAGTACGGTTTCTTGTGAACAGGTTAAACTTATTTGGTAGAATCGAAAATAGTCAAGTCGCTCATTTGAGAGGACCAGTGACAGGACGGATATCAGTCTTATCGGTGTACACGGCCTGGGCAATGCCAATCTGGAGATCTTCGAGGTCGTATACCACGTAGGCGTTTCGCAGGAAGGTGTCTCCGAACAAAGTGATGTTCTGAGAATAGGTGCTGGGCAAGACTCCGAAGAAGCAAAAGCCGATACCAGGGTCGATGATCAGCTGCTCTCTCTGTGCGTGGATGGTCACTCCATCGAATTCAAAGTCCAAAGAGACATTAGCCTTGCAGTCTATAGATGGCAGACCGAAGAAGGTAACGTCTCCTAAGTTGTGCTTCTTAGCAATGGTGTTGTAAACGGTCTCAGGAATGTAAGAGAAAGAGGTTCCCGAGTCGAGAACAGTGTATCCAGGCTTAGCGATTGGCTTTCCATCGAGAATAATGTTCTCGTACTTAACAGCGAACTCGTCGGGGCTAGGAAGAGGCAACACGGTCAGGCTTCCGTTGAACTTGGCGTGGTCAATACCGCCCAGCAGGAAAGTTCCGTTGAATGCGTTGGTATCGTTCAAGTACAGAGAGTAGACTCGTCTGTCAATGTAACCAGCCTTTTGCAGAGCAATGGGGAAGTTATCGTAGGTAGATTCACCCTTTCGGACAGACTCGGAACCAGGGAGAGAGACTCCCAGAATTCCAGTGTTTCCCTGAGCGTTATCGATAGTAGCAAATCGGAAGTCAGGGAGTGAGACGCCTTCCAGAGAGAGTGTGTCTGTTCCCCAGTTGCCGGAGGCGTTACCCGAGACGTATTGGATGAAGTACTTGTCGTCGATGGAGTGGTAAGTAGAGGACTTGGAACTGTCGAACGTACCAGTGTTCTTGCAGGCGCCGCCAGCACAGTCAGTGGTGTCCGATACGTTGTACACCCATAGATCGGACGAGCCGGTGTCCAGCAGCACGTTGAACTTCTGAGCGGGAGTGCCGAGAGTTAGGTCAATGGAGTAGTACTGGAACTCGTTACTGATGAAAACAGGATCAGGACGATGGTTGCTGAGCTGGAGATGGTGCTGCACGAGGGCCGAGTCCTGTTGGTGTCTGGTGAAGGGGAAGGCCAGGACCTTGGGATTGCTGGGAGCAGCAGAAACAAGGGCAAGGAAAGAAGCCAGGAGGGTGGGGGAGAAGTGCATGGTAGTGTGAGTTGAGAAGACTGTGAGCCGAAGCTCTTCTCTTTATATCATTTCAGTGCCCACCGTGATCCAGCGCGCACGGCATTTCGGGGTGAGTGGCATTGATCCAGTTAAGTTGGTGCCGTTGCCAATGTTTCTCCAAGCCCTCATGAGCCTCCCGAAACTTACCTCGATAAAAAGTTCAATTTGTGACGCAGTAGATAAGCGACTGGGCCAGATAATGACGTGGTGGAGTGCATATCATGGCAGGGAGTGCGTCAGTCGATACATTGAGTCTGTATTATTCCAATTGACAGTCCGTGATGTTGTGGTACCGCCAGAAACTGCCGCCATTGTCACACCCCAGAATCTGTTGTTAAAGCATATCCACCCAGATACTCGAGCCGTTTAAACCCACCTCTTCACGTGTCACGTTGCATACAAGGGGCGCGCTATCTGCCATCCTCCACGAGGCACAACGATGTAACACTACGAAAGTGGGCATATGAGTTGATAGGATTTGGGCTCATATTGTTGGATACGGCACCACAGACCTGAGTAATGGACTTCCGGCAATGAGACACCAAGTAAAGAGGTCTACTCGTGGGCTCTTGAGCGATGGTAATGGATCTCGAACTCGCGACGATCCATGGAAAACTGTTCAGAGACTGCAAATGAAACAGACATCAGTGATACTTGAAACAATGAGACTACACAACTACCATTGACGAAGCCAGCCTCCCGAATGTGTCGATCATTCCGTGTTAAACTCAATGGAAGGACGGTGCTAGAGTGTCGGACGGATATTCTACGGAGATAACTTACTACTGGTAGCAGGAGTGGATGGGAAGTGGACCCGGAGCTCTGACTGTCATTAATGTCTCGAAAAACAAAGCTGCCAACAAATTCTACCCAGTACTCACGGAACTTTTGAAGAATTCCAACCGCTGAATCCAAGAGCCATTGGCGGTGAAAGTTCGGATAAAGCGACCTTGGGGCGGAAAGGGATGTCTACAGTTCACGTTGAATGAAACTCGGCAGACTCAGGAGTGGATTGGACGGTCTCATCATTCCAGCTAGAACGGTATAAATGGTCGGTGATCAGGATATTAAAGACAAATGACGACTGAAATTGATGACATTCATGAATACAACGACTAGGCTATGTGTTGGATGTCTTCGATAGCAACTTGGAGCCGTGCGGAACTCATACTGAGGTTGATAGATGAGATTTCCATGGAGCCGCCGAGTCACATGTACCTCCCTTTCGTCTTTCGGGGATTCACTTCTCTTCCGGGAACTTCAGCGGTCTCGCGTCCGCTCACACCCTCAATAAGTGCTCAAACGGGAACTAATTGAAAGCGCGTTGGCACCACCATGCGGCTCCTTGTGCTCGTAAATTGCTCGCGTGTGCTTGCGACTCCCAACGGTCACCAGCCACATCGCTACGATGCACGTTCGCCAAGACAGCGCCGGCGGTGGCTTAACGGACTCGATACGATATGGCAGACACGCAACAGATTTGATATGAAACACTGCGCTTATACAGTGACAAATGTTCAGCGTTGTAGTACATACAGTAGCTGAAGTATCATTTGAAGCTTCCTAAAAGTGTACATATCCACAATCATTCATAGTACCATGAAGAACGTGCTTTGAATCTCACTCGTACTTGGTATCTCACTAATAGAAGCGAAATACGCCACATGCGCCGTAAAGACCTCAAAACGTGCTCACTAATCGAAGAAATAAAATACAAACAAAAATACGAACGTGATGCGTTTCCTGTGCGCCAGAATTAAGACTAAGTTACGCAGCTATAATTTGGAGCCATCCCCTGCGTGCGCACAGCGATTGTTATCGGATCAGAACTAAGCTAACACTACAGTAGAAACAGAAGAGAAGCCACGAGAGGAGAAAAGGTCACGTGATCCACGAGATAACACCCTCCCTGATATGTTACGTCACGTGGCACATTCTATCCCTTCTGTGCAATGTCACGTGCCTGACCTTTCTCTTCGACCGAGAGTCCTACTTTTACTTGCAGCTTTCTCGCCGCACCCTCTAAATTTGCTCGTCGGTGCATTTACGATGTACAGTTGCGAATCTCGGGTGATTTTTTGCTCACATTTTGGCGGTAGAGCACTTCTTTCCGGTGCGAAATCCGTCAAAATGCAAGTTCGGGGTATTTGCGACTATGGTGATAGTTTTGGAAGTGTTTCTGAGTCAATTACTTTGGGATTCTCCTTCTCATTCCCTTTTGTATATGGTATTCTATGGCATGTATCATGGCTTGGAGTTGTCTGAAACTCAAAATACACCTTGATAAAATCTGATTATCTTTAACCTAAAAGAGGTAGATCGGAAGAGTACGAAGATAGTTTTCCGGAACAGCTACGGAAAACGGTTTGTGAATATTAAGGGAAGTTGGGGACCATGGTTTTCGTGTCACATGATCTACAAGTTGTGTCCCCTGTGTGTGTTTTGTGTCCTGCAGTTTCTGTAACGCAGTTGTATGTACAGTATGTACAGTACCAGGACATACTCCTAACGGGCCTCCTCTTGCACCTGCACCTGGACGAGCAAATTTCGAGCAGATATCGAGTTACCATGCAAAGATCGGCGTATATATAGACAGGAGCTTGGGCCTATGTATGCACATTTCACTAATCGCAATCACAATCGCAATGGATCACGGAACTATGGACCACGCTACTATGAACCACGCTACCATGGACCACTCGGGTCACAACATGGCTTCTATGGCTACTTCGATTCTCACCACCGCCGTTTCCACCGCTATGAACGCCATGGCCACCGGTATGGACCACTCCACCATGGACCATTCCACCATGGACCACTCTTCCATGGACCACTCTAGCATGGGAGGCATGGACCATGATATGGGAGGAATGGACCATGGAGGACACATGGGAATGAACATGTGGCTCACCACCACCTGGAGAGACTATCCCGTTCTTTTCAAGACCATGACAGCTTCTACTGGAGGCAAGTGCTTTGGTATTTTCTGCGCCCTCTTCTTTACCGGCATGTTCCATCGAGGACTGGCCCTTCTTAGACAGACCATGGAGGCCAAGTGGGCCCAGGCTGACCGAGAGAAGATCAAGGAGACCGGGGTTCCTGCCAAGACTGGCCTTTCCGGCTTCTTTGCCAACATTAACCCTATCAGAGACCTAATCCGAGTGACTGTTGCGTTCACATACTACATGATTGGATACGCTCTCATGCTGTCTGCCATGTCGTACGTTCTTGTCTACTTTTTCGGCATTTGCCTGGGTCTTGCTTTCGGAGAGATTCTGTTCAACAACGTCGCGCGGACTTGCCAGGTTGCCCAGATTGAGGATCCAAAGGGCGAGGATTGTTGCTGTTAGAGGAGCGACGCTGCTTGTTCACTAGCACGTTTGACATGATGAGCATACTGCCACAAATCTTTCCTTCTTTGCACACCCGCACTCCTTTCAACCTTCTCTGTCTATCTTTTATCCGTAGATACCATCTACTCACTTAATTTCTTCAAAGCAATTGACCTGCTGCCGACCGTTTGATGCATCCATCAATGTACATACATACTAGTAATTTATCATTAATAAGAGAGTTCTAAAGGCAAGTTTCGTATGTCCAGAGCGAAAATGACCAAGTTTTTGGTCTTTAATTTTCCACTGTGGGGCACAGTAGTGTGCTCAAGATATCTTTCACCTTCCTTGATCTCTTGGTTCTGGTAGTATTCGTCGTGCGAACTCCAAGGATGGCTCTGATGGGGTTTAGTTAAATAAAATCACAATGTTAACTGGTATTTATTTGTTTTGTTTAGTACAGAGTAATTCCCCTTAAATGCTTCAACTCGGCAAACAGTATTTATTCAAGGTGCCTTAACTTTGACCTAGAATTAATGTTGTAAAATCCATTCAGAAGGGCCACAATTAGGGCCCCTAAATACAACCACAATTGCTTTCCCACATTCAGCCATCTGAGTGTTTTTCCAAGTCATTTAATCTACCCTGAAGTGGGGATAATATGATCTGCCATCCCCAGAATCGAACACACGAGGCTCGCTTCCCGCCCTCAAAATAGGCTTTACATCCACCTCTTCCCGCATATCTAGAGCACGCTGATAAAATTATTGCTTAGGCGGACTTGGAAAGCACAAAAGTCGACGGATCTCGATCAAAACTCGTTGCCAACACACACCGCGACTTTTACACGCATCGTTACAACCCACATATCACAACAACCATGTCGCGAGTAGGAATTTTGGTTCTGGGACCCGCCGGAGTGGGCAAATCGACCTTCTGCAACGCACTCATCACCCACATCCAATCCATTGGAAGACGGGCTCACATTGTCAATCTCGATCCTGCTGCCGAGCCGAACGAATACGAATTCACGGTCGACATTCGAGACCTGATCTCGCTGAACGACGTCATGGAGGAGATGGAACTGGGCCCTAACGGAGGACTCATGTACTGCTTTGAATTCTTGCTGCAGAACATGGACTGGCTGGAAGAGGAGCTGGGCGAGTTTGAAGACGAGTATTTGATCTTTGACTGTCCCGGTCAGATTGAACTGTACACCCACGTGCCTGTTCTTCCTACCATCGTTAAACATCTGCAGAGACACATGGGCTTCAGCTTATGTGCATGTTACATCCTGGAGGCCCCTTTTGTACTGGATCGTCCAAAGTTTTTTTCCGGCGTGCTGTCGGCCATGAGTGCCATGATTCTGCTCGAAACCCCACACATCAACATTCTGTCGAAAATGGACCTCATCAAGGACGAGGTGCCGAAACGCGAGCTCAAGCGGTTCCTCAACCCAGATCCTCTTCTCATGGTGGATGAGGCTAACTCGCAAACCAACCCCAAGTTCCACCAGCTCAACTTGGCCATCACCAACATGATTGAGGATTTTGGAATGGTCCAGTTTCTGCCACTGGAGGCCAAGAACCCAGACTCAGTCGCTGCTATCTTGAGTTATCTCGATGATGTTACCCAATGGGCTGATAACCAGGAGCCCAAGGAGCCCAAGGTGGAGGAGGTTGAGGAGGAAGAGTAAAAGAGAAATTGAGCACCTTGCTGCGAGATTGTGTTGGCTGACACAAGGAACCATAGCAATACCACGACGCTTATGGCAAGAGTTTCGGTTGAAACTAATTACAACAAAAACGCGATTGCATTCATGAAATAGAATACATACATTTTTGATACTCTCAAGGAAACTCTCGTTGCAAACTCACAGTGTGTATATTCTACAGCTTTCTTTCGAAAACCCATCTATTAGTACATTTACACTTCGTATATACCTTTCCATGCTAGATCTACGGGTAAGATGCATGCTGTAGCTACAAGTTAATGTCGAGCATTACAGTGAGGGAAAGTAGACGCCTTACGGGGGGCCTTACAGCCCCGAGCAGATTTTAAAATTGTGTTTGAGATGCCCCGGGGTAGGTCTCATCGTCATGTTTACTCGCCGGCAGCCTCTCGGCACCAGACCAGGTTCTTTCCGACACCGCCTGCAACAAAACCCTGATTCTTTCCTCCAATGACACCGAGACCCCATCCCTTCTTGAGCCAGGCAACGGTGAAGACGGGAGTGGTGAGCGCAGTTTGGGTGCAAACGCACGTCTTGTTTTCGGTCGACCACACCTTCATCTTTCCGTCGTAGCTTCCACTCAGCACGTACTCGCCAGACTCGTTCCACGCCACTGCCATTACCCACGTATCGTGTCCCGTCAGGTTGGTGTAGTACTCGCCGGACGAAATGTGGTAGAGGTAGACGATGCCTGAATCATCTCCAACGGCCAGCAGGGACGAATTGGGTGAGATTTTGACAGATCGAATGGGAGTGGAGTGGCCCAGAAGCGAGTACATGAGTCTGCCGGTCTGGGTGGAGAACAGATACAGTCCACCATTCTCGTGACCACTGGAAATGTATTCGCCACACTGGGAGAAGTCAACACAGATACCGTGGGAGGGTCGGGTGACGGGGAATTTGTGCACCAGCTCGTCGGTCTCGAGGTTCCATTGGAACACGTGTCCCGATGTGTTTGTGACCGCCATCATGTGACCGTTTCCAGAGATGGCCACGGCCCAGATACCAGAGACCTCGTTGTTGATCTTGGTTGCAATGGGCTCCAGAGACCGCAGATCGAAGAGGCTGAGCGCTCCATCGAACGCCACAGCCGCCAGAATGTCGCCGTTGGTGTCAGTGGCCACGTGGTGGAAGCCTACGGCGTTTGTAGCCAGCACCGAGCCGGCAGGGTTGCTATCGTTGTTCTCCCACAGCTTGACGGTGCCGTCAGCCGAGGCGGAGATGGTGTATTTGTCGGTCGTGGCGACGCTGAAAATGTCCGCCTTATGCGCATCGGCAAGTGACAGCGATTGGATGTATGGCTTTGACATGGTGGTGTAGATGTAGCGGAGTGATGACTTATCCAGTATCGTAGTGGTCCTGATGCCAGATCAAATATGCGAGGTGGAACTTTGTCTACCAGGCGGGAAGGTAGGGTGTGAAGTTGGAGACATTATGAGAAAGGAAACAGGTGTAATAAAAGCGCCGATATATTTAATTGGTGTTTAGGAGCACAGTTGACTTTTCTGATTTCCAATTGACCAATAAACAGTGATTCTGGGAGGTACGTTGGTTCTTGGGTTCTCTTAACTAAGGGTGGAAAAAACTTTTCTAAATTGTGGAGATTTAGTTGGGTATTAGTTGGGTTTCAAAGCTAAAGAAGATATCGTGAGCTCTAGGTATTGTAATTACAGGATCTTCATCGCAGATTGTCTCTATTAGCACCCGCTTCAAAACTACCACCCATTAAATTTCATTACTCCATTATGTTATGTCCACGTGACATCTATCCATTGCCGTTTACTGTCCGTGGGTACCTCTCTGGTAGGTTCTGGGAAGAGGCAACCAGGTGGCCATCATGAGACCACAAAGAGCGAGGCAGAAGGGATAGACGACGAAAGAACCTCGAGACTGAGCTGTGATACCGACAAAGAAGGGGAATAGGGCACCTCCAGTCGATCCAAACGCTGTCATGACGGTGATACTGATGACCTGAATCTTTCGCGGAACCAGAACTGTAGCTACAGTGATTAGCAGCGGGTAAGAAGGTCCCATGACAAAACCTGCAAAGGAGACACAAACTGCAGCTCCGATAATGGATGGAATCAGCCAGGTGAGAATGATGAGTACAATCAGGAAGATTGTGAGAATGACTACAGACCGTTTAGGACCCCATCTCTGGCAAGGAGCCACGAGAACAAAACGACCTAGTGTTAGACCAGCCCAAAATCCGGCTGCAACGTATCCAACTTGGTCGGGGTTTCCACCTCGGTAATCAATCAGATAGGTGACGACCCATCCACCAATCGCCACCTCGGTTCCTTGGTACGCCATTGTGAACAGAGCCAAGAGCCATGTGACTTTGTTTCGGAGTGACAGTCGCACCAGACTCTCTTCTCCTTCGACAGGAGCCGCAACTGCGGCGTCGCCTTCTTCACCTTCAAAACCCGCCATGTCTTGCTTGTATCCGATCCAGCTCCATCCAATACACATTGTAGAGCAACACGACAGGCCAACGAGAATCAGAAAGAAGAAGCTCCACTGAACATTAGCGGAGATCATGGCCGTGGCAATCAGAGGAGCAACTGTAGCCCCTGCTCCGTATGCTCCATGTAGGAAACCAAGATAAGTATGGCCCTTATCCATCGAAGAAACAAAGATGTTTTGTTGAGCAAGACCCGCAGCCACTCCCAGTCCACCAATGTAGTAGGCGATCACAACTAGCGGGTAAGGGGGAGCTGGAGAGATGATTGTGGTCATGGCCAGAATGAAAACAGGGCTCAAAGTCAGCATCAAGTACCTGCCCACCTTTTCATTGATCCAGTACGAGCCCAGAGCCACTGTGATGAAGCCCAGTGAGTTTCCCAACCAGATGATAGACACAACAGCGTATCCGATATTGTACCAGCTTTCAATATGGGGAAGCAGAGCACCAGGTGCACCATCTGAGAACCCTAGCTGGAAACCAAAAAGACACGCCGCCAACAGCCGGTATATGTTTTTTGAGGGGTTTCTGATGCTCATGAGTTTCTGTGTAGTCGACTCCGGCTCGGTTTCTGTCTCTCGGTTCGTTTCCCTCTCGGAGGTGATTTCAAACGAGTCTGGACGATCCGAGTCGTCTGTGAAAACTACCTCTACCTGGGTCTTCTTCGCAAATTGCTCCTTAGAGTCGATTCTCACGGCCGGAGATTGTGATTCTCGACGCTCAATGCGCTCCAATTCAATGGGATTCATGATTGCTGAGAAATTCAAGAGGTGAAGAAAGTCGAGTGCATCGTGCATACTATACATGTTCTTTATCCCCACTTCCAACTCTAACCAAGAGCTTAGGCACGCGGAAAGGATGCTAAAAAGAGCAAAAAAAGGCTTATTGTCGTATATCAGGATCTTATGCCGCTTTTGGAAACGTTGGGAGAAAAAGTAACATGTCGATGGTTGCTCTCTGTGAATTATTTCCGATTTAGAACGGTTTGTAAGCGAACTTACCCACATCTGCAGCTGCAGATATGACGCACAATTATGCAGCCGGACAGCCATTTCCGCCTTTTTTAGGGTTCAACGGAATCGGTCTTCCGTGAGACTATGGAGGGCAGTGGGTTAGTCAGCAGAAATAGAGGAGGTAGGCACATGACATTGTTGGCGATGGTGGATACGGAAGTGGTTCAGCAAAGTGGGTTGTTTAAATGGCTTAATAATAAATTACTGTACTCGAATTGACTAATTTGCAACGTCTTGATGAAGGCCGTTTCTTGTGATTGTGTATGGTGTCATCGAGAGAGCGTTGATTCGGGAGACGAGGTGGACAAGAAGCGCAGACCAAATGTTGAGAGAGTAGACGGATGGCATCGGAAACATCCCGTTATACACTTGAAGTAATATGGAAAACGCCCGTATCTGCTGGAGTTTACACCAATGGCCGTTTGTGACTCTTCAAGCTGCTAACAGTTGTATGGTGAGCAATCTACTGACTGCAGCAGTGTATGTACTGCTGCAGAAGAGCCGGGCTCTCTATCCAATTGTCCATGGTCTACACAACAGAGATCTGACGGGCTTTTTTTTTTTTTTCCTTTTTTTGTATTTATATATATAGCTTGGATGGTGATTACGAACTGAGAGAGAAAGTGGAGATGACAGCCGTGACAGATGAACCTGTAAAGAGGCAGGATAATGCGCCCGACTTTGACGACAACTTCAGAGACGACGCGGTTGAAGTTTTTGCGAGTGAAGCATCTGCAGATGGGTTGCTCTACACTGTGTACGATAGTACGTACACCATTTACAAACATTGGCTAACATTGGCGTTGAGTAATGCGACACTGTCCTGGATGTAGTAGACGAGAACATCTTAGTGAATGACATACTTAGCCAGTACAGCACAGTGGCTATATTTGCAGTATATTACAGTATATAGTCGCCGCGGTGCTTGTACGTACTGAACCTCTATATAAGATACAATACGATCTCAGTTTGTTTTGGCTCGCACAAATGGCATACAAACACGAAGAAAAAGATCCCATTCTGGTTCCAGAGCTGGACACGACTAACCAAAAGCCCGCGTTGGGGTTCGCCATCTTGCTGTCCGACTACCTGGACTCCTGCGACCAGCCTGAGAACAAAGTCAGCATCGTCCATAGCAACAGCCCGTTTGGGTCGTACTTGGAGGACACCAACGGCATCACTGTTCGAACGGACATTGCTCGCAGCTGGGCCAAGATGGAAATGACCGCCATCAAGAACCGGATCGTTTTGAGCGGTCTCACGCTGACCATTCCGCTCTTCATGTATCTCAAGCTGATTTTCTGGTGACATTGAGGTGCCACAGGCTGCTGCTTACTACATTTTCTACTGTTCAGTACTGTAAAATGCATGTATTATAATAAAAATCCAAGTGGATATGTGCGTGTAGACACGGGCGAGTATCGTATTGTACGTCTACCCCTTTATGTGCCGTTTTGTGTCGTTTGCGCCTCTGTGGTGCTGTCATGTTTTGTTCCCTACTCATCCTCCTCGATCTCATCGTCACCATCGAGCAGCCGCGACTCGAACTTCTCGTCCTGGACGTCGTTCTGCATTCGGGCAGTCAGAAACTTGTTGATCACCGACTGAACACGGATCACATCGGCTCGAATCTGGCCCAGAGCAGAGTCGCTGGGGGCTGTGGGGGCATCTCGGTCGGTGGCAACCTCCTGGTCGGTGGCTTGCGACGGCTCCAGGACCGTGGGCTCGTGTTCCGGTGCATTGTATGTGGCCTTTACTCCCGTCCTCGTCATTATATTGTTGTGCTGTGGGAGAATCGAACCTGATTTTTCAAAACGATGATGATGATGATGGATGGGAGAAGTTGGTGCAGTTCATGCATGAACTCTATGTGGGGCGGCAGTAGAGGACGAGAGGAGAGATGGCAACGTTTGCTGTCATACAAGTACTCGTACCAAGAGGGCAGTTTATGAGTGTCGCATTTCAATTTCATACCTGAATCATTAACGACATACCATTACTAAGCAGATATGAGCAGGTCAAAAGTACACTTGCACTCGTACCGCCATGTACCCCCACTCTGACACTCTGACAAAGAGGTGCGTAGAAAATAGAATTGGCCACAAATGCTAATGAAACGAGTGTGAAAAGTGATAAGACATTTGTGGGGCATCAGCTTGAGCCATATCCGTGTAATATGGCACAATTGCCGCTTCTGGGGCACTATAAATTCAACCCCATCTCCAGTATAGCTTGCTGATGTACATCTTGTACTATACTCAACATGCTTATCTTATGGTAGACACTCGCCAAACACCCATAACACACTCAATTGAGATGGCCTCAACGAAGAAACCGGACACTAGTCTCATATACGCGACCCTGCGTATCTTTTAACCCCCCTGGGCTCTTTTCTTCCCTCTTACAACAGATATCCAGGGCAATGTGGGGAAGGTTCCGGAGCAAGTTGGGACAACGCAGACTACAAATACTAATTGCTTATCCTTATCAATACCGATATTGCCTTCATCCACACATCTTCACCACACACTCCACAATGAACACCACAGCCACTATCAAAACGTTTGGCGGCGAGCTGCTCAAGCTCAGCCACGACTCCAAGGTCAATGGGTGCAAGATGGACCTCAATGTCTTCGTGCCCCCCAATGCCCCCGCCAAGGTCCCAGTGCTCTTCTTCCTCTCTGGCCTCACCTGCACCGGCAACAACTGTGCTGAGAAGGGCTTTTTACATCCCTTTGCCGCCAAGCATGGAATCGCCATTGTCTACCCCGACACCTCGCCACGAGGCCACAACATCCCCGGAGAGGACGACTCGTGGGACTTTGGATCGGGAGCAGGCTTCTACCTCAACGCCACCAAGGAGCCCTACAAGGGCAAGTACAACATGTACCAGTACATCTCCGAGGAGTTGCCCGCTCTGCTGTGGCAGCAGTTTCCTCAGTTTGACAAGGACAATGTCGGTATCACCGGCCACTCAATGGGCGGCCATGGTGCTCTGACCCTGTTCCTGAAGAACCCCGGCATGTACAAGTCCGTCAGTGCATTCTCGCCCATCTCCAACCCCAAGAACTGCCCCTGGGGAGACAAAGCCTTCTCAGGCTACCTCAACGACAAATCTGAATGGGACGACTATGACGCTTCTGAGCTCATCAAGAAGTACAAGGGCCCCACTCCCGGCATTCTCATCGACTGTGGAACCGCAGATAACTTTTACACCCAGGGCCAGCTGCTTCCTGAGAACCTCGTTGCTGCTAGCAAGGGCACCGAGTTTGATGGCAAGGTTGATCTGCGACTCCAGGACGGTTACGACCACTCCTATTACTTCATTTCCACCTTTGCCGAGGATCACGTTAACCATGCCGCCAAGTACCTGACTGCATCCAAGTTGTAGGCTGGTGGACACAACACATAAGTAAATACTATCTACCATTGATTACCTAACTACAGTGGCAGCGACTGCATCTAACCCTGCAACCCTCTAAAGAATTTTCCCTGCTTCTCGCTACCGATTCCTCCCTCAGGATCGATTCCCATCTGGATCATCTTGACGGCCAGCTCCAGAAGGTAGTCAATTGCCTCGTTGTACACCTTGGCCTTCCATACGGTCTCTCCCCATACGTAGATACCATGTCGTCGAACAAGAACGGCAGTGCAAGTAGGATATTCCTTGATGGCAGCTTGAAGGGTGTCTGTCAGGTCCTCCTCATGGGCCGTGTTTTCGATAATGGGGATCTCCAGAGTGTCGAAGAAGGAGAGATAGCCGGATTCGACAACCTGGGGAATAGCCTTGATCTGCTCAATGTTGCTGATCTTGAACACCTTGTCGTACAACAGAGTGCACATTACAGCCGCCTGCGAATGGGTGTGGATGCACGCTCCAGCGTCTCTAAGAGTGTATGCAGAGAGGAACAGCGGCGTGCAGGCCGAGGGCTTGAAGGTGGGTGATCGTCGCAGATAATCCCGGCTCTTGAGATCCATGACAAACATGTCGGTGGGCTGCATTCGCTCCTTTTGCACGCCCGAAGGCGCCAACCACACGGTATCGCCCTCTCGAATGGAAATGCCACCTCCGGTACCAGTCACCCAGTTGTTGTCGTAGAAGAGCTTGCACAGCTCGACAATGAGGTTGGCGGGGTGTTTAGGGTCGCTGGACACCACCAGGCTTTCTGTGTCGGTCATGTCGGGGGTGTTGTGGGAGAGAGATTGGAGGACGCCATGTTGGAGATGATAAATCTGGGGTATTGTAGGGCTAGGGTTAGCACGTGGGTGGGTGCTGATAGAGTATGTGGCAGGAAACCCGTATGTTGTGGAGAGGTCGGTAGTGATATGTAGGTGACCTTGTCAATGGGGTTCATTGGAAGATCTATCTTCTTGCTCTCACATCTTCCATGTCGTTGAATGTCCAGATTTCGAGAGGTCAGGAACTTAATGTGGCTTGGTCAAGTAATTTTGTTAAGAAATTTTGTTAAGAAATTTTAAGTAAGTGGACTGTGAGAACAGGTTCCAAAACAGCTCATTTTGGTATTATATTCGGCTGAAAATTTTACAGATATCTTTTTTTCGTTTCTTAGTAATCCACCACATAATCCACAAAAAATTCCCATTCCTATAGAGTCAATTACAGATAGATTCTTGTGGCTGCCTTCAAACCTGGCCCAAGAGTCGTGATCTCCCTCTTTAACGACGAAGAGCTAATATAAAAAACGCAAAATATTTTACAAAGTGAAGGACCATATAGATAACAGCGTCAATGAGACTTTTATGAAACGCTCAATTGGATAAGTGGTAACTAATGCGATTAATTATGGTGTTCGCATTTCATCTCCTTCTTCGCAGATCAACCCTTCGATTGCCGTCCTGTGACATGATCCCGAATGCTTTTTGCCGCAACTTTCAGTCACCAGCCTTGTTCAAGATGTCGAAGGAATAATAATGTGTCACGTGATGGCGGGCCTGGTCCTCTTGTTTTCTTCTATCAAATCATCAATCATACATTCATTTACATACATTGGAAATCTCTGTGACCGCAGTCTTAAAGAGTACCAGTCTCCTTGAGCTTGCCGACCAGCTCATCAACGTTCTCGACCTTGACACCGGCCTGTCGCTTGGCAGGCTCGGCAACCTTGAGGGTCTCGAGTCGGTTGGCAACGCCGTCAAAGTCCTTGATCTTGACCACCTTGAGGGGCTTCTTCTTGGCCTTCATGATGTTGGGCAGAGTCACGTATCGAGGCTCGTTGAGTCGCAGATCGGTGGTAATGATCATGGGCAGTTTGGCAGCGACGGTCTCGACACCACCATCGACCTCTCGGGTGACCTCGACCTTGTCGCCGTTGACAGACACCTTGGAGGCCTGGGTGGCCTGGGGCCACTTGAGCAGACCAGCGAGAATCTGACCGGTCTGGCCGTTGTCGCCGTCAATGGCCTGCTTTCCGAGAATGACCAGGTTGGACTTCTGTTCCTCAATCAGCTTCTTGAGCACCTTGGCCACACCCAGAGGCTCAAGCTCGGTGTCCTTGGGACCCATCTCCACCAGAGTGGAGTCGTCAGCACCCTTGGCCAGAGCCTGTCGCAGGATATCCTGGGCCTTGGAGGGACCGACGGAGGCCACGTGAATGTTCTCAACCAGATCCTTGTTTCCCTCCTTGAGCAGAAGAGCCTCCTCGACAGCAATATCACAGAAGGGGTTGATGGAGAACTTGACTCCAGTGGTCTCGACGCCGGTGCCGGCCTTGTTGACTCGGGGCTTGACAGCGAAATCAATTACTCGCTTGACGGGCACAAAGATACGCAGCTTGTTGGACATGTTGTGTGTGTGTGTGTTGTGGTTGTGACGTTGAGCCTGAGTGAGGTGTGGAGGAGTATAAGCAGAGGTGCACTACGCTATTGTATATGCTGTGCTGTGGTCAGAGAGGGTTCGCATTCTAAGCTTGCAACAAATAAGGTTGTGTGGAGTTACGGGTTGATTTCGGGGGTGGAGGAGGGGACCGGGTTAGAGATGATCACGTGATATACTTGGAGATAAACCGCCGCCAGTTGGTTTAAGTCACATGACCAGCCTGATTGCAGTTCCCCCCGTCTCCCTGTGGTCATTAGTCGTCCCAACAAACGCTCTCCCGCTTCTTCTCCAATGGACTCGGAGAATGCTCGGCTCCGGCAACTATTGCCACTTTTAAAAAGCTTAAATTCACCAACGGTCTCTGGGGTTGGTTGCTATTGTAGAGAAGGGGGGGATTGGGGAGGTCACGTGACGGAAATATTGTCGCGGTTGGATTGGACACATTTCGGTATGTAGGGGGTTGGATTTTTGAGCGGTCACATGACACCATCCACCGCAGAGTGGCACATCTATTACACCTGTACAATCCATAGCCGAACAAGTAGATACTGTAGTCAGGCGATGAGCTTGGTTGGAGACAAGAGTGGGTGTCAAACCTGGCCGTAATAGTCAATTGAACTAGCCATCTTCCTTTCAATTGTATAAATCTTCCACCACAGTGTTTCCATGTATAGCCGAGTCGCTCTCGGCAGCGTTGCAGGAAGACCACGTTATCAGGCGCAGATTTTGGGATTCTGAAAAGCTGTAGCAGCATCTCCAAGAGCCACAGATTATAGCAATATACTCCGATCCACTCTAACCGCTCTGGATCATACTTGTTTTGACAGTTGAAATTTTCGGCTCATGGCCATACCTTTATGTGAGTGTTGTGCGGTCGTCTGACATTATGCCATCTGTCTGCAATCTAGCCATGCTTCCATTCTTCCATTCAATTCCCAACCAGGCTTTTGAGTCTTTTTCCTGGGGTTTTACGCCGCCTTTTTTCTCCACACCTCGGCTTTCGGCAGGTCACGTGACAACCCGGTTTTTTCCTCGGTGCGAAACCGGACCTGCATCATTAGTGTGGAAAGCGCTTATATAATCGAGGTCGGTAACCTTTTTTGCTCTGAGTCATTTTAACCAGCGGATAAAATTACCCTGCAGCCGGGCGGAAGCTTGTTAGTTGGGAGTTGACCAGAGTTGGAGATTTACTTGGTTATTTTGTCAAGAGGTTTTTGCCACGACTACAAGTACTGTACTGTACTTGTACGAGCAGATTTATAATCCTAGAGGTGGGCGGCCAGTACAGATATGAGCTGTATATGTACTTGTAGTTCATATTCTCTTCTTGGCCTGGAAAATCTGGCTCAGTTTTCCGAGAAGCATTCAGTTGTGTCTTCAATTTGGATGGAGTATACTGGCTAGAAAGTGGAATGAAAAAATCTGTGAACGAGACACAAGTCCTGCACCAAACAGACGCGAATCGGTGTGACAAATGCGCCCATTACAAGTGCAATTACAAGTAGTACAAGTTCAGCACAAGTACGGGTACTTGCAACCCCTGGAGGTAGTTGTACCTAACATTCAACTGACAAGCAATGTTACCAGTAATGCTACCAGTAATGCAACAGTCCTGTATATGGAATTGACTGATACGAGTACATTACTGTACCGGTACTCGTCACCACACGCTTCGAGTCTTTCTCGAAGCCATACCGAAGTCTACAAATATACAGGCCCAGCAGCATGATTATATGTTTGGGTATGTGTGGGGTAATGTTTCAGGTTAAGCTCTCGAGGACTAATGAGATGGCGATAAGAGAGAGATCTGTGGTGACGGTGAGACGACCTAAATGGCAATCTAGTGCCTTGAACCTTGCAACAAGAATCATTCTGGGGAAGTCTCAGAACACTTTGTTTCTGTCTTTGTGTTCGTGGTACTAACATCCTGGCTTCCTTGGGTCTGCCGGGTGCCGTGGAGATGATGTGGGGTAGGTGTCATATGGAAGTATGAGGGGGATGAATTAATGATGACGGATGGAGAGAGTGGAGGGAGAAAAGATGGAATAATAGGAAACTAAGCAGAAAGTGATCATGCAGTCAATGGAGGAGTTGGTCGTTGGGGAAGTTGGCCATTGGAAGGGGTCAGCCATTGGAGTTGGCAATGAAGGAGTTGGTCATCAAAGAGCCGGTTGCTCAAAGAAACCAAACGTGGGGGCTTCCGCAGATGTAATCCTCTTACATTTTTCCATCTACGATGTACTGGCACTACGTTAATCGGAGTCGGAGAACCTGCTGACCCCCACAGAATCTTCAACACCTACTGTACACCTGACATAACTGTTAGACAGAAGCAAGAGTCTGGCGATGGCTACAGAACCGGAGGACTCGCAGGACGAGTTACAAACAGTCGATGAACGAGAAGTACAACAAGGACTCACATACCAACTGTACTCCTCACATTAACAGACGACTTCTATTGTATCGTACTGTACATACTGTGTACTGCGACATCGCAGGAGTATGTATAGTCAGTACTCCTACATGCACTTGACCGCGTATACTCTTGAACTAATAACTCGTACAAAACACTAGCTACACCACGTGTAAGATAGATGCTGATGGACATGACGAGTAGCTACTCTGTATGACCAGCTTCAAACAACAAGACAAACTTCACACAAGGACGATAGACGCAATCTCTAACAATGGAATCCCACTTTGATGCTTGTTCCTGATCACATTTGTTTGTCTCATCGCAGGCCAATGATAGTTGGTTTATTTTGACAGCTTCTGGGCGCCAGGGGTCAAGCACACGATAAGATGCATAGTACAGTATGTACTGTAATGAGATTTCTAAGCACATTTGACTAACATCTGTTTTTAGATGTATCCACGAGAGGTATGAAGTCTGCTTGCGATCTGGCCCATTGTCGACTCACTGCAGTTGCACCCACCCCACCATTGTACTCACAGTTACCCCTCCCCCACTAACAGTATCAAACTAGCAAGTCCAAGATCCGCTAGTTAAAGTCCCCGCTTTCCCCACAACCAATCTACTTGTAGACGGCTGAACGTCCTTCTTCTATCATCGAGACCAGAAGCAGTCTCTTCATTGTCTCATTTCGGCCGAGAGCGGGAGCGATATATGCGTCGATATATCACTTGGATTTATGACTCTGGCCGGCAACGTTTTCAAAACATTGTGGTCATCATTTGCTCATCTCCAGCACCTCCATTTGGTGACACGGCTGTGGCAGCCGCCTGGTATTTTAGACGACTGACAGGGGCACACCCACCCCCTCCGATTTTGTTTTTTAGTCTGCATCGCTGTTTTGCTTCTGGCCTTTTCGTGTGCCTGTCGCTTGTAGAGTTTAGACCCCACCGACCGACGTTAATAACAACCGAAAGAGGTGAGAATGAGGTGGAGCTGAGAAGGGCAAACGTGGGGTTTGCGAGCGGAAAAAACACGAAAATCCACTCCTTGTGGACCCTTCACCTGATCCCCATCTCTAAACCGGCCGCATAGCCACCCCTTCACCCATCTCTACCTTACGTCAAGCTACCCCACGTCACCCAACAACCAAGAAAAATTAACTCCTCAGCCGTATACGATAAAGTGCATTGTTCACGCAAGGTGTCGAAGCCAATGAAAAGAAGTGCGACAGGGTATATAAAATGACAGCGGAGTCGAAATTGTTCAAGGAGGAGACTCGACGAAATCTCAACTCTCTACTACTCGCCCAAAATGAATGTAATACCCGTCTCAGAGCTCTCGCCAATGGACCAGTTGCTGTCGCTTCTGCCGCGGCTGTTTGAAGGAAATGGAAACCTCGCTGGCCTGATATCTCTGGTCCCTTTTGGGATTCTATCGACAGTACTCGAATCTCCCTACGGACCAGCACTGGTGGAAGTGCTCAACTCACAAGATACCCTGCCATTAGACTACTCAGATCGACTACTATCGTTATTCCCCATCCCACCATTTGCCTATACAGGAACTGGCATTCTCAAGATTGTTGTAATGGCGCACAATGTTGTGGGAAACAACATTCCGCAGTATGTTCTCGACATGGTCATGACTACTCAGTATAACATTTTCGGCAACTTCCCCAAGAAGGACGTCGACACGATTCCTTGTGCCATTTTCCTCGTCATCAACTGTGTATTGGCGCTGGCAAACTTCTACGTCTTTATGCGCGGAATTATGCGGAATCACAACTTCTATCTTATGTTCGGTCTTGGATGGCAGTGCCTGTTCAACTGCTTGGGTTTCGGAATGCGACTGGGATGGGCCCAGGACATTCTACAGTTAAGACTAGGCATCGGGTCGACAGTGTTCATCATCTTATCCATTGTCACAATCAACTTCATGAACTTCCTACTAGCACATAGGATCTTGACGTTTCGACATCCAGAAACAGGTGATGCAACTTGGTTTGGAATGCTCATGATCCTCATTTACCTGGCATTCTGCGGGGTACTCCTCATGGCTATTGTCACTCAAATCGTCATCTTCTCGTACTTCCTCGACTACATGCACTGGAGACAGGCTACTTCTGGAATGCAGGCATCCAGTATCCTGATTGTACTGTTTTCGGCAGGAGGAGTGCTCATCATAATCGCAGCTTATATCATCCCCCGAGGAGCTATTCCTCTCCATCACAAGAGCCGTCTCCGACTTTCAGCATCAAACATTGAGTCGTATGGCCTGTTCTACTTCCCTCCGAAACATTCCCAGGTGGTTCAATATAAGTCAGACCCTGCCATGAAGCTCGATTCCGGCCAGCTGGCTGCCAGAACTATCAACGGCAGAGACTTACACACCTCATCAATCATCGTCATCTTCAGCTCGTTGATCCTGGCGGGCTCAGCCGCAATGAGATGTGCCACCATCATGATTGGAGACAGATGGGAAATGGATGCCAAGTTCATTTACAGTCAGACGGCATTCTACATTGGATTTGGGGTATTTGAGGTCATTGTCAATGTTATCTTTCTCGTGTTTCGAATCGATCTCCGCTTCTACATTCCCGACTGGCCTAAAAAGGGACGGGGAGGTATCGTTGTCCATAGAGACACAAAGGAGATTGTCAAAGAGATGGACGCAGAAGCAAGAGGCGACAAGCGGGACTTTGTGTTCATCAATGTCCCTACTCCTGCTCCCACTCAAGACTGGATTCCTCCAGACGACTCCAACACTTATGGAGATCTCAAGGGTGAGACGCGATCTTTTGATTTCGACGACAAGGAGAAGTTGGCCATTGTGGAAATCATGCCTGTACCTGGCGATGATACAGATGTTCCCCAAACGCCAATGGTGCCCGACAAGACATACGTGTCCATGCGCAGCAAGAGTCCCCAGAGCCTTGTTCCTTCGTATGCTTCCCCAAGAACATACGCAAACGGTCAGCAGCTGAAGAATGGAGAAACTATTGATGGGTTTGTCATGACCAGCAAGGACCCCGAACCTGCCAACGAGACCATACCGGGAAACCCACCCACTCTAGCTGCAGCTACAAGACCCACTGTGATCTCTCCACCACCTTCTGCCTCTACCCCGGCAACTCCAATTCTGCCTGTGTTGGTCGAGACTGCCGAGAACGGGTCCAGTCATCGCTCCTTCTCTCCACAGAGCCGAGAGGTACTTTCCATGCCCTCGCCTAGTTATTCAGACTACAACTACTATGCTAGACCATACGAAGAGCGACGCAGCGAGTTGTACGACGTATAGTTCTTTCTATTTATGTATGTATTTATTTAATGTATCTCTATTCCCATTGGCATCAAGTCTGTACATGATCAAAACCCTTTGGTGAACAGGCGGATCGACATCCAAAGAGAATAAGGAGTAAATCAAGTTTGTATGAATACACCAATACGTCCAGGTTTCATCTATATATCCTCAAACCGAAATCTGGTTTTTTTTCAGGGCGGAATAAATCAGTTTTTTTCAGGTCAAAAAGTTTCAATAAGGTTCAGAATTAACTTCCACTCCCGGTGGCCAAGCTGGTTTAAGGCGCGAGACTGTAAAGGTAAAAAATTGTAATCTTGAGATCGGGCGTTCGACTCGCCCCCGGGAGATTTTTTTGTCCTTCGATCACAGAAATTTCACCTTATGCGAAGAGACCGAACTACTTTTTGCTTCCGACGAAAATATCCCAGTTCTTCATGCTCATAGGACACCAAAAGAGATTCCTCTAATAGTGAAAATCATGAAGTTTGTTTTTGGCTGTAGCATCTACAACCATCCAAGCACGAGTGCTGTACCCACGGATCTATTTAGTCAGAGGGAGAATACGAAACAAAAAAACAACAGTAACATCAGTCACGTGATACTCCGATACGGGGAATCGAACCCCGGTCTCCACGGTTCTCCACATGAGAGCGTGATGTGATAGCCCCTACACTATATCGGACGATGAGGATCCGTGACCGTTGGGTCTATATAAGGATGAAAAAGATTCGATAATAACGAAAGTATGGGAGATTTTGAGATTTCAAACATGGCAACCAGATCGGTTAATGAACGTGGAGTCCAAAAAAGAAGCACTAATTCCAGTCTCTCTTTTTAATCATGTGATTACGGAGATGTCAAAGTTGTTGAAAGTTTGGATCAATGTTCAGTTTGGAGAGTGAAAAAAAGAAACCTAATCAAAAGGCGGTCAACACAGGAGAAGCAGAAATACTGTAGAGTCCTAGTCTTGAGAGGGCAAAAAAGAATGGTCCCTAGCAGGATCGAACTGCTGATCTTCGCGTTGCAAAGAGGCTAATTTCTTATTAGCACGACGCCTTAACCAACTGGGCCAAGGGACCTTTTTTTAGTTGAAAGTATCAAGTGCCCTCTACTATCTGAAAAAATATCAAAATCTCCGCCAAAATCTCCGCCAAAAAACGGCGGTTATGGGGCCCCAGGTTCGCTGGAAGGCATCGCCAACTCTTCTACAGAGGTTTATCCTTAGCGAAATTCTTTCGAGCCATTTACAGCCGGTATTTACAATGTGCAGCAATATCCCCATAACCATGTCAGCATATACAATTCCAACCGCAAAAAGTCCGCTACAGTACTCACCAAGACCCACTATGTGTTTTAAACATCTTAACTTATAAACGATAAACTAACAAACGTCCTCGACCTTCTCCTCGTCTCCCTTGACACCAAGATCAACAACGAGGTTTCGGTAGAACTGATCAAAGAGCATGTCCATACAGAGACCAGTGACGACAGGATCATATCGACCCTTGGAAGACTCGTCTCGAATAAAGGCATGCTGGGCGCCAGCAACCTCCAGGAACGAGAAGAAGACGCCGTTATCTCGCAGAGTCTTTCGAATCAGATCTCGCCCCTCCGGAGGAACATGGTTGTCCTTAGTGCCAAAAACAAGAGTAAACTCGGCGTTCTTGTTGAACTCGTTGCTTCGCTTGAGAGAGTCGTCGTTCTTGCCGAGACCAAGGGAGTGCGAGTGAATGTCGGTAGCAAAAAAGGTGAAGACGGAAGTGACTCGCTTGTCCAGAGCAGCTCGGAACGCCAGGTGACCGCCCAGGCACATTCCGGTGGCACCAATTCGACCTGTGCAGTTGTCCAGAGAAGTCAGGTAGTCAATTGCCAGCTTGTTGTCCTCATCGTACGACTCCAGAGGCTTCTCGATCTTGTACTTGTTGCCCGCGTCGGTTCCAGGAACATCGTAAGCCAATGGCTCGGGGCCGACAAAGTTGTGGTAAATCGAAGGAGCAACCACAATGTAGCCCCGACCAGCAATCTGCTGAGCCACTCGCGACACAGGGCCGGTCACCTGGTAGATCTCAGAGTACACCAGTACTCCGGGGAACTTGGCATTGGGGTACCCAGGAATAGAGGGCGTGTACACAAATAGCCGGAGAGTGGTGCCGTACGAGGTTTTGACGTCGTGGTAGGATTCCTTGATAAGCATGGCGAAGGGGGTGGTGTCGATGTAGCGTTCGAATTGTTGTATGAGGGTCTAAAATGGCACCTGAGGGTTCCACATCAGCCTACAGTTCCGAAGCATGCAGGTGGAGCTTATTCACCTCTGCGGGATGTTTAATTAGGAGACCCGGCAGCAAAAAAGGCGAACACTTAACAGTGTATTATACACCACATTCCATTCATCTACACCTCTATAAGGGATTAAACCGACCGCAAAACTGGCAACTAATGCCGTTCTGATTTTCATCCTGCCACTCGTTACGAAGCAACCGGGACTGCGACCACTGTTGGTGATGCGGGTGCTGGTATTGGCCAGAATGCATCTGAGTAGATGGTTGATAGTACTGGCCGCCAGGAGAATGGTGCGCCGCATACTCATGCCCAACCCCACTACCAACTAAAGAGTTCCGATCGCTGTTTCGAGAAGGGGGCATGCCTCCTCGCCCAACAGGACCACCAGTTTCATAACCAGATCCACAAAGTTTGCTTTTATGGTGGTATGAGCCAGCTGTGTTACTTGGTGCAACGACCACTGCAGCCGCACTCGAACTAGCACCCCCACCACGGCTCTTGCGCACTATCAACGGCTGGACCTGCTCATTGTAGCTGCGGGCCTCAGACACCAGCCTGGAGCTAAGCGGCGAAGCTAGCTTGGAGCCCAAATCGGGCGACATGACCTGATTGTCATCTGTGCCCATTTGAGAGAAAGTCTCGACCTCTGCGGAGTAATCAGTTCCTCGTGATTTCATCTCTTGAGGGTTGCTTCGACTCACCCTTCGGTCCTTGAGAGCCATCTCTGTCTCTCTAGCTTGTGAGAGCGCCTGCTGAGTGTACGGCGAGAAAGATGCCGATGGAGGTTGTGGGTAGATGCTAGACGATGACGAGAATTGGCGGAAGTGCGAGGGGTTCGTAGACTCCCCGCCACTGGTGTCTCGGTGATTTCCAGTTTGTGTCTTGAATTTGTGATTGAGTCGTGAAGGTTCGATTTTAGACCGGCTGTTAGTGGTTCTAATAGTGGTTCCCTGGGTGCTCAACCTCGTGGACTGCGGGCGTTTCGAAGAGCTTTTCGTATCACCGCGTTTAGTGGCGGTCTCCCTAGACTTGCCTTTTCTCTTTTCAGCCTGCAGGACCGCGGGAGGAACGATTTTCTCAACATCCTCATCCTCTTTCGACTTGAACAAGGACAGAAAGCCCTTCAACTTTGTCTTTTTGCCGGGGGAAGACGATTTTGTGGATCGTGCGGACCGAGAACTGCCGGCAGACTTGAGATTTCGCAGGGTGGGCGCATCGGAATCAGCTGCACCGGAGAGAGATTTGATGCTGGCAAAAGGCCTGTAAACGTTGGCCTTGCATCCGCGTTCGAGGTCAGCCAAGAAGCGTCGACCTTCTTTTGTGAACACAAAGTACGCCTGGATCTGTAGGAAGCCCGCGTTGTAACCCTTGTGTCTGAGTGACGACGAGAATGTCGACGGATGTTCCATATGCTGTTCATTGACATCCAGCGAGCAGTGACCAATGCTCTTGTTGTAGTTGTCGTCAATGCCGGCGAAACGGGCAAAAACAGACAATGTCACGCGTCGGAGAGGGTAGGTGTGCGGTTCAACACGGAGCTCGAGACTCTGTCCCCACCTGATGCCAGGCAGGTTCCGTCCTCCAGACTCGACCTTGTGGCCGCAAGTGGACACCGAGGTGAGGGTGTTGGACACCCCGACAGAGATGAAGAGCTGGGTCCCTCCGCGCTCAATGTCGGCGTACTCTTCCGGTATCACCAGATTGTCCTGTGTTAGTAAGGGTATCACACTTGGCGCGTGGTTGCGTAACATACCAGTCTTTCAACGACCACAAATAGCGATCCGATTGCGACCATGGGTGTTGCTGGCGTTGTTGAGTGGTATCAGTGGTACTTGTATCAATGTGGTGTAGTAGAAGATATGGTGGTATCAGATATGTACAGTACGCGTGTTGTGAGAAGTGTCAGACACAAACGGCGGGAAATTAAAAGGTTTGGAACATGTATAATTATATTGTACTTTTGTAGATGGTTTTCCGTTGTGTGTAAATAAGGTTCAGGAACTATGAGCGAGCCGTGTAGGAGAAAGACAATCAGAGCAATGAGGAAACAGTGGGGAGATCCGCTGAGGCCAGAAGACTTCCTTAATACGCCCCTTTCTTAACGGTCGATACCGTTGGTCGTCTTCTTACACAAACTGGGTGGTTAATCCCGTGTACTCGTCCGGACATGTTACCATGCTTCGATGCACTATCGAGCCGTGGGTTTGCCGACGGAACACTGGGATAAAAAAGCGAAATACGCAACAGGTTTCATGGTAAAACATGCCTAAGATGTGGGCGGAACATAACCTATCGGAAAAGAGAAGTGCAATAGCGACGATCACGTGATACACACACACACACATACACACACGCTCTCTGCTTGTCCACTAGTAGCAACTATGCTGCATCGTGACTCAGTTTTCCGATTCCTTTACATTCGAACTTCATCGCATTAGATTGATGACCCCCACATGTCGGTTCCCCCACTCGGTTAACAAGTTATGTATAGGCGGGGGCAAATAGCGAAGATTGGACGATAAGGATGGAATTTTGACATGGACAAACTCCTGAAATTACACCATTTCATTAAATATCGTCATTTTTGCCCTAGTCTTTTCATTAGCACCCTCCGACGTCCTCACTTGCACCGTTTCGCACTCCGATAAGTCCGCTAACGGGCAACCCACCCCACATAACTCTAACTGCTTGGCCGACATATCGTCTAATGATTAATGCATATAAATACATAAATACATATATATATTATACACTTCATCCGCACTACGACACGAAGGAGCCAATTACACAACAAGTCGCCAATCAATACGAACCAACACATCCAACATGTCACCGCGATTCTCTCGACGATCGGTGGTCCATTCGACCAAGGGAATGGTTGCCTCCACACAACCCCTGGCCTCCGCTATCGGAGCCCGAGTTCTCGACCAGGGGGGAAACGCCGCCATGGCTGGCATTGCCGTTGCCGCTGCTCTCAATCTGCTGGAGCCCCACCAAACCGGTGTGGGAGGAGATATGTTTGCTCTGTTCTACGACGCCAAGACAAAGAAGGTCGAGGGACTCAATGGATCCGGCCGATCTCCCAAGGCTCTGACTGTCGACTATCTTCGAAAGCACGGCGTTGAAGGACCCCGAATCCCTCTTACTTCTCCTCACACCATCACTGTACCCGGTGCCGTTGGTGGCTGGTGTGATATCTACGAACGGTGGGGCAACAAGAAGCTCACCATGGCAGAGATTCTGGAGCCGGTTGCCCAGCTCGCTGAAGAGGGAGCTCCCATCTCCGAGGTGTCTGCCAAGCTGTGGAAGGACCATGGCCCCAAACTGCTGAAGACAGACTCTGCAGGAGCCGATCTGCTGGTCAAGGACGACTCTGCCGAAACTGGATACAGAGCTCCCTATGCCGGAGAAGTGTTCAAGAACCCCGGTCTAGCTGCCGTGCTGCGGGAAATCGGAGCCAAGGGAAGAGACGGATTCTACAAGGGCTGGGTAGCGGACAGCATTCTGGAGATTCTGCAAAAGCGAGGCTCTCTGATGACCCGAGAAGACCTGGAGAACCACACTTCCTCCTTTGTCGAACCTATTGCCATTGAAATCAAGGACAACATCAAGCTGTGGGAGCTTCCTCCCAACGGTTCCGGCCTGGTTGCCATTATCGCTGTTGGTGTCATCAAGGCTCTGGACCGACAGGGTAAAATCTCTCTGGAAGGTCTCAAGCTCAACTCGGCCGAGTATCTGCATGTGGCCGTCGAGGCTCTCAAGTTTGCGTTCCGAGAAGCCGATGAGTACGTATCTGATCCTGACCACCACGACGTTTCTCTGGAGGAGCTTCTGAGTGAGACCAAGTACGACGAGCTTGCCAACCGGTTCGACACCAGCAAGATCCACCCCAACTATGACGATAACGTCATCAACCCCATCCACAAGTCCGACACTGTCTACTTTGCCATTACAGACCGATGGGGTAACGCGTGCTCGTTCATTATTTCCATTTTTGACGGATTTGGATCGTCTACTGTCCCTGCTGGCACTGGTTTCTGTCTTCAGAACCGAGGTCTCAACTTCAACCTCACTGAGGGGACCCGAAACTGCCTTGCTGGAGGCAAACGACCCTACCACACCATCATTCCCGCTATGGTCACCAAGGGTGACGACCTGTGGGCGTGCTACGGAGTCATGGGAGGCTTCATGCAGCCTCAGGGCCACGTCCAGGTGCTGCTGAACATGATCAACTTTGGCCTTGACCCCCAGCAGGCTCTGGACGCGCCTCGATTCTGTCTCTCTGCTGGCAAGGGAATTGATTTCGGAAAGGGCACCCATGGACCCTGCAGCAAGCACGAGACGGTGGTTAATCTTGAGGAGACCATCGATCCAGAGGTGGTCGAAACTCTCAAGAACCTGGGCCATACCGTCAATGTTGTTTCTGGCGAAGATGCGTGGGCTCTGTTTGGACGAGGCCAAGTGATTCGACAAGACGAGAACGGTGTCTACCATGCCGGTAGTGATCCTCGAGGTGATGGACAGGCTGTTCCCATTTTATTGTAAGTGTAAGTAAGAGTAAGTACAAGTAATGAATATGTTATGAGAGAGAATAGAGAGATGAAAGTGACCAGAAATGAGTGTCTGGTTCAAACGACTTTCGTCACGCACAGTCTGGGCCACAGTTTCCGAGAGGGTGTACCGAATCCGACAGACCTGTAACGACAGCTGTTTATTGTTATTGTTTCTTGACAAATGGCCTTGTCGCAGACTGTCAATTTCCCTCACAGCAATGCAAGTAGCCAACACCCTCCACAACCACGTTTCAAACAACCAACTTATTAGGCCCAACTTATTAGGCCGAGAAACTGATGTGTGTTTGAGAAAGTCTTGAGAATCTCTATTAATAGATAATTAGCGGTAGACAGCCGCCGGGGACTGCTGTTTTTGGACAATTGGTTGCCCAGTTGGAAGACGGCAAGTAAGCGGCCCACATTTGAAGCAAGACATGTCTGACTAAATACGACTGTCAACACCATGAGGTATGACATGTTGCTGACCGCCAATCTCTATACGGGTCTCCACCGTTATTCAATACGGTTCTAAACAGATCGTCCGATCTACCTAAACATCTCACAGATGCAGACAGTGCATAGAACCCCAGCGTAAGTATTGGTGTAAGAGGTGGCACGGGCACTTGTACGACCACTCGCTGATACTTGCAACGGTGACAAAATGTCGACATCTGTAACATCGGGGGATCCAACTTGCGGGGATATGTCCCTATTGGGTTTTCAGTTGGTCTGAGACATGCCTTTTCTTGTAGGTACAGTAATATACATTACAAGTATGTACTGTACAATAAACAGAATGGAGTGGAATGAGGGCCTTAAGGCTGGGGAAAAGAGGACGGACGCCAGGAAACGTGTGAACCAATACACCGGTATTTTATTTGCCCACCCAAAAGCTATCTCCAATTGGCTGTATCACCGCCCCCCCATGTCATGCATCATCTCGCCCGCATACTTCTGCTGTAAGATCTGATACACGCACTGTCTGGTAAAACAAGAAGAAAGATAAAAAAAAGATGGCAAAAAATGGAAAAAAGAAAAAAAAAAAGACAAAAAGCAAATTCTGTCTCGAAGAGCTGTTGACCAAGGCCAGCTGCGAGACACTCGCGGTGCATTGGATGTTAGATACGGTGCGTTTGAGGTTGAATGGGGCCGAAATGGACCTCAGTTCTCCACATTGTGCATTCTCTGACGCCATTTACGACCACCCTCCGCGCTATTGCTCACATTAATTGCGCGAGCGTGTCTTCTCCTAGATCAGCAGGCTGTGTAGGTTTACGGTACCTGTACATACTGTAGGTTACGTCATATCAAAGGGAGAGAGAAGGGGATTTCCAGAATCAAAAAGTGTGACGGAATCCCCAAGAGTAGAGCGTCTGTAACAGGATGCAGAGATGTCAACTGACGGATCCCGAACATGCATGTTTGTGAAAAGAGAAATACCGCTTGTTTCATCTCGTCTTGAGCCAGTCTGATTTTTCTTGAACACTCCATCCTCACCTATTAATAGAACAATACACTCTAGCACTGCATTCTCGCGCAGGAGGCAAACTCAGTTGCGTCGAGGTTTGCCCTCTTCGAGACATCAAAGACTCACTCCTGAGACAGACACGACCAAGACACGCTTAGCACGCCAAACGGTGCAGGGCAGTCTACGGATGCGGCAGGTAGCAGTGGCAGTAAACAGACCAAAGTAGGGACAGACGAACACGTATGACGGGCGTTACAGTGCAGCTCATGCCCCCACCCCCAGCGACGCAACATAGCCCATACAGGTTCGATCCTCGGCGAAGACTTCTGCATGCTGAAATTTCGGCATTTATGATGTCCGTGGAGTCCAAGACAACACACATGGTGGAAAAAAGAGACATTGGAGAGACTCAAACGACCAAATCGCACCTGACAATCCACCACTGTAAGGATCAAAGACACGGTGAGGAATAATAATGCCGCTGATGACGCGCTCTCCTCCTCCGGTTGCAGCAACCTGCTTAAATTAGAACTGTACACCGAACCTTGCATCGAGTTTATCGTGATGTGAAAAGACGAGAGAAACAAGGAGATGGACGAGAAGCAATTGCGGGGGTGAAAAAGAACACAGGTGAACGGGGAAGGAGCTTGACTGGCGATTACAACATGCTTTTTGACCCTTCTCTTTACTCCCCCTCTTCCCCACTCTCACAGCCCACTGATCGCCGGGGGGTAACTGTCGATCTCTAGCGGATTTTCTCGTGTAACTTTGCAAACGGAATCTGTAAGCTCGGGGTGAACATCTTTCACGCTGTGTTCACACCTGCCCTGCATTTCAGTCTCATATATATCGGCGAGACTTCCGGAAGAGGTGGTTTCAAAATTACTACAAAGTGCCGTCCCAGCATTCGTTCGTCATAAACAACATCACCACAAGCGAGACAAGCTATAAAGACACCCCTCTCTTGCCTCCTTCATTCTCCTCATTCGCATCGTCCAACAATGAAGTTCTCATTGGTTCTGCTTGCCTCTGTGGCCCTGGGTCTGCCCACGACCTCCAACAACGACTACCGGTCGTCCGTCAGCCAGGTCTGGGACATTGTCGACAAGTACAGCACTCTGGGTCATGCTCAGCTTGAGAGCAGAGATCTGTCTGACCTCGACTCTGACATCAAACATAGATACCTCGTGACATTCCGTCAGAACGCTACCCAGCAGGAGATCTCTCAGCACTTCCAGGACGTGGACAAGTGGCTGAGCTCTGGCTCCAACAAGCGAGATCTGGGCTTCACTCAGCTGATTGAGGGCGCATTTTCTTCCGTGTCCCGGAATTCACATGCTCTCAATGCCTTTGCTGCTACCGATTCGTCTCCCTTTGACGGATACTACGGCAAGTTCGATAACCAGACCGTGGCCAAGGTCGAGAGCTCCAGTATAGTCGATTCAGTCGAATCCGACACCATCCAGACGTCGCCCAGCTTCAACGGCCACACTCTGTCCAAAGAGGCTGTCGAGGAAGACAAGACTCAGGCAGACAAGGCTGCTGCCCTCAACGGCTTTGCCACGGTCACCCTCAACAAACAGTTCACCAAGAACTGGGGTCTGGACCGAATCTCGCACATTGAGAACGACATTCCCGAGGCCGCTGGCGGCAACTATTCCCTCATTCCCGAAATGGAGTACATCTACGGCCCCTCCAAGTACGACACCGTTGCTTATGTGCTGGACACAGGAGTCAATGTGACTAACAGTGGTTTTGGTGGACGAGCGTCCGAACCCGTCAAGTTCATCGAGGGTGAGCCTCCCGGAGACTACTCTGGCCACGGCACCCATGTTGCTGGTATCCTCGGCTCCTCCACCTTTGGAGTTGCCAAGGACGCCAAAATCATCTCCGTCAAGGTCCTCAATATGGGTAACGCTGGTCCTACCTCTGCTGTGGTCAACGGAGTTAACTGGATCATCCAGAATAACAACGCCACTCGGGCGGTCATCAACTACTCTGCCACTGGCCCCGTTTCCAAGGCCATGAACCAGGCGTTTGTCAAGGCCGTTGAAGCTGGTATCACCGTGGTTGTTTCTGCCGGAAACTTCATGAAGGACGCCTGCAACTACTCGCCCGCCAACCTCGGCTCGGTGATTGACGGAGCTATCGTTGTTGCTGCCTCTGACCAACACGACAAGTTTGCAGTCGGCTCCTCTTGGGGTTCCAATTACGGCAGATGCGTCAACGTATTTGCTCCCGGTACCGACATCCCTTCGCTGCACTGGAAGAATGAGAACCTGGTGTTCTTCGACTCTGGTACTTCTATGAGTGCCCCCTTTGTTTCTGGTCTGGTTCTCTACCACCAGTCCCAGAGCGACAACCCTTTGTCCCCCAAGGACGTGTCTGACAAGATCATCAACTCCAACCCCGGCCAGATCCAGAGCCCCATGCAGGACACCCCCAATGGCCTCGCCTATAATGAGGCTCTGGGCCAGGCTCCTCCTCCTACCACCACCGACCTTGGCCCCAAAATCCCCACCGGCCAGCCTCTTAATTAGAGAGACAGAAAACGAGAGCGAGAGCTAAGAATGCACCACTGAAAAGCCCCCAAATGGCATTATACGCTCCCGCGACGAGCCGCACAGTTTCAAATCTGTCCAAATACGTCCCATGCTGGCCTTCGTCTTTTCCCAACTGCACAGTTGTCCATTCTGCCCACTGTCTCTGCCAAATCCCTTCTTGATTCCCTCCATTATTTAATTCATTCGCCTCAATTGTATTTGCAATCGAACCTGCAACAGTAGCCGCCGTTTCCTGCAAATAAAATCAGCTATCGTACTCGTAGCTGCTGTATCGTAATGTGCCCCATTTTTCGCAGTGTGTGTGATATTTCGCTGCTGCTCATTTACCCACACATGATCAAAAGCCAAATTGGACCCCGTACATAATACGAGCCAATACGAGTGGGTAAAGAGGCGTCATTGATAGCCTTTTGGAGGTGGAAAAACGGTCCCTCCGATGCACGTGATTGACCAGGTCAACCCATATACAACCCGTGGGCCTTTCCTGTCTCAATTGCCCCACGGGAAGCCCTAGTTTTCTTGTCCACACCCCATGAGGTTCATGCATGATTCTGCACCAGGCAACAAGGAAACCTGACACTCTGCCACAAGAGGAGACGTTGAACAAAAATACGTATATATAAGATCGGAGAAGCTGGCCATGGGGCTCTGGAACACCAGCTTGATGCCCCCCTTCCAAACAACCGACTTTGAGGCACTTCAATGTCGCACCATCACCACCACCCCCACCTTCATCAGTTCTCGCTCCACTCCACCCAACCCCGTTTCTCGCCCTCCGACTGCTTTCGGGAGCCTATTGCCTTGGTCGGTGTGCCTGATAACAGCTGGTTACCTTTGGCTCCTAGAACCACCCGTCTGCCGAGTTTTTCCGAACTATTGTGGTCACTGGAAGAAACAGCAAGACCCATGTCTCCAGTATCCTCCGAGCAATCAGGGGACTCTTGCACCACCCTCTGGTCGCTCAACTCCAACCCGGGCTCCTCGCCTGAAGCCCCAAGTGCGCCCAACCCCAACCTTAACTATACTTACGAAAAATACCCATCTACAGTTGAGCCGATTAAACGGAAGTACGAGAACTCGGAGCAGGCTGTGATTGACAAGACTGCCCGGAAAAAGACACGGAAAACACCAGCAGCGTCAACCGTCAAAGCCATTAAGCCAAAAACGACCAAACCACGTGCAAAGAAGACCAAAGGCACAACATCTCCAGCCGACGCTTCCGAATCAGCGGCAGCCAGACCAGCCAGACCCCCTCCAGTCAAACCCCCTCCGCCTACTCCTGAACCAACCCTGGTAGAACAGCTCCTGGAACATGGGCTGTATGAAGGTGCTCAGCAAGACGCGTGCGAACGTCTGTACTGCTCCAAATGCCGCTCGTACGCCAAAAAGACTCGATTCGCAAACGTGGTTCGCCTGGCCACCCATCTTGACGTTAAACATCGGACTTTCCGACTCAAGATCTTCTGCGATCACAAACAGTGTCCTCGCTCCATTGTCGGTTTCGCCAGCAACAAGGAGAAACATGAACATCTCAAGCACATCCACGGACAAGTGCAAGAATAGAGTGAGATAAAGTATAGACGAGAATAGTTATTTATTGAGAGTAGCCAGTGTGTATGGAACAATATGTAGTGACTGAAGAGAAGACAGACGTGAGTATAACACGATAAAATCGGATGCACCCAACTACTTCCCTGCTATGATACCGGTATCACTCTTACAGATGGTGCCTGTTACTGCGAAGACTCATGCCGGACGGTAGCAACCCAGCTGTACTTGTCACGACTACACATACACGCCAATTAGTCATTTCATCCATTATATATCCATACCATCATTGCTGCATTACTGCAGACCCTTGATGACCTCCTCCTGTCGTTGCTTCTGCTTGGCGTCCTCAACGCCGCCCAGAGATCGCACCTGGCCCACAATGTCCCGGGCCTTGCCGAAATACACCTCCTGCAGCTGGTTTCGCAGCTTGGACTCCACGTCCTCAACAATGCTTCCGAGGTTTGCGATATGCTGAGAGGGTTCATCGACAGCCATCTCTCGCTCGGTCTGTCGAGTCAGGTTACCGGAAAGGCCGAGCTTGGGGGACTTGGAGCCCAGATCGAGAATCACGGTGGATGTGACCCGGTAGATCCCCTCTCCACGGCTGGTCTCAACCTCAAAGACGTGGATGGAGTCCCAGGACGACGAGGGCGAGGTCTTCTTGAGCAGCACAACGCCGGCAAAGCTGTTAGTATTGTCTCCTTCGCCCTGGTCCCACAGGTAGACCGAAGAGACTCCTCCCTCGTAGTACAGGTCTCTGTAGATGTCAAAGGAGTCGTTGGCGAGAACCTCGAGTTTGCGCAGAGCCGCCGAGGGCGTGGGGCCGTCTGTTGCGGGCTCGTAGTCGCCGGACCATGGGGATCGGAACGAGTCGCCGTCTCGGTTGTAGTCGCAAGTCAGGTACTCCTTTTTGGTGGATTTGCAGGTCTTGACACCGAGAGGCTGGTCGACGGAAGACAGCAGGTCCTCCGCAAGTTCCGGAGCAATCTTGCACAGGGAATTGAGGTTGACGCTGACGTTTTTGGGATCCAATCGTCGCAGAAGAGACAGAGCAGCGTCGTATTGTTCGTCAGACTGGGTTAGCGATTGCGCGACGGCCGGGGGGAGGAAGATCACGTGGAATCTATGGGGCGCAATGCCACGTGACTGCCATGTTTACTGTCAGTCCGAATTGTGTCTGTTACTCACCATGGTGGACGGTTGGGTATGTACTGTACTGTACTGTTGTGATGATGATGTTCAGATATCCACTGCTGTTAACACCGCATGCATTAGTCGTGCGTTACTACAAGTAGTGGGATTGGGGAAAGTTTATTTTGGGAAAAACGTAGGAACATAAGAAGCAGAAGTAGGGAGCTGGAGGAGGGTGTTGTAGAGTGAGTGTCGCGGGTGTGGGGGTGTCGAGGTTGTTGGAGGAAATGGTGGCATTAATTACCCTTTAAATAGGGCTATAAGTGTTCTAATTGCTATCTGTGGCATTATTTTGTCATGGGTGAAACTAATTTAATTTACCTCAGTTAAGTTTCAAGTAACTCCCGTCTAAAATTTCAAAAGAGAAATTAAAATTTATAGCGAAAATTCAGTTTCTGAATATAACCCAATAAGTAGTTGAAGTGTAAGCTGGGACACGTTTTGACTGGTGGTTGTACTTAAAAAGACCGAATGACACATTGAAGACGGCTGAATGACACACTGATACCGAGCCTCGGGAAACACTTACCAGCATACGACGAAATCCTGACAAATACGGCCTTTCCTTATCTCGAAACACGACCCAAGCACCAAACGCCAATTTGTATTGTCTATACTCCGGAGTTAAATAATTACACCTTCCATCGCGACTTGTAGTTACATTATCAGATTATGTAATACAGAGGTATATTTTATGTATATTTTATGTATATTTTATGTATATTTTATGGACAAGATCTCGACTGATAATGTATACCATCCTACCAACGGAACCGAGCGTCTCAGCATTGTCTACTATATCACCACCCATTCATCTTTCCATCTTCCACCTTGTCTCGCCCTGTTTCACCATCGCCGTGTTCCCTAACCCTATGCATTATCGTGCATGTTCCAACCTACTTGGTGGAGCAACTAACCGTCTTCACGAAACGCACTAGAACGATGAAGAGACTCATTCCGACGGTAATATCGGTATTGCTGGTGTTTCTTACACTCACAAGCCCTGTTCAGTCGGCAGGATGCAGCATATACGGCAACTGTGGAAAGAAATCACTATTCGGCAGCGAACTACCCTGTCCGACACCACAAGACAAGGCTGGTCCGTTTGAGCCTTCCAAGGGGGATCTGGATCTGCTAGGAGAGATCTGCGGCGAGGTTTGGACACACGAGAAACTTTTATGTTGTGATACGGCGCAGATCAAGGATCTGAAGAACTCGCTGAAGAAGGCCGATGGTCTGATTTCATCGTGTCCGGCTTGCAAGTCCAATTTTTACGAATTCTTCTGCAAGTTCACATGTGCCCCTGACCAGCGCGACTACGTTAATGTGACACAACTGGGCAAATCGACAGACGGACGAGATATCGTGACAGAGTTGAGTTACTATGTGAAACCAGAGTGGGCTCAGGGGTTCTACGACTCGTGTAAAGACATCAAGTTCTCGGCGACCAACGGCTACGCCATGGACCTGTTAGGAGGCGGTAGACACGGATACAAGAACTTTCTCAAGTTTCTGGGGGACGAAAAACCCATGCTCGGAGGTTCCCCCTTTCAAATCAACTTCCCCTGGCCCGAAGATGAGAAGGACAAAAACTACCCTCCCAAGGGAATTAAGCCCGTGGAGCCTGTTCTTCGAGACTGTGCAACAGGTGCTTACAAATGTGCATGCAGTGATTGTGAGGGTGCTTGTCCTGAGTTGCCTAACATCAAGAAACATGGAGCTTGCAAGGTTGGACATCTTCCTTGTCTGAGCTTCGCGGTGATCATCATCTACTCAGTGGTTCTTCTCGGCGCAATTGCAGGTTCCTGGTTTGTTCACAGTCATACGCTCTTCTCTGGAGCCACTCTAGAGGACCAGTACATGACTTCCAGATGGTACCAGAACCCCCATGCGTCAGAGAAGTACACCACTTATCCTATCAACCGATTCTTGCAATACTGGGTGTCTCGAATTGCGCTTTTCTGCGCTTCATACCCTGCAGTGACCATTGGTTTTACGGTCACCCTGTCTATTCTCATGTCAGTTGGCTTGACCAGGTTTCAGGTTGAAGAGAACCCAGTAAGATTGTGGGTATCCGAGGATTCTACTCCTTACCTCCAGAAAGAGAACTTTGACAACAATTTCGGCCCCTTCTACCGTACCGCTCAGGTTTACCTTGTCAACACAACAGGAAGCGTGGTCAACCAAGAGAATCTGGTATGGTGGCAGGGAGTCGAACAGCAGATTATCAGCCTACAGGTGGAAGGCACCTCTTTCAATGACTTCTGTCTAAAGCCCACAAACGATGCCTGTGTCATTCAGAGTTACACTCAATATGGAATTAATCTAAACTCTCCAGACTGGGCCACTCAGTTGCAAACTTGCACTTCTTCCGCAGTGCAGTGTCTGCCACCTTTTGGACAGCCTCTCAACATGAATCTGCTATTTGGAGGCTACAATGAGACCTCTCGTGATCCTCTCTCTGCCCAGGCTCTCGTCATTACCCTTGTTGGAGAAGGTTACCTAGAAGATGATCCTCAAGAAGCACGAGCTCAAAAGTGGGAAAAGGGTCTGATTGATGTGCTCCTGGATGTTCAACACGAGGCATGGAGACGAGGTCTACAGCTCTCCTTCTCTACTGAGGCTTCTCTTACTGAAGAGCTGAACAAGAGCACCAACACAGATGTGAAGATTGTTGTCATCTCGTACCTCGTCATGTTCCTCTACGCCTCCATGGCTCTCGGAGGAGGCTCTGGTAAGGCCAAGTTCGGCCTCGGACTCTGTGGTATCATCATTGTGCTTCTGTCTGTAGCAGCTTCTGCTGGCATCTGTGCTGCAATTGGTATCAAGGCCACTCTCATTATTGCGGAGGTTATCCCTTTCCTGGTTCTTGCTGTCGGCGTGGACAACATTTTCCTGCTTTGCCATGAGATGGACGCTGCCAATATCGCCTACCCTAATGACAGTGTTGACACACGAGTCTCCAAGGCTGTAGGCAGAATTGGACCCAGTATTGTCATTTCTGCAATCACTGAGACATTGGCTTTTGGATTGGCTGCGACGGTGAAGATGCCTGCTGTTCGAAACTTTGCCATATACGCTGCTGGTGCGGTGTTTATTAATGCCATTCTGCAGCTGACTATTTTTGTGTCTGTCATGGCACTCGATCAGCGACGACAGTCAGCCCCCATTCAGCTCGCTGACTCCTATGACCTAGACTTTAACATTCTTGAGCATCGAGAGAACCTATTCTCTAGACTTATCCGACGATACTACGCTCCCTTCTTACTCAAGAAGAAGACCAAGAAGATTGTGCTTGCTGTGTTTGGAACTTGGGCTGCTGTCTCTCTGATTCTCTGGCCCATGCTGCAACTTGGGCTTGATCAACGTCTTGCTGTTCCTTCGGATTCTTATCTTGTTCAGTACTTTGATGACATCTATGACTACCTCAATGTAGGCCCTCCTGTCTACTTCGTTGTGTCTGGCCTGAATGCCACTAGCAGAAACGGACAGCAGTCGTTGTGTGGAACATTCACGACTTGTGAGGATTACTCTTTGGTGAACATTGTCGAGCAGGAGAGAAAGCGACCCGAGCTGTCTTACATTAGCGAGCCCGCCTCTTCTTGGATCGACGACTATCTCAAGTGGCTGAATCCAGATCTTGATGAGTGCTGTCGAGTCAAGAAGACCGACAAAGACGTTGCCTGTCCTCCTCGAGCCTCCCCGCGAGCTTGCAACGTTTGTTTCAAGGACAGGGATCCTGCTTGGAATATCACAATGTCTGGTCTGCCCCAGGGACCTGAGTTCATGCATTACTTTGACTTCTGGATCGATGCTCCTTCTGACCCTTGTCCTCTTGGAGGTAAGGCTCCCTACAGTGACGCCGTTGTCTATGACAGTGATGATGTCCTCACGTCCCATTTTAGATCGTTCCACACACCTCTCAGGTCACAAAAGGATTTCATCAATGCGTTAGCAAGTGCCAAGCGTATCTCCAAGGATATTGAGAAGACTCTAGGAGGTACTGAGGGGTCTGTTTATGCTTACTCGCCCTTTTACATTTTCTTCGATCAGTACTCGTACATCATCAAGCAGGCATTTGCCCTGATTGGAGGAGTACTGGCAGCTGTTCTGGTTTTGCTGGCTATCATTATGGGGTCTGTCAAGACATCTTTCACTGTTGTTCTGACAGTGTCACTAATGTTGATAAACATTGTTGGTTTCATGGCCATTTGGAATGTCAATCTGAACGCCATCTCGCTAGTGAACCTTGTTATTTGTGTTGGTCTAGGAGTGGAGTTCTGTGTGCACTTGGCGCGTGCATTTACGACTGTTTCGGCCAATTCTTCGCATATCCGAATGTCTCCCACCAAGAACACCCGTACTTTCGAGGCTCTTGTGGGTGTAGGAGGCTCTGTCTTTGGTGGCATTGCCATGACCAAGTTCCTGGGAGTATTTGTGCTAGCATTCACGCGATCTAAGATCTTCGAAGTTTACTATTTCCGAGTGTGGTTAGCACTGGTCATTGTGGCTACCACCCATAGTCTGATTCTACTGCCGGTGTTGCTCACTTACATTGGAGGCAAGGGATATGTTTATGATGATGGAGAGCAGGATTTGGAGGGAGAGTTGGCTAGTCGGTTCTTGTCTTCCTACGATAATGACACTGAAGAGGAGGACTAACTTATAGATGATATGATTGATAAACGAATTTTTCCCGGCTGTTAGCCGCTAGCTAGTGTATTTTAGTCGCTTAGGATAGTCGGCGTGCGTAGAACAATGGCGTAAAATTGTTTCTAGAGTGATATACGAACAATCTAGTTCGGTATGAACCCCAACCCAGTATGCACTAGTAGGGAGAGTTGCCAGTTCCGTAAAAAGTAAACGACTCGGTTGTTCAATAGGACCCTGTTCTGTCAAAACAGGGGCTGGAGGGTACGTTCTAAGCGAGTATTGTATTTTAAGAAGTCCGAACAATAGGGATGCGCATTACAAGGGACTAACGACACGCTAATGCAATGCACAGTACAGTACAGTACACTACAGTAGTGTAATTGGTTGACACAGCTTCCACTGACAACACCAATGCACGCCTAGATCCATTCTACACACAAGATGTTCATTATTGGATTTTTCACAGTCCGACTACTATGCTGAAATCGAAAGATGCAGCATTGACGACTGCGAATAGAAGCTGTGACATTATGGTGGTGCGGCAAAATGTACAGTACACTTGCGGTATTGCCGATTGCACTGTTCATACAGTACTACTGTACACAAGCTGTACCCGATGGTGTGTGTCCACAAAGGTCATCAACGGAGGATTGGTGAATCGACTATTTCAAAGTAGTGTCTTCATATTTGAACCCATTGTAAAACGCCGCTCAACGCTTTTCATGCAGTAAAATTAATTTATCGGTCGTAAGCGGTATACTAATGTACTCTCATAGAGTCTGGACGGCACTGGAACATCGAGCCGGGTGAGATCGTACGATTTTTTTTATGCATGGGGTTAACATTTATTTAGGTTGCATAATACATGCAAGTTAGCGAGTCCACCTAAACCCACAACACAACGAGGAGAGCGACAGATATGTCATTACGCTGACACACACAACCGTCCTGATACCACAATTTCTGACTAAGCTCCTTTTGTCAAATTTCCCCCAATTGATTCGATAATCGCTTTGACAACGCTTGTTTCTGCAGCCTATCGACTGATACCAATGCATACGTAGCGATCCAACGCTTGCGACACATGCTCCGTAGAACTCCACTTGCACGCAGTTTAAGGGTAGACTCGAATTGGCATAAGTGGGCTTACAAGCGATAATTACGCTCTCTATCATACCCTCCACAGTAGACTACTGCACCATTACTGTACATCGGCGGGACTAGTTGCGCCCGAGAGAACAGTAGCGAACGAAAAGCAGATCACACTACTGCAGGTAAGGAGGCAAAACTCCGACACATACGCTGCATCCAAGGGTGAGTATGGGCCATGGCAGCTCGACTTATATATATTTGAAGGGAGCGGCCAAGCTAGCCTAACCTCACACACAAATGCTTACTCACTACTTCATTGCGGCCCTTTTTCTGGCCACGTTCGTTTGGGCGGGAAGCGCCTTGAACAACCCTATCACCGGAATCAAGGCACAGCTCTCAAATAATCGGACTGGCCCTGGCTATTACTGGGACACCTGGGAAGTTGTGGTCGACTTCGCTTTCAACAAGTACTCCCTCGAAGACATCAGAGGTGGTGATTTCTTCGGCTTCACTCTTGCGGGAAAACAGCTCAATCCCCGTGGTCCCAAGGACAAGGTTCCAGTCGATTATGACTTCTACATTGTCAACTATGACGGGCGGAGACTTTTCCATGTCACTACAACAAGCGATTCTTACAACTTCCGAGCTACCGCGACCAGCGTATTCGACAACCCCTCAATGGAGGTTCTTGAGCTCTCTGGACAGCTCACTGTCGAGTTTCTGGTCAAGCCCAACTCACCTGTTGGACTGTCAGATGTTTCTATTGGCCCTTGGTCCAGCAGCATCAATCTTGAGGATCCAGACATGGCTGACGCTGATGCAGGAGCTTGCTGGTGGAATATTGACAGCTACCAACCGGCAAACAATGGAAACTCTCAAAAAATCTGTGCTCAACAAGGCCTTCCATATCCCCCCAGTGGTTATGGAAGGGCATATCTGAAGACTATCATACATCCTATGTACACCAAGGTTGTCACTGGACTCACTGCCGGCTCGGAGACTCTTGTGGACGACAGAAATATTCCATATGAGCGGGTTACTACCACTCCTGCAAGCACAATTACAGTCGCTGGCTATGAAACTGGCTTGGAGTTCTTCGAGTCCGTTGGCAGCATCTTCGAGCGAACTACTGAAACTCCTGCATACACCACTACAGTGGAAGGTCTCAAGGCTGGTTCCGAATTTCTGACAAATTCTGAGCACGTCCTGTACGAGCAGGTAACGGCAATTCCGGCCTTCACTTCTACAATTGCTGGATATGAGGCAGGCTCTCAGCTCCTCGTTGATCCTCTCAATGGTGTTGTCTTCAAGCAGATCACTATCACTCCTGTTTCTACTTCCACTGTGGTAGGACATGTGGTGGGTACCGAGTTGCTCAATGACTCCGAGGGCATTCTCTATGAGCAGATTACTGTTACGCCCGCATTCACCACCACCATCCCTGGACATCAGGCTGGATCCCAGTTCTTGTCCAATCCGGTTGATGGTGTGATTTTTGAACAGGTTACTGAGACACCAGCTTTCACTACCACAGTTCCTGGTCATAGAGCGGGGTCCCAGTTCACCGTTGATTCAAATGGTACCATTTTCGAACAAGTTACTGTCACTCCTGTGAGCACTTCTACTGTTCCTGGACACAAGATGGGCTCTGAGTTCGTGTGGGATGTTATGGATGGTGTTTTTGCTGAGCGGGTCACTGTAACTCCTGCTTTCACCTCTACGATTGCAGGCCATGAGGCCGGTTCTGAGTTTGTGACTAACGGTACCCATGTTTTGTATGAGCGGGTCACGGCTACTCCTGTCTTCACGTCCACTGTTTCAGGCCACAGAGCTGGCTCTGAGTTCACTGCGGATGCCCTTGGAAACATCTATGAGCGAGTTACCATTGCGCCTGCCTACACTTCTGTCGTTCCTGGACATGAACCAGGTTCCGAGTTCCTGGATGGCTCAGATGGCAACTTCTACGAGCGAGTTACTACGACTCCTGCGAGAACAGTGACTGTTCCTGGGCATGAGGAAGGTTTCCAGTTCTTGTCAGACTTCAATGATGGCGAATTTATAGAGCAATTGACCATCACTCCGGCTTTCACCGTCACTGTCACGGCACACAAAGCAGGTGCTGAGTTTGTAACTAATGCTGATAATGTTCTTTATGAGCAAGTTACTGTCTCGCCAGCTTCAACCACTACAGTAGTAGGTCACGAGGCCGGCTCAGAGTATTTGCAGGACCCTGAAGGAGTCATTTTTGTGCAGGTTACTGTGACCCCCGCATTCACTTCCACCGTGACTGGACACACAGCAGGCTCCGAGTTCCGTACGAGAGGAGACGGTGTTTTTTATGAGCTGTTCACCGCCACCCCTGTCCATGTCACCACAGTAACTGGCCACATGGGCGGTTCTGAGTTTTTGGAGAACTTGCAAGGTGATATTTTCGAACAGGTTACGGTTACCCCAGTCTTCACGGCGACCGTGATAGGACACAAGAATGGATCTGAGTTTCTGAAGGACTCTAATGGCACCATCTTCGAGCGGGTTACTGTGACTCCAGCTTTCACGTCTACAGTCACTGATCGTGAAGGGGGCTCTGAGTTCTCAACTAGAGCAGACGGTGTCCTCTACGAGGTTACCACTGCAACCCCTGTCTACGCAGCTACTGTCACTGGTCTCGCAGGTGGCTCCGAGTTCTTGGAGGATTCCCAAGGTGTCATTTTCGAGCAGATCACCGTTACCATTGAACGAGGGACGGTGGCTCCAGCTTACACCACCACTATTTCAGGACACGATGCTGACTCACAGTTCTTCACGAACGATAGTAACGTTGAGAATGGGAAGGATACTGCTACTTCAGCGTTGACGACCGCTGTTACAGAACATGAAGCAGGTGCACAGCTGTTGGAAGAATTTTATGGCAAGTTTTACGAAAACGTGACTGCTACTCCGGTTGTTACCACATCGGAGATAGAGTCCAGGAATGGTTCCGAATCTCTGAGGGAATCACATGGTATCATCATTGCGCAAGTCACCGTGTCCCCTGTCACTTCCTTGGTGGTTTCATCAGCTGAGGGCTCAGCCTCCGCTGAGGAGAAAGAGATTTTAACTAGTCTGTCTAACCCCAACGTTTCTATCTCCATCAGTGATGGTTTATCACCATCTACTTCCAGCAAAGCGGATGATTCACCAAGTGTCACTTCCACCTCTTCTGTCTCGTCTTTTTCAACCTCGGTGTCTTCACCAGGCCGTTCAGCTGTAGATACTACCCAGTCCAACAATAGTTCAATCTCCGCTGATGATATTACGACCTCTGGAATTACTTCTAGTTTCAGGACTTCCTTTTCCACTATTAATGTCTCTTCGGCATCAGGTGACATTTCCTCTTCTTCTGTGTCGTCTTACACAACTTCAGTGTCTTCCTCAAGTGAGAATGCCACCTCAGCTGCAAAAACACTAACGTCCTGCGGCAGTTCTGTTTCGCTTCCCGTGAGCTCCATTATATCAGTTATAACTTCATCGTCTCCATCCATCCTTTCTGCTGGGAACTCCACCGATGGCATTGTTACATCACAAACGACACCACTTGACAATGTCCCATTCCAAAATGCTTCGTTTGCATCAAATGAAGGACCTGACTCTTCAACTGATGGTTCTTCTATCTCAATTGACAATGTTACAGCTACTCTCTCCACAGCTGCTGTTACTTCACGAATATCTACTGCCCTCTCCACGGTTGCAGTTACCTCACAAGCCTCCACTGCTGTCAGCAGCTCTGTTTCTTCTGCTCAAGTCTCTTCCAGTGGAGTCATTTACAACGGTGGGGGTGTTTCTGATGCGCAGTCGGACCATATTGATAGATCCAGCCGTTTTGGAGAATCGCATGGTGTTCACGGAGATAAGTTAGAAGGGTGGAAGGACTTCAGTGACGTTTCCAATCACGTCACTGGTCCCTTTGGCTATGCCGATGGCATTACCGAACTCTCTGACGGTTCAGGTACTGCCGGCTATGGGGGTACGTCTGGTTCTGCCGGTGGAAATTCTGACAGTCATTCAAATGATGGCTCTGATCAGCCCTCTTCCGGTGCTACTTACAACTTCGATCCAAACAGCGCCTCTTCCTCTTCAGTCGGCGCTCTTCTGGCTCTCACCTTTCTGGTGATGCTTGTTTAGACCTGTTCCTACCGTCGATACTACTAACACCAATATTTAACGAAATTTAATGAATGTGACGATGAATTGTGATTATGTCCACCAGTGGCTGTAACTGTATATACTGTACTAACACATATCACTTGTGCTTGTGCCCGTATTGTACCTACTGTATCTTCTGACTAGCCCACGTTTTCTTCTACAGATCACTGCGAGTCATTACTGTAGATACTGAGATACTATTTACAGTAGGGTCAAACGAGCCACTTCACTGCGTGGAAGGCGTTCTGACGAAAACTACTTGACTTATTTGTGAGTTACTAATGAAACAAGTCCCCAACTACTGAATAATCGACCAAACCGGGCCTCGAACTTGTGTTCAAAGCTTCAGCATGTACAGTACGTTATTTGGACATACTGCACCAACTAGATTTCCACTTTTTGCTTCTTTAACGCCAAATTCCAATTCCAGAACAAACCGTAATGGTCGATATGGACCAGCGATTGTAGAATAAGAAAATGTAGATTCAGGAGAATCACAGATTAGGAGAGATTGCCAACCTCTTCGCATCCGTTTTGTCCCTGCGTTTGCTCTCAATTGTGCAGTAATTTGCCTGTGGAAGATTCCCGCTACCCCGCACAAATGCTGCGCTGACATGTGCATCCCCCTATTTTCGGCTTGCAGGCCTTTGCCCCATGTCTGCACTGTAGCTTATAACCCCTGATAATGAGGCCATGCCTGTATGCTTGTAGAGCTACTTGTAGGTTACGGGGGCGCGCGATTTGCAACCAAATCTTCCACTTCACCGACTCACCATGTGCGAAACATGCCACCACACACAAGTGGACTCGAGGTTGTTGCCTCCACAGCGGTGTCTCCTATGCCAAAAGTTGATCGACGGCTGCCAGTACAGACGCCATCTGATTGTATGCAACCAGAAGCTGCGACAGATAGAAAACGAGGTGATCAAGAGCAGGCCACCAAGAGACGAAGGACTTCCACCTAGACAGATGATTGATGTGGAGTACGGGCAAGCCATTTAGAGCTGTTTGGGGGCATCCGAATCCTCAACCGGTTCGCAATGACCAACCCCGGCGCCGTGGCCGTGTGCAACGCGGAGATCCAGCCCTTGATCGCGAGGGTCTTAGACACAGCTTTTCATTTCGATGTAGAGACTGGGTCTCTAGTATTTCATAATCATATACATTTAATTAATTGGGTATTTATAAAGTCATGGGTGTATTTGAGAGATAGTCTAGTTGTATTGAATTGTACTTACAGATACATTTTTTTTCTTCTGCATATTAGTTTAACTTGAGAAATATAACACAACAAATTTAATTAACGTGTAAGTATCTAGAACAAAATAATTAAGGGTAATGGTCAGGGCCCGGTCCAAAGTAGCCCACGTCGGGAAGAGGGGGAGGCGGAACTCCATTGTAGTCCAAACCCTCGGCAATCACGTTGTTGCCCCACCACGAAATGCTGTAGTCGTTGTACTGGACAGCAAAGAAAATGATGATACCACTGAGCGCGATACCAGTGTCCATGGCTGCCGAGAACACATAGGCATACTTTCTCCACCAAGCCAAGAACCGGTTCTTGATGTATCCGTTGAACAACAGCGCCACATACAAGCCTCCTGTGAAGTAGCTGAGGTTTGTGGGCGCCCAACCGGCAATGAAGGCATTGACAACGAGAATTGGGTTGACTGACAGCAACATTCGCTGGATCTTTTGGATCTTTCGAGTCTTGATGGGATACTTCTTCATGAGCAGGTTGGGGATGAGTATCTGTGCTGCCCAGAAGCACATGGCGAGTCCAGCTCCAAGCAGAAACATCCACTTGAGAGCAGGATATTGGTGGTCGAAGATTCGCTTGGGTCCAATGACACCCCAGATGACGGACGCGGAGAAGAAGGTGGTTTCTCCGGGACAAGTGAACTTTAGCTTGTTATGGGGGTCACAGATGTCCTTTACATCGTGCATCTGGAACTGGAGGACTCCCAGACACACCAGACCGTTTACCAGAGTGGCCCACAGTTGGCAACTGAAAATGCTTCGGGGAGGCAAGTGGGCGTAGTGGGTCAGCTTCTGGTCACTGGCGTAGTTCTGAGCCTGGCCAGCAATCTGGACAGTCAGAGCTTTGGCGGTATTGAGGGCCTGGAACTTGCCAGGAAGAGCGTATCCTACAATGAGCTCAGCCAGCACGTTGAGGGTAAGAGACACACCGGTCAGAGATGCAAAGATGGTGAAGGGGAAGAGGAAGATGACAACAAGACCCAGACAGAGGACAATGACCCACACAGGAGTGTCTGTCGGCCAGTGCTCAACCAGAGCGATAGACAGACCGAACATGATGAGAAGAATACAATAGAACCACCAGTCGGGAACTTCCTTGTGCTTTCGCTGGATTCGAGAGAAGGGATCCTCAAGTCCCTCAAAGTTGGATCGGTGAATATATCTCAGAGACTTCCAGGTGTCTTTCAGAGCCACACCCATCGTCTCGTAGTGGCACAGAATCGAGTAGACAAAAGACATGGGATACATGGCGAAGAAAGCGCCGTAGGTGACCAGGTTGGCGGCTGAGTAGTACGGAGGGGAGTATTTTCTGTATTTTTCGTCGTCAAACACAAAGTTGGTGAGAATCTTCTTGACGTCAAAAGGGTTACCTGTGTTGTCGTACAACTCGTTGGTGTTAATCGGGATCCATCGGGTGTAGTTGTTGTTGGTGTAGTAGATGGCCATGATGACCAGTCCAGAGACAAACACACCACCGACAAAGTTGATGGAGGTGTAGAGGGGCATGAGAATGGGAGAGATTCCTCCGGTGATCATGTTCCAGTCGAACGTGGGGATGGGGTTGTATCCCATACCTCCAAAGGAACCAGTGACAATTGCAAGATCAGCGTTATTGGGGGCAATCCAGGTCATCCAGTTCCAAGTAGAAAAGGCCTGCCACAGGTAGTTGGGGACCCAGAAGTAAAGAAAAGAGCCTATGAACACAATGAAGAAGAAGGTGTATCGACTCAAAGTCCATCCATTGATGGACTCTCTTCGGTTCGGGGCGAGAAGAGCTTTGTTGACTGCCAGTGTAGGGAGAATAGTGGGCCACATGGACATGATGGGGTAAACGGCGACTCTTCGGAGCAGACCAGCTAATCCAAAGCCCATGAACTGAGTAACCAACATTAGCAGGAAAGAGTATCCGAAACCTCCAGCCCAGGATTGGTTGTAGAACATGGGCATGTATTGGACGAAAATGTTACTTGTGACGTAGGGGGTACCAGCAGCACAGTTGACCATGATGGTGCACAGCAGCTGTTCTTTCTGCGACCATCGTCCAGGGTTGAGGGTGTATCTGTTTCCTCGAAAAGTCAACCCCCAGTCTGGCAGACAGTATTGCAACAGTCTACCGGAGGGATAGAGCAGCAGCTGGACGACGGAGGCACTCAGAGAAATACCGGGAAGTCGAGGCTCGAAGAACTGGTTGACAAAGGCCGACACCGCGACCCAGATGGTACCTAGCAGGATAACTCGCCAGGTCATCACTGTGGTGTTATCTTCATCGATGGGGTCAGTTACGGCTCTTACCTCGGGATAAGGAGACCACCAATTGAAGAGAGTGGCCCAGTACTTGAGAAGCATGGCTCGTTCAACGGGATCATTGTATGGGGATTCCAAGTCATCTTTCTCATCAGAATAGTTGGTGCCATTCAGAGCGTCCAATAGATCAGCCAGCTGATCCTTGTAGGCGTCCTTGAAGTTGGGGTCGACCCTATGACTGTGAAGAGCCTTTGTGCAAATCTCCACCGCTTCGCTCTCGGTCATCTCAGAAAACTTCTCAGCCATGAAGGCAACCTCAGGAGGATAGGTACCGTCGATATCGTTAGGTGGGATACCAAGTTGACGAGCAATCCAGTCCATAATGTGAGGTTGGACCTCGCAAACGTCGTGAACCTCGCCAACGGCGGTATCCTTCTCGTCAGTCACAACAGGTTTTTCTTTCTCAAAAGACATGGTCGATAAAATGCTTGCACGTGTGGGACGACATTGTCAGCCCTTCAGTGTATATATACGGACATTCCACCGTGTAACTTCACGCGCCCGTATCTCGCAAACACATCCTATAGTAATGCGCCAGCGGAAAGTCTATGATTGTTACGATTCAAGACCCCAACTTTCCCAAAAACTTTCGGAGCCTTGTGAGATAAGCCACAGGTTATCAGGCCTTATCGTTGAGCTGGAGAGAGTCGATATTGGGGCCCCCCGGAGCCGGGGTAAGTCTGAGTCATTTTATGAGTAAATTGCCGTTTTTCAGACCATGTTTGTATCAAAAATTATCAATCTCATGCGTGCCAAGACTCCGAGGAGCGCCAAGCCATCGCCAAGCTGGTATCGAAACCTACAGTGTTGTAGAAGTTTGTTTCGGGTCAAAGACAAAGGTGTTATCAGCTGGAAAGTTCCACTAAAACTGATGCCCCGAGCCGTTCACGATTAACATGGTCCGCGTGGAAATGTCCCGCAGAAGACGACTGTATTAATTGTCAAGTTGCGGAAGGACTCTGTCAGGTATCGATAATCAGATGAAAAGCTGATGGCTGAATTATTAGTTGAATCGGTAGAGATCTGTAATGTAATCTCTCAATCACGGTATCGGAACTTCCCTTCCTATCAATCAACTTACGCTTTGGTAACAATAAGAATATCTACAAGTAATGACATCACCTCTAATTGGCCCACTCGGTTATACTATACATGGCACACCAGCCCTTATAATCATATGTGAAGACAGGCGACTTGAGGAAAAGCACCCTGAGATAACTCCAAGAACGAACTGTGTTCAACTACACAGCCCCATATTTCGTTAGTATCAGCAACAGGACATAACTCCTTACCACAACGACAGCAGCTTGCCCAAAAACATCGATGGATTCTGCTTCTCACTTTTCATTAATCACTCCACAAAGATCAACCTTTGAGTTAGCCGTAGATTGACCACGCACGGCACGATCTTCACGGAGGACTACACGAAGCATTATAGCTTCAGAGCTTCAGAGAATCTATCTGATTGAGTCTCGATCCCGGCTGTTTCCCTCTTGCCTTCGGATCGGAGAGTCATCAATGCTGATGTAAGAGTTCCCAGTACTACGACTGGGTGTATACGGCAAGTCTGAGAGTTGATGTGTAGATTTGTCAGTGTTCTTTGTAGTCCCTTTGGAATAGGTCCACCGATGCCACTCTTGCACAGTCCTTGAAGTTCGGTTTGAGGCCTGTCTCTCAAAGCACCTGTGATCCCCTAACAAAAATATAACCAAAAAAATTACAGCACCCAGGATTCTCGTATGGTCTCCCACTACAATACTAACTAGACTCTCTGGTGCTTGACTATGGCTGATCGGACGGGAAGCCGTATTTTCACCAGGATATGGCCGTAACTAGGACTCCGATACGGGGAATCGAACCCCGGTCTCCACGGTGCTCTGAATGAGAGCGTGATGTGATAGCCCCTACACTATATCGGAATATAAAAAAACTGTAATTTTTTATCCTACTTAGTGACATTAGCTTATGTAACCAACCGACAGCGCCCCGCAGCGCACATCGCAAAGATCCAGAAGTGTATGATTTATTGAACGCCAATAACCCGGCTTACTAGGTATATTGCTGTAATGAATTATTAGAAAGAAAAAAAAGTATTTCTTTAGAATATAACAAAAGAAAACTGAAAGAAGCCAAATAATAAATAAACAAGATGAAAGAAGAAAAAAAAAGCGAGAATTGTGAGCCCAAGTGAATCATCTCCACTGCTGTTTCCAAGATATATTTTTATTTGATTCAAAGTCAATCAATTAATGTACAAAATGCAATGTTACTCGGGCTCGACGTATTCGTAAGCCTGCCAGTTTTCGTCATCCTCCTCAACAATGCCTACCATTGCCAGTTGAGCTCTTCTCTCCAACTCTTCCTCAGTGATACCCTCGAAGAGTCTGCCGTAGCAGTCTCCTCCATCACCATCCTTGTCTCTCCAGTGGGCGTATGGGTCTTCCGAGCTCACTGAAGTGCCGCAAAGATAGCAGAACGCAGCCAAGCAATGTGCACACTTTATCTTGTTGCATCCATCGGCTTTTTCAATAGGCACATTGCATTGTGGACATGCAATTATGTTTGCCTCCTTCATCGCATCCTTGAAAAGTTTCTCGTCCTCCTCCATATGTTCCAATCGTCTGACATGAGTCTCAATGTTTGCCTTTCCCCATGTGAACTCGATATCCTTCTTTTCGTCTTCGTCAGCTTCGTCGATGTAGTGCTTGATGAGCGAATCTGGGGGAACGTGAATCACACAGCCTCTGTAAGTGCCATGCCATGCCTTTCTGCAGTTGACGCAAAAGGCGTACTTGCACCGGGAGCACCGAGCCATGTACTCGCCTGGTTTTCGATACACGAGTGTATCACAGTTAGTTCGAGGACAGGTAACTGAGTTTGGGTCCTTTTCTAGTCTTCTTTTGTGCACCAGTTTCTGGTATCGTTCGTAGCTCTCCTTTCCCACAATGTCCGACAGCTGTTCCGGGCTCAGAGGATCCTTGCACTCCACCTCCACACAGTGTACCATCTCGATATATCCCTGGGTAATGCAAGTGGAATAGTAGTCGGCGAGGCACGCTGTGCATGAGACGTGGGCACACGCGAGTTGTGTGCAAACGGCTCCCTTGCGAGTCTCCTGGCAGATGCTACAGGTGAAAGTCATTGTGGCAAAATGTTCCTTGTCCGCGCAGACGTCATAGTTGAGAACGTTCGACTTCAAGTTGGCGGCAAACTTGAGCGGTTGCGCTTCTCCAAAGACGGTCTCCACCTGCTCCTTGATCAGATCAACGCAAGCAAACAGGGTGGACTCGTCCTTGACCTGTTCCCACTGGTGTATTAGGTCCGTTGTCAGCTTGGCGATCTGTCCGTCAGTCATCCACAGCGACTGGAGATCGAACTGGGGCGGTTTTGTTTCCGGGTAGCCCTCTGGTAGTGCAAAAAACAGGAGCACTGGCGGCAGGTTCCTGATCTCATGTTGCGTGTCTGCATCGCCAAAAACCACCTTCACAGGCTCTTCGAAAGACGCCGTGATCTCCAGAGACCCACTCAGAGTGTCAGTGTCATACTCCAGCTCGGGGTAGATGGCGGCGAGCGTCTCCAGCTCTTCCATGGTGGCGAATGGACGAAATGATAGAGGAGTTGGGAGTGCAGGAAAGACGTGGAATGAGAGTTTGAAATTTAGACAATCGCTCCATATCATGCACCACTTCAATCAGCCGCATGAGAAGATGGAGAGCAAAAGTGCCACGAAACATGGATAGAATGAAGGGAAAAGGATGTACATCTTCTTGAATTGGTCTGATTGCGTCCTTGTTTCCATCTTTTGATTCAGTAAAACAGCTGTATCTATTTCTCTTACTTCTTGAAGTCCTCATGTTTGTTGAAAGTCTAATTAGATTTGTTGGGTTTCCTCAATAAACTTGACCATGACCAACTAATTTGGTAACTGCCGTTATTGAGCACAACAATGACAATGGAAGTCGACGGGCATGCCGTTCATTACGACCAGCTACGTGTGCTGTACTTTGTTCCTGTACAGTATGTTTGTATGTAATGATTGTATTTTATAATGGTTTTGTTACAGACGGCCCAGGAGCTCTCGCAAGCTTTCGAGCACGCCAAATGCACATTTCTATAGGCTGTTTTGTCGATGGTAAGCAGGGGGCCGAGGGGGGAGCTGAGGATGAGCCGGTTTTGAAGACGAAGATGGCTTGAAAGCTCCTGGCACTCCTGGCACTCCTGCGGGTTTTGATGAGGCGGCAGCGGCGGCAGCGGCATGGGCCTGCTTCGAAGGACCGTCTCCCATCAGATCGCTATCGTTAAACGTCCATGCAACCTCCCGTTCACTCCAGGGCATGAACTGCGACGGGTGTGGTGGGGGATCGGAGATTTTTGTGATGAGGTAGGCGGCTGAAGCTTCAGCAACTCCGTAGGTGAGCAGTCCAACGTATGGAATTCGCAGCAGCAGGAAGAAGCCAGCTCCGAATCCGAAAATGACTCCCTCACGAGCAGCAAGCCAGTGTTGTCGGTCGGTGGTGGTAAAGGGGATTCTCTTAAAGTAAGGGATAAGCAGTTCTCGCACCAACGATCGAGAGCCCCAGAAGGCCGACAGGAAGACAAGCAGCCACTTTTTGGGCACCATGAGACCCAGACCAAACACTGCTGCAGCTGCAGGAGTTCCAACCACCTGGTTGAAAGAGTAAAAGGAGGCAGAATTGATGGACAGAGAACCAAGCACAGGCACGTCCTTGATGAGGTACATGGCGAGAGTGAAGGCTGTTCTGGTAGCCATTCTGCTGAGGAAAGAAGAGAAGTCGTTTCCTGAGGACGACTTTCCGGACATGAACGACCACCATGGTCGGCCGCCCTTGCCTGTTCCATAGGCTCTAGCTTGTTCCTTGTATGTCACCAGAGGCATGTAGTACTGGGGAGGGTTCTTGAGTTCAGGGTGTTTCTTGGCGTAGGTCTGGTCTGCGTGTTGCAGAGATCGCAGGAAGATCTCGTCGATTTCGGGACGGAAGTATCGCATTCCTGCAATCACGAACGGTCCCAGGTTGAGCACGTGGTTTTGGATGAACCGCAGAGACCCCAGTGCGTCGTTGATGGTGAACCGGGCGTCTTGACCAGTAAATGCCAGTTTGGAAAGATGCAAGAACCACTTGAGCACGAGAATCGGCGACCATATCAACAGCTGGATTCCCAGCGAGTATCCCAGCATCTTCAGTGCCTTTCTGTAGTGTTCTGTTCGGAAGATATCGGGGTTCTGTAACGATCGGTACGCACCCACAAAAAACAGCTGGAAACCTCGCACAATCGCCAATGGCGAGAAATTGGGCGGTGGACGGGACAGAAAAATTGGCGACGGCATGTTTGTGTGGACCTTTGCGTAGGTGCTGAGCTGTGGTGGTGTGTTGATAATTGGCCTGTAATAATTAGGCTGGTTGTATTAGCTGATGAGCTATGCTCGGTTATCATTATGAAGTCGTGCATGTGAACCAAAGTTTGATTGGATTACGTCAGGTGCGGGGTGTGAATGGAGAGGTGGAATAGAACGATGCAGAGAGGCTGAGATACTGGGAACTGAAGCATTGAATTTTCATGACTGCGTGTCACCCGATTACTGGTTCCACCTTCATCGCACGACTAGTACCAAGCCGTATATGGGCCACTCTTGCAGCACCCAAAATGGCAGGTTTGATGCTCGCCAAGCTAAATAGCCCAACTGTTGTCCGAAGGATGTGACTCGTATTCCGAGAGGAAGAACACGAAGGAAGGTCGCCTAGACGCCATATATGGACGATTGGCTGTTAATTCGTCAAATTTCCAACTTCATACCTCTCTCCATACCTTTCCTACACGCAATAAAAGCCCCACTCAACATTGCTCCTGGTTGAAGCTAAATTGGCTGGGAAGACAAGGGTGTATGATGCCAGGCGCAGGCAGTTGAACGGATATTAGTCAGATGGAAATGATATGACCTGATCGAAAAGAAAAAAAGATATTCTCGGTTTTGCTTCAGTCACGTGATACTCCACTCTCAGGGGGTGTTTCATTCTGGTCACGTGATCCGCATTTTCGGTAGGTGGCTGTTTCTCGGTTGAAGCAGAGTGGGGATCTGAAACTTCTCCTTTTATGTTTTATGACATATACGAACCAGTTGTACATGACATAATCACGTGCTGATGCAGCAATGGGATAATGATTATTTCACATATTTCGGTATGCAAACGTGATAGGTCTTAGTAAGCCGATTTGTCTCTGATATTTCAACGTGCAAAATCTCTCATACGCTCAGGATCTTCTTGTAGAGGGGAAAGAGTACATACAGTACGGTATGAGTGTTCGTGCGGGAAGGGTCGATCCACGACGGTTATTGTAGTACTTTTTTAAACGGTGATTATCCTGGCGAGTGACCAATAACCAAATGGAGGGAGCCCATGTCGTCCATTGGTATCTTCTGCTATATATCGGTCTGGTACGGATCTCAGTATCCCAGCGGTCAGAAAACTTCACTGTTCGGTAACGCAATCAGACACTTATTGAGGAATTCCCTTACACATCCCATCCCCCATCCACCAAGTGGGAACCCCAAATGACCAGTATTTCAAACAGGCTCTTTTTTCATCAGATTTTGTACATGATCTCCGCCTGAGAGCACCTCAACGGAACTACACGGAGGTTTCAAAGCCTGTGAGACCGCAGAAATCTGACCAAAAACAGGAAAGCCCCAGTCGACATTTCCCTTTTAGATATCGTAGCCGCTCCTCGTTCATCCCATCTTCCCGAAGATGAAAATGTTTGAGCCGCACGGGTTCGGCTTCCGGGAATACATAAGCTCGAACCCTGTGGAAAGGGTGAGCTGAAATGGGTGTTAGCTTGGATATCAGACAGATCTTGGACATCTTACTTCTGATATTAATGTGTTGCATTGTTCTCCCCTTTGTTTATTTTCATTCACTATCTCATATTATCTCTCTGACCTATCCCCCTCATCTCGTTAATGTACCTCGACTGCAGCTGTGATGCAGGGATGGCTTATCAGTGAGAGACCGACTTTCAGAAGAACTGCCTGACTTTCTTGGTCAATACAGTGATATGATACTTGCATCGGAGAGTGGTGAAATAGGTTCACGTAAATGCGGAAAGTGTATCAAGTCATGGCCAAACTTCAGTTCCAAGTGACAAGGTAAAACAGGTTTAGTATCATCAACTATCCTAACGATTGGCCAATGAACTCGTTGAAACGGGTTTTCTCAAGAATATTGTAGAAGCGTGATCTCATTAACCTTGCTACTAGTACTCGTGCTTACCCCCAAGACTCTGGCCTTTTCCGAGTCCAAGGATTCCGGCTTTCTAAATAGAACGCTCTGTTATTAGCCGGAATCCAACACATGTCCAGGGTTGCTCAGATGCAGGGGTACGGGCAGGAAGCGTCGGAAGAGAAATGCGGCAACGAAATCTCAACCGGAAATGTTGTCAAGGGTTTGGCCCCTTTTTTACATTTTCAGAGCCAATTCGTATCCGTCTAGTTCCGTCGAGGTTCATTCAAGGCGTGATTTACAGCCTCTTTCTTCTGAAAGAAAAACACTAGTCAAACGGGGTTCCCATGTTCTGATTCTTGAAAAGATGGCCTAACCTGAGAGAATGGCATAGGGACAGTGTTAGTCGGTGTCCCGTCTGTAAGAAGTCTCTGTTGTGCTTACGCACATCTATATACAGTATGTACAATACAATATTAACATCCACACGAAGTAGCCGTTCCTTAAACATCCATGTCAACATAATTCTGACTGGTTTTCACCACCTACGCTAGCCTCTTATGCTCAGAACCGACCCATTCTCAGCTTTCTTCTTGGTTCTGGGGAAATACATCTCAGTTACTTTTTCAAGACCTATAAACAATGCTAAATCCACATCGGACTCGGATTCTAATTTTCAGAAAAGCATAGAGCAATTGTGCTCGCGGTTTCCGCGATTCTTCTTTTAGAACGGATATAAAGTGAATTTTTCACCTTCACGTGACATATTAGTTCCAGTATATACATCCAACACCCAAAGTTGACAGTTGCGGCCATATCCTGGTGAAAATACGGCTTCCCGTCCGATCAGCCATAGTCAAGCACCAGAGAGCCTAGTTAGTATTGTAGTGGGAGACCATACGAGAATCCTAGGTGCTGCAATTCTTTTTCTCGTCACACCAAGCGGTTGATATCCCTTTTTGCCACCTCGGACCGCCTACAGTATGTTCATGTATTTTCTCCACATTTAAGGTTCTCAATCTTTCGTCTCTCTGAGGCCGCAAACACATTTACATAACCGTCCTCTCTATCGTTTGATTGTTTATCCTAGCATCATTTTCTCAGTAAATTTGCTGGCTTTGGGGCTAGTCTTTTTCTCGGGGTAACATGCAATGCAACATTCTGTCGTTGCACGTTTTCTTTCAAATATTTTGATTTAAGGTTGTCGTATTTTTAAGCTCGACCAAAACGCAAAATCGACTGGAAATTTTAGAGAAGGACATATTCATTGTTCCCCCGAGAAATTTTGATGTTGCATAATACAATATTCAGATTCACTGGCCATTTATATGTGATTCTACGTATTTTTGGTCCAGTTTACAATCTTTCCATCAATCTGGACAAACATCCATCCTCCATTCCCTTCCACACATTCTTTGTCATGCAGGTTCTGGGCTGGCTCTAATTTTTCATGCATATATATTGCATATGTCATGCATCGTATATGCATATTTTCAACACCAGCCATTTCTTTTGGACTATATTGGGCGTGGTCAAGAATATAAACCCCCTCCAGTCCCTCACTTTTCCATCAGAATCAGTCCAGTTCATTCTGTGTCATTCTGAAAACGGAAGTTGCCCTTTATAGCCTGCTGAGACGCGGAGCTGTGTCTACAAGACAGCTAATAGAGATCTGTCCACAACGAGGACATTTTCATTGTTTGTCGTCCGTTTGAGTTGTGACTGGGCAATGTGGTGAGATTACAGAATCCCAAATGTCGGTTAAGAAGGCAATGACGCTTAATCGCATGAGCCTAGTGCGTGCGACAGCTTCTGGTTGGGCGTTTAAGCTGAGAAGTCAGCGAGTTCGACACAGAGGCCAGTACATACATCTGCCTAAGCCAAGTGTCTTCAAGTCCGTGACCTTCGTGTCCGGTTGACCGCCATGGGCTGAAAACGAGTGATTGTGCCGGCTGAAAAGTGTCAGAGCAATTCGTGCCTTGTGAGAGTTCCTGAGGACCGCATGAGCTGCCGCCGGAGCATTGAGCCAGAGCCATTGAGCCCGCGCCACCGACAGTGAGATACTCAAGGGTGAAATTCCATTTGAGAGACTCCCATCATTCTCACAGGTGAAACTCGTGTTCGAGATACTCCATACTCACAGGGTGAAATTCCTTTGTGAAGGTCTCATATGGTGCAATTCCTGCGTGAGAGAGCCGCCTAGAACGAATAGCCAAGCTGAAAATCCAGAGCTGCCAGCGCTGAGGAGCAAGCTGGAACGCTGAGCTGAAACACATTGCTAGAGCAAATATCTGCTTTGACAGACGCCATATATGGTCAAAAGCGCAAGAGATGTCTGGGTCAGATCCATAAGTCCCACGATAAGTCCGAAGTCCAGAGCTGAAAGCCAGAGTCGTAGCGAATGCCAGAGCCGCCGAAGTGCAAGCCACTAAGAAGCAATGAGAGCATTTACCAGATCCACAGAGCCAGGGTAAATCCGGTATAGCGGAGACAAGAACACCCAGCCGGTGAGTCAAGGCAGTAAGAGCCATATGCAGTTTTGAGCTAACACCAACCCACTAGTCCTGAACGGCAGCAAGAGCAGAGTCCAAAGAGCAATAAGAGCGCTATTCTCCTGAGAAAAAGCCTATGAGACAACAGATAAGTGCCACATGCCGGAACAGACGAGAGCTAAGGAGCCAGGGCCAAAGAGCCGAGGCCAGCCAGGAGTCACACAAAGGAATAGGCAGTGAACCTCTCTCAGCCAGAGGATGTAGCCGACCGAACCTGATCTATTTATTTAGTTTTTCAGAGGAATAAGTGAAAATCCGAACCTCTTGGGTTCGTCATGGACCTCAGAGTCCCACCCGCATATTTGACTCGTAGTGTTGTATTTCAGTTGTAGATGCTGTAGATGATGCTGTAGTACAGCAGTGGTGATAGAGAAGGAAGAGTTAGCCGTCATTACACTCAGGATACTGACTATTACTTGTTGGTTTAAGTGAGTTTTAGTGAGTCTAGTGAGTTGCGTGGTTCCCCATTTCCCAATGATTTCGCCTGTCAGTTCCAGTGACTAATTAGAATGTGAAGTTGTCTTCAAAATGAAGTGAGGGAGACCCCAAATCGGCTTCTCAACGATTTATGGGACTTGGTCAATGTGTTGGTGGTATACCATAGATGTTGCCATGCGTTGCCATACGTTGACGGGTTCTAAGTGATTGGAGAATATTGTCAATTGTTGGTCTTCATGATCGGTCGAACTGCTCCAAAGGGAAGCTCATCAAGTCTGGTGCAGTTACACTCTCCCCTCCTTAAGAGACGTCCACGTCCTTCATGGATCATACGAGTCACGGGTCATAATTCAACCCATAATCCACATAACCAATCCCAGTGATACGAACTCCAACCATTCGAGTTCAACCGCTCACGGCAATATCTCAAACATCATGGAAGTCGAATCCAACATTTCATTGGTCTTACTTAGCGCTCGTCGCTTGGCCACTCATAGAATCCACATATCTTTCACTTGATTCTCATCTTTCCCAAGATCTCAATCAACGCCACAAACAGCATCATCAATACTGTGACACGTAATACTCGTTCACATTGTTCGTGTACTCTTCAGCATCATCTCTAGTCCCCAAAATCTCCAAAAATTTCAATCTGCTTTCCACCATCTGTTTGCTTCAAGCTTTCTGCAATCTCCGCTTTCCACTGTTTGCTTCAGGTTTTCAGCAATATCTGATCAGCCAATCGTTCACACTCTGCATCTTACTCTTTGCGTCCGCTTCAGTGATCACTCCGTAACTGTCTCCGTCGAATGCACTTTCGCTTTGTCGCTATCTCTATCCAAGGCTGCTAGTCTCAATACTGCGCTCCTGGCTCTGCTAATCTCAAGCTTCAATAATAAGCTGTTATCGGGCTCCCTGTGGGATCACCCCTCTGTCGTAAGTATTCTGGCGCGAGATTGTCTCCTCAGCGCCCTCGTCAAATACCACTTGTCTCGGCGTTACTCAGTACTTGCTTCTTCGAATCACGTCCAGTACATCCAGGCTTTCACAGATCTCCTCCTCAGTGGATCGTGATCTCACTCACCAACTTTCGTCGCCTCATTGCTCAAGCCGAACTCTTCATGCTCAGTTCCACAGATTCATCGTCCTGGCTCCATTATCTCCTCCGAGGGTTCCCAGTTATCATTAGCATTCCAACTGATCACCAGTGTACTCGCTTCCATTCTCTTCGCAAGTCCACAGCGTCGACCCATCCGTGTACCTCCTAACGTCGGTCCACTTCAGTGTCTCCTAGCAAGCCTCTCTCCACTCTTCTCGTGAAGGCTCGCAGATGCTTCTTTCCGAGCTCACTCGTTTCCTCGTTCGCTCATCCATAATCATCACGGTCGTTGGCAAGCCTCTTCGTGGCTTCCAATGGAGGCAGTTCTAAAGAAGTATGGCTAACTTATCTGACCCCTGAATTGGGTCCGATTTGAACCGCGATTTTGCTTCTCGCATTGTTAGATGCGAATACCAGAATGAATGTGAAACATGATTGTAGAGCTCTTCAAGTGCCATCATCGTGTCTGTTGATATGCCCTCACTGTTTGGGCTGCCCAATATGAATCCACTCATGCACTGTCGGTGATGGACTCAGACATAGTTTGAAGAGTGAGAAGTGCGTCCATTCAAATCACTGAACAAGTAATTGTACAGTAGATTCGTAAAACGCAATCTCCACCTCCAAATACCGCCCACCGATACTTGTAGTTACCATGCTGTTCTTGTACAAGAATCAACACGTACCTGAAGGCCAAACTTTAAGCAGGGGTGTTAATTACGAGTACGCGTTTCGCGGCGACAGTGGCAAAATCAACACTCACCAAACATATGCTGCTGGATGACCTGAGCGACAGCGAATTCGATGCGCTGCCCAAGAACAAGGCTCCAGCACTCCTGGACGACTCGGATCTCGACGATCTCGACGATCTCGACGATTTCGACTTCTCCACAGTGGTAAAAGAGTGAGTGTTCGAAACGCTTTTCAGAACGATTCAATACTAACCCAGACCAGCGAAACCAGTGACAAAGGAACAAACAGCTGTTCACAAGCCATCAACTGCTCAACAACAACCAACACCGGCTCGACAACAGCCGCTGGGACAGCAACCGCCGCGACAGCAACCTTCTGGACCACAACGAACTCAGCTACCCAGGTACAATGCTGATCCGGCAGAATCTACAAATACACCAGACATTGATCTGAACCTGACATACCCTCGACCAATGGACACAGCCTGTCACCATGAGACGACGGGTCTCACCGGATCTTTTCTGTACCCCTCAAATCTGCCGTTCCGAACTTACCAGCATACCATCATTCAATCTTGTCTGATTGAGAATACTCTCTGCTCTCTTCCCACCGGTCTAGGTAAGACCTTCATTGCGTCTGTGGTCATGCTCAACTTTTACCGATGGTTTAAAGATGCAAAGATCATTTTCATGGCGCCAACAAAGCCCCTCGTTTCACAGCAAATCGATGCCTGTCTTCGAATCACTGGTATCCCGAGGCACGACTGCAGTGTGCTGATGGGAGGAGTTAAACAGGCTGATAGAGCACATGAGTGGGCTAACAAACGTGTGTTTTTCGCCACTCCTCAGGTTGTGGAGCTCGATCTCGATGGTGAGATCTTGGACCCAAAGACGGTTTCCTTGTTGGTTGTCGACGAGGCACATCACACCAGTGGCAAATACTCGTACGGAATAGTGGTCAAGAAGCTGCTGGATGCACACCAAAGCTTCCGTGTTCTTGGCCTCACAGCCACTCCAGCTTCCAAGGTTGAAGGGGTGCAGTCTGTCGTGCAACATCTTCTAATTAGTCACTTGGAAGTCAAGGGAGAACAGGATCCAGATGTGCAGCAGTACATGCACAATCGAGAAGAGGTCAAGATCAACGTCGATCTGGGAAGCGATATTAATGAGTTGTTGGCTCTGACTGGGCAGGTACTCAAACCTACCTTGTCTATGATGGCCTCGAAGGGGGTGCTGCATAACACAGACATTGCAAAAATCTCACTGTTTGGCGTCAAGAAGGAGATAGAACGGTACATGTTTCGAACCAAATATCTCGGACCTGCTGCCCAGTACAAGTACCGAGGTATTGGAGCTGTAGTAGCCTCCATAGCCCATGCTACCCAGCTGTTGCAACACCAGGGAATCACGCAGTTCTACGACACCCTGAAGCGACGACACGACGAGGAAATGGCTCGAAAACAGCCTACAAAGTCATACGAACAGGTAGGGGATATTGGCTCAATTTTAGATGCCACCAAGACGATCATGAAAAAAGAAGGATACCTGGCTCATCCTAAGTTGAACTATCTCGGATCGGAGTTGAACGAGTTTTTCAGCAAGGCTCCCGAGGGAGCTAACACAGGTACATGCATCATTTTCGCGCGCTTCAGAAGTACTGTGAATGTGATCATGGAGTATCTGACCAAATTCCCACAGGTCAAGCCACATGAGTTCATTGGCCAGGCTCCTTCACGTGAAGAGGGAGGTGGACGGGGAATGACCCAAAAGAAACAACAAGAGGTTATTTCCAAGTTCCGAAAGGGCGTCTACAATACTCTGGTGGCTACTTCCATCGCTGAAGAAGGTCTCGATATCGGACAGGTTGATCTCATCATCTGCTACGACTCCAACGCTTCACCTATTACGTCTCTGCAGCGGATGGGACGAACAGGACGTTCCCGAGACGGTCGGGTAGTGCTTCTGATGACCGATAAGGAGATGGAGAACAATATCAAGTCGCGTGATAACTACAGCTACATTCAGCGTTTGATGGAAAAGGGGTCTCGTGTAAAGCTTTACCCTCCGAATCGTGTAATTCCCGGTGCCGCTACCGATCCTCCTCCTCCCCATTTCATGAAGCAAGTTATCTTACCAGGTGAGAACCAGGAGATTCTAGACAAAACCGACAAGGATCATCTGGAGCTCGCGGATGTGGTCGCCAAAGGTGACAAGGAGCTGCGTCTGAGGAAAGACAAGAACGGCCACTTCATTGTGCCTCAGAAGAGGAAGAAGAAGGTGTTGAAGATGCCAGAGAATGCGACTTTGGGGTTCATGACCGCTAAGGAGATGGCCATGAGAAGCAGCCAGTCCAGTAATGGTCAGAGCAGCCAAGACATACCTAACAGCCCTACCCCACCTACGAAGCGTACCAAAGTCGATGTTGATGAACTCGAAGCAGATCTCGATGAGGCCTTGGGCAACCGGTCTCATGATAGCCTGGCAGAAGACATTGAGGAGGAGCTAGAGCAGGAAGAGGTTCCTCAACATTTGCATGACTTGGTGGAATTGGACGATGAACGGGAGCAAGATATGAGCCTGGAAGAGTTCATCGGTGATGATGATTTCGATAAGGAGCTGGAGGATGTTCTGAACAGTAGTAAGTCTGGAGGAGGCCAGTCGATTAGTGAGGGTACACAGGGGACTACCAATGAGGTACAGACGACTACAGGTTCAGTACAGACCCAGGCGGTACCTGTGGAACAGAGACAGTCTCAACCATCTTCTGGAATACCACTGGCACCTGTCAAAATGACACCTGCACCACAACTGGCGGAATCTATCGACTCGTCGTCGTTTGACGATGAATTCTTCGATAGATTGGACGAAGCTCTGGCCAAGCCTGGAGACAAGTAATGATAGAGACGAAAGCACAAGTATGTATATACACGAATATTTATTGGTCATACTTGGTATTGTATCACACGACATTTTTGTAAGGAGGCGTTCAATTCTTCTTGCATGACAATAGACTCGAAAGACGGCGATCTTCGGGTCTTCCAACTCTAAGACGATGAGGGTATTCCAACGCAGCCATGGGGAGGTGACTCGCCATATCTGTAGAACATGTAAAACATATATTGAGGTATTATAAGAGCACACTAGATTTCCCCCTTTGGGGGGTCGTTAGCACATTTCTATGCAAGGTTACCTTCTGCTCCTCGACTGGTCTCATCGGCCATGCATATCTGCTGCCCAGAGCTTTCTGATTACGCACGGTTTCAGAAAAATATCGCCGCAATGTCGCTCAGATGACGCATGGATTGAGAGATAAAGCTCTGTTTTGGACAGTGTCGAATTCTGTTTTCCGGAAGCCATGCACAAGTTGTCTCAGAGACTGAAATTTTTGACTCCCATTTTTTAGATTTAGACTTGATCAAACTTCAATCAACTGTTTCGGACCCCCCAAACGTCGCCTGGAAACTCAGACCACACTCGACGACAAACCCCTCCCATATGGAATGGAGCGAAGCGATAAAGGACAGCGTGGACCGCATTCTGGAGACCGGTGAACACGAGGGAAAGCACGCCCCAAAAGACAGCTCCTTGGACCGCGCGTCCAAGACGACCCTCGAGTCGGAAATCATCGGAGGCCGTGGGGGTAAATCGCAGGCCATCCGCATGGTGGAGAAAACGGAAACGTGCAACAATGGGACGGTGAACATCGAGCTCAAGGTCCACGACACCTTTCCCGACGTGACGGGCCAGCCCAGTGAGATCACGCAGCGATATCACCAAGAAACGACCAAGGCCACTGTGGAACCCGACGGACAGGTGGCCAAGGTGACAGTACACCACAAAGAGGATACCGGGGAGCTGACCAATTCCCTGGTCGAAAAGGAATCACTATCGCGGACCCACAACCATCACAAGCTCGAAGAAAACGTAGCTGACTACAACGAGCAGCTCCATGCCACAGAGGTGGATCTATATCAGAAGGACCAGACCCGGGGGGAGGCCCAGAAGGTCTTTTCCACAGGCTACGAGGTTATTTCCCAGGAGAGGACTGTATGGGATCACTCTAGATCTCGGTCGAGAAGTGGTGAAAGGATCAAGCCTAAACCCATCATCTGCGCAGAGGACCCTGATGTGGCCGAAAAGCTCGCCGTCGTCCAAGACGACGAAACGGTACAGCCGGCTGTGATGATTGAGACTACCAGCTACGTCACAAATGCCGAGATGGCTCAGGTTGCACATCTCCATGGCACTCCGAGCGAAAAGATTGTCAAGCCTGACGACACAAAGAACATCTGGAGGGTGGTTTTTGCAGATGACAAGTCGGCGTCTTTGTTCCTCTATGCCATGCAGAAAGAGCTGTTTCGCCATCCAGGGTTTCTCGGCGTTTACCGTGATCATGCAGAGGCGTTGAATACCGATGGGCTGTCTAAGCGGGGTCGCAGTCGGGAGAGACGCCGTGACGACTACATTGACGGGGTTCGGTCTCGCAGCCGGTCTCGCAGTTCCGAAGATAAAAGAACCTGTGTGAAGCGGGTGAATTGGACCAACCAGTTAGAATCGATCCATAAATAATTTATACACTCCCTAATGACGACTCTGGTTATAACTGAGGTATTCGTAGTCGGGACTCGTTCTTGTGGCCTGTACTACAACTGTACTTGTAAACATGACAGGGAGATGCATAAATGGATACATGAAGCTAGAAAATTAGGTTCCTCGGGCTTTTGTTCCTTGTGCATTTAACGTTGTGGCAAAAATTGGCGAGATTCGCTTAAGTGTAGAAGCGAAAGGAGACAGATGTGACACCCGGTTGTTTCGACTGCTTCTCGGACGAAAACGGGACACGAATGATAGGAGATGGCGAGTCGCAAGAGATAGCAGTCGATGCTATACATGGTCTTTCATAGTTGAAGTCTTCGGTAATCCTTTCCCGGGAGTACGTTGCAAACGCACAACCGGTACACACAGTAGGGTTCAGTCGCGCGGTGTGGGTCCTCAAAAACTTCAACAGCAAAGAAAACGGGACAAGAAGGACCGAGTCCCCACCCGGATGTTCGGGGTGTGTCACGTCGGGAGATGATATGATGCTTAGGGGCTATTCTACTAGACGTGACATCGCACTAACAGTCACTAGTGTCAACTTTGTTTGGCCCAGTTGGTTCAGCCAAACACGGTATACCCCACGGCTTTTGAATGTTTCTTTTTCTCTCTGCTCAGCGCTGATGGCCAAGATCTACATAGACAACGGCGTCATATGCGAGTTTCCGCGGTGTCTTCCTTTCTCGCCTCTCTCATTTGTGCGAATGCATGGTTCAGCAAACGGGCGCTACTTGTAGTGACTTTTTTCTGCAGGGTCAAGCGAGTTAGCGAGCGAGGTGACAGGCATGAGCACAAAGAAAAGTAGCAAACAAGACAGCTGTCTATGTTAGATGCCGCTGTCACGGCTCATAAACATCTCGCTAAAAATGACGATATTACTCGTTTATCTCGCCAAGGAATGCTAACCTTCGTTCCTCGTATAGCTTTAGAGCCGCTCTATTTAACTCTGTCGGCCATTCGGGGGAGCGACGGTCACATCTTTGTCTGGCCTCGGTCAGTGCCACAGGGGTTTCAAGCCCTGGTTTATGCAGCGGCATGCATCTCAAGCTTGTATAATAGCCGACAAGACAATGGATACATACATCGAGTGTCTGTCAGGTCACTGCAAACAACCCAGTCCTTTCCAACTCCCTACCATCATCTTCACCAACCCACATTCGATAATTATTAGTCTCCTTTGGACCTTGGACCCCTGGTTCCTCTTCATCTAACCATCAACCCCCATCCAGACGGCACATATCCAGCTCCTCCAGTCCCACGCCAATGCTAGCACTTTTCCGCCCCAAACGAGTGCTGGAAGACGACAGTGACGACGAATTCGAGACCGTTGGAGAGGAGATTGTCGGCCCTACAGGCCACGTCCTGCGAACGCAGAAGCCGCGTCTGCGACGAACCTCGATGGCCCGGCTCATCGGCGTAGATCTCACAGATCTCGAACTGCTCAACTTCTTTTACCACCACTCCATAGTCGACATTCTCTCGGCAAACGACGCACGAGACAAAATTTGGATCCAAACTACCCCCTCCAGAGTCGGATGCAACCCCACCATCAAAAAGGCATGTTTGTTATTGGCAGCCATGGACCTGGCTCAAAGAAGAGCACCCGCCAAGTACCTCGTTGACGACGAGCCACACCCGACCAGCAAACCGCTGGAGTCCAAAAAGCTCATAACTGGCTACGTTCCGCCCAGTGAAGAGTTCCAGGCGCGCTCTTTGGTCATGTTCACGGCCCTGTTGAAGGGCTTTCACAAAAACCTGGAAAACATGCAACTAGGCGACATGTCCAACTATGGAGACATGATGCTAAGTGGAACCCTACTCTACATCACCGCTCTAGCAATGGGGCCTCTAGTTCCCCTCATCAACTACATTCCTGGCCAGGGGGATCTCATTGGCCTGTCTAGAAGCATCCGGGCAGTCCACGAAACTATCACCGGACTCAGCTTGACCAACGAGGGAGAAAGTCCCTATCCCATTCTGGACATCCCGGAACGGCAATATCTGCCTCGAGAACGGGACTTGTGGGAAACAATAGAAATGGCCGAAACCCGAGAAGAACGCCTGATCATGCACAAGGCCCTACACACTCTCATTAAGTTCTACAACATGGACATTAAGGGAGGCTGCATCACACACATGACCTCGTGGCCCATATACTGGCCATACTCTTTCCGAGAGCTGCAACAGGAGAGGAACCCCTTTGCCCTCATCATGCTCTGCTACTGGTGCGCATATGTGCATTCTTTCCACGGCTTTTCGTGGTGGAGAGACCGGGCTGTCGAAGACCTGTACACAATTGTGGATGAGCTGCCACTGGAATACCACTACCTGGTGGAATGGCCTCTCCAGGTGGTTCAGTCTTTCGATATGGACGCCGAGGACTATCTAACGGGGAGAATACAAATCCTCTCCTTTTAACAACCGCATAATCAAGTATCACGGCGCGATACAACAGTACATACTAACAAAGACATAAGGATAATGGAATTGGCATTATAGGAGTACAGTACCAACTAATGGTGGATTATAGATACCACATCAATCTCACGGGTTTGTCCAATCTCACTTCGAGTACAAGTAGCTTCAATAATGTCAACCAGCTACAGGAAGTTCATACATTGTAGTCCCATATACGGCACACACCCCACCCACGTTCATACTCCATACAGTCTATTTTATTTTATATCCAATCGTCGCGTCCAATAATTACATGGGGAATCCCTGGCCTCGGCCTCCGCCGCCCATGCTGGGGGGCATGGCGCCGGCCTGAGGAGGCGCGTTTTCCTCGTTCTTGACGGTCTCGTCCACAGACAGCACCAAACAGGCAGCCTCAGTGGCCGACTGCAGAGCATTGATCTTGACAAGAGCAGGCTCCCACACGTACGTCTTCATGTTGTCGGTGACGCCACCGTTGTCGTCTCTGAAATCAACGCCGGCCCAGGTGTCACCCTTGGCGTGTCGCATTCGAAGCTGGTTGAGAATATCGGTACCGTCGAAACCAGCGTTGGCACACAGCTGTCGGGGGATGACCTCGAGGGCTCGGGCAAAGGCGCCGATGATGAGTTGCTGCTTACCAGCCACAGTCTTGGCGTGATCTCGCAGGTACTTGGACACCTCCATTTCCAAAGCTCCTCCTCCAGCAACCACACTGGTGTTGGCGACGGCTCGCTTAACGATCATGATGGCGTCGTGCAGAGATCGTTCAACCTCGGCAATGAACTGCTCGGCACCTCCTCGCAGAATCAGAGTGCATGTCTTGGCCTTGGGGCAGCCAGTGAAGATGTTGAATCGCTCGCCTCCAATCTGTCGCTCCTCGAATCGCTCACAAGTGCCGAGAGCCTCGCCGACGTTAGCGGTGGTGGCCTGCACAGAAGATCCAACGGCCTGGACTACACGGTCCATATCGGGCTGGGCCACTCGACCAGCACAGAAGATATCTCGGTCAGCAAAGTACTGGGTGGCAAGGTCGCCAATGGGCAGAGTAGACAGCACAATATCAGCGCCGGACTTGTGGATGTCCTCCAGCTTCTTGTAGATGATATCCCACTCGGCGTCCACCACTCGCTGGTACTCGGACACGTCGTCGACTCGCACCTCTGCGTTGTCTCGCTCGGCCTTGAGCTCCAGCTCGATGTTGAGACAGGCAATCTTGGGGTTGTCGAAAGTCTTGGGCTGCTGCTCAAAGCCGGCGTAGGCGAAGGTCTTCTTGAACGCCACTCCGTCCACAAACAGCGAGTCCTCCACGCCTCCTCCAGGCACCTTCTTGATACCGATGAGTCGCTCGTTGAGATCGTTGGGGTCCAGAGACAGCACGGCGTCAACCACCATCTTTGTGAAGAAGGTGGAGTTCTGGTGGATCAGCTTGGAGCTCATGGCAGTGGCGGCACACTTTTCCAGCAGCTCTCTGAAGTCGGCAGAGTCCTTCTTTTCCACAGACACGGCCAGCTCCTTGATCTTGGTCACGGCCATGTCGCAGGCCGTGGACAGGCCTCGGCAGATGACGTGGGTGCTGACGCCCTCCTCCACGAAGCTCTTGGCTTCTCGCAGCAGCTCTCCGGCCAAAACAGTCACAGAAGTGGTTCCGTCTCCGACCTCAGCGTCCTGGGCTCGAGAAACGTCGACCAGCACTCGCGCGGCGGGGTGGACAACGTCGAGCAGCTTGAGAATCGTGGCACCATCGTTGGAAATGGTGGTCTTGCCGCCCTCGCCAACCATGAGAATGTCTGATCCCAAAGGCCCCAGGGTGGACTGTAGAGTCTCCTGGATAGCCAGACAGGCGTTAATGTTGGAGATGGTCTGGCCACGTCCCTGTGAGGTGTCGGTGCCCTCCTTGAGCACGACAATTGTCGGTGTTTGTCCTCCAAAGTTCATCGTAGTTGAATGTGTAACCGGGGATTCTGGAGTAGAGTGTGATCGCTGATATTAGCGACTGCAGCAGATTTTAAAATAGGGTAGGGGTTTGGAAGCATGGAGAAGGGGTTGGAATGTCGCCCAAAGCGATGGATTTCGGCAGTTTTAAAAACACCATTTTGATCAGAAAGGACAGTTTAGTAATACAATCTACTTTTTACCTCTCTGCTTCTCCAATTGCTCCAGTTATACCCTACACCCTCAAATGCCTTCCTTGGGCACCAGAACCTTATGTGATAGTGAATCGTGTATCTTCTTCAACTGGGAGGAATAATAAAAAACATAGTGTGGCAAACTGAACCAAACTCATAAGGCAGTCTTCAGGAACTGAACTCAGGCAGATCATGTCTTCGTTGGAGATAGTTAGTTATGGACATGTGATCTTTTGGACGTGGGAGTGCCGGACGGTGGAAACCGGTTTATTTTCCCCCATACTCCAACTGCAGTGAAACGACAATATCCCCCTCAAAAAACCCCTGTTCGTGTTCCTCCGCACAGGTTTTTTTTTTATTCTAATGTTCACGCGTTGTCCCTGACAGCATTGTTTTCGCTACACTCGATTCGCGACATCTCACCGCCCTAACTCAAGGTCGACTCTGAAGATTGCCGGTTCGAGTCTGCACAGTGCCCCTTCAATGACGTTAAGCTCCTACAGTCAGAAGAGTTTCATTCAAACGCTGGCGACCTGAGAACAATGGCGACAGAACCCAGTGTCACGTGACCGGCACCTGCGTGTTGATGTATCACCTTACACCACCTGTACTAATGAGAGAACTCGTATCGTACCGACACCAGTACACTGATAACCGCCACTTGTATCTCGTACCAATCTACTTCCTTTCAGTTCAATGGTGCATTTAACGGTGACAGCCGGGTAACTGGCATTACCAATCACCTCGATTATGCACGCTGACAAATAAGTCTTGACAAGACCTTTCAACTATCTATGTTGATGCAAAACAATCGCGGAAACCCTTGGAAGCCTTGTCGCGAATAACGAGGTTTTTGGAGCAGCCAATTAGACCGTTCCAACCAGCAGCTAGTATCCCGCGTGTCTCACTCCCCACTTCCATAGGGCCACCTGCTGAGAGAGGGAAGCTAGTGTCGCCGAGTATATACAGTCTGTAGAACGGGCCGCAAGAGAGCTATGAAGTCAATTGGGTTCCTGGGTGTACAAATGGGCCATATCAATTGATTCGACCGATTTGAAGGCTTGTATGACCCAAACTGAACACCCTTCAAGCCCGTTGATTGCAAATAAACTCAAGTCATTTCGCAGTTGGTTAGCGAAACTCTACTTTAGCGAATATAAGTACAGGCAACATTTCACCTCTTTATCTCCAGCATCTTATACGCAACCTACAACCACACAATGGCCATCACTCTCTACACTTTCTCCACCCCGAACGGAGTCAAAATCTCCATTGCTCTCGAGCTGCTTAAGCTGCAGTACAAGGCCGTCAACGTCGACATCACCAAGGGCGAACAGAAGACTCCCGAGTTCCTCAAGGTGTCTCTGAACGGACGAATACCCGCCATCACCGACACCGAAGGTCCCGGTTCTACCTCCTCGGCCCCCTTTTCTCTGTTTGAGTCTGGAGCTATTCTGCAGTATCTGGCTGACAAGTACGATCCAGAATACAAGATCTCGTACAAGCCCGGAACTCTGGAGCATTACAAAACCAACGAGTGGCTGTTTTTCCAGAATGCCGGTCTCGGACCCATGCAGGGACAGGCCAACCATTTTGTCAAGTTCGCCCCCGAGAAGGTGCCCTACGGCATCAAGAGATACACCGACGAGACCAAGCGACTGTACGGCGTGCTGGAGGAGCGGCTGAAGGAGAACGGAACCGGCTTCCTGGTTGGAGACCACATTTCCATTGCAGATATCTCCACTGTCGGCTGGGTCCAATGCTCCCACTTTATCGATATCGATCTTACCGAGTTCCCCGAGGTCAACAAGTGGCTGGACCGACTCCTCGCCATTGAGGGCGTCAAGAAGGGCTTCGATGTGCCCGTGAAGTGGCCTTTCTTCAAGGAGTAACTCAAGAGGAGTGACCATTTACATACTGTCTATTAACGACAGTTTTATAGAAGTTATGACTGTATGATTTATGTTAGGATGGGAATACGTAGGCACCACTCACAGTAAGTCCACCTACTACCTGTAGTCCAGATGATGTACCGACTCTTGATGCCCCCTACTAAAGCACCATCACTCCATCTACTGTTCATATCGAATATATTGTAGTACATGGCATAAAAGTCTAACCAAGAGACTTGAGGACGTTCTCGGCCTTGGAAACATCAAGTCCGGTCTTATCGGGCTCCTCGAAAACCTCGACAACCTTGCCGTCCATGATGACAGCGGCATATCGGGCAGATCGCTTGTTGCCAAAGAACTCGGAGGCGTCAAACAGGGTGCCGAAGGCGAGAGAGAACTCACCGGCCTGGTCAGAGATGATTCGAACATCATCGGCGGGGGCGTCCAGAGACTCGGCCCACGCGTTGGTCACAAAGGCGTCGTTGACAGCCACAACCCACACGGTCTTGACTCCTCGCTCCTTGAGCTTGGGGAACAGGTTGATGTATCCAGGCACATGGCCGGCGGAGCATGCAGGCGAGAAGGCACCAGGTACACCGACGATGATGTGAGTTCCCTCCTTGGTGACATCCTGGAGATCAAACTGGCAAGAAGGGGTTCCCTCTCGGACAGTCACTGCAGGGACTTCCTGACCCTTCTGAACAGCAGCCATTGAGGTGGCGGAAAAGGCTCGAGTGGAGGGTCGGGCCATTCGGGCAATCTGGGGCATTCGTCGTGACAAAAACATCGTGTTGCGTGTGTTTTGTGTGTGGTGTACTGTGGTGGTGAAGAAGAGACACTTGGTTTTTGACTCACTAAAAAGAATACAGCAAGCCAATAAGATTAGGTATGGTTATGCATAGAGTTGGTGGAGCAAAAGAGGAGGACGGGCGGAGGGAGACCTGGTAACCAACTTATTGGACCCCCCAAAGGGTCAATTGCTGTCCCAAATATTCCAGAGTCGGTAAAAAGGCCAAAATTGAACGTTCTCGTTTTTTTTTCCTTCAACAATTCCGTCGTTTACACCCACTTACACCTCCCTCAACATTTTCGCTCAGGCGGATATCCTCTGCCTTACTGCTTCCCGCCCAACTTTATCGCCTGCGGGGCTGTAACAAATGAGTCAACTATAGACGGTGGAGTTAGTGAACAACCTTAACTAATAAACACGTGCCATATCTCAAATCGAGCGCTATAGATAATGAGTTTTAAAGAGCTTCCGAAAGAAAAGAAACTGCTTGAAAAGAAACTGCTTGTACTTGTACTGGTACGATAGTCTCTAACAATAGATAAATGCAAATCGAGAGTTCGTACTCGTAACCTGTATTCGTTATCCAATACTCAAATACGAAATTATGAGGAAGCCTCACTTACCATTACATCCACCAGCACCAATCATCCGTTACCATTATCCATTACCATTATCCATTACCATTATTAATTCAAACTCAGCCGGTTTGGTCAAATATCATCAGGGACGTACGACGTCTGAGAGGAACTGAGACGATCAGAGGCCCGTCTGAGCTCCTCCAGCTTCAGACTAGGGTCCCACTCATCGGTGCTTCCATACTCGTCTTCGGAAGTTCGTCGCATGCGAATGTCGTTCACAACTTCGCCTCCTTCCTCCTCGTCATCTTCAAACTCGGGAGCGACGCCTGGAAGGCCGGTAGGTCGTCTACCTCGAATAGAAGCAAAGGGAGTCACAGGGTAAGCAATCTTCTTGCCTCCAGAGGGCGTATACTCGTCATCATCTTCTGAAATGTCATTCAGCGAGAACGACATGCCTTCGACAATATCGTCGACTTCACCGTCTACCTCCACCACGTCGTCTTCCACGTACTCATATTCGTCTTCTTCCTCGTCGTCGACGATTTCTTCAGGAGCAACAAATTCCGCATATGGAGGCACCACATAGTCGTCAAACACTCGGGTGACTACTCGGTTTTTTCGTTCCCATGGAAAGATGGGAGGGGGTGCGCTTGGTGCGTGCTTTTGAGACTTGTCCGAGTGGTGATGATGATGATGGCTACCAGAGTGATGATGAGGGGGATGATGATGGTGGTGTTCGTGAGAAGGCGCAGGGGAAGGAGCAGTGTGATTAGCATCCCAAACGTTTCGAAACTCCGTCTGCTGCAATTTGACAGCTTCTCCCACACCTCGTGCAGGAGGGGGCATAATGGAGGGATCCCATCTGTTAATATCGGCTCCAATTGTTCGTTTGTTTCGCAAAGAGTCAGCCAGCTCAGAGGGCTTCACGTACGGATACAGCTCGTTGTACGCACGGTTCCACGCCACATGGTAGTCGTTGAAACTGCCTCTTGAAGACATCCAGGGTTTGTTTCCAGGGCCCAGAAAGTGCACAGCGGACACTTCATTCTTGAAACGGGTATAAGCGGGCTCATAGCCGGCTGCTCCAGATCCCAGTCCGGCTCCAGGGCCTGCACCAGCTCCAGAAGCAACTCCAGAACCGACCCCAGCGCCATTAGCAGGCACGTTGAAGGTGAAGGGGGCTCGAACCCACGATCCGTCGGGCTCAGACGAGGTAGAAAACGGGTTTACTTCTCGGAAATACTCGTTCAGCAGGCCCTGATCTCCTCCGTCAAAAGAAATGCCAGACTGGGCAAGTTCGACAAGCGTAGAGTACACATTTTGGTCCGGAACGGTGGCAAAAACGCCGGAATTGAACACGTCAGGCCATCCGACGTCAGGCGAAGCCACCAGAACGGGTTTTCCGCTGTTGCTCTGATTCTGGAGCACCTTGAACAGAATACTAATGTCCTTGAGCGGAAGAACATCTGAATCCAGAAAGAGAATCTGCCTGTATTGGGTGAGGTTCCACACAGCAATCTTGGCCAGCGTGGTGCCGAGCTCCGGACGCCCTAGCAGCTGTTGTGCAGCTCTGGACGAGTCATTGTAGGGTAGAATGTCGTCCACCAGAAACACAGACGAGTAGTACTGGGCGAGTTCCTGTTTGATGTGCGGCGAAACGGCCTTGGTGATGAGACACAGACGGTCGCGTGATGAGTCGAGGGTTTTGAGACGATGACCAAGAACAATGGCTCCAGGCAAGTAATTGTCGCTGGATAGCAAGGTGCAGTAGGCCATTTATTGTATGCGGGGTAGAGGGGTGGTTGGGGGGAAAATAAATATGCTGGGTGTGTTCGTGAGACCTAGGTGGTAGCGCCGGTATGCTTTTTGTGTCTGTTGAAGGAGTGAAACTCCGACGTCAAGTGCGGTGTTGCGGGTTTTGAGCGTTATCTACACTGCAGTATCGCAACTAGCGTGGCTTGAGGTGTATGTTGATAGGAAGTTAGCTGATTAGGGTAAGGGCAAGTGTGTGGGGTAGGTTGTTATTGTTGGGTGGTAGGGGGTTGAACAGGCGGGCTCGCTGTCTCTATCGTGTTGACGGCTGTGTTTGGATCTTGTCTCCAACGCACTAGCTCGATATATATACATTTGCGCATTTTGTCGCTGTATGCTTGGACTGTGCGTGGTGTTTTGATTGCACTGTGCATAGTGCATCTTGTGCGGCGTTGGGGCTGATTTCGCAATCTTCGTTCGGGTCTGAGATGGCATATTTGGGACAAATATGCGTATCATTGTGACGAGAAAGATATTCCGAGTAAAATGGGTCTTTTGAAATTCTTGTAGCAGCGCTTTTTCGCATTCGAGATCCATGCTGGCTCGTCCGTAGTGCTGTTATTAGGTTGTCTTGCTGAACTAAAACGACAACCTAAAGCAGAGGGTGCATGGATCTGTACAATCGTAGTGTCGTTTTGGGGCTGAATTTTGCCCGATTTTTTGGTACGCGAACGGCTGTGTGGGTCTATTATTGTCCAAAAGACAGTTCCGTCGCTTTATTTCGGGAGCAGCCGTCTTGCTCATCATTCACCATCGTATTCCCCGCGCGATAAATGTCAAAAATAAGACCATGTTTCCCGCAGAGCTTAATGGAAAAGTACGACTGTAGACGAGCAGAAAGAAGTGGAGATTCCGCGACTCGAAGAACAAAAATGGGAATATTTCGTCGTGAAAACACCAATGGAGCCTGCCGCAATTGATTGCCGCCAAAATCTACGTCAAAATATCACGTCTATCACGTCTACAGTGCCTTTGACACCTGTCCAAACTCGCCTGAAACACCAATCTCAACAACCTTCGAGGTAATAACAAGGCTTTACGATAATACGGACGTTTTTGCACGTGGATGGATCTGGATATTTTCACAGATGTTACTGCAGCTTTTGGACGAGTATCGCATGCACAGGTCTCAATGAGGATACGTACAGGGAGTATAATGCGGTTCGGAGTGCTTGCCGAATGTGAGGCATTCGGAGTGCAGTTTGAAACCAAGTGTATGAATACGAAACAGCCTCAACACCCAACAAAATCGACAGTTCAATTACAGGTGTGGTAGAAAGGACCGTCAAAAATGCCGGTATAAGTACGGCCCACGGACCCCGTTTTCCCGAGAAACACTCGAAATCAAGACCTTGAAACGCATCCCCAAAGCTCGTGGAATCCATTGTCATCGTCGATGCACCGAAACGCCGCTTTGGGAACGGTTATACCAGACACACAGCTGGGAAGCAGGTAGACACTACAATAATAGCAAGCCCTGCCACCAAGTAGGGACGGGCATGATCCACTGTTGATGAAGCAGACCTGAAAGGCGAAGACATACTAGCCTGCCGTCCGACGAAAGCGAAAGTTACACAAAACCACAATCGCCCGCATAGCACCTTCCCCCCTCGATCGCCGCTCTTCTCTACAGACTATGCTCTCCCGGCCTCGGCCCCTTGTAGGTTCATGCAGCATTATGCTGGACGAGCTGATCAGACGTTTGAAATACGAGAAAAAGAAATATGAGCATTTTGCACACCTTCTGGAAAGGTGGAATGATGTGGCCAATGTGGCATGTCCAACATGTCCCTCAAACCTGACATCTGCTGTGTGCTACATCGGATATGCAACTACCATACAACACACCCCTTCTGATTGACTGGTGCCTAACCTCTTGACTGACGGACTGAACAAGAGCATCATAGTCACAATATTTATATGATAGCCGAAACCAACAACGGAATCAATATACTAGGGATTCCAAGCTGGTTCAAACAAGACCGAAATATCTACCACTCACCTCAAAACATGTCTCAATATGTGCTGGTGTTATGCGCCGGTTCACCGTTTAGACGGGACTCGCACCGTACTTGCAGTAACTTCCTGGTCGAGATCCAAGACATAAAAGATCACGCAATGGACCATGCTACCAATATGGACGTCGATTGAGCTTGAACCATCGTTGCAAGTTCGATTCATGAGTAACCTACCCATCTTACCCAATCAGTGGAAGATTTGTCTACATACTGTACTGCACTGGGTACAGATGTTCCAATGCCCAGTGACTCATGTACCGGTACTTGTACGGATGAGAACTGTCATCACTAATACACCATATCTCCTCCAGTCACGCGTGTATCGTGTCTAGAATGTCGATCCACCTGTCAATCGATCCAGTAACCCTCGCCATCCTCGTATTCAATGTTGCATATCCACCCTCTTCCGCCACCTACTTAACGGCCTCTCCATAACACCAAATAAATTCACTATTAGCAAACAAGCTACCTAAAATATTACATTACCACACATCATGATTCGTCCTACCGCTTGTAGTAGCCACTGGGCACTGGGGGAGCCCCAACGGGCTGCTGGATACCATTGGTGTTAGGACCTGCGGATCCTGCACTGCCAGGCACACCGGCGGTGGAAGCAAAGGGATGCTGGGAATGGGGCTGGGGCTGGGGCTGAGGCTTGGGGACACCAGCGGGCGAAATGCCAGCACTCTGACCACTGCTGGTGTTCTCCTTCAGAGCAAGAAGCTGCTTGGATCGGAACGCCTCGTAGTGCACATGGGCGGTAGTCTCAATGAGATCCTGCAGATGGGAGCAAATGAGGAAGTTTCGCAGGTAGGGGAACTCGCAGTGAGTCTCGTCCTCCACGTTAACAACACCCCACCGGGTCTTTCGTCCTCGCACAGTCTTGCCCTTCACAACAACGTTCTTGTCGGAGCCAACCACAGCAAAGGGGATAAACTGCTTGATCTGTGCGTTTTGATACTGTTCGTCCTCGTCGTAGTCGGCCGAGTCCAGAGGGTACAGCTTGAGTCTGTGGTGGGCAAATTCCATCTGCACGGTCTCCTTGAAGGCCTGTCGTTCGGCCAGGGTTAGCGAGTCGCTCTTGGCGATGACGGGCACCACGTTGGCAATCTCAGTCAGCTTTTTGAGCACGACTATGTCGATGGGCTTGAGACCGTGGCCGGTGGGCTGGATGAAGAAGAGCACACAATGCACCCGGGTGTCGGGAAGATGCTTCTCTCGCTGCGCAGTCAGCTCCTTTCGAAGGTACTGGCTGTGCTGGTCCTTGATGTACTTGGTGATGGGGTCCCAGCACTTTTCGTTGTTGACCTGGTCACCGTAACCAGGGGTATCGATGATGTTGAGCTTGAGACGCACGCCGTTCTCCTCAACCACATGACTGACGCACTTGATGTCGGGGGTCTTAGTGATGGGTTCGCCGGCCTCAGTTCGTCCAGAAGAAGATGCCAACTGCGACGCAAACAGAGTGTTGATGAGCGTGGTCTTTCCGAGACCAGACTGGCCCACAACCATCAGGTTGAACTGGAACCCTCGCTTCAGAAGCCGTCGCTCAATCTGCTGGGTGATGGAGTCGAACCCGACCTTGCTGCCGGGCGTGATGGTTTCGGTGGACATCATTTATGAGTGGTTGTGTGGTGGTACAGATGTGTGTTGGTGATACGTACAATAGGGTGTATGTAATGCGTGTCGCGTTTCCCCTGAACTTTAATTTTCAAGTTGGAGGCCGGGTAACGGGAGGGAATGTGTGAGATTAGCCAAATGTGCCAGACATGGGTGATTTGGAGGGGGCTGAGGATAATATTTGATCAATGACTCGATCACGTGATGTTTATGAGATTAGGAATGATTTCAATTTATATTATTAAGCAATTGGCGAGAATCAGTCTTGTTTGTTGCGACTGACGAGGTCGTAGCTAATCTCAAGACAAGACACAGTAATACAACCAGAAATAAGTGTAATGAACGACCTAAAGTCCCCAGGTGATAAAAATGGGGTTTATATAGGGATCTCACCTTTTTTGATCTTGTTTTTGTGTCCCTGGAGGCCTTTCAGACGCGAACTTGCGGTTGAGCGACTATTTTTATTTTATTATGGTCTCTTACTGATGACCAATAGATTCTTGAGATCATCTACTTCTCAACGACAACAAACAAGCGTTATATATCACGAGAATCGGCTCATCGACATATATTCTCCATTCTCTTCGTCCTCCAAATTTAAACCCTAACCCAGTAACCACAGTGTTCCCATCACGTGACTCTGAAAAATCCTCCCAACCATATTCACCACCTCGAGTCTGAGATCATCACACAACACACACGATCCAAAATGGCTCTACAACTGACCAAGCCGTTTGTGGCTGCTCTCAGCGCCCAGATTCCCGTGGCCGTGAGCGTCACTCTTGCCCCCGGTCTTCTGGGAGGTCTTTTCGGAGGAGCCCAGCATGATCTGGATCTGGAGACCCCCAGCCGAGAGGTGGATCTGGAACAGCATAAGCATGAGGACTGCGACCACGGCATTGTGTACGCCGTGCCCAAAAAGAAGGTGTCGTACGGCCAAAAACGAAAGCGATTCCTCGCTGACACAAAGGCCCTCAAGCCCTTGACTAACCTCAACCGATGTCCTGCCTGTGGACATGTCAAGCGAATGCACACTCTGTGTATGCACTGCTTCTACGAGCTGCGATCCTTCTTTGCCAAGAAGACTCGAGACGCTGAGTCGCTGGTGGACAAGAAGCAGCCTCCCACTCTGCCTGCTCACGACGAGGCCTTTATCTACAAGAACAAGATTGACCGACCTCATTACGACAAGCTCAAGGATACCGCCTCCTATGTGCTCAAGTATCCCCGGTCTCAGGTGTACAAGAAGAAGGACAAGTCGAGAGACTAATGAAAACCCATATGTATATAGTTAAACGATGAACTCGATAATTGAGGGTGTGGGGGAGAGGGTGTAGGGGACAATTTGAGAGTGTGTGATCACTGGATGACATTGAAGGAGTTAACCTGGGGACGTCTGTGACAAACAATGTACCGCAAACACAACCACCCTACTGTAGATACTGTACTTTACTCGTACTGCTCTCTGTCCCATTACTCAGCTCTTTTTCCCAGCGGGTAGTGTAGTTATCAGTACGAAAATATCTGTGGATCATAATAGCAAAGATACGACAATAAAAACACACCTCATTCATCTGAACAGCTTTTGTTTGCTCGTGTTCTTTTCTCTTCTTTTTTTTTTTTTTTTTTTTTTTTTTTCACGTATCACTCCCATATTAAAACCGCTCCACAACAAAGTTCAACCACCAGAGAACATCACCAACCTGATCAGAACCTGCATACACACACGCAACCACAACACGATGGAAAAAAAGCTGGTGACGATCCTGGATAAGGTCAGTGGCCACTACAAGACCGATTACACCCGTCTAGAGTCAAAAACGATCGAAAAAAGCGGATTCCGACAATGGTGCGAAAAATACATGGACGCCAACCCCACCGACAACCTTGATAACATCTTCCGACAAGTTATGTTTGAGAAGATCATGCTACAACCAGAGGACAAGAGAGGACGATCTCTAGCTGCTCTACTCGACTGCATCACCTATGAGTCTCAAACAACTTCATCCGACGAGAAGCCGCTTCTAGAATCAACTTTGACACTTGCTCTGGTCGAAGACATTTTCGACATTCACACAGTCGACTGGTGCCGCCACTTTTGGACCCACTACCTGGTATCACGTGAGGAACAGCTGATGAACGTGTCACGAAACCAGGCGTCATCGAACTCGGTGACACGGCTTAGTGGCCGCAAGGCACCAGGCACCACCCTGATTCGACTGGCCAATGCTCTGCTGCGACGAGTGAGTAAGTCACGTGATGCCGTTTTTGCCGGCGAGATTCTTATTTTTCTGTCACGTGCTTTCCCGCTGAGTGAGCGATCTGGCTTGAATCAGAAGGGCGAGTTCAATGTGGAGAACATCACTGTGTTTGAAGGATACGAGGGAGCCAAGGAGCACAAGGAGGTTGATGAAGATGAAGATGAAGATGACGATGAAGATGACAATGACGATGACGATGAAGATGAAAATGAAAATGAAGACAAGGATGTCGATATGGGCGTGGATGAAATGAAGGAAAAGGTGAAGGAGAAAACTGCTACTCCTGCCACCTCCAAGGAACATACACAGGAGCCGTCTGACTCGCCATATGCACTGTTTTGGGGTTTACAAAAGTATTTTGCCGATCCTACAATTTTGCTCAATTCCAAGGAGCCAGAAGTTGAGATGAACAAGCTTCAAACGTGTCTAAAAGCGACTGTCAAGACTCTGAGAAGTCATGATGGATCTACGGAGATTGCCCAAGGAGGAGGAACAAGATGGGCGAAACGGGACTCTCGAGAAGGAGGAAACCGAGGCGGAAACACATCAGCTGCGGGAGGGGGAAGTGGAGGTTCACGTGACTTTGGAAACTCGCGAGGGCATTCTGCTAACAATCATTCGTCTCGAACATTGAATGCCAAGTGGTTGACTAATCCGGACTTATTCACACTGCAGTTGTCCGACACCAACTTCCGACGAGCTATCTGGACCCAGATTCTTATCTTTTCCGAGTTTATGCTTTCGCTGACCGAGAAGAACAAGGCAAAAATCCCTGCCACAGCTACAAACAGAAGCGTCCAGTACCAATACACGCTTTCTGCTGCAGATGAGATATACTTTGAATCTGTTGTCGCTCATTTCGAGTCATCGGGCAAGAACAAGCCCCCCTATAAGCCTGGTCACAGTCCTGATTTCAACGCAGTGTTGTCTCGCATCATTCCTCATGTCTTCAAGTTTGACGAAAAGTGGGTCGAGTGGAAGCTAGAGAACTGTCCTGCCTACGAGAAGCCCGTCATGAACAACATTGACGAGGTTGAAGGTGTTGAGGAGCTCATTACAAAGCTGGGCCATGTTCGACCTCGATGGAGATACGAGATGGGTACCGAAGCTCTCACAAAAATCATGGCTGTTGAGTGCGGTCTTTCTCTACTGGAAAAGAAGCCGGATCTCCCCTCTATTGGCACTCCTCAGGTATATATTGACAAGCTGAGTGAGCTTGATAAGGTCAAGAAGCTGGACTGGGACTTCCTGGATGAGGCGGAGCAGGCCAAGTGTCTGGAAGATATCTCTGCTGCTGACTGGCTCGGCTGGCGAGCAGCACGTGTGGGTGGTCTTTGGAGCAAGCTGGGTGAGGCTACTGTTCTTAACGAGGTTGTCAACGGAGCCAAGGACCAGAAGGATACACGGGAGAGCGTGGATATTGAGGAGGGAGGGGCGGTTGAAGTGGAAGAGGAGGCTGATGAGGAGGCTGAGGCTGAGAACGCTGATACCGAGTGTATTAAGCGACCGTTGGAAGAGTCTGAGGGGGATGACGAGGGCACTCCTAGCAAGAAGATCAAGAAGGATGAGGAAGCAGAGGTGGAGCCTGTGGCGGTCCAGGATTCTGACTCCAAGGCACTGAGCGTTGTCAAGGAAGAGGCCGAGGCGGATGCCTAGAGTATTGACGATATAAGCATTAATTTAATTGTAATATTGTATCCACCTGGGCAATCAAAGTACATACGAGTAGAAAAGTCATACTGCAGCACCCAGACCCAACGATCATGACATGTATGAGAAATACTCAGACCAAAGTAAATAGACACTTCAAGAGAGAAAAAAAAGACAGTCAGTGGCAAAGCTACAATCTCCAACATTGATATTTTCAACTTCTCCCTTAAATTTGATACCCATAGTGACTGTCTTGTTGAATCCAGTACGAGTGGTACCAAAGTCTTTTGGCGCCGATTGGAATTTGTCTTAGCCGAACAATTGCCAACTTGTATCGCGATATTATGAGAGGAACACAGCAGTAGCGCTCTTGGTAGTTCAGAATGTATCAGTAGTGGCAATGATCCACTTTCAGTCGTATGCTAGTATTGCACTTGTGAGAGGTACTTTTTTCGTGATAGAAAGATCACATACTTGCCCTACAAAGGCGGTACTTGTACAAGTTCAATGTCGTATACAGCAGCCACTAAACATGGCCATTCTAATTAATGTCTTCTTCTGTATTCAACATTCCCTTGACTTGTGCCAGCAGTGTGCTAGTTTTGGCCGCATTGACACCTCCCTGCCCTTGACAATACACTGACTGAACACTTACCCATATAGACCTATTACTTCCGTGTACTTCCTTGTAGAGTCGTCATGACATATTCTTTGGATACATTCACTACCGATACGATTCCTATCTCTCTATCACTCACCAGTCACACAAGTTCTTGCGTTCCCCCAAATCGCAACATTAGCGCGCCTCTGATCGTGTGAATACTACTCGGGTTAAATATAACCGAGCTACAGTGCTACTTTTTTTCTTTCGCACCAACTAGTCTTCAACTAGTCTTGTCATGATACACCTCTTTATACCCTCGAAACATGATCTTCTCTACTAAAATGACGTTATACACAACGGTATCGCTGCTGGAACCTGCAACGGTAATTCACTACGCCACGGTTTCAGGTGTGTTCATCAATGGCCTGTCAAGGATACTTTTGTACTCCTGTATCATTGACTCCTCTTTTTGGACTGACACTAACCCCCGACTACAATTTGTAGTGCGAAAACCGGAGTTGTTAGTGCCGGACAAGAACCATTCTCATCTTGGATTACAGAGGCAGCAGGGTATGATGATTAAACACTTGAAAAGCCCTTGTCGTATGTAAAGAGTATCTTTACATTTCAGTCCAATGCTTTTCGTCACCAGTGTATTCATGATATGGCTTCTCTCTACCACGCTGGTCAAGAGTACCACTTTTGATGAGCGGACTGCCCAAACCAGTGGACTATTATAGATAGATTGTTAGCGGGCTGTATTCAGGAGCTGTAGGGGATGCAACGAGCAGTGACGCGTTTACTTTAGCGTCATTCTACCCAATTTCACTGTAGAAATGGTTTCAAATATCCCATTCCCTGCGCGCCGGTGGGATCTCCAAACAATCGTGCAATCCTGTGATTCGAGTAGCCGATATCTCCTCATGTAGTCGAGTGCAATTGAACGTGAATGACATTACAGTCAACTTCCAGCTAATAACGCTCCGCTCACACGCCGCTAACGCAAGCACAATGTGGTTTTCTTCTAGAATATCTCGAGATGTCGCATAAATGTAGTGGTATGGCTATCCAGAAAGTATTAAAACGACTGCTACAGTACTTGCACTCGACGTGAGTGGTTCTAAGCTACCAACTGTAGTGGACGCATCGTGGGTAGTCGATATTTTACTCTACCGGTGCAGTACCTGTTTCGCCATTACTCTGAATATCAGAACTGGAACATCTTCGCAGTTTTCGTCTTCAAATATTCAGAACCTGATGTCTCGATATGCATCATCTCATCTCAACTTCCCTCATCATGGACTCCAAGGACTTTTCCTGCTCTGTGAAGCAGGCGCCAGATATCACACTCAGCCAAAGGATTCTAATGTGACTACTTATCAGATCCATTCGTGAACTGGTACACAAATCCTCTCCGTGGAGCAAGTGTCCCCAAATGAAACTGCTGCTGTCAAGTGTGCACAGCAGAAGTTGGCAGTGTTATACCTAGGGACCATCTCTAGTCAACATCTAAAGTACTGTATACGGAAAGAAAAACAAAACGGAAGACAGGCGTTGAACCCCTAATGGCTTTATATTCAGCTCCACATCCACTACCCGGAAACACCTTCCTCAACTTCCTCATCCCAATGTCTATCTATGCAGCACCCTAAACCCCACGCTCTCGTTACGACTGCTCTCGCTTTTGTCGTCGAGTCCAACACCGTTTATCCCACCTCTGTCGCCGTTTATCCCACCTCCGTCGAAGCCATGGTCAACTCCTACCTGTTGATGCCCCCTTTAACAGTGCCACCTCTGGTGTTAACGGTAGTGATATTGTGATCACTTTCTACGAGACTGACAGCCCCGTTATCACCACCAATTATGCTGGCTCCACCGTTGTCGTCTACACCAAGTCGACCGTGACCTCCACTGTCTGTCCCAAGTGCACCAAAACCTCTTGGTCCCCGCAGAGGAGAAGATCCCAGGCACAAGGTCCGTCGAGGCCACTCCCACCGTGGAGGACAAGGATGATGTTGTCGCCGTCTTTGTCACCAACTGTCCCGTTAACACCAACGCTGCTGGTGCCACGATCGTCTCTCACACCCAGTCCACCGTCACTTCTATTGTCTGCACCAAATGTGGCAAGAAGGCTGCTGAGACCCCCCAAGCTGACACTCCCAAGACTTCCTCCAAGATGGAGACTCCCAAGGCTTCCTCCCAGACTGAAATCCCCAAGGCCTCTCCTAAGGTCGAGTCCCCCGAGACTGATGAGACCATCCGACTCACCCAGACTCTGACCCACACCCTCAACCGCCAGCCCACTGCTCCTGCACAGGTCCACGATGAGAGCATCCCTGCTCAAGCCAACAGTGCTTCCAAGGCTGCCGCAGGTGCTGCTGTCGTTGTCCTGCCAATGGTCCTTGCTGCTCTCCTCTAAGCATTTTTTCGTTAAATACGTGAACAAATAGTATCTAGTGAACAAATGGTATCTCTGGTTGTTGCACCTGTAGTTGGATGAACTCAACCCCCCCTCCACCTTTGTAGCGAATAAGTATGTAACCAATTGAATCCGTATGTACTGAAATCACGCTGGAATAGTAGTGGTAACTTCTGGAAGATGTAATTTCAATAAAACCAAAGTAGTTGGTTGTATTGAGCAATCTTAGAATCCATCTGTCGTCGTAACATTGTCGTGTCAGACAGCTTCAACTGTCAGGTAGATTCAACGTCGATCTGTTTTTCCACCGTAAAAATGATACAACCGTCAGTCACTCGCAGTCAGTGAAAAGATATTCGCAGCATGAAGCTGTTTGTGTCATCAATCACCCTTTGGTATCTAGTTTGTTATCACGTCTAGTGCATTATCGACGTCCGATTGAACATACTTGAACCGAAGGAAAGTAGGTCAGATAGAAGCAAAGAATACATATCAAAGCAAAAACATCGTCTGGGAAATGCATTCAGTTGGAAATTTCCATTCGGAAAACCGGTCGAATACAGCCTGAAGCTCCCCAACATCGCAGAGAATCAAGCACGCGCCCTGATGTTCCTTTATAAAAGAGTCTAAAGAGAGTCTCTTCCACCTGACTGCTCTCACATTACTCGAGCTATGACAACAACTTTCTTGTTCAACTATGCCATGACGCAGCGTTGTCTATAGAGTATGTGTACTATGTTGTTCTCTGTTGACCCACGGCCTCGCACCCCCGTTAATAAGCATACAATAAATTAATTAAACTAACTGGTGGTAAAGATTTCAAACACTCTATCAACCTCCTTTTCACCCTTCAACTGGAGGTAGTAAACGTTAGACGACAGGTCTCGTTGAGACATGGCGTCGTGGCCGAGCTGCTGATAGTCAGCGTACACCCGGATGCCATTGCCGTCCTTGGCAAAGGCCTGGGCGGGGAGAGAGCCCGAAAACACGGCTTCTCCAAAACCCTGCTGCTTCATAGTCACCGTCTTGGCATTGGTCATCAGATCCTCGGTGGACACGTTAACGGTGACCAGCCCCACGCCCAGACCAAGCCAGAGCTTGGACATTCGAGGAGACAGGAAAAGTCTAGCCTTGAGATTCTGCAGAAGCAGAAGTCCATCGTCCTGGGCCAGCAGAGACAGCTTGTTTCGGGGCTTGAGACTCAAGGGGCCAGATCCAGAACCCACGGTACCCAAAGAGCTATCTGAGCAGATGGAGGCCGTGTAGGAAGACCGGTTGGAGACGAGGGGTCGCTCCACAAGGTCCTTTTTGGCCGAGTTGCATGCCGACAGCAGTGCGTCGGCTTCCCGGGAGTTTCGCAGTCGGAACGAGTAAATATCCGTCGACTGGCGGAGCTGCACATCGACAGCGGTTCCTCGTCGCAGAGCAGACTGCTTGTTGAGCAGAATGGAGTTGGCACCAACTTCTAGACGACCGCCCTCAGAGCCAATACACACCTTGAGAGCAATCATCGAATCAGACAGTGTCTCCCAAGAGTTGCCCTTCCACCGAGAAGTGAAGGCGTTGACAGTGAAGATGGTAGTACCGTCATTGACAGAGGTGACCACCGCAGGAGCTGCCAGACACTCGGCAGGAGAACCCACTCGTGACACTCGCTGCTTGACCTTGATCAGGGGAGCAAGAGTATCAGACTCCTCAGATTCCTCGGACGAAGAAGACGAGGTGGACGCGGCCTTGTTGAAGGACGAAGGGCCAGACTTGAGCAGCATCTCTTCGGACTTTGCGTTTCTCAGTGGAGTGAATCGGATGGAGTTCTTGGAGGAGGAGGCCGAGGTGACCGACGTAGACGATGTACCAGACGCAATGGATCGCTTGGACGAAATGGACGAGTCCGAGGGCTCTGAGGGGAGCTTGGAGGTGACCATCACGGCCTTTGCCTTGACTTGCGTCATTTCCAGCTGCTCGATCTCAGGAGTATCAAGCAGATGGACAGAGTCAGCGTCGGAGTCAGAGTCAGAGTTGTGCTCATGGTCCTGTTCCTGTTGCTCACTGTTGCCGAAGAAACCAGGTTCAAGGAAACTGAATCCGGAATCCTCCCGTCCCATGCTGGCAATGCTCTTGGAAGAGATGGAAGAGGGTAGAGAGTCCATGGATTTGGCCGACCGGAGGTGGTGCGAGAGAGAGGGCGATCGAGAGGGGGCCTCGAGCTGTTTCACAACAGTGGCAGCAACATCAGCTGAGCTGTGGATGCTGCCACTTCGCATCAACTCCTTCTCTTCATTAGCAAGGGAGGCGATTGTGGAAGTCGAAGTGGAAGTGCTCATTGACTGGGAGGCAGAACGAGACAGAGACTCGTTGAGCGACCGGGACATGGCCTGCAGATCGGACTTGATGGACGACGACGAGGCGGTGGAAGAAGCACTGTTCTTTCGTCGAGAAGGAGGAGGAGGGGGAGCAAGCTTCTTAGGAGGGGAGACAGAGGGGGCAGTTACGAAGCTGGATGTGGACGCAGAAGCTTCGGTGGCAATGTCAGCTGTGGAAATGTTCGTGGCAGTGATGGTGGCCACAGAAGAGTTGTCCATGTTGTAGGGCATGGTAGAAGCAGTCTGAGGAACGGGTGGTGCCGAAACAGGTGCAGCAGGAACAGGAGGTGCTGCCACAGGAACCTTGGCCGCCTTGGTGCTCGCAAAGGCGGCAGCAATGGTAGGCACAACAGGAATAGACGCAACGACAGGAGTGGGAGCCTCAACCTTGACTGTGGGCACAGGAGGTACGTCCTGAGTAGACTGCATAACCGGCACCTGAGGAAGGGGGGCAGTCATGGCATTCTGAGTGGGAGACACCATCTCAAAGCCGTCCACTCGCTCAACAGGAACAGCGTCAAATCCAGTGTTGTTTTGCTCAACAGTAGCAGGCTGATTTCGAGCGGGGTTCTGTAGCACCAGAGGGGAGGGCAGAAGAGCAGACATTCGGGGAGTGTCAATGGAACAAGACGACAGAGATGAAGGACTGGCAGAGTAATCGGACTTGGGCTGGATCATCTGGAAAGTGGGCTCGAAAGTGGGAGGCTTGGACTTGACCAGCTGAGAGACGGTCTTGAGAGCAGCAAAGGCGTTGCGGCTCTTGGTGGCAGGAGTATGCTCACTCACGGCTTCCTCGGCCACCACAGTCTTCTCCTTCTCACGTCGCATCTCCCGCAGTCTATCCTCCTTCTCCTTCTTGTTGTTCTCGTACCAGAGTCGCTCGCGCTCCTTCACAGCCTCTTTCTCCAGCCGCTTCGTTTCCTTCTCCTGCCGCTTGGCCTCCTTGGTCTTCCCGCTTCGCGACCACCACTTTTTGCCAAACTTGAAGCCACTGTCCTCCTCAAGCTCGGGGGAAAACTTGCTCTGGGCGCCGTCCGGAGGCAGAGGCACGAACCTGTTTGATCGCAGCATTGCCGAGGATTTCCAGGGCAGAGGCTTCAAGCCGCTTGGGGTGGTATTGGCGGTGAACGACGTCATGGTCTCGTACTGGTTGCCGCCAATCACAGAAGAAGACTTGTTAAAGGCATCTCTGTTGGCTGCCGGAACCCGGGCCTCGACCAGAGAAGTGGCTGCAGCACATCGGCGGGTAGCAATGGCGGCAGAGTTGTCTCTAGGCCGAGGAGGGAAGTTAGGAGAGGCGGGGGTCTGCTCGGAGGCGGTCTCATAGGCCGACATGGGTCGCAGAGTGGATGCAGGTGAGGAGCACTCTTTGGGCTCGATGATGGGCAAATCAACGGAGCCACGCGACTCATCTCGGACGAGAGGCTTGGTTTCCTCCTCCTCGACTTCCTCCTCAACATCTTCCTCCTCCAACTCGCTCCAGCTGGAATCGCTGCTTCCTCGATCCATAATTTCGCTGGTGAACGATTCCATAGATGTGGACTGAGATGGTGCCTCAGTGACGAGCTTGATAACGTCAACGGGCTTGACAGAATCACCCTTGGTCACGTCACTGGCAACAAGGGCTGCTGCTGCAAACGAGGGCTTGGAAGGAGGAGCAGGAGCGGCCACAGTGGGAGCAGGAGGAGGAGGGGGGGCAGTAGTTGGTGCAGGCTTGATCTGCTCTTTCTCTTCCTTTTTGTTCTTGACAACGTTCAGAGCCTCAACGGGCTTGTCGTACTTGAACTTGTCGAGAGACTCTCCAAACAGAGAGTCACCCAGAGACAAGGACGATTCCAATTGGGGAACGTTCTTGATGTCTCGAGGTAGGGGCTTGTCCACAAGCTTCTCCTTTTTGTTTACTTCCTCCTGTTTCTCCTCCTTGATCTCAATTCCGAGACCGCCGCCTCCAGCAAGAATGCGAGAAGACTCAATGCCGAAGGAATACTCACGGCCAAAAGTGAGTTTTAGCAGATCGGAAGACGCCTTGGAAGCAGAATAATCGGTCACATGGCCAAACAGGTGGCCCAGAACTCGTGACCACAGCTTCACCTGGTCCAACTCTGGGCAGTATAACACCACTGTGCTGTGGTTGGATGCTTGCAGCACGATTTCGTACTTGGCCTGTCGACTGGAAAGACGGGACTTGGGCTGCTCAACCAGCACAAAGTCGCCTCTCTTGAACCGAGGGAAAAGAAGACTTCGGCCGGGGTCTTCAAGAGCACAAATAGCTAAGCCCTGGAAGGTGTCTGTGAATGCATCGGCCGAAATCTTGTTGCTTGGCATACCCTTGTTGGGGGTGACTGTGTCTGTGACCAGAAACACCTCGACCATTTTCTTCTCAAAGGACTTTCCACTTCGGTGTTTGACACACATTTCAAAGTAGTCTCGATGCAGGGTGGTGGTGTAGTCAAAGTCGTCGTACGTCTCCTGGAGGTTGTCAAAGTGAACAACCCGGTCAAAGTTGAAGGTGGTGAGATCGACCCGCTCTCGCTCAGACTCGGCTCGGTCACGTGCCAGACGTGTGAGGTCTCTGAACTTGATAGCGGTCTGGCGTCTGCTCTCAAACTCAGGCGAGTTTTCTGCCAGCTTCTTCATCACCTTAGCGAGGTACCGGATTCGCACAAGGGGGCGCTTGAGAAGATAGAGCATGTGTGTTGATGTGGTGGCGTCGATGGTGTATTCGGAAATATAAGAGGCGTATAGGGGAGTAACGTCTCGGGCCTGAGTTAGTACGTGGTGGTAATGGTCGTAGAGCCAGAGTATGGCAGACGACAGGCTATGCATCGGTACCACAATCGGACGCAACATTTTTGTATTGTTCCACTGCATGGTGGTTGTCACGTTGCCATGTAGTGTTTGCTACAACTTATCTGCGTAGCTTGCTCCTCCAGCAACATCTCTCGCACTTTTCCGTAGATACTCACCCAATTGAAAAAGCCATCTGTGGGCATGTTATCGTGCAGCAACTTGAGCTTTCTGACAACCGAGGTCATTCGCGGGCTCAGATCGCTCTGGATCAGTAGCTGGAGCTCCTCCAGATAGTTGACCTCGCTCTTGCGTAGGTCCTGGAAAATCACGTCCGCCGACACGGACGAGATGGACGCCAGCGAGTCCATCGACGTCGAGGTCGCCAGCGTCTTGGATGCGACTCCCTGCTTGTTGTGGGAGGGGTGTTTGTGTCCGTCTCGTCGGTAGTTGCTGAGTCGTTTGCTTCGAGGACTGTTGCCGCTGCGTCGGTAGGGCGAGAAGCGCAGCGGGGTGAGGCCCTGAAGCTGTGGCAGTCGTGGCGGGGTGGTTGACATGGCTTTTGTGTGGGTGACAACAGCGGTTGTCGTTAGTGATCACGTCGAGAGATGTGTGGTGAGAAGAGATGTGGTGTAGTTCTAAAGAGCTCTATTCAAAGGTGTCCATGCAAGGGGGTTCCTAGAAATCTGAATGCACGAATGCATTGGGTTAAGGTTTCCAGAAACTCTATTACGCGTATTGAATGGGACTCTGACCGTGTTTAGCCTCAAGGTTCAGATTGACGAGTTTTTTGCGAAGCGCCCGCACAAAGTCAACCAGTAGTAACTGATAATACAGGCAAGGCATTTTTTTGACCATTTTGATGGAAACACAAAGTCAAGTGTGCAAAGGGTGAGTTCAAGGCGTGCAATAAGTGTTAAAACACCTCGTTTTATCGATCATGTGACTCGGACCACCGCCATTAGTATAGCCCCTTGTTGCGCTCACCAGCCCAAAACCTGTGGGCCTGTAGACCTAATTAAAAGTCCGTACAGTACCAGTGCTACAATATGAACAGACACTAAATCGGTACCCTTTGAGAGAACAATGCAGATGAGACGAGATTCGTTCTGATGCAGAAGCAATAATTAAATACTTGTATATACTGCTGTATAATATCAGCGAGAATATTTGTTGGAAAATAAAATCTTCAGGGACGAAAACGGTACAGAGGACTACAGACACTTGGAGTGTACAAGCACATGGTACCATCAACGCTCATATTGATCGGCTTGTACGAGCACTTGTAATAGTCTATAAAACCTCAGTCTCTGAGACTACTGTACGTACAATACTGGTACAAATATCTGTACACCAGTGACCCTGTCATGCATTTCTATCGTATTACAAGTGGCCCATATTTATCTCCATCGTGTCTACAGTAGTTGTAGTTGCCCGTTTGTCTCAACGTCAGAAATATTATCTTGTGCCTGATTGACATTGACACGACAAACGACAACAGCGACAAACAGCGACAACATGTCTACCAGCACTTGTACCGGTATTACTACAGAGTTGGATTTTCGGCCACTGATTCGAGTGTGTATTTTACCGGATGTACCTCATCCTGTGTTCTTGGTGTTTTTTTTTTTTTCCCGTTTTTTTTTTTTTTTTTCATATCCACCACATGTACCAAATCCACCAAGGCGACAGCACTAACGGTTTTAGCTCTAATTAATTAATACTGGGCGGGCCCCTACTGTCACGTGACCCAGACAACCTCTGTGGGGGCGCGTGTTTCTTTTTCCTTCTCTCGTGCCAGTTTCAACTACAAGTTCTACTCCACTTCTCACCTTCCTGTTTTTCACTTACGCGAAATATACTTTTTCAGTGCCGATCCTGACGCGTCGACCACATGACAGACGTGGATCCGATGTTTCTAGTGCGGCAGAATATAATATCTGTGTGTATAGGTGTGCGGAGTATGTAAGAGAAGCAATCTGGCTACATTGGCCCCATGGTCGTCACATTCCTTTTCTTGCCATGTAAACACATTCGACTGGTGCGACGCTGCTTGTAGTAGTCGTGCATCTCGAAATCACGACTCGTGAATTTCTTGTTAATCCCTCAGCCAATATATGCACGTAGTTTTTCACCACACGCCAATCGCACAATCTAATTTTGGCGCCGACCAAATCGACGTAAATTCGAAAAAAATCAACCAAAGAAAACAAGAAAATTTGGAGAAATTGATAGACCATGGGGAATAATTTTGATAGCCCGGTAAGCTACTAATTGTTGTACAAACGGTGCCCCAATACTGAAACCTCTCCCTCTAACGCCCCCAAAACAGCAGGGCTCAGACCACGAAAAATTGAGCGCTGAGCAACCTCAACTGAACTTTGTTTTATGCACAACTCTATCAGGCGCCGAAATGGGATTCACTGAAGCCTAAAGGGGAAGTGCAACCATGCGCGTATGCGTAGAGACCGGCCAAGATATACCCCAAGTCGCGTAGACCAGACAGGACGTGTTAGGGGAGGGAGGGGAGGAGCAGTCACGTGATTCTATATAGACGCTGAGCCAGTATGGCTGATCGTGCTCAAAAGCCGTGTTCTTTTGGGGCGGCTGGACGCGTCTGAAACATGTTCGCAGGGATGAAACGAGAGACGGGCAGTGTTAACAGTGTTGCTGGTACATAGGTGATTTTTAGTGGAAAGACATGATGTGTGCGGGCGGCATGTTCGAGGGCGTTTGATGTTTACTTGATATTGTCTGATGTGGATGCGATTTTCCAGCTTTTCCTGATTTCCCTGATTCTCCTGGTTTTCCTGGTTTTCCTGATTTTCCTGGTTTTCCTGGAATTAATTTATTTTTATGAAAATTCTGAATAATCCAATTGATAACAGAACAACGGGTGATATTGTACTCATATCGTATCACCACGATACCCCCCTCCCCCCGTCCTAACTGACGCCATTCACGTGCCCACAAACATTGACACATTGACACATTGTACCTTACACGACGGTAGATTGGTGCAGAGATGGTAGCTAGTCGTACTTTAACAGTGTGCAAATTGAGACATGGGCGGGAGAGGCGAAAATCAGGAACTTGATTGGCGCATTCAAGCATCTTCTGGGGTCTGAAATGTCGATGCAGCAACGTATAGTACCGCTGCTACAGTCTGTACAGCCAGTACATACCGGTACAGTACCGTGTCCATATCCAGAAGCACTTGGAATGAGTTATACGCTACCAGCTAGCCTTGCCCTACAACTAAGATCACCACTCGCGAATCCTCGCCAAGTGAGTGAAGATCTTCGAGCTCCTTCACCGACGATCTATTGTTGCCCCTGCAGGAGATGGGATATTACGAGACGTGGTCGAGAGGTGGTCGAGAGGTGGTGGAAAGGTCACGTGTAGTGTGTTCTAGAACGCGGAGTCTTGATGGCGGCAATTCAGGCAGTATTCAGAACACTGGCGGTCGATGCGCTTTCTGCAACATTACCGTGAATCTTTATGCGAACTCCAGTTCTGGCTCAAATGCAGCGTAATTGGGCTCAAAATGATGGTAAAAACGACACGATTTCAATTATGTCACTTTTGAACCTGTGCCATTGGTATTTAATGCGTTGTGGGCAATTCAGTATCAACGTGAAAATAAGGTGGGACCAAATCCCAATTAGGAACACGTTGCCTAAATAGTCAAGTAACTTGGTCCCAAAGTAGACAAATTAGATAAAGATGGATTTCTGACAGAGCTCGGATTTGGGGGGTGGTTACACCGCCCAATAGTGGTTCTATTGAGATGGTTGAAATGTTGCCAGACTCCTTGCACTGTCACGGTTAGATTTCACTTTTCCAGAGTCCGAACGGGGCATTTTGACGATATCTATATGGACATTTGCCGCACTGTCCAAATACTCCCCACAGATGCCCCCAAAGTCTATTTTAAGATGAAATATCGACAGAGAAACAACCGGATCGACTACTTATGAGATGGAAGAAGTACACTTGTTTACTACTCCTTTTCACCCACATCGACATTGCCATGGATTGCCCGCCCGACATTATAGAACAAACTCAAAACCTGCTTTTCTCAGTCATAACGAGCATCATCCAGTCCAAAGACCGAATCAAAGAAAAGAGAAAGGCGCTGGTGGCGGCTGAAAAGGAGGTTTTTGAGTGCCGAAAGGCGCTCAAGAAGGAGCTCTTGATGCTCAAGAGAGCTGAAACGCACATGCTGGAGTTGGAAGACGAGCTGAGAATCCTGGATGTGATGAAGACATGAGGACTTGAGCTACTGTGCTGCACTTTTGGTATGTGCTCTATGGTTTACTATTACTTTTCACTCGTTGTCCGTTCTTTCTTCTTATGGTATTTATGTGTGAATTTATTTATTTGAATCGAGTAAATCTACAGTATGTACGAGTACGGTATGTACGAGTACGGTATGTACGTGTACGAGTACAGCATGTCCAAGATGAGCAACTATGGCTTTTTCAAGACCCTGTTGTTCTTGGCTGTCAAATTGATGACTCTTCTTACAGTATCTAGCATGTCTTACCTCCCTTAGCCGCTCTCGTATTTCTGGTTGGTCTGGTATTAAGTAGTAGTTAGAGCAAGTGCTAGACTGCCGGGCCAGGCTAGTTTCACTCTTCCAAGTTGTTTTCATTCACTATTGGCGCCCAAGTTTTTACTGCATTGTTCTGTCGACCTATTTATCAACCCGACTATACACCCCCATGATCCATGTCCCACACTCATAGACCCCAGTACAGTACCCCACATACCCCATATTATGACAGCATAGCATCGTACTAAGATTACAAGTAGAGACAGCTGCAATGTAGAGGTCTTGAAGATGTTGTTCATTATTGTTGAAATTGTGAGCACTCATACGCCTTGAGTAAAGCCTTCTGAAGACTCTGTTATTGTTTTTCAAATTTGTGCTATCTCAACAACTGTTTTGTAGCCTATTGACCACTCTACACCAGAGACTACTGTTAGAGTGATTATAACCAGCTAACAAAACCAAGAGTGGATCCCTTGGTCCTCATTTATTTTCAACTGACTTCTAGACCTGAACAGCTATTTTTGAATACTCATTGCCTTGTCTTTGCTGATACATATATCCCTATTGTACATACTGTACTGTACTGTACTCCGCCCGACTTCCCTCAAGATCCCTTCTCTCTACCAAGATGCTCATCAAAACACTCACCTTTCTCGCTGCTGTGACCTGTTCCTTCGCTATTTCTGTGGCCTGTGATCTGCCCAAGACTACGATGCAGCCCAACCCAAGTGCACCCTTCTTCAGATTACCCCTTGCAAGAATGTTCACGAAATGCAGACTCTTCAGGTTCGAGGTAATGATGTGGTCTCCGGCCACACACAGGGCTTCTACCACTTCAAGGTCCAGGATGTAGGGGCAGTCATGGTCAATGTTGTTGCTGACGGCGCTGACTCTCGACTGTCAACGTGCACGCTGGCAAACTCGAGGCCATGGACCACCCAGCGCTCCTCCTGTGGAAGTGGAAAGAAACACCGGCGGCTGGGCTTTCAAGGACGACGGCTCCCTCAAGAATGTCTCTTCTTACGGCACCAACGAGTTTACTCTTGCCTCTTCCGAGACGGACCCTCTTCATGGAGGCCAGGTTCTTTATGTCTTCAGCGGAGGATATCAGTGCGAAGACCCCGTCAAGTTTTCCATTGGTACTACTCTGTAAAGAGAAGTTGCCATTGACTATTATTTTCTAGTGTAATTCTAATGTGATCAACAGGATCTGGTAATAAAAATACGAGGTAGTTGTACAGCATTGCTTCAAATAGATTTTTCTCTCCCACTGTTGTGAACAATGCATTGGTGGTAGTAATCTAGATGTACTGGACTTCAACTAACATGGATTGTGTCTTAATTTTCACCATACGATTACTGACTGGCCAATATCACAAGTTACCTATATGCATTACGTGCATGTATCGTGCGTATTATCTGCGTCGTGTGCGTCATATCTGCATAATCAGGTCCATCAGAAACACTAAACATTCTCTTAATTTGTGATTAATATTATGGTAATATTATGGTGTAGATTTTCGCTATTATACAATCTTGGAACACATAAAGACGCATACTATGGCAACGAAAACATTGATATTTATATCTCGTGATCGTTATTTAGCCCCCGAGCAAAAATTTACTACATCACTCGACTCGACAGGCCTTGGAGTGAAAAACAAAATCAATTGCACGGATTATCTTCACAGAGTGCTTTTCATTATTCTCAATAAAATTTATTTCTATATATTATTCAAAGGTTACTGGAGTTGGAATTCAGCTGCACACGGAAGTTGCCTAGATATATATCACTGTGGGACATAAGTTGAAATAAATCGCCATTTAATTCAAAAAGAATCCCAGATATTAGGTCGTCATTAATTCACAACATTCAAAGATTGTAAATATTAATAAAACACAGATATTTGGTCTATGTAGGCTGTTTGCAACATCCGCATGTCACAGTAAACCACCCCGATTACACTATGTACTCGTACTTCGATGATATGCAAACATAGGTCGATAACTTATCTAATGGTCAGGCATGCTGATATAGTAAAAATGTCCTTCAAACGTCTATGAAAAACACATTATTTGTACTGTACTTGTAGCACATCTACGCATACATCCAGTACAGAAACTAATAGTTTTATTGTATTGTATTGGGTTGGGTTGGGTTGGGTTGTGTTGTATTGTGTTTTGATGTGTATGAGATATTCAGACTCAAAGTCGCGGTCATCCTCTTATTCCCTCATCCTCCCATAATTGCATCTTCAGCATTGGTACTGGTGATCCCAAGATTAATTATGATTACGAGGGGTCCACCACGTTTTTCTCTATAATGTCGTCCATCAAGTCTTATCGTTGTATTGCAAGTCTCAGCAGACTCGTAGACTGTGGTCCCTTGATACTTACACAGTAGTGCAAGATTCCCTCTTTTTTCAGGGTGACACGAGCTCTCACATGACATCCGGTCCCTGCGCAGTCTGCCTCCTTTTACCAGTGTGGACAGGTTACTTGAGGACAAATCCACGAGGGGCGGCCCACCCGTTCAACATCTTCCACAGCGCTACTTGTAGCTCTGAGCTAACTTTTCTTGTTGGGAGTCATGTCTTCGTCTTCGGCTTGGCAGTCTTTTGTCTTCTGTTTCTTTGAACCGTTCGAAGACGTCAGTAGTCACTCCAAATCCGTCGGTAGCGTGTAGATGTTGCTTCATGACCACTGGCTTTCAATGTAGTTGAATTGTCATAGCGACGAAAGCCAAGTAGATATACTCTCACTTATTACGACAACAGCGCATCAGGTGTCGCGCGAACTTCTGGTAATCTTCCTGACTTCGACGGGTTCTGAGGGGGCGGAACGCAAATCCCTGAGATTCTGGGAAGCGATTGAGGGCCTACCACCTATTATCCCTTGTGACATCATCTGGATTATCGTTTAGTCCTCCAACCTCCACCAGAGTGCCGGGCCTTTCCTGGTTGAGTTCTATCAAAACTTGGAAGGTGTTCTAAATTATACCGTCTCTGGATACAATAGCAGGAGAAGGACTTTGCATACTCAGTATTTATGATACTTGATATAATGCGTATATGCTAGCTTGCCTTCAGCCAAAATACTGTATACCATACAGAAGCAGAGGCCCAGAATTACCTCTAAGACAATTTTGAGTCGACGAGTTCAAAATTCAAACAATAAACATAACATTAAATATATAAATGAGCGAGCCTACTCCTTGGTGGCGGCAACGGTGAAGTGGATGGGGTCCTTGCAGGCGTAGTTATCGCCCTTCTTGATGTAGACCACCTGGCCACCGTGCAGAGGATCATCCTTGGAGGTACAAGAGTACCACTCGTTGGCTCCATAGTAAGTGACAGACTTGACAGGTCCATCACCCTCAAACTTCCATCCTCCGTCGTAGCCCTTTCCAACCTGAGCAGGATGCTCGTTGATCACCAGCTCTCCGTTATCAGCAGCATAGAGCTCTCTGGGACCCTGGCCAGGAGATTCGACGTTGACGAGGTTGTCACCAACGGCCTCGAGCTTGAAGTAAGAGTAACCTTGGGTGAGTCCGTATACAATGTCGTCCCCTCGGATCTGGAGTCCCTTCATGCCAGAGGCGCCCTGGCCAGGGAGAATGGCGTTCAGAGAGTACTTGGGGTTGGAGTTGGAGTTGGCTTCAACGTGCTCCTGGGGCTGCTCGCAAGCAATGGGGGCAGCAAGAACGGCAGTGGCAGAAATGAGAAGAGTCTTGAAGAGCATTGTGTGTATGGGTGTGTTGTTGTTGTAGTTGTACTGGATGTGTTTGATGAGGAGATAACGAGGGAGAAGGAGGGACTATATATACTGTTTGGATCTGTGGTATGCACCTTACTAGCACCTATAACTAGCTTCGAAATGACGACAAATCGAAGGCTTGTTTCTTTGCCAATGTAACATTGTGTAGATGATGACGTCAGTTGAGTCAGTTTTCTTCAGAGCCGTGCGTCTGAGAAGTGATGGTCGATGCCGTTTGATTTAAGCGAGTGTGGGGGTAAGACAGCTGAAAAGACGTTTTGAGGCGTTGATAACACGGTACGAGACAAATAATTTCTGTAAATTATTCTAAAAGTGCTTATGTACTACTTATTCTGACATGAATTCTTCTTACCACTTCTAGTAAGTCCAACCCTTGAAAATCATCCGAATTCTTCGAGGCAAATAAGGTTGGCTATTAATAGAACATTTGAAATAACCATGCATAAATGATGGCCATGACGTCATCCCTCTCCCCCCACGAAAGACTTGTATCCTAGAATAGGTCCTAGTCAGCTGAGAGAGTTGCTTGATATTAAGCGAGATAGGTATCGGTATGTTTATGTCATCATTATTTATTTATTTCGCTCGAATTCCCATTATCAGCAATCATTCTTCCCCCAACTAGACTGACACATCCCACCTTTCAGACCAATACCATTGTACAAGTATTTTTACGACTCGGTACATACACTACATAGATGTACTGTACCTACAGTAGCCAGGAACAGGAAGATGGACGCAGGTCAAATCCGCGCTTATCCCCGAACGTTCTATGCAATGCTAAATGGCTGTCATGCACAGACGATGTCACCCTAGCAGGGGAGGTGTTCTATTTACAGAGCATGCCAGAATGCTATCTATTTATGGTAATTGCAGCGTTTTTACCATCGGTAGACGTGCCAGATATTGCTCACAATGCGACCCAAAAAGAATATATAAACAGTAGCAAATCTTCATTCCATCAGTATCAAACACACATTCACACTACACCACCACTACCATCCCAATCACAATGCTCTTCAAAACTCTTCTCATCTCTGCCACTGCTGCTCTGGCTGCTCCTGTCGCTTGCGACACCCAGGTTGACACTCAGTCAAACACCCAGAAGTACTCCCTGAATGCCATCCTGCCTGGTCAGGGAGCCTCTGGTATGAAGCCTCTGCAGGTCCGAGAAGACTCTATCGTCTACGGTCTCACTCAGGGCTACTCTTACTTCAAGCTTGATGCTGTTGGGGACAATCTCGTCAATGTGGAGTCTCCCGGCCAGGGTCCCAGAGAGCTCTATGCTGCTGATGATGGCGAGCTTGTCGTCAACGAGCACCCTGCCCAGGTTGGAAAAGGATACAACGGAGGTTGGGAGTTCAAGGGTGACGGATCTGTCCAGGACGTGACCTACTACGGAGCCAACGAGTGGTACTCTTGTACCTCCAAGGATGATCCTCTCCACGGCGGCCAGGTTGTCCACATCAAGAAGGGCGACAAGTACGCCTGTGAAAACCCCATCAAGCTTACCATTGTTGCTGCCAAGGACTAGAACAAGTGGTTGTAACTATTTATTTGAATTGATGACTTAAGTGGAGCTGTCGTAATCGTAGTTCGATGATGTATACTTCTCAATGTGTTCATCCTTCATGATAGACCAAAGAAGTCTCACTTTCCATAATCGTCGGGTCGCCAGCTGTATGTTATCATACGGAACAATACACAGTACATCAACTTGTATACTGTTGCTTCTACAAACTACTCGTTCGCTAAAGTAAGGTGGTATCATAATTCATTTGGTTAGGTGATGCAGATGCAGCAGGGTATGTATGCGGTTGTGAGGTCTGGTGGCGTTGGAGCTCAACTTGTTATTGTCCGTCGAAGTCGAGATTATCGCATCAGAACGAGCTTTCGCTTGGCAGGGTCGTTGGCCATGAGTTTTCGAGGCATTTTGGCCTGGTTCGCAGCGCTTCCAAGCGGCTTTCTATGCGGTGCTAATTCGGACTTACGTTAGAAACAGAAGAGGAAAGGTGATACGATTGCACAACAAGACGGCTTCTGACTGTAGCACGGCTCAGGCTGATTCCATGTGATGCAAACACAAACAGAGACTATTCAGACTCTTGAAATCAACTCCCGAAACCTAGTCATTCCAGCTTTTCAGTCTTGATCGTTTGCTCTTCCATGATCTCATACTCACAGTGTAGTAAACATAATCGTTTGGTTTGGGACCAGGAGAATCAATCAAACCAAGTGGTTTTCTTTTGGGAGTGGCGGGCGATGCGGGGCAAAAGGCTGACGAGCCAGACACAAAAGCCTTGCCCTCCGGCGCCCGGTTTTCCTTGTCGGCTGTGTTGTTAATGTTCAGAGCAGCTACCTTGCGGGTGATTTGGCCGACATCGTCGACTTGAGCATGCTGGGGGACCTGATTGGTTTTGTTGGCGGTATCTCGAAAGGGCTTGAGTTTTAGCATTTGTGCAGGGTCGTCTTATGGGTCGAATTCAGGTCGTCAACCTCCTTGTGGTTAGTGTAGATGTGTAAGAAGAAAGGAGGCTCAAAACAAGCTGCATGACCTACAGTGTATACAGTGCAGGGCAGGTACGAGGGGACTGAAGAACTTGGGGGTGTCATAGGTAGTGGTAAAGAAGTTATACTTCATTGTTTGTATCAAATATTTGTGTCTTTTCGTTGGAATTGTCTGTAAAACCCCGATATTTGTAGTCTGATAAGTCACTTACCCATCCTCGAAAGACGAGCTTGTTTCAAACGCTGCAAAAACATTCAAGTACTTACAATGTAAGGGTTAGACGTACATGATTCCATCTAGTCGCATTTGGCCTTGTACTTGTAGATGATAGAATCAACTTCGACGGTTCACTCTGGTGTTTGGTCGTTTGAACGAGCTCCTATTCTCGTCGTCATACTAGCTCTAGAGTATACCCTTGCTAAACAGCATGTACTTGTACTTGTATACAGCCAAACACGACTCTCGAACAACCATCAAAAGCCCAAACTCAATCGAAATTGACTAGAAACAACTCCCGATTCACTCAGGTCGCATGTAACACAAGCACACGACTTTTCTCTCTACAAAATATCCCGTTCTGGTGCCTAAAATGACTGCTCAGTTCATTTTACTTTCCCGCACAATTGCATTGTGTTTAGGTTCTGTTTAATTAAGTCCTCTTTGGGCGATGCGGTGAGACATGTTTAGTACGAGATGTTGACCATATCTCGCCATCGGAGAGCTATGTGGACCAAGGCGATAATTTGCGGGTCTTCTTGGAGGTGAATTCCACTTATTTCCGCCTCAAAATTTCAAAAATCTCTACTCTAGCTCATTTTGTAGGGCTCTATAAGGCTCTTTGCTTTTTCTCCAATCTCAACAGTCCCTAGCTACACTGTAGTTTCCAAGATTCATAGGAATGACATCAAACAAGAAATTTCGGGGCAGATTTTTTCACTAAGTCTCTACACCATCTATAAAAGCCCATTCAGCTTGTCCCGCCCCTCCCTCATGGACACAAAATCCCCTATATCATCACGTTCCAGCTCCCTGCCGAAACTCTGTTTGTTTACCCCGTTCCCAAAACGGCAAGACACAATCAGTGCATGGAGTTGTAAATTATGCAGGCCTGATGGCATAACCAACAACCGCTACTGCAACTTTCATCCTGATCGTGAACTTGTCCACATCCACAACCCAGACCGAAAATGGACACTCCGACCCGTCCCCGAGCCGATCTGGGCTCCATCAACCTGCTCAAGGGCTCAATTCGCAACTCGATCCGAAAGAACGCCGACAAGAGTGCAAACAAGGAGAACCGACCGGTGGATGTCGACACAAAGTCGCACGAACACAAGCAGTACGAACACAAGCAGTACGAAATCAGCTCACCCAGAGCCGACATACAAACGGTCAAGACTTCGGTGGACGTAAACAGCCCCTCCGTGATGGCCACGTTCGATTCCAATGGCCAGCGAATCTTCCAATATGGACGTCCTGCCAGTCCCACAAAACAGCTGCGAAAGTCGCGATCGAATGCCTCCATTTCTGGACCAGCAGCAGCCGACTCGTCATTCAGCATGCCTTCACCCCAAATCGCACACTTGTCGCCCAAGTTCAAGCGAGAAAACGACTCGTGGAGCACCCCCAGAATCCAGGCCAACAACCGAACCAAAAGACCCCCTAGCACACCGCTGACTCCCGGACAGTTCCAGCAAAACGTGCGACGTGTCAAACTGGGCACACCCGCTACAGTGAGCACATGCAACCTCTTTTACCCTCCTTCTCATGGACTGGCTGATGATGGAGATGACGAAGACGACAAGGAAGACTCGGAAAACCACACGGCCCCTTTCCCAACGATACCCGCTTTCAGCATTGACACACCGGTCATTTGCAAGCCCCTGCCTTCATTCAACCCCAACTGGGACTCTCCTGATTGCCATCTCAGTGACTCTACGCCCATGGGAACCCCCGACACGGTGCTGAAGATGAGACAATACATCACCAAGCTCAAGAGCAAGCCGCGCTTTGTGTCTTTGGCTGACGAAGATGCTGCGAATGTGTCTCTGTCGCAGTCGCAGGACACGTCCCAGGACTCTTCTTTCGGTCCTGTTTCTCCTGTCAAGTCTCGAAAGCAGCCTCTCATTGATCTTGCGGATCTCGAGTCGCAGCTTGTGACCCAGAGATACGATCTGGAGATTGAACAGATGACCGACGTGTTGGATTTTATGAAGCTTGAGGCCAAACTGAAGGTGTAGAGGAGGAGAGACCGATAACGATGTGCTAACGAAATGTTGTATTATAGATAATGTTATGAGATACCATGATAGAAAAGGAATATTGAATGTAGGTATGTTGTTGGTATAGATTCACATGAGCCTTGTATATTGATTCTCATTTAGTGATCTACGATCTACTAATGAGTCTTTCATATGGTTTTTGGGCTAGCAAGTAGACCTACAAGTAGCCAAATCTGATGCAACCTTTTACTTGTACCGTATGTACTTGTAGATACACGTATTTAATCCGAAATACATGTATTAATTGGCTTGACGTTTATACTGAAGAAACACCAATTAGCCGTACGTAATTAACACTGGTATAGCCCCTATTAAGTCATTTAGCTGCTCCCTAAAGATTGCATTAGTCCGTCGACTAGCGCAACCCCTAAACGGATCCTTACAAAGGTGAATAACGGAATTGTTATTGAGAAGGGGTAGTCGTACCTTCTGGTGACATTTTCAACAGGCTCATGTCTTTAATAGACAAGTTATGGCTCCTTGAAGGTTCAAGTTGAATAAGCTAAGTGCATGGAGATGAAAGAGAGAAAAGTGGACTGTGGTGATTTTCTTAAATGGGAGAAAATGGGAACAAATAACGGAGCATTTTGTAACACATATTTCCAGTTTTTTACTGAATAAAATCACAAGAGCAGGACACAGAAGGGAATCTCATTTTTACCATGCTCAATGTTACCCTTTCCCTCCCCCTCCCCCCCATACACACAGATTATGAACAAAACATAAGGTTTGGCTTGCCACAGCACATAGAGCCTCAAATGTCTAAATGTTTTACTCCACACCTCTTTTTTTCTGCCCAACGACAACGCGACTCTTCATAGCAGCAACTTGCTAGCGACATAAAGAACACATTTCCAGCGACACAGACACGCGCAGACGCGATTGAGCGAAAAGTTGGCCGTTTAATAAGTCCCGAAACTCGATTTTGCACGATTTCCTTTTTCTAACACAGAACAAGTAAGTATGGGAGACAACATGGATGACGCCATGGAGATTGTGGGGGACAGCGATTTTGCCACGGACGTGGAGGGGATGATGGATGGTGCTGTGGAAACCAATGACGCCACTCCCGAGCTGGATTACCCGATGGATGGAGACATGAGTGATGTAGAGGACATGCTGGAGTACGAGGAGGATGAGGCTGCTGGAGGTGGCGACACAAACCGAGAGAAGAACGACACGGAGGATGCTGGAAGAGATATTGCGGGGACAGAGACGGAGACAGAGGCGGATGTGGGGGATCGAGAGGGCATCGACTCGACCGAGTTTGTGGGTGATGACTCAGCCGCTGACTCAGCCGGCGTTTCAGGAACCGATGCTGGTGGACTTGGGTTTGTAGAACCGACTTCTGCCGCAAACCCAAACCCAACCTCGGTTCCCAGCGCTCCCAATATGGATGATGCGACAGCCCATGCAAAGTCTATTTCGGACGGTCATATTCATATGCAACAGGGAAGCCCACAACAAAAAAAAGATAAGCTCCCCAACCAACAGCAAAATGAGATATCGTCTGGACTCGGAGCAGTGGCACAAGCGGGGGACCATGCGGTGGAGCGAGAGACGCAAGAAGGAACAACACAAGCAACAGAAGGAACACAAGGAGCACGGGCTCTCAGCGGGTTGGAAGACGTACCTCCCTCAGGACATGCCGCAGACCAAACGGTACCCTTTACCGTCCATGCCGACCATGCAAATGCCATCGATGGTGCCTCTGTTGCTACCGGGACTGCCTCTGCCGCTGAGACTGTTGACGTGGACCCTACTGGTGATGACAGTGCTGGCAATGGTATTCACACTGCTGGTGGTGCAGATGGTTTTCGTGGCATCAACCATGGGTCTGCTGCTCATGGTGGCAATGCTGCTGGCGACGCTGGTGCTGGCTCTTCTGTTGGCACGAGCGGCAACACTGCCGAAACAGGCGTTCAGCAAGATACAGCGGACGTGCCAACAGACGTTCATGACATTGGTGCTGCCGCTGGTGCACCCAATGCTGTACATGCGACACATTATGACGCGGAGGCTGGTGGATATGAACAAGCTGCCCCAGATTCTGTGGCGCATGAGCATGCGGCTGCTGCGGTACACGGTGCGCATGAGCCTGATGCCAGTCAAGCTGACGGTGCGCCTGACTCTGCTGCCGGTCAAGCTGACGGTTCACGTTACCATGTTCCCGGTCAGAGTATCAATGCGCATGTGGAGCCGGCTGCGAGTCAAGATGCAGCAGGTCTACGAGGCCAGGCTGATCAGGGGCATGAACGTGCTGCGCCTGAAGATGGTGGGTTAGGCGGCGACAGCGAGTTTGTGGCCGAAATGAATGACCTGGAGGACGCAACGACATCCTCCGCGGCTGCAGTTTCCGCGGCTGACGGCGGACCGGGCGCTCTAGCTGCTGGCGTGGCCGCCGAGGAGCTGCCTCTCGATGAGGCAGCGTCGGAGGCTTTGCAAGGGCATGAAGATGCTGCGGCTGCCGAGCTCGCCGACAACACGGCTGAGTACTACGACCAGTCGCTCGATCTGGATCTATCTGTGCCTGTTTTGGTGCATTTTGCAGAGACTGGCAAGACCTATCTTGTTTCTGGCGAGCACGCCGACTATCCGCCGCTGTTTGAAGATATCCGAGGCTCGGAGCTACAGGAGTATTCTATGGAGGACGTGTTTGGGCTCATGCGACGGTCTCTGGAGGGTTTTTGCTCCATGGATGAGGAGCTGGTGCTCACCTGTGCTCAATTGGGTCTTGTGTTGGGCGAAGACAATGTGTGCAGCAAGGATGCGACATTGATGGATCTTGTGCGCCTTTTCCAGACATTTGCGGCCAACACGGTCGATTACCAGCGGCCCGCCACGTTTGACATGCGTCTCAGCCTGTCCCAACGGTTCATCTCAAACTATAATCGGCTCTACAGTTTGGCTCAACAGGGCCATAGTTTGGTGGATTTGAGTGATTTGTCCCGCCACGTGCAACAAGGTTCGGTTGAAGATGTCGCGGAGGTGGTTGGAGGAGGTAACCTGGGCAAGGAGATTCTGGGCAGCAATTCCGCTGCTCTAGAGGACGAGGCTCAGGTTGCGGAGGAAACTTCGCGAGCCCAGGAGGCCAGTCTGGAGTTTGCCAAACAGGCGTTCAGCGGGTCTAAACCTAATGAGGATCCCGAAGATGAGTTGGATCCGGTTTTGGAAACCAACTATTTGCCTCTGAAGCGAGGCGCAGAGGACGGCGAGGTTGAAGAAGGCTCGGATGTCAAGAAGGCCAAGGAGGAGTGAGAGGGGTAGCGCGGGGGGGGTAGAAATGTAATCCTTATCTTCTATATAGACTATAGAACGCGATACAAGTGTTTCAAGTAGATGGTGGCAAAGTGTTTATGGACCGTGTAGTACGAATGTATCGTACAATTTCTTTGCTGCTATAGTGTTACAGTCTATTGTGACTACTTTTGCTCTTGTTAGTGACGCTAGAGGCTAGAAATGAAAGAGATACCAGCCACTATGCGACGCTACGTGCAGTGGTGCCCACGACGCCCTCACTCCCGATGCGGCATTACCATGTTGACGGCCCACATTTGCAATCTTTGTTATTATCGTATTTATTTACAGATTGTAATCACCGTATAGTTTGAGACACCCATCTGCCGCCGCCTTGCCGTACTTTAGGGAGTTTAGTGACGTCATGCGTGATGGATTATTCTGCTGCTAGTGGTGGAGGGGCTCCAAAATAGAGCGGATGGCGTCCTTCGGAGTGCTAGGGCGTATTGGGGTTGTTCTTGCGGCTCCGTAGATGCCACCGTGTGCTTTCTGTGTCCTTGTATTGGTTGTTGTCGGTGCAGAGATCTGAGATTTTGCTGATAATCTATTTACGGGCAGTACATATGACGGCAAAAAAACGTGGTTAAAAAACGAGCTCAATGTGGATATGTGCCGTTACTGTGTACAGACGATTAGACGATAAGGAGGACAGATTGCGGTGCGATCACAGTGGCCGATCAGACGGGCGGGATGTTTTATCTGCGGAAATTAAATAGCGGTTTTTGTTTGTTTTTGTTTTTCTTGTTTTTCTTGTTTTTCTTGTTTTTCTTGTTTTTTTATTCTAACACATGCAATGTATTGCGCTAGCAGCCAGCAACAAATTATGGATAATCGAGTTAGCGCGGCCGAGTGGCTGACACAGTGTCTCATTGGGTGTTTCACTTGTGTCTGACTACGAGCGCATCCGGGTATGAGTACAAATGCGAGTGCCATTGGCTGGGATTGCAACAAGAAGACTATCAGTTGTTACGGCTCTTTCCATAGATGGTGGAGACTATGTACTGTGTATGTATAGTAGTACATATTGTAGTAAAATTGTCTTGTACGCGTTGGATGACAGTTAGGGCGGTCCATTAGCACACTTTGAAGCGGGGATGTCTTCGTATTTTTGTAATATCCGATGGCAGGATGTTTAACTGGAGAGAGACACCTTGGCTTGGTGAAAAGATGGGCAAGCTGAGACAGGGTGGATACGTTGGTTGTTGACTATGATTGGATGACTTTACGGTGGTGTGATACCATCAAAGCGAGACGCCCGAACAGTCTTTCTGATCCAGTTGTACGGTGATCATACTGTCCAGCCTATCCTGACGAAGGTCGACATAACACTGCCTCGGGCTTAATGCGACGGATGGTAGTTGCGCTAAGAGCTGTCCGAACGTTCACAGTTAGTTTATGTCTACAACCAAGGGTCTTTCAACAGGACAGTACATACGTACAGTACATACTATAAGTGATATCTCCTCGGTCAACATTTTCCACAGTAGACAATAAAAATTGAGAGTGGTATATGACAAATGGAGGATCTCGGTGGCTTCAGAGATGTATCTTTGTACAAGCATGATACTCATGCCATAACTTCTGTATCTAAAGCATGCATCCACAAAGTGCACATCTCTCCCCCCACCCCACCCTGCCGTTGCAGAGTCGGCCCGGCTTCGCGATGTTTAATGGATGGTCCTGAACCTTGTCCCTATTGGGGTAGATGAAGATGGGCGACAAAAGTCACGTTGGAGAGTCCGGAAGGAAAATAATTTTACAAAGATTGACAGCGAATACTCACGGTTTCACGTGATTCAAATCTCCACCAGGTTTTTTCTTCTAATCTGCCGATTTCATGTGCTTCGTCAAGATCAGCACTCTCTAACGGTTACTGTATATTAATGTCGTGTGGCTGATATAGATTGGCAAAATTAAGTACGGGATTAGCAAGTATTGTGCAGGCAACAAAAATACAAATAAAGACATAAATACCATTATTAATGCTTCTATGATAATCTCAATCTATCATCCAGTTGATATCCTCGTTATTACACACACTACAGTCCCCATCTTACGTCTTACCAACTAACTTTAACATATACTTACCGCTCTAGTTGAATGTCTCCAAGTAACACACATCACAGCAATATCCCTCTCAGAAACACCTGGTGTAAAATTCCTTTTTCAAAATTGCATCGTCTTCCTGTGCCGATACAAATTCCACTCCTTGTTTTCTTATCATGTGGCCACGTCGCTCCACAGCGTTCACACATCCATCTCATCTCTCATCCGCTTGTCGGAGGTAGGCAAACTCTATTACCAGCATGCATTCACCCTTTTTTACTGCTGTCAAAAACAGCCTACAAGTACACCAAACCGCACACGTTCAACCGCCTGTTCATCTCTGCAGGTTTCGCGAAGATGAAGTTCCGCATTTCGCTGAAATGGCAGCTGTCCTTTGCGGTGTCGTTCACGGCCTTCTGCTGCCTAGGTCTGTTGAGTATCATCACGTACTTCAACAACCAGGGCACAGTTTTGGACCTGCGACGAAACCGACTGACGGTCATTGCCCAGCTGAAAAGCTCACAGATCAGTTACTACTTGAAATCGCTCCAGACAGGGACGGTGTCTCTGGGGTCACGTGAGTTCCTACAGACGCTACTGATGGACTCGTATAACGGAGCAAGCATCAACATCACGGCCCAGGTGGATCCGTTTGTGACGGCTCTGGAGAGCTCCGACGGGCTCGGAGGCGTGGTTTACGACTACGAGTTCAACCAGATTGCTGCCGTGCTGTTGGATGACCCCGTCACACAGAACGTAACCGAGTGGCCCATGAGTATGCTTCCTGTGACTCTTTCGCCGTTCCAAAAGCAGATTCTCCGCACAAACTCGTGGATGTTGCAGGGGCCAGAAATCATAAACAGCAGAAACGACTTTGTGTTCACCATGACAACAGCTGTCGGCAAAAACGGGTTTGAGTTCCCACAGGTCAACGGCTCCATTGTGGGATATATTACGGTACTAGTCAAGGCCAACGGACTCATGAGCATTCTCAACATGAATGACGCCGTTACTGAGGCGTCGAAATCCGACCTGTCACTTATCTCTCTCACCGACGACACCTCGGAAGCAATCTACAAACAATTTTCGCTCAAGAACGACACTTTTATGGACTCTATAGGTAGAGAGGGTATCCGTTCGCCACTCATCGACGACATGAAATACACCTACGCGCTGCCAACAAACTCGTGCATGACCTGCTACACGTACGAGTTCCCTCTCAATGCAAACGAGGGTGCATATGAAGCCTACCTGGGGTACTACTTCAACGACAATGTACCCTATGGGTCCATATTGAACGTTCAGTATGCGCGCACAAATGTGGCAGTGGGATACGCCAAGGTTACGACCAACTCAGCAAACACGTATCCTCGATGGGCCGTTATCGCTGCTCAAAGTCACTCCGATGTCTACAAGCCATTGTATACACTGCGGAACATTCTGCTGATTTCCGTCTTCTCACTAGGAGCTGGAGTGTGTCTTGTGACGTTGGTGTTGGCGTCGTGGGCTGTGGGACCCATTCTGAGGCTTCAGGCAGCCACTGATCGGTCTACAGGCCGAGCACACAAACTGGCCTGGTGGCGGAACTTGAGTTGGAAAAAGAACGGAGGAAAGGGAGGAAAGGGAGGAAAGGGAGGTGATGATGGCAAAAAGCCAGCGACAAAGACGTCCATAAACACGCTGGATACGGTTCATTCGGAAAAGGGTGCTCGATCAGATGGGGTACCTGAAAGCACGTCTTCGGAGGATACTCGTATCGACAGCCAGACCAAGGGCGCTACCACGGCCTTCCACCGACGACACGAGTCTCAAGAGCTTAGAAAAATTGTTTCCAACCCCAACATGGAGTTCAAGGTGCCTGCCAAGGTGGAAAACCGAAAGCGGTTTGTGATTGACGAGCTGTCCGAGTTGACGGACACGTTCAACATTATGGCCGAGGAGCTGCGCAAGCAGTACGACACATTGGACCAACAGGTCAAGCAGCGAACCAAGGAAATTGAGAGTGCCAAGGAGCTGGCCGAGACGGCCAACGAGGCAAAGACGCTGTTTATTGCAAACATTACACACGAGCTACAGACTCCTCTGAACGCCATTCTAGGTCTAACTGCTGTGTGTATGGGTGAGAAGGATGTCGTCAAGGTGAAGAGAAACCTCAAAGTCATTTACCAGAGTGGAGAGCTGCTATTGCATCTTTTGACTGATCTGTTGACGTTCAGTAAGAACCAGCTGGGCAAGTTGACGCTCTACGAAGTCGATTTCACCGTCTCCGAGGTGGTCATGCAGCTGGAGAGTATTTTCCAGCAGCCCTGCCAGGATCTGAACATCAGTTTCAGTATTGCGTCGTCTGACCATGCCCTGGTTCTTCATGGAGATATGAACCGAATGTTGCAAGTTGCCATCAACCTCATTTCGTCGTCTTTGAAGTCTCTGACAGGAGGTGACTCGGTTGAAGTTGTTGTTAAGGTCGATATTGAAAAGCTGACATCTGGTCTAGCTAATAAGCATCATTCGTTGGTCACATCATCTACCCGTGGCCGAGGCAATTCCTTGACGTTGGCTACTACCCAGAACTCTCCCTGCGGCTCCTTTACTTCAACCACTAACCGAGAGTCAGTGAGTTCAATCTCCGGTACTGGCTTCCTGTCTCTGGTTGTCAACACTACACACACGGAGCACGATCTCAACGAAGGCAAGGACATTTCCAACGCAATTCAAAACTCCGGAACCGAGCTTGGCTTATCCATTTGTCGTCAGCTTGCGGAGTTGATGGACGGAGAAGTTCATCTTGAGAACCCCTTCTGGTTCCGATTGCCTGTCAAGATTGGCGATCGAAGCAACTCCGGAATTGAGGAGGTGATCCAGCCCAAGGCCAAGAAGAAGAACAACGTCAGCAGTGGTCTAGTGATCCAAGCACCTGCTGCCAACACATGTGTGGAGTCAGCTACCAGTCCTCCTGTGCCTGCCACCCCCACTGTGGCTCATCCTACTCCTTCTCCAGTGCCTATACACCCGCCCTTGCGTCCCTCACTGAGCAAGGTCACTGCCGCCACATGTAAGGTGCTTATTGTGGAGGACAACCACGTGAACAAGGAGGTGATGACACGAATGCTCAATCTGGAGGGTATTCGAGACGTGTCTGTTGCTGTGGACGGTCTCAAGGCGGTTGAAGCCGTGGAGGCCATTCTTGCTCAGGGCCAGATGTTTGACGTTATCTTCATGGACGTTCAGATGCCTGTGATGGATGGAAGAGAGGCCACTCGGATCATTCGAACAAAGTTGGGTTATACAAACCCCATTATTGCCGTGTCTGCGTATGCTGATCAGTCCAACATCAACGACTGTCTTGCCACTGGTATGGAGACCTTCCTGGCCAAGCCTCTCAAGCGGCCTCAGTTGAGAGAGGTTTTGATTAACTTGGGTATTCAAGTGAAGGAGAGAAAGTAGACCTGCCACAGCGAAAGGTCAGTTTTTATTTATTACTAATGCATATGATTTTATATCGACATTTGCCATACAACCCAGTATCGGTACAAGTGCTGGTACATACTGTACGAGTACTCGTGGTGGAAGAGGGAAGAGCAGGATGCGAGCAGACAAGGGGTTAACTTTTCTGAGCAAAATCCATACATTGCTAATGCACGATTACCAATCAGCCCTGCTTTTACGGCTGTCGTAAACGTTACCTCTTGCAGCTCTTATTTTATGATGAATCATCCCGGAGCGTTCCGTACAGTACATACGAGTACGACTCGTGATGGATGCGGTTAGAACAGCTATGCAGGATTCATTCCACTATTTCCGCGTTCCGAGATCCGCATAACCGCCGCGTTTATGCAACTCAGCTGGTCCGATTTCGTCACATAGGTCGGAGCTGAGTACATACGACTATCGTACACTTGTACGAGTCGGTGCATTTTTCCGATGCAACTTTTTTTAGTGCAGCCGAGCAGAAAAAAAAAGTGGAGACATAATATTGGAGAGTGCAAATGTGTGTATGGAAGTAGTTTGCACGGTTTCCAGAGCGAAGCTCGTTGTTTAGGCTGCTATTGGCCATGTTACAGTGGACACGGCGGTCCTACCACGCCCAAGTCTCATCACTGAGTCACTGTCAACTGACTTTTGGATCGGCAAAGTTTCGACTCCGGGCTGCGTCGACTGCGTCTTTCTTTTATTTACGGGTTGCTTCGAGTGTTTGAAGGCCATTCAGTATTCATTGGTCGGGTGGAGCTCTTCTGGAGCGCGAGTTTCGAGATTCCGGGTTCTTGTCAGTATTTTGCTCGTCGGAGACGGTTCTTGTGGATATACACAACAATGGCGACCGCGTGGCCAATACAGAATGAGCCATGTCCAGGTGTAGATGTGTAGAGTTAATACCAATAGGTTCAGTGCTGTTGTCAGTGTAGCACAGGGTTAGAGTTGGCTATAGCTTACTCGATACCTTCCGGGGACATGGTGAAGTGAGTCGGTGACCTCGATTGAAAGAGCCCAATTCAGCGGTTTAAACGAGATATAGAGCAGACAGAGACGGATAGTGAGAGAAGAGATGGGCTGATTAACAGAGAGACAGGCGGAGACAGAGGCCACAGAGGCCACAGAGACACAGTGAGGGATATAACCAGAACAAGACAAGAAAAAAAGACAAACAAGACAAACAAGAAAGAGACACGGCGAAACAAAGACAGCTTCGACGACTCGAATGTTGATTATCATTCATTCTTAGTCCAAATGTAAGTTGTGATCTCACCAAATCCTCTTACTAATGGTCCTGCAAGTAGATCTCGTTCCCATCGCCTCCTCTAGACCCATCGGTTAGCTCGTAACGCTCTTCTGCAATGGCAGCTAAAACTTTACAAGCCCTGGCGCTGTCGGACCATTGACCCGGAGGTTAGCCGCATTGGCCTGCATGTCAGGCGAGGCTTTTATTAACACCGTAGCGAAATGAAAGGGATGATCACTCGGCTTCTTTGGATGTAAATTGGCGGGGTTTTTTCGGTGGGTGTATTTCTGCGGCCCATGTTGGCCGATGAACGATATCATTGGCCTTTTTTGCTTTTTTCCCGACTGCTTTCCGGCGATTTCCAGCGTGTTGTTCTTGTCGATATAATCTCCGTGTAGGCTGACCGATTTTTTTAATCTTTACCTTTTAATTTTTGACTGTTTTGCATTCTCATTGCTCCTTCCCAAATTGCAGTGTACTGTACTTGTACATTGCACAACCTTTTCAAAGTCATTGTGCAACTCTATGGGCCATCGTCGAGGCTCCAGTAGGCGGCCCACCCAACGTATGGAGCTACCGGGCGAAGGGAGCCAACTTTGCGGCATTTACAGAAGCCATCTCCGTGTCCTTAGCACCCTTGTGGCGCTCAACAATGGCCTCCAGATCCACTTGTGATGTGGAGACTTGTGCAGCACGATGCGTCTGTAAGACCCGTTGAATCCGAAACTCAGACCCTGTAAAAGTGTATTTTCGGGGAAAGGGCATCATGCGATTCGCAGACCAAGGGGGAAGCCAGACCGAGACTCGGTGCTTGTGCTCCTGTTCGTAGTGTTTTCTCACATTCGCGACAAGTGAGATATGCTTTAGGCTGGGATCGGAATGACACATGCAAATAGGAGACGACGGTTGGTGGGCCCGAGCCCCAAGCCAGGCCTCGTGAGCTCGGTAAACCCACCTCTGAGCGCGCGCGCCGTGGTATGAATCCAGTCCTTCCCTGGATGGGACATGCGCATGCACTCGTTGTTGCACTGCACTATTACGTCGTATGGCCACTCAGGCCCGGTTGTCACCCGGTTGTACTCACCCATTGTAGTTGGCGTCGGTTCTTGGTCTGCTCGCAGGCCAATCAAAAACATCCCAAACCACACCATAATATGGCGTGTGAGATGCAGCACTTGCGTCTGTGAAAAAAGACTATCTGGCTGCCACCAGGGACTTATATAGACGTCGAAATACCGACAAAATAAAACAGACACCCATCACACAATCCCAGTAATCAACCATGCTCACCGACGCCCAGATCAAAATCATCAAGGACTCTGCCCCCTTCCTGGCAGAAAATGGCACTGACTTTGCTGCCAAGATGTACAAGTACATGTTCGCCACCTACCCCGAGGTGATCCGATTCTTCAACCAGAGCGACCAGAAGAACCTGGCCCAGCCCAAGATTCTGGCCCACGCTCTGGTTGCCTACGCCTCCAACATTGACAACCTTGGCGTGCTGTCCGACTTTGTCGAGCAGATTGTCGTCAAGCACGTTGGCCTGCAGATCCAGCCCGAGCAGTACCCCATTGTGGCCGCTTCCATCATCCACACCCTCAAGGAGATGCTCGGCGAGGCTGCCACCCCCGAGTTCATCGAGGCCTGGACCGTGGCTTACACCCAGCTGGCCAACATTCTCATCGACGCCGAGAAGAAGCTGTACGAGAAGCAGGCTTCTCTGGCCGGCGGCTGGGAGGGCTTCCGAGACTTTGTCGTGACCAAGGTCGAGGACGAGTCTTCCAACGTCAAGTCCGTCTACTTCAAGTCTGCCGACGGCAAGCCCGTTTCCACTCCCATCCCCGGCCAGTACGTGACTTTCCTCTTCACCTTCAACGGCCAGGAGACCATGCGATCCTATACCGTTTCCCAGAAGGTGACTGGAGACGAGTACCGAATCTCCGTGCGAAAGGTCAAGGGCGGCCTCGTTTCCACTTACATCCACACCGAGGTCAAGCCCGGCACTCAGCTCAAGGTTGCTCCTCCTACCGGCCGATTCACCTACACCGACGATGGCAAGAAGATTCTCTTTGTGGCCGGCGGCATTGGCATCACTCCTCTCATCTCCATCATTGAGGAGACCAAGGGTAAGGAGGGCAACGCGCTCATCTACTGTGACCGATCGCCCGAGACCCAGCCTTTCGGCAAGTGGCTGCAGGACGCTGGCGTCAAGACCACCAACGTTTACTCCGAGACCGCCGACAAGCGACACATCAGCAAGGACGACTTTGCCGGTGTTGATCTCAGCAACGTCAACGTCTACCTTCTGGGCCCTCCCCCCTTCATGACCACTGTGCGAAAGCTGCTGAGCGAGCTTGGTTTCTCCGGCGAGATCAAGACCGAGTTTTTCGGCCCTGTCGAGGTTTAAGACACCTCTTCTGCTAGCGGAAAATCTCTTGGCTCCCTTTACAGGCATTTGTATGCACTCCCGTCGCATTATTGCCCGTTTGGGGGTGTGGGGTAGATTTGAGATCACACCATATGGGTGTCATCCAGGAACAGATGCACAGCCTCTTATTTAATTAATTCAACAATGACCATAGAACGTGTTTGACGATGGAAGATGAAATGATCAGGCAAAGACAGTGAGACAAGGAATAGATCGTGGAAGGCGTGGGTTGCGTAGCAGAGGGGAGGGTGTTGGGGGGGATGAGGGGATGAGTTGAGGTGACACAGCCTGGGTTCAACAAGAAGGAGGTTACTGTCTTGGGTTTCTGGTGGCTATTGGAAGAGGGCATGCTCTTATAGCTATACAGTAACCTGGTCGCTTAGGGTATGTATACGGTGTGGAGGTTTCCCCGGAGAAGCACCAGGGTTTATCGTACACGGAGTCCGTGGATTAAGAAAAAAATGCACATGCGGTTACTGATCACGAATTGTGGAGTGCAGGGACACCCTGGCACATGTGTTTATTCCTTCCACGGTCCACTGCTGTCTTGGTATACCAATAGTTCATGGTCTATGGTCTATACTTGATCACTGGGCACGGAATAACTCGGAATATCACCCACAAGCCTGCTCAACAAGACAGCCACAACGCACAAGGAAGAGTCATTGTGGGTGGTGTAACAGGCCAGGGGTGTACACGGTGGCTGTTCTGCCAACACGTCAAAAATTTTCCCGTCTTCTTTCTTAGTCTCATTCACTTTCAGGCTAGTGAATCTACCCCGCATTCTGCATCACGACTCTGACAGCTGAGGGAGATAGCTCTGGCCAATGACACGACACGGTACCAGCCTGCGGAACAACTCGCGAGTCCTACGATGTAGGTGCCACATTCTTTGTCTGGTCCACGCGATCGTGTTGAGATATGTTTGAGCGTGGCCGACACGGCTGGGTATTGCGGTAACGGTGATCTCTCAGAACATGGCACCATCGCGGTGGTGTTTCGAGTAGAGAGTGGCTGTTAAAAGAGATGATGGAACTCACACACTCGCTGGGTGTTCTTGAACCGGTGATACCAATGCATGGAATACCAGCACTGGCAACATGGATCCCCACAAACACACACTTTCCCAACAAGGTGAGAGTTTCATTAGCGTGGTTTCCATGCGCGGCGGAGAAAATGGACGTGTGAGACGCCAGAGACTGCTAGTGCAGAAAGGTTTTCGTCTTGGCACGGATTATCCGGTGGGACTCACGATCCTGGCTGGTGTATGGAGATACTGGCAAACTCACACGATGCTTCTTCATACTGCATTCTTGACACTGACATTTGTGGGGTGTCAGCTCAAAATCTGCTATAGTGCTGTATCAAAAGCCGGAGGTACTTGGTCCACAGGTGGAATACCTACTGATCCATTCCAGTATCGCCTCTGCTATACTACACACTCTTGCCTTCGGACAGCCTTTCCCGATCAGTACATCCTAAAAGCAACTGTTCAACGACCCTGTGGTTCCCCTCTGCGGCTACTTTCGGGTTCTAAAAACAAAAAAAAACCAACAATTTTCCGACTCTTCATTTCGCTCCGTTTTTTTCCTTTTTCTTCTCACAAGGTTGCTTGGCAAGTCAGCCAAGTGTGGAGTGGCATACAACACACGATGGGGAAACGAGCTGGTATTTCCCGGTGAGAAGGTGATACCGTACCAAACAGATACTTTATGATACCAAAAGTTGTTGGAAAAAGTGCCGAGAACCGTTCGGTTTTGGGAATTTCAAGTCCCATCTATTCTCGACGATGCTAACTATATCCCATACCAGTATCATCACGGACTGTTACACGTCCTCCTGTCTATGACATACCCTTGTTTGAATCCACCCAATGCCAAGATCTGGTGCAATCCAGCTGGGGTAAATGTCACCAGCTCGGGCCTGTTGGTCTTGCCCGAATATAAATACTCCATTCACCGCTGCTTCTACTTGCTCTATCTCCATCAGCTAACACCATGGATCTCGACAACTACCCTCCTCCCGATCTCTCATGGTCTAACATCAAGCACTACCTGGGCACTCGAATCTCCACCCTGAAGCCCCCGAAGCTCACTGAGGCTGAGAAGAAACACATGAACCCCATCCCTGCCCTGCGACTGCTCAACAAGAAGCAGTGGCTGTTCGTGGGTGTGGCTCTTGCCGGCTGGACTTGGGACGCCTTTGACTTCTTCTCCGTCGGTGTGGTCGCTACGCAGATCGCCGAGGACCTGAATGTCACAGTCAAGGATGTCACCTGGGGTATCACTCTGGTGCTCATGCTGCGAGCTGTTGGTGCTGTTCTGTTTGGTGTGGCCTCGGACCGATATGGTCGAAAATGGCCCTTTATCTTCAACAACTTTCTCTTTGTCGTCCTGGAACTCGGAACCGGTTTCGTGCAGACCTACCAGCAGTTCCTGGGAGTCCGAGCTCTGTTTGGTATCGCTATGGGTGGTCTCTACGGTAACGCTGCTGCCACTGCTCTTGAAGACTGCCCTCCTGAAGCCCGAGGTTTTATTTCTGGTCTCTTCCAGAAGGGTTACGGTGTAGGATACTTGCTCTGTGTCGTTTTTGCTCGTGCTATTGCTGATACTTCTCCTTACGGCTGGAGAGCTCTGTTCTGGTTCGGAGCCTGTCCTCCCGTGCTCATCATGATCTTCCGATTCTTCCTTCCCGAAACCGACACTTACATCCAGTCAAAGAAGAACGCCGAGGCCGAAGGAGTTGAGAAACAATTCTGGCAGGGAGTCAAGACCACCTTTAAGTCGTACTGGCTCATGTTCTTCTACCTGGTTCTCTTCATGACCGGCTTCAACTTCCTTTCCCATGGCTCTCAGGACCTCTACCCCACCATGCTGCGAGCTCAGCTGGGCTTCGACAAGGATCAGTTTACCATCACTAACTCTGTTGCTTCTCTGGGCTCCATCTTCGGTGGAATGGTCATTGGTCACGCGTCTTTTATTCTCGGCCGACGTCTTACTATTCTTCTGGCTTGTATCCTCGGTGCTGCCTGCATCTACCCATGGGCCTTTGTCACTGGTCCCGGTATCAATGCCGGAGTCTTCTTCCTGCAGTTCTTTGCCCAGGGAGCTTGGGGAGTCGTTCCCATCCATCTCACCGAACTGTCTCCCCCTGCCCTTCGATCTTCCATGATTGGTATTGCCTACCAGCTCGGTAACCTGGCCTCTTCCGGTTCTTCTACCATCCAGGCCACTATCGGTACCCAGTTCCCTCTGAGAGACGAGAACGGAAAGATCCGACCCGGTGTCTACAACTACTCGCTTGTCATGGCCATCTTCATTGCGTGTGTCTTTGTCTTCCTCTTTGTCGTCACCCTGCTTGGTCCTGAGCGACGACACGCTGAAATGATTGCTGGTGGTGCTGGACACCGATCCGAGTCTGACGAAAAGATCTACGACGAAGAGAAGGGAGCTGCTGTCAATGTTGAACAAGTGGAATCGCCTGCTAGCACTCCTGAACGTTCTGCTAGCCCGTTGCCGACCACAGAGGTCAACCACACCTCTGAGACCCTCCCCGGATCCCAAAAGTGATCATTCCATAAAACGTATTTAATAAATGAGAAGAATTTTTGAAACTGAAGGCTTGAAACCGAAGACTTGTATGACTTCTCTTCTGCTGATGCTTTGGACAACCGAGAAATAGACACCATACTAAAATCACGCTAAACTCACGCCAAAATACGAACGACGCTAAAAACACGACGGCGCTAAAATGCTACAGCCGTACCAATCTTACAGTAACGGGAGGTATATGTCTGTACATACTGTAGGCGGTATACGTCAAGCTGGATCAGGCGATTGTTTTGACATTACTTTTGTACCTATAGCGCAATACTTTGCTGTGCAGCAGGTTCGAATCGCATCCCTCGACTATGACTTCAAAAAAAAAAAAAAAAAAGTGCCAAAGTAATGAAAAGACAGCTGGTATTGTTTCAACAAAGTGTAGCAGTAGATCCAACAGATAAGAAACTTCCGCTTCGAGATTTCCAGCCATTACCCCACCTGTCACTGTCAAACGTCTGTCGGTGTTTGGTCCAAACCTACACGGTTAACACCCCGGATATCTACATGCCCCCCCCCTGTTAATGATAGGAGTTCTTTTCTCCTTGATATAACAGCCATGTGTCTCACATTTCAAGGTTAATAGTCATAAAAGGAGATTAACCCTGCACCCGAGACCTGTTGATCCTACAAGTACTGTACGAACGACTCCTATTGTACGTGGAATCACCAGCCAAGGTGCAAATTGGCGAACGTGTGCTGTTACAAGTCCTTGAGCAGTTATCAGTTCCTCCCGCAAAAGTAACTCTCTTCGTAATATACATTGTCTATGATTGTAAATGTACAGTCCAATATTCCTCTCATTTCATCAACTACCGTGCTTCTCCACCTCTGAAAAGTCATACTCCTCCTTACCATGTCGCTTGTGATCAAAGACGTCCTTGATGTATCCCCAATTGAATCTCCACACGTGGACCTCGTCATTAATAATTCCCACGAACCGGGACTCGTATCTGTGGTACGGAAGAATGATTGTCAGTCGCTCGGTGTCGAGATCTAACACGGCTTGACGTTCAGGCGTCCACGAGAACAGAAACCGCTTCGTTTGGTCGAGAGCCAGCTCTCCTTGATTGAATTGGGGGGTATCGTACTTTCTGACAAGATGAGTGGGTCCGTCGGGAGACGTCTGGAGACGCAAAATGCAGCCATCAAGGGACACAAACAACTCCTCGCCATTAGCAACACAAGGAATGTTAAGCAACCAATCATCCGTCTTGAAGAAATCCAAACTAATGTCTGCAATGTGATGTGTTTGCTCTTCCTCCCAGTCCACATAATACAGCCCATTGGCCTCCTCGTCTTCTCCACCGCCCATTATCACCAAAGGACACTTGCTTCCTACAAGCTTGATAATGGCGTTCTCCGAGGTGTCTTCTGAAAGTCGCACATGTGTGGTTGGAAGGTCCTGGCTCGGTTTTTCCTCCTCTCTGACCTCACTAACCGCCCACACCCCTTCCTTGTCGCCTTCTTCATTCTTGATAATACCGTACATGAACTGGTTCTTGTCGTCAGTCAGTTTGTATTCGCAGTAATTGTCGCCCGGAAAACTGAAGTTCCAGTCGATCTTGTCTCCTTTCTTGTCGTAGGACCAAAATCTGTGGATTTTTCGTCCCTTTGTGTCCTTGGACGGCTCCTGTCCAGACAAATTGTACCTGATTTCGCTCTGCATTCGAGTCTTGGACGATTTTGGCGTCGCACGTAATTTGATCATATCCAAACGCCAGCCCTTGTCGTCGCCCTTGGCGTACATGTTGATACATGGTGCATCTAGTTCCACCTCAATTGAGCCCTTACCTCCTCCGACAGTTGTAGAATAGTCGACTATACTGAAGAGATCAGCTTCGGGCGGAATGGGTTCGTTCAGATGCACTCGGTCGTCGTCGATCTCTTGCTGTCTCATGTCCTCTTCGGTTCTCGTTAGACCCATCGGCACATCTGCAAGCCATTCGGCGTCTATCGTGCCGATTTCCACTTTCTGAGGCTGCGGCGAAGGATTCAGGGCCGGAAAAGCCAGTACCAGATTCACCATATCCTGTCCATCCAGATGGGCGATTATCTCACGCAAAATAACCGGCGGGGTCGCTTCCAAAGACATGTCGAGGCGGTGTAGCGAAAAGATTTGAACCTTCGATTCTGCATTAGCGATATCCAAGCCATTTCCAAACCCAAATTGAGGTAGAATCGACCATGCGTTAGGGAAGCAACCCCGACAACAACCATGTCGCCGAATAATGGTGGAGAGAGTCATCGGATTTCTGCCAAAAGACATACATCTAACATAAAAGTCGATACAATCCGATTTCTACCTCGTCTAGTTCAGATTTCTCCATAAACATGCTTACTTGAGCTCTATCGTTGGTAGCCCTTGTGCCCATCCTACTCGGTGCGAGTTAGAGAATACGAGTACATGTACATACTGGGAACTTGTAGTTTGTACTTGTACTTAGTTTACAGTAGTTATTTCTGCAGTTCTTATCATTGTCTAGTATCATTGGAGCAACCGGCTTTGATTCTTTTGAAGTCTGGTGAGAACTGATTGTACGGTACTTGCTCTAGGCTGTCTGTCTCCCTCTCTCCCGGACTCTCTGCTCGTGTTTTCTGTTCGGTTTTTTTTTTTTTCATCTCTCCTATTTTTTTCTTCTCCAATAGTGAAAAATTCCCATAAACCTAGCTAATGTCCCAACTAGAAAATCACATGCCAACTAAAGTATCACTGATAGCGGAAAAAGAAGAAAAAAAAGCGAACTATTTACCGGCCTCCCAAACACAGTAAATGATTACAAAATCCATCACTCATAACCTGTCAATTCGATCTCCAATACTACATCCGTACCTCTAGCTATCAAACATACAAGCGAATAGCCGCATATTTGTTTTTGCACCCTCCATTTCCCACCTGGTCACCCCACTTAGCTACCATACAGTAGCTTGTAGCTCGAGTCGATTAACTCCCAACTGCCTTATCTCAACTCTAAGTTGCTTCCTCTCCCTCACCCAACATGGCTCTCAAACGACCCGCCACTCACGCTGGATCGTGGTACTCGTCCAATGCGACCAAACTCGGCGCCGAAGTCGACCGACATCTTGCCAATGGAGCCTCTGTGCTCGGAAAATCCGCTATTCCGGGCGCCAGAGTGCTCGTAGGACCCCATGCTGGCCTCGCCTATGCTGGGCCTCAACTAGGAGAAACATACGCTGCCTTCGACTTCAAGAACATCAAACGACTCTTCATTCTGGGACCCTCGCACCACGTCTACCTTGAGCACGCGGCCACTTCGGCCTTTCACAGCTACGAGACTCCGTTCGGAAACGTCAACGTAGACGTCGAAACCACTCAGAAGCTCAATGACTCGGGAGTCACAAAGTACATGAGCGCCACCACCGACAAAGACGAACACAGCTTTGAAATGCACATGCCGTTTCTCAAGCGACTCGTAGGTGACCAGAACGTGAAAATTGTGCCAATCATGGTCGGTCAGACGTCGCAGGAGTACGAGAAGCGACTGGCCAAGCTGCTACTGCCCTACGTAGAAGACCCTACCAACGCCTTTGTTATCTCCACCGACTTTTGCCACTGGGGAAACAACTTCAGATATTGGGGTTATGCGGATTCAGAGAACTGCGACAATGTCAGCCAGAGCAGAGAAGAGCTCCGAAGAGCTCTCAAGAGATCAAACACCCCCATCTACAAATCAATCGAGTACCTCGACAAGAAGGGCATGGAAGTGGCTTCTCTGACATCCTATGACAAGTGGAAGGAGTACTGCAAGAAGACAGACAACACCATCTGTGGACGGAAACCCCTGGCTATTCTCATTTCCATGCTGGAGAACTATGCCATTGAAAAGGGAGACAAGCCCATCAGTCTTGAGTGGATCGGCTACTCCCAGTCCAATCAGGTCAGGGATATCTCCGAAGGTTCCGTTTCCTACGCCTCTGGCTTTGCTCTTTTGAGATAATTACGCTGGTTCTTGAATAGTGTCTATAGTATTAAAATCATGCCCCTCGTCAATCCGTATCACAGGGTCTACAGAGATCACCACACCCCATCGCACCAATTGTATACTACTAAAAACTACTTGATCTGAATACAGTCTGTTGTTCATTTAAAAAATCTATTCCCAGTCTATATGGCAGAGAAGTCTTAGTGAAAAGCACTCTGCAGATGTCTATCGTGGCCCATGCAAAAAATAGTGTTGTAGTAGGTAGTGAAATGAAATAACGCCGTTAATTAACCCCAAGAAGAAAATGCAATAGTATACAGTATTTTTCCCATCATAAATAATCAATCTCATCTTCTTCCTTCGGAGGTTTGAACCTCTCACAGACATCCAAAACAAGAGCAGGAATCCTGCAACAAAATATCAAAAACACAAGACAAGCAGACGAAAATAATCGGAAGCTTCCAAATCGAAGCCCAGATCATTCTCAATCCCTCGTCCTTTTTTCTCTCATTTTTCCCTCATAATAATCCTCCCAAAATGCACGTCCTGATAATTTTTCTCTAAGAAATGCATAATTTTGTGTAACAGTGGCTCAAGCCACCTCTTACCACCAGTTGTTGTTACCACCCTGGTTACCGTAAGAGGAACCGCCACCGTAAGAAGAGCCGCCGGAGGAGCCTCCGAATCGGTCGTTGGAGCCAAAGCCGCCACCCTGCTTTCGGAAATCCTGGGTAGCTCGAGATCGGCCTCCACCGAAGCCACCTCGGCCACGGCCTCCGCCTCGGCCTCCGTAAGAGGCCTCTCGGGCAGTGGACTCGAGGAACTGAGGAACGTCCTGGTGGGCCTCCTTGAGGATATCGATGAGCTCTCGCACGATACCCTTGTTGCCTCGGTTGAAGAAGGCGGTGGCAATACCGGTGTTTCCGGCTCGGCCAGTTCGACCGATTCGGTGGACGTAATCGTCAATGTCGGTGGGGAGATCGTAGTTAACAACGTGGGTAACGTTGGGGATATCCAGGCCTCGAGCAGCGACGGCAGTGGCGACCAGAATAGGGGTAGTTCCGTCTCGGAACATTTCCAAAGCTCGCTCTCGGTCTCGCTGAGATCGGTCTCCGTGAATGGAGGTGGCGGGGAAGTCCTCGCTCTGCAGAACATCACAGAGGTAATCGGCACCTCGCTTGGTCTCGACGAAGACCAGGGTCAGGCCCTTGCCAGCGGCAGAGAGAATGTCGAGCAGAGCAGAGATCTTGTCTCCATCCTCAACATACTCGACCTTCTGGGTGATGTTCTCAGAGGTGGAACCGACACGGCCGACAGACAGGAAGATGTAGTCCTTGAGGAAGTCCCGGGCCAGCATCTGGATGTTCCGGGGAAAGGTGGCGGAGAACATGAGGGTCTGTCGCTCGTTAACGTCGGGCATGCCGGAGCCCTGGACGATGGCTCGGATTTGGGGCTCGAAACCCATATCGAGCATTCGGTCGGCCTCATCAAGGACAAGGTACTTGATGTTCTCCAGAGAGACCTTGCCTCGGTCGATCAGATCGACGAGTCGACCGGGAGCAGCAACAAGGAGGTCGCAGCCTCGCTCAATGTTTCGCATCTGCTCGCCAATGTCGGCACCACCGTAGACGACGCAAGGTCGGACCCAGGATCGGTAGGCGAACTTCTTGGCCTCGTCGTAGATCTGCGACACAAGCTCTCGGGTGGGAGCAAGCACAAGGGCAGTGGGGTAGGCCTTCTTGTGCATGTGTCGAGGGCCAGTGGGCTGTGGGGTGGGGGAGGGACCGTGGAAGAAGGACTGGGACAGAACGGGGAAGAGGAATCCTCCGGTCTTACCAGAACCGGTCTGGGCACAGGCCATCAGGTCTCGGCCAGCAGCAACAATGGGGACAGAGTACTTCTGGACGGGGGTGGGCTTGTTGTATCGAGCAAGCTTGATGTTAGTCAGCAGGTGCTCCTCGAGGGGAGGAGAGGTGAAAGCGTTGATGGGCTCGGGCACGTCGTTACCGGTGGCCTCGACGGGAATCTCGTCGTAGTTATCAAAGTTGATACCGGTGGACTGGAATCGCTCGTCGTTAGCAACGCCGAAGATTTCAACCTCGGTTCGCTCGTTCCGGGGGCCGGGGACATGCTTACCATCCACGAAAGAGCCCTGGGAGGGGTCTCGGAAGCCACCTCGGTAGCCACCGTCGTTGCCCCAAGATCGACCGCCTCGACCGCCTCGACCACCTCCGTAGCCTCCCCCGTAGGAGCCTCGGGAGTTGTTCTGGAAGGAGTTGGAGTACTGGGAGTACAGGTTTCGGCCAGCCTCTCGTCGGTCGTTGGAGGGGGCGGAGTTGGAGGTTCCGTTACCGGTGGCGGCAGCCTTGGCCCGGTGGGGGGGCACGTACTTGCTTCGGGGAGCAGCGGGGGTGTCGTTGTTCAGATTCAACGACTTGACACCATTTTCGAGTTCAGACATCTAATGTGTTAGTTTGTGTGGTTTGAGGGAAGGAGGATAAAACAAGACATATCGGAGCATATAAATCTTTGAGTGGCGATATGACATTTGTTCCGTCATGGGGTTTATCGATAGGGTGGCGACATATTACTGGGTTTTCTTCACGCTCTGTGACCCTGTGTCGCCGATAGCGGGTGGCGTTCACCACCACTTGCCAAATGTTGTTGCGGAGGGTATGCGCACGCGTGACATCTCGTCTGTGACATTTCCACAGACATCACATCCAAATGGTGTCTGTGCACCAAACTGAACGGATGATAGCACCGCCCGCAGTTGCCGTGGGGTTCTCCGGGTCGATGCCAGCCCAGTAGTCGCTGCCTCGTCTGGATACTCACAATTTTCTTTTCCTTTTTTGTTGGGTATAGATACGCCAGGTGAGTTGTAAGAAGAAGACTTGTGCGTGGGTCTGCAAAGTTTGTGGGTGAAAAAATTGTGCATAGAGTATTGTGCATGTCACGTGGAGTCAAAAGGAGAATTTTTCTTTGGCTTGCTTTGTTTGGTTGCAACCTTAATTTACGCCATGATGTAATGTGTGTCGAGCAACGAATGGGAGAGGGTTGATATGGCCTTTTGGGGCGGGTATTTGGTGGGGCTGGGTCTTTGTGTTTGTCGGTATACATTTTTCGACCTTACAAGCCGTTTTTCGGCCCCAAAAGTCGCTTTTGACGCTTCTTTTCGCTCAGCTTCCGCGAGCCTCATATCGCATCTTTACTTCTTCTCTGCTCTCTCTTTCTCTCTCTCTCCCGTCAAACAACGTTGCCCCTAAATGCGCTTCCCCAATCACATGGCCGGCTAGTTTCAGCAACTCTGTTACTAAGCTCGTTAGATCGAGCAACCCATGTTGCAGCCATGAGAGTATGAGTCATGTGAAACTGTTGCAACCGCAATTGCGAGAGTCGCTACTGGCCGCGGACTTGTAGTCGTGCGGATGCTGTACGAAACTCCATAGCCCACCTTATCTCACCTCATCAGAGAGCTGTCAAGTGACGCTAAGATGCTAAAGTGGCGTTTAGGCTAAGACTAAAGCTCGCCGTTGAGCTGATGATAGTGAAGCTGGCTATTGTGGGAGCGCACTGGAGAGCGTGTACGACTACAAGTACGACTACAACAAGTGTGACAGTGGATGTTACGTCGGACTTACTGCCGTGCAATACTTGAACCTTTCAACTACAGTGGATAGTTGCAATACCATAGAGTATGCCGTCGTATCATCCATTACTGCACACCTCCACACTGCAGTCAGGGGAACGCAAGAGTGAGATATCCTACCTTGTACTCGTACAATGGCGTATGTTCCTCAAGTCCAAGTTTGAATGCAATCTGTTTGTGGTCACGTGACCGTGGTTTCTCTCGAGGCTGGGTCTATATATACCGCCGTCTCCTTCCAGATGATCCTTTCAATGCACCGGCGGTGTTGTGAAATTACTACTTGTAGTATTACGCCCGTCGTTTAATTAGAGTGTCCTTGTATTCTTAGTGGTGATAACGGTCCACGGAACAAGACACGTCTGTTACGAGTACTGTAGCGGGAGGTCGGGGGGATGTGGTATATATATGGCTGGTCTTATTGCGTGTTTAGTTGATTCCACAGGTTTTCTTTCATAAATGTGGCCCCGTTGGCTTTTTGAAGCGACTTGGCGCGACTTTGTAGCTGAAGGAAGACCATTGAAGACCTTTGAAAAGACGATAACGTACATCCTGCACACTGCACTTGTTCGTACAATGGTCATCCGCCTTAGGCTAACCAACTGGGACACCACTGAAATGCTCATCTGCACTTTTCAGATCGTGGTTAGCATTTTTCAACCACCCATGTTCACGCCTGGAAAAGTTGTTTGGGGTAAATAAGCCGAGGTTCACACTACGGATCATGTACATGCTGTACTGTACGAGTAATCACGGTATGAGGGTACCAGTAGGACTTTTCTCGTGATACACCATCGACAGCTACGCCCTCGTGTCGCCACCAGAGTGTCGTATCTGTCTATGGTACAAACCCTCCATCAAACCACCTCTTCCCCTGCAAGACGCTCATTAATACCCACGTGAATTGTCTCCAACCTCGCCTACAGAGTTCAGGTGCAGGTGCAGCTAGAGAGAAAGAGAGAGTACAGTACGCGCGAAGTAGCTACTTGATAACAGACAGGTACCAGCTGGTGTTCAGTGACTCGTACAATTGTCACATTGACAAATAAATGGCAACGTATTCTTCCACCACCTCCCTTCCACCCCTCCATCTCTCCACCTCTCCGCCTCTCCATCACTTGTACTCGTAGTCCTGGTCTTGATTCAGAGCGATAATCTTGCAGGTGGTTATATGGCAATAGCAGTGGCTTTATTTTTCACCCTGAGACACCCAAATGGGCCTTGTTCAGACGTGACGTGTCCTAAGTGAAGGAATATTTTTGGTCTTGGCCACGCGTTGTGCATCCAGATCAGGGTACGGGGAGAAGTGCAGGTGTCAGTGTGAAACCGACCTTCAGACGGCCGATCAACACAAACACACGTCTTCAATTGCCCTCCGCTGTCTATCTCACACGCGCTGTCTCCCTCTCTCTCTCTCTCTCTCGTTCTCCTTAACATCCCCTTGGATAGCCCATTAGAGCTTCTTTGGTGCTTGGGGTTTGGGGCTTGGGGTTTCTGGGGCTGAGAGGCTATTATGGTTTTTGGTGCAGATCGAGGAGCGGAATAGTGCGCATTTGGACGTGAGAGAAGTGGGTGTTAGGAGGGACAAGACGAGGGAAAACGCGGTTTTTGCGACATATTTCGGGGTAGTTTAGCTCGCACAGTTGCTCCTAATCTGTCTCCGTCTTCCAAATGCCCCTCCTACACCCCCTCTCGCACCCCCCCCAGGGCCATTTTTCACACCCTCGCGTCCCTCGTACATTTACATAAAGTTAAGGTTTTGTTCCAACCACCAGCTCACTCCAAAGTGCTACTCATGTCTCGTCCAAAATCCATCTTGTGCAACTCCCCCGGTTCCCACAACAAGACATCCACACGCAATGGCCTCCCAAGAGTCCCATCTGGACACCATTGAGTTCATCGAGACTCCTGCTGCCAAGCCTCAGCCTCCCGCCAGCACCGCTACTGGCGTGAGAACCACTGACGTGAGTATTGACCAAAGTGAATGAGTGGCTGTTGTAGGTCGCCAACGGACAACCTCCAGCAATCATCGCAAGGTAGAGATGGACAGGACACAGCCATGACGAGCACCCGTCTCATTAACTATGTGACGCGGTTAATGCGCTACCCAAGATGTTCTCGTCAATGTGGTGCCACCACCAGACTTGGTGACGTGGATCACTTCCCCAACTTAGTGCCGCCTCCTCCAACTGCAACTACCACCAATCCAAATCCTAACACAGTACCCCTGTATCAAGAACGCCCCTCTGCCCGCTGACGGCCCCGGCGCTCGACACTTCTCCAACGGCCTGCTCTTCTCCATCCTGCTGGGTGTTCCCTTCTTCATCAACTACAAGATCGGCGGCTCCATCTGGACCTACCTCTTCTTCTTCCTGATCACCGGCCTGCCCCTCCTCGTCTCCTTCTGGGCCGTCGTCTCCGCCATCTCCCCTCGAATCAACGATGACTGCAAGCTCCCCGGCCGACCCGTCGAGTACTACCTCGAGTTCCACGACCCCGCTCTCGCCAAGAAGTACTCCGGCAACAACAAGATCCCCTACGAGACCTTCCACGAGCTGTACTTTGACAACAAGGTCTCCATGCGAGGTGATGCTCTCGACATTCTCGAGTACCGACATGACTTCATGACCTTCAACTTCACCTGGGGTCTGTTCAAGTTCTTCCTACTGTCCATGATTCCCGAGATCATCTTCCACACCCAGTCCCAGGACGAGGAGCAGGTCCGAGAACACTACGACCGAGGAGATGACTTCTACGCCTGGTTCCTTGGCCCCCGAATGATCTACACCTCCGGTGTCATCTCCGACATCAACAAGGCCGAGACCCTCGAACAGATGCAGGACAACAAGCTGCGAATCGTCTGTGAGAAGGCCGCTCTCAAGCAGGGCGAGGAGGTTCTCGATATTGGCTGTGGCTGGGGAACTCTCGCTCGATTTGCTTCCCAGGAGTACGGTGTCAACGTCACCGGTATTACCCTTGGAAAGAACCAGACTGCTTACGGAAACAAGAACCTCGCCAAGGACGGTATTCCCACCACCCAGTCCCGAATTCTGTGCATGGACTACCGAGACATCCCCCTTGCCCAGGGCGGAAAAAAGAAGTACGACAAGATTATCTCTCTGGAGATGGTCGAGCACGTTGGTGTCAAGAACCTCGGCTCTTTCTGCTCCCAGGTCTACGACATGCTTGAGGATGACGGTACCTTTGTTCTGCAGTACTCCGGTCTGCGAAAGCACTGGCAGTACGAGGATCTCAACTGGGGTCTGTTCATGAACAAGTACATTTTCCCCGGAGCTGACGCCTCTACCCCCCTGTCCTTCTTCCTCGACAAGATGGAGGGTGCTGGTTTCGAGACTGTTTCCATTGATAACATTGGTGTCCACTACTCCTCTACTCTGTGGAGCTGGTACCGAAACTGGATGGGCAACAAGGACAAGGTCATCAACAAGTACGGCGTTCGATGGTTCCGAATCTGGGAGTTCTTCCTGGCCTCTTCCGTCATCACCTCTCGACAGGGAGGTGCAGCTGCCCACCAGTACGTGTTCCGAAAGAACATCAACAAGCGACATGCTGTTGAGGATATCCCTACCCACTGGGGTCTCAAGGTTCCTCAGCCCAAGCACGGCAACAACTGGCTTCCTGAGGGTGCTTACTAAGTGTTTTTAGTGGGCCAACTTGTTAAAAATATGTAATAGAATATACGATAGGTATGACCAGCATGACGTGTGTTACAGAGAGTGACGTAGATGACGAGACTGTTTCTCAGCCTTGACAAGGACACTTCCGATACAACTCACCTATGGTTGGTTAAACCGCATTGGTGTTGTGCGGTACAAGTACTGTATGGACTTGTCGAGGCAAGCGGCAATGTACAGACTCGTCGGCCGCGTCTCACACAACCCACCACGCGACCCTCGGATGTCTTGTATAGGGGAAAATCCAAAGGTGTCAAACAAGAGGGGAAGGTGTCGTTTCCACTATAATTAACCAAACAGTGGTCAAGGAGATGGGTGAAGAGGTCTGCAGGGGCACTAAATCAACTGTCTCACAAACTGTGTCGGCTTAGTAAGCTGTACAACCTGACAATGACTAGATGAGGAGTAGTTCAGAGTCCCATCTTGTCGCTTCACCCCGTGAGCCAACCCACTTATACCCGTTAAGACCGACGTCCCGAAGGTTGATGAGCATGAACTTAAAGGTGCGTGAAAAAAGTGGGGCTCTTAAGCGAGATTAAGCAAGAATCGGATTGCGCAAGAGGAAGAGGGTGCACTTAGAAGACGGGGAAATCACGATACCAAAGACAATTGGGCGGTCTCAAATCAACTGCCGTTGTTTTTTTAGTGTCGAATTCGATAGAGTTCCGGTTTTAGTGCCTTCGGTACCCCCTTGACTGTTTAGTGATACGATGCCTCCCCCGCATTAAGGCCTAAGCATGATTGTCTGGAGATAGACGTAGGAGGGAAATACACATTTTTGTGGTGGGAATTGTGGAGCAATTTTTATATTAGTCGAATTGTGTCATTCTGGAGATTCCCAAGGTACCATTTTCATCTTTTTGACCCTCCTATATCCCATTTTTCTCCCCTTCAGCACCCCGACCCCGCCTGCATGTGCTTGAAGTCTAACTCATTGGGCTCCTGAGGGACAGATCTTCCTATATACTGGCTTCTGTCTTCCTTCTCCACACTCAACCATGTTCAGACTTTTGCTCAATTCGATTCTGCTGATCGCGGCCGTCATCATCGGGGTGGCCAACTACAATGGCTTGCCCACCTCTGCTCTGGACGTGCGAGATTCTCTACTTCCCATGATGTGGAGATACTCGGGAATCGAGCCCGTCAACAACAACTGTCACGTGGTGGAGGGCGTGGAGGCGTGTGAGGACGCCAAGTACGACGAGGAGAGTGGACTGGTGTTCATGGCGTGCGGTAACGCCGAGGCTCGAAAAAAGTGGTTCCCTGGAACCGGATTCTTCATGGACCCCGAGACTGCTCGACACCAGGTGGACCAGATCTTTGTGTTCGATCCCAAGACTGAGAAGATCCAGAACGTGCACGTCAAGGACTTTGAGGGTCATACTTTTACCTCCCACGGTCTCGACGTGTTCACTCTCAAGGATGGAACCAAGATCATTGCCGCTGTCAACCACAAGGCTGACGCTTCGGTCATCTCCTTCTTCAAGGTCAACCACCCTGGAGAAGTTGCTTACATTGGCGAAATCAAGGATGACCTTCTCAAGATCCCCAACTCCGTTGCTCTGTTCTACACCCCCGAGGGCCAGCTGGGCTTTGTGGCTACCAATGACCATGTGGAGCGTGAGGGACCCAAGCGTCAGGTGGCTGAGATTCTTGGTCTCAAGGCTACCTATCTCGTCTATTGCGCTGTTGACATTGACAATGGAGTCACTGGAAAGTGCCACAAGGTCGCCGATCATCTTGTCTATCCCAACGGTATTGCTCATATCCCCGGCACTCACGACTTTGTGCAGTCCGACTCTCGAGACGCCAAAATCAAGCACTGGAGCTGGAACTCCACGTCGCAGAAGCTGGATCTCAACTCGGCTACCATGGTCGGAGCACCCATGGATAACGTGCGTGTAATTCCCGGCACCAAGGACGTCATGGTGGCAGCCTTCCCCAATGTGCTCCAGGTGATGCACAAGTACAAAAACATGGATGACAAGAACTCTCGGGTCAAGACTGTTGGTCTGCGACTCAATCACAACGAGGGCTACAAGATCCCCCACGTGATCCACAAGTCCAACGACGACTATGGCGTCTTTGTCAACACTGTCTACAACTACTTCCCCAAGGAGAACAAGATTCTGGCTGGTTCGTGTTTCGCCAAAGGTCTAGTTGTCTGTAACGGTCCTGATGGAGCCCAGGCCCAGAAGATTGTCGAGGAGGAGGTCAACAAGAACGTTGATATTGACGAGGATGAGGAGGAGGATGAGGACTAATGTATTTGTTGAATGTATTATGGTTGTAAAACAGTGTTGATGTGTATGTACTGTATATACTCTACTGGATGTACTATAATGAAATATTGTATTACAATAAATGTACAGTAAAGTCTCTACGAATAATCAAGACAATAACCAGTTTGGAGATGTAATTCCATGATATTCATGTGGTTTGCAAGTGACCATGATAACACATTAAAACCACTTGAACTATACACTAGCTACAACTACTCTCGCTACAAATACACACAATATGAACAATAATTCCATTAATCATCAATAGTAACATACACAAAATCCTTCCCAAAATAAAAATCCTCCCTCTTCATTCCTCCACCTACTGAGCCTTCTTGGTGTTAGGCACAGCAGGATGCCGTCGTCTCTTGAGAATCACGTCAACAGTCTGAATGTCCACTCTGGGCGGCTGGCCACCTCGTGGAGAAAGACTGAAGACAATATCCTTGACGTTCTCGGAACCGCCCTCGGCAGCCAACAGAGCCTTTCGCAGCTGGTATCGCGATCGCTTGTCGGTGATGACCTCGGGGGAGTCAAACTGGCTGAAAATGAAGTCAGTCAGGCGAGATACAAACAGGTACTGGTGCTCGGCGTACAGAACAGCAGCAAGAACAAACCAAGGGGCAACTGTGACCACTCCCAGAGAGGTACCATCAATACCAAGAGTCTGGGAGACGGACACGTATCTCACATTGGTGAATGCCACAGCAGCATCATTGTCGTAGTGAACAGATCTCAGCATAACGACAAGAGCAGTGGTGGACAGAGAACCCAGCCAGGTGATGAAGGTGAGGATATCGTCCCAAGGCTGGATGTTTTCCACTCGTCGAGGAGTGGGTCTCTGGAAGTCGACCGAGATTTTGAGGAACTCGGATCGCAAAGACAAAAAGTTGTGGATGAGAGCACACAGAGGCCCCAGAGCCCAAACGGGGCCAAAGAGAGCCACAAATCCAAACTGGGTGATGGTGCTTCGGTAGTCGTTAGTGACGTCGTATACTGACTTGCTTCGCTCGCCTCGAACAATGTCCATGTAGTGCTCTTCCTGGGGAGCAAGTTCAACAGGGGCAGCAACGACAACACCTCGAATCTTGCTGATGACAGGCAGAGCAAACCGAATAACAATGGGAAGAGCTCGAGAAAGGACAAAGTTGATCACCTGAGCAGTTCCAAGGAAGTAGATCATCTGATCATAGAGTCGAGAGCTGTCAACAGTGAAAGGCTTAACGACGGTGTCACCGACCAGGAAGTTGATCAGCTCCTGGAACACATTCAAATATCCAACCAGGTTCTGTCCAAACGGCAAGTAGATGAAGCCCGTGAGGAAGAGACCAAAGTAGGATGACAGGAAGTCAACCACAAACAACTTGATGGTCAGAGATCGAGTGTACACACCCTCGAACTCGTGGTTCTCCCAGTCGGTCATCTTCTTGGCAATGATGCCGTAGATGACCTTGAAGACACCGAGGAACACGACGAGAAGAGCCGTGGGGACGAGAGGGGCGTAGTCGGAGAAAGGACCATGGTAGATCTGTCTGGTGTAGATCTCAAAAGCAAAGATTATTGTGTGACCAACAACCAGCAGAGCAGCAAGGGTAAACGCAACCGGGATGAATGCCAGCTCCTTGGCAACTCGCTTGGAGGGAGAGTACCAGGGTCGCTTGATGTCAGAGATCATGTCAATCTTGGCACCCTCGGCAATGAAAGCTCGTCGCTCACCAACGGCAGATGCGTTGGTTGCTCCAAATCGGATGGCCAGGTTGGTCTCCCGCTTTCTCCAAGCCCGAACAAACACAATGGACCAGATCTGGATTACCAAAGTGTAGAAGAAGGAGTAGCTGGGGAGCAGGAAGTGGGCCAGAACACCGACAATGGAAGGCACAATCAGCCACTGCAGGTAGAACTGGGAGAAACCAAAGTAGAAGGCCACCTGCTCTCCGTAGAGGTCGTTGATGGCGTCCAGGTCCTCGTCATCCACCACCCACTTGGAGCCCAGAAGAGCGGCGTACTGCTTGTTCTTCTTTCGGTCCTGAAGAGGGAATATCTCGTCAATGTAGGCAAACTTGGGGTTAGAAGGGTCAATTCCCAGACCGCCGTCAATCTCTGGAGCGGACAGGTAGTGGTGCACCAGCCGAAGTCGCTCACTGGACTTGTACTCTTTGGAGTGCTCTCGCAGCTGCTCGAACGAGTCCTTCTTCAGGTTTCGAGGATTGTCGGATCGCAGGTGGTACAGGAAGTCGTTGACGTGGGAGTGGGAGGCGGCTCGGTCAATGATAATGTCGGAGAACTTGAGGAAGACCAGCAGCTCATTGCCGAGACCGTCTCGGACCTTGGTGTCAATGTGGTTCGCGGCAAGGAGTCCAGTGAGCTGCTCAATGTGGTGCAGATCCTTCTCGGCGCCCTGCGGCTTGACGACAATGACGTAGTCGGCGTCAAAGTACTGGATCTGGTCCTGGGGGGCAAGGTGAGGCAGAGGAGGAGGAGGAGGGGTCTCCTTGATGACACTGGTCTTGGTCACCTCCACGTGGTCCACTCGCTTTCGCAGCCCGGAAGAGTCGACTCCAGACACGGCGGTGGTCTTGTGAGCGTCCACTGACGAGCCCAGAGACGTGACTTGGGCGTGAGCGTCAGCAATGACTCCATCAGTAGGAGGCACTCCCTTGACGGCGGCCGTGGTCGATCCAGAGCCAATTATCGGTTCACGGGTCTCGGTGTAGATCTCTCGGTGCACAGGGGTCTGTCCGGCTACTCCAGGACCCTCCTGGGTGCTCTCGTAGGGGGCGCTGATGTTTCTGGCGTTCTCCTCCGGCATTCCAATCGTCTGGTTCTGATGCTGGGGATAGGGGGAAGTAGAGTTTAGATTATGACTATCTCCGGTGTAGTCCGAACCATAATTCTGGCCCAGAGGAGTGGATCCCGTGAAGCCGTCAAACTGGTTGGAGGGAGCGTACCGGGGAGTCTCCTCGGTGGGGAAGCCGTCAGCTCGCAGCTTGGTGTGCACCTCGCCGGTAGGGTTGACGGCGGGGTTCTCGGGGCTACCAAGCTCCTTGAGGTGCTGGCCAGCTGCCTCGGTCTGAGGAATCTCGTTAGTCACCACGTCGACTGCGGTGTCGGCGGCAGCCACGGCTCCACCAGAGGGAATTCCGGTCACCCCCGAGTTGACGCCAGCGGGACTCTCTCCAATGTTTGTAGTCACGCCTCGAGTGGTACCAGAAGAGTAGGGGTCGGAGGAGGCGGAGGAAGAACCAACTCCAGCACCAACTCCAGAACCAACTCCAGAAGTGTCCTTGTTGTAGCCAGTAGCGTCGATGTGAACACCTCGCTCACCGCCGTGGGTGGCCGTGGACACGGGTCCGTACTTGGCTCGCTCAAGCTCGCCCTCGGTGGGGGCTCGAGAACCAGGAACGACGCCAACACCCGCCTGGCCAGACCGAATAGACCGCTCAAAGTTCTTGGCCATGGAGGGCGAAGGAGGAGAGTTGGCAGAGGTGGTAGATCTTTGCACAGGTGAAGAGGGCTGGGCGGGAAGTCCGTTAGCTCCAGTCTGGCCAGAAAGAGGGATGCCAGAGGCTGGATCGTGAGTCACGGGGGTGTTTCCAGGCAGGCCAGACGCAGCTCCGATGCCAGGGACAGTAGATGAACCGGGCTGAACCGAAGATCCAGTCTGAGGAACAGCGCCACTCTGGTAAGAAGAGCCAGTCTGGGGAGCAGTACCGCTCTGGTAAGAAGAGCCAGTCTGGGGAGCAGCACCGCTCTGATAAGAACCAGAGACAGGTCGTTCCTTGTCACCGAGAACTCCGACGCCAGCAAAGTGCTTGTGGCCTCCAGACTCAGCCTGTTCTCGCTCCTGTCGGACAGAATCAAAGCCGTGGGACTGGGTGGGGCTCTTGTTGTGGTGGTGGTGGTTCTTGCCTAGACCAATAGCGCCGACCACGGACGCCAGACCGGCCTTGGTCTTGCCAGAAAAGGTGTGGTGGTCGAACTCCTCGGGTCGACCGTCCATTATATGGGCGTGGCCAGGCTGAATCTCGGAACCGGCAGCAGCGTCCTCTCGGAAGCCACCGAGGTTGGGGGAGCCAGTGGAGGAGACGCCAGTTCCAGTGGCAGAAGTGCCAACACCAGGAGCACCAGTGCCAGTGACACCAGATCCAGCAACTCCGGAAGTACCGGTAGCACCAGTTCCATGGGCACCAGGGCCAACGCCCGATCCAGTGATTCCAGCAGTCTGAGCTCCATGAGAGCCGACTCCGGAACCGACACCAGAGCCAACACCTCCCAGACCTGTACCGCCAAGGGCTGCTCCTCCGAGAGCCTCACCTCGAAGACCCTGAGCCTTGCCATCGAGGTCACCCTTGAAACCATCGACCTTTCCAACCGTGTTCTTCTCGGCATCGGACCTGAAACCATCGACCTTGCCGAGAGCGTCAGACTTGTAGCCGTCAACGCGGCCGACAGTCTGGTTCTGGGCCTCATTTCGAAGGCCGTCCTTGACTCCGGCGCCAGAAATACCACCGGCTCCAAGAGCTCCGGCGCCAAGAGCTGCGCCTCCGGGAATATCCTTGCCTCCCAGAGCGTTGTTCAAAGCCTGCTTCTCGGCGTGGTGCTCAGCCTTACGCTCGAGTCCGTGGGGAGAGAAGTCGTTCTTAACGTTGGAGAAGTCTGACTTGAGACCCTGTTCTCCTCGAGAGAAATCAGAACTGATACCGTGCTCTCCTCGAGACAGGCCGGAGGTGAGGCCGTGCTCGCCCTTGGAGAAATCAGAGGCGATGCCATGCTCGCCTCGAGATAGACCAGACTCAATACCATGGCCGCCTCGGGACAGCTCGTGCTCGCCCTTTCCGAACTCGGAGCCCAGACCATGCTCCCCCTTCTGGAGCTCGGATCTTAGGCCGTGAGTGTCCTTAGAAAAGCCGTGCTCCAGCTCCTCGGCCTTCCTCTCAGCAGTCTTCTCGAAACCCTCGACCTTGGAATGCAGGTTGTGGGTGCCGTGAGACTGGGGAAGATGTCCACCAGCAGACGAAGCGCCTAAGCCAGCAGCTCCGGCAGCACCAGCTCCGATGCCAGCAGCTCCGACTCCGTGAGAGTGGCCAGTTTGGCCATGTCCAGTCTCACCGTCAAAAGCACTACCAGGAAGAGTGGAACCAGGGTCGAAAGAAGACACAGGGTTGGAGTGCTCTTTGTTGATGCCTCCAGCAACTCCAGCAATGGAGGGCTGGCCGCCAGATTTGGGGCCAAACGATCCAGAGGGGGAGATGGTGCCGAGGTGACGTTCGCCAGACTCAGAGAGAGGGGCCTTGGCAGAGGCAGAGTAACCGGAGCCAGTCACGTGGTCGTTACCGTAACCAGGCTGGCCGTTGGCGTAGCCAGGGTGAGTGTCATTGTACTCTGAAGAAGTGGTCTTCTGGTTGGGGGAGTGGGACGCGTAACCAGTGGAAGCAGAGGGAGAAGAGGAGTAACCAGTTCCAGTGGCGCCAGAAGTTCCAGTGGCACCAGAAGTTCCGGCAGAAGGAGAGTAGCCGGTTCCAGTGGACGCGGAAGGAGAATATGACGAGCCAGTAGTGGTAGTACCAGCACCGACAACTCCTGCACCAGCAGCTCCAGCTCCATTTCCAGTAGACTGGGTAGGAGATGATTGGTGGTGATGGTGGTTTTGGTGGTTGTGGCCGGAACCAGCAAGACCAGCGGCACCAGCGGCACCAGCAAGACCAGCGGCACCAGCTCCAGCACCAGAAGATCCAACACCAGACGAGCCCTGGCCTGCTCCAGAACCAAGGTTAGGCAAGGTTGAACCTCCAGGAACAGAGCCAGAGCCAGAACCGACACCGGGGATGTTGGAGGTGCCGGAAGAGGCTCCCAAACCAGGCACGTTGTTGCCAGGAATGTGGGAGGCGGCAGAGTTGGTGAGGTCGGACTCCGCTCCCTGAACTCGGGACTTGGCGGCAGACTCGAGGTTGGAGGGGGCGTTCTGAGCCTGAGACTGAAGTCCCTGGGCCTGAGACTGAAGTCCCTGGGCCTGATGCTCGACACCCTGAGCCTTGTTAAGGGCAGAGCCGGCCTGGGTGTTTCCAAGGGCAGCAGATGCTCCAGCAGCTCCGAGGCCGGAAGAGCCGACGCCAGAGGAGCCAGTGAGACCGGAAGCAGCGGTGCTCGATCCGAGACCGGAGGTGGGAGCACCAGTGGAACCAAGGCCACCGGCAGCACCGGCGACTCCCGCAGCTCCAGCACTGCCGGCTCCGAGGCCAGCTCCATTCACCTCATTAGGATGAAGATCGCCAGAGAGAACGTTACCAACATCGTTCTGTCCAGCCAAGGGAGAAGCTCTCTCCGAGGCCAGAGGAGACGACTTGCTCAATCGCTTGGACTCGTTGTCGAGCTTGTCCTTGGACTTCTTTCCGGTGAGGCCAGAGAAGAAGCCCTTGAGAGACTTGGACTTTTCGGGCTTTTCCTCGGCGTCGGCCTTTTTGAAACTGTTGAACTTACCACCCCAGGACTCTCTCTTGGACGTGGAGGGCGAGGCGCCCACCGAGGTGGTGGGTGTAGTTCCAGTAGCGGCAGAGGTGGCAGGGACTGTTCCGGTGGTACCAGCAGAAGGAACAGTTCCAGCAGCAGCACTGGGAGAGGGGATGACACCAGTGGCGTTGGTGGCAGGGGCAGCAGAAGCAGAAGTACCAGCAACTCCGGCTCCAGTGGCTCCGGGAGGAATGTCATAGTGATGGTGGTGATGGTCCACGGTCTCGACTATAACAGCATCTCGATTGGAGTTCTTGTTAGCAGGGGTTCCGACAGCAGAGGCGTGGGAAGCACTCAGAGGCATGTTCACCTCCTGCATGTTTCCGGGAAGCTGCTGAGAAGGCACAGATTGGGCGGTCTGGGCAGTCTGAGCGCTCTGGGCAGGAGCTCGAGCAGTGTGAGACTGGGCGAGTCTCGAAGGCGAGCTGGGCGAGTGAGGCGAGTTGTTGGAGTAGCCAGTCTGCTGCTGGGCATATCCTGACTGCTGCTGGGCATATCCTGACTGCTGTTGGGGCTGCGAGTAGTTGGTGGATCCAACCAGAGTGTCATTGAATCGGTCCTTGCCAATCTGCTGCACGTCCGAGGCGTATCCTCCATACGTCGCGGTGGGCTCTTGGGCAGGAGTGGGCGAGTAGGACTTGGAAGAGCCCTTGATTGCGGGGTCCACATACCGCACATTGTCGGTGACAACCGTCTCTTCCTCCACATATACTGGTTCGGGCCGGAACGATGTACCTTGGGGAGAGGGGGGGTTGGGTAGTGGTGCTGGGTTAGTAGGGAAAATGGAAACGAATGGCACGGAAACGATTCTCTCCGGGAACGAACGGCGCTATGAGCAACTGGCGATAGGAGAATTGAACGTCTCAGGACTCATATGATCGGAGTTGGGCAGGGAGACCAGAGTAGGGACAAGTCAGGCTCTCATTGGTCAGAATCGCATTCCTTAGCTAGACAAAAATGCGAGTAACGGTTGAAAAACTGGCCATCTGACATGATACAAGAGTCCAAAATTGTCGCTTCACCCTCCGATAATGGGCTAGACAACGTCACATGCATAGAGAAGCGCTAGAGGCACATTATCGGCGCATGACGAAACTAGACCGTTCAAGGGTCGAAATTAGTCATCTCAAGGCTCCACAACTTGTCTAGACGTCGCTTTAGCATCTTTCTCTCTCCCTCTCTCTCTCTCTGTTTCTCTCTCTCTCTCTCTTTTCTCAAATACTCACAATTAGCATAGCTGACTGGCACTCCAGGATATCCTGGGGTGGGAACAGGGGTATACTCGACCTTTTCGGTTCGGCCGGCGGATCCCTGGCTTCGTCTAGAGCCGGAACGGCTCAGAGAAGAAGCAATCTTTCTGTCAATGGCGGAAAAGTCGTTGTGCACGTGGCTGGAAATGGCGTTGCCAGCGGGAGACACTCTCTGTGAGCCGGATCCGCCGCTCAGCTGACGTCGATGGGCCCGCGGGGGCTCCTGTTCGACAACGTAGACGGCGTCTCGAGTCTCGATTCGAGAACCGGCGGGGGGCGCCTTGCCGTGGGACGTTTCCCAGTCCTGGTAGGCGGCAGAGACCTCCTCGGGCACTCCAGAGGCATTGTGGCGGTCCTGGCGTTTGGGCGAGCCAAGAGCCGCGGCAGCAGCGGTCGCAGCATGGACCGTATGTTGGGCAGGCATGTTGTTTGTAGGTGCGGAGCTTGTCAAGGCAGGTCCCACGAGATATATAGTTGTTTAGCAAGCAAGTGTGGGAGGTAATGGGAGGGGGAGTTGAGGGGGGGTGAAAGCGGCCTAATGGGGAGTTATTGGTATTGATGAGATCCTTGAGACGTGGAGAGTGCAGATATGGTGGAATATTGCTGGAAACCTGGGCTACTTTTCGACTTATACCGACTCTCGTTTCTCGTCACTCCTCCACCTCAAAGTTAAACAATCAGCATTGTCTTGCTAACTCAATGGCTCTTTGGCTCCATGTCTGTGACTTCCTCAATCGGTCGACGGCGCAACTGTCCCAAATAGGCGGTTGAAATATGGACTGGGCAAAGGTCGGAAAAAGGTGGTTGTAGTTGTCCAAAGTGTCCATGATTTTCCCCCCTATTTACCGGCTTTTTTTGGACACTACCATCTTCCTCCCCAGTAGGCCGCCATTGTCTTATATAAGGTTAGATTGCTAAGCACCTTGCCAAGGAATGAGGTTTTTACAGACTCGATATAACCGACCTTGTGGGACCCCAATTCCTGTCGGACTTTTTGCAATCGATAGCCCGTTGTCAGAAGAGTCGATTTCCTGCCTCTCAGACCAATCCGCGTGCTACAACACCTCCTAGTCCCTAACCCCGAAAAAGCCTCACTGACGTCACCTGCATGACTGGACCTAAGCACGCAGCCCAGAAGCGCACCATTAGGTGCGGTCACGTGCCTCTATCACCACCGAAAAAACAATGGCAGGGCTGATGGACTGATAGCAGAGAGAGGCAGGACCAATTAGCCGTTTGGTAGCACAAAGAGCTCTTTTTTCCGGCCCTCTGCCCCCGACTGGCCGGCGACACTAAAACACGCAAACATAAAAAGACACTATACAGTAGCACCAACCATCGTATTTGCAGCCGGCTAGCTTCTGGCACGGGAAAATGTCTCATCAACTGTATTGGATACTAACCACGGATTGAGTGAAGTCTAAGTAAAGTGCGAGGCGGAATCCAACGTCCGCTTTGGGCTCGACAGAGTCGACAGAAGCAGTTACCCGAACCCCATGGTTAATATCCTGTGCAGAAATACGACAACTTTGCCGAGAGGGTATCCGAGACTGTTTGAGGGAAATGAATGGGATAAACTGGAGCGGTTTTACAACCGCAGGCGTCTGTTTCTAACGTGCCACCCATTTCTCTGTTTTTGTGCAAGTCTCCACCACCATCCAGCTACTCCACAAGGTTGGCTTGCTACTAGCAAAGATTGAGAATAGGAATGCTAATCCCCGAGGTATATCCCGAAGAAGCGGGTCAGTTGACCGAGCAACGAGTGGTCGAGTGAGTTTTCCAACTGATGAAAAACATGCACAAGCTATAGATGTCATATTGTAGTGATGTCATGATACTGGTCACCACTGCTCGTCCCAGCACCGACAGAGAAAAGTGTACGCCACTAGTCTACACCGCACCATGATGGGTACACGATTAGTTGGCAGCCTCATGGGTCACATGTCCCTCGGATCATCAACGTTCCTTCTCCCGAAATATCAATGACATTGCTCAATCGGGAAACGCTGTACAGGTACATCCAAGTACGTTAAGCATATTACAAGTACCGTTGATTTGAATCGTGTGGCTTTAGAGTGATTTACGATGAGGGTGGTTGTCAAGCGCTAGACATTATCAGGGGTTGCTACAGTATGAGCAGGGTAGGTAGAGCTGGTTTGCAACCTGACGTTCACATCTCTTCAGCTCCTATTGTACCGTATGTTTTGAATGTACATGAGTCAAGGGTCTGTATGACCACAACCACGCAACACGGCCAACACAACCACCATCAGATTAATCTCAAGTTACTGTTAGATTAATACTGCATAAACCGTCTGTTAGCTCAGGAACACTTCTCAGTCTATGATGTCACCATGTTGCGAAGAGTCAGTCGAGGTTACAGATCTAGGTTTTTTTATTTTTTCTTTCGACAGTCAATTGAACTCGGATAAATCAAATAAAATACAGGGACGCTACAAGTAGTACTTGTACGGAGCTAGAACTTGCGAAAGATCCTATTTGTACTTGTACAATTTCCCACACGATTCACCTGTCTTTGCTCTGTCTCTATGACAGCTAAATCAGGGTGATATGTGAGAATACTGGTACATACTGTACCTGGGCTACAATTATCTTACATCAACATCAATATTACTTGTACACATTCACCAATCCGTAAAATCAACGATTATGACTTTATAAGACCGTCTCTCTCCTTCCTGACACCCGCTTGAGTCTGTCCTTAGTCAAGACAAACATTAGTTGGACTTCTGTTAAGATAAATGACAACTAGCTGTTCAACATCAGTCCTTCAGTGATGGTGGAGAGATGGGAAGTTCGCCAAGTTGTAGTACTTGATGGTCATTTCAGTACGGAATACAAAAAAACTCCATAAAATCTGACATTTCCTCTGATATCCCAATTTTTGAAAATTTTCTTCCACTCGAAATACTTAGTGTTTAGTTGAAGGAAGCCGGCCCAGAGAGTCCGATCAGGATGTGAATAATGACGCCAACAACTTGAATTGCAGAAACGAGCTCATAGTCCTATTTCACAAGACTCTCGTCACTTCTCCTACACGATTTTTGTGGAAGATTGGACCATGATATCAGAACGACATCTGCAACTTACAGCTAGAGGATTCTGTTAAAGATCAGTGAGGACACACTGAAGTCGGAGACGGCAGGCAGTTTGTCAACACTTGGTGTTAGGATACACCACGGAGATAATGCTATGTACTGTACTTGTACTTGTACACAGAGATATATGGAGCAAGTTTTCTGGTACGAGTCGGTAGATCGACATGTTCATCAATATCAACGACGCTATAGTTCTATAGTACAATATGTACTTTTGACCCTTCCTACTCAGACTCAGAACCCTAGGATACTTGCAGTATTGTAGCTGACAGATGTTCTGTAGGGGCAATGATCTGTATATGCAGCTATTCCTGATTTGCAAGAGATATCCTCCTCCCTGTACTTGTATATTGTTCTTCACTTTTGTCATGTACTGGTTGTGAGCTAAGTTGCATTGCATGAAAAAATTGTACATGAAAAATACGGAAAAACAGGGGAAAAAATCAGAACATGGGCAACTAAGGTAAGGAGAGGTTTAGAAGAGCCCTTCTCTGCAATTTCAGACAATGTAAATGCATTGTATTTCTGTCATAATTCTAGGGATTGTTTTTAGCCACAATTCTCATAATTATATCTCTGTATCTCTGAGTATTTTTTCCCGTATTTTCCCTAATAATTGCTGCAAAATCGATATTAAATTGCCCCCATTCCAGAGCCAAAAGTTTATAGTGCCATACAACTGAGGGTGCTATCAAGAAGACTTAAACGCCAGCTGAATGATGTTTATCAAGCTGCAAGTCCTTTGGAACAGCAACCGTTCTGTTATTTTTATCCGGTTTTTCAAAATATATGCTGTTTCGGGCCCGTTTTCATTCTTGCTGATTTTCCATGAATTTTTCCTTATTAATATTGCGAAAATCTGTCGTAAATCGAACTCCCAACTGGACTACATAAATAATAACCTTAAATTCAACCCAAATTGGAGATCTATTCACACCCTCACTGAAACTTGCTGAATATTATCCAAAATTGCTAGTTATTTTTACAGTAGCTTCATCCTGTGGTCATAAAATATTCCTCTAACTTTCACCGTCTCAGCATAACTATTGCTCCTGTTTGAGTCACCCAACTAGTCAGTCCCCATTTTAGCTTTGATCACATGACACATCCCAATCGGTAAAAACAGTCACACGCTGGTCTCGAACTCTAAATTTTGCAGTAGATTTCCACCGGTCAAAAACTCTGCACACATCTTTCGTTCCTCACTATCTCAAAATGTCCCACCGAAAGTACGAACAGCCCCGACACGGTCACCTGGGTTTCCTCCCCCGAAAGCGATGCACCAAGTCTCGAGGAAAGGCCAAGTCTTTCCCCAAGGATGACAAGTCCAAGCCTGTTGCTCTGACCGCCTTCCTTGGTTACAAGGCCGGTATGACCACCATTGTCCGAGACCTCGACCGACGAGGCTCCAAGATGGACAAGCGAGAGATTGTCGAGGCTGCCACCGTCGTTGACACTCCCCCCATGGTTGTTGTCGGTGTTGTTGGTTACGTTGCCACTCCCCGAGGTCTTCGATCCCTGACCACCGTCTGGGCCGAGCACCTGTCCGAGGAGGTCCGACGACGATTCTACAAGAACTGGTACAAGTCCAAGAAGACTGCCTTCACCAAGTACGCTAAGCAGTACGAGGGTGACGCCGCCCAGGTCCAGAAGGAGCTCGAGCGAATCAAGAAGTACTGCACCGTTGTGCGAGTTCTTGCTCACACCCAGCCCAAGCTGACTCCTCTTAAGCAGAAGAAGGCTCACCTTGCTGAGATCCAGATCAACGGTGGCTCCGTTGCCGACAAGGTCGAGTGGGCCCAGCAGCACTTTGAGAAGACCGTCACCATCGACACTGTTTTCGAGCAGGACGAGATGATTGACGCCATTGCCATCACCAAGGGTAAGGGATACGAGGGTACCACCCACCGATGGGGAACCAAGAAGCTGCCCCGAAAGACCCACCGAGGTCTGCGAAAGGTCGCCTGTATTGGTGCCTGGCACCCTGCCAACGTCCAGTACACCGTGGCTCGATCCGGTCAGGACGGTTACCACCACCGAACCTCCGCCAACCACAAGGTTTACCGAGTTGGCAAGGGCGGTGACGAGTCCAACGGCTCCACCGAGTTCGACCGAACCCCCAAGACCATCACCCCCATGGGTGGTTTCGTCCGATACGGTGAGGTCAACAACGACTTCCTCATCCTCAAGGGTTCCATCCCCGGTGTCAAGAAGCGAGTCATCACTCTGCGAAAGTCCATGTGGCTGCACACCTCTCGACGAGACCTCGAGAAGACCCAGCTCAAGTGGATCGACACTGCCTCCAAGTTCGGAAAGGGCCGATTCCAGACCCCTGCCGAGAAGACTGCTTTCATGGGCACTCTCAAGAAGGACCTTTAAGCGGTTTCTCTTGTTGGAAATTTAAAAAATTAAAATGCACAATAGCAATAACCGAGTGTGTAGAGTACCTGCAACTGAGTGCAAAAGTACTTGTAGTACTTGTAGTCCTAGCGCTGTATACTGTAAGTAGATTGTCGTTTGACTAACTGTAAGATAGTTACTTTCCTTACACTAACTTGATTCGAAGACGCGTAGAGGGAGATCGATCATGACTATGAGCGAGCCCAACTGACAACATTCATATGAAGGGAAACAGTGAAGGCATAAGATGGAGCAACAATGCAGACGAGTATGGTTGCAGATTGCACTCTCGCAAATGCATGATACATGGTTGTACTTCTGTTTCTGGAACGAATTGCTTCCCATCATTGGCCTGGTGTGAGACAGGTGTGCCGACAGATGTGCCGACAGATGTGCCGTCAGATGATTTGAAGTGCTTACTGAGCAAGGTGAGATTGTCGCAGACTCTCCGCAGACAAGGAGACAGTACTAACAGGAACATTACAGGTTCATTCCATTGAAAGAGCTCCTTCTATTAACCGAGAGTGTAGCAGAAGTCTCCGAACGGTCCGAGTCCAGGTCGTGAGATGACATGGTCAAGGGGAAAGGCAGACCCGGACGTTGAGTAGTTGCCGGTTCCAGTCCCAGACCTTCCAGTCAATTGATGATGGTAACATACCTGCCCAGGTTGAGGTTGGAGTTGGTAACAGATGCAGTTCCCTCGTTCAGGATGTACGAAATCTCGATTATCTGACTGAGACTGGTGTACCACATATGGTAACATGGAAATCAAGATAGACCGGGGGTTGTTACAAATACAACAATCAGTATAAGACTTATCAAGGAAGCTCATACCAAGACTCAACTTCCAGACGACCCGATATTTGAACTATAGCAGACCAAGAATCCACTTCGAAGCTGCGGAAGACGACAAGATTTCCAACTGTCCTGGTTTTCTTGATGGAATCGTGACATGTAGGGCTTTTCGCACTGGAATTAATCCCAGACATGGAAAGGATACTCTATAGAAGAGTCTCTACAAGCATTTTGAGAACTCAGCACCAATCTGCAGATGAAAATACCATCTTATTCAGCAACCTTTCGCCATTTTTGCCATTTTTGGGGTCTCCACGTGACATTTTCGTCCCGCCTTATCCGTTCAACACCGCAAACCGTCAGTTGCGGCCATATCCTGGTGAAAATACGGCTTCCCGTCCGATCAGCCATAGTCAAGCACCAGAGAGCCTAGTTAGTATTGTAGTGGGAGACCATACGAGAATCCTGGGTGCTGCAATTTCTTTTCCCTCGAGTTTTCACTTATTTTTTTTTTTCCATTTTTTCTTTTTTTTTCTTTTTTTCTTTTTTTTTTCTTTTTTTCTTTTTTTCCTTTTTTTCCATGTTGCGTCTCCAACCTGTAAGCGGACTACGACTACAAGGCAAACTTTTGAGTCAAAGAGCCGGGAAACTCCATCAACAAGGTGTTTTCTGCTGTAGGAAGGCTTTTCATGCCACTCCCAGATCTTTCATCAGTTCATCATCATGTCTACTTGTACTGTGCATCTGATCATCTACAACAGAGTAGCTTGGTATGGGTACCGAAAGGCTGTAAGAAAGGTGCGTACAGTACTCTAAGAATAGAGGGATTACAGTGGACTACCGATCCTTTTACTTTGACTTGCCCAACTGTGGCTCTTTCTATTACTACTGGTAGTCGTAGCTCACTCGGTTGTCTCACATCGGTTGACTGGTGCTGTCCTGAGGTACATACCATCCTCACAGTAACAGAGAAAGAGCGGCGGAATGAACAGTGGCATTTCGGAAATGTCTGGAATGTTCCGACCGTTCTGTCGACCCCCATGCCTCAGCTTTCGCTCTCATGTGTTCTCCACGTTCCTCGTATAGGACGATCCGGGCCAGCAGCAACCGGATCACACGACATTTCACCCGGCCTCGGCATGTTTGCTTTTGACAGTTGATCGTGTGACAGACATGCAGCAGGGTCAGCACTTGGGACTGGGTTCGAGTGTGTACGATACGGGGGTAAGTACCAGGTACCTTTACAAGTGCCGGTAGTAACATGACCTTACCGAAACAGCGGCAGTCCAGATCCCTCCATGGACACCCGTGACACGTGATTATGAACCCTACGGTCTTGCTGCTGATATAACCAGCTGATTAGTGCTGGCGATCATGATGCAATAGATGTGGTATCAACACCAATAACTCCATTCCTTGCCTCACTTGAGATGTTGTCTTCAACTGCAGTTTCACTGTCAGACTCCACTGTCGATGATGCCACTGGTGTACAAGTAGTTACGTGGTCCAAGACGCATCTCTGGTTACAACATGTCGAACACCTTCGATCTACAAATATACTCTTCACAACTCCCTTACACGACACCTCATTTGTTTTCTGACGTTGTGGGGAAGATGCGTCTGTTCGGGTACTTTTGACTTTGGCTGTTTTCTTGTCCCCGTACCGGATTTTCGGCTACTGGTGTGCTTTGTGTCAGGTGTCACCTGGGCGTCATCCTGGGATTCAGTGTGCCCGTTAAGGTTTGTATTAAGATTCGGTCTCCACATGGACCCGAGCCGTTGCATCCCCCTGCATACCTGCAAGTATGCTGTTCCGGTTTAGCTGGTACAAGGACTGTTGATGGATTACATAATTGGTATAAATGAGCAATTTAACATACGTCCAGCTCATAAGATGTGATATTCGGCGTTAGCGTACCACCCAGGAGTCTTAATCTGTGAAATCCCTCTTCCTGATCGCGTTTCGGCGAAAACAGCACCTACAAGACAATGGCGGTCTGGCGTCGAACCCCCGACATTCCTACGGGCTTAAATCGAGCCCCAGACACTCTCAAGTCGAGCTAAAGCCCAAATAAACCATCCCCCGTTTGCCTCCCTCAATCACGTGACAGATGACTCGTTCATGAGTCACCGTGAAAAAGTGGATAGAGTTAAAGCAACCAACAGTGAGGCATTTGTCACCCACTATCCTCCTGTGACGTCATGGACCTAACCAAAGACCATTGGCGGCCATCCGCGACCAAAATAAAACAAAACAAAACAACAGCGCTTCTGCACACGTCCTCGGTTTGTCCTCACGTGACCTGAAATCTCGCGCCACACACATTCCATGCATATCCACGTCACATGACCTCTCTTTGGTACGGGGCACCGCCACAATGGGTGCGTGCACCAGCCACACAGGGAGCCGAGGCGCTTTGAACTCTAATTTCGCTGACAGGGAAGGTCCAGGTCGACTCTTGTGGGGCAACCTTTTTTTGAGTCATTAGTAAACACCATTGTGAGGCACTGTAGAGCCCAAAATGAATGGATAAATGAATAAACGGGTACACCGTCGGCCCAGGCATGCGCAGCCGACCCGTCCCATGGGATTTTGCGCGCTAAAAAAATATTGCATCACTTGACTGTTTCAGTCTACATAAGACCATATGTGCCGCCCGAGTCGGAAGAGGTGGTTCCGGGGCTTTATCGTTATAGGGTTAGGGCTGAAGTCTCTCGGATAAGTGGGTGATTCCTAATGTGTGTGTTGTGTGGAGTGGCGTGGGATTTTGGACGTCTTCAAAATGGGGAATAGAGAGTGTACTGGAAAACCGAGCACATATCTGTGGTCAGCACGGTCTGGAGATCCAGATAGTGGCCAAATTCTCCGCAAAAGACCCACTTTCAGGGGCCCCAACTCTCCCCCACAACCCCACTCACCTCGGCTCGGACAAAAACAAGGTTTGACAAGCTGCAAATCCAGTTATCACATTCCGGGGAAGAGAAGTCCACACGACATTTGCTTGATTGCACATCAACGAGTTGCACCTAACTTGTTAAACATTCGAGTGGCACTACCAGCGGTCTAACCTAGAGCCAGACCATCAGATAAACACAAAACGACGATATATAAGGAGTTTGACCTCTTTCTGACGACAAAGACACAGACCCGACACAGACCCCCGCTTTTATATACAACCACTGGTAACTAGTGACTCTCTACCAAGGACACAACCAAAACGACAGTTGCCACATTTAACAACCGCGATCGTGACAGAAGCGACACAAGACACAACCAGGCTCACACAATCAGCAAGTTCCACAAACAGCACAGATGTGAGTATCGTTGAGATGAGGAGGAGGAGGAGGAGGAGAGGATGGAGAGAGGGATAGAGATGGTGGTATGACATGACATGAGGTGGTAACGTGAGTCAGTGGCACAACCCTATACAGTCAGTAACAACCGATTTGGTGACACATGAATCAACTGGTCGTTGCACGCTCATGACAGTCGCTTCCTTACCATTCGCCTCTTACCATTCGCCTCTTACCATTCGCCTCTTACCATTCGCCTCATACCATTTGCCTCATACCATTCGGCCTCTTACCATTCGCGCCAGTACCATTTCATGCTAACAACAGGATACCATCAAGGCCTCTTTTCCAGGGCTGGAAGTTCACGCCCGAACTTGCAGAGAAAATCAAACACTACGCACGATTCCCCGCCACCGGAGTCTCTCTCCGACAAATGGTGCAGTTCGGAAGCAAACCCAGTGCCGGCACTCTGTTCAGAGCGTCCCAGTTCATTTCCGAAGAGCTGCCCATTCGACTCGCCCACCGAGTGCGGGATCTCGAAGACCTGCCAGACGGACTCTCGGAGCAACCTAGCATTCTGCGGGTGCGAAACTGGTATGCCCAGAGTTTCGACGAGCTCACGTCGCTGAAGCAGCCCAAAATCAGCAAGGAGCTGAAGACCCTGCTTTACAGCGGAGGTAACAACAACAACGGCAACAGCAATGGCAACGGAGCCAGCACAACCAACAACGGCAACAGCAATACCCGGTCATTCCACATGTCGAGCACGCGGCAGACCCTACTCCCTGAAAACACAACTAATCCTTCGCTGGACGAATACCACTTCAAGTCGACCCCCACGCAAAAAACAGTCAACCGACGAAGATACTACGCCAACGTGTCGCCCGAAGTGTCCTCATGGCCACCGGAGGTCTACGAGTTTAACAAAACCATCACAGCTACTCTGCAGAAGATCAAGCAGCGGCATGACCCTGTCGTGACCACGGTCGCTCAGGGTATCACCGAGTGGAAGCAGGTGTACAAGAAGTCTGCTGCTTCCTTGTCCATACAATCCTTCCTGGACCGTTTCTACATGTCTCGTATTGGTATTCGAATGCTCATCGGCCAGCATATTGCTCTCAACTTACACGCCAAGCAGGAGGATTACGTCGGAATCATTTGCACAAAGACTAACGTTCGAGAAGTTGTTCAGGACGCCATCGCCAACGCTAGATTCATCTGCGAGGACTGGTACGGACTGTTCGAGGCGCCCAAGGTAGAGATTGTCTGCCAGCCCGACATCAACTTCATGTACGTTCCCGGTCATCTGTCGCATATGCTTTTCGAGACGCTCAAGAACTCTCTTCGAGCCGTTGTCGAGACTCATGGAGTCGATGCCGACTACTACCCTCCCGTCAAGGTGATTGTGGCTGAGGGTCATGAGGATATCACTATCAAGATCTCCGATGAGGGAGGAGGAATCCCCCGGTCCGCCATTCCTCTCATCTGGACTTATCTGTACACCACAGTCGAAGCCACTCCCAGCCTGGAGCCCGACTTCAACAAGTCTGACTTTAAGGCCCCCATGGCTGGTTTCGGATACGGTCTCCCTATTTCGCGGCTGTATGCCCGATACTTTGGAGGCGATCTGAAGCTCATTTCCATGGAGGGATACGGTACAGATGTTTATCTGCATCTCAATAGATTGTCGTCTTCTTCTGAGCCTCTGCAGTAAGCGGTGTGCTCCGAAGGACAGTAATGCATTTGTTTATTTAGCGAGCGAGCGTAAGCTGGTGAAGCTCATGAGGGGGAGTCCTGAGACGACGACGATGTGCCCTGACCTCAGGGTGTATATATTTAATGTATGATTTTGATGAATCCCGAGTTGTACTGCTATTGACAACACTACAATAATATAATATGGAATTAATGGTATCTTTTTTGGATAAGCGAGAACGTCGTAGAGGAAATGGGTTGCCAGCCAGAGCTGGGTGGTGATATTACTGCCATCACATTTGCGTGCTTCCTGTCTAAAGCTTCCATTGATGGAAGTTGTTTGTTACTACTGTAGTAGTACAGTAAATGTAGCTTCTTATTAAGTCATCTGTATATAGTCGATGCTCTGCTTACTCCTCATACTCATACTTGCCAACCCACCGGTTGACCATGTCCAGAGCAACCTCGGGCTGGTTGAAAGGAACCATATGACCGGCCTCGTAGACTCGCAGATAGGTGAGTCCCTTAGCGGTCTTAACTTCTCCAGCGTTCTCTCCGTTGACGGTCCAGTTTCGAATCTCGGCCTTGCCAAACTTCTCGGCTCCAGTCCACTCGAGAGCATCAGTCCACATTTTGTTTCCTACCCAGTTGCAGATAAAGTCCTTGTCACCGGCATAGATGAGAATGGGAAGTCCATCGTCCAGCAGATCGGCAATGTCTCCGTGGAAAGGACGGTTTCCATCACCATCAAAACCAAAGTCAACACCCACAGAGTTCTTGCAGCCCTCAAAGACCTCAATCTCGGCTCCTAGAGCCTCCAGAACGTGGTCCTGGTTCAAGTAGTTTGTGATCCACTCAATCTGACTGTAGCACAGAGCGGACTCACCACACTGCTCTCGAATATCGTACACATTCAGACCGGTCTTGGAGAAGGAGCTGAAGATGGCATTGTCGCAGTAGACGGAGGGAGCGACGCAGGCATACCGGGTGTTAGTCTCGTAGCACAGATCAATGAGCTTCTGGCACTTGGGCACGCTCTCGTGGATCTTGTTACAGTCCTCAGGGGATAGAATTGCAGGATGGCCGCCCTTACCGCAGGCCATGGGCTCGTATCCCTCAATCTGGGTTCGAGAGTCGGTGATACCGTTTCCGATGAGCAGAGAGCTCAAGTTGAAGTTGTTGGTGTGTCTGTTGGACTGGATTTCAGTAGCAATAGCAGGGATGTAGTGACCAGCGTAAGATTCACCGGCAATGTGGAAATCGAGGTCCTTGTACTGAGGGAACTTGTCGAAGAAGAGGTTGAGGAAGGTGTTGACGTCCTTGGCTCCATCTCGGGAGTTCTTGATTCGGTTGGGGGAGTGGGAGAAGCCCACGTTGACAGGCTGGTCTAGGAAGATAACCGAGGCGTTCTGGTTCCAGGAGAACTCGTTGTGAGACAGAGTCAGGTCCTCGTTGATGTTGGAGGGGCCAAGTTCAAAGAACAAGCCAGTCATGGAAGAGCATCCGGGACCTCCGTTAAGCCACAGAATGACGGGGTCATTCTTGGGGTCATTTCGGGACTCAAAGAACCAGTAGAACAGATGTTTGTCTTCCTCTTCAATGTCCACATAGCCAGAATATTGCTGAACAGTGTCCACTCCTAGCGACGAGGGATCAGCCACTCTCAGTGTGTTGCCATTGAGAGAAGTGGTGGAAATCCAGTTGGCCTTTCGTTTGGTGGTCTTCTTGGGCGCAAATCGCGACTCCATCTCCTCCATCTTGGACGCAATCTGCCCGGGGAATTGCTGTTCAACCTCTTTCCACAGAGAGATGTCAGCGGCCGAAATGCCGTCCTTGTTATCACCGAGGACATGCTGTTGCCAGAGCGACGAGGCTGTCACCGAGGCAACCAGAGCATTGAGAGCAAGCACCGAAAACTTCATCTTGTGTTTATTCCGGTAAAATGGGGTGCGTTGATCAACTAGAGTGAAGCAAGATGAAGAGGAATAAAGAGACGGGTTTGGAGCCGTGCGCCAATTTAGAGCCACTTGCATGCAGCATGATAATGCAGCTTGTCGGAGTCCGACAACACCGGAAGAAGCAAGATTGAAGACAGTAGCAAGACAATTCAGATCACGTGATACCAGAAATTGACCCGCCTTTGATGCTATCCCGGGTAGATATGTCGACGGAGAGTGCATGCATGCAGTTGGTACAATCGGACAACCTTGGTGGTGCGATAAGGGTGTCTCATCTTGTACTTGTACAGTATTTACCGTAGCTGTTGATGTGAGTTATGGAGTACGAGTACTTGTACAGTAGTTCAAGAAGTGTTGGAAGCTCTGGAAGTGTACTTAGGCAGTCGGTTTGGTTAGTTTTATGTACTCGTACTATAGTATACATCATACAATTACTGCGACTTACAGTAGCTCTATATAGAAGACAACTTGATGATAGGCTAGCCTTCTACGCATTGTACTTGTAAATGTGGAAGATAATCGCTGTACTTGCACTACATTGTCTTAGTCTGACTTTGACTGGGTATCGTCACCATTTCCTTCTAACTCCTCAAGATGACTTGTAGCAGTCATTAGACATCCGCTACTTGTAGTAGCTAAGGCAGAAAACAAACGAGCACCTTTGCGGCATCAGTGGAAAACACTCTTGAACCATTTTCCTTGATCAAGGTGTCGAGAGGCAACTCGACAGTCGATAATCGACTGCTGTTGTCTTTCAAACATGTCCTGAGTTGAGTTGTGCGTCAGGGACTAGAACATCCAGTGGATACTGGGGAATGTTGGCGCAAGATGTTTATTACTACCCACAGTCTCCTCTAAAGTCACTTGTACAACACAGTACTGTAAGGCATCTCCACCATACCGGTTCAGATTCCTTACAATAATCGTACTTGTACTTGTACTTGTACTTGATAAGGCTATAAATTAGGGTCTTGGATGCACAATGGGAAACATACCAAGAATGATTGATTAGTTTGTGTGTGTGTGGGAAGCGGCCCTCTCTTCAGAATGAGGCAAGGACAGACTTCGGTGCTGTATAACGAAGTGCCCAGCTTCCAGAGAGGTGGTGCGAACGCAGCGGTTCTTCATGACAGATTGGCATGCGCATGACTTCAGGTGTTGTGTCACATTCAATGGCACGTTCCCAAGTCCCATCACACATGCTCTCGACCAAAATGGCTCCGTCACGCTCACCATTTAGGGAACAACCGAATGATAATCATACCTCCCGCCACAGCAACCACCATAAACACCACCGCCTTGATGTAGAAGAAGTAACCAATAGCTGCAGTCCGCTGGTACTCGTTCATCTTCTGTCCCACGGATCCCATCTTTGTAGACGACGATTCCAGAGCGGCCGCTGTATCCTTCACCATTGCGTCATCCTTGGCCAGCTTCTGGTTCATATCCACAGCATTCTGCTTCATTCTTCGCACCAATGAAAGCACGTCGTTAGCAATGTCATCCTGCTCGTTCTCGTCCACCCGCAGCTTAGTCTGCAGTGTGGCATCCTGGGAAATTTCATTGTCCATGCTACCGTGAGCACCACGTTTTCTCAAGCCATGTGACTGAGGGGTAAGGTCCTGGTCTCCCTCCAGAAGCGCTTCACGCTCCTGCCGTTCCCGCTCCAGCTCAATCTCCTCCGTTTCTCGCCGCTTGATGAGACTGGTCAGTTGCTGCTCTCGTCCGTCCACCTCGAGCTCGTATTGTCGGACAAACAGCAGATCGGTGCCAATTTTCCGCAGGTCCTGCTTCTCCACCGGTGTTGCCGAGCTATGGCTGAGCACTCGCGCTCGCTCGAGGTTCTTGTCGGCCTTTAACCGCTGCAGACCGAGCACAAACGCATCTCCATCGTCGTATAGTGTCGACAGCTCGTTGATCTGGTATCCGGAGTCGTCGTCCAGGGCTGTGTAAATCTCTTCCGTGTCAACAGCGGCCTTTCGGGCCAGTTCTGAGGCTGTTTGGCCGAGATTTGACAAGATGGTGTTCATATTGGGGTGCTGGGCAGGTGTAGAGAGATAGTCTGCTTACGTGGTGATCTAGAGTTGGGGTTTTAGGTGGTGGAGTTTATTTTATTTGATGAGAGTGAAATTGTGAAGCGATAGAAGACGACTTTGTACTAGGATATGTGGGCGTTTTATATGGATAATATTGAAGATGGTTTAGTAATCATAGTCATATTAATTGCTAGTGGAATTTTTCCATTCAAAACGCCCCGAAACAGAGTGTCAAAAGCGAAATCACTTCTTTAAGTAATTTGAACAGAAGTAATCAACCCCCGGCTTTCTTTTACTTGGAATTGTTCTCATTTACCATTGCGACCAGAAATAGCCCCAAAAACGAACGGGAGACTTGCAATCACTTTTATGTTCCAAGTTTAACATTACTGAGCTCGTAAATGCTCCCTGAAACTTCCCCCGCCCCCATTTTAACGCCTCCGCCCTTCACTCGATCACGTCCGTCGCGTCAAACAAAGTTCATGCAGGTAGATGCGAAATAATGAACAACATAAACAAGTGAAAAAACGTCCGATAGCAACATCTTGGAAAACGGCACAAAACAACTGGTTTTTCTCACACGAGCGCCACCATGTCGGGACTGCGCATCCAGATAAATTACATCGACTATGTAATGGCTCCTCCGGGGCCGCTGGACTGGTCCAAGGTGCCTGAAACGGTATCTTGCGAATGCGACTACAAAGATCTACACCGGGTTCCAGTGCTGCGGATATTTGGAGGCACCTCGGACGGTCTTTCGTCTTGCGCACATGTGCACAACGTCTTCCAATACTTTTACATACCCTACACCGGTCCTTCCTTAAGTCCGGCGGATTCGGAGCCGTTCATAGCAGACATGTATCGCCGAATCAACCTGCAACTCCGTTCCAAGAGGACACGTGGCGAGAAGTTACCCGAGGAGTGTAGTTTTCTGGCCAACATTGTGCTATGCAAAGCTACACCATTCTACGGATACCATGAGGGATGGAGATACTACCTGAAGATCGTGGTGGTGGACCCTAGTCATGTTGGAATGCTGGTGGACATGTTCAGGAACGGTGTGTTTGGATGGGACCACTCGCGTGTGTTTGAGAGCCACTTGTCTTACATTTTGCAATTCTTTTGCGACTACAATTTGCATGGTTGTGGATGGATGGAGGCGTCCAGGTACATGATGAGAAGGGAAGGTATGATCTCCAAGTCGGAGTTTGAGGTTGACTTGCAGGCCGAATACATCTTAAACCGACTGGTGATTTCGACCAACAAGAAGCCAGGGGACAAGGCGTTCCATTCACTGAAAGAGCTGTGGACGAGCTTACAGAGCATTAGAGACAAGTTCAGCAAAGGCGAGTACAAGAGTGACTATGGAGAAAGGACTGTAAATGACCCGCGGGAGCAGTGGTTTTCAGCCCAGTCCATGTTCTCGGAGTTGGAGGAGAAGGTGAGCAAGGCAGACTCGGCCCATTCATACGTGCAGTTCTGGCCCAAAAGGCCATACGACAATCTCGTTCCCACAGCGTTTGAAACGACAAAATGCATGTTCAAGGGAGAGGGTGCCTCAGAAGTGGACAGTTTTGTGTTTGATGTGTCCTTTGACGATCTTCCTTCCATGTCCCAGGAAAAGAGAAGCAGTGCAACAAGAAAACACAGTTCCACTCCTCCCCCATCAACCAGGAAACAAAAGGGACTCAACTTCAAGGTGACCAAACCCAAGTTTGATGTTCCAAATACTGCAAAGACGAGTACTGCTGTTGCTACTGCTACTTTAACTACAACAGTCTACACTTTCAAGCCACCTCCATCGCGTGGACTGTGTATTACCGATTTAGACGACAACAACATGGCACAGAAAGTCTACCCAAAGCCGCACTACTCACGTGATTCAGACGTCCCCACAAAAACAATGACACACGGAGGCGTCACTTTTCGAATTCTGGGGTCTTCCGTAAAGTATCTACCAACGGGATTCCCCGAAAAGCCCTCAAACTATGCTCTTAAGGGCGTTGTTGAGCTGGCAAAGTCTCCTCCATCGCGTGATGACGTACTCAAGTGGATAGGAAAGACTACCAACAATGCTGATCTGTTTCTGTCCCAGATAGCGCCTCCTACCCAGAAGCCCAAGTACTCTTTCCCCAGTCAAAACACACTCTCCCAGCGACACGAGTCGGCTGCTTTAACGGTCATGAGCATGGAGGTTCATGTGAACACTCGAAAAGGTCTCAATCCAGACCCAGATCTTGACCCAATCCTGTTCGTTGTCTGGCACATGTTGGGTGGTCCCAGTGGAGTGATTATCAACGCCGAGGATTGCCCAGACTTCACAAACATCATCGAAGCACCTTCCACTGTCGTCAAAACAGAGTGTGAAATGATCACTCATCTTCAGAAAATGGTGGAGAACTTTGATCCTGACATTCTGACTGGCTTTGAAGTCCAAGCTTCTTCCTGGGGCTATGTTCAAGACCGTTGCAAGACCATGTTGTACCCATGTGAATTTGGAAGGGTTCAGCATCATAAGATGAGCTCGAAAATTGACACTTGGGGCGCACGAAAGGCTTCTGGAGTCAAAGTAGTTGGCCGTCATGTGCTCAACTTGTGGCGTATGATTCGTGGGGAGGTTTCTTTGTTGAAATACACGCTTGAGAATGTCGTCTTCCACGTTCTACACGAACGCATTCCCTTCTACACACACGATACGCTCACAGAAATGTGTGTGGGCAGTCTGTCTGACCGGAAATTACTTGTGGAGTACAAATGCACGCGGTCCAATTACAATCTGCAGCTCTTGAGCACTCTGGAGATTGTTTCACGAACAGCTGAGCAGGCTCGAGTGGTGGGAATCGACTTTTCGTCCGTCTACACCCGCGGCAGTCAGTACAAAGTCGAGTCGTTTCTTGCTCGCCTGACAAAAAGTGAGAACTTCATGCTGGCAAGCCCCAGTAGAGAACAGGTTGGTCAGCAGAATGCCCTGGAGTGCATTGCTTTGGTAATGGAGCCCGAATCTCGACTTTATACGAGCCCCGTTCTTGTTCTGGACTTTCAGTCTCTTTATCCTTCCGTCATCTTAGCCCACAATTACTGCTACTCCACCTGTTTGGGCAAATGGACTGATTTTGAAAAGGACGGAAACACTTTGGGAACGGAGAAACTGTTCTACAAGCCGTCTTTGGTAAAACGGTTGCTGACTAAAGACGATGTGACCATCTCTCCAAATGGCCTGGTGTTTGTGAAACCCCATATTCGAGTTTCTCTGTTAGCTCGAATGCTGGGTGAGATTCTGGAGACCAGATTCATGGTCAAGGATACTGCCAAGCTCGATAGAGACAATGTGTCGTTCCAGAGACTCAACCATAACCGACAGCTTGCTCTGAAGCTCGTGGCCAACGTCACATATGGATACACTTCTGCCTCCTTCTCTGGACGTATGCCCTGTGCCGAAATCGCTGACGCAATAGTTCAAAGTGGACGTGAGACGCTCGAAAAGTGCATTGACGTGATCCATGGATCGGACAAATGGGCAGCCAAGGTCGTCTACGGCGATACAGACTCGTTGTTTGTATGTCTACCTGGTCGTACCAAGGATGAAGCATTCAAGATTGGTACTGAGATCGCTGATACCATAACATCTGCCAATCCAGCACCCATGAAATTGCAGTTTGAAAAGGTCTATCTTCCTTGCATGCTCATATCCAAGAAGCGATACGTGGGCTACAAGTGGGAGTACTCGAAGCAGATGTATCCCATTTTCGACGCCAAGGGAATCGAAACTGTGCGACGAGACGGCACCCCTGCTGCCCAGAAGATTGAGGAGAAGGCTCTTCGTATCTTGTTTGACACTGCTGATTTATCTCTGGTCAAATCGTACCTCTACGAGCAGTGGACGAAGATTCTAACTGGTAAGGTCTCGATTCAGGACTTTTGTTTTGCCAAGGAAGTCAAGTTAGGCCAGTACAAGGAAGGGGGAGTGTTGCCCGCGGGTGCGAAGATCTCGGCTGAGAAAATGGCAGTCGACATGCGCTTTGAACCCCAGTACAAGGAACGTATCCCATATGTGGTTGTTGCTGGTCCTCCCAAAAGTCGGCTGATTGACCGATGTGTTTCTCCTGAAGAACTAGTCAGGAACGCCAACTCTCTCATTCTCGACGCCGACTACTACATTCACAAGACTCTGATTCCCCCTCTGGATCGGTTCTTTAACTGTGTGGGTGCTTCTGTTCTCAAGTGGTACGAGGAGATGCCCAAGAAGCGGCGGTACGAGTTTTACCAGACTGTTTCTCGAGCAAAGACCAACCAAACCACGCTCAAGTCGTACGCTGTGTCCAACTCGTGCATCGTCTGCAAGACTGCCCAGACGTCTGGCTTGTCTAAACTTTGCGCCACGTGCGAGAGTGATCCTGGTCATGCAACATTCGTGCTTAACTCCGATCTGAGGTACAGGGAGAAGCGGCTGGATGAGCTCAACACAATCTGCGCGCAGTGCTCAGGCGACTTTGAGACTAGGTGCGAGTCTCAGGACTGTCCTATTTACTACTCACGGGTCAAGGCAGTGAGTAAGGCGGAAGATGCAAGTGAGAGGCTAGTGGAGTGGACTGAGGGGCTGGAGTGGTGATGCAACGATGGAGAACTTATTTATTTGTATTGTAATATATTTATTTATAACTGCGCTGGTTGCCGTGTGTGCCTTCTGTACCACAGTCGAACCCTGGGTGAAGCGCCAAAGTGTTTCTGTAGTTGTGCCAGTATCAGCGTCTGTCCTACCAGTAGCTCGCGTCTTGACTCTAGTCCGTGGATGTCACCAAGTACAAAGAATCTAGAAGCACGGCGCCAACCCTCATTGGTGACACGAGGGGCTTCTTCTGCGATAATGGCCCTTCCTCACGAGCTCGCTATTCATAATTGCTTAGCAATATCCTGGGCGAGGAAACAGACACCTTCTGTTTCTCCCATTCCGAGTGGTAGGGTCTGCGAGGATATCCCTTTTCTCAGCTTCCCTTTTCTCAGCTTCCGAACACTTTCTGAACCAGTTCTGGGACGAAACTGCGATGTTGAACGCGTCATTGGCGCCACAGGCGATGATGGACCCGTTGAATGGACTACTGTACTTGAAGTAGCAGGGCAAAGGATATCTGCATGCTGTTCACTGCATCAGACCAACGCCTACTTTCAATCAATGCTTCATTATCTATATATATCCTTAGTCCTTCCTTCACTGCAATAGCACTGGCCAGTGTCTTTTGTTTTGCATGTACTTGCACTCACTTCACTGGTTACTCCTCCAACAAGACCATCACCTTTGCGCAAAACGCCTCCAGATGAAAGATATACTTCGCACCCAGCTTCAACCGATGCTCGTAGGTGGCTGCGGCAGAAATCAACGGCACCCTCAGATTGGCAGGCACCACCGGAATCAGTCTGTAGGTGAGCTCCTTGAGAATCGTCGAGGGAGGAATGCAATGGGAGAGCAGCTCATAAAAGAGCGATCTGATGGCCAACAGAGTGGCTGGGGTTCGAGATGACACGAGTTCTCGGGCAATACGGCCAATGACCATTTCCCAGTCAGGAGTAGGAATTGGAGTGTTTTCCGACACCGTTTTGGAGCCTGCAAAGGTGTACAGAGTCTCCAGAGTCAATAGAGCCTTCCGCAGGTTCCGGTCGCTATGCGAAGCAATCTTTTCCAGGGTTTTGGTGTTCTCAAGATCCACATGTTCCTTGGCAGCCACTTTTTCCAGTACGTTGACAATGTCCTGCTCGGTAGGTGCAGCGACTCGCACCAGCAGGGTTCGCGACCTGATGGGTGCAATGATATTGGAGGTGGAGTTAGTGAGCAGAATCAGTCGGATATTCTTTGTGTATTTTTCCATGGTTCGTCTGAGGGCAGCCTGGGCGTCACGAGACAGCGAGTCGGCCTCGTTGATGATCACCACCTTGAACCGTTGTTTGGCATTGAGGTCGACCTGCTGAGTTTCAGCAGTTTCCTTGAGCAATTGCTGGATCACAAGACGGTCATTGTTGCCCATGTCGGACGGCGTCACTTCAAGATGGTAAGCCGAGCAAATGACGCCGAGCTCGAGTTCTCGCTTCGACGGCGTCACGAACTTGTGGGACTTGGTGCTGATTTTCTCCACGCTGGGGCCGTAGAGCTTTTTGAGCAGTCCCATGACTCGGGTCTTCTTGCCTGCTCCCGACGGTCCGTAGACGAGAAGATGAGGCAGATCGCCTGTCGCGGCAAGCGCGGAAAACCGCTCGGAGATGTCCTGGTGGTAATCCACGTGATCGAGGGACTTGGGACGGTGTTTATCTACCCAGAGAGACATGTTTTGGGGTTGATGTGGTGATGGAGAAAATGGGACATGTAGAGACGCGTGTAAAAGTGATTTGGCGTTTAGAGTTTGCCAGTTGTAGAGATTGATGGAGGATACAAGGGTGTTGAGAAGTCGGTATTCGGGGAAATATACCAATATAAGATGTCGTAGAAGGAGTGTGAATGGGTTGATGAATATTTAGAAAAAAAAACCAGTCAGATTTGATTGCAGTTGTACGGATTTTAGGAAAATACACACTACTGGGTAAAAGCTTAACAATAACTTGTGCTTGAGTCAACCAAGTCTAACTAAAGTGAAGAGCCCACCGAAAGGGCATTTACTATAGAGAGGAGAGTTTGATTTCCACTCAATTCCACTCAATTCCGCTTTAGTTCACATCATTAACACACATCATTGTCATCCATCTCCGTGTCGTTTTATTCTAACCCCATTTTTTCCTCCGAGTAATTATCCTCCCGCGTAAAATTCAGAACGGGATTTTCCACGCTCTTGTGGGTCGAGAAAACCCAATTTTCACAATCTGTCCGATATAGTGTAGGGGTTATCACTTCCGCCTTTCACGCGGAGAACCCGGGTTCGATTCCCGGTATCGGAGTGTCTTGTTTTTTTGCGTTTCCGACCCCCACCACGTCTGTGGTGCTTGCTGTCATTTTCACGTACATTTCTCTTGCTTGTCCTGCATCTCAGCATTCCATGCAAGGCTGAGTTTAGGTTGTCGTATTTCAGAAACTGTATCAAGTGAACGAATGAGGTGAAGAGATGAGGTGAAGAGATGAAGGAGAGACAATATTTGTAGCAATGAGGGCAATAATCAACAATTATTCGGGTTAATCACGTGGTACACTCCTGATTACCTTGTCCCCACGCCCTTGTCTTCCCTGATGCTTCCTGGATACCGTTAGCCCATGGTCATACCATTCATAGCCAACCGTCAACGTCTCTTGTCCAAGCTGAAGGAGGCTGATATTTGCGTCCGAAAGGTGAGCCATCGCGTTTCAAGCAGTTCCAAGTGGCTTTTCGAGCCCAAGAAGTAAGCCTTGAAGTAAAAGCCCTGTCAATAGACTCGTATCATAGTACAAGGCTTAGCTACAGATGTTCAGCAAGGGGTAATGGCTTGGTTACACGCCCAGCAAGGCTCAGCACTCCGCAGCAGACTCCACAAGGCTCAGCAAGCTCTACCAAGCCCAGCAAGGAGTTGTGTATGTGCCAGACTCAGCAGGATACGGTCAGCCAGGGGGTGCTCAGATGATGATGCACGACCTGTTCTCCTTCTTTTACCCGTACTTGTGCATCGTACTCGTAAATATTGGTCAGCTTCACGATCCGTCAGGTGGCTTGTGTCTCAGATCTATTGCTCGGGAGGGTCGATGGTTTGCAAAATTATTGGCGTTTGGGGAAATTATTAGGGGAAATTATCGGAGGAAATAATTCTATGGGCGCAAAGATTACTGCACTTTTGGCGATAGAGAGACCTCGGTGAAATAATAGTGGGTGGGTGCAAGTCTTGATCCAGTTGTGTACTTTGGCGGTTGTATCATGCTCGTCTAATTTTGTGCATGAGTGCATCTGGCACACAAGGGACCAACAAGTGATGACCCTTCTTCTGATACCCCGCTACACGAGGATCCAGAACCACGTTAGCAAGGTGAAACGGCCCTTTAGTGAGCGTCTATTGCTGTCGTGTTGGGAAATTAGTGTGTGACGTCACTAGACTGGATTAGTCGGCCGTCTGGGGTAAATTACACCCGCTTGGCTGCGTTAGCGCCGGTTTTTAGTTCCAACCCAGGAGCCAAAACACATGAGGTATTTCAGGTATTATAACCCTGGACGAGGGCTTGTGAACCCTGTCGATCTAAACAGTCTTGATTGTGGGAGGTGTTAGAGCCTCAGCCATAGATTGTTTCAGATGGGCAGTGTGGATTCTCTCCATCCTCGAGGTTGACTGTAGGCCTGTTTGGTGCCTGACAGGAGGTACAGTAAGGAGTATCCAGAATGTACAAGTAGCCTGGGCTGCGGACGGGCTAAGGAACAAGCACCGCTGGTGTCTATCGGGGGTGTGTGCCATCATGTGATGCACGCCATTGTGTTGATGTTCATTGTGGGTTGTGTTCCCGACAGGATCCACGCATCGGCCGTCGATCAACAGGGGGTTCCTGGTTGCTGAAACAGTTGTACCTGGGTGAGCTGTACAGTGTGGTGATGGACGGAGATTTATGCGGCTCCGATAGACAATCGAAGGTGCCATCACCAACGACTGGCCATAATAAGTGTCAGTGTGGTACGAGTACAGTAAGAGTACAGTACGTTGACTACCTGTTGCGCCTTGCACCGCCAACAAACAAGCTCCACAAAGCTCCAGAATGTGTGTACCTGTATCCCTAGCGCATTCCAGATTACCACTGGCGAATATCGTTTTACGTTCCATAATGAGATTGTACTTGTAGTATACACATTAGATTCGGGAGTTGTGAGCGTCTTGTTGCGGCCGTGTGTGGCGGAGGTGAAAAGAAAAAGAAAAAGAAAAAGAAAAAGAAAAATAGGTGACAGAGTGAGAATGCGGTGAGTGGCAGTCGCAGCTATGCACCCCCTGTTTCACCATGCAGGGGGCCGACGGCGATAAGTAGGGGTATGGAGCCGCTGGGGGTGTGTAGAAAAGCCAGCTGGAAGATGGCGACACAAGACACGTCCAAACAGCTTCGTCTCTGCGAAATTTTTCTTTTCTTGCTACAATTGAAACCTCCCTGACGGCGGTTTTGGTTCTACCGTGGGGCTCTTTGTTTGGGTTGGAACCTAGAGCGAAGTGCTAAAACTCTGTTGCCAGACACCTCCCGAAGCCTATCTAATTATAGTGGATGGCGGGAGGTATAACAGTGTGTTTGGGAGGGTGTTAGGGGGCCGCCAGAAGCGGTTTAAAGACGGAATATGGACATTGGCCGTCTTATAAAGCCCCTGGGAGCGGCCCCTTTCTCCCCCAACCAGCCAATATCCCGCTAGAACCCTCCCCACTCACCCGTCACACCATGTCTCACCCTGGCTAATATGGTTTCTGTCGCATTGACCACGCATGGCCACGGGCGAGACTAAAAGCGGAACTGAGAGAACGAGGATGGAGGTTGAATCGTGTGCAAAAGAGCAAAATTAAAGAATCGAAATTAATACCACCGGGTCTGGTGGTGTTGCAGACTGCTCTCGCCGGCTTGGTCACCCTCCACGTTCCGCTCTGAAGGTGTAACGTGGTTGCCACGGTGATGTCCACTCCCATACAGGCCCAAGTGTTTGTTTACAGAGTTTGATTGGACACGCGTGGCGTAGCAACGACTGTGGAGGCGGGACAGTGCCGGGCTCACGATGAGAACCGTTGCGGTGTCGACATCTCCATCCATCCACCAACCCCTGCAATTCATCAGCAATACCAACACACATCACTTCCTACTGCGGCCATACCGCTGTGCGCTGTTGTGTGCAAGTTTGACTTTAGACTGTATAGATAGGGGCTGCACAAACAAACATGACGTCTGTTTACTTCCCACCGTCCCAAATAAGCTTTGCACTACCCCTTTGCCAAAACGCCAGTGTTAAACACATCCTGGTCCTCCGTGATAGCTCCAACCGTAGGACGCTACTTTGTGAGGTTGGCTCGTGACTCGTTTCAGCATACTCACCTCCCCCCCAACGCACACACACTCAAACACAAACACATACCCCGTCTGTGTACACCCACAACCCCCTGGTACCCCACCATTCTACAGCTAGACCTGATCTGTACCCGCAGACCGGCTTGATACACAACAACTCCGCTACCATCGCCTCCAAAGAACATCATAACCAACCACGCATCCGCCATCGCACACAGGTACAGCACGCCCATGTCTCGACAAAAAAAATCGCGAGAAATCCGGTTCGGAGACTACATTCTGGGGTCGACTCTGGGCGAGGGAGAGTTTGGCAAGGTGAAAATCGGCTGGAGAAAGGACGGCAAGCAGCCCGAGCAGGTGGCCATCAAGCTCATCAAGCGCGAGACGGTGCCCCCAAACTCGAACCGCGAGGCCAAGGTGCATCGGGAGATTAACGCACTCAAAATCCTCACCCACCCCAACATTGTGCGGCTGGAGGAAGTCATTCAGAACGACAGATATATTGGAATAGTGCTGGAGTATGCGTCTGGCGGCGAGCTGTTTGACCACATTCTGACCCACAAGTACCTCAAGGAGGCCTCAGCCTGCCGCCTATTTGCACAACTCGTCTCAGGAGTCCACTACCTCCACTCCAAGGGTATTGTCCATAGAGACCTCAAGCTCGAAAACCTGCTGTTGGACAAACACAAAAACATCATCATCACGGACTTTGGCTTTGCCAACACCTTTTCAAGGGGCTCAGACGGCCACGTTTTCGATCTCATGGCCACATCCTGTGGCTCTCCCTGTTATGCTGCTCCAGAACTAGTGGTTTCGGACCAGAAATACACAGGCCGCAAGGTCGACGTATGGTCCTGCGGAGTCATTCTCTACGCCATGCTCTCTGGCTACCTGCCATACGACGATGACCCGGCCAACCCGGATTCGGACAACATCACCCAACTGTACAAGTACATCACCACGACGGCCCTCACGTTCCCCGAGTACGTGCCGCCGCTGCCACGGGACCTATTACGACGCATCTTGGTGCCGGACCCCCGAAAACGAATCTCGTTGAACGATGTCAGGTACCATTCGTGGCTGGCTCCCCATTCTCGTTTCCTGGCCATCACTCCTAAGGAATGGGAAGACGCAGTGGGCAAGGTGGCTGTCCCCGTCAAGACACACATGCCTCGATCCCACTCAGTCCAGCTTTCCTCTGGTGCTCCAGTCTTTGACTCACGACTCACAAAGCCCTCCGGAGTCAACATTCCCAACTTTTCGTACAATAATAGACATTCAGTTGGTGGAACGTACTCCAAGCCCATTCAGCGACAGGGGGAGTCTACCATTGGAGCAACTGTGTCCTCAAACACACCTGCAGGCCCAAGACCCATCAGTGCTGGCCCCTGTGCTGCCACAGCTGCTGCTGCTTCTGCCTCCAAGTCGCATGCTGCGGCGAACCCTCCCACCCACGCTTCCACGCCCTCAGTGGCCTCACTCAATATACCCGAAGATACCAACAACAATAGCACGTCCAATTCCCGACAAGCCCCCAGATCTGCCACATACACGGGCATTTCGCAACTCACATCACCCCCGGGGGCATCCCCCACGTCGCCCAAATTCGATTTTGATCTGCCCAAGCCTTCCATTGGCACCATCACTGAACAGCCCACGCCTCCCAGCAGTCCAAAGGTCAAGGAGAAGGGCAAGGAGGCGGATGATCTCGGACCACGTGATCTTCCTGCTGTCCCCGATACTGCTCCTGAAGCCACTCCTCCGGCTTCTGCGGCTGACACTATCCCCAGCGCCCCCGCTACGGCCCCCTCAGCCCCCGTGCTTGAACATCAGTCGTTTGGAGCGTCATTTGGCACCTCGTTTAGTTCGTCGTTTGCTGCTTCAGATCCATCTTCCCCTCTGGTATCGTCTACTCGTCTGCCTCCTGGACGAAAACCCCGACCCACATCCTACCAACCCACACCCACGCAGTCGTCCATGCAGCCACCGGACTCGTTCCCCTACATGCACATGGTTAACAAGAACGCCTCTGTGCCTGGTTCGGCCAACTCGGTGACCCCGACATCGTCGCAGCAGAGCGCTCAGCCGGTACCTCTGTCGCTGGTAACACCCAGTACGGCTGGCTCGACCTTCTTCCGACGCCCTTCGTCGGACGACTCGCAGATCTCATTCGATGAACGACGCAAGAGCGGCTCCTTTCTGGTGCCCCAGTCGTCACTGCCCAAGGTCAAGTACTCGGACTCCATGGTCCAGGGTGAGCTGTCGTCTCCGCAGTTCCGCAACTCGCCCAGCCAGGTGGCGCTCTCCAACTGGTCCAATAGAAATTCTGTGGCTTCAATGGAGAGTGGAGATGAGGGTGTTATCGGGGAGGTTGAGTCGGTTGCAGAAAAAAAGGAAACTGACAAGGAAGTTGTCGACACTGTGGCTCAGTCTGACACCACTTTGATGCCCCCTCCAGCCCTCCCCACCTCTGCACAGGTTCCTGGCAAGTCTACGACCCCCCGAGCGGTTTCAGCTGAGTCCAAGACAACCAGCACGTCCAGAACGTCCATGGAAAAACCTCTTCCTGTTGTTCCCGCTGCTTCTGCTGCGCCTGCTGCAGTGATCCCCACAGCGCCCTCTGGAGCCATTAATCCCGGTGCTCCTAACTTCTCGCGACCCCGACCGGTGTCCATGCAGGCACCCAAGGCCCAGACCCGGTCACATCGTCGAGGAGTCGCCTCCATCTCTTACGGGGCTGACAAGCTCTTTGGCAAGATCATTGGCGACAACCTGGACAATGACAAGGACCCAAGAGAGTCGAAGGAGTCTGTCAAGGATGCGAAGGGAGGCTCCAGCTCAGCTGCCTCTGGTGCCGGTGCGCCCACGGCCGAATCGACTTCCAAGAAACGCTTCTCGTTCTTTTCAAACTACTCAAAGGAAAGTGTGGAGTCTCACGAGGCTCACTCCACACCATCCACGTCCTCTAGAAAGATACTAGAGCCTCCTGCGCTAGACCGGTCGCACTCGATGAACCAGCGTCAAAACAGACAGGTGTCTGCCTCCCAGGTGAGCACCGCCGAGTCTACCCATTCTTCGACCGCCCGCAAGGTCATGGACTTTTTCCGACGACGGTCAAGAGTTTCTGCATCTTAATTAATTATTTTGGTATATTATACAACAGCGAGTCGTACGTACGTGCTAGAATGCGCAGTATCTTGCAAGGTATGTACGAGTACGGCTTCTAGTGGTACAAGTACGATTGCCAACTACACCATGTCTGCGTGGAAGAGCTCTACTTCATCTCTTGGCAACGTATATTATCGTTTGAAGTAGCTAGTTGGTTGGCCGTTATACTGGTATGTGCAACAGAAGCTGTGGACGCACAAAGAAACTGTGGTTGTCTGATCTCAGGATTTTATTTCCAGACCTCATCCAGTCACGGATCTCATTCCAATTGCGGATCTCATTCCACCCAGCGGGTCTCATTCCACGCTGGTTCCATTCATATGTTACATTTTTGCTCATCACTTGATCCAGCTGAAACATTCCAATAGCCAAAACACCTTAGCGTTGTCGATTCACAACGCTATACAGTCCATTTATGTTATATTATTGAGACTAGTTGGATTACTTGTAGCTATTGAAAGCGGTGCCCCTAACTACACAGACGCTAGCAATGAGACAAGATGGTAGTGTGTGAGACATGTAAGTGTGTGTGTGAGACACGTGAGGCGTGTGTAAGACGTGAGGCGTGTGTGAGATGTAAGACGTGAGGTGTAAGATGTGTCGGGAAAGATTGAGGATCCAAGGTCGTGCTTGGTTGGTTGGGATCTTTATTACCAACTGAGACCGACCGGGCGTACTCTCTTGAGTTCAGCACTGATCACATGTTGGTGCACACCATTAGCCTAAAAGCGGACACGCTAAAGGAAATTAATGGGCGGTAGTCATTTGATGCGACGTTGGAGATAGAGAGATACGAAGGGATAGTGGGGGGAAGTTGGGGACTGTAGGAGGTTTGTTTTGCATGGAGTTTGGTATGTGCCATGTCACATGTTCGTTAGGCAGTACAAGTACGATTCGTACGATAAATCCTGTGCTAGTACAGAACCATTACAGTCAGATACAGTAACAGTTGTACACAAGTATCGCGGTCCTTGAATCGTACTCGTACCTGTAACGGTGCTTCTTCAGTATCGATCGCTTGCATTTCATTTGTCCCCTGGGTTAGCCACTTGTATGTCATAATAATCCTCGACACACCGACGGAAGACATAATATCGGCACTTCAGATAGCACCCACTAGACTAGCCGGTTTAGGGGAGAGTAGCGCCCTTGCTACCTGCGCTAGTTCGCTCTGCAGGTTTCATAATTGCCGTACCAAGACTGCGGGTTGAGTTCTCTTTGTCCTTGCCGCAGTAATTCTGACACTTGGTCGGTTCGACACGACTGTTCTCAAACATTCTCTGTACTGACTTGGAGGCTGGTTTAGTAAGAGGTGTAGACATGACAATGAGTTAAAGCCTGAAAGTAGGTACGAGTATCGCATCATACAGGTGCATTATATACAACTCAGCTTGGTCCCGCTTGGCCTCATTTCGGTGTACATCTGGGTCTTGGTGACAGTATGGAGCTTTGACGTGTCAATATCGCACGATTCAGGTGTGCAGTCGTAAAAGTGAGCAAGTGTATATATTGTGCAAGTGTATATATTGTGCAAGTGTATATATTGTGCAAGTGTATGTATTGTGCAAGTGTATGTATTGTACACTGTAGCTATAAACAATCTCAGTGTATTCGGCGGAAAAAATAGTAATTACACACACTTCACGGTTGACCTGGTTCTCAGAGTGAGGTTGCGGATACAGACTGGAAATGCTTGGCTATGAGATATATTGATTAGTCGATGAGTTTTGTTAATATTTGTTCTTGTACACGGCCTGAGGAAATTCACTGACTGGGTGGAGTGGTGGATTAAGTGTTAGTGTCAACTAGATGGTAGGTATTGTTACGAGTTGCCCAGTGACATGTTTATCTGAAATTCAAGGAAAAAGGAAAAAGTCAATATAGTTAAACATTCAAAGATGTTCAGCTAGTACTTAGGTGAAGGGGACAACTCTTCCAAAACATCAATATCGCACCTGACAAAGCATATATGATCGATGAGCCGATAGATGTGCATTCGAAGAACTATTGGTGCTTATCTTGGCACTTTGGTGGGTCTCTTCGTCTAGAAATCATAAACCTAGCCTCTTAGTCATCAAGACGACATACCGCAGGACAATCAGACCTTCGTCTTACACATCGTACCGCCAGACGCGCACATCCCGTACCACCACTATGTTTCTGCCTTGCTCTCGCACACGACATCCCAGATCAAATCATAATGTTACTGTATATACAAGTTTTATCCTCCTCAGTTGTCTCCTGCCTGAGCACTCTGTTGTACTCAGATCTCGACAAGTAAGGGCTCATAGCAAACTTTCCGCCCCTACTCATCTTCCCTGTAGTGTCTCTGTTGGCTTTCCTAGTCAGAAGCGTCGGTAGACTCGTGTGCAGCGTACTTTGACGAGGCGTTCTGGATCATCTGGGTATCGCCAGGAGTGATGCCCTTGTCTCGGAAAATTTGGCCGATCTTGAGGTTGGCGGTGAAGTACTTGTTGACGCACCGGTCGATGCACACGGACTCGCCCTTGTTGATTTCGCCCTCTCCGTACTCGGCGGGGATGCATTTGGATCGACAGGTGTTCATCAGCGAGTCGAACAGAGCCGTCAGCGACTCCATTTCCAACTCCGCCATCTGCATTCGAGCAGGATCCACCTCCTGTGAGTTCATACCCATCGAGTAGAGAGACATTTTGTGTTGTTGTGTTGGGTTGCAAACGGAGCTTTCCTCTGGGGAAACCAGTCGCCGAAGATATTTCAAAACCTAATGTGAGGTGGAGCTACACTACTTGTAGCTGGATGGTGGACTCCAAGAGCGCCGGTAAGGAGGGTATTGGAGGAGGTTTGGAGGAATGAAAAGGACGTTTATGGAAATAAACACACGTGAGAAGTTGATTAACGCATTAAAAAATCCACTTTTTCCCCTGTTAATACTTCGTTTGAAGGACTCCTCCACGCCTCTGATTGCTTGTTAGACTACACCAACAATGGGGTGTCGTACTTATAGGGTTTACACGACCATTAGACCACCCCACCCAGAAGTCGAAGCGACCCATTCTGTCACCTCACAATACTCCTACACCACTGGTATTGTTCAGTTACTGTGCTCGTATGACTACCACCTTTACAAGTGGAACAAGTGAAAATACCACCCCGTGATCCCAATAAGTACTTACAGCACAACCACAGAGCTAGACAAGCTACCATGGCCGCCTTCCTTGGGCATCAACCAAACTCTGACATCTACATCTCCCTTCACTTTCAATCTAGTTATCATACATGCTATGTAAGAACCTCTTAAATAAGGGGTCGTTCGGACTTCCACACGTGGTTGTGCTTGAAGGCCTCGGGGGCAGTGGCCTGGTCGACCTGCTTTCGGCCCTGGCCGCCGTTGAGTCGCAGATCTCGCTCCATCATCTGGGAGTCCCACTGGTCAATGGCGAATCGGTCTCGGACGCCTCCGTTTCGGTAGACGTGGAGAACCTGCATGGCTCCACCTCCAGCGGTGAGGAGCTGAGTTAGTCTATGAATGGGGGTTGTGGTCGTGTGCCTCGCGACCTTGACGGGATCGAACTACTCCGAGGCAATAAACAACAGTCTGAGAGAATAGGGAAAAGCGAAGACATGTGAGATCTGATTCCAAAGGATTCTGCGTGATACAGACATATCCCCTGCCGGCTGGGAATACCATGTCAAAGTCATTGTACGTCAGAGACTTACTGTAGCTTCCCTTCCACAGTAATGGAGTGGTCCGGTATAGCTGGTATCACAAGCATCGTTCATCAATCGTCCAGGGAATGTGGCACCTCCACTCTCGTATCGAATCGCTCTCCAGAATTTCTGCATTCACTCCTGTAACTGTCGTCTTGTAGTGTACCTCCTGTCCGGTCAAATCACAAGTCCAAAGCCATAGCTCGAGCCACAAAGCCGCCGTCTCATACTTACACCAAAAATGATACCGTAAGGGAGCAATGCCTCAAAAGGAATAGCCATTTTGTCGTGTGTCTGGTTGTGTGTTAGAAGCTGTGATGTCACTGCAAGCCGAGTTACCCAAATTTTGATTGGTGGGAGGGACGCCCTCCTAACCCTGACTTTGGAACTTTGTTTAGTAAGCGATGAGACCATTGAAAGAGATCTACTCAGCGTGATAACAAACAAAGGCACGATCAAACAGTCACATGATATAAATTACTGCTACATTCAAAAACAACCATCTCAAACCATTTCTCTACACCATCTCGACAACTGGACTATTCATACCTCTTCTACACACTTTAACGTGACATGATATCCAAGTAAACTGTTGGGAGTTAAACTAAAAATACTGTAGTTTTAGAGTAAACTCTTCGACCTCGAGCTGGACAAGGAGCTGGATATCCCCCCTGGATACTTAATCACTGTGCAATACTGTACAAGTACAAGTACACTGGATACTTCCTACAATATGTACAATATGTAACTCACCACTTCCACGGTGTACTCCGCAACAGCTCGTGCCATGCTCTCAATCTACTTATACAATGATATTTATTTAACATGACCTATTTCTACGTCCACCTCTAGCATTCCCTCTTACAAGGTGTTGGCAGCCTCATCAACCTCCTCCTGCATCTTGACCTCAACCTCAACCTCAGCCTCAGCCTCGGTCTCGGATAACTCATCCACAGCCGCGGGGTTGGGCTTCTCGGGTTGCACGTTAGTCACGGCCTCGACCTTGCCGTCCTCCTTGATCTCGACAGGAGCTCCCAGCTTGGGTTCGGCAGCCTTCTCAGCGGGCTTCTCCTCAAAATCAATCAGGTTGCCCTGAGGGAACTTGTCGGGTTCTTCACTGGGGGAAGAAATGGACTCGGCAATCTTGTCCTTACCGTTGGCGACCAGGGAAGCCTTCCACTGACCTACAGACTTCTCCACGTTACCCTTTCCGTACGACAGAGCAACGAGAGCAGCCTCCGAGTGTCGACCAGTCTTGTTAAGCAGATCAACACACTGCTTCACGGCACCGATGGACCACAGGGCGTTGAAGGCAACGTTGTACTTGCCAGCATCGGCAGCCTTGTCAGCCACCCACTCCATGCCGGCTCGGTTTCCGGTGGCCGAGTACAGCAGCAGCAGAGACTCGACCTCGGCGATGGAAGAAGACTTGAAACACTTCTCGGCCAGGTCGAAGTTCCAGGCGGCAGTGGCAGCGTCTCCAAGCAGCTTCCATCGGTGGTCTTGAGGCGATCGCTCAGCAATCTCAGAGGCCACGGACAGGTCGTTAAGTGCAAGGGCAAGATCAAACTTGTGCTCGTCGTCGGTGCTCACCTCCAAAGCAAGCTCCTTGAAGCCCTGGGCCTCCAGGAACTTGGCCACCTTAGACAGCTCCTCCTCAGGGATTGCAGGGAGGAAGTCCGACTGCGCAAGCTCGACGTCGCCTCGCAGAACAACAGTCTGGTATTCAACGAGAGGCACAGACAATCGGTACGACGACACATTGACATCCTTGTCACACAGGTAGATACGCGAGTCCTTGGACACAAAGCCAAGCAGGTACTTGGCCTTATCGAAATGTGCGACTGTGTATGTGACGCCGCCAACCAGGTAGTTGAGTCGGTTGACGGACGAGGTGTAGACGAAGCAGTCGAGCAGCCACTCTCCGGACCGAACGGAGTCGGAAATTTCGTGCAGCAGCTCAAACGACTCCTCCACACCGTCCTCGTCCACGTTCTCGGCCTCATCAACCGCGTCCTTGTTGTATCGCAGAACGTAGAAGGCGTCGGCCGAGGTGATGGCGACCAGCTCGCCAGAGTCAGACCAGTGCACGCCGGTGACACCCTCCACGTCAATTCGTCGCACCAGCTGGCCAGTCTCCCACGAGTACATGGCGACAAAGCCATGACCCTTCACACCGAGCAGGGTACCACCGAAGATGCCCTCAACGGAAAAATTGGGGTCTACATGGCCCAATGGCCGCTCCTTGAAGTTCTTGTAGACTCGCACGGAGCTGGGGGACTCAAGCACAGCGTACTCGCTGGAGTCCTGGGCCCAAACAAAGTCCAGACCGGAGCCGTAAGCCTTGTTTCGCCATGCCAGAGCGGTGTAGATGATGTACTCACCGTCACCAACAACAGCCACAAATCGGCCGTTGGGGGAGTGTCGCAGGAAGGTGGGGAAAACCTCGACGGATCCCAGCTCCTTGGGCACCAGAGCAAGGGATTCGCCGTCCTTGGCGTCCTCGCCCTTAACCTGAGCGGAATAGACTTCTCCGTGCTTGCTCCACACCAGCTTTCCAGAGCTGTCCAGAGAGATGGCAGGGTCCTCCTTACCAAGACGGAGGACAACCGCGCCGGCATCAAAACCGACAGCCACGAGGTTGGAGCCTCGCTTGACACCCACACACCAGGCTCGCTCATAGCTGTAGTTGAGGGTCTGCTCGAGCTGGTAGGTGTTAGCGTTCCACACCTTGACGGTATTGTCCTCGGCACCAGAGATGATGACGGGCAGATCGGGATGGAAGACAGCGAAGGACACGTTGTTAGTGTGGCCCTCCATGGTGGCGACGCAGGCCTTGGTCTGGTAGTCCCACACCTTGACGGTCTTATCGTCCGAAGATGTGATGAGGTAGGGCTTGTCAGCACCGGGATAGTATTCGACGAAGTTGACGCCGGCGGTGGCATGGGCCTCGAGGGTGAAGTTGGGCCGCGACACGGTGGAGGCGCCCGACAGAGACCACACCTTGACGGTTCGATCCAGACATGCGGAGGCAAATGTGTTTGTGTCCTTGGGGTTGAAGGCCACGTACATGATGTAGTGGCTGTGGCCCAGGTACTGTCGCTCCATGGTCCAGTTTGTGTCCCAGTTCCACAGCCGGATGGACATGTCGTCGCCGGCGGTCAGCACGTAGGGCAGGGTGGGATGAACGGTGATGACACGGATGTAGTCGGGGTGGGCCTCAAACTGGGCCTCCTTGGCTCCAGTGTTGTAGTTGAAGACTCGCACAATAAAGTCGTCGGAGCCAACAATGATCCAGTTTTTTCGGGCAATGAACCGACCGGCTCGAAGAGGAACATCTGCCACCTCGATGCTCTTGACCACCGTCTGTGTCTCGTAGTTCCAGATCTGGGCCACTCCCGAGTACAGAGTGGTGAGTAACCATGGCTCAGTGGGGTGGAAATCGATTCCCTTGACTCGGTCAGAACGAGTCTGCGAGTGTCGCTGTGTTAGTCGTCGTCATGGCCGCGTGAATCGCTCAATTACTCACCTTGATTTCGAGCTTCATGGTGTAGTGCTACGCAGAGTGCAATAGAGAGTTTCATACGTGTACTTGTAGTGTTCGGTAGGGTAAGTAGGAGGAGTGATGGCGCTGGGAAATGCTCTGCTCAAAGAAACATCTCCGGGGGACACAATATTGTATAATAGAGATGATAAATGGACAATAGGAAGCTTGCTCTGAATGTTCCAGTTCTCTCTCAAGATAAATACTTCCAAGTCCCACAACTTTTGGCACCAATTACGTCTACACACACACCTGATGTACAGTGTACTCGTGCTCGCCTATTGATCTCACACCACAATATGTACACGTAATGTCCCAACACCCCCAAAGGACCACGGTTTTTACCTTGGTGCTGCACGATTTTGGCTTCCGTTTTACGTGTCAGCCAAAATTCATATCGGTAGGAGATTGCACAATGACGGGAGATTGTAGAGGATAAGCGTGGAGATAAAAAGGAAGAGAATTGTATGTGAGGAAAAACGGACAGTATATATACTCTTTTGCAGCACCTTCTATTGCTCCCAAACACCTCCTATACCAGTACCAAAGCGTCAGCCCCACCCTGGACTCAGTCGGATGCACGTGAAGCCGCCGGCTTAACCTTTTTGCTACATTCCACCTCACTCACCAACTTATCATCACACGTTGTCCTACTTCTTCAACTACTAATCATGTGGATTGTCAACTGGTGTGAGTATGGATGGAATACAGGGGCACTGATTGGTCGCTTGTGTTTGTGTACTTGTTACACAGACGCGGAGGCTAGCGGAAAAAAAGAAATCAGATCAAGTGGCGATACACGATACACGACAAGCTCTACAGCGACACGGGGGCTTCGTGACTTGAAATCCCGGAGGTGAAAACACAGTTAACAGAGACTGGCGACTTAGGGCTGTTCCAGAGACTCAAAAACAGGTACCGATGCCGTTTTTTGCCCCTGTTGCATTCATCAAGTTGCGGTTTGATGCCGTTCAGGGTTGCTCAACCCCCTGAAGATACACGGTTGCTCTGCTGTTATACCCTAAACAGTCATACGGTGGTATTCAACACAAGCAAACTCTCTGTGCCGTTATTGTACTGCTTAAACAGCAAGTCTGCTATCGTATCGCCGCTCAATTTCGCTTCACTCGCTTTTTGATTTGCCCCCCTTTTGCTAACCTAGTCTACGACGTTCTGTCCTCTCTCGGACTATGGAACAAGAACGCCAAGCTGCTCTTCCTCGGTCTCGATAACGCCGGAAAGACCACCCTGCTGCACATGCTCAAGAACGACCGAATGGCCGTCTCTAACCCCACCGTGCACCCCACCTCCGAGGAGTTGTCCATCGGCAACTGTAAATTCACAACCTTTGATCTCGGTGGACATATCCAGGCCCGACGAGTGTGGAAGGACTACTTTCCCGAGGTCAACGGCATTGTTTTCCTCGTCGATGCCGCCGACCCTACTCGATTCGCCGAGTCCAAGGCCGAGCTCGACTCTCTGCTTGCCATTGAGCAGCTCAAGACTGTGCCCTTCTTGATTCTTGGAAACAAGATCGACATGCCCCAGGCCGTTTCCGAGCTCGAGCTCAAGGACGCCCTTGGACTGTACCAGACCACCGGTAAGGGCAAGGTGCCTCTTGAAGGCAACATCCGACCCATCGAGATTTTCATGTGCTCCATTGTCATGCGGCAGGGCTACGGAGACGGTATTCGATGGCTGTCTCAGTATGTTTAGAGGGAATAAATTATTGTATTCTGATTGTGATGAGCAAAGCCGTGATTCCACATGGACCTGCGAACGGCTACATACTTGTTCCTACGTAGTTTGGGTATTTCAAGTACAAGCATCGGGTTGGGCCATCTACATCTGTAGTCGCCCTGCCATCCTTTCAACCACTGGTACCTTCAATGGTTTAGTTCACATAGTACCAATCGATGAGTCAGTCATTTGTATGATACAATCAGTCGTCGTCGAAAAGTGCTATTCTGTTATCACGGCTAACACACTTCAAGATGTCTCACAGATACGAATGAACAAGGTCTCACATGAGCTGAGACCATAGCTAAGAGTATTTGCACTTGTATGTCTAGAACCATCATTCGTCTGTCCTGAGCTGTCATTTGCCAGTCTTGTGTCTGTCTTGAACTGTCTAGTGTGTGTCTTGAACTGTACATTCGTTCATGAGAGCTGTGTGGGGGTCACAGACAGGGATCTCTGGAAGTTGTGTGGTAGATCATTTCATTAATAGTGAGACAGAAGAAGAAATTATAATCATGGGGTCTCTCCAAAGGAGCTCACATTAGAAGCATTACAGTATGGACATACGTACAGTATCCAAGTATCACTTTTCAAGCTCTCACATCTACCCACTTTTAAACAATAAACATACATTAAATCTATCCGACCATCTACTTTCGTCGCTTGTTGCTTCCATGGTCTCCTCCCTGCGAAGCTCCTCGCTTCTTGTTTTGCTGGAAGAACTCTTTCTTCTTGGTCTTCTCTCGCTCCAGTCGCTCCGCCTCGGCCGCGGCCTTCTTCTTCTCGTATGCATCGTGCTGGGCAGTCCACTTCTCCTTGGCTCGCTTCTCCTTGTCGTTTCGGATCGTGATGACCTTCTTGAGAAGGTCTCGGGCCTTCTGTTCCTCCTCAGACAAGACAACTGCCCGCTTCTGCAGGTAGTAGTCCCGCTTCTTGGGGTCGGCCACATTCTTAGGCTGGGCAGCAAAGGGCAGACCAGACTGGATGGCTCGAGGCACCTTGAGAGGCTGGAAGAACCGCTCCTTTCGCTCAATCTTGTTGTACTTGGAGTTCTCCAGCAGAGGAGTCTCAATACCCTCCTCAGCTCGAACCTGACCAGTGAGTCTCATACCGGCCCAGTTGGCCTTGTCCTGCAACAGCAGAGAAGTGACAGGGTTGTAGAACTTTCGGGGCTGAATGGGGTACCAGGTCTTGAGGAAGACAATGTCCGACATGAGAATCTTGTCTTCAAAGGTGGCTCGGAACTGGCCCTCGGGAGAGGCAAGAGCTCGCTTGATGTGTCCTCGAATACCAGAAACAGTCTTGATCTGAGCCCCCTCAAACTTGGCCACTTCCAGAGACGAGTTGAACATGTCCTTGATGAAGGCGGTGTTCTTGAACACCTTCGCGGGATGTCCAACCAGCTTCAGCTTCTTGACAATCTCCACGGAGGCGTCAACCTCAAGAACAGTACCTGTGGCAGCAATTCTAAACGCGCCAGTCTTATTGGCAGAAGCGACAGCAGGAACGGCACAGAAACCGGTGTTGGGGGACACCAGAGGGCCGTAAAAGGTGCCAAAGCAATGCATATGCTCAGGAGTGTACTTGAGCAGTCGGTTTCGAGTTCGAGAGTCCGAAGTGGAGTACAGAGGAATGGTCTGGAACCGTCTCCATCCAAGTGAGACCACCAAAGGATCGTTAGACTTGAGTACCTTCTTGTGCCATCGATGTCGCTTGATTCGTACCTGGGAGAATCCAAACTGGTCCTCGTTAGCCAAAAGACCTCCAATGAGTACGGGAAAAGAGGGATCAAAATGCTGAATGAACTCACAAGGAACACCCTCAAACACAAGACGAAGATAAGTACCCGCACGGAAACCCTCGATCCGATCTCGTGTGTTTTGGTCCATCTCTTTGTACTCGGCCTCGTTGATCTCGAGCTGCTTTGCAATTTTGGCCTTCTCAAGATCGTACCACGACGTCTCTTCGCCTCCCTCGGGGTCCTCCGCTCCAAATTCTCTATCGTCGCCCTGCTCCTGCTCAAACTGCTTCTTGAGCTTCTCCTTCTTAGCAGCATTCGCTTCTCGCTGCTGAGCAAGAGACATGGCGGCAGGTTCACTCTCAGAGTCCTCTTCTTCGTTATCCTCATCGTCCTCGTCGTCCTCATCATCACTTCCAGCCTTCTTTCCGCCGACAAACTTCTCCCCGGTCTCCATATCCTCGAAATCAGAGTAAATCTCGTCGTCGTCGCCCTCTCCCTCTTCATCTTCGTCCTTATCCTGAATAACATTGCCATCCTTGTCAAAGACAGCAGTGATGAACCGGTCCGAAAGACCAGCAATAGCTTCCTGAGTCCAAGAATCAAGACAATCGCCGTAGATAGGGACGGAGGAATCCAGTCCAGAGTTATCAACAAAGTCAGCTCGCTTCAGGAATTCCTCCTCATCGGCCTCAATGTCCTCCTCCTGCTCCTCAAAGTCGCCCTTCCACTTGGAGATGGCATCAGCAGGAGAAACATCATCCTGGTAGAGTACTCGGTTGATATCCCAGCTCTTTCGGGTCTGCTTCTTGAACTTGGAAGCACCATCCAGAGCCTGGGCACGTAGCTGAGAAAGCTCATCCTCATCCATACCGAGCTCCATGTCCGAATCGGACTCCTGGAAGTCGTACTCCTCGTCCTGTTCCTGCTCGTCTCCCTCCTCATCGTCTCCGATTTCAGTGATCTTCTCGGTGGCTCTTCCAGATCGCATTCCGGTTCGTCCATGATCTCCGTTGTCCTCTTCGTCGTCATCAATGTCCTCCTCCAGCGCCTCGTCAAACTCCTTGTCGTTGAACAGACGGAAAACACGCTCAGTCTCGCCCAAACCGTGCTTAGCACTCTGCAGAGAAGTCACCATCTGCTCTCCAATACCCTTCTCCTGACCAGGAACAAACGATTTGCTGCCAACGTCAATGTAAACGGCATCCTTATCCATGAGAACACCGCCAACATCGGACATGGGAGCGTAAATGGACTTTTGTTTCTCGTCGAGACGTCGCTTTCGCTTGGCACCTGCAGAAATAGCAGCCTCCTCAGCCATCTTGACAGCATAAGGAGTGGGGCAGGGATCAGGAAGACGCTCAGCCTCCTTGACCACAAGATCTCCGATTCCGGGAACGTGCACCTTGGCATTCACATAGGGCAGAGGTGTTCCGTGAACCCAGCCATACATGGTCACCTTTCTGTCAACCTTGGGGTTCTTCTCAATGAGAGAAGGGTGGGTAATGTCGACCACTCGGTCGGCCAACAGGTAGGGATGCTCGTTTCGCCATTTGAGCGGCCGGAACTTCATAATGTTAATGAACCGACATAGGTTGAGAATCTCCCGGTCGGGGTATCGTCCGTTGATGACTCCTGACAGGTAAAAGAGCTTGGCTCCAGCGTAGACCTCGGTCCAGAACCGGGTCTTGAGCCGCTTCTTAGATGCTCGCATGGTGGCGGGGTTCTTGAACAGATCTAGATGGGTAGTGACTCCCAGGATTCGGGGGAATCCGTGAGGGGAGAGAATGTTGAGGAACTCCATGGTCTCCATTTCAAAGCCGAAATTTCCATCCATTACCAGCAGCACCAGGTCTGCGATCTTGGCCACATCAATCATACTGCTCAGATCGTTGTTGCATTCCAGAAAAGTGAGTCGTCGTCGCTTTCCAGAAACCACAGTGATGGGTCCTCGAATGTCGTTCAGAGTCTGCTTGGTGTATCGTCTGACCAGAGACTTGATCAGAGTGGTCTTTCCGGTACCAGGAGGACCCACGACCGCCACAATTACAGGCGGAGGGTCCTCGGTCGTTCGGTCGACCATAGGAGCGTGGTATCGCTTCTCCTTGTGGTCGTGGGATCGTCTGGCCTGACGGTCGAGCTTGCCGGGGTTGGCCACAGCAAACGCTTTGGCGTTGAAGCCGTTGGCGTGAAGCTTGGCCTTGGCCATCTTCGTCTTGTCCCGCGACGTCCGATGCTCCTTGTTGCTTTGTTCTTCAGCTCCCATAGGTGTATAGCGTCTTGGACAGAAAAGATTTGAAAGTTTCTGGGCCTAGATATTTTTTTTGATCGTGCATGAACTCTATTGAGGAGGGAGGAATGAAAGTTGTGGGTTAGGGTGGCGAAAGAGGAGGTGCTCTGGGGGTGTAGAGGCCCGTATTTTTGGTGATGGTAAGATATGGGTATTCTTGAAAAGGTACAATACTCATTATTTTCATCTCCAGAGTTTGTGGAATGTCTCTCCGGCGAGTTGGATGAGGTGTGCTGTTGAGTGGGCGTTAGGTCATCAAGTCAAGTACTGAGAGCAACATTAGTTGGGTTATAGAGTGTTGTCAACAAAACAGCTATTGCGGCGCCTTAATGTTGCAAGTCATGTCAACTCACGCCCAAGATTGTTAGCCCTAACATTCCACAACCCCACACCAAGTAGACGTTGAGAGCACGAAATTTGACATTTGAATCAGATCAGCAGTATAATGTGGCCTTGAATAACCCCATAATAGTTGTCAAATTTGTTCCCTCGCCCCTCAAACACCCCCAAACCTCCTCCTCCTAAGTTACCCTACCTACAGTTCAGCTCTTTCATCAAGGTTCCACACTGCACCAAAAAAATCAAGCCGTCTGCATCACCACTTGCCATCACTACTAGACATAACCATGGTGCAAATCAACGAAATCAAGAGCAATTCGCGAGACACCCGCACAGCCGCGCACACACATATCCGTGGTCTAGGTCTCAACGAAATGGGTGTCGCCAAGCCCATTGATGCGGGGTTTGTGGGCCAAACCGAGGCTCGAGAGGCCCTGGGACTGGTGGTTGACCTGATTCGAGCCAGCAAGATGAGCGGCCGAGGAATCCTTCTTGCTGGCGGTCCCGGTACCGGAAAGACTGCTCTGGCGCTTGCCGTCTCGCAGGAACTCGGCCCCAAGGTCCCCTTCTGCCCCATTGTTGGTTCTGAGATTTTCTCCGCAGAGGTCAAGAAGACTGCTGCTCTGATGGAGAACTTTCGACGGGCCATTGGACTGCGAATCAAGGAGACCAAGGACATTTACGAGGGAGAGGTGACGGAGCTGACGCCCGAGGAGGCCGAAGATCCCCTGGGAGGCTACGGCAAAACCATCCGGTCGGTGGTGGTGGGTCTCAAGAGTTACAGAGGCACTAAGCAACTGCGGCTGGATCCCAAGATCTACGAGTCGATTCAGAAGGAGCGGGTGGCCGTTGGCGACGTGATTTACATTGAGGCCAACACTGGTGCTGTCAAGCGAGTGGGACGATCGGATGCCTACGCTACCGAATTTGATCTCGAGACGGAGGAGTACGTTCCCCTGCCCAAGGGAGAGGTGCACAAGAAGAAGGAGATTGTGCAGGACGTAACGCTGCATGATTTGGATGTGGCCAATGCACGGCCTCAGGGAGGACAGGATGTCATGTCGATGATGGGCTCGCTGATGAAGCCCAAAAAGACAGAAATCACAGACAAGCTGAGAGAGGAGGTCAACAAAAAGGTGCAGTCGTACATTGACCAGGGAGTGGCTGAACTGGTGCCTGGTGTACTGTTTATCGACGAGGTGAACATGCTAGATGTGGAGTGTTTTACCTACCTCAACCGGGCTCTGGAGTCGACAATCTCGCCCATTGTCATCCTGGCGTCCAACCGAGGCATGTGCCGAGTTCGGGGTGTGGACGACGATGTGTCTCCTCACGGCATCACCACCGATCTGCTCGATCGACTGCTCATTGTGCGAACTCTGCCCTACTCTCTGGACGAGATCAAGACCATCATTCAGAAGCGAGCTGTGGTTGAACAGCAGCAGATTTCCGAGGACGCTCTGGACGCCCTTGCTCAACATGGAGCCCGAACCTCGCTGAGATACGGCCTTCAGCTTCTGTCTCCTGCTGGAGTGCTGGCCAAGAGCGAGGGACGAGACGTGGTGGAGGTCAAGGACGTGGAGGAGTGCGAGTCGTTGTTCCTGGATGCTACTCGATCTAAGGGGCGGTTTACTGACAAGTTTTTGTAGGCTGCTTAACGACAGACGGATACTGGCCTACAGATAGTTTCTAAGCTGACCAAGGGGATGTATTTTGTATTATGTATTGAATGGATATTTTGGATATACTTTGGGAAAAAAAGGAACATCATTGTATTGAAATGAAGAGTAATGGTGGCAACCGCGACAGGTGCTTGTACTTGCACCTACTGCTACATTCTGTCGTAGCAATGTTCTGTGTGAACAAGTCAAGTGCATTTCCTTCTCCTCCCAACCAACATCGACAGTTGAAATTTCGGGTTCTTTTTTTTTAAGGTGAAATTTCATTACTCCCAATTGAGTATCCAAAGGAGAGAACGGGGCGGTAGAAGAGGTGATTGAGATGGAATTTGGTCACACTGAAACAACCAGTGTAATGAGCACGACATTTTGTACCTGTATATAAGGCTACTTTACACCCCAGATGGCCAGAAAAGGTGGTAACAACGAGCTCTCCAATCTAACCCCAACCCTAACCATAACTCTATGGAGGGCCCAAAAATTTCACATCAACCACCACACCCACCACTACACAACCAACATGTCCGATATCAATTTCATGGTTGTCGACGGCTCTCTGGCCGACCTGGTGGCCGAGCTGACCGCGTACATCGAGACCCTTGGCTGCGACGAGCTGGAGGCCAACTGCCAACGAGCTCTGGCTGCGGGTGAGGAGCCCAAGGTGTTTGAGTTGATTACTCAGCAGCTCCCTCTGCTAAACAAGTCTTCGGAGCAGCAGTTTGAGTCCGTGTGGCAGTTGTGCTTGCACGTCTTCTCCTTCTCCGAGTCCTTTGAGTGGGTTGATGCTGTTCTGAAGGCCATTTCCGGCCACAGCAACCTGCCTCGATCTTTCAACGGCCCCGCTGCTGCGGGCCAGGCCGTTGTTGCTGTCCTGGCCTCTCTTTTCAATATGCTGAGCTCCAGCCACGACGACGCACAGCTCGCAAACACCCTTCTGGCTGCTCTGACCACCGCTGAGGAGACTGGAAACCTGCATCTTCTTGCCGGACAGCTCAAGTCCGACCAGACCGTCACATGGATCAACACGTGGCAGATTGAGGCTGACGTGCGAGATCAGCTCATTGCCAAGATCTACAGTGCCCTCGTGCAGCTGGACGAGCCCGCCAAGGCCCTGGCTCTGCTGGTGGCTGCTGTTGGCAACACCCAGACCTCCACCTTCCCCATGACCTGCAAGCTGGTGCAGCAGGCGCTCAAGTCGGACCACGTGTACGACTTTGGCTCTATTCTGGCTCTCGAGCCCGTGGAGGACCTCAAGACCACAGAACAGCGACTATTCGAGCTGCTGACCACCGTGGCAAGCGGAGAAGTGGCCAAGATGCAATCTCTGGCCGCCGGAGACGCCAAGAGCCTCATTGAGGAGAACGACTTTGATGCGGAGTCGCTGCTCGCCAAGACCCGAGTCATTGCGCTGGCCAACCTCGCTGCCGAGTCTCCTGAGATCGAGTACTCTATCATCGCCAAGAACCTGGACGTTTCTCTGGACACAGTGGAGCTGTGGGTTATCGATACGATCCGAGCCGGTCTCGTGGAGGGCCGTCTGAGCCAGACCAAGCAGTCGTTCGCTGTGCACCGGGCCCAGAAGAGCGGTCCTATCGCCAAGGCCGACTGGGAGGTCATCAGCCAGAAGCTGGATGTGTGGAAGAAGAGCATCAACGACGTGCTCCACGTGGTCAAGCAGGCCCGAGAGAACGCCAACGCGCAGAAGAGAAAAATTGCTGCTTAGGAGGTAAAATAGAGATTATATGGTTGATAAGCAATGGGGAGAATGTAGAGTACGAGTAAAGTGGCCTATGACATGTGTCTACCGTAATTATGTGTAGATGTTTATGAAAGTACTGTACTCGAGGAGCAAGAGCGAATTGTGAGTTTCGTCTGAGTTATGTTACAATAGCTGCTGTACCCAGAATTCAAGACAGAATTGAATGGCGTTTCTTTAACCACTTATTGCAATACACATGTCTGGTTAGGTGTCTCTTCTCATGTTGTGTACACCAATTAAATGAATGTATATGCAGAAAAAAAACAAAAAACCACACTGCTCATTCAACCACACTTTTCATTCCGTAAGAAGAGAAGGACAGATAATGGCTTGGATACACCTAGGTGATATTTACATTTAAAAAACCTGGAAACGTATTCGAAACCAAACTTGATATATATGTGTTGGCAGCTTTTTCGTCTTTGGTATCAGCAGGTAGTATGTACTTGTAGCTACACCCATATTATATGTTGTGTCTACCAATGAGAAGTTCATTTCTTTTTAAAGGAGTTATCATACCCACTCTGGATCATCTGTAGATACGGTATATTTAAATTTAAGATACTTTTATTCCTCCTACAGGCTGATTATACACTGTCTTGAGCTGATTCCAACGGAATGTCTTCACTAATTTATTGTCTTTCAACACCGGAAGTTGAAGGTGATACCAAGTAGGGTGCTAGAAGATTCCATCAGCTGGTCGACGACATGTCTGTCCTGTAGATGGTGTATCTGCTTATCTAGAATCTCTCTAGAATCTCTTTCTGGTGTGCGTTATTATTGGAAGCTGGTATCCTTAGAAGTGGGTTGTTATATATATACTGTTATATGTACTAAGTTATATATATCTAATCAACAATACATATTATCTTCAGTGCATATCAATTGAGGTCACAAAAACTGGAAGAAATAATAGGTGTAGAATTGACCCCAGCTCTCCTGCTTAATGTCAATCTTGTAATAGTCATACGAGTTGGGGTCATTCCACTCGGCAAGAGGAGTGTATTCAGCATTGTCTTCAAGCATCTGTTTGTACTTGACTTGCTGGTCGAGAAGACGTTCCAATTTGAAGGCCAGGAAGTAGGATATGAGCAAAAGAGCCACAGGAATAGGAACAAACAACCACACAGTTCGGATCCAGGTGGCAATCATGGCAGGAAAAATGGTGAACAGCAGAATAATATTCTTGCTCTTTTCAAACATCTCCAGGTACTTGTTTTTAGGCAACCAATTGGTGGAAAAGTAGGCCTCAGCCCATTTGATTTCATTGACCAGCACCGAGTTGACAAAAACAACAATAACAACTAGAAAGTAGTTCTTCACGACAAAAAGGAAGACCGCTGCTAGACTTACGAGTACTGTAGATAGGGTGAGAATGGCAGCTGTGAATTGGTAAGGAGATATCTTCCAACTCTGCAGTTTGGCAGCAGAAACCATGGGTTTTCTCCAGAGCGGGCCAATACCAACAGCAAGGATTCCCACTGCTTCCACTACCTTTATTCCCTTGTCGAAATGTGTTTTGGCGTCCTTCATGTCGAGACTGAGTATGTAAACCACACTGGTTGCCACTTGCATTTGTCGGAGCACCATGGTGGCCCAGTTGGCGGCAATGGCTGGAGAGATTAACATCTCAACCTTTGTCTCGATGTCTTCTTCGGCGTTATCGTCAATGTTAATAATTTCGAGCGTAAATAATGGAATAGTTCGGATACAGCGAAAGATCACCTCTATATGTAAGCTATCTCCCTAGCCTGTGTAGTTACGTTACTCCAGTGACATATTATTCTCCAACAAACCTTATTTGGTTTGTGTATATAATCACCAGTTTTCTATAGTTTAGAATGCAGCTTGTTTTCCCCGTTTTATTTGTGTCTTTGACTTTTAGAACAGGAAGCTCTTGGCTCCTCCGAAAGGGCTGTGACCCTCAACAACGACGCTCCTGTGTACACGAGCAACCCGCTATCAGTTAAGCCCCCTCGCTTTTCATCCCTTCTTTACGTTCGTCGGTTACCCTACATCGACGACCCTCACATATATAAACCTTTGTTGATCATGCGGCTCCGAGCTCAAATAGTACAAGGTTCAGCAGTCGTGGTTGTTGAAGAGGTGAAACGACGATGTAAAATCTCTCTCAGATGCCATATTTCAGTTTATCAAGATCTTTCCGTCTCAGACAGCGAAAAGAATGACGAGTTTGTCTGTCTCTACACAATCACTAAGCGAATGCTTGGCTGCATAAACGACTCTTGGCAGTGCACTCCACCATCGGTTATTGGGCTCACAGTGATAGTCAACAATGGGATAACAGGGATGTTTGAGTTGAGTACATGTGCGGTGACGTATCAGCATTTGGTACGGCATTTGCAGATACGAGCTTGAGCTACTGTAGCCATCGGTTCGTACACTTACTATCATGATGCCGATAAGCCTGAGATAGTTCAATAGTTCGAGGATCACAAACTTGATCTGATTTTTTTATCAGGGCTAAAACATTTGCAGTTGTTGGGTGTTGGGCTCCGGTGAGCAATTTCAGGCTGTCTTTTCTGCCCCGCACACTGGGCGTGTACTGTAGCTAAGGTAGAAAATGCATGTGCTGTAAGGCCATCTTGTATGATGGACGTTCAGCAGAAGAAACTTGCATTGAAATTTCCATCATGTGGCTCAAGAATACAAAGATCCAACTACAGTATGCACTTGTATAGTTTTTTTCTTTTTTTTCTGCATATACATTCATTTAATTATAACTTTGCTGTGAAAGAATAACCTTTGAAATGAATGTACGCTTACACGAATATTACTAATTAAACACGTTGAGTGTCATGGTCCAACTTGGCACGTACCTATTTCCAGTAAAAAAATCATAAAAAAACCTGGTTCAGTCCGTGTTGTATGTTGGTCCACATAACTTCGCGTGTTTGTTCGTTCATCGGGAAAACGCCACTCCAGTCTCCAGTTCTCTAATCTCAATCCCTCCATTGCCCTCTTCGTTTGCATTGCCTTTGAAAACGTCTCCTTGTGGGTTCTTCTTCGTCATTGGTTTGGTTCTGCGTCCCCTGTGGTGACTACGCGCCCTGCTACGCTGTTCTCTCGGTGGCCTCGGCCGCCTTTTACGCTTGCTACTGTCTCTACTCTCGCACACATGTACTGTACATACATACTTTCCTTCTGAGCTACAGAAGTTCTTCGTCAAGTCTAGTCTAAAAAGAGTGTAATCTGAATTCACTATGTATTCAACTAATATTCAATAAACAAGAAATCATGGCTTCACTATTTCTCAACTAATATTTACGTATTTGTTGAGATCAAGCCCTCGACTACTCTTCCCAATACCACTGTTCCACAGCAAAGCCAGTTCAGAACAGATACTTAAGAGCCGTAGCAAAATCACAAGTAAGACCACATTTGGCCAGATCAAATCACTAAACCAACCTCTTATAATCAAAAGAAATAAAAAAACCACACTATGGCCATACAAAACAATCCACTTCTCTCTACCCCCAATACCGTCGAACCGCAAGCCAATAAATCGTTTAGACTCCCAGCATGCATATCGATCCTAGCATCACCCCACTCAACTCATCTCCCTCACCCCACCTCAACACATGCTCAAAACCGCCGTCCGAATGTCTCGAGTATCCGAATTATCGCACAATTACAACCAGATCAAGACCTCTGTGTCTGCTCTGTCCCCCACCACCAGACTGGTGTGTGTGTCCAAATACAAGCCTGCCAGTGACATTCAGGCAGTTTATGATCTTGGACAGCGACATTTCGGCGAGAACTACGTCCAGGAGCTCATGGAGAAGGTGGCCAACCTTCCCCAGGAGATTCAGTGGCACTTTATCGGCTCTTTGCAATCCAATAAATGTGCCCAGCTGGCTAAGAACATCCCCAACCTGTGGGTCGAAACCGTGGACGGAGAAAAGAAGGCCAAGAAGCTCAACGACGCCCGCGAACAGAGCGAGTACAAAGACAAGGCTCCCGTACACGTGTTTGTGCAGGTTAACACCTCTGGCGAGTCGCAAAAGTCCGGTCTGGACCCTGAGGATGTCTCCAAGGTAGTAGATTACATTATTAAGGAGTGTCCTCAGCTGAAGCTGGCCGGTCTCATGACCATCGGCTCAATTGAGCAGTCCAAGGCCTCGGAGGAGAACAAGGACTTTGCCACGCTGGTACAGATCAGAGACTCTATTGAGCAGGCTTTTGATATCACAGGTCTGGAGCTGTCCATGGGCATGTCTTCTGACTTTGAGGAAGCCATCAAGCAGGGATCCACCAATGTGAGAATTGGATCGACCATTTTCGGAGGACGAATGACCAAGGAGGAAGCCAAGACTGCATGAACTTAGCGAACGCTCTCACCCCGCCCAGCAAACCTGCTGATAGGATCTGGGCTTAAACAATTGATTTTGCGGTGCACAAGTAAAGTTGTATATAGATCAATTGATTGAATAGACCATTTGATATCGAGTGTGACTCTTTATACATATCTGTCGATTGAATGTCTATAGATGTTCTATACACTACGTGTTTGAAGCTGCTGATGAAGTCACACATCTTATCATCGAATGTAATACAATATCCAAAAATGTAATGCAACCCACCTGTATTACTGTCATATCACTATCGTATCATAATTATCTATAATGCATCGTCTTCCCAAGTCATTTCCCTAGTCGTGCCGTCATCCGCTTAAATAATATCGCCGTAGGTTCCGCCGTAGTTGTCGTTGGTGGACCGGGCGTTTCGGGCCTTGACCTTCTTGCCCTTGAAATGCTTCTTGGTGCCCTGAGCAGCACCTCGCTGGTGGAAGGGGGTGCTCATGTTGCCTCCTGATGAGTTCTTTCCAAAGTAGTCAGCGTCCAGATGCTCGCCGAGAGAAGAAAATCCTTTACCACCGAAACCACCGGCTCCAGTGGCATGCTGGGAGAAAGACAGTTTGTCAATGTCTCGCTCAAGGTCAAAATCCTCTCGAGCAATGCCAGAGTGAACAGCAGCATCAAGCAGCTGCTTCTGACGCGAGGGAGGCAGCTGGTTGAGGGTGTACAGACCCTTGTTGAAGAGAATACCGGCATCTTCGTCATCCAGATCCTCTCTGTAGTCGGGAGGAGGATGACAGTAGAGCAGCTTTCCGTTAACGTAGTCCTTGAGCACGTATCGAGCAGCTCGCGACTCGTCGGGATTACCCTGAGAGGCTCCACGCATGTATCCTCGTGCCTTGGCGTAGGCCACAAGGAATTCTGTGGCTGTGGGATATCCGAGACCGCCCTCATCGACCGGACGAGTGTAGATCTTGATACCGTAGACGGACTCGAGGAAGTACTTGGGCACTCGTCGAGACACGAGGGTCGCGGGACCGGTGAACTCACGCAGCTGGTCGATGGGAAGCACACCGTTACACACCAGTTCTCCGTTGGTGTTACCGAAGTTGGGGAACACCAGACCGGGACAATCACACAGCATCACCTTGGGTGACAGCAGGATAGTTTGGAAGTGCTTGGTCTTTCCAGGGGTGGCAGAAACAGACACCTTGTTGGAGCCCACCAGGGCGTTGATGGTAGAAGACTTACCAACGTTAGGGTAACCGACCAGACCAATGTTCAGGCGGGGTTCCTGGCCAGCGGGAGCGGGCTGCATGGGAGCAGGAGCCTCGGCGAGGAACAGCTGCTCGAGCTGGTCCACAGACAGGATAGATGTGGGGGTGGCCATGACGGAATAGTGCATGTTCTCTGTGTCAGGCTTGGACTCGTCGGTAGCCTTGGCCTCCTCATGGGCGTTAGCAGGAACGGCCTCCTGGATCTCGGTGACAGAAGGCTCAACGTCGTCTTCCTCGTCTTCTTCGTCTTCCTCCTCATCCTCATCCTCAGACTCCTCCTTAGGGACAAACTGTGCAAGTTCTCGCTCGAGAGCCGACACCTCGTCGTCGGAATCGTCATTCTTGACGGGCTTCTTGGCGGGCTTCTTGGTAGCCTGAGCCTCTTCTCGGGCCTCCAGAGCCTCCAGCTCCTCCTTGGCCTTGGCAGCAGAGAAGAAGGCGTATCGAATTCCGTGTTTCTTGAAATAGTCGGCCCAGATCTGTCGCTGCTCCTCGGTCATCAGGTCAGCCTTGTTAACCAGCAGCAGGTTTCGCTTACGGGGGTCAATCTCCTTGACATACAACTCCAGATCCTCGGATCGGAACTGCAGAGGGTTTCGCCCATCGACAATCTGCACAACCAGATCGGATCGCTCGCACACTCGCCACAGCTGGCGCCACACCTCAATGTTTCGCTCGAATGGCGTCAGAAGCAGATCCTGGTTCTCCTGCAGCTCCGCCAGACTTCGTCGCCATCGCAGAAACGCCTCCTTCTCCTCTCGATCGAGCTGGGTGGAGGTGGTATCTTCAGTCCAAACAGGTCGTCGGGGAACAGTCAGCTTGCCGGCGTTCTCCAGCTGCTTCTCACGCAGCTTCTCGGCCTCAGCCTTGGTCAAAAGGTAAGGGTTGGAGTTGTCATGGGTGTTGATAATGGTGGTGTGGGCTCGTCGCTCAGCGGTGAAATCAGTGTCAGCCAGCTCGGCGGTGGCCAGAAACTCGTCCAGAGCCTTCTCTTGGGTGACGGATCGCAGCTTGACCCACCCGGCCTCCTTGTTCTCCTCGGTTGTGTATCGGGTCTCTCCAGAATCGGTCACGTAGACTCGTCCTTCCTTGGCCTTTCGGTTCATCAGAGTCTTTCCGAGTCCCGTGTTGTTGGGGGTCTTCTTTTTGTGGTACTGCGGCTTGGGTCCCGAGGGGGGACCCTTGGGCTTGACCACATCGGAATGCAACGGTGTTTTGTTCATGTTCAGATAATATAAATTTCGTGTAGTGGGGGATGAGGTCGTAGGACCCCAGCACCTTAGATATGATGCAGAAATAATTTTTAAGGTTGAGTTTCAACCTGCACGGTCACGTGATGTGCAAGTGTGACACGATACAACTGAGCAACAGGAAAAAAGGGGGGTTTGGGAGCAATTCGTTGAGAGAAAGCGGGAATCGATAATACAGTGAAATATGAGTCCGAGGGAGGTATTTTGAAGGTTCTATAGTGTATGAATGACTCATTGAAGCCAGTGTTTCTCACTTGGTTTAGATCATATCAGTGAACTTTATTTGTTACTGTGGCAACATAGAACCGGTTGGAAGACTGGCGGTTGGGGAGTAGAATTGCGAGTAAACGTGGTGGTTGCGTGAAATTGGTGGAGCGGGATATTTGCGTGGTTTGTAATATTTTGGTTGTTTGGGATTTTGATTAATAATGCTTCTTTGTCCAACTCTTGGTCGTTAGACGATGGTGCCTTAGTGCTTGTAGGCAGATTCAGGCAGGGCCAAGTACAGTATGCACAAGTACACCAAGTACAGTATGCACAAGTACACCAAGTACAGTACAAGACGACCAAGTAAAAGTACCTGTATGAACAAGTAAGAGATGGGATGAAATCGACATTTAATGAGAGGAACTCGTGTCATTCACATGCTTCATTTGGTTTGCAAAAGTGGCATATCACAAGGTCGGTGATCTCCCACCCCTAGTGGGTCCTTAAAAACAGGCTGATCATGATGAGTATTCAGAAGAGGAAAAGATGAACAGTCTCATGATCTTTTGACAGAGAAGGAAAGCCAGGAGCCTGTGCTTTTACAATTACAATGTACTTGTACTAGTACTAGTGGAAGCATACATTTGCGATCTTAGTCAACAACTTTCTCTAATGGCTTGCACCACTCACCTATTTTTTATTTTATTTTATTTTATAATAACATAATTTTTCAGCCGAAGCTTGACTTGTTAAAAGTAAGTGTCATACTTCGCTCTGTATAACTAGGGTGAAGGAACTCACTGTGTAGTGTACTTCAGTATATACAGACTACAGTACATACTGTATGTACATATACTAAAAAACCATTGTGGACATCTACTACGACAACTGGTGACAATTTTTCTATATTCCTTGAATCAAACTGTTCGCCTCTTCAGGTATCATATCAACTCCATGCTGCTGTCGATACTTGTTCTCCAAGTACTGCTTTGTATACCTCCACACAGCAACAGAACCGTTGGATAAGCCCACAACCGTGAGATAAACATCTATCGGGGAAGTGTGTTCCCGCGCAATGTCCGAGACGTCGGTCAACTGTTTCAGTCTGTGAGTCTTCAAGTCGACGAGGGCAGTAACCAAACCGTTGTGATTATAAATCAAGGCATAGTGGCGATACCTACTGTCTTGTTCCACCCTATGATGCCTACTTAGATCCCACTCCTTTGGAAGCACTTCTGTGGACTTTGAGCTTTGCACAATTGGTCTCCAATGACTGTCGATGATCACATCAAACACATGTCCATCGTAAAACAAGAGCCCGGCTGGAGCTCTCAACAATAAACAACCTCTCTCAGCTTGGACCGTGGCTTTTTTAGGGCTCACGATACTCGAATATCGCGCTTCGCCCCCTACAAAAGCCACAATAGCTGTCTTTCCCACAACCTGTAACTTGAAGGACATCTTTCCGGGCAAATGACATCCGAAAGCGGGAAGAGGAGTCTCCGAGGCGCTCAGATCTTTCATATTTATGATCAATTCTCCATCATTGTTGCTGAAAACCGCTGTCATGACTTCTGGCGTGCATTTCTCAGTGATTATCTTTCCTCGCACCCTCATCATGTGTTTGTCATAGATGACAGCATCCTGAAAGCTGGAAACGTGAGATTTTTTAGGCAGAGAAGAGGTGCTGGGAGTCTCCGGAGACTCGGTAAAATCCAGAAACCTGTTGCCAATGAACACCCCTCTGTCATTGTAAACAAACGGTCCGTTAAGAACCCTGTCTTTACAGAGACAGTCAAAATCGGAAGGAAGAGACTGATTGATGAAAACTGGACAGCCCAGAGTCGGTTCAAACACATTGGTATCAACCTTCAAGTACCCGGTCGCACACGACTTCCAATCATCGCCTTGACTGTACTCCATATCATAGCATGGACATTGTTGGAGCAAAACATGTCGCATAGCGGACTCGGGAATGAAGTCTGGATCGGCCCCACATATCGAAACAATGTCTTTGAAGTTGAGATAGCTGCATATTTCGTCAACTAATTCCGGGGGTATTTGCAACATGTGGATGTAAGGGTATTTATACAAGGAAGAAAGCTCAACTTTGAGACTAGTCGTAGCTACTGTAGTTGAACTCTATGATTGTGCCTCAGTGGCCATACTTGAGGATGTGGAGTAGAAGAAAGGTATTACACCATTTTGATTCACCTAATTGAACTACCTGATCTGTGACACTGAGGATAGAATGCACAGGTGCCGCTCAAATCTATAAAATACATTAATCAATATTACTCGTAACTCCCCTACAACTTGTTGTAGAGCTCGATGGCCTTGATGGCAGTGGAGGTGGCGGAGGCGGGGTTGGCACCGGTCACGATTCGCTGATCGGACAGGGAGAAGTCCTTCCAGGGATCAGGAGGAGCCTGGTAGTTGGCGCCGACGTTGGCGGCAATCTGTCGGATGGTGGGCAGAGATCGCTGCTTGAGAATCTCGTCTAGACCCATGTCGGTCTCTCCCTGGTCGTGGAAGCCGGTGATGGTCTTGCCCTGGATCAGGGGCTTGCCGTCGGGGCCCTTGAGGTTGTTGAAGATGGCGGGGCCATGGCACACAGCTGCAAGAATACCGTTGTTGAAGTAGACCTCGGAGGCGAGCTTGGCGAGCTTGGGGGCGTCGCAGAAGTCGTGGATGGTACCGTGGCCGCCGGCGAAGAAAATGATGCCGTAGTCCTTGCCGTTGACCTTGTCGGCGGTTGTCACCTTGGCGGAGCACTTGGAAAAGGAGCTGTCGGGGTTTCGCAGGTCCTCCATCTCCTTGTCGGAGCAGTTGATGGGGTCCAGAGACTTTTCGTCGTAGCCAAAGGTTCCGTCCTCAGACACAAACTGGACGTCGAAGCCGGCGGCCCAGAAGGCCATGAAGGGGTGGTAGGCCTCGGTGAAGTAGACGCCGGTCTTCTTTCCGTCAGGGTAGAAGGAGTCGTTGTAGCAGGTGACTGCAATCAGGGCTTTCATGGGAGGGGGAGCCATTTTGAGCGGTACTTTTGGGGGGGAATGTGTAAAGGTCTCAATTTACGGGGACAAGCCCTCTCTTATATATACGCGCCCGCCGCTCTCGTCGATATCCAGACTAACTATATAACGCAAATTAACTCAAGCTTGAAGGCTGTCGGTTGTGTCAGTATCGCAGTACATACATACATACAGTACAGTACATAGACAACTGACACAACTGTATTGTAGGTGACATGACACCGCCAGTCGGACTTAAGAAAGAGTTTGCCGGCTCCATTGCCGGGTGCTAGATCCATCAGTGTTTAACACCGTCCCGATTGACCAGCCTCACGCGGCGCCCGGGCTCGTTTCACCGCTCGCCATGGGTCCACGCCCTCACTGATCGGAACCACATGTCCACTGACTGAACCCTGTTGATTTAGCGGCAATATTGTTGCTATCAGCTGCATGGCTGTACATACGAGAGTGAGGAAATTGCGGAGGAACTCGGGGGCGGGGCGGCGGCAATGGGGGGGTGTCACGTGATCCACGGGGGGAGACGTGGCATCTCCGGGGTCTGTTTTCATTTCGCATTTTACATTTCCCTGCTTCGATTTCGCTCGCGTCCAATCACCTAATCTTCACTGTGACGCCTCACAGAAGAACCTAGAATCGCTGTTGAAGCGAAAGTTTAACCAGCAAGGCGGAACTGCGAGAAAAGCTGTTGTGGGCGATTGAGACGGCATAGAAGGAAAAAAAGCCGGGATTTGGAATTCGCCGGCTTCAATTGACCATTCTATGCCCAAAAATCGCCACTTTTGGGACCCCACAACCCCATAACCACGCCATTATAGACCCAACCCTGGAGACTAAATCCGTCGCTAATAGCGCCGAGCTTAGATTTAACGAGGTGGGGCTGAGTGTGGTATTTCCCTAAAAAGGGGACGGATAGACGGGCAGAGTCGGCTGATAAAAGGGCGGGATCAAGACGGTTATATATCCCAATTCCAAGTCACACAAACAAACCCCCGACACCCCCGACACCCCCTCAAACCGCCTCATCTCCACTGCTCCTCCAATCTTCCACTTTTCAACTGGCCCCCGCATAGCCGTGTTTCTGTGCGGCGCTCCAAATGAAATGTACCTCAACTGTATGGAAAAAGTAACGCCAAAAAAAGAGACGCTTTGTGCATACACGTGGCGGGCGCATGTTTCGGGGGACAGGGAGGGGTCACGTGACTGGGAGAGGGAGGGGGGGGGAGGGAGAAAGCGGAGATGGAGGGTCACGTGACCGGGAGAAGTGAAGATCGACCGACGGTGTCGGTTTGGTGTCCGTCTGGGCGGTACTAAAATAAGCTACCACACTAATGTCCGCCAACGTCTTTTAATGTACTTTGTCACACGTTCCTGCGCATTTTAGTTGAACCTAATCGGGTATGGCGAGAGAGATGTGAGATGTGAGATGGAGATGGAGATGGAGATGGAGATGGAGATGGAGATGGAGATGGAGATGGAGATGGAGATGGAGATGGAGAGTTGACATTTGGACTTTGAGACAATGAGAAGTTCTTTAAACTAGTTGCAGGGTGGTATGGTTGGGTGGTGTCATTGTTGATGTTCTGGAGGAGATCGAGATCATTGCAAGATGAAGTCATTGGTACTGTACAGTAAATACCTACCTTGGAAGAAATTTGTATTACGAGTCATGAGTCCATGGTGGTGAGTCCATGGTATAGAGAGTCAATGAAGTCATCGGTCATGTCAGCTATGTGGCTCATGGAATGACGGTCTACAGTCTGAAACATAGTTGCCAGTGACTTCAAAACCACCGTCAGAATGGCGGCGAAAAGTGATGGGTAGATTGTGGCCAACTGTGGCCTCACAGAAACGTTGAGATACAGGATTCACGCTTCAGTTGGTGCAAAAACGCTTCTGATCGTTGATGAGAAACGGGTTACAAGTAGACGGCTGTAAAGCTGAGAAACGAGTTGCAAGTACTGTAGATGGCCTTTAAGACAACATAGAACGACAGCGGTGAAACGGTATGGAGATCTAGGCATGTAATTGGGCAGCCGAGATTCGGAGGTAGATCCATAACGGCAAGCTGTTGCCTGCCAAAACCCCACGAGCTCCATCATTTTCTGAGTCTGCGCTCCAGATCTCCGATTGAATGCTTGAGATCCCATCAAATAATCAAAATGTCGATCTCGTTATACAATTTGTTCAACTACATGCTCAGCCAGTTTGCTGATAGCACGGGGCAGTCAGGGTCAGCATGGACTGCATCTTGTATGATGGTTATGTATTGACCATCATTAGCGTGAGCTTGGTAGAAGATGGAAGCTGGTGTAATTGGAGAGGTGTCGAGACGCAGCTGAATCATGAACTCGCACCTCATGTATAACACTTTAGTATATGTCCGGATGGATTGGTAGTTTTCCCCGTTTTAGAAAGGTGTAAAATGACGCCATTCAGAGAGGTAAAGGACTCGACAATTGTATGACACAAGTAGAACTTTGTCAACGTCATTGTTTACAATGTGATCGCTCTATATTTCCATTTTTCTCTCACCAGACTGTGATACCATCACTTCGAATGCTTTGAAAGTGCACACTGGGCTCAATCAGAATACACAGTGTAGCATTAACTGCAGGACTGAACTACTGAAACCACCAACATTAGATGAAAAGGGTAATCCCAGCAATAAATTATGTTACACTAGGTTACGTGTCCCCATAAGCACATCGTCCCTCCTGCCCCCCCTCTCCCTCTCCCTCTTCTTTGTGACTGTGACACCCCCCACAGCTGTCCATCTTGGGTTCATCTCTCCCATAACACTCCTCACATCTGATTCTAAACGGCCACAACAACGGAGGCATGCCCTTGATCACAGGTATGTATTTTTTGAGTCCCTTCAAATTCAAGTGGCCCAGCTGCTTGTGCCAATAGGAGACGTCAAAGTTAACAATCTCATGACCTCTCCAGCTCAGTTTGGGAGACAAGGAAAGAACAGGCAACTTGATGACCAAGGTATCTTGGTTTCGATGAAATCCCTCCTGGATGTTCATGAAGCACTCCTTCGGCAGCTGGTTGGCGTCAATCTTCTCACAGTACTGGGCAGTAACCACCAGGGGCTCACCTTTATGCGTGTACGCATAACAGACAGTTCCCACACCAGTCACACGATAATGTCTGCCCTGATATACAATAGACTTGTCTTCTGAGGTCGGCTCGCTCACAAACAGCCGCTTGTCGTTGATGATACATGGCGTATTCTTCTCCCAGCTTACATTCCATGTTACCCAATCATCTCCATTCCGGGGGTAAATGGGGTCAAACTTGTTACAGTAGTCGATGCAAGCCTGGGTGAACAACCCTCCACTAGTGTCACCAGACGGTTTGTCAAACAATCCCTTGAAGAAGTGGAACTCCTTGAGGTTCTGGAGACCCTTGATATGGCTCATCAAGTCGTCAGGCTCCTCAGCAGGTCTAATGAACACTCCATCCTTCACATGTTTCAACATGAAGAAACCCTTGTCCAAAAGAGTTGTGTAGTCGCTGTTTCCGTATGAGTAATAATTGGAAGCTCGTTCCAGCCAATGCTCAAACTCGCTGCTGTTATACAGAGGCTTTTCTGCCTGAGGCACGTAAAATTCAACCAAATCGCTGATGTCATGGACCCGGTGTTTCTCCATAATCTCTCCAACATAGTCCATGGCAACGGTGGGGAATTCCCGCTCGTTTGGACTCGGTATCGGACACTTGTATGTCAATACAGAGCCATCAATTACCATCTTTCCAGGGCTGATTATCTTGGGTGTTACTTGTCTCGTGCCCTTGTATTTGGCTGTGTTTGTCACCTGTATGCCGTCCTCTGTCTCGTCGACACTCCATCTAACAGGATAAGTTGCGGAAGCTCCAATGTGATGATACAGAGTGTTCAAGTTGGCCAAGAGGCGCTCCTCACTTGACCCAATCTGCTCGTCGGAAAACAATCCAATATCCCCCACAGGTAACCATCCACACACATTTTCGTACTTTAGAAGAAGATGGTTGAAGACAGAGTCCGGTAAAGGCGGCTCACTGTTCTGGAACAGCACGTCGAAATCGTACGTCTCAAATCCTCCACTCTTGAGCCGGTAGTACGAGATACGTGCTCCTCTCCACAAATGCTCCACTATGAACATTTGGGTCTCTCGAAGAAGAGCATTCTCGGACCCATGACGTTTCAACACAGGAGACATGTTGGGATTGATTTTCTGTATATCCATTCTCATAACAGACTCCATGACCTCTTCCACCGTCATCGTTTCCTTCCTCATATTGAACAGCTCGTTCAATGTGCCCCACGAGTTGCTGAATTCCACCGAAATGTCGTACAGGTCTTTGTAGGTAATCTTCCCATCATTGTACTTGATCCGGTACTTTTGCAGCTTCTTCTGCGGGCTCAGCGGCGTCAAGTAACTGTACAGGGAGAAGATCAGTTCAAACGTGTGCTTCATGAGATTCATGCGCATCACCATCCCTGCACATCTGGTAATCGCCACCATCATATGTCCCGCCCAATCAGCGTATGAGATATCATCGTTCATGTTGATGAGACCGAGGTACATGTCTAACATCAATTTTTTCAGCACTAGAGCCTGCTTCAATGCGGCCTCATCCCCCGTTTGCTCTATGAGAATCAGTTGCTGCTGGAAAAACAGCCCGATATTCTTCAATTTCGGCCGCAACAGTAGCGGTCTCATTGCTCAGCTGATTCTCAGGGTATCAAAATGTGGTACTGATCGGTGTTGATATTGTCACGAAAAAGACAAGGATTATGGTGCAGTTTACATGCATGCAGAGAGACTATCGCACTACAATAAAATAAAAATAAACGACAATAAAAAAGCGACAATAAAAAAGCGACAATAAAAAGCGACAATAAAAAGCGAAATAATAAAAAAAAGTGTCCAAAAAAGGGGATTCCGAAACTCGGTTGATTTGATTAATCCACTTATAATGTTCTAATTGCTACTTGATAAGACACTACTGACGGAAAAAGCAAGAACGAGGAAGTTGTTGGGTCGCGGTAACGAAACGGAAATTTTGTAAATATGTAACTATGGTATAACAAAATTAACAACTATATCATAGAGTTAGTAAACAAAATAACAACCCCAAATAGGTGCTTGCGACTGTACTGTACATACTACAGTATTGTACGTGCAGTAATAAATACAATAAAATAAATAGGTTAAATATACTAATATAATAAATACCTTCGGTCGCTATATATACATACCTCTCTCTATATACATACCCTCCAATCACTACCAACACTCCTCACATGCTGCTCTGGACTGCCAGAAATACGGTGGCATCCCCTTGATCACCTTTCGATACCTCTTCAACTTCTGCTTGTCCGCATGGCCCAGATGTTTGTGCCAATACGTCAAGTCCAAATCCACCAACTCGTAACCTCTCCACAACAAAACTGTTTCTCCTCCCATGTATTCTGTCACCTCCAATCGAGGTAACTGGACCATGTAGTTGCTGTTCTTGTGACAGACTCCCACAAGAGGAGCGAAAGCACACTTACCGAGAAGATTGTCCAGCACTTTTTGGCAGTAGTAGGCCGTCGCATAGATGGGCTTTCCCTCAGGATCATAGGCGTAGCAGACAGTCCCCCTTTCAGAAACATGGTACTCGTCTCCTTCTATCACCAGAGTTCTCTCTTCTGACGGCATCGGCTGTACAAATAGTCGTCTGTCTTTGACCACCAGAGGATGCTCCTCATCGGTAACATACCAATCAACCCAATCATCGTCCTCATTATACCATATTTCTGGGTCGTGTATGTTGGAGTATTCAATACATGCCTGGAGAAACATGCCGTAGTAAGTGTTGATTTTGTCACGTGAGTCTGTGAACATGGACTTGAAAAAGAAAAACTCCTTGGTTCTCTGAAGTGTCTCGAGATGCTCTTGGAACGGCAATCCCATCAGTCTGCCTTCAGTAGCGGGGCTAGGAATACCATACACCTTGTCCTCAAAGATGTAGTCATCGAGATAGAAGTTCTTGTCCACCAAATTGTCAAAATATCCGGATGGAACCGTATTGTAAATCTTTTCGTACCCTTTCGGGCCATCCCATTTGGTGCCGGTATCTTTTTTCAGCCTGCTCGACTGCTCTCTGTCCCATCTCATCTTGTTGTATCTCCTTATGCTGAGTAGGAACTCAGAATGCAGCACCTGGCCCATCTGGAGCTGATTTGCCACAAAATGCTGAACTGTTGGGCTAACTTCTGTTGTCGCCCTAGGAAACATGACCAGGAATTGGTCCACGGGTCTGGGTGAGGGCGTAGAAGCCACGTCCAGCAGTCCAGGACCTATGAGAGTCATGCGATCATGAGCCACATCTCGCTGAAGTGGATTCAGCTTCTTCCACCACGTTTCCCAGTCACTTCTGGGGTTTCCTTGGGCTCTAAACAAGGCATACAGTTTGTCCTGAAGTCCCGGGTCTCCTTTAGTTCTGTTCTCCAACCACATGTTCTGGTATCTGAACAGTCCAACATTGTCTCCTACCGGCAGCCATCCACAAGCCGTAAAAAAGATGAGTGCGAGGTTGATGAATACATTCGGCAGAAAAGGAGGGGTTTGCTGCTCGAAAACAACATCAAAGTCATAAACCTCCACGCCATCTCTTTTCAGTTGAAAGTATGCCGACCTTGCGTTTCGCCAGAGGTACGTTCGGATAGCGAAATAGGTCTCCAGCACCTCTATATCGTCCGTCGCTTGTTCTTGAAACATCGGTGTCTTTTCTAGGTAGCCCATTTGAAGGTATTCCAGAGCGGTAGTCTCGTCATGTTCGGCCAAGAACTCTTGCACATTCTTCTCGTCGTGATCAAACATGCTGAAATACGCCACAGTAATATCGTAGGCATCCTTGAACTTGGTGGAGGGGTTGTGGTAACCGCCGGCAAACCTCAGCAGGCGTTCCTTCGTGACAGGAGCTCCCACATAACCCACAAACAGAGAATAGACAAGATCATAGATAGAGGTGATGAGCCCCATACGCATGATATCTCGCAGACACTTTTCAACCACAACTCTCATACACCAGGCCCAGTCTGCATGTGTCCACCGCGGTACAAACGTGGTCACCAGTTCCTCGTACACGTCGACAATGATGTATCTGAGCAATTTGACCCTTTTTCTCGTGTCATTGTCGGTTTCCTGATCTGCGTGGCCATTCAGAATGGCTCTCAGAGTGCCCAGATCCGGCCTGTGTATCGTCGGTCGCATGTGTAGGTGGGTTGTGGAGCCGGGAGAGGGGGGGGGAAGTGTATCGGGAGATGAGTTTGAGACTTTGAAGCTTAGATTTCGGAATCAGATGATATTTTTACAAAGAGGAACATCGAGGGGCAAAATGTTTTTGTGCAAGACAATTGGTTTTTGTGAGAGGGGTCTTCTGACTGTGGACAGTCTCAAGACTACAGTATTGTCAAAATGTTTCATTATAGGGTTTCGAGATTTTTTGTGTTGAAAAACTCAAACGGAAAAAGGGGACGATAATGTCCGGCACGAATGTGCTGATTTTCGGTGCGATATATGAGGAGAAAGACGGCGATTGAAATAGGAGGAGCATATATTGTTAGTAATCTGTTTAACTAATCGCGTAGGATCAATATTGGTGGAGTTAGATGGATCATAATGGAACTGACGATGGGGACGTTTTTGTTGGGAAAATAGAAAAAAAGGTTAAGTAAAGCTAACTAATAGGTCCAGTAGCATACCAACAGTGTAGATAGCTTTGTTGACATTGTTGAGTTTATCTAACTATCAATTGTTGATGTACAAGGATGTCTGGAAACGGCTGAAAGCGTAACAGCGTAATGAAATTGCAACTCGGTGTCTCCATCTATATAATTGCTTCTTCTAACTATGTTCCAGACGAGTATCCTATATATCCTGTTCCCCTCAACACGGTCATAATCTGTCACTTATCCTCAAACTCTAAAATAAATGTTTATTTGGTACCACAACACACATTTCGCTACACGCCTACCATCACACATCACAACCATGGCTGAGACGTTGACGCCCTCGGTGGCGCTTTTCAACGAGTTGATTGCGTCGAGCAAGAATCTGCCCCACGCCGCCTCGCACCTGGGCTCAATTCAGCTCGATCTGAGCGAGATCGGCAAGCGAGCAAACTCGTTGCGAGACAAACACTCGGAGGGAAACGACACAAAGGCACACTACCTGCTGGCGGGCAGCGGAATCAACGCGGAGGACATTTATCTGCAGTTGTCGTCGCTGACGCTCAATCCCGGGATCGAGTACTACGACAAGAATGTTGCGGGCATCGACTCGTATCTGCAGAACAAGAAGCAGGACAGCATTCTGGCGGCCATTGCAGACTCTGTACGACTGTCAGCGTCAGATTTTGACCAGTTTCTCAACCAGAACGTGTCCCTCGACTGGGCCAAGCGCAAGGAGCAGATCTGCCAGCACTTTGGCCTGATCCAGAAGGACGACGACAAGAACAACCTCAACAACAACACAACCACCAACACAAACAACAAGCTGACAAAGACAGTCCTGGGGGGCACCTGGGGCGCCGCGAGTCTCGGAAAACTCATCTTGGGCACTCCTGAGATTGGCACTGCTACTCCACGACAACGGCAATTCGCAAAGGCCATTTCGGCGCTCAACAATGCCCGATCAAAGGGCCAGGCCTTCCCCGTGTCCGCAGCTCTTTCCACTGCAGCCGATAACCTCTCTGACGCCAAAAGTCAGCAGCTCAACGATGCATGGGATATTCTGTCGTACATCTCTGGAGAGTCGGTCGAGGCTCCTGCCAAAGAAGGAATCTACAGAAAGATGTACGCTGCTCCTCCCGGCAGCCCCGACGGACTCAAGGTGCGAAAACAGATCTCCCATGGTTCTAAAATGTATCTTGAGCATCAGTTTTACGCCTGTGTCGAGGCCGAGATTGCTAAGTCTCCCCAGGACGCTCTTTTGGGAGGCGTGCCATCAGTCTACAACAAAATCAAAGCTTACTTGAACGTGCGGTACTTCCGAGGAGGCCAATGGACCAAGGAGAACATGGAAATTCTGAACGGAGTGCCCGTTTGGGCTGTTCTTTACTATATGGTTCGATCTGGACATCTTCAGGAGGCTCTCGACTTTACTCTTGAGATTGAGTCGTCGCTCGAGAAGATTGAACGTTCATTCCCCGTCTATCTCCAGGCATATGTCAAGTCTAAGGATCACGTGCTGTCACGTGACATGCATGATCGGATCCTCACCGAGTTTAACCAGCACATTCGGTTCCTCGATGCTCATTCCGATCCTTTCAAGTTTGCTCTGTACAAGATCATTGGCCGATGCGACTTGTCTCGAAAGGTCTTCCCCGAGGTTCTTGAGACTGCTGAGGACTGGCTGTGGGCCCATCTTGTTGTTTCTCGAGAGACTGTGGACGGCCCTCTTCAGGATCGATACACTCTGTTGGACGTGCAGCGAACCGTGCTCAACTTTGGATCCAAGCATTTCAACCCCTCTGGTAAATCTCCCGGTCTCTATTTCCAAATGCTCCTTCTATGTGGTCTTTTTGAGGCTGCTGTCAGTTATGCTCTTACCTTCTGTCCCGTTGATGCTGTTCATTATGCCATTGCTTTGGCTTACTATGGGCTGTTGCGTGTCTCCAAGCCCGAAGATACCGAGGACTCCGATGGCTCATATCTTTCTGTGGACAAGAAGGACCAACAGGTTCTTCATTTTGCTCGTCTGATTGGACACTACACCCGGGACTTCCGACGATCAGATGCTGTTGATGCTGTTGACTACCTTGTTCTGCTGTGTTTCTACCGAGATCAAGAGGACGCTTGTCACGAGGCCCTGCGAGAGCTTGTGCTCGAGACTCGGCAGTTCTCTGTTCTTCTGGGTGACATTAGAGCCGATGGAGCTCGGTCTCCCGGTTGCATTGAGCGTCGGTCCAAGCTCATTGGTCTGGACAAGGACGACTTCCTCACTCAGATCACTGCCCAGGCTGCTCTGCGTGCTGAGGACGACGGTCGGTTCGCTGACGCGATTCTCCTTTATCAGCTGTCTGAGCAGTACGACACTGTCGTGTCTATCATGAACCGAACTCTTGGTGACGCACTGAGCATGATGGACTTTGGAGACTCGAACGTGGAGCCTGCCCAGTCGCTTTCTCTGCTGTCCACCGCGACCAACCCCGCTCAGTTGGCCGCCACCATGCGAGAACTATACACTAACAACCCCCAGATGTACTCGCATGTGTCGCAGCGGAACCGAGATACCTGCGAGATTCTTCTGCAGATTGTGTCTGCTCGGGAGTCGTACTCGCGTGGCCACTGGGCCCATTGCATTGCTGTGATTGACAATATCAATGTGATCCCCATCCACGTTACCGCCGACGTAGGCACCATTCGTCGACGTGCTCAGGACTTTGTGTCTCTCCACGAGTCCACTGCTCGAAATGTGCCCTCGTTGCTGCTCATGACTATGACGTGTTGTGCTGAGTTGGCCCAGAACATCCAGGAGTCCGAGTTCAACGATGCTACTCGGTGCGACCGGCTGGCCGAGCTCAAGGCCCGGTCTCGAAACTGTATGATTTACGCCGGCATGATCCAGTACCGAATGCCTCGAGAGGTTTATTCGCAGCTCACTGCTCTGGACACCAATCTCAACAGTGTTAACATGTAGGGAGAAGAAGACGATATAGATAATTGATTGTATGAATAGCTATTAAAAGTTACGTAGATTGTGACTATTTTTGCGGATAATTTGAGCAAGACAGACCTCTTGAGGCTAGCAATAGAAATGCACGTGATACAGAGTCAATAGTGTGTATTAGATTATTTGGAAGCCTCAAGAGCCTGCTTGAGATCGCCGATGAGGTCATTGGCGTCCTCAACACCAACAGAGACCCGCAGGTAAGCAGGGTTAGTGGTAGCGTCACTCATGAGTCGCCATTCAATCAGCGATTCGACTCCTCCAAGAGAAGTGGCGTGGTTGAAGAACTTGAGCTTGCTGGGCAGAGCTCGGGCGGCTTCTCGAGACTGCATTTCCAGCACGAAAACAGGTCCGTAGCCTCCCACAAGCTGCTTCTTGACAAAGTCCTCGGTCTGAAAGGACGAGTGGTGGACACACTTGAGCGCGGGGAAGTCAGAGAGGTGGTCGGAGAAGTACTTGGTGATGGCGGTGGCGTTATCCGACTGCTGTTTGATTCGCAGCCTGTAAGTTCGAAGAGATCGGAGCAGTAGCCACGATTCGAGGTTTCCGGGACCTGATCCGAGGAAAGATCGGTCACCAACCAGCTGATCGGCTTCCTCGTGCGTCTTGACGACAAGAATTCCAGCCAGCAGATCAGAGTGGCCTCCAAAGTACTTGGTGGCTGAGTGCATGACAATGTCGGCTCCAAAATCAAAGGGGTCCTGCAGGGGGGGAGGAGCAAAGGTAGCATCAACAGACAAAATGCCGCCCTTTTTGTGAGCAGCGTCGGCGTAGTAAGACAGGTCTCTAGAGTAACCGGTGGGGTTGACAGGAGTCTCCAGGTGAACCAGATCTCCCTTCTCCACCTTGTCCAGTTCGTCTAGCGACAGAATCTCCAAGTTGTATCGGATTCGCTTGAAGATGTCACTGACAGCATGGCAGCCGTGGTAGGCTTCTCCGATGAACAGGCGCTTGGGGTTGACGTGGACAATCAGGGCCGTGAACGCAGCCAGTCCGTTGTTGTAGACCACCGGGAACTTGTTGTTGAAGATGGTCGACAGCACCTTTTCCACTCGCGAGGTGGTGGGGTGGGCGATCCGCGAGTAGACGTACTCGTTGGTTCCGTAGGCCGCTTCATCTTCGTTTTCAGCCAGAGGGACCAGATCCTCCGGGTTGCTGGAGTACCGGAAGGTGGTGGAGACGGCAATTGAGGGTGCCACGTCGTTGGTTCGAGCGAGTTCGTCGTCTGCGTGAATCGCGAGAGTGGAGAGGTCAGGAGAGGTCATGGTAGTGGTGTGACAGGGAGTGTGACGATACAAGTACAGTACAGTACAGTAGTTGGTTAAAAGTCGACATTTACACTGTCAATTAACTTTGGGGGTGCGTCCAGTACGTGCGTCTGGCAGGCAATAAACGAGCCATCTCACGTGTAGGAAGCGCCTGAGTGGACACGGTTGGCCCGGATTTCGCCTATATTGTAGAGAGAAGGGTTAAGGGATCATGCTTCTTGTGTTTTACAACAAACTACATGAAACTAGACAGGATGTTGTAGCAGTATCTTTCTGCATAATACATTCATTATTACTTCAATTGGTGGACTGTGTGGGGTATAGTTGGAAGGTCTAAGTAAACCCAAGTATTATCAGAATAGTACGATGAAGACGAACGACCGACACAAGAAGATGGCATATGATGAAAGAGATAATGGAAGAGTTGTATCGTGATCTTTGCAAACTTTGACGGGTATTTTGGGGGAATATGTCGTCTTGGACAGCTCTATAGTTGGAGTAGAAAGTTAGTAATCATCAGTAATTGATCTTGAATATACTTGCATGTACTGTACAGTACAGTAAATATATATATACTGTATATATATATTATAATACAACTCTACTTAGAAAATATGAGTATATACAGTAACACTAACAGATATTACTTCACTTTCACTAGTTTTAGTTGGGATATTGTTAAAACAAAAGTTCACTGAGGTCCCAACTCGGTGCTACAGACGGGATAAAGAGTCAAAAAAATACACCAATCAGTAGGGAATGTCTATGTTTTAAACAGAATCTCTCTCCTCTAGCTATATAGTCTATAGCCTGATCATGAATCGGCAATAGTGTTCAGGTTTTTAGTTGGGAGATTTCTTGGAATTTACTCGATCGTTGAAATTACAGTACTTGTAATTAAATACATTCGAAAACACCTTACTACGTCCTGAAATGAATTGTAGAAGCATTAGGACACTGAAATGTTATCAGTAAGGCGCTGAGTTTAACAGCAGATGGCTGAATTTAGCCAGTGGCCGTTCCAACATGTTATCATCCCGGTTGCTCATCATCTACAAGTAGTATATCGGTATGAAGTGAGAACAATACGTATACATGTTATCGCAATCGCTGCAACCAAGCGTGCCGCTATATTCGTTCATTCAATCAAATGTCAATTAATACAATACATAATGTCTACTTTCTGGCGGGCCTGGGGGTGGTCTTTGCAGCCAGCTTGTCAAGGGTCTTGCGCACTCCGTCGGGAATGGGAGCCTTGACTCCACCCTTTCTGTAGTCGACCGTGACAATGGTCTCTTTGATTCGAGCAGCCACCTTTTTGGCATTGTGCGACACCACCACTCCTCGCAGAATGAATCTGTCGGGCGAGTCGATGGGCTCGACCTTGTGCATGACAGTGACCGTATCGGGGAATTGGACGGGCTGGGTTAGTATAGATGTAATGAGTTGGGATGTTGGGCTTGTGCCTACTTTGCTGCTCTCTCTGTTGGATCGTTCCTACTTTGCAGCTTCCCTGTTGGCTCCTCTTTGTCTATGTACACTGCTTCGCAGCTCGCGTCAGCTCGTCCTGTCTACTCACATATCGCCATTCCAAATCTCCACTTCTCAGAATCGGTCCCACCGCCTTGGGGGTCATGAAGAGCTTGCATTCCTCTCCCTCCTGATTACCCATGACATCGTTGAACATGTTGACTCGGGCCGTCTCGAACCACTTGAGGTACACGCAGTTGTTCACATGGTTAAAACAGTCGTGGTCGCCCCACGCTACCTTGTGGCTCTTCATTCCAGCATTGGCCACGTCGTATCCCTTTCCTTCAGTCTTGTCCACCAGTTGTTGGATCCAAGCCGTGTTGGAGTTGTGTCGAATGGAGAGGAAGGGTCTTGTCGCCACGGACGACGCCATTGATGACGCCATTGACGACGCAGACTTGGTTGTGACTCGTTTGAACATTGTGTATCTGATGCTGTATCTTGTGCTGTATCCCGTGTGTATCTTGCACCCTTCGGACGTCCTGGCACCCCACTCTTATATACACCTCTAACGTCTTTCTGGCGGTACCCTGATTAAGTTTGAGCCGCACGTACCCCACATTTTAGCATGTATGGCCCGAGAAAAACCCGAGGGCATGAGATGAAATAAATGGCGGCTAAAATGCGCTCTTTGGACGCACAAAGTACAACCGGCGTTTAATCCGTGTCTGCGACGTGCGTCCATGCATACCACCGGCGGGATGACGGATACGATGTGGACTTCGAGCCACTCCGACGTTGAACAATGCATCCAATAGCCGAGACAAGATATCATCAGTACATACAGTACGGGCACCTGTTTGATACCGTACAGTATCGTGTCATCCTGGTCTGTTAAGACGTAAGAAGGGCTAGAAAAGTCGAAAAGGGGGAAAATATGATCACGTGACATACAAGGGTATGTACAAGTACTTGTGGATATTTTTTCAGCATGGCTACAAGTACAATAGCAATGCAAGGTGTACTGGGTCAACATGCGTCTACAGAGACATGGTACATTCAAAACAGTTGTCTCGCCAATCGGCCATAAGCTGTATAACCGTTGTGGTCTTTGTTTGCCTCGGTCCAGCGGTGTGCGGATGGTAATAGGCGTTTTCTCGGTTCTCGTACGAACGGATCGAGTTGATCCGAGGACATGTTGTAGGACTTCTTTGTCCAGATGTGGGGGTGTAAGAGAAGAGAAGGAACGAAAAGTGGGAGTACAGTGGGAGAAGGGGAACCAGTTCCGGGACTAGTACAGTAGCCGTATCACACTTGTATGTCCACAGTAACGTTGTCAGAAACAGCAGCGGATATCCGCTTGGTATCGCCGCTTGATCTCCCACCTTAAAGACCAAGACTTTGTTTAAATATTAGTTGGGATTACTGAGAAAAAAAAGTCTGCTGGGGGTGCAAATTCCCGGTTCCTAAGGAGCTGAACGGTCGAGTTTTGAAGAAATATGTTGTAAATGGGTTGTTTTTTAACACATAATGAATCTGCTACAGTTTTTCCAACAGGATCTACCGGTAGCGGGCCACTGACGCATGGGAACTAACTAAACTTTAGTTAGGTTTTAGTTGGGATGATACTTGGTTAAGTAGGTATTGTGTAGTATGTTGAAGTTGGTCTAGAGAAGAACGACATTGCTATCACGATCGTCGTATAAAGAAATATGCAAGGGCTCATTGGAAGGAATCAGTGGAAAAAGTTCAACGATCTCCAGCTTTTCATCTCCATGCCTTTTTTTTTATAACATAATACATGGCCTAACAGAACTTGTATTCTAAGTATTTTCCCGTCTAACATCTGAATAAGTATTGTTATTTACTTGGCCTTGATCCGGCAACTAACTGGGACCTAACTAGCCTAACAGCCGGAAGTAGTCCTGGACTAGCTACCAACATAATGAAAGCACTTAACCAGGCAGTATACTACTCAACCAGGCTCATCTGTATTTCCCCCATCACCCTGATAGTAACCATGGCACCCACCTTGACATCACCTTATAACCCCCCTCGCCACTCTACTCTATATATAGCCCACCAGCGCCACCCTTCGTACTGTACTGCACACTACAACCTCCAAAATGCCACGTTTCGACAGAGTGCTATCTTTGGCTGCAGTGGCACTCCTTTTGATATCCCCCGCAGCCGCCAACAGCCAAGTGCACGCAAATGCCGTGTTTCTACACGCCGACAGCGTTTGTGTAAGATACCCGTGATGACTGACACAAACGACCACAGTGAGCAAGCAAGACTAACCCAGGAAAAAGAAGAGTATCGAGATTGTCTCCAATCGGTGCAGACGCAGTTCGAGGCGTGTGACTCGGACGACCGCCGGTGCCAGTGCGATGTGATGAAAATCATTGGCGACCAGTGCTCCAAGTACTGCAACGACCCGGTCAACGCCCAGTACCTGGAACTGTTTGGACAACAACAGTGCGACTGGATCGAACAGGATGTGCACAAGGACCACAGGCCCAAGGATGCCGAACCTGAAGAGGTCGAAGACGACTCCCACATGAGACTTCCTGGTGACTCGGTTGACCTTGACAACGTGGACAACAATGATCACGACAAGCGTTCCGAACACGACATTCCCCACGAAGATACCCACAGCGATGACCACAACGACGGTGAGTTCTACAATGCTGACCGCAGCGATGACTGCGACGATATCACTGACCACGATACCGGCCCCAGTGTTTATGACGACATGGATACCCTTGGAAACGACGAAGACGATAGCCTTGACGACACGTATACCCCCGACTTTGTTCCCGACGACCCCGCTGCTTCGGGATTCACTTATGACCCTGCCCAGGCTTACGCAGACAAGTGGGCTAATTACATGGAGATCTTCAGAATCGCTCCCCAGACTGGATACGTCGATTTGGGAGACACGGACCCCATGAACCCCGGGAGACACCCACTCTCAGCACTGATTGAAGACGACGATGGTGAAGGCCTCCATGATATCTTTGACCACACTCCTTACTACAATCACGACAACGACCTTACATTTTCGCCCGAAGATGAGGCCAAGCTGGTTCGGTTGGCTAAGGAGATGTTGGAAGAGGCCGGCGACGACGCAGACACGGTTGCTATCTGGGCTGAGGCCAAACAGCGGGTATTGGCAGAGCGAAAGAAGTTTCTGGAGAGTCCCGAAGAGCCCAGCGGAGACACTCCCGAGGTTCTCAACGGGAGTAATCTGTATCCAGTTCCTGATTCTGATTCTCTGGTGGACGGAGCGGATGGTGCGGACAGTGGAACACTTCCAGGACCGCATTCGGGAGGATACCAACACTGGGTTGATGGACCCCCACTGGAATCCACATTTGGAGAGCCCATGGATGTCACGTCTGGCTATGTTAAGGACGCTATATTTGATGTTCCGACGGAAGGCGTGAATGACCCCAACGGTGGCTTTCAGACCGAGGTGGAGCCCGTCGTACCCGGCGATGTGGTTCTCGACCCAGAAGCTACTCCTCCTGCTCAGCTTACTCCTGATGCCGATACCGAGGGCGATTCTGACATGTACCATAGCGACAACGAGTTGCCTGTGGTCCCAGAAGACCCTATCTACCAGCCTCCTCATTACTACGAGCCCAAAATTGTAGTTGGAGGTGAAGAAGATGGTACCGAGCCTGTCGATGAGCCCGAGCCTGTCGATGAGCCAGAACCTTCCTCAGGGCCCATTTCTGAACCCATTCACGAGTGGCAGCCCGAGGAGCCTCTTCCCAGTGAAGACGGTAATTGGCCTTTTGAGGAAGAGTATCATTACGAGGATCCTGTCCATGAGAAACCCCATTATGAAGAGAATAACGGAGAGCACCGTGAGGACCACAGTGACGCAAGCCAGGAGCTGCTCGGAGTTGATGAGGAACTGCACCATGGAGACGACGAGGGAGATGAAGAGCACGAAGAGCATCAAGAGGATCACCAGGAGCTCCATCAGGAGCACAGCGAGAGCCACCATGGTGGGGAGGAGCATGTTCTTATCAACGATGGGACCCTCAATCTTAATAATGAGGTCAACGAGCACCATCATGAACACAATTTGGAGTATCACGAAGAGTACCACATCCCCGAGCCTCACCAGGAACCTTCTCTTCATGAACCCGAGCCAGAGTATCACCATGACTCTGAGCCCGACTACCATGAGCCCGACTACCATGAGCCCGACTACCATGAGCCCGACTACAACCATGAACCAAAGCACGAAGAGAACTTTGAAACTTCCGACTACCACGAGTTCCCTCCTGCCGGGGATGAGTATTACGATGAGGGCCCAGCACCTTTGACCGAGGGGGTTTACGAGGGTGAAGTTGAGGAAGGATCTGGTGCTGATAACTTTGAGGGTGCTTCTCTTGCTGAAAAGCTCAAGCAACTGTATCCCAATGGCGAGGCTCCCCGTATGGTGAACCAGGATCCCGATGGAAACCCTGCTTACGATTTTGATGGCTATGATACTGACAGTGCGGATGTGTATCCTGGTGGGGAGACGCCCTACGGTTCGTATTTCGGCGATGCGTTTGGGTTTTCGTCCGATGCTCCTCGGTTGAAGCCTCTGATTGCCACTCTTACCCTTGGTCTTGTTGTGGTAGCTCTTTTCAACCGGGACCTGGCCCCCACTATTTGTTTCGTCCTTAGCTCATTGTCTTTTGGGTTGTACATTTACAACTATGAGCTTCGTCTTTAGGGGTGCTATGCTATAGTGAATGTGTATGTAGATATATGGGTGGTGTACTGTAGTGTAGTTACCGTAACGAGTAGTTACCGTGACTATTTATTGTCTTCATCAATGCTGCTTTTGTGAGTGTCATTACTTGTACTAGCATGTAGTGGTTGTACTGGGTTTACTTCTTCTCCTTGGTCTCGTTGATCCACTTGAGAGTGACGTCAACGGCCTGGGGGAGATCGAGCTGGGGTTCGTAGCCAAGGTACTTTCGGGCCTTGGAGATGTCGTAGTATCTTGGTGACGAGCAGATTCGGACCTTGAAAGGCGAGAAGTTGGGCACAACTCCAAAGGGCTTGCAGAGCCCTGCGACGATAGAAGACAGGAAGAGAGCCACGGGGGTGCTCAGTTTGGTCCGCTTGGCCAGGTCGACCTCGTAGCCAGACTTCTTCCAGATCATTCGGGGCATGGCCCAGAAGTAGATGGGGGTTCCGTTGGTGATGAAGAAGGCCTCTCCGGCCACGTTGGCGGCGTGCTTGGAGTCTAGTAGCTTCTCGGCAGCCAGCACGTGGGAGTATGCCACGTTTCCGACGTAGGTGTAGTCGAAGAGGTTGTCGTCGTTACCGAGCTGGAAGTTTTGTTTTCCGGTAGCGGCAGCATCGAGGAAGCCGGGGATCATCTGTCGGTCACCGGGTCCGAAAATACCAGCGGGTCGCAGGGCGACAGTCAGGAAACCGCTCTCGGGGTCGTTTGCGCCCAGAATCATCTTCTCGGCCACCGCCTTGGTGTCGGCGTAGTCGTCCTTGTGGTCGTCCAGCACGGGGAAGGTTTCGTCGGCGTTGATGAGAGGAGAACCGTCGGAGACAGCCGAGGCAGAGGAGGTGTAGATGAAGGCCCGGCCAATCTTGCCCTTGGACTCGTCGAATCGCTGTCGAGTAGCTTCCAGAAGCACCTTGTTTCCCTGCACGTTCACCTTCTCGTAGATGGCCTTTCCGAGTCCGTGGACTGGGGAGGCGCAGGTGACAATGGCATCGGGTTTGGCGGCGTCGATTGCTCGCAGAACGTCGTCGCGGTTCGTCAGATCGCCCTGGTGGAACACAATGTCCTTTTCTGTATCGTAGGAGAAAAACGTCTGGGACACGGGCTGCACGGGTCTGATGTCAAACACGTGGATTTCAGGCCGCGGAGACAGCTCGTGGAACTTTTGGATGAGATGCTGGCCGAGAAATCCCGAACCTCCGACGATCAGTACCGTGTTCATGATGTTAGCGAATGTGGTAAGATGGTGTGTTGGGCGTGTCAGGGATGGTGATTGAGTTTATGCAGTGTACAGTATGTACAGTACTCAGGACCAAGAGCGGAACCTGGGGAATGTAGAGAGCGGGAGTAGACTAGGGCGCGTGTGTTTAGAAGAGTCACGTGACACAAATTATGCATATTTTTTGAAGGATATATTTGAACATCTAGCTGGGAAGGAGGGGTGTGTGAGGGGGGAGGAGGGGGAGGATTATGGTGGAGGGAGGCAAGGGTTAGTTGAACTTAGTTAAGAAAGAATGTTTAGTTGGGACATTAGTTGACCTTTGGAGAGAGTAGTAGGTGTACTCAAACTTGGTGAATATCGCCCCGATTTTGCGGGTTAAAATTGGAAGCTGTTAAACTAGTCAACGTATTATTATTTCTTCTGTTACTTTTGTTTTAGCAGGTCAGAAACCCCCAGTAGAAGAGACGTTCCAAGATGGGCTTGTCTGAAAAGTCTACGGGAGACCCCTCCATCGTAAGTGGAGCAGCTACTTGTACAAGCAGTCAATTGCCTCAAGTGAAACGAACTTGACTGGAAAGAACTCAACTGAATTACGCGACCAAGAAAATATCTCCTTTTGCGCCGTTTATCGAGGGCTGAAACAGCTTCAGAACTGCATCTGAGGTACACCTTCAGTGTTTCTGCCCTTCATAGAGTATCGTCAACTTGGTGGATATTGCTTCGATTTTAACCAAATCAGCTCGTAGAGAATCTGCGTTTCGGTCACATCAACTGCCATCAACAAACTGGCAGCCTTGTGGCCTCCAAAGCGCACTTTTCACCGTCCATATCCGTCTCGATTTCTGGCTAAAAATAAACTCAGGACAGAGTTCGATAATCAGTCTGCCAACATGCACCAGTGCTGCCATATAACAGTGACCTGTGTTGTCATCACTCTACACCACTCCACATCTCTCTCATTTTCGCGACAATGAAACTTGCACTGCTCTCGCTGATAGGCACGGCTCTGGCGACTCCAGCGGTGATGCTGTCGCACAAGGAGCTGACGGCTTTCGAAAAATACACCAACAAACAGACATCCAACAGCATATCGGCAGTGGAGCTGGATCGAGTGGCGCGGAAACTGATGCACGACTGCTCGGCCAACACCTACGTGGTGGTGAACCAGCCGGGACTCAAGGCCAAGGATTTCCAGACGGAGTCGGCGTTTCCGTTTCTCAAAAAGCTCCTGGAACGAACCTCCACCATGTACACAGTGCCCTATGCTGATGGAGGCATTGAGCTGGGCAAGCTGGCCAACTCTGTGGCCAAGCAGTGCGGCGCGGTCAAAATCGACGTCAATCTCGACAACAACATCACTCCTCTGGAGGAGTACATGGATACCACCAAGCGAGTAATCGAGATCAACTTTGAGCCCCTGCCAAACACATATGTCTCTCGACTGGCTGCTCTGGCCGCCAATGACGAGATGCTGGAGAAGATTGTGCGAGCAACGCCCTCGCCGTTCATTGCGCTCATTTTGACCTCGCAAAAGGGCGAGGAGGGAGACTTTGAAACCAGAAACCCCGACTTCAAAATCTTTCCAGGCGTGGCTCGAGCCAAGACTGTGCCTGGAGCGAAGGACAAGTACAAGTACCACATGGAGCTGCAAAATGTGCCTGTGGACGAGAAAAAGCTCACTGCCGAGGCGCTCTTGAAGGTCAAGACTCCCCCCACACATGCTCCTGAGGTGCGCCAGACGGGAGACGGAGAGCTGGTCGACGACAAGCTGCTGCTGATGATTGTGGGGTCGGTTGTTGCCATCCTCCTTTCGCTACTTGTCTTCAACGGTCTTATGGCGGCCAAACCTGACGTGGTGAAGGTGGACAAGACTGACGCAAAGGTGGAGAAGGCCGTGAAGAAAGAGGTTCAAAAGAAGGAGCGACTAGTGAATGGACGAGTCGAGCAGCTGAAGCGTGAGACTAGATAGCGCGATGGATGGAGCCATGGATGCTGACGGTATATAGATTCAATCGAACGGTGACATGGAAGAAAGGTGGCCAGCAGAGTAAAATAAACACAAATATTGTGGGATATTGTGCAGGCGAAAGCGCTCAAGAAAAACGGAAAGGAATGGCGTAATCACCAATGCCTGTTGGCGTCAATTTCAGAGCCCCATTCAAAATAAACCGCTCCCAAGTACGTTTTCTTAAGAATCATTTCATCCCAACTAAACAACCCAAACTCTACACATTGTTAGTAATCTCAACAGCCATACAAGGTCCCTCCAAGAGGATCAAAATGACCCAGAAATACGCAAAAGTTGCATATTCACAAATATACACTTTGATAAGACCACAATGATCAACGTTTAGGCAAAAACATTTCAGTACAGCCCTCCATCTACCACTCTCTCAGACTCTACCCTTACCCTAACCTAAATAAGCATTACTTGGTAATTACTCAACTCTTAACAAAAACGCACTTTCACCGTAGACATGGCCATCTGAGCCGCCCCCGCCATGTCAGTACTTTGCGCCTGTCGCCACCGTCTCCGCGTCTCTGCATTGTGAAATCAACCTCCGTGAAGTCGTGATACTCGCGATACACGTCTTTTACAACCTTGTTCCTGGGTCGTGTGCCGGCCGGGTAACGGCAGTAAACATGCCGGCATTATAAGATAGTTCCAGGTCGCTACGGTAGGAATATACAATCACTGCGAAAAAGCAGAGGGGCACAAACGGACGACAACAACGGTCACCGATGGATAACACTCCTCCCAAGAAGAAACGCAAGTTTGTGGTGCTCAAACGACGGCCCGTGACCGACACAGAAGTGGAGACGGTCGAGTCGGCCACTCCAGACGTGCTCAATGACGACACCGACATCTACGACCTGTCTGCACATATCACCGAGGTCAGGCCAGCGGCTGTGGAGATGAAGGTTGATGCTGTGAAGCCGGAGCCGGTCCAGGAGAAAAAGACGCTAAAGAAAGCGACGCATTCAAGAAATACCAGATCCAACTCGAAATCGACTCCCCAGGACGTGGTTGATTTGGACGCGGAAGAAACTCCAGACGACACACCAGACGACAATCTTCTATCTTCCGACAGCGACATGGACCCTGATAGAGAGCTGCAGGAGGCTCTGGCTCGAGCCCGGCGGCTCAAGGAGGAAAAAGAACATGCCGAAGCGCTGCTCAGTGTGAAAGAGCAGACCAAAGAACCCCAGTACTCCCCTCCTGTAGAAGAGACTCCGCGCAAGATGAAGAAACCAAAGGCCTACAGAGGCGAAAAGGTGTGTTTCCGACTAACCTTTCCTGTTGTCGAGGGACACTCTTGGCCCTCGGTCATCTTCACCACCCGTTCATTGGTCCCGTTCCATGAGATTCAAGAAAAGCTGACCTTCATCCTCCATCAGCGGTGCCAGGAGGACGAGCTGTATGCGCCCCCGGATCATGTTCTCGATGAGTTCATTTTTGTGCTTCGAGGATCGCGAATCTTCAGAAATTCCACCTGCCAGACCATGGGTATCTTCACGCGAGACCCTGCTACTTGTCCTGAAGTACAATGGCTGAACGCCGAAGACGCCGAAAAGTTCCGAAAGCGAAGTCTCATGGAGGACGACGATGACGAGCTTGTGCCTCAGTTGGACCACGATGACGGGCTCGACAGTCTGGCTGACGTGTCTGTGAACCTGGGAGAACCTGCTGCCGCGGAGCCAGAGGAGCCCGACGAGGAGGATATCGAACTAACAATGGCTGGAAAGGATAAGAAGCCAGTGACAGTGCGGGTAGGCCTTTCACGACAGTTCATCAAGCTGGCTGAGCATTATGCCAAGGAGATGAATGTGCCCGCAACGTCGGTCCAGCTATATTTTGACGGTGATAAGATTGATCTCAACTCGACAATCGAGCAAGCCGATGTGGAGGACGAAGATATGCTTGAAGTGAGATTGGTCTGAGAGACTTGTATGTATTATATTTATTTATTCCATGTTAACGAAGCGACTGACGTAAGGTCTTCATTCGGATGGATAGCTAACGTAGGACTGCAACACTGCACATTAAAAGGAGCACCAATTGGGATTGGCCGCTGTAGTGCGAACTTGGTGTGAACCGAATAGCTCCCTCATCCATCTCCACTAACTTGAGCGCCGAATCATCTCCCTCCTTTCATGCCTATGATTCTGGAACCATGAATCCAATGTCTTCCAGGCTGAAATGCGAGCCGAATCAAGAGATCTTTCTCTATAGACACCCAGACGGGCGACTTTGTGGGAGCCCTGCATGTTTTGCCATTCTGAGGGCAGGTAGTCTTCGAACAGGACCTTGATGTAGGAAGAGGTCCCGGCGTCGCTTCCACTGTTGGTGAGGCTCCCCAGTACCACTCAAAGGGGCATATCTGCCCTGCCTGATGAGACTCTGGTACGGTGCAGAGGAAGTTTTTGGACGCTGAACTACGTTTTGATCCGGTACCACGAGAACCTGCCCATCTTTGTCTCTGATATGAATACCCATGAGGGCCAATAATGAGCTGTTGGAGAGAAGATGGACAAATTGGACATGGGTTTTCAAATAAAGGCAGTTTGAAGTTTCTTTCCACGCAGTACTTCACCAGATAATCCATCTCCAGTGAGCCATGTATCGTTCATGACAATCACCTTGTTCTTGTCTCGGCCAATGAGTTACTGTTGCTCCCACAGGTTCCCAGACTGCTGCCAGGTTTCTTCACAACTTTCAAAATCGACGTTCAAACCTTTCACCTTCCATCTGTCCCCCTTTTGTCTGCAAGAAGCCCTTGCAAGCAGATATTGTCCCCGTGTGCCAGAATTGGGGTATTCTTAGCCGATGTTGGCGCTGAAGATGGGCTTGAAGGTGTCTAGAGGAGGTCTGTCTGCATTCTGAGGTTCCACAAACACTTGCTTGGGCTGTCAAAGCGAGAATATGATGGGGAATCTGCAGAGATTCGAGGTTGCAGAGCTGCAAAATGATGTGACATTTCGTTGGGGAGCATGGCTACAACCGCTACAGTATGCTGCGTACACTGCCTGTATCTCCGTGATTTTGAATCGGTGGATTCAATCTGATGAATCTGATTGCATTGAGTCTGAGATAGAGAGCATCGTAGGAGGTACAAGTGCGAATCCGAGCGGTTGGACCTGCTTGGAGGTGTATAGAGTTGTTGTATGACTGTGGATTACTTGTACAAATGTGCTTCCCTGAGAAAAAAACTCCTTTTTTCCCGCGCATGGATGTTCCATAGGTTTTCTAATCAAGCACAGATTATGCAAGATAAGTCGACTATACATATGATTAGTCAAATCGCTTTTGAAATTGCAGAAAGTCGACGCTGCTATAAAACTCAAGACAAGTCCTTCGCCGCTACTGTCCAAGTACGCAGATTCCGCCGTAATTTTTTCTACTTGTACTTGTACTTTCACTGACAATTGTATGTCCTTTTGTCCAAAGTAGCTACTTCTAACACAGTCTAAGTAATATCAAACAAAATCCAAGTATATCAAACAAAACCTAAGTAATACCAAACAAATCTAAGTAATACCAAACAGAGTCTAAGTAACATCAAACCTCCATAGTCCTCCAACAACAGCGATAGACTGAAAAAATGCGGAAAAAATTGAGCGTATACATAGTCAGACCGTTGCAGGCTATATGACCGCCATTACAAGTAGCTTTATCATTTTTCTAGTAGTTCAAATGCCAACATACTCCCGCTGGATACCTTTTTCCTCAACTAGAATTCAAGTAATGCGGGGAGGTACAATTCCTCATACAATACTATATATTATCTAATCAAAATAGGGGGTGGTACGAAAACCCTTCCAGTGGTCAGGCGAACACATTATACCAGCCTGGCATCAACCAATATCCATCACACTCGCCCTTTCTCAAACACTGCTTCTCGCAGAGCCACTGCATGACATCCTCAATCTCTTGATGGGTAAGAATGTTCACCAGTCCCACAGCAAGCAGATCAACAGTGACACCAGGCCGAAGAGCCACGGACAGCGCAAACAGCGACGTCAGATGCTTCCAAATGGGCTCATTTACCTCTCCATGCATACCCTTCCAGATCCGCAGCCCCTCGGTAGGAGGAGCCACCTCTACACTCTGAGCCGCGTCATTGAGAGACAAGGACTCAAAGCCCCGGAAAATAATGTCACAGTCGAGCTTGTCTTTATCGACTGACCGAGACACATAGCCCTTGATCAGAGAGCCGATCGTATCGTTAACTCTGACCGTATCAATGATTCTATGGTAAACCAGGTCCAGAATGGCCATCATCGATCCGTCAGGAGCCAAACGAGACATGACAAGACCACGGGACGAGTTGACACACTCTCTCATGGACTTGTCAAAGTTGAGAGCCTCGTTGAACACTTCCAGACCGGCAGCAAACCGCACACTGACAGCGTTCCAGAACTTGTCAGAAAACGCAAAGTTTCGTCCAGGGTTGCGTTTCTCCATATCTCGAGGAATGTAGTTGACCACTTTTTGCTTATCGAGCTGGTTGACTGCCTCGGCAACCGTTTGTTCTCCGAATGGAGTCAGCAGCTCCTTGGCAGCTTGTTCATCGTAGGTGGCATCATCAGAGACGATAATCGACTTGATGACAGCAATGGCGTTCTGAACAGCCTCAGGGTTGGGGTCCACGTACACAGGGGTCTTCTTGACCAGGAAAGGCGAGTTTGTGAGTGCCTCCTCGGTCTTTACCATGGACTGGACAGACAGGACCGAGTCGATGGGATCCGTGTCATCGAAATCCAGAGGAACAGACATGTGGTACCGTTTTCTGTTGTCTTCGTACGACTCGAGTAGCGGGAACGACGTGGCGGTGGTATCGGGCAACAACTCGGGTTCATGCTGTTGCCAGAGATCCGCCAGCTCCTCGAGATTCACCTCTTCTAGCCGCGAAAATGGAGCAATGGTTCCCTTGCGGTATTGCTCATAGAAAAAGTCTTCAAACTGCTCAATTGCAGCCGGAACCACCTTTGCACCGCCCATAATGTCTCTGACTCGAGGCCACTTGGCCTTAGCAGCATAAGAAGGTAGTCTGAGAGGCCCGGCGAGAGCCTGCCAGGGAATAGAGCCTCCGTGGAACGATCGGGCGACAATGGTGAGCCGGAAAAACTTTTCATTGTCCTCCACATCGTATCGCCGGGCTCCAGACATCCGAGAACGAGACACGGAGGGAGTGGCGCCAATCTTGAGCTTGGATTTCCGCTTGATTCCGTGCTCGAGAATCTTGAGGGGATCCGAGCTGGGCAATCTGTCGCCCTTGCGGCTCTTTCTCTTGGGCTGCTGGCTCTGGAGAGTAGCCTGGGCAATCATCTCAGGTTCAATCATGCTGTCATCCAGACCAGTAAACTGGTTGTTCAAGCTGTTGTAAGCCGGATGCTGAGTGGAGTACTCCTGAGCATAGTCCATGGAGTATTGGGGTTGGTACTGTTGATGAGGATAAGTGGAAGAAGAGCCGGCACCCTGATGCGGCTCCTGGTCGGTGTAATCGTACTGAGGGTCGATATTGGAGGGCCGCAGAGATCTTCTCTTCCGAGGCACAACTTTGCGAGTATCACTAATCCATCTTCCGTCACTACCAGGCTCCTGAACTCGATGAGGGGACTTGTCTTCGTTGCCTAACGATCGTCGTGGGTTCGCAACAGGGTTGTGGTACAACTTGAAGGCCCCTGACAGCGATTCTCGGATGGGATTGTGAGTGGCAGGCACACTAGCGACCTTGGTTCGATGGATCAATTGAGCCTTGAGATCCTGCACCTGGGGAGCGTCTCTAGGCAGCGAAGAGTGTACAACCATCCAACGAACGATGGCCGAGTCTCTGCTTTTGCCCACGTTGACGGAAATACGATACACCTTGCCGTCGTCCTCCAGCTGGTTAATGTCTCTGTTGAGAGTCTTGGAGTCCACTTTTCCGTTTCGGGATCGCGAATACGATGCGTCAAACATAATCTCCAGCTGTTTACCGCCTTCCAGAACACCGTTGTTGGCAGAAAGAAGTTTCAAAATACGAGACTTTCGCTCCATGGCTGCGAAAGAAACAACTCCTCGAGAAGTAAGGCGCCCCGGAGCAGGTTCGGGCTCTGTCGTCTCCGCAGCAGCCTGTTCGGCCTCGGCTTCTTGTCTGACTGCGATTTCCACGGGGTCAGTTTCGGCCAACACCGCTGCCACAGCTGCCTCGGCCACGGAAGAAACAGTAGCTGAATCAGCCTGTTCAGTGGTTTCCCCGGTTGTTGCCTCGGCTTCATTTACGGTTCGACTGGCCGCCTCCAGAGCAGCAGCAGCAGCAGCAGCTTCAGCAGCCTCTTTCTCCAGTCTGATCCGCTCATGCTCAGCCTTGGACTTTCGGCCACGCTTCTTGGGCGGAGGTTTGTCTCCGGGAGCTGCAGTGTCATCGTCCACAGGTCGCTTTCTGGGTCTGCCTCTGGGTCTACCTTCTCCACTGCCCTGCTGGACAGAAATCTTGACGCCAGCAGCAGGAGTCACATTGTAGCCTCTGAAGGTGACAAACTGATGCTCTGAACCATCGGGGAGAGTCACAGTAGCTGTCAGGACGACTCCAGGGATCTCAGAGCCAAGTTTATGTTGCATGTCGCTCAGAGAAGAGTAAATTTTGGCAGCAGCTTTGGCCCCAGAGGTAGGAAGGGGTCGAAACTTACCCCAGGCGGGATCGGCAGCCTCTCCGACAAAGGCCCGATAGTCCATTTCGGTCACGTACCGATAGTACTTGGTTCTGGCATTCACATCCAGACCCCGAATGAGGTTCAAGTATTGCAGTTCGGGGTCGGACTTGTTCTTGACCGTCTTGTTCTTGGTGGTTCGCTCGGCAAAGCCTTCCAAGTACCGCGAAAACATACGGGTGTACGAGATACCAGCAGTCAAACGGCACAGCTCCATGGCAGGGATACCATGGGAGCCTCGAATCTGAGTGAGGTTGAAAATCTGGTTGATGAGGGGGTAGAAGCGGTTGAACGAAATGATATGAGAGTTTTCTTCGGGCAGCAAGGGCTCTCCAACGTCTTCCATCTTGATTCCCGCACTGTCGTCCATAACATCCAAAGAGCCCATAATCTTCTCCTCCTCTTCAGGCTCGACTTCCTCTTCCTCTTCCTCCTCTTCGTCGTCATCCTCATCGACACCAGCCATATCTGTGGTGTTGACATAAGGCTTGAGGAATTTGAGACAGTAGTACTTTTCATCCTTGCTAGGGTCGGGGTACACATAGACTCGCTTGAGGTAGCCATTAGCCTCCAGCTGACGCACAGCACGAGCAAAGTACGACTTGAGACGTCGGGTCTTGCCACAGCCCATTTCGTCTCTTAGGTCCAGGTACTGTCTGATTCTGTTATGAGCGTTGAAAGTAGCTTCAACCAGCCGTTTTCGGAAATCAGCAATATCCACTCCTGCAGCTCCAGACGAAGCAGCATTGCCGGTAGTGATACCCAGCTTTCTTCTGTTGGCAGCCACAAACGATCGGTACACAATCAGGTTCGTGTTGTGACCGGCATAGTAGGGGAAACGAGACACCAGACCCTGCTCCATGAGTGCGTTGACCCGCCCAAAGATGGATCGCGCATCCTGGCCAGTTTGTTTGGTGATCTGCACAGCGGTAGCTCCATCTTCTCGAGCAGCGGCAACAACACACAGTGCTTCAAAGGGGAATGCTCCAATGGGGTTGTTCTTCTTGGGTCTGCCCGTCAAAGTACGCCACTGGGTGTCTTCGTCAGCGTACACCTGAACCGAGTCCTGGGGGTATGTCTCGAGCAGAGTTTTGTAATCAAGTTTGTTGACGGTCTCGGTCTCGTCTTCTCCGTTGACTCCAACGACCATACTGGGATGGTTCATGAGCCATTTCCAAATCACTTGCTGGAGTTTGGGCGTGAGATTTGGAACCTTGTCGTAGGAGAGTGTCCACAATTGGGGGAGGGTTACACCTAGGTTAGCAGAACACGAGTCGAGTGTACGAGCTGTGAGAGAAGGGTAGAAGAGTCATGGAACATTGGAGAGCAGGGATGGCGCAGGTGCGAACGGCATAGCAACGAACGAGAAGACTTGGGCAGTCCTATCAGTGCTGTTGAGTACAGTCACAATTCGACCAAAAGTGACCGCTGTAGAGAAAAAACACCCTCAATCAAACTCCATCGCCATCTAGAACGTTCGGGAAGGGTTTCTTCACAGCTTGGGCGTTTTTCACCCCTCCCTAGAGCTATCAGCTAGTCTCAAGTGGACCAAAAACACCCTGATCCTGTCTCCGAAGAGACTGAACAGCTCACACCGACCAGACACACGCACGAACACGTCCATTCTTGCCTCTTCACGTAAATTGCGGCGTTCGCAAAAAAATATTTTTCCCTCTGCGATGCTGCATATCGACCATTTGGCTGGTGGACTGTCGAGACGGGGTTTTTTTGTCCATTTTGCCGTTTGCGTCACTCAGCCGGGACACTCACCTCCGGGACCAAACAGGGCCACGTTTTCCACGAGATAGTCGACAATCTCGTCGGGGGAACTCATGGGTCGGGTTATTGCTCGGGTAAAAAAATGACAAGAGAGATTCGAACTCACGAGGTTATCCGGTAGGGTAATTTGGGACGTAACCCTAGACGACGGGGTTGGGGGAAGCAATTGAAGGCGATATAACGACGTTGCGGGGATTCGAAGAGTGGATATGAGCGAGGTGCAACATTGCCGCCGGAGTGATTGTAGTTCTTGTGGACTTGGTATTGCTTCATATAGTGGGAGGGCAAGGGGAGGGGAGGAAAGTAAGAAGTGTTCAATATACGGGTATGACGAGAATTACACTTGTGGGGGTATTTCAGAGTCTGACTGGGGATGGACAACTGTATGGAGGTGGAGGAAGAGCTGTGGGGATCATTTTGTATGGCGAATGTTGGATTTGTACAAAGTCCGATTATATGAGGTCACGAGGATGGTTTTGTGTGACTACGGCACTGATGGAGTATTCCGGGGTGTGATGATGTCTAGTTTAGAATGGTATGTTTGAATGGCTACTGAGCGTCAAGGAGGAGCAGCCGGACTGTCGCGGAGGAGTAGCCGGACTGTCGCGGAGGAGTTGATGTTTGCGGAGGAGTTGATGATTGCGGAGGAGTACTTCACATTACCATACTCGTGGAGCCGGTTGTCGACTTCCTTTCATCTCAGATCACCCGCTCAACCTCATGCCAATAGCGTTTTCAGACATGAGCTCGCTTGTACCAGCGGTTGAACTGTAGGCCGTCAACACGACGCCTCGTGGAGACGTATCGGACATCAGAATGGGAAACCAAAGACACAAATCTAGACAGGAAGCTTCGACGATCAGATTTATGTGTTTATATCCCACAAAAAGCCCCTCCAACCCCTCTTTAGTGCTGCTCAAAATGCTCTCTCAGCCCCCCCAATAAAGCCAAATCCCTAACCTCCAACCTCCCAACATGCATGGTGCCAAAAAAATCCACATGATACACTAACTAACTACTTGTACGCCTGTGACGACACCAACGTCGACAAACACACCGTTGGCGCAGCATCATGGAAAACTCCCGCGTCGTCCGCACCAAAAGCTCGCTCCGCAGCCTCCGAGGGTCTCCCTACGACCGCCCCCAGCCCCGGCCGTCGGCGCCAGCCCCCCCCGCTGAGGGACACAGAAGCGGTCTCTTTTCCCGGGTGGTTGGGTTTTTCCGCCCGCACAAACCCGACGACCCCAATCAACCAACACAGAGCCACTCGCCTGCAAATTTGGCCCGGGACCCGCCCGTCTCAGCGCTGTACCCCGTGATTGACCGGTCGCGGACCTTTGAAGAGCCCCAGATGGAGGAGGAGATCACAGAAACGGTGTACACGCCATCGCAGACACCGCCCCGACACAAACGCATTTCGCTGGGCCCCGGAAAATCGCCCAACCAACGCCTGGCAGAGTTCTTCGAGAGAAAAGGAGACGCTCCTTTGAGTGATGTGGAAACCGCAGGTGTACTGGCACTCATCAACGAGGCGGCCAGCGACGATCCCAATCTCGCCGAACGACTGTCGCCTACAGGAACCCAGCACGACCGATCGGTTCGTCATAGCATGAGTTTGGCCAATCTGGCAGGCCGCAACGAGACGTACGGATCGCCCTCCAAGATTCCCAGACGAATGGAGCCCGCTGCGAGTGTTAATGGGACTCTCAAAAAGTCGAGATCAATGGCCTCTATTGGCCAGAGAAACTCCCGTGTCACTAGATCGTCCCTCGGTGGAGTTAGAGGCCGTCCATCTCCCATGATGTCCTCTCCTAAGCGATCTGCACGACAGGCCCTGTCGCCTAACCGAGTCACAACCACAAACTCCACATCGCCCATCACCTCACCGGTCTCTTCTGTCGCAGATAGACCTCTTTCTGGAGTGGCTTCTACTCTTCTGTCTCTGATTGATGATGACGAAGAAGAGGTTGTCACACCAGCCGAATCCTCTCCCGCAAAGGAGTTCATCAACCCCTACGCGTCTTCTCCTCGACGACCCGAGCGAGAACGATCTGCCAGTCAGTTGACCCCCCCGTCGCGTGAGAAACTCATGACTCCTTCCCCCGAAAAGAAGGAGGCGTCGCCGTCAAAAACCCCCTCCCAGATCATCAGTCAGTCCATGCCTCTGGAACAGCAGCGGGAGCGAGATAGCGTCAAGGCCCAGCCGCAGATGAAGAAGTTTGACAAGTATAAGCCTGTGCGATCCAGTAATCTGCGAGACTCCTTTGTGGCCGACCCCAAGTCTCCCGAAAGCACCAAGACCTCGGCGCCGAAGCAAACTGCAGTTTCTTCGTCGGGATCGCCTGAATCCATGCCCCCTTCTTTCACGTTTGGTAACAAGACCAACAACGGTTTCACCTCCAAGCTGAAATCGTCTTCTCCTTCCGGGGACGAAGATACAGATGTGAAGATCGGCAAGGATCTGGCATCTTCTGCTGCCATTCGCTCTCCCTCCAAGCCTCTGTACCCTGAGATTTCCAAAGATAAGCCAGTTCTGCCTTCCACTCCCAAACTGGCCAAGGCAGGTATTCCTTCTACTCCCCTATCCGAGGCTGCCAAAAAGTACGGACGAGACTTTGACTTTAGCACTCCCCTCAAGGGCGAGGTGCCCAAGCCGTTGACTCCAGCAGACAAGTCCAAGGTGGACCAGTTCAAGAAGGATTTCGTTTTCTAGAGAGAGGACCAGGAAACGATAAGGATGTATAGCATGAGAAGGAATAACCAATAAATGATATTGTGTAAACATTTGTGTACAGGGAATACGAGGCTGTGGGTGAGTAACAGTGGTACCGTGAGCTACATAGTGTGTAACAAGAGGCGCAGACATCGTCAAAACTACAGTCAGACTTTGAACTGGTTTGGCCATCTTCAGACTCCGACTTAACTGCCGCCGGAGGAGGTTAAATAGTCATGTTTTTGTATTCCTAGGCTATGTTCGTGAGTGAAAATGTATATAGATATTTTATCACCTCTTAAAAAAAATATTATTTTTTATTTTTTATTTTTTATATTTATTTCTATTTCTATAATCTATATATTTCTATTTATTTCTATTTATTTCTATTTATTTCTATTTATTTCTATTTATGTATATTCATATATATTTATTTATATTAATAATACTTTTATCGTATTCCTAGAGCCCAAAAACCGTCGCAGAAAGATTATTTTTGTACCGAAATACTCCCTAAAATCCACAGAAAAATCTCACATCAAAATGCAATCCCATTTCTTTCAAATATGGCCTCTAAAAGCGCCTTTTCTGCCTCCAAAATAACCCCACTTGCAACTCTATTTGGTGGCGTCATACGTAATCACTCGCTTCCTATTTGGGAGCTGCTCACATGCAGTGTGTTTATTCTTATCTCGGCATTCCGCGACTACGATACTAATCACACACATGAGTTCTTTCAGCGACGCCGTAAGCCTGGAGGCGCAGCCGGCGTACTCGGACTCGCCCGAGTTCGACAAGCTTAACGCCGATATCTCCGACACGCTGTTCCTGCTGAACAACAACCTGGTGACGCTGGGGCGGCTGCTCAAGGCTGCGCAGAACACGGGGGGCAAGCGGGACGTGGTGGGGCGGGCGATCGATCTTGCCGACGAGACGCGGGACCGGTTCAAGACGACGGGCGAGGATCTCAAGCGGCTCAAGGAATGGGACGACACAAACGCCGCCCAGCGGTTCACGCAACAGAAGCTGGGCCGGGAGTTTGCCACGGCATTGTCCGAGTTTCAGCAGATCCAGAAACGGCTGGCCGCGCACGAGAAGCAGGAGATCAAGATGGACAAGCAGGCGGTGCTGGAGTCGGAGTCGAGGGGCGAGGGTCAGCAGCAGCAGCAGCAACTGCAGCAGCAGGATGTCATGACCCAGGACTTTATGAATCAGTCGGAAACAGATCAGCACATGACGTTGATTTCGGAACGAGAGGAGGAGATCAGAAACATTGAGCAGGGTATCGAGGAGCTCAACGAGATTTTCTCCGATCTCGGTACCATTGTGACCCAACAGGGAACCATTGTTGGTGAGTATGACGGGGGGAGGGGGGGATGTTGAGCAGAGGTTTTGTTTAAACAGGGCGTAGACCAGGGTGTCTTCTGACCTTGGAGGTGGTTATATTGATGCAATGTTCTGTGAATCGGTGAATCGGTGAATTGGTGTTTCGCGATGCACATGATTTGCTTACTATGCTCCTACCCGTACCTCTAGACTTTCTCATTGCAGACACCGAGCGAGACTGAATACTAACACAGACAACATCGAATCGAACATGTATTCGATTGCTGGCGAGACCCGAAGCGCCGCCAGCGAACTCAACCGAGCCGCACGATATCAGAGCCGGTCGCGGTCCCGACAGTGCTGTCTGTTGCTAATTCTGGTCATTGTGCTGGCGGTCATTTTACTAGCGGTAGGTGCAAAGACATATTTGAGATGGCACCTTCCTTGGTAGCCCCATCTTCTCTCCCCATTCTCCACATGTTCCACTAACACAGACCTTCATTTAGCACCCCGGTGTATATACTTAATGACATGTAATGATGACGAGGGTGTAGGTGATGTTTTTGGGTCTGAAAACGGCCTGAAGGACCCCCAAACCGTCTTGAAAACACATGAAGAATGGACGTCGAGTGTTCCCAAAATCAACTTTTCCCGTTTATCGGACCACTTTCAGCCCACTTTCAATGTCCCTTCATTCCATTGTCTAGCCCAAGGTATGGGCGATCCAGAAACAGGACCTCTGGAGGCAGTGGACTGCTCAAGGACATTCTGCTCGACACCAACAGAAACTACGCCCAGTACTGCAACGAGACGTCGCGCCCCGGAGTATCTTCATGCCAGAGAGTATCTTCATGATCGCGGCGGACCAAAATCTGCTACTCAAAGTAGACAGACATGCTCATCTACAAGAAGGAGCCCGATACTCGAGTGTTACCCCTTGTTCGGCGTCCCCAGAGGTCGATGGCATTTTGGTTCTTTGATGCCAGGAAGGGGGTTGCTCTCGTGGGGGAACAGAGCTACCTGAACAGCACCATATCGAGGATTTGGGCTCTGTGGAACCCTCCAGGTCGCTCAATCAGGCTATTTTCTGTACATTGGATCCTAGCACCGAAGTGAGTGTCAAACACGGCGTATCGAGACCAATTCGCATTCTGCATACAAATCAATTTCAATTTTCTGATGCTTTGTAATCAGCTGAGAATTAAAACATGTTGAAAAAAAATTATGTTGATAATAATTATATTATTTTTCCCCATTTCCCCCATTTCCCCATTATTTCATATTTTATATTTTATATATTTTATATTTTCATTTTCATATTTTTTTTTTTTTTTTTTTTTTTTTTTTTACATTTTCATTTTCATTTTCATTTTCATTTTCATTTTCATTTTCATTTTCATTTTCATTTTCATTTTCATTTTCATTTTCATTTTCATTTTCATTTTCATTTTCATTTTCATTTTCATTTTCATTTTCATATTTTATATATTTTATATTTTATATTTTATATTTTATATTTTATATTTTATATTTTATATTTTATATTTTATATTTTATATTTTATATTTTATATTTTATATTTTATATTTTATATTTTATACTTTATATTTTATACTTTATATTTTTATCTCTTATTCAACTCTGTCCGCTCCTTGCTCCATTTCAAGGTTTGTCTTTAAACTTGGGCGTAAAACCCTTTTTTCCCTTTTTTCCCTCTTTTTCCCTTTTTTTTTGACTTTAATAATCCCCCAATCGTGCACCAAAAGTGCACTCTGGGTGTATAGTAAAGGATACTCCTGGCACTATCATGGCCTGACCACCAAAGACCGGACTTGCACCAAATATAAAACCGGCGGACAACTACAGAAAAGTCGCGAGACCCGACACCCCGCCACAACGCCACCGACGGCACAGTCGCCCCCCCTCGCTTGGGTCCGCAGCTCACATTCACGAAAAATTGTTTATTTTGTCCCGACACATGTAGTTCCATGCACAGCTGAGGTTTCTTTGGAGGGCTGTTTGAGGGTGCGATGCGGCGTCAGAGGTGGTCAGGAAGGGTCAGAGAGGTGACATTCGGTCTTTTGAACGGCGCCAAACCGGCGGTTTTGCCGATACTTTTGTGTCTGTGGTGCTCTTGGTTCCTGTTTGACCACGGGTGTCTCTGTCTCTGTCTGCTTGTCCTCTCCCATTCGGGATAAACTCTCACTAAAAAATTGCACGGTGGTATCTGTCATGTAGTCTAGCGTGCGTCTCTACGTTTCTACTCTTCTTTCTCATTGCTCTTGCCGACTCTCGCTCGACTCTTGACTCCAGCATCCAAAATGGCCCCCGACGTTGCCTCCTTCATTGAAAACGACCTCCACACCGAGATCGATGCCAGCCTCGGCTTTGAGGATGAGCCTCTTCAGTGAGTATGGAATTTGACAGTGGCGGCGAGCCAACTGCCGTTGAAACTGTGCATGATGAGATGAGATGAGATGGCTTTGGAGGTTTAACCCAGTGACCAGAGAAAGTGACTAAGCGTGTGGCTGTTGCAGCTCCTGCGTTGCTGGTTAATGGTGATTGGTGGTTACTGTTGACTGTTGGTGGTTACTGTTGACTGTTGCTGGTTACTGTTGACTGTTGACAAGAGTTGATGTTGGCTTGCCTAGAGCCCAGAATGCGTTCTCAGTTCAGAAAAATACTCCTTCCAAGCCCAAATGCTCTTCAGTCAATTTGTCCCACCACTGCCACCGCTACCTCTTTCGGTATAATGCTCCAGTCGGGCCTCGTAACATCCTATCACGCTAACACAGACTGTCCGCATCCACCCTTGCCGCGCTCATGGACTTCCAGAACGAGCAGGAGGAGCGGGAACAGAAGTTCGCCGAGCTCCACAAACAGGCAGAGGAGGACTTTGATAAGCTCTGCGACGGGTCCAAGGACATCCAGGACTTTGAGGAGGACTGGCAACTGTCGCAGTTCTGGTACAACAAGGCCACCGCCACCAAGCTGGCTCGAGAGCTCCTCGCCGGGGCCGATAAAGATACTGTTATTGCCATTGTCTCTGCGCCCTCCGTCTATGCTGCCATGAAGGCTCTTCCCGAGGAGGAGATCGTTACCCAGAACGTGTTTCTGCTAGAGTACGACGAGCGGTTCGGAGTGCTTGCTGGAAAGAAGCGATTCGTCCTCTACGACTTCAACAAGCCCCTGGTGCTGCCCAGCGAAATCAAAAACGTGTGCGATCGGGTTCTGGTCGACCCCCCGTTTCTGTCGGAGGAGTGCCAAACCAAGGCTGCCATGACCGCCCGTCTGCTGCTCAAGAAGCCTACTGCTCGCAACGACAAGTACAAGGCCATTGTCTGCACCGGCGAGCGAATGGCCAACGTCATCGCCAAGGTCTACCCCGACACCAAGGTCACCGACTTCCACCCCGAGCACGAGAAGGGTCTGTCCAACGAGTTCCGATGCTACGCCACCTACGAGGGCGCCGGCTGGAAATTTGTCTAGTTTATTTATTATCCATTTTTATGACGTAGTATTCTCTTGCCAATCACTAACGATTACGATTCTGATGACGAGTTCAACCACTCTGTTACAAGTCCGGGGTATCAAAACCGATTCGTGCCAGGTCGATTGGGATGCTTGGAACGACTTGAACGGCTGATATCGGAAGCCTGGAGACTAATGAAGAGGTTAGAAGAGATAAATATCATGAGTTGATTGACGACATCGAGATGCGAATGTTGGCTGGGTGTCTATTCTGCTTGGCCTTGGTCAGAGATGCTCTGCAGCAATTGTTTGGCTATGGAGAAGGGACAGAAGTTGAAAATCGAATTGAATTGACAATGGTCTGCTTGCTAATCAAGTTATCATTCCATTGCCATGTCCCTGTGACCAAGGGCTTATGGATCTTGTCTGCAGTTCTGGTTTCGTAGTAATCCAGCTGGTAATATTAGAAGAAAAAAAATTGGGCAGAAATTGATGGGGGAGAAGCCTGACAAGTTCATCATCATTCAAGGAGCCTCTTCTAGGCGTCATTGCAACTCGGGAATTGTTTGCGCTCCTGTTTGCGCTCCTGTTTGCGCTCCTGTTGATTAGTACTTGTATCACATCACATTGACACTATGATTAGTCAGCACGAGTGTCAGGATAGTTGCTGGAAATCGGACTATAAAAATAATTATTTTTTTTTATCAAAATAACTATAAAACCTTTTAAAAATGGAATATAAATATAAATACAAATCAATGTGAAATACTCCAAATATCAACATAAAAAAATAATATTTCTACGTTCATTATTGTTGTTATTATTATTAAAATATTGTTGTTAAATTCAACTCAATTTAACCGCCAACTTAACCGCCCAAATTAACCTTTGGAGATGCCGCACCTGGGCAGACTAACAGCAAGCGTATATATTTGGGGAAACAAAAGGTCCATATGAATGGCCGATAAAGACAGAAATTGGACAAAGCAAAGCCGAGAATAGGGTCACGTGGCCTCCAGAATGCCGTAGATGTTTTTCAATTTCCCCTCTAGGTCACGTGAACCCCGTTTCGAGGCCCATCCCATTTCTCCTCTCTGGTCCGTATCCGAACTTTATCCATCTATCAGGCGGCAAGTCCAACATTTACGCATCATCATCTCCGCTCTGCACTCTTCTTTTACACAAACACCATGGGACAAGGCACTTCAGCTCCGCAACATCTGTCGGAGGACCAAGTGAGTCAGCTGTTTGCACAGCAATGCTACAAGACGCTGGAACCAATTGAGCTGTATGGGCTGAAGGACAACTTCAAGGCGACGGTATTACACCAAGACCACGGCGACCACGTGCGCATGACCGACGAGGAGTTTGCGGCTCTGCTGGGGATTCCGTCCGAGTTCAAGTCGGTCGAAAAGCTGCTCACCAACTCGGCCAAGTTCCTCGCCAACTTTCCGTTCATGGACACGAAGCCTCGAGAGGCGGGGTACTCGTTCAACGACCTGCTCAAGATCATCGTCTTCTACTCGGGCCGATACACGCAGGTGTTCAAGGAGTTTGATCCGCTCAAGCTGCTGTTTGTGTCGCTGCTGAAGCAGTGCGACGTGGCCAAGGAGGTGACTCTGTCGGAGGAGCCCAATCTGGAGTTTGACGGCGACTGGAAGTCGTTTGGGCCGGTCAAGCAGTTCTACGCCACCGACGTCAGCGAGCTAAAGTTCCCCCGCGACGAGTTCGTCGACTTTCTCACCTTCATGCTCGTCCTCTACGGCTTCGATCCGTCCAAGGGAACCGTCGCAAAACACATCAAGACGGTCGTGAGCCAGGACAAGACAGACACAAAGACGCTGTATGCCGATTGTCGAAAGTCCGCCCAGTGCATCTCCCGAGCATGTAATGGCGACATTGATCTTGTTCAATTCAGACATGCCTTTGACAAGGTGTGTCCCCATCTACTGGCTCCGGTAGGTCATCTTTTCGACCTGCTTCTCTACACATCGGCTCACTCGGAGAAGGAAGATAACGAACCAGTTGCTCCGCTCAATCCTCTGGGTTCCAACAGCACCTATCCAACCAAGCTGCTGAACCATGCCACGGTGGCCCAAATGGCGTCTTTCTGCCCCTTCCTCGGCAACGTGGAAAACCTGAAGACGTTGTACATGGGCCAGAAGGATGGTTTTGCACAGCGGTCTTTTGAATCCGGAACTTTTGGCTGGAGAGCCCCTTCGGTGCTGCTAGTGTCTGGATTGCGGCTCAACACAAACAACCAGTCTCTTAAACGAGCAAATACCTTTGATGAAAAGTACCCTCGGCTCAAGGGAGCTGTTGTTCCCGATGATGGTGAGAGCGAGGTGAAATTCGGATTCTATCTCGACGTTCCCTGGAGATCGTCTTCAAAGGAGACGTTTGGATCTTCCAAATGTTTTATTTTCCAGCTAGCCCCCACGCAGGATATTTTTGTGGGTGAAACCAACCCGTCCAACCACGCTTACTTTCTCAAGCACGACCCTGGAGGACTGGCCTTTGGTTCTCCTATCCCCAAGTCCATTGGTCGGTTCACCGGAGTGCAGGCACCTCAAGTGGTAGGAACCGTGTCTCTCACGCTAGACGATTCCCTGGAGTTTGGCAAGTTCCACCATGCTGGCAAGGGCGGCTCGTACGCGCCTTCCATCAATCGACCTGGAGAGCTGATGGACGAACGGTTCAAGGTGCGAAATGTGGAGGTGTGGGGTGTTGGAAACGACACGGACCTCGAGCACCAACGAAAGCGAATCGAGTGGGAGGAGCGAGAAGCAAGTTACAGACGGACCATCAACAAAAACAACATTGCAGAAGATCGAGCGTTTCTGGAGATGGCTGGTGTTATTGGCGGAGCAAACCGGTCTGGTGGGTCCATGTAGGGTGTGAGGTGGGCAGGTTAAGGCGTCTACTGGAGCTGGATGTTTCAACGCTTCATATAGCCATGGTATATGTGAGTTGATTTGCAGATTGAAAGTTGAGGTTCCCTCTACAGTTGTGGGTAGGGTCGACGTGAAGAGAAGGGCACTTTTAGGGGCCATTGCGACTTTTGATTGTCTGAAATATACGGCAACTGTTGTTCTATACTTTTGATTCAAAGACACTCCTTTCGGATACAACTGGTGTTTGTTGAGATGTTTGGGCTCGGGTTATGTCAGAAGTTCAACGTTTTTGTATATTGGCTTAGTCATAAGACGAGGAAGGAGAGGAGTTGTGGCGGGGTTGTATTGCTGAGTACGATGACGATGATGTCGACATGGTGTGTGAGGTGGATATTCGTGGATATTCGTCGTGTTTGGTAGTTAAACCGTCTTCAGGGGTTTACTTACTCTTTAGTTAGTATTTAGTTGGGACTAGTTGGGGACCAGCACGCCAGCAGGTTGACCAAAACAGCTGAGTGAAGTTGTCCCTCAGTATGAAGACAACTTTCGATACCTATTCCAAAGGCTTTTTGATACGTGCTATGTTTGTTCAGTTGACGATGTCTTGATACCAGCTCTGACAAGACACTTATGCTAACAGTACAGTAAATACTTGTACAAGTAGTTGACACTGACGACTACAGCGAACAGATTTCACCAGTCCTGAAGACTTGTCAAGTTTCCTTGAGTCTTCAGGAGGAGTGGAGTCGTCGGTAGAGTCTTCAGAGGCGGTGGGGTCGTCGGTGGAGTCTTCAGAGGTGGTGGGGTAGTCAGTCGAGTGTACATCGACGTTCGAATCAGTCTACCTAGACAATCCACCGTTAGTCAAGCAATTGACCTTGATGTACCGTCACTCCCTAATAACTATAGAAAATACTAGGATGAAGTTCTCCGGCCAACTGCTGTTTCTCCTTGGGCCACGATCGGAACTTTTGACGGTACTTTTCCGTTCGCTTGTACCTGTTGTCAGCCCAGATGGCGGCAAAATAGACCGCGAGGAGCACGGTGGAAAAGGCGGTAAAGGCCAGACACACGTCGAGCGCGGTTGGATAGGTGGGCGCCTCGTTTGCCTCGAAGATAAACGTCGAAATGAACCCCGCCGTGTTTCCGAAACCAATCTGCCAGCCCGACGCAATGGCCTTTCGGTGGTGTCCCGAGAAGTTCATTTGAGTCCAGCACACCAGAATTGGCATGGCCGTGTATGTTCCTGCGCATATCATGAACAGCGAGCCGTATCGGATGCCGATATGTTTTGTTTGTCCCATGAGAAGTCCAAATCCCGCCACCGCGACGATTCCCGCAAAGAAGGCAAACGCAAACCGGTGTCGAAAGTGGTCGGAAAACGCCGCCGACACCATGGAGAAGCCAAATCCCGCCACCCAGGGCGGCACCGAGTACAGTTGGGTCATGACCGGCGAGTATCCCAAACCCTTGACGATGGCGGTGCCAAAGTAGGCGTATCCATAGGCCGGAACAATGTATCCAAAGTACAGGAGTCCGGAGATCCAGACCTTCCAGTCGGAGAAGACAAACGCCAGGTCTTTGCGAGTCATGGAACGTTCGTATTCCGACACTCCGGCGTTTCCAATCTCCAGTTTCTCCTTGATGAAGTCCCGTTCGTTCTGTTTGAGAAACCGCGCCTCCTCGGGGAAGTCCGCCAGGCAAAAAATCATGAGAATTCCAATGGTAGCTGTGCACGCTCCTTCGATGATAAAGATCCATTGCCACGATCGAATGCCTCTGTCGTGGTCCAGGTTGTGGATACCAGCGGCAATGAGGCCACCGAACGCTCCGGCCAGGGTGGTGGACGAGAAGAAGAAGGAGTATCGTTTCTGGGCCTCCTCTCGGCGATACCACATGGACAGCAGGTAGAAGCAGCCCGGAAACATGCCTGCTTCGAACAGCCCGAGCAGAAATCGGGTGGCCAGCAGTTGTCCGTAGGTTCGAACAAACCCCTGACCCAGGAGACAGACTCCAAACAGAGTCATACACCCCGTCAACCAGACATGGGGCTTGAACTTCTTCATGAGCCAATTGGAAGGAATCTCGGCAATGACGTAGGGCACAAAGAAGATGGCCAGAGCGGTGTTGAACTTGTTGCCGGTCATATTCAGATCCTCGGACATGCCATAAACATTGGCATTGGAAACGTTGACTCGGTCCAGAAACGCCAGGACATAGAGTAGACAAGTCAGGGGAACGACGCAGATGTCGATTTTCAACATGAGTTTGCGATGGTTGACGTTATGTTTGATGGCCAGTTGTTTGATTCTGTCGTTGATTTCCTCTTGCGACGGCGGAGGGGGGAATTCGTCCATCTGGGGAATTATCTGGGGATCCACCTGGAGATCCATCTGGTTGATCTCTTCAACCTGAGGGCTGAACTGAGGAGAGTCACTGGACCCTGTCTCATGGCCGAGCTCCGCCTTTTCTTCGCGGTTGGTCTCGATTTGCGTCATCTCTGGCAAAGGAGGCGTTTGCTGGTCCACTTGCCATGCGAACATCTGCTGGCCAACTCTTTATAGCTGGATCGACCGTCTTCAGGTTGAGGGGTAGGTCTAGACCCGAGGGGTAGTGGGGTGGGTGGGGATGGAGGGGGACATAAAGTCGGATGTAGAGACACATGGGGAACATGGAGGAAGTCGGAGAGTTGATAGAGGCCAAGTAAACCCGGTTTAAAGGGTGATTTGCAACTGTTGGCAGCTTTTGAAGTTCCGTTTTCCCTGTCCAAGGCTCCCAACATGTCTCCACCTCTCACCCCACATCATCCGTGCTAAATGCTAGTCTGGTTTGAACAAGTGCTATCATAACAAATCTGCGGCTATCGAGGTATTCTAGCATGCACCAATGAGTGGTATTGTCGGCGTGCCATTGGTAGGTCGATGGATAAGGAGAGAGACGGAGACAGATGGGCTGCGGAGAGTGGATGGAGACAGATGGACGACGGGGAGTATAGGAGAGGGCTTGTGGGAAAAACCAAAGGACTAGCCCAATTGTCGATTTCTGAGCGGCCAAAATTACTCTACATTCGAGCATACTAAGGAGTCTTGGAATTGGCGTCGGAATTGGCGTCGGAATTGGCGTCGGAATTGGCGTCGGAATTGACGTCAGGATAACGGGTTTCTGTTTTGCTCTGAAGTCAGACGTACAAGATAGTTGAACTGTTACTGCTGAAATCCAGTTGTCGACAAGTTCTTTATCACCATGGTCGATTCATTAACCATCCTCCAACTGATCGCTAACAGCGATAAGGGATGTTTGAAGGGGCTTCGTCATCCAGGGCCCATTCTCATATTCCCACCCGCCCGCAGATTTACTTAGCTTTACTTAGCTTTAGTTGACACCTACCAAGACCGCCAGTTCAAACCTCGCCAAACCCCTGGGGGGCACACGCTTCAAAAGTGTGTATCTTTGACATCTGGAACAGCCGAAACAGCCCCCTTGTCTAAAGAGCTCACCCAGCACGGATTGCGGCCCACGAATCCACCTTGTCAACCCTACATCTATACATTTGCCGAAGTTGCTATAATCTGTGACAACTCTGATAAGATCCCCAGATCGGTGTTTGAAACTGGTCTGACCGGTGCAAATATGGCGGGAAAACGGAAAAAATGCGTCCAGGAGACTCGCCACAGACACGAGATGTCTTCAAACCACCCCCTAACTTTCCATCTCGAGGAAAACCCATTTTATCGTCCCGTTTCTTCTCTTCCTTGGAACTCTACCTCCGATTAGCCTTGCAGAAGGGGCTATTATTTCGTCTTGAATTTCTCGCCAAAGTGGAGTCTATTATTATGCCCAGCAGCAGTGCTTGGAAGCTCCACTGTCTGGGCCCGGTCATGGAGCCCTCGGCTCCGTCTTCCGCTGCCCTCTCGGACTGTGACGACCGCAAACCACTCTACCGCTGCCTGCAATCGTCATTTCAGGCCGCTCGAAGCGTTCTGGATAGTCGTGGTCCAGAGGGCGACTCTACTTTCAAGTACTCCGAAAGGAGCTCATGCGATTCAAAGAAGCTCTGGGCATTGACGAACCACATCTCTGGTAAACGTGTGTCATTACCAATGTCTCTGATATGCTCCTCCAATAGGGCGGCTTGTGTGAGATCCTGCACATCAAACACGTTTACCCACTTCAAACGTCTCTAGCACAGCGTGGGTGGCGTTATCTGTGGTGTCTCGTGACGACTATTCGCGACTAGATGCGCGTGACATCCTCCAGAGTCCGATCAAGACAATGAGAACCCGAGGTCAATATCTCCTGATATGACCCTAAAATTGAATGTTCCTATGTTTGCGCGTGGCACTCGTGCTCCTGGCGTTTTGGGCACTTTTTTAAGTAATACCCGCCAATTCCCCACATGATCATGAGAGGAACCAGCTGGTTGTAAAGAAGTTGTTCCTGTAGATGGTGTATCTGATGATTTATCTGATGGTGTATCCGGTGGCGTGTCTGGTGGTATATCTGCTCATCTAGAATCTCTCTCTGGTGAATGAGTAAGCACTCTTCTAGCGCGTGCTACGTGGGGAAGTGAGTTGTAAGTGGTTATGTTGACTATATCGAAACAATCGTACTTTTCTCATTTTTTGTAACATACTATATAAACAAATACGATAAAATAAAGAATAGTATAAAATAAATGAATACTGTAAAATAAAAAAAATACTATAAAATAAAAAATACTATAAAATAAAAAAAATACAAAAAAAATAGAAAAAAAAATATGTTTTTGCATACTAGAGACTTTTTGCTTCTCCTCGAACCAGTCGCCTTTGGTGGTATATTCCAGTAGATGGTTTGCCCGCTTATATAACCAAAGTGCAAAAATCGGATAGATATATTCATATAATTTTTATGTTTTTGGTAGTACTATTTTTTTTTTGCATCAAACAACATTTTTCTCAGATAGTCCAAGTAATTTTGTTGATTGGTTAAGTATTTGTACAGTAATTGTACAGTATTGAAATGAGTTCCCATCATTTGGACCAAGTGAGAACGGATTGAAAATAACACTGTATCATCACGTGAAGAGGTCGTGAAAACTTCTTAAGAAGGCTGAAACTAACGTCTACCGGGCAGAGTTTCTCTTTTCGTCTATCATTTCTGGATTTTAACAATACATAATCTATAGGTTGGGTACTGGGTGTAGGAGTAAAGTACAGTCAACAGATCCAGCATGTTCAGACTCAAGAAGGCGCCGGTATCGAATTGCCGTCGACAAGGTCGTTGCACATCTCCAGCGACAACTCGTCACCACTACAACGCCAATTAATGTTTACCCTTGGACTTGGAAATCAGCTTCTTCTTGGTGGCCTTCTTCATCTTCTCCTTGCGCTTCTCCTTCTGAGCCTCCTTGACTGCCGCCTTTCGCTCCTTTTTAGCATCCTTGTCTTCAAACTTCTTGCCCAGTTTCGAGGTCAGGGCCTTTTTCTCCTGGAACCGCCGTTCGCGCTCCTCCGAGTCAATCGACGAAATGCTCTCGTTGTCAGACTCGCTTTCCGAGCCCATCTCTTGGTCTTCTTCCTCGTCCTTCTTGCCAATGAGCGACGAGTAGATGAGATCCTTGCCCTGGCCGGCATTGACCATTTCCACGTCTCGCTCGACGTCATAGACCTGGTCGAGGTTCTGGGGAATGTAGACCGACCGGAACACGGCGTCATCGGCCTCTATTTGGTCCGTGGACTCTTCAATGGGCATCGCTTGGATATATGCGGTGAGCGAGTCGACTGTTTCCTCCATTCGTTTTTTCGCCTCTGCAGGGCCAGACATGGTAGCAGAAGTGTCACAGACAGTAGTGGAGTCATCGATTACGGAAACTTTGTCATCCTTGTGTTCATCCTTGTCTTCGCCCTTGTCTTCACTCTTATCATCTTCAGCCTTATCGTCACTCTTGTCTCCAGTCGTTTTGTCGCCCTTTTCACCATCCTTTTCATCCACCTCCACCAACTCCCGGGAACTAACGGAGATCTCGTCGGTGATTTTGATGTCTTCCAGAAACGGGCTGGTAATGAGATGGAAGAGTGTTCTCTCGGAAAACACGCTGACTCCATGTTTCCGGAAATAATCATTGCAATTCTTGATATCCATTCTCAGAAACTCCAGAGAATGAGGATGATCGTGTTCAACCGACTGCGAAACGTCGATAATGTACAACTTGCGCTCATGGTACAGAATGTTGTACTCAGACAAATCGGCGTGGACTAGCCGACACTTCTGATACATGATTCGCATGTACGCACACAACTGATGATACAGAGCAGTGTATTCCTCGGCAGGGTTGGCAAAGAGCTCGGAGATTTTGGCATCTCGCAACCGGGGACTGGGCCATCCCTTTTTGTCGCCCAGAAACCCCATCACCAGAACATGAAGATGTAAATGAAGAGGTTCCGGACACGGGATTCCGGCGGTATGCAATCTCTTGAGGTTTCGGATTTCCTTTTCAGCCCATACCTTGACCATTTTGCGCGGATTGTGGCGCGAATAGCCATGTCTGAACCGGTATTCTCCACTCACATATCGATCTCGGTCCTTGAACACCAGAATTGACGTCTTGTAGATCTTGATGGCACGATGAACGCCCTCCTCGGTGCACGCATGGTACACGTTGGCTTCTTTGCCGGTGGAAACGCACCCGTTGACCTCGAAAATAATTCCTCGGTTGATCATTTTGAACAGAATCATTCGGGTCCGGGGATCCAGAACCTGCTCATTAGTGGCTCGATCAGCCCGGTCTTTGGTGGCGGTCCCCATGAGAGCAGAATTGCCACCTGTCTGAGATCCACCTCCAGACGACTTTTTCTTGCCCTTCACCTGCCCATCACGTGCAGCAAGCCCCTGATGAGTCAGTGAATCAAGATAGTCGTCGTCCATACGTAATCGGCCCGTGTACTTGCTGAGGTCGCTGTCAGCGGTCTGTTGTGCCGGTTTTTCGCCTAAAACGCTTGCAACCACCTTCTTCTGCTTGTTGTACCGCTTAGTCACATTTCCCGAGGTGATTTCCTCTTCGTAGTCGTCCTCCACGATTTCGTCTTCCTCCTCTTCGTCCTCGTCAATAAGGTCCTCATAATCGACAGTGACCCCGTCAAGCTCCTTGTAATCGGGATCTGTCGAGGGCAGCAGTGTCGAAGATGCTCCGCTCGAAATTTCGCGTTCCCAGTCCATGTTGTTGTCCTTCTAGATGCGTTGGTGTGCACAGAAAATAAGTGATGTAGAATTTTTTAAAAAAAAGAGGTTATGCACGATCAAAGGTTATTTGGGGAATTAATAAATGTAATTTGAATTTCAATATAGGAAAAAATCGGAAAATCAGAAAAATTGTCACATGGAACGGTAAACATGTCAAGTGAGGTATATAGATGAGTGGGGGTATCACTTGATCTAAAAATCATTGGGGCTGGAGATATTGTCTAGATATACTTCCATTTTTTTCTAGATGTGGCGATACATTAATCAAAGAATAGTTGGGGAATTCGATTTTAAATAATACTTAAAATTAAAAGAAATACAAATTGTGAGGAATGGATGATGATTCAGAAAATTCAACAACCCAACCCAACCATCAATGTATATGTAAGAGTGTCAGTTGTTTAGCAATTTTCAATATTCTGGAATTTTCAGCTCCAGAGTTCTCAGATGTATCAGTTCTCTTTCAGTAATTAAGAAAAAAAAAAAGAAAAAAAAACAAACCTCTTTTAAAATTATAAGATTTTCCAATCGACATTTATATTTTATTTATTAGGAGATTCACGATACATCTGTGAGCATTTTTCTACGCAAGAATCTGAATAAAATCTGTCGAAAATTCAACACTTGCGAGCCTACCTGCGTTTGCAAGAATCACCCTCGACTCAGTTTTTATGTGTTTTTTTTCCCCTACTTTTTTCTTCTTCATTTTCTAATTGTGCTTTTATTCGGAGAAAACTACTCTACAAATACAGTACTTCTCAACGGAAAATCAATTGAATAAATCAGTGGGCTTAGCACTTGCAAGCTCCCTCGCACTTGCAGGTCTCACACTTGCAATCGGGGTTCTTCTCGCACTCGCAAGCCTTGGTGCACTGGCAAGACTCGCACTTGCAAGGTCCGCAGGAGCACGACTTGGTGTCGCAGGCACAGTTGGTGCAGGGCTTGGTGCAGTGGCAGTTGGTAGAGCAGGCCATTTTGGTAGTTGGTGAGATTGTTCGGGTGGATTAAAAAAAAACGTCCGGCGGAGTTTTTCTTGAGCGACTGGTTAGATGGGTCTGGTGGTGATTGAGTCTCGGGTAATTGAGTCTCTGTCGATGATTGTCTGTGAAGATGTCAAAAGGACCATACCACCGCCCTATATATACTTGTAGGGATTATCGCTGCTCGGGTTGCCGTCATATGATTTCTTGTATTGCACTTTTGCATTCTGTCATTTTGGGTTTCTTTATCGTTTTCTTGATTGAATTAAACTTTTCAGACCAATTGAAAAATAGTCTCAAAAATAATAAAAAAATCGCCCAAAAAGAACCGACCCCAAAATGTCCGGATTCCGCCCAAAAAAAACCATTCGAACGCCCAGCAAAGAGGCAAAAATCACGTGACTCCAACGGTACCGCGAACGCCCTGTTTCCCTTCGGTTTCGCAGCCTAAAAACCGACAAAACCGCTTTCCCCTTTGCGCGCCGCCGCCCCACAATCAGAGTTCAGCAACAAAATCAAACGTGGCTAATACGACGATACAAAAAGATGATAAAATCTAATCGAAATCTCGAATCGGCCACAAAAACACAGCCAGAAATCAGATTAAGACCAAACAAACACCAAAAAATACTGCCGATTTTTGCCTCCAAAATGACCCCAAAAACAAGACAATTCAAACAACCACAAACACATCATAATCCCACTTCCTTCAACTTTGCCAGCAAACAAAACCTACTCCATTCTCCACATTCCTAGTCAAAAAAAGGACACCCAAAAGTTTGGTGGCAACGCCAAGAATTCTGGGCAGAGTCCTTTTCGCCATTGGATCACTCCAACCAATGGCGAAAAGGGCTCTGAGTTAGTCAACCGTAGATGAGTAAGCCGTGGAGTAGTAAGCCATACATTACTAAACCATACTTTACTAAGCCATAACCCATACTTTACAAGCCATAAATCAATAAGCCCTGGTGTTGCCACCGCAATTCCCGAACCACGATAACGCTTTCACATGCACCGCCTCCTGCAGTTGCCTCTAAACAGCACAATTCAGCTCTTGCCTGATATCAACAGGTTAGGGTATAGGGTAAGGGTATCGCAATCAACGTATCGCATTCTGGAATCCGAATCGACAGCAGGTATCGCATCTGCATCTGGGATATCAAAGAAATCACTGCGAAGGTCAGGTGGATGGGGCATGAGCGGTAACGGGCAAATGAAGTTTCCTTTTTTTACGCCACAGGTTATGACCAACAAAGGTTATGACCAAGGAAAACGCCTCCTGTATGCACGTTGATGCATGGGCGGCTGTCAGGTTATGAGTTGGGCAGTCGACAGGTTATGACCAACTTCCAAAGGTAGACAGGTTATGACCGACAGCCCTGCCCTGGCGGGCCACAGGTTATGACCAACTTCCAAAGGTAGACAGGTTATGACCGACAGCCCTGCCCTGGCGGGCCACAGGTTATGACCAACTTCCAAAGGTAGACAGGTTATGACCGACAGCCCTGCCCTGGCGGGCCACAGGTTATGACTTGCAACCCCTCAGGCCCACAGGTTATGAACTCCCCCCCCCCCCCCCCCCCATCGACATGGAAAATGGCGAACGGCGAACGGCGAATATGTTGCAAGCATAACGGTGTATCAAAAGAATCGAGCGAATGGTACCAAATTGCTGAATAATGAGTATTTCCAATAATCAGTACAAGGAACCAACCTCTTATATGGCATAAGTGGTTCATTAAGAGTGGTTGGTTTAAGGTTTCGAATTGGGGACCTTGGAGGTTGCTGCACCTTTGATAGGGAGCAAGTTGAGGATATTCGTGGAGGCTTGGGGGTCACGTGCAGTCACGTGACCACATGAGATATGTTAGTTAAATGGTAATGGGTGCTCATTTTTGTGGTGTAATTTGTCTGTTTGATTTTGCGCTCTTTTTGATTTATTTATTTATTTTGATTTATTTTAGTTGTTAAAAGAAAATTAGGTTGTTTTTGTGGCTTGGATTTGAGGTTTTTACGAGATTTTGGGTTTGGAGATGAAAAAAGTGGAAGGTGAGATAAATCCAGATTATTTATTACGGGGATGTGGTTGGGGCAGGTTATGACCAGACTTTAGTGCGTTGAATTGAGTCTATCAAGGGATGAAAATTGAACAATACTAATACTACAATTGTGTGCCTCTGCGAATACACTGATATTTTAATTTTGCAATATAGAGAAAATTAACAGAAATATGTCTTTAGGTGTAATATGGGTTTGACGATACACTCCATTTGCTGTCGTGGTAAATTATGTTACCGAATACAACTTAGTCTGAAACTGTCCGGCAATGAAGAGGTTTAGTAAGACCAAACTTGATGGAGTTTATTAAGCAGTCCATGCATTGATTTGTAAACATTGGGGAACGTTCATTCACTTTTTGGAAACAGATGATTGTTCATAAGTCATAAGCAGCATATGAAGGGTAGATTGAGAGATTCAATAAAAAAGCTTTGGAAAAGTCCGATAGGAGCTCAAATTGTACATGTTACAGCTGTGGAGCATTCTCCTCGAGTCCCAAAAAGATTTTGGAAATTTTTCTGTCATTTGTTTATTTTTATTCATATTTTCGGTCAATAAAATCGTGTTGTAAGCATTTACAGTATTTAGTTGAGATGTCAAGTATGTAGTACTCAGAGCAAGTATCTCCAAAAACAAAACTCGAAATTCCTGTTCAAATTGGCTTACTAATGAACTGGTAAAAATGGAGACGAAAATTCATCAAAAAACCCCGTCTTAAGACCCCCCAAAACTGCACCCCCAGCGATGCGGCCTGGAAATGAATTAGAGTTGGTCACGTGAAGAAGTTTCCAATCCAGGCGCGGACCATGGAGGCCTGGTCAATTCGATGAGGAGTGGAGATATAGAGGAATTGATATTATCATTAGATTCTGGACGTCGGTTTATTTATTTCGGGATGTTTTTTCGATTGTTTTTGGTGTTTCTAAAAGGCAGATAGACTGGCTCTATCAAGTGTGTTTTATGATGACAGTGTGACTATTTTGCTGCTTTAGTCACTACAAGTTTCCGCAGTTTGGAGCAGATAGGCGGTATCTCTAGTATCTCCAGTGCATGATCCATACTATTCAGTTTATTACTATCGTGCTATAGCCATATGTTGTATTTTAATAGCTCTGGGGACTGGGTAGGGCTGTCAATTCACTGTTTAATAGTTACTCGCAATTATTCTTTCGATTTTCATTTTTTTCTATTTATTCTACGCAATTGAAGTCTTTGTTTGATTTAATCTGAAGTGTTTGAACTAATTAATCTGTAATAATCTAAATTCAACAGTTAATTCGTCTAAATATCAAAAATAATCTAAATAACAAAATAAACAAGTCAGTGTGGTCGAAAGGCGGTATATTCCGACATTTCTGTCGACTCCAAATCCTTGTCAACTTCACCATCTCACTAACTAGTTTCCAGTGGTCACCGTTAACTATTACCTCAATTCATTCACTAACTAAAGCCAACTAATCATTCACCCTTGAACTAAAGTCAACTAAAGAGATATAAAGCACTCTACAAAAGACCCCAAATGAAGAGACGAGAAAGAAAAAAAGAAAATCCTGTAGATTTCAACGTAGTTAATACGACTGAACAACTATTCAACCATTATTCGAACCCAAATGTTCATATTCAGTTCTATATATACCGTCTTATACCCTCACTTTATCCTGACTCAACCTCTTCCTCTCACTCAACCTCTCATTCTCACTCTCACTCAACCATCCCTAACCTCTCACTCTTCCTCTCACTCTTCCTCTCACTCTTCCTCGACCAACACCCGCAGCCCCCTGAGAAGGTCCCATCTGCCCGCGCTCAAGCTCAAAATCGCCTTCAACCGCCAGTATACTACGCCTTCATCTTGAAACAGATCTCGTACTGGAGAAGATGGCTGTCAGGTATTGAGGTCGAAACGACCGAGCTGGCCACTCGACAGCCACCCGACAGCCGACCGACTGCCACTCTCTGGTCAGTGCGATAGCTATCCCACTGCTCCTCAAGACTAACAACACCAGATGACGTCTCTGCTCTTGAGTCACTCGTCTGGTCAGAAACCCTGAGACAGCTATTCGCTTGAAGTGGCCATCGATAAGGTAGTCAAAAACAATGTGCAGTTGAAGCAGCGCCATCCAAGCTGATTTGGACTCCGATGCCGGAAAGGCTGCTCACAAAAGTTCCTACTAAAGAGGATTTGGAGCCTGGATGGAGGATCGTCGTAGTGGACGACAAGGACGGTTATGGGATCGAAGAAGAGCAGAAACTCGAAGGGGAGAAGGATGGTGACAGCAAGAGTGATGCCGAGGTTGAGTCCACGATAGACTACCGTACTCCAAGTTTGAGGCAGACTACCCCATTCCTCGAATGACCAACACGGTGGGGAAAGCAGCACCAAGAACCACGAAATCAAGATCCACACGTCGAGACCGGCGATACCAGGGCGCCGTTAGACGTCCTCAAGATCGGCCTAGAAAGTACCCTCTGGCTACAAAGGCCTAATTCATGTATTCATAGCATTTTCTTGGAGTTAAAGAGAGGAAGAACTCCATGACCAATTCGGCCACCCCAATGGTACCAATTCGATAATCCTAACGGTACCAAGGACCTTGCACTTCTCTCTCGTATGGCAACGTCTCCGTCTCCAGCCATCAGCTCCTCGTACTACAGGAATCAGGGGATCAGGGTAGTAGTGTGCCACAGCGAGTGGGCGTCGATGAGAAACTTCCATGGTGGGACATCACACAGCTGCAGGCCCATAGTGACCCAGAAGGTGACACGAGGTCAAATTGCACCGACCACTACGTTAACCCTCATGTTGTGTCCTGGGTCGAATTCGATGAAGGAAAGACACGAAACGCGAGCCAGGAAGAGCTTGACACAGACTGAGGCAAGAATGAGACGGGGGATTCTCTGAGGCAAGAATGAAGCCGGTATTTTCTCTGAAGTCTCGTCTGTCGGCCGAGAAGTAGTCAAGTTTCCCGGTCACGGGCCGCGGGCATGGAACATGGCGCTCCCGATCCATGAGTTCATTCCATCAGCGCAAAGCCGTTGTAGTGGGGGATGAGTGGGTCGGGTTTTCTCTGATTGAGGTACCGGAGGATCAGCCAGCGCCGGTAATGAGACATCAAGTCGTCCGAACCAAAGACTACCGACACTGATTCCTGGGAGGCTGGAGAGATAGACCGGAAATCACAGCCAACGGTGTCGGCAAGTCTGTCACTGTCAGTTATATACTGCCTACATAATGTGACTGCTACGATGACTTAAACCCTGGTCGACTAGTCCCTACTAACGGCAAGATGTTATCTTCAATCTCAGCTTTGGCGAACCCAACAGTGTTTCAACCTCTCCCGAGAGCCATTGACAGAACCAGAATGGTTAATACCACTTGGCGTTGGCGTCGGTACATTGAAGATCTCCATGTGTCGGGGCCGCCCTCGATGAGAGCGCACTCCACATGCCAGCCACCTCCTCGGTGGTGGTCAATGTCTCGGACCTTGGTATTGCGGCACTCAAACTGGGGCCATAATCGACATGAAAACAATACCGCCTTTGTTCCCGCTCTACAGCGTTTCTTCAGGGCTCCAGTAAGCAGAGACCTTTCACCAATCAGTTCTGAAGCAAATGATGTATTCGTTTTGAACTCGCAGAGGGCTATCGATCGGTGTGTTTCTCATGTCTCTTCAACCACTTTAGGGCTCAGAAATGTGACACTACCTAGCCCTCCATTTGCGACACCAGATCGAAGTCAGACCAGAGACTGGCCGCCGCTACTCGTAGATACTACAGTACTTGTAGTACATACTCTGATTGATCTAACAGAAACCTTCCTGGCGACGGTTCTACAGCTACTCACTCCTCTAATATTGTTGGATTGTGTTTTGAACTATATACAGTATTGTGGTAGTATAAATAGATGCTGATTTGGACTCTGTTATGTCCTCCTGGTCCATTTCCTTTTACTTGCCTCACATAGACCCTCTTGTCAGTGTTGTGTACTCTTGCCATTGTCAAGACTCTTACCAAATGAACGGTGACAAGACTCTGAGATGATTCAATGGTATGCGAGCCCTGACTCCATGGAACCATGGAACTAGAGTATCACAAGACCAGCCTCTATCTCTACCTATGACCGTCCCTCAAGGATGATTGCCTGGTCATACTCATGCTCTGACCCAATAACTCCATCTCCTACTCCCGCTCGGCAACACTTAAATCTCCCACGCTGGTATTTCTGATACTCATGTCGAGCAGTTTCTTTCTGCTGGGAGGCAGCCGCGGCTTCTCCTTCTTGTCCTTCTTGTCACGAGACTCCTTCACGTCCTTCTTCGGCGCAGGAGAATTCCTGCTCGGCGGCGGAGGAGGAGCTGGACTCTTGACCCGTGATATTTGCGGCATCGGAGACTTGCCTCTAGACGGAGGAGGAACGGGAGGCCCCTTGGACGACGCACGTGACGGTGGAGGCGGTGGCGCAAGCTTGAGTGAGGAAATGAGCGATGTGGTGGATGACATGGCCGAATTGGTGCCCAGAGAACTCTGACTAAGTCGCCGAGTACCACTGAAATCGGTCATACCAATGCTGGGCACTCGGATCTTTGAGGGGCTCTCCTCCTCGTTGAACGAGCCGATAGAAGAACTGGGAGAGGGGGGAACGGTGCTCATGGGAGACGGGAACGTGTACTCCAGCCACGGGACTCCGAGACATCTCACAGCCAGTCGTAATGTCGTCTCTGATACTGGAAGGAAAGTACTACTTCCCTTGTGACCTGAAAGCATCTCCAACACATCAGTCAGACCCTCAATCTTGTACGGCTCGTGTCTGATTTGGGAGTTGACCATAAGTGGGTGGAGAACTCGCAAATACGTGTTAATGAGCTGCTCTTCGTCATTGGGCAAGTCGTGGAGCTCTCGAATGAACACGTCGATGAGCACCAACAGATCGTTTGTGTAGAAATACTCATAAGTGGGTTCATTCGTGAACAACAAATACAACAGCTTCAGACCCATGATCTGAAGACATGTATCTATCGCTCGATTCAGTAACAGCACCAACTTTGCGCCAAACTCCACGTATCCGTCGATATCTAGGGAAATCAGATCCAGCACTTTACTCGAATAAATCCCCGACTCTTCGTCTTCATCGTAAGCTGCAATCATATACTGCTCATTGAGACAGAGCAAGACTTTCATGACGGAAGCGTCGTACAGCGAGGTATCGTCTCTGTCTGCGTTGACAACGGTCCTCAAGAGCGAGTCGATAAACTTGTCGGAAATGTTTTCCAAGTCTGACGTGGAAATTCGCTGGATTTTGCACATTTCAAACGTGAGCTCGAGCAACACTCTTCTGAGCCGTAAAGCCGACGTCTTCTGAAACGTCAGCAAGAGCCGAGTCAGCGCATGGCATGCGTTTTCCTCTTGCATCATTTCCAGAGTGGCGGGATGCGAATCAGAGTCTATGAGCAGAATCAAAGACACCACCGCCGCCAGGTCTGTGTATTCCTCTGCCAACGTCAACATGGCGATCAATTTGCGACGGGTGAAGGCTTTGTGGAGCGTGAAAATCGGAGAAGTGGTCAGCTTGTATCCTGCTCGAAAGAGATCGTTGTCGGAGACGAGAAAATCAGATAAATGTTTAGTTGCAAATAGGAGGTAGTCCTTCAGTGCCGACTCGACCACGGGATATGAGTGGGTCTTCACAGAGACTATATCCAGCAGTTTGGTCCAGAAGTCCGAGTCCGACATGTCGCCATCTTCTTCTGGAGGAATGGAAATGTCCGGTGCAAGAAGAGGCTCGTCTGAGACGGAGCTCATGAGACTTTCCAGTAGTGTTTCCATCATTGGATTGATAGAGTGAACCGGTTAGCGATGATGGGCTGTCTGTGAGCTGAGTTAGTATGGCGGTCTTAGCTGAGTTTGACCTTTCCCCTTGAGATAGGGCATATTTACTCACCAATGATGGACCGAAACGAATGTGGTCAATGTTGTAGTTTAGTGGTCAGTGTGGTCAGTGTTGTAGTTTAGCAGTCCGTGCTCGACGTGCAAGTCACAAATGGCTTCGTCTCTCTCTCTCTCTCTCTCTCTCTCTCTCTCTCTCTCTCTGTTGGGAGTCGATCACCTCGGTCTTGCTCAAGTCTCGACGTGATCCAAGACGGGATATCACGTGATTTCCAATCAATTCAAACCAATGGTCAAATCACGTGCAACGCGCCTGTTGATCTGGTCGTCGTTGCTGTTCCTAAATGCTCAAATGTCGCCGCGGCAGTATCACGTGGATGTAAATAAACAGTCCCCAGAATTCCACGGCTGTTCTCGTCGGTTGCTGGTCGGAATTGGCGCTCTTGAATGGTTTCTCCCCGTATATCACTTGAATGGGTCTCTCTGTCTCTCTCTCTCTGTCTCTCTCTGTCTCTCTCTCTCTCTCTCTCTGGAGCCCCTGGTCTTTTTGTGCCGGTTTTTGATCCCCCGCGCCGTGTGTGTAAGTGGTTACTGGTATCTGAATCTGGGAAGGGCTGTATCTTTTAGGACCCAATGCCCCCACCTCCCAAATGCACGCTCTTTCTAATCTGGGGTGATGGCAAAGTTTATTGGGGAGCGAATGGAGCAGTAAGGGTGGTGGTAAGGGTGGTGGTAAGGGTGGCGGTAAGGGTGGCGGTAAGGGTAGTATTCCGGTAAGGGTAAGGGTAAGGGTAGTGATCCGGATCGGGTAGTATCCCGACCCTGATACTGCCAATAATACCTAACCCATGTTCTTTTCTCTCATGGCTTCACTTGCTCCGAACTCCCGCTACTTGTACATATCCCAATATGGTTGCCCTTGCAGAAAAAGTTTCAGCGAAAATTGGCGTGAGGTATTAACATGGTTCGGGGAATTTAAAAATAGACCGTGGGAGCTGGCCCGGCCGAGAACGGGACGTTTGGACGCCTCAAAATGGAGCTGTCGACGAGGCGAATCTCGTGATATGCTTGGTTTTTCTCTGGCTTCGATTTTGGTCGATTCGACACCCTTGTCGGACAAGTTTTCAGGTCCGATGCGGATCAGGCGGAGTTCTCGAGCAGTTTGAAGGGTCACGTGATGTAGAGGCAGAGTTTAGTAAGGGGGAGTTAAGGGGTGGTTTAGAAAGGCCATTAGTGTTGTATTTTTTGTTTCTGTCAGTTCTTGTCCCTGGCTAATGAGTTGGGCGGTGGTGGAGTACAGTACATTGTCAGAAGCACAGGTTGTGGCTTGTTGTCTGGGGGGTGAGAGTTGGTGAATGATTTTGGGATTATTGCTTGTTCTTTTGTGACTTGAATCTTTTCTTTTGCAATCAAAATCTTCGTTCTTGATGGAGTTATATCGTTCCGTTCCACTCAACTACCCCAACTACATTCCTCCATTTTGTTAACTAAATTCATCAAATCCCCAACTACGTTCTTTCAATTTCCAACTAATGTTCTCCTTTATTCCAACTAGATTTCTTCATTTTGTCACCATCCTCCGAATTTCCAACTAATTCCTCCAATTCCCAACTACATCATCCATCATCCAAACGTTAATCGCCAACCTGATGCACACCACTTCAACTCTCCAGCAACATGTTCAAACGAAAGAAAAACGCGGGACAGAAACGAACCACCATAATCGACTCGGATTCGTCGTCCGAAGGCTCTGGAGATGAATCCGCGCTTTCCAGCGCCTTCAAACGCAGAAAAAACGATACCCAGAAACGCACCACTCCAACAAGTGTTGCCACCTCCACCAAAGTGAGAGCTCCGTCTTTCTCTTCCACCATTGACCATTCCCATTCCCGCAACCTATCTAAAACTGACGAAGCAACCAAGGAGACAATCCTGTACGCCAAAGACGACTCGGATGACTCGCAAAAGTTGTCAAAGGGCCCATACAAAGTCCCCTTCTCAAAACCCACTACCACTACCACAGTAGGACTAAAGGCTTCGTCCAATATCAAGAGCACCACAAGCCAAGATTACCAACCGGACGTGTGTAAAGACTACAAACTGACGGGATTCTGTGGATACGGCGACTCGTGCAAGTTTCTGCACATGAGAGAAGATTACAAGGCAGGATGGCAGATTGAAAGAGAATGGGAGATCAAAAACAGAGAGGATGACCCACCACGTGATGCCGGAGGAGTGTCACGTGACGCAGACACCGCTACCTCGCGCGCCGACTCGGGTATACCGGATACATGTCCCATCTGTCAGGGGGAATTCAAGAGTCCGGTTGTGACTCAGTGTTGTCACTACTTTTGCGAAAAGTGTTTTCTGGCCAAGCATAAGAAGAAGCAAAACTGTTTTGTGTGTGGCAAGAACACCAATGGTGTTTGTAAGCCCTTCAAGCGGTAGGAGGGTGTGTATTATATGTATTTATTGAGCAAATGACTTGCACTGAACCAATTGCACAGTTACTGTCTGTATCTCTCCAATTGAGAGATTATGGAGCATCTTGGAGCCTTCTATGAACAATGTTCTCTGGGGATTAGCGGCCTTCAGACCTCGAATCGTTCAAGTCGGAACTCTCAGACGAGTGAGATGCATTTTTGAGACTCTCTGCGAGGATAAAGAGAGGAATGTATGAGAATAGACGTTCCTACCCTCGATGAGATTTCCACTAGTTGACAAGTACCAGAGTCCTGTCTACAATCTGTACAGCGTGGAACCATCATCTAGTTACTTATCTATATATCTAAGTATTGTTATCATATTACTTGAGATTATACTTACCACCGTACGGTCAAGAAATGCTGACATGTGTCTACCAATCGATGAATATGTACCCGATAAACACCATTCAAAGTGCATATTGCTCTTGTAGGCTCCTCAAACTGTTTTACGCCTTACCAACATCTCCAGACACATTCCTTCAGATCATTTTTGGGGAGATCCCTATCTCGACATCCAGGACCAGAAACGACAGACGTAATCACCACGAAACTCATCGCTTGTACAATATAGGTACAAGTACAAGTGCAGTCTGAGTGGTTGTACTTGTACTGAAAAAGTCCTTTTCCATTAAAAATCTCCTATCTATAGACACCCCAATCGACATGTTCAACCAGCACTCAACCGTCCAGCTTTGGAGAGTCAGAAAACGACGGAATCTCGGAAAGAACCTGGAAACACTTGAAAAAACAAAGAAAATCCAATCAAATATGCCTTCCAAAGAATATCACGTAAATTAATCCTCCTTTTCCGCCCATTCTTGTACCAAACTCCGTACATACTTCTACATGTATAGTTCATGAGAATAGAAGAGACAACTTCTGAAGGAGAAAAGATACTGCCATCAGGACTTCACCATTGTGATCATAACAATCTGAACTTCTCAATGATATATATTTAATGCTCTCAGCAGCTCGGCGATATGGACTATATGCCATTCAGTACAGCAGTTGACAGGAACAGTGCAAGAGGTGTTTGAGAGGTCACGTGAGATCACGTATCTGTAGTTCACGTATGGGCTTTGTTTTAAAGAGTCATCTGATGTTTCCCTCGTTTCCCTGTTTCCCTCGCTTCCTTGTTTCCCTCGTTTCCTTGCCCTGTTTCCATCAATGTATTTACATACAACTTCCAAGGAACTTGACAGCGCTCAGAGAAGCGGCATTTCCAATCTACATCGGCACTGGGTGTTGCTCTATTTCTATTATGCTATATTCCACCTAGACTACATCTTCTTCCTTCTGATCTCCAATCCATCCTTGTCCGACGAAAAAGCCAACACAGCGACATCCTGATACCCCGGATGTGACTTTTGTCTCGGCTGAATCAGCTTTTTGGCCAGCGAATACTTCTCCATAGTGTTTCCCTCAAGCAGCTCCGACGTCTCCATGATGACTTTGTAGAGAGCAAAAGGCGATTTGATGATGGACGAAGTGCTTAATTCTGAGACGGTAGACTGGGTGAGAGATCCAAGGCACGCCATCAGGAAGGAGAAAAGTGCCGAGAGCTCACGAGACTGCTTCTGATTAATCAACTGATCTGGCAAAGAACTCGAGTTGGAGGCGAAACCTTTGCCTCCCTGAAGACACCTCTGGACAATGGAGTTGAGAGCTGTGATGGTGGCTTGAGTATTCACCAGCTGTTTTTTCAACGCCGTCTCGATTTCCACAGACACGTGTCCCAATCCTAGCGCTTCCGACACCAGAAAAGCGCCAAACCACTGACCTTGGCGCATCTGCGATGGGAGAGGCAGTCCATAGAGCGTAGCGACGACGCAATTGACCGCAGCTTCATTGATCCAGTTTCCGGGGTCGACAACAGTGAGTTTGAGACCATCAGACTGGTCATTAGTCAGCTTGTCACCCAGGACCTTTGATCGCGCTGCAAAGATGGCATGCACGGGGACAGACACGGAGTTAATAGTGAGAGTTGTGTCTGTCAGGGTTTTGGACGCGAACACGCCCTGAATATAATCGATGGTGGCATCCTTTTGTCGTTGTTGGTGCTCGAGTTTTTGTTGCTTGACAAGTTCTTTTTGGGCCAGCTTGGAGGCCAACTTGTCGGATTCACTCTGAGACTTGTAATTGGACTCATTTTCAACAGATTTTGAATCCGACTCCAGGTCCTGACTCGTCTCAGCCGTATCTTTCGACTCGTCTGCCTGGGTTTGCTTTTTGGCGTCTTTGGCGTCGTTTTTGTGTTTCTCATTGGGGGTTTCAGAAGTCGTGGTGGCAAGCACAGAGTCGGTATAACCAGTAGAAAACTGGCCCGCCTTCTTAGACTCCTCCTTTGGCGCCTGCCCCTTTGTAGCAGGCCCAGGTCCCTTTTGTTCCGGTTCAGGCTCCGGTGTGGGCTCAAAAACCATTGGAACATAGTACCCCATGCCCATTTCGTACCTAGCTCCATAGCTGGGCTGTCGCTGGTGTTGTCCCATGTATTGGCCCATGTGATGGGGTCCCGGAGGAGGTCCCGGGGGAGGAGCCATCGGATAAGGAGCCCCCATGTGAGGATGTGGCCCTGGGTAGGGCGCGCCCACAGGCATGTACTCAAAGGTATTTTCAGGAGGCATGTAGTAGTGGCTGTGGTTAGGACCGGCGCCGTAATAGTAGTCTTCGTCGTAGTCCGTCATATTGGTGGAGGCGAAGAGGCGGAGAGTGGAGAGGCGGAAAGGCGCGAGTGGCGAGTGGCGAGTGTTTCTGCCGGGAGATGTGCACGGTATCAGGGGTTTGTGTTGCTTGTTTGGTGGTTAAAGTTGTTTGTGTTGCTTCTCAACCCTTGTGTGTCACTTCTCAGCCCTTTTGTGTCACTTGTTGATGCTCTGAAAGACTTTGATGCCGTTTCCAAACGCTTCTGTACCGTATGTGCCGCTGGTATTACCACTTCGATCTGTATGCTGGAAAAATACCCAAAAGTTTGAAGTGCGTTAGGTTCAACTCTAACGCGTGGCAAATTTGGTGTTGAAAAAGGTGCTCTGAGCCGATCTGAAATCTGACAACATGATACGACTCAGCTGCGTCTCAGCAACACAATGATACATCTACCATCCAAATCGGAGCACTCTAAGACCCCCAAACATGCACCTGAAACACACCCGTGCATGTCATCAAAAGATCAAACATTGCTATTGGTGGGTAAAAAGAGAAGTGTGCCCGAAGATAATACATGTCACGTGAACCGGACACGGGTCCACCAGCTCGCACTTAGTCATTTTCCCCCAGCTTTTACTCGTATCAGGACCATCTCCAAAGTTGCTTAGTCATCAACAAAAAATGAAGGGTACAGTAGTGAAAAATCATGTTGTTGAACAGTTGTGGGTTCGACTCTTCAAAGAAGTCTCAAGAGGGTGTCTAATTTATGATCGAAAATTGCGACTGTCGTCTTGCACTTGTAAAAGCTCAAATCATTTCAATGGTCATACTTATTAATAATAATACATAGCCGTGTCTACCTCGTCTTGCTCAGCTCCTCCTTGAGTTGTGCGGAAAAGTCGTCCTCGGCGTCGTCGTGGTCCCAGTCCTCCTCCCACAGCTGCTGAGTGTTGGAGTTGGATGCAAGCTTCACTTCGGACTCGGCCTCGTTCCAGTCTGAGTTAGTATGATGATGGGGGTAGGTTGGCACGAGTCGTGCAGTAGGTGGTGGACATGAATACCGCTAGAATGTGTGAGTGACCATCGTCGAAACGAACCAAGGCATCTGCGCATGATTCCACTGGCTGCAACAACCTGACACATTGTCCGGATGACAACGCGGCAACGAACGAGTCCAGCGCACTGCTCGCTGACGTTCGTGGGTTGTTCATGGTCACAGCATGTACATCAGAAACCAGCCAGTCGGCTAGAAACCAGTCAGTCGGCCAGTGTCTGAGACTGGATCACCCTCGTCCCGAACAGTGACCACCAACCAGCCATTTCCAATCGTGGACAGCCCCATTCCAACAGATCCACCATATCCTCCTTCTCCTGTGTGGACTCCACCACCTCGCATTCCCTCTGCGTCAACTCTGGTACTCACCCTCGACCGGGAAATCCTCAAACTCGTCGTCCTCCTCGAGAGTGACGAGAACCTTGGGCTTGTCTTCGTTTTGCTTGTCGGACATGATGTGTTGTGTGTGAGTAAGTGGTGAGGTGGAGTGCTGGTGATATCGCCACATGTTAGAGTTGGAAACTTTATCTGGGGGGGGAGGGCGTTTGAGAGAGAATAGAGAACGATTCTTGAGGAGGTTGCGCTGGTTATGGACAGATTGGAGTTATATAATGGTAATCAATACTCTTCAAACATCAAACTGATTGTTTTGCTTTATCCCTAGAACCTCTGAAAGACGTTTAAAACTGAACCTCATTTCCACCGCTATACATAGCTTTTACTTAATTTAAAGTAAATACTTGACCTCGATCAACAAACAGGAAACTAAATACTTGGCGCATTAGTGGAGAACACAACTATACAGGCCAACCCCATATTTTCCAGATTTACACCCGATAGTCTTCCCAATTTTCACCAATTTCCAGTAAAAACAACTTGACTGCCGAAAATATAGTACTAATCTCTCACATCACGTGAAATTATCTCATATACAACAACCAACACTTGTTAGTCAGACCATACTTGTAGGACCTCACAGCAAGACCTTCTCAACTCAACTCCTGAATGACTCATGGTGGCGAAGATTTTTGTTGGGCCTAGCTTGAGATAGTCACGTGACCAACCAGATATGACCAGTCACGTGACCAACCAGATATCACCAGTCACGTGACCAATCGTCACGATCCCTCCGTGTTATCATCAGAGTCTCGCCATATGTAAACTTGTATACTCACTATACATTCCCTGAATTGACACTGGAATGGGAGCTCAATTTGGGAGTCTGGGACAGGTTAGGAGCTCAATTCAAGTGTCTGGGACAGGTTAAGAGCTCACTTCGAGGGTCTGTCTCATCTATTATTGCCACAGGTTATGATCCCCTTCTTGTGAACCGCCTCTAATGTCACCCACCACTCTTCTTACCCTAACCCCCATGCAAGGCGATTTTTTCTGAATATTTTTGATAAGCTTTGGGCCGTTTTGACGCACAAGTTTGCAAAAAAAAATACTCAACTTTCATTTCGTCAGTCAGCCGACATCGAGGAGTTAACAGTGAGTGTTGCAACGTGGGAGGGAGTGGGTTTAGTGACATGTGAGACGGTGGCTCGATCTGGACGAGCGCGTGATGGGTTTGGCGACAGAGACATAAGACGACTTGGGCACACGAAGAAACGACACCAACAAGCGACACAGACGGAATGGGGTTCTGGGAGCGTGCTGGGCTGATTCTGGAGCAGTGGGAAGGCGGTTGAGGGGCTCTTAGTGGACTTTAAGCTGTTTCCCACGACACTGGGTGTGTTTTTGTGGCGACACAAAGCCGGGTGATTTTTCAGGACTGAAGGGTGGAGATGGACTGATCGTGATGATGGCAATGGATGGGGGCAACTGTGGGTGGTATTCTGTGTTCGATAGACGGAGGTATTGTGGCAGTTCTGGTTTGGCCCTGGTTGCTGTTTTTACTGACCAGACTAGTGTTCATATTACTTGCATTCGACGTGATCCTTCTGCATATACCAGCCAGATGGATCTATGTCCTATGCGGATATCTTGCGACGCAGTCGTCAGTCAACTGGTCTTTGGTTCATTCTTTGGTTCCATTCTTTGGTTCCATTCCTTGGTCCATTCTTTGGTTCCATTTACATCTTTCGTTTCTTTCACATCGTTCGTTTCATTCACACCTCTCATCTCAGAGTCTTACATGTCAAACGTATCACCATGTGTTCTCAAGTCGATGATCAAAGCTCGTCATTCAACCAGATGATCACTCCTTACATTCCATGGCACGCTGTTGTCCACTTGTGACTTTCGGCATACCCTTTACCGTTCCGTACTAACCCAGTGAAAGACCGCTTTTCCTCCGACCCTCCCCGGGTCATCGGAGGCATTGAGTTCGGCGCGCTTTCCCCTCAGGAAATCCTCAAACTCTCCGAGGTCGAAGTCGCTACTCGAGATCTCTATGACCTCCAAAAGGGCCGTGCCCCCATGGAGTACGGCGCCCTGGACCCCCGTATGGGCGTGTCCAGCAACATGAGCAAGTGCAAGACTTGCGCGGAGCCGCTGGCCACCTGTCCCGGCCATTTTGGCCACGTGAAGCTGGCACTCCCTTGTTTCCACATTGGTTACTTCAAGGCCACCATCTCCATCCTGCAAAACGTGTGCAAGGACTGTGCCCGCATTCTCCTCTCCGACGAGGACCGACGCAAGTTTCTGACCGAGCTGCGGCGTCCCGGCATCGATAATCTGCGCAGAATGCAGATTCTCAAAAAGGTCAACGAACAATGCAAGAAGCAGCGTCGTTGCGTGCACTGCAACTCGATCAACGGTGTCGTCAAAAAGGCCGGCCCTCTCAAGATCATCCACGACAAATTCCGACACGTGGGCAAGAAGATCCCCGAGGAGAAGACCGAGTTCGACAACTCCTTCAACACTGCCAAGGAGTCTATCCCTGATGTCGAGCGGCTGCAGAAGAAGGCCATGGACGATCTCAACCCTCTTAAGGTGTTCAATCTGTTCCGAGAGATTTTGCCTATGGACTGTGAGCTGCTGGGCATGGACCCCGGCAAGGGACGCCCCGAAACATACATCTGGAGATACATGCCTGCTCCTCCCGTGTGTATCCGTCCCTCGGTGATGCAGGACAGTGCGTCCAACGAGGACGATCTTACTGTGAAGCTCACTGAAATCGTGTGGACCAGCGCCATCATTGAGGCTGGTCTCAAGCAGGGCATGGCAGTTGCCTCGCTCATGGAGCAATGGGAGCTGTTGCAGCTGGCCGTGGCAGTCTACATCAACTCCGACACGCCCCAGGGTCCCGGTCAGAGCGCCTCTAAGCCCATTCGGGCGCTGACCCAGCGTCTCAAGGGTAAGCAGGGCCGTTTCCGAGGAAACCTGTCAGGAAAGCGAGTCGACTTTTCCGGTCGAACCGTCATTTCTCCTGACCCCAATCTCAGAATCGACCAGGTGGCTGTTCCCGACCGGGTGGCCAAGATTCTGACATATCCTGAGCGCGTGACTTCTCACAATATTGAAAAGCTGCGTAACTTGGTGATCACGGGTCCTTCGCAGCATCCAGGCGCCAACTACCTCTTCAAGAAGGGCGAGTCTCTGCGGCGAAACCTGCGATTTGGAGACCGGGCCAAGATTGCCGAACGACTTGAGATTGGTGATGTGGTGGAACGGCATTTGGAAGACGGAGACGTGGTGCTGTTCAACCGACAGCCCTCGCTGCATAGGTTGTCGATTCTGGCGCACTTTGCACAGATTCGGCCCTGGCGAACGTTCCGGCTTAACGAGTGTGTTTGCACTCCCTACAATGCCGATTTTGACGGAGACGAGATGAACCTGCACGTGCCGCAGACAGAGGAGGCACGAACGGAGGCCATGTGCCTGATGGGCGTTAAACACAACCTGGTGACGCCACGATCTGGAGAGCCTATCATTGCCGCCACTCAGGATTTTATCACCGGCTCTTTCCTTATTTCCAAGAAGGACTACATGATCGACCGACGGACATTCTGCCAGCTGCTGGCAATGATGTCGGACGGAGACATGCAGTTTGACATTCCTCCCCCTGCTATCCAGAAGCCCGTGCAACTGTGGACCGGAAAGCAGGTCTTTTCTTTATTGATTCGCCCCAACAAGAGCTCCAAGGTGATCATCAACCTGGACGCCAAGAACAAAACCTTCCAACCTCCGCCCCAGGGCTACCCCCGAGATATGTCCCCCAACGATGGTTTTCTCGTCATCCGAAACTCTCAGGTCATGTGTGGAGCTATGGACAAGGCTACTCTCGGAGACGGTAAGAAGGACTCCGTTTTCTACTCGATTCTCCGAGACTACGGCCCTGACGAAGCTGCTGGTGCCATGAACCGAATGGCCAAGCTGTGTGCTCGGTGGCTGGGTGGCCGAGGTTTCTCCATTGGTATTTCCGATGTCACACCTGGTGCAGAGCTTTCTTCCACCAAGGAGATTCTCGTTGAACAGGCGTACGCCAAGTGTGACGAGCTGATTGAGGCGCTGGCACAAGGCAAACTGGAGCCCCAGCCTGGTTGCACACCTGCACAGACTCTGGAAGCCAAGATTGGTGGTCTGCTTTCCAAGGTGCGAGAGGAGGTCGGAGAGGTGTGTATCAAGGAGCTGGAGAAGTCGAATGCTCCGCTGATCATGGCCACGTGTGGTTCCAAGGGATCCACGCTCAACGTGTCTCAGATGGTGGCGGTTGTGGGCCAGCAGATCATTTCCGGCAAGCGAGTACCCAACGGTTTCCAGGACAGATCTCTGCCTCACTTCCGAAAGTTCTCCGTGACGCCTCCGTCCAAGGGTTTCGTGCGAAACTCATTTTACTCGGGCCTGGACCCTCCAGAGTTCCTTTTCCACGCCATTTCCGGCCGTGAAGGTCTAGTTGACACAGCTGTGAAGACAGCTGAGACTGGATACATGTCCCGTCGGTTGATGAAGTCTCTTGAAGACTTATCTGCTCGATACGACTCGACTGTGCGAACATCATCCAACGGCGTGGTGCAATTCCGATACGGAGGCGATGGTCTAGATCCCTTTGACATGGAGGGCGACGCCAGACCTGTCGATTTCAACAGAACATGGACTCACTGCGAGTACATCTCTTCAAAGTTGGGCATTGAGCCCGAGGCCGAGACAATCAATGTGTCTTCCGTGCCTGACACACCTCTCAAGCCGTTTGAGATCATGGCTGTGGTTGAGGAGCAGATCTTCGCGCTGGAACAGAAGCTGCAGCGAATGGACAACTCCGGAAACATGCTTTCTGTGGCAACCAAGGCAGCACGTGACCGTGCGTCAGCAGAGAAATATGTCGACGAGGTGGATCCCCGACGAGACTTCCTGCAGTCCATCAGAGGCTTCATTTACACAAAGGCCGAGGAGCTGGCTACCGTGCGTGAGTCCCGTGGTCTGATGGGCCTGTTGGAGAAGCCCGATGGTGACGAATACGACGGTCAGGACTTTGATCTGTTTGCTCCCAAGGCTGTGATCCGTGCAGTCAACCAAGTGTGTCGAATTTCGCACCGAATGGTGGACACCTTCCTGCAGGCCTGTCTTCGAAAGTACCAGAAGGCGCAGGTGGAGCCTGGTACAGCTGTTGGAGCTATTGGAGCGCAGAGTATCGGAGAGCCCGGTACTCAGATGACTCTAAAGACGTTCCATTTCGCCGGAGTCGCCTCCATGAACGTGACACTCGGTGTGCCTCGTATCAAGGAGATCATCAACGCTTCCAAGGCCATTTCCACGCCGATTATCACTACCGTTCTTAACAACGAAACGGAGTTGCAGGCTGCTAGAATCGTCAAGGGCCGTATCGAGAAGACTCTTTTGGGCGACATTGCTCATTATATCCAGGACGAGTACTCGTACGCCAAGGCGTCTGTTCGAGTTCGAATTGATTTCAACACAATTGATCACCTCTTGCTTGAAATCGACATGGACCAAATCAGAGAGGCGATCATCAAGGCTCCCAAGCTGAAACTCAAGCCTGGTCAGGTGTCGATCGAAGAAGAGAAGTACATTCGTGTCGACATTGAATCTGATGCCGTCAAGAAGAACGGCTCCACGACTATCATTGATACTGATGGAGAAATCTTTGAGGAAGGTGTTGAATCTGACACTGCCATGTTCCTGCGTACTCAGCATCTCAAGCGGGTGTTGCCAAATGTGGTTGTCAAGGGCTTCACTGACATTTCTCGAGCCGTCATTAACATTCGAGAAAAGGACAATACCCATGAGCTGCTCGTCGAGGGTTACGGTTTGCGCCATGTCATGACAACCTCTGGAGTCATTGGTACGCAGACTTCGACCAACCACGTGCTCGAGGTCAAGGAGGTGCTTGGTATTGAGGCTGCTCGTGCCTCCATCATTCACGAAATCGACTACACCATGTCCAAACACGGCATGTCTGTGGATCCTCGTCATATTACGCTTCTTGGAGATGTAATGACATACAAGGGTGACGTTCTTGGTATCACCCGATTCGGTCTTGCCAAGATGCGAGACTCGGTTCTGCAACTGGCGTCGTTCGAGAAGACCACCGATCATTTGTTTGATGCTGCTTTCTACATGAAGACCGACGATGTGGAGGGTGTTTCCGAGTGCATCATTCTGGGCCAGGGTATGAGCATTGGTACTGGTGCCTTCAAGGTGCTGCAGCCTCTGGCTCTGGACAAGGTCAAGATTGGCCCCAAGCCTCTGCTGTTTGAGGAGGTGTGCAAGCAGCTCAAAAATGTAAAGTTGGAGGATTAATAAATTATACTTACTGTACTGTGACACCAGTCGATTGATACTAGATCAGTGGTGAAGATTTTACAAGATCCAGTTGGTGTAACTAAATTGTCAGTAGCCAGATACCAGAGCAAGACTGGTGATAGAATGGGGATAGCAGCTTTGATAGAGATCAAAGGAACGGGAACTGTAACAATACAAGGTATTTTAGATAAATCCAAAGTTCTTGGTTTTGCAATGAACCCGCCAGAGAGTTGAATTACTGCAAGAGCTTAGTGAATAGGTTCATCCTTAGTATTGTGTTGCCAGGGTCTCTCGTATCTTCAGCGATGGCGTCAGTGAAGATTCGAGAGTTGAAAGGTGGAATCAGAAGAGTTAGGCGTCGTAATATCAGCTCTCGCTTTCGGATAATGAATCGATTTCAGTCTGGGAGATGACACTGGTGTACCAATGATCCCTCTACTCTCCCCTTGTGGTATGTGACATCTTCAATAGACATCCAGTCTGGTCATCTCTTCACCAGGACAATTTCCTTGTGTCCCTCATTCACCCGGTCCTTGAGTCTCTCGATGATCTGCTCCTCCTCAGAAAACCTTTGAGCAGCGCCTTGTTATAACAAAATAGCACCTAGTTCTTTGGTTTCCGCGGTTTGGCCATCTTGATGCGTCGGGTGGTTGAGAATCAAGCTGCCGAGTGGATAGGTGGGTGCGGTTTGGACGTCTGCAGAGGAATGAGAGATCCTGTCGTGTACAAAGCTCGTTGTCGATATCGTTGCGGAGCGCGGAATCAGTCTGTGTCAGAGGTGTTGGTATCTGGATGCTACAAGTAGCTTGGGAATCAGTCGTCTTCGTGTTTTCGTCTGTACTTAGTGTCACCACCAATGTTGTTGTGTTTGTGTCGCCTGTGTCTGTGGCAGGTAGCACTATGAAGGAGCTTTGTCACTGGTATCTCGTGTAGCAACAGTAGAGAGGAAGAGTCCAAGGGTAGAATATTAGTGAGGTCTAATAAGGTCATCTGTAAGTCCCGACTAAGGGGCAAACTGCGGGCTAACTAAAGACTAAGTAAGTGGGTGATAGTTAGACGACCAATGAAGGATAGCCAGGGACATCTTCCTCGTCCCCCTTCAGTTGACGCTAGAAGATGTTTGGACCAGAGCGGCGAGTGGAAATTCGATACAATATCAGAAACAGTTCGAAATACCGACTCAGAATTGCAAAAACACTCTTAGAACAGTTGGATTGTGCGTTTCTAAAAAGTGTAGGGAAAGGAACGGACTTTGATGGACTATCTGTTAGTTTCTGTTTGTTGGTGAAGAGCTGGAGAAGTCCTGAGGCATAAACTAATACATGGAGACTTTGTTTGTTGATATCTTGACGTACTCTCGATATTACCCACAGTTATTACATCTTTCGGACTGTTTCTGCTTGGGTATCAGGTCAAAACCTGACATTGAAGGAACCACCAACGTAAGAAAGAAATTTATAAGAGAGAAAGTGATTCATATAAGCGGAATTGATAATTATCACACGAAATCTCAGTTTCAATTTCAATATTTCTAATACAAAGACTACTCCTCGAGTTATCGTTCTTTGACAAATACTGTACAGTCCATATAAATCTCCAGGGGCTCGTAACGCCCGATTTTGGGTCTGGATTAAAACGAGAAGTTCGTCGCCTTGATAAAATCGACAATCGCCATCGATACTGCTCTTGAGATCCTCCAAAGCATTCGCCAGAGACTCTATAGTCATGTTGAGACAAGTCTTGTTTATCAGAGACAGAAGAATGTTTATCATGTTGGCCAGGCGTTTCACAACCGTGACGACTCCAATATGGGCCAATTTCAAGTTCCAGTCGTCGGTTGGCCTGAAAAATATGTGCCATTACCTAAGAAATGGCCTTTTCAAGGGCTTTGAGAGGTTTCGTGCTGTGATACGGTTGAATGACAAACACTTCGTTGAAGATAGAAGCAGGACCGTGCTGTTTGAGATAGTAGAGACTTGGTCATCTGATTAGAGATGGGATTCTTGGGATGGAATATGTTTTTACCAGGTTGTCGTCAAAGTTGTATACTAATACTGTTAGGAACATGTTGATAGCGCTGAGAAGAGCAGATAATGGGAATGAAGCGAGATATGAGATGGAAGCGTCACATTAATTCATCTCTGTGTGACTTGAATCCTCATTTCTCGCCTAAGAGTAGATACTGTACGTCTTATCACGCTAGATACGGTCCCCCTTAGATACGATCCCGCTAGATACGATCCCGCTAGATAAGCATATTTGTTATATTTGTTAGTTATACCTCAATTCACAAGTAACTAGGTAGGAAGTACTTGAAGTAGTACTTAGAGTTTAATAAAGCCTAACAATACACTTCAACACGAACATGGCATGTCCTGGACACCACAACTTGACGTGGTCGTCCAATTGGCCCGTGTCATACTCTTGAAAGACCATTGCCTCCCCAACACAGCCCGTTTTGTGATTATTATCTTCTCCCCAACCAAGCCCATTTCCTGATTATTATCTTCTACTCCGATTTCGCAAGTAACAAGTCTGTATCTATCGTAGTCATATCAAACAGTTAGGGACATTCAATCACAATTGTGTCATTTCCGCCAGCATAAACGATCATTGACACATTTCCTATCATCTCAACCCTTCCACATATCTGTCTCCATACTGACATGAGTATACCCTTGGACGGTATATCCTCATCAGGGAGACCTCACAGAGTCATTAAAACTTCTCATGACCCTTGACTACTCTCTAAAACCCCATTGAGACCCCATTTAACCTCAAAATCTCCCGTTTGTGCCGCTTTCAAGTCGCTCACTCCCCTTCTTCTCTTATCCCTCCTCGGGGACCCGCTCCCATAGTGTAGTGTGTGGATTCAGACCATTTCCCGAGGTTTCCAGCAACCCCAGCTCGAGTCCGGAAACAAATTTCTCTCCGGCGTGTCTCTCATTCTCCATTGTCCGCCTTTTTCCGCCGTTTCCGCCTTTTTCCGCCTTTTTCCGCCCTTTTCCCCCATTTCTCAGCAGACTCCAAGTTTTTTACAGCATAAAACAAGGTTCCATATCCCTGCATAATGCATATCTAGCATAACCGTTAGTTCACACAACCACAACAGTTCCAGTCCAGTCAAATATCGGTCGGCATCGAATCACAGGACCCACGTGACCTAGAGACACACACACACACTCCCCCATCACGTGACCAAGAGACACACACACCATCACGTGACCAAGAGACTCACATTCCCCATCTCCGCCATCAAACACCTCGAGTCAACCGGAATCGCTCGCCACCACCCTCGACCACTCGACCATTCGACCACATCCAGCATGTCACTAACCCACCAACTGTCCGCTCCGCCAACATGCTCGGACTACAACTTGGACACGAGAACGGCGAAAATCAACTTTGGCGTCTCGGTGCTTATGACGTTCGGCATGTTTGCCAGTTACGCCCCGCAGCTGTACAAGATTGTCAAGCGGAAAAACGCCGAGGGAATTTCTCCTTCGTTTCTGCTTCTGGGATCTCTTTCGGGCGGTTTCTTTTTCGCCAATATCGCCATGTTGGCTGACCCGGTAGTACATTGTTGCAAAAGAGAACTGGACGCCACAGAGTGTCTTTCTGCATCGCTGGGCGTGATACAGATCTTTTTCCAGGCATCCATGTTTTACACAATTCCGATTTTCTGCCTGATTTGGGCTAGAAGACAAGCTGACCAGAACCAGTACGAGGAGATCAAGAGAGTAACGACTCTGGTGACGGCGTCCTTCTTCGTGTCTGCCCTCGTGTGTGTGGTTTCCAAGGTGACGGGCAAGTATCCCCGGACGATTGCCGACGTTTTTGGAATTTTGGCCGCCCTGTTGACATGTGTGCAGTACCTGCCTCAGATTTACACCACATACAATCTGGGTCACGTGGGCTCGCTTTCCATCCCGATGATGTGTTTACAGACGCCCGGCGGTTTCATCTGGGCTCTTTCTCTCGCGCTGAGACCCGAGACAAAGTGGTCCACTTGGGCTGTCACTTTTGTAGCCGCCGTCTTGCAGGGTGTTCTTTTGATCATGGCTGTTTCGTTTGAGTACAGAGACAAGAAGGTAGACGAGCGAACAGCCCTATTGAACGGGTCCGTTAACGGTGACGATGACGATGACGATGAGGCGTAGAGGAATGAGGGATCTAGACTGGAGTACTCTTACAGGTGAGTGCATTACGCCCTACACAAGGCTGATCCATAAACAATACATCAACACTCCAGTCGTTGGCCTCTTCGGAGCCAAGGGCCCTTCTTCGGACTCTAGAGGGTAAGTAATATCAATCCCTAGCCCTCAACGAGCTGATTCCGCCGGTCTTGTTTCTCTATATGTAATCTCCATACAAACCGAGCGTCTTCTCTCCACCAGAGTCATTTCTGTCGCCCTCCTCGCCTCTGGTTTTGTCATCACCTAAACCCACCCCTCTAAATCTTCCTCACAAAACGAGGCCTTAAAAACACAAAAGCTCCCCAACCAAACTCTTCCTCTTTCACATCCCTTTTTTAGCACCACTTTTTCCCACACCCGAGGCAAAGCGGCGGACGCAATCATGTTCTGTCTCCAATTCGGCGCCTTGTGTGAGCAAAGACGTGTCCGCGTAGCGGACGTTTCCGAGCAAGGGACGACGTTGTGCTTAGACTGTGGTGTTTTCAGGGGGTTAGGACCAGGAGCTGGTGTGGAGTCACCACATCCGTCTCGTGGTATGATGCGGCCGATCGTGCAATCAAGTCGGGATCCAAGAAAATCGCGACCTAGATATTTCTAGGGAATGCTCGTCGTATGGCCGAACTGAGGACATCATTGTGAAAACGCCAGCACAGCTAGCAGTTTCACGACATTGCCACAGACGCCGATGGAACCAAACAGACACGTGATAGCACACTCGACCCTTCTTCGATGGATACTTCACACGCGGCGAAGACATTATCACCAGGGTGAGGAATGACACAATACTGTATTGCACAATACATTCCCCGTATCACATGATCCGAGAGTGTGGCTGAGGAACTAACACGTTTCCTGTCGTCTGGTCAGACCATGTTATTCAATTTCGATGTTCAGGATCTTGTCCCTCCTGACTGACGTTCATGATCTACATACACCGTCTACGAGTGAGTATTGGAGTATTGGTGAGCAGTGGAGCATTGGAGTATTGATGTGAGATGTTTCTCGCACTACGGATTTGGGATCTGTGATTGATCTGCCGTGAGATTGGGCTATTACTGGGCTGTGACACGATGTAAGATGTGATCTTGCCAGGTCAGATCGGAGCCCCAATGATCTTCCAGATGAAAATTAAGCTTTGGGAAAATTTCAACTTTGACTTTGGAATTTCAGCATTTGCTCTATCATGCATTGATAGTGCTTCGCTCAGCGTCTTGAATTTTATTACGTGGACTGTAAAGAATTCCATCCACTCCAGATCTTGCATTGACTCCAAGTGTCTTTCCAGGACACTTGGTCGACCCCAGCACTATCTGTACATTGATCAGATGAGATATCAGTCACATTAACTATAGCAAATAAATAAAGCCGTCGGTGTTGCTTCTGTTCTTCCATCCCAAAGCCCCTCTCAGGACGGTGCTGAGGACGACGCAGGCAATCGTGAAGCCCATGGCGATCCAACAGCCTCTATGGTACTGGGGCGCTTCCCGAGCGATAAACGTCCGCAAAGCTATGATGGCAAAAGTGTCCGATACCATTGCGAAGATGGCAAAGCTCATGAGTCGGCGGTGTCTTCCTTGGATGTTGCTTCCGAGCCAGCAGGCCACAACAACAAATGCCGCCATAGTGTTTGGAATCACAAACCAGCCTCCTCCAAACTTGATCCAGGGGTTTCTGTCTCCCGGTTTACAGAGAATGAGCGCCCATCCGATGATTGTGAAAAGGTAGTTCATGAGCAGGAACGGGTAATTGACTCGGAGTTTGAACGAGCACCATCCCTGAACAACTGTCCAGAAACATCCAAAAACAATCATTGTCCAACAGATGAGCTGAGCGATGGCCGATGTCTTTCCTACGGACATTAGCGTAGGGGACATGAGCAGAGCGTAGCAGCAGTCCAGTCCATGGTAGGTGAAGAGTCCCAGAACTGAGCATGTCCACACTATGGGATCTTTTGCCGCCAGGAGAAGTCCTTCAAGCGGGGTCTCTGTGGGCTCCACTGGGTTTCCCCCTGCGTAGTCGTCTTCAGTAAACTGTTTGAAGAACTCATATCCGTCCTGGCCGTGTTTTTTTATCCATTTCTGGCTCCAAAAGTAGTCGGGCAACAGTCTCCAGATCAACGGGGTCTGAATGCATCCGCAGATTCCAGTGACGAAGAATTGCCAGGACCAACCGGGCTTCTTGTCGTGGATGAGACCCAGAGCAATGGCAATCAGCGTGAAGAGTGGCACCATGAACCAGGCGGCTCCCCACGCACAAGCAAACACAAACTGCGCCTCGTACCTTCCGTGCCATTGGAAAATGACGTGAAGGACTGCCGGTAGACAGAAGTTCATACAGACACCCATAATGACTCGATCTGCGACTAGACCGGCGTAGTTGTGGCACACTCCAAGCAGACAGATACACAGACCCCAACAGAACATTTCCACGGCAAACCAGATTCGAATGTTCACTTTGAGAAAGAGAAAGGCAAAGGGAATGGCGAGAAACGCGTAAGGGAAATACAGTGCCGTTTCTGTCCACTCGTATTGGTCAACGGTGATGTGATTGAACTGGAGGATACCTGCTCCCAGAGCAGGACCAATCACGTCTCTGGAGACAATGTGGGACACATAGAAGGCCTGGCATTGGCATGCAATAGCCAGAGAACGATGAAACTTTAGATGATGACTCTGTTTGGCAGTCAGAGTGGTCACATGACCGGCCTCGAGGCTTTCCGGGTGGGAGGAGACTTTCTTGAACACCGAAGTGTCTCCAAGAACAGCTGTGGGGTCCGCCGCGTTCTCAACGTGCTCGGTGGACAGCTTGGCGTGTTCAATGTGATCAGCAGACTGTTTTGCCTGTTCAACTTGTTCACTAGAATGTTTGGCTTCACCAGCAGGACTGGCATCTTCGATATGTTCAGTGTCTTGTTTCTCCGTGTAGTTTTGGGTCTCGGAGGGAGTGTCTGAGTCTGTGGGTGCGATTGGGTCTGTTTCGACCATTCTGAAACTGTTACGTGACCCCAATTCCTTCTTCACGTCTATATATATACGTTTCTTTCCGCTCAAGTGCTCTGACAACATGACCGACCGTCCAAAATGAGCATCCGCAAATGTATACAACCCTGAAAAACTCAGAGAGTAAGTTGGTGTGGGGTAGAAGCGATAAAAGGGATCTGGAGCGGCTATTTCTACACTAACTTAACCGGTATAATTTAACAACCCGATAACCTGGCGATGAGTATGACTCTGTAGTACATCTCTCCATTCCTATGAGTATGGCTCTCTACTTCCTACAAGACAGCCATACTGCCACGGTCACGCCTAATTTCCACCTCCTCTGATCCGACGAATCCTACCACCACTAAACTCTTCACCTCAAGTCCCGAGTTTGCTCAGCCGTGAATCCTGCGAGCATTTTGGGTGGCTCTTTCGGGGAGGGCCCCCGGTTTTCGGTTTTCGGTTCTCGTGTAAGGTTTCTCCGGGAAAGAGTCTGACATGGAAGTGAGTTCATGACGACTTTGGGGCATATTTTGGGCAAATTTGCGGTTCCGGAACACTTGTTAAAGTCGGTTAATGATCATAAATCCGCCTGCAACGAATTCTAGACAACTCGGCCCCTATTAATCCGGTTCCTTGGCGAGGGGAAAGACAGGCATAATCCATGCACCTAACCGAGATGGAACCTAAATCAAACAAAAAAAAAACATCCCAAAACATTGTCAAAAAGTCTCGAGTCACGTGATTTGCGATTGCGATGGAGGACTGGGGTATGTGTGTGTGTGTGTGTGTGTGTGTGATTAGGCGGGGTAGACCGCGGGGAGACTCGTGTTGTTTTTTGCCTCCTGGCTTGATTTTTGCGTCGTGGATGACGCACCCCTCTCTGAGGGCAATGTGACCTCATGACATCATTAGACAGCAACCGTATTTACCCCACAGTTGGTTAACTTTTTCACTGCTGTCTCGAGACGTGTTCCCGGTCAGAAGTAGAGATTAAACTGCGACTGATTTTCGGTCTTAGGGTTAAGCAGGTGTGTTGAGGTGAGAGGAGGTGGCCACTGTACTGGTACTATACGATTAAGTGTAGTTCCTGAACGGTACGGCGCAAAGTGCAGTGGAGAAGGTGATGTAGGACTGATTTGAACAAGTCCAAATGGTTTCTAGTACTGATGTTCGCCCACTGTATCATTTCAAATCATCATCAATTGCTCTCTCGGTCTCTCTGGAGACATTCTGTTGAGGGATTGTATGCAGTATAATGAAAGGTCAGGACACAAGTCACCAACTTTGCGCGACTAAGTTGAATACATGTTGTACATTTTATACATTTCGCTTTTTCGATTGCGCCTTACGACTCAGGCTACTCTTCGGGACACTGTGGATATCTCGAGGGTAGGGTCATATGCTGTGCACCTGATCGTCAGAACAGATACTGGAGAAGTTGATTCTGATACTACCAAAACAACATATGGACTTGGATTCAATAACCCGACCACCGTGGTCTCATTACAGTACACCCCTCCCCAACGCCACTCCCCACACATCGTCAGTGAGTCGTGCATGAGGAGTCACAGTCTTAGTCGGTCTCGTCTCACCGTGTCTCAGGTTACAACACCCATTGAGTCTTCCGCGATTTGGAGAGATGATCATATGGTGGGACTAAGCCGACAGACTAGTCTATGACAAAGCTGATACCTGTATTTAGTCATCTCGATAAGCAGTCTTCTAACTGAAAGTGTTTGCAAGGCTGCTAGATCAATGATGTCTCACCACATTGTTGGACACTTAGTCAAGCAGATCGTGAGCCGCTCGGTCCTGTTAATGTCTCAGCAGATCAGGTCCGGCTCAAGGATCGGAAAAACCCGCGACATGCGCGACGGACAGCGGAAGTTGAATGTTCCGAGTGAGACTGTCTCATGTATAAAAAGGCGATTGGGGGGTTTTGAGACAGATATTGACACCTATTGTCTGTACCAAGGGTGATTGAGACCCATTGTTCACCTGACTGTTGAGATAATACCTGTTAGGGTGGAGTACATGTGGGTACGTACTTCTACTACAGTACACTACAGACGAGAACAACTTCAACAGTGTATATTGTGGGTGAATATCACGGCTGGGGACCAAAAGAGTTGTCAGATGTATTTCTTTGGCGGATATCTTTCTAAAAATACTAGTATCACTTCTCACAGTCATGCTTACATGTACATCTATTCACTTGTACTTGTAGCACATCTGTAACCCCAGTGTCTCAGCATGTCCAACCTATCGGGTTCATTGGCGTCTTCGGAGTCGTCCGGCTAGTTTATCAGATTCTGCTGAGCTTTGAAATCTGTTGAGATGATTATTCTTCTGGAAATTCAACTTGCGGGGTGAAAAACTTCACAAACTCCGCTGAAGTGCCTGGGCAGGGATGGATACCGTCTGACGATAAGCCTCCGACGAAGCTTCTGATGCTAAGCCTCTGACAATACAGCCTCCGAAGATACGGATTCAGACGATACAGCTTTTGATATTCTGAATTCCTGACATTCTGAGTCCCTGACATTCTGAGTCCCTGACATTTGAGCTCCTGGGACTGCTATACTGCAGCGTAAGTAAATCTAAGTAATCTGAACAGATGGGATCTCAGAAAAACCCGGATATATGAATATTTTGTGAGAAGAGTGTCCATATTTTATTCTGGAATTTGATTAGGGTCCCTCTGGCAACATCTTGGTATCGTCACAATCTCAGTAGCGCCTCTGGAACATTGATTTTGCACCCCCAGCTGATTTTTTTCTTTAAGTAATTGTCAAGTAATTGGCTACCCGTTCCAAAATCAGAGAAAGAATGCCAACCGATGGGAGAGTGTCAAATTATATAAATAGACACGGTAGTAACATTGAAGATATACTCAGAACTCATCAGATGAGCTTTTTCCTTTTTTATTCATCACCCTCAGCCGTGAACCACCATTATCGACTACCCCGAGTAATTTAGTTGATGATAGTTATAAGTTCAAGTATGGCTTAATACACTCACTATTGACTTTATATTCTGCCGAATTGTCAGCGTAAGCACATCAATTGACCACGTGACCTAACTCCCACGTGATCTAAAACCCCTTCCCCCACTTACCCGTGCGATATCTCCTCAATCCACCACCCCTCCACTCTCTTATCTAGGCTGTAAGACATTTTCCTTAGTTGAACCTTGTAGGCACTCCACCTGCCCACCAAGGGTTTGAGGATACTCTCCAAGTGTTGATAAAGAAGAGCAAATGGAAGGCAGAGACAAAGATACTATTCCTAGCTCCCTTCTATCTTTTCAGATACGACTTTTATCGCTCTTCCTCGCCCGCTGTCAACTTACCCTACCTACTGATAAGCGCATGGCCGTATGCACAAGTCTGCATGTTGCGAGATACGGCACGAGGACCTGTGCATTTTTCAGAGCTTCACCAAAACAATCAAACGGGATTGGAGCGGCGTAAATCGACACAAACAGGCCTTTTCTGTTGTTCTACAGTGATAAGGACGCGCCAGCGACTTGACCGGCGCCACAGAACACACAAAATACACAAGACAACTTATTTATTGCCCCCACCCTTTCATCATCATAATCATCATCATCATCATCCCCTTCTGACACCCTCAGTATATGATCAATCAACCACTACCACATGAGCCAATACAGTCGCCACGCGTTCGATACCGACTCCGACTCGGATACGGAGCTGACTCCAATCTACATCGATGACCGTTACTCGTCAATGGTCAGTAACGACTCCAGAGCAGGCTTACTAAGACGAGGAGGTGATCTGGAAAGAGACGCCGAGAGCGAAAAGACCCGCGAAGAGAAAGAGGAGGAATTGAGAAACCACAGCTTCAGCAAGTCAAGGGATAAAACGAGGGAGACAGTCGCCGACGCCACTCTCGAATCCAGCTCTTGTGTAGACTCACAATACGACACAGTGGAGACAACCTCTATTTTTTCTGTGGGGCGCAAAAAGGCCATCAATTCACCGTATCCAGAAGTACGGGCTGCTGTACCTGCTACTGACGACCCTCTAATGCCGCAAAATACCCCCAGAATGTGGGTCATTGGCATCTTTCTGGTCACCATCTGTTCTGGACTCAACATCCTCTTCACTCTGCATTGGCCAGCATTCGTCATATCGTCCTTTTTTGCAGCCATGGTGGCATGGCCTCTGGGACGAATATGGGACCAGTTTGTGCCGAATTGGAGAATCCCCCTGACTAACATCTACCTCAACAACTCCCCCTTCAACATCAAGGAGCATTGCCTGATTATCGTCATGGCCAACGTCTCCTATGGAACGGGCGTCTCCTACGTCCCCGTCATTGTGCTGACGATGAAACACAGATACAACAACACATATTTCGGCTGGGGCTTCAGTATTGTCAGTTCCATTTGTGTGCAATGTCTTGGTTACGGCATGGCGGGCATCTGTAGACGTATCTTGGTCTATCCTGCCTCTCTCATCTGGCCCAGTAATTTGGTCACCACCACTTTTCTCACTAACATTCACATGAATGTGAACCATACTGCCGACGGGTGGAAGATTTCTCGTCTGCGGTTTTTTCTCATTGTTTTTTCCGCCTACTTTGTCTGGAACTGGTTACCGGGCTATCTGGCGCCTTTTTTGTCCAATTTCGCCTTTGTGACGTACGCAGCTCCCGACAATGTCATTGTGAACCAGATTTTCGGGTCATCTTCCGGCCTGGGGCTCATCCCCATCAACTTCGACTGGAACGTCATTGCCGGTTACATTGGCAGTCCTCTGGTTCCGCCTTTCTTCTCTATCGGAAACGTGGCAGCAGGAGTGGTGGTCATTTTCTGGATCATCACCCCTATTTTGCACTACTCCAACGCCTGGTACGGGCGATACCTGCCCATGAGCGATTCCAACTCGTATGACCGATTTCAAAGGACTTATGATGCTGAGAGAGTACTCAAACCGCTTGTCAAGGGCGGTAAAAAGAAGTTTGAATTGGATGTGGAAAAATACAAAGAGTATTCGCCGTTGTATCTGTCCACGACATTTGCTCTTTCCTACGGCGTCTCCTTTGCCGCTATCACATCCACGGTTGTCCATACCATTCTTTTCCACGGCAAAGAAATCATGTACTACTGGAAACACAGCCGAAAGGAGCCAGAGGATGTGCATATGGAACTCATGAGAAAGTATCCCGAGGTGCCCGAATGGTGGTACGCACTGGTTCTAGCCATCTGCTTTGCCCTGGCTTGTGTCACGGTCTCCGTGTGGGAAACAGACTTGCCCATTTGGGCTCTTATCATTGCCCTTCTCATCGCTGGAGGTCTGCTTATCCCGGCAGGTATGATTGCGGCACTGACCAACGTGACCATGGGTCTCAATGTGCTAACCGAGTTTGTCGTGGGCTACATTCTTCCCGGACGACCGGTCGGCATGATGTTTTTCAAAACCTTTGGCTACATTTCAAACGCACAAGCGCTCAACTTTTTGGTCGATCTCAAACTCGGCCACTACCTGAAACTGGCTCCTCGAGTCATGTTTTGTGCCCAGATACTGGCCACAACGTGGGGCAGCATTTGCCAGCTGGCTGTGGTGGAATGGGCACAGATGGCGATCCCAGATCTGTGTGAAGAGTCGCAAAAGACAAACTTCTCCTGTCCCCAGGTCCAGGTCTTTTACTCCGCGTCCGTCATCTGGGGCCTGGTGGGACCTGGCCGTATTTTCGGCGAAGGGCAGCTGTACCATGGGCTCTTGTGGATGTTTCTGGTGGGTGCAGCCTTGCCTTTTTTTTCGTGGCTGTGGCTGAAACGGCACCCCAACTCTCGGCTCAAGTTCATCCACTGGCCTGTGTTCTTCAACGGGCCTTCTCAAATTCCGCCCGCCACCCCCTACAACTACGCATCGTGGTGTGTGGTAGGGTACATTTTCAACTGGCTGATTAAACGGCGGTGGTTCAACTGGTGGGCCAAGTACAACTACACACTGAGTGCAGGGCTGGATGTGGGGATGGCTGTCAGTGCAGCGGTCATTTTTGTGTCGTTGCAGCTGCCCAATATCAATCCTCCGTCGTGGTGGGGAACCAACATCTTTACGCCGACGATGGATATTCAGGGCAATGCTTTTCAGGAGGTGTTGAAGGAGGGCGAGAGTTTTGGTATGAAGACGTGGAAGTGAACGGTGAGTGCGAGACACCAGTACAGGGACTATTCTGGGTTCAGGCCTCGAGGCGTATGTCTACATACAAGTGCTGTACGACAAGTCTCTACCGTTCTCGTCAATGGATCACTATAGAATGCCGTTCATGACGGTTCTAAAAACTGCATCTCGAAAAAGATATGAGTCGATGTTTGCATAATAGAGTATTAGCATGTGATTGAGAGAGATGTGAGTAACTATGCATACAAGTTCTGAACTTGTAATGTACAGTAGAGCTGAGTTGTTGGCAGGAGGATGATAGGTTGGCGATGCTTGGCTGTTCTATGGCTATTCTACAGTACATCGGTTTATTGCACTTCACAACATCTTGCCAATAGTGGATAAACAGTTGATTCTAACTTGTTGCTCAAATCAAAACTCATCTCTTCATACTGAGTGGAATCATCACTACTTCTAAACGCCTTGAAGTGGCAGAGTTCACGCCGCCCGTGACGTGAGTAGCACACATGTCACCTCTCAGATGGTATTATCGCATTTGTTAGTTTGCTATCCCTGTCTTTGGTTCTCCCTGTTCGTTCGTGAAGTCAGGGCTAAACGGCTTTGTCATCTCTCCCGACTGAAAGTCGAAGGAACACTTTGAGCACACTTCTAGTGGTACCAAGTCGAATCTGGCCGTGTCATGATCGCTTTCATCTAATTATTACTTCCATAGCGTCTCTAGATGGAAACTTATCTGACTTCGTATGTGGACTTGAGTAAATCAGTACGGGCTATGGATAATGTCCTAGAGATATAATGTGGTGCCATATGGGAGCTGGCATGATTCTCAATGCGAAAAGTTGTATTCCCGTCCATCATATCTCTTCTCTTGTTCTCCAAAAAGGGCGTTTTCTTTCGTATCTTGTGGCACTCACTTTTGTCACTGACCTCCATAATTAACCAACTAAATTAACAAAAATACTTACATATATAGTTGATAACAAAAGTCGACTTTGAGTTTGCTCAGGCACGGCACTCGAGTCACGCGGAATTAATTGTGGATTTTCGCGGCTCTAAATTGGTTTGAGTTTTGGATTGAAAACTCGGAACAATTGAGTCGCAAAAACTCCCTCTTGGAGGCATATTTCTGTGATTAAAAGTGCACAATGTGAATTTACGTGACTTTAGGTACAAAATGATACCACTCTTGTCTCCGAGGGATAACTTTGGCGTGTTCTGTGAGTTCAGACGAGCAATATATTGGACTATTGCCTATCTAGCTCTTGCTTAGATGGATTCACGTTTCGAGCCCCTAATTTTCAACTTATGACAAAAATAACGACATTTTAGTAGTGTAAAGTGAACGCGACGAATACGCTAGTATGTTTCTACTTTCGCCATCTCTCCTGGAAGACTTGTTGGACAGGATGAGGTATATCACTCTACAAACGGCTTTAACATATTATATGACGGATTGAAAAGCTAAAGGTGAGGAGTGAGATTCGAGGAGATGTTACCCAAATAATCGTTTTTCGTGACTTTTTCTTCCATCATATCAATCCCTCTGTTGACATCGTAACAATGATGTGATTTTAATTGCTCTATGGTCTTTGTGTCGTCAGCTAGAGCGGTTCAAACCCACTGAATGGCCATGTATGGCTGAGTTCACCAGTGTTGGAGAAAATACAGTATCGATGGTGTTTGAAAACCGATGCCAGTGCTGTTATTATACTGCATCTGCTTTATTTGCACTTGACTGTCTGTTTTGCCGTGTTTCTCCTCTCCTTCTTTCAATCGAATTTCTCACCATCACGGAATGCCCACTGTTTGGAGTGGGAATTGCAGAAAATCTCGATACTTCGACAACCAAATAGGTCTCCGGAGTGCTCATTTACGTCTGGGTGGGCATGTACGGCGCCACTGTCGGCCCGCTGACCTACTTCATAGTGTCTGAAACCTCGTCGGTCTACCAGCGTTCCGTTAATCATAGCTCTGGCTTCCATCGCAACTACTTCAAGACTCATGCAAAGAAGCGGAGCTAACGGCTCTAGAAGCCTCCCGCAAAAATATCTGTCGAGTCAGTGTAAGCACTCACAACTACTTGTAGTAGCTCCATCTCTTCTTCCATCATCTCTAGACAGAGGGGTATTGGTTGGTCACAGGTGAGTGGCGAAATGATTGCTCTCTTCAGCCGAGGCGTTCATAGTGAACTTCATCAACGCCTGCTGGTCTGTACACTGTACTGTTTTATAAACCGTGCTCCTAGTTGGAAAGCGACCTGGGATTCTGTTGATAACATGTCTCGTGGATAAAACAAGGGCATCCAGACTGCAGTCTTGGAGTCTTGGGCGATATCACACATGATCCGGGTAGTACCAAGGCAACTTCAAAGACAGCAATAGGAACAGAACTAGTAGATAAACTACCCTTGTCAGACGTTGCCACTTGATCTGATAGAGGTACCAACGACTCCCTGGATCCATGGACTGTCGTGTTTACAAAAAAGCATCTGCCTCTCGAAACTTCCAGGTCATCATCTATAGTCACTGATCTTCTTTAAACACTCTTTCTGACCCGTGAGTAGACATTGTGTCGAAAGATTATTATCCAACAGTAAATACTTGATCTTTCCGGTGATTATATAATACTTTTGAACTTCACTTGCGGTCACAGCAGATAAGTCGCTTTTAATTTAAACTTAACAAATTTCAACAAATGTCTTAACTGGAGCGGTTGACTATTCCAACGAATATGCTGATTATCCACTTATTTAATTACTACAAGGGTGTACTTTCTTCAATTATTAGATAGCATTTCCCACCTTAACTACCTTCTGGTCCACTTTTCTTCCCCCTACGACTTTGGTAGCCTGAGATAGCCACCCCCAGCCCACCCTTTCTTCAACTAATTCCAACTAAATGCAGATGTGTTCAGCCTAAATGAAATGATTTTCTGAGCTGCGTGGTACCACGTGATACTGAGGTATCTACTTGTGGCGTTGTGAGGCAAGTGGGAGATTTGCGCCAATCGATTCATTGCCACCAATTAATTCACCAATGTCACAAAAAATGACTGCGGCTTGGTGCTCTCTACACCTCCATTGCGCTGTGCTTTGGTAAGACACTCTCCCCACGAGAGAGAGAACGAGCTGTGGTGTTGGTGATATTGGTAAGTGTGGACTCTTACAGCTCAAAGGAACACTCTCTTAGATTCGCCCGTCAACCTCCTTGGACTCACCAGCTAGCGGTCTGTTTCCCCCCCAGCATTCTAAAGAGCATCAACGAGTTCTGGTTGGTGTGATTGTCGGTAAGCGTCGACAACACTTGATGATAAGCCCCCTCGGATAAAACCCGTCCACAAAGGTCTCGTTTTCGTCGCAGATTCACACTCACGACCCTATACCACAGCGTACCTTCCACAGCTTCCACCCTGCTCCATACGGCAAACAACACTGACGGTTTTGGAGTTTCAGGCTTTCGGCCGACATCAGGAGCTATCATGGGTGTTTACTGTACTCAAAAGAACAGAAGCGGTCCGCACAAGAATTGTTCCCTGGACCCCTTTCCGACGTACCAGCGATTGAAATAATGTGACAAATGTCGAGAACAGTGGTGACACCTCGTCGTAGTCCCATCACCTAACAAGACTCTGAGTGGGGTTGCTATAGAGCAATGGGGTCATTTTACTGTATTGTAATCTCCTACTAGTTCATATTGGATGGTAATTGGAGAGTCATAGATGTCCACCTGCCCCCTTGGATGAGCTCGCGCGTTGAACTGGTGAACTGACTCGTTTTTTTTTTGTTCCACGTACTGTACCCGAGTGACTTGGCAATCTACAAGTACAGTATGTACTCCTTGGAAGATCCTAGTGACATAATCATCCAGAGTACAGTATTGTACAGTACATGTATTGCATCGAATACCACCGTTCTCTCTCTTGTGCCGGATAGCACAGTCTAAGGAACTGAAGGACACCTCGAGAGTATCCGAGTTCCCCTTCAGCCACACTGAGAAGGATGTCCACCATGGGTGTTACCACTCACAGTACAGCTACACCAACAATATCACGCAAATCGCTAATGTTGCACTTTAGAGAACTCCAGATCTACAAGTAGCTCTTCATGGCCTTGTTTCCTAGAGTCATGTCAGATCTCTCAGGTTGAACCCGAACCACATTGAGGTATAATGAAGGTACATCCGCCATCAAGAATATAATTAACGACCTTTCGCTTTCCACCTTTCTCTCCTGAAGCCACTCCTGTCCCTGTATACTCATTCTACAATGACACTTACGATCATGCTAGAAAAAGCAATCCCAGACCTCTCATGCACGGTTGTTTCAACATGAAACGAAGGAAAAACGAACCTGCAACTTCTCAGACGCTCAGTGCCGAAGACAACTCTCAAACTGTCCAAAAGAGCCGAAATCAACTCTCTGATCGACGCTCAGTACCGAAACCAACCCTCAGACCGTCCAAAGTGTCTCAATACAGCAATCGCAGAAGTTCACGATTTTAGATGCCCTGTGCGGCTTCCAACGTTAAACTTTCAACATTGAGTCATTATGACTCAACTGCTGAATGTCGTATACCAGAGTCCCCAGATCATTGCGGTGGAAAACGGCCGGTTCCACATCCAAAAGCGAATAATTCAGCCTCACGGACGCTGGAGATCTGGAGATCACGTGATCACACACTCCGTCTCCGGCAGTTACCCTGACTACACCATTTTTTCGCACTAAACAGCGGCGCCGTCCCATTCACATTAGACAAAGGCATAAACTCGGCTAAAAAAAAAAACTATTTTTGCAGAGTGGTTATTTTCTTTTTGCTGGATTTTGTTGGAATCAAAGAAGAAACTGAGTAGACTCTAAGTAAAACGAACTGTGAGTGAACAGTTGACGGGGTCTTCAGAATAGTATTTGACAAGGATGTAGGGGTTTAAAAGCGTATCGTTGAGTATTTTTATTGGTGGGATATTCATATTTTAGTCGCTCGTCACGTTTTTTACCCCAATTAGCACTCTATGACCACCCATCCCGTACCTCGTACCAGCCTTCAACTAACATGTCCAATAGCTCGGGCTCAACAAAATTAGCGTCGATCTGCACCTCTTGCTGGAGTCTAAAACATGTCTAAAATAAGCGAGTTGAAAAACCTCCATTGCGACCAGACCCCTTCACTGCCTCGTTTAACGCCATGGTGATGTTCAAAAGGTCAAAGAAGACCGTGGAGACCGTGGAAACGCTGCCGACGGGTGCGGACACTGACAATGCCCGGTTACCGGACAAAAACGGACTCGAAACACACAACGAAAAGTGTAGGCCAGAAGGAACGACAAACGATACAAACGACACTAACGAAATGATGCCCGACCGCGAAAAGAACGGAGCACGACCACCAATCTTCAGTTCCACGTGGAAAGAAATTATCTGCATTTTCCTGCTTGCTCTCAGTCCCGTTCTGGAAGCCCTCACAACTGGAGCTCTTCTGGTGGCCCTGGATAAAATCGGCCAGAGCTACAAGATTGAGGGAGGACAGCTGTCATGGACTCTGTCGGCCTTTTCCCTCGGCACTGGATCGTCTCTTCTGATCATGGCAGGTCTGGCGGACTCGTTTGGGCGCAAAAAAACCCTGATTGCAGGATACACAGTGTTTGCCGCCACCTCTCTCATTTCCGGGTTCATGAAGAACGATGTGGCCTTTGACGTGCTGCGAGCCATCCAAGGCGTTGCCACCGGAGCCGCGATTCCTGCCTCGGTCGGAATTCTCGGCTCAATCTACAGAAAGCCCAGCAAACGAAAAAATCGAGCCATGGCTGGTTTTGCGGCTGGAGCACCGCTGGGGTTTGTGGTGGGCCTGGTAGTGGGCGGCATTTGCGGCGAGTTCATTGGCTGGCAGGGAATTCTCTTCTTCTTTGCCATCATGTACTTTCTGGCTGCACTGGCCTGTGTCTGGTACGTTCCACCAGACCCTCCCATGAGCAAACCAGAAGTGATTGAGAAGCTCAAAAATCTCGACTACGGAGGAGCAGCCCTGTGTCTGGCGGGATTCACGCTCTTTGTGTTCGCCATGACCCACGCAGACAGCACAGAGAAGGGCTGGAAGACTCCCTACATCATTGGTCTGTTTGTGACCGGATTCGTGCTCATTGTGCTGTTTGTTCTCTACGAATGCTACATTGCCAGCAACCCAATCATGCCGCCTCACATCTGGAAATGCAAGGGCTTCGCTGTCTGTATGGCCTGTGTGGCTTTGGGTATGTCCACCTTTCTGGGGACCACTCAATTCTACATTACTATGTATTTCCAGAATATCAAGGGCACCAATCCGATTCTTACCACCGCTTACTTTGTTCCCATGGTGGTGGCCGGTATCTGTGTCAATGTCTTTGCTGCCATGACTCTACATCTCATCCCTGGCCGGTTTCTCATGATGCTGGCCCAGGCCGGCTTCTTTGGAGCAGCTCTGCTCATGGCTCTGGTTGGAGTACACACTTCCTACTGGGCCATCCCCTTCCCCGCAGAAATCCTCTCAGTTATCGGAGCAGACTTGCTCTACAACGTGTCTACTCTGCTCACCATTAACTCGGTCAGTGAGGATCTGCAAAGTCGAGCAGCAGGTATCTTCAACACCATTGCCATGCTGTCTGCAGCTGTCGCTCTTGCTGCTGCCTCTTCCATTGCCTCGGCCAAGGTCAGTGCCGACGAGACCCACAAGGTGTCCAAGGAGACACTGCTCGACTCTTATCATGCTGCCTTTTGGTTCTCGGTCGGTACATCAGCGGCGGGCTTGGTACTGTCCTTCTTCCTGGATCTGGGTACATCCGGCGGAGATGAGGGGAAGGACGTGGATCAGGATACGGAGGAGGTGGAGACGGATTCCATCACCGGCGTCAATAACAACTAGCCTATGCCACCATTATCAACACACTTGAAACTAATATAGACGCTTATATATAATACCACTACTAATTGCATGTTTGAATTGAAGACGAGATATGGCAGTTGGAAAGAATTGTACAACTCCTTACAATAGAACACACAGAGAACGTATATCCACCCGGACTTGATATTTACATGTATCGGACAAAAACAATGTCAGTCTTCGTACTGTACTCAGAAAATGAATTGAAGCTCATCTGGAGTAGGTGATGAGATGACTTGACGGCATATCGATGTGTACAGGTAGGCCGATTAAAACACATTTCTATACTCACAAGCACCTTTAGCAAAGTGTTTAACTATTATATCAACTTTTCCTGACCATCACGCAAGACTATTACGCATCACGCCGGACAATTCGTTTGGGGGCCCTGTATCATTGCAGGTATCACTGGACATGAGATAGACTGCTATTCTTAGTATATTCAGCAGTGAAATACATTGATGACTTCAACAAATGCAAATTATGACCTTTAATTCCTTCTTTTTCAACTCTAGCTTCCTTTTGCAAGTCCAGACGTTCCGAAAACACTTCTTGGTCCGCTCTACAACCATTCCTCCAATCATCCTCTAACCATCTTCTAACCATCCCTCCAACACTTCTCCAGCTCTTACCCCCTCAGCCAGAGGACCCGTCCCTTTCAATACCACTGCTTAAACTCTTCAAACCGCCTTCTGAGAACCTTTATAAAAATTTCTGCTTTCGTAGTCCGCTCGCAAGCCCAAGTCCAACCGCACAACTCACCCCGCCTTTCTACAAGCTGTTCCACGGTCCAGCGGTAAATCGCTTCATCAACAGAACGCTTCGTCAATTACTGCCTAGACCTTGGACCCCAAATTCCGGAAACATACGTTCTAGATCATCATGTATTGGTCCTGCTGGGGGAACATGTCTGTCAGAACCCATTCGACTGCTTTGTCAATACTCAACTGAAATCAAGCACTTTTAATCAGTATCGACAACTGTCAATCACTGCCACTTCTCCGGACGCTCTTTCAGCTCTTCCAGACGATCCCAACAGTTGTGTCAACTGGAGTTGGAGATGTTCCCTCCAAAATAGACACGATGCGCTGAGTCCAGTCTTTGAGTTGATTATTCCATTGGATAAGCAACAGAATTCGTCTCTGAGAAGTCCCTGTGTGTTTTCAAGGAGTTCTTGGTCTGTTGAACGGGGCTACAGTGTCACCAATATGCGTTTGGAGGAATAACCGAGAAGAGAACGAGCTGAAAATAACAAATAAGTGAATGGAGTCTGTAGATGAATTTGATCACATCTGCTCATTTCGACTCTCGACTCTCCATACATTTACTTCTGTGGAATACTTGAAGGAACAAATTGGTCAAATGAGGGTACAGACGAAAGAGACCTTGCGTATTGCAATACTCTGCATCTATCTAGCAATAACTAACCGCCCTGTCATCCATCCAGTTTCCACCCTTCAAGCACCTGAATCCACCATATCAGCCTACAACACTCTCCAACATTTTCCTCTCATTATTTCCTAATTACTGTACATATCCCTTTTCATCACTCGTCTCTTTTTGGATCCTGAGCAGAGCTAATGAGCTTAACTACAAGTTCTCATTGCTCAAGGTCGCTCATGGCTACTCATGACCTGCCTGGTGATTAGACCAGTCGCTACGCTGGTGACGTGTTCATCTCCCAGCTCAGAGCAGGTCACTCACCCTCACCTTCTTTCTCAGTCCATCGAACTCTCGCTTCGCAGACTCATGTCCGCCCACACTCGAGCGTCTCCGTCGCGCAGGAGACGCCGGTAGAATCGTCGTCGACGTCATACCGTCCGCTGCTGGTGCAGCTTGCGTCTGTGCATCTCCCGATGTGGCTTCTCGCAACGGCGGCAGCACCACATCACTGTCCTCGAGCACATCGTCGTCGTCGTCCACCTTGATGCCGGCCTCCTCCAGCTTTTCCTGCTGCAGCTTGCATCGTTTTTCCAGCACACGGTTGCGGGTCTCAAGTCTGTGCAGCGCCGAACGCAGCAGCATTTCCGACTCCCGCATGGACGCCTCGGAGCGTCTGGCAGCCTGTTCTGCGGCCTCCACCTCGGCAACCCGGCTTCGGAACAGATCGTTGACGAGTTCCAGCTCAGACAGCCTCGTCTTGAGGTCTCCAGGGCCAGATGAACCTGCACCTGCACCTGCAGTATGCGGTCCACCTGCGCCTCCGTGCTCGCCCTGGCCGGTCAGGTATGGCGACTGACTTGCAGCTGCACTCAGTTGGTCGAGCGCACTGTTGGGGAGAGCACCAGGCGGGTTGTTAGACAACAGCAGAGGCGACGTGATCTTTTTGAGTGTCGGAGACCCGGAGCCAGCTGCCGGAGTGGCTGGAGCAGTTGCCGCGGAAGGAGTGGCGGGGGCAGTGGCTCCTGCAGCAGGAGTCGCAGTTCCCGAGGGGGCAGTGGAGCCATTTCCTCCGTTACCACCATTACTGCTGCCTCCAGTTAACGAGCCAAATCCAGGAAGACTAGGAGACTGCTGCTCGCGGAACTGTGGCGAGGCATACTGCTGCGGTGGGGGTAGGTAATGCTGCTGCGGGTGGTCCTTCATAGCGGCCATTGGGTGTAGCGGCGCGTGCTGCTGGGCGCCCGGGTGCGGGTGCGGGTGCGGGCCGTGTTGCTGCTGATGGTGCAGTGGCGCCTGGCCCTGCCACATGTGTGGGGGCGGGTGGTGGCCAATGTGGGTCACGTGCATGGGCACGTGCATGCCCGGGGGCGCGTGTTGGTGGTGGGGTGGCGGCGGTGGGCCGTGGGGGTGCTGGGAGTGAGGAGCCCCGTGTTGCTGGGGCGGATGGGGCCCGTTGTGGTGGCCCTGGTGCTGGGGGTGGACGTGGGGCAGGTGGGAGGCGGACACCACCGAGTATTGGACGCCGTGAGCGACGGCCGGGTTACCGGGTCCGTGGCCGTGGTTTTTGATCCGGTTACGCGATTTGATGACGTTGGTTTTAAGACTGATGGGGCGTGCTCGGCCGTGCAGCTTAAGGAACAGGCCACACGCGTTGCAGAGCACCTGTCCCGCCTCGTCACGTCGCCAGAGCGGGGTGGTGGAGGTCTGGCAGTTTTGGCACACGGGCGTGAGCGAAAACTGGCCCCGCCCGTTGTCCTTGTCCTTGGATGGGGCGATAGGCGCATCCGACGACCCAGCGTTGGGCGCGGTGGAAGAGCTGGCGCCGGTGGGGGTTACGGAGGCGGAGTTGGGGGTGGCAGAGTCGCTTCTCGCCTCTCCTGCCGTCTCGGACGTGTCGTTTTTCGGTTCGTTTTTGATGTCGCTGTTGGTGTTGGTGTTGACGTTGGCGGTGGCTCCGTTCGTGCCACCAGAAGGAGAGGGACATGTCGAGGCGTTGGTAGAAGGTGGGGGGTTAGTGGTGGGGTTGGAGGGAGCGCCAGGCGCGGAGGGCGCGGCGGCGGACCCGGTTGTGGGTGGCTCCGCTCCTCCAGCTTCTCCAGCAGTCACTCCTGGGGCTCCCGCTTGTGCTTCCTCGCCCTCGACCTTGACCTGGGGCTCAGGGCCAGCCCCGACAACAACCGGCGTGAAACCCATTGTAGCAGCAGACATAATATTCCTTCACGTGGGGCGTTCTATCCAAATCCTCCGCTGTCCAAGCCGACTGTGGGGTTTTTGTGTTTCAAGGTGATGCAAAATTTTCCTATCGCTCACTATCGGCTATTTTGGTTATCGATATCATCCCGATTGGGATGTGGGTAGGGGTTGTGGTAGAGTTAGTGGGGAAATGAACTCGAAGATAGAAGATCAATTTTAGACGAGTAGATGATAATGTCCGTAAGATGTAAAAATATGTATAATATTTATTGGGACGATCTTCTAATTTAGATATTTTTAAATTTCTTATATCTCCAGTTTTGAAATTTATATGGATTTAATTCTCCGTTTTCACACCAAGTTTCTTTCTCCCAATACCCCCTTTAAACACTCACGTGAGTCCCAAACTTTATTGAGAAGACTTTGCAAAATAATATCTGTAAATTCGGACAGCGATTGAATCGCGGTAATAAGGGTATCATAAAACAAGTTAAACCGGGACGATTCCAAGTATGTATTTTTTCCACATGTTTTCCCCTCCAGCGCTCTTCTACACACCCCTCAACCAAATGGAAACCTCCAGAACCTAAACTTCAAATTAAGGTTCCATCAACAAAGCACATAATCATGTGACAGTGCAGATTTTAATCTTCTCTTATTGGTCAGTGCTAGATAGTGCACGTATTGCGTGATAAGAAACAGCGTGAAACGGGCCAATACGAAGAGAAGAAAATTCCCCAAAAAATCCAGGACATTCTCCTGCGAGATCAAAACTCACTTGCGTCAAATCTGCGATTTTCTGACCAAGGTTGCTATTTGTTTGCGCTCTTTTTTCATCTCCCCCACCTTGCACGATAAGATAACCTATCTAGAAACTATAAATTTGAAGGACACGCGATAGGTGATAACGTCACGTGATAATAAAGAGGATGGAGATAAACCAAAGTCGATGGGGAAGACGGCGGGGATTTCCAAACAAGAAATAATCAAATACTAGCACGTGAGGAGAGTCTGAGGGTGAGGGGGTTTCAATCACGTGACTCGTATTGGTGTCAGGGCAATTCTTCCAAGTTTTTGAAATCCCTGTAGGGTTATTGGTTACCCGGACATGGGGGAGGCTGGTGTCAAAAAAAAACATACCAGCCGTAAAAACTTTTACCCGGAGGAGGTAGGGTAAATGTTGGTTGAAAGCAGTGGGATTAGTAAGGAAAAAGAAATGTGAATGGAAATTTTGAAGGAAAATTAATTTGAAGGAAAATGTGACGGAGAAATTTGACGAAAAATGCGAAAGGAGAACTGTGCAAGGAGAAATGTGAAAAGAGAAATTGGGAGAACAAAAACTTGTGTACTTGTTGGGTGGTATTGGAGATATGGGATAACAGAAACGGTCTATTAGGATTCTAGATATGATAAATCCAACGGTCAACTCCTCGCTTTTGTCGGAGGCGCGATTCTCCTGTTATAAGCCATACTCTTCTCTCACAACGGTGTTGTCATACAATGATATAGCTGTTTTGGTTACAGAAATACCAGTGTCCATGTAGGTCGAACCTTTTGTTGCTTGGTATGTTGACTCTTTCTCCTTCTCCTGTTTTGATTCTAACAGACTAACTGTCTGTCTCCAATACTTGTAAAAGTCGTCAGTACAGACCCAGCTCTGCGGTCAATGAACAGACACAGTTGAGGACTCAAGAGTTCAAATTCGTGTTAAAAAAAAAAGCATTCAAATACACTCAAAGTCGCCTAGCTTAGTCATTCTCTGTCGGTGGATCTTGAGAGCCCGTGTTGTATGTTGTTCAGACATACGTTGATGGACACAACAGAACATAACGGTGTCTTGAACAATAGCAAGAGTTTTATAAATCTCGCCAAATGGATGTAGCCATTGGTTGAAACGTTCATTGAAACATCTCTGATACTTCCTCCTATCGCCAGAACATGTTTATGACCATCCAAAGGCCTCCTTTTTGAAAACAAAAGTCACTAGTAAACTGCCCTACCACAGCTTGGAAACCTGGGAAATTATCATCTGGCGAGATCCAGTGAACAGTCTGGCGACATAAAATAACTTCATTCTTCTCTTCAGCTCGATATTGTGCAACAAGCACATCATAGCCAGAGTCCTCACTGCTGAACGCCCGTCCTCTACAATTAATAGAGCCATTGACAACCTGGAGACTTAACAGAAGTCCTTCTAGCATCATTTGCTGCCATATTTAAAAAAATCAGCTCTCTGCCACAATTTTTCGAGCTCGATTGTAAGAGTCGAACCAGTTTTCAAAAACCTATCTCCGCCTAGTTGGACTTTAGTTAAGACTGAAAGTGACCTGGGGGTCCAAATAATGGGTTCCAGGGAAGCGACCAAAACATAACCACTACCATTCAATTTAGCTCTCAACGCCTCATTTCCTCATCCCAAGTTCACCCTACTTTCTCATACAATATTTCCACATACTCGCACTTCCGTATCCGGCTCGTACTCAAATTTACTTATCCTGTACTTGACCTTTCCCAACAGAATCCCAACAGAACATATCCACCAAGTCATAACCTATCCCGATCCAAATCTACACACATTATGTTTCTCTCTCTCTCTTAATTGCTCATAACCTGTAGTTGGTCACGTGCCTTATCACGTTCACCGAACACCAATTATTCCACACGCGCGAGCTGAGGTTCATGCATGAGTGCCCATCCAACCACATTTGATTATAATATTTAGAGTTCCTAGGGTGGACTTAGTAATCGTAGACGGGGCCATTTATCTGGCGATGTAGTAGTCCAAATACAAAAATAATTACATGGCCATTTTCTCCTCATTCAGATGTTCATTTTGATACCCCCAACCCCCCAAATTGTCACACCTGCATGTTCACATATCAGATCCTCCAAACCCCCACCCCAACCTTTCCTCTACACACAGCAATGTCCGACGTAACGCATTTTTCGAAAGTCGTGGCGGCCACGGCGTCGACGTTGGTGTCGGGCGATCTGAGCCAGAGTCACGTGATGCGCGACATTTCGCGGCCCGCGTTCCAGAAGCGAATTTTTTCCTTCTCGAAGCGGCCGTCCGAGTTGGTTCGCATCACCTCTTCTTCCAAGGACGTTTTGTTGCCGGATGAGATGCTGGTGGACATTCCCAGCAACGAAAATCAGTTTTCGCTGTTTCAGGGCTTCCAGGCCACGCTTCCGGAGCACTCTGTGGGCTCTCAGCTGCTTCTGGGGGATGGATCAAAAGTCGGCGAAAAAAGTGCTCGAGAACAGCTGGTGGAGGGCAAGAAGAGCCTGAGTCACAAGCTGGACTTGTTGGAGGTGCGCAAGGCACTGGCGGCAAATGAAATCACCGAGATTGACGCTCGAGTGGCGCACTTGCAGTCCATGCGACAGATTGTGTTTGACAGAGTGGCGTCTTTGGAGCAGCAGGAGTTCCAGCTGGAAAGTGAAGTGCTGCGAATCGATGCAGAGCTGGAACAGATGGAGGAGGAGAAGGAGGAGGTAATCCAGAGACATGATTACGAGACCCGAACCCCGGAGGAGTTGGAGGATGATGTGGTCGATCTGAAGAGTGTGTCTGAGAAACTACAGAGCGCAAGTCAAAAGACCCTTCCCCGACGAAACCTCAGCCGACGAAAAACGCAACCCACTCTGCAACAGTACTACGAGCCAGGCAACAAGATCCGACAAATCAAAGCGCATTCCGATTCGGTCACGTGCCTGGACTTTGACATTCCGTTCGGAACCATGGTTTCTGCAGGCATGGATCTGGGACTCAAGGTGTGGGACCTGTCACGTGGCGATCTCGTGACCGATCTCAAGGGCCACAATGCATCAGTTACGTGTCTTCAGGTCGACAATAACGTGCTTGCCACCGGATCAGCTGACGCTACCATTCGGGTCTGGAACCTCGACCAGGTGGTTAGTAATCCCGATGCCCAGGATGAAGGTGATGATGCCTACACCATTCACGTGCTCGACAGTCACGTGGGTGAAATCTCTGCCATTCATTTCTCAGACCATACGCTGGTGTCTGGTTCTGCTGACAAAACCATTCGACAATGGGATCTCAACACTGGACGATGTGTTCAGACTCTGGACGTGATTTGGGCCAATTCTGCGCAGAATGCGCTGTACTCGAACGATCGGCTCCGAACCGGGTTCGACGCAAACGCACCCTTCATCGGCGCAGTGCAGTGCAGAGATGCAGCCCTTGCCACCGGTACCGCTGACGGTATTGTGCGTCTTTGGGATTTGCGGTCCGGACAGGTGCAGCGAACCCTACAGGGCCATACCGCTGCGGTAACGTGTCTGCAGTTTGACGACGTGCATCTTGCAACCGGATCTCGTGACCGGTCTGTTCGAATCTGGGATCTGCGAATGGGCAACATCTTTGACGCGTTTGCGTATGATTCGCCCATTACTTCGTTGGATTTCGACAACCGAAGAATCGCCAGTACCAATGGAGAAAACACCGTCAAGATTTATGACAGAGCAGCTGAGAAGCATTGGAGTCTGGGTCGAGGAGAGGGAGATCCCGAGGCGCCAGAAAGCACGGTGGTGAAGACCAAGGAAGGCTATTTGGTGGAAGGTGGTGGAGATGGAGTGGTGGGTGTGTGGGCCTGTTAGTACTAGCGATGCGAGTACTAATAATTTTGGGATCATGAGCGGAGCGAATTGTTTCATTTCACGGGACATTGTGAGCGAAGCTAGGTCGTGGAATCGTGAGAAGACAAATGGTCTCAACTACTCTCATGGGTGCCACCGAAAATGAGCGGAGCAGAGGCCCTCAATGCTGCCAGAGATGTTTGCTGTCTTCACCATTTGCAGCAATGAAAATGGGTGGTGTAGACTGTGTCTCGTGTCCGGAATCATGTTGACAGTTGGTGTGAGGCAGACTGAACTTGCCCGTTACTGCTACTCAGCAGTTGATGTTTGGCTTACCATAAGAGTGTCAACCGCCCCACAGTTTTCTTTCCAGGTGTTTTTACCCACAGTCAGCTATCCAGGAAAAGCCCAGAGAGGCAATATGTATATAAGATAGATTGAGTGTGATGACCGGAAGTGAGTGGCTCAAATCCACCAGATAGCAATTCGTAAACGTGTTGTAGATTACTGGTGATACCTGAACTGGTTATAGAGTATACCCCACGGGATATAAGGCACTAGAGAGCCCCAATCGTCAACTGAGTCAGTTCTGAGATGTTTTTTTTTTTTTTTTTTTTTTTTTTTTTGCTAGGAGTGATAAGATGTGGCCCCTATGTTGTCTCGGTGGGTCCCATGACTCCATCTCCACCAACTCCGTATTATCAGGTGCTCAGTCACTAGTCATTCATTGCAAGAACCAATAAAGAGCACTGGCGTTGTACTAGAAGAAGCGACACGGTAGTTATTTTGACCCTACCGTTTTATCAGTGAAAACTTGGTCTGTAGTCCAGTGGAGAGTCCATGAATGGGCATATTGAGATCTAGCTCCAATTGGATGAAAGATGCACTTTGAGGGACCTTTTTGGTATTTTTTGCATGTATTCGGATGGACGTTCTTGCCAATCGACCACCCTATAGTGGCAAATGAGGCCTGGTAAGGTACAAGTATTATTTCATCGGTACATCTGCTGGAATTCTACTGAATCTCCTTCCACCAACTCGTAGTTTCTTGACTAAATGGGTGCATCATTTTGTGAGCATGAAAAGAAGGAACGGAAGATGTCATTAGTACATTGAGAAAACTCCCCCGTTGCATCCAGCATCATGGAGGCACTCTCAAATCAACCCATATAACTCATGAGCGTCATTGTCCCATATCGACACAACTTTCATCGATTGTAACCTCATTTCAGCACATCATCTTGCCGGTGCATTATCTCGCATTATCTCTGCACACTATCTTGGCTCTCATCTCTATCTACAGGCCGCCGGTTATCGACGTGCAAGCTTGCTGAACTCAAGACATGCACGTTTCGACACGGCCTGATTCCGCTGCTAATACTACCAGTAGCAAAAGAGTTGTCTCGTCAGGATAACCGTTTGACTTTTGGATCTTGTACTGTCATACAAGATCCCATGCGGCTCGTGGCAACATGTCGCACTGGCTCTCGCAATGTTTAACGACAAAGTGCTGCTTCGAGACTCGGGGTCTGGGAGATAGTCAATATGGACCCTGAAAAGGTCTTGTGCCATTAAAAGGACTTGTGCCAATGTGGACTTGTGCCAATGTGGACTTTGAGAACGCCACAGGCGACGTCCGGAAGTAATTTGTATTGTTCCACCACAATCAAGTGGTCTGTTTAAGAGTTTGTGCGTGTGTGGGCACCAATTAGCCACAGGGTTGTGGTGGCCTGTTCACAGGCGGGTATAACTGGGTATTGCTAAGAAGCCACGAAAAATGTAGTCCATGTGGACTTGTCAAGAGGAGCGGGCAAGCTACCGCGGCGCATCTGAGCCACTGCGGAAAGGTGGGTTCGAAAAGACGCTGCCACGTCGAAGTAGCTGCCAAATGGAATCAGAAAGCTGTGTTAGATAGAAATGTGCCCCGTCGAAGATGGACTTGCGCTACTGTAGTCCGATTACGTCGGCGAAGGGCGTGGGGGCTCTTTGGGCTGTGTATGTGTATGTGTGTTAACACCTGAAGGCCGGCTCAGGCGGGGCGCGTTGGCTGGCGATTGGGAGGTGGGAGATGGGGGGGTTTTAGTACTTTTCCGTCGGTGGAATAGAATTTCAAACTGCATATATTGAACTCTGGGTTTAGATTAGGTCAAATGGACTTGAGCGAGTGAGGGAACATCATAAGCGGCGTTGATAGTGCGGTTATTTAGTATATATAGTGGGAATGGTTCGGTTTCTGCTGCTGACTAAAATCTGATATATTCACACCTGAATTTATCTTACCCAAAATTCCGTTCATTGTCCCCTTGAAAATTGGACGATACTTGCATCGTGTGTACACTGTACGTACAGTATATACATACTGTGTGCTACGCCTGGCATCCAAACATTCCTTTTCGTCTCATGGATTTTAGACAAGGGATATTTTATAGGCGGCACGACGGAGTTTCAGTATATAAGAGGCACCGTTATTTCCATGTGGCTGTCTCCTTTCTTATCATGTCTCCTTTCTAATCAATCGCATCACTGTCAGAAGATGGTCAGCCGAACCCAGACTACGATGGACCCGAGTTGAGTAAGTGGTCAATGAGAATGGGTGAGATATGTAAGAAGTGTTGAACCCACATAGGTGACACACCACTTCTGTTGTTTATGGAGACGACGGCGTTCGAGTAGCTACAGCACAGTACCATTCGTACCAATAAATACCGTATGGGTTCTGGTTTATCAGTTGTTGGACGGAACTGACACTGCCTCGAGATCCAGAGAAAAGCGCAACAAAGGTCTAATCCCAAGTCGAGTTGGAGTCAGTGGATCACTCCAGGGAGCTGTCGGAGAAAACGGCCAACAAATCCAATAGTATGTTCGTCTATTATCCTTAGTTCGGCCAGAGTACCTCAGCTGTTATAGGCAAGTGATCAGACCTGCAGAAATAGTACTAGTACTTGTACTCTTCTTGTAGATTTTTCTGATAATCGGTTCGCAATGAATTAATCCTAGGCACCATACAACTTCGTCTAGTCGGCGGAGTACTTTCAATGACCACGATTCGGGCCCATACGAATACGTCAGCGACGGTCTAAAACGCAAGAGCGTCATAAAAGGTGTTGAGACTGGAGGAGATGTTTATGACAAAAACAATTCAACTGAGGACTCTGTTTCAATGTATGAGGGTGTCACGTGGTTTTATTCTTGCATATTACTTGTATTCGTAGGGTGTACTAGACACTACACATTGTACTAGAGCTCGTATTGTAGGTGGACATATTCATGTTACCCCAAAGAGATAATACAACTTTCTGAAACTTGCTTTCCTCTCTTTACAGATACTAGTACAATAAAATCAGTCAATTAGTACTTTATACCCCTGCCATAACATAAGCGATAACACAGGAGGAGGTCTGAAAAGTTCTGTAGTCGCCAACATGGGTCGCGCGTTGGAGTTGACTCGAAATGTGTCGGCACCGTAATCTCGAGAAATAGCTAGTCTCAGTGTAGTAAAAGTGGTGGTAGGAGTTGAGGTGGTAGAAAGAGTTGTTTGATGGGTAGATCAAGGAGTCATGAAAGGAGTCAAGGCAGAAAAAAAACGATACCAGTTGATTTGGATCACTGCATAAATTCCGTTAATCAACTCCAGAATTCATTTTCTCCCCTTCTATCCATTGTACTCTCTTCGTTCAACACTTCCATGCACCGCACCCAGCAGACAAGTCCCGTTCGGTAAACCAAATAGGAGGTTTCAATGGAGAGTGGAGATGATTTTACCCGATATTAGGTCCTTTTTCCAGCCTTGATTAACTGCAACAGCTCCTAGACACGAATATAGACTTGAACGGTCATTTGAAGTACATTAGTTACAATACATGTACATACTGTTATCATATGTTAAGGGTGACTCAGAAAACAATATTGAACAAATAATTACCTGACATAGTTACATTTAACACACTCTCTTAGTGACGATTCTGACACGAAGGCCACTTTCTGTTCATGCTTGCAGTTTCATCAGTCCTCTCCTAACCACTATAATGAACCCACAGGGAAACTGGTTAGGTCGAAATCATTCATAAATATCAATGAAACAATCGACTAATACTTTACTTCTGTCTCTACAATTCATTAGCCGCTCTTCAACCGATTTTCCGGACAATGTTGAACATACTTAACCAGATCCAGAATGGTGCTACAGGTATGAATACATACTACCCAGGGCACCCTTAAATGTCACAGTCATGTCTGGGGTAGACCTTCATTGTCCCTAGTGGGTCCATTTACATCATACAAGTACATTGCAGGCCGGTATATATACATTTTTACTGGTTCTCTGCACTCACAACTAGCACGATATAAATACTGTAGATTGCTGAAGGCTTTATTCTTCTAGAATGTGTCATGAATGAGTATCTACGCCATCAATGTTCTATTCGATATTGTCTTTGAGAGAGGCAAGTCTTTGGACTCCAATGGTCAGATAACTACCTATCTAACGCATAATATAGCATACAAGCTCTTTGGAGCGTGTACAGCCTGTCTGGAGAGACAAAAGATGTTAGCCGAACTTCGAAGAGCGCAACAAACCTGTCTGTCCACCTCTAGTGCCATATACCATCTATGACTTACTTACATCGAGAGTCATATCTTAGAGTATGATGTAAGAGCCTTACTCAGATCATGTCTGGAAGTAAGATATAAGAGCCTTACTCAGATCATATCTGGAAGTAACATGCAAGGGCCTCATTCACATCGCCTTGTTGTCTCCATAGGTGTAGAACCAGGGTACATACTGTCATTATTCTCAATCAAATGAAGACTTAGCTCTAGAGGGAGTTGTTGCGGGACCTCTATATTAGAAGGTGCTACCTTTAGGTAGCTGGTTCTCGGGCCGAACGTAGAGATCCAGTTGTTCCTGAAGCGTCTTATCATATTTGCTTTCTTGTCTGTCCCGGGTTTCTTTGGAGGCAGAATTGAAAGCTCCTTCATCTGTTGATATCAACAGATCTCAGTCCTCGGGAGTCAAGGACCGCCTGTCCCCAACTAGTACAGAAGAGATGGGGTCCACCTGTTCCTCCTTTCTTGAACAGTCAATAACGATTGATCGCACCATTTCTGGAGCCCTTGTACTTCTTGTTGCGAGTCTCATCTTGGCCCTCATCTTGGTCAGACATGCTAACTACTATACAGGTCGGGGGAAATATATCTCATGGTAAACCCCGTCCTAAGTGTACCAAATACACCAGTTGATTCAGACTGTTCCAGAAAACACACCCAATGAATTTTTTCAGCCCAAAATTTCACTCTGTCCTATAAAGGGAATCGTCACCCTTCCTTCTGCATTCATCTCATCTCACTATGCATTAGCGATTTTACAGACACAACTTGGGTTGGTGAGACTCATGATTGAGTGGAATTTTTGTCTCCTTTCAACCACGTGAGATATTAACACCCCTACCAGGTACTCGTCCAATCGAATCGGTCACGTTACCTACTCCATACTCGTAATTGTAATGTCCTTTCCTTCTTTGTCAACACTACTTGTAGGACCAAGCATTACCGATGCAAAGAGACGTACTTCCACACCTACTGCAAACACGTGACTTGAACATGAAACATATGTGGACCATTCCTTTGATCACGTGTTTGGTTTGCTTGCGTCTCCTCTCCATGATGGTCTATCTCTACATTTTTCATTTTTCATTTTTTTCTCTCTTTTCCTATGTTTTTCAGCGTGCCAACTTCACCTTCTACATTCCCAATCTGCATCATGTCTCCCATTTAGGTTGCTCCCAACTGGATCTGATAATCCGGCCGAAGTTTCAATTTCGAAAACTCCGAGACGGTCTGGAGCAAGGAATAATGGGGCCGACGAGAAGATAGCGGCTGCGGACGGGTCCGAGAGACAAGAGGTACAAAACTACACCATTGCTGCAAAAAGCTCGCTGTGTGGTGGGAAAAACGGTCATAACCTGATTCTGGCGTATCAAACGGCGTGGAAAATGGGCTGTTTGGAAAATAAGCATTGCTGCACCGTTGCGCTGGGTAGAGAATACACACGTCTATTACTATGTACAATATGCAAAAGTGGTTAGTGGGGGATGCCAGGAGGGGCGATCCGGGATTTTTTGGGAGGCTGCGTGTCACCCTGTGCGTGATCGCAGTGGTTGGTGGTTGTGTGGTGCGTGGTCGCAGTGGTGGTTGTGCGATCACTGTTGTGGTGGATGTGATTGGTTGTGGTCGTGATCATGTGTGGAGTTATGCCAGGAAACACGGGATCAGTCTGATGTGCTGGTTCATAATGTGTCATGGAAAATTGAGAGGGCTGTCTGTTTGTGTCATCTGCCTCACTGCCAACTCGCTGGGCCCGTTACTCGGCCTGTTCCTTCTCCTTCTTCTCATCATTGGCCAGCCCGTTGGACACCGGACAGGGCATGAGCTGGGGTGCCGCAACGGTGAAAACCGCAATCAGCGCGGTCGTGGTGAACAGGCTGGTGGTGAAGTTCTTTCGGGTGGCGGCTCGAATGTACATGGCGGCGGTGTGGTGTGTTGCACTGGAAGAGACGTGATGCTCAAAGATGGAGTATCTTTTATTGTGCAAAATAGACTTAGCCAATCAGCGGGCTGATGTTGACATGCGTGAAGGGAGAGATACCGGCCCAAAGGGGGTGTTGCCGGTATGTTTTGGACCAGCTGGCGGCTTGTGTGTAGACATGGCGGAGTTGAGAGTCGCGGGCGTGTCAATTTGCTCAATATCTCTACTCTGGCTTATTTGCTCGACTCACTCTTCTTCTCCAGCCACCCTCTATTCCTTCACTCCCAAGACTTTGGTGCCAGTTAGGGCTATTTTCACTCTAAGTTTGGGAGTTGGCGCGTTTCTATTGGCCAGTTTGGTGGCAAAGGGACTGGTCAAAGTGGCGCACGTGGCGCATAAAACAGAGTTGAGGCGGGTGACAAATGACCGGAAGATAGCAACTGGAGCGTGGACGGTAGGAGAGCTGTAAATAACAAGCGTTTTCCTCGAGGAAGGCTATTGAAGTCTCATTGATGATTCGGTGCTGAAAAACAAGACGTTAATATCGTTTCCAGACAATATTTTACGCCCTCTTCTCCTCTAGCCACTCGTAAGACTGGAAAGTAAAATAGCCTCGAATTAACCGAGAGCCGTGTGGCTAATGGTTTGGGAGTTGGTCCTGATAGGCAATCTGATGACAGAGTGTGAGGGATATTGAGGGGATAGAATGGGGTGATTTTGATGCTGGTAATACGGCAGGGGATGTTTGATACAATGGCGATTTCCTTTGACTCTAGTCGGCGGTGTTTATATGTGCCTAACCCAACTTCTGTGAGGTTGTTTATAATGTCTATACAGGGAGCGCTATTAAGTCGTTAGTCAGGTCTGTCTTTAGAGTGCTGAGATATAAAGACGTGATATTTCTTGCCATCACGATAGCTATATACCACAGTATACTTGAAGTGCTACTGGCCCTCCTTCATAACTCTTCCACTATATTACCAGATCTTGAGTAGAGTCCAGAGAGATACAACGGCCGTAACGACCCTTCATTATCGACTCCACCGAACGCAAGCAGATCCAACATCCTTCATCGCCCCGCAGAAACAATACGCTCGCTAAATACTGCACCCTCTTCTACTAGTTCTAGCCACTCGTCATCTCACCCACTGTCCATAAATCGTTAATATGCTATAAGTTATTTAAATATGCTCTTTCTACCATTGTGAATTGGATAATGAAGTTTTAGTCCTGCTGTTGAGTCAATATGACTGTCGTGTTCGCATGATGGCCACGGACTCCAGCTTCACTCGTCCACCGCATCACCCGCTCACCGCATCACTTGTTCACGACAAGTTCTCTATCGGTCCACTTGCTCACCCACTCATTTCGCTTCACACAAGTTCGTCCGTTCGATCCTACTGCTCATTCGGCTGTGTCCCCAGTCTCTGTCCCCCAGTCTGCTGATTGCTACCCACAGATCTCGCCCAGTTTCCAATTCGGTTCATGAAATTAGACCGGAACTGAGTATCGCCGAAATTCTGGGGCGGGTTATTCGGGTCATTGTTGTTCTGCGGCGGTGCAGGCTGCTGCTGCTCGAGGTCCTGGAACCGCATGAACCGTAGAGGCGAGTCTCCAACCTCCTGCAACGAATGAGTCGAAGCTGATTCAGAGGCATTTTCCTGCTCGCCCTCCTCGTGGTACCGATTCACGTTTCTATGTCTAATGACGTTTGAAATTGTTGGCCAAATGGCGATTTCTCCTGCCACAGACCGGCCACTAATGCGGTCCTCGATCATCTGTTCTCGTGGAGTCAGTGGGGTTTCTTCGCCACTGAGAAGAGGATCCTGAGACGAGTTTGACTCGTCTGACTCGTCGGAAAATGTGCCCAATCGCTGGCCTAGAGGATCATCGGCCGTGGAGTCGCTTGATTGGCTGTTCTTGTAGTGGGGCATGACAATGAGCGAAAACAAGCACAGTTGAAGAAACAGGATGATGAGATCAGACAGGATGAGTCTTCCGGTAGACTCAAGAACATTGCCTGTGAATTCAAACGAAAGCAATCCACCGTGGTTTCTAGTGGCGGGATTGATGTACTCCACCATAGTGCCTTCAGTGACACCTGGCACCCCTCCAGGGTAAATGTGGTTCATGAGTTTGCTGGTCTCGTCCAAAGAGGGCACCACCGGCGCTGGAACCATCTCAGCCGAGCCACGGAGCCATCTCCACAGAGTGGGGAAGCCCACGGGCGCAGAAACGGTCCACGATGGCACAAACAACTGACTTCCAGCTCCCTGGTGTAGCAAGCCATGAAGAACAATGATGGCGTAAATGTTGGCAAACAAAATGTAGGATAGCATGCCAAAGTAGCTGGGCGGTCGTAATGCGGCCACCAGCGATCGGGGACCGAGAAATAGAAACTGAGGGATGACCCGCATCAGTAAAAGTGCTGAAGAAGAGTCGCAAAAGTAGCCCGCAACAATGTATGTGTAAGTGAGAACGTCTATGGATTTTTTGAGATGCGGAAGATAGGTTGGTTCACGGTTTTGGTCGTCATCGCGGCTGCTGCTTGTTGATGTTGTAGCTGTGTTCATTGTTAGTGGCGGTGACTGTGAACAATGATGATATCGATGTGATAGGTCTGGTCGGCACCACTAGCTGCCATCATGATGGTGTAATGTATGTAAGTCTATGCATGCGGAGAGTTTATTCCGAGCATGTGGGTTCGATTTTGGGGGATGCGAGTAAGATGGATTTTTATTTGTGGAGAGGGAATTCGTCATCACGTGGCACTTGAAAAATAGAGAGAATAAAAGGTTCTATGTATGTCTTTTTCTGTAGCTCACGTGATTTGATAGTGTACTTTGGTGTTGTATTGTGTTGTAGTACTGGCATACGTAGAGTGGATGATAGACAGAGGAATTTCATTGAACTATCGTAGTAAGGCTCTACAAAGATGGGAACTAAGAGAGACAATTACTTGTATTGTATGTGCTTCTTTAGTGGATCAAGATACATATATGAACCACTGACCGATTGCAAAACAGTCAGACTTGTAGCTGTGTATTTTTTTTGCGGCTACGGATGTCTTCTATATGTACTTTTTTCAGTTGTCAAAAGCGCATCATTAGTTAGCTTTAGTGTTGAAGAGCTGATTTCGGTGTTACCAAGCGGCGGAACGACACTGGCGAGATGTAAGCATATCCTACAGTGTAATAAAATATCAGCTACAGTGCATACAATACAGTATGTACTTGAACTGTTCTTTACTGTACTGACATGAATGTGTTTCATACAGTGGATCACTAACTGTTATTTTCAACTGGGAAGTTACTTGAGGTGTAGTTGACTCTGCACGAAGAATCTCATTCCAGGCACACCATTCAGAAACAGCAAGGCACACGGAGTTGGCCAGCATTATCCTAGTCCAGTATGTACTCGTGAAAGCACTGCCTTATGTGCCAGCGTACAAGCATGTACTCCACTATTTCCGCCAAGGTAAAGATCATGTAGTCGGATCATGGTATGAGAGGTCAGGGGTGATGACTATGATCATCCGGATCGGGATCCTACGTCTAGACGCAACTATGGTATAGTACCAGTCATGGAATACTGTCATAATAACACCATTTCCTTCCAGATAATAGAGATTGATAATTTCGACAATTGTCTAGTCTACAATTGTCCGTTTGACACTTCCGAGTCCACTCCGTGATGACCCAACATACCCGCCCCCAACGTGCAGATAGCTGCATATCATTTGTTGGCGATTTCAACTTGCGCAATAATCGCCACACGCCGTCTTATCACTTCCCGATGCATATCCTGCCAGGGTCAAAAGCTCCAAGTGTGGGGGTGTCTTCCCCGCCTTTACAAAGTACTGTACGATACGATATTGGCGCCTGTTACCTACAATACTGTAAGTATAATCACTCGTATATCGTGCAGAAGCGTAATTGTAAATATATACAGCGTACAAGCAACCGACGGAAACCCCATCAATTGAAGCTATCTTCACGACCGCGGCAGACCCGGACCTCCATTCCTCTGTGGCTTGGATCATCTACCAATGTCTCTCGTCATCTGCATCTGAATAACGCCTATTATTGCGCCCAAACTGCGCCGTTCGGATGAGCGCTTGAACCCTAACGGTGATAGGGCGATAACTATGCGCGTGGTTAACTGCGAAGAGGGGCGGAGTCGGGCAATTGGGCCGTAAACAGGAGAATTTTTGGCGGGATTCTTCATCAGTTACACAGACATGAAAGAGCTGTGTTTTCGCTATTCACATCCTCAACCACCACCTTTTTCCGACTACTTCTCCCCGCTATCCCGCCCCTCGGTCCACTATCTCCACTGCTCCCTGGTCATGCACAATCCTGCACCCCCCCGCAGACCAACCCCACACCAACCTGAAGACATATAAAAAGATGGGGAAGCCACACTCCGAATAGCCACCATATCCCAACCAACTCAACAATGGCAACTCTCGCGGCAGACTCAAAAACAGCAATTGAACAGACTATCGACCAGGCGACCTCCTCCGGCAAGATCCCCGGCTTTGTGCTCAACGTGGTCAACAAGAAAGGTGACTCTCTTGTCAGCTATGCGTCTGGCAAGGAAGGTGCTTCCACCGACAAGCCCATGACCACGGACCACGTGTTCTGGCTGGCCTCGTGCTCCAAGCTGCTGGGCGCAATCTCTGCCATGCAGCAGGTGGAAAAGGGACTGATTGGTCTGGATGATGCAGACAAGGTGGAAGAGCTTGTGCCCGAGCTCAAGGACATCAAGCTTATCAAACAGGTCGACGGGAAGCTGACTCTGGTTGAGAAGACGAAGCGAATCACCCTGCGAATGCTGCTCACACACACCGCTGGGTTCTCGTACACCTTCTTTCACCCCTGGCTCAAGGAGTTGTATCCTGATGTGGATGAGCTTTCAGGAGGAGATGACGTGCTCAAAACGGCCCTTGTGTTTGAGCCTGGAACTGACTGGGGCTACGGAGCATCCCTCGACTGGGCTGGTGTCGTTATCCAGCGATTGACTAAGACTCCGCTGTCTGAACTCGTCCAAAAGGAAATCTTTGATCCTCTGGGAATCAAGGATCTCACAATGTATCCCACTGAAGAACACAAGACGCGGTTTGCAAAGCTGCACCAGCGTGCAGAGGACGGCTCGGTCAAGGAAAGAGACCATGTGTACCCAACCAAGGCCGCGTTTGAGTCCTTTGGAGCAGGGTTCTTCGCCAAGGGATCCGAGTATACTAAGGTGCTGGCTGCTCTGCTGGACGACGGAGGTAAGATCTTGTCAAAGGAGTCTGTGGATCAGATGTTCACCAACCAAATCCCCCAGTGGCCCAACTATGGACGACGAGGCATTCCTGCTGCCAAACCTGAGTACACCAACCCTCTGCCCGAACTGTTTCCTCAGGGAGAGGCGCCTCAGGGATGGGGCATTTCTTTCATGCAGACCGTGGAACCCACCCAAACTGGCCGGGGTCCCAATGTCGGCTGGTGGGCCGGTATCATGAATTCATTCTGGTGGGTCGATCGGACCAAGGGTGTTGCTGGTCTATGCCAGGCGCAGATTCTGCCGTTTGGAGACATGGACACAATGGTGCTGTGGCAGACTATCGAGGCGTTGACTTACCAGGGTCTGAAGGAGTAGGCCGGGCAGAAAGCACGAACAATGCCTGGATGCTGTAACTGCCGCCTGGTGCTCGTCTCTGGCCACACCTTTCAAACTGACTTAATGAACTAATGACGCCTGGCTGTACCAGTTCAACAAATTTCCTGTTCGGATACGTCTATCTATAAGAATATAATGAATAAGTTGAAGGAAAAAACTCATGGACGAACCTCCATCGCTTAGGTTAAGGCACTGACCTCTACATTCCCACGTTGCTTTCACATCCCCCAACTCTTTGCAACCTACGATATGGAACAATCTCGATAATGTACACCCACTCAGGTCATTCTATTTAATTCAATAATTATGTAAAGTCCAAATTCCACCCATATTCACCGTTATACCTATACCGTACCCATGTCCTAAATCTTCTTATGCTTGTAAGCCAACAGCGGACTCAAACTCTGCAAGCCACAGCCCTTCTTCAAGAACTCATGGTTGACCAGCTCGTCGGTGGAGGCTCTGTAATTGACATCAACACACAGACAGACAGAAAGGAACGCCTTAATATCCTTGCTGAGCCGTTCGGGATGCTTCAGCTTGGGAGTACCGTTAGTGGCAATCAGGTACAGAGCCTTGAGAGGCTCCTCGTTCAGGTAAGGAGGCTCTGACTCGATCATCTCAATCGCCATGATACCCAAGCTCCACACATCTACCTTAGCACCATACTCCTTCTGCTTGACCACCTCAGGGGCCATCCAGTATGGCGTGCCGACCATGGTGGCTCGCTTGTTCTTCTGGTCCGTGAGCTTGGCGCAGAAACCGAAATCAGTAATCTTCACATGACCCTGGTAGTCCAACAGCACGTTGTCACTCTTGATGTCTCTGTGGATAATGTTCTGATGATGCAAGTGCTGCAGACCTTTACAGGTCTCGCCGGAAATTGTGGCAATCTGCTCTTCACTCAGACTGTTGTTATCAATAATGTCAGTGAGAGCACCGCCCTCCATATACTCCATGACCACCCACAGGTCGTTGGTGCCTCGCAGATAGGCGTCCAGGAAGTTGACAATGTTGGCATGCTGCGACTCTTTCATGACGATGATTTCGTTCACAATGAGCTCCTTTCGGGGCTGTGACGCCAGATCCATCTGTTTGATAGCCACCTTCTTGAGCTGGAACTCGTTGGTCATAGGCCGAGCCACATACACAGAGCCAGACGCACCCTGACCCACCTTCTTGAGCTTCTGGTACAAGGGAGTAGGGTCCTGGGGGTTGACCACCGACTTGAGCTTCTCGGTGATCTGTGCGTCGGTCATGGTCGAGATTCGACGCTCGTCATGCTGGGGCTTCTTCTTGGGACCTTCGAGAGCAGCAGTTGTAGCAGCGGCGGCGGCGGCAGCAGCGGCAGCACTAGCTCCACCAGGAGACGTCTTGGTAGGAGACGTCTTAGTGGGAGACATTCTTGGGTAGCCACCCTGGCCGACACCAGCAGCAGAGGGCTTCTTGGGAGACGTCTTGGGGGTCGTCTTCTGGGGCGATGGTGCAGGCCGCTGGGGCTTGAACTGGTTAGCCGCTCCAAGAGCGGGAGCAGCAGACGTACCTGAAGATGCAGGGAGTGCCTGGGGCTGCTGAGTTTGCTGAGGCACAGGAGCAGCTCGCTGGGGCTGGAATTTGTCTCCACCGCTCTGTGCAGGCACCGGAGGGGCAGTCTGAGGAGGCCGGTTGGCAGGGATGGCCTTCTTGACCATGAGAGGAGCGACGTATGAGTTTCCCGACGACACAGAGTTGATAGAACCACTGGAGTTCTTGTGTCGCAGCATGGGTCGCTGGGGGGGCGGTAGATCGTGCAAAGCAGCTGTGGCCACGGGAGAGGCTCTGTATGCGGTGGGCGATGTCTTGGACGACAGAGAGCCCTGCGACGACGACTGGGTCATCGACGTGGGCGTCGTGGGGTAGTTGCCTCCGGTGTTGCTGGTGGGCGATTGTCGTTGCTGGTACGAGTCAACGTCGGGGTTGATTCGCAGCAGAGGATGCACGGGGGTCTGAGTGCCGCTGCCACTGGCTCCGCTGACGCTTCCACTGCTGTTTCCAGCACCGGCACGCATTTCGTTACGCAGTTCCTGTCGCAGCTCGCTTCGGTCCCTAGGGATCGTCGAGGTCGATGGCAGTCCATCAGGTCGCTCAGGCCGTGGGGGGGCCGCCCGGGTGACGTTGGGGACCGAGGGTCGTCGGGGGACGGATGTGGACGGAGAAAGAGACGTGAGAAGATCGTCGTCGTTCTTTCGTGTGGCATTATATCGTGCGGGAGTGGTGGCTGTTGAAGAGCTGGAAGAGCCAGTACTAGGGACGGGTTTGGTCCACTCCTGCAGGTTGTTGGCCATACGCTGGGCCTGCTGCTGCTTCTGCTGCTGCTGCATGGCCCGCACACGAGCGGCGTCCATTGTCAGGCCCTCATCAAACTTGTTCTCAATGCCAATGCCCAAAGAAGATGCGTTGAATCCCATGGCCTCAACATTTTCCTTGCTGTAGAACTCAAGCACCTCGATGACGGCCTGAGGGTTCTTGGCGTAGTCTTCCTTGGTGATGGCTGACGTCGAAAGCAGCTTGCTCCAGGCGTCGGGTAGACCAGTGAAGCCTCCGGAGATGGGGTCGAAGCCAACGTGCACCTTATGTGTGAAGTTGGTGGGATTAGAGACGCCCATGAGTGGGCATTTGGAGTAGATCTCATCGATCCAGGCGTACAGCTCCGTGTCATTCTTGCAGACGACGAACACGGACTTGAAGCCCGACGACCGCACAATCTCGAAGCAATATGGCTTGAGATCGACACGTGTCACGTTCGAGACCGTGTATAGCGGGATGGAGAACTGCACTGACGACGTCTCCGACTTTTGAAAGTCCAATGCATTTTCCCGCAACACCAAGTACTTTTTAGTCCACATGAGCGACCGGAACGATGATCCATCCTCCTTGACGGACGCGAACCCGGACTTGAGCACCCTGTTGGACGACGCGGGTCGTGTGATGGCGTCTCGTGTGATGGTGGGGGCGGTACGGGGCTCTGTGGGGGTCATGAGCCCGGAAAGGTTTGTGCCGCTGGAAGAGGCGGTGAGGCTACTGGCGAAGGGCTTGGGTGGCGGTGGGGCAGGACCAGGGTTTAGAAATGCTTGGCTGAATTGTGACATCTGAGTTAGTACAGTCTTCGAAATGAGTGTTGCGAGCATCTCGAATGTAGGGACGACAGGAGAAGCTGCATACATCATGAGCTGAATGTGGGCTCCTTGGACAGCTGTGTGTGTCGTAGCGTCTTCATCATGGAAAGTTTGGTATTGCCCATGGTCGGGATTTTTCATAGTCGGGATGTGCAATTAACTCATGGCAGTGCGACGCTCCACGCTATACATGGGCTGTGTATCAAGGGCTGTGTATCACAATGCAACGTCTCTGCACAGTTTTGTATGGTGGACGGTTCGCTCTGATGTAGAGTGGGTTGAAATGAATCGCTTCGTGCTGAGATCACTGGTGGTCAGATGGACCTAGATAGGCAAAATGAGATGTGAGGACACATGAGACACACCATGGCAATATACGCAGTGCCATATGATCAGCCCATCTGCAGAAAGCAGTGCCGCATGGCCCATATATCTGCTCATAGCCTCGATTTTGTCATATGTGACTCCCACCCCCCCTGTGTCCAATGTGTCCTACACGTGTCGAATCGTCACACCAACAGTGCAGATGCACACAGTGCGCCCAAGGTTGGAGACATCCGCCTCCTCTTCACTTTGCCCATCACCTCATAGTCGCAAACACCCATCCATGTTCTATCAGTTCGTCTATCATACTCACTTTAGCCTGTGTGTCGTTCGTTGTTCCAAAGAGTGTCCTTGCGGTTGTCTAATTCTAGTATCGATGATGTGTCGTTTTGCAACTGAGTCTGTGTGAGGAGGCTTTTGTGTTGGTGAGTATCACTGTCGTTAGTGTATCGCTGTCGCAAGTATCCGGTTCTGTATCTGTGAGTATCTGGATCCGTATATTGTACCTGGTTTTCGGTCCTTTGGTGTTGTGTGCGTGTGTGAATCTGGGCCGATTATGGGAAAAAATGCAAGTAGTTAGAGAGAGTCGTTAGAGCGAGTTGTGGAGAGGGTCGTGAAGAGAGTCGCAGAGAGTCGTTGAGGGACTGAGTAATCGAGAGGGCTCGTTCTTCTCCGTTCTGCGTCGCTCGTTGTGGTTTTTATTTCTTTGGCAAAGCTCGACAAGTGGTGGAAAAAAGACAATGATGAGGTTCAGTGGTCTCAAAATCTAGCTTCTGGACTTGTCAAAACAGTCCGTGAGTAAAGGGGTCCAACCGTAACCGCGATAGGCTTTTTCGGAGGGGATACACCTCGAGCAAGACAGACAGGGGATAGTAGTGTTGTGAGGGGAGACGAGAAATAGATAGCTAGCGGGCGTCTAATTACGGGGTGCGAGTAATTATTAGTTTGACGCCTTTTTTTTTTTCTCTCTCTTCTTTTGCTCTTTCTTTGGCTTCTCCGTCTTGGATTCCTGGGTTTTTCGTGGCTCTTTTTACACTACAAGTATGAGCACCCAACCCAACCCAGCCTGAAGTTGCCTCATTAAAAATACTGACTGCCTTCAGACGTTTTTTTAAAATTAGTCTTTCTATGTACGGCAATGACAGACTATAGATGATATTGCGATGGTGCGACGGAACAACTGGAGTAAGAGAAGATCTCCAACCAAAAAAAAAAAAAAAAAAAAAACCAGCTTCAAAACGGATAAACCGGATAGAATTACAACCAAAGATCTGCTGTCCTCTGTAGTACCAATAATGGGTGGAATTTACAACAATTCCTCTCCCTAACCAAGTTTTCTCCCTCCCGCATCCCAACCCAAACGCGACGCGAGATAAATAAACTAGACTCACATTAATTGACATGATAGAGGTACATGGCTGGTCCAGTGACGTGAACCGACAGCATCGGAAAAGCTCCTTGACAAACACACACACAGTGACACATAACGACCTAGGGTCACGTGAGCCACCCCTCCTCCCGCCTCCTCCTCCCCCACGCTCCCGCTTGGTCTTCTCAACTCCGCTCTTAGTGCAACTTCTGAGACAACCCTAACCTGCTTGACGGGTTAATCTCCCTAAAAGGTATGGTCATTAAAATGGAGCCCAGCCAACAGCAAGGGCAAACTTGTCCATAATCCACCAAGAAAAAAGCAACAATGAATGATTTTCACATCTGCTGCTGCCGTAGTCTCCAGTCTTGGCAATCTCTTCTTCCGAAGGATGTGTAGGGTAGATCGTATGTGTTTATTTGTAGGCTTATTCACTTCCCCATGATCCCCCCCCACTAAAAAATATTCTGCAATACGAGTAATAATATATTCCACGAGCCAGAATGTAAACAAACAAATAGACAGCAGACGACACAACTCCAGAACCACACTAGAAGACGTAAACCCCGACTGAACGAGGTTTCCAAGCCCTCCACACCCTGCTCCTAGACCCTAACCCATTCCGCTTTTCTCCACGTTAAACCCTTCTACAATACTCCCAGTGTTGCTCCAGGCCCCCCCCTTGAAGATCGGCCATGGATCTGCGTGCAGCCAAAACGCGCAACGTGGCGGAACCGAATGCGACAGCGACAAACCCAGTCACGTGACGCGATGTGAAAGCAGAGGTCTGACTACAAGTAGTTGTGTGTGTGGGGGGGGAGGAAGCACGTCACGCGACTTGCCCGGCCGCGTCCTGGTCCACATGTGATCTGCCTGCGTCCCCGCCGTAATACAGGTGCTCGTATCGGTTCTCCCCACATCCGCTTCATACCCCTGTCCGCCGTCTGCAAGGGGCGGGCGATAGTGTGTTGTAGTGCGCGTGCGATTCACGTGAGCGATATGTAACCCTAGAAGTTAGGGGAGAACTTTTTGATTAGTAAGCGGAACTGTGGAGCTGTGAGCGGCGTAGTGGAGTTATTTGTCCATAAATGGAGTTAATTTAGTCGATATTGTGGGGAGGTGTTGAAACTGTGCGTTCAGTACATACTTGTAGGTTGAGTGGCTGTGATGAGTGAAGTAAGTTTCAACAAGTTTTCCAACAAGAATGCATACAAGGTGGCTTTGAAACGGAGGTATTCCAGCATGAGATGGTTTTTTGTGAGTGAGTGCTTTTTCTTTGTTTGCTGAATACTGTTTGAGTCGGTAGAACATTTGGAGCGAGTAATTGAGGGTCGTTATCTGTCTCATTGGTGTTCATTCGCTAATGTTCACCTTCACTGTGTTCCACTAGCTCCAGCTACATGCTGTGTACAAGTACATTACACTATGTACTGTACATATTGTTGTTGAAGTAGCTCAGCCAGTTGGAGAAGATAACGCTGACTGTTTCGGCCATTTTAGGAGAGTCTTTCACCTTCATAATATGTTGCAGTCTCTCAGATCTTACAAAGTGTTCTTCTCGTCCTGTTTCATTCGGCCCAAAGACATTACGCCACGAGAATTGGTTGAAACAATCAAAATCAAGTCAGTGGAATTTCCAGTGGAAGATCTTTTATGTCAGCTTTTGTAACACAACGAAACTATACTCCTTCCCCAGTTTGTGGCTGCTAGCAGAAGGCGAGAGGTGTGGGTCACGGGAAAGTACGGGAGAGTCCTGAGAGTCCTGAGAGTCCTGAGAGTCCTGAGAGTCCTGAGAGTCCTGAGAGTCCTGAGAGTCCTGAGAGTCCTGAGAGTCCTGAGAGTCCTGAGAAAGTCCCGAGAAAGTCCTGAGAAAGTCCTGAGAAAGTCCTGATGAGTATTTACCGTAGGTACCGTACAAGTGAGGCCGTATTACATTAAATTTAAGTACGTACAAGTGTTAAAGAAGTTGAAAGCTCTTCTTCTTGTGGCTTGACTATAGAAGAGTTCCTTTCTTATCCTGATACTCCTTTAGTTCAATTGCTTCCTACGAGGACGTACTGTACAACACAGCTATCGTACCCCACACAGCCATAAAAGTAGCTAATGGGAAGATTTTGGCCATCCACCACTTTTACAATGGAATGGATTTCATTCATGCTATACAGATTGCTGTCACTTATACACACGCTGCCATTACTCTACGAGTGAGTACTCATGCACTTGTACATACAGTACTGTACCCTACCAGTAGCACATCATTTGTATGCGTAGTGTATCACCAATCTATGACAGTTTTCTGTAACCAGTTGAACTAGAGGAATTTCAGGTGACCAATCAGCTCCGAATCTAACAGTGATTCGATTCTACGTTTTTCCTACTTGTACAAATAATTGATGGTGTTCACTTCAGCGTCTATGTTCACGGCAACCAGTCTCACTCAATTCTCCCCCAGGTTTCCCCAAACGAAAGTGCAGTCAGTTCAGTTCCAACTCAAGCCGAATTTACCAGCAATAACACGTCCTTGCTTCCCTTTCCAATCAACCATTGTTCACCTCGATGACCCCCACACCCCCACTTGACTCACCTTGCCCCCACACACCCCTCTTATCCCATCACACAACGGATCATAAGCCTGTCCTCATCGCCTTCTCGGTCCCTTTGAGTAAGAGACAATGTAGAGCTCACATCTGGAGCAAGCCCAGCTGAGGATGGACATTGGAATGGGGCTGGGACTGACTGGGACTGACTGAGACTGGGACTGAAGCTGGAGTAGGCTGGGCCAGTGCTGGGGTACAAGCTTCTGCTTGAGACCCTGTCCAGTATCAATACCAATTGTTTTTTGGGTGTCCTCCAGACTTGATAGACGCTCTACTCGTACCTTCAGTTCGATGCATCCATGTCCCATCTCCGACTTGGACAAAGAGCAGTATTGGGGCTACTCAATATGAAGTTTTTGGCGCCACGCCTGTTGTTGATATATTGACACAATGGGTGGGTACAGCATGTACAGTACAGTATGTACAGTAAGCCGAAATTGGACCCATCTCGTACCGAATGAATTGGGGTGTATTCACCTGTTGCCACTGCTTAACGCCTCATCTCCATTTATTCACTCACACTCGTATACTTTGATGCTCCGAGGACTCCAAGCTCAAAGTGTGAGGTAAACTCTTTCGAACTGGCGAGCTGTTGTACAGACTGCTGTCATCCACGCTAGAAAGGACCTGGCAATCGATCTCGGCTACCGAATCCCGGCCCATGTACCCGGATTTTGTCCATCAAACGTCGCTTGCCCTCAATTCGGTTTCTCGCATATCTCTGATCTCCTCCTCCCGACATTCGCGGTATCTTTTTTTGCCCTGGATTTAGTCCCCAGTCTGGATGGCATTTAGGTTGTGGCCATTTAGACTCCCGTCCTCACGAGACTCCAGACAATGATCCGTCTGAAACAACCCAGCGATTGTGAACACGAGGATACACACGGGCCCAGAAGGGTTAAAACTTCCCCAGATGGAGTCTGATGGGGCCAGTGAGAACCATCTTGTACCTTCTAGAGCTGTTTGTAAGTCACCAATTGGTTCGTATGTCCTTCTCGGAGATGGTCAGCTTGGCCACTATGCATCTCTCTTTTTCCGTGAGTTTCCGTCTCTAATTGTCGTCACTTGCGTCTGTCATTCCCATCTGCATTCTCCCTGTTTACTCTCCCACACAGCCGTTGCTCTCAATGCACTCCATCTCAGTCTATCGCAGACGCTCCATCTTTCCACGGTGCAATCAGTCCAATCAAGACCACGCTGTTATCTCATTAGAGTTCCGTTATCTCCCAATTTATCTGGCTATATGAAAGTTTGTTGAGGGGGTGCGGAAGACGAGTAAGAACGATGATTGCGTTGTAGGGAGCATTCCAGTGCGAAATGTGGCGATATTGGTATTCAAATATGTGCATTTGGTAGTGAATTTCGTTCTTAACGCTCCAGTTTTCGATTTACGCCACTCTAACACCACCTTAACCCTCCCTGGCGAATCCCCACTTATCATTTTTTGCTCCCAATTGACCTGCATATACTTTGTCTGCATGCAGACTAGACACACTCAGATTGTACCACGATGGGGTCTAGATTGTCATGATCCAAACCCGTCAAAATATAAAATGAGGAACAAATCCACTAATACTACACCACTAACAGCTGCAACAAGCACCCAGCCATGCACAGACTATCACAACTAGCTACACAAACAACCGCGGCCACCATCACCGCAGGTCATCCTCTTGATCCTCTCTCTCCCTCCGAAATCGAACATGCCGCTTCCATCGTCAAATCGCAGATGCGAGACTCGTCTCCGTACCGGTTCAATCTCATCACGCTGATCGAGCCGCCCAAGGCCGAGCTTCTTGCGTGGGAGGCGTCGCCTTCCTCGGTGGCCAAACCTCCTCGACGAGCGGAGGTCGTACTCGTTGTGAGAGGCAAGAAGGGCGTCACCGAGGGCCGGGTCTGTCTCACCGGCTCAAAGGTGCTTTCGTGGTCCGAAATTGAGGGCGTCCAGCCTATTCTTACCGTTGACGACCTCCAAAAGGTCGAGGAAATTGTGCGACAGGACCCCGAAGTCATCAAGCAGTGCAAACTCATTGGAGTTGACAACATGTCCCAGGTGTACTGTGATCCCTGGACTATTGGCTATGACGAAAGATGGGGTGCCGAACGACGTCTACAGCAGGCGTTCCTCTACTTCCGAGCCCACCAGGACGACTCCCAGTACTCCCATCCTCTTGACTTCACTCCAATCTACGACGCCACGGAGCAGAAAGTCATCTTTATTGATATTCCTCCCGTTCGTCGACCTCTCTCCAAGCTTAAGAATTCCAACTTCAACCCTCAGGATATCTCCAAGACTACCGGTTACAGAGACGTGAAGCCCATCGACGTGTCTCAGCCCGAAGGAGTCAACTTCAAGATGACCGGTCGAATCATGGAGTGGCAGGGATTCCGATTTCACGTGGGATTCAACTACAGAGAGGGAATTGTGCTGTCTCAGATCTCTTTCAACGACCATGGTAACCAGCGAAACATGTTCCATCGTCTCTCTCTCGTTGAAATGGTTGTTCCCTACGGAAACCCCGAGCACCCTCACCAGCGAAAGCACGCCTTTGATCTGGGAGAGTACGGAGCCGGTCTCATGACCAATCCTCTTTCCCTCGGATGTGATTGCAAGGGAGTCATTCACTACCTTGATGCGCACTTTTCCGACGCCGAAGGAAAGCCTCTCACTGTTCCCAACGCTGTGTGTATCCACGAGGAGGACAATGGTCTGCTTTTCAAGCACTCTGACTTCCGAGACGAGTTCCAGACTTCGATCGTCACTCGAGCTACCAAGCTCATTTTGTCGCAGATTTTCACCGCCGCAAACTACGAATACTGCGTCTACTGGATTTTCCACCAGGACGGTACCATCCAGCTGGAGATTAAGCTCACCGGCATCCTCAACACTTTCCCCTGCAATCCCGGAGAAGATTTGCATGGCTGGGGCACAGAGGTGTACCCTGGTACCAACGCCCACAACCATCAGCATCTCTTTTCTCTGCGAATCCATCCTGCCATTGATTCCCAGCTGCATCCAGGTAATTCTGTGGCAATGGTGGACGCTGAGCGGTCACCCTTCCCGCCTGGACACCCAGAAAACCTGCACGGCAATGGTTTCCGGCCCAAGCGAACGGTCTTCAACAACCCGATCGAGGCTATGACGGATTATGATGGTAATACATCGCGAACTTGGGACTTTTTCAACCCGAAGTCCATCAACCAGTACTCCAAGAAGCCCGCTTCTTACAAGCTGGTGTCTCGTGAGTGCCCTCCTCTGCTTCCTCAGCCTGGTGGACTGGTTTGGAACCGAGCTGGTTTTGCACGACACCATATGCATGTTGTTCCGTATGTGGACGGCCAGCTGTACCCTGCTGGACGGTTTGTTTGCCAGACAAGTGGAAAGCCCTCAAGGGGTCTCCCCGAGTGGATTGAGCAGTGCGGAGAGAAGGCCAATATCAACGATACCGATGTTGTTGCCTATCACACTTTTGGTCTGACCCATTTCCCTGCTCCCGAGGACTTCCCTTTGATGCCTGCCGAGCCCATGACTCTACTTTTGCGACCCAGAAACTTCTTCCTGCAGAACCCGGCTTTGGACGTGCCTCCTTCGCATGCTCGAACCACCACAGAGGCCCAGGCTGCTTCCGGTGCTAAGGTTGTCTCTCTTACCGACAAGGTGTCGCAGCTGGCTTTCAATAAGTCGTGCTGTTCCAAGTAGCGACTCAAGTCAGACAACGAGTAGTCCATCCACTGTTCTTCAAGCTGGTCTTGTTTATTTAACTCTTAATATATCTTTTATATTGCCTCTGTTTGGTGAATTGGTAGCATTTCAAGAGATGTATTGTAAGATTTGTAGCATCGTCTTTGAGGTATGAGTGTTTGTGGGCACACACCCAGCACAGACCATATAACCTGGGATTACTGTACATACTAAAGGAAGTGGTTTTTATACAGCCAATCGAACCCTAGGGAGATTTTTAGTCGACTTTTGCTTGCTATCACACATGAAATGTACATACTGTGATCAACTCAACCCCTACATACAGAGAAAAAAACAGTGCATATCACGATCCGAATGAATATGGAATATAAATGGTGCCGAAACCGCCTACAAACACATGGGACGACAAAAATACAACTGCTAAGAGATTGAAAAAGATTACAGCACCCAGGATTCTCGTATGGTCTCCCACTACAATACTAACTGGGCTCTCTGGTGCTTGACTATGGCTGATCGGACGGGAAGCCGTATTTTCACCAGGATATGGCCGTAACCACACTGCGCCGACCCGGAATCGAACCGGGGGCCCATCGATGGCAACGATGGATTTTACCACTAAACCATCGGCGCGGAAATTCTGACTGGAAAAATTCAGAAATCACTGGTAGGAGAAATCCTTGTTTTTGAGCCGGCCGGTATAGATATGGGGTAAATGGTTCTTTTTTAGTATTCACTGGCACTTTAGGATCAGATTCATATATTAGACATCCGGATCGACAGACTATTACCCCTTTTATCGGTGTTGTGGCGTGCGCACTTTTCACATTGAGTTTCTGTCGCGTGCTGTATTGAGTGAAACTTGTTGAAAAATTACGTCTACAGTACAAGGACAAAATGCACAATTCATACAAGAAAATAACTCAAGCCTCGATTTGCTCGTTGCGCCACGGCTTATGTTTTTCTTTGAAGCCCGTGTTTCTACACAAGCTCTCACTAGTGCCGTTCCGACATTCCAATGGCCCTTATAGCCGTGTGTGAAAAGTCGGAGGGGTATTCGGAGATTTGGGCAAGGGGGGAATGGACCCGATTTCAAATTAATGGATACACGGGGGTGGTTCTGGAGGGGCTATACAACTCTACAGTGCTTGTGGTCTACAGGTTGCTGCTTATGGAATGTGCGGTTATATACCCGAGAAGCGGCTTGGTTACCGGATGAGTGATGTGAGTTTGACGATCGTATTCGGCGTAGACACACTTGAGGAAGTCGGAGAACACCTGCAGCAACCTCTGGAATGTGACTCATAGTTTTCTAGTGATGGGATACGATAATATGGTATGAGTGCTGTTGATAGCCCATGCGCGGGCATGACTCGGCAAGTAGTCAACATTCTGGAGCCCGCAAATGTATACAAACTTGGATGATGACTTCCATAGCAGGTGCTCTATACAAACACATTTCTACAATCGTTTTATCGGGTAACAATATTAATTATGGTGGGATCACTACTAGTTCAGCTTCTAGCGTGCAACTTAGAAGAGAGCAGCGACAACAACAACACCGGCAGCGGCGGCAGAGACACCAAGAGCAGCGGCACCGTTGGCCTGGGCAGCAGCGGTGGAGGGGGGAGCCTGGATCTGGCCATCACCGATCTGGGTGACGACGGCAGTGGCGTTGGCGGCGGCGGAGACAATGCCGGCAACAGCGGCAGCGATAGCGAGAGAGAACTTCATTTTAGCGAGTGTATGAGAGAGTGGTTTCTTGGCAGCAAAAGGGAAGAATCCAGTCGACTTATATACATTTTCTTTCTTCGGGGTATCCGCATGTTATCCGCTTTTTTTCTTCGCCCGTCGGCTTTGTCATGTTTCACCCTCTACGTCTGGGCTATTGGCAGTGTTATCAAGGTTCGCATTCTGAAAGGGACCCACTGATAAGGCATTAGAGGCTTGGCGAAAGGCGAAAAGTGGGAGTGGAGGCGGCTTTTTTTCCGTTGTCGCGTGTAAATATATATATTCACGTGACAGGAATCTCACCGTGCAATTCTCTTGTCTCTACGACTTGTACAACTCCCGCAAGACCTTTCCGCAACCCCCCGTGTCAAACGCATGTACCTGCACATCTCCCAAAAAAGGCGAGTCATGTCCAAATCGAGCTTGCCAGCTGCGTCTTTAGAAAAGGCTTGTTTCTCAGGTGCAAACAAAAGAATTCCGCGGTAGTGCGATGAGCGATTTTCAGGCTGCTTGGATCACTTTGGATATGTTTGCTTCGCGTGTCAGACCAAGCCCACCATTTGTACTGGCTCCACTACAGTGCGTTCAGTACAGAGGTCCATACATGTGCACCTCCTTCTTTACAGCCCGTGTGGCTACTCGCGTGTCCTGTGCGTATTCCACTTGTACCTTCTGTTTGGGACGCGCTAAAAAGAGTATAAACAAGTTACACCAGTTGCTTTAGCAACCACAGCCTCCAGCTCTATCCCACCGTTAATTGGTTGAGGTTACTGGGGGTCTCTGAAGACGTCTGGCGCGGTGCTCGACGGTTATGCCAAGCAAGTTTTGATACCGCCGTCACTGTCAGGAACATCTGTCACCTGTCACCCGTGAGGGGCATTATTATTCACGTCATCATTCCACACAGTTCGCGTACTTCACTAGCGCCGTCTTGTGCTGCTTTGTCTGATCCACTCGTGTGCAAAACTTTCGCACTTCCCCCATGTCGATTGTAAGATACCGTTATTGCGCTTCCCGTTTTGGCCACCTCGGCTCCCAATTAACTGCGAGCAAGTCTCGGCACGTGAGATCGGACTTACAACTCATGATATTACCGGTACAAATACTGGATGAGTATGTACACTGCAGTATCGCGAATACACCTGTAGCTGTGGCGTATGTTTACACTATATGCTAACTTTTGGTGGGCGGTGTAGTAGCTCCGTTCCCAGTATTACTGTCCATACCAGAAACATGCTTGTCCCGCGAAGCAACCCCTTCAGTATGTAGCAGACACCATACCGAGCTCGAGATATGTTATTACGTGGTTCGATTGTCGCAAACGCCTTGCACACCAACTTTGGTTTAATTGCTGTGTAGACCGATAAGAGATAAGACTTGAGAGTTCCAAGATATTCACATTCAAAACATAACACATTTTGCGCTACTCGTACAACCGCTTAATACAATAACTTATCCTATATTACATATTCCAATCCCTTGTGCCCATTCTGCCCTTGTTTTTCCTTCTACCTGCTCTCTCCTAGTCGTCATCGCTAACAGGAGCCTCTTCAACATCAGACAACTCAATAGGCACAATGAAACTCTCGTGCTGACCAACAACGCCTCTAATCTGCTCAATGGTCATCACATCTACCTCCCCATCCTCATCGTCCTGCCGCTGCTGATCAATATCTTCCTGGTCAGCCATATCAAACTCGTCTTCCTTTTCCTCGTAGTTGATGTTCTCTTCGACCTCAACGAAGTCAGGAGCCAGAGCTGACCACCGCTGAGGCGTGATAGTGGACCACAGAAAGATCTTACCCGAGTCCAGACCGATAGCAGCAAGAATGGGACGACTGGGATGCCATGAGATGCCTGTCAGTTCCTCCTTGGGACCCTCAAAGATCTTCACCAGCGAACCCATGCTCGTTTCCCACATGTACACGTCATGTGACTCGAAAGTCGATGCCAGCATGTACTCTCCATTGGACGCAAACGTGATGGAGTTCCACTGCAGCCTGTTCACCACGTCCTGGTATTTGAGAATAACTTCAAACTCCCATGTATCAGGCTCTGTAGACAGAAGAGTCGGCACCTGGATCTGACGAATGACTCGATCTGACGAATTGATTCCAAGAGAACGCCCGGATTGACTAACCTCAATGTTTTTGATAGATGAGGACGTAACTCGAGTTGAATGCAGAATGTCACGGGTGTCGGTAGAGATAACGTTAAGAAACCCCCTAGAGGTGCCTGCAAAAATATACTTGCCGGACTTGTCGAATTGCGTGACAAGAGTGAGATGTTTGACCGGTTTCTTTGTCGTTTCCGAATCTTCGTCGTCCTTCTGCTCGTCTGTAGGCAGATCATGCATCGTAGGCCCCCCTCCTCTTTCCGTGTCCAAGTGCACAAGTTTGGGAGCTGCCTCGTACAAAGAGACTACAAACAGCGCGTGACCCGAAGGATGCAGTTGTGCGCCCCAGACCGGGGTGTTGAAATTGATCGTCTGTGTCGCCTTTTTGGTGCTCAAGTCCCACAGCATGCACGTCCAATCTCGTGATGAAGACAGGATATACCGTCCATCTTTTGACCAACTGAGACTCTGGATCTGTCGCGAGTGGCCGCGAAGAACAGCAATAACTCCGTGCGTGTCGAAATCGAAAATTACAATTGTGCCATCCACAAGCCCCGATGCAAAGTAGTCTCCCTTTCGATTAAACGAAATGCAACACGAGTGTCCCCATTCTGTGTTAGTTTCTGGAACTGCATGTGATTCGCGTATCTCGCGTGATTCTGGCATGCGTACTCACTCAGCCTCTTGCTTAGGGTTTCCGGATAGTCCTGGGCCAGCGAAAACGGATCCAAAAGCGATAAATTCATGCTGATGGTGATCTTGCAGTTGGCGTTGAGTGGTGAAGTGCATGTCCAAAAGTTTATCTTAGTCACGTGCTCAACTCTGATTATGCGTTGTCATTGTGAGTTCGATTCCAGGGTGTGTTGATTATTGGGGGGTTTAACAACTCTACTCAATTCTTCATCACAAGGAAGACACATTCGGTCAGAAGGACTAACGTGACCGTATTGAGTCTTCTGATGACACTTATCAGATAATACTCTTTTCGAGGACGTCACTCTTTCATACTCGTTACTACGAAAAGCGTACCGCATATAACCGCCTCTCAGGCATTGGATATTGGTGTTGTAAAACTACAAATACCGGTACATCTACAGTAATGGCTGACAGACTCGCGGCTACTATAATGAGGTTGGTGAACGTGAAATTACGATTTCGGTTCCTGGTTTTTCATGTTCATGTCTTTGAAATTACTTTTGATGGCTGCCTTCCACGTGGACTGATTTTCAGGTCCGCAAAAACGTTCAATATTTGTAACTAGTCATTTATTTTCAGCAGTTTATTTTTTCCCAGCCACTTGGCAGTCGTTCTCTTGACCTTGAATTTCTTCTTCGCAGATTGCTGCCTCTTTTAATCGCCTTTCTGTTTTTTTATTGCAGGCTATCTCTCTGTCTTGGCCCTTTGTTTACGCCAACAGCGATAACACCGTGGAACTTGTGCCAGTATGGTGTTATGCACGATAAATGGGTTACCCATGTATAGAAGACGTTTCTACTTGTTCAAGTACTGCTCAAGAACTTATGCTTGTATGATAATCAGGGTCTATGGACGATTTTTCAGACGAGCCAAGAGTAAGGAGGTTGCATCAATCTTAGTCATACAACCCCATCTATAAATGTAGCGGTTGAAAGTGCTAAGATGCTATACTTGTGCGGCCATTTCACCTATAAAGAAAAGGCGCAACCACCTGCAGTTGTAAAAGAAAAACCTCTCCTATCACGTTATCGAGTTCTCCAGTTGTAATGATCTCCCACGGATCGTCGTCTTCAACTGATCGTCCTGACTTAGGCAATGTCTATCCAAAAGAAACCAAGCCCATCACGTCAACCAACAGTACAGTATGTACTGTGTATTTATTGTGTATGGGCTGCTGGACACTAGGCAAGGTTTCAAAAAGCACTTATACAAGCCTTTATCCCCGGTAGCGATCATCTTTGACAGAGTTCGATAACCATATCGCACCGAAAGGTAGGAAGGTGGGCATCTTAGAAACTCCAACCAAGCAGGGATTGGCAGGGGAGAGGACAGGCCCATTGATCTGTAAAGCAGCCTCAGACATTTATTCAGGTACACTGACTCAGACTTGGTGCCTAGCCAGGTACAAGGTGTTGCATGTGGCAGAAGCAATTGTAGAGGTTTCAAGGTAGAGAAGGTGGTAGATACGACTGTGAGACGCAACCTAGAAAGTGGTCCAAGTGCTCCCCCACACACACCATTTTTGGGGTGTAAATAGCAACAGGCAATCTCTGTTGTACTACAAGGTAGTAGCCGTAATGTCAGAATGTTAACTGTGATTCTTCCAGAGTACGCTGCGCAATTAATAAATGTCTCGCAGGAATGTGGTGAGACGATGTGGATGGCAATATTAATATTAATATCAATCCATTCGTCTTGACGAGCGCTGTCTGGGAATACATGTCCTGTTGTGACTGTATTATGCTACTTGTAGTTGGCAGCTTTGCCCCCAGGCCTCATTTAAGCTATACCCTGATGAGATGTCCTATCTCGTAGACCCTCGTCATCATGGGTATGATTTTGCTCGTAAAGAGCCCATTGTTGCGGTGGAATTCCTCTCTCTTTCGTCATACCATGGTCTGTGGTATTAATGGTTCCGAAAGGCTTAACTGACGGACACTTTATTCCTAACTGCGAGGAAATAAGCTCCACTTCTTTCGGATCTCCACATTAGGAGGGCGGCTGGAATGGGGGAGCGTGTTGAGCGTGATTTTCCGAGGTTTTCATTGTTGTTTTTTTCTTCATCTGCAGCACTTAACTCTTCCTACGCCGCTCGATAGCTTCCTGAAGGTGGCACAATCATCAGCTGATCATTTCCTCCCCCACCGTTTTGATCACCTCCCGGTTCATCTCCCGGCTGATCTTTGACGATCACGTTTTTCCGAGGCAAACCTTTGACGCAGTCCCAGTCTCAGACTCAGGCTCTTAGGGTTGAGTGCGTCATTGTATATAGATGCACTGTGAGGTTAAGCACAATGAAACCCAGTCTTGCGCCTCAAACCCTCAAACTGCTTCTGTTGTTCCAGCGCGTTGTACACTGCGCTTATGAAAGTGACTAACTGCCATGCCATCTGATAACGCACGGGGTAAGCTAAGCGAGTACGACGTGCAGGAAACAAATTGCCCAAAGTGTGGACATACAAGGCTCTCGACAAGTTGCGCTGAATCCGTGGGGGAACATCATATGTCTCATTCAACTAATGTAGCTGAGACAATTCAATCTGTCCCCAAGGCCCCAAGGCCCCAAGGCCCCAAGGTTCAAAGGTTGGGGTTGGCGTGGGAATGACAGAAGCGAGAAAATTAGGTTCTTGTCAGTAGTGTAACCAACTTTACGATTGTTGTGCGGCGCGGTGAACGAGAAGCAAAGAATTCCACGAGAGCAATAAATACATCTATTCATTGCTAGGCATTTACAGGGTGCCATGAGGAAACGGGCAGGTATAGGATATTTTTCCAACGACATTTTTTGCCTGAATAAATAACTCATAGACAGACTATTTATAGGCTAGCCGTGCAGAGAGTGTTTCTTGCATTGCAAAAGCAATGATTGCACGCTTAACTGTGAGCTTGTGTGTACAGAAATCATTGCAAGGCCTGGCCAAACTCACAAAGGTCAACTCAACTGCCTTGAGGTTTTGTTTTTTATTGTACCCACCCGGTCTCTAAACGTCATATATTTAGATATTGCTGTTATACGCTGCCAAAATAGCTTGAGATAATTGACGGAAATAGAACCGAGACAACCACCTACACCACCCAAAGTATTGATGCCGTTACCGAGAGCCCTGGATTCCAACCGCCCATCTATTAGCTATTGGTCGCATAGATCCACGTGCGTCCACATCTATCCACATTTGTTCATTGTACCGTCTATACAAACATGCTATCAACGTTGACGCAATGCACTATTCACAATTACACAATGGTCGGTGAAATGCGTCTGGCGAGCACTCCTCCTGTGGAGACCCCCAAGAATGCACTTGCAGCTTTAGCCTAATTGTAGCCAGGAGAAGTGGGGGCATTGAGAGCGCGTTAGGGAGCGTTTGTGAGTGAAGGAATGCAGATGGAATGGCCATGTAGCGTTTGCAGACATCTGTTACTGGTCAATATCGTGAGGCTGCATGGGATGACGTCTAGTCTCACGGCATTACTATGCTGATCTCTCCCCCAGCCAACGTGCGGCGATTATGACGTAGATCGCTCAATCTACGCCCAGTTAAACACCAATTTCAACCCACATCTCATCTGTCTTAGTTGACCACGCTTTGCAATAGACTCTAGCTCGGCGCTCACTTTCTGAAGCTTGCACTCTGACTCGGAAAAACCAATGTTACATGCGTCCCATAGATATCTCAGTTGGGAAACTGGAGAATCCACATTGGGCCAACCGAGGCCAAAAAAAAGTGTGGTCAAGCGCGGTAGCAATCGTGTTTGCCTTTGCTCCTCTGCGCCGTGCGTGTCTCAAGTATCCCTGCCTCAGCGATAGACCTGATTTTCGTGATCAGACACTCTAACCCTGCCAATACACTGGACACACAAAGCAATGCCCCCAGTAGGGCGTGCAGATTGACAATGATTAACAATAATTAACAATGGCGTGTCGATCTGTCGATCGGGTAAATTGGCGTGGAAGAGTGCATCGGCATACGGTGCATACGAAAACGACAACTGGATTGGATTTACAAGTACTCGTACAACGACAGTACAGTCAATCAAAAGTTCATTTACCAAACACACCCTTTTCGGCCAAGGCAGGTTTGGATTTGGCTAAATAAATAATGCACTGCACACGCTGAAAATCGTCATAGGAGACATTGTAAGTCTGGCCTCGGCGTTGCAGTGTGGCCCATAGACAACTCATCTGCTCATAGAGGTCCCTACGGAGCTCATAAATGTCTGTAAAAGAAGGAATCGAGGCCAACTCAAGCTCCTCAAAAAGCAAATCGCCAGGCAGCACTTTCTCTGAGTCAGAGACACTGAATGGGGCACTTCCAAACAGCTCAACAAGACCATTCATACATTCTATAGCCGTGTAGCTCCGCAGACAATCCAGATCAGGTTTGTAGGCAAGCATAGCTAGCGCTGAAGGCAAAAGATGTGACAGTTTGTGTGCGGTACGTGTGGAATGTGGTATCTCTGCGAAAGAGGGTCTCTCTTCGAGGTCGCCAGAAGCCCGATAGTTGTCATGCAGACAGATATGGAGGGCTTCTAGGATGTACAGTGGAGATCTTCCACATAGTATAATCATGACTGTGTGTTCCAGCAGCTCTCGGGCGGTGGCCAAGGAGTCAAATGTGAAGTTATGAATCTTAGTGAGCTCTATGATTGCATTCTCGACTTGTTCGGTGGGCATCAATAGATACGACGTCTGTAGGGCGATCATACGTTGGGTAATTTTGCCAGACATGTGGTAATGTTTGGCCAGACTATCAAACACTGCGGCTTTCAGCCCTGGATCTCGCATCAGAGCACATCTGTAGAGCCATCCAACATAGGCTTTGGGTGTACCTGAATAGCGATGAGTCTCGGCGAGGTAGTAGTATCCGAGAGCCATTCCCGTCTCTGATATTACCAGCTCCGAGACGCTGACTCTGTTAGTTCTTGCCAGAGTCTTTTTGATTCGAGTCTGATCCTCGGACGACTCGCCCAGAATCATCAATTTTGTCCAGAAAAAGACCACAGCTCGGCGAATCCGCACAAAATGCCGTTTGAGCTTGTATGGCAGTTGCTGCTTTTCCCATTCTCGCAGCAGATACAGAATAGGAAGATGTGCAGTTTCCCAGATAACAGACGCCTTCTCTAGCTCGTGCGAATGCTCGTTGGTGAGGCTCACACATGCATCTCGAAGTTGCTTGAGTGTGTCCTCGTCTGGAGACTCGGGGAATCCCTGTTTTCTTAGATCAATCGGTGGTATTTTGAGGAGTTGGACTGGTGGTGGATGGTGTTGATGGTGAATTATTCGCGTGTTATCTGATTTAGAGTTTTTCTAATCTTCTGTTCGTGGTCAGTATTGAAAAGTGCCAGATAAAGACATTCCAATGAAGTCAGAGACCTAAGGAGCGGGATGTTCAATACTGTTGTTATTTCAAATAAATCTGTGGCTTTGCTTTCTCTTCAACGTCTCTCCACCGCACGAATTCCTCCACCGTCAGCAGCTCTCTCTTCCCAAATAGAGTTTGTTGTACACCAAACACTGTCCAGCTCTGCCCAGCACTACTTGTTGGAGAGACCAGCATATTGTCTTAACAGCTCCAGAGATACCGGCCGCTGATCGTGGTCAGAGATTATGACTTTCTTTTTGCATGTTCCATGTGATTCCCGAGCGGCACAGAGACGTTGAAGATCTTCAGACCGGCAAGAAATCGCTCAACTCCTGAGCAGCAACCTCGTTTGTCAACTCCGATTTATTGATTATTGCTTTCCAACGGCCATGCGTTCATTCTCGACCATGTTACATTGAGATGGATACTGAGCAAACTCGACTGTATTTGTGAACTTTCGACTGCCTTTTGATGAGAGGATTCATAGTCATGCTGGAGATGCAGAACCCGTCGAGATGTGGATAGAGCTGTGGATCCAGACGATGGGTCAATGTCAGAAACTAACAATGCCCAATCAAACAGACCCCCATGGGCAGTTTAGTCATTTCGCCAACCCTTCTTGCCCCCCGTACATTGTACATTTGCACAAAGGACCCGGCTGAACAGAGGAGAGACAAAGAGAATGCGAGCCAGCACAATAGAGCCTTTGTGTCGTCTGTGCCTATCGAGCGACAGGAGTCTGTGTGGTCGGTGCACTTTGCGTTAACTTTGATCCATGTGGACAGCGGAAAGGCAGAGTAACCCACAGGAGAAGGGCGGCTGGTGGTGATCTTCGTTGATCTCACGTGTTCTAGAGCCAGCCGTGGTTGGCGTCGAAGACAGGAGTTTTCACCTGCTACGAGACATATCTATATCTGCACATTCTGCCATCACCCTCCCCCATTACTAATTCTTACAACTGATGCTGCGGTATTTACTTTTCCCTGGATTTTCGTTTTTCATTTATCCAAAAATTTCTTCTTAACCCTTTTGCCCAAAACCCAAACAGCAGAAGCATAGTTAACGAACCCAAAAATCATAGTAGCGCCACCCTGGGACATGTCCAACAGGGTTTGCTTCAATTCCTGAAGGAAGCCCAGATGTGTTTCTACGATGGACAACCGCCAGCACTTCACGATGAGCGAGAGTAGACACAGTAGCAAGCGTAAAAGGCGGCCGAGGCCACCGAGAGAACAGCGTAGCAGGGCGCGTAGTCACCACAGGGGACGCAGAACCAAACCAATGACGAAGAAGAACCACAAGGAGAAGTTTTCAAAGGCAATGCAAATGAAGAGGGCAATGGAAGGATTGAGATTAGAGAACTGGAGACTGGAGTGGCGTTTTCCCGATGAACGAACAAACACGCGAAGCTATGTGGACCAACATACAACACGGACTGAACCAGGTTTTTTTATGATTTTTTTACTGGAAATAGGTACGTGCCAAGTTGGACCATGACACTAAACGTGTTTAATTAGTAATATTCGTGTAAGCGTACATTCATTTCAAAGGTTATTCTTTCACGGCAAAGTTATAATTAAATGAATGTATATGCAGAAAAAAAAAAAAAATAGTTAACGAAAACTCAAACCGAATACCTATCAACCTTTAGAAGAACTCTACTTCCACCAGTATGGCCAACATACCACAATATGACGTTTTTGCAAAAGTAAACTTGGCTGAGCAGAGATATATAATGCCTTCCAGCTCCCCAGGATGAGTTCTCCAGATCACCCGACCTCATTCTCTCGCTTCTACACTCGCTAAGACACACAACATTAAAACAATGCGATTCCACATTGCCGTTGCCCTTCTGGCCACCTCGGTGGTTGCCCAGGGTCCCTTTGCCAACTCCACCTCCGCTGTTGTTCCTCAGTCTTCTCAGCCTGCCAACTCCTCTTCTAGCGCCCCCCAGAGCTCTGCGCAGTCCACTACTCCCCTACCTGTGTCCTCTGCTCCTGTCTCGAGCTCTGCTGTCCCCTCCAGCTCTGCTGTCCCCTCCAGCTCTGCTGCCCCCGTTTCTTCGGTTCCTTCCAGCTCTGCTGCTCCCGTTTCTTCGGTTCCTTCCAGCTCTGCTGCTCCCGTTTCTTCGGTTCCTTCCAGCTCTGCTGCTCCCGTTTCTTCGGTTCCCTCCAGCTCTGCTGCCCCCGTTTCTTCGGCTCCTTCCAGCTCTGCTGCTCCCGTTTCTTCGGTTCCCTCCAGCTCTGCTGCCGCTGGTTCTGCTTCTGAGGCTCCTGTTGCTGCCAACTCTACCTCTCCTGTTGCCAGCTCTGCTCCTGTCAGCTCCACCACTCCTGTCAGCTCTACCACTCCTGTCAGTTCTGTTGCCCCCTCCTCTGCGGTCCCCGTTGCTTCCAATTCTACCTCTCCTGCCTCGAGCTCTGCTCCCGTCAGCTCTACCACCCCTGTGAGCTCTGCTGCTCCTTCCTCCGAGGCTCCTGTGGCTGCTAACTCCACCACCCCCGCCGCTTCTTCTGCTGCTCCCGTCTCTTCTCAGGCCACCACCCCTCTTCCTTCCTCTGCCCCTGCCAACTCCACTGCTCCCGCCTCTAGCTCTGCCGCAGCTGCCGCTGGTACTGATGCTCCCGTTGCTGCCAACTCCACCACCCCCGTTGCCAGCTCCGCTGCTCCTACTACCCCTCTGAGCTCCACCGCTGCTGCTGCTGGTACTGATGCCCCCGTTGCTGCCAACTCCACCACCCCCGTTGCCAGCTCCGCTGCTCCCACCACTCCTCTGAGCTCCGCTGCTACTGCTTCTGCTGTTGAACCCGCCTCTTCTGCCGCTCCCGTTGCCAACTCTACTACTCCTGTGGTCCCCGTTGGCTCGTCTACCACCCCTGTTGGCTCTTCCGTTGATGCTGCTTCTTCTGCTGCTCCTGTTGCCAACTCTACCACTCCCGTGGTCCCCGTTGGCTCGTCTACCACCCCTGTTGGCTCTTCCGTTGACTCTGCCTCTTCCGGTGCCTCTGCTCAACCTGCCTCTTCCACCAATGGTACTGCTCCCGTTCCCGTTACTTCTGCCCACGACTCTTCTGCTGCTTCTTCTGCCACTGCTGCTTCTTCTGCCGCTGCTGCTGCCTCCAAGGACGGAGCTGCCTCTGGAACTGCTGCTCCTGTGGTCACTGACACTGAGATCTACACCGCTACCTCCACCGTCACCGCTACCTACTGCCCCGTCTGCGAGTCTGGCTCCAAGTGGCAGCACCCCACCGGCTCCTCCGTCCACGGAGTGAAGACCGTCACCGTCACAAGCGCCACCAAGACTGTCACCGTCACTTGCGAGACATCCGGCTCCTCCACAATCATCCACGGTGCCGAGAAGACCACTGAGTCTGGTGTTGCTGTCGTTACTGTCACCAAGGACGTGACCAAGACCGTCACCGTCTCTTGCTACTCTTCCGGCACTTCTACCTGGTACGCTCCTAAGGTCACTGAATCTGGCGTCCACGTTGTCACCGTCACTCCCGGCAAGTCTGTGGCTGCTGTCCCTGCCCCCACCACCGTCATCGAGGGTATCACCAAGACCGTGACTGTCTCTTGCCTGACCTCCGGTACCTCCACCTGGTACGAGCCCAAGGTCACCGAGTCTGGAGTGGCAGTTGTTACCGTCACCCCCGGTGTCCCTGCTCCTGCTCCTGTCCAGTCCAAGGCTACCACCCCCGCCGCTGTTGTCCCTGCTCCCGCCCCCGTTGTCTCTGTCTCTACCAAGACTGTCACCGAGAACGGTTCTGTCCGAGTCGAGGCCACCACCGTCACCCAGCCCCACGCCGTAGTCTCCAAGGCTTCCCCCGTTGTCTCTGTCTCTACCAAGACTGTCACCGAGAATGGCTCCGTCCGAGTCGAGACCACCACCGTCACCAAGACCCCCGCTGTGATCTCCAACGCTCCCGAGGCTCCCGCCCAGGCCCCTGCTCAGTCCGCCGCCCCCAAGGCTCCCGCCCCCGGCTCTGTCAAGCCTGTCCCTGCTCCTTCCTTCGCCGTCTCAGCTTCTCCCGCCTTCCCCAAGGCCCCCGAGGTGGCCCAGGTGTCTCCCTCTTCCGTTACCGGTCCTTCTCAGGCCAACGGTGGCTCCATCGCCAAGCCCACCATGCTGGTTATGGTTCTTTCTTTCGCCGCTCTCCTCATCTAGAGAGCCGGGTTCTAACACTCCTTGTATTTAATTGTATTGTAAATTTCCACTAGAAATTGTGCCCTGTAGTTGAGGTGTGTATTAATTTGGTTAGTTTGGTCCTTATACTCAGGTCAGTTCGGTGTGTAGATTATCAGCAGCGTGGTCGCAAACAATACAGTACATATATACGTAGTAAATAATGGCAGTGTGGCACACTGGTCCGTCAGGTCACTATTGTTTCTATGGTAGAATTTTCTTGCAAATGTTTTCTATAGTTTCTATGATTTCTATAGGTTCTCTGTTCTATGGATTTTTTTTATTGTTTTATAATAACTTTTTTATATACGTAACACTGGGTTTTTCATCAATAATTGTGTGTGTGTGTGTGTGTGTGTGTGCGTAATTACTTAGGCTGTCTTGGTGGCTGGTTACAGTTGAGGTTCATTCGTCGTCAGGTGGAAAAAGTGCTTCAACCCTGATCAGATATACGCTGAGTTGAGTCTAGTTGTACCGTCTCAATGTCACATTACTGATCTGATCCCGTTATCATCCGTCTCTAGACTAACACGAGCGTAACTTGTATTACACAGCCATCTTTTTCTATGCATGCTTACTTATAAATCATAATAAACTGTACCAGCCTTTTCTTGAATAAATCTCCGTCTTAGATGACAATCTACTTCCGCTCTATTGAACGAGAAGACACGCCTTTGCCAGACGAAGACACAAGACGACGGACGACGCCTAGTTCTTCCTGTTTGGTTAATGTGATGCCACTTGTTTTCTCCCGTGTTCGGTTCCCACCTATCATTTTCATCGCCAAGCCTTTTACAACATGGGCTTGAGTCTTTTCGTATTTTACACTCTAAAGAGAGACACCAGCCCGCGGACAGTAGAGAGTAAAATGCGCGGTTTTTAACAACTCTGGACGGGCAAACAGATACGCTATACAAAACAGGTCGGTTTAGTCCGTAAAAGCAAATCCTCCCTAACTCGGTACACAGATCCACGCTCTGGTCGTCCGTCAGTCTGGCTATCAACTTGCAGTTGATGCATGTAGCAGTAAAGTTTGCGCAGTGAAAATTATCAGATCCTCCCAAGGCTCTTGTACCGAGAGTCTAATCCGCTCTCCCCAAGTCCCAACGCATGACGTACACCCGCACACAGTGATAGGCAGCACCAGACAATAGCCACGTCGAGCTGACTTTGAAGACCAAGGTATCCAGTGACACAAAATGGGTGCTAAAAAGTCCAAGAAAAAGGCCAAGAGATCACGGCCAGCCACCTCCAGAGAGACGTTGGATCCTCTTGAATCAGGTGAGTATGCACTGCCCAGATGGTGCTCCTGGGACATGTGATCGAGATCAACTTATCAACATGGCCCAGAAACAGAAGAGAAGAGCGAACGAACTAACACACAGCCACTTCATCACCGACTCTGGTCAATGATATCAGTCAGAGCGACTCCGCAACTCCCACCCCGGATCTGGAGCCTACGCCCGAGCCGGATGGGGTAGTACAGAAAGAGGTGGTCAAGAGCGACAAGGAGAACAGTGAGGTGAAGGAGGAGGAAAAGGAGGAGGAAAAGAAGGAGGAAAAGAAGGACACGATACAACCCAAATCACCCGCACGGCCGTCTGTTGTGCGAGAAACTTCATTTGCACGGTTCACAACACTGCCTGAACGGCCCAACGTCCCCGCCACCAGCTACGATTATGGCGATATGGACAACGACATGGACAACGACATGGACAACGGCATGGGCAACGGCATGGACAACGACATGAGTTCTGTGCCGATTGCGTCCTTTGAGCCAATGGAGCCGGAGGTAGAGGAAATGGAACCACAGATGGACAGCATGGATACGGAGGAGTTTGGAGAGATGCAATCTGCAGACCACGAGGTTGAGCAGATGCAGCCGGTGGAGGAGTCGGCCGAAAAGATTGTGGAGGAGCCTGTGGGAGAGGTTGAAATGGAGAAGAGGAATGTCGAGCTTATGGTCAGGGAACAAGTCGAGGAATTCACGGTCGAAGAAGAGGTCGCTGCCATTGAAGAACCGGAACCCACGATTGAACAGGCCAATGAGGAGTTCGCTGCTTCGCCTCAGCTGAACGGGCATGACACAGAACCCGCCATCAACCATGTGTGCACGCCGGCAGATCCAGTTGCGCCAGACAACACTTCTCTGACCATGGTGGCTCCGGAACCTGAATCATACGAATCAAATGTACACCAGTTTTCCGACTACACACGCACGTCGCCCACCGAAGAAGATATCGAAAAACTCAACGCTGATTTGGATACTACGGTTCCGTCCTTCTTCAAAAAACGCAATTCCTCCACGTCTTCTAGGACCTCTATTCCAATTGTTGAAGTGGAGAAGGCAGAGGAGGCTGTGGAAGAACACGAGCAGGAAGAGGATCAAGGAGACTCGAAACAAAATGATCCTCTGTCTCCAACATTGGAGCTGGCTCTGTCTCCTGTTTCGACGCCTCTAAGAACCCCGTCACCTACGAAATCGCCTCGTGCAGCAGGTTTGTCTCCTGTCAGAACCCCCCTGCACCTCTCGGCAGTCACACGAAGCATGTCTCCCAGTTCTTCCAACATGGAGATTCGTCCATTCGAAAAGCGATTCGAAACCCGAATTTCTTCGCTGTTGAAACGATCTGGACACAGCAGAAGTGGATCTGAGCTTACTAGTCGAGGCTCCCCTAATGCATATGCTAGCCCTCGGCACTTGACGTCTCTGGAAGACTCGCTAGCTACAGATTCCATGTCGTGGACCAAATTGCATAACATTTCGAACCAAATCTACTCCGAGGCTGGCCAATTGGAGTATGGTGAACCCAGTGCCCTTCTGGTGACCAACACCATCTGTGTGGGTACCAAAAACGGAGTGACACTCGTGTTCGACTACCAACAGAACATGAAAAAGGCCCTGGTGTTCATCAACAGTCCTGTCACATGCCTGGCCGTGTCTTCCGATGCCACATTTTTAGCTGTGGGCCATGAATCGGGTCATGTGATCACATGGGACCTGAACATTCTCAAGCATGACCTTGTGATTGCTCCCCAGACCAAGAATGCTGCTGTTCTGAGCATTGCGTTTGTTGGTAAGCGTCATTCGTGTATCGTTTCTGGAAGCGCGGCTGGTAAAACCTATTTACATGATGGATACACCAGTATAACTGGTCGAAAGACCCGTTCGGCGTGTATTATGGGTCAATCGACCCCAACTTCTCTGGGAAACAAGCCGACCACCATATTTGCCTGTTCTTCCTTACCACTAGGCTCTGTTTCCTCCGTTACCGATGAACTTGGTTTGGTGGCTATTATGACCCCCCATATCCTGGCAATCATCTCCACCACACCCACTGTCATGACTCAGTTTAAGATTGGTCGACCCAAAAATACCAATCCCACTCTCGGTTTCATTGGCACTCTGGCGTGGTATCCTGCTGTTCGGAGCAGTACTTCCGTTGTGGGTTCGGACAAGCCTATTCTGGCGTACTCGTGGGCCAACGTTGTGACTATTCTGGAGATTCAGAGCGGTGCCTCTTCTGGGTTCGGAAAGAAGCTCAAGTTCACCAGCATTGCTCGTCACACGACCTCCGAGAGTATTGTTTCCATTCAGTGGATCAACCGGCAGGTTCTGGGTCTAATTACAGCTACCCAATCCTTGTTGATCATGTCTTTCAGCCATGGAGACTTGCATTTGAGTGCCTCTGTTGACCTTCTAAGCAAACATGTGCTCAAGTTTGATCGGTATTCCAATTCTCTTGGACAGTTGCGTATTGCTCGAAGTGGCAGCAACAAGGAACACGACGACGACGACAATAGCGTTCCTGTGGTTCCTCTGGACTCCTATTCTTCTACTGTTTGCACTTTCAAGGGTCGAATCTTTCTTCTTGGGTGTTATGAGCTCGTAGTTGGATACACCCTTTCGTGGTACGACAAGGTGGAGATTCTGGTCAAGCAGGAGCAGTATCTGAATGCTGTCAAGTTGGCTTTGACGTACTATGACAGTGATTCTGGAGATGGTGTTGTGGTAGGTTTGCCCGTTGACGACACTCTCCGAAGAGCAGTAGTCAAGCCTGCTATTCTGGAGGTGATTCAGAAGATTCTTCCACGGGCTCTTCGAGCGGAGACCAGTCTTGACTTGGCAGAGCTGACATCTATTTGTGTCGATGCCCTGATAAATCTCGATGACACGTCAATTGATAGCACTATCTACGACATGTACGAGGACTCTGACCACCTGCCGTTGTATCTGGACACTATCGCGACGGCTGTGTTTGATCTCCGGCTTCGGTCTGTGTCACCGCGTGTCTTCAAGGGTCTTATTTCGACGTACTCCGTGTCAGAAGACACTACCGACAAGATGGAAGAGATCATTTGCACATTAGACCCTGCCACCTTGGACGTTGATACCACTCTGGGCCTGTGCAAGAAATATGGTCTGTTGGATGCGTCCATTTACATTTGGAATGTCGCTCTCAATGACTACATTTCTCCGCTGTCTGAGTTCTTCCAGGCCATTGCTTCTGGAGATGAGAATGGTATCGCCAACAGAGCGTACTCTTATCTATCCTATATTTTCTCTGGTCGAATCTACCCCACTGGATTGAAGATGGCTACTTCTCAGAAGGAGATTGAGGCCAAAAGTTCGTTGTATTACGTTCTGTTGATTGGCAACTTCATTGTGTGGCCCAAGATCAATGGACGGAAGATCCCCTCGTTGGTTTCCACCGATGACTACCCTTATCTGAAATCGTTGATCACCTTCAACCCTGCTTCTTTCTACGTGGCTTTAGATGAGGCGTTCGAAGACCATTTCCTGAACGACAACGTTGAGCATGCCGAGACTCCAATTGATGAGCACTTCTTTCAGCAGGGAGGAGCCAGTTTGACCGGTGGGACAAGTGCTCAGTTTTCTGAGGAGGTGTCTTTTGGACGTCACATTAACCGTCAGATGATTGTTGATGTTCTTCTTCAGATTGCCCCCGAGCTATCCCCTGAATGTCATGTGTACACCCTCATTTTCATCGCGAGAAACTATCCCAAGTACTCCCAGTTCATTATGCTTGGAGAAGGTATTCTTAAGTCCATTCTGGAACACTTATGTGTTGGAGCACCTCAAGAACTTCGGCAGGAGTGTGAACTTGCCGCTGAAGTGTTGATTTCCAAGTTCAGGCCGTTCGATCTTCAGTGGACTATTTCTCTTCTGTCTGAAGCCGGTTACAATGGTGCTTTGTCTTACATTTATCGCACCGAGAGACTATTCCCCAAGCTAGTTGACCACTCTTTTGCTACCGAGCTGTTCGACGATATCTTTGAAGTGGTTGAGAAGTCGTTTGAAGAGACGAATGGTAGCAGTGCCAAGGCTGCAAAGGAACGGTCCAAGATTGAGGAGTCAGTCAAGACCAACTTTGAGCAGCTTATCCGGCTTAGTCCGAGTCGAACTGTCTCTTTGGTGTCGGAGTGGTGTCCTCGATTGCATTCTGTTATCCTTGATAGTGGAATTGAGTCTGATCAGCAGCTCCTCTACCTCAAGTCTTACTTCCACAGTCTCAGAATGTCTGGAAGCGAGTCCCCCAAGTCACCTTTTTGGGTCCTTTACATTACATTGCTTGCTCGATCGAAGGAGGGCGTTTTGGATCAACTTGAGACGGAGCTTTCAGCTCTGGACTTTGACAACTGCGTCATCGAGAGTGTTTCATCGTTGCTAAAAGCCACCAATAACACTGAGTCACTGGTCATTCTGCTGCAGAAGAAGAAGCGATACGATGAGGCCCTGGATCATCTGTTGAAAGTAATCAACGGAGCAGAAGACGGTGGGGATCACGTGAACCATCTTATTGAGGTCGGTGCACGAGTTTGTGACAAGGATGAAACTCTGTGGAACAAGCTTCTGTCTGGCTTGAAATCTGAAGAAGCCATTTCTCAGGGTTTTAAGCAGCTGTCGACTGATCTTGTTTCGTACAGACTGGTTCACAAGATCCTGCTTCACCAGAAGCACACTTCTGCCCGGGTAGTCAAGTCTGTTGTTCTGGGAGTGACTGACAACTACAAGTTCAAAATCCGCTTCCTTCAACTCACCAAGGAGATTCTAGATGCCAACACGTATGCTCTGATGATGAAGGATTTGGAGAAGCAGCGGTTGAGAGGCTGGAAGGTAGGATCGGCTAGCTGTGACGCTTGTGGCAAACCCATCTACGGAAAGGGCGTCGATGGCGTGACGTTGTACAAAGCATGGCAACAGGCCAAGATCCGAGGCCGCGAAGGAAAAATGGTGTTCAAAAACAAGGGCAAGGAGAGCTGCGATGGTGAGCGAATCGACGGCCAGCTGACCGACCGGGTGGTTGTCTTCAAGTGTGGCCACGTGTTCCATCTGGGCTGCATGAACAGGCTCGGTATGGTTGACGAGATTGGTTGTTTGATTTGTGACGCTGAGGAAGAGGGCGAGTGAGTATCCCATCTTATGATATTACGAATTGAATGAATTATGAATTATGAATTATGACTGCAATAGTAATGTAGACCTGAGTGTGTAGACACGAATTGTCAGTATTGTGTGCCCACCCAGTTTTTTTTTTTTTTTTTTCTGCATATACATTCATTTAATTATAACTTTGCTGTGAAAGAATAACCTTTGTTAAGATAGCTCGGTGAGCAATGTGATCAACTATTTATTGGAAGTATCATAGATTTTCCAACTAATTATAAGGAATGTTGACATCTTCTGGTGCACAAGTGTTGATTGCTGAAGGTGTTAACGTATGATCTCTCGGTAATTTCTTTTAGAGCGTAACTAGACTAAGTGTGTCTTACCGAATCCGATGGTCAGAAATCGGTTATGGTGTACATTTAGACACGTAGAATCAATTTACCGCAAAATCATTAGTACAGTTTTTCGTGGTAATTTCAAGAGACTGCTCACCCACTTTACAAGGGCCCATCAACGGCCCTTTCTTCTAACTCAAAGACATTCTTCTTCACCTCCTTCTTTTTCGCAGAGACACTGGTCACGGGCTTGTTAGACGATGACCCAGGAATGGGGCCAAACTTGGTATCTTCCAGCTCCACTTTTCCAATAGGACTTTCGTCTCCCAGCATCCAAGAGAATTGTGATTGAGCTAGAGACTTCCTTGTAGGGGTGTCAGATGCACTTCGAGAGGACGTTTCAAAATGGCTTTCACGTGATCCGGCTACGACAGGGTCGTGGGGAGTAGTGCTTACTTGTTTGGGATCCACGGTAGGTGTTTCATGACGCTCTTTGTCCGGTCTGTCACTCATCTCGACCCCGTCTCTAATAGCCAGTCTCTTGCTCAGAGCTCTCAGCTCGGCCACTGCGTCCCTGTACTCCTGGGTGTGGACGTCTTGAGTGTTATCAAATAAGTCAGACAGCCTTTCGAGATCACGAGACACTCCATCTGTCCGTTGCCGTACATATCCTTCAATGACGTCATTGAGTCTGGCTTGGGTCGTATTTCGGAGTCCCATAGTGTTGACGTCATTAGCAGCTCTAACCACCTCATTGTAGATCTTGTCGACTCCCCAGTTTCTCGACAGAGTGGAAAACACGTCCTCCAGCTTGGAGGGGCCGTTTCTAGACGTGTCAGACTCAGAAAGAGGGTTATCTTCTCGCCACAAATGGCTGTATTGGTCTGACACGTATCGACCTCCTTCTCTGTTCACATGGTTTCTCAGGTAAACGGCATTGGACACAAACGACCACATTTTCTCCTCGGCAAAAGTGGGATAATGGAACAGACAGGTGAGGATATCGGTGTCGTCGGTACAAGTGATAATCTTTTCACGGATACGCAATAATAAGACAGCACAGACATAGTCAACAAGATCCAGTTTAGGAGATGCCGCAAATAGAGCATCCCATAGTTCCAGCACACTTGGGAAGTCAAATTCACGAGAGAACAGGAGTCTGATCCATCGTAGACCCCAAATTTGGGGCTCAATTGAATGCTGTTCGAGTTTGGCCGTCAAAGCCGGGTCACTTTGTCGCAGAATCTTCTGTTGGATTAGTCTGCTCTTGAGGACAATCTGTGAAGGAGTATCTGTTGAATACCAAGAAGCAGCATTTGTCATAAGAATTTCAAATAGTGCAAAGGAGTCATGTTCGATGTATTGCAACGAACACACATTGCTGAGTGCCTCAGTCGCTCCACACACCTCTCCGTCCATGGTCAACACGTATATTAGAGGCCCCAGAAGCTCATGCATTCCTTGTCTGTATTTCAAATGAGGGTTCAATTTGGCATATACAAATAGGATCCGGGTCATTGACTGTTGAACATGTGTTTGTTGGAAGAAATCCACCTCGGGAAAGGTTCGAGTGACATCTTTTCTGATCTCCTCAAGGGTTTCCGAATCATTGGCGTCTGTGTCGTCGATATCATTGTTCAAGGGGTCCACAAACGTCATTTTCCTGTCTCCACCGCAATTGCTGGGGTTAACAAACTCGCTGAGGAACGAGTCATAGCGCTGTCTTTGTGTCTCGAGGTCCTTCTTCCAGTCGGACAGCTTCAAGGAGTCGAATTGAAGATACACTCTCCACAGCACTCCTCTTCCCACGCTGGTGTTGTAGCGCCCCGAAAACACCTGTCTGCGCAGCGATTGTGGTGTATGCGAGGATAATTCGGACAAAAAGTCACTGTGTTAGCATATCGTGAGAAATCAAGCCCCAGTGGCCTCTTACTGTATCGTAGCCTCTCTGTAGGGCTTAACTCAAGCTCCACTTGTGTGTATAAGTTGATTTGATCTGGCCAAAGAAATAACACCATCGATGGGCCACGTGACCCCACTCCCATTTCTCTCCCTCGTACCACCGCTCCACATCACTCACTCCATCATGTTATCGTCTTCTGTTGTGATTATCCCATATCAGACATCGGTTCTAGATAAGGTCTGTGGTGTATTAGGGTTGCACCCAACATTGCAGGTTGAGGAGCAGCAGCCGCCGCATGGGGAGAAGCAAGCATGAAAAGAGGTGAAGCGGGAGGTGGTGTTTTTATAACGAAATGACGATATTTTTCCACCGATCACCAGTTCCCAAACAAACAAACCACCACATGCCTGCTGTCACACATACTCCCTCTAGTTGCACCATTTTAGGCCTTTGAGTAAGTTCAGCAGACGCACATACAACATGTGAAAGATGTATGATACTGGGATGATAATATTTGCACCAGTAATTCTAAGATCCTCGTACAGAGGCCAATGGTACAAGTGATAGAAAACACGTTGCAAAGCCACAGATAATAATAATATACATTCATTTCTAAATCACATTCTAGACTCGTCATCTCTCGTTAGCGTTTATATACATTCTCCCTGGTGTTTCTGTCTGGCATCTTTACTGCTGCGAATAGTTAGGGATACCCGACAACAGATTGTCGTCGTCAAAGAACTCAGACCAGTTTGTGTCCTCCAGATTGCCCATGTTGTTGTTGGAGTAGACGGGTGCGTCGGGGATGTTGAAGTCCATGGAGCCCTGCTCCGAGGGGTTGGTCTGACACCCGCCCCCTTCGTTGAGCATGTATGGAGGCAGGAACCGACCAAAGACCTTGGTTTCCAGTGAGTCCATAAATCCAGGCACGTACGTCTCTTCGGGCCCGTTGGGGATGTCCTCCGAGGTGAGAGGCAGGCCGTTGAAGGCTCCAAACGAGTCCGCATTGAAGCCCACGTTGGTGGGCAGCTGAGACACGGGAATGGCGTGGTTGAGAGGAGGCACAAAGTCGGCTCCAAGCTCGCCACCCATACCGATATCAGCTCCAGCAGGAGACACCCCAGTGTTCATTTGAACGGGAGTAGATTGTTGAGACACCCCAGTGGCGGGTGAGACACCAGCTCCGACGACAGGGGATACTCCTGCACCCTGTACTTGCGCTCTGGTGATGGGAGAAGTGCCGAGACTGATGTCCGGGGCGCCTCCCACACCTCCAACTCCTACTCCTACTCCTACTCCTCCAAGTCCTCCAGAGCCTCCGACACCAAGATCCAGACCAGCCACAGGCTTTTTCTTCTTGAACAGCTCAGTGTCGAGCAGCTCTTGGTTGCCGCCTGCGTCCACGTTGCTGAAATCTGTGGTGTCGACTCGTGTGACGGGACCCTCTTCACTGACGATGGGCTTCATTCCGGCCGTTCGGCGATTGAGCTGCTCAAACAGCGAGTTCAAGAGCTTGTAGGTTCGAGCAGCGGAGATGGATGAGTCCTTGAGAATCATGAGAGCGTTCTTTCCAAGCTCGGCGTCGCTGCGAATCTGCTCAGATTGTAGGGTGTCGGGATTCTCATGCACGTAGAACACCAGGCAGGCCACCGAGAAGAAGATGGTGTAAATGGAGTACCAGTACGCGCCGTTGAGCAGTTTGTTGGATACCAACTCATCTGCAATGTACATGACAGTTCGAGCCACGTTGATACACGAACGAGCACATGCCTTCGCCTTCTCGTTGACACCGGGGATTTGGAACTTGGGCGAGCAATAGTGTATAAAAGGTCGATACAGTACAATCTGAACGTGACAGAAGGAAATATGAAGCAGTCGATTGGCCTTGTAGTATTCGGGCTTGGGGTTAGCGCCGGGTTTCAGCTCGGCTGGCAGGTTTCGAAGCCAGTCTCTAATCTCATTCTCCAGCAGAGTCACCTTGTCGAACATGCTCTTTCCAAGCTGCACGGACTTGTCCTTGTCGGCTCCCTTGACAGGGTAAATGTACTTCATGACGTGTGAGAGAATGATCATGAGTCGAGTATGGGCGTTGGCGATGCTGGCACTCGACAAATGGTTCTCCTTTTGAGGAAAGTATCCATCTTCTGTGATTTTCTCGTCGTCGTAATCCAGCGGAATCTCCTGGTCAAACTCGTCCTCGGGAATACCTCTCGGCAGACCCAACATTGCGTTGACATAAATATCCATCTTCCAGATGGTCCAAAACATTCGTTTTCGTGTTTCCAGCTCGACGGGGTTGAAATTGTGGGCCACCTTTCGATGCAGACCGGCTCGTAGAGCACTTCTCAGAGCCACTCCAATGTACGCGTAGCACGTACTCAGCCGAGCACTGCATTGCAGAAACATGACCATCATGACAATACTTTGCATGGCGTACATTTCCCGTGCGTCCGCAATGTCCACGAGCCGTCTGGCTGCCACGAAGTACTTATATCCCTCCGAAGCGTCCTTGAAACCGAGCTGTTCACACTTGTCCATGCTAAACAGCACTCCAACTGCCATCACAGAGTACACCAGGGGCAGAATCTTGCTTTGTTGGTCGGTGTAGTCTTCGGGGTCTGTGTCGTACAGCAAGTCCAGGTCTCTGATAAATGTGGGACGATGGTAGAACCGGTACAGCACACAACTGTGGTTCCACACCGACTCTATAAGATGTGAAGCCACATGTTTGGGAGGCAGAATGATTCGAAACTCCTGGCCTAGCATACCGGGGGACGACGAGCTGGGTGATTTGACCAGTCTGTTGATGTTGGGAAGAGGGGTGCCGTTGTTGGCACCCTGTTTGAGCCCCAGCATGTCTACAAGATTGACGCCCGATTGACTCAGGTACTGGGCACGCGACACAAAGTCGTCCAGCGAAAAGTCGGCCGAGTAGAAGTCCACGTCCGGGAAAAGATGGGCGAGAATCGTTTCGCTGACCTTGCTTTTCTCCGCGTTATCCGGAACCTTTTTGCGTCGTGGCGGCTGGTCGTACGTGCATTTGAACGAGTACACTGTGCAATGGATACACGGTTGCTGTCCATCACATTTGACCTTCTTCTTCCGACACTCGTCGCACGCTCGAATGACTCGGCGTTTCTTGGTGTCTGGAGCAGTCGCCACCGCACTGTTATTGTTGTTGTTGTCGCCTGTGCTTTCGTTGGCTCGTTTTTCCGTCATGATGAAAATGTAATAATGGCTGTTTTGGTGGTTGTAGTCGTTGTTTCAGGACTACCAATGGTGTGTGTAGTATCGTATATCGCACTACTGTACTGGTGGTACTCGTACTGTACTTGCAGCTAACGTATCGGATCCACCAGTCGTATGACGTATCTCGACGGTCTAAAAGTGCGACTCGGCGGAAACACGCACTCTGGTGTGAAGTCAAATTAGTTCAGAATGGACGACAGCTGAACCTGGCAGAATAGATGTCGGTCTAGACTGTATTTGCGAGTGAGACGTATGGTTGAGAATGTCTCGAATATTAATCCGTGGGCGAGGTGGTCACGTGCACAGGGGGGGGCGGGGAGCAGGTTGGGCGCAGAGTCGTATCACGTGATGTGTCGTTGGTCGCTGTTGACGTGCGTCGATGGCGTCAGGGGTCTCCTCACTCAATCAGAAATCTCGAAGAGAATTTAAGCGGTGATTTTAACGATCGCGGAGAAGGGCAAGCCTCTGGCAATTTTTGGATAAAAAAACTCTAAAATGTGGAGAAACACAGCAGATGGTCCGAAGCTTAAGGCCCGTAGACAAGCCAACTCTGCAGCATTGGACTGTGCCAAGCACGAAAAGTGGACACCTTGGGAGCGGAAATGGGGGTGCTCGAGAGATGAGAGGAGATGAGCAGGGAGAGGAGAGGAGAGAGAAAACAACCGCTCGGAACGAGCTATGAATTATCTGTCACGTGATACCTGGTTGTCCAATTGCCTGCATAGCCAATGTGATCGGCTTGTCACACCTTTTTCTTCAAACCGTTGTCGTAAATCTCACGTCTACGTTTACGTCAATGTCGTCACGCTTGTGCTCCGCAGATGCAACTCCAACCGCCCAAAGAGAGAGACGGACGTATTCATTTTTTGAGGGAGGGAGGAAAATACGAGTCTCCCAGAAGGTACTCTCGTACATGTGACTCACAAAAAATATCGGAACTCGGAGATAGGGGGATTGTCACGGCCAAATGGATGAGATGTCACATTACTAATTTATCCTCACGGTTTAATTTCTCAAAACCAAGAACTTGTAGCCCCACCCCCACCATATGTCATTGTTAAGAATAAGGGGGATATTAAAGCCAAACACGTGACGTAAATAGTATGCATCAAAATTCTTTTCTTTGTGTTCAAACTCTCCGAAAAACGCGAACTCCAAAAGTTCTGGGGCAAGCAAAAAAAGTGATTTCTGGCAGGATCGAACTGCCGACGTTCTGCGTGTTAAGCAGATGCCATGACCAACTAGACCAAGAAACCATGTTTTCTTAATTTTTTGGAAATATGGGGGACTACGATTTGAGTTTTGATTAGTCATACTTGCTTAATAAGAAGGAAAAACATCAGTAGCGAAATGTATTTCCCTAGAATAAAAAAATGACCACACAAAACAAATTTGTCTGTCCTGTAAGACTATTAAGCCCATTTTATACGCAACACAATGCCATCACTCACATTTCGTATATCTCGTCGGCGGGACTGTCTAGATTATTAGACTCCATAAAGACATGCCTGCACATTCCAACACACATAACGTGTCACGCGATTGTCACAACTTGCAGTTAACGGCAAGTTCAACTACAAGTACGCACTCGTCATATGTTACAAGTTCATACATTACGTACAATAAATAGTTCCTCCCTGGTATCTAGCACTGCTTCTTGCTCTGCTCAAAATTCTCGTGATGAGGGAACTCACGCTTGGTCACTGGGAAGGACAGTGTCTGCTGGTGATGAGCAGCTGCAAAAGATTGATTTTGCGTAACAACGTGCTGCTGCACAAACGCTTGGTGCTGCATGTGATGGAACTGCACCATGTGAGGGCCTCCGGGCCAGTACTCCGGAGCAGGACCCCAGTTAGCAGGAGGAGCATCGTTGCATGTTTGCGGAGTCATGTGGTGGTGATACTGGTATTGCTGATGATGTTGCTGATGCTGGATATGATGATTGTGTTGTCCTTGCTGATGGAGGTGCATATCATGGCTGCCGTGATACATAAATTGCTGCTGTCGCTGCTGCTGTAGCTGTTGCTGGTGTCCACGCATTTGTTGGTATTGCATGAGGGTTTCCTGCTGTTGCTGGTGTAGAGGGTGGTTGTCAGGGAAGGGGTTGACCGTGAACCGTGGAGGATTCTGTGGATGCTTCTCGGGGTTCTGCGTAGATCGCTGAGGACTGTGAGCGGGGTTGTGGATGTGGGTAGTGCTAGCCTCCGTCTTCATCTCTATCTTCATCTCCGTCTTGACACCTCTTCGCTGGGCCATCTTCTCCTCTCGAGCTCGTCGTTTTTCCTCCTTCTCCTGCTCTCGAGCTCGCTGTCGCTGTAGTTTCTCCTCCTCACGGGCCCTCTGTCGGTTCTCCTTCTCCTGCTCCCGTTCCCGTCGCTTGGCGTCCCGCTCCTCCTGGATCTTGCGCTTCTTCTCCTCCCGAGCCTCTATCTTGAGATCCTCCTGCTCAGTCTCAAAGTCCTGCAGCAGCTTAGGAACCAGCTGGCAGTCACCCTTGACGAGAAGGTCGAAAACACCCTCAAAAGGCTTTCCGAGCGTAGGAGGGTCATCGCGGTTAAGCCACACAACTCCTCCGTTCATGGCATGCACTGCGGCAGCCATTTCCCGCACGATTCGCTTCACTCCGGGAATCTTGAGTGTAGTTCCAACCACAATGAGTCCGTCGGGCCGTGAATGTAGGTCAGACTCGGAGAGCTCTCCAATGGACTCGGCATCGGGGTTGAACTCGTTGTAGAGCACAATTCGGGGTCGTAGTTTACCCACCCCCTGAGGTCGCTTTCCGGCCACCTCTCGTGCCTCCTCCATCTCTACGCAAGCGGGACACAGGGGCATGTCCTCCCCGACAAACAGCTCGGGGTCCAAATCGCTCATCCAGCCACACTTCATGCAGTTCATCTTGCTGATGGAGCCATGAAGTTGCACTGTAGTGGGCCAAGGCTTCTGTAGAGGCACAGAAGTGCTCAGGTGGGGCAGTGACGTGTCCAGACAGTCAATGTTTTGCGAGTAGAGTCGAGCCAGTCGGTTCTGCTCCGAAATGGAGTTGAGGAAGTGGTGGAAAGGTGTGTGCTTCGCGTCCTGACACAGTTTCTGCAGTCCATTAATGGCCGAATGGAAATGCATCGTCGTGGCCGGCTCTCTGAACACGCTGGCATCAAAGAGAGCCTTACCGGTGGTCTTGAGATTGTACTCATCCTTTAGGCTCACAAAAAGACCCTTATCGGACCGGAAATCGGGAATGCCGGCATGCACACTAATGCCTGCGCCGGTGATCACCACCAGCCGCTGGGAGTTGTGGAACACGTGGTGCAGTAGCTCGAGGTCTTTTCTGTTGATGTCGCTGTTTCGAAGAGCACTGTACGAGTATGTGTCCACGTTTCCGATCGAAGTGATATCCATCACTTCGGGCGCGTCATCGTCTCGTTCGGGTAGGGGTTTCCGCCTGCTGGACTTGGGTTTGGCCTTGGGCATATAATTGGCTGAATCCTCGCAGCTGTCGTTGTTGCTGTCGGACTCTTTTTCCTCCATCTTTAAATCACGTAGAACGTCATCATCGCTGGTGAATGTCGTCTCCGGCGTCTGGGCGTGCGAAAAGTCGTCCATGGACGCCACTGCGCTGTCGACCGAAGAGAAGGACGAGTCGCTTTCGTTGAGTATTGTTTCCTGAAGAGCCAGAAGCTGTGCGTCGAGAGAGTGTTGTGAGTTATGCTTGGTGTCGGGCTGTTCGGGTTTTGTGTCGACTTGTGAAAACGATGGCGGGGGGGTCGTCAGACCGGTGGCTGAGCTGTTTTTGGTTTTTCGTAGCGTCACCATCTTGGTGTGGTGGAGAGAAATGGTATACGATGCAAATTTGAGTGACACAAAATCAAGAGCGCCTAGCAGCGGGGGTGTATAAGCAAGTCCGGGTAAAAAATAAATCGACCGCAGCGAATTTTGCAACAGGTGGATCTCGATTATGCGGTGGATACGGTGTGTTGTGGCCTTTCCCGCGGTAATAATCGAGTGTGGAGTATCGTCTGGGTTCTTCTCCTAATGTCACAAGTAAGATGGATAGATATGCAATGCAAGCAAATACAGTTGTTTGGATTGTGTTTTGATACAGCTTCCCAAAGAGGCAATTCGAGGTTGGGGCATGCACATATTTTACCTTATTGCCAAGCAGTAGGGTAACTCAGGTACCGCGGGTCAGCGATGAGCTGCCCGAACCGGGAGGTTGGGAGTTCGATTCCACGGCGCAAATTAAATCTAAATAGAGTGCGAGGGGGGCGGTGAGGGAGATGGGAGGGCAATGTGTGGAACACCCAATTGGAAGAAAGGCAAAACGTGTAGAACTTTTGCTGCCACGTGATCGGCATTTATTCCCAGCCTCATAATGACGTACAGATACTGTACTCGATACGGTGGGAGTTCAAAAGTGCGAGAATAACCTGGTTGAGACACTGGTGTAGGTTCCGGGTACAGTGTACATACTGATAGGAATAATTGTAGAATTACAGTACGAGTACAAGTAGTACTCAAGTACAGTATTGTACATACTCGAACATGCTCCTGCTGCGGTATGGTGATTTTTTTCTACGCTTAATTATGGCTCTACCACGCGTAGCTACAGGCGTGTATGGCTGGGACAGCTACAAGAAGCCCCCAGTACCATATGGTGGTGGTGGCACGAGTACGAACAGGATGTACATGCAAATGCCATGAGAGGTTTGGAATATGGGCTGTGTGGCATGAAACAGCGGTTGGATCAGCATAAACGCATCACATGTCCTTGCGACTTGTATGGTTGGAACCAGTGTGTCTGAAAGCTTCCTACTACATACTGTAGTGTACATACCATACAATTATTAGACACGATGCAAGGGTGTTCACCATACGAGTACAGTTGATAGATGGTGATACTGAAAACACCCAATCCAACACTCCTTCATCCACACAAACAGGCACGTTATCAAATCCAAAACGCCGAGTTAATCATGGACACCAGACTAAGCACTCTTCGTATGGCTTCAGGCCCCAACCCAATCCAACCCTATCTATTCGAGTACTACCAGCAGTACAGTAGTGTCGGAGATAATTCGGAGATAAGAGGGTTGATGACGAGAGGCTCACAAACCACATCGAAATATCCGCTCTAAGACCATCACCACCTTGTCAAACGTCTTCCTATGGGCGTATGTCCGCTCAGTAAGGGGTTGAGATGTTGCCGGCCTGCTGCTGCGAACATTCTTATGCGATGCTCTTATAACGTTTTGATTGATTAGCGCACTGTGTACAACGTTGCAAGTGGCTGTGGTTTAAGTCGGGGGAACGAATGGGTCTATATAAATACAACTGGGGATGGGCCATGCGATTCCTGCTCACTGGCGCGGTCAAAATGAGTACAAAATCGTGCACTTTTGGCCATACTTGGTTCGACCCACAGGTCCGGTGTGGATGAAGCTACATTGTCACATTATGATTAATATTGGCATCAAACCGAAGCTCCTATTATACTTTGAGACTGCGTTTATGCGTGTATATTGTACTTGTATGTAAGTTATATGTAAGTTCAGCAAAGCTCAAACCATGTGCGTGGTAATTTTGGCTCGCTCATCTTGTCCATTTCTCCACCAAATTCACAAATCCCGTCGTTGCGATTTACATGACACGCCATGGTAAGTGACCAGCCTGAAACCAAGAGACACAGACGACGCGAGAGCTGTACATCATCATCTCAAGCGCGTCAGATCGACATTTTAGTCTCAACATCTACAACATCCAGCTACTAACCCAGGTTTTGTTTAAGCGAAAAGCCATTCATTTTGCACCACCTATCTACGTCGAGGAAGATGACGAAGTGTGGTGGATTGATGCCACGGGCGAGTACTTCAACAACTACGACGACTATTTGACCCGCATGGACTTCTACAAGCAGAAAAAGTTCATTTGCGAGGTCACGGGCCACTCGTGTCTCACGCTGTTTGAAGCTCTCAAAAGCGAGCTGCATGGCTCCAAGGAAATCATGGACGCCTTCCCCGAGAACCTAAAGGAACCTGTACTTCGACGCATTCAATTCTCCACAATCAGCAGACTAGATGGACTCGTTGATACTCTCTATGGCGAGTTCAAGAAGGACTTCTTCCCTGGAGAAATCGTAATTGCCATCATCGAAACCGCCACAGGAGCCACCGAAAGGGTCCCTGCCATCATTAGAGAAAAGGCCAAGTTCAACAGCATCACTCTCGACTCCGGAGACGTCCGACCTGCAACCACAAAGTACAGACTGGAGGCAGTCAGTGATCCAAACAAGGTGTACGTTTGCGACGAGACGCAGCTGACACGTGATCGCAAGAACTTCACTAAGGTGACCCTCAAGACCTTCATCAAGTACTCTGCAAAGAAGGAGAACTGGAACGGAGCGCCCTGGCTGGTGCGTCCAGAGTACGCAGAAAAGTATAGAATCGACCAGACAGTGCCCGTTCACCTGACGCAGTACCGAGGAAACCCGTCGCCTGAAGAACTGCGAAAACAGCGTACCCAAGACCGACTCAAGGCCAAACAGGCTCGAGACAATGAGAAAAACGACATTATTTTGCAGCGACAGAAACTGAAGATGGAGAACAAGGAGAAGAACGCTGCCGACGCGCTCATAAGGACATTAGGGGGACTCTCTGGACTCAAGGAAAGAGACATCCAAGTCCCTGTATCTCATCAGAACGGAGGTGGCAATGGAGGAGCAGGATTGGGAGCCAAAACCCTTGCTACTGCTCTGGCATCAGTGGTCACTGAACGACGAAGTCCTCCCCCTAAACAGGTGATTAGGGAAGATCTGGAACACCGTCTTGTGGGTGTGAATCCCAAGCCTGTGTTTCATTTCGACAAGTTATATCCATCTGATCTGACTGAGGTGTCTCTAGAAGTGTGGACGTTTATCAATGTGTACAAGGAGGTTCTTGTTTTGGACTCTTTCACCTACGACGATTTTATTGATGCACTTCGATACGAGGGTGAGAGTGATCTGTTGAACGAGATTCATTGTGCTCTCCTGAGTCAAGTTGTGGGAACCAACAGTGATTCTCTTCTGGTTGAGTACCCTGACGACATCAGTGACGATGAGGAGGAAGAAGACTATGATGAGGAGGAAGAAGAGGAGGAGGAAGAAGTCAAGAAGGAGGAACAGGAGGAAGAGGAAGTCAAGGAGGAAGAGCCGAGGGGTCGAACGCGACGTTCGTCCAGGCAAATCAAAAAGGAGGAGACTGAGGAGGCAGAAGAGGAAGAGGAGCAGGAAGAGGAAGAGGAAGAGGAAGAGGAGCAGGAGCAAAAGAATTCCAAGTCCGTGTCTCCTGGAGCTGAAAACAAGGGTGCTAACTATGCTGTTTTCAAGGGAGTTGACTGGAAGACCCGCCTGCAACGTCGAAACTTCAAGGATGGAGGTTGGCAAGTCATTCTCATTGGTCTTCTTTACAATCTCACCTACTACGAGCCCTGGGAAGACTTTATTAACGGTTGTCTTGATGTTTGGGCTGCTGCCAAAGCCCCTGTATCTCTTGCCTCTGCACGTGACCGGTACTTTGACCTTGATTTTACCCAGAAGGTCAAAATCATCCAGATTCTGTGCAACCTCATCCACCCCACTGATGCAATTCGAGCGTACATCGAAGAGTGCATGGGTCGAGTGACTGAGCTTCGACGAGATAAGGTGGACAAGCAGCGAGAGTACAAGATTGTTTCTGACGACATTCGGGTTCTCGAAAACGAAGTGAAGCGTATTGAGCTTGAGATGGAGGAGAAGAAGATCCCCGAGGACAAGGATGGCTTTGAGAAGAAAGCAGAGGGGAACGGAGACAACGAGGAATCCGAGCCCCCATCCAAAAAGTCAAAGACCGACAATGACGAGCTGCTCAGTACTCTTAGGACTAAGATCCAGGACAGACAGGAAACTCTCAAGGAGATAATTGCGGTCATCAACGCCAAAGACGAGGAGATTCGATTTGCAGATGTGAACCGGCTTCGTCTTCTGGGCAAGGATCGGTTCCACAATCGGTACTGGTGGTTCGAAGGTAATGGTATTGAGGATGCCGGCGGTTCAGAAGAAGAAGAAGGTACCGGATTCACCATGGGCCGTCTCTGGGTCCAAGGTCCGTTTGAAGAGGAAATCAAGTTTTGCCTTACTGGTGACATTCCCCAGTCCAAGCGTGAAGTGGAGGGAGAAGGGTACTTGGAGGACTACACCAAGTGGGGCTACTTGGAGCACCCTAAGGAGTTGGGTGAGTTGATCAAGTGGCTCAACCAGTGGGGTTCTCGAGAACACAAGCTTAAGAAGGAGCTGCTGTCTGTCTTGAAGAAGATCAAGGCTTCAATGGTGTCTCGATTAGAGGATCTCGGCAGGGAAAACGAACTGAGAAAGGAGGATAGAAAGGAAATCAAGGACGACGAGAAGGAGGTGAAGGATGAGAACACAGACGAGGACCACCAGAATGGTGCTTCTAGTGGTGACGGCAAAGACAATGGAGAGACCAAGGAGGATAAGAAGGAGAACGAGAAGAATCAGAAGGAGAACGATGTTGACGGGGACGATGATGATGAATTCGACCGAGTATGCTCTTGGTCAAACGGCTATGCCGTGTCCAAACTGGGCCATTCCCACTACGAGGGCCCGGCCAAGAAACCTGCTCGAAAGGATACTAAAAAGAAGAAGCGATAGTTGGCGAGACGAGATCTGAACTGATGACGGAATCTGAGACTGATGACGGAATCTGAGACTGATGACGATATCTCAGACGCCTCCTGACCTACGTACATGTACCATATAATTTATACATCGATAAATATTCGAATAGACGAAACTTGTAGAGTGTGTGCATATGAGTTTATACAGTAGCTACAGTATGTAGTAAGAAACTACCGCCCCCATATCCAAACACACTATAAAACGTAGACATGACAGTGTATAGCCGCTTTTGAATGGTACAATTCCAGTTCATTTGATAGCACAATGTCTGAGTAATTAATATATAAAACCTTCGTTATTCGTTCTCATCCAACTTGAGACCAAACGTGAAATCATCTTCCATGGGCTCCATGATATCGGAGTCCTCCTCCTTTTTCTCGCCTCCTTCCTCGTCCTCGGCACATCCACACTTGTAATGTTCTCCGACATTGTTGCAGTCGAAAATCTCCTTTCCAAGCCGCTCGTTGACCTGGTTGTGGACGTAACAAGCCCACTGTGATGCAGTGTTTCTAGACGAGACTTGTGGGGGGAACTTTGCCAGCAGCTTCTGAAAGTGCTCAGCACACTCACCACAGGGGTAGACCTGAGAGAAGAGATATATGTAGTTTTTCAGCGTGGTTTGCTCCTGTTTTGTGGGTGTCTCGGGGTACTGGGCCATGATGGTGTGGAACAGTTTCCACGATGCTCTTCCTAGTTCAGCCTTGAGAGTCTCGTTACCCATCTTGGCCATAATGGAGGGTCCGCCAATGTCGGGAACCTGCTGGGCGGCCTCATTCTTGGCCTTGATGTTCTCCGATGACGTGTCATCCTTCACAATGTTGACCTTTTCCGGCGCCGCAGCTTTTTTCGAGCCAGGTTGGACCCGTGTGATTCGATCTTCCACCATGGACACAGCCGCTCGTCCAGGCACATGGTCCGATCGCAGGGATACCAGGGTGATTATGACAAGCGTCAGTATGAGTGCTATGAAAGTAGCCGACGATCTTCGAATCATTGTGTCGAGATTGATGGAGTTGTGTAGATGGAATGTTCACTCTGATGGCGCGTGTTTTCTGCAGTTTCCGAAAATAGACTCTCTGCGATAACGTATGATTTATGGCAGGTGTAAAAGGAAGCAATGTGGAGTGATACGAAGCAATGAGTAGGTTAGATGAACTACTACATAGGTTATCCGTAGAGAAACTATATATATGATGATATAATAACGTGTTGTTTCGGTGCCCATGTTTCCAATCACCTCTGTGGTGCTTTTCACTATGTGCATTTTACTTGTACTGTCAGCCGGGGTTCGAAAATGGAATGTCCATGGTGGGCGACAACAAACCACTTGTACTTGTACAATGTACCTTATACAAGTATGATGTAGCCCAGGAATGGGTATTGTCTGCTATTGATGTGTACTAGCTAATATAGGTCAAAAATTACATGACCACTCAATAAGACACTGCTACAGTTTATAATAAAAATTCTACTACAGTACATACATACTCATACAATCTACTGACCCACCTCTAAATCAACCTCCTATGGTGATTCTTGCCTTCATTCTTCAACGTGCGTGCATGACTACAGCTACGTACATACTGCAGTTTGCGACGGACACTGTCAGAGCTCTCTCTGGGGGCGGCAAAAACTCGAAAGTTAGGCGACCACGTGTATGGTGATGCAGTCATAAAAATGCCCAAATGGCTACAATCAGAAGCTGTTTGGGAATTGAAAATGCTGACCTTTACTGTTATTTAGTACCGTCGCAATATGTTTTTCACAGTGTAGCTACTCTACAGGTATCGTACAGTACATACAGTACTTGTAGTTGTAGGTGCTCACTATAGTGCTTTTCCAAGATGACAGTCATGGCATGTCTCACGCAGAGTCATACGTTGTTGTGTTACATGCAACGGGGTATTACGTAAGTGCATTCACCGTAAGTCTCTATTGATAGTTATAAGTTGTTCTATACGAGTTAGATTACTTGTAGTGACTTCCAATACTGTCCTTAGGCGGATGTCGTGGTCTCCTGATCTCTCAGGTTATGACTAATTCCTGCATGAACGCATCAACGTGCCTTAATATTCGATAAGTAAAGCCTAAGACCGCGAACCCTGCAACGCTCACCATACTCCGTACAACATGCCGTCCATTTCAGAAAAAGGGTGGACTGTGACTGCCGAGAAGCGGCCGATTCTCAATGCTGCAGAAATCGACGCGGCCGAAGCCCGTCTTGGAATCCCAGTGCCCGAAATGATCTTCGGCAACAACATCATTAAAATCGAACATGAAGCGTCAGGTTGGAGCATCAATTTCGACGCTATCAACGCCCTGGATCTCGTGGACAAGACAGGTGAGCCCACCGGACTGGTGGTGGCCCACTCCAAACATTGGCTGGCAACGCGAGAAGAGACGGCGGAGGAAGAGATTCAGATTATCAACAAACCATTCGACTGGACTTACTCGCCAAAGTACCTGGGAGACGTGCAACAGGGCAAGTGTGAGGCTGAATGGAAGCCATGCCCGGAGCCATTACCGCTGGACAAGCTGACTCTACCGGATCCCATCCTCTTCTTTGACGATATGGTGCTTTATGAAGACGAGCTGGCAGACAACGGAAGTGCGGTTCTGTCAGTCAAGATCAGAGTCATGCCCAAACGACTGCTGCTGCTCAGTCGCTTCTTTCTGAGAGTAGACGGCGTCAAGTTCCGAATCAGAGACACACGAGTGTACATTGAGTTCGAGGAGGGCCTGGTGGTCAGAGAGTACCAGACTCAGGAGGAGGACTACGACAAGGTCAAGAAGCGGGTGCGAGGAGCAATCAACGGCGACTACGGTCAGTTCCTCAGAGATATCAACTGGGTCAGCAAAAACATGCCCACTAATGAGATTGAGAGACAAAAGATGATTGTGAGTTGACCAAACGAAGAGCATGGGAATGCTGACCAACGAAAGAGCAAGTATATATGTGAATAGTTACGACGTAATGATAATGAATTGGGTGAGACGAAGCTTGTGTTACAGCTTGGTACAGTATATATAATGGCTAACTGTTGCTTGTCACCAAGACAGAAGGCTATACTATATTATTGTAGCAAAGTCACGTACAGTATCACGTATTATCTTGGCAAGTGTCATTGATATCTATATAGATTAGATCTGAGAATAAACGTAAGGACCAGGCTTCTGCTCAACCTGAACATCGACCTTGGCCTCGAGCTCCTTTCCATCAACAGAGATACCGGCGGTCATTCGATCTCCAGGGTTAACAGGACCCACTCCCTTGGGGGTTCCAGTGAGAATAATATCACCGGGCTGAAGAGTCATGATGCTGCTCATGGTGGACAGAATCTGGGGCAGCTTGAAGATCATCAGGTTGGTGTTATCGGACTGTTTAGTTTGTCCGTTGATTTCAAGGTGAAGATGCACGTTGTGAGGATCGGGGATCTGGCTCTTGGGAATGAAGTTGGAGATGGGCAGGAAGGTATCGAACCCCTTGCCAATTGACCAGGGCAGACCCTTCTTCTTCGCCTCGTCCTGCACGTTTCGAGCAGTCATGTCAACAGCCAGAGCGTAGCCATCAATGGCGTCAATGGCGTCCTGCTCAGTGAAAGTCTTGGGGTTGAGGTTCTTGAGCTCCTTGCCGAGAATTGCAGCCAGCTCTACCTCGTAGTGCACAACAGTTCCCGAGGGCACGAGCATGGGACCCTCGTTGGGGAGCAGGATGGAAGACGAGGGCTTGAGGAAGAAGAAGGGCTTGGAGGGAGCCGTGTTATTGAGCTCCTTGATGTGCTCGACGTAGTTTCGGCCAATGCACAGGATTTTTCGGGCCTGCTGGGCAAATCGGGTAGCCATGCTGTTAGTGTGGTTGGTGATGAACAAGTCGGAATGACTGATCCGTCCGACCTGAAATGTTAAGTTTGGGAGTCTGGGGTGCAGAGCGGCTGATGACAGTGAACAAACCGCCGGAGTTCCGAACATCGCTTCTTGTTTGCTGGCGAGTCACGTGATTCCAAATCCACAATTGACAGGGCCTTGTATTTTTTTGTTAGATTGTGTCTTGAAGAGATGAGAATGTGGTTAGTTGCGTACATGCCACACACGATACAACTTCTCCGAGTTGGTCCATAAAGGTTTCAGTTTTCACTAATTACTGTACATCCTGTGTACTTAGTAATGAGAAATCTTTAGTATGGACATAACAGCGTTGAGTTCGGAGGTGCCATTATGATCTAGATTACTATGTAAGTGACAATAAAATCAATACAGTCTTCAGACGAATCATGAGATTACAATGATAGGCAAAAGTGTATCACTTGTAAGACAAATAATACCTGCTACACATGTTGGTTTGCTCCAGGGTGGTGCAGTACGCGATAATGAACCATATACTGTACTAAAAGCTGCTGTAATTGAGCTGCGAGAATAGAAAGAAATGCTCAAAAAATATGAAAAACAATAACAAAAAAAAACAAAAACAAAACAACAAACAGTACCGCCGCGACTAGGTACACGATATCAAAAAATTATCATCACTTGCCACATACAATACAAGTGCAAGTAGTACCAGTATGTACTCGTAATTACTGGAGGGCCACATTCACAACAAAACTCAAATACTGTATCACTGGTACATCTACGCAACAAAATTATCAATCAATATATCCAATTTCCATTATTATACAACCATTCATGCCAAGTTTAGACACGTCAGTCCGTTCTACTAAGGCCGGGGAGTCACCTGGGGAATCCGAGGGTTGTTGGCATCCTGCTGTCCGCCCTGACCTTGTCCACCTCGACCACGTCCTCCACGTCCACGTCCTCCACGTCCTCGACCCCGTCCTCCTCGTCCTCGGCCTCCTTCATTGGCAAGTCCGGTGGCAGGCTGCTGAGAGTTATCAGAAACCTGCAGGGCAGCCATCAACTGTGCAGAGAGGTCTTCATTGCCCTGAGGAGTTCCCTGAGGAGCGCCCTGCTGGTGCTGCTGGTTCTGAGGGCCAGGTCCCTGAGGATAACCCTGACCAGGGTAGAAAGGCTGGGGAGGGTAATATCCGGGAGGGAAGTGTCCTTGAGGGAGGTAGCCCTGGGGGGGAAATCCCTGGGTAGGGAATCCGGGAGGGGGAGGGGGTACAAATCCACCCTGGGGGCCTCCGTAGTGCATAGGAGGGCCCTGCTGCTGGTGCTGAGAAGGTCCCTGGGGCTGAGGGTTGGAGTACTGGTTCAGCACGTTGCCCAGGACCTGCTTCTTGGCGTCAGCAGAAGTCTTGGACTTGAGAGAGTCCAAAAGAGCCTCGCTCTGTTTCTTCAGCTCCTCCTCGGTCTTGGGAGCGGGAGCAGGAGGGACAGTAGCAGACTCTGATACAGCAGCGGTAGCAGCAGCCACAGCAGTGGGGACCTCACCTAAAGTAGAGGTCTCAGCAACAGGAGCAGCGTCTCTGGGTCGCTGAAGAATCTTGACACCAGGAGAGGGCTGCTTGGGCTTGGGCACTGCAGAAGCGGCAGGAGAACCCTGTCGGCCGTTGTTTCGGCCCCGGGCGTTGTTGGTCTTGCCGTTGGTCTGCTGGCCATTAGCCTTGCCACCTCGGTTGCCGCCCTTGGGTCGGTACATCATCTGCCGGTTGGTCAGGTTGATGACGGTGTTGGCAGCGACGTTGAGACCTCGGTTGGTGGAAGCTCGGCCCTGGAAGTTGTTGCCACCGACAAACTCGTCATCAAACAGCACATCCAGCCGAACATCCACGCCAACGGCCTTGATACCGATCACGGTACCCTGAGAAAAGATGGCAGCCTTTCCAGAGTCCTGGACATACACAACCCGGTCCCCCAGATCGAATCGCTGGCCACGAAGCTGGTGGAAGGCCTCATCAGGTCGAAGAACAGCCTGACGAGGAGTACCCTTCACAACGGAGGGGATAAACCGCACAGCATCAGGGTCAGCAGCGTTCTTGACGAGATAGTTCTCAAGAACAGAGATGGACTTGACCGATAGAGACTGAGTGTCAATATCCACAGAAGTCAGTCGGGAGGCGTTCTCCTTGAGCCATCGCCGAGCAGATTCAAGCATCTTGTTGACCTCAGCAGGTTCGCCTTTGACCAGAGCAGAAATGTCAGGCACGCCCTTGTCTCGGTTGGAACCAATACCCTCGACCAGCTTGGGGAAGGTGTTGTAGTAGCTCTTGACCAGAGCAATGGCATCCTGGGTGTACTCCCAGCCCTGCTGAGTTCGCCGGGTGTAGCCAAGCACCTTTTCTCGCTTGCCCTCATTTCGCAGGTTGAGACCTACGTCAATCTTAGAGTCTCCCTTCTGAATCAGACACTTGGAGCAGATTCGACCGAGGAGAGACGACTGGATACCGGCCATCTTGGCGGCCTGATACGAGGGGTAGTACTTGGTGGTAGCGTACTCTGTTCGAGCAATCTTTTTACCCACATCCGCAAGCACAACAGCGGGAGAGTTGGGTGCAGACTTCTTGACCTGGAGATCCATCTTGGTGTTGCCAATGTGGTTGACAACCTGGGCCTCAGCACCATAGCAGAAGTCGGACATGAGAATGACACGCGACTCGAGAGGGAACTCGGCAGCGATAGGCTGAGCAGCTCGCTCCTTGTACCGCTCATCCTCGTTGACCACCTTCTCAACAATAGTCTGAACAGGGAAAGAACCAGTGGCTCCAGTAAAGTCCTTGACAAGAGATCCATCGTCTCCCTTCTTCATACCAGCCAGGAAACGGACATGAAGAACGACAAAGATGTTACCGCTCTTGATACCCTGCTTCTTGATGTAGTCGTTCTTGATCTTTCGGGATCCGGTGGCCCACTCCTTGGCCATGGTGTCGGAATGGGGAGATTTGTTGACCTTGCCGTTCTCAAAGGTGTAAGAGAACAGCTCGTCTGAAACAGCAATCACCTTGGCCTCTCGCAGGTAAGGATAGTTGACGTAGATGGACTGGTCCATCAACTCTCGAGCAATGGATTCGGGAGATCGGTTCTTGTAGGAGTTGATGATGTTGAGCACCAGAGTGTTGTTTCGCGAATCCTGCTGGAAGATTCGAACACCAGCAGCCTCAATGTCGTAGGTGTAAGGAAGGGTCTTGAGAGAGGGGAATCCGGACAACATGTCCTTGCCCCACTTGGAGCCATCCTTCTTGCCGATGACCACGTCCAAACCGTCCATGGAAGGCAAGTCAAATTTCTCAACCACACAATGACAGTGCTCCAAGTTCTGGAAGACACCGGGCATAGAAGACGGGTAGACATAATCCTGCTGGGGCGAGTATTTGAATAACAAGTTGTTGCCAAATGCGTTTCGCTTGTTCTCTCCAGCAGTAAGACCAGTCTCCTTCGTAGCCATAGCTGTCAGAAGACGCGACTCGTCCACAAATGGGATCTTGACCACTGCCTCCCAATCGGCCTTCTTTCCGTTCTTGTCCAGCTCAAAGTCGTTAGGGTAGAAGTCATAGATGGGCGAGTTGGAGTCGGCCATCAGGGGCCAGTAAGCTTGAGGAAGGAGCTTCTTGGATCTCTCAGGCAGCACACCCATGAGCTGCTGGAAGGGCTTGAAGGGCTGGCCAGCCTTGAACTTGAGATTGGCCTGCAGACCCTTACGCACATCAGAAACTCGAGGAGCATAGTGGTAGCCATAGTACCAAGACCACGAGGGTACGCCGTCGTAGTAGTAGTGCAGAATCCACTGCAGACCCTCGACGTAGTTTTCGGTCAGAGCCTTGAGCTCGGCTTTGCCCTCGTCGGTGGTAGTCGACCAACCAAACTTCTTTTTATAGTAGTCGTCCTTCCACTCCTCAAACTTCTGATTGTAAATCTCCTCTCGCTGGGCCAGCGCCTCGGCGGTCTTGACAGGAGCAGCCTCGTACCGCTTGAGGGTCTGGGAGTAGCCAATGAAGCGCTGGGTGGCTTCTTCAGGACTCTCCTCGTCTCGGAGGCCATCGTAATCGACGATTAGCATACAAGATGTGGAAGAGTTCTTGAGAAATCGGCAATCGAGGTCCAGAGAGATCTCTTTGACGAGAGATTCACACTCTTCGGAGAGAGTATCAAATACGATCTCGGGCAAATTATCAGGATCGTAGTCCGACTTGGACTTGTTTTTAAGATGGGCATCAACAAAGGGGCGCAGTTTCTGCACAACCAGCTCCTTCTGTTGGGGTGAGAGATAGAGCTTCTCGCCACGCTTGGACTTGTATTTTTGAGTCAACTCCGGAAGATCCTTGTTGATCCAGGCCAGATCAATGGCCTGCTCCTCGAAAATACCAATTTCAAACTTTTCCATCTCAGCCAGGAAGAGATCCAGGCGCTGCAAGTTGATGTTTCCTCGGTCATTGATGTAGCCGTCGGAAATCTTCATTACCTTTTTGTACAACTCTACAAAAAGAGCATGGGAGTCCTCATTGATGTGAATCTGAGGCAAGTTGGGCAAGAAATCGTTTCCGACGAAGAAGAAGAGCAGGATGTAGTCATCCAGAATTCTCTCAAAGTCATAGGGAAACGAAATCTCGTCAGCAAGGTCCTGGAATTCCAGCTCAAGGTACTCTCGCAACAGAGAAATGTGCAGAAGATAAAAGTTCTGCTCCTCCAGAGCCTTGGGACCGGCTCGTCGGGGACCGAAGACAACCTCTTCTCGCAGAAGAGAGAAGTGGGGGTCGTGGGAACCCAGACCCAGCATGATGAGATCGGCATCCAGACCGTACACACAATGACGGGTGTTGGGGTCGTAGTCAGGCTGGGCCTTGTTGATTCGGATGCACTCGTTGATCTTGTGCTCTCCTTCTCCTGGAACCTCGTGACCAGAAAGAACAATGTCAATGTTCTGCCAGTCAGCGTCCTCACTGACCTTTTTGTGCACAAAGTAGTTGAGTTGGGTGGTCAGTTTCTCCATGAACTCGGTTCCGGGAGTAATAGCGTTGGAGTCGAATTGGTCCTCCTTCAGGATGGTGCCCTCCTCCAGAGCCTTGGCCTTGGCCTTTTCGGCGTCGAGGGCAGTTCGGAATCGTCGCGATCGCTGCTGGTTCATCTTGGCTCTCGGTGCGACTCCGTCAATGGCCATAAAGAAGAGTTTCTTGGGCCGAATTTTGGAAAATAGATGCTCAATGTACTCGAAGATGGCGCGGAACATTTGTTCTTCCGTCAGCTGGAACGTCACATCTGCGTCCTTGTGTGTGCACACGTGCAGAATCGAGTTCATATCGAGGTACAGATTGTCATATCTGGGTTAGCACGGAAATGTTGTGATGTGGCTGTGGTGGTAACAGTTTTGTGTGTTATTGTGGGTTTGATCTGGCCTGAATCATGTATCGAAACAACATAGAACATTCGACAAGGGCTTTCAAACGATCCTCCAGTCACAAGGCTCTTGTTATACGTTCCTTCAGGTCGTCTAGTGTCGTGGTTTTGGTCATCAGTATGCTGACCGATCAGACACCCCACAATCACCAAACGGTCGTGTTGCCATCTCCAAAAACACCCTCACTGCTCTCATACTCACTCAGGAATCTGTGTATCAATCACTTGTTGGGAAATCAGCGGCCATCGCTCACTGATGTAGCGGAAAAATTTAGGAATACCCATTGATGGTGTATCTGCTGTTGAAAATCAAATCTTGTGATGTGGTGGGATGTAGGGACAAGACACTTAACTTTAAGGGAAACCAAACGACGATAGAATGCGCATAGTGGCGACTATTGGTGGCGGTAGACAGAGAGAAAGGAAGCCTTTGGAAGCGCAGGTATGACTTATTCCGATAGCCGGATGAGATGAAGTGCATCAGATGAACGACTCCCGGCTTATTGGAACCATATGGAACGCCGTGGATGGCTCGATACTACCTTACCCGGCAGTGATGGATGCCTGTCACGTGTCCTACAGCACAACTGCAACATACTGTATCTATATGGTTTGTAGGCTGCTTCAGAAACGTGCCCTACCCATACGGAGGATATGAATCTTTACAGGGACTTGCCTAACCTGGAACTGAGTTATTTCGGGCGAAAAATAGCCGTACACAAGGTTGCATGAAAGGGTTCATCTCGTATGTATGTATTGTAGATACATTGTACGATGCAGTTATTGTTAGTCAGAACGTTACGAGGATTAGCTGTGGAGTTTAGCTGTGGAATTTGACAAAATGTAATGTAGACACTGCATTAACTAACTTGACTGAGAAGTCAGAGTACGTACAGTACTGTAAGTAGAAATGGCTAGGAGAAGGTGACACGCCCTGTACCACCCACAGAACGAAAGCACACATCTATTTCAGACGACATTTGCCACTATTTTGTCTTTTTTCGATCGCGTTGCCCCTTTTTTGAATTTCGATGAGGTTTCCTGGAAGATGCAGGTCTGACAGTGGAGGGAAAGAGTTTCCGTACTGTGCCGAATGTTCACTGTAGTACCTACTGTATTTCCACAAAGTATGGGACTGAGATGGTTCATAGAAAAAAGTAGAGTATCAGTGTATTTAGTTAGTTTCAGCAAACAAAATTATGGAAAAATCACGCTTATAGGGCTATTATTACGAGAGTTGGATAGATGTCATGCTTTCCGCCGTATTATCACGCGAAAGTTTATCGATCTTGGTTCGACTCACATACGGACAATCATACAGAAAATGCAGCAACCAGAGAGAACTCACGGCAATTGGGAGTGAAGCTGGTGACAGAATAGCTCCCCATTTTCCATCAAAACAGTGAATCACAATGGAATGTTCTAGAGCAACCTAAACGCCGGGTATTTCACACGTCGATTACCGCCAGAATAACGAAGAAGGATACGGGAAAAAAAATACTGTAGGATGAACACTGTACTGTAGTCTTTCCTGGTGCTCCCTCCCAACCAAGCTTCAAATTTGAAATTTCAGAGAGATTGACAAGACTGACCCTGAGTTCGACTCCACGACTTCATGAATTTCAAGATAAGGCGTTTAATCGAAATATGTAATTGATGATAGAAAGGAGGCAGTATTGATTTTTTTTAAAGCAGTACTCATCTAAGTAATCTATGGCCTCCGTTACCTGCTGCTCTGTTGTAGTGTTTACACCATCCATCCGCTTACATCCTCAGCCTTGTTGGCTTAATAAGCAAAATTATCAACAGCATGCAGCAAAACAAACCAAACTTTTAGAGACGCCATCACCACACAGATACATCATGTTCGGCAGCACTGGATTCGGACAGAAGCCCGGAGGCTTTGGCGCCGCCAATACCGGCACGACCGGTAACACTGGTGGCGGGTTTTCGTTCGGCCAGAATAACAATTCCAACTCCACTAACACCAACACTGGCGGAGGATTCGGGTTTGGCCAGAACAACACCAATCAGACCAGCAACACGGGCGGTAACACTGGAGGAGGCTTTTCGTTTGGCCAAAACAACAATGCTGGAGCCTCTAACACCGGAAACACCGGAGGAGGACTTTTTGGAGCCAAGCCTGCTGCCACCACTGGAGGAGGGCTGTTTGGTCAGAACACAAACACTGCCGGTACTACTGGTACTACAGGCACATCTGGAGGTTTCTCTTTCGGCCAGAACAACAACAACACCACTTCGAACACAAGCACAACCGGAGGCGGTCTCTTTGGAGCTAAGCCTGCTGCCCCCTCAGGTGGGGGGCTGTTTGGACAGAACACATCCAATACTGCCAACACCGGAACCACAGGCACCACCGGTGGACTTTTCGGCCAGAACAACAACGCCGCTTCTACTAACACGGGCGGCGGACTGTTTGGTGCAAAACCCGCCACCACTACTACTTCAGGAGGTGGTCTTTTCGGTGCTAAGCCTGCTACTACCGGTACCGGCTTTGGAGGAGGATTTGGACAGAACACAAACACAAACACAAATACTGGAGGACTTGGATTTGGTCAGCAACAGCAACAGCAGCAGCAACAACAGCAACAACAGCAGCAATTGACCGTCACTCCTCTGACCAGACCGTCGGATCTACCGGAACATATGCAGAAGGAGTTTGAACAGATCGACGAATACATTCAGCAGCAGGCCCGAATATGCGATGAGCTGTCCACGAACAAGCTGCAGCATCAGGAGATGATCGAGTCGATCCCCCGAGATGCTGAGCTCATCTCCAGAAAGTACATCACTGCTTACGAGGCTCTGGTGCACGACTCCGAAAACATGAACGAGATCAAGACTCGATCAGACATTGCCGCACAAGAGGCGCAGACGTGTTTCAACCTGCTCAGCTACCTGACCAGTCAGACTCCTGGCCGTCTCAACTCCAACCGACCCGCTGGAGCTCCCAGAGAGAACGGCGATCCTCTGCTCAACTACTTTAAGACAAAGTGTGAGGAGTACGAGAAGCGAATTGAGGAGCTGGCAAAGGTGACGGCCGAGGTGGAGGCTGGTGTTGTGGGACTGGAACAAAGCGGACCTCAGAACCCTTCTGTGGTCATTGACAACTTTACCATTTCGCTGGAGGAGCTATACAAGCTGTTCATGGGTCTTGGAAACCGGGTGGCCGAGTTGCATCATGTTGTCGAGCGGCTTGAGCAGCGGAAGTAACTTTGGAGGTGTAGCTACATGATATGTATATTGAAGGAATACTTGTAATTGTAGTTGATTTGGTGTAACGAGTATTTACTACAAGTATAAACGTTGTAGACAATAATAAGGCTACAAGCAGATGAAGACAAGCAAAGTATCACCCCTTAAGGCGAGAGGCTTTTGGTATGGTCAAGCGACTTTATGGAAGTATTGATTCGAGAACACCCCTGTACATACTGTAAAGCTGTAGCTGCCGCATGTAACATATTGCTCAACTGTTCTAACTAACGTTAAGTAAAGTGACAAACTCAAAGTAAGCAAGAATAGCATTATATTTCTTTATATCTGAGAACTCCGGTAACTTGTTAGATAAGTAATAACAACCAGATCACTTTCATAAATTTTTTGGCGTACGTTTCATATTTCTACCGTATCTGGGACACTATTTGCGCCCTCAGTCAACTTTTCCCTAACTAACTCCCAACTAATTCTCTTTCTGCAGCTTAGTCACGTCACTATAATAAAGTTTCGAGTGCATGGGTTTACGTACGTACAGTACGTTGACCATGATGAACATACAGCGATCACAACTACAACGACATACACACAGCCATGAGTCTAGTGCAATCTGCTGAACGAGCAGAGTATCTGAATCTCAACACGGAGCAGCTGAAGCAATTGCATGAGCAGTCCACGCGGTTTCTGGCCGGCCGACACTACAACCTGTCTGATGACGACCGATATGCCCTCTTTGAACAGCACTTTTATCTCGCTCTGCTGGTCGGTGACTCCAGAGAGGCCGAAATAACATACCAGAAGCTGGCCGACCGGTTCGGCGAAGACACGGGCCGAATCGGCAAGCTCAAGTCGATGCTGATTGACAGACAATTGGGCCCCAAGGATGCTCTGATGTACCTCCAGGGACGTCCCGAAAGCGATCTGCCGTGCTGGAAGGCCCGAATCGCTCTTCTCAGAGACACAGGAGTGGCTGATCTGTACATTTCCGAGCTGGTCAAGTACCTGGAGGTGGTGCCTACCGATCCAGAGGCGTGGTCTGAGCTCGCCGAGGCCTATGCTGCCTGTGAGAAGTGGGGAGACGCCATTTCGGCCGTGGAGGAGGTGCTTCTGTGTGCTCCTCTCGCATACAATATGTTTGCGCGCCTGGGAGAGCTGTATCTTGCAGCAGGGGATGCTGGAGAGGCAATTTCGCACTTTTGCCGAGCGGTGGAACTGTGTCCTGTCTACATTCGGGCATGGTGTGGTATTCTTGTGGCCATCAGCAAGCACAAGAAGGGCAACGACAAGCTCAAGGCTGTAGCCACTAAGCAGCTGGAGAAGCTGATTAAGGAGAAGAAGGGCAGCGAGGGAGATATTGCTGCCGCCAAGCTCATTTTGGCGTAAACGATTAGATTAATGAATTTATTGGATTGACGTGAGGGCGGCTGTTCCTGGGTGAAGGACTTCCTGCTGGCAGCTGCGGTATTGCCTAGCCACAGTATTATATCCACAGCAAAGTACAGTCCAGTAGATGATGTATTCACAGGTATCACACACGAGTGGATCTTCACACAAGTGCACCTGGCCTACAGACAGCATAAAGATGTTCCCCCAACATATATAAATGCACATATACAAATACAATGAGGATCAGCATGTCAAATTATATTAGTATTCACTTAATCATTTCGTATACATTCATTATCTGTCATGTAGCAGTTGTCTGTGTATACACCCCCTTCTGTTCTGTGTATTATGCATCCATTTTTATATCGTCAATCGTATCGTCGTCATCGTCGTCAATATCCCTCCTCTAATTCGAGTAGTACTCCACAGGAGCAGTAAACTGTCTGAGGGTCACTCCAGCATCATGCAACACCTTACTGCTCTGAGCATCCATATTGTAGCTCTTGCTGTAAATGACCTCCTTGATTCCAGCCTGGACAATCTTGATGGAACAAGTCAAACAAGGACATGTGTTGCAATACAGCTTGGAGGTGTCCCTGATCCGTTCTCTTCCTGCCTCCAAGAGAGCATTTTCTTCGGCATGCAAACACAGACAAGTCGAAAGCGCTGCCCCGGCCTCTCCAGAGTTACATCGAGCACATCCTCCTTCGTTACAGTTGACAGCTCCTCGAGGAGTACCATTGTAACCCGTACAAATGACTCTCGAGTCCCGCACAATGACACACCCCACTTGTCTCTTCATGCAGTTGGATCTCTCAGCGGCAAGATCAGCCAGACGCATAAAGTAGGCGTCCCAGGATGGTCTTACACGCGAGGTTTCCATGAGATCCATCTGTCGCAAATGCGCTCTGAGCTCGGTGGAATTGACGCCGTTCTTGTTGACCAGGTGAACCTTGGCACTATTGGCAACGAGGGTGAGCTCATTCGAATACTTGCGTGTCTCCATGTCCTCAATAAACGTTTCCAGGCTCAGATCAGGGGTTGTCTTCTTGGCCCTCTCAAAGCTCTCAAGCATAGGGGCGTCGACAGTCAAATGCAAAAAGAAAGGACGCACCTCCAGAGCCTTCAGTTCGGCCGCCGAATCGATGCCTGCTAGAACATAGTGCGTCTGCCATCTGGGAGTCACATGGGCTACCAGCTCGTCCACGGTGTTGAAATGCAGATCGTCGTTAGAGTCTCCGTGTCGCAGATAGACCCGTTTGAACTGCAGCTCTTCAACGAGATAGTCGGCCACCTCGTCGATACCGGAGTAGGGCAGTCCTGAAATTCCGATGAACATGGCTGAGGTATACAGTGCTGTCGTGCTGACTCCTGCTTCTCAAACGCGAAAAGATGTTGCACAATTTAAAATGGAGATGCACGCGTATGCAGTGTGGAGTGGAGTGAGGAGTATTGTTACAGGAACTTTTAGGCAAAGCAGAAATGTGGTATCAGTGAGCAAACCCCAAAGGAGTTTACTACCCCAGAACACCCACATTCCCATTACTAATCTGGGTGAACATCCACAATTACTCAGCAACTTTGGCTTTGACAAGACCTCGGAGAACATGATAAAGCCTAACGCCTACAGTATTTGCTTGGAGGTCTCAGAGACAACTATGCCAATCATTGCCACCTCATCAAAGCAACCATGTCATCACTCGACCTATCTTATTACGAACCGTTCCACAGAAATGCCGTTCTTAATGGCAAAAGATGGCACTATGTAGACATTCCTGGAGACTCCAGTGGCTCTCTTGGTAGAGGAAAGACACTTTTGCTGGTCCATGGGTTCCCAGACACTTGGTACGGGTGGCGGCATCAAGTGCCTGTGTTCCGTAAGCACGGATTTCGGCTCTTGATTCCCTCCTTGCTTGGTTTCCCAAGAAGTGAAGCTCCTCTTACTCACCCTGGAGTTGCCACAGGAGAGAAGTTCGATGGTCACAATGTTCACAAGGAGCTGGGTCTGGAAGATGAAAACATTCAGGAACTTGAATGTTACACGGCTGACTTCTTTGCCAAGAGCATGGTCCAACTGCTGGACCAATTGGGGATCGACAAGGTCTGTTCCTTTGGACATGACTGGGGAGCTGTCTTTGCTCCCCGACTTTGGCTCAATTATCCTGAGAGAGTCGAATGTGTGTCATCAGCATGCTGGTACTACCAAATGCCAATGGAGGGCTTCGTCGACTTGAAAGATTTCGCAGAGGTGGCTCCTTCATTGAGATACCAATTGTACTGGGGAGGAGACGCTCCTCAAGAAGTCATCCAGAAGCCGCTCAAGGAATTTATGGACAGAATGTACCACCATCCTACAGAGAATCATCTTCTGACATCGGAAGCTGAATACAACAACATTCTCAAGGAGTTTCAATATGGAGGAAAGACCATTGCTCCCATGTTTCCTCTCTACAAGTCACGAAAGTTAGCCTACGATATCGATGAAAGGGACTTTCTGACCAAGGGGAGAACAGAGGAAGACTTGGCGGTGGATGTGCCGTACTTGTTTATCGGGGCCGAGTTTGACATTGCTCTTCAGCCCGGAATGGAGTCTGTTTTGGAGGGTTATGTGAAGGAGGGACTACTAGAGAAGCAATGGGTCCCCTGTGGACATTGGGTCTTGTTTGAGGAGCCTGAGAAGATGAACAAGATTTATATTGACTTTCTGAAGAAGGTGTTTGGATCGTCGAAGTTGTAGGTGGTATATAATGAATCACACGCTTATATATTAATTAATATAAATGTTTACTTACCTTTTTGTTGTTACTGTAACTTTTTGTTGGAAAGTTCTACCAAAATCTCTTGAATTAGTTCAGTTTCACCTCTGAGTTTAGTTAAAGGGGGGATCCGAAAGAGACATTACAAACAGAGCAGGTGTAGACAATAGCATTAAAGATACATAAGGTGATGTGGCCAGAGAAGCTCAGATAACATAATATGACACCACTTAGTCCTTCACTCTGCTCTATTATCACAACATGGCTTTCACCCACAACCCATTCATAACCCTAACCCCACACAGTTTTGAACAATTCTAATGCAGCATTGACTGAACAAACATCCAAACCAACACACCACACAATGCTCAATCTTGAGCCCATTGGAAAATCGACATTGCTGTCGTTCGGTGAGACACGTGTTCTCATTGACTTTGCTCTTGATTCGCAAGAAGCCGCCGAGCGAGGAGATAGCTTCTTTGAGACTCTCAATCTCGTGCTCTTCACACACGCCAATGCAGCTCACCTGGGAGCATATGCTCTTGCTTGCAAGTTGTATCCTGCCCTGGCGGCTGTTCCGGCCTATGGAACGCTTCCGGTGATCAATATGGGCCGAATCGCCACTCTGGAGGCCTACAGAAGCCAGGGACTACTTTCATCAGAACACATCACAGCCACGGAGATCGAAATCATCTTTGACAACATTACATCCATCAAGTACCTGCAACCGATTGGTATTGGGGTGCGAAGCAAGGGGGAGGTGGCAACGACGGCTACGGAGGATGGAAACAGCACTGAACTGACGACTACACAGGTGACTACACATGAGACGTTAACCATCACGGCTTTCAACTCGGGTCACTCGTTGGGTGGAACTATTTGGAGACTTCAACATCAACAAGACAATGTGGTGTATGCTGTTGACTGGAATCACGCTAAGGACTCGCATTTGTCTGGAGCTGCGTTTCTACAAAAGGGAGGCCAGATCGTCAGTGCTCTGCATAGACCCACAGTCATGGTTTGTGGTAGTCAGACTGGTCTGAGGCTCAAGCGACGAGACATTCTGCTGTGGAGCAGTATCCAAAAAGCTTTGAAACGGGGAGGATCAGTTCTGTTGCCTACTTCTGTGGGTTCACGTGTTCTGGAGGTGATCCACATGCTGGATGATCTATGGACCAACAATCAGAACAGTCAGCAAGGAGTCACCCTGGTTCTGCTTACTCATCTGGGTGCTCGACTTCTGGAGTACGCTTCTTCGATGCTGGAGTGGATGTCTCCATCTATCATTGCCGAGTGGGAGAAGAAGAACGAGTCTCCCTTTCAGACCCGCAATTTCAAAATTGTGCATTCTATGGACCAGTTTGACAAGGTGGTCAAGGGTGGAAACGGCCAGTTTGTCGTTGTTTCTGTGGGAGAAGATCTGGAGTCTGGTTTCTCGAGATTGCTGTTCAACCGGCTGGCTAGTGACGAACGAAACAGTGTTTTGTTTACAGAGAGAAGTGAGGGTAATTCTCTGGCTACAGAGCTGCAGGACAAGTGGGAGAAGACGGAAAGAGATGGAAACTCCGCGAAGATGGACTTCCAAACAACCCTCAAGATGCCTACTTACACTCCTCTGTCCGAAGCCGAAATGAAGGAATACAGGACGACCGTGGAGAGTCAACAGAAGGATCTACAAATGGTCAAGGCGATGGAGCTGCGTAACAAGGAGCTTCTTGAGGAGGCCGAAGCCGAGGAGATGATGGACTCTTCAGACGATGAAGATGTATCTCGAATGCAAGGATCTGGTCAGGAGTATGGTTTCTTACACGGAACAGTGCTCGATGTGGACGTCAGAGACGCTGTTGGGTCGTTGCGAAACTTTCCATTCTATCAGAAGCGTCAACGAGTGTCTGAATACGGTATTCCTATCCATCCGTCCGACTTTGCACGTGTGGAGGAACGACCCGAAGTTGCATGGAAGGAGCGAGATCGAAATGAATTTGACAGTGACGAGCCTCGAAAGCGACAGAGACGACGAACAAAGGCTGCTGCCGAGGAGCAGGAAGAACGGGTGGTGGAAGATGCAGACGATGCACCTGAGACTATCACTTCCCTTGATAATCAGCCCATTAGAGTTAGCTACGAAGATGTGGATCTCAACATTATCTGTCACGTTGACTTCGTCGATCTCTCTGGTCGTATTGATGAGCGATCCCTCGGTATGATTATGCATTCTATTCATCCCAAGAAGCTTCTTCTTTTGGACGATTCTCGACGAGCTGATGATCTCTGTTCATATCTCAAGCGAGAAGACGACACAGACGTTCATGTGCTTCGAGGACTTACTACTGCCGGCACGCATTCATTTGCAGTTGATATCCAGCTCACCCCTGAGCTGTCTCGCCTGCTCAATTGGCAGCAACTTTCCGGCGGCCTGTCTTTGGCCCATGTGGTGGGTAAGGTTGCCAAGAACGAAGATAAGTCGGAAGACACGCCCCTAGCTGCATTGGCTCTGCAACCCATTGTCGATGCTGCCGATCTGGCAGTTGCTCCTCGAATTGAGCCTCTTCGAGTTGGCGATATTCGTCTCGCGGAGCTCAAACAGGCCCTGGGCAAGTTGGGATTCCGAGCCGTCTTCCAAGCTGGAGGAGTGTTGGTGGTTGATGGCAAGGTTAGCATTCGCAAAGTGGACGAGTCTAATCTGGTGGTTGATGGTGGAATTGGTTCTGATTTCTACGCCATCAAGGAGGTGGTTCGGGCTCAATTGGCTCAGATTGGTTAGAACAGGTCAATTAGTGCGCGCCACTTCTCCACCTGAACGTTACCATGCCACCGAGAACAGAGCATATAGAAGCTCTGATTTCGTGGCTTAGTTTAACCCCGCTCAACGGTTGCCTGGAATAGACTAGCTAATGTATTATATGTATACCAGCGTGTCCTATGAGCAACGGTCTGACGGGCTACAATGCTCTTAGTGTATGTGTTTCCCCCTACAGCCACAGTTACTAATCAGCGTCTAGTACAGCACAGTGTACCGTACGTCTACAGTAGTAAACATCGTCAAGCACTTTTTCTCCCCTCTTTGTATGTTCATGTGTTTGCGTTTAAGTCTTCGACCGTATTGACACCTACATACCCGTCGATCTCCCGCCCTCACAATACCTTGTACCATACTTTTGTACGCAGGGCCCACTGCCCACCATTGAGACCCTTGCCTATGGCGAATTCAGTTGGTGGGATGTACCCCGCGTCAATTAACATCTCGAGAACTCTAACTGTCTTGTTACTGGGGGACGGTCTTGTGTCAGGTGGAGGAGTGGTTACGAAACAAAAAAAAAACCACACCTGGTGAGGTCGTGGGCACGATCCGAAAATGATATAAATAGCTGTAGTTTGCCACATACTCTCTCCCCAACCAACTTGCCCACAAGTTCTTTCTGCAATGGTCTCAATCAACATCTTCATCATCTCTACCCTCGCGGCCTTTGTTGCCGCTCAAGCCGGTTTCTTCGTCACCCAGGTTTCCCAGGGAATTGTTTCTGGTTTTGTTCAGGGTCGATCCTCCGGTGTCGACGAGCAGGTTGCCTCTTCCGAGGCCGCTGAACTCGTTTCCCTCATCCTCAACGACCCCACCCTCAACCCCCAGTTCCAGACCGCCGCTGACCTCGTTGCCTTTGGTTTCGACGGCCCCAAGTTTGTCTCCTTCGTCTCCCAGGCCGCCACCGCCTACTCGTCTTTCAAGGATGGCCCCAACTTCCCCATCGCCACCTCGTACTTCAAGGAGCACAATACTGACTTCAACCTCAACAGTGCTATTCTGTCTGCCCAGGCCCAGGTCACCTTCTACATTTCTCTCTTTACCCAGCAGCTCAACCCCCTCACTGTCACTCCTGCCGTTCAGACTGCCACTGCTTCCGGTATCTCTCTGGCCAAGGACCTTTTCTCTGAGCTTGGCAATTATGATGCCGTCACAGTCATCCCCTGGTAGGTAGCACGCCTCTGGGATGATATTACCTCACTCTCATATAACACTTAGCCATAGCTGTATACTTCCATGAACATGGGCTCTTGGTTATACTATGAACTGTAGAATGTGTACTACAATGTAATGTCTCGGTATCATTAGCACATCAAACTCCATTGTACAACGTGGGCTCCTAATGATCTTCTACAAGAATTGACCCCCACCCTACCGTAAACTCATGGATTTTTAAAAAAGTACATCGGAAACTGTACCGTAGCCTATTCCATACAAACATTGTGTACATTAACTTCCACCCTGATCTTCCACTTAATCACACTTAGTGCCAACCTTGCTTTTCATTGGGTTTCGAGTCGGAGTTGTAGGGTGGCTGTCCGTACCCCGGCTTGGTGTCATTGGGGTAATTGGGAGGCTGGCTGTATCCAGGCTTGGTGTCCTGAGCATACGCAGGAGCCTGAGAGGAGCCAGCGGTACCAGAATACCCTGGTTTAGTATCCTGGGAGTAAGAGGGAGCCTGCGAGTATCCAGACTTAGAGTCCTGAGGGTACCCGTGGCCAGCCTTAGAGTCCTGGGGGTAACCGGGCCGAGGCTTTGTGTCCTGGGGGTACTCGGGTCGAGGCTTTGTGTCCTGGGGGTACCCGGGTCGAGGCTTTGTGTCCTGGGGATACCCGTGAGGTTTAGTATCTCGTCGAGCGGCAGGGGCTCCAGAAGAAGAAGAAGAAGCCTGGTCGTAGCTATGGTCATCTTCTGTAGGAGGAACTGTGATACTGACACCAATCTCTCCAAACACACCGACAGTTGCATACACGTCAGTTTCGTTGATACCCTCGATTCCACCGTCCTTGAAGTCTCGATCGGGGTCTCTAGGCACGTTATCAATTGAAAGTTTCCAGGAGCCGTCAAACTGGCCGTTTCGGATCATATAGGCCTCCTGCTTCTCGAAATCGATTCCCATACCAATGGTCTCACCCACCGAAAAGGGACGGGTGAAGGGCTGACCACCAGTGGAGTCGTTGACGTATCGATGTCCATCATCGGAATGGACAGCGAGTGATCCTCGATGCCATCCGGGCATTCGAAAGTGAGGGTAGGGAAGGCAGCAGAAACCAACTGCCAGAGAGCACTCTTCAGGATGGCCCATGGAGGTAATCTTAACCTCAAAGTAGATCTTGGGGACAGGGCTCATGGAAGGAGATCGGAGAGGTAGAGCAGACACAAGGATTGAGTCCAAGGTGCTAGGCTGCGACCGCACATAGGTCGATCCGTTTCTGTACTGAATTTCTCCCTTGAAACGCTTAGACAGTCTGCTTCGGAACCCCTTGGCTTCAACGAGACGAAAATCAACGTTACCACTTCTCACCGCCTGCAATTCAGGCTGGGTGAGAATTCTGGGAGCCTCGAGAGGGTAGTTGTCGGTGAATCTGTCTCCCATGATGAGTTCGTCTTCGTTGGCCTCAGAAAACAGAGCCTCCATAACTCTGGGAGGAGGGTAACTAGGGGGCAGCCCGTCATCTCCCCCACCAGCCTCGTTCCATCCAGGAGGCGGCCCCGGGGGAGGTGCAAATCCATCATGGCCAGGAGGAGGGCCAGGAGGCGGCGCATGGTGTCCTGGAGGCGGCCCTGGTGGAGGAGCATAGAGTCCCGGAGGAGGACCTGGAGGAGGCGCGTGCTTTTCCCTGCTGTGGCCAGGAGGAGGTCCCGGAGGAGGTGCGTGTTTTTCACTGTGGCCAGGAGGAGGTCCCGGAGGAGGAGCATGATGACCGGGAGGAGGTCCAGGGGGCGGAGCGTGTTGCTGGTAGGGGTTACCTGTCTTCATATGTGACAAGAAGGGATTGTTCATGTTGACAGAAGCTGTAGAAGCACCTGTAGAGGCCGGGGACAGACGAGGTGGCGGTCCAGGAGGAGGAGTATGTTGAGAAGCGTCATTGGACTCCAATTGGGCCTTGTACTGGGCCTTTTCAGACGGTCCAGAGCTGGAGGGGGAAGCCTGAGGGGGAGGCGCGTGTGGGGCAGAGCTGCTTCCGGGCTGGGGACCGGTTCCCTGATCCTCCAAAGAGTACGCGGGTGGAAGATCGGCCATTTTTTTTTGGTTACCCAGTCTCAATTGTGTAGTAGACTGGAGAGCGTGTGTTGTGTTGAGACGGTTGTCGGAAACAATGATTAGTGCGTGGCGATTAACGATGCGGAGGAGGTAAAGTTGGAGCTAAACTCGAGACTAATTGATAGTGTAGCGGCGGTGGAAATATAAAAGTGGTGATAATGCCTTAGGGATGACTTGGTGGGATAAAACTTGATATATTTTACAAAAGGTGCCGTACATATACAAGTATATTGCATATCCCAGACGTATCAATCCGACCGGTCTCTGACGTCAATGTCCAACGTGCAATTTAAACTACACCTTACATTCCCTATGCATGTGAGATGTGGGCAGTGCTACAAACGCCAGTCATTGCATCGTATCGTACAGTAGCCGAGTGGACTATGGCTAAAGTTATACAGTTGGGTGTTCAAGTTCTTGTTCGTCATTTACATCATTAATTATTTATATTAAACTACGTACTAGTTACACTCACGTGACCCCTGGTCTCCAGCACCAAAGTACCTCAATCAGTCCGTCTTCTTAGCCCAGGGCATCATAAAGGTACCTGGAAGAAGCCAGGTGAAGGTGTTATCTGCTGTGGCCATACCTGCCCAGGCGTTCCAGAAACCCATGACACCACAGGCAATGCAGAAGCCGCCGCCAGCGTTGATGAAGGCGTAGTTATCGGTGAAGTAGCCAATGGCCAGGAACATAAGAGCCAGATCGAGGAAGAAGAAGAGCAGAAAGAAGGGAATGGTTGCTCTGACTGTACAGAGTGTCAGGACCACCGCAAACGCAAACCAAACCATCAGATAGACGCCCATGGCGTTAGCGAACTCTCCAGGATCTGTATAAGCCTCAATAATACCGAACCAGGGGATGTTAATGGCGGCGTATGACATCCAGAAGCAGGAGAAGCACATGAAAACGATGGCTGCAAAGGTGTTTTCGGCAACAATTTCCCACAGCCCAGCCACAAAAAGCACTAAGCCTGCTCCAAACAGAGCATTACCGACGACGAGATTGGGGGTCATAATTCCTCGTGTTTCGGTCAAATACAGACCCAGAAGAATAATGGCAATGGAGAAGGCAAAAACACCAATGGGGGCGGTGTTGGCGAACTTTCTTGACGGAATGGGAGCAGAACCGGGGTTGAATTGGCCTCCAAAGGCCTTTGCAAGTTCGTTGCGATGGTACTTGTGGCCTCCCAGATGGATGTATTCGTCATTGTCGCCTGAAGTGACGACTCGCATGAGCTTGTCCATGCCAGCAGATGATAGAGAGTCAACTCCGGTTTCGAGATCGTGGTGTGTCATTGTTGCAGAAGTGCTACTGTTTGCTGGTTGACTCCAGATATCTCATCCCTATATACTTGGGCACTATCTGGTTCCCCTCTTTTCTTCACGCATAAAAAGCAATGTGGGGAATCGATGCATTTTCACAAAGCCCTGGGCGATCCAGATCTCAGCTGCACAAAAAACTACTCGTACCGGTGTATCGGGTTCTTCTCAGGCTCCGTCCTACAGCAGGTCTGGGTTCCCGTGAAAACTCTAGTTGCTTCATGCATAACTAGTGCGGCTAGATAACAGCCGCTTATCGTCTTTTAACTACTGTTTGAAATAAGAGTGTATTTTCGACTTCAGACAACTGTGGTATAAGGACGAAATACAGCACAATATAGCGCAGAACTACAAAACAGATGCCAGACTACAACCAGAAAAAAATGATGTGGAGCACCGCCACGCTCCCCCAAGACCCCCCACTTGCTCCCAAACCCAGACCTGCTGTATTTACTTACACACTTCCCCACATTGCTTGGCACTCCGAAGGGGCAAAATAACTCGGCAGAAGGGAACATCTGGACGGCGGTTGACTGGAAATGGAGAAATATGCTACTTGTAGTTTAGACGCAATAGTTCCACACGAGAATCATGTGACGGGATAGGCCTCACGCTAAAGCCCACATTAATGAGTTCTTTACGTGCTCAGCAGCTGAAGGGTTCGCGTTACGTGCGACGTGGTACGTTCTACGTGCCCTACGTGCTTCACCTTCACACCCTCAATGCAGTCCGTACACCCGAACGGAGACGACTCTGTGCATGCGAGTGGCCGCCATATATCCGGAGCTTGTGCACACTATATGAGCCCATGGCCAAATGGGTTGATCTCGGTGGAATGGTGGACCAGGTGGGGAAACAGCAAGATAGCGAGACAACTCGATTGCGTTGTACAAGGCAAGGTACAGTATGTACTCGTACTTGTAGCAATGGTATTGTTCCCAACGCGACGTTCCTATCGTACTTGTAGCTAATTATAGTCGCTTCTGGGAGGCGGACAAGATCTTGTGGATACTGTAGAATGAGACACTCAATTAGTGGTGACAGGGTACCAGACATCTGAGAATTTCTCGTGCAGATTTGTCCGTTTACAATGTTGCATGGAAGTTACCTAACTGTAGAGGACGCCTCCGGCATGTTGAGTTATGGGCTTTTGGAGGCTTACGATACTTGTATGTACAGCACAGTATGTACTCTAGATTAAAAAAAGGATTAATGTTTACCAAGTAAAACTCCAACTAAAGGGCGCCACTTTTAAGTATTCTCGGGCTTCATTGTCCACATCATCGCACTATTCATTCAATCGAGGGAAAGAAGGGTGATTGAAATATTCATGTTCACACACGTTCGCACACACCCTTGTGACCCCCAAACTAACTCATTAAAAAAGCTATACATCTTCTTGGCGTGCCTGGAACTACAGAAGGCAGAGGAGTGCATCGTTTAGGCTTCAGATGAGGCAAGCTCTAAACAGCCACACAAGTTGAATTTGAGATGAAACAAAAAAAAAAAAAAACAACAAAAAAACAACAAAAATACCCCCAACTGTGTGAGGATAAGTGAAATACACAAAATATTTGTTTTTTCAGGCAAATTACCACACACATTATGAGTCTTTATTCTGAGGTAGTTAGGTATGATTCGTAACACACATCATGGACCATTCAGTCTCTCCCGTCTAAGTTCGCTTACTCAGCACTCTCCCAAACCTGTACAGTAAAATGCACAAGATCACACCAATATCAGACCCACCACTCGCTCGCGTTGCTTACCCCATATGGTCACCATCTTACAATACTCGGCGGATGTGACCGCAACGACAATCTCAACATACAGATCCGAACTATCCGCACAGCTGGCACAAAACCTCGGCAAATGGAGCTTCGAGCTGAAAATGTACAAACCCAACCCAGCGTCGATTGGGCGGTCGGAGCACCATAACGGCAACATTCCTCAAGGACAACAGGAGGCAGCCGCAGCTGACCAGGAAATAGGAGGAGTCGCAGCTCTTTATACTCTTACACAAGCCCATTCTAAGGGTGACATGGTCTACGTGACACAAGGGTCGGCAGTACAGGGACAGCCTGGAGTGGTGGTCAGCGACTCGTTCGACATGGTGTTGCAGAATAAAATGAAAAGTATATGGATTCTGAGACAGACGCTAAGAGGTGATGGCGCGGAATATGAGCTCATGGGCGATGCATATGGACGGGTGAAGGTCCGGTTGGCCAATGTGTTTCTACAGGGCACCTTCCGAGGCCTGCTCTTCCAGTATGAGTATGAGGGAGACACTCTGGACGACCGGCAGCAGCAACATCTGATGGAGTTCATCCAGAGCTCCGGGTTCCCCTCCAGCAATCTTATCATCGGAGGCAATGGCTCTGGACTGGTGCAGACCGGCACACAGTTTGTGGAGGCTTTGGCACAGAAGTAATGGCAGCAACAAGCTACAGTACTCTTAGTGCATCTATCCAATCAAAGCCACCAAAATAAAGGAGGCAAGAGCTCCAAGAGCTAGACCAATGGTCAAACATAGAGTCATGTACCCACCGGCGGCAGACAGCTCGCTCTTGCTGACATACGCGCCTGGAGACATCATGGAGGAGCTAGATAAATGGCCCGAGGTGACTCCAAAACAAAACTGTAACAGTAAATAGAAAATATCTGAGGGAATGACGGCTCCTCGACCCTTGATATTGCACAGAAAGAATACAGGAATGAAAAAGAACCGTAAAAGAGCGTAGGTGACGAGATTTCGGCTGCCCTTAACCACAAACTTCTCCTTCGCACAGATAGATCTACCAAGTAGATCTCCTCCGTTCCAGACAACAAATGCAATGGGGATAATGGCCTGGGACACGGAGTTGTTTGGTTCCACGAGTTCGGCAAAAATGGGGAATGAGAGTGTCACCATGAACGTGAAAATGATGGAGAACGCAGGAGCCTTCAGTTTCTCGGCCAGCACTCTGATAGGCACGTTTGAAGCAGGTTCATCTCCCGGAACAGGGTATGCGGGTGATTCGGGGCGTCGCAGCTCCGTAGAAGAGGTGAGATCTTCTTCCCCGATGAACGGTTCTTGTTCCAGGTCCTTCTTTGCCGGCTTGCTTCGTGAGAACACAAACAGAGACAGACCGGCGATAGCTGTGGCTACAAAGAACGAAAACGCCGTGCTCCATGATGCAGCTGATGAGTAATCAACACTGTCTCCGGCTGTAGTTGCCACCAGGGACACCAGCGCAGGCATGATGCCAGCCAGACCCTGACCCATCATGATTCCCTGGGTGTTTCTCTCCGACGCAAGCGCAAAAGAGCCATTCTGGGCCACAGAAACACCCACACTACTGAGACAGTCGAGCAGCATAACGACACAAAAGTAGAAGGCTGTAGGAAGCCACAGAAACAGCACACACAGAACAGCGAGCACCGCAAACACAGAAGCGATAATCACGTGACCCATGACCACTCTATCTCTATAATCCTTCTTCCACGTCTGCAGCCACATGTTGGTCACCACGGACGTGACCGTCGATACCGTCATGATGGAGGACGCCGTGTTGTTAGAGAGTGTCGGAATAGGTAAGAATCTGTGTCGCAAGTAGGGTGTAGCTAACAGGAAGGCGTTCCAGGGCCATAGCAGCATCACTCCAAGGAGTATGGCTGACGTGTAGTTCATTTGTGCGTTGTTTAAGGAGCGTGTGAGAGTCTGTTGTTGTGTCGTGTGAGGATGATTCAGCAGAATCAAATCACCCTTAATTGGGGCAGGGTAAAGTTGGGGGAACAAGAACCTTGATAATGCATGCTTTATCAGTTAGGGCTGACGTGATGAGAGATACTGCCATCGGAACTTAACACCAAGTTTGATAGCTTCGGTGGGCAAAGACTGCAGAAACAATTGTATTGACAATTGAATTCTGTATATACAATACTGGTCCGCTACAACATGTGCTGCAAGACGTGCACAAGTCCATATCGTGACAACGTGCGTGCGTCAAGTTGAGCAAAAGGGTCTCTCAGTTATTGAGGGCTGAGTAAGGCAATCAACAAAAGGTACAGAATCGGGTCAACTGAATCCTACGCAATTACTTGACATTATAATGTATCTAACAAAACCCAAAGAATTGACAGTGTCGTAATCATTTTGGTTAAAATCTCATATTATTATACGGGTTTCCCCTTTTATATTCAAGTCCAGCGCGACACTACACGCAAAGTTTCTCATCACGTAAACGTACCTAAATCTTCCACCCCTTGAGCCAGTTGAGGTATGAGTAAGCTCCGGGCTCGCCCTCCATACCGAAAGAGATGGGGGAGAACAGAACAAACATACCGGTCACGGCAGAGATGAAGAGAATGTTGACACCCCACTTGACAGAGGCGGGAGCTCGAGAGGTGAAGTGGTCAACGACAAAGCCAAACACAAGAGTGGCAAAGTAGAAAGCAGGCAGGTAGTGGTGAACGTACTTAACACGGCCCATGATGATGAAGGGCAGGTAGTGGAAGAACCATCCCAGAGCGGGGATGATACCGGAGACCATGTACTTCTCAATCTGGGCGTCGGAGAAGTCGGGAATCTGTCGCTGCCATCGGATCAGGTAGACCAGAGTCATGATGCCAAACACAAACAGAGAGAAGGTGGTTCCCCACATGTTGACGGGGTTACCAAGCAGGTAGTACTTGATGATGGTGCTGCTCCATCCACAGAGTCGCAAACCGACCCAGTTGAGGGGCCACATCCAGGCCTCGGAGGCAAGCTCGTCGTGCTTATCGGGATCGGGAACAAGAGCGTTGTTGGAGGCCATCATGGCAACGTTGAGCTGAACAAAGTCTCGAATGAAGGAGGTCTTAGGAGGCTTGGTGTTGTTGGCATCGGGCATTCGCTCGTTCCAGTGCTGCTCAAAGTTCCAGTGAGTGGACTTATCCTTCTTGCCAACCTTGTTGGAACAGGTGACTTCACCCTGCTTGAAACCCCAAGGAGGGAGATGGTTGCCCTTGCCAGACAGGTAGCAGCCAAGAACCTCGTGCTTGAATCGAACAGTGGTAGTCAGAGGGTGAACGACCTTGTTGTCGCCAGGGCCAAAATTGTCATAAATCTCAACGATCCAGTGGTCCTTGTTGTCTCCAATGGTCAGGTTTCCGTAACAAGACACCTCGTGGTCGCCCTTGGTGAGAGGAGCGGGGATCTGGTGAGAGTGGAGGTTTCGGCCGGTATTCAGATGGATGAATCGGATAACGTCACCGTGCTTAAGCAGCTCAATTTCGGAGGTGTTGGCGTTGTAGGCCTCTCGGTCACGAGGGGTCTCGACTCGCCACTCGTTGTTGGCATCCTTGTGGTGGTAGGTGGTGATCTGCTGCTGCTCGGATCCTTCGGGGTAAGTCTGGACGTGGGAGTGCAGAAGGCCTCCGTTGTAGCCCTGGTTCTTGAGGGTGAATCGAGAGCCGTAGGCGAGATCCTGGGGGCCGCCGACAATGTTGGTTCCCTCCAGGTTGGCCTGGAAAAGAGAAGACATGTTGGAGTCGCCAGGTCCAGACTTGGTGAGGATGATGAAATGGGCCTTGAAAGCAGCCATGAACACCAAAGTGGGCAGGATGATAAAGCCGATGATTCGGGCAACCCAGTGCATGAAGTAGGTCTTGTAAGGCATCTTGGTGTCACCGAGCTTGATCCAGAGATCGACCACAGTGTAGACACCAACCAGAGCAGTGGCAAAGAGACCGACCATCTTGACGGAAGTCACACAACCAATGGAGATGCCGGTGAGCAGCAGAGTGGTCCACCACTGCCGGGAGAAGGGCTCTCGCTGCAGGTTATGGAACCGGGCAAGACCGTAGACGGTGGTGAAGGTGAAGCAGACGAGCATGGAGTCCAGCAGAATGAATCGGCCGAGAGTCACGTAGGTGTTTTCAAACAGGATCATGGAGGTGACGAGCCACACGGTGGCCACGTTGAGCTTGAGCTCCTTTGCGGTGAAGTAAGCCAGGGGCACACAGAACACGTTAAACATGGCGTTAAACACTCGCATGGTGGTGTAGTCGAGATCTTCGGGGTAGGTGTGGCCGGACTCAAAACCGAAGGAACCGTTATAGCCTGCCAGGTAGCCGGACAGGCCGACCAGCATCTTTCCAAGAGGAGGATGCACATCAAAGTAGTACTCCCGCTTGAGGTAGTAGGAACCAAACTTGCCGAAATGAGCCTCGTCCCAGGTGACAATGTTAGAGACGCCGATTCGGTAGAGACGGGTGAAGAGAGCCAGGGCGGTGAAGATGATGGGGCCCATGATTCGCTCAATCTCGTAGAAGGTGCCCTGTTCGGCGGTCGATGTGGTGGCCTTTCGGGTCTTTGTGTCCTCGGGCTCAATGACATTGTGATGGGTGGCGGACAGAGCGTTGGCCTGCTTCTCTGCAAGCCCCGTTCGGTGCCTCAGCTGGTCGCTACCAGTATCGATTCCAGTCGCGGAAGCCATTGTGTGATTTACTGGAGGTGGAAAAGGTCAAAGGAAGTTACGAGTTCCAAACACGTAGCTTTTTCAAATGTCCCAAAGGCGTCCCAAAGTTTATTGGTGACACGGAGGTGCATGAGGTGCTGCTGGATTTGTCTCCATATGCACCTGGTACGGGCTGCTAAATGCCCTGTCTGTCTGGAGTAGCCTATGTGGGCGGCAGGGTGCATTTCTGTGTCGGTTTCAGTTTTTCCGCTTCCTTTTTCCATACAAGTAGGACTGCCAAATCACCTTTTAGTGTATGCTGTGGCACCGACTATATGCTGTTTCATAAAAGATGGATGCGGTGGTGGAAGCAGACGAGACAGGAGGGCTCGAGTCTCCCAAAACGGCCCTAAAAAGACGCGTCAAAAGCTCCGGATCAATTAATGGCGCTCACCAAATTGCCCACGCCCAACCCCCGTACCATAACGCATCTCTAGCACCCTCTTGTAACCACTTTCCGACCACCGCGTACCACCCCACTCACGCGTTAAACGAAACCTAGCCCCGCTCAAAGTTTGTAGGAGTCTCTACTTTCGGGGAAGAGACAGGGTCATCAGGATATGCCGAACTTATGCGTAAATCATACAGACGAAATATGCGAACAAAAAAAAAACATAGCGGACGTGATTCTGATCCATGTGCTTAAAGTGCCCAACACGTTTGTTGCCCATCTACTCGTCCATACACTATGTACATACTGAACACGTCATCGGCCGAGCTAAGACGGGCTCTATGTACCCCGCATTAGTCTGACAAGGGCCATCTGACGCTAATGGCACGTCCTGAGTCTTTTTGGGTTGTCTTTTTTCGGTGGTGGCAAAACCGCCACTGTTCACCTCAGCTCTCCTGCCATCGCCCAGTACGTCGTATCAAGTCTGGCGTTCTGCCTCGGAGTTTGAGTGGAGCGATCGACTAACTTAAATATTACACGTATTAATCAACCCCAGCATTACCCGTAAATAATTATCCCGAAGGGGCAGTAGCAAGGAAGTGTATTTCTGGAGGAGTGGAGTCACACATTCTGGTACTGTATGTACTGTACGATACGAGTACTGTACTGTACTGTACTCGTACAATGATTGAAGATCAAATCAGACTGTCATCCCGTATTCCGTATATCCCTTACCCCTCTGTATCTCATGTCTTTAAAGAACTGACTTCCGGATTGGCCCTTTTCGTCAGCATTTTCTTACAGCAAAAAAAGATGAGAGGGTGTGCGCGTTGTTTCCGGAACAAAACTCAGAATTAAAGGAACCTACAAGTGTCCAAAGTATGTTAACAAGTAGAGAATCAAATCTCATAGAGTGATATATCAGTATTCTCTTCAACTCGTACAAAATCATGTTTGAATCAATACACTACATACAATACTTAAGCTTTGTTGAACTGAAACCAACCTGCAAGTACATACTGTATTTCAGGTGCTTATACAAATACTACAGTAGAGCCACTTCAGAGCTTTGACCCTGCTATTAGTCCACAAGACAAACAGTCCATGGTATCTTGTCAACGGAGAATAAAAAAAATAGAAAAAATAGAAAAAATAAAAAAAAGACAATCAAAATGTGCCAGTTCGTGGTTCCGAATACATAAAGATGTGGTGTGTAACTCTTAGCATCTTGGCAGGGTCTATTGGTCTATAGCTATCAGACTTCCATAGCTCTCAATTCAGTAGTTAATAATGCAGCTGCGAGGCAGTCTAAAAAACAAAGCCAAAGTGTATAGCAGGGTGTGTATGTACTGTAGCTGGTGTTTTACATGTCTTTTTTTTGTAGGGTAGACTACAGTATGTACACCCATATCTACACAAGTCTGCAAAACACGAATCAGTCATATCATATATACATTAAACCAAAAAAGTGGTATAACTCCAGGGCTGGGCCCGGATATCCTCCTTGAAAGCACCGATAATACCGCCCTCATACCCCTCATAGGGACGTCCAACATTAGTAGCATCAATACCATGTCGCTGAAGACGCTGCAGGTTGGTCAGAGCAACTCCGTTAGGAGAAGGCTCAGAGGCATCAAAAGTAGTCTTGGGTCGGAACAGCAGTTCGTCGGCTACCTCGGTAGACACTGCGTAAAAACCCCCATTCTCGGTATCGTACATCTTTGTGATCATCGAGTCCTGCAAGCTGGAGGCGTTCTCCAGGTACTTTCGGTCGCCAGTCACGTCGTACAAGTTCAGAAGACCGGAAATGAGGAATGCAAAGTCGGCATCTGTTCCCTCGGAAGTGGAAAGAACTCCGTTGGAAGAGAAACGAGCGAGTTCTTGAACTCCATGGCTATCTCGAACATGCTCCTCGAGAATGAAGTCGGCAGAAGAAATGGCCTTGGCAAGGGCCGTCTCGGCCAGCTCGGGATCAATGGACTTGAGAATCACGCTAGCCTTGGCGAGAGCACCGATAGCAAGACCGTTCCAGGCAGTGACGATCTTGGAGTCCACTTCAGGAGCAACCCGGTTTTCTTCTCTATACTTTCGCAGCAGAGTTTTGGCTTCCTTGATAGCGGCCTCCACATGGTTAGGCTTCTTTCCAAATGTCTTACCTAGCTTCTCGTACGAGTAGTTGGGAGCCAGAACGTTCTGGAACCACAGCTCGTTGTGCGGATCCTGGTCAGAGGTGACATTGCCCATGTCCTGAATGTCGAAGTACGCAGCAGCCATGTCTCTGTCCATGGGGTTTTTCATAGGCTGCAGAGCCTTGTGGAACTGGGCAGCGGTCCATAGGTAGTATCCTCCCTCAATCATCTTTCCTCCGTCTTCAGCCTGGGAGTCAGCATCAACACCGGCATAGAAACCCTTTGGAGCAACGATATCGCCAGAAGTCAGGTAGATTGTCAGATCTCGAATCATATCGTTCACGTAAGAGTACCAATCATGGGGCTCGTCGTGGATCTGCACCCAATTGTAGGCGTCACAGTAGGCCTCGAGGAGAAGAGCCTGGTCGTAGAGCATCTTCTCAAAGTGGGGAAGCACCCAGTCAGCAGAAACAGAGTATCGAGCCACTCCGTTGCCAACCTGGTCCTTGATTCCGCCCACAGCAATCTTGGCAAGCGTATGGAGAGCCATGTGGGGCAAATCTGTGGGCATGTTGGTATCCTTTTGCATTTCGGGGTGGTTGAGCATGAAAGACAGCTGGTAAGCACAGGGGAATTTGGGAGCAGTGCCAAAACCACCATTTCGAGCGTCGTAAACAGCCTCGAAATGTTCTCTAGTGTCCTCGTACATTGCTTCATCAAAGGGAGCGTCGGTAAGAGGATCTCCCACAGTGTGCAATTGAAGGAGGTTCTTCAGTTTGTCTCCAGTGTCCTTGCCAGCATCAATACACCATTGAGGATCGGCGTTCCATACGTGCCCAACCCGATCAAGAACGTCGCTAAATTTGGCAGCAGACTGGGGCTTCTCGTCAACCATCCCCTCCTTGTTGACAGGCTCTCCCTTTTCAGTCAGCCGTTTCTTCTCAGTTTCAGGACCTTCCCAGTAGGTGCCTCCGTAAATGGGTTCAAGGGTTTCGGGAAGCACGAAGACATTGAGAGGCCAGCCCCCGGATCCAGAGCTCACCTGCTGGTACATCTGGTAAATTGCGTCCAGATCAGGCCGTTCTTCTCGATCCACCTTGACGGGAATGAAGTTCTTGTTGAGTTTCTCGGCAATCGCGGGGTTATTGAAGGACTCATCGTTCATCACATGGCACCAGTGGCACGAGTTGTAGCCAATTGAAAGAAACAGCGGCTTGTTGGCCTCCCGAGCAAGCTTCAAAGTGTCCTTGTTCCATTCTTGCCACGCCACAGGATTGTTTTTGTGGGCCTGCAGATAAGGAGAAGGCGAGTCTTTGAGAACGTTTGTGAGCTGGACAGGTGCAGCCGAGGCAGAGCTGCTGTAATTTCGATACAATTGTCGCTTGGCTAGTCGTAGCATTTTTTGGCAGTGTTTCAAAGAAATGATCTGGGCAATATGCACGATTATATGCACCCAGCTTCTACAAGGTTGGTCACGTGAGTTGCTCTGGAACACTGACCTACCAAAGCTCGTATTTGTGAGGTTGCTGTCACGTGATTATATATGGTGTTTATGAACCAACGGAGATGTGACGGCAGATATCAATGATACGGCTTCTATCCACGATCCAAATAAAGTAGACTTTGGCCAAAAAAACTGACCACTGTAAATGTGGGGTTGGCTCCTGCAGCTCAACCTGGCGTTGACATCTGCAGTCAGTGTCTATATTAAAGAGGATTAATTTGAAAATAGAGCGAAAATTCCAGAAAATCAAGAAACAAAAAAAATAAAAAAAAAAAAAAAAAAAACAAAGATTTGGGCAATAAAGTCCTAATTGAGTGAAGTTGAAAGCGAATTACATGAGACAGATGTATGGTCAACCAATATATTTGGTAGTCATGGAAACTTGGACCCTAGTCCAAAGGTTCAGTCATACATTACTTGTAGCAGCTACTGTATGTACATACTGTACATACTGTAGCTACTACAGTAGTAGAACTAGCTATCGTAAAAATGGGTATAGTATGACCACCTCAGAACATACAGTACACCCAAACATTAGTCAATGACTGTACGAGTATGTACTCTTACAAGTACAGTACCCACAGTGAATTCTATAATTATATTGTGTACATAATTTGTTTACTGCTCGGTGCAAGCAATTCTAACAGATTTGTCGGCAGAGGCAAGAGCGTATCTCTTGTTGGACTCGGGCTGCCACGAAATACGATTGATTCTTTTGTCGCAATGAAGAGTCTGTTTCGCACTAGTCATCTGGAACTCTTTTGTAACAGTGACCAAGTAGACCTGGCCGTTATCCAGACCCACAATGACCTTCAGATTGCCATTTTCCAACTCAGGTAGAACATCACAAGCAGTAACCGCATCAGGAAACTTCTCTGTAGCCGCAGTTTCCCAAATTCCCTCCTTTTCCCGCCACACTCGCAGAGACTTGTCTCGGGAAGCAGTGAGAAAAACACGGCTGCCAAACTCCAGAGGAGCCCATGCACAATCCCAGATGATTCGGTTGTGACCATTGGGAGACTTCTCCTGGGTGGAAAAGAGTGCGTAGTTGTCAGCAGTCTTCTCCCAGACGGCCCAGTTTCGGTCACGTGAGACTGACAGTAGGTACTTGTCGTCGGGTGAGAAGCGGGTTCGAGTGACTGTCAGCTGATGGTACTCTAGAGGGTTAGCCAGCTCTTGCCACGTTTTGGTCTCATACAGTCTGATGACGGCATGCTTGGAAGAGTTGGCTCGACAGGCAGTGGCGATGACTGAAGAGTCCTGGCTGGCTGAAACACAGGTGACTTCGTAACCATGACCGTACAGCTTGTCAACTTCAGGCCACAGGGTTCGTCGTTGCAAATGTTCCTCCAGAGGAGCAGTTTTGAGATCTGCAATGACCTGGTAGATGTTCGAACTGGCGTCCATGACAGTGTCTTCTCGTTCCTGTCCCTCATCTGGCTCTTCGTCTTGAGAAACAGCCTTGTTTGAGAGTCCCAATGCCGGCATGGAGGCTGATTCAGGTAGAGAATCTCCAGAAGAGATGTTACAGAGCTTCTCGAGCAGCTCTGCCACTCCTCTGGGTTTGGTGAAAGTTCTCAAGATCTTCTCATCGGCTCCAGACACAAAAGTGTCCCCATCAATAGATGCAAGGCATATCATATCATAACCATGGATCTGTGGCCGAGTAACTTCTCGCCAGGTACCTTCGATAGGAGCGAAGATTCGTGTAGTCTGATCATGAGAAGCACTCAGCAGATAAGAGCCATCCTTGGCCCAACACACATCAGTGGCTTCTTTAAAATGGCCAGTGATAGAGGTAGCCGAGGTCCACCTTTCGTCGCCCTTCCACAGTCGCCACGACCCAGTCTTACCAATTGTAGCCACATAGTCGTCATCGAGCCACAAACAGGTCATGAATCCTCCACTGGATCCGGTAGCTGTAGTGGCACCCTTCACAGTGATCTCTCCAAGTCGAGCATCTGCAGTCCACACTCCGGAGCTCAGATCGGGCTGCCACATCATCAGAGAAGTGTCAGCCGAGGCAGACAGCAGTCTCAAGCCATTCCATCTCACCTGATACACCCAATCGTCATGCCCCATAACCAGAGCTTCAAACGAGAAAGTGGCGCGAGTGCCAGCAACCTCAAAAGTGTATTCCTTGTTGGAAAGCAGCGGCGATGTAAGAAAGGGGTCTGTAATGTCGGCCGTTCGTCGGTTGGCCACTCCTTCTCCAAAATGCAGTCTCCATAGACGAATGTACTTGTCCTGAGACGCAGAAGCAAGCAGGAAGTCACCCTCGTCAATGGTAAAGTCCAGAGATCGGATCCAGTCCTCATGACCCTTCAATGAAGCCTCCAGGGAGAACCTGTCCTCTCCCATAACGTAAATGAACACGAGCTTGGAAGTACCTCCCACAGCTAGAATCTGCTTTCCTTCATAAGAAGTGATACCCAGACACAGAGGCATGAATCGGGGACCTTCCTCAAGTTTCTGGATTAGCTCAAGGTCCTCCTTGACTCGGTACACACACACTGATCCGTCTGAAGACGCAGTAGCCACGATATCCCCACAAACAGCAATGTCACCGACAGCCCGATTGTGGTCTTTCAGAGTCTGACCCACAGTCCAACTGTTACCATGCTTCTTCCACACGAGCACGTGGCCGTCAACGGCTCCCGAAAGCAGCATATCTTTTCCGAATCGCACTGCTGTGACGTTATCAGAATGTCCAGTAAGCAGATTCGAGATGTTCTTGGCTTGCTTGGGCTCCCAGAAGGCGAGAGCTCGACCCACGCCAAACACTAACACGTTGTCTTTGTAGTCGGACGAGTTTCCGTGTATATTTCCTCCTGCTGCAATTAGTTCTGTCATGGTGTTGACTTTCTTTAACCTCGATTTGAGAATTTCAAAAATTCATGTCGGAATTCTTTTAGAGTTTGAGAATGCATTAAGATGCTGGAACGAGAGCTATTGAGTTGAGGTGAACATAATTTTGTAAATTGTGTAAAAAAATCGTGAGAAATATTCAAAAATAAAATAAAAAACAATAAAAAAATCCGAATAAATATAGATATATTTTGTTGTAATTTATAGACGATTTAAGGCCTTTATTACTGCTCTTAGTCTTAAGGCATGTAATATAAGCGTTTGCAAAGAAGCACATTTTTATCAGGTACAGTATGTACATACTGTATGTAGCTACAAGTAGCTACCAGTACATACTCGTAGTTGGTTCACTACTCATATCTTTATACCTGAAAATGATATCATTATGATCGTGGTAATCTCATACATCATCCTACATCAACAATGCAGCGTGATCTGCCCTCTACAAGTATGTACCCGCATCTTCTCTGCTATATTCCATGTTAATCGTGCATTTATTATTTTAGTGGGGCTCGAATTCTCTCGATGTTTGCCCCGAGGACTCGAGTTCGGTCGATTATTCCTCTGTGATTATTAGTTGTTATTGTACCCGGTACAATTAGGCGTCAGTGATACAGCCAGTGGAGGCGTCGGACACAAGCTTGGAGTACTTGTGCAGGGTTCCAGAGGTGTATCGAGGAGCGGGGGGAGTCCACTTGGCCTTTCGCTCAGCCATGGTCTTCTCATCAACAAGCAGGTCGATGATGTTGTTGTCAGCGTCGATGATGATCTCATCGCCGTCCTCAACCAGACCAATGGGACCTCCCTCGTAAGCCTCGGGGACAATGTGACCAATGAGGAAACCATGAGATCCTCCGGAGAATCGTCCGTCGGTCAGCAGAGCAACATCCTTGCCCAGACCGTATCCCATCAGGGCAGAAGAGGGCTTGAGCATCTCGGGCATACCGGGTCCTCCCTTGGGGCCCTCGTATCGAATAATGACACAGGTCTTCTCGCCCTTCTTGATCTCGCCCTTCTCCAGAGCCTCAATGAACAGGTCCTCCTCGTCGAAACATCGGGCGGTACCCTTGAAGAATGTTCCCTCCTTTCCGGTGATCTTTCCGACGGATCCACCGGGAGCAAGGGAGCCCTTAAGAATCTGCAGATGACCAGAGGGCTTGAGGGGAGCGTCAACAGAGGCGAAGATATCCTGCTCCTTGGGGAGAGAGGGGTACTTGGCGACGGTGTCCTTGAGAGACTCTCCGGAACAGGTCATGGGAGAGCCATCAATGAAACCCTGCTCAATGAGCATCTTGATGACGGCGGGGGTTCCACCCCACTTCTGCAGATCGGCCATGACGTGAGCTCCGGAGGGCTTGAAGTCGGCGAGCAGAGGAGTGTTATCGGAGATTCGCTGGAAGTCGTCAATGGTCAAAGGAACGTCGACGGTGTGAGCGATAGCCAGCAGATGGAGAACGGCGTTGGTGGAGCCTCCAGTGGCAATGATGTAAGCAATAGCGTTCTCAAAGGCCTGTCGGGTCATGATATCCTTAGGCTTGAGGTCCATCTCCAGCAGCTTGTTGATGGCAGGTCCCAGAGCCTCACACTCGGCCATCTTCTCCTTGGAGATGGCGGGAGCGGAGGAGGAGCCAGGCAGAGTCATACCAAGCACCTCTGCGGCAGAAGCCATGGTGTTAGCAGTGTACATACCTCCACAGGCTCCCTGACCGGGGCAGGCGTGTCGAATAACATCGGCTCGCTCGGTCTCAGAGATGCCGCCGGCAATGTACTGTCCGTAGGCCTGGAAGGCGGAAACAATATCAATGTCCTCGCCCTTTCGAGTCTCGGCCTTTCCGGGGTGGATGGTTCCTCCGTACAGCATGATGGAGGGTCGGTTGACTCGGCCCATGGCCATGAGAACACCGGGCATGTTCTTGTCACAGCCCGGGATGGAGATGTTGGCGTCGTAGTGCTGGGCCATCATGAGAGTCTCAATGGAGTCAGCAATCATGTCTCGAGATTGCAGAGAATATCGCATACCCTTGGTACCCATAGAAATACCATCAGACACACCAATAGTGTTGAACTGCATGGCCTTGAGGTTGTGCTTCTCGATGCCCTCCTTGACCTTGAAGTTGAGATCAAGCAGGTGCATGTTGCAGGGGTTTCCGGACCACCAGACGGAGGCGACACCAACCTGGGGCTTGCCCAGATCGGCCTCGTTGAAGCCGCAGGCGTACAGCATAGCCTGAGAGGCTCCCTGCGACTTGGGCTCCGTGATGATCTTGGAGAACTTGTTCAAAGTGTGCGCCTTAGTAGCGTAGCTGGGTTAGTAAGAGAGGGGCGTGGAAAGTTGTTTTTTCACTCGTCATGCTTGGAGCCATGGTCGTTTCGTCGTGGCTGCCATTTGCTTCCGTCTCATTTCAGTCACTCACTTTCGTGCTCGAATCATTGTGTAGCTAGACAGCTCAGATCGGTGTCCAAAAAAGTAGATTGTGCAGCACGTTTAGTCACCATTAGGCTTTGGTGAAAATTGGTAATGGTTAAACGTGATTGGACAATGTGCCGATATCGGCGGATGAAAATGATGGATATTCGGCAGATTCGAGACCTGGTAGCCGGAATCGGCTTATTACGGCTCCGTGACCAATATTCCACCCTCATTTACTTGCCACCGCCACTCCAAGGCGTCATTATAGGGGTCCCAGTCCTCTTTAAGTCTCTCAGCCTCCCCCACAACCTTTTGCCTTTTCTGCCCAAGCTCATTTTTTCGCTACAGTACACTGCGGAGTCTGGGGTGCACTACAGCCTCGGTCTAAGATAAGTAGCATATGGGATGTGCGACACTCAGGGAGCCGGTGGAAACTGCAATCCGAATCAGCAGAAGCATCCTCCACAAGTAAACAGGTACACACACAAGTACTGTACCGTATATGCTTCGGCCTGGTGCATCTTCTCATCCGCCTTTTTTATCGTTCGACCCTGAAACTCTGAGTATGAATCGGAAGCCTGGTATCATTCCAGAGTAACGGTCTAACCAGTGACTCTAAACACTAACCACTGCGAGTATTCCAGTACACTGTACGGCTGAAAATGTCGCAAATCGTACATACCAGGGTGCATGCCGGTAACGCAAGAAACGCGGCGACAATAGATGCATCACGGCTCACATTGTCCTTTTCACAATGTCGGTTGCTCAACGTTACCCTGTTGTAATGTGCTGTGTTGTGTGAGTGGTGTGTATTGTAGTTGTGGTGCGAGCCCTCACGTATTTGAACTTGCGGTGGGAACCATGAATGTTGCAGTTGGTATAAATTTTCAGAGCTGGAGCTTGTCTCTTCTAACAAGCTAAACCGCACAGTGAGTACAACCGCACAAGGGACACTATCACTGCTTCTGATGATAAACATACCTTACGATCTTTTCTGACACCAATCTGGAGAAATACCAAAAGCCTTAGAACCGCTACTCTGATATTTGCCGTTTTGATGCCTCTTGCTTGAGAGCTCTACTAACCTAGCCGTGTTGATGGCGACATAGTTACGGGAGGGTAACCCCACTGTTGTTTCTCCATTGAGATGACTGATTCCCTGTTGCAAAGTTGCGCAGGGTGGAGTTGAACTTGACGTTTTCCTCCTTCTATTTATATACTCCAATGAACGGTTTTTGGCAGAGAATGTTATGGTTGGCCATTGTAGTTGTGGGCACACTCGTGCAGTAAAAGTACTGGTTCTATTGTATATTGCGAGCAACTGGAGAATTACGGGCAATTGTGTCTCTAATCTCAGTCTGGTACAAGTACAGGAGGTATTACCAATTCAATCATCAACACTGTCATCAGCTGTCACCTCAATTAACTGAATCGCCATTTTTTCGTGTTTTAGTCTCGGACGTGTGTCACCCAGTGCGTTGGTGCAGCTCCGCTGTAAGTGCAGTTGGCTTTAATGTGCAACTGGTTGGGACATAGGGCGGAAACACGAGCTTCAGAACGCGACACACGATACTCGACACCTGACAACTCAGCCATTGGGAGAGCACCAACAGAAAGTGTTGTCCTTGCACTACTTGTAACGACCTCCTGATAGTTGCGCATATAATCAATCACTCGCACTTCTCCCTGAACCAGCACACACTCGTCGACTACACTCTCATAATGTACAGAAGCTGGAACAACGAAAGCGACGAGGCCAACACCAGCACGTCTTCTGTCCCTCCTTTTGGAGCTACCAACTTCGCAGCTTTCTCGCCTCAAGCATCTGAGAATAATGGCAATTTACCAGATCTGTCGCAGACTGACAAGACTGACAATGACGAGGTCACCGAGCTGATTGTGTCTGATTACAGCTCTCCTGTACACGACACCATGGCCGCAGATACCGTTCCCACGACATCCTCGACAGCCACTTCATCTAACGACAAAATGGATATTGTTGGTTCACCGGATACCACCCAAGAGCCAGCTCTTGTGACGATCCGACGGGAGTCTGTGAACATCACCCGCTACAATGGCGTTGTAATCGAGCAGTCAATTGAGAGCCAAACATTTGTCATGACCGAGCAGGCAGGCGAATCAAGCGATTCTCGAATTGAGGAGATCATTGAATCTACTTCCGAGGACCTACCCAATATGGCAACTCCACCGCAAACGGCAATTCGGCCTGACCTTTTTGCACCCGTCGTTCGAGCTCCTGCTTCAGTCGGTCCCAAGCTCGAGGCTACTAATACCCCCAAGCAACTTCCAGTTCGAATGCCCGGCGCTAACATGCCTTGGGCAACTGCACCTATAATTCTTCCCAACCCACAGATTCTGCGACCACTATCAGAGAACGGAGAAATTCTACCCCGCAAGGCTGTTGTGGTTAGAAAGCCTCACGGAGTCCGACAAGTAGCTCCTGCTGCTGAATCACAAAAAAAGGAAGAACATGCTAGTCAGCCCGAACACAGCCAGTCGCGCTACGTATCCGATTCGGTGCACGTGGACGATATACAGGATCAAGAAGACGCGATCATCACATCAAATGTTGAGTCTGACGCGCCATTGGACTCATCACGGCCCACTGAGCTGAAAAAACCGGAACGCAAAGTGCAGGAGACTGAGAAGGAAGCTGCACAGGAGCCCGTAGCAGCTGAACAGCCTACCAAATCAGAAGTTCCAGAACAGCCTACTACATCAGAGACCCCAGAACAGACCATGGGCCAAAAGGCAAGCACAATGGAAGATCAGGAGGAGAACAAACAGGAAGCGGTGAGTGCCAAAAAGTTTCCCGCCACTGTTAAGGAGGCTGAAGCAGCTGTTGCTGCGAGTCTGAGAGCTGAACGAGCCAAGACGATCGCAAAAGCAATGACGGAGGCAAGGCCTAAGGCCGAAGACGAGGCTGAGCAGTCTAGGAAGGGAAAGGTGGCCGCTGAGAAGACCAAAGCGGAGGAAAAATCTGCTCTGGACAAGAGACATAAGAGGGAAGAGGAAGAACGAGCAGCTGGAAAGAAGCGTACACAGGAGGGACAGGCGGCGCGAGACAAGCGAGTAGCAAAGACCAAGGCTATTGCTCGAGAGAGGCGCGCTCAACCAAAAGAGAAACGGGCTCGCGACAAGGAAACTGAGGAACGACGGGCCGAGGAGAGACTGGCTCGTGAGAAAAACGCCAAGGAGAAACGCATGAAGGAAGAGCAAAAAGCTGCTGCTAAGAATCAGCCTGAGGCAGTGATTTTGATTGATGACAGCGACGACGACGAAGCGGAGGAGCAAGAGGTCCAGGAGGAAGAAGAGGATACTCTGGTTGAGCCTCAGGAAGGTATGGAAGTGGACGGAGACGCAAACGAGGACAGAGACGTGGGGCAAGGCGAAGTGAGAGAACAGACAGAGATTGAGCTCGATGAGAATGGTATTCCTACTGATCCCAAATATGGAGTTGATTTCACAGAGCTGCTACATACCGAGGCATACAAACGCAACATGGAGGCTCATAGGCGGTGGTCGAAGTCAGGGATTTCTCTAAATGTGTTTCTGATTCGGCGAAAGAAGGAAAAACAGCAAAGGCAGAAAAAAAAGGGAAGAGAGGAAACGGAGAATGAAGAGGATGAGGACAAACATCTACCTGCCGAAAACTACTGTGACTTTTCGGAACTGGTCAAGACGAAGCGTTACAGAAAGAACATGGAGGAGGAGGGCTACGTTTTGAATGACGACAACGAGATCATCAAGAGAAGAACAAGAGGCCGCTCCGATGGCAAGACCAAAAAACCCAAGACCAGCCCTGACGCCGGCTACGATAAGACCCTTGCCGCTGAACAGGCGAAGAAGGAGGCGAAGGCAGCTGTGACAAAACGAAACAGACTCACTCGTGCACAGGCACGAGCTCAAAGGAAAGAAATGGTCTCAAACGATGGAGCCAGTACCTCCACAGCTGCTGTCCGTCCTCGTGCCAATGCCAAGCGTAAACCAGTAGCTGAGAAACAACATTTCAGTTCTTCTGAAGAGGATGCGTTGCTATCCATGTCTGAGGAATTCCCTGCTATTATTCCCAATAAAGGTGGAGATGAAGACCTGAAACAGATCAAGAGAACCAAGATTGATGATCCTGAATGTCTTTCTGGAGAGAAACATGACAATGCCAAAGGCAAGTCTGTTGATTATAGCTAATTTATAGGAAATGCATTGTTATTTATCATTTTTTTGGTCTTGTGTGGATCATAATTGTACGTAATTCAGTAAAGTACTTGTATTTTTGGTCTCAATTAATTAAAGCTGTCAAAGTCACTCAAGCCACTATCAATTTAAGCTTTACCGCTTAAACCGACTCCTGCATGATAATGCAGCACATGTGTTCGGTGCATATGTATCGTCACACTTGGTTTCAGTTGTGAGTGATTAATAAAACATTAATGACGCATTTAGCGGACATGAATGAATATAAATGAACGTTGGGGGAGGATTCATATGATCCTTTCAATATAAAGGTTTGTTCTTAATGGATTTGGCTATCCCCAGATGCTGCGTGTGGAATAAGGTTTTGTCTATCAAATTCGTTATGCGGTATCGTGACTCAAGCGATATGACCAACTGTAGCATGCCCAACTGAATTATAGGACTATAATTTTCAATTACGCAACACACCCCAACAAAAAAATCAGAGACAAACACTCGATTTAGCAAGTCTCGATGACACAGACACAATCACAAAATCCAAGTATCGACGCAACCACGTGATACCATACACACACATTACATACCCTGCTCATGTTTGTTGAACAGACCCTCGGCTTGTGTGAATTTGTTTCTGATCTCAAAACCCTTGAGATCCCATTGTGCCTCGTACAATTATACTAATGTCAATTTCACCTCAATCATGTCAATCCACAACAACACCAGCATTTATTAATGACTCAACGTTGTGCAACAGTTGGATCTACTTGTAGTTGTGCAGATATAAGTTGTTTTTTTCAATATGAGCTTTGTTTTGACGAGAAATTATATTACTTTGGGGTTAGAGGTTAAAAAAATTACAGGAGACAGGCAAAAGCACAGACGAATGCAAGAGCGGGGATGGCCATCTTGTTGGCGCTGTTGGCCTGGACGGGAGGAGCAGATCCGGAAGGAGCCTGGGGAGGGTGCTCGGGAGTGTTACTTCCACCAGCCTGGGGAGGCTGGGAAACAACGGGAGACAGCGTGGTGGTTGGGACAGTACCAGCGCCTCCAGAAGGAGAGGGGTTGCCCTCAGTCTGGGCAGGAGCCTCGGGAGAAGGCTTGGGGGCCTCAGGAGTCTCAGGAGTCTCAGGAGTCTCAGGAGTCTCGGGACTCTCGGGAGTCTCGGGAGAAGGCTTGGGGGTCTCGGGAGTCTCAGGAGTCTCGGGACTCTCGGGAGTCTCGGGAGAAGGCTTGGGGGTCTCGGGAGTCTCGGGAGTCTCGGGAGTCTCGGGAGAAGGAGCAGGTGTCTCACCAGTGGGCTGAGGAGTCTCTGGGTTCTCGGGAGAAGGCTTAGGGACCTCGGGAGTCTCAGGAGAAGGAGCAGGAGTTTCTCCGGTGGGTTTAGGAGTCTCTGGGTTCTCGGGAGAAGGCTTAGGGACCTCGGGAGTCTCAGGAGAAGGAGCAGGAGTTTCTCCGGTGGGTTTAGGAGTCTCTGGGTTCTCGGGAGAAGGCTTAGGGACCTCGGGAGTCTCAGGAGAAGGAGCAGGAGTTTCTCCGGTGGGTTTAGGAGTCTCGGGAGTCTCCTTGGTGGTCTCAGGAGAAGGCTGGGGAACGACGGGGGCAGTGGAGGAGGGCTCCTCAACCTCGGAAGAAGGCTTGGGGGCCTCAGAAGAAGGCTCGGGGACCTCAGAAGAAGACTTGGGGACCTCGGAGGTGGGCTGAGAAACAACGGGAGTGGAAGAAGCCTCGACGGGAGTAGAGGAGGGCTTCTCAACCTCAGAAGAAGGCTCGGGGACCTCAGAAGAAGGCTTGGGGACCTCGGAGGTGGGTTGGGGAACAACGGGAGTGGAGGTAGCCTCGACGGGAGTAGAAGGCTCGGGAACCTCAGAGGAAGGCTTGGGGGCCTCGGGAGTGGGCTGAGAAACAACGGGAGTGGAAGAAGCCTCGACGGGAGTAGAGGAGGGCTTCTCAACCTCAGAAGAAGGCTTCTCAACCTCAGAAGAAGGCTTCTCAACCTCAGAAGAAGGCTTGGGGACCTCGGAGGTGGGTTGGGGAACAACGGGAGTGGAAGAAGTCTCAACGGGAGTAGAGGAGGGCTTCTCAACCTCAGAAGAAGGCTCGGGAACCTCAGAGGAAGGCTTGGGGCCCTCGGAAGTGGGCTGAGGAACAACGGGAGTAGAAGAAGCCTCAACGGGAGTAGAGGAGAGCTTTTCAACCTCAGAAGAAGGCTTGGGGACATTGGAGGTGGGCTGGGGAACCTCAGAGCTAGGCTTAACGACCTCAGTTGTCACGTGAGGAACTTCACACTCGGTGCAGGGGACAGTCTTCCAGACGGTAGAGGGAGGTCCACCAGTGGTGCAGGGGACAGTGGTGAACACAGTGGTGTAGATCACGGGAATGGTTCCGTTAACGGGGAAGGAAGGCTTGGGAACCTCAGAAGACTTAGGGGACTCGGAGGTCTTAGGAGTTTCAGAGGATTTGGGATTCACGGAGGACTTGGGGGCCTCGGAAGACTTGGGGGCCTCGGAAGACTTGGGGGCCTCAGAAGACTTGGGGGCCTCAGAAGACTTGGGGGCCTCAGACTGAGGAATCTCGGGAGTCTCGGAAGACTGGGGAACATCGGTGGTAGTGCAGGGGATTGTCTGCCACACAGTAGAAGGAGGGCCACCAGTGGTGCAGGGGATAGTCGTGAAGACAGTGGTGTAATCAGTGGTGTAAACAATACTGACGGGGGTTGTGTTGCTGGGCACCGGCTTGGAATTAACGGGAGTGGTGCTGAGAACGGGCTTGGACTCGACGGGAGTGGATGCTGTGCTGGAAGGAACAGTCTTGGACTCAACGGGAGTAGAAACAGGAGTAGTGCTAGAAGTGACAGGCTTGGACTTCTTGGGAGGAAGAGAAGAAGGGTCGGGAGAAGTCTGAACGGGGACAGAACTAGTGGGCACAGGCTTTGTCTTCTTGGGGGGAGAAGAAGTCTTGATGCTGTTTGTTTTAATCTGGGGAATCAGAGGAACAGTAGAGGTGGCTTTCTGGGGCCGCTCGGGAATGCTGGGAGTGGTGGTCTTGGCCACAACGGAAGTGGTGGTAGTGTCGCAGTCCTCCCAAGGAGAAGGGGGCTTGGGAACAATGGGGGTCTCTTCGCAGTCTGTCTCCCAAGGCCGAGGGGGAGAGGGAGGAGAAGGAGGGAACTCGTCGCAGTCAGTTTCCTGAGGCTTAGGGGGAGAAGGAGGGGGAGGTTGAATAAATCCGTCATCGCAGTCCTCGTCGGACCACTTGCCCTTACCTCCCCATCTGAAGCCAGTGCCGAAAGTGGCGGAGACAGGCATGGAGGCAGCGACAGCCATAATGAGTGTGTTGGAGAACTTCATTGTAGTAGTTCGTTTAAAGAGTGACAAGGGTGGGTGGATATTAGGGTGGCTGATGGGGTATCATAGCAGACCGATGGCGGTCTACTTATATGATCTCGAGCTCTCTCTGCAAGAGCGTTGAGTCTTTGTTTGCCAGGACGCGGCAGCATTCTCGAGGCACATTCCATCGATTCACGGTTCCTATTCTGATAATATTCGCCTTGACTTTTTATTTTCTGGCCAGCTTGAAACTGTCACCGTCATCTTCTGAGTTTTGCAGGGATGCAGTTTGCTAGACAAGCGAGAGACGTGTTGTGACGCATCTTTTTTCGTGTCTTGATTTATTCAAAGACGTTAAACCTTGAGTTGAAAAATAATAATTGCGCCGCCGCTATGGGCTCTTGGTGCTTGAACTTTGCTCGGGTTTTCTTAACTACATAATATCAATTACGCGAGGGGCGAATAGGGGTAGTTAAGTGGCGTGACCTCAAGAGATGACGTCGCTACTATATCGTACTATCAAAAACGGGGGTTTGGGTTGCAGTAGTGTACCAAGGGAGTAGTCAACCTGATAGCGTGATGATCAGCTTGCGCAAATGAAACACGAGCGATGACCGTCAGATATTCGCGATCGATAGCTTTCACATGTGCTGTGAGATGATTACAGACAGTATCCGCGGAGACACTTCACCAAAGAGGATAATTTGTGACCACGGCAGGTAGAGTTAATGCATGCACAGACGTTAGGTTCCGTGTTGCAAGACATGATGGTCTCTGGAGATGCACAGAAATGAGGTCACGCCCTTGTTAGCTCACTTGAGTTACCCTGGCTGCTTGTTTCATCGTGTTTATTTCGACGTGATTATTATATCGCGACGTTGACTGCACCGTGAGCAGGTACTGTACCGCACATTTGATTAGCTGCCGTATCCTGCTGTATGACTTGGTGCCATACTGTAGTTCTAACATGCAGGGCTATTATGACACCCTGGGGAAGTCGATCTCCACGTCTGATGGGGGGTTATGATAAGTCGATACTGTAGATCTATGACTGGGGGCCCTGTAGCCCAACCGTCTGCTCTCTAGGGCTTCTGGACCCCCTGCTGCTTTCCCGCAGTCTCCCAGGGCCGATCCCCTGTTCCCGCCCTGTGATTAGGTTCCTTCAACCTTAGGGGTTAGTTACTTGAAAAAAAGAAATTCCCCGTCTGATGAGCTGTGCGTACGGAAAGCAGGAAACTGCAAATCCAATTTGCACGGATTTGGAGATATTGGCTTGCCGTGTGTCATTTTGCGGTCTCATCTGTGTGGAGTGTTCTATTTTCAGTATCTCCTCTCCGGTCTTGCCTCACCTTTTAGATTATGATCTACACTTAAAGGTTGGGCTCGTTATGCTAGGATGTGCACTCGTATGATAGAGTTTGGCAACACCTCCGGGGGGAGGGGGGGTGTTCCCCAGTCCCCTGTACTACAGGGAGGTGAGTGGAAACCCCTTGTGGTGGGCGATTTTGTTTGAGAAAAGCAATTAAGGAAGAGCTCGGCGTGAAAAAAATATAGCCTGAGTTGCATAAATACGGTTCACGCGACTGTCGATCTTCCACACGGGAACATGCTCCGTTGACAGGGCACCCTGAAAGATCTCGCCTCCTGCGACTAGCAAGAGCGGCATGAAATTATTTTTAGAAATCATGGACCCCGAAGCGCCCTCCTGTGCGTATTATTACCTGCTCCACTTGTGTCCGTCATTGTTAGGGGCCTGGCCCGGCAGGGATCTGATAGCGCAGCGGGTGAAACCAACCTTGTGTTTCAGAATCATCCACTCTCCTGAAAACTACTGTTGTACGCAAAAACAGTGCATTTACTGCAATGGAGAGCTTCACTCTCGTTGGGGTAAAGTCAATTGGTGGGAATACTCAAAGTATTTGTCTCTGCTTTTTGCATTCCTAGGCGGTACTCGCTGTATCTGAAGCAGCCCCCGTAGCTACAGTAGCTTAAACGGCACGGATACAGCATGTAGGGCGAGTATGACTGTAATTGTTGCTTGGTATACAGTTAAGTCTTGGTATGGGGTTTATGTATTCTGGTTATCAGAGTAAAGGCCCGTTTTTTGTTCCTTTTTCATGCAGATTGCTAACACCCGTCTGTTCTAGTTGTACACCCATAATGGCATTCTCATAGGTTGTTGTACAGGATCCCGTGGCTTCGGTTCACTCAAAAGTGGGCGCAAAATAAATGACAAAAATCTACCAGGGGCTCTTTAAAGGGTCAAAACAAATATATTACCAACTATTCGACATTATCTGGCTGTCAGGACCGATTTGGCTGTCAAACGCGCCTCGCATGTGCTGAACAGGAACGCCCACGATACATTCCCGAAAGAGCAGGGTGGAACGAGTGCAGAAACTAATTGCTTTTCTCTGACACATATGTTTTGAGCTCCTCTAGAGTTACAGTACCGGGTCTGTCTCTCCTATCCGTTGCTATTTTGGGGACTGGACACTTTTCAAACAAAGAGGGCGTCTAATGAAACTCGCCGTACAGAAGGGGAAGCACAGTAAACAAGAGCAGGAGGTATAAACGTTGAAAACGCAAAAATAGAAGACACAATCTGGATAGATAATATCTCTCCACCACTAATATCCAGCTAATTGGCACTCTATCTGACTCTATACACATCAAATTATCTATTTAGGTTGTCTAGGCCGTAGGGGTGGGGATTATAAGAGTCTTGTCTCCGTTGATCACGTCTGCCACGTCCTGAGGTCGCTTCTTTTTGAGACCATAAATGGAGCCAAGCTCCAGATGCCAGACGTCGCGCGATTTGAGGAACACCAGCCGGATCTTGGCCGTGGGAATAAGAGTGGCCAGGGGCTCTTCATCGATACCAAGCTCATCAAACATCAGAGTAGACCTATCCCAGACAGCTGTAGCCTTAACTTGGTTCCTGGGAACACTATGGACTGTGTGGCGGGTTTTCTCATCAAGTATTATGATGCTGTCGTTGCAAATTACCAATCGGAGATGCGTGGCACAGTGGTGAGACAACATGTCGTCCCCGGCATAAAGCTGTTTGACTTGCAGACTGTCAACAACGGACGAAGTGGGGCTTGCGTACTTAAAGCCCTGGTCCAGGTTCTTGATACGCGTGGCGTAATGGTTGTATACAACCGCGTCACCCTCACCCTTGTGCTTAGCAGACTCAAACAGCGTCTTCTTCTCGAGGACTGCAAGAAAGTCAAACTCGTAAGTTCTGTGGGGTTCAATAATGGGCGCCGAGTGTCCATAATCTCGCTGGAAGCAGTAAAGCAAGTAGTTGCCCTCGGCCTTCTTGACGACAATGTCCAGATCAGCAACAAACTTGGTCCACAGCTCAGCACACTCGGTCAGGAAGGGGTCTCCAAATCTAGACATTTGGGTTAGTAGTTCTTTGACTTCCTGAATATGTTGGCGGGGTAGCCGCATGTAGTCAGACAGCCGGGCCATTGAATGGTTGGGTCGTTTCTGGCATATCTTCATCCAGTCCGCACACATATATGAGGCGGCAGTCACCTGGGCAACAGTCTCTCGCTTGGCAGCTTTCTGGTTCTTGGCCTCGTTCACGGTGACAGGCCGTCCAACTCCCATGGACCCAAAAGAAACAGCATTGATGGAGCTCATGGGTTTGGCCTCCTTGAGATAGGCAAAGTTCTCCTCCCACTTCAATACTCGAGCATAGATGGTGGGGTAGTTGCTTCCGAAGGAGGAGTAGAAGGCGTAAATGGACTCCTTCTTCTTGAAGACTTTGAGAAGCGGCTCGAAGTTGCTGTCTTTGTTGTTGAGGTACCGAGAGTAAGCCTTTTCGATACCGGGGAACATGGTGTCCTTGTGAATTTTATGCAGAGGGAGCAGGTCTCTAAATGTTGCTTTGGCCGCCTGCGGCTTGCCTTTTCCAGAGGCATTGACGTAGATCTGTATAAACTGGGTTAGTGGGGAAGGATTTTGCAGTCCTTCCTTTCCATTCTGTAAGACTAAGAAATACTGCTCTTCAGTTCTCATCAAGAATACTCACATCACATAGTTCGGTCATGTGTTGCACGTAGGTGAACTCGAGGTTCACCAGTTGTTCATAGAGGTCCAGCACTTTTTGTCGTGAGATTTCTGCCGCTCCAAATTGGATCAGAGAGGTGTTTGTGGGATTTAGCTCCTGGCTATAAACTGAAATGGGCTCTCTGATGTCAGGTAGCAGATCCAAAGTTGTCGATTCCCAAATATCTCGAAACAGATCTATCAGAACGTTGGTCTTAGCAATGTCGACAGGCTTGACCATCGAAGCAGAGGACCCTGCTGACTCCACGGAGTCACAGTATGTTCTCGAGCCCTGAGACGACCCGGCAGAGGCCATGGATGCAGAAGAGAAGGTGTTTCCAATTGGTGGATCTGGTGTCAGAGAGGTGAGGAAATCGTCATCATCGTCCGAAGATGGTGGACTGAGCGTCTCAAGATTAAAGGTCGAATGTCGCTTTTTTCGAAACGACTTGAAGATGTTCTTGCTGGTTCTGGACTGCTGTTGGTGCTGCTCTGACTCTGAGGAAGACGAAATAGTGCCAACAAGTCGCGTAGAGTAGGAGTTAGGAGCCTTCTTCTTGGGTAGGGCCAAAGCTCGAGCAATTGCTGCATTAAATCTTTCTGCAAATTGCTTGTTTCGTTTCATCCACTTGTCCAGACACGGATTATCGTCCAAATTGACAACCAGCAGACTATCGGAGAGTCTGGCAAGATGATCTGGGAAAATGGTGATGATGTTGGAGCGGATATCGAGCACCTTGAGGTTCACCAGGGAGGAAGAGACCCATGCGTCGATCACCTTGAGACCCATTTTTGGCGCCATGAGATATTGAAGTGATCTGCATTCCTGAAGCCATTGGGGTAGTCGGCCAGTCTGTTCCACATGTTTTTTCGCCTGAGGCAAGTTGTATAGATCAATGTAGACAATCTCGGACAGTGGTTGCAGACCCAAAGAGGATTGTGATGTGGGTGAGCCAATTGGCTTGAACACGGGCTTCACTTTGGAGAGTGGTGACTGCGGGTTAGAGGGTGGCGAGAGAGGTTTGGTCTGGAACTCGTTGGCCGACTGTGACTTTGTCTGAAACTCACGAGCCGACAGCGACTTAATATGAAGTCCGTGAGTCGACAGCGACTTCGAGTCGAATGCCAGAGCCTCTGGAGCCACGGAGGGCATCGGTACCAGTGGCAGTTGTGGTTTCTCGCCGTCCACGAAGTGTTCTTTCAAGTACCGGTCATCAAAAGGCAGTGAGCTGAGAGACACCGATCGGGTGTCACTGGTGATGTATCTACGGCTGGGGTTTTTAGACCGAGGAGAGCCCATTTCGTGTTCCAGGTCGGCCAGCGACGGATTGGGCAAAGTCATGGTGATGACGGGTGGAGTGCTGGGCTCGTGTTGCATGGTTGGAGAGTTGCCCACCCTCGGGAGCCATGTCTTTGGATATATAGTCTAGGTCCATCATTTTCTTTTGAACGTCTCTTCTTTGTGTGGGATAAGCTTCATGGCACTGGCGTAGCAGAATCGTGTGAGAGTTAATCTACGAGGGGGATTGAAGACAGTTCCGGGATCATCACGTAGATCGGGCGGAGTGGGGTGGTTGGCCGGGGATAAGTAAACGTGGTAGGTCAAGGTGTGGGTAGAGGGGTGAAGGCAACGACAAGACACGACAGAGACAGCGGACAAACAGGGGACATACACTTAACCACCGACAGACACGTGAAACTCCTAAAAGGGTCAATAAATGAAACCTCTATTCTTCGCCATCAACACGTAGGCCGGACTGCAGTAGCTAGTGCTGTTTAGAATTTTACCTCGGTGGGTGGCTTGTTGTCTTTACCGGCGCCTTGCCTTTCTTTCGTACCAGCTGGAAGAGGGCAATGTTTAGGCACCAGCAACATGGCGCCCCCGGCGTCTTTCGCATACGGCATACACAGCCTTGTTGGACGACTTCAACCGGCAAAACACCACCTGTTGATTTCCCCCAACCGCCGCCCATCTATGGAGCTATGGAGGTCCCGTGCCAAAATGTTTTGTTAAACGTCGAAATAGGGGGAACGTTTTGTTAGCGTGAGCACCAATAGAGCGCGTCTGTCTCTATCCACCCAACCGACTTTTAGAGTTGGGCCAACGGTAAATTAACCAAAGTAGGCAAGATGCGAGGTGAGATGGAGGTTGGTGGTTGCCTCAAAAGCAACGACTTTGGCAGTACAAGAATGACTCAGATACGTCTTTGTGGGGTCGAAAGACAGACAGACTCTTCTCAACCAGCCTGCTTTACCAGCAAGATCAGGTAATTGAGCCTCTCTCGGAGTTTTTTCAAATTTCAAATTCATTTTTCACTAGCGCGTGCACGCGGCCTAAAGCTTGGTAGTGGTTGTACCTTGATCAGTGCAGATACGGGGTGCTTAGCTCCTAATGTGCCGTGCCAATGTCCTCCACAAAGTTAACACCGAAGACACATGGAGAAACGACGCCTACACCTCAAACACTCCACAGTAAGACCGAGACCGACAAACCATCATTATTTCCGTACCTCGCCTGGCTCGGATCGGAGTCACGTGACCCAACTGGAAAAACATGGCCTCTAACGGTCAGGATGAGCACCGCTTGTTCGTTGAAACTCTGGTCTGTTGATCGTCTGTCTCTGCCCGTGTAGAGTTCTGATTTGCCAAACCTACGCTTGGTGACGGACGTACCACACTATTTTGACTCCGTCTTGTCTGCAATCTGTCGCACGTGCGTGGAAATTGGTGCAGACCGCGAGTGTGATTGGCGAGTGCTCATTAGTACTCATGCGAATGTCACTGAGCGACTTTTTAGCCCCATAATATTTTCCAATGTGGGGGGACCCTCAACACTTGGGTTGAAGACTTGTGGGTGTACAGTACACTTGTATCGTCCTACACCCACAAGTGTGCTGTCGTTTCGGTCATAAATTACGTCTAAAGAAAGTACATGCGGAGTTGCTGGATGCCATTACCTGAGACCCGATGGCGCTATCGCTCGTCATCGACAGGCGCAATGTCTCCCAACTCCAGATCGGGCTCGGGATCGGGGCCCACCGCAATGGCCGAGTCGTCCACTGGCTGGTATCGTGCCAAACGAGCTCGGGTAAGCATACCTGCGTTAGTAAATGCAATGGTTGTGCTAAAAACAAGGAGCCAGAAGCCAAGGGGCCAGAAAAAGCAAACCGGAATGATTCAAGGGTATAGAGACGCCACGGCAATATGACCAATGTTTTCTAATTGGTGTTAGAGAAGCCTTGTGTCGACACAATTCCACATAGTGTTTATCATGTTCCGCTGCTGCCATCTGGCTCACTTTATGGCCATGGAGATAACACTTCCAAAGAACAGATTGTCCAAAGTGCCGTGCGGGTGACAGTGCCACATGCAAGACAGGTTATGTTGAGTCAGTCCCTTGTTACATCCGCAAGAGTCTCACTCGCACATAAATAATTCCCGAAATGAACACATTTGTATGTGTCAGAGAAAAGCAATTCAGTGTCAGCAGTAGACCATCACATGCAGCGGATGAATACAATGGGTATGGTTAGGCGAATGGACAGACTGGTATTATCGAGGGTGGAGACATCCAGGACCATTCGGTCAGTACCATAAGTCTCTTGCAGCCCAAGCACAGGCTCTTGCTGTAGATCACCCTCGTGGTATTATAGTAAAGCGGAGATTGTAACATTGACATACAGTGGCAGTGAATGATCAAACACATCACAGTTCTGACCCACGTAACTCTGAGATTGTAAACGGTCGTTTACTGTAGGTAGAAACATCAACACTGCACACCACACGTAGTCAAAGCCATACCAATCAGTCACGCCAACTCAAACCCTCTATCCTAACAACCTCGTTGCAACGTCCTCAAACCCCATCAAACGACCAAATCCCCCTCAAAAGCCACTCATACTCACGCTGATGATAAAGAGCACATAGCACAACAGCCAAAAGCGATCCTGCTACGTTGAACTGTGTTAGTCGTTTTGAAGTACTCTGAGAGAGTCACACTGTCAAAGAATTTGCCTTTCTCATGTGTGCTTCGCTTCACTCACCAAAATGTCCATCGGGTCAAACGTCCTATGGGGGAACAATGTCTGGGCAAATTCACTGCCAACGCCTCCAAACAGCGTACACACCAGTATACTGGCGTTGATGCATCGTCGCCGCGAGGTGTCCAGAATCCAGTAGAAAACCAGCGTGAGGATGAAGAAGGTCGTAAAGTGGACTGCTTTATCGTACTGGATGTGGATTTTGGCGAAACCCAGGTAAGCCGAAATGGCGCATAGCACCAAGAAAGCTGTGTTAGCGTGCCAATTGAGGGCTGTGTGGGTCACTGGAACGGCTCACTTACCTGCAACAAAGGCTTTTCGGATCTTCATAAAGGTGGTTTGGCGATGATGGAGAGATAATGCAGTAGGGTAAGGTGTGGTGATATGGAGGCACAGAAGACGAGCGGGCGGAGAAAGTTTAATTTGGGTGGTGTACAACTCAGGGAGGAGGTGGGGTCCAAATGAATGAGTGCGAGAAAAATATGTCATTGTGTGCCGTCTGATTACATAAGCGACTTTTTAGACTGAGAATACCGCTGCCCTCCGCTATAATTATAGCTGTTATTTTGCGTCTAGGTAGTCCTCTACAGTCGCACCTCCGCATGAGCGGCACACATGAGCGGGATCGTATAAATATCTTGGGCAAGGATCACAACCTGCACGGAAGCCGAAATTGTGTAGTTTTGTACGATACTGGGTGAATTGTTGGGTACATATTATGTGGTAGTGGGTCACCGTGACGGTGCCTTGCCACCATTCAAGGGAACTGTGTGTTCATTATTGTATGAGGCAAGCCGAGGTCTCAGGAACACTCCGAATAAGTTGATTGGGGTGACTACTGAGTATGTATGTACTGTACATACTGTACGATACTCGTAGCGAACAGTAGCTAGTCAGTAGTTAGTCAGTAGCTAGTTACATCCAATTACCACAAATGTAGGTCACAGAAGTTCTTGACACATAATAAAGCAATCAACTGCATGTAACACGTCATTCAAGATACCAAAAATATCGATTCAAGCGTCCAGTCAGTATCATAGATATCACTTGACGCATGGTGCGGAAGTCACGGGCAAAACGCAATCCCCTACTTGTAGGTAAGACATGACAAACCGGCTGTTTTTGGATAGAATTTTCGTCAGAGTGCAGTTTCAGTCCGATTGCTACTGCCAACCTATTTTCCTTCTCTCAAAGCTGCTCAAATGCTGCTCTGAGGCTCCTGTCTTCTCCGGTCAAAAAACAGGGCTGGCCCAAACCGTCCCATTCAATTAGCGTTACGAGTCTAGACTGCGGGCGACGCATGGGGATATTTTGTAGAAGGGTGTGTGACGTCGATTGACAAGAGCGTTTCTATTCTTGAAGAAGCTGCAAATAATATAATATCGCAGCAAGCAACCCACGCCACGGTGGAACGTGTCAGAAGATTATGTGAGCGTGAGCTTTGGGGAGCAGGGGCAACGTGTTGATCGTCGGTCCTGGCCTATCGTCATGGTGTGGTTGTGTCTCCAGTGTTGTGTAAAAGTACATACTGTATGTATGTTTTGTCTCGTTCCGGATCTTCTCTGCTACTTGTAGGTAGAGTGTACTCCTACAGTATTGTAGGATTTTGTCACCAACTATCGCGTTTGCCCCATTGACTCATGCCAATATATGCACTCAGACTCCGCTTCCGTCCAAGGGTTTGCTTCTATTTTCTTCTCCCCTCCTTCGCTGCCTTGCGAGCTGCGGCTGTTGAATATTATGTCCTTCTGCGATGGTATTCCAGAGTCGGTCTTACAGTAGCGGGGAAGGCGGCAATGTGACACTGAAGAGAGTATCGATAGGACCGGTAGAGCGGGTAGAGTAGGGGCTCTGTCGAAAGCCACTTCAGAGCATGATTATTTGCGGGTGGTAGCCTAGCCTCGTATTGAGAGTGTCTAAGGTGGCCTTCTAAGGCCATTGTGTTTTTCATGGTCCGGATTCATGGGTGAGTACATAAGTGTGGGGAAGTGAAAAACGATCACCAGTCAATCACCGTCAATCGCTCGTCGCATTGGGCAAATCCAGATCCTCTCCCACCCCAATCTTGTCATTCTTTGACGTTTGCGCATTCCTATCGCTTCCAATCCCGGTGCTACCCTGAGCAACCACATGTGGCATGTATCTCACTATCCCATTAATCCACTTTGGGACGAGCAATTGCCAAAAAGAGGTGCGTCCCTCAAGTGTGAAACTGAAACACCGTGTAGACCGAGCAAGAGCTTTTAGACAGTCAGAAGCTCCCCTGGCCACCCTGAGCCCGCGTAGACCACAAACATCAGCTGGAGCCGTCCATATGACTGCCACTACTGCCTCACGCCCTCCGCAAACAAAATATTTTTAGGGACTTGCCTCACGCTGTTTCATGGGGCTTTAAGGAGCTCTTCAGTTGTCCCAACTAAAGTATAGGAGTATCAGGGCAGCCTTAGTTCATGCACCACCAAGCTTTATCAGCGCACCCACAGAGATAGAAGAGCGGTATCAGTGAACCAATGAAAAACCGTAGATAGCGCCCCAAAAGGCACAAACACAAGACGAGAGCTAGGCTCCCTCGGTCACATATACAAGCCCCATATTTCATATCCACTGCAAACCTGCCCCATCGTCCATTCATCCAGACTACGTTGAGGTTGCCCCTGATTAGCTTTGGTCCAAGGGGCAGACGGACAAAGACTGCGGGGTGGAATATTATCAGCTTCTTTGAGGCCTTGTGGCAAGATATTTTTTGGGCCTGGTATCGAAAATGCCACTACAAATACATATAGCCGGCCCAGGATTGTGGCCTTTCTCTTAGCATCAACTCATGACAACCTTCTATCTCGGCTACTCCAAAAAGTCCATCACCAGCAACTCGTCGTCCGTCATCTCATCTGTGTACAACTCGTCCGACGAGTTTCAAGATGCTGAGCGCGCCTGGGATCCAACCGACCACCTAGTCAACGTCGTGACGCGTCGAGGAGACCCCCGAGACAGAGCTGCTCCCACAACTCCGGTTCTTAGTCGTAGTACTAGTGCGGTCGATGCTGCGGATGCTGCAGCTGCAACCATCAAGGCTCTAGACACATCCAAGTGTGCAGTGTTACCCTCGGATCAGGTCGCTGATCGAGCTCCTCCCCGAACTCGGGCTCCTCACCACATCTCTCTCCCTTGCAGTAACACCTTCATGGCTCACGGGCTACCTACCTGTGACGATCTAGAGATGACCAAGGAGTTTGATTTCGCTGCCAAGCCTGCATCCACGCAAAAAAACTTGCCCAAGGCACCTCTCGATTTTCTCGTTCAACGGCCTCCTTCTCCCCCTTATTCTCATGTTTCTGTGCCCCAGAATTCTCCTTTGAGCGGTACGGGGACGCCTTCCACTCATGGAGTTCTCAAGACCCATGATCCTGTGGCTCTGGATGAAATGCTAGAGTCTTCTTTTGCATCACACGCAGAAGATGACGAAGAAATGGCGGCGTTTCTGGACGACGAAGATGACTACCCTGCTTCGAATGAGGAAGACGACGAGGAAGAGGATGCAAAAGACACATTCTACATCTGCTCAGAGACCATCAAAGCTGCGCACGAGTCTGTTCTTGATCTCAGAGCTTTGTTGGAAGACAAATTCTCTCTTATTCCTGGGGAAAGTGTCGAGAGTCTGGAGAAACGAGCTCTCAGAATGGTCCATCTCGAAGAATCGTTCAGTGTTCAAGACAGCTTTGAGCCCCGCACTTTGCTGGCCGACCAGAATAGAGCCTTTATTCCCTGGAAGCCGGTAATTGAAGACCTCGAGCTCTACTTCGAGATGCGGTATCCCGATCTTCCCAAAGGAAGCAATCGGTACGAGTTCCACCGAGCTCGGCTGGTACGAAACCGAACCCGACTGCGAATTCTAGCCCAGTACGTGGCTGATCTGGAGGAGAAGAGCCGGAATCTCTGTCGGCTGTCTCGCAGCTTTTGAATTGGTGGCGCGAAGAGGTCAAACATGGCTTGGTGGCTCTGACCCACTGATAGCCAACATATTTATTGCTAATCAGATTGTAGTTTCATATAATCAAATAGAGAAAGAATGAAGAAGTAAATATTTACAACTGATGTATCGTTGGAAGAGCAAGGACCTTTGTAACTTGTTCATAAGGCCACTGCCACTGGGCAGAATACAATCTTCATCAACACTTATTGACACTGATCTACTTGAATGATATCACAGAAACACTTTGACGCTTTAGGAACCCGCCGGAAAGGATTCCAAATGCAAACTCCACAAAGGAAACATTATCCTGGATTATGCTCTGTAGCGGTTCGAAATTACGACACATTATTACAAGGGTTTTTTTTTTTTTTTTTTTTTTTTTTTGACAAGACCGACAAGTTGTCAAATGGGGGCTTGTGGGAAAGGGGGAAAGTATTATATATTAATATTTTGGGTCTTTTGAGTGTTCCGGAAGTGTGCAGAAATAAAAAAAGAGTGGACAGGAGTCGTCCATGCTGAAACTTGTTGTGAGACAATGGTCCAACCAAATATGAACCAGAGACGGCTTGCTCATTCAGTCATGGTGCTTACTTGGTCTTAGTAGTAGAAACGGGCTGATTAAGCTTGGCAATATCTCTGAGCTTTCGATGGGGCAGCTTCTTGGAGATGCTCTTTGATCGATACAGCAGCACCAGACCGACAGTGACCCAAATGGCATGCCAGCCTCCAAACCACCAGTTGACGTAGATCTCAAACAGGACGAAGAAGGGCACGTGAGCAAAGATCAGGAAGACGTTGTCGTTGTTGTCGAGCTGAGAGGCTGAGAAGCAGTACAGCAGTAGCTGGGCGAAGGCAACGGTGGGCATCAGGTTGTGTTCATCTCTGGAGAAGACGGCACAGAAGAAACCGCAGAGGAATGAAACAGAGATGGAGATCAGGCCCCAGAATTGCAGGTTCTCGGACTTTTTTCGCTGCGCAAGCACTTGATCGGAGTCGGCCATTGTGTGTTGTGTCCTGGAGTGCGGTGGTGAAAAGTGTCGATGGCTGGAAATCAAATCTATGCATGCAGCATGCACGCCAACTACAAAATAAGCAGAATAGGCGCACCACGTGGGAATAGTCACGTGCGTGATTTATGAAACTAATTGAGGTATTTACGGGGTTTAAGTGATATCTTAATGCTTTTAACGAGCACTGTTGCCCATGAGTACCGGTATTGTCCCTGGATGTTCCCTTGGGTGGGTATATTTTTAGTGCCACTAAAATTGCGTGCATTGTCACATATTGGAAGTACAAGCAGAAAGGGATACAAAAGAGTGGTCCAAAATATTGCACACTAGTCATACAGATTTTAGTGCGATACCGTATAGACGACAAAAGGGAATTTACAGATGGAAGAGCAGCAATAAAGTGAACGACGACGTGAATATGACTTATCACTGACTTTTTTTATATTTTTGAGTGCAAGGCGATCGATCTTCAAACATGTTGGTCTGATGCCAACCATCATTGTTTGGGGGACCCGAATACGAAGGCTTGTAGCTGGGAGTTTGGAGGGTTTAAAACGGGCCAAGGCACGGGAATACCTGCACGCTACATCGCCGTTGAGGTTTGGACGTTTCCTAGAGGTTAGTCGGTTGTTAGCTCGGTTATTGGTGGGTTATTTAGCATGTGCTAAATACTTAGAGTGTAAACCAAATAGTTGATCTGTTAAGTAACAAGTCCGGGATTGAAGAATAAGGCTAAAATGGCAGTGCAACAACCAATTGAATTCTAGCTGAAAGTCCGATAAGGAAAAGTGAACGCCGTGTTTCGTATATTGGGCCTTGTCATCAGAAACAACGTCAATAATTTTGTCCTATGGAGTCCTTATACGACTGCGCAATCAAGTACAAGTACACACCTGTACATGGCGTCTCGTGCATATGCGAGATTATGTCATTGATAGGAGGAGTGCTATGAAGTGACTATAATGAGAGATAAACAATAACTGCTTTTTTGCGGATCAGTCGCGGAGAAAGATGTACACCTTTTCTTAACCATCCCTTTTTATGCTTTAGTCGTTGCCACTCTACACCCACATTCTCCGTGATCACTGCTTACCTATTGGCTCCACACAACGCACGAACCCAATTCGGCAGCCTATGCTTGAAACACGCAACTGAGCTTTGGGCAGAGGATTGCAAGCAAGTAGAGCGTGTGAGAAAACTCGTCCTTTTCCAAACGACACAAATCAGCCAAAAGGACACGTTCCACTAAACTACCAATGTCACAAGCAACATTCGCGAAGGAGCTGACGGCCAAATTCGCGCAATTATGGACCGAAAAAACCAAACGGCCCTTGCCTCCCGTCAATCAAGCCATGATGCAGAGGCTTAGACAGGGCCAGCGCCAATCCGGGCCCAATGAGGTGTTCAGCCGAGTCTCTGCGCTCTTCAGAGACCTCTCATTGATTCCGCAGTCGTTTGAAAACGCAGAATTGCAAGATATGGCCATGGAGATATTGCCACTGGATCGTCTGTATTCTGTGGCAGAGGAGAGAGCGGAAGAGGAGGGAGAGCGGGACAATTGGGGACTCCAGGACTACCTGATCATGGAGCTGCTTAGATGGTTCAAGCAGGACTACTTCACATGGGTCAATAGTCCTCCGTGTGAGACATGTGGAGAGAATGGAAACGTGCAGTTTGTAAGAAGGGAGAACTCGACGCCCGAAGAACAAAAGTACGATGCCAGTGGAACGGAGGTGCACCAATGCTCTAATTGTAACACGGAAATTCGATTCCCCAGGTACAATGACCTTTCCAAGTTGATGGAGACTCGAAGAGGTCGGTGTGGAGAGTGGGCAAAGTGTTTCGCATTTTTTTGTCGAGCCCTGGGACTGCGCACACGATATATTTGGAACGCGGAGGATCACGTGTGGTCGGAGGTCTATTCCGAGCGTCGAAAGGAATGGATTCATACCGACTCTTGTGAGGAGGCATGGAACAGTCCAACCATTTATTCTCAGGGCTGGGGCAAGAAGATGTCGTACGTTGTTGGATTTAGTGGAGATGGGGTGACTGATGTCACTAGAAGATATGTGCGAAAGGCAGACCAGCAACTACCTCGAACCATGGTTCCTGACGAGCAGTTCAAAACGATTCTCAACTCGATAACGTCAGATATCCGACAGAATCTCTCTCCGTCAGAGAAAGAAGAGTTGAAGCGGGAAGATGAAGCGGAGGAGAGAGAGCTTGCCAGCTACAATGCTGATGAGCCTCAAGAGGCACAAATGCCCAGACAGAGTGGAAGCGTGGAGTGGACGAAAGCTAGAGGTGAAGGAGGCTCAGACGATTAGAGAAGGATTGTGTTTGATATAACAGAAAAGAGACCCGGAACAGATAAACTGAATGTCGCATATGAATGTGTTTAAAAAAACCCATACATACTACTGGTACAGTATGTACATACAGTAGCTACGATACTTGTAGCAAGTCTTTCCTTTTTCTGACATCTAAAAAGCTGCATAATCGACGTGCCATCACGTGACCGTAGATGTATTTGGTCTATCCATCATTACTGGAGTCACCTGTCTCATCAACCAATTTCAGCTTCCAAACGAGCAATAGCAAACTGACTATCTGGTGCGGTTGCGCTACAGTATAAATATGGAGACTGATCTTGATTAAATTTTCACCTTGAACGGCACAAAACGTCTACTATGTTTAGAAGAGCGAACTGAGTATCCACAATTGATTCTCTTTAGTTGACCTTCAAACCGTGAGATTAGGAGGCTCTTGGTCAGTGAACCAATACGTATCGGTCACGTGATATAGTCAATCACCTCGCTCGTGTCTTTTCTTGTCTGACGCGTCACCAAACACGTTCTCCACGTTCCCCACGTCGCACTTTTTTTATCACGATTAAGACATGTAACACATCCTGATAAGTGGAACTCTAATATGGTGGCGTTAAAGGGGGCTAAATGAGGTGAGTATAGAAGTTTCTGGGGTCGGTTATATTGAATAAGACTCAATTGGCAAACCTTCAGGTAGCATTTTGTATTTCTACTGCGAAGCGGTTCATTAAGTCGTTCTACAGACATATATCTTAGTTCCCTTTGGTCTTACAGTTACAGCATGAGCTGTAACCTGCATGCCCCACAATAGCAAGCCAAGTGATACTACCAGAGAGCTTAGGGTTGCTGATGGCCAAAGTAAATGTGTTGGTAGATTATTGAATCGGGTTCTTTCTTCTCTTTCTCGGGCCACCGCTCGTCTTCTCGCTGTTTGTACAATCTGTACATGGATCTACTTGTAGCTACATTCGGACATGTTCCAGTACATACAGCACCACCTTACCTAACTAAGACGACTTCCCCAACCTCCCAAACCTAAACTTTCGGCAGACCATCTGCATACAGCAACCACCAACAGTCTAAAGCACATCACCAACATGTTACTGACGAGCTGGGTTTCGGGGTTGCTGGCCATATCCGCCTTGGCCGACGCTCTCACCGACTCGCTGGAGACCGGGTACTCCAAACGACTAGTTCCCCCCGGACGAGGAGGCAAAAAACCCACCAAACCGGGCCAACCAGGCAAACGGCCAGACGAGTGTCCTCCGTGCTTCAACTGCTTGTTACCGGACTTTCCATGCCAGCAATTTGCCTCATGTGACCAGGCAAACGGCCGGTGCCACTGCCCTGAGGGATTCACCGGAGAGAACTGCGCTCAACCGGTATGTGGAGGCCTGGGAGAGCTCAATCGACCGGGTCGAATGGAAAACACTACCTGCGAATGCTCCGAGGGCTGGGAGGGTATTAACTGCAATCTGTGCAACCAGGACTCGGCCTGTAACAGATTCTTCCCAAAGGGCGTCAACGGAACATGCTACACTGGAGGAATACTGGTGAGAGAGAACCACCAGATGTGCGACGTGACTAACGTCAAGATTGTGGAGATCCTCAAGGGTGCCAAACCTGAGGTCACCTTCACATGTAAGAAGGAGGATGAGGAGGTCGACGGAGCTGCCAATGGTACCTGTTCGTTCCAGTTCTGGGTCGACGAGGTTGAGTCATTCTACTGTGGCTTGGACGAATGTACCTTCGAAGTGAATGGAAACAACACCCTGTACAAATGTGAAAAGATCAAGTGTGCATGTGTGCCCGACCAGTTTCTGTGTGGAAAGGACGGCTCTGTGGATCTGACGGACTTTTTGAAAAACACAATCACCGGTCCCGGAGACTTTGCATGCGATATCAACAGCCAGAACTGCAAGTTCTCCGAGCCCAACATGAACTCATTGATTTCGTCTGTTTTCGGAGACAAGTACATCACTCTGGGCTGCAAATCAGCCGAATGTCTGCATGTAAGTGAGATTCCTGGCTACGATCAGCCCGACAAGGGTGTAAGCACCCTTCTGGTGTGTGCTGGTCTGGCTCTCACTCTTCTATTCTTGATTGTGGCTTATGCACTTGCTCAATCATTGTTTAAGCGGTCCAATAGCCCTCTCGAGTACCTTCCAGATGCTGATGAAACCGGAAAGCTGCTGCATGACTTTGTTCCTGCCAAGCTCGAGTTTGAGGACATCTCTTATCGAGAACGAGGAGCCAACGAAGCCACTTCCAAGCCTATTCTTGACGGAGAAATCTTTGGATCTGTCAAGCCCGGAGAAGTCATGGCTATCATGGGAGGTTCCGGAGCTGGAAAGACAACTTTGCTGGACATTTTGGCTCGGAAGAAGAAGAGTGGAAAGTTCGACGGTCGTGTTTTTGTTAACGGCTCGTCTGATTACACGGATAAGGAGTTCAAGAACATGATCGGTTTCGTTGACCAGGAAGACTGTCTGCTTCCTACTCTCACTGTCTACGAGACTGTTCTTACTTCTGCTCTCCTGCGACTTCCCAAGAACATGACCCTTCTCGGAAAGAAGATGCGTGTACTGGAGACTCTCAATGAACTTGGAATCATGCATATTCGAGACAAGCTGATTGGTTCGGAAACCAACCGAGGTATTTCTGGAGGTGAGAAGCGGCGAGTCAGCATTGCCTGTGAACTTGTGACTTCTCCCAGTATCCTCTTTCTCGATGAGCCTACTTCAGGACTAGATAGTTTCTCTGCCTTCAATGTCGTCGAGAGTTTGGTTCACCTGGCTCGAAACTACAACCGAACAGTCGTTTTTACCATTCACCAGCCCCGATCTAACATAGTCCAGCTGTTTGACAACCTCCTGATTCTATGCCAAGGCCGTCTTGTCTACTCTGGTGCGTACTTGGAATGTCAGCAGTTCTTTTCCGAAGTCGGTTACAACATTCCCAAGGGTTTCAACATTGCAGACTTCCTCATCGACCTGACCATGGAGTTGTCTTCCGGTTCAGGGGACTCTTCTCGAGCCGAGTCCGGTGCCCAGTCTCCTTCTACATCTTCCGACGACATCCATACCGTTGAGAGAACCGATTCTCAAGGCAATCTGGACACTACCAACGAGTGGCTCCATTATCAGATCCATCGGGCCGAGTTTGACGAGTCTGCCAACGCCCGAAAGCGTCGGCAGCGACAAAAGTTCGTCAAGTCGCTCGGAAGTGGAGTCCCTATGCCCGACAGAAACCTCGATGAGCTCGTCAACCTGTTCCAGACTTCTGCTCTTGCTCAGCGAATCAAGAACGGTATTCAGGAAGACATTGATCAGGCTGACCTGGAAGAAGCCGCTGATGCAGATGATAGCACTGCTGGGTTGCTCCAAAGCCGAGCCCGGTTCTTCAACAGCCGTATCTCTTTCCTGTCTCAACTCAAGATCATTGCTGGAAGAACCTTCAAGAACCTCTACAGAGACCCCATGCTTCTGCTTACACACTACATCATGGCGCTGGCACTGGGTCTGTTTTCGGGTATTGTGTACTACCAAGTGACCGACGACATTTCCGGTTTCCAGAACCGTCTCGGTCTCTTCTTTTTCTTGCTCTCCCTTTTCGGTTTCTCCACCCTGACCTCTCTCAACCTGCTGTTTGGAAACGATCGAATCATTTTCATGCGAGAACGAGCCAAGGGCTACTATCATCCTGCAGTCTACTACATTGGAAAGGTGGTATTTGACATGGTCACTCTCCGTGTCTTCCCCCCGATCATTCTCGGATCCATTTTGTATCCTCTGGTCGGCCTCAAGCCTGATTTCAACGCCTTCCTGGTATTCATTGCCACTTTGGTTCTGTTCAACCTCGGATCCTCTGCTCTCCGTATTTGTGATTGGAATCACTCTGGGTGCCAACCCCCGGTGTTGCCAACCTGGTTGGCATTCTTGTCATGCTCTTCAGCATGCTCTTTGCCGGTCTCTTTGTCAACCACGACAGTGTTAAAATCTGGGGCATTGATGCTCTGCAGTTCCTTTCAGTCTTCCATTACGCTTACGAGGCCATCAGTGTCAACGAGGTGAAGTACCTTACACTGATAGAGGAGAAGTACGGACTAGAAATCGAGGTGCCTGGAGCCACTGTTCTGAGCACCTTTGGATTCAACGTAAACGCAGTTTCGCGGGACCTTTTCATGCTCACAGGCTTCCTCGGCTTCATGCTGCTGGCGGGATACATTGGACTTCACTACGTGCTGGTGGAGGTGAGATAACAGACAACAGATAACAGATATGGACTTATACTATAGATAATTTATGTGAAATAATAGCTGTTACCTGTAGTTGTGGAGATGTCGATGGCATGTGCAAGGTGATAAGATATGCGCACTTAAGGTGTGCTCAAAGGCGACATTCCCTGGATGTTGACAATTCGAGAGACTCTTCCGACTCGGTTGAAGATCTCAAGAGTACATGGGGATCTTTTCTAGATTATTAGTCTCAATATGATACAGAGATGTTTTTAATATGATTGTCGTTCAGTAGACCCTTGTTGTTGTTATTGGTTCAGAGACCCACAAACAGGGTCATATACTGAATTTCGATTTTACTTACATACTGATATTGTGATCAGGAATGCCCTTGTTAACCCCACGAGGGTTTCGTGAGAACGCTGAACACAGCCTGGTACCTCTAAAGTATTCCGACTGAGCCAAGGGTGCAGTATAATGCTCTAGGGATGCGTTGGTTGTTCAATTGCCAATAATTTTAGGCAATTTGAGCGGGTCGGGACCTGGAAGGGACTAATCATGTTTATACAGTAGATGTTTTGAAAGGATGGCCTTCGTATTTTTATAATCCAAGAAGACTGCAAATGGAGTCTGGGCAAGAGTAGGATTGTACATTCCTCTCAGCAGAGTAAATTAGTCCCTCAGAATGGAGACTGGCGGTTCGTCACCCACGTCAAGGTTTTCCATCAACAGGTAGAAATGGCTGTATTGGTGGTATTGCATA